GTGGAAGATATGGAAACCAATCCATGCTTGGAATGAGAAGAGCTCTAAGAAGAGCAGAGGCAGAGACTCAAGATTGGTTGCCTGCTCAAACACAAGCCAGATTGCAGCATGATGATGATGATGCTCAAGAAAATAGTGGCACTTCCTATAAAAACTATTTTTCTGCACCACGATTTTACTGTGTTGAGACACTGTGTGCACCATGTGGAGTGGTCATAGCATGGAAGAAATTTGCCAAGTCAGAATCTCCTACCAAAATTGTCAAATTTCTGGAGGAAGTCTATCCTACTCCAGAGAGTAAACCAAGCTATGTCTGCATTGACAAAGCATGTGTTGTACTTAGACATATTGTCAAGCAAGGAGACTGGCCAAAGTGGGAAGACACTACAAGATTTATTGTTGACTCCTACCATTACATCAACCATCGGACCACTGACTATATCTGTCGTACTTGGTGTAATCCAGCGCCTCTGAATGGCTCTGCTCCCAATCTTGTAACTGTTGAGCAAGACAACAGTGGTAACTTCTATTACAAAAGAGCTTTCAATACTCAAGTAAGTGGTTACTGAATTGACTCTGTATTAGCTAGCTAAATAATGATTATTCAGGCTTGTGAGCAACTAAATGCTTGGCTGGATGGCTTTCAGACAGTCTTGAACAAGATGTCTGTTAGCAACTTTGACTTTACCATCCATGCTTTATTGTTTTTGCATACTCAACGGGTAATTGCAAAGCAACAGAAGAAGAAGCAAAGGAATGTAGAAGAGAGCAGTGATGATAGTGATGATGAGGCAGGGGTTGATATTGAAAGAGATGATGAGGTATAAAGCTTTGTACTTTAGATATTACTCAGATGTTGTTTATGTGTAGTTCAGATGATATTCAGGTGAAGTCCAGATAAAGTTCAGGTGACGTTCGGCCAATGTTCAGCAAATGTTCGACTAAAGTTCAGGTGACGTTCGGCCAATGTTCAGATGCTGTTCGGGTGATGTTCACCTGATGTTCAGATGTCGTTCAGGTAGTGTTCAGGTGGCATTCGGAAGATGTTCAGATGACATTCATCTGGCATTCAGATAAAGTTTGGATGATCTTTGTTCACCCGAACATCACCCGAACATCATCTGAACATTATCTGAACCTGAACAAAGGCTACAAACAGAACCTGAACATTACCTGAACATTCGGTGAAATTCACCTGAACAATATCTGAACAATACCTGAATACCCGAACGTCACCTGAACATCAGGTGAACATGTGGTGGACTGCAACATACACCAGGTGTTGCAGGGCAAAGTGCAGACCAACCAGGACAAAATAAGGACAATGGACATCTTGGAATCAATTGCCTACATGGGAATCTCTTCAATTTGAAGTTGATGGGCATGCGATCCAGTATTAAGGGTTGCAAACGCATTTACTGGTGCCCCACTGTACCAGAAGCTGCCAAAAAGTTTAATCCAGATAGGCCAGATTATGACCTTAATAATCTGCCTGAGTTTACTCAGAATGAGTATTGGAATGTAATAGAGCAGCTTGAATTGGCAACAACTGATAGGGAGAAAAAGCTCATTGGAGATAAATATGGAATTGTCAAGCTTCCATTGCTGGCAGCATTTAAAACCTATGCTTGGCCAAAGTTCTTTTTCTCCGACCCATTCCATCTTTTGTATGAAAATAACATGGCCAATTTCTGGGATTTATGGACTTCAATCACTGCTACTGGTGAAATTCCACATATGTCTGCTGAGAAGGCCCGGCTATTTGGAGTTCATGTGACTAGGGCTATGGCAACAATACCTGCAGCATTTACAGGTCCTGTCCGTGACCCACACCTTAAGAGGAATACTCAATACAAGATGTTTGAGTGGAAAGCTCTGACTCACTGGCTGACAATTCCTATTCTCCTTGAACTTGAAATGCCTATGACGGTTATTTTCAATTTTGCACGGTTTGTCAAAATTGTGGAATTCGCAATGACAATTACTGGGCGAACTGAAGATGATTTGGAAATGATCCGTAAAGAGATTGTCAAATTCTTGTATGAGTTTCAAGAAATATATGTTGGTGATGATTCCACCAAGGTATCAAGAATGCGGCTATCAATGTTTCATCTGCTGTATATACCTGATCATATACGGTGGAATGGATCCTACCGTATAGGCTCTCAAGGGACTCTTGAAAGGCACATTGGTGTTTTAGAGCGAAAAATCAGGTCGAGAAAAGAGCCATTTGTAAATTTGGCTAATAAGATATATGAGGACCAGTTGGTGAAAAATCTACTTCACTATTACCCATCGCTTCAAATGCCTGTGGCACCTACAGATCCACCAGGACCATTGGGAAAGGTTCCAATCAAGCAGAAAGAAAGAAGAAATAGTCATTCTTCATTTGCTCAACATTTGCAAGCAATTTGTAAATGGGCAAACATTGCTTATGATGTAAACACCAATTGGGTAGTGAGATATGGAAAAGTCCCTTTGCCTGATGGAGGTTATCTCAGAAGCCGTCTCAATGAATCAAAGAGTCGTGAGGGAGTTACACGATCAGCAAGATATTTTGAAGTAAGTTGTTGATTCATTGTTACATGCAGTACAACACTTATATGCCATTCATAGGCATGGAATGATACACAAGTTTTTGGTGAAGCACTGGCATTCTATGAAGACACAATTCAAGCCTCTTTGCTTGTTGTCTATCATCCTCTTATAGAGGTTGAATCCTTTCAAAATGTTGCAATATGGGGAAAGCTGAGTGATAAAATAGAGGTGATGAAGGTTGGATCAATAACAAACCTTATTGGAATATCCTATGGGAAATGGAGCCGGGTATATGTTTATAGAAAAAACTCATCTATGAAGGTTTACAGTGGAGCAATGTAGATCCATTTGTATATACTGTAGTAACTGGTAGTGATGTCCTTGTACTATAAGCTAATGTTCATCAGAGTTCCTGCCTCTTATTTGGAAGAGTGTCATAGACCAATTCTCACGCCCCCTTAGGGGTCCCCCCTACGCCCCTTTCGGATGCTCGGACCTTCGGAGTCCCTCGGGCTCCGCCCTCGCGGCCTATGCATGGTGTGCAGCAGCAGCACTTGGATTCACCTGTTACATGTTTCACCTACATGTGTACTTACATACTAGCCTCACTACATACATGTGTTAGTCAGTATTTATAGTAGCATGGTCGTGTTGGATTCTGACAATCTAGGTGGTACAGGGGATAGAGGGGTTCACATGACTACATAGATAGTTCACACGTACATGTTGTTATAGGCACATCCAGGAGGCCCCTTAGGGGCTACTGACGGGCATTCCGGCTACAGACCCGGGCCGTGCACACATGCGGCTACATGAACTTGTCACGGACTATGGACTTGTACATATTCGAGCATGCTGTACTTATTCCTACTGGACTCATTGCTGTTTCGTGAACGTGTAGATGCCGTGTGTTCCCCAGTATATATTCCTGTACCGTACGTACAGTTACCTTAGTTCAAATATTAGTTCCTTTTCCGCACTCGCATCCTCGCCTCTCTATTGATGTCCCTCCATTGCATCCCCTCACCTCCACTCGTACCCTCCGTATCCGCGTAGGACTCCCTCTGGAAATACAGGGCACACAAGAGTGTGGGAGGCCCAGCCAGTAGCTGAAGCCAAGCCCGTACGTCCTCGCTCCCCTCATTTACCCTCCGTGCTTCTATGTGGAACCGCGCACCCGCAGGTCTGCATATCCCCCAGCCCCCGCGAGTGTGGCTCTTAACACATGTATTCTTGTTATAGGGGCATCCAGGAGGCCCCTTAGGGGCTACTAGGGGCGCACTCACGTGCATTCCGGCTATGGACTCGGGCCGCACATACATGCGGCTACACGGACTTGTCATGGACTTTGGACTTAGACACATTTCAAAGATGCTGTACTTATTACTACCGGACTCGGACATGCGGCTACCGCATGTTCCCCAGTATATAGTCTTGTACCGTACATACAGTTACCTTAGTTTGAATATTAGTTCCTTCTCCACACTCACATCCTCGCCTCTTCATTGAGGTCTCTTCCTCGCACTCCCTCGCCTCCGCTTGTATCCTCGGTACCCGTGCAGGATCCCCTCAGGAAATACAGGGCACGCAAGAGTGTGGGAGGCCCAGCCAGTAGCTGAAGCCAAGCCCGTACGTCCTCGCTCCCCTCATTTCCCCTCCGCGCTTCTATGTGGAACTGTGCACCCACGGGCCCGCGTAGTCCTGAGCCCCGCGAGTGTGGCTCTTAACAATTCTTTCCTTCATGTATTTGCTGAAGTCCCAGCCAAATGAAACACATATCTTCTTGCTCACTTGGAATTCACGCAACCTCACCAGTTACTGTATGCTCTATGTCCCCTTCCATCATGTCCTGTAGTACGGCCTTGTACGCCAAGTTGTTGGGGATTCTACATACGGTTTGTGTCAGGCTTGCTCCAAACAACACATCAGATGACAAACTGCTCAACAAGATTGTCGGTGTCTGATTATATATGTGCCGGCTTTTCTAAAGGCCTGTGGGTTGTGCACAAATCACTTTCTGAGGTCCTCATTCTTGAATTCTGCCAGCAACTGTGTATATATGTGCTGCACTCATTGTTGGAAGCGAGAACTTTGTAGCTGCTGCCATTGTACCAAGAAGAGGAAATCCTTTGGAAATTTTTAGAAGCCAGGGACTTTGTACAAGACTTGCAGTCCTTGCCATGAGATTGACACTGCCCAAGCTCTGTGTCACCGTTTGGATGCCATGTCCGCTGGTATGTGTCGAGGCTTTCCATCGTTCACCTGTTGTCTTATGACTCTGATTGCTCTATGAATATACACTGAACGTTTGCCCTAACACCTCAAAGCAAGCTACTGCCGGCGCGTCCCGCGGATCCATATTATATACAACCCCTGTATTATATACAACCCCTGTTTGACTATTGATCATGTGAGCCAGCCTGTTTCGAGGTTTGTTTTCTCCCTGCCAGACACAACGTGCAATGTCCAACTACCGCTTCGACAGCCGCTCCCAATTCTCGCCATCGTCGTCTGAGACGTTCTCCGACAGCGTTACTCAGAATCCTCCCCGTGGTCTTCCCGGATACGATTGGTCCGATTCTTCCAATAGACGGGCCCAAGACTACTCCCAGGATAGCGCTCAACCTGAGCGAGTCTTCCATCCCCCCGCGTACCGTACTGATCACACAACTGGGAGCCGCCTTTTGCCCCAGGAACAGGCGCGCCTCTATGACCTTCCCGGCATAGGTGCAAGGGATTTTCTTGCCACGCAGGGTGGCACGCCTACGGTCGACCGTCCATATCCCCTAGCCAATTTTTATGGAGCCACCCCAGCCCCCCCCACCAGACGCTTTGGACCGCATCTTGACGGCGACAATGTCCCTGCCGCCGCCGCCGTAGTGAACTTTGGCCATGCGGAGGATACCTCTCGCCAGACAGTAAACTTCGTTCTGGGAGAGCTTCACGTTTTGCGGAGGCAGGTGTGCGCCTTAGAGGAGGCGGTCCTGCACATACAACGGCATCTTGGTGATTTGCGAGCGAACCAAGTTGATCCGACCCCCCAGTACATCTGCCATCCCCTTGTCCTCCACGCTAGCTAAGGTCCACACAAGGTTGCGGTCGTTCTCCCCCCATCTGGCCCCAAGTGATTCGATCTCGCGGGCCAATAGCGAAGATGATGGCGAGGACATCAGAGTTGCGTATGCAGTGTACCAACGCGAACGGCCCTCCCTTCGGAGGCCCTCGCACCTCCCTGAGTCCATCCTTTGGACCTTTAAAGATGCCCAAGCTCGTGGCCCTGACGGCGGCTTCTCGTCGTCAAATCCACATTGACCGTTGTTCAAAAAGGCTCTTAGGGATCAAAACGGCAACGTTTTGGATGAAGGCATCGTCAAACTTATCACACGGACTGCCACAGGCCTGGCGCGGCGGATAATGGCTCTACAGCCAGCAAATACACGTATGGCGGATAGCCATCACATTTGCAAATACTACCGGACCAAAGCCCCAACCCTCTGGTACGGCTGCATTATCCTCCTGGAGCAGCAACATGTGGAGGTTGGCCTTTGCTCCGCCCATTGGAAAGCGGATCACCTACTTGGCCAGGCCGTCTTGAAAATACGGACCACTCAACGATCGTCCACAACCCAGGTCGGTAAAGCAAGTCACTCGCAGGACTCGCACTCTACCCCGAAGAAGCCCAAACGGACCGCAAACGTCATCACGCCACTGCCAGCAGGTCCTTCAAAGAGGGCATGCACAGGTAGGCTACACCATATCATGTCGACTGTAAGCTGAATATGTCGACTTAGGATCTGAGCAAGCTGCCTCCGTTTCACGCCAGGCACATCCGTTTCATGAGGGGTCCCAAGGCGACGATAGCTTGCCTCCAATGCCTGGAAGCCCCTCCCCCTCCCGTCCACCCTATCCTACGGCTGTATCTGCACGCCCATTGTCTCCGTTGAAGTCATCCGCTGCTGCGGGCCTACTGGCTCGAGGATCCTTTGGCACGGAATTCGTTCCCCTTTCGGCCGCCAAGGTTGATGATGACTGTGAGTGAATACCTTAAATACATTTTCATTAACTGATATATGAATAGTTGACAATCTGCGCGGTATGTCAGCCACCCCCGCTATCTATCCCTGCTAACACCCTCCTAAAGTAACACTCCAAAGCCCTGAGTTTGCATTCAACGAAGTCACTATCGAGTCCGGGCTCGCGCTTCTCGACGCAATGGAACATGCGCAGACACATGGTGGGAATGGATTCCCATCGAACAACACTGCGGCCCTGCTGGCTCAAGTTCAAGGTGCCGATCCCTCGTGCATCGACGATGAGGACAACCTATTTGAAGGCTGGGGCCATTGGCAGTGGACCGCCGGCTCTCTTACAATCACCACTGCAATTGGCTCATGGCAGGATGTCGGGAATACGAACATAGCGTGCCAACTGATTGCTGCGGCACTGGTGACTTGCAAGGCTGCGAGGCTCCTATGCATGGAACGCCCGAAGAAGCCTTGTAGCTATATCAGTGATAGCTACGTGGAACGGCTTATAGAGACGCTTTTTGATGCTTGGAAACGTTCGGGAGGGGTAAGTGTTCCTACCTCTGCAGACTACCCACTCACATATCTTCGACAGCCGCTTTACAAGGGGAAGGGTCGCGAAACAGAACGTCCAGCAGAACGTAGACGGCCACAGCCAGAGGTGGTCGCTGAAGAACCTGCCGAACCCTTGGGCGAGGACCCAGCGCTGGGCGAGGGGAACGACATAGTCAGCGGTGCCAGCGATGTTCTAACGGAACCAGAGGGCGGCTTGAAGTCGAAGTTATCGGTAAGCTATCTGCTTTGTGTTCTACGCACCAAACCAACTGAATATATATATCTAGCTCCTTCATCTTTCTGAGCTCAAGCACCTGGTCGCTAAAAGCCAGATTGCTGGTGGACGCCAAATGAACAAGGCGAAATGTAGGTACCCTTTCGATCTCATTGCACTTGTTCTTATACTATACAGGCATATCTTCGTTAATGGGCCTTCCACCCACCACTCGTCCCTCGATCGATACAATCGAGGATCGGATTGAGCACGTTGCGCTCTCCCACATGTTCGGGTGAAGTTCACCTGAATGGCCAAACAACACCTGAACAACACCTGAACAACACCTGAACAGAATCCAAACATTGGCTGAATTTCTCCACCAAAACTCTTTTTTTTGTTTCAGATTTTGTTCAGGTCACCTGAATTGTTCACCTGAACATTTGGTGAATTCAGGTGAATTTGACAGGTAATGTTCACCTGAATGTTAGGTGAATTCAGGTGGAATACATTAGTACTACTTCTTGTTGCAGGAATTCTTGAATAATGGCTCCTTTTAAGTGGGAAAACTGTTCAAAGAGGTCAACAATACTTCTTCCTAAGAATATCTTTTACTCTGAACACTGTTCTACTAACAAATAGTATATTGTTACAGTGGGAAAATATCACCCAAAATAGAAGTTGTAGAGCCATCTTTTCCGACTCTGCCGGTGTAGATAGCATTGTGAGGACTTGACTTATTAGTGAGAAGAATGTAAATTACTTGAAAAAACAGGGAAAGTTTTCAGTTTTCTTACTGTATAGACTGTTTAAGAGGTCTACTATGTTTATCAGCAGTTGTTTTGTCAATGCTAAACACTCATTATGCTGATAGTGAATACTTTTGGAAAAGACCAAGATACTTTTTGTAGGGTATATCAACCTGGTTATGTGACTGTTTGTAGAATTCTCATGAGCTACTTTCATTGTTCCGCAGTAGTTGATAGAAATAGTAGAGTCACATAGAAATGACACCATGGATGACAACCATATTGATGAGACCATATCCAGGTGTTGTTTGTATGTGGTTCAGATGATGCTTGGGTAATGTTCATGTAATGTTCAGATAATGTTCAGGTGATGTTCAGATGCTGCTCAGATGACACTCATCTGACATTCAGATAGAATTTGGATGATCTCTGTTCACCTGAACATCATCTGAACATCATCTGAACACCATCTGAACATTATCTGAACCTGAACAAAGGCTACAAACAGAATCTGAACATTACCTGAACATTTGGTGAAATTCACCTGAACAGTATCTGAACAATACCCGAATACCTGAACATCACCTGAATGTCAGATGAACATGTGGTGGACTGCAACATACACATCGGATTGCAAAAGTAAGTCTCTCTGTTTATTTTTACCGTACACCGTGTGATTGAGTGCCCATAGCGCCCTGCCCCTGTCAAGAAGCCCAAGCCTGCCACCTCCAAACCCACTAAGCCCTCCGTCGTCAGCCAACCGCCCACCTCCCCGCCCCGTGCCAGCGGCTCCTCTGTCCCGCATGACCTGAATGTCACACGATCACCTTTTGTTCCTCGCATCATCACTAATCCAACGGACGCCCAATTGTGACCCGAACAAACCGCTCTGTTTTTCACGACCGTTAATGAGTTGTTATGACTTTTTTTCACTCTCATCATGACCTCCGTAGACTTATTTTTACTTACTCGCTTGACTTATAATGACTATTTGTGATCACTCAACAATTGAAGACATGACTTAGCCTGACTTGAAATATATGCGTAAATGACTTCAACCGACTTCAGAAGACTTTTTATTGACTTTTGTTGACTATCAAAATCTTTGTGTGAAAAAACTAAATACCTTTGAGCGACTTTCATTGACTACAGCAGACCCTAGTCGACCTGTATTGACTGCGTGAAATACCTTTAATTGACTTTGCTTGACATCAAAATTGACCTTCATTGACCGTGAGAGACTTATACTGACTACATGATCGTGCATTTAAGTATGGTCTTGTTGACTTTGATAGACTTTCTCATGAGATATATAGACCGTAGGAGACTTAAAATGACTACGAATTGACTTAGGCAGACCTCCACTGACTACGGACATGACCAATATGTCGACCTCGCTTGACTAGATCTTGACTTGCTACGACTTACTATGACTGTGAGATGACCTAGCAAGACTACTAGATTGACCTCAGTAGACCTCTTGTGACTAATCCGGACTATTACCAACTGCAAAAAGTAGCCTCTAGTGGCCGAATTGCGATGACTTATTTGTACTTTACAACACATAATTTAGACGCCAATTGACCAGATCTGACTGCTTTCTCAGATAGGCGAATGGGACCTACAAAATCAATTTCCAGTATATTTAAGGTAAAAATTACGGTCTAAGTCTTAGCAAGTCGGTATTTTTTGACCTCCGCCGACTGAGGCAAAATACTGAGCTTGATCAAGTGAGTTGGTAAGGGACTTCGTGTTTCTGTCGCAAGTGGTAGTCGGTAGTTTCCGGTGTAGGTTGATCCGAGGATTATGCGAGAACTTAGTTTTGTTCAACCGCTGTAGAGAGCCTGGCACCAAACATTGGTCAACAGCAGACGTCAGCGTTACAGTGACCGCCGGACTTCTAATGTAATGATATTCAGAAGCTCATCAGGGGCAAAAAAAAAAAACATAACCGCGTCACGATGCGTCGCGTATACACATCTACTACTCTCGAAGCCTCACGATGACCAACAGAACCTCATCTGCACCCCTTATCCCTTCATTCTCTCAAATCCGCGATGCTACTCTTGCAAAATTTCAAAAGCGACCATGCTTGTGGCAGCTCAAAATTGCGCAGGCTGTACTAGAGCGCAAAAAGGACATTATCTCAATAGCTGGTACAGGTATGGGCAAAACCCTTACTTTCTGGATGCCCTTGCTGCTGTGTCCAAAGGGTCATGTACAGATCATTGTCACCCCACTGAATATACTTGGCAAACAAAATGTTGACACGCTCGCGAAGGCTGGGCTGAAGGGAATATTCATCAATGCCACCTCTGCAATGCCTGGAAATTTCAAGGTACATACCTCCCATGCCTTTGTGCGAATCCCCGCTGAGTGAGTAGCAGGCAATCGAAAATTTGGAGTACCAGGCTATTGTCGTCAGTTCCGAGCAACTGATGAAAGCTGGCGGCGGCTTTGAACGGTTATTCAAAAACAAACTGTTCACATCAAAGATAGTCAGCATTATCTTTGACGAAGCCCATTGCATCAGCGCATGGGGAAGTTTTCGACCAGAATACAAAGATGTCGGCAAGCTCAGGTACATGGTGTTGAAAGACGTGCCGATTGTTGTTACATCGGCAACCTTGCCCCCCTTGTCCTCCAGGACGTCATTTCCACACTACAGCTTTGAAAGGACGATATTCTTATTTTTCGCAAGTCTGTTGACCGTTCCAACATCGCCATCGTGGTCCAGAAGATCCTAAGTCCATTGAGTAGCTTCGAGGATCTAAGATTCCTTCTCCGTAACTGGAAACCAGGCGACCCACCCCCTCCAAAATTTCTGGTCTTCTTTGACAATATTAATGAAGCGATCGCGGCATGCAATTTCATTAAATCACTCTTACCAAAGGGATACCAGGATAACATTGCCTGGTTCTGTTCTGACATGTCGGATACATTCAAGAATGGGCAGACCAGCAATCTGGAGAGTGGTGACACATGGGGGTTGTTTACCACCGACTCTTTTGGCATGGTTAGTAACAACACAATTGAAATATGTAACAGTCATGCTGACCATTAATTCTGCCCAGGGAATGGATATCCGGGATATAGAAATTGTTGTCCAGTGGCGAGCGACTTGCTTGCTTGCCACCTTATGGCAACGCTTGGGGCGTGGAGGATGTGACCAGTCAATAGCGGCAGTTGCGATTTTCCTTGTTGAAAGGGAACACTTCGACGATGACTGGCTGTCAAAGGAGCTGCGAAAGAAAGCATGTCAGCAAAAGGCTGCCAACAGGTCCTGCACGAGACACTCATCACATTCTAGTACTCACCATGATGCTGCCCGACCAATTCTAGTCAGCGTGAATCAGAACGCGGGCGACACCGATGAGACAGAGGATGACTCGGATGTTGAAGCGGAGTTAACAGCACGGTATCAAGAAGTGAAGGTTGGTATCAAACGAAAGCGGAAGGAAAAGAGGGTGGTGGAGTTGGAGCCTGCAATGGACGACCTCATCAATGCTGACCATTGACGTTTGAGGTGTCGGAGGATTCCCATCAACACACATTTTGATAACACGCAGGCAGGTGAGAGACTCTGTTTAAGCGCCAATCACGTTGGCATTGGCACACCGGCCTTTACATCCTAAATCACCATTTCCAGATAATGCCCCCGGTGCGTGTAATCCTCCCAGTACCCACGCATGTACACGCTGCACTGTCCGCTCTCCGCCTGCACAGAGCTGCTGTGATCTCTGCTCTCCCTCTCTTCGTGACCGCTTTGTCGTTGCTGCTGCCAAGCGCACAAAACACCCTGGACGATCGCGTCTCCACAAGTTCGGTATGGGCCCACCAGATGCGGTACTACAAGGAGCACTGGACGATTGGCGCGGCAATAAGACTAAATCAATCTACGGGACTGCGTACTGGAATGAGATGGGGCCCTGCCTCATCCTCCCTAACAATTACCTTGATCGCATCGTCCAGTGTGCGCACGAATTCAAGATATGTGACGTGGATGACCTTGTGAAGGAGATGTGCTGGCCGTTAGCAGTGAAGTACGGTCCTGAGGTTATTGATCTCATTTGTCGACACGGTCCACAGCCACCAGCAAATCCTCCCCTTGCCACAACAGCTCAATTGCCCAAACGTACTGTTGGTGCTGCAGGAGACCAACAGGGTCAGAGAGAGAAGACACGTAACAAGTGCTCATCGTGCGGGCAAGCGGGTCACAATGGTGCGTCTTCTTTTATTAAGCAAATTCTATGTTCTGATTTTCTTGAAGCACACAATCGCCTGTGCCCTCAGCACCCTTCCCGTTCCAACCTCAACTCATCGTCTCGCTCAGACGCTGGCTCTTCATCAAAAGAGAACCAACCTGCGCAACAAGATCATTCTGCGCACTCTGAGGCTGTGATGCCGTCAACACGCACCCCAGCCCCTCAACTCGTATTTCCCATTCCATCCTCTGTCTTTTATGGAAACCCTTGTTAAGAGAGGCCTTCGTACATATCTGCTACCAATACTACTAGAGGTCTATTATAATATCGTCAGCGTCAGGTTGTGCACTCAATCCATCACCGACGATGTCATCCAGCTCAATCTCTGCTACTGGGACAGGTGTAGCCGGTAACTTGGCTGCTCCCTTGTCGATCATATCATCAATGGTGAAAGCAGTCTGCCGCCCAGGTTTGATCTTGTGAGGCGTAGCTTCGGCAAGGTGGCGCGACACGGACTCAAATGTGCGTGCCATATTGGGATCAGCGTGCGCGGACGTCAAATGGTCGAGCAGAATATTATTACTGATTTTCTCCTTTGCATCATGATAGACCTGAATCAAAGGTGATTCTTTGATGATCCGCGCAACGGTGCGATTGGAGCCTTCGCCTCCATGCTCGCTCTGTAACGGCAAGTCAGCAATTGTTCGACAGAGAAAATTTGACTTGTAAAGCAAACCTTTGTTTGTAAATTGTTGAACTCCACGCACCAGTCCACTGCACGCCATTTGCCGTTCTTTCCTGTGGGATTCACAAGGATATTGTACCGAACGGTGCGACTGCAGACTCGATGTAAACTTTAGGGTTTCACAATTTGCAAATGTCCGAGCAATCACCTAAGCCCTGGTGGATAGACAAATCTCGTGCTGTACAGATATTGAGTTAGGTGAGTAGTGTACTTGTGTTTCCCGACCACCTTGATGATATGGATCCATGGAATGAAATTGGCTTCTACGCGGCCGATATCGCCATGATTCATTGCGTACAAAAGTTCCTCGTAGAGGAGGCAGTACTTATTAAGTAGGGTGGCATTCTCCCATTGCTCATCTCGCTGGCCGGTTGGTTGGCGGCGCAATCTGCCGAGAAGACGTGAGGCGACATATTTGCGTGTGGCGATCACTGCGATGCTCTGTAATTCATTGAGAGATGATTTTGACTTAGCAAACTCCTCAAGTGAGGTATGCAAGGGATTGCGTTGAGCTGCTTCGACGCGCCAGCAGTCCAATCGACGACAGATTCCGGTATGTTGGATTACTTGGTGCATTTGGCGGAAGGTGGGCTTGCTGGAAATGGTTCCCGTCTCTTTGGGCCGAAGAATTGTGATATCCTCCATCATGCACGTTTCGTCCAGACATCCATTCAGCGACTGAATGAATATCCGCCAGATGGCATCCGCGCAAGCCATCTTGACGTGGAACAGACCAAGGATAAAGATGACAAACTGAAAGCGACGCCATGGCGAGGATTCAATTGAACATCGAAGCTGGAGTGATTGGATGTGTTCACCGGTCCCCAAGTCCCCATGAAATAAAACAATATAATCTTTGACATCCCTCATGTCCTTCGTGTCAATCCCCACAAACTCCGGGTTGTGGATGTCGGCGATCCCTGCCTGGGCAAGTATCTGTTTGATTGCACCAATATTTCCTGCGACGGTGGAATTATTCACATCCATTGCATGCATAGGTGTGATAGGCGTCTCCACGAGTGGGATTGACTCGACTTCGGGTGGTTGCCCTATCTCGGAACGAAAACTGGCGAAGTACAATGGCCCATGGTTCACCAGATCATGAAGGAACATCCATGCATTGAATTCTTCGCTGGTTGTGCGACCCGCTGGCTCAGCCGTATGTGATGCCTGGGCATGAGGTGTGATATTAAGGGGGTGGGATAGCCCAGGTGTGTGTTTGGGTTGCACGGCCTTGAGAAGCTCTTCCCAAGTATGGCGCGGAACTGAGCCATGTGGGTTGAGCGCGGACTTCTTCCACAGATCCTCGCTGCAATGTAAATCATCCAGAGTGATGCCGTGTTGCAAAGGAAACACAAGCATGGACATGAGATGCTTTAATGAATCCCCCAGCTTTTCGACAGTCGAAACGGACGGCTTCAAGTTTACATCAAAATTATCATAGCCAAATCCGACTAATAGACATCTTCCCAAATGACTTATTGTCTCAGCTGACTCCTCGTACAATGACTGATTGGCGCGGTGAATCGACGTGAGGGAAATGGAGATCCCCATGCGAGCGAGTGTCTCAACGACCTTCTCGGGGGTTTTGCACGAGTGCAGGAAGACTCCAATAACACTTTGCAGTGCATTGGCCTTTTGATTCATACTCTGAAGTATGATACTGAGAACAACGACAGCTTTCTGTGATCACAACGCGCGTGTAAGCTCAGGAAGTATGATAGGAAATGTATGAACCACGCACCACATTAATGATGGCTTGTCGTCTTGCCAATGAAACTGCTCTCAAGTTGATAGCATAGACTCCATTGCAGCAGCTCTTCTTCTCCGGACCGACAGCATGGAGTCAGTTGTATCCGGACGTGACCAATGTCGCTCAAAGGGCGGCACTCCTCTGGGCGGCCGCAACAGTAGCCTGTCTTCCATAGGCTTTCATCCGCTCGAGGCACCCAAACGAGCTGTAAAAGGATGCAAACAAAAGTCAGACGCCGTAAGTGACGACAAGATGCCCACCGTTACATACAAGCAGAAGCTGATTACAAGGTCTGAAAGCGCACATATTCCGAGTGCGATGCCTATGGCATCCACCGGATACGGAGCCGCGCCTGCCACTTCCATCGCTGCTGCCCCTGTCGCTGCTGCCCCTGTCGCTGCCCCCGCTGCCCCTCGCACCGTATTCAGGCTTCCGAATGGTGTGAAATACACTAACAAGAATAAGGGAGACACTACTGCCCCTGCTGTTCGTGAAGGTGACGATGTCGAAATCTACTTCATCATTTCACTCTCTGGTGGTACGGGCGTGACATGGTACGACGTGCAATCGCTCGGACCCCTAACGGGATCCAGGTCAACCACGGTAAGTACTATCGTCATCCATTATCTGATGTTTGTCTCAATCTTTTGTAGTTCAAGTTCACCGTAGGCGATCCAATGATCATTGAGGGTAAGCCACACCCTCCAGACGGCATTAATCATCAGACCTCACCTCGCTGTTAGGCCTCAACACCGGGATTATTGGCATGCACTGCCTAGGCGAACGTCACATGGAGATCCCTCCCACTTTAGGCTTCCTGAAAACAATTCCCGACAACAGGCTTGTTTATGGTGCCAAGGGCAGAGGGGCTATACCCCTTGAATCAAAGATCCTTATGAGTATGTTGACCTTCCTTTGTAAATGTGTTATCTAATGTTTCCTTCTCAGGGGTCAAATTATGTCACGTTGTCCCTCATACAGCTTAGATACATTGATCAAATGTAATAATAGCCCCAGAATGTACCTCCATACGAATCGGGCCAATAACAATAAGTAATCTCAGTAATCGACGATCGATTACAATCACGTGTGATCTCCCTCCCGCGAAGCGCCCCGATATACCGCATGAGGCGACACAGATGACAATCCATGCTCTGTCGCGTACATAGTGGCAAAGTGTATTGTAGATGAAGGTCTTCCCAGTGCCGCCAGGGCCGTCGAGGAAGAACATATGTCCGGTGTCGTCCTCTACAGAGGCAATAATGGCGTCGAAAGCAGCTCACTGGTCTTCGTTGAGTTGCTGAATCCGTGTTTCTGCTTGTGTGCGCTCCGTGTCGGCATCATACACAAGCTGCTCTGCAATGAGAGGGTTTTCGGTGATGTTACCCCATTGTCATGTCCAATGTGGCATCATTTCAAATTCTCGGAGGGAGCGGCCTGATTGACCAAGAATTTGATCCAAAAGGTAGAGGCCATAGTCGTACACATCTTCATCCGTGGTGTTTGCGTGACCCATGAGGAGCAAGCGGTGATGAAGATCGTCGCAGATGTGGTGTCTGAATTCTGTCCAGAGCCTCTCCGGCTGTGATGGGTGACAGAAAAGGAGCAATGTAGCAAATAAGTGATGAAGCCGAGTGCCAGTCTGCATGACGGCAGCTTCAGACAGGCAGGCACGCCATTCACCATCGTCCTCCAGCAACCCTCTAGCCAAGCATGCATCATGGAACGTGGGGTGAAGGATCCCCTGGTATTGTCGCAGATCTGCAAAGGATCTCGCTCCTTTGACCACAGTTAAGAGAGTACAAAGGTAAAATCGCTCGCCTGCTGAAGGCGAGACAAAGTACATGCGCCCAATAGTGCTTGCATCCTCACTGTGGTCGTCGTCGTTGTCATCGTTGAGCTCCCTTTGCTGTCGTGAAGCCGTGCCTGTGTTCCCCAGTCCAAGGTGATGAACCTTGCTTGCTCGGAGGGCCCAGTGCTTGCATGCGCGAGGAGCGTCCCAGACGAAATGCTCAGGAAATTCCTGGTACGTGTACTTTTGGGCTTCGATCCCTAAGATCCCAGGATCTGCATTGGCTGCAAAGAATCCCGTCAGAGTGGTCCTTTCGTTACTTGCTCGTTGGAGTACAATCTGTGGGTCTTTGTTGGGGTTGTAGCGAACCATGTGCTGGCCCGGAAGGTGCACCTGCAGGCGCACCACATTTGGTTTCTGCTCGTGAATACCAAACCAAAATGCAATAGCCACCATACAGCCTCCGCAGCTGCGATGTAGCGGCCTTCGAGAAAAGTCTTGATCTCGTCATTCTCAACCTCAACGTGTGCTCGGTCGCCGCCCTTGTGTATATATTTGAAGGGATACTTCACCGAGCGAAGCATGACCGCACATTCAACATTGATGTGACAATCATATTTTGCGGAAAGGTATGGGGTGTAGGGGACGATCCAGTGGTTGCCGAGGTACCAACCTGGGTTGGTCCGAGTATGCCCAGCCAGAAATGTGTGGCCATCGTTGCGATGACGGTAGAGCGGAAAGCCATCCTCGTCCATCCGCGTGAAGGGCTGGAATGCTTTGGGGTAGAACTTGGTGCACCTCCCCATTCTCCATGCAAGGAGCATAGGGATTGAGCTCGCCACAAGGGCCGTGGACCATACAGGACATAACCGTCTCGAAAAGCTTGGGCTGAGTGTCAGGATCTGGCCACTCCGCCGATATGCAGGCATTGATGTCTTCGGGACTGAGTAGTTTCTGACCATCTGCTAGAAAAATCAGAATATGCATATGTGGCAAGCCCCTCTTCTGGAACTCGATGGTGTAGACGTGGGCAACTGTCCTCCCAAAGATGCCATGCTTCGGGATATCATCAAGGATTGCCTGTTTCTTGAGCTGGAAGACACGCGCAACCAGGTCGGGACGATCATAAACGGTTTGATTGGGAAGCAGCTCACGCTCGATTTCAGGCCATCTGGGATTTGCCGTAACCGTCATGGAAAATGTCAACCTTGCGGAATCAATGTGTGATGGCCATGGCATCCTGGAAGCGCTGTCATACCAGAACATAGGTTTGGTATAAAGACATTAGGAACTAGGATGTACCCCTGAACCCCTAGGAGCGAAGCCCCTAGGATATTATCCATTGTCGGGTTATTGTTCTATCTTTCCATTGACGTTCGTTCGTCATGGAAATTTGTCATAGAGACCTGTAACAATGGATTCTATTGTTCCACGTCTCCATATAATTCGCCGTGGAAATCACTAATAATGGTGTCCATTGTCCCTCTATTATTCCATTGTATACATATATTTATTCTATTATTCCAACAAGGCATTGTTCATCTTGTCCATTGTCCTACCTCTATTATACTACTGTGTACTATTATTTGTCCTATTATTCCTGTAGGTCTTTGTTTCTCAAAGACCATTGTTCCCCGTATTTATTTGTATTTACCTCACTATTCCTACCATTGTTCTTAGGTACAAATAGTTTAGGTATAAAAGGGAGCTAGTCTCTCTGCCAATAAATATACAAGTTATCACCCACATTCTAGTTCTTGAGGCTGTATCTGAAACGAGTAGGATACTAGCATTACCGTTTGTAGAGACCCGAAAAGTAAGTACAGTCTATTTCTTTTGCTAAGTCTGCACCGAAACGAGTAGGTGACAGTAACGCACTAACAGCTAAGTCTGCACTGAAAACGAGTAGGTGTCAGTAACACTATTTTGACAGTTTGACTATCCCGAAACGAGTAGGGAAACCCTTTACAAGTCCAGATCTGAAACGAGTAGGATTCTGGCATACTAACTTCAGTTTATTAGCTATCTAGTCCATTTCATAGGTTTATTATTTAGACCTATAACCCCGTATATACTTGCTACTTATCGTACAAGTAGATACACCACCACACCCCTATCTACTTAGGAGTAGTATTGTTGATTGACATACTATTTCTAATAACCGACCTCACCCTATCCATACCCTTCTGAGAGTATTTCCTCTATTCCAATAATCCCGAAATCAACGAACGACCAGGTGCAACTCGACGCAGTAGTCCACGACCATCTGGGCACTAATTCATTAACCTGACTTAGTGTGACAGCGCTGCTGCATGTGACGTGGCCCTCCGATGTATGATGAAGGCAAGATGGTCCGTAGGCCCAGCTGATGAAGATTTGCTTCCCCATCCCCCGCAACGGCGTCCTCAAGGCCGCTGTACAATGAGGCGCGTATCTCAGATTGATGCTTTTGCAGGAAACGAAGCCGGTACTGATCTGCGCAAGCCCACATGTCGACCAACCAGTGGTATCCAGGTGGTCACCAGGTGGTAAAAGAGTGGACAAAAATGAATTGAAGTGAACTTGCATGGAAAAAGTAGTGATCAGGTGGCATCCATGTGGTAAAAAACTGGTTGGAAATGGGCTGGCTGGGTGTTAGGGCGACACTAGTCTAGGACTAACGTGGCTCCTACAAGAATACTAAAACTCAAAAGAAAGATGAAGGGCTTATTGACTTAGGTCTCACTATTACTAGCGTTCTCGGGTATGTTATTGGTACTTAAATACTAGCATACATGCATAACCCTCATGTACTACTACATGCCTACTGCAGCCGTCTTTCCATGGAACGCGCACCGATTCCATGAGGGGTTTAGTAATGTACTGCGGACATGTGTTAGACGTGAGGATCTTACTAAGGTATTGTAATGAGAATTAGTAATAGGCACGTCTTGCGCGTTTAGATAAGATATCGGAGAAGATAATCATTCGGAACAAACCGGACCATAACATCACCCCCCTCTAGGATTCGTCAATTCCACTTGATGACACCACTACCCCCTGATGTCCAACATTTCCTTCGACGACATCATTCCTTGGCTCCCCATTTGGGACCGTCTCTCCTCCGCTGAGCAAGCCGGCCTGGTTGCCATGCTTGTCTTTGTTGCTATCGGGTGTGTCGGGTGGATTAGCGCTCCCTTCAGGTTCGTTGATCTTGGTCGTTTTACTGATGGTCGGGGTAGTGAATACGTATTTTGGTTTCCAGATCAGTTCCTCGAATATCGCAGCCGCAATCCGACGTGGAGCTGCAGAGTGTCGGGAGTGGAATGCCCGAGTTTGTTCGGGTGCGTTTTCAAGGTTCTTTTCGGGTTCCCATGTGTTATGCTCATCGGTATACCCTTTCCATTTGACCAAATACTCTAGCCATCCTCGTCTGAGTCGGCTGTCTAGAATATTTTCAACTTCATATTCATTCTCGCCTTGAATCCGTACCGGTGGGGGTGGTGGTGTTTTTTGCCCTGGTATTGTTGGCATGTTGGCCTTTTCCGTCCGATGAGTGGAAATAGTGGGGTGAATAGATAATGTTTTTGGAATTTTAAGAGTTATCGCGTTTTTTGTGGGCACCGCAACCACTTCGTACGGTCTGATTTTCTTTTGCTCCAATTTTCGTGAGGGTCGAGACGTGTTTAAGTTATCGGTAAAGATGAAAGCCTTGTCCCCTACTTTGTACTCCGGCATTTCCCCTACTCGTCGGTCTGCGTACTTCTTCATCTCCTCTCCTGCTTTTACCAAGGCTGACCATGCTTCCTCCCAGCTTTGGGTCATTCGTTTGGCAAAGTCATCGGCGGCTTCCACTTTTGACTCTCTTCGTGGTTCGACCCCCATTCGTGGATGGTGTCCGTAATTTAAGAAGAAAGGGCTCTGCCTGGAGCTCGTTTGGGTTTTATTGTTTAGGGAGAATTCGCATATCGCCAGCCATTCCACCCAGTCGTCTTGTCTGTGGTTGATGAACATTTGTAGATAAGTTTCGATTTCTCGATTTACTCGCTCAGTTTGTCCATCGGTCTGTGGGTGGAAGGCTGTAGATAGTCGTGTTTGAATTCCCAATACTTTATTCAGTTCCTGCATCATTTGTGACGTGAATTGGGGTCCCCGGTCTGATATGATAGTGGTGGGTAAGCCGAAGTCCTTCCAGACGTGGTCCCGATATAATTTAGCTAGACCTAGAGATGACAGTTCTTTGGTGGTTGGTACTAGACGGACCATTTTGGTAAAGCGGTCCACTACTACTAGGATTGCATCGTAGCCTTGCGACCTTGGTAGTTTGGTGATGAAGTCCGCTGAGATGTCCGTCCATGGTTCTGATGGGATTGGGTTAGGTTGAAGCTTTCCCTGCGGTTGTCGTGAATAGGCTTTGCTTCGTTGACACTGATCGCATCCTTTGACATACTCCGCTATGAACCTGTTCATTCCTGGCCACCAGTAGTTTCGTGAGACCAGCTCAATTGTCTTCCATCTTCCTGGGTGGCCTGCCACCGTTGAATCATGGTGCAGTTTTACGATCTCCCTTCGGACATCCGTGTCTTTGGGTACGTATACCTTCCCATGATATAATACCAGGTCTTGTTCTTCTGACCATTCCGCCTCTCTCAACACCTTCGTCGGGGATCTTTTCAGCTCTGTTACCGCTTTTACCACCAACTCATCGTAATTTTTTGATTTTCTGATTTTTGACAAGATGGTGGATTCTAGTCCTTTGATCAAGACGTGGCCTTGTTGCATGGCTTTGATTCGAAAGTACTCTGGTTTTAGTAAGACCATCGTGTTGTCTTCTTCCCCCCTATCAAGGTCTGGTCGTCTCGACAAGACGTCTGCCTTCATATTTGATGCTCCAGGCTTGTGTTTCAATAAGAAGTTAAACCGTGATAAATACAGCGCCCATTGCGCCTGGCGTCTGTTGAGTTTTTTGGTGGTCATGAAATATTCCAGATTTTTGTGATCTGTCCATATTGTAAATTGTCGACTATTTCCCTCTAGGTAATGTCGCCATGCCTCCAGGGCCCGAATTATAGCCAGCATCTCTTTGTCGTGGATGTCGTAGTTTTGTTCTGTTTCCGTGAACCCTTTAGACAGGAAGGCGCATGGTCTCCACTTGTTGTTGTCACATAGCATTGAGAGTACCGCTCATGATGCGTAGTTCAACGAGTCTGCTTCGATCTTCATTTCCTTGTCTGTATCCGGTAGTACCAGGATTGGTTCCTCGGTAAACAGCTTTTTAAGCTTTTCAAAAGCTTCTTGTCTCCTCTCGTTCCATACAAACTCCTCATCTTTTTTGGTGAGCTCGTGCAACGGTTTAGTGACAGTGGCGAAGTCCTTTATGAATTGTCGGTAATAGTTGCTGAATCCTAAGAACTGCTGCACTTGTTGCACGTTCTTTGGAACCGGCCAGTTTTTTACTGCTTCTATTTTTGCCTCTTCCATCTGCACCTTTCCGTCCTTCACCACTACTCCTAAAAATTCGACCTCGTCTACTTCGAAGGCACATTTCTCTGGTTTTATATATAAATCATTGTCTTCGAGAATCTTCAGAGCCCGTCGTACTACTTCTCGGTGTTTTTGTACATCATTGTTTGTAAAGATAAGTAAATCGTCTAAATAGATAACTACAAGGCCTTCGTCAATCAGTTCTTTGAAAAGTTCGTTCATCATGGTTTGGAAGGTAGAAGGGGAATTGCTAAGTCCGAAATACATGACCATTGGTTCAAACACCCCTCATGGCGTTTGGAATGCTGCTTTCCACTGGTCTCCCTCTTTTATTCGTACATTGTTATACCCCCATCGGAGGTCCATTTTGGTAAATAAGCGGGCCTTAGATACTTTGTCTACTAGTTGCGAAATGAGAGGTAACGGATATGCATTTTTTACAGTATATTTGTTTAGGTATCGGTAGTCCTGTACCAATTGTTTTTTTCCATCCTTTTTTTGTACGAAGAATACTGGTGATGTTTGCAGGGATTTGGAGGGTCTGATGTACCCCTTTTTTAGGTTGCCGTCGAGAAAGTCATTGAGTTCCTGTTGTTCGATTGGCGACAGTGGGTATACCTTTGAGGCTTTTGGTACAAAGTCTGGTGTGAGTTCTATCGCGTGGTCCCATGGTCTCGTCGCTGGCATCCTTTCTGAGTCCCGTTTTCGGAATACTTTCATGAAATCATGATAGTAGTCTGGTACCATTTCTTCTTCAGTTTTTTCCTTTTGTTTCCTATTTTTTTCCCGATCATGCTCAACAACATAGTCGTACTTTCCTACTGCCTTCAGGTGCATTTCCTCCTCCTTGTCTTCCGTTTCCACCTGCATGTGTTTTTTCCACATTCGGTTAATGTACATTCGGGCTACCGACTCGTGATATTGGTTGGTTAAGTCGTCCAAGTCCCATAAATAACCGCTTCTCAGCCTATTCCACTGTCTTACTCCTGCCACTGAAATGTTCCTCGGTTCCATTTTCCGCACTTCCTTCACCTCTTCCTCGTCTTCCTCGGTTTCTACTTCCCCTGGGTATGGTTCGTTCTGCAAGCTTTCTGCCTCTTTGTTCATCCTTCTCTTGCACTCCCTCGGGCATCTGATCATTACCACGTCTCCTGTTTTCCAGTTTACTTCTGGGTTGTGTCGTCTGAGCCAGGTGAGACCTATGATGACGTCTATGTTTCCTAGGTTGGTTACGTAGAACGTGGCCCATTCCACGTGTCCTTTGAAACCCATTCTTAGTTCTACCTTTTCTTCTACCCTTCCCACGTTGTTGGGGGTGCCGTCTGGGTTTCTTATGATTGCGGGTCTAGTCAGTTTCTTGGTTTTCAGTCCGTGCTTTCTGACGTATTCGCGATCGATGAACGAGTCTGAGGCGCCACAGTCCAACATCGATTTGGGGTCGAGAGTTTTCAGGGTATCCAGGGAAGTAATGGTGATTTTTATGGGGACGTAGTTTTTCTCATTGCCTGTTCGATACAAGTACCCTTCCTTGGACTTGCTTTGCGTCTTAGTTTCCGTCTCGTTGTTTTTAGTAGTTGAATCCTCATTATAAATAGCTACTGGTACATTGGATTCTACTAGTGACGAGTCCGGCTCCTGGGTGAGTACAGAAAAAGGATTCTTGGAACTCAGGTCGACGCTTCCTGGGTTCCCTCGGAAAAACCCTGACGAGTCAGTTCCTCTCTGTAACCATTGGCTCCCCTGAGCCACGTGACTCGCTCCTATATTATGTACATGTATTTATATATCCGAAGTACCTATATTTGGTAGGTAGCTTTTCTTACACCTTGCACGTACGTTCCCGAATAAAGTCGGTCTTGCGTATCGTGCCGCGTGAACTTAAGAAACAGCATCAACCATCCTTACACTTTTTTACGCAACCATAATACTCCTTGACGGGAATGTCATATAGTCAACGGGACTATTTCACACCCAACGCGTGGGACGAAGCTCGACGATACGAGCATGGGAGAAGAAGCAACCGGGTGAGCCCTTCGGATGGATCCGAAAATGCAATCCGGGTGCCACAACAGGCATCGCATCACGCTGGATCCCGCAACGGTGAAGGCAATCCCACACCACTTCGTTTTCGACAACCACCCATCCCACACCCGGGAGCGTCCGAGGGACAAGAGCATGGCTCTGCAAGAAACAACAACCGGCCGCAAAGGCCACCTAGCTCGCGTACCATGAATACGAACGAAGGTTCCGAACGGAACCAGGCACAAAGCAGTGCCCGAGTAGAATCTGTGGAATCCGCACCACCCATGCGGAACAAAGGAAAAGGGCGGGCCACGTCATCAGACATGGAGAGAGCAGACGCGCGAGAGAGGAAGTTGGCGCGAGAATACGAAAGAGAATCCGTGAAGAAAGAGTCAGCTACTTCGTCTAGACGGATGAAGGAATGGGTACAAGAACAACGGTTGGCCGATAAACGACAGACCATAATGCCATCGCCTACGCTCTCGCAGGGCGCATTCACCGAGTTCCTTGTACAGATGAGGATACGGGAGGACGAGACGGGGACTCGACTGTCCACTGACCAGATCAATGAGCTGGTCCGCGCCATACAGGCCGACAGGGCCACACGCGATAGGCGATACAACGATAGAGTGCCCACAGCTGGGCATGTAGCGCCGACAGGCGACGGCAATGGCACCGGCGAGCCAATACACCCCAGTTGGGACATGCGAGTGGCGTTGCAACGATGGCGAAACAGCGCCATGGCCCAGAACGAGTACACTGAAATACCGGATCAGGGCATTATATTTGATGATGATGGTAGCCCAAGGGAGCGTTGAAAGTCTCAGCGCAGAGACGCCGACGAGGGTTCAGCCCGAAATGTGGAACCAGACCACACACGACGGGTACGGACTGTGATTACCGTACCAGCTGGGATACAGCGCAGCCCTGTTGCACGGAAAGGCGATGATGACGCAGTGAGTCATTGACAACCACGCCAACGCGAACGACAGGGTGTCCAGCCTTATGCTGAGCTACCGCCTGTGGGCAGACGAGCCAGGTCGAGAGAACGATCTCCGTCAACGAACGAGGGTGATGGTGACACCATGAGGGGACACCGCCCCAGGGAATCCACACGGGTGCGAATGAACGAGCCGGACGAGGTGGATGTCAACAGAAGACACCGGTCGCGGCTCACATCCGAAGACCTGGACGTGGGCAGACATGATATGCCAGGACAATCATCGTCCTACCACCGCGCCATTGAGCGGCGATACTTATCGTTGATCAAAGAACAACTGGGCAAGCCATTGATACTGCCTAACGGCGTGAAACCGCCATCAGGCATTCCTAAGCCTGACAAGTATTCAGGCGAATCCGACGTTGAAGTGTTCAACAATTGGCTACAATCACTGCTTAGGTGGCTCCGGCTCCAACTGTACGGAGGCGACGATAGAGATAGCGAATGTGTCGCTATGATTGGGCTCTTCGTCGATGGCAAAGCAGCCACATGGTACAATGACGAAGTAGATGGCATGTACCAACGCCACCGATCCTGGACATTTGCGCGAGTCATATTAGACATGTACGACCGCTTCGTACAACCCACCGTGATGCAGGATGCCACTGAGCAATTCTATGCCGTTGAATTCACAACGGCAGGCGGCGTAAGAGGCTTCTATGATGACCTAGACCGTAAGGCCGCCCGAATGATCCACTCGGTGGACGCCTACACATTTAGGCGGCAATTCCTAATGGGACTGCCATCGTACATACGGAATGTAATTATTGACCGTGGATATACGGCGGAACGGCACCGCCTGAAAGAAATATACCGGGTGGCCATCCAAGTTGAGGAAGGACGGATAATCACTAAGCATTATGCTGCGGCCAGCTCGAAACGAGCGGCCAGCTCCCCCAGCACGGGTGATAAACCACACGCTGGACCCCGTAAGTTCGCCAGGGGAATGCCACACCATGGCAATGAATTGAGGCCGTTCTCAAGTGGCCTACGCAGGGTGGACCACAACATCACCAACGGTCCCGCGGTACACAACGGTAATGCCAAGATGGAGCGAAAGGAGGAACGGCCGGCAAAGGGGCCCACCATTAACCGTGCACCTCGGCCTAGTGCGCCACGTCAGGCGAACCCAGGGCCTTTGCAATCAAGATGTTATGCGTGCGGCAACTTGGGACACTTTGCGAGCGACCCCGCCTGCCCCAAACGACAACAGCCAAAGATGTTTGCTGTACGCGAACTGAGAGGTGACGACGACAATCAGTCGGCCGCAATGGAAGTGCTAGATGGCGCAGATAGCGCAAGCAGGAACGATGCAATCATCGAGAATGATCAATCAGAAGAGTACGATTGTTCGAGGTATTCATCACCGGTCAGCGACGAAGACATATCTCAAAACGAGTACAGGGATGAGCCCGAAGAAAGGGATGATGACGATCGCATGGCAGCGATGAACGATGCGCAAGGGGAACACATGTTTACCATGAGAAACGGTGCACAGGAGCACCAAGATCGACGACAAACGACGGGAGGCCAAGTTGCAGCTTGGTCACCAGACCACAGGTATGTGGCAAGGCCCCAGCGAACAAGTGACGAGAAGGCAGTACTAGCAATGCTAGTGGACATAGGTGGTGAACAAGCCTTCACACTGTTCGACTCAGGTTGTACGACTGATAGCCTCAGTCCGGAATATGCTAGGATAGCAAAGATTCCATACGGCCATTTAAAAGAGCCAGTGCCACTACAACTGGGCACGGTGGGGAGCAGCTCGAAGATAAACTTCGGAGCAGAAACCACCCTAAAACTGGGTCCAATAGTATCGAAAACATACTTCGATATAGCCAATCTGGACCGATACGATGCGATTATTGGCACCCCCACCATGCGGAAGTATGGAATAGTACTTGACTTCGCGGATAAATGCGTCCGAATAGGCAACCGCACATTCGACGCACTAAAGGAGGGGGAGGAGACGCGTGTCATGGCCAGGAGACACTCCATTCAACGGAGACAATGACTATATGAGGCGTCTATACGACCTCAAGCGCCCAACAGCGCGACCAAGGCAGAACAGCCTAACAAATCGGATGACCAGGACGTCATTATGAGCCACGACCAGCTAATTGAAGCCGAGGAGATCTTGAATAAGATCCGGCCAAGTAACGGCCAACAGCAAAAAATACGTCGAATAGACAACAACAAAAAAAGAGGACGGAAAGAGAATGCAGCGCGGATGACAACCGTGCTACAAGCTGCCACAGGACAGCTGGGAAGGGAGATCCAGTCGGCGAAGACGCTGACTGATGACCATATCCCGTTCCTACGAAAACGGTGGCTGGAAGAATGTGCCGATATTATGAAAGGGCCACCAGAAGGGTTGCCTCCGTTGAGGGACATAAACCACACCATCCCATTATTGGATGAGGGCAAGAGATATAACTATTATCTACCCAAATGCCCTGACTCATTAAAGTCACAGTTATCAGAAAAGATAACCAAGTATACCCGAACAGGGTGGTGGGAAGCGACCCAAGTCGACCAGGCGGCACCAATGATGTGCGTATTTAAAAAGTCTGGCATGCTACGAACAGTAGTGGACTGCCGTAAGCGGAACGAGAACACACGCAAAGACGTGACACCGTTCCCGGACCAGGATACCATACGCATGGATGTGGCCCGTGCCAAGTATCGATCGAAAATCGACTTCTCTGATGCGTACAAGCAGGTACGCGTGGAACCGGCGGACGTATGGAAAACCGCATTCGCGACCATATATGGCACGTTCTACAGCAACGTTATGCAACAAGGAGACTGTAATGTGCCATCCACATTCCAGCAAATAATGAATCACATATTCCGTGACTTTATTGGATGATTCGTCCATGTCTATCTTGACGATGTATTCGTCTATAGCAATACGGTAGCAGAGCACGAACAGCACCTAAAGCTGGTGTTTGCCAAGATTCGTGAATACCAGTTTTATCTCAAACCAGAGAAGTGCGAACTGTACGCCGACAAGGTCGACTGTTTGGGGCACATAATCGACAGAAACGGCTTAAAACCGTGTAACGATAAGTTACAGCGCATCAGGGAGTGGCGCACACCACGCACATATAGTGATGTGCTTCAGTTTATGGGACTAGTGCAATATCTGGCTCACTTCATCCCCGAATTGGCCGCATACGCAGGCCCGCTCCAATCGATGGAGAAGAATGGTCAACCGTTCTACTGGCGGCCACTGCATGACAAGTGCTTCACCACCATTAAGGAACTCTGTTGCCGGGCACCCATACTCAGGCCTATCGATCCGTCCAAACCAGAAACTATCTGGGTAATATGCAATGCCTCCCTGTCAGGAGTAGGAGCGATGTACGGGCAAGGTACTGAGTGGGCCACATGCAGGCTGGTGGGATTCATGTCCCGCAAGTTCACGCCCGCGCAACACCATTATCGAGTGTATGAACGTGAGGCACTAGCCATAATAGAGGCGCTCCTAAAGTGGGAGGATAAACTACTGGGGTATCCCATTACGGTCATCACCGATCACCGTGCGTTGGAGTTTTTCCAAAACATCAGGCGACCATCGGCCAGACAGGCCAGATGGATGGAATACCTATCCCGGTTCCAGTTCTCCATCCAATACGTCAAAGGGACGTTGAACAAAGTGGCCGATGCGCTGTCTCGATACTACGCTGAGGACTCAGATGACGAGGTCCACGACGTAAATGAGTACGTCAACGCTGACACTCGAGTCGACCCGGACCTAGAAGTGGTCCCCTGGCCACAAGTGATAGAATCGCGAAAAGGCGATGATGACCTGATGGCCATCCGTGTCGGAGACGCCATACTGGACAGGCAGGCGCGAGCCGACAATATAGGTCGAGCCAACACCACGTTGGTAAGGGACCTAGGTGTGCAAGAACATGACCCCACCATATTCGAATTGGCCGACAAGGGTAGTAATCTACGAGCCAACCTAGCCACGCGCTCAGGATTTATCACCGCCATTCGTATTAATAGTACGAAGGACCCCATGCTGTCGAAAATCATCGACAAGCCGGATGAATATCCCAAGTTCAAGGTTAAGGATCAAATGGTGTGGATCCATAACTTGGGGGACGAATATGTCCTCTGTCTACCTATTGGCGAGTTCGAAGGGACGCCACTACGTAGCCTGGCCATAGAACAGGCTCACGAAACACTAGGCCACTTTGGCCCAACCAAGACGGCAGACTATCTGCGACGGTGGTATTGGTGGCCGAAATTGACGACCATGGTAGCCAAATTCTGCGACTCATGTGTCGTATGCAAACGATCAAAAGGGAACTACCAACCACCTGCAGGTAAACTACACAGTTTACCCATACCCACTCAGCCGTGGGATAGCATTGGCATGGACTTCATTGGGCCATTCCCCGAAGTGGAAGGCAAAAATTACCTATGGGTGGTTATATGTCGATTAACCTCGATGGTCCATTTAGTCCCCGTCAATACACGGACGACAGCGTCACAGCTCTCGGGTATTTACATCAAGGAAGTGTGCCGATTACACGGCCTGCCTTCCACGATAGTATCCGATCGAGATTCGAAATTCACATCGAAGTGGTGGCGAGAACTCCACCGCATGCTGGGAACAAGATTGAGCATGTCCACATCGTTCCATCCACAGACTGATGGCCAGACGGAACGAGCGAATCGCTCAATCGCGCAAATACTGCGATCCGTGGTCAAACCCGACCAATCCGACTGGCTGGATAAGCTACCCATGGTCGAATTTGTGCTTAACTCGAGCATAAGTAGCACTACGGGACTGGCACCATTCGAAGCCAATTATGGGTACCTACCCACTACAATGAAAGTTCACCGTAGTGAATTCACCGGAGCCCTTGGGGTAGCGGCCTTCGTCGAGAAGGCGAGGCAGAACATATCTGCAGTCTACGACGCCGTAATTGAGCGACGAGTGTTTCAGACATACTATGCAAACACGCGGAGACGGCGGGAACCCAAAATAATGCAAGGGGACTTGGTGTATTTAGACACCTCCAACCTGGCATTACCGAAAGGAAGATCAGGGAAATTACTACCCAAGTACGTCGGACCGTACAAAGTGTTAAACGCGATGTCAGACACATCAAATTACACACTGGAACTGCCAGCTGAATTGGCAAATCGGGGAATACACCCAAAGTTCCATGTGTCTAAGTTACGACCACATGTGGCCAACGATGACACGCTATTCCCAAACCGGCGGGTAGCTGACCCCTACGACTGGGGAACTCCCGACGACGCTGAATGGACAGTGGACGAAATAATAGGCCATGAATGGAATGGCCAACGCATACGATTCCAAGTAAAGTGGAATCTGGGAGACACCACATGGGAACCACGATCCCATTGCGACGAGTTAGAGGCACTCGATAGGTATCTAGAGTACCATGGAGTCGGTACGGTCGAGTCCCTACCACGTAAGGCCAAATCGGGCAAGCGTCGGTAGTGCCCCGATTAGGCAGGTAACTGACCGTGAGACAAGATGACCAACAACTATACAGTTGAGAATAATCATAAGGCCACCCAGTCGATAAGGACGACCTGCATCACCAGTGATGCGCAGGAAATCACCCGCGAACAACGACGTCCACATGGACGGAGATCATAATACGCCACGAAATGACGACGACGAAAATGAGCGAAAAGACGCTCAAGAGGGGGAGGGACTGCCAAGTCGAAAAGACAAGGGCAAAGGAAAGGCTGTGACAAGAACCATAGCCGAGCTGGATACGTTTCCAGCAGCCCCATATGATCTGGGGCAACCCCGACAGCAGGCCTGGATAAACACAGGGATAGGGTGCATGAACTGTGCAAACACAGAATGCACCACATGCATCGGCTTTACCAGCCATTTCATGGTAGGTATTAGAAACAACAACGCACGAGCCGATCGAAGGCTGATGGCCCGGGACATATGCCCGGAAATATTCAATGACTACGACAGGCTGTATGATACAGCCAAGAGGACGATAGAGTCCGACAGAGACGAACTCGAGGAAATCGACGGGAAATTGACCCGATTAAACAACTACGCCGATTGTGTTGAACGTGAGCTGGACGATGCACGCGCCCGAATTAAAGAACTAGAGGCATCACAAGACGACACCCATCGGCACAACCGCCGAAAAACGCGACTGTCGCTGTCCCCAGGACGGCTGGCCTCAGATACGGCCAGTTCACAGATGGATTCATCAATGGGTATGGCATCTCAGCCACGATCGAGCCTGTCAGTAGCCAGTGGGCTCAAAAACGAGTATTACGACCTAAACTCAGACTACGGGGAATCCGAGGCTTCGGATGCAAAAGAGCCCCCGCGTTATGCAAAGGCAGCCGATAACACGACAATCGGCCAAATCGGCGGACGAACGTCTACTACCGAATTTCCCCCGCTACCACAAGCGGGACCATCCAACTATTCACGGACAGCGGCTGCCCATAGTCTAGTAGGGAGAATCAGCACGGGCACAGCTCCACGAGGGAGCGAGCAACCCATGCTCCCCGAAAACTCTGCAGCATGGGCAGAGATGGTACAAGCCGCCCAAATCCAAGATAATTGGGATGCATACAACAGCTGCAGATCGGTAGTTAACCTAGCAAATCAGCTAGCAAGCGACAAAAAGCCCATGAGAGGCTTTATGAGAGCTGCGCTACGAACATGGCGAGCACCCGAATGGGTCAAAAGGGCTAGGAACATACGCCCGCTACCAAGAATCACGGTAGCATCTAGCAGCACCACAGCTGCACCTCACCTCGAGGCGACAAACGACTCGCCTCCCATTCCAGTATCAGTGTCAGGAGCATCGGTCCGCACGGAATCGAGGCCCACTACGGGATATCAAGCCCCGAGCATGGACGCACCGCCAGAAGCATGGTGTGCGTACGACTACTACTTTAGACATGTCAAGGCCATGTCCGCAGGACTGGGGGACAACCCCCTTGACCTCAGGACGCGACGAGGGCATCGTCTAATACGACGAACAGGACCATCGCCCGCTACAGGAGATTTCACCCTAGAACGTAATCGTTCGGTGTATGCGGAACGTGCTACCACCCTGATCGCCATGCCTGGGAGGTACCAGGCCGTCATAAATCGTCTGGGACTAACCGTTCCCTCATTATACCAGCCAGTACATTACACTGGACCACTCGACAACCTCACCACAGAGGAGGTGGCGGCACATCTAGCCGCATGTGGGGTCAGCATTGAAATGGCGAATGACGCCTGGATGTTTGCGCGACAATGGCTACTCGATCCACGGAACGAAAATCGGCCTAATACATATCCCGCTCGCCAGCAGCTAATGGCGCTACCCCCTTCACAATACCCCCCCAGTGCGCCCAATGCGCCACTGGTGCTGATGAACCCTCAGCATTACTTCCCGCCGGGGTGTCCTCCCGAGCCCACGGAAGTTCGATCAAAACGACCGCGATATCCCGCGGCGTCCCGCGGTGGCTACAACACGAATGCCGCCATATTAAGGCAACTACATGCAGTTGCCACCACTCTCGGCCACACAACAGTGGCCAGTGGTGATCCTACGACCTCCCATCCCGATTCCCCAGCATACCTGGACCCGATAGTAGATTGACTGGGTCCACCCTCATTAACATCGGCCCTCCCCTTCGAGTGGGATGACGATGTGAGTGAAGCGGACAACCGCGCATCTCATACCGTCTCGTTGGGAGGAATCATCGTACCTCCCGCTTACTTGCATTCCTCTACAACTAGAGGCCACACCGGCACATCCGCCGTTGCTGAATCGACTACGTCGACTACCGGGTCCAATCACCCGCATCACATTCCCCCTGAGGACATATCCATGTCCCCCGTCATTGATTATGACTCCGGCATCTCTACGCCACCTTAAACTCGTCACTTTCTTTAATTTTGATACTAACTGATAATGTTACTTTGTCAGTTCACACATTCCTTTTTATCTTGTTATGTCTTGTTAGATTGCGTATCAGCAATCTAGAGGGGGCGAGTGTAACCATTGGCTCCCCTGAGCCACGTGACTCGCTCCTATATTACGTACATGTATTTATATATCCGAAGTACCTATATTTGGTAGGTAGCTTTTCTTACACCTCGCACGTACGTTCCCGAATAAAGTCGGTCTTGCGTATCGTGCCGCGTGAACTTAAGAAACAGCATCAACCATCCTTACACTCTCGCCAGTATTGCAATTGTTCGTCGTAATTCATGGCCCTAATGTCCAGCCTTCTTTGGCAATTTCGGGCGATATGTCCCAGTCCTCCACATTTGAAGCACCTGACCGGGGTCTTCTGCGTTCTGTCTACGTCCATGGCGTTTGGGTCCCTCGGGGCCGGACGTGATTGTTGACTCTGTGGTGGGGCCGGTTGCTGCTGCCCTTGTCCCCTCCCTTGCCATTGGCCTTGCTTTTGGCCTTGCTGCTTTTGTTGGGACTGTCCCTGTTGTCGTCCCTGTCCATGCCCCTTGGCATAGGACTGCGCTTCGCGCCACTGCCTATCGAACCGGATTGCCTCTTCGCTCCATGCCTGGTAATCTGCGGGGAGCGGGTGGAGGCTGTAGAGTCGGTTCAACAGCCCGGGGTTCATTCCTCGTTTGAATAATTCTACCAATGCTACGTCGTTGTAGCCGGTATCTGCCCATAGCGCTTCAAGCTTCATTACGTACTCTTCGGCCGGTTTGTTGCCCTGTCTGAGGGCGGATAGAGTAGAGATAGCCGTTTCCCTGGGGTTTGGATCTCCAAACATTCTTTCTAGTTCGTCAGAGAATCTTCGGAAGTCAGAGACCACGGGGTCGTATCCTCCCTGGTCCCGCCAGTTGAGCGCTCGATTGATAATCTCGTTTTTCCAGTTATCGACTTTTCGTCCCTGGATGAACAAGAGGGCGTATAGGACTTTGGTGTTTTCGGTGGTGAACTGCCACTGATTAACCGCAATGTACATCCGGATACTTCTGAGGAACGAACGGCATTTGGCACGTTTGCCGTCGAATATCTCGGGTTTGGCCAGCTTAGGGCCTACTGGTCGTGCGGGTTCGGCAGGTTGGGGGATCGGGGCGGGAGCGGGAACGGGAGCGGGTGCTGGGGCTGTTGGTGGCGGTCGGGTTCGTACGCACTGGGCTAGCTATTTGTATCAAGCTTCCATTTGAGCCAGGCGGTCCATCATCATCATCATCATTTCTTGTGTTGATGGTTGTGAAGGTGGTGCGGGTTGGTCTGAGGGGCCCGGCATGTTCTGGTCTCTGATGTTCTCGAAGCTCGATCCGCTGGAGTGGGACATGGTGGAGTTGCTGGTGGAGTGCCCTGTCAATCGACGTTGAACTTCAAACTAGTGCACGCTGGCACCTGAGCGGACAATGTAAATAAGGAAGGAGTTCTTTGGCTTGGCTAGATACGAAGCTTCACACCGTCTTGCTGAACCAACGAGGTAGAGCCTTCTTTCTTACTCAGCACCTCGCGCGCTGACCCCTCTCCGAGGATTAGTGATCAGTCGGCGCCCTTAGATTCACTCGGAGGGTCGTCTAAACGTTACCCTGCTGGAGTATTGAATCTGCGGTTCGAATTGGGTGGGAAACTATAAGGGTATGAAATGAACAATCAAAGCCTAACGGGCTTATCGGCGGAAATTGGAAAGAAGTTATGCGGTAGAGAAAACGAGAAAGATGAGACGTATCCTGTCTTGATGTCGGGTGGTCGATCTTCGCAGTTAGACGCTGCAGAATAGGATGGATGAGAGTGTAGGAGGGACGTTTAAAGGGGTAGCTCGTTCTTCTGTTAGGGCGACACTAGTCTAGGACTAACGTGGCTCCTACAAGAATACTAAAACTCAAAAGAAAGATGAAGGGCTTATTGACTTAGGTCTCACTATTACTAGCGGAAATCCCAAGAGAACGAGCTAGCGTTCTCGGGTATGTTATTGGTACTTAAATACTAGCATACATGCATAACCCTCATGTACTACTACATGCCTACTGCAGCCGTCTTTCCATGGAACGCGCACCGATTCCATGAGGGGTTTAGTAATGTACTGCGGACATGTGTTAGACGTGAGGATCTTACTAAGGTATTGTAATGAGAATTAGTAATAGGCACGTCTTGCGCGTTTAGATAAGATATCGGAGAAGATAATCATTCAGAACAAACCGGACCATAACACTGGGTCCACCTGGGGACCACCTGGGGTTCATCTGAAGATGTGGTGGACCGCCAGATATACGGGAGTCTGTGGGATGGAACATTTGTCGCGAGAGTAATGCAGCCCTCAAAGACTTCCCATGCAGAAGCGCACTGGTTCTTGGAGATACTATGGCCTGTAAAAGAGGGGAAAAGTAAAGCTGATAAAAGGATAACAAGGCACAGCCTGTATACGAGATACTTTGAGGATCCACTGCTTCATGTTGACATCCGAAATCTATGCCACGGCTAGAAAACCGGAAACAATCCTGGTCCTCAAGCTTTAATAGTTATACGGCCAACTTCCCAGGATCGTTGCGGTAATCTGGTGTAGTCCAGCTGGAGATGATTTCGGCGGAGGTCACAGATGGCGGCGGCGGCGGCAACGGTGGAGCAGTTCTTGTTCTCAACTTTTGGGAACAACCAGCTTGAGCCTGTATGCCGATTATTCCGCCGTGGAATACAAAAGAATATTGAACTGCCTGCCAGTTCCCCGGTCAACCACCTTAGGCAGCACAATTAGGGTCTACAATACCATTTATTTACTGACTGCTAATACATCTTGGAGACCCCTGCAGGATCTAGAGAACTGAGCGAGGCTTGAGTTTGTTAAGAGACCGTGTCAAGGGGCCTCCTGGCTTGTCTGTACGTGGGAGCGGGAGTGTGGATGCGCGGACGAGCGGAGCACACGGGACTTGGCTTCAGCTTTGATGCTGCGCCCTCCTAGCCCTGCGGTGTCCCAATTTCGGAGAGAGCAAGGTGAGAGGCGGGCTCCGCGGAGGAGCCCGCAGCAAAGACTTAGAAGGACAAGTGACGGAGAAGGAACTAAGATTCAGAGTGGAGAATACATGTCTACTAGTGCTACTATAAATACTAACTAACACATGTATGTAGCAAGGCTTAGTATGTAAGTACACATGTAGGTGAAACATGTAACAAATGAATCCAAGTGCTGCGCACCATGCATGGGCCGCGAGGGCAGAGCCTGAGGGGCTCCGAGGGTCCGAGTATCCGAAAGGGGCGTAGGGGGGACCCCTAAGGGGGCGTGAGGACTGGTCTATGACAGTACCTCCCCCTTAAGGCTGATTCCCAAGAGGCCCACAAGGATCAAGGTCATAGAAGCCACGGATGCATGGGTGCGCGCGGAGCGAAGGGCTGAAGGAGCAGATGTCAAAGGAATATGGACAAGGAGCGAATGAACATGAGTTGGCACAAAAAGGACGGAGTCCGAGGGGTGCGCGGAACCTAACAAGGAGTCCAAACAAAGGTGCAGCACTGACAAGTGCAAGGTATGTACAACCGCCCAAACCCCAAGGAGCAGACGCTCAACGCGTCTGACCCCACCGCAAGGCGCACAAACATCCCAACTCAACAACTCCTGAAGGCCCTCGAAAGGAAATATACGAAGGATCAGACGAGACAAACGGATATCGAAGAGGTATGCACTAATGGCTTTATGTACTAGGTATAGTTCGCTGGCTGTCATTGCGGTAAGTCGACTTCCTTGTCCTTGTATTCTTCGACTCACGAGTGTTTACAGACGTCGGATCCGCAGCACTCTCTAATCCCTTTGCGCTGAATGATTCACGAGTGCTTCGATATCCACACAGGGATCATGTTCGACCGCGAGGGCATGCCCTCCGTCTTGACCCTGATACGTTGCATCCAGAAATCCTTATGCGTCCGCCGATGTCGCCCATTACCGGTACTTTGCGCATCCAGGACATCCCTAAACCGATCTATGGGCCACCCGATGAAACTCATCTCCCCAATTTCACTGACGTTGACTATTCCGCTCTCTATAAATCTGAGGAAGGCCACGCCACGCTCCATTTACTGTCCATTTACGATCAACTTTCTCTTGCCCCATTATGGTGGATGCTTGAGGTTTGGCCCATGAAGCAGCATACCAAAAATCTGATAACTCGTGGGTCTCGTATCTGGGCTTCAGCTTGGGCGGCGGGAGGTTCATCCCGAAGCAAAAGAGGGATGGTGTCAAGATTCATCGGAGCGATCAAGATGAAGATGGAAGCATTGCACTCAAACGGTACCAAATTTGAGAAGGTCACTTGCAGCCGGAAAGGTTCAATGGGTAGATTGATTCTTTCGTTATCCCCCTTGTAATGATTTCCATCTATTACTCTCATATAGGTGTAATCTGTAACGACTCGTCCCTTAGCCCGTATTTCCTCAAGCCTTGAGATCTTGAAAAGCTGAAGCCGCCGACGCCGCCGATTATTTAACTCAATCCCAGCGTACCCATACCTCTAAGGCGTTATTGTACGACGTGGACATACTATAGAAGGTATGGTCTTGCTCAGGGCGTGTAAAAGGGACTGGATATGATATTTGAATGCCATTGACTCGTGGTGTCGATAGACGGTGCCGATGATGGCGAGCAATTGCCGGGTTAGACGTAGTTTTGCATATCCCTACCCGTTATTTGTAACCATGCACTTCTGGAGAGAAAGGGCCAACGAATTGTCTGAGCTCTGCAACAGAGGCGTCGGTATCAGGTATCAAGTACCCATGCATATTACATATTGACTGTATAGAATTACATGGCTCTGGAAGACCGTACCAGCATAAATGACAACGGTTCAATGATTTACAGCAACGAAAATCAATGAGAGAGTGGCAGTAAGTGGCAACGAGGGGTCGAGGTCGAGGGAATCAAATATCCGTCTATGCACCAAGTATACGATGAAGAAGCCGGAGCATAATAAGTTATTGAGTAGTTGGGGAATGAGTAATGAAGATAATAAAAGGGCGATAGTGATGAGGGTACCGACGGGGCGAGTGATGGGGAGAAATGGTGAGTCAAACGAGTGCATAGTGTAGAAGGAGCGGCGAGAGTGGAGGGGGTTGAAGCATATACAGAGCATAAGGGTGAAAAGGGCTATAAACATAAGAAAGTCATTCGTTAATCATGAGCAAGTCGTTAGGTCTGGAGCAGGACGACGAATGGTGCTACGTCGGCCATCCCCTTGCAATTCGGGCGGCACCTCCTCCAACACGGCCCAGGATACTCCACACAGCGGAAGTCCCATCAGCTGGCAGTGCAAACCCTTCTCCAGCAGGTGACATCGAGTTGAACGTCTTCCACAACGCGCGATCATAAGCACCAAACTGACCGGGTGTCGTGTATTGGGGCGGCGAGTTGATGTATATACCAGCGAGGAACGCTATGGCAGACACGCCGAACATCGTGAAGAAAGTGTTCAGGGACGACGACTGACCATACACATACGTGTTGTATATGTTGTAGAATTTTCCTCGTCGTATTGGTTTGCCATCTGGCGGGGTCTGCGAAGGTCGGGGAGAAGCACGCTCAGCGGACGCCAGCAATTTATCAATGACAAGGCAGTCAATACCCAGCTCCTCTTTGAGGGCTTTCCATTCCTCGATGGCTTCTAGAGAGACACGTCCGGGAAGCGCGATATTCTCCGAGCTCGACAGTCCAGGATGCCACTTCCTGAGAGCATCACCGACATGCCATTCCTGCTCTTGCCCAGGAACTTGTGTATATGCAGGTGGTTCGTCAATCATCCCGTCCAGTCCCAGCATATTGGCCTTAGGCGTCGAAGGTGTGGCGGTGGAATTCGATGAAGATGACGAGGACGATGTAGAAGCGACAGGTTCTTCTACCTCAATAGCAGAAGGCGTTAATACTTCTTCAAGATAATCCGTCTGGATGTCGATGTCGAAGGTGACTTTGGGGGGCTCGGGCATGGGTTCTGGCTGTGGCTCTGTTTGGATAGCGAAAGCGCGACTGGGAGCCTCTTCGGTCTGTATGCTGAACGATGTCCTACGTATAACAGGTTCGGGGTCGGTCTGAGTCGTACAGGAGGAAGTGAATTCGGAGGATTCGTATTGTGTGAAGGCATCAGAATATTCCTTGACCTCCTCAAATGTATGCGAATCAAGCTTGTTAGCTCGGCTCGCCACTTTCTGTTAAGAGTGTAAATAGATCGAAGTCAATAACGTCGAGAGTGCGCACCCTTCTTCTCGTCACAATTGTCTCAATGAAACCCTCTTCGTCGGTGCTATCGCTATCGAGGTCAAAGCTAACGTCGCCGCTGCTTTCACCGTGGTGGACATGTACTTCTTCCTCCTCCTCATCACCCCATCCATTCTTCGCCAACTCCGCACCCAAACTCTTACTCAAAGTTCCAGGCGCGCTGTTGCTAGCTCCAATGGTCGCACCCTGAATGGTAACATTCCGTTGCTCGTCCAACTCAAAGTGAAGCCGATCAATAGTCTCCTTCAGCGTCATGTTCTCCTGCTTCTGAGCGTCGAGTTCGGCTTGCAACTGATTGGCGATGGTGAGCTCGGCGTCTAGCTGAGATATCCGTTCCTCGTAGTGCTGCTGCTCCCGCGCCCATTTAGAGGTATCGTGCTCATGTAGGCCGACAGCATCTTTCAAGTTACGTATAGTCTCTTCACGTTTGCGGAGGTCATCTCTGTACCGCTCGGACGCCGAGCATTGCTCTTGATATTGCCGCTGGAGGGAAGAGTACGTGTCCTTAGCATTCCTGAGTTGATCACTGACTTTGGAGATTTCGGATTCAAGGATCGCAATTTGCGTAGAGTTTTGCCGCTAAAGAGTCGTGATTAGCGCGCTGAATTGAACGACGGATGTAAAGCTCACCTCTTTGGAACGTAATTCCTTCTCCTCACGTTTAGCAGCATTTAGTTCACTTCTCATCTCGTCCAACTTAGCCTGAAGCTCCTCTAATTCCATGTCATGTTCGACCAAGCGGTTCTGTAAGGTTGACTCTGCTTCCAACAGCTTCTTCTTCAGCTCGTTGTTTTCGCGCTGGAGCGTATCGTGATCGGCTTGCTCTAGCAATGACAATGTAGACGCCGAGGCCCCGCGGTCGTGAATCAGACCTAAATGTACTTCTTCCTCGTCGCTATCAAGATCCACCTCCGACCCAAAGAGCCCCAATGATTGCATATGTGACTCTTGTATAAGCTCGGGAGATCCAATCATAGAGTGGGACTGCCGCGAATGGGGCCGAGATGGTGTTTGCGAGAACGTCGGTGAACCGAGAGACGTGAACATTGTTGACGGGGAAACGGGATTCGAAGGTGCTCGTGAACGTCCGTAGGCATTGGGTGGCGACGTGTATGATTCGGAGTCACTGCGACTCCCGGCATCGCTCTTCCGTCGCGACGGTGGAGGTCGTTTAGCCCAGCTTGAAGGGGGTCCTTGTGAGTCAAGGGGAGTCGAACGCTGCCGACGAGAGGTTTCAAAAACAGAAGGCCCCTTGCCTGACAGTGGCGTTTGTGGTGGTCCTCGAGAGGGTGGTCTGCTTCCCGGCCGTTCCGGTGATTCTGACACTTGAGGTGCACGTTCCGCTACGAAATGGGCAAGAATCTCAGGCGATACGGCGAGATTGGGATTGTTGGTGAGTAGCGTCGACAAGGCCTGGTATTCATTGTCTGACATGAGCTTCACGCCATAAGTTTCGGAATATGCTGCAATGATGTTGAGGAGCTGGTCTGCTGGTACGCGTGGGATGCCGGAGTCATCGTCGTAGTACACTTGCGCGTTTTGGAGGAATATTGAGGTGAGCTGATCGTCGATGTCGCCGATTATTTCGCTGTTGCGGTCGTGGATGGTGGTGGTCATTGTGTTACATGGGATGAGCCTTCGCAAAGGCCACAATCGCAGGTGGAAACAATGTCACTTTGTACATGTTTGCACGCCATTTTCTCAACATATCACATGAGCGTCGTGCCCCTAGGTCCCCTAGAGCCATGAGACAACAGGTCAAAGCGTTGAAAGGCCTATAGCACCCTATAGCTCACAGTTCGGAACGGTAAGTAGAACGGCGACGAGGGGCGAAGGGTGTAAATGGTGATTTGAGCCGAGCTGTATCTAATTGCAGGTAACTAAAAGTACACGACCCAGTCATCTGGCATCTAATTCTAATGGAGGGGGGGATGGTCCGATATCTGATACATACTGATGACCTACATTGAGCGAGTGCATCATAGTGGGCAGGTGGAAAAGGTTGAAGAATCCTGAGTCTGGAATTGAGGAGTGGTATCATGAGTAAAATGGGAATAAATGATCTGTCGATTGTCCACGAGCGTGTGAGTCAAAGGAATGCAACTGTGCGGTCATATATAAGGAAAGGTGAATCCAATGCAGAGGATTGAAGTGAATGGAGCCGAAGGACTGGAAAATGCTTGACAAAAAGAGACTGTTGCTACTCCCTTAGGAAGTCCCTGGGGGGTCGGGCGTGAGTGCGCGCCGCCGTGTGTCGAACGAAAGATGGCCCTCGTGGTCTTCCGAAGTCGTTGCATCATCGTCGTCAAAGTCGTCGTACTGGGACCCGAGATTCGCATGGATGGCGGCGATACCACGGCTACGAACAGGCTCATCTATACTGCGCGCACTCGCAAAAGTGGACGAATCGTCGATGAGATCGTCTTCATAGTCGGGGTAAACGTAGCCCTCGTGGCTGATGTTGTACGCAATTTGAGCGAGTGGGCTGGAACCAAGCTGTAGACCGACGGAAGCAGTACGACGGAACGGTGACTCGTTTGACACGCCCCCAGCGCCGACGAGGATGCAGGATTCGTCCAGGTCGTGATCTTCAGAATTCAAGCTGGTCACTTCGTTGAATTCGGTAGGGTTATCTCCCCATGACGATGCACGTCGGGCTGCAGTTAGAGGACCACTACTACTGATATCCTCAAATTGCATACCACGGAGAGCTTCTTCACTACGCCGAATCCCTCGGCCGAGAAGCTCTGAGCTTATAGTTAGGTCAGGAGAAACCGGCGAAACTGGGGAGTGAGAGCTAGGACTGCAAGTGTCGGGTGAATGCATGGATGAAGGCTGAGGTGTGCTATGAGGGGAAAGTTGCCTGCGGCTAGGCGTGCTGCCGCCGGGCGATGTCGACTGCGACTGGGTCGTCAGGTTTTTAGTAGACCGCCAATGCCAGGTAGAAGGTGAATATATGCTGAACCGTGACTTCGGCCGGCCTTCGGTGGGGCTCGTCTGCGCAGACGAACCCACAGACGAACCCACTTGAGGCACGAGGTTCGCGTCTGAAGACCCGTCTTTCGACGCCGTTGAGGTGCTTAAGAGGCTGGGCTTTGGTGCGGTTTTCCGGCTCGAGGAACGTTCGACAGATTTAGAGCGCTGGCTTTTGTCACCGTGGCTATCTGCTCGCTTCTTTCCTTTCTCCCGACCTGTCGGCGCGGTATATTTACTAGGCCCAGGCATGTCACGGGGGGTTCTCTCGCGGGCAACGTCTGTCGTTTTGATACGCATCCGTGGGGCTGACCTTGTCGCGTTGGGGTTATCTGCTTCTCCCTGGTGCGAGGCGGCAGCATATGGCTTTGCCTCCCGGACCTGACGAAAGAGGGTGGAGATGTGGCGAGTGAGACTACTGCCCCACTTCCATCTGAAACGAACCCCCGTCATGGCGGTCTCCGTGTCGGCAGAGGTGACCTCGATCTTGTGGGGTGACGTGTCTCGCAGCCATTTATCCGGTCGCTGTACTTCGCGAAGGAACCAAGGGTGTCGCTGGAGAGGTACGTAAGTTTGACACTCTGGTTGGGTAGTTAAAGTGTACGGACCTTCACCTCTGCTAAAGTTATGCGAAGGGCCGGATCTTTAGTCAGGAAGTGGTCTAGAAGGTGGATCACCATTCCCCCCTCTGAATCCTCGTCTGTAGGGTGCCGCCCACCCGTTGGGATACAGTCGAAGCCCATCGTCTCCGGGACAGTCCAGTCGTCATTGCAGATAGCGTTGTACATGCTGAATTCGGAGTTGATGATGGGATCGGGGTGAAAGGGCTTTTCACCAAAGAGAAGGCAATAGAGAGTGGCACCGAGCGCCCATATATCAATAGCCTTGGTGATTTCGGGGCGAGGGTCGGAAGGTTCATACCCATATGTGTGCTCGTATACGACTTCTGGGGCCAGAAAGGAAGGCGTACCGGCCCGTTTGCTGAGATCAGAGTCCTCGAGGAGGATGGGATCAGTGGGGTCATCGGCAGTAGCACTAGCACCGGCTGCTGCGAGTCGCTGCGCGTAAGAGAAGTGGGAGACACCGAAATCAGCAATTTTGACATGACTACGGTCTGCCGTCCACAGCAAGTTGGCCGGCTTGATGTCACGGTGGATTATTCCTTGGAAATGGACTAGATTCAAATACGTTATAGACGTGCAATCAATGATAGTTCTGTGCACCTTACGATATTCTAAACCAAGGATGGCATCACGCATTATGCGATTTGATTGGAGAACGGTGAGGATGGGTTGGCTGTCCGTGTTCTTCCATTTCACCTCGCCCCCTCCAAGGTACTCCATTACTAGGAACGGAGAAGTAAGTGATTAGGCCGCTTTGACGGCATGAGAAGCGCTGCCAAGGCACGCCATTTCACGCATGTCATATGGAGAGCACGTACCCATGTATATTTTGTCCCTCAGCCGGTCGTCTATGACTTCTATGAGCCGCACGACATGGGCGTGGCGGCACTTTTTCATGATAGCTATTTCTCTGCGAATTTTGGCTTCGGTGGTGCTCAATTTGTCGCCTACGGACAAGTGAGGTGACGTTGGCAGGGGCGTCCTGCGCAACAGTTTCCACTGCTCCTCGCGTGGATTATTGCGCCTAACCGATTTCATAGCCTTCGCCGCCAAAGAGTCATGATGAGCAGAACGAGTTCACTGGAAATGGCGACTCACCACTAGCTGCCTCACCACTAGGTCACCCCCGCCCCTGTTCCTGTCCCCCGACCGCTGCACCACTTCCTCGCATAAATACACTTTCCCATGTTGTCCCACGCCGATTTTGTTGCGTCGCACGTACTGGTTGAGCATTGGCAATTTATCGTTTGCGTAGCCCACCTGGAGGTGGGGAGTCGTTCGTACATCGCCTGGCGGGTCGAAGATGGGTTCTGGGGGAGAGTCGGAGGGCACCATAGCAAGGTCTGCACGCGCCGGCATCAAGTTCGAATTGACATATGAGAATAATATACAATCGACAGGGAGCTCAGTCAAGGTGCATCTCAAGCAGGAGCCTTTTGAAGATGATCGTCTTCTGAAATTGCTTCTACGGTCCCCCAACCACCCTGTCATTTCTCACACATCCCAATAAGGAAATAAATATATTCATTCATTTACAGCGACCCTGCGCGACTGACTCCTTCAACGAGGACAGGTGCATTTGTCTTCCTCTTTCACATCTTTCATCGCCTACAGCAGATCAAATCAGCCTGCGTGTCAACAAATCATTCAGATACATCATCCCGCGTCGCGATCATTGCTTCGAGGTCGTGAATGACATAAAGCAGTGACCCAAGCGCCTGTGGCTGCCTTTGATGGGGAAACAACGCCTTGAAACGAGGGTGCAAATATGCGAGTACTTACCGACGCGATGTGTTGGCCGCAGCCCTGTATGAATAAGTAGGCAGATCAATAAAAGGGAAAGACGAGGCAAATGTCGATCACTAAGGAAACAGATCTCACCGCCCAAGTGGTTTTCCCGCATTGACTACATTGGACAAGGTAGCAGGCGTCCACCGGGATAGCAAGCGAAATAGGAGAAGCAAGCACTGGATATAGAGCTAGATTAGTTCCAGCCAGGCACGGCTCTCAGGACGGTGGAAAGCCTACTCGGAGCGACTTTGAAGTACTAGTGTGTGATTAGAATTCAAGATCGCCCACCTACGACTTACTTTTATACGACTCCTGCCCAGTCGTACCGATCGGGTTAGAACCTCGGTCACGATGGCTGATTTGGAAGACGTAGCACGTGGAGCCTCATATTGTGAGTCAGCCGTACCGTGCAATGCTCTTATCGGAGGAAGTAATGTAGTGATGATCTGGCCATCTCATCAACCGTCAAGTCGGGCATCGGGAGGTAAGAAGTTTGAAACGCAGAGAGGGATGATGGCGGTCCGCCGCCGACTCACAAATCCGGTACTGCTCTATAGAGCAGGTGTTTTGCAGGTGCCGCAGCTAGATGATCAATTTCTATTGATTGTATGGGGTCACAAACGGTGAACCGCTGTGATTTTTACACAGTGGATAGCTTTGCAGCCCGATCCTCGAGAATAACCTCGCGGAGCCTTCTGATCGCTTCGTTCACTTCCTCTTCACCTGTTAAACTGAAGGCAGCTCTGACGTATGCTGTTTTCCTACCATTCGGCAAGAACGCCGTCCCAGGCAGAGCTAGAACACCCCGTTCGAGTGCTTTCGTCCGAATTATACTTTCGGAATCTCCAGCTCCATCCTGCTCGTTGAGGAGTAGCTTAAACCTGTTGATCAAGAAGGCACGGATTAGGCACGTGCGTCCCAAGGAACGGTTGATTGCTGTACCAGAAGAACATCCCAGCTTGCGGTGAGCTCCATTCGGCAAGACCAGAGAGATGCTTCTGAAGGGCGGTTTCAAAAACGTCTCGCTTGTGCCGATAGAAAGCCGCCACATTCCTCGTATGGGTGATAAAGCCCTCATAACCCCATGATTCCAGGAGCGTGTGTATTATTACCTGGGTCAGAGTAGAAGTCTGCAAGTTGGATGTCGAGGTCTGCAAAGATAGCAAGCCAGAAGAGGGTTGGTTATCGTATGGGTTGAGAGGTAGAAACACACACATGTCGATCAATGGCATTAAGGAGGGGAGCGGGACCAGAAGCGAAGCCGATTCGGATGCCAGCAGAAAGGATTTTGGACAGACTGTCGAAACGTAAGACACGTCCCGCTTCGGGCTCTTCTAACTCCAAAGCGAAGTACGACGGGGGGCGCGGCGCGTCTCCATAATACAAGTAGAAGTAGGGGTCATCTGGAGGGACAAGTGTTTCACGTCAGGTACTTGTGGAATTGGGGTGTGAATGGGAATGCGAAAGAAGGTCTTACCCTCCAGAATAAGGAAATTGTGCTCCCTCGACAGGGCCAGGACCTCTTTACGACGCTCAAGTGTAGCTGTCATACCCGTAGGGTTGCACCCATACTGTGTGAAGACATGCGATCAATCGTGTGGACGCTACTGCGGGCATGAATGAAGAAGCCGGACATACAGGGACGCTGTACAGAACTTTGGGCTTGAGTTTCCCAGATGGCCAGTTCTCCAGGATCGACCGGAGGGAACTTGCGCAAATTCCGTGTGCATCTGTTTCTACCTCTATAATGAAATAAAAACATATGAGAGCCGATGGCAGTTGATATAATAAAAAGGACGAACCTATCTGCTCGCAATTCAGACTTTGGAACATGGGTATCACGCCACTAGGTTGACAGGTATAAAGCCTGTGAGAAACCAATGTATATCTGAGAGAACTTACGCATAAACGGGCGATTCGACCAGGACAGGATCCCCCGGGTTGACCAAAGCTGCTACCGCCTATCAAATGCAGGAGAGGTTAGACATTTGGACAAGCCGAATATGGCCGCTTTGGTCTCGACCTTGAAGATAAGATCTTGCGATCCGGCGCCAACGCTGACCCTCCATCCCTCGCCTCGCTTTCTACCGTGCTGCGCCTCTTGGAGCCCATAAATCCATTCAAGCAATCCATGCAGCCCACTGGTGTCGCCATATTGCAACCCTTGAGCGAGAGCGGGTCCATCGATTGTAAGCGCTGTGTCCCTGTCGGGATTAAGGGGATCCTGAGCGGTAAAGCTGAAGGACGTGAATGGAAAGGTTGTCGCGTTTGGCTTTCCCGCGAGGAACGATATGAGCCCCGGTCGCGATTCCAAAGGAAACAAACTACGAACTATACGGGATATCCAGTCTGCGCACTGCAGCAATGATTGGACTCACTGGGGCTGGGCTTCCTGTTCTTCGCGATGTCTGATAGAAAGGAGGTGTAGAAAGCATCAGGTAAGTATTTTACGCCATCACTACTCATGAGAGGCTGAGAGCCGTTTATCTCCCCCGAATCTGCCTGTTATCAGGTAGGCTGTTAGTATAAATGTTGTTTGGTTGCGGTGATGGAGCTCGGTCAAACCAGTACTTTCCTTAATCATGATTGTCGAAAGTGCCACCCTTCGAGAAAAAGGTGTTCTGGGGTGGGAGAGAGACTTTCGAAGAGTTTAGATAGTGATCGTGATCAATGAGTCAGACTCAAGTCGAGTCAGGCTGGCGTCAGCTGAATTACAAATTTCGTCACGTAGGAAATAATTATTTCCCTCAGGGATGCTGCATACCGACGCCTAAGTTACTTACTAGATAATTTTATACATTCATGTTTATATCACCTAGTGTGGAATAAGCAGCGCGAAGCGCCGAGGAGAGAGGCACTGCCAGCGTTGGGAACCGTACCTGTGGTCTAGAATCAGAACCCTCATTGCGCGCCCAGTCAGTGCTTTCATGACGTCGCTGAGACGGCGCCGGAGGGCGTCGCGCGACGTATGTCCTGGCCAATGGTGGCTAACGTTCAGACATTTATAGTCTCCGCTCTCCCTCATTGTTCCCAAGGACCCCGACCCATCAAGATTCAGCAGATACCAGTAAATACCCCGGATTGGGCGTAGCTGCAAAGACACCGAACGTACTAGATGTCTTTATCAGAAGGTCGCCGGAGAAACATATGTAGACTAGAAATCAGAAAGGTTTGTTATCCAGAAAGCAAGTGGAGACTCACGCGCCGAACACGTAAAATTCCAGGGCAGCACCAGCTCGCCAGAGATGGTACTTAGATGGTGACGCGGCTGGGTGCTATTAGCCCGGGCCCCAGCAGAGAGAAGCAACCAGGAAGAGCTTCATATCATTTCGGGACTTCGCCTCCCTTGGTCGCTGTTGGATGGAGCATTTAGATCAGGATGGTTCGCCTTCTTCAGGAATATCTTTGGCATCGTATTGAGTGTCAAGGCAGTGTTCACGCGACTCGGGAGTCAGGCGAGGACGCGGTCAAAAGGCAACAGGGGCTGCTTACGTAAGAGGCGCGGGAACCCGCCCGCGCGCTCCGCCGCCTACCTTCCACAGTACCCTCACCGCCTCATCGACAACCACTTTCACAATGGGTTGGGCACCCTGGCACACCCAATGTCTCGTATTTCTCTACCTATCCTCGGCGTTCGTCCAGGCAGCGCGCAACACGAGCTCTCTCGACTTCTCATTAGCCCAAGACGCCTTATTGCCTCCAGGTAACGATTCCAGACTGCAATTTATCTCAGCCCTAACGAACCTGACAGGGCGCTGTCCTCCATGCTTCAACTGCTTGCTTCCGCGGTTCACCTGTGGTCAATACGGGAACTGCGACCCATATGATGGGCAATGCAAATGCCCCCCTGGGTGGGGTGGTATAGATTGCTTAGTTCCCCGTGAGTACAAGCCTCTCTTCTGCGTGTGCACCAGCTCTAAGTACCTCAGAATGCGACTCGCTTGCCGATGGCGAGCAGAGACGTCTCCGTGAAGAAGGCAAACCATGTGACTGCAAGGATGGATGGGGCGGGATCAATTGCAATGGTGAGTAGGCGAGTGCTTATTGTTCACGCAGTATCTGACATTACAAGTCTGCGAGGCCGACACGGCGTGCAAGAACTTCCCTCTCGCCGGCGGTATCGCTGAATTACTGGGAATAAGCTCCTCGGATAGCGACGACGAGCCAGCGGAGGAAGACAACGGCGGTATGGTCTGCTACACAGGAGGCGAGACGGTGTTTCAGAACCACCAAATGTGCGATGTAACAAGTGAGTGTCCGTCCTCTGCCGGCGACGCGGGTTGCCTAACATCTACCAGACCGCAAGATCCTCGATATGCTGCCTGGGCGCCCGCCCCAGGTTACCTTTTCGTGCACTATGCCCCCCGAAGACTCGCTTGCCGCCGCTATGTCCAATGCGCTCGCGTCGCCCTCGAACGGAACATGTGCCTTCCAATTCTGGACTGCGCAGGTCGAGTCGTTCTACTGCGCGCTGGAAGGGTGCGACTCGGAACGCATCGTGGACTACGATCGCAACACGACCCGCTACGCATGCGAGAAGATCAAATGCAGATGTGTTCCCGGCCGGTTCATATGTGGGGAGGACGGCAGCGTTGGTGTGTAGTTCCGCACAGCTAGTTGATGCGTCAATGACCCTCGACTGTAGATATCTCTGACTTCTTGACGGAGGAGATCAAAGGGCCCGCGACGTTCTCGTGCTTGGCGACGTCGGGTGTCAATGGCACGAGTACGGACTCGACGTCCGACTGCAAGTTCGAGGAGCCGGCGATGAATCAGCTTATCAACGACATCTTTGGTGATGGGTACATATCGCTCAAGTGCCACGGCGGGGAATGCCTGCACTATTCGCTGGTCCCCGGCTTCGTTGTGCGTCCAAACTTCTAGACTGTTGGCTCTGATTTGTTTGATCCACCTCTCTCCTAGCGACCTCCAAAGCCGGACAACACCCTATGGGTTGCGCTCAGCTCAGCTGGGGCTTGTTTCGTCGTCATCCTCGCTTCCGGCGTGCTCTGGTACGCAGGCCGACCGAACCCTGGGTCTGACTTTGGGAAGATTCGTCTCCCAGAGAACGAGGCAGCGAAACTGATGGCGGAACATGTTCCCGCGTCGCTCTACTTCAGCAACATCTCATATTGGCTTCCCTCTCCCACCGGGATGACGACGCCCAGCTCCGCCGATGCCCCCAGAATCCTCGACAATATCTCCGGATGCGTGAACCCAGGGCAGGTCATGGCGATAATGGGCGCCTCCGGTGCAGGGAAGTCCACGCTACTCGACATTCTTGCGCGGAAGTACAAGCTTGGGACGTCGGCTGGGGCCACGCTTGTCAACGGGCGCGTCGTCAAGGACTCGGAATTCCGCTCTGTTGCGGGCTTCGTGGATCAGGAGGACACACTGATGAGTACGTTGACGGTGTATGAGACCGTTTTGTATAGCGCGCTGTTGCGACTTCCCCGCGAGATGAGCGAGGAGGGGAAGAAGTTTAGGGTGCTGGAAACACTGGGAGAACTCGGTATTCTGGGCATTAAGGACAAGAGGATTGGCGCGTCTGGCAGACGGGGGATTAGCGGCGGAGAGAAGAGGCGTGTGTCTATTGCGTGTGAGCTTGTGACGAGCCCAAGCATCCTCTTCTTGGATGAACCTACCAGTGGTATGTGTTTTCGTTAGGTGCATCAATTACACCAACTAATTTCGCGCTTACAGGTTTGGACGCCTACAATGCTTACAACGTCGTTGAATCACTCGTCTCCTTGGCACGCAACTACCAGCGGACTGTGGTCTTCACAATCCATCAACCCCGAAGCAACATCGTCGCCCTATTCGATCAACTCCTGCTTCTCGCCCAAGGGAAGATGGTCTACTCCGGCGAGCTTTCCAAATGCCAGGAATATTTTGAAACTGTAGGATGCAAGTGCCCTCCCGGGTTCAACATCGCTGATTATCTCAGTAAGTCACGCAGTTACGATGAGATAGTTATACTGAAATGTCCGTTGCGTAGTTGATCTGACTATGCACGCTGGCATGGACATCAACGCCAGTCGCGGCATCAGCCCGACCGCGACCTTTATGCCTACCGCCGCCGATGTGGCCTCCAACATCGCTGATGAAGAGCGCGGTCTCCTGCCTGACTCACCACCCCCACGAGCCTCAGAGGACACCGATCAAACCGAATCCAATAACTCTGGCGAAGCATCGACTCAAGTTGGCGGCGCGAGCGAGGGGGCCGCGCAGTATATCAAACGCAAGGCCTCGCAGATCCTGACGTCCGCTGCATCTAGCCTGCGGAGCGGCCGAGGGGGCGACAGGGGCGAAAGAACTTTGGCGCCGAGATTGCAGGCGTTGGTGGACGCGTACCAGCAGAGCGCGATCGCCGGCGAAATCAAGGCGGCTGGCGAGGAGCTGCAGCGCAACGCGACTGGTGGTCGTACGCCCGCCCGAGATGGAGAAGGAAATGGTCCGACCGCTGAACTTCCTGATGTCGCGCTGGAGACGTCTTTGCTCAGGGGGCGCAAGCGCGCCAGTTGGCTCACGCAGTTCAGGATTCTTAGTGGAAGGGCGTTCAAGAACCTGTACAGAGACCCGGCGCTCCTCACTGCCCACTATTTGAGTTCTATTGCCCTTGCGTGTAAGGAATATTGGTGTTCTACCTTGCTACTTGATGCTGATCTTTTTCTCAGTGGTATGCGGCCTATTCTTCCACAATGTGACGTAGGTTCTTTCATTGCTCCCCTCTGTTGTCATTTGCTAACTTTCTACAGAAACGATATCGCCGGGTTCCAGAATCGTCTTGGTGCGTGGTGTGTTTTTCGATCATACACCTTATTGATTTCGTCAAATGCAGGCATCTTTTTCTTTACGTTGGCCCTTTTTGGTTTCTCCTGTCTGTCCAGCTTGGGCCTATTCGCTAGCGAACGAATCTTATTTATGCGCGAGAGGTATGGAAATCAACTCCGTTGTATCACAGTGTACTAAAGACGTCTCAGAGCCAACGGATACTACTCATCTTTCACCTATTTCTCCTCAAAGGTGCGCGTTACAACTAATCAGCAGATGGGCCAATGTCCTGACCTAACTTCAAGGTCCTCTTCGATATTCTCCCTCTCCGAGTGGTCCCCCCGTTGATGTTCGGAGCTATTGTATACGGCCTCGTTGGGCTTGTACCCACCGTAGCCGGATTTTGGAAGTTCATGCTGACGCTGGTGCTGTTTAATTTGTCGACCGCCAGTGTTGTGCTATGGCTCTCGATTGCCTTCGATAGTATCAGCGTCGCCAGCTTGGTCGGGACTTTAGTCATGCTTTTCAAGTGCGTGTACTCTGTCTTTACTATCCAACTCCCAGTTCGCTAACCTCATTGCCGCTCAGCCTTCTGTTTACTGGCTTGCTGATCAATCGGGAGAGCGTTTCCCCTTGGTTACAGTGGCTACACACTATCTCGTTCTTCCATGCTGCCTTCGAAGCACTCGCTGTGAATGAACTGAGATACTTGCAACTCAAAGAGATTAAGGTTCGTCTACTCACACCCCTCTCGTCTGACACTCAATGACACCGATATCTCTTTCAGTATGGTGTAGAACTAGATGTCCCTGCGGCAACTATCCTTTCGATCTTCGGCCTTCGTGCTCAGGTACGTACAGCAAGTCCTTGCTCTTCGACATCTTTTGAGCTGACATGATGGCACCCCTGTCTTCTCAGTCCTTCTGGTGGCCTAACATATCGCTGCTGGTCATATTCTTCGCCAGTTTCACTATTGCAAGTTACATTACACTCCATTATTATGTCAAGGAAAAGCGGTAGCAGAAGCCATGTACATGTCGTCAAGTTTCAATATACACACGGTATACATCTTGGAACTCGTTACGCTCGGGAAGAGAGGGGGCTATAGGAGCTCTCACGTGACATATCAGGAGTCCGACCATTCATCCATGAATCATAGTAGACCACCCCCTCTTCCCTCCTCATACCTTCCCTGACTCTGTCTATCAACAATGAACTCCCACGGTTACAAGTACGCTTTCTATTCACCCTGATCTTGGACGTGGTCTTAGTACCTACTGATGGCACCCTTCCGAATATTCAGGGTATCCAGACATAAGGGGCGTTTCTACACCGAATTCTTGCCTTCCTCTGCGCACCTACCTGGTCATGGGCTAGACATCGCGCGTTCTATTCCACAGGACTCAAGCGAATACGCACATTGGCTTCACGGTCAGCGCGAGTACCTAGATAAAGTTGCGGATGAAGTGCAGACCCAGGACGGGAAGCTCAGGCATTCCTCACTCACCATTTCTTCCGTGAAACCACTCGATGGGGTCGTTGAGCACATCTACGAGATTGACTATGATAGTGAGACTTTTTGCTACGGAGGATTCCCTATGTTTCGCCTGGATTCCATGCCGTCGGAGAGTGTATTCGTATCTTATTTCGATACGGACAGCTTCAAACACCCGATCCCCAGCACAATCGTGCCTAAAGAGAACCTCTACCGCATCAGCGAGCCACTGCCTCCCAAGCAGGACGACATCGACTTATATAAACTTTACCAAGAGCCAACGGGGAACTATATGGCCTTACAGGAGACTTTGCGGCGATACAGCAGTCTCAGCGACGCGCAAGACGTTCGAATTCGATTATTCGAAATCATCGTTAGAGCCTTCATGTCGGATAAACTGTTTCATTCCTATATGTGCTGCTCCATGCTCTCCTCCAGCGACAACGATGGTAGCCATGCATGCGTTCCGGAGTTCTTAGAAGAGGCAGGACTCAAGCTACTGCTGGTGGCATTCCTACCGATGCATTTCGGGGGACTCTCCAGCGCCATACACGCCAAGGCTGAACGGGGTTCCGAGTCCAACTCCTCCGAAACTGGATATTTATGGATACACCGCACCCTGTGCGCGAAAGCGGCTATTCATCTCCAAGATGAGCCCACGTTACGAGGATCCGTTGGCGGGTTGGTTAGACATATACGCAACACCGGCAAGCAGGGCGTGGTGTATGGTGTACTGTGTTCGCTGTGGCAGGTAGTTATCGTCCGAGTGGACATGTCGAACGAGGGTGAAGGCAGCGTCGAGCATACTCCCGCGCTGGACTTCCTCCCGCCTCGACGTCTGCAAGGTCCTTGGGCCTCTGGGCTGACGATGCTCATGCAGCTTTCTTTCCACCTCGAACGCTCCATCTTCGACGACCTTGACATCGTGGATCCCTCTGCGCCGAGTCCACCTCCCACTCCGTGCCCCCAGACGTTACTAGACAAACTCCCAACGGAACTTCTCATGGAAATCTGCAGCTATCTCCCCTCCCTCCTCCTCAGCCAAGACGCCCTCATCGCCTTTGGGAAATTAAACAGCGAAATGGAAGCCTTCGTTGCGCCCATAGTGTTCCGCCCGTCGGTTGCCTATTGCTCCCTCCGATCCATAGCGGAGAGGACGACAGGTGCTGATAGGGAGAGGTGGGAGAGAACTGGAGAGGCGTTCACGGAGGATCGCTTTATACCTCGCCTCACTTATGGGCGTCCACCAGGGATATTGGTCACAACCGATGGTGGGTGTGGGAGTTATGTGCGCGTTTTTGAAATACAGGGGGTTGGGTTGCTGAAATTGCAGGCCATAACCGCGTCGGTTGCGGTTGTAGCTTTGGGGAGCTAGGCGGACCGTGTGTAGCCTGCTGTAGAGCTCGTAAGAAGGCATCCGTATTCTATTTCACATCTGATGACAGTACATGTTGCACTGTGTGTTTATGAGCATCCTCGACTTGCAGGTCTCGACGTCCATGAAGCAAAAGGAGCACTGGTCATGTTGGCACACCCCCGCAGACTCGTTGAGCAGATCTCTTCTCTTGTGCGGCAGGGGCTCTCCTAAACGCCTTCTTACCAAATGCGCAATACCCAATACGCAAATCAATAGAGGGAAATACATGTAATACTAGAGGTTTTATACATCGGTGGTAGTAACATACGGATATTCTTTATCGGCGGAAGATATGAGGAGATGAGAACCGTCGTCAGTTTCGCATGGCTCACGTAGCTATGGGACACTTACCGCTCAACGGTTTGTTTTCGCGCTCTTTGGCATTTGTTTCACTTGCACTTTCAGTTTCAGTTTAATGATTACTTCCTTCTCGACAAGGGTCAGCCGTCAGGCTTGAATACTAATCATGAAATACGCACCAGGATTGGCCCTCGACAACCGGAATCGAGTGTGAATTTGGGCCCTCCTCGCTGGGGAGATTGGAGATGCTCTCGGTGGAGTGGCTTCCACTATTTCTGCAAGCGGCCTGCCTCCGACTTGTTTCTGTAGCGCTGAGATAATCTCGTCTTGCCAGACTACAAGATAGACGAAAGGGAGAAATCAGTGTGATGTATCCCTGGTGGTTCGAGTTACTGGCTCGGAAAAGCGAGTACTCACTCCATCCACGAGAACGCGGATGCTGATGTTGCCAATTGCACCCGTCACATGTCCAGAAGAACCTGTATCACATATAATCAGCATCACAACCGTCAGCACACTATCCTATGCTATCTGTGGGCTGGGGATAGGGGGATTTTGACATACCGGTAGAGGTTCTGAGTCGTGGTACTTAGAAACTTGACAGCGAGTCTGTTGTGTATACAGTATACTTCGCCCTCCGTGGACACCCAGGTGCGCCTCGCCGGTATGCTCAGGAAGGCTGGTGGAGCTGACATGGCAGGTTTTAGGAGAAGATTTCCGTTGAGCGCTAACTTATGAAGCTTCGTACCATAGGCCAAAATATTAATGTTACCTATAGTTCGTTTTATAACATATTCATTGTAGCGCAAGTATGCACCCGTCGCCTCCAAGCCTTGTGAAGAACTCCATTATGTAGCAAAGTAGAGTCTTTCGTTGGTTTGGTTTCGCTCGTTCTTCATCGCATTTCTCGTTCTGATATACTTACTCGGGATCGTCCTAGTGGTGACTGACCGTGGGAATATTGAGTCCATCGTAGTCTCGAGCACTATTACCAGGTCACCTTCGTTCTTCTCTGATGTCCTCAGCATTTGAAAAATGGCGCCAACGTCTGTCTGACATGACAGGTCTCGGGGGAGACCAGACAAAACTCCATTGTCAAGGCTGCGAGCAGTGGAAATCCCATTTATTGCAGTACAGTGCGTCGTTGTCTAGAATTTGAAACTAATCGACACGACGCTGACTCGCATTCGCGCTCGCAGGCCCCTCGGTGCTCTTCCTCATGAAACACTTGAAGCTCTCCGGCTGCGCCGTACCCCCAGAAAACATAATTTGCGCGCCCTGCGATCCCTCCGCCGCCGCCGCCTCTTCAACTCCCCGCTCGGGCGGCTTCTCCCCCACCTCTGGTGCCATTCTCCTCTGCGCTGGCTCCTTCTTCTCTAGATCACACATGGAACAAACCCTCACCCACGAACTCGTCCACCTCTACGACCACTGCCTCTTCAAAGTCGATTGGGGGAACCTACGGCACCACGCGTGCAGCGAGATACGCGCGAACAGTTTGAGTGGGGATTGCAAATGGACGAGGGAGGTGCGGAGAGGGGTGGTCAGGTTCTCCAAGCAGCATCAGGAGTGTGTGAGGCGGAGGGCGGTGTTGTCTGTCACGTCCAACGCTGCGTGCCCGAATAAGGAGGCGGCTGAACGCGCTGTTAATGAAGTTTGGGATAGCTGCTTTGCGGATACGAGGCCTTTTGATGAAGTGCGTGTTCAAGCTACGCTCAATGGGATGGTATTTCTGACACGTTCTCTGCAGATATACTAACCTTTTTTCGTCTTTGACGCGCGATCACCGTGGCCGTATCGCTAGTTGTTTGCAGCCGCTAGAATTTACATGGTATTGGGACATCGCGGGGGTCATGTTTTGGGAGTTGTCTGGAGACTGACAGGCGTCGTATCTAGCGGTGGGATGGAGCGGCAAGAAGATAGCGAGATATGGATGCATTGGAAATACAAGGCTATCTTCCTTCAACCCTCGTAGTACGGGCCGTGGATTTATTTCACCAGGTTGTGCAGGAGCTCAGTACGGCGAATCATAGGACTGTCACATCGGAATAGGAGGGCTTGCCCTCAGAATTCAGGACGGACACTCAGGGTAAGGCGATTATGATCCCAACACCTTAGCTCAAGATTCCCCTTTGGTTAGCTCAAGATTTCCTTCGCTACCCTCCCCTCCCCGTCCATATTACACTGCCAATGTCGACGGCAGTGGCGCAGAACAGAGTACTGACGAATTTACGCTGAATTTATGTGATACAGTAGGTACTTCTGGAAATGCAATGCATGTAACAGGCAACACCAACACCCGCATTCTCGTCGACGGAGTAAACTGGCAACTACTGAGATACCCACATATTGTACCTTCGACCACCTTTGCAGTATGGCAAGATGAGGTTATCTCAGCGATACGGAAACAAGCTAGAGGCAACCTGTTCGCAGAAATCGTAGAAGCCGTCCCGCTGTCTCGAGTCACCTCAGCGAGAGCGCAAACTCATGCTCTGTTCAGGCTAATACGAGACAATTCCTGTTTCACCCCTTATTTCTGCGGCTGAGATGTGCGGTGGAGTTGACCATGTCGAGCAGGAAGCAATCATTAAGACGAAAGGGAGAGAAATGCCAGAAATTTCGTTATGTGGTAAGTAAGCCACGGGTACGTGAGCCATCCCAGACCGACGGGCCGACATTCTCTCGTTTAGCAAGCTCCGTCATCCATTCAGTTGGAAGCTTGCCACTTGGGGGAGAGGACATCAGTACGGCCGTTGATTCAGACACTATTGATCCTACGTTCCACATGTTCCACATGTTCCACATGATTCATCATCGCGGCCGCCCGATGCAAACTAAGTCTCAGTTTCTGGAGTCTTACGGTTATTATATCTGTACTACAGGAAGAGGACAACAAACACTGACAGAACACTTTCTGCCTCCCAAATATCCAGACCGCAACAGACCTGTGGACTAGTCTCCGATCAAGTCTATATCGGGACTCTATTAAGCATGAGGCTCACTGTACTAATTCGGTTGTATTGCCCTACCAAGTATCAGATGTTTTGATTCCAGAAATGATTGTCCCAAATATGACTAGTGCGTTCTTTTGTATTTCTTGTTGATCCTCGGAATAACCCTTGCCAGTGGGCGCGCACTACGCGCATGTCAAGCTGTTCAGTCCTGAGGAAGCACTTGGGTCGTCGCATCCCGCCACATACTGCGCTCGTCGGTGAACAGCCATGCTCTACAGCTACCGATGTTCGAATCAGATGTGGCGGCGGTTCAGAGACGCGGACGAAGAGCAACTAACAGAGTCATTCACAAAGACGGTCGCGGCTGTCCGGCAAGATGCGTCCGCTCTTGTGCGTCGCGATCCACATTGGAGGTCAGCGAACGAACCTGAAGCTCGAATTTAGCCCCATACTGGCCCCGACACATGCCCACCATGGCACGATTCGGGCCCCTGTTGATCACGCTCGTTATTATCGCGCCCACAGTGTACCACAACTTCCTGACGACCTCCCGATACGTATCAAAGCAATTATTCCAACAACAAAAGTGCCATTTTCTTTAAGAGTTCGCGATGATTCTCGGGAAAGCTGTTGACGCTCCCCCACAGCCCCCAAGAGGCAAACTTACACGACGACTCACCAATGTACTGCGATGCAGATGCCACTCCGACGTGCTACTTCGACGCCTTCGATGATAGCTCTACAATCTCGAAAAGGCAAGTCATTCTGCGGTTATAGAGGCGTGCGCCAGGAGCTGATTGGAATATTGCTACCTCTCAACTTACAGCGAGATATCTACACCCCGTTCAACACCGATGGCTTTCCGCGAAATCTCTCCAGGATACTCAGAAAACATCTACACCATCGATCCGCGGATCATCAGCAGCAGCAACGCCAACACCCCGCCTCCACCGGACGCATATGTGTCCACCACCGAGAAAGAGCAGCAGAAATCGGTTTGGGATGAAGACAGCCAGTATCCCGATTTCTTCACCGTTACACCTTCAATGGATGCGATCTTGGACTCGTTTTCTGCGCAATCCGCCTTGTGGTTGGAGGCGCCGCCTACGATCCCGTCGAGTTCACAGTTCGCCACATTCCTGACTGATGCTGGTGCATTACCCAACCCCCACACGCTACGGGGCCCTTGCTATACGCCGAGTATGGGTGCCGAAGCATCAACCTCCCAATTGCCGCAACAAAGTCCCTCACCGATGCCTTTGTCCCAAGGTACTAGCCGAACGATGTGGCCTTTGACTGCTTCTCCCCAGCCGTCAAGTAGTTGGCAGGAACCACCACACCATTACCTGGAACCTCCGCAACCCGTCAACACACAGTTGGCTACTCAAGAAACAACATTGCTGGCTCGGCGCGTTGGTACGCCTCGTATTGGGCACAATAGTTCGCTCCGCAGAGACAGTTTGTTATCGCCTCCTCCGTTTGTGCGCCGATCCGCTCGCCCTAAAGCAAGGGTCAATTACAGCTACGACCCCCTGCCTGCCGAAGCCATATGGGAAGAAGAAAAGTCTCATCGAGCCTACCACAAACACTCATCCACCTTTGACCCATCAGCGAAGGACACGAAGAACAAGAGACTGCGGGACGCACAATACACGCCGTCGGACGGCCCACGCGAAGTCTCCGTGTGCAGCGAAGGCGAATGCGCAAACCCAGAAAGGAAGCCGATGACGTTCACTCGCAAGGCTGATCTTATGCGGCATAAAAGATCGGTCCACGATGCGATAAAACGGTTCCGTTGTGAGGGGTGCGAGAAGCCGTTCCCCAGACATGACGCTTTGACTCGCCATCAGAGGTCGTGTCGGAAATTGCGAGAAAGGCTTGAAGACTCGGAATCCGTCGTCGGGTCATGACGCGAATGGCAGCTACCTTTCTCGTCCCATTCCCATCTACCAGTCTATCCGCCTATCTGTCCATTTATCTGTACCATATTAATTGCAATCCCCGGCAGGGTTCCGAGTACCTTTATCTATGTAGTTGTTCGTATGACGAACATCCATACCCTTTCCTCTGAAGTTCCGTGTCAACTCGGACTGTGACTCCGTGTCATAGCATCATCTGTATCTGTAATCCACACATACGTATACCTGTCCTAGTATCGGTCATTAGACGGCCTCTGAAGACCCGACACCATCAATCTACGTTCCCCACGAATTACAATATTCAAATAAAACAAATACCCACAACTCTGGAGTGATACTGCCACATATCCTGATAACCAACTGGAGAAATTCATAGCCACACGGGAAGATCAACAATAAGTGTACTCGGATCTGGGATTTTTGACAGACGTTGAGGCAATTACGCTGCAAGTAAAACTTTGGGGATGAATATCCACAATACAACTACATGGGGAGGATGCACGAAGCCGACTTGCAAACAACCTGACTGTAGGTGGTTGGAAATGGAGTGCCGTCAGAGGTCAATGTTCAGTAGTTACTTAAAATAAATATGACCGGAGTTCCGTACCGTGCCTGCACTGTCTTCTGGATCGTTGGGCGAGTTCTGAACCACTTAAGTGATATGTAGCACGGAAGTAGACGCAGATGTCCTCCGAAAGCTGTCGTAATCTACTACTGCCATTCCAGAGCGGCGGACTAATTAAGGATGAGAACCACATGTCCTGTTTCACTATTCCTGGAATGATACGCACCGTGAACATGAGGGCCTGCCACGCCTGCGGCACGAGGAGTACGATGGTGGCGCCGAGGATGCCTTCAGATTAACTTGATGCTGTTGAGGAGTCGAAAGTGGTACTTTTCTATTCGGAAAGAGGTCGGAGAACGCTGCACGATTCCTTTTTCCCATTACCGTACACCAAGTCCAAGCGACATTCCATGCACGTCGGCGGTCTGGCAGATCACTGATGCAAGTCGCATTGGCCTCTTTTGGGTTACGTTCGAGTCATTTGAAGCCTTGGGCATAGCCTAGTACTGACGGGTGGAGGAGAGTACCTGGAATTAGTAAATCGATAGTAAATTTAAATGAAGTCTCCCGTCTTCCCAGTGGGCGTTAGCGCTCAACAGTATATGTTGTTAAGGGCGCTTAACAGCAAGGCTGTGCAATACCACGACCCATCCTTAACTCATCCTCGTCCACTTCCTGCATGCCACTGCGATATAAACGTATGTTTGGAACTCAGAGTCCATCTGAACTCTGCCCTATAGAAAAATTACTCCAACATGTCGCGATCCAGAAGCACCGACGATATTAGCTCAAGCACTGGCATCAGCATCGTAGTCGACCGTGACGGAGACGAGGAGGTCCCCATCTCGAGCTTGTACGTCCATATACTACCTCATCAAGGACAATGTCCACGAAGCTTACTTTCCCCGGTCTCAGAGACTCCCAGTTTCTGAACGCTGGTTTCCCCGGTGTCGGATCGGGGGCGCCTTCCTTTCGCTTGGACCCAGGTCTCGTCGCCACGTTTCCCGGTGAATACCTATACGATGAATGCAAACCCGTACGGCACACTTACGATTCTCACTGCTTAGACCCCCCAACAAGTGCTGCTTGGCTGGATGGCGTCGGCACCATTCTATCCGAACAGCGGGACCATGACTACTTTACCAACCGTCTTCACCAACCTAGTCCGGAACCTGACCGCTACCCCCCTTCTCCTCTGCTTCCATACGCAGGCGAAGAATACTTCCTCAATTCACCGCTGGTCCCATCATTCAACAGCTTATCGATATCATCCCCCGTCCCCCCTTCCCCCTCGACTGACTTCGATCAACATGGACACCATTCAGATACAAGTTTCGACTTTACCAGCTCGCCGTTCTTGCAGCTCGCCTCCAGTTTGTCGCCGGGGATGTCGTCGGGGATGTCTAGTCCCAGCTTCCTTGCTGTTGATCGGAGTAGTGCCTTATTCGGTAACGACAACAAGGACCCCACCTTTGATCGCCTCCCCAGTCTTCGTGTGGACACCATATTCTCTTCGCCCGGAGAAATCCAGCATTCACCGTCGCCACTCTCAGAGCCGTCTCCTTACCCTTCTTCACCCTTTCCCCCGCCCTCCTTAACACATTCGTCGCCATCAGCCTATTCCCCGCATCTAGGTCTCCCTTCCTCATCAAGCCATCATTCGTCCAACTATTCCGCGTTATCCGGAGCCTTGGACGAAACTTGCGTATCTGATAGCGGGCTTGACGAGACTTTCGATCACACTAGAGGTGCATTCACAAGTGGCAGTCGGCGGCACAGCCATACCGGTCTGAGGGCTGATGTGCCTTCTATCCTCATGGGTACCGCGCTGGAAGAGCACCACAATGATCCCCGCAAGCCGGTTATAATGGATGCCTCAAGCTTTCCCCTTCGATCATCACGTTCTGCCGTGCTAACTCCCGAGCTCCCACGCCTTCAGCTTGACGGCGTCGGGCATGACCTTGCTCGTGGTCGTGCAGAAGATCGGCAGGCATTGAGTACTCCCGGCTCGAGGCGTGCTAGTCGCAGTCCATATGCCAGGCCACCACCCATCGACGTGAAGGATGCAAGCGCTAGTAGTGGGCATAAGCGTAACAAGACGTACGATCAATTCCTCAACGTGCCTGGTGCAGCCCCTGGGATGCGATTACAGCCACCGAGCACGCACCATAGACGGCACAGTACGGGGAATCATGGGCGTGACTCTCCTCCAGAACCGACGGGCTCTACGCTCATCGTCCCAGGTCCATCGACGAGTAGGGCCTTCACTCCCCCTGCTCATCCCACACATCGACCTAGTAGTAGTGAGAGCGGGCCGTTGCTGTCACCTGAAGAGTTCAAACCTCGTTTCTACTCTCCGAAAGTAGAGTCGCCTGTAGCTGGTCCTTCTCGCCAACTAGCTATGGTTGATTCCCTTCCGGAGGGCGCGGGGATGACGAGGCGTAGCGCTCGTGTTCGTGCACGAGAGGAGGAACCTTCGGGCTCTGAGAAGGAGGGCCCCCAGGGTGAAGAGTTGTCCTTGCTCAACGAGAGTATTCGTCGCGAGACAATCGCTAGCTCCGCAACCCTCAAAGCTAGTGGCCACCGCCGAAAGAACGAGGTGAAGTTCTTTTGCCCTGTTTGTCAGAATGGATTCACCGCAAAGCATAACCTACAGCGTGAGTTTATGAGCCTTCGTTGCAAATAAGCCGTGCTCACCTATTTCTAGGGCATCTTCTTGCACATAGTGGAAAGAAGCCATTCTCTTGCAACTGTGGGCAATCTTTCACGAATAAATGGGACCGTACTAGACATCAGAAGAAGTCCCGAATACCCGCCTGCTCAAAGTAAACCCCCTCATCGTTTATACTATCCAGCCGCACCACGCTTTGCCCTTTCCGGTCTTAAGTTCTGTATCCATATCGTTTTCATTGTGTTCTTTCTTGCGTTCTTCCCTGCCCTTAGACGGCAACTCCGCCGAGTCCCCCCATACCTCCCAAACTTTCGGGCTTTGCTGCTCATGCTTACGTTCTATATGCTATCTTGCTTCCATTTGCTCCCTCGTCAATATCTGATCCACTGATTCCTTATTGGTATCTATATCACCCGTTAATACTTCTCCTTCTCGTTGACGGGATCTTTCGGTTCATTTCTGGCATCTCTCGCCTCTTCGCCTGCCTGTATCTTTTTGAACCCATCGCATCATGTCTTCTCTATCTATCTCTGCATACACCACCCATACAATCTGTAACCCTAGTCATTCGTCAATTCATCCGTCTACACCCCCTGACCACACCCCGTGCGTATTTCACAACCCTGGTTCTAGTCTTCAGCGCTTCGAGTATCCTCATTCCTCACGGACCTTCTCCAGTTCTGAAACGATGCTCACCTGACAAGGTAGGACACTACTCTGATCCGAGGAAATGCGTTACCTTTTACCCATTCTTGACCATAGGTAGGCGAGAATGAGGCCTCCTTGCCTCCCAACAGTCGCTCATGGTCGACATCGCCAAAATCGGACAATTCCTGAAGTCTCGAGAGCACACTTTTCATTCATTCATGTGAACTTATAGACCCCATTCCTCGCTTCTACTCTCGCTTCTCGTGGCATGTGTCCCTCGTGGTTATCAGTATCAATGAATGACCATATGGCTGTGATTTTAAGGTAAGCATTGTGTATAACTTTCGATGAAATAAAGTCTAATTTAGAGGGTATAAAAGCTCTGGCGCTAATCTTCATAAGCTATAGTCCCCAGATATCTCGAAGGGACTCATAAATCGCCGCAACCTCTTCGCTACTCGGTGTGTAAAGGGGTGCATTTCGAGGGACTCCTAAAATGAACACATGACGCTGCCTTAACTCATGCAGTTCATCTCGTTAGCATCCGAGTTGACAGCCTGCTGCTAATGGGATAACAGGACCGCTGGTTTCAGGCTGTATAAACAATTATTCGGGTGGACTCACACATCAAAACAAGGTTGGCTTTGGTCTATATAAACCTACTTGCAACTCAACTTCCCACCGCCTCTCCTCTACCCAGTGAGTGAACAAGTAGGCGGTAGTGCGACTCCGCCTCTGCCCTGGGTCTTCGCCCGTGGGCATTGGTAGTTGCCACCGTTAGATCTGGTCCTCGTAGTCGCCGTACATCAGTTGTCTTCCCTGAGACACCGCGGCCGTGAAGGTGTTCAGGCCGCCGACGTTGGTTTCTCTTTCATTCGTAGTTCGTTGGAGTACGCTGATCATTAGCTGCAGGAACACCTCTTGGGCCAGCATAGACAGCATCTCGGTCTCGTGAGACTGCTGTTCGCATACTGGGATATTACCAATAAGCGCGGGTTCATGGAGGTTCCCTTTGATCTCCAACCAGTGGCGGTCCTATGGTATCTCCAATGATTCAACTAGCTTGCTCCACCGACTGCAACGAGTCACTTCCGTCGCAATTTGTCGCTGTGCGTGTTTACTATCATGCTGCGCTATGGCTTATGAATGTCTACAGGTCCTTTTCGGAGACTGATTCTGGTGTCCCATCACGATAGCGACATGACAACTCCTGTCAGGAGCAGACTTTAACTACGCTTTATTATCCCCATTACGCTCACTTCATCCTCCCCTCCCTCGCAGTCGCTCGTTTAGTTCCTTCCTAGCTACATAGATCGTTGTTGTTGACGGGGTCTTTCGGTTCACAACTGTCTTTACCTTGGTCCAAGAACCCATCGTGTCTTGTCGCATTGCTACATCCTGTATACTCGTGCAGGCTTGTAGTTCCTACGCGATCTCAATTCGTTGATATTCCTTTTTTGAGTTTTGAATAAGTCCAAATAGGTTCAATTTATTCTTTTCTCAGTATTTCGATTTTGAGTTCTTGATCGTCAAGCAGATTTTTTTAATCAGTGTCACTTATGCACTGGTTCAAGCTCGTGCCCATCGTTCTTGCAGTGCCAGGTACCTGGAGAACGTCTAATACTAATAGCTAGGTGAGCCGCCTCCCACGTGGTGATGTTGCATGCTGTAATTGAAGCTCCGATTGGAAACTCGATGCCTTGTGCTTGGTCAAAACAGACAAACCTGCACCGGGATGGCATCCGTTGCGCTGGTTATTACTTGCTGGCCAAACGGCGGGGGGTTGAAGCCTTCACGACGGCAATACTACGGCCCAGTGGTGAGAGAAAAGCCCCAGGCAAACGCCCATTTCATCGCCTCCCCGACGTTATCGATGTCGATTACAAGGCGATTATGCCTAAATAGGCTATCGTCTTCCACACGAAGGCTCTTCAGCGCTTCTTTTAGCGCCATGACATAGGGTGATGCACCGCCAACATCCGACCCAGTGCTACAGCCATGATGGCATGCCCGCGGTTCTCGATAGGCAACAGAGCTGTAGTGATACAGCTTATAAGGCCGCCCATAGCGGCCTTTTATCCTCCTTGTCCCCTACCACCATCTCTTGAACCAAGAAACGCTCCCCCCCCCATCGAGTCAGAGTCCATGTCACACCATGCCCCCTCACAGAATGAAACGATCAACATTCATATCGAGTCATTTGACGAAGGGGCGTCGCTGCACGTCGAAGGGTATGGATTAACTGCAATTATAGAGTTAAATTCGTGCTCACCAATGTGAATAGCGATTCCCAGCCATTTTCCGGCCCCGTCGATTTCCTTGCGCCGCAAGGTTCAGATGATGAGGGCCTATGGACCCCAGGGAACAGCGCGCCGACGAGCCCTGCTGCTCTTCGTCAGTCGCAAGCATATCATCGATCATGTTATTGAACTGATTTTCACGTAGCTCAATCCTTCTTCAATACAAAAGAATACAGGAACCTAATGAGCAACGCCCACTCGGGAAATGTTCATATTCGCTCTGACTCTAGCAGTTCGCTGAACGGTACGCTCCTTGCATTGCGTTCTCATCCTTGACTCTCATACCCATTCAACCAGCCAATCTTCTTTCTGGTCGTCTGGGGCCGCAGCCAATTGATACAACATTCGCCAGCTACCGTTCCACAGCTACCGATCCCATATTTAGTCCGGAAGATAATTTCGCTGGTCATGGTGCGCTTTATCCACGCTCTCTCCCTTTTCCTCTCTGACGCCCTTGCAGAGTTTCCAGAGGCCGACGATTCGGACACTCTACTTTTTGGCGCAAACGGCTTCATCAGCGGTACCGGCGATAGCACACAGGAAACAAGCCCCGTCGACACACAACTGGACCTTTCGTCCTTCGCTCTTCATACTGCGCCTGTTCACACCGATAGCATGGCTGACTTTCTTCAAGTCCCCTTCAGGCCTGGCAGGCCCCGGAGCAACACACACGAAGGGACAGTACCAACTGTCGCCCCAAGAGATGTCTTCCCCGCTACTTCAGTTTCGTCAGTGCTCTCGGAAGCCGAAATCTCTGCGCTGCAACTCAGCTACAGCCAAACTGCCGACGCCTACGATTCGGCTATTTCTGATGACACTCCTCAATCAGCTATGGAACCTGTGATGAGATCGTCGTCGTCTACACTCTTTGGTGCTCTGGGTCCCGATCAACACTGGATTGATCCTATAACCAAAGTCGATCCCCGTCGTCGCAAAAGCGACACAGGTGTTTCGGTGAAGCCGTCAATGGTTCAATTGCTAGCTAGCCACCGCAAATCCTCTAGATCTCAGTCCAATATTAGTCCAATATACCTCGCTCAACAATCCCTCACTAGCCCCCAGCAGCTCGCATCATATCAATCTGGTCTATCTGTTCCAGTCATACCAGCCGAGCCCAGTCCACGGCAGCGCAGTGGCTCTGTGACATCTTCCCCTCGAGGTCGAGGTATCATCAGAAGCACGCCCGGTTCTCGCAGGCACAGCCCATATCCTCAACCTTCGAAGTTACCCTCCCCTTCCTCGGAATATAACAATCCCTACGTGGACCTTAATTCCGCGTCGTATACTTTACTGGATACGAACGGATATCCCGTCAAATCCGAAGAGTCCTCTCAAGATCAGGTTCTTGCTATCAATGCATTCCCTGGCCTTTCCCGCAACCGTACCGTGCCTGCAGGCTCTCCCAACCATGTCCCCCTTGCGGAAAACCCTCTTCTAAAGCGCAGTATCTCTGTCAGCAGCTCGAGGAGCAAGTACGACATTCCAGCACAGTACAGCAACAGCACTCATCTTCCCTTGGTCGAGGAGCGCTTAGCCTCTGTGGCTGTAAAATCGGAACCCGGAATGACACCCATGGCGCCGTTCTCCACAAGTCCAGCCAGGCCAACCGTCACCTCCGATGCTACTCGAGCCGCAGCTGATAAGCGTCGAGTGAAAGAATACAAGTTCTTCTGTCCCCAATGTCCCCAAGGCTTCACAGCTCGGCACAATTACGAACGTAAGTCACATCGCTATGCCTAAGGATGCCTGTTTATGAAGCTTACACACTACTATAGGTCATGTTCATGCCCACGAAGGCCGTCGTCCTTACCTATGCTCGTGTGGAACTCCCTTCACTAGCAAGTCTGATCGCAAACGTCATATCGACCGATCCAAGAACAAGCCTGATTGTCAAGGTCCGCCTATCGACCTTGATCAACAATGAGATATGCCACCACCATCTCTTTCATGACTTCCCGCGCTCACAGAGATACCCCATGACCGATATACCCCATAGTAACACACGCCAAATTCTCAATAGCTTATATTTCATTTGTGCATATGTCTTCGTATCATATTGCTTGCTTTTTGTTTTCATCATTGCTATCCAGGGCTGTATGTATCGTACCCTATCCTTATAATGGTCAGTATACTGTCGAGCCCCGTGCTCTTGGCACACGTGGGATTTACGTCGAAGTAAGTTTGATGATATCTTTTCCTTGATTGAGACCTTGAGCACCCCCGTAGCTTCGATTTTCGGCACGTCCCAGACCAAGCAACCAAATATCGCAGTCCAAGGCCATGGACAGGCTGTGATAGAAGAAGATGACCAACGCAAGGCAGGTACCACGAGTCATCCATTGCATTCAGAGTTTCCGCAACGAAGTTGCCACGCAAATCGGGTCTTCAAGTTGTTCATCATGATGATTTTCTTCGAAGTGTTTGCCAAACTTCCCGATGATCCACAAATGGTGATATGGAGTGACAATCAGGATCCCTTCAAACAGTGATACTCAGAATCGGTTTCAGGCCTTTTTAGCGATTCATCATTGCTCACGATTGTCAGTCGTAATATAAGAGGCCCCAATAAACGACCAGCGAAAGCCCCAATTCCGCTCTGAATGCACGCTGCACAGTTTGTGCGATGTCGTCCTCGACAGAAAACGACGCAAGTGATACCGGCGTCTCCACTTCGAATACCAACCAACTACTCCAAGTATGTGACTGCGCGTTCGCTGATAGACAACTACTCACTAATGTATATCCCCTACTTAGCAATGTCGGGCGCTCCTCATGACAAGTAGGCGCTGCGTTGCAGATATTTGGACACACACGAGGTTCCTATCTAGCAATGGTATTCGTACGTCTGCAATTTAACTGCTATGCACGAAACCTATAGCCTTTTAGACAGGATGGGCATCAAGAGCTCTTTCGTGTCTGCTGCGCTCCTTAATAGTATCATCTTCAGCTGTTAAGAACTGGTACAAGGACTTGGTCTATGTGGTCTACGTCCGCAATAGCAAAAGCTGTACCAGTTCTTTTAAAAGGGGACCGGAGCGCGACATCCCTTCACCATCCATGTCTTCCTACGACAACATTTCCGACCGAATCAAAGGTCCTTATACTGGTCCAGAAAGGGTTGTGGTGGAAAGGTAGACCCTTAAATCCCTTCCAGATTATCATTAGGTCACACCTTCTCCAACAGTTCCGGCTCCTGGCAAGGCAAGGACATGCGACCTCAACCTAGCCGCAGCGCTTCCGACTATGGTACCTTCGAACGCCAAGGTACAAATTAGATGACACTTTTACTTCACCTAACGTCTGTTTCTCTAAGCTGCGGCTTTGTTTACCCAAGTCTCACCCGAAACAGTTGCTGAAGTGCTCCCATACATGGACAGGCACCCATACGAATCTGCTGAGGGAAGTTATACTTATGGCGACCATGGAGGTATGAAACCCGAGAACCCAAATTATTTGACGTGACAAAAGTATTGCAGCCACAACGTCTGGGCACAACGAATACCTAACAAGTCCAGTGCCTCACCATGCAGCGATGCACTATTTTCAGCAGCCCGTTCAAAGTGGTGCACAATGTCGAGCCGGCTTATACCCCATCAGTATACCTCAACCACCATTGTTGGATACGCCAAGCCCGGTGCCGGGATTCGCGTCTCCGTCATCTACCACGTCTACGTGGTCCTATTGCCCGACTTCCGCTGCTCGTTCTGATGTAAGTGTACATTGGTTGTGAAGTGATTAGATATCGGTTCTGACACCGCATGCCTTTTGGTGGTGACAGCAGCTCTCCCCATCATCCCCGCTATTCGACAAGCTGCCACGCAGCGCATACTCCCCTAGGGAATATTCACCCCTTGCCAGTCGTAGCCCGGGGGTCGCTCACGGTTATATATGGCCTCCCGTTCCAGAAAGGATCGTCTCACCCCAGGAATTGCACGCGACTGAGTCAGTGGCTTCGATTACGCGTCAGGGCTCAAGGTTCAGGGAAAAGGTGACCTCAGAGGCTACTGCAAGGGCAGCCGGATTGAAACGGAAGAAGGAAGCGACGTTTCGCTGTGAACTGTGTGGAGTAATGTTAACTGCAAAGCATAACCTCACGCGTTGGGCATTTATTTTCTCGCATGGACACGTTTGTGCTGAACATTTCGTCTGCTTTAGGCCATGAAAACGCTCATCGAGGCATAAAGCCCTTTGGTTGCCGTTGCGGTGCTTCCTTTACGACGAAGGCCGACCGAAAACGCCACTTGAAGACGCGAATCCAATCCACTTGCCGTGAACTAACCCCTGATGCCGTCTGAAAGTTTGACTCCAAAGAATACCCTCCAACGCTTTCCCGTCATTTGAAATCTCGCCAATGCTTTGCACGCTGTTCTTTGTGTTATCAGTTTTCGTTAGTCGACTTAGTCCCGCTGTGGCAACGGTCGGGGAATTCCAAGCATCTGCTCTGTTGTCTACGTTTTCCATTAAGTACAATGTTTGCTCTGTATCAAATTACACAATTTCGATTTTCATGTACAATAGCTACATGCTGGCCCTGGTGGTAGTATGGCAATTTTCGCGGGGTTAAAGGGGCAATCACATGCGTCGGGGTTACTTCTTGCTTCAGAATTGAGGTACACAAGGTCACACATTCTCATCTCTTGGCCGACTTCAGAGCACAGTGTGTGCTGAGGGGCACTGGAGGGACTGGCGTCGCAAAAATGACTCAACCGACAGTCTGACGCCACCAACGTTCCGACATCCGAATGAGCACCATTCATCGGACTAGATCCCCGACATTGTTCCACACGTATCTATGCTAGTTCCTGACGAAAAGATCTCGGAATCACCAAGGATTCACGACCAGATTGATTGTTCGATGCCTTAACAGCCTTCCTACACATGCTGTTTTCTCGCGGAGCAAAATCCTACGCCACGCACCTCTAAGTTGTCATCAGCATCGAAGACGTTGAAGAGTCTTCCCCAAGGGGCCGATCAATGTATAAAGCAAGTCTATACATCATGGATCGCTAATATCTATGCAAGCGAAGTAATGGCTTGATCTATTCTCTAATGGCGGCCAATTGCGGGTCATTGACATCGGAATGTTTCTTGGACCTGTGCTGGTGGCGTTTCAAGTCTGATTTAGTCGTGAAGGCTGAGCCGCAGTGACACTCGAACGGGCGTTCATCATTGTGAGCTCCAATGTGACCTTAATGCGGCACGAAATTAGCGAGCATTGGAGGCGCGAACTCTCAAGACGTACGTCTGTAATTGTGCATCGCCGTAAATCCTCTTTCACAGTATTGGCAGAAGAATCTGTGTGGATTGACACGTCGTCTTTCAGCAGCGACTATGACGGCTGGGGTGGCTACTGCTCTCATTGCTGGTGAGGTCGCAGAAGGCTCAGAACACACGTAATCGTCTTGCGGGGATGGGACTACACATATGTTCAGTGCTTGGGCACGGGAAATAGAAGATGGAAGCTACCATAGGTGCACTGTGCGCCACTGTGAGCCCAAGTGTAACCGTCAGCATTGCTGTATTGTTGCTGCACTCCTCGATGCCCGTAACAGTGACCGGTAGCTTCACCTGAAAAGGCCACTCAACATACATTCGTGAGACGGGGTAGCAGACTTAGAGGCACCCACCATTGTCATTTACATGATTCTGAGGGTGAAAACTCAGTACTTCGTTGAACTGTTGTTGGTTAGTCGGTCCATGAGGGTAAACAAGAGCGTCGGTGCCAAAGTATGGCGAAGGGTATTGCGGAACTTGATCCACAGCGTTCATGTTAGGACCAATGACAGGCCTCGCATCAGATGTCGTGTGCTGAGCGCTAGGACGCCTAAAAGAGTAGTCTGTAATAATCGGGTTAGATTACTCCAAGAACTCCTACAATATTCCGACTTACTCGACGTGCGTGCGTGGCCTTGAAGGTTGCAATTCCAGTCCGACTGCGAATCTTGGCTTTCGAGAGACATTGGATAATCAAACTTCGGAAGGGGTCAGGTGGTACTCTTGCAAAGGAGACGACCTCTCTCTTTTAAACTGAGAATTTGGCAGTGTGCAAGAGTTAACAGCGCCGGCGGTAAAACGAACGAGAAATGCGAACTGGTATTTCCATAGCCGCCCCTGTTTCGTCGGATGATTGCAACAGAATCACATATGCCTCGGTGCTGGTTCCTCGTTGATTGAGAATTGTCACATAACATAGGATGAAATCCCGATTATCGATGACCCCGATTCCCGTTCTAGGAACAAGGAGTGGCTGTGGGCCTCTGTTTGGTTCCAAACCAGCGAGGACAGTATACGACGATCACGACGGGAGAATGGGTAGAGAGACCTGTGCTTCCTAGACATAGTAACAGCAAATGAGCCAAGGAATATACGATTGGAAATCGAAAGATCGTCCGGTGGATTACTTACACGCCGGAAGACTCCATCGCTCGTTGGACTCGAGATCATATATCCCGAGTAAATTACGGGACGGAAAAGATTGTTGCGAGCATACCAGCTTGCGCATTGGACTGGAATGCGATGGCGATGGTTATGGAATGGACATCAGCTCGCGTCCAGTGCTCTAAGTAAAGGTCATAAGTCCATCGTTACTTCTCATCATCAGGTTCGGAGTCTTTTGTGGATTTTCGAGGAGGCTTACGAGGGATGACTGCAAGATCGTAGATAGCCATCAATAGTCGACGCCTGATTCGATAGTCGGCTTGTCGCCGGACTAGGGCATAGCCACTCTGTCTTCCCCACCAGCGCTTTCAAACACGGCCGTCGGCGCGAGCCAAGCTGAAGTTCTCCAAACTTGTTTCGTCGCCTTTGCGATTCTGTATGTAGCTGTAGTTATACACTGGCAGAAGGAATTTAGCCTTGTCCTTCGCGCCGGTAAATTTGCTGATTGGAGGAAGAAGTGCCACCACAACTTTCCCACATGCCATCCATACTTTTGCATTGAAACCCCGAGGCGCTGGACGCCTCGCTCAACTTGTCATCGCACAAAACTTGGCGGAATATCTACACGTCTACGTGTTGTTGGATGTCCGAGTAGTACGTGATCTAACAACTGACCACGCGATACTTACTCCCACCAACAGGCGTAGTACAGCGCAGCGCCAATATGATCCTAGAAGATGCAACCAGAAGATCTTGGACGTGAAAGGCACAGAAAAAAATACTGCATGGAAGGACAAGGATTGAAGATCTGACAGCCTGCCTCCCCTTGTGTCCAACTTGTGTCACCTTTTCACTGCTAAACACGTCTGACTAAATCGCTTCTACATGACTCCCGACAAGTCTTCCAGGACTTTCCAGCGTCCATAATGGTCCTCTAGCCGGGTTTGGTATCTCAGTATTTTGCCTCTAGATTCATCGATCTTTCGCGCGGCAGCATACTCGTGCCATATCAGTTCGACGGACTTGATCCAACAAATTGATTATGTCCTCGCCAGTACATCTCATTATAACGTATGGGTCGTTTGGATCTTGCCGTATGTAGAGAACAAATGCACCGGATCCTCGCATCCACACATCCATCGACATCGCCCATCCAATCGAATCCGCATGTTTCATCCTAGAGACTGACCTGATTGCAATTCGATCGGAGGGGATGCGTCCTGTTTCGCCGACTACGTACCGGGTTCGATGAGTAGCTGGAATTCACCCGAATGTAATCTCCCTCCCTTTTACGCCCTAGTAACGGTGCCGCAGTCTGACATCTCTATCTCCGAATAGGCTAGAAAATGATAGAGTACTCAGCGGGATTGACCTTTGCCACAGGACCCGAAGCTCCCAAGACACTGCATCCATACATGTTCCAATAGTCTTCGTTGCGTGTGATTAACATGTAAACACTGCGAGAGGTTGTGCGCCGGCGAACACAATTACGATCAATGCTGGTAGAGGCATAGTGAGGTCCCCGAGCCTGTATTGGTACTAAGGCGGAGCTAGCAGAAATGCGAATTGCGCGATGAGATTCGATATCGCTTGTTGAACCTTCATCCGATCCCAACGAGGGTCTGCAAGTGGCGTGAAACTGCTTTCGCTTTATGGGGTAAGAGTATTTAGTTGCGAGAGTTAAGTTCGGACGATGGTACAGCAGTTATAAAATGGCCAAGCCACCGTAACTTTAATCTGTCGCTGTAATGGAGGCCTATCTGACGGCGGGGGAGAATTCAAGGAATTATTTGTGGGTAGGATGAGCTATCACAACCGTAAAACTAGCTGGTATGAGTCCAACCTCTCTGAGGCATGAGGCGGTCCGCTACTCTGCTCCTTCAGCTTGAGCTGACACCCTGCTGGGTCGTGTAGGCCGAACCCATGAGCGTCAAAGGGTCTTGTGCCAGAAATAAACTCATGATCATCGAGAAGTCAAAGATCAAACGCACGGACATTCAACCGTGAACCCCCCGTCGCGATGTCGGGAAAGGGAAAGGAATCTGCGTGGATTGTTACATCCCCTACGGATAGGGTAGTAGCGGCTAGTTTGTTCGTGATGGGAGGCGGTCCTGGCTTCACAGTGCTTCACGGAGAGGACTGGACTATGTCCATTATCCGGTAGGGGCTACGAACGGCTGGAACCGTCGGTTACATCGTCGTGGGGTTGCACAAAGCGGTCTGATAGCAGTATTCGTAAGCCATACTTGTAGCAAGGGGGTAGATCCAGTGCATCGGGCGCTAAAGAAACTACGTACATGTGTGCGTAGTTCGAAGTGGATGGATTCAAAGATGGGCCCTACCAAACCCTTGGTCAAAAGATTCTGCACGGTGATAATTATTCGGACGAAGAGCGTGCTGCGTTATCTGCTCCATATGATCGTCAGAGCTGCTCGTCGTGGGTGAGACGGCGAAAACCATAGAGCAGTTCCCAGCAACGCCGACTGTTGACTCCAAGTCAAAATCACACATGTGACTTCATTGGAATGGAACCGCACGCGATATACGACAGTGGCTTGATGGATGATGTATTAGGTTCATCTATATTTCGAGCCTCCCCCATACTGGTGTACTGTCCGTCGACGACGCGTTCCCGTGGAGGCTATCGAGACTTGGCAGAGAGAACCCTAATAAGCTTCAGAACCAGAAGTCCCGCGACTGTAAGTAATTCGTTAATCATCCTTGTCACTGATTGACGTCCACGTTTGTCAGACCAAGCTAGGACATGACAGGTCGTTCTCTTCCTCAGGCTTCACGAGGTCTCGCGTTGGTGATTCGGCACGATCATGTTGCGATCATGACGGGGGCAACACGACGAAGATCTATCAGTACTGGAGGAAGCCGGCTTCCGGGCGTGAGAAGCGTAAGTTACTGGGCACAGAATATCATTAGTTCAGTGTTGACATAGTAGCATGAACTTTAAAAAGCTTACCTATGAAGGCAGTGATATCGAGCCGTGGAAGACTGGACTATATCACTGGCTGAGTTACGGATATCCCCCACGCAGTCCCGCCTCTAAGCGCAGGCCCGAAGCTCGTCACAAGACAAGTCGCTCGAAGGTGTTCTCAAATTCGAACAAATGAATCGGTGAGATGTTCCGAAGGTGAGCGGCGCTGAGTTTTAATTTGCCACCGACTTTCCCACAGTACCCTCAAGATTTCTTTCCGCAACTGCGCGGTGGTGATCGGATCGTATTCTTCATAAAAAAGTTGCTGGGACAGACGCTAGGACAATGGTGCGGAAGCAGAAAGGAATGAATGAGGTCTGTCCTAACCCATAGATATCTGCCGTAGCTGAATCGAAACACATTCTGTGGCTAGTCAAATCTGACTACTAGGAGGACAAACGCTATATGATGACATGGTAAAATTCCGACGCGCCGAGGGTTCTAGTGAGCCCATATACATATACCAAGGGATATCGATACCGAAAATTTCCTGACTCGGCGTACATTGGACGTTCTCTGCCGCTAACTCACATTCAATATCCTACATCACTGCACATCGCGTCAGTTTGGGCCTACACGGGAACTAGATTATGGGATGGTGAATGTTGGCCGGAAAGAGACGTCAGAATGACTAGCACGAATATTGCACAGATTAGCCTTCGCAGCAATAACGATCACTCTGATCTGCATATTACTCAGAGCTAATGGGCCTGAAACATGTTGCTCTCCGAGGCTTTCATTAGATCTCGCCTCCGTGATCTCTCCGCTGGACCAGATATGAGTATGCTACTGGCATCCGTGATCCGATAGTCGAAGGTTGTAGCTATCAATCGGCCGAGTGGTCTGTCTGCTTACTCTGTCCTGTATCGTATGAAACATGTCCAATACAATTGAGGATGTAGCCCCATTCAGTACCGTTCCTTGCGCTGACATATTGTACGCGGCGGAAAGGAATACGCCGACTCTCGGTCGTACCAGGGGACTACGTATCCGTTGCCAACGCTCGCCCCATGCGACCGATGTGCTTCACGCCAGGCTGCGCACATAGTTCGCAACTAAAGATTGGTGCAGGGGAATGAGACTAGATGGGTATTTGAAGCTGTCGTTCTTGGTCCCTTTATCCGACAACACGCTGTCCTCTCTCTACTAGGCCCACACTTTCTATGAACTTGGCTGAGATTCGTACCGCCATGCGGACACTAATCCCTTGGAATTCGGACTTGATTCAGACACGCGTTGGTAATCTCCAGGAAAATCGTCGCATTCCGGACCAGCCACCGTCTCTGTATTTCTAGTTCCATTCTCCTAGGTCGCCGGAAAACTAGTGCCAGCGTTCCACTGGGGAAGTAAGCGCCCCTCGGCTAAAGCCGAAGAGAAGGGATCGGAGTTCAGGGACCCTTAATGCTGAGACCCTATTCCGACTTGTTCCTCCACACATTAGCAGCATAACATTGAATCCTGCGGCGACCTGGACACCGTCGCTTTGATCCTCCACTTTCGGCCCCATTCAAGGTCTCATGGCCAGCCCCCAGAACCCGTATACACTGGGCCCGGCGTTCAGCCAATCATACAATAATGGGCCTTCAGTTTCCCGCGTCTCATCTGCGACAGCCACGCAGAACAATGCAGCATCCTCAGCAATCCCATCATCGTCAAAGCCCCCAGCTTCGGGATTCAGAGCGCCAGCACACAAACATGCCCACCACCTGCACAGTATACCGCCGAGAGAGAAGTCGACGCGAACGTTAATCATAGATCATATGCTTTGGGTTCATGGTAAGTCACCTATGTCAGATTATATCGTAGAGCTCCTTGTGAAGCGCGTTCGAGATGTGTACGGGGCTCCGGAGGCATGATGGATCGTCAGGAACCCAAAACTTAATGTTGAACCCTCCTCCGAACTTCGTCCGGGGGCGTCTGTTTGATGGCATGGGCACTGATGCTTGACTTTGAGGCAGGAAGAACGAGGTTTGCCCAAGCTCGCGCAGAACTCGGTATGACAGATCGTACTGGCGGCCCCTCCTCAATACATTACACCCATCGCCATCGTCCGGAGAACTATGAAGAGGATGAGCAAGTGGGCTCGGATGGTGAAGACGTGGATCACTTGAAATCGCGTGCCCTACGGCCGACCGACGACGACGAAGAAGACCGCATTGGAGCTCAAGACTTAGCTTTAGCCAGAAGCTTGAGACTACGAGCCGAAGGATTGGAAAAGGTCGTTACGGCGATGCTTGATCAGCCACCGGTTACAGTACACCCGGTCGATGATGAGGACGTCTTTTCTCCTCCAACCTCGCCCAAGCTTGGGCCTTCCAAACACCCGCATGTCCTACCGAACGGCGTCAGGCTGAGGCTGTCGTTGGGAACCATGATCAACGACTTCTTTGCACGCCAAGCTCCTCCGCCCCCGTACCGGCATCAGCAACGTATGAAAGACGACAAGGAAATTGCAACCCCCGTTGACAGTAGACACCATTTGCCCCCAGCATTAGAAAAGCTTTCGTCCATCTCCTCCAGCCCCGCTTCCTCCGATCTACCGTATCATGCTCGCCCCAAACCTACCGATAGAGTCTTTGCGTTATACACAGCAGGTGCTGATCCAAGTACAGCGAATGCTCCTCCTGCCCTGCGCTGTCCGCGGCACCTTCACACCAGCTGCGAGATCTGTGTCGAGGCCAAGTCTCGCACGAAATTAGGACAAAGTGGTGGTGGGAATAGACATAGTTCCTACTCCAAGTCCCCTATGGTAACGCACTTAACGCCCGGGTCCACACCCCAAGCTTGGGCCCCTTCACCTTCCGTTTACACGCCCTCGTCCTCGGCGTATAACCTATCCTATAATCCGGCTTCTTCGTATACGAGCACATATCCAAAGACAAACAGTACATCTTCGTTAACCGGAGGAGGGGCGCTCAGTGGATGGCAAGATGGTAGTGGAATAGGTTCCGGTTTGGCGCGTCCTGGGGTTGGTGGTTCATGCCTTCGCCGAAAGCCAGCGCTAGGCAACCGTCAAACCGAATCTCGCTCATCAGGTAGTACTGGAGCCGGGAATGCGAAGCTTTCTGAGTTAATTCCGAGATTTATGAGGCTATCTGCTTTGGTCGCCCTCGAACTCGGTCGTGAGATGGAAGAAGATAGACTTTCGATGGCAGGCTCTACGTCAGGCTCCAACCAGCCTTCCAGCTTCGCTTCGTCGTCCCGCGATCGTGGAGGCAGCGTTAGTTCAGACTATAATGCTGCAAGCACCAGTTCCTTGCCTCAGATGTTTCCTCCTACCTCTCCGGTGCTGCGGAGGGCCAGCTTTTCTTCCAATGCGCCGCCTGTTCCGCAAACACCAAACCAAGCTTCTGCTTCACAATCCAAGACGGCACCGTATGCATACGCCCTTCAACCGTCGCGTGAATGGTACCTATTGACCAGCGGTCTCTTGACACGCGCAGCTTTAGAGGGCTACTTAACAGCTGGGTGGCGTGGTGTAGAGGCTATCGAGTGTCTATTGACCGTTGGGTTAGGCATGAGTGGATCGGACGAATTTTCGGACGACTCAGAGGCTGCAACATCAGAAGACGACCATTCGAAGGAAGGAGGAACCGAAGATCCATCGTCCAAGGCTTTTGAGGACTTTGATCCAGATGATTTACCAGCTCTTCAAGATGCCACTCGTATCTTGTTCCCTTCCTTACGAAACTACGAGGATTCCGCCGCCGGGCCCGCCGCGGATGGAAGTCAGAGACCGATAAGCCGTAGTCCAGTTGAAGAAGAGTTTGCAAATGAAATGATGGATCGAATGCGGCGTGTAAGTCTTAGATTTTGCTGTATCCCCCTTGGCCCCATGTGGCTGATCTCTATTCTCCTTGAATAAGTTTTACGACATTCCTACATCTACCCCTGATCTCTCTACGCACATGGAAGACCTCGCGTGGCAATATCCGGCGGAGCCTGTCGAGCGTGCCGCTGTCCGATTTTGTGAAGCAGTTAGCCGGTGGCGGGGTAAACCAGAGTTAGAGACTGTGCGTGTTCTTTTGGTGCCTGGCTTTTCTTGCTCTAACCCCGATACAGTACAAGAAATGTCCCCCGCGGTCCACGGGACGTGCTGGCGACCCCCACGGCAATGATATACCAAGCACACCAGGCGGTACGGCGCTCACACTAGATTCCTTGGTTCATTCCTCGCCGATCAGTCCCAATAACCAAAATGTCAATAACCCCAACCGCACGAGGGTCGGTACAGGCTCCGACAGACTGGCACAACCCAGTAAGACCATGCCCTCCATAGAAAAATACTTTCTGCCTCCATTAAGCGCGTCTAACTTGACGGGCGAACGCGAGGTCGCGTGGAATCGAGGCAACAAACGGATGCGATCTCCAGAAGACACCCGTGCCGGAAATGCGAAGAGGATCCATGTATGATCTGATGGTTCTTTGATCATGTATGTGTTGCACACTGCCTTGCGCAACTGGAGAGCCACTCCCACCTGCTATCATCACCTTATGGACGCTTGCAGGCTTTTATTCATGCTGTAGCATAGCTCCTGGGTACGTTCGATCATACATCGACGTAACTTATTGTTCGTTAATTATCCTGTTTCCATGCTGTATTTTTAGATATACGTACATTGTCATTTCCTTGATTTATCATCAGCTGTGTTGTTTCAATGTGGCAGACTGCTTCTCCCGTGCGTCTTAGTCGCGTGTACATCCCATCATTCCTTATGTGTCGACCGCTGCCTCATATCGCACTCGCGTACATTGTGAGTGCGCCCTTCGCAACATGTACTTTTATCTTCCCTTGATGCTTCATTTGCAAGGTATCTATCCTCGGAGCCCCTCCTGGCTGTTGCAAATCCTCCGACGACCATACCTCAGCTTGAGGCCTCCATTTGCTGGTGTCACATCAGCCGCTTGCCCATCAATGTCATCAGCCTTGTGATGCGTTGTTAGGCCAGCGCCGGATCTGATCAAAGCCTCAGGAAGTCATAAAAGCAAATTTAACCGCCTCGAAAGATTCTTCGCTTCTTGACCTCCCCTCAATAGTCGCTACAATGTCGGTCATCGTTTACATCGCTCGCTATATCGTCCTCGGTGAGCGGCACTATACGGTATATGCCTTATATCACTTACTCTGATGCTAGGTTTATCCTTGATATTCGCCGTCGCCGTCTTGGGCTTGAGTGCCCGCACCACAGATACGAGCATTTTATTCCTGGGAGGCATCGCACCCTTCGAGATAATAAACCTCGTTGTTGCTCCTCTCACTATAGTTGCGCTTTCCATAATGTAGGTCCCGCTGTCGCATCATTTCTGGGACATCGGTATAACGTTCCCGTAGATTGAGTGTAGGTGCATTTCGACAAAATGCCATCACATCTATGATATGGGTGGAAGTCACGACGTTGAGTATGTCGTGCATCCCGATCCGTATTATCACCGCTCATTCTCCACCAGGTATTCTTTGGGCAACGTGGGTCGTGGTCGCGGTGTTCGCTACGAGAGTCATCAACTTCAACTTCCCCTTGGGATGTTCTGCGTACATTCGTAAGGAAGTTTGATACTGTGCTGTGGGTAAAAGCGTTGATGGTCTTCCCCAGCCTTCTACCTTCAGCTTTGTAGCCAGATTACTGCTATCCAGGGCCTGTCCTGGACGGTTTTTGTGCTTCGTACGCCGCCATCCCCTCTGTCGTAGTTCCTTTTGCCTAACGCTTTCACCAGTCATTGGATACTCCGTGATATTGGGAATCATGGCTTGTGTTGCAACGAGTCGAGGAATTCCGGTGTGGTCCAAGTCCGTTAAAGATGCAACCTTCTCCCACCCCTCCTCAAACCAGGGCGTTCAAATGCCTCCAAAGCCTGAGCTGCAGGCGAACCATCAGCATGCCCACCTTCAATTACCACAGCAAGCCAACCACCAGCAACCAAGTCTCCAAGCTTCCGCCCTACAGAATAACGGCGTCGGCTATAGTGTCCCCATGCCCCCAGATGGTGCGGCCCTTGCCATCTCCACTCCAAACCAGACACCGGCTTACCCTCAAGTCTGAGCAATGATGCGACTTCCCCGTCTATTAGTAAGGAGGATGGCGATTCACTCGGAGGACCTTTGTTAGGGAGCACATCTCCTTGCACGACATTTTACCCCGAGCAGGAAAATAGTATATGTGATCGATGTATCTTTGAATAAATTAGATGGTCGCAGTTAATTGTGAAATGGGAAGGGCTCTAGGGACTCACAAGGTGGTCATCGCCGGAAAACTGAAGTCGTAAAGGAGCCCAGACGAGGCGGCGGCGTTTGCTGTCAACACTCTGGCCCGTTCATTAAAAAAATTTACGGGCAATCCCAATGTCAGTGCCTTTTTTCTCCCAGCGAGACCGACTGGTCACTGCGAGACCAAGCGTGAGAACCTCTGGCAAGGTCGCAGCAGAACGCTTCGGCCACGATAATTCTTTCATCATCTTAGAATCCATCTACATTCCCCAGGATCAGCCAGACCAGATTGGCAGGACGGGATATGTACCTCGTTTCAACGATGGTCACCAATCTCTGGTTCTCCATCCGTAGGCTTATCAGTCGTAACCGAAGTACCTTCATGAACATTCAGTAGACTCAGGATTCCCTTTCCATTGTCTTCCTAAAATCGTCAATTTCGAACCGTTGACTTGGTAAGTTTTCACTTTTCGAGCATATCTTTTTACAAACCTGCGGGGTTTTATCCTGATTTCAGTTTGACCGCGATGCACGCTCGTCAATATGGTTCTTCTCCCACCCCATCATGATTTGGGGCAATCGCTCTTACTATTAGTATTTGAAGCGAAATATCGTTCGCTCAGATCTCCGCGTGCCGTTATGGCAGCGAGCAACAGGTTCGAAGTTGTAAGTACGTACATTGTTTATGTCTACCCAGAAAATAGCCGTGCAGATGTGATCAAATTCCCTTTGTTGTAGGACGTGCTTCACTAACCTCCAGGCCTTCCCCGAACAACGACTCAGTGATCTGGGGGCTCCCTGAGCACTACAAAGTCTGAAACATAAAGCGAGCTTTCGGTGCATTAGATACCCATCATCTTGCAAGAGTGTACAAACCGGATGGAACATTACGACCGCCCGGAATACCACTACAACTACCGGGAAGGCACCTCTCTTCAAGGAGGTAGTTATCAGGTAGCCGACCCGTCTATCACTATGATGAGTACGCCCCGTTCGTCCAAGTCTCCCGGCACGTTCTGACCTGGACGCATAGACGACAGCCTTGCCGGAAATCTAGAAAGCCCATCCCTCTGGCCACAACCTGCCGTCCCACAAGATATGTACAGTAACCATGCGGGCGAGCCTCAGCAATTCTTCCCACCTTACTTAGGTCACCCATTCGATCGCAACCGCCAACGATTATATGACCAGCAATCGTACATGATATGCCCCGCTCCGCAGTCACAGTGCACAAGATTTGATCCTCAAACCATTTGTACGTGAACCCTGCACTGCGGATCCCATTTGTGCTGAGATAGCTTGAATAGTGATCGCCGAGGCCCATCACAACCACGCGCAAGCACTCGACAGCATTCCTGACGATTACAATCATTCTCCCCCCTTCAATGGGCTTGATAGACCGCAGAACAATTCTCGTATGTAGCTTCCAACCCTCGTTTTCAAGTCGCTGATAAGATCACTCCGATAGTGCCGTTCGCTCAGCACGGACTCATGGAAGCTTCCACGACTCCGTCGCCCACCTCAAGGCAACTAGCCACCGAGGCCGTGTCCGACGCTGCTGAGAAGAGACGTGTCAACCCGCACCGTTTCTTCTGCCAGTACTGTGATAGAGGCTTCACAGCCAGGCATAATTATTATCGTACGTCTGCAATAACGGTCACTCACACCTTTTCTGATTTATTTCTACTTCGGCTCTGTAAGGTCACCTCGGAGCTCACAATGACGAACGGCCATTTGGTTGTGAATGTGGCTCGGCTTTTACTACTAAGTCAGACCTCAAGCGGCACAAGTTTAAGTCAAAGAAGCACGGTCACGGACAACATCATGCAGCAGACTGCAATTAAACGTGCAAGCCCCCATTTGTTGTACTGATGTAACACTCCCGAACCTAAAAAAACAGAGTTCATTGTGATGAACTCACTGAGGCGATTAAGGTTCAGGATCATATGGACCTATGATCACCAGCCAATGTCGTGGCATCCGTAGCTCCTTATCAGCCTGAGAGAAGTCATAGTATTTGTGCCTAGCCCTTAATGGAAGAGGCTCTTTCGCACACCTGATCCATATATATTGAACGGGTCCGTCTTGGAAACCGCCGATGCCGTGGTACGGTGGCCATGAACTCTGATATGTGAAGTAGGAGGTAAATTTAAATTCATCTATTTAACTGCCATTTGTATGGATTGTTCCACGTCCCTATCCTGTATTGCCGTACGCCGTCGATAAGGCACCTCACTCCTTGGGCATTGAACCCGCCGAAGGGATCCAGGCTTTAAATATGGATCAAAGCTTCCGTACGTAGATCGGAACGTCTCAGCGCCAGTCGGCCGTTGACACGGAACCAATTTCGTGCTAAGAAGTGTTTTGCCGGGAAGGGTCTGACCCCTCTGCGTGTCTGGTCGCCATTAAAAATGAGGTGGCAATGTAACCAAAACCGAGAAGCGAGCGGGCATCATATACACGCCCAAAACTTCCTTCGATCTAACAGAAAACAATAGGAAGTAGCCATCGGGATATAGCAAACCGCTGAGGCCATAAGGAGCGAGTATGTAATCACCGCATGTCAATCCTCTGTTGATATTTCAACTTCCTGGGTCCTGGATCCGTGGCACCGTCATGAGAGTCATTTCCATCCAATGATAGCTAGCCACCTCGCTACTTGTCTCAACGGCTCACACATAATTTTAGATATCAGAGTGTAACTTGAAGTGATAATTGCGCCCATCCCTGTATCTGGTAGTGTGGGCTAGGCCCCACCAACAACGACGCAAATAAACCTTACACTGACGTTGGAGTGCATAGTGCAGGGCGATCGGGCTGAGCGTTTGAGGCTTGGTGTCTCAAAAGTGCTGCGCATAAACCGTAGACCCGTATGAAGGTGGATTCTCTGAGACTTTGGAAGAAAGGACGCACACTCTCATATCTCATGGGGGATTGATGTGCCCGTACAAATGGTACAGGACCGGGCTGCCAAGAGCTCGAGTTACTGCCGCATGAGCCGACGCCGTGACATCGACGGTTGATGTTGAGCAGTATTGGAGATCCCCCTTGGGGAAGTCTTTCTTTTTGGCCGTGAAGCCGGCAATCGTTGTCAAAATAACGGAGGAGGTGGACAGACCCCGAATTGTACCTGGAAAACTGGGGGTCTCTTCTTCCTTTCTGGATGTCTAATGAGAAGCGAGGTGTCGTCATCTTGTCTCGAAAAGCTACCACCTGTGCCGACGTGATAACACAATGTCGTTAACTTGGAAAACGTAAGAAGTCAATGTGAAAGGCAGTACCTCGGCTTTCCGCGACTTCTGGTACTGCGCGCTGAATCTTGCAAAGAATATATCACCGGGACCCACCTAATCATGAAGTTGGCCTTCCCAAAGCAATGCGGCCGCCGAAGGTCTGACCTTGCTTAAGCTAAATATGCGGGTTATTTGATTCCATCAAGGTTTCGCAATTTATACGCCTCATGCGCACAAAACATCCCACTCTTCCCAACAACTGATGCCAATTTCGTGTCAACATTCAGTCGGCGGACACAGTAGTACGTACCCCTCGCCCCAGAGATAAGAGTACGAATTTCAAGCCGTCACGTTCTCATTTACGAAGTGGGAGATAGAGGAAACGTTCCCGGCTTTTTGGATATGTCAAACTTCTCGCGTTCGTTCCATGTAGGTCAGAAGTCTGGCCTATGTCAAGGTGGCCCTGAAATCTGACTTCAATAATCTATTGAGAAAGTTTGCCTGAAAGCTTTTCGAGGGCCAGTTCACGAACGCCGAGGGGATCAGAATATACTGAGAAAACGCATTCGCAGTCCGACTCACCTGAAAAGTCCAGATGTGTTTTCGTGAGCACAAACTCGGAAGCAGGCTTCACTTCTGGAAGCGGGTGAATAATTTCTCCACATCTGAAGAAGGTACGGCATACATCAAGCTCCTGTTGAGATCCTTATAGTGCAGAAGCCGTACCCGATCAGGATAGAGAACGCATCTCATCTGTGCTCGTTCGTAGGATTAGTTACTCGTGGTACATATCGGCGAAACGAGCAGGCGCTACCAAACGTCTGGTACCGGGATTAACGGTACACCAATGGTATCGTCATGAGTGAGGCATTTCTGTGGTTGAACTAGCCCTATGGTCCCCCTTGTCGACTTCGTTATTGTGCTCATCTCATCGGTACCCTGGTAGGAACTACTGAATGGGGTCAGAAAAGCATTATATCTAAAAAAACACTCACGAGCTAGTTGATGGCGGGCCCGAGAAAAATCGCGTCGGCAACTCCCGCCGGGCCTCGCGACGGGCCGCTAGAAATGAAGCAAAAAAGAGTAGGGTACGAGAGCGACGGAGACGGCCTTTTGTCCAACGGCTACATAGTACATAGTTAGCGACGATGCTGAGGGGTCCACATCCTCGTTTCTCTTGAGATCCATAGTCTTGTTCGTGCTAACTTCGAGTTGATCCCACCGTCAAGCAAAAAAATCTCCATCTCGACGTTGAGTATTGTAGGGTGTAGAGTGAATGACTGGTCGCGAAAGGCTACCGGCGATTTCGGTCCCTTGATAAGATAAGATAGTGAGTGCTCTTATACATAGGCGCTCGCCAGCAACTTTCCCCTAAGACGTCCACTTCGACGATGCCAGCCCTAGCCTTCACATTCGGAGCAGAGAGGTTTACATGGGTGTCGTTAATTGGAGAAGTATACCTTCATGGCAAGATTGCGGTCAAATATTCAAGTACCACAGCCAAATCCCGATAGGTTAGATACCTCCTATCGACCGCGGCGCAGCGTTGACAGTTTCCACATACTCGCAAGTCATATCGAGACAGGTATCTCTGGACATGCGACGGGTGTAACTGGAAAGATGAATATACTCGCGGATGGAATGAGCACGACCTTGTCTCTCGCAGATGTCCGCCCACCCAGGCCCTTTTCAGTTTGGCAGGACGAACTTATCACGTTCTTGGATGAGCAGAACTTCGGGCAGCTTGCAGGCATAGCGGAAACCTCTCCCGCGAGGCTGTCTGAATAGTGGAGGGCACGTATCCGCACGTGGACTAAAGTAAACAATGCATTCCTGCTTCCGCGCTCAATCAGAGTTGAATTATCGGTGGTAGTTCGTTAAATAGTGTAGGCGCGAAGAGGAGTTCGCAGGTGGGTGAATGCGAGGACTGGGAAGGATGTGTTCCCACCAAAACCGAAGTAGGATGGAAAGATGTGAAACCGAACACCACGCGATGAACGGAACGGAAGACGGAAACGCGACCAAGCAGCGCCGCGTGCGACTTCTTGGACTCAACTCTCGCACCGCAACTGAGTGGAAAAGTGTATTCATAAGTAAGTAGATAGGTACTATATATACTGGTAGTATATGTAAGTAAACACACCAGTTCTGCCGTGTAAGTAACTAAGATAATACCTAAGACATAATGTGGCGGCGCAGCATGTTCAAGTGGGGACCGAAACAAGCCGTCAATGAGACTATGAAATACGTACAAAATACGGTGAATCCAGAATTGGACAATGTCCGATCTCCTACAATAGCCAAGGAGAGGATCCAATATTTTTTTTGCATGACAGTACTCTCGAAACAATTGTAGGAAGGGCATCCCTAGTGTACGACTATCTTGAACCTTGAACCACTATCTCGTCCCCATATCAATACAACTGTGATAATCATTTGAGAAAGCATAGGCTCGGTGCGAATTCTTAGGATACAACGTATAGTCTTCGAAGGCAAGTGTCCTGTAGGTCCCTTGAACATGGACTCGAGTAGCATAGCAGTGAAAGGTAGAGGAACAGCAACATGGGCCCTCTTGATACTAGGGGAGAATGCTGGAAAGAGGCTGTGACTGCGACGCCGACGAGGCATTGCTCACAAAGAAAGAAAGTGAGTAGGTGGGAGAGTAGCTGGTGCTGCGACATATCCCGCAACGCCTATGAGAACGATGGTATGCTACCTGCATATGACCTAAGCCCAGGTATACAGAGGATCATAGACGACGCGATGATGCTGGGTACAGCAGACGCAAGTCGAGATCCAGATCAAGATCCAAATGATGACGGCTCACAAAAACAAGGCATCAAGGCACGATCGAGACGACGCTGACTCCATTGGAAGTTCGCTATTCGCCAGGACCCGTTTGTACTGGCCGGTGAAACAACCACTCCGTGCAGGTTTAATGGCCGGCAATGAGCACCTCTGAAGAGGATGAGAGTGCAATATGGGAAGAACGGCTCATTCAAGAACTGACAACGATTGAGTACGTCTATCGGTCACATGAAATCAGGGTGGACCAGCAGAGGTCGAGTTAAGGCAGTGGTAAGGTCCACCTGGATTATTCACAGTCAGGTCGACTCTGTGGGAATGATGCAACAGGTTCTAAGTGAGAAATAAGCCATAAACTGCTATGGTAGGGACGTGAACCCGGTCTCATACTTTTGGAGCATGGACATAGCGCAGCAGATGCTCAGGCCGCCGGGAAGGTAGGGTCTCTATAGTTGGCTTCTGCCGCCAGCTAAATTCCATTTTCCCCACCACATTGCACGAGTCGATACCTGTCGAGCTATTTCGTCAGCGAACGCTGAAATATGCTGATTTCGCTGAAGACACATTTGATCAGTCACCGGTTGAAGGAATATGTACCGACGGTGAGCTCCTAAGCCATGTATTGCCCTTTTGACAAAGCCATCAGGAAGAACACATCAGTAGTGCACAGCAAGGAAGCAGGTGCACAGACACCCATATCGGCGATGATTATCAAAGTAGAGTCAACAGGCGCACCGTCAATCCATCCTCCACTGATGGCATCAAGGCGGCATGTTTTCAACGAAGCGATTCCGACCATGTCAGCATCGCGCCTTATACTATCTTGCGGTGTACCGGGTAATGATAGGACGTTCTACACCGAGCAAGGTATCCCAAAATATGACCCACAATGTCCTCTGAGTGCGATCGCTTCGGTTCCTCGGTAGACAAAGATTTGAGCATCCGAGTGATTAAAATGCAAAAATGAGTGGGCCATACTACGTACGACCCCATCGCATTTTGGAGTCCACTAGTAGTCCACTACGTTGTCGGGAAAAGAACTCGGGCTCGGACGAGCCACTTGAAATCACGTGATGTGCATTGGTATTATCCCTGGACCGGCGCCGTGCAGTGCAGCAACGTTTTCCCAAACAACGACGTCCATCACTCGCAGAGGTCACAGCGATGGCCAAAGACCTCCCCTCGCTCCCGTTGGTGTCCCCGAGCGCCATCGTTCCCGCCTCAGTATGCATCGGACATGTGTGAGTCCCACGTTGGCGGTTGAATCCTCCCGGGCTCACGATATCGCATATCCAGCCAGCTGCGGGATCTTATCATATGTCCTCGTGAACCAGGCGTAGTAAATTACGTCCAACATCAATCCATTGTCGAGCACAATCTCAGGGCCCAAAACTCAGTGCGTCGTGTCGTCGCTTGTTGCGGAATTTGTGCGATAATCTCCCATTACAGTCCCCACATACGGTTACTACCTTGAATTGGACCCCAAATACCATCGCTTCACTTCCCATTGATGACGCAGACTCTACACTCATTGCTGTCGGTGGACAGGAGGCAGAGATCCATATCTCCCTGCTCCGGAAGAAGAGAACACTATGGCAGCTTGAGAGAACTCTGGCTGGCTCCATCAACAACTCGGTGCTCCTTACCTCGAGATCGAACGAGTCCAGCGCTGAACCACGAGTCGGCATCAGCAACAATGATTGCTCGGTCAAGTTCTACGATGTACCGATCCGAGCGCAGAGCCACTCCAAGCAGTTGAAAGAGTCTGGGATTCTGCGCTTGAACGTGCCGGTCAACCACTGTGTGTATACTCCTCCTATGGTCTAGGGTATCTACTGAGTGTAGTGGTAGCTTCGATATCTCCTGATGGACGGACCCTACTCTCGGCAGGCGATTCGCCGAAGGTTTACCTCCACCGCATAAGTGGTGGCTCTCGGATAACATTCTCTCCCATACATACCCTTACCCTCCCACCACCTGACTCATACCCACTAAACTACTCGTCCTCTCTTGCGGCGTCCTTTTCCACTGCCTTCTCTGCCAATGGGTCCAAGTTTGCTGTAGCATCTCAAGAAGGTCTTGTAGCCGTATGGGACGTTCGCAGCTCCAAACCTCTCAAGGTATTCCAGACTGATAAATCCCGGATGCCCGCATCTCCTGGCAATGGGTCGGCGTCTGGTTGGCTATCTGACGATCCATGGGATTGGACGCGTGGAAACTCTAAAGCACCTGGTTGGAGCGTGCGAAGTGTCAAGTTTGGTGGTATCGCTGGCAAGGAACTCATGGTATTCACTGAGCACACCTCCCTTATCCATGTCGTCGACGCTCGCACATTCGAAACAGAGGAAATAATCCGTATGCCTACACCTCGCTCTTCTGCCACGACATCTACAGGCCCGACTGCAGCCGCGTCGCCGCAGCATCACCGATCATCTTCCCCGCATCACGTGCCACGATCCCGATCGCCTCAACCTCAACCCCCTATGATTGTTCTCGCTCTCGAAGATACCTTCAGAATCTCTTCATCCCCTTCGCGACCATCAGCGGGATCCGACACGCGGTGGGGCTCAAGAACCAGCCGCGACTCCGAACGCAATGAAGAAGATGTTGTGGTCATCCCAGCTCTAGGAGACCGGGAAATGGAGCACAGCGTTCAAACACTCCTTGGACGACATGGCATACGAACACGGCAATACTCAGAAGATGCAGATAACTCAAGGAACACCGCCTATGCTGCCTACCGATCCCGTACTGAGGAAGAAATGGAAGTGGATGAGCTCGAGTCCGATTGTATATCATCTCATACTCCTTCTCGGTCATCTTCCCCGTCGCCATCAACCCATCTCCCAATACAGGCGTCTCCTGGGCGCTATACTCTTTCCCCACAGAACCCCAACACCTCCAGACGCCATCAACAACGTCGATTACGACCACTTACCCCGCCTTCTGGTGCTGTTGGCCTCTCGCATCCTAGCCCCCATCAGCGAGACTCCCGTGTGGATGTTCTCAACAAATTTGAATACGCTGAAGATAGGGAGTGCGGGCTGGATCTGGCCGGAACCTGCTTTGATCCCAGCGGAGGGTACGTCTATGTTGCGAGCACCACTGGTGTGGCCGAATGGAGTGTACATGGCGCAGATAAGCATTGGTGGGTCGACGATGCCTGGATATAAACGTACCAGCGCTACCCACTGGTCATCCCCCCTTCATTTGTCAACCCAATCTGTCATCGCTTTCCAATCACTCGCTGTCCGACCGTCAGTATCTCTTCCAACACACCCACACGTCTCGGTTGTTCCACTGTACCACACGTTGAAATCACTATCCACTCGTCATTTTATCCACTACCTTTTTTATCCTTGTATTTTGCTTGGCTGTTTTATTGGATCCACCTGTAATCATGCGAACTTTGTACGAACATGTATCATGTAGCGTCTGGCGGTGCATATATTGTGTCATAATTGATGGTGTGGTGTACGCGTGTTCGCCTCTTGAGCTTGGTGCCCCGCAGACAACTCCGCGACCTGGGAAGATTTTCGACTTGGACAAACCGCATATCAGATTGTGGATCAAACTATTTGATTACTTGGTAGTAGGTACATGTGATATGCCTCGAAAGGAAAGAAGTATTCAAACCGATGTGATTCCGTTGAATAAGCGACTTGGGAAGTTAGCTGTATTTACGAGCAATTGGCAATTCATACTCGTATAGAGATAGGAAGGAACGTAGTTATTCTAGGAAGTGAGTCCTTGAATGGATGGCTTCACGTACTTTATGGGCTATGACATGAAGAGGAGGGCAACATGCCCAAGTCGTACATAACGGTGTTAGTAGTATAGTAGCACAATAGCCTTTACAATAGGAAGACACGGTGCAATAATTCAGAATCAGGGACACTTGTCTTCCGCCGGATGGACTGAAAATGGCATAGATTGAAAATTGCGGAACATCCTATCCTACATGAAACCTAGTTGACACTGAACAGACTGAGATAGCGCCATGAATGTGGACGATTTGTGCCTAGATGAAGTTATCGGACCGTAATCAGATCTACATATATGTCTGTTGATTGTCCCCCGGCAGAAAGTCGGCTGCTGGTGCCATGGTGCCCATGGAGTGACAGTATGAATAAGCTAGCGGCAGCTATCCATGAAGCCGTAGATAGATAGTGACATACAGCGACTAGTGTAACAACGTCAGGGCGTAGGCTACTACCTGTCCAAGAAATCAAATGAGGTGAGCGTACGGGCAGGCTCACAAAGACGTTCTTGATAGGCATGCTCATGTCAACCTCTGGGCCATGCCATCCTTGTACGCTCAGCTGCGAGCATCTAAGCGGCGTGCAGGCACAATGAAAGCAAGCGGCCAGCATGACATGCGACGCAGTTCGCGACAAGAATGGCATAGTGCCTTGCAGGTCATGACATGGCTCAGGAACAGAGCCCTTGTCTTGCCGCACGGCAGAAACTGAGAACACCGTCGAGCCGCAGGCTTCTAGGAAGAGTGTGAAGGCGAAGATCGAAACAAGCGATGGGTAAAAGAAGGCAGTCTTCCAGATACCAATCTGATGGTCGGAGAAGGGAGTGGCATAGCTCGGTGAGCTACGTTCCTCAACCTCCTGGACTAGCAAATTGGTAGGGGAGGAAGGTGGGGGGAGGAAGGAATGGGGAGCAATGATACCCAAGGCTACATCCTTTTATACGCTTCATAACGTTGAGCCCTGCATTGGCGCTCTGGGCGAGGTGAGAATATTCGCAGTCACGCAACGAGGTAGCAATTATCGTTATCACTTTGGTGGGTTTCTTTGGCTGTTGATCTTGATTTCGGTGTTATTCCAGGATCGGAGCTTGATGGGTAGGCCATTGGACGCGGATAAGTTAGTTACGAAGAGATGACGGATGAAATCATGACCTGCGCGCGGCTGTGATGAGCGGACAAGCGAACCGAGGTGGCTGGGAGGGGTAAGCCCATGGCAGTACAAGGATGGGAACAATTATCTATTCGAGAGATGAGCTACACATCAAATAGTCACATAAACCAGTTCGCCCAGTAGGGGGATTCCTATAAGAAAGGTGCAAGTCCCTTGAGCAAAGTAACACCTACAACTATCGTTCTGGTTGCATAATCTACTCATTACACGGGTGCAAAGGAGGGTAAGGCGATAAAGGCTTCAGCTATCCCGACATAACACCGTTGGATGAAGGTGCTATGACACGGACCAATATGGGCAAACTGAATCGAGCTGATGCCATGAAATTGGAGATGAGCGTCGACACGACTAGTAAAAGCATGCAGCTTACCGCCGACCACATCAACACCTGTCTTTTTAAAGTAACGGCAGTAGGCATCGTTGCTGGGGCATCAAAACCTGCTTGGTCATGAGGCGGGGTTCAGTTTACCGATCAACCAAGGAAGACAGTCAGTGGGATCGATTTCACCGTGTCGGTGTCAATCATAGTCCTACATTGAGTCTGGCAAATTCTGTGACAATTAATCTCCCAAGAGAATTTCTGACCGCGGGGAGCGGTGGTCAACGAATTTGGTGACGGGCTCACTTAAGTGTGGCTCTGGTCGAGTAAGGCTTTCTCCATCAGGATGCAGACAAGGGAGCTAAAAGTGCTGCATTTTTCGGGAGTAACGCCGGGGTCCTGCCTATCTATTTGAAGCATAGGCCCGCCAACAGGCATGGAGGCGTTTGCCTTCTATCCATTAAACCAAATAAGCTCAATCAGAGAGACCTAATCGTCCACAAGTGACAGAAAAATAGTCCTCATCGTAGAATACGTACCTTCAATAGCACGGTGTGCCGGCACACCCCATTGGGTATTCCTGACCGTGAAAGGGCAGGCGGAGACGGAGGTGTCCTCCCATAACATACCCCCTGTCACCTGGATGATCGAGTTAATGTTTAATCAGACGGTTAAATATTCTTTGATTACTCACAATAGATGGTGAACTATGTAACGCCGCTCTTCGCGGTAGTTACAGTCGTCTGACACACCTGACGGATCGATGGAAGCGAGGCTGGTGCACTGGGGGGATTGATTTTTGCTAAATATTGTCTGTGAAAGCCTTTTGTTCTTCACTAGACGTGGCGTCTGACAGCCATGGACGTTAGTAGGTTAAGTATGAGATAGGAAGATAGAGTATCCTGTTAGTGCCTATCGAGGGTATAGAGGCGCACCAACATGCCGGGTCTCGGCTTTTGAGGGAGTCTGAGCTTGAGGCCTGAAACCCTTGATGGAGTGGTTTTCGATGTACGAGATCGGTGGGATACCTTACAAGGACCGGTTTTGTATGTATATCCATACCTATTACATTCTCAGCGTTGACACGATGATACGGCACGAGAATGGCTTCTTGACCTGTGATAGTTGCCGCCCATAAAAATAAAAGGAGGAAAGGTATGCGTGTAGTCCTGCCGTTCTTCCAGATACAAAGCATTGGAACAGAAAGGCCAGCTGCCGTGATTGTTGGCATAAGGCTATCCAGCCAAGGTGGCATTGTCCCACCGTGCTCAAGGCGGTCCTGCGGAAAGCTGTTAAAGATATAAGATATCATGTTTAAAAGGCGCCAAATAGATGTAAAATAAGTCACCTTTTCTGCACGATGCATCTGTTCCTCGAACACTATTTTCCCAATGGGGAACGCTGCCAAATCAATGGCTATCTGGGCTCCAACTTCAGTGTTCGTTGCTGGATGTAGCGCTTGGAGTTCATCAACCCTGAGCGGTCCTTTCATAACAATGTTCTAGAAGTCACTGGGCGCTGGGCACTAGCCTGTTGACTAGAGAATCGCTGGCTCGTCCTTGGCAACTCCCCGCCGTGCCCCAGTGTAACTCCCGGCGCGCTAGTTCACTTTGTTAAGAGCAATGAAAGGCAAGTGTGTACTCAGCCATTCTGCACATAATCGACGAAGTACCGCAATGCAATTCTGAACTGGGCGATGTGATTTTGAAAAGACTCAGTATCGGATAACGATGACTGACACTGTATCTTGAGGGCAGAGAATGAGAATCGACAAAAGAGCCAGGAGCGTGAGGCTTATGTTAGGTCAGAGAGTCTCGAGCGAACTGACTTGAAATCGGCTAGCAGGAGGTAGAACGAGTCAAACACTGGATCGGCTCAAAAACAACTTTGGACGTATCTTTGTTTGCACTTCTGGGTGATGCCAAATAACGCGAAGCGCGTGCCGTAAACGCCTGAGGGTTTTCTTGATTTCCATAAGTCATGAATTCGCGTGGAACCTCCCATCGACCGCGAGCGTCGCCAGCGAATACGTCTGCACCATCATTGAAGGCGAAAACGTCGACTCACTTCACTGGCTCACCCCGGTCTAGACTGCCCAATGCCCCCCACAAGCATGACGATTCGCTAACCCCTCCATCAGCATCACAAGCAATGAGCATCAGAGAAGCCATTGCGCTAAAACGAGCTGAGGCGAGGAAGGCGATGGGGAATCGGAGTCGTTCAGTGGGTGTCAACGACCTTGATAGTCTCGAAGATGCTCTTCCTACTGTCGGCACGGCACCAAAAGAGGACGACGATATATTGGGTCGGGATAATCTGAGGGAAGTGATCGAGCGGGCGAAGAGTACTGGTGAGTGGACGAACCCTTCTACAGCACTCGCCTTGCTTAGCAGTTGAAGTTGGCCTGACATAGGTTCCGTTAATTTTGCTGCTAGGTCTCTACCTTGCATTCCGTCTGGGCTCTTCGAGATACACCTTGGCGTGACGCCTGAACGGCTTGCCTCGGTGACGGAGGAACCCGCGCTGCCTCCTCCGGACGATAAAGCCACTTCCAGACGACGGGGAGGACGTGATGTCCCTGCTTGGTATGATGCTCAAGATCTTCATGTTCTGAAGGCGGGGAATAACGACATCATCGAAATTCAGCCTGAGATATCAATGTTTGGGTCTCTTAAGAACATCGATGTAAGTTTAGCTTTCGCCTGTGTGGGTCACTTATTTATTCATCATCGCTAGCTTCACAAAAACAAAATCGCCTCACTGCCAGATACGTTCGCTGATCTCGCCTCATTGACGTACCTCGATTTGTCCCACAACAAGTTGACGTCGCTTCCCAGAAACGTCTTCGCCCTACCCGAGCTGGTGACTCTCAACATTTCTCACAACGAATTAGGTTCGTTGCCGTTCAGTTCGCCCTTCGTCAATACCGGTTCGCGCTCGCGCTCGCGGCCGAATCAAAGCTCTGGAAGCTTCTTCATGCCGACCATCACTCGCGCCACCACTCCTCTCCCACGTCTCACCGTCCTTGATGCTTCACATAACCAAATTGTTGGAGACGCTATCGATATCGATTTTCCATCAAGTATCGTAAAGTTGGATCTTTCTTCTAATCCTTTATCATCGGTGAAGCCTGAGCTTCTGGACGCGTTGGCGGCTCTGCAGAAGCTGAGGGAACTCCGCCTGGAGAAAGCAGAAGTTACAAACTCCGTTTTTCATGCAGTGCCTTTCAGTGCTCCTAATTTCCCGGCTCTTCGCGTCGTCGATTTTGGGGAAACCCAAGTCACTGTCGAGGCTGCGCAGGTAGCCTTCGGTGCACTGGGAAGGCAGCTTTCCTTTGAAGCCATTCGTGACGAACCACCAGAAGGCGTGTTGCAAGTTCTTGTTGGAAAACGAGTGTTACGGGAGGCATGGGAAATCGAGATTGAAAAGCGGGCTAATAGAACAAAGGCCAAAGTCCGAAATCTAGACGAAAGCGCACCGACACCTGCCGACAGGGCCGAAGTCGTGCGAGAGGCCTGGGAGATCGAAGCTGAACAGGGTTTGCTCACCGAGGGTGGTAGGCGAAGAGCAAGGGCTGCTGCGGCCAACGCAGCGACGCTACCCGACGCCAGGGAGGAGAATTCTCAAACTTCCCCAACTTCGCGCGCATCTTCCCCGCCTAAGCCCTCGGTTTCCGTTCTGAACAACGCACAATACTACACGCCAGCAACGCAGACTTTAAGCCTTCCCCCGTCGGTTCTCCCGACGAAGCCGCCCGGGCATTCTCGCACTTTCTCAGCGGCTTTTCCGTCTAGTTCGAGGTCTGGAGTGAATGCGACGCTCTCGACAGACGTCATTGTGCCGACCCCGACACTTCCCCTCGCTTTGATCGCGCAGCAGCCGTTCGCCCACACACTGAGAACCTTAGTCCTTAACAAGCGACGGCTTGATAAATCATTTGATTTACCGTTCTTCGATGGCCCTTGCTTGCCGTGCCTCGAGGAGCTCAGCATTGCTGGCTGTGATTTGTCGGACTCGATATCCGTGGCACAGCACGAGATGGACACAACCGTGCAACCTTTGCGAACCAGCGAACCGTTACTGCTTCTCATCGCCAAGCTGTTCCCCTCGCTGAAGATTTTGGATCTATCTTACAACGTGTTAACAAACGCCTCCTTGCAAGAAGCAATCCTCACGCGCTTAATACTTTCCGACGCAACGGCGAATCCACCGCGGAAAGGACTCACGCACTTTCGTTTACAAGGAAACAGAATCAGCGACGTTGGAGGGTTCGCCGCCATCGCCGAGCTGTTCAAGGGAAACAGGGATGTCCCCGCCTGGCATATGGAAGAACTAGATATAAGAGATAATGAAGTCGCTAAGTTGCCTCCAGAACTGGGACTCTTGCCTCTTGATGTTTTCTTGGTCGATGGGAACGTGTAAGCCAGCTTGTAGCCTGAAATGAGGCGTCGTGCTCACTATGCTGTTAGATTTCGAGTTCCTCAAAGGCGCGTGTGGGAAAGGGAAGGGACCAAAGGCCTGCTCAGCTGGCTACGGGGAAGAATTGAATGAAGCAAAGAGGGTAAGCGCCTTTGGATTGCGCTTTCGCGCAACAATATACCCCGCTCAGTCGATAGTGGAAATGCATAATCAGATTCTTAACTTTCTTGAGCCTGCATGAGCCCAGCTTGACGACTAGGGCATTATTAGTAAATATTGATAAGCTATTATCAGATAAGATAAGCATCGCGTCATACACTGATTATATTGTCTTTTCCTGCCATACTTTGCGGAACACACTTGAAATCCGACCACCTTCCATCTCCACTTCTCCTCCCAACACTGAGGTCGTCTTAATGGGCTGGCTTCCAATCTCTGCCATCAGGGCCTCATGTACGAAACGAGCATGGTTTGCTGTTCAGTACCATCGGCCTTGTATATGGAACCCTCGTTTGGTTCGGCCTCAGAACTCTCACAGCAGTGTTCCTCAAGGGCAGTTCGGAAGATATTACCAGCACTTGGCGCCTCCGAAGGAACCCAAGGATTCACCCATCCCAACGCCGCCGCCTAAGAAGAAGGCTGCGGACCCACTCGAAGCCGCGGACGTCACTCGGGCTGAACAGCGGAGGACCGACTGGCGTATCGTGAAGCAATTAATGGAACACGTTTGGCCAAGGGGGGATTGGAAAACTAGAGGCATCGTCGTTCTTGGCTTCACGCTGTTGATTGGTGGAAAGGTGAGTATGGCTTACCTTCATGCGTCGGGCTGAGTTCATTCAGTTTCCTACAAGGTCCTCAATGTACAAGTACCCATTATTTTCAAACATATAATCGACGCACTTAATATCGAAATAACATCGGACACTACAGTCTGGGTTGTAGCAGGTTCCCTCATTGCAGGCTGTTGGTCTAGGTTCAGTGACGAATGCTCTTGAATACTGACCACCCGAACTAGATGGTGCCGCCCGTATCGGCGCGACTTTATTCGGAGAGCTTTTGAATGCCGTATTCGCTGGAATAGGCCAGCATGCGATTAGAAAGGTTGCTCGGGAGACCTTCGAACATCTGCTGAACCTCGACATGCGCTTCCATCTCGCCCGCCAAACTGGCGGCCTTACCCGGGCTATTGACCGAGGTACCAAGTAAACAACGTCAGCTTTCCATACCAGTGTCACGTACTGACGGGCGTACTGTGAAGGGGCATAACGTTCGTTTTGCAGTCTATCCTGTTTCGAATAGTACCCACGGCGCTGGAGATTTCTATGGTATGCGGTATCCTGGTGGGTAAGATCGTCCCCAGACTTGATACTTCCATTGATACGGTATTCAGACGTATAAGTTCGGCTGGGACTTCGCTGCCATCACGTCTATTGCACTGGTTGCTTATACTTGGTTCACTGTGCGGACGACTTCATGGCGGTAAGCTTAGGCGATTTCTCTCATATCGCACTGCCAACCACCACTCCTGCAGTACCCGTTTCCGGCGTGAGGCAAACAAAGCGGATAACAAGGCCGCTACTGTAGCTGTTGATTCGCTAATCAATTTCGAGGCCGTGAAGGTACAATCGACACGTAGCCTCGTGAATTGCTGACCAACTGCTATCAGTAGCATTTCAACAACGAGAAATATGAAATTCAGCAATATGACAAACACCTCCAACAATACGAGAAGTCATCCATCAAGATCACAACCTCGCTCGCATTCTTGAACTCTGGGCAAAATGTAATATTCTCCAGTGCACTCACGATGGCCATGCTCCTGGCTGCGCAGGGTGTCGTCAATGGTAGATCTCCAGCGACTATCTTCCACATGTTCACCACTCACTGGCTTGATGCAGGCACCATGACTGTAGGAGACCTTGTGATGGTCAACCAACTTATCTTCCAGCTGTCGCTACCACTCAATTTCTTGGGTACCATATACCGCGAGATGCGACAAAACCTTCTGGATATGGAGGTGCTTTTCAAGCTCGTTGAGCAAAACCCACCGCCAAGAGACAAACCGGACGCCCGCCCCCTCGACTTACGTGGTGGAGCGATCCGCTTCGAGAATGTCAGTTTCGGTTATCACCCAGATCGACCCATCTTCCGAAATCTTTCGTTCAGCATCCCCGCTGGCAAGAAAGTTGCCATTGTCGGACCGTCCGGCTGCGGGAAATCAACCGTCTTCAGGTTATTGTACCGGTTTTATGATCCGTCCTCGGGAAAAATCTTCATTGACGATCAAGACGTGCAATCCCTGCAGCTGGAGTCTATCAGGAAAGTCGTCGGTGTTGTACCCCAAGATACCCCATTATTCCATTCGGACATTATGCACAACGTCCGGTACGGACGACTCGACGCAACCGACGAAGAAGTTATCGAGGCTACGAAGAAGGCGAATGTACACGACACAATCATGAAACTGCCGGAAGGATACGCAACGAAAGTCGGCGAGCGAGGCCTGATGATTAGCGGAGGTGAAAAACAGCGATTGGCCGTCGCCAGAGTGATGTTGAGGGATCCGCCAATCCTTTTCTTCGACGAAGCGGTAAGCGTTAAGTTCGCGTAACCTGGCACTGTAGCCGATCATAAACCCTCATAAGACGTCGGCGCTTGATGCTCATACCGAAGCCGAGCTAATGCGGAACATCAACAACACGCTTCTAGACAAAGCTCGGACAAGCATCTTCATTGCACATCGGTTACGAACAGTTGTTGAAGCTGGTACGTTAACATGTATCTCATTTTTTCATGCTCGTCGGCTGATTAGTCGCTTCATTAGATCTCATCATTGTCTTCAAAGACGGCGAAGTTGTTGAGCAAGGGAATCACGAAGAGCTGCTCCGAAAAGGTGGGCTATATTATAGCATGTGGCTCCAGCAAGCCTCGGATGCCTTCAAGGATGACCGCCCCGAGGACGTCATATCGTGATGCCCCGATTCACTCCCAAACTTCCCTTGCTACATACCTCCCATTTCCTACCATCCCTACTCGTCACGGATACTTTAACTTTACAAGAGCGCAGATTATATCATGTAGATTGAATCTCCGTCCCTAGGGACGATTCCAACGTTCTTGTAAGTTTTGAAAGGCGAATACACTTATAGTGAGTATTCCGCCGCTTGTGTTCCCATTCCCATTCCACGCTAAGAAACTACGCACCAACGTAGACAAGACCGGGTCTGCTCTGTGCCTGCATACCCCTCGTAACCTTGTAAGAACGACGATCTGCGACTTACGTAAGAACCGTTAGGTGTTGTGCCTGCTCGCATGGAAAGGCAGCGTAGAGGCTGCTAGTAGGTTTATAAACTAATTGTCCGCAACCTTTGCGCATATCGGAGTGCGAGATGCTAGTACTGTCACGATGCGTTTGCGGTTTCCCAAGTAAACTGGATCCCTGCTAGCCCATATCTGTTCCCCACTCTTGGCTGCGTATGTGCTGGGCCAACTAGGATCCAAAGGAACGCATGAAGAAAGGATACAGAAGAAGGAACAAGTAGACTACGGGTTACGTGTACCCTTGTACCCTGTACCATCACAAATACTAAATCTCAACGCCGACGAGCACATATCCCTTGGGTTATACTAGCATTCGCATGTTGAAATCCTCCCAGATATCTACTATACTGAGCAGGGACACTACCGGAGACTGATATATTGCAGTTTTGCTGGATTCAATCCCTAGCTTATCCTCATAGCCACAAATTAATTATCTTTAAATGTTTTAACGTGCTATCTTGGGAGGATCAACGTTTCAACGTCCAGGTACTTAACCCGGAGCCCGCCTCTTCTCTTCGCTCAGTGCGGAAAGTGAGCAACAAGTCCGACTCTCTTGATTGTATTTCATTTCGACGAGGGCAGCCCGCTCCTAGGCCTCTCGCAAGACAAAACCAAGATCCTGCTGAGCATCGCTGGTAAACCGCTAGCCAAGTGGGAGTTGAACAAGATAATTACCAGCGTCAAGCTCTCCTTCGCGTTTGTTGGAGGACACGCTCTCACCGTCGGAGTCTCACGCTGACAGCAGGCGGTGAAACGGAACATATTTCTACCTGTAGTGTATCAGATCTCAGAATGTTATCAGAAGGAAAGGTGATCAGAAGGATAGTCGCCGGGATCTACAAGCGTATGCGTGGATATTTTGAAAATCGGAAAGCCCACCGTCGGTCCGTCCCTTCATCTTGGATCTTTCTCAGAATACACGATGAACCATAAACAATCTCTCATGTACCTTGTTTTCATCTCTCTAGCTCAGTACCGGGGCTCAGTCTCGAATAGGGGATAGGGGTAAGGGGAGTCTGAATATAGAGGCGTAGAAATACAACTATTCAAGATACATACTGCACCATCATTTGCAAAGTTAAGAGGTTGATTGGATTGCACAAGGGCTTGTAGACTCTAGCAAAGTCATGTTTCGTCGTTCTGAGACGCACGAGCAGCAACTACTGCGACGAGCAGTTTGGTGTTTCCGTTCTCTGATAAGAGTTACCCCATGTCAGCTCTAGGTAGGCCCAAGATAAATCCAACGTCAGGCCTACGTGAAGTGTCTCCGTCAGCACCCCCGTCTTCTGAGGACGGGATTGCAAGTCTCTTAACATAGACTTGCACCCCATTCCCTGATGCAACGCACAAGAATCCTGGCAAATGGATGGGCTGATCGGGGGTGATTATTGTAGGCAGTGTCGTGGGATAAGGAGCAAGAAACTGTCTCCCCCTTTGAGAAAAGGCATCATCGGGGTTTGGAGGAGGGTTATGATGCCCGCGTATAGTGTGACTTGATCGAGAGGGAGAATCGTTATCCGGAGCAGCTTGAGAGTCCGGCGCATTAGGGGGTGGTCCAGTTTCTCGAACTGCATAAGAAGGCGGAGGTGGGTAGTGTTCTGCAAAGGGAAGCTCAAGCGAGTAAGAGCCACTCGGAGTGCTATTAGGTGCTGCCGACATATCTTCTTCGGTACCATCGGGATTAGTCGCAATCGACGAGTGTCTTTCGCGTGTCGACTTTCTAGTCAAACACGTATATCTACAGGCAGTGGCGGGTTATGAATGAACCACGAGATCGTACATAGCACTGACCTGTTTTTAGCATCCAATCCAGTGCGCCCTGGGAAGTACTGAGAAACGATCGTAGACCATACACGTCCGTGCCTTTCGACGGCAGAGAAGAGCAAAGTATCCTTGTTGGACGGGTCAGAGAAGGAATCCACGGAGGGATTAACAAAAATGCATACTTCATCCGCTGTCCAGCTTTCATGCCTGATACTCGGGTCAAGCTTGTCATACCAACGTTTCGCACATTCTGTCCGTCAAAAATGTACATCAGTAAGGGCATCAAATAGAGCTCCAAATCACTCACGGCTCCCATTCCTCGTCTTCACTGCTGCAGCCACTTGAGACCACCTAGGCAGTTAAATATAATCAATTTCAAAACTACCCAGAGTACAAGAATGCGCGATACTTGGTGCCAAATTGAGATACGGCTTGCATTAATCGTTCATTCTCCTCAGGCGTCCAGGGTCCTTTGGATATAAGTGACGACATTTGATTGTGCCACCTCTTACGACAGTCCCGATTATTCCTCCCAGGGAGGTGTTTCGCTATTAAGTTCCATTTCTTATTCGTGGATTCTGGGTCCTCTTGAAATGATTGCCATCAAACCGCAGATAAGGGATGAAGTATTCGGGGTTACTCACCAACGTATACTGCAGCTCGAAGGATTCGGTCTTCTTCATCGGTCCATAGTTTCCGTTGGCGTGGCTGGGACGTGTCCATATCGCTGGGAATCAAGTTGGACGTGAGCAACGCAGAGGTGGATTTGATGATGCAAATGGAGGTCGGACTTTTGTGTATAGGCAGATTATAGAGGGTGGGGTTGGCGTAGACACGTTAGAACGAGGTAGAGTTAGACGAAGGGATCGAGGTAAAACAAACAAGACCAAGACCTCAACTTCGAAGTCTAACTAGCACTCCAGCACGTGCCCACTCGGCGAGTAAAGGTGCTGGACGGGAAGTACGTTCAGAAGGTGGGTGTTGTTACAAAGACGTGGACTGGGGTATCATTCCGCAAGAACTACAAACACATAAAGAATAATGATCAACTTACTTTGAAAGACTACATTGTAAAATACAACCATGTATACTGCTGCGATAGTCCGCTCTAAGGATGTTGTAAAAACCATCAGGCCCATATCCAGAGGGAAAAAAAGTCGCCCAAGTTTTGGGGTTCATGCGAGAAGTATTGCGAGGATATGTGCTGTGCTGAGGATATGTTAGCGGGCCCAGCAGAGGATGTCAGGCGAAGAACGTACAATCAAGAGGGAGTATTGGGGTTTTGGGGGGCGGGCGGACACAGGCTACCCCATAAACCATTCACTAATGTATGAACAGTGTTTTGGAACTCTCGTGGTTCACACATAGCCACGGCCACGGCCACGGCCATGCGATTTTCGTTTCGTGACTGATCTACACGGGCGGTAATGAGACCGTTCGGCCCTGCCATCTGGAAGTCTGCGACGTCCGAACAACCCTGGAGCATGGCCATCAAGTCGTCGTGGCTGTTGATTTGCTGTTGTTCTAATTCATTTGTCGATTGCGGAGTGATGGGGCTAAGAATCCCGGTTGAGGACGGTGATGTTGCGCTAGACGGTGATGGCATCGTATCGACAGAGGGTGGCGACGCTGGAGAGGGCGCCATCGAGAAGGATCCGGGGAAGGTGCCGTCAATCGACGAAAATGAAAAGTCGAACGGTGAACTAGGTAGTGATTGTGGCGTGGGCGCGAAAGAATTCTGCGCGGAGGATGACGCCAAGTTCTCCGCTGGCCATGACATCTGCATGCATTGCGGGTCGAATAGATTTGAATCAGACAAGTTAGAGTGTAAAGGCAGTGAAAGGTCATTGTGTCCGGCGTGTGTCGTCAGTGAGTCGAAGGCCATGGATGCATTGAGCTCGTTCATCAAGGCATCGAGGGAGGGGCAGCTTTCGGATGATGTACTTGGCGAGGTGGATGAATCGGGTGTATGGCTTGCCATATTAAGGAACTCAGGGGGAACTGAGCCGACAGCAACTTTCATGTCGCCGTTATCAGCGGTAGGGAACGCCAATCCCTCCAATGAGGTTGAAAGAGCGCTTGTAGGAGGGCACTCAGGCACATCCGGGATGCACGGGAACGAAGGATCGACTGCAGGGCTGACTCTCGAAGCGGTGTCTGAACACGATGATACCGACGTCGGTGAGCAGTGTCTTGGATGATAGGGCGCAGAACTCAGTGACCGTCGCCTTGACCGTATGCCTTTGCTGCTGTCGGCGCTTATTCTCATAATGCGGCTATAACTTCGGGTTGTGAAAGATATGAAGTCAGCTGCTGGGAAGGATGGGAACGGCGACAGAATTAAACCCACCGGTTCTTCGCTGAAAGCCCAGTCCGGCCAGGGAAATACGTCTTGACGATTTTTGTCCACGACTTCCCCATTGTTTGCACGGCGTCAAGCAGTTGGGCGTCCTAAGCGAGATCAGACAATGAACTTGCATCACGACGTCAGCAACTTACTTCTTCAGGTGACCAAACAGTGCGGTCAATATCGGGGTTGAGTGTGTCACTCCAACGTTTCGCACATTCTGTAAGGTCATGAGTGCATGCTCTGGCTATGAAACGGTGCACTCACGATCGTTATTTCTTGTTTGAACCATGGCGGCCACTAGAGACCATCTACTCAAAGACATAAACAACATGTAGCTACGCAACGCAAAAACCGCTCACCTTGTACCATGTTTGCGGACGGCTTCAATCAGCCGTTCGTCTTCGTCAGTTGACCAACCACCCTTTGACACGATGGACGCCATTTTCGCAAACCAACGTTTCCGACAATCTTTGTTCGTCCGATTGGGAACGTGCTTGGCAATTTGGTGCCATTTCGATGGGGGGTTCCCGTCCGGGTCCTCTGTTCCCGTCAGCTAGTGTGGAATGAGCACCAGCCATAACACACACCTTTCTTCACTGCATTGCGGAGGAGGTCGTCTTCTTCTTCAGTCCACGATCGGCGTTCTCTGCACATCATCTTGGGACGGAAGTGGATCTAGCAAACGAAATTGAGGAAGATGATATATGTGTGTACCGGTAGGGGGTAATTTAACGGGCACCCGATCTGAAAGGTCGGTTAGTTTTTGTAAGAGCGAGGGTCATCGAATTAGGGAATCCATTCGTCTGAGAAGTGATGGCCATGATGCGATGCGGATGCACTGGCTGAAGATTGCGGAGAAGGTAAGTTTGAAGCGTTTTTCCGCGTCTGTCCGCAAAGGAGATACTTCTTAGAGATCTGGCATAGCGAATCTGTTGTCCCCCTGGAATGCGCTGGCCCCGCAAGGAACCTTCATCGGTACATTGTGGCCGGTCAGTCCTTCAGGTTCAATTGCCCAATGGGAAGAGCGCCCCTTCCCATCGTACCAAGCTGATGCACGCCAGATGCACGCCAATACACTCCTATGAAGTGAACACAAGAAGACGCGACAAGGGCGGATGCTCAAACGGCATTCTTCGAGATCTTTCCTCGCCAGAACAAAGCCGAGGGGCAATGGTACGGCGCTTAATTCGGTGTGAGACGGTGAGTAGATCTTGTTTGCGTTTATTTGCCATAGCCCTCGCGAGCGTAAGCGAGACAGGAATACTGGCTATCGTTGATTTGTTGCTGATGCCCCATAAAAGGCGACGCAGCATCAACAGGAACTTCTTGAGTTGCCATCAAAGAGGCCCATGGGCTTTACATGTCACTCTAGGGGAACTCGGGGGAAAGGTGGGTTGTGTGAAGAACCTGCGAAGCAGTAGCCAGAAGCCAGTCCACTCATATTAGCCCGAATAGTTCATCTACAGGCGTTGTGATCTCCTAATGCATCGGTATGTCGCTCCATATGGGATATGTCTCCTGCGCCACAATATTCACCGTAGACGGGATTCAAGCTAACACTCGACGTCCCGCAATCGCGGAGGTACGATCCACACAACTCCACATTTGTCGACACGGTGCCCACTCAGAACAGCTCGGTCTCGGCGACATGTCCACCAGCTAGCAACAGAAAGGGCGCCCTGATCAATCAATATTCAACCAGATGCATGTCATAGCATGGGGTTAGAAGAGTCTCTTAACTGACTGCATCAGAACGTGTAGCCATCTCTCCAAGCCAAAGCCTCGCCCAAACGTTACCGTGATGCTCATTCTCCAAAGAAACGGGAAGCTAATGATACAGCTTCTGAATCCTCGAATATCCTGATAGGCCTAGCCCCGCCGTCATGTGGTGGGTCGTCATTTCCAGGCGATCGCACCGGTGCCCGAGGTGGCTTCTGGTTTGAAGTTGAATTCCTGCGACAACATACACGCCCATCAATCGGTACCCTTTCCATTCTCATCACCCTTTATCCCATGATGATTCCATGAAATCCGTCCAGTGGTTGCGCAGCCCTCTACACACTCTCATCACCGAGGACGTTTTCTGTCCTCGCTTCATCGTGCCCGAACATAACGTTATCCGGCAGGCAACGGCATTGAGGCTACGAGTCCACCATGGCGACCTAGATATGCGGCGTCGAGGGTTGACCCAATCATATTTACTACGGCTACATCCTTGATACCACATCCCGCGACGCAATCTAAATGAACGCAATCTACCCCTCATTGGACCATCCCTATCAAATTCGCTAACAGGCTGACGTCGCCCTTCGGAAACTTGCGGTTCTCCCTCTTAGCCTTCGGAATCACCCTTGTCCATGACTCTTGAGCTAGGGACTCCGATTAGACTCAGATTGTCTATGGCGAGACGATCGCACCCCTTTACCCGCGGACGATTCTGATTTACCACTTAGGACGCTCATCCCCGTCCTAGCACATTCATATTGATCGCGTAGTCCCACTATTCAATCATTATCTTTCCGATAAGAGTGCCCACATGGTAGCATTCGTTGATTGAATCGAAAGTTAACATCGAAACAAGCCTTTCAGATTCTGATCCTTGCTTCTTTTGTATCTCTCATGCGTAAAACCACCACTAACATCCTAAGCCGTACCCACTTTGGAGGGATAGAAGACTTTGGGTACAAGGTTAAACCGTAAACGCGATTGTCATGACCAAGTTCGGATTTGAATAGGCAGAATTGCTCGTAAAGCCGATTTTGCGGCTACGTCCCGATACCCCCGCAATGAGCAATACCCCGAGAGTCTATTGTACATACGCACTCTTCTCCTTCTCCTTCTTCCACGTCTCTTCTACTGTGCCGTTTCGGCGGATAAGATGAATGGCGTAGTAAGCCAAGCTATTATTGAAGAACACCGTTAGGTTCTTCTTCCACCGTTACTACATACACGCCTTATTCATCCGTGGTGTGGAATACACCGGTCGCTCCGCACTTGCCTCGCGCCCATAATTGATATCTTCTTTACACGCGAGATGCCTTCTCCCAGAAGTAAGTTACCGAACCCTACGGCATCTACAGGGTCAACGAGATTGGGGAAGAAGAATATCATTGGAGGTTATTTCCACACACCGTGCACTGATTCGTAGTTTTACACTGGAACTAAAGAAAGTACGGTAAAAGTATTCAGATTACTTTCTCGATACTCTCGGGTGCAATATCAGAGAAGTATTGATCAGAAATTTCCTTATATGGCAATTTCTGCTCAATACTTTCCTAATATTCAGCTCAAAAGTACCAAGGAAATAAACCGCTTACTTTCACCTTACTTTTAACAATCCCAGTTTAAAGGTACGTATCAGCGCACGGTGTGCCAGCCGATCATCAACCACCATAGTCAGCAATTGAAGACATTGCAAAATGACACACAGAGGTCAAAGCCAAAACACATCAAGCTAGCGGGATGATTGACGCTCTCGGTGTCGGGCATAGGATGATATCATTCCGCAGCATAGATAGATGCACGATGGATTCCTGGCGGCTGTACTAATCAGTCAGTTCCTAACGGCCGACGATATGGTTGAAGATGATTGGAACGTAATGTTAATCATGTCAGAAAGGTCTCCCGAGTCGGACAGGGAGGCGCGCCAATAAACATTCTCGGTAGGTCAATCATTATCGCCTACCAAAGGCCAACATATAGATGGACCCGCCTTCTGGATCATCGCATAACGGCTCCGAGTCCAGACGTCTAGGAGTAATGATCTCTGTTCTACAGAGCGCATCAATAATGTCCACGAGCTGTCACGGAAGTTGGGGAATCTTGGGGTATTGAATCGACTTACCTCCTCCTAGGTTGTCTAGTTATGGACGTATCTAGTTGCCGGGCGCGATCTGGTGGCGTCCATGTCCCCGTTACAATCGTAATGACGTTGTTTGTGCCTGCAAGTTCGCAGTCTGACATAAACTCAGAAGGTTAAATTCGGTAGAGGCCATGCAAGACAATACCTGCGTGTGGAGGCGTCTCAGTTGTGAAACAGCACCCGTATGCATCCAGCATGACAGACAACGGACTATCAACTAAAGCCAGTGTTGAGTGGATATCGGCCGCTGGACGCTACTATGGTATCCCCACAAGACACCGCGCCAATCACGGGGAGGGTTCCAATAGACTCGGGTACCGTTTGGGAATTCAGTGCCAAGAGGAGAGAAACGGATATCACTGCCTTGCGATGACCCTCTGTGGACGAGCGCCGTGTCAACGAGGCGTATCTATAGAACGGCCGCATACAAGCCATTGATAGTGAGACACACAAGAGGAAGAAAAGATAAGGCAACGATGGAATCTGAATCTTACACGGTCGTTGTACGCCTCCATCTTGGACCGGGGTTAGAGGAAGGCATCACGTGAGGGCGCCACGTTAGGGGAAAGCAGGCCTGGTAAACCCTGCGTTATGAAATAGCAGGGGAAGCGTCTCTCGACCCCGGGGCAGGCTGGGGCAGTAGAACGCTTTATAAGTCCTGATGTGTGCATCGTTTGATATAACAACCACTATCCGTTTCCGACCACTCCAATGGCTCAATCTGAACGCGTCGAAAAGCTCCTGGCTACCATCCAGATATTGCAGGATGCTGCAACTGGGCTAGTAAAGGAATGGCAGAAGGAGGACAAGGCCTCGCAGCAAGAGGATTGGGTAGGAAGCAAACTCCCCTCCGTTGAAATCTATAATGCGACCCGTACTATCATGGCCTCCTGTGGCCTGATTGGCGAATTGGTCGACGAACCCCAAAGCCGCTTGTTGACCGTCGCCTGCGAATACTTCGAGGCCCGAGCGCTCCATATTGCTTCGGAGCACCGTATCGCAGACCTTGTTGCTAACGCCGATCCGAAAGTTGGCGTTCACATCGATGTGTTGGCGAAGGCAACCGGTATCGACTCGCGCAAACTCGGTACGTCAGAGTGTCGCGGAGTTGATTCGACTGGATGCTGACCCTGGCTTAAAGCACGAGTCCTAAGGACACTTTGCTCTGCCCACATCTTCGCAGAAGTCCAGAATGATCACTTCGCGAACAACAGCGTCAGCAAGACACTCGTCCACAACGAGCCATTGCGAGCCTACATTGTGTCTCTGTATGTGATTTCGTTTGCTTGCGTAGAGAGATGCTCACCTGGATGGCGAACCTAGCGCATTGGACATCTACTCAGCTTCTGATAAGCTCCCGCAAATTCTCGTTGATCCCATCAAAGGGAAATCCAACGACGTGAAAGTCACCGCTTTCCAAGAAGCTTTGAACACGAAACTGTCCCGTTGGGAGTGGTTGGAAGAGGGTGTTAAGCAGCCTGACGGCACGGTCACCCGGAGACCAGAATTAGACATTTTCGGATTAGCCATGCTCGGCGGTGGTCGTGTATTGGGAACACCCTTATACTATGGTGAGCTACTCCGCAATATCAGAACACCCACGGAGTACTGATCGTCTATTCATAGACTTCCCATGGGAGTCACTAGGGAACAGCTTGATTGTGGACGTTGGCGGAGGTGTTGGTAAGTTCGCTTTTCCCCGTTTGTTCGCTTCACGACTAACGGTGATAGGTGGCATGAGCATGGACCTCGCAAAGAGGTATCCCAACCTGAGATTCGTTGTTCAAGACAGAGCGCAGGTCATCACGCAGGCTCGTACCGTGTGGGAGAAAGAGTTCCCTCAGGCCCTCGAGAACAGGGTTACGCTGATGCCACACAACTTCTTCGACGAAAACCCGGTCAAGGGCCCAGATGCCTTCTTGCTCAGATATATTTTGTAAGTCACCTCGGCGGAGTTGTTGTGCGAAGCCTCATCTCTCCCACCAATACCACCAATAGGCACGACTGGGAAGATGACCGCTGCGTTGACATCCTGAAGGGCTTGACTCCGAGCATGGGCCCCAACACTCGCGTCCTAATTGCCGATCAAGTCATGAAGTGAGTCAACGCTCTTTGCAAATTATAACGACGACTCACCTAGGATTTCCCATAGCACCACCGTCGGCTGCCCGGAATTGCAATCCGCCCCAGCTCCTCTTCCTGCAAACTACGGTGCTTTCACCAAATTCGCCCACTGCAGAGATTTGGACATGATGACCATTATCAACGGCATGGAGCGTACGCCAGCTATGGTTCGTGATTTGGCACACAGAGCCGGGCTCGAATTGAGCAGGATTTGGGAGTGCCGTGGAATCGTGTCATTCTGCGAACTCCGTCTTCCTCAATCAGCCTGAATATCATACTAGAGATACAGATTGTACATTACTATTGAATCTATACATTCAACATTGGATGGTTCACTGAATCCTGGGAGATGGATAACAAGGCTTCAGTCTCCGACTTCTCTGAGTCTGAACATACTGCCTTCGGAGCCCGAACTAGTTATAAGGCTTGTTCAATAACTAGCTTTTCATAAAAGCTTCGTGGCCGTCTTCATCGTCTTCGACAACCATATGGACTACCTAACCATGTGCCTTGGGTGTACCGTTCATCTAATTCCTTCAACCCCGATAGCCTAACTTCTGGCTTCTCCCGTTTACCCGTGTCGTCTGTCAAGGAAGTAGGAGAGATCTACGCGCTTGCTCGGTGTTCCGTTCAGCTTCCATGTCTCAGCTTCAGGCCCAAGGATCACCCTAGCAAGTATCACTTTAGCTCTGTCCAGTCCGATCGAAAGTCCCGACCAACGAGGCACTGTTTCGCATATATCTCCGCTGGCCCCGAAGGAGTTGCTGGGACCAGGCATTCCGATGCTAGGACATTTGACGACTGGCGAAACATGCAAACCGACTGATCGTTCACAAGAGAGTCTCTTCGAGGTAGAGCCACAACGCCATCACACCGTTCCTCCCATTGCTAGAGTGGGAACGGCGATTGCTTGAATGTCAACCATTTACACGATGATTTGTGCCAGTAACCACAATCGCACGAGCCCCACGACTCCGTCCGCTGAGAAACGGGCCGTCGGGCAAGGTCAAGGCGCCTTCTGACCGACTTCGAAGTTACTGTACATCGGGTGTCCCCGAGAGCCCAGTAAGTCACCGGTCATCTATCTACCCATAGCTTCTGGTAGTATAGACTTATCAAACCCCGCTACTCTCGCCCACTGGTGTAGCAAGCACTCAATCTGGGAACCGATGTCCACGCAGGCGAATAGCTAGCTCCCTGACGGGGTCAAGGTGGGTGTTGGTATTCAAATTACACTTGGGATCATCAGCTACGTGCTCAGTCAATTAGATGCATCGCGGCTTACTTCACATGTACGACACAGGCCTCCAGCGAGGCGCGTACTAGAGCCTCCTTGATTCCCGGACAATAGACAATAGACAATCAAAAGCGATCGAGGCCTCCATCATGGAAGCATAGCTTCATACGATCAGAACTGATATTTCCTTATTGGAGCGATGTAAGTCTACGGAGGGAGTAAAACACGATGGGCTTCATATGGTTCAACCAAGCGCCTCGCCCAAAGTTTGTTAATGCGCCGCAATGATTATTTATGTCTTTACCCCAAAGCCCTCGGATAGAAGTCTGTATGCCAAACGTAGCAAGAGCGGTGAATGCGGTCTGAGAAGCCGAACCTCACCACTTCAGACGCGTTGAAAATCGTCACCCGCTTGGGTGAGCACCAATTCCTTGAATTCTCTGTCAGTGATCACTCCGCAATTGCTTGGGCAACAACCGCCTCTACAAATTGATTCCTATCAAAAGTGCCAGCCTTCAGGACTTCAGGTGTCCGTTTATGTCAGATCCGCGGGATCTTTCTCAAGGTATATTTTGAAGAAGCGTCGTCCATCAACTATCAACTGAAAGTAACTGTCAGGCAAGGACCCCTGTAGAATTTTATCAATTTCAACACTCTTTGCGTGCGACCCCATGACTTCGACGTATGTCCACTGGTCAAACTGCCTGGATACTCCCGGAAAAGGTGCCTGATCGATTTTCGTGTGTTGGAACCTTTGCACAACCACTTTGACGCTTCCTTCATGTGGTGCAATATGTGTATATAACCTCCGGTTTCCCAAGCTTGACAAGGGCCCTTGACGGAAACTGCGTAGCTAAAAAACCATGTACAATTTAGTAGCTGTGTGTATTCAGTGGTGCTGATGCGCCTGGAGGGAGATGATATATACGTAATAGTCAGAATTGGGGAAATTAAGCAATGTATAACGTGGGGGATAAGATTAGATCATCCCGATCTCGGCTGGACACAGACCGAGGAGGACCTACAACCATTCCACCGTCTGAAAAGAGGGTTGCTGTCAATGAGAATGCTAAGCGGAACGCATGGGTACACTCACCGCAGGAGGCTTGGAAGAGATATCATAAGTGACGCGATTGATTCCAGAAACCTCGTTTGTTATCCTGGAGGATATACGTTTCAATACTGCTGGAGGAAAAGCATACCTGGCAGTCGAGGTCAGTATGCATTTATTAGAAGATTCTGAAGTTCACCGTACCAATCAGCTGTCATGAAGTCCTCCGATTGGACAGCCCGTAGAGCAATAACCTGCGAGCGACATGGTTGTCAACAACCACATGGGTGCAACACATGTAGGGAAAGTTACTCACTTGCTCGTACGTCCGCGCGTCGCCCATCACTCCAACGGCCTTGACAGGGAGAAGGACAGCAAATGCCTGAGAGATTTGATCGTAAAGTCCGGCTTTTCGGATTTCTTCGATATAAATACTATCAGCTTGTTGCAGAATCTTCACTTGATCACGAGTGACTGGGCCTAAGATACGTATGGCCAGGCCAGGGCCAGGGAAAGGATGTCGCTGGACGAGTGGGGCGGGAATGGAAAGCAACCGTCCCAAGGCTCGTACTTCATCTGACAGGCCCATCAGAACGAAGAACGACGTGTAGACGACGGACAAGGTGGGCAGTACCTTTGAACAGTTCACGCAACGGCTCAATGAGCTTGAGTTTCATGTCTTTGAGAAGTCCGCCGACGTTGTGATGCGTCTTGATGGTCGCGCTAGGCCCTTTGAAACTTATGCTCTCGATTACGTCTGGGTACAATGTGCCCTGCAACAGCCATTCCACGCGCCCTTTAGCCTCTGCTCCTTTCTTTTCCTCCTCTTCGGCTTCGGCTTCAATTTTCGCTGCTTCTTCCTCGAACACATTAATGAAAGTATTACCAATGATTTTCCGCTTCTTCTCCGGATCTTCTACACCGTCCAACCTTGAGAGGAACAAATCGGAGGCGTCTACAACGGTGAGATTGACCCCCAAATCCTTATTAAGCATGTCGAAGACCTGCTGAGCTTCGTTCATGCGGAGTACTCCGTTATCGACCATGATAGCGTGAAATCTGTAAGTTTGAGAGATAGGTGTTAATATTAGTCTACACTTGGTCCCAAGGACAACTTTCCTGTCGCCGATGGCTTCGTGCATGAGCTTCGCTGCGACCGTGCTGTCAACCCCCCCACTGACAGCACCGATAACTCGTCCTTTGGGTCCGCAAATCTCACGGATACGGGTAATCTCTTTTCCGATAAACTCTTCCTAGGGAGGTGTTCGGGGACGGGGACAGCTCCAAGAGGCTACTAACGCACCATGGTCCAATTTTGTTGACATCCACATATGTTCAAGATGAATTTCCCAATGACTTCCTTTCCGCGAGGGGAATGCGTGACTTCTGGATGGAACTGTATCCCGTAGAACGGTTTAGAGTCGTGCGCGATGGCAGCATAAGGAGCTGACGAAGTTCTTCCAATAACATGGAAGTTGGGGGGGAGTTCGGAAAGCTGGTCACCGTGCGACATCCAGACCTAAAGAGAGTCAGACTAAAACTGCAAAGATGGCGTAAGTCCGCAAGCACCTGCATCTCTTCACCCAGACCGTCGAATAACGCGTCGACAGAGGACCCACTGTCACCAACCTTCGAAATCTGGATCTGGGCGTACCCATATTCGCGATGCTCGCACTTCGCGACTTTGCCTTGAAGATTCCAGGCCATTTCCTGCACTCGGGGTCAGTGGTTGCGGCGCTTGAGGTGAATGAGCCGGCCAACCTGCAAACCATAGCATATGCCAAGGATCGGTACTCCGAACGAGAACACTTCTGGATCGACGTGAGGAGAGTCCTTGTCGTATACCGAGTACGGCGAGCCCGATAGAATGATCCCTACGTCCAAATATCAGCGTGATCGCGGGGAGAGGAAGGGCCTGCACACCTTTTGGTTTGAAGTGCACATCCTTGAGCTTCGTAGTGCAGGGCATCAGCTCTGCGTAGACTTTATGTTCTCGGCATCTTCGAGTGATGAGGTGACTATACTATATGTGAATTTCTTGAACATTTGCCATCGTAGATCGAATCAAACATCAAACCTGGGATCCAAAGTCGAGAATGAGGATGGTATCGAACTGATCGTGTATTTCTGCCATGGTCGTCGTCTGAAACAGAAAGGTTGGAGAGGAAATCACAGACTAAGATAATCGCGAGTTGCCCTCATGATCGTTGTAGATGAAATTTGTTATCTTATCTCTGAACCTGGCGCCTACTGATAAGATTAGTTCGGACAGTGTTGGTGGCGTAAGTTTACGTTACTTGATCTACTTCCAACTGTTGCTGACGGCAAAGAACGTTTGAACGGTTGATCCTACCCTTCAACGTGCTGAATCCGGGCTCATGTGCCCACGCGTGGGGTACAGCAATATGCACAAGTGCGCATCTCAGCTACTTCGAGACTCTCGGCCCAGGGTTTGCGCTACGAGATCATCACTAATAACCACTACCTCGGTCCTGCATCTGCAGGACTAAGGTGGCTCCCCCCACTTGAACTTATGCGCCTCGGGGCCAATGAAACAATAAAAAGGAGGGTGCCACTCTATCAACGGTATTGAGCTGTTCAAATGCCTCTCCACAAGTACACGTACACCAACGGTTATCGGGCTCCAGCACCGGACTCGCCAGTCACCGAGGAGACTAGCGGGGAGAAGCCCTCCTACGTATATCCTGAGCCAGCCCTAAAGCCCACATCGCTCAAACCAAATGAGAAGGGGATACTCAAGGACGCTACTTTCCCATCCCTCCTCGCGGGTACCAGTGCTCCAGGGGTTCTCCCAAGCTGGTTCAAGAAGGACTCTGAAGTCGACGTTGTCATCTGTGGAGGTAAGTCATAAACAAACATATCACACGTGTTGATTGAACTAATTACTGTGAGCCAGCTGGACCTTCCGGCCTTGAAGTAGCGGTCTCCTTGCTGAGGCAAGGTGTATCCTTCCGAATTGTTGGTACGATATATATTCTTCCTTTCTTGCATTTCCATACTCACCAACGTGTGTAGATAAGGCCGCTGCTCCCTTGCTAGCTGGTAGAGCCGGTAAGCCTTTGCTCATTGCTCGTTGCTCCTCCAAATTCTTATTTATTTGGAAAAGATGGTGTACAACCACGTTTCCTAGGTATGTCGATCTCTCAGGCAGGAGCCGTCGTTGTTACTCAATCATCGTGCCTATCCAGAAACCATTGGGACTTGGGGCTTGGCTACCGAAGTCGCTGAAGAAGGACCTTTGATCGAGCGCACGGCCATTTGGAAAGACGGACGTTGCCTCCACTGGGGGCACTCCCATCAGTCCGATTCTCGCTACCGCGGCCTTCATATTATCACGCAAACAGCCATTGAGCACATCTACATTCGCGACCTTCTTCGGCACAAGAAGCTAGTCGAGCGAAGAACTACTGTCAAGTCCTTCACTGTCGATGAATCAGGCGACGACAGCCACCCAGTCAGCGTTACACTGATAAACGAGGATACTGGCGAGCAGGAAGTTGTCAGAGCCAAGCACCTTGTCGGATCCGACGGAGGAAATAGTACTATCAGAAAGCAGGCTGGTATTCCCTTCGAAGGAGAGACTACAGACATTCACTGGGGTATTCTCGATGCCGTCTTTGAAACCGACTACCCCCATGCCAACGTATTCGGGTGAGCTGATGTCATACATATGCTTTTCTCCGTCTAATGCCGTCCGAAAGTTTCGTTATGAACTCAGAACATGGCGGTTGCTGCATTATTCCCCGTGAAGATGGGATGATCCGGCTTTACACGGAGATTTCGTCCGCCAAAAACAAGACGCTCGTTAACAAGAAGGGCGGCAGATTGAACATCACTAACGTCACTCCGGAGGAGATTCTCGAGCAAGCAAACAAGATCTTCCATCCCTTCAAGCTCAAGTTTGGCTCGCCACTCAGTTGGTTTACGGTGTGGAACAGTGCGTAGTTCGGGCACTTCCTTTCCGCGGTTACTCACGTCTCTGTTTAGTCAGCGAACGTGTCGCGCAACAATTCTCCTACAAAGACCGCGTACATCTTGTTGGTGATGCATGGTAAATCCATTCCTCCAGTGGAACAGACCGGTTCTGACCATCTTCTTAGCCACGTCCATAGTGTCCTTGGTGCATTCGGTCTGAACGCCAGTATCCTCGACGCCGCTAATCTCGGGTGGAAACTCGGTTGGACTATCAAGGGCCTCGCGTCTCCGGAGAAGTTGATCCACACTTACGGGGAGGAGCGCCGAAGGCATGCTGTCCGGATCATCGAGGTTTCTGGGACATATCTCCGATTCGTTAGCGAGTCGGGCATTGACGTCTCGAAACTCCAAGGCATCGGAACAGAGAAGCGAGAGGACCAAGAAGCAGACGACGGGCTCGTCTTCGACAAGCAACTTCAGGCTGTTGACCCGGACAAGGCTTTCTTGAAGGCCTTCTTCGCTAAGAATATTCCATTCTTGCTGGGTATCGACGTTCCATATGGACACAGCGAATTGAACCCCCCACGCACAGTCGAGAGTTTCAATGGCGTTAGCTCCTTGAAGACCGTGTCAAAGAGGCAGGCGACTGAAGTGAGGTGGGGAGTTCGCGCCCCTAACCCCCGAGTGACGTTCTCCCTTACCTCCACTGGCTACCTTTACGACACTTTCGAGGGACCAACCAAATTCCCTATCATAATTTTCGGTTCAGATCTGAAAGGGCCTGTCCGTCGACGACTCGCTGCACTCGACCAATACCTCAGCTCACCGAACTCCTTCGTCAACAAATTCGGCCGCGAGCAGTTCACGCTCGTCGGCATCACTATGCAACTTCCAGGAGATATTGATGAGACCCTCGCTGCAGACGGCGACTTGGAATACCTCAGGAAGAACGTCAGGTGGATTTCTGATGATCACCTCCCTGGGTCTGATGCCCATACGGTTTACGGTGTCAACCACGCACTCGGTGCAGTTGTCGTAGTGCGACCGGACCTATGGGCCGGAATCACGGTTGTACCCGATGAGGGAGCTGCTTTGGATGAGTACTTCTCTGGTTTCTTGCTCGCTCAGTAAACGTGCACTAGCATTTTCTATCGCTGTGCCTCACAGTGGGATGGCTCAACCCGTCGCCGACGTCTTGGTAGGCGCCTTAGAGACAACTTGTATTTTTTTACCCACCGCAATGGCTTTGTATACATTCCACTTTATACTTTGTACAACTCGAAAATACATCACGCTTGATCACGCTTGAAGGGTTAACAGATATCTGTCTGATCTCAATTTTGTGGGGAACGGCCAACTCGCCCGTACCCGACTTCACCATTAAACGCCCCTGTTCGCGATAGGCGAGTGGCGCAAAAGGTGTTTGAATAGCGATGGAAGGCCTCGGGTGAAAGATCATAGGTTCCCCTCATGAAGTTGACAGCAGAACGTCGCACCCTGCTAGAGCAAGAACACATTATGGGCAGGCGACCATTTACCGTGGTGCGAGGTAGTAATTTCAGTGACTGGTTGTTGAGAGGACATTGAACGGGTTTGAACTAGGGCTCATTCTGCATGTAAGAAGTTTCAATATGTACTAATTAAACACATCCCATGACTCATAGAGCGAATGTAAAGCAATGCATATATGTATACCACGGGGGACCTAGCTTTCCAAGCAAGGTAATCGCAGAAGTCCCCCTCGTACGTGAAATGAACATCCGTCGAACATAGGTCCGCACTGAATGTCGTCGGTCAGCTACAAGGCAGAACCATCCGAAGCCTTACTCTCGAAGGGACCAAGCATGTCAGCGTGGGTTACATCCCGTATTAGAACCGCAACGAAGATAATTGCAGCAGTAGTGATCGTACAGAAGTCCGATTCACCCTGAGGTTATAGACACAGTGAGACCGGCGGTTAGTAGGGGTCGAGAAATTAGCGTATCGCCGCCGGTGCGGTATCAACATTTTAAACTTGAATCTTGAATCCGTATACATGGGACGTAGCGACCAAAATGAACATGCATGACTTCTGACATTCATGCTTCAGCGCTCAGCACCGAAGGCTCGTCGGTTAAGAAAGGGGTCAGGAGAACTCCCTTTCTGCCACCGATCACATGAACGTTTGGATAAGCGCTCGGTCGGCACGCTTGCCAACATCGTTGTTCGATTCGGTTGTCAATATTTCCAGCATCATTACATTACCTTGTTGCTCGCAGGATTAGAGAAACATGGGTGAGTACTCCCTGACTCACTCCACGATTCTGGCCTCAATTCCGGCGCCCTTTCAGGCATTCCAAAGGTCAGACATTACTTCATTGCCACGCTTCTTTGGTGCTGACTTCTCGACCAGTTCTTTCGTTATATCTCGTGCGGTCCATTAATTATAACCTCATAGAAGATATCTAAAGTCCTCGTAGTGAACGGTACCCCCTCACATCGCAGCTAATTCAAGAGAACAAGATTCCCGAATTTGGTGCGTGAACACGCGTTCTACCGTTGGGGCTTACCTGAAATGGTGGTGAAGACAACCTATATCTCGATTTCAACGGCATCATTCACAATTGTAGGTCTCTGCCTGTTGTTGAAGCACTTTCCTCGCTCATTTATGAAGGCTCTCACCCAAACGACGAGGATGCCCACTTTCGATTGTCCGAAGAGCAAATATTCACCTCCATTTTCGCATATGTGGACCACCTTTTCGCCAAAATCAAGCCAAAGAAGCTGTTCTTCATGGCTGTTGATGGTGTGGCTCCTCGAGCAAAGATGAATCAACAACGTAGTCGTCGTTTCCGTACTGCCAAGGAAGCAAAGGAGGTGAGAGAGAAAGCTGAGAGCAAAGGCGAGAAGTTACCGGATGAGAAAGCGTTTGACAGTAACTGTATTACGCCTGGTGAGCTGCTACCTCCTTCCTCTTTGAATCCGCTCATACTATGCTAGGCACACCGTTTATGACGCGGCTGTCCGCGCAACTGAAGTACTTTATCAATAAGAAGATCTCAGAAGATTCGAGTTGGAGGGATATCGAAGTGGTATTATCTGGGCATGAGGTCCCAGGAGAGGGCGAGCACAAGATTATGGAATACATTCGTCTCTCACGCGCACAACCTGACTACAACCCGAACGTGCGCCATTGCTTATATGGCCTCGATGCTGACTTGATCATGCTGGGTTTGGCGAGCCACGACCCGCATTTTTGTTTACTACGGGAGGAGGTCAAATTCGGACCATCTTCAAAGAAGAAGAACAATAGGTCGGTCGCTCCTTGAATCTTCGAAAGAATGGTGTTAAATGCATGAGCGTCTATCAGCCTGGAATCTGTAAACTTTTATTTGTTGCATCTCTCCCTACTACGGGAGTATCTAGACCTCGAATTCCACGAAGTCCAACACGTCATACCATTCGCCTATAACCTCGAGCGGGTCATTGACGATTTCATTTTGCTGGCGGTATTCGTCGGGAACGACTTCTTGCCCAATCTCCCTGATCTACATATCCACGAGAATGGGCTTGAAAGGCTGTTCGAAGTGTACAAGAAAGTATTGCCCTCAATGGGTGAGCTGAAGACAATATCTCGGGGAGCCATCACTAACGAAGTATAGGGGGTTATATCAACGATGGCGGGACCATCAATACACAGCGCTTGCAGGTAGTTCTGGATGAGATGGCACAATGGGAGCGGGAAGTCTTCGAGAAGGAATATGCAGATCTGAACTGGTACAAAGGGAAACAAGCGAAGCATGTAAAGGATATGGAAGGAGCTCGAAAGAGATCAAGATTAGGTATTTCCACCACACGCCGTTATATGCTAGTCGGTTCAACCCATTTTCAGTATTAACCGCACCGCAACGCCAAATTTTTGATGAGGTTAAGGCCTTCGTGATGGAGAATCGGGCGGCCATGTCAACATCGCACACGAGATCGGCACTGCTGACCATGCCTAACACATTCCCTGCTCGGGAGCGAGCTTTTATCTCAACACTGGCACAAGAGCTTCATCTGTGTCTAACATGGGACGAGTATGATGAAGACGACCAAAACTTGGTGACATGGCGATTTCCGGGCGCTTCTCTAGAGGAACCTATTCCTGCATCACGGACGGGAAGTGATGGCGGCGGCGATGAAGCTGAGGAAGGAGATGGAGAATGGGAGGATGTCGACGAGGAGGAAGATGAGGAAGCCAACTCCGCTGTAGATCGTGTATTGCAGAAGTACGAGAAGGCCCAAGTCATGGACGATGACGCCGATGGTGGGTTTGACGCCAGGTATGAGCAGTCTGTGAGAGAGAAGATGGACGAATGGAAACGTGGTTACTACATGGTAGGCTATCGCTTAATTGCGCCGTCTCTGGTTCCGTTTTGACCTTATTTTCCAATGTAGGGGAAACTTGAGTTCTCATATGATGACCCGCAGTCGATGGGGGATTTAGCGTATAGATACATAGAAGGGCTACAGTGGGTGATGCACTATTATTATAGTGGCGTAGCATCGTGGGGCTGGTTTTACAATTACCACTACGCCCCGCGTATATCTGGTCAGCATTGTCAACCTCTCGCGATTATGATATAGCTCATTTGGCACGTAGATCTGAAGGGCGTAGACAAGATGGAATTCCATTTCGACTTAGGCAAGCCCTTCCGACCTTTTCAGCAGTTAATGGGCGTCTTGCCCGTTGCAAGCATGGAGCACATCCCCGAGGCATATCAGGTATGGTCACGAATAGTGGCTTCTAATATAACTTGACCAACGGCGACATTAGGATCTCATGTACAGCCCAAATTCTCCGATTCTAGACTTCTATCCTCTGGAGTTCGAACAAGATCTCAATGGAAAGAAGCAAGACTGGGAAGCTATCGTTAAGATTCCGTTTATTGACGAAACTAGATTACTTAAGGCTATGGCCAGTATGTCTCTACCCCTCCGACTTGATACCAAACCGTTGGTTGATTACTTGGTTTACAGGTCGTGAGCATCGGCTGACTCCAGCAGAGGTCAAGCGAAATAGCTTCGGGATGAGCACGAAGTTCACCTACAGTCCAGGAGAGCCCACCACATACCCCTCTTCACTTCCGGGCTTCTTCCCGCCCATCTACCGCTGTACTTGTATCATGGAGCCGTTCGACCTACCTACACTGAACGGTCTGCATCTTGTGCAAGGTCTATGTGACGGCGTCTTCCTTGGGGCAGAGGCCCTCGCAGGCTTCCCATCGCTCAAGACTCTTCCTCATACAGCGCAGTTGGGCTTCCACGGTGTCAATGTCCACGGCTCCGAGAGTCGCAACAAATCCATGGTTGTTCATATTCAAAATATCCATGAGGATCGCAAGACGGAGGATATTGCTAACGAATTTCTGGATCGCCGTGTGTTCACTGGCTGGCCCTACCTTCAGGAGGGCTTGGTAGTCTCTGTATCCGACTCACTGTTCAAGTATGAGAAGATGTCAGTCGTTCCCAACGCACCCCCAAAGGTCGTCTCCAACCCACACGCCCCTCAGGGGCTTGGCCACTGGAAGATGAAATCAGAGCGGATCGAGCAAGTTTATTCCAAAAAATGGGGTGTCATAACTGGGGATGTCGAGGTCCTCCTCCACGTCAGACCACTAAAAGGCCTGTTATAACTTCTTTTCGGAAGGGCTAAAAACTCACCTTGATCACCTTAGGGTTGAAACGGTTGGAGACCGGCGCTCTTGTGAAAGACTACGAGGAGCCAAACAAGGAAATGGAATGCGCCGTTCAAATGTCCTTGAGCGAGGTGGCCTCAGAAGACCCGCGATTCCTTGAGCAAGATCCACCACCACTTTCAGAGGAGTTCCCTGACGGCACCAAGATTTTTTTCCTAGGCGAGCACGCATACGGAGTGCCGGCCCAGGTATCTGCAACAGCAGAAGATACGCTCTCGGTGATATTGGCCGTACGTTCTAAATCATCCATGTGCGTGTATGTCACTAATACTGGTAATCTAGTTTTTCCCGTCAGAAAAGGCCGAGAACGAGAGGTTCAAAGAAATAGTCGATGCTAGAGACTCAGGGCGGTATTACCCATCCTTCAAAACCGCTGAGATCATCGGTGTCTCCGGGCGAGCGCTATCCAAGATTACTTCGAGCCTGATGGTCATTACATCTGATCACCAAAAAACCAATCTTGGTTTAAGCCTTAAATTCGAAGCAAAAGGACTGAAAGTGATCAACTACTCTCGCAAAGATGGTCGCTTTTGGGAATTTAGCCAGAAGGCCGTTGATTTGATACGGGAGTACAAGGTACGTAGGTCTCCGTCTACATTTCCAATTACCATCTAACGGAATTCCAGGCAAAATTCCCTGAAATCTTCCAAACGGTCGAGAGAGGAGGCGACGGTATGCTTTGAATCGTCGATCGTCGCCACTTAATTCATATATCCTTTTTGCAGCTATGGCAAAGGCTGAGGAGGTCTTCTCCGGTCCTGATCCTGATAGTAAAGTGAAGGAAATCAAAGCTTGGCTGAAATCTAAGGGCGTCAGGGATTTTGAACCTGTGTCCTTATACGCTGACCAATTGACTAAGGTACGTCAGACTTGTTCTCTGAGCTGATAATGGCTAACGACACACTTCGTCATTAAGGAAACGGTCTCGAAAATCGAGGAGCTTGCCGACAGTTTGAGCGCAAATAAGTCTTCTTCCGCTATTAAGAAGGCAATTGTCAAGGGGATTCCACGGCAGGCAGTCCTAAAACCATCTCATTCTGTCTATCGGCTACAAAACCAACACTTTTCCTTGGGAGATCGGGTAATCATGGTACAGGACTCTGGCGGCGTGCCATTGGCTGTCAAAGGCGTTGTGATAGGGTTAAATCCCAAATCGATGGATGTCGTTTGGGACGTTGCGTTCATGTCTGGTGTGACTCTAGGGGATCGGTAAGTTCGTCCTTCACTGGAGGGACATTGTCCTGAATTGGTTGTAGATGCTCGCAGTATCGCGGCGCCACTGTAGAGTTCAACACATGTCTCAATCTCAGTCGTCCTCAATACGTCACCTCAACCAACCCCCAAGTTCCACCGACGGTCAACAACAATCCACCATTCAAGCCTCGCTCTGGACCTTATCCACACATACGTCCTGGTATCGGCCAAACGCCAGCTTCCGGCTTTCGTGCTGCCCCAGCACCCCATGCAAAGTGAGTATCCATATTCAAATTGCAAATCTTTCCCTGCTAAATCTCAGTATAGTCACCAAACCCACGTGCAAATTATGTCCAATCCAAACGGTGTAGGGAGAGGTAATATCCCTCGTCGCGGCGCTCCACCAGCGCAAAACGGTCGAGGAACTGTTATGCAGCCAATTGCAACGACTACAGTACAAGCTGGTCATTCTGGGCCGCAAGATGGTCCCCATAGTCCTCCGCATGGCGGGCGAGGTGCCACGCGCGGGGCGTTTATCTTCAACCGTGGTAGAGGGAATAGCCCTAGTCGTGGTAGAGGTGCATCGAGAGGTTTTCGAGGCAGGGGTCGGGGTTTAGTTCCCCAAACCCAGGTGCCCTCTTGATACTCTCACATCGTCTCATTTGCTCCCGCTTCATTAACTATCAATGTGATTCTACCGTTGCAGCAGACTCCATGACACCATTGAGTCAAGGCCAATTTCCGTCAGGACACAACGCTCAGCTCTTGATCTGCTCGCGTACTAAAGTTACACCTCCCCGGCATCGAATAGGCTTCTACAAAGGCGTGGCATTTTGAAGATTTTACCCCAATTCTCCGTAGCTGGAACGGGTTTTCGAGCCCGGTACTGGCCACTACCTATCTATTGGCTTTAGAAAGGCCTCGCGCCTCGGGGAATGGCCCGGATAGAACCCAGTTGAACGGAAACTAAAAGCTAACGTTGCAAGAGAAGAGATAATCCCCGTTCTTCCTAAAATTGTTACTTGCTTCGCCCTGGCCTCGAAGCAATCCCATGACCATCAAGGTGAGACTCAATCGGCAGTGAGCCGCAGATGTTAGTGGCATTAATCGGCAACACTACCGAAGTCACGAGTACAGAAGCAAACAACAAAGCTCTGGAAGGCGACGAAGTTTGAATAAGTCATTGGATCGTCGCCATCGTCTGGCATGGCGAACGTCTTAATTCCCCCTCCTGGGACGATGTACTACGGACAGTAAGTCTGAACTGTGATGAACTACTTCAGACTTACATAATCATGAGATTGGCGCCTCTCGAAATTTTGGAAGACTCGATGCAGTCTGTGCAGAGGTATATACCGCCGGCGCTGCTGCTCAGACGGACCCGAGCTTCGCTTCTAAGGTAATCTACATATATCACCGTTATACACAGTAGCTAGGTGAGGATCTTTCTGTCCAGTCAAACCTGGCACCTACAGCTCAATTACCATACAGCGGGTTGGTGTCCGATGTCGGGTGATAATGTGTCTGGTCTGGGTTCTTGTGGATTATATGATCTCACCCCCCCTTCCGCAACGGTCGTGAGGCTCAATCAACTACAGCTAAGAAATGCAAATGCTAACGAATCAAGTAAACGAGGCATTTCTATTCAACGCGAAATACCAGTAAAACTTCAGCCGTGTCTACTGGTAGTATCATGCAGTCTGGAATCAATATGACATCAGTGAGTACCGTCCGCGAATCTCTTGCAAGTCACCAATAGCAGCCTCGCTCTTGCGCAGGGATCGATAAATCATCGCCCTACTGAACTCCACGGCCTTTCCATGTTCGTTACCAGAATCCCTCCCAGTTCGCCCGTTCTTCCTGGTTCGTAGTTGGATTTCCCCAAGGTTTCTCATACAATTTAGCTCTGACTTCGAGAATACGGTTAGGCTCGATATCGATGTAAGTTACCGTTCCTTTGGGGTGCTACAACAAAGTCAATACTGGTGCTTTTCATCACGGAAACGAACACTGGGCTACTAGTGGAGGCTTCTACTTATAATTGGGCTTCTGAATGCCCCGGAGATAGGCGATGATATATGATTGAGAGGAATGAGACCAGATGTCCTCCTTTGATAAGCTGTATTCGATGAAACTTTCGATTCATCCCCAGGAAAGTATATATCCAAAGTATCATGGCGGAACTGGAGCGCACGAGTGCTCCATCAGGTACGCTCTCATGTTCGCGGCAAACTTCTCTTCTACTGATGCCTCCGTTTTGCCAACAGAATGCGGATTTGGAAGATGAGAGGGCGAACGTTGTTCCTGTCGAGCATTCGAAAAGAACTTCTAGACCCAGGGGCAGATGACAACAGACTTTGACAAGGTTCCACAAAGTAAGTACTGTACCAGTGACCCATGGTGTTCGCTTCTTTGGTTGTCGCATCTGTTGCAACTTTCTATAGTAAACTCACCACGGGGTGGGGCAACGTGGGGAAGATCTTCCAATGCAGCGCCGAGAAATCAAGGTAAGAGGGGTATAAAAACCACCATGATGCCATAGACCACCACTCACAACTTACAGAAATGAGTAAAATCGTAGGAACACCCAAGATCGACCATGGGGTTGATCAGAATGGTTCTCTCACATGCTCCATCCCTGTCCAGGTGTCTCCCGCAAAGATGGCTCCTGAGATCATCCTCTCATATCATTCTGCCTCAAACTCTGCATCTGCCATCGGAATGGGCTGGGCAATTACGGGTGTTTCCTCCATCGAACGTGTGCCAGCGACTATCGCTCAAGATGGGTTTCGAGGCGAGTTATTGTCAGTACATTGGGATTAAAAACCTGACTATTACGCATTGTCCCTTAGGCGTCATCAACTACGACAGCAAGGACTGTTTCTCTTTGAATGGCCAGCGCTTAATGAGCATTGGCAACAATGAGTATCGGTACGAACTTGAACAATGGTCAAGAATTGTCGCGGAGGGTTCCGACTCTGCCAACCCTGATTCTTGGGTCGAGTACCTACCCAATGGATCCAAGCGTACCTATGGTGCTTCATCGGTACGTCTCACTGTTGACCGGTTCTCTGAACCTATATTCATTGGAGATGGTAGAACTCCAACATCAAAGCTGTCGGTCAATCAGCCACCCGCGTTTGGAGCGCTACAGAATACATCGACGCATTCTCTAATTACGTTTCCTATTCTTACCTCAACGACTCTTCCCAACCTTCTGGTTCCGGCGCTTTCTATGTCTCTCAGATTTCCTACGGCGGTAATCGCAGTCTCGAAATGGCACATCAGCGTCGACTCGATTTTACATACGAAACTCGACCCGATATCACTGTGACGTACGTTGGAGGAGCAAAAGTGATGATAGACAAACGCCTCGTTTCAATCGCATTGACTGTACAAGGCGCGCTTGCCCATACCTATCGGTTGACGTATGACCAGGCACCATCCACCGGCGTCAGCAGATTGAGTCAAGTTACCATCGTCGATCCATCAGGTGCCAGTGTTCGTCCCCTGAAGTTCTCCTGGGTCAATGGTAACCCAGCCGTCTTCGACAACGTCAAGGCGCCCGTTGTGCTCAACCCGAACGATACTACCGCAGAGATCTACCCCTTGGATGTTTCGGCAAAAGGCAAAAGCGATATCGTTGTCGCATCCAAGCGTCTGTCCGGTGGCGTCCAACAGCTTCATTTAGACGTATACGAGACGGACGTAAACGGTAACATAATGACCACTCCGAGCTCACAGTTCGATGGAATGCAATATCCCACTCAGCTCATCCCACTGGATTTCAATGGGGACGGCCGAAACGATTTCCTGCACATCACACAGCAATTAAACTCCCATACCCTCACTGTTTTGCTATCAACTCCTTCCGGTTACGTGGCTCAAGCGGGTTACGTGTTTACACCAGAGTTTATAGGAGGCAATTTCTACGCCGGGGATTTCGAGGTAGATTTATTGGTGATTGAATGAGCTCGATGCTGACATTCTGTAGGGAAACGGACACGTTGGTCTGGTGTATATATATCAGGTTCTCGTCTCTGGATCACCCCAAATCAAATTTGTGCAGTTCGTTTCAGATGGCTCGAAGTACACGGCGCTAGCTCCTGAGTTGGGCCCGCTCGGCGTTTCCGTGGACTCAGCCAAGGTGGTCACCGGCGATATGAATGGAGATCAGTGAGGCCTTTCTAACGCTTTTCTAACTTTGGCTTACTTATGTGTCGCCAGCGCCGAGGATGTTTTCTTGATCTCTTCCAAATTTGTGCAAGGGAGCAATAGCGTGCATATCGACCTACTTCAGTCACAAGAAGGGCGTCTTGTTTATCGCAGCGATCAACCCCTCGCTGGTGTAGGCCAATCGATAGCGTGGGTCCCCACCATCGCGTTTCTTCCGTATGACGCCGAAGACAATGGCAAGGCAAGCTTGCTCGTTGCGACCAAGGACCTTTCTGGGAACTTGCAGGTACAGATGCTTCGTAGTACAGGCCCTACGCTCCTCCCGCCTGGCGAGCCGATCACAACGAACATTGCCTATAGTGGTAACATAACACTGGCTAGGGCTACTAGCCCGTTTACTGTCGACGTTGTCAACACGTTCGCTACGATAAGCGGCACAACGAATGTCGACGTACTTCGATTCTTCAGCAACAGTTTCGTCAGGGTCACAGGCGTTACTCAACCTGGGGTACACTCGTCCTTCGTTTCATGGGCTGATCTGAGGGGTATTGGACGTGCTGACTGCCTGCTTGCCACCCACGACACCACTGGCAAGTTGAGCATCGCCACTATGCCTTGCTCGACGCTGCAGCCCGTCGACTACGTGACTGGTTACGAAAATGGTCTTGGCGCGAAAGTAAACGTCACGTACGCGCCACTCAGTGACCGGACTACCTACACCACGGACGCTACACCCGAAACCGACAACAACGAGGTTGGATCCCCTCTGTCCGCCATCAATGGTCTATCCCGGAATGTATCGTTCACTTCAGCGCTTTCATCCACCTCTGCATCCCCAATTTCAGCAGTCGCAGCTCATTCACGCTCACAAATTGTTTACTTTCCTTCCTACGTTGTTTGCCAGCTCTCCCAGGCTCCATATGCTGCACAGCCCAGCGTCCTCGACGAGACACGATATACTTACAAAAACGCCCGCTACTCCTACGAAGGCCGTGGATGGGAGGGTTTTGAAAGCATTACCAAGATAAGCAAGACGTTGGGTTCACAGGTAAAGACCGAGTACTATCAGGAATTCCCTCTTCTTAGCCGGACGAAATATGTGTCTTCCGCTGTGGCGAATACCAGCACACTGCTTCAGACCACCTCGAATGTCTGGTCGTCCATCTCGGGGAACAATGGCAAAACTCAGCATATTGCTCTATCCTTGACCGAGGATAGCTACTACGAGGGCGGTGTACCTAGTTACGATGTCAACGTAACCTATCAAAACGACTCGTTCGGCAACATCACAAGCACAATCATCCAGACGCAGGCCAGCGCCTCCCCTCTTACCATTTTGTCGGAATATCAAAACGACACTTCGTCTTGGGTGATTGGCAACAGAACGAGCGAAATCGTCAAACAAGGAGATGTCGTCCTTAAACAGACAAATTACACATATGCTCCCAAATCAAGTACGGTCACCGCAAATAGCCAATGGGTCAAGGATAGTATATGGATAACTCAAACCATGGAACTCGATGTCACAGGAAACGACGTCACCGTCAGTGGGCCGGGGCCGTCTCTCCGGAAACTTGCTTACGATAACACGTACACGCACTGCACTTCTTCAACGGTTCACACGTCCGCAAATAACACGCTTACGGAAAGTGCTACATATGACCTTACTATAGGCCAGCCGATCACCTCGACAACTCCTAATGGTGAAGTAACAACTCTCAAGTATGATGTATTAGGACGGGTAGTTGAGACCTCCTTGGGCAACAAGGTTGTCGCAAGGCGATCATACGAAGTCCAAGGGAACGACTTCCGCAAGGTCGAGGAAAGTCTTCTGGACTCGCCCCAAAGCGCCTTGTACAGGACCGTTAGCCACATCGACGGGTTGAACCGCGTATGGAGGACAGAGAGACCAAGGCCGGATGATCCCACCGACATCATATTCTCAGACATAGAGTATGACGGCGCTGGTCGCCTTACGCGCTCGAGTCGTGATTACTTCTCAGGATCCACTCCACCATACGCCACTGCGAGTTACGATGCCCTATCCAGAGTCGTGCAGAAAACCATGCCTCCAGCGAGCTCGGAAGTTCTGCCCCTTACCATCACATATAATTACTCCTTCGACAGCGGAAGGACAAAGGTTGTAGAGACTCGTTCCGATGGCAACGCCTCGAACGATGCCACAACTACTCAATACGTGCAGGCCCTTCCCAACCCCCAGCCTTCCAGCCAAAATGTCGTACGGAACTTTATCGTCGAAACCGTTGACGAAGTCGGGCAACCAGTCCAGACCAGCTACGACGCGATGGGAAGGCCTATCTTAATTACTGATGCAGGGGGAGTGCAGCTTGCTGTTGGTTGGGATGGACTATCCCGAATTATAGATAAGAAGATCTCTCACCCAGTCAGCGGCACGCCAAAGGTGACCCAACATACATCAGTCGTTTTTGACGATCATACCTTCCAGAGGACTGTTACCAACAATCTGACCGCAACCAATGTCGTGACAACAATGGATTGGGCTCAGCGGCCGCTCCAGAAGATCACACCGGACGAAACACTAACATTTTCGTACGATACAGGTGGCCAGTATACGAAGGAGCGGCTAGTGTCTGTATCGTCGACGAGGAACATTCAACACGTGTATAACTACGATATTCACGGCAACCTCATCTCCGAGACGCTATCGGTTGACGGTTCATCGTATAACTCAGAATACTCTTGGTCTCTCTCCGGCGGCCTCTTGCAAGCTACCAACCCTGATGGTAGTGTCATCAAGCGTACCCTGCTTATTGATGGTCAATCTGTTAGCAATATCGACCTCCTCGACTCGAGCGGTAACAGGCGTGCATACGTGGTATTCGACGATTACAGCGACGTCTTTAGTAGGCCTCTCAGATGCACATTTGGGAACGGCATTATCGCAACGGCTACCTTGGCTCAGAATGGTACGGTCGCCACCCTCTCGCTTGATAAGAACAACAATCCGGTACAGTCTCAATCCTGGCAAATTGATGCCTTTAGTCGCGTCCGTAGACATGATACCGTCACACCGTCCATGGTGCCCGGCGAAGGTGAAAATTCCTTTGTTTATAACTCTGCAGGTAAGCAAAGTTGTCGTCGTGACGGAGTAGGCGGGTGGCTGATTTTTTTCTAGGGCAGCTCACTCAGCGTAGTGTGAATGCTAACCTCCGATCTCAAGAGGGGAAAAAAACACCGGAGCTCTTCGCATACGACCAAAGTGGGAATCTAACCCGGAAAGGCGATCTCTTGTTCGTCAATAATGGTTGGCAACTTTCTGAAATTCGCAATCAGACTGGGGCTACGCAGTACACCTTCGAATACTCCGATGATGGAAATATGGTCTCGAAAGTCGACGCTGCTGGTCAGATCCAAAGATCGATGGCATACAACTCGGATGGTCGACTTTCGGATCTCGACGGGACCTCCTTTGTCTACGACTTCAGCGGTCGTTTGATCAAGGCAACTCTACCCAATGGCGATGTTCGCATCTATCCGAGTCAATCATATGAAGTTGACATTGCTGCCAGCGGGGAGAAGACTCACACTTCCTACATCGTCCAAGGATACAGACGCGCTTCATCCTCCTCCTCGCAGACGTCGTCTTCGGTCCTCTACTACCACACCGACCACTTAGGTAGCACAGTCGCTGTTTCCAACGTAGCGGGGGACGTTGTCACCGAGTACGAGTACGACCCCTACGGGCAAGTTCGCACCATCAAAGGGTCTGACGTGTCGCGTTATAAGTTCTCTGGAAAGGAGCAGTTCGGAGGTTTGTATTACTTTGGGGCAAGATTCTATGACCCCGACGTAAGCCTCTCATACTCATACTCATACTCATACTCAAACGATATATTGGGATATTGATATCGTATCCAGATCGGTCGCTTCTTGACATTGGACAATTATGCCATAGATGTCAAGGGGCTCCGACCTTCGACCTTCAATATGTACACATTTTCACGCAACGATCCTATCAATTACATTGACCTCAATGGGAACGTTCCCTGGTGGCACTGGTACGCCTTCCTGCTCATTGATACTCTGACCCGTCTGATTTGATACCAGGCTTGTTGATGCCTTACTCGTCGTCGCCGGAGTCGCTCTCATGTTTGTGCCAGGCGTCAATGCTATCGCCGTTGGCGTTGTTACAGGTGCCCTTATAGGGGCAGGAGTATCTGGATTCAGTTACGACGTTTCAGCATCTATCTCGGGCGAATCAAACGACAAGGATTGGGGAATACAACTTGGCATTGGCGCAGTGATAGGTGCTATAGGTGGTGCTGCGTCGGCTGGAATTGACGTCATGCTGCCTGCCGCGTCGTTCGCTAATCTAGCTGGGGCGACGGGAGCAAATGGTTTGAAGGTTGTTGGCGGGTTTGTACTTCGGACAACCGCTCGAATGGCTCTACAAACTGGGCTCAGCAGCGGGCTAAGCGCTTTGAACCAGGTTGTGCAGAACGCAATAAGTGGTCGTCCACTTGGTGAGGGTGTGGCCGACGCTGCCGCTACTGGCGCATGGCAAGGTGCGGCTCTTGCAGGTAGGTCTTTCCAAGCGACTGTCCTACCGCAACTAATTTTCTGTCAGCCGTCGACTTTGGCTTTGGAGCCGCAAGCAGAGAAAAGACAGCGGTGAACAAGTTCTGGCAAAAGAAGGGCAGCTACGACCTAGTCCCTGCTAAGTTCAATGGAACGAAGCTAGCACTCGACCTTGGTAACAGGGTCACTAATCCCGGTGGTCAGGTCGCGCTCAATTACGCTGCTTCCACAATCCAGAATGATCAGGACCAGGACCAAGCGGGACCGCAAAACAATCAGAGTGCTCAGAGCAATGCACCTGGTCAAGTCAGCACCACGATGCTTGGCTCCCAGATTTCGTCCTTCCCAAGGTATATTCCTATCCAAAATGTCAGCCTGCTGTAGCCACACGGCCTGTAACCTTTGTCGAGTAGAAATGAGTGTAGGCCGTACTCAGAATCAAATTACGTTTCTCCGAGACTTAGTTCTAAACCAGTAGCGGTAGAGGGTAAACTTCTCCCTTTGCAGTGGACGTCGAAGGCGGATGAGCATAGCCAACAATTAACTAGATATATTACTGACCTATATAAAGATACACCAACATAACATAAAATAAGTCTAAGACGAATGCTCCAAATCTTGGCAACGAACGATTTCCTGGTCAGCGTCTATGCTCCCACCTGCACCGATGGGTGCGCGACGGCGTCGCTGCCTTTCCGGACGGCTGCCGCCTCCTATGCCACCAGTGACTATCTTTCCGGAGGACTGTCCGGAAAGGTATTTGATCTCCTCGAAATCATTTGTAGACTGGGCTTGCAAGAACGCAGCGGAAGGGGCGCGGTGTACGAGACAATCGGGCTGAACGAAAGCTGCAGGTGTTGATGGCATGTTGCCTCCTTGCATAGATGATGATTTTTCTTCTCGCAAGAACGACCCCCCATCAGTTTTTTCCAGCACTTTCAATATATCTAGGCTTTCTCCAGGTGAGATGGGGGTGGGTTGCGACGGCGTTACGCAGGGCAAGTCGACTTCTTTGCGTAAAACATGATCGATGTCAACGGCGGAGAAGAAAGCCACACTCTGGGGAAGATCGTCCATGCCTAGCTTCACGGCGAACATACTTCTTGTCCACAGGTTCGCCACCTGAAGGGCCAAAGCGACTCGGTATTTGTCCTCTTCCTTCACCAAGTATCGCAGCTCGTCATGCACGGATATGAGGAAACGGGCTTGAAGGTTGTAACGGCGGATGAGATGGTCCATTGAAACGATGAGGAGATGAAGGTAATCCACGCCAGACGATTGAACTACCCAGTTGATTCGTGAAGGCATATAATCGGAGCCAAAGTCGGGGGGAAGGTATTTCTTAGACAGCGCATGGGTAACGCCGCATCCAAGGGCAGGGGTCTCAGGCGAGTCTGATAGCGCAATTTCTTCGAGCTTGTTGAACACAAAGCTTTCCGTCCCTCCAAACCAGAATTTGCGTCCGAAGATATCGTTACGATGAGTATTCTTGCCTTTCGTCGATGCGTATAGATTCTCAGCGAGCTTCTGTGCTTGTTCAGGTAGCATACCGGCGTTTGATTGCAGGAGAAGGAGGATAGCGTGTCGCATACCGGCACCATAAATGCGCGAGTAGTTGAAGACTTTGGCGTCATCGCGAGAGATACCGAGGATATTGGCTGTCTTGCTATGAAGATCTGTTCCGGAGGCCTTCGTGCCTTCAAGCGTCATCCAGCCCAGAGCTGTCGCTCCGTGCAACCCGAATTGAGCGTCGCCCATGCAGCTAGATATCCACAGTTCCTCCGAATCGACGTCCGCGCCAACGATAGCATAGCCTGGGGGAGCACGGACCATAGCCTTGAGCTCTGATCCAACGCGATTCTTCTTAGCATTACTGGCAGTGAGCCACGTCTTCTCGATTGCCCTCCGAGTAACGGTGCCCATCGTGATCATCTGAGGTAGGATGATTCCCCACTTCTTATCCTCACTCGGCTTGTCTGCAACTCCCAGCGTTCGTTTGTCGTCTTGCCAAACAACCATCTGGCCCAGAACGCGATCTCGAGCACTGATCCAATAACTACATTGCGCGTTCATATCCAAGGCTTCCGTCGCGGTCTTATCGGGACTCTTCAATGTTCCGTCCTGCGCGAACTTCATAAAGGGCTTGGACAGAGGATTACCAACGTTAGCTTTATCTCCGTCCTTATGAGGCAGTTTGTAGAAAACATATCCGCCCCTCAGTGCCATTTCCGCGAGGGTATCGTCCGCGGGGTCGTAGAATGTCAACGGTGAAGATCGAGTAGTGAATTTGCCGTTCGACGGGACGCGGAATGTCCAGCCGTGCTCTCGAGATTTAAAGAGGGGATGACCCAACCAGGAAAGTCGTAAGAGTATTGGCGCAAGGTGGGAGCGAGTAGTGATATCAAGGGTCCCTGGAGGTAAGCCTTTCTGCGGGGCCGTAGCGTCCCAGTACCACTTCGGCCACACTTCGACATACTTCGGCGCTTTGACCTTCGTGCTGGCCGCCCTTCCGTGTTTCTTCGGGGGAGTATAAGCAAGGTCATCCGGTATCTCAACGAGCTTCCAATCGAGGAGCGAAAGGGATGGGTCATCCTTTCCGGTCGTGCTGTATTCGTCTAAGATACGTTGCGCGTACTCCAAGACTCGGGCTTCCAGATCCGGGTCCTTGTCGAGCGAAAGGGCGGTGGCAAGCTCCGGGTCTTTTGACGTCAACCGCCCGCTCTCTAGCGCAGGAATGAGATGTTTCGGCGACATGATGGTATGAATCTTAGTGTTAACAGCAGTGGGGAGCCGTTTCACCTCGTCGTTTTCAATATAATGCCACGACTCGGTTTTAGAGGAAACTAAGGGATGTCCATCGTATTCGAGTTTCAATAGTAGGGGAAGCATTCTCGTCTTGATTGGGCCGGATAGTAGAGGGCTTTTGCGTAGCTTTGCATACCAAGTAGGGACAGTGATGAAACGTGGTTCTTCTGATGTGTGTGCTTTGGTACTAGGGGCTTTGGGAACCGGCTGGCATAGATTTAGCGCGTCAGTCAACGGTCTACAAAACGAGCTGGATAAAAATATTTACCTTGACCTCAACATCTGCGACTGCAGCAGGTATTATGCCTCGCGACTTCTTGGGTACTTTAGGTGTCCAATCTAGCTGACTCAACCAAGGATCGGACTCCCATTCGCCCCCTCCTTCAGGTCGCATCAGCCTTCTGGCTTCTTCCGCTAGAAGCTTAAGTTTCGCCTTCACGCTTTCCGCCATACCTTGATACACCGATTCGGCGCGTTCGATGTATTTCTCCCATTCTTCATTAACACAGAGGAAGCTGCTACCCATGGTGAGGATGCCCGCAAATGACACTGGATGAGGACATGAGTGAAGGAACGCAGGCAAAACACGCTCGAACACCGAATGGGTGACATGGACGTCGGTGGCGCAATACGTTAGATAGTCCGTAAGACCGGCGAGAATTGCCGCACGATCGAGCTTCATGAAGTCGTTTCGGATTTCCTTGTCCATTTGAATGCCGCAGTGGAGTTTTGCGACATCCGCAAGTGAATTAGCGGATGTAATGTCTTCCCATCGTTTGGAGTCCGTCTCACCGTCCGTCTCAACTGAAGTCCATAAGCTCTCAGAGAGCTCCACACGTAGTTGCTGCAGCTCTGATTCGCGCTGGGTATCCTGAGGCGACTGCAATTCATCGTCGCACTTCGCTAGCATCTCCAGCAGCGTCTCCTGCGCCTCCTCTTTCTGCGTCTGCTCCGTCTCCTTTGACTTCTTGTGCCTCACCCAGGCGGGGCGCTGGTTCGACGAGATCCCTTTGACAGCGACATGCAGGGCCATCGTGTCAAGGAACCGCGTCTTCGTCGGCGCCAAGTCGTACTCCTCAAGGATCCGCGCGCGGTCATATGAGACGTTGTGTCCGACGACCACACGTGCGATGTCTCTGTCCCCCATGGACACCAGCTGTCGAGGATCGTCCGTCTGGCCGAGTAGCCATGGGGATATCCACGCGTACCAGGCATTGGGTGAAGCCGCGCAGGCCATGATAGCGTACGAGTGCTCGTTCGGCAGCGTCTCGACATCGAACGCGAGCATCGTCTCGTGAGCTGGGTATTCGACGTGTTCGCTGTAGCTCGATCCGTCTTCGAGATAGTGGTACTTCGTCCAGCCTGCCTGGATATCCCACTGCTCTGGCAAGGGCGGCAGAGTCGCGTCGGCAAAATCCTGGGCAAGTGACAACCACGGCTGCGCCATGTCGGAGCCAATGTTGTGGAAATGGTGGAGGAGCGAGGGGCCCTGTAATGCGGGTAAATCGAATCCGACGTCGGGCAGAACAGACCCTTGGGTCGGGTCGAGGCCATGGGACTTGATATGCTCTCTTGCGATATTGACGAAGGACTCTGGTGGAGAGGGGAACGAGACGTTCTTGAAAACCTGCTCGTGCAGCTTTCGCGAGAGTAACTGCACTCCCAGCTCGTTTCGCTTGACTGGTTCCATGTCACTTTTTACAGGCAAATACAAAGAGACCATGATACTCACCTCGCTGCACCGCTGTCGCCCTCGCTTGACCCTCCCGCTGCGTGACATTCTCCTCCCTAATTTCGTGTCGCTTCGTCGATACCGGTCGCAAGGGCTTGGGCTTGAGGGCTTGGAAGGAGTTGGGGGAAGAAGTACAAAGCCTCCTAAGCAAACTAGGACATCGTTTCCCAATCGTCTGGCCTCCTTTGAGCATTCGTAGACCATGCAAGTTCGTAGGAGGAGCTTGGAAAATTCCCTGGGCGGCAAACGCTGGAAAAAGCAAAATAGGGGCTTTGCCGCGTGATTTACTCGTGACTTTTCCTAGGGGCTTATTAGGGTCTCTCCTCCTCGTTCCCACCCCTCGCCCCACTGTAGCTCAGTATGAGTGCTCGTATCTTTACTTTTGACCCAAATCGCCAGAGAGAAGCAGCATGTATCCTGTCAGATGCTCTTCGCGATCTCGGTTATCCCCATGCTTACATCGGCGGTGAGTGTACTTTCTCCTAATTCTAATTTATTCTGATATCCCATAGGATACGCTATGCGACTCTTAGGCAGCACTCGGTTCACAGAGATAAGTATTTGCGAACCTAACTTACTCCTTGGAGGCTGAAAGAGCAGTTGGACACGATATCGACGTCCTCATAAAACCAGGAAAGGAAGAAATGAAGCATATTCGGCAGAAACTAATTGAAGTTGACCCCCACTTCGCAAACATAGGCGTGTTCAAGCTTTACTGCCAGATACTCGAGTAGGTGTTTAACACTTCCACCACATATGTACTAAGATACCGCCACTGTGACAGCCCCGACGCGCCCGCACCCCAATCTGAGGCTCGAGCCCATGTCCTTATAGAAACACTGGCCACCGGGAACCTTGGTCTCCCAACGGCTCCTGAACCCACGCTGCAATTCTCGACACAAGGTCCGTAGCTTTAAGCTTTAGCCTGCAGCCACTAACGACCCCGAGTCAGATCTCCCCATCGAACTGCCCGTGCTTCACCCCTCCGTCTTGATCCTGACCAAGCTCAAACGGTGGACGAATATCTTCGCATCGAGCCGCCCCAAGTCACGCAAGAAAGCGGCATCTGATCTCGTGGACATCACGTTCCTCGTCCAACACTGCGGGGATAAGCCGATAACCTCACAGAGGGAATTGAGATGTTAGCTTAGTGATTACATTAAATAAATTCCCATTTACATCTGCGGCGGAAATGAGAAGTAAATGTAATTAACATGTAAAATAAATTCACACTTCCATCGGGGAAGATAATCAGAAAACCTCCTGAGATAGCAACCGGAAGTTATCGAGAAAGATAATCTAAATATCATCCGGCTATGTTCTGAATTCCCTCGTCGAGGGAAATCAGGATATCTTCTGATTACCACGCAAGATGATTGGCAGAAGATAATCAAATTGCCATCTTACCATCCTCGGCGAGGGTATCCTGATGGAATTCTAATTTTCTTTTATCTTATCTTCGGGCTACCCTCGGCGATGGTATTTAGAATATCCGAGGTATCTATATCAGGCAATTTTTTATCTGTACCTCATGTGACTTGAATCATCGGCATCTTCCGCACCCGATCGCCCCCCAAGTCACGTCGCGGACTCCGTGATCCGTTTTTTCCTTCTTTCCTTCTTACCACCACATACACCTTTCCTGTAGATACTATGAATATAATGAATATATACATAACGCACATGTAGCAAACAATACATACTGTCCAAAATAATAGACATCAGAGAATGACGATTAAATTGACACTCCACATGCCTGAGCTCACGACCAGTATGCACATCGTTGTATATTAAGAAAGACAATCATTATCATTGTTATTCTCTAAGTCATTACTACAAGTTCATCTATCTACTTATTATTGCTATGTAGCTTTACCCAAGATCTACCCATACTTTTGCTGCTGATTTACACAAGTACTACTACTACATTACAGCCGTGAATCAAGACCATGTTGTCCCTTTCTATCAAAAGAATATCAATAGATTTGGCTAGCGTGTAAATGCGAAAATGAGCGTCGAATTCATACCGTACGTGTTTCTGTACTTACTTTCGAAGTTGTGTTGTCTTTTGCCGTAACTTTTTTCCGTTCAACCAGGCAGTGTAATCTTCGTAACGGTACCACTCATCCACGTAGATGTGGACCGTGATGGCCGCCCATTTCCCCTGAAATCCCCGGATTGTGATGTGTGCGCCGTCCGTGCTTTGATGGCGTCCATTGCTGCAAATGCTCAAATCAGTTAATATTCTCATCAGGTAAGCTACGTACATTATCACCCATGTGCTCAATTGCTCAACATTATACCCCAGACGCTCGCTCATCTCTTGCTTTGTTTGATCGCGAGTTAGAAAGTTCAATGTCACTTTGATCGTTTGTCGCTGGACGTCTCGTTGATTCGAAAGCAGCGATTTGACCATAGAAAGACGTGTCATGCTGGTGTTCAAATGGTAGTGTTGGTAGTGTTGGTTTGTTGGCGAGTCTGCGTAAATATCGCACCTTCACGCGTTGGTGACAACGACAGACGGACTCACGTTCGTTTTCGTTCACGATCGGAGAGCACTCACAGCTGCGCACGAAATATAGGACGTCAGTTCTTCAACTCACTCACTCACGATCAATGCCGCCCACAGTTCCTAGACCAGTCGTTCGCGATCGAACGGGCAGATGCGAATGGCGAGAACGCGCAGGCAGACGAAGAAAGGCGAAACGACGGTGAAAGCAGGGAAAGAGAGAAAGAAAGAAACATGAACAAGAAAGCGAACGTTAACGGCGTGCGAGCAAGAATGGGCGCGCAATGAGCAGGCGCAACGACGCACCGATACAACCAACGTCGGGAACCGAAGGCTAGGTGGGACTCCCAATGAGCACGAGTGTTCACAAGAAGACAAGGAGTAACGCACACCACTCTTATGGGTTTCCACTCCCACATTCGCAAGGCAACATAATTGCTTGGGTCAGTGTCGAAAACAAACAAGTTCAGTAACGACAAGAGCATCCACGCCTCCTCCAGCGTACCTTCCATTGGGACACTCACTCCTTCATTCTCAATTCCATCATTCACAACTCCTTCCTTTGAGCTCCACTTCGACCTCAAAGTTCCGTTGTCGCGCCTGCCAACATCTCTGCTGGACCTGGTGCGACCTTCGTTCCAACGCCTGTTTCTCCTGGTGCTGGCCTTGGCGCTGCTAACGAAATGTCTAAATCGCTGGAAGCCGCCGCGTTGATGATTGCCAAGGAGGTGGTGGACAACGGTGAGTGGGCTCTATGCTGGTTTGCCAATGTACAAGCAACCGCTCACCTGCCGCAGGCGGAGGCTTGGCACGCCGACATCCATTTTATCGCTCACCTTTTGTCACGATTACCCAACGTTCAAGGGCCGATGGAACTGCGAGACCTCTTCTCACTGGGTGTGTTGTTCCCTTTCTGAATCTATGCAGCGCGATTCTGACATGTCTCCAGCTACCTCATCCACCTCGCCTGAGCGTGTCTTACAACTTACGGAGTCGCCAATGATTACTCTAGCCAAAGGGGATACTCTTGTTCACATCCAGCCCACGGCCATCGCATTCTGGGAAAAGTTGGGTTCGGGGCCTAAGGGTGGTAAGAAGGATGTTACCGCTTATGCTCTGTTTCAAGAGGTCGACGAGTCGCATCGCTCGTCCGTTGCAAATTGGCTTCGGAACCTCTCAAGCGAGTAGCCAACTGCGGTAGCGTATGTGATTTGCAACCGACGAGTACGGCCTCATATGTGGCCGTTACAACTCACGGCCCAGGGTTCTGGGTTGACAAATCAAGATCGGCCCTCACGACACTCACGCACGGTCTACGAGACAAGTACGGCGGCGGAGCGTCGTTTGGATCTCACGCGCTCGTCCTCCCACGCGTACTCGAAGGCTCACATGAGCTCATGGCTTCGGCGCCAACGACCCACAGATCTAGAGTCGCGCGGGCACGAGCAGCTAGCGAATAGGGAATGCGGCCTAGTCAGTAGATAGCGAGCGCCTCGTCTCGTTGGTTTGTCTAGTTTGCGGCATGTACGTATACCTATCATAGGCTTGTGTTGATGGATAAACCGGTCGGCCTGTTATTTGGTGTGTACGCGCCTTCTAATCTAAGTTCAATTCATTCGATACGGCTATCCGCGAATGTAAATGAGTGCCAGTTCGCGAGAGGAGTTTCTGGATCAATGACTTACATAGTATTTGCTCTTTGAATCCAATTACCCTCCGTAGTGACATTGCCCTATGTGGGAGGGCATGTACCGTGCTATATCTACCGCTTATGTCTACTCCACGTCATGCCCATGAGAAGTAGTCGCGCCGTGGCAGTTTACATTACACCCCTAGCATGGCCGGGGTGATGATCCCTGCGCATGTATCCAGTATTGTAGTTGTGAATTAATGAGTCGGCGGGTAGTCCAGTTCGTGGTGTATTCACCTACTGTACTGTAGGTATACTATTCTTATCTTATCGTAGCTCATGTGACTTGAATCACGTCGGCATCCCCCGCACCCTTTCTTTCCTGAAGTGACGCGACGCGACGGAGCCCGAAAGTTTTCCCTTTTGCTTTTCAACCATCACCACTCCAGGAGTACATACACATTTGTCCATAGAATATGTCGAGGTTGCTCATTATACATGGATATATATTGTAGTTTAGTACTAAATAATCAATCCACAATCCCTGAACAACAACGGAGTGAAAGTCATGAGGTCGTCCAACGCTTTCAACCATCAGTAACGTTGATGTATTTAAACTTTATCGAGAGACACTCGAGATTCCCGCATGCGCAGGTAAAACGAATACGAAAGGATACGAAAAGACATATTTTCATCTACCCAGCCCTATCTTTATTTTTCCAGTCAGTCACTAGCCGTAAGATAATATCTCGGTCTAACGCACGACCACAGGAGATTTTTGTGATGGAACAAATGTCCAGCTTCGAAGCCATTTTGTTCCCTTCGGACGGACGGCTGCCACATATGGTACGTACAGTCGTCGTTGATATAGGAACCCCTCTGACAATTACCACACGTTCACAGGTATCGCTCACGACGAGGTAATAAGCACGATTATCGCTAATTGCTTTTGAATTCATTGCTTCCTCTTTGTTAGCCCAACCACGATGTCGGCTCACCATTCATCTTTCACTCTCAGTCCTCTACGCATGCCTCACCCGGAGGAGTTCATGGACTATATTGCCAAGGGCTTGGGTTCACGCGCATGGAGATACCAGGTTTGTTTGTACCGCTATCTATTATCATGCAATTGACAATGTAAAACCTTTCAGTTGGTAGAAGCGTTAGATGGCATGCATCGCAAGTTTACCCACCCCTACATTATATTCTACCCAACCGTCTCCCAGGATGGCCTACCTTTCCCCATCAACAACCTCCTTCGCGAGATTCAAGGGCCTCTCTTCCGAGAGGAAGTGGCCTGGCGAGGCAACATCATCATTGCTAAATACCGCGACGAGCCCTTTTCTTCAATGACCAATGCGTCCATAGCTGACTTCCCCATCCTAAAAAACTATCTCATGACGCACGGCTCACCTGTTTATTGCTGAATTGTCTTCCTCTGTGTCGGCACAGTCTATATATTTTGATCATCATCGTATTTTTTGCAACGACGCATCTTTTTGCGCGGTATAATACTTTCATTCGCATTTTGTCGTTTCCGGATTCTATTGCCCTGCTTTACATACTCGCTACACGATGTATCTACAGGGTATTATACCTATAATACCTCCAACATATGTTCACCTTCTTTCGTGTGAAAGTATTGAACTCAGAAAATCCGGGATTGCTCGAGAGTTGTCTAAAAACCATCTTACGAATGCAAACAGATCATCATGTGGGTTGCGGAGCGCAGTGTGCGCGTTCGTACGAGTGTAGGCCCATGGAGGACATAATTCTAGACACAGACCTTGCCGGCTTCTCAGTGGAGGACGTGGAGTTGACGTTTGAGGATAGATGCCTGGCTCTCGTCGCGGCGAGGCAGGCAACGGATGGTGGACCAGATCGGCGACGCTCAGGCTACTACCGCGTGAGGCAAGGGACGGTACGCACTAGAGTGTCTCATGGGGGTAAATCATTGACACTTGCAATTAGCGGCTAACCTTCTGCGGCATGAAGAACGGCGTGCTACGCCTGATTTTTGCACTAGACGAGAAGTCGATGGAGCGTCCTACAATTGGGGAAGGTAGAATTGTGATCCAAGGTTAGTCTTATAAACTTGATGAGGGGCCACCGGACTCACTACGCGGTAGAGACCATCCACGGGGAATACATGTAGCTATAGGGCCTCCACCCCGAACTCATTGCATACTGTGCTTAACCGCTTAGGATCAAGAGTCCCGGGCGGGCACTCCAGATTCTATAACAGGACGTTATTTGGAAGATGGAACGCAGAAGAGACCAAAAAGGATGGCGGGCGCGTACGAAGGACATGGGATCACCTAGCATCCGAATTTCTAAAGTCCTACGATTTACACTCTATGATGGCATAGAATGGACGTCACTACACGTTACACATCGTGGCGCCGCGTGTAGAAGTGGAATTACTGGACTACCGTATCCACTGGATCGCTTCAGATGCCCAACATCGTCGCATTCCTTGCCAGAGGCCTTGTTACACAGCGCTGCCAGGAAGCAGGGGAAATGCAGTCCCTGGTGACTTGGCGCATAGTACGCAAGGCAATTACAGTTTCAAGGGCATCCGTGCCGTCGTCAGTTTCCTGTCTCCCGTTCACTCAAGGAAGATCCAACTCATAATCTGTCGGCGCAATGTCATGGAAGTGATCCTCGGGTTCCACTCAAGTATGCCCCTCACACCGTCCCTCTTCTTTATCTAACTCTCCCGGATAGCGGTCGTCATGAACCTGATCACAGCGTCTCATGCTTACAGTCTGTACGGCGAGGAGACACTGGAGAGGAAGATATCTCTCCCCGTTGACAGCGCACGCTCAGATCTTGCAATTGGGAACCTCGAAGCCGCAAAGAGTAAATATGTGGCTCGTGGTTGGACGATGATCCCAACGCAAGCTGAGGCCTTGCGGCGGAAGGCATTCAAAGGATGGACGGCTAGACATGTGGGCGATTCAAAATGTTGGGTGGTCAACCTGCCGGTGAAGCGCGCGGACTTGTTCAAGACGACGGACCCCCTGCGCAAGAACGAATGGGCGCTGGGATATAAGTTCGGCGTGCCAATGATAATGCTTCAGTTGTGAGCATGGGCATCTCCATCTTTCCTTAGAATTTTGATGCGAGTCCTGAGACTAGGTCTTATGATGATTAGTCCGGCTGAACATGTGGATCCTGCCAAAGCTTTTCGGTGGTATATATATTACAAGTTCGAAGTCCATTGATGTATTATAGTCCCTATATATCCCCCTGTCTCCTTGCTTGCATTCAGGAGTTTCCCCCTTAACCTCGTTTCATGTTTGGCCCACTCAACGCCAGTCTGGATCCATCATATACGTATACGTATCTAGAAGGATTATATATAGCACCTACATATGTACTCATTGTGTACCAATTCATACGTGTGTACTTCTGTTTCTCCGAGATGTTGCTCGCCTATGAGCTCATGGCTTCAATCCCCATGTTATAATGTGCGCGCACTATCTTCTGTTTCCGACATGGGAACACTAACTTTGCTTGCATATTAGATCGGAGACGTGGCTATATATAAACTTTGTATTTCGATCGTTCTGCAGATGTTGGATCTAGATAGCTTCCTCGAATATATATTGTGTATCTGATCAAATCTTGGACCCACAACTATTAGCGCCATGTGGCCACGATGGACCCACAGGATTCTGCCGCGCGCACAAATTTACCTCTTCATTCGAATATCAATATCTACGCTTCTTCTCATGCCAAAAACAAACTAAGTTCCGGAAAGGCCAGTTGAGTTGTTTGCAAGCTGGGACATGACCATGGCCTAAACACGACTATAAACAACTACGGGCATAATTGTAAGTATCCGGTTCATAATTTTGTCGGACTCTATATATGAATAGTCCGTGGTTATTGAGCTCGCATTCCTCGGCAATTAATGCTCCTCGTATATGTACACGTTTACATGTACATGTGTACACCCTCCCATTATCGTGGGCATCAATATATATTTGAATGTTCATGCACAAGTGTTTGCCGCAATGTAACACTATAGCTATGTGGTCGCGATTAAGTGTACATGTGTACATGTAGTCGTTACTCGTATATCTGTCCTTGTATACGTAGGTGGTTCATTAGATAGATACATTGCGCCCCGAAAAAGTCATTGCGTAATACGCCACATATATATATATCCACCCCCGCGATAGTGAAAAGCAGACATAAATATGCACTTCGTCAATCGAGTTGCGCATTCCCTGGCATGAAAATTGGCCCCACGGCTTTGCCAAGGTCTCTGTCGCCATCACCATTGTCATCGTTATCGCCTGGTCCAATGAACTTGTTCCAGTGACGCCGCAAAAAAACACTCAAAACTACAAGGAAATTCTGGATATTTGGATGAGTTTCGCCTAAAGACCCCCAGACTTGCCTGGCACATCCATAAATCGCTTCCTTAGCATCCGGGTGATCTAGTGCCAGTCCTCCCAAAGGTAGGACTATGCATATTAACACGAATATGATCGTGTACAGAATGGCGCCAATGCGGGATGCCGCAGAATATAAGGTCGTCGTATCATGGGTCTTTGCCCGCACTGTCAGTGTCGCCGTCTCGGTTGTGAATACGGTCGTAGTAAGGGTTGATGTGTCTGCGCCCATGACTGTTGAGGTGACAGTTGCCGTCTTGGTTACAAAGGATGTAGAGGCGGCGGGGAGTGATACGATTGTGGCTGTCTCCGTCACTGTTGTAGTTATGGTGGGATATGCGGCAGGCTTAGGGGGAGCTTCCACTGAATAAACATGCACTGTGGCTGTCTCTGTTGTCTCTTGAGTGAATTGGATGGCTGAGTATACAGCAAGCAAAACTCCCAATATAATGGTCGTCTTCAGCGACACAATTGGTGCCGCTCTTGGCACGTCCGTCGGAGATGACGAAGAAGAGTCAAAGGTGTCTGCTTCTGATGCTGCCGCACCCTCGCCGTGAACACTATCGATATCGATGGGAACACTGTTGAGATCCAGATTCATCGGAGGTACCAAAGGCGGCGCATATGTAAGGGACCTCGCAGTTGGTGTGTTTGGTGCCACAAGTGAGCCCTCGCCGACGCTGCTGAAAGCACCTTTCGGGCCAACAACTGATGGAGCCGCGGCCGGCGGCAGAGGGGATGCGGGAGCAGGAGAAGGGTCGGGAGTTAGTGTTGATACTTGGGTGTGTCCGGCAGCAGGGCCAGAGGCGGGGGCAGGGTACGGACCAGAAGCGCGAGCGGGGTCAGGAATGGGCACTGGGGCGGGGTCAGGAACGGGTGCTAGTGCAGGGGTGGGAGCAGCGGGGGCGGGGTCAGGAACGGGTGTTGGTGCAGAAGTACTAGTGTGCCCGGGTGTTGTGGGGGTAATTAGAGGGCCTGGAGCCGGCGCAGAAGCCACGGCGGGGGCTGGGGCGGCTTCTACTTTCCAGTTATCCTTCGTGATTATCGAGATGATAGCAGGTGTCAGGCATACCTTGGGGCGGCATCTTCTTTGTAGTGAGGAAGATTATGTCTCCCTTAGAGGCACGAGGGTGTCCGTCACCCATAATGACTAGAATCTCGCCCTGAGAGGAGGTTGCCGCATCCTACACCATCAGATTAGAGACTCCTCGTAATTGATTTCATACTCAACTAATTGACTTACTAAACGAGATAATGCTCGAGTCGAACAACTGTAAGTTACAATGTGGCATATTGACGCGAAAACAATCCTACCTCGTTGGCGTCCTGCCCGTCGAAGATCAACCACTGTAGTCATTATGTCCATGCCGTCGATGTTGGCGAGGACAAGCCTTCGGCGCCTAGAATGACCAATGACCAGTGAGTTGTTTTGGATGAAGCAGACATCCACGGGGAAGTTGTCGTCATCAGACGGAGGATCCCATGCTATACAGGCGGCGATGAAGGCCGACGAGATGGAATAAACTTCAAGGCCTCCGTGTGCGTAAATGATGGCGAAGCGAGATTGATCAGGAGAAATGGCAAAACTCAGACTGTATGAAGCAAGAGTTGTAAATGATAATGACGAGTTTTCGAAGGACAGCTTACATAAAGTCTTGCCGCGTCTCTATTTTCCATAGCATATTATACTTATCGTTGCTGCCATCTTCCGGAGCGGGCACGCGTATCGCTCTTGATGAGAGATCATCATGGGATCGGAGATGGCATGGCGTAAAAACTTACATCACTCCAGTCTTATAGTCACTTGAATTGTGCATCGCAATTATCATGCGGTCGAAATTCCTGCGTTGATAGAACGCCAGACGCCAGGGTGTGCAGGAGCCGCAGTCTATAGATGTTGTCTTCACCACAGCGCCTGTGATTGTTCCTTCAGTTCGCTTTCGCAAAGAGCTGAACCCCCTTTACCATTTGAATCTCTATGAAACACGATCGGACGTTGGTGGATAATGGCGCCCATGATGGTCCCATCCCGAGATAATGCAAGATGATTCACGGGTCCTTCTTGCTTTTCGTCGGTCGTATCTCTCTGGATTACTGTACTGGTACATTGAAACTGTGGTCAATTAGCCTAAATCTCGAGAAAAACAAAGAGATTTACTTACTTCATCATGATCCTTAGTTCTGTAAAATCGATGCGTGCTTATGTCTCCGTTTGAAAACCCAACATGTAGCTCGGTTGGGTCGCTCGGATTCCAGGCGAGAGATTTGGGCTCGCATGGCAGATCTGAGGAAGGCGCTGGGCTTAAACTCGCGATCACATTGAATGGGCTTTCGCATTTGTAGACCTGTCGAAAACACGAGATGAGAACATGACCCACTCAATCAAAGAAGTTACAATCACCTTGGTGCATCCTCCCACTTCGCCAACCGCAACGAACGCATGAGGCTCGGGGGATATCTGCATAGATGTCACTGGCTTGGATCCATTGTCTGTGGACAGAAACAGGTGGAAATCGGTGTCGAGATCATGGTCATACGAAGGGACTGTCATACTCCAACACGAAAGGTGGGGCTGCTCTGATGCGTAATTGTCGATAATATATTCAAAGGGCTACGATTTCACACAAGATTTGTACGGCCGCATTGCCATAGATGTACGGTATACGTATACTGAATTTAGATAGCTATAGATCTTGGTGCATGACCCACGTGTATGACGGCCACAATGATTGTGTCGAACAATGTGTCGAACACATGAGCCCGTAGGGTCATTCGAAGACGTAAATACGATGTCAGATATTGGATCCCCTGATCGGGCATATGCATGGCCATCAACATGTGTATACATACACGAGCAGACATCCCTGCGCGGCCGCGTTAACTCTGTAGAGGGAACGAGGAGACAACATTCCTGATTAATTATAAATAAATATAGAGTGCGCTGTATGCTACCCAGGAACCTCGTGAGGCAAGCGTGAAATAAGGGTTAAAATATATCGCAAGTCGTTCATAGCATCATCGATATTTGTGCCGTCAAGCAATGATTGGATCCCCAAGGGGGCAGCAGAAGAGACGAAGTAAGTTCACTACCTCAGCTCCTTGCCTATACGACGAACACAATCTGTATTGATGTCCATTATAGCCCCAACACAGCTCGATCCACGTCTTTTCGCGCTTGCAAGGCCTGGGGGACCGCTATTTAGTCAAAGTCAGTTACTTGGTTTCAATTCCGGTGATCGGTACTCTCATATTCCAAAGGCGCACGCTTCACCAGCAGTAACCGCGTTCCTGGTCTTCAAAGTCAAGAAACAACGGTCGCTTCGCCCCAAACTTCGCCCGAGGTTGAACCACCACCAACGTCGCATGCTAGCAGTCGCCGGAGTAGTAGCGAACGGTCACTCCGCCAGCCTTCACAACGGCCTCGAAGTGGGTATTTCCTCCCTCAATGTTTTTCTTCCATCCTGCCATATTGATGTTTAGAATCAGACAGTACTTCTGTATACAGCAAGCTGAAGACACCCCCATCGCACAGGGGCGGAACATCTGTCCAGGCTGTATTTAGGGTTCAAGTCAACCGAGGAACTGACGAGGACACCGACCAAACGCGAGGTGTCTTGGCCGACTCTCCCCTATCCGAAGGTCGCGGCATCGGAACGGCATCGATGGAACCACTAAGACGGGGGGACAACGCTGAGCGATGGCCTCCAAGTGTGTATCCTCCTTCCATGCTCATATCCTACGATATTGATACCTAGAATTAGCGAGTGTGTCAGGGTACCGCAACCTCAAGACTCTCCCATTGCGTAGGGGCGAGACATCCGACCAGACCGTCTTTAGGCCTCAACTCAATCGAGCCGATGAGGACACCCATGTGCAAAGCGAACAAGCGCAAGGTTTTTGGGCCAACCCCCTCATATCCGAAGGGTATGGAATGGGAACGGCACTATTGGAGCGGGTCCTCGAAGATGGGACAAGCCAAGTACGTCAGACACCTGAGGTAAGCCTTAGAATCGCTCTGTTATCCTGAGTTACAAAAAATGGAGATAGCGTCTAGAAGCATTGCCCGGCGTCGAATATGCAGCCTCTGAGGCTTTATTGAACCCGGAGCCCTTACCAGGGCATTTATCGAGTGACAGAAGCCCCCAAGGACCCTCTTTGGGTACACCTTCAGGATGGGGTGCTTCCATTAGTTCATTTCTAAGCGAAGTAAAGAAACGATCACATGAGTTTCAAACGCTGACGTTGATTACATAGAAGGACCCATCCGAACGGGGTACCACCAAACTTAATGAAGAAATCGAAGAATTGTCAAATAAGTACGATGCCTTATCTGAAAAAGTAGACATAGTCGTGGAAGGGAACCAAGAGGTATTGGAAGAAGTGCAATCTTTACGTGAAACCATCTCGACCATGATATCCAACGCCGGACAGAGCACTACGGCGTCTAAGCTCGCTTCCCCAGATATGAAGAAGCCTGGTATGACAAAGCGTAGAGCGGTGGAAACCCTTGTTCTCGCGGTACGCCATGTCAGTTCATCAGAACGAATCAAGAAATTTGACGTTATTCATTAGAAGAGTGTTCGAGGTTATTTAGCTATTCTCCTTCGGATGGGAGAGGAAGGCAGGTCGGAGGCTCTGACGACCGTCGGCTCCGACGACATCCAGAGATTCGCCGAATTATGCGGCGGCAATGACGTCGATGGCGGTGATTGCTGCACCGTGGAGGATTTCAGGATCGACTTGATTGGCCCGCCAAGGAGCCTGTGGAACACATCTGCGGCCAATGTATTCGTCCACGCATTCGAGGCGTTCACCGGCGTGGAACTGGACCGGCAGATGGTGCGGACTGCATTCTTCACGCGGTTGAAAACCCTCAAACAGGAGTACAAACTTTCCAAGAAATCAAAGAGGGAACAACAGAACAGTATTATTCAAAAGCGCAGGAAAATGAGAAAGAGGACGGTAATACTTAATTGACGTTGCTTTCGTTGACATTTTTCTCATTTTTTCCAGCTCTTCATCCAGCGTCACGACACTGTGCTGCATGATCATCGCCTCCACAAGCACATATCCTTACTAGACCGTCTAGGCGTTGATGGGATGTCCAGCGATGAATCCGACGGAGAGGAGTGCATGGGCTCAGAAGTGCATACAGCTGCGCCGAGATTTCGGGTGCGAAGGCCTGTTTGGAGGGCTCAGGTTGTCGGACGTTGGCTTCAAGCCTTCGATTCTTTCTACCTGAGGCAACGACAAGCGTCACAGGACAAACGAGGCTGCTACCCACGTGTACGCGTTCGGGACAACACCGAGCCAAGCACCTCGAAAGATTTTGTGGCGGGTTTGCCGCTCAATGCCTACGACCAGGTATGGATGGTTAGACAGTCCGACGTTTGTGCTTCCCAAGAGCATGGGGACTTCTCTCCTATTGAATTTACTGAGTAAATGGGAATGATATATGTTGGTATTGATTGCGAGCGTGATTGTAAAGGGGCTCATGACCCGCACAAACTCTTCAGTCGTGCTGAATGATGACCACGCACTCAGCATCATCGTCAGTCTACGGAGTACGGGTTATACAACTCGTCGGGGCAATTAAAAATACGCGGAGGGGGACAGGGATCCGTATTCGCACATGACTTTGGCCTGAGTTCACGTGAGTTACGGGGCTACAACAATATGATCAGATTAGATTACTACTTACCGACGCAATCAATATGTAATACTTAATATATACACATGCGCATAATAATTCAGAAAACAATATACTAGTCGATGGCGTACCGGTACGCCACCGGACCATCGCTAGTCCTGTTGCAGGTAAATTTACAGCGGTGATCAGTGAGAAACATCTGGGAGAACCTCGTGTGTACACGTTGAAGATCTAGCGATGAGGAGTGAGATTGCAAGATTCCATCGAGATGCAGTCGACGTGCACGTTGAGACAGGGACGTGTGCATGTACATGATTATCGATAACGTCGAAGCGTATTCAATAGATGACAACATACACATAGTGGCATAGTGGTATCCGGTTCAGAGCTGGAATTTCACATCCTCTCCCCCCCACCCCCCCACCCAATTCTGCTGCGTGCAATACGATGTCGACATCCGACAACGTCAACACGAGCCGCTTCAAATTTCGACTCCAAAGTCCAACTCCTGTAAGACCAAATGTCAGTCTACCGGCCATTTCAATCGATATAATCGGGTCTAACGTTAACATTCTTCTCTTAGATATTGTCTACCAGCTTTCGCAAATCGCAGCCGAAAGATTCGGCCCCCTCTGGTTCGAACACGTCAAAGGACAAGGGCAAGGGCAGGGAAAAGGACAGGGACAAGGACAAAGACGGCAGCTTGGTCTGTCAGGCGACTCGCGACACCATTCACCAGGTTCTCCTTACCTATTGCCCGGGGGAGGATGGGCTGGAGGCTATCGCGGATATCTTGGCCCAGATGTATGAGCTCATGCATGAAAAAGACTTCACGGTCTTCGCCACCAGCACTCTCGAGAACAAGATGTCGAAGGCCGAACGCAAAAAGACAAAGCCCCTTCATCTTGTGGCTATCATGCTCGCCGAATTGAAGGACGGCACCGAGTGAGAATGCACCCGCTTTCTCATTTCTTTTGCCTTGCGTTGACCTCCGATTAGCCCTGTAGCGCCATCCGTGTTCGTGCCTTCGTCGATCTCCCAGAAATCGTCAGGGGGAAGGAAGGTGACCGTTGAGGAAGTAGACGAGGAAGAGGAAGAGGAAGAGGAAGAGGAAGAGGACGAAGGTGACTCCTCTGCTAAGAACGAGACGTCGACTCAAAGGTAATCCTTTCCCCTATGCGCTATATTCATCGTTAACTAACCTCATGGCTCCAAGTCCACTCAAACCGCCCTCTGGTCGTCATGGCTTGGGGGCCCGCCCACCGGTCTCCGTCCACATGAAGATAGAGGGACTGTCTGCACCGCTCGCGAACAAACCATTAGAGTATATTATCCGTCATTCCGTGATTAATCTTGTACTCACTGTGTATATAAAGGAAACCTGGCCGCTCGTCGCCTGAGCCTCTCTCGACTTCACCACTCTCGACCGTCAATGCTGAGGTTCGAAGCAGACATCGGGGTGTTGACTGGAAAGCGGTAACATCTGACCACACGACGCCCATCAGAAAGCATAGAATCCGCTTCGTCACAGTTTACTGCCACGAACTTCACAAAGTTAAGACTCTACCCAACCCGGGTGTCTTGGTGCCTGCGGTGTGGACATCAATGAACGGCGACATACTCATCCTCTACAATGTGCGGTCAGCACAAGCCATCAAGGGCGCCGATCCCCACAGAGTCTGGTACTTCGAGGATGGCTGGAAGAACATAACCAAAGCGTGGAATGAAGGTCTGGACGAAGCCCATATCGCCCACCCAGATCAAGTCGGGATGTGCGATTATTTCCTTACTAAGAATGCCGGTAAACCGTCATGGATTCAGTCAGCATCGCAGAGGGCTAAGATTCGCAGAAATACTTCGAAGGAGTGAGACGGGTGATTAGAGATTTAAACCATTCAGATTGTGTTTATATGTGACAACAACTACTACTTTGTATTACGTAGTCATGTGATCCTGCCAATTTACTATATAGCTTTACCTCGCGGTCATCATAAAGGTATCCCTTAAACAATGCCCCCTCTGATCGCAGACGTTGCTGCAGCCGTCCTAAGCGCTTCGACGCTCGCAATTCGAGTATCCGACGTCAACAAGGTGATTGCAGTGTCTGGCCAATGCCTATTTGATATCGTGCACAACCCTCAAATATCCATCTAGATGGATAAACTGCATAGTCACTTGGCGGACAAGGAAGAGGAGGTGATGACATATTCATATATACCGCTGAAACCGCGTAGGTTTGAACGATGTCGAATAGATAAACCGTACGCAGGCACAACTAGATGGAGTGCGCCGTGCCTTGATTGAATCAGAGGAAGAGGTGAGCAAGGACATTGTCTTTCGATTGTCTTACAGATCGAAGGGACCAGAACGTCATTCTACGGCGCAATAACCTCGACAAGGAAGCTACTATTCAAGACTTGACTACCGCTCAGCGAGTAGTTTCTGCCGAAGTTAGCATTCAGTTTAGTTGACTTGGGTGGTCGATTACTCACTCAAGTGCCAGATAGAGAACGTTCTGAGGGAGGCTGCCGCGAGACAAATGGAGAGGGAAGAAGAGTGGAGCGCGGAGGTAGGTTTGAATGAACTTCGCACGTGGGCCTTGCCTACTACGCATACTCCGCAGTTGATAACGCTGCAGGGCACCGTTGCGGATTTGGAGAAGAAGGTACGTCTCCACACGGCACAGCAGAGCGATGGTTATTATAATGCCTAATCATGAGAAGTGCAAGGACAACGCTAAGGAGATTGCCGATCTAAATGATGTCGTGCATTCCCAAGAGAAAGAACTTAAGGGATACGACGAGGAGGTGTGATTCCTTATTATGCTACCAGAGACTCTCATAATTGAAGCAACCACTTATCTTAGATCCAAAAAGTGCGGGATGCACGAGACGAGGCGAAGAAGGAGGTTCGTATCTTCAAGTGAAATTTCGACCTGCCACTTAGCATTTCCCTAGCTGACAAACTTGAACATAAAATTGTCGAGAGCGGAAAACGAAGTCGAACTCGCGCAAAGCCAAGTTTGTCGACAATTGACTACGATCATTGGCCCTTTGTTGACAACACAGTGGCAGGTAAAATTGTTGGAAGATGCTTTGGAGGAATCGAAAAGCAAGGTTGGTTCTTCGTCCCGTTTCCCGCACACGATCTCGATTGGCCATTCATGATCCCCAGATTCGTAAACAACAATCACTTCTTGCTGCTCAACATAGGGACGATGACCGCCGCCTTGATGCCGAACTTCACTCGGAACGCGTGGAGGATGATGCTGTGAACGTCGGGCAAGCTGTAAGATCAAACTTAAGCTTGCTACTTCATATCCCGTCTAACTAGACTAGGCGAAGGAATTACCCTGGGAAACTATAGACTCGTCTGAGGCAATCACCTCACACGCACAGGTGGACCCCGACGTCTTCGAGGATCATGCGTCTGGCGAAGGAGATGGAAGGTACGCTGTTGTGGTCACTTTGCAAAGCTATAACTTGTCGATGTCTGTAGATTGTCTGAGGGAAGTTCGAGGTTGAAACGACCTCGGGCAGGGATGACTACTAGATCATCTCTACCAATTGCAACTCCTTCCCGCTCGCCTCAGCTGGCCGCACCGGCAGTCGCACCAGCCACAATATTACCGTTAGAACTAATGGTACCGGCGTCGGAACTGCCGTCTGACCACGACATTGATAATGTGTTCACTGTGGATATGTTGAAGGCGGCTATAACTGCCATGGGAGCAAAGCCCCTAGCTGGCAAGTCCACCCGGAAGGCTCATTTGCAACAACAGGCCAAAGATATAGCCCAGGAGAAACGAAATTTGCAGGCATGAGTAGGGAAAGACGCCCGTTGTGCGTACCTATGGGCGTAGTATGTACACGTGTTCATGCCAAGTTACTACACGACGATCAAAGTCGATTTGAATCTATATGCATGTAAATCACAATTAGAAGTCAAAGTCTCCTCGCCCGCCAATCTCACACGACCAATATGGGTCGCTCACAGCGAGTCGTCGTCTGCAAGTGTCGTAGCCACTGCACAACATGGGATTCGAATACTCAAACTCGAATCGGGAAGGGGAAGCATGTTACAAGAGGAACCAAGCATAACCACACCCGAGACGATCGTCGAATGGCAGCACTACGAATTTACAGGGCATCAAAGATTCCCGTTGCAATAAATTTAAAGATCAATCACCTATCCACATCGCCGAAGCCTCTGACAAGGCTTAAGCTTCTGGAAGAAAGACGTCGACGTTGGGTAAAATCGGTTGAGACAGAGCTGGCTGTACTTTATCGGGATCCGATCGCCCCCCTTACCCGCCCTCTCGTCTTTTGCAAGGATCCAAAGGATGACCTTGAGAACTCTGATATGGATTGGCGGGCACCCAACCAAGGCAACCGCGCTTTGAAAGAGAAGTCACATTACAACGCGCCCTTCTTGCACTTGGAGTATCGGCTGTCCCATCTGATGTCTACTGCCATGAAAATGATCCCTTCGAAGGAACGGACGTCTGTTGTCGCCGTTCTGGAAACCGCGTTCTACCAACTCAATAACGAAAAAGCACTTCATTGGATGATGCAACACATCCAGCGCGGGGCGATATCGATATCGGAGAATACCGTACACACAGGCAAGCATCAGTTTGCGATTTTACTGGCTCAAATTAACAGTGTGTGCGCAGATATCTACTTTCAACCAGTGGGTCCTCAGGAACCTACAAGTAGGGCGGCATATCTTTTATCCGCTACTCTACAAACATTGTATTTTGGACCACGACGAGCACTACAGGTCCACCTAGCAGGCCTGAAGGATATCGTCGAATCCGCTAGTACTCCAGCGTCGCCAGCAACTTACAGCCTCCCTCAATATCCCGGAACTATCATTTCTGCTTTACACTTGGATCCTGTGGTCCATGAGTATGTAAGCTGCCCCACCTGTTACGCACTCTATCCATACGATCGGAGCAATGATGAAGCTCAATCTTGCACTCATCGTGAGACCGAAACGAGCTCAATATGTGGCGCACAATTATACAAAGAAATCAGTGTTGGTCCACGATCCATCTTCGTGCCGCGAGTAAAATATTGGCATCAGGACTTCAAGCATTGGCTGGGGCGTTTGCTGTCAAGAAAAGGTGTAGAAGATATTCTCGACACTTATCCAGCTAGCTTAGGCAGCGACCCAACGCATCCCGTCTCCGACATCTGGCTGGCGGCCGTGTTCAAGGAGCTAAAAGATTGCGATGGAAATCCTTTCCTAGAAGGCAAACGGGGAGAGGGCCGCCTTGTGTTCGGGTTCTCAGTCGACTCATTTGAACCCATTGGAATGAAACCAGGCAAAAAAAGCTACTCTTCTACCGGAATATGGGTCATTTGTTACAACTTCCCGCCCCATCTACGCTACCTCCCTGAGAATATATATCTCGTGGGCGTCATCGCCGGGCCGCACAAACCAGACACTCATCACATCAACCCATATATACAGCTACTTGTCAATGAATTCAAGCCGTTCTGGTCGCCAGGTGTCTTCTTCACACGCACGCGCAGATGTGACGCTGGGAGGACCATGAAGGGGCTACTTGTCCCCCTCATCTGTGATATGCTGGGTGCTCGACAGGTAGCAGGTCTCGCCGCTATCAACGCTCATTATTTCTGCACAACGTGCGACCTTGACATTGACGACATCGATAATGTTGATATAAAGGATTGGATAATGCGCGACGCAGAACATGTGCGCCGAATCGCCGCCCTGTGGAAATCTGCAAGGTCGATCAACGACAGGGTCGCTATCTTCGACGCCTTCGGTCTGCGCTGGACACCCCTACTTGAGCTCCAATATTGGGATCCAGTCAGGTTCATTGTAATTGACACGATGCATGCTCTGGACATCAACTTATTGAAGCACCATCTCCGGAATCTATTTCGCTTGAGCCTGAAGGTTAAAATGGGAGGGGATGGGTTGTCAGTCCCTTCAGTTTTCAAGCGCTACAACGTTAAACCCACGGATCTCAATCAATGCAAACGTCTGGTTGTAGAAAACAGCCGTGGCCTACTATACGAACTTCTTAGCTATCATCGGTCGGTTCTATATGTCATATCCAGTGATCTCAAGATTATGGGTGAAGCCGTGGTTCTTGGGACGAAATGGATTCTAGCGAAGAATATAGCTCGCTGGGTATGTTTGATCTCTTCGATTCAGAATAATGCCCCAGCCAACCTAGATTATGATTTAGCGGCAGAACGAGCAGGATCCAGCTGTTATTGCTTTTTGTGCAGAGACAAACGCCACCGGCAATGATGCCGGAGTTGATGTTGACGTTGACGACGATGCGGAATCGATTGAGCATGCTGATGCGGATGTTGATCATGCTGATGGCGGCGACAATGATATCGATGCTGCAGCTGCGGCTAAGGAAGCCAAACTTGTCACAGCTCTCAGGATCATCATATCCTCCATTGAGGAGGATAAGGTTGGCCAAATCTCTGATAGAGCGGGAATTACTCTGCATATATTGGAGACCATATGTCAACTCGTTGGTGTAGATCACACCAGCATTACAGACATGAGCAAGAAGGCGTTGCTTGCAAGAAAACTACGTGACGAGGTGTGGCACTTTTTTCTCATTGAATCATTACGACTGACTCACGTACCAAGTGTGAGGGTCTAGATGAGGATGCACTATCAAAAACTCTTCGAGAGGGATCGAGAGAACCGTCGGTTGCCGATCGTGAGGAGGAACCTTCTAATGCCAAAGCAATCCGTAACACGGTAAAGGCCATTTTAGCCTGCGGGGCTGAAAACGACAAATGGATGGATCTCCCTCGAGCTCGCGGGGTAACACAATCTGGACTAGAAGCGTGTTGCCGAATGTTAAGTATTGATATATCTGGACTTGTTCCACGAACGAGAAAGTCGATGCTGGCAGAGGCTGTGGCGGACAAGGTTTGTTCCGAGTAACCAAATAATCACTTGTCAGATATGTTTACACTTCAATACAGATCGTGGAAGATGACACAGCATTTGCTGCGATAAAAATGCGTGTGCAGACCGCAAGTCAGCGTGATCAGCCTCTTCTCCGTCGTGTAGTGCTAGGAAGGGACATAATGCAAGAAATCTGGACCGATATGGGCCATACCCAACTCCCGAGCTGGGTCTCTGGTGGTTCTCGAGAATGGTCAACTACCTCCGAATTATCCGCCGACCAGACACGCGTTTTATGCACCATCCATTTGCCGATCACCCTCATACGACTATGGCATAGCGCCGACGACAGGAGGCAGAGCATTCTGGCAAATTTCATGGATCTCGTGAACGCCGTTCGCGTTGCCAACATGCGAACTACGTCTCCCGGAGATGTCGAAACATACAACACATACATGCATCGATACATGGTCAAAGCCCTGGAACTTTATCAAGACGAAGCGGTAAAGCCACATCAGCACGCAGCGTTGCATATTGGCACAATGCTCGAATGGTTTGGGCCTGTCCACGCGCATAGCGCTCCCTACTATGAGCGTTATATCAACTTTATGCACCGCGCCCAGATAAATCGGAAACCTGGTGAGACACCTTCAAGCCCCAATATATATATAGGCTATATATGCGTATGTAAACTAACAAGTCCTTGATAGGTGATATGGAAGTCTCATTTATGTTAGCTTCTTCCCGCAGCGCCAACATGCGTGCCCTCCTTGCCGACGAACAGAATGAGCATACCCGCGAAATGATGCACAGGCTCACGACGCTCGCCAGGGAGCCAGCCAGAGGATTTCATCGCGTCGACGATTTCGACATTACTGATGGGTGGGGGGTGGCAATGGGCAGGTCAGAATATACTTTAGGCTCGTTGCTTGCAGCCGATGTATCTGTCGACGAGGATTATGAAGCACCTCTTAACGAGTTGCTCTCTGGCGCGGTGGACTTCAGGCATGCCATCTTCTATGATGATATCTGCGTCGGGGGGATCCCCTACGGTCGGACGGGATCGAGTAAATGGAGAAATAGCGCCATCATGTTTCATCCCACACCCTCAGCCGAACCCCAAGCAGGTCAGATCGATCATATTATGCAGTTCTACTGCGAGCCTGGCGTTTTCTTAGCCATACGCTCTTTCACTCCCGTCGAGGCTGCCTCAGATCCCTATAGGCGTTATGGACCCGCGGCAGGTTATCTCTGCAGTTCATCTCGAGGGCTTCATATTGTTGCCGTGTCCGAGCTTGTTTCTCACTGTGCGGTCACGAAGATGGGATGCGGCGATGAAGGCGATGTTTTTCATATCTTGTCTCTCGAAAAGGTGGGTCCTCCCGCTCCTTCATACCTGTATGTATCACTGAATGGCCCCAGATATCAACAAGCAACGATCGTGTGTAGCTATATATATATTTGGCGTACAAAACTTCACAGGGAGTAATATAATTTGATTGGGTTTCCAGACCTTTTGCTCCTTCAGTACTAGTACTGGTACAAGTTGTTGAGTTGGCACTTAAGGGTTTTGCTAATTTACTTCAGATTTATGGCCAGCGCCAATAATCGCCACGACGCAGGTCTTACAATTGTTAGTCGTGTTTGGTATATGATAATATCGATGTAGTATGTAATTAATATTGTCGTGTCCGTGTATTCTAGCTATAGCTATAGCTAGGCGGAGCTCGAGCCAAACCCAATTGGGACACAATATTGCGCACCTCCCGCAGAGTGTGGAGACACCATGATCGACATGATCAGGCAATCCACACGTTCCAAGGCACATGGAACATTGGACTGTCCGCTTCTGGACTGAAACGCTTTGACACCGAATAGCGGCGCAGGCACAGGTTAGATTAAAGGCGAATGCGCCCCAATATGGCCAATTATATAAGGCCGAGGCCCGGGCCTTCAATTGCAATCAGCAATCAGAACAATTGTCTAGTGTTGCCTGACATCGTGGTCGTGCACGTTGAAATACTTTTTAGGGAGCACGGAATTCTTTGAACAAAGGTCAAGGCCAAGAGCAGTGATATCGACTTGCAGTTGGAGTTACGTACGTAAATATTTGGTCATGAACAATGCCAGGATGCATATCCGGGCCGCGTGATGTTCGTACGTTGACTGTTGGCAGACCTAATTAGAATCACCGATACATGTACATGTACTGTGCTTCACTAGTACTAGTCGAGCGCACAATCGACGTATATACTACTTTACTACCCATGGCAAAGAGCATCGCAAACCCTTTGAGGGGACCCTTTAGACGGCCGATCAGATGAACTTACTTCCTAGGTTCATGGAGGAAGATTAGCGCCGAAGATAATCATCTTGATCGTTATCTCCAAGTACGGGCCCGGAACGATAACAACATGACAAGTGCGCAAGGGATTAATACAAGGTACCAATCGCAATAGGCGAGAAGCTTAAGCGAGGCAAGCGCACACCTTCGGCCCATCTCTTCGAGATTATCATGATTCATCTATTCGAAAGTTCAACGGTCAACTTCATCATATCTACGTCAAGTCTAATGCCCCCAGGTAGCACTAGCTGAGGGCCATTGACATGTCAAGGGCTGTACATTTCCACCGCAAAAAAATGGGGCGTGGTTCGTCGAGCAGTCTACTACAGGGGTTTGACAGGGGTAAGGAACGACCGACCGTGGTTCATACCTAAGGGCCGTATATGTTTATCATGTATATGAAGGCAGACTATGCCATAACTAGGCACATTCGAATTTTCTCATTGGTGTGGACTCCTAGCTAAGTTCCAAAATTAATTATAGACAAGTGTAGGTGCAACGCTTGAGCCTGAAGTCACGCGACTTACGACTGTATCTCCTTTTAGGTACTACCGAACTACAACGCTTTGGCCGCACGTGTAAATCCCAGCGACATGAGTTTAGATTCGCCCCACATCCGCAGGCCTCCTCATGCCTCATGCATCACGACAATCAGAACTATAATATCAATGTCTGCTTGCGTATCATGATCAGGCCCTGAACAGTCCCTCATGATCAGTAATGCGGCCAAAACGATGCAATCTCAGAATTTGCATTGAGGACTGCATGCCTTATCCTCGGGAGCTGTTTGGAATGTTTGAGAGCGACACATCCATAATTACGCGCCAAGTCGAAGCATTAACATTCAGCTGCAGGCACTGATATCGATATCAATGACTCGTGGTGATCAGGTATGTACATGCGAAATATTGTTGCAATATTAATATTTTTCTGACAATCCATGGCTTGCAAGTACGCAAGCCATTATCGTATATATATCCGTATTCATGTGGACGACACTTCCCATAGTGACCACATCTCTTTAAATTTGCTGTTCGAACTCGATGCGTTCCGCTACTCATAGCACTTCACGCCGTTCCCGGGCCCTTCGCAGGCGAGGCGCTTTCCTGGATTTAACGCAGTGCCAGGATACGGCGGTAAGTTGAACTCTTTGCAATTGGATAAATTGCCGAGCTAACGGTCTCACCCATCAGCCCAGAATTGAGGGTTTATTTTTCCCCTTACACGATCATACAGGTCGGCGGAGGGACTTTACAACGAGGGGTACGCCAGCCGTAGGACACTGCATCCCTTTGGTCAATGTCCAAGAGGCATCGCATCTCTTCCCGGCGGCAGATTCCCCCACCATCATTCAAGCGACGGTCTCTCTGTCCAGTCCGCCGAAGCACCGCTTCAAGGTTTACGCCTACCTTATGAAGAAAGGCGCTCTCAATGAGGGGCTTCGTCGCATCTCCCCTCATATTCCATGGAGGGGGGAGCTGATTGTATTTAGACTCGGTGAACGGGTCCCGTTCCTGAGGTCCTCACGGGGGGCATCACAGAAAGACATTCACCGAGCCATCCGCCTGTGAGAACATATTCCTAATGTCGCTGTTATCGTCCAATGCTCACAGCATGACAAGCTTTTTGTCACGAGTCGTTGGGGCCGTTGACTCGCACGAGGCGACCCCCACTCAAATCTTCGTAAGTTGAGGATCCACGCAAATTGTCTTCCGCCTTCTGACGGTCTGTCTTTACTAGGAATGAATGTAGTGTCCTTTAAAGTTAGGACAACGTGTTATAGCTGTAATGTCTTGATTGGTTTCTGTATTTGGGGACACGCGGTTGACCCATATGAAATGTACATCCCCGGGCCCCGTGCACTGCGCGAGCTACCGTTTCGCCATGAAATTATATATTCCCCTGTTCCCTATGTTCCCTGGGCACCAGGAAATAGAATATTGATTGTAGAGTGTCCTGTAATATTACTACCAAGGAATTGCCTCCCCCGCACGAAGTACATGTGGATTATGCATAAAGTTTCCCCTTCCACAGCGCAGGGCCACCTGTCCTACACAAGTTGAATCCGGAAACATATGCATAGCGACCGGGTGGTTCAGTAAACGCAATCAAATGAACACCCTCTTTTAGCGCATACGGTGAGTCGGTCACAAGTCCTACGAGCCCCATACTTTCGGTGCTGCCCGCCGCGTCCGTCCCGATGACAATCACTCGTTCGCCGGATTTTAATGCAAGGTTATCTGGAATTACCTTCCTCAGCTCCGCATCTTTTTGTCTGAGGTTATTCTGATTCCCCGTCTTGACAACGATCCGCTCAGCCCAAGGAGTCACCGCCTCCGTCACTACAGTGTACCCACTGATCATATTGTCCGTCCGATATGATCCGTCGTCAATGAGGGTCTGTAATACCATTATTTGGAATTTCTTGTGCATCATGGCAGGATTCCTGAGCCAATGGTCTGCAAGTCATCATTAGTGCATGACTCTGAGGAACATAGAACGACTCAATACGCTGGAAACGATCATGACTTGCGAAGATTTCACCGCGAGTATATTCGTATGCCACCTCTTGCCACGTAGATTCTGAATCATGGCTGCGCGGGGTCATTCCTATAGGCGGAGGGGTCCCTGGAAGTACGGTACCCCCCCGCGTCTGCTGATGAAGGATTTGCGGGGGCAGATGGATGGCTTCCATGAGGGGTATCCCAGAACTGCTATGCGATCAACATTGGAAGTATCATGGCATGAGGAACGTACTGTTTCTCTTGGAGATATTTAGCGGAGATACGGGTTGTGTAGTGGGTTATATGGTTCAATTTGTTGACCTCGAATTCGAATGCTTCATCGTCCCCGTCAACTACCGGCTTGACTAAACGGGATCCAACGATGTAGCCTTCATAACCCCTGAGAGGGTGATCGACGATGAGTACTTGGAGCCCTCGGAAGGGGTCGCCGGTGTATAGCGATTCCAAGTCCTCGAAACTTCGTGTATTCGGCGGAAATTTGAAAGGAGCGACGCCAGATTGACTTGATTGCGCTGCAAGGCGTATATTGCGAGCGTCTGGGGGAGTTCGTATACACGGAAAAGGTATGCTGACCTTTTGGATTCATTTGAGCGTGAGGTGGTCATGAAGCTATGAATAACTCACCATTCTTCCTTGCGGAGTCGACGGAAGATAAATTCTAGCCTTTGCCTCATCGTCTGTGCTCACATAAAAGCCTGAGAGGCCCTTAAGACTACCGGTCATAATTTCAACTTCGTCGCCCGGATCAACGGTGCGCTGTATATCCGAAACCATGACGTCTACTGTCTGTTCCTCCCCAGCGTCTGGCGAGACGACCACCATATCTCCACCGATGTACTCATGTATCCTCCCAGTCAATCCATTGTAAGGGCCTGCTTTGACCGTTGTTGCGCAACCTTTCGAGCCCGTATACGTCAAGTCCGATCTTGGCACCTCGATGTCCTCCCAGGAGTATCGACCTTTCATTCGTATTGATATGTTTAGATCGTTGACCATTGTATCTTCAACAACACCTTTGAACCCTTTCCAAGGCCCTTGAGTCACCTCGAATTTCTCGCCTTGACGAATTTGAAGATTTCGAGCATTGCGAACAAGTTCGCATATTTCGTTGTGTTGCGTGGCTTCGAAAAGATCCAGTTCGTGGGCCGCTGGGTGTATGTCATGATAGACAAGTTTGGAAATGTCAATTCTCCTGACTTCCAGCCCCGAGAGGTATTGCCCTTCTGAAGTTACTGAATGTAGATTGTCGACACCGGCGGAAGTGAGAAAGAGCGGTGAATCGTCCTCTAGATCTGAAGCCCCTTCGACGGGGTCTGCCCTCTTGAGGGTAGGTGGCGCAGCAAAACGCCTACATGTACCTGCACGGGGCACGACAAGGACGAGGGCTTCCCTTGCGTCCATTATGTAGCTCCCAATAATGGCAAGCTGGTTTCTGTACCGAGTGCGGTCACGGATGCGAACAAATCGTTGCCACTGGTCCGCAGCCTTTTCAACTTCGTTGACCGGGCTAATGTCCAGTGTCAACAACGCAAGCCTTTCGCTGATAGGTACCAAGTCTATTGGCCCGCCTTCAGCCTTGTAATACCGAGGCCAGACGTTGTTGATGCCGTTGAGAAGGTTGAGCACAGCACCGTAGTGACGAGCCTCGATGTAGACAACACCAGGCATCCCCTCTCTGCAGAAGGCACTGTCGACACCATCGATCTGCAGAGCCAAAACTTTGTTGAATATGGTCGCGACCACCACAAGCTCCCTCCCAGGCTAAAGAAGGTATCATGAGCGTTCCTGTCAAAACATGATGTAGGCGAAATGCTACCGTAACGGCAACCTTCCAAATGTCACCATCTGTAACGGAAGGTAGATACGCCACGATGCTCTTCCATCCGTCGATGTATGTCCTTTGCTCCGTTGCGTGCTGGCGCTTCCAAGCGGAGCCCTCGCAACCTCTGTAGCGGTCCATAATGTCGTTCACTATGGATTCGGCATCATTGTTCCATAGTACTGAATTCCCGCGATCTCTGCTAGTAATCGAAATGCCTCCTTCTATTTCGGCTCCATCTATTTCGGGCTCATCTGAGATAAAACCTGTTCAGATACGAAAGTTAGTTGGGAGTGAGGGGTTCAGAGTGCCCTAAATACCAGGGGCATCGAAATCCTCTTCGTCTCCGTCGTCGTCCGAGTTTTCCACCCCAGCCTCGATATCAAGGAATGCCAGTATCTGAGCGGAAGTGTCAGGACATGGAAATATCGGATAGACTTGACTTACATCTCGGTATGATCTCATAATCCTTGTACGAATAATGCAAATCAACAACGTTAACCAACGCGGATGGCGAAAAGGCATATATATAGAGTCCATTTTTGGGCGTGTGACTGCGCGCGTGAATCATCACGTGGTCGTATCTACAGTAGTCGTGACCTACATAGAACTATATATATATACATGCTCTGTATTGGGGATCTGGCTGTAGCTTAGGACGTGCTAATTGGGATAAATGGATAAACGAGATGTTGTAGAATTTGTCACGATTTATACGTGAATGCTACGAAGTCGCATTTCCCCCATGTCCTTTCGTATCCAAGGGGGTCTTCAACCATATCGACCCTCCCTCCAGTATCGGCTAGACAAAAGTCTAATACAGGGAGGCCTGCGTGACGCCTGCAGTCTAAGACTGCCTTTAATATGGTGTCCGTGATTGAAGCAGTGCTGCGGAAGAAATCAGTCAATAACATGTCGATTGACGCCGGAGAGTGAAAAGTACCTACGCCTCGAGTGCTAACGTTGTCAACGATGGGAAGAGAATTTGTCGCCCTTCAAAGATCAAGAGTTCCGCCAGCAGGTCACTCGGGTAGCTGAGTCTAAGCTGCGTCACAGAGTTGAAGGAGTACAGGAATTTGATCCAAGCTGAAGAGCCCGTGAAATCGCCGCTACGAAGGTTCAGTTTGGTGATGCGTTGGAATGGGAGCGTCGACATGACTGATAAGAAGTCGGATATTCCGTTGATCTGAAATTGAAAGTGAAGTGGACCTGCCCAGAGGCCGACATCCTTGACATTCGTAGAAGCGGGTGGATCGAATACGACTTCTACATCATCTATAAGAGCAACCCTCAAGGGGTCTGCTACAAAGTTACGAGCGAAGGATCGAACCGACTCCGGGGGTGATCCGGAATACCGCAAGTTAAGGTAGCAATCGCCCGGAAGATATAACGACGCTAGGATGTCCCCTATTGCAGAGCAAGAGGTGTTGATATCCAGGAGGCGTAGCTGCGTCACGAACAGGGGGTCTGGGGGAGCGATTATCCCGTCATTGAAGTTAGGCGATGTTGCCCATGTCAGCCAACATGCTCGGAGCTGAGGGTTGTTGACTATAGATGTTAGGATGACGTCTGCGGCCGTCTGGACGACTTCCAGCTTCAGGACCGTCAATTTGGGAAGGGACGGGATACTCTCGTACATGATGAAGTTCGTGAACGTTATATTGGTGACCAACTGTAGAGTGTTGGGCACAAATAGTCCCTTAGGTAGCGAGCCCGGTGTTCTCTTGAGGCCCAACTCGAAGCGTTTGAGATTGGTCAGGAAGCGGGGATTCAACTTGACTCGCAATTCCACCACCGCATCGGCTGTCTTAAACATTGCTTGGATTGCTTCCACCTGGTCCAACGATGCGTATAGACGTTGTGGGACCGTGACTGTGTGCAGGGTTCGTGTGCAGATGAGATCGAGTCCATGAACGCCAGCCCGCTTGACATGGGTCGCCTTTTTGGCTTCTGGCCAGGAAAGATCGACAATTGACCATAGTTCTCCGCAGTCGAGCGCTATTCTCCTCCATTGATAGCAAACCTGGGTGACGACTAGCCACGGTTGACGCCCTGAATCACTTCCTGCGGAACAGAGTGTCATCAACCAGAAGAAAATATGCCTAAGCACTTCATCTGGTATGTTGGCGGTTGGCATCGAGCTTGATTGTGGGGTCTGCGGCAATTATATGAACGAGCGCAGAGGGCGTGAGGTTTGTGGGCGATAGTCCCTATGACTTTGAAGGAGTAAGGTGTCGGTGTTAGTGTCGGTGCCAAAGCTTATTTATAAGGATGGGCTGCAGAGTAAGTGGCTCAATAAAGGGGTCCGCATGCCGTGTTCGAAGAAAGACAAGAAAGAATCGTAAGCCTTAGCACGAGCAATTGAAGATGGACCTTTGACTATCTCAAAGGCCTCAAAGGGGGCTCAGCACAAAGGACTTTGATTCGGTGTATTTTCCAAGTTCAATCCCTACAATGACCGGTACACTCCTTACTACCACAATGCCGACAGCTGTTGGAACATGCTTTCCGGACTAATGCCCCTTTGCACAATCGGTATCCCTTACCACATTTCAAACACGTCCGCTCTTTCCTCGGCCGTCTAACGAAATCACTTATCGGTTGAAAAGTAGTGCTGCTGAGCGAAAAGGCACTGCCATGGACAATGCTAGGTGGAGCGGAGGTCGAGGGTGTGGTCCTCTGGTCGACGAAGGGCATTGGCGAGGCATTGGCATTATAATTTGAAGCGTAGTTGGAGTTGGAGACAGCCTGCAGCAACATCTGTAACACTTGCTGAGCATCCGCGCCGGTTACATTGGGGCCGTTGGATTTCTCTGGGTCAACTATCTCCGGAGTTTCATTGGCCGTCGTGTTAAGGGAATCCGCGTCAGTGGTACTGGTGGCCATGGCCTCAATTAAGGGACCGTCAGGTTTCTCTGCGTCACCGTCAACTACTTCCGCACTGGCTGTCGTATTACAGGGATACGTGTCGGTCTCATTGGGAGCGTCGGGGTTTTCTCGGCCAACTACGTTTGGAAGTTCACTGTCCGTACTGAAGGCATCCGCGGCGATCGCCTCATTGGGACCGTTAGGTTTCTCTGGGCCAACCTGCTGAGTTTCGATGGCCATCGTGTTGAAGGCACCCGTACGCGTAGCGTTGGCCACATCGAGTTGCTCTGGACTGACTGTTGACCATTGGCCTGACTCATCGCCGAGATCAGAGGACGGCGTCTTCCGCTTGAGATTGAAGGATGCATATGGACGCGGTAATAAGCTGTCCATGACTGTCACTGACATCCATGCGTACAGCAAGAGGGAAGAGAATTCTAGGCATTCGTGTATCGTCTCGCAATCACGGAATTCGGTTGCTACCCGAGCACAGCGCTTCAGGCTCTGAGGAGAGACAAAATCGGTTGCTATTTTGACGCAAGACGAGATGTTGGATACCTAATTATGAGGGAGCGTGTCTGTGGGTAACTTGGGAAAAGAGATAGCAAAAGAAAAGAATGTACCTGGTGCGCACAGCCTGCGGGAATGAACACGCAATCGCCTTGGGTTTGCTCAAATATATACGGTTTGATACCTTTGCCCTCTAAGACTTTCAGCAAGCCGGGCGTCAAATACATCTTGTGCGAATTGATGGGGTCGGCCGAGTCGGATTGTCGTTTCAAGACTTCGCGGATTGCATCAGCATCATCGCTACGGAAAATGTGCCACAAGGCCCGGCCGTGTGCCATAATGTTTACCGCATCCGCCATATCCATATGTAAACGAGTGCTGCCATGGTGATCATCATCTTGTTTGCTTGCCATCGCAGCGTATACCTTGGGGCCTAACACATTTAATGTCAGCTGTCGTTCCGTTGCTTATTGTGTATACGTAATGGAATACCAAGATCAGGTTTGCACTCATAGTCCAGAGGATACATGGACGCCAGGTTCAGCGATCCATCGTCGTTGGTGTACATTGGAACGGGGAGAGCACTTTTGAAATCAAGAGCCAGCATCGGAGACTTGTCCTTGAATAGCTTGTCTCCAGGATAATCCTATATATATGTATATGGCATCGGTGAGATATAGTCTACACGTGCACTGAGCCATGGACGGAGCCACCTTGAGTTTCAAAATCGGTCCGCTCGACTTGGCGTCCCCTAGGTCCTTAAAAAACGCATCTACCGTCGTTCTCGCGACGTGACTTGTTTCGCAGTCGATGATATCACACGAGTCATCCCCAAAGAGAGACGAAAGGGATTGTGGAGACCAGTCATATAACAGTCCAGGAGCTCCACGTACCACCAACGGTAAGGCGCGGGACCATATAATCTCGAAATCGACTTGGGGGCACTCCCCTTCTATGACAGGGATCGACCTATCCGTAGGATCTAGAGCAGCATCGATCATCTTTGCCAGAGAGCTACGAACTTCTGGGGTTTCGAGGGAATTTCGTGGGGCGTGCTTCAAGTCCTGTTCCAAATGTCGAAGCTCAGGAAGAGCCATCATTGACGCAAGCACCATTATAGAATTTGCACAGCAGTCTTCGCAGTGCGGTCTCGATGGGTGGCAAGTCAAGCAGCACATTGCGCCGCAAAGTTGGCAAATCCAAGAGACCAAGCCCATAGTCCACTCACAGCGATCTGATCCTTTTATCAGACGCAGAAAAGTGTACGAACTTGGGCGCAACATACCACATGTCATTGCTATGATCATTGATTTCTGCACTGGCACTACCGTTTCCTCTGATGAGTGTTTGGTAAAAGCCTCCAACGCCTGTGAGACCACCAAGAGTAAAAGTGGGGCGATTGCAGACTGCATATAATCAGCGGGGACGAATTCAACGTAATAGGTTTGAACCCACTTTCATCGCGTCGACGTGCTCGCTAGTCATTCGGGGGTTGAAAATGCGGGGGAAGTTGATATCACACCGTGCGCCCTTGACAGGGTACCAATTGGTGAATTTCCCTCCTCTCAAGTCGGGTTCGCATGACGAGTTCGCGGAAATCCTTCTCATGCCTGGTCGTAAGAGGGAATGAGATTCATCTAGATCTGAACCGGACGACAAGGACACAGCAAACCTCTGAATCGACATAAATCCAGGTTAACGCCCTGTCGACATTCTAGACACTTGGAGAGAGACCGTCTTTGCTTATTTGTGCAAAACTGGGTACAGTCGCAATCCTGAAGGACCCATACGACCGCCCGAGTGTCCTCCTCAAGGTCAGTGAGGTCAGACATATTCCCGTCGTCCAGCATCTGAAAGATTTGCTACTAAGGATGCGCGGTTCATACGTATACACCACTTACAGTGTGCAATAGACGACACAGAACGATGGAAATGACAAGAGAGGTGAGTTACAATAGGAAACACGTCTATTAGGGAGTGCATTTGGTTAGATTTTTTGTTGATCGTGATCGATTCATTGCTTCTTGTCCCAACTACTCGCCGTGACGGCGGGACTACCAAAGCTTCTACACACAAATATTGCTTCATTTCTTACGATCGGAAACAGGGACCCCTAGTGCGAGACTACCATTCCTGACCCGAAGAATTTCTTGTTACTCGGTGCTAGCTAGAGCTGATCTCTTCCTACACTTTTCGGTATTTGGGGATGTATTATTTTGTGTCGCACTGTATGTAAGGCCCTACTAGTACTGTAACATATATTGACATATACATCGTGGTCGTACAAGTACAAAGGGAAAAGTCCAACTTCTGTACGCTCTGGGAATCTTCGGGGCGAGAACGACGCGGGATATGCCGAAGTGACTGAAGTCACATGAGTTACGATAAGATAAGATAGATATGATATGATAGGACAAAACATCGGCGCTATATGCATTGTCTCTTATAATATCTTATCATGCCACACTTAAGATATATTCATGAAGACTCGAGCTTCAAGCTTTGTCACCTTTCGCTTGTTTTCAGTAGTCAAGTCTAGCAAGGTACGACTTTCTAAATTGCAAATTCAGATCAGAATACAATTGGGCTTGTCAAGCACGCTGTTGTGAACTACATGGTCAAGATGTGTCAATGGCGAAAGGGTATGCACTATGAGAGCATGATGTGGGGTATAAATGATACACTGGCGCGAGTAGGCAATGCAGTCAGCCATCCTCGTAGGACTCGGTTGCGGTCGTTGTGGTATTACGTCGTAACTGTTACTGCCATGGCCATTCATCTGTTGAGGAGACGACGATCACTAACATGGTCATCAAACGTGAATTCTGAGCTTACCACAAATCTCGAGGGACTGTATTTGTTGGGGAGACGTGTCTTCCCCACTCCCCCAATTCAGCCAAGATATACCTAATATACAACGTTTCATACCGCATTGGAAGTTGCGAGTCTGTGAATCAATTGCACCCTGAGTGATGCAATAAGCCTTTGGGGCAATCAGACTTACTGGGATCGTTGGAAGGATATATGTCTCCCATTCATAAGCTATACGGCCAAGGTTGTTAAGGGCATACAGTGTCAGGCGGTCGTCCTGAAGACTAAGTGTGATGTCTGCGGCCGAGATACCGGGCAGCTCAACCTCTACAAAAGATAATCCATTCCTCTCGTAGCTGCGCACCCTGCCCGGTTTAACATGATGCGATGAAGTAGCGGCAATCAAAGTTAACTTACCGTGGTTGGCGTAGCCTGACTCCTGCATCTGTAACTTCTTCGGACATGAATCGCTCCGCGTCATTCAGCGTCTCGGCGGCACAGTCACTTGAAGGGGGAATCGACAATCGTGAAACTGAATTAACATCCCCGCTGCATGCGCCACCGTGTGTGCATGGTCGAAATCCTGATCGACGAGGGCTTTGCTTCTCTCCCTTATGCTGCTTGCGGAAGAAGGCATGGAACATCTGATCCGGGTAACGTTATCAGAATAGTTACTTCAGGGCTTAACGAGTCTTACTGCTGCCTGCTCTCGCCTCGGTTTCAGAGGCCATAGAGTGCTCCATATACACCGTAATGTCTTAAGGAATCTGTTGCGTTGAGATGAGTATGGCTTAGTTTTGGCGTATGCGAAGGCGAAAGCAGAGAGAAATTTCTCTTGTTGAGGGGAGGGCCAGGACATTTCCTATATCCTAGTATACTTGCTAGGACTTGACAGGGAGATGTACAGGGGGGGATGAATATCATATCGGAGTTACGCGCTACGGCACGTGATGGTTCGCACGGGGAGGTTCCATGGCCAGCTGCGAACAATTGCAAGGTAAGTACACACATATGAATCGGTACACAATGAGTACATATGTAGGTGCTATATATAGTCCTTCTAGATACGTATACGTATATATATGATGGATCCAGACTGGCGTTGAGTGGGCCAAACATGAAACGAGGTTAAGGGGGAAACTCCTGAATGCAAGCAAGGAGACAGGGGGATATATAGGGACTATAATACATCAATGGACTTCGAACTTGTAATATATATACCACCGAAAAGCTTTGGCAGGATCCACATGTTCAGCCGGACTAATCATCATAAGACCTAGTCTCAGGACTCGCATCAAAATTCTAAGGAAAGATGGAGATGCCCATGCTCACAACTGAAGCATTATCATTGGCACGCCGAACTTATATCCCAGCGCCCATTCGTTCTTGCGCAGGGGGTCCGTCGTCTTGAACAAGTCCGCGCGCTTCACCGGCAGGTTGACCACCCAACATTTTGAATCGCCCACATGTCTAGCCGTCCATCCTTTGAATGCCTTCCGCCGCAAGGCCTCAGCTTGCGTTGGGATCATCGTCCAACCACGAGCCACATATTTACTCTTTGCGGCTTCGAGGTTCCCAATTGCAAGATCTGAGCGTGCGCTGTCAACGGGGAGAGATATCTTCCTCTCCAGTGTCTCCTCGCCGTACAGACTGTAAGCATGAGACGCTGTGATCAGGTTCATGACGACCGCTATCCGGGAGAGTTAGATAAAGAAGAGGGACGGTGTGAGGGGCATACTTGAGTGGAACCCGAGGATCACTTCCATGACATTGCGCCGACAGATTATGAGTTGGATCTTCCTTGAGTGAACGGGAGACAGGAAACTGACGACGGCACGGATGCCCTTGAAACTGTAATTGCCTTGCGTACTATGCGCCAAGTCACCAGGGACTGCATTTCCCCTGCTTCCTGGCAGCGCTGTGTAACAAGGCCTCTGGCAAGGAATGCGACGATGTTGGGCATCTGAAGCGATCCAGTGGAAGTACGTTTGGTAGAAAGGCTGTGGTTCGCCGTGATGATTCAGCGCAATACACCCCACATCCCACTCGAGCCATTTGCCGACTTCAAACGCGTGTGCGTACTCAACGTAGAGGTCGAGATCCGATTCCGGGTATGTTGCTCTTGTAAAAAACTGTAGAGCTGCAGAACCAGAGATAACGAGTCCACTTTCTCCTTGAAGGCGACGGAAAGCCGGAATATGCTCTAAGGGAATGAACGGTTCTAGTATGGGGTTCAGGGAGTAACTGCGTTGATAGAATATCTGCACTTCATCGTAGATCGCTTTGCAGGTCAAGGAATACCAGCGCAACGCGTTGAGCGATAGCTGTCGCATCACAGTCGCATGAATGACGTCGTCCCAGAGCATGCATCGCGTAAAATCTAGGAAACCTTCGGATGGCCCATCCTGCATCAAACGTCTCGAACCCGGCATAATAGGTGCACAAAGGCGGGGCTTACGTGACTTGCGGAGGCGCGCCGAGAAATGTGTTCAGGCTTAGCATTATGTGCGCCGTTCTTTGCGCTCATTTCCTGTAGAACGGTAGGTGGGTCCGAGCCTGGCTTGAGGTTGCGCGGGAGATCTAGAGGGGAGTGAATTCGAACAATGTTGACTGCCCCTCGATTAATATCGTAATCGATTGTGTACGCCAGGGTGACACCACAGCTCTTTGTATTTTGATTTATCTGGAACTTGTTATCTTAATAAAATTATAATTACTTGGCTTGATCCGTTATGCCTGATCCGTTAACGATCTCCACTAAGAAGGCCTTGCTTATCCAGAATTTCCTTCACCGCGGGGGCATTATTCAGAATTACCATATTTCGGTCCAAGATCTTGAGCTAAGGGGTGCCACATCAACCGCCTTCCGTTCCCTATAAATCAGACTGACCGACACTAGTTGGCCGTACTCTGCTGCCCAGCGTGTAAACCTACCACGACGAGTGACCGAATTGGCTTATACTAGGCGTGCAGGCACTTACTGAACAAAGGGCATAAATCTCGGAAAATCACTTGCGTTTCCTAGCAGAAACTTAGTGGAAGGCCGAGGAGGAAGCAAGCGTCCTCGGCGGCCAACCCCCCAAAATCGCGACAAGACGGCGGCTGAAGACGAAAGTAGAAGAATCAACACAAGGACCGTTGAACTGGTGGGATATCTGTGGTTTGACAGCCAACCAGTCTAATCATGGTATTTTATAGCCATCCTTCCAGGTATAAATAAATTTCCTAACAATCAGCATGCTTCCAAAAGAAAGGCGTCAGTCCTGTGAACGAAACTGGCATCGAGGATCGTCTTGAGGTCACCTATTACGGGCGATTCATGCGGTCTACTAGTACTCGGAGGCTCGGTGTGCTGGTCTTGTCCTATCTTCATTTGAAGAACTGCTTCGATGGCACTATCTGAGCACCACTCATCGACGTCAGGTGAGCATCAACAATTGGCCTAGAATACGACGGTTTCTTCTTTGGCGTTATTGGTCTCCGCTTTCGAAGACATATAGCGCGCGCCGATACAATCCAGCTGTGCAGTTTTAAGGCCGCAAGGGTTCCGTGCAACAGCGCTGGTGTGGCCCGTGTGTTTTGGGCCCCTCGTGCCCTTCCATTTGCTGGTCGCCCTTTTGATCTTCAGATCTGTCAAGGGTATGTATTGTGATGTATGTTCCGTAATCCTGACACTGTCCGTGTGTTATATGATTACCCAACTATCTCTCTTCGCACTAGGATCATGTGAGTAGACGATTGTGCCGTCGCTGATACCATGAACTCACTTCGCATCTTCACTGGTATCAATCACCAACTTCACGGTCTTGATTTCGAATCCGCGGAAATCGAGTTTCACGAAAGTATCTGATTGACTGGCATGGTCGGTGGAATGTAAATGGAGTCCACTCTGTTCGTCCTCCAAAAAGTTTGGCCACAGGAATATGGCTTGCAATCCTTAGTTGAGCGTTGGCATGTCCACCGAAGGCCTCATACAGACGAAGGATGATCGTCGTGACTGATTTTTTGCCCTTCGTGGCGGAATATGCATCGTCTTCCCCGCGCTTGATGGTTTCGAGAACTCACCAACGCGCGAAGGTGCGATATTTACGCAGACTCGCCAACAAACCAACACTACCAACACTACCATTTGAACACCAGCATGACACGTCTTTCTATGGTCAAATCGCTGCTTTCGAATCAACGAGACGTCCAGCGACAAACGATCAAAGTGACATTGAACTTTCTAACTCGCGATCAAACAAAGCAAGAGATGAGCGAGCGTCTGGGGTATAATGTTGAGCAATTGAGCACATGGGTGATAATGTACGTAGCTTACCTGATGAGAATATTAACTGATTTGAGCATTTGCAGCAATGGACGCCATCAAAGCACGGACGGCGCACACATCACAATCCGGGGATTTCAGGGGAAATGGGCGGCCATCACGGTCCACATCTACGTGGATGAGTGGTACCGTTACGAAGATTACACTGCCTGGTTGAACGGAAAAAAGTTACGGCAAAAGACAACACAACTTCGAAAGTAAGTACAGAAACACGTACGGTATGAATTCGACGCTCATTTTCGCATTTACACGCTAGCCAAATCTATTGATATTCTTTTGATAGAAAGGGACAACATGGTCTTGATTCACGGCTGTAATGTAGTAGTAGTACTTGTGTAAATCAGCAGCAAAAGTATGGGTAGATCTTGGGTAAAGCTACATAGCAATAATAAGTAGATAGATGAACTTGTAGTAATGACTTAGAGAATAACAATGATAATGATTGTCTTTCTTAATATACAACGATGTGCATACTGGTCGTGAGCTCAGGCATGTGGAGTGTCAATTTAATCGTCATTCTCTGATGTCTATTATTTTGGACAGTATGTATTGTTTGCTACATGTGCGTTATGTATATATTCATTATATTCATAGTATCTACAGGAAAGGTGTATGTGGTGGTAAGAAGGAAAGAAGGAAAAAAACGGATCACGGAGTCCGCGACGTGACTTGGGGGGCGATCGGGTGCGGAAGATGCCGATGATTCAAGTCACATGAGGTACAGATAAAAAATTGCCTGATATAGATACCTCGGATATTCTAAATACCATCGCCGAGGGTAGCCCGAAGATAAGATAAAAGAAAATTAGAATTCCATCAGGATACCCTCGCCGAGGATGGTAAGATGGCAATTTGATTATCTTCTGCCAATCATCTTGCGTGGTAATCAGAAGATATCCTGATTTCCCTCGACGAGGGAATTCAGAACATAGCCGGATGATATTTAGATTATCTTTCTCGATAACTTCCGGTTGCTATCTCAGGAGGTTTTCTGATTATCTTCCCCGATGGAAGTGTGAATTTATTTTACATGTTAATTACATTTACTTCTCATTTCCGCCGCAGATGTAAATGGGAATTTATTTAATGTAATCACTAAGCTAACATCTCAATTCCCTCTGTGAGGTTATCGGCTTATCCCCGCAGTGCAATGGCTTATCCAGGAGGAGCTGTATATCGACTTCGATTTATACCAGCTCTCCGAGGGCAAGGAACGCAGCGTGCTCCTCGACTACGTTCGCATGTACTGGGACCACCTCCTTGAAGGCGAGAACGCGGAGCAGGTTAAGCTGCTTGTTTCGATCCTCCGAGACGACGATCGCAGCGAGATAGAGGCGGCACAGCTGAACCATGGGAATTCCGCTGCTCATGCTCGCTTGAAGGCTTCGGAACTGCCACCAACGGATTAGTTTGCAGGCTGATCTTCTCGGACTCAGACGTAGTTGCGGCCTATAACATGTTTGGGCAGTGGACTTCACTACTACACTGGCGGCCTACTATGTGTCTTGCGTGTATTTGGTTCAATTCACACCGTGGCATATGTATCCCTCCCATTAGGTCAGAAACACTGACTATCCCATCGGTTGATCCCGGGGACAACTACAACGCAGTGAAACGCTGCCTCCCGTTGATCAGGCCAATGCTTTATACCGGCCGGCTGTTCCAAGAGACCAACGTCCGAGCGTTGTGCACGCAACGCCTTACCAAGCATTCGCCAGAGACCCTAAGCACTCTATGCCCACTGCCCATGTATTATTGTATCAGAAATCCTACGCTACATCGAAGACACATATAATAGACAACACAAGATACAAGGTAATAGTTTACATACTTTTGGCGTAGTCGTGAGGCGTGGCAATCAATCGCACCATGGAAGATAGGCGTCCTGATAAGTACCTTCGACGTAGGCGTACAACAGATCGCCAATCCACTCCTCACCTACACGCCACTCCCCATTCCAGGTCCATTCGCGCACTCTCGCCAGGGCTCCCTGTATCGCCGGGTCGTCGTCAGGTGCGAGATTGTCGTCTTCATCAGAATACCCGTCCATGCCATATATGTGGTGCATCGCCAGCATCCCCAAATCGCTCAACGCCTGTACCCGGGTCGGATCGTGCCTCGGCGACAGTGCGATGATGCGGATAAGACAGGCATAGACCGCGGATTCCCTCGGTATGCGGATGCTTGCTTTGGACGAGGAGGGGATGAGATCGGAGGGCGCCAGGCCTGCAAACGAGGCGGGTAGGAGTTGCAGGAATCGCTGTGAATCTGGCGTAGTGCTGGCAGTGATGCGGTGCAGACGGCTGAGGGTTACGAATTTCCCCTCTGTATTCGCATTTGTTAGCAAAGGGTGCGTAAGTGGTAGCCCTAATCCAGCGACGATGTTGCTAGCTTCGTCCAGCTGGTCATCTTCGACTAGATAGCAAAGGTTCTAAAGGGGCGATAGTGAGCAGTTCGTAACGCTCCAACAACCTGACTTACCAGTACGCCAGCCGGAACACCCATGCGGCGGTATAGTTGATATCTGAACTCGATGAGCTGTATTCCTGCGCTCAGCAGCTTTTGGGTGGCTTGCTCGACCAGAGCCTCGGGCGAGTAGGCAGCAAGCAGTTTGAGCGATAATAACGGAAGCGGTTCTTCCACGATTGTTCTCGACATAGCGGTGATGGTGGTTGCGGAACAAGAAGTTTCGGTTCTAAATCGGGACGACGGTGGTGCGGTGGTACCCGCCAATTGCGGCAAAGCCGCCCGCTCTTACGGAGCCTCAAGCTCAAGGCCTCATTAATCATTGTTCTCGCTATGAAACATATTCCCATTTGTGTTGTAAGAGTGAGCCCTTTCAATCACATAACTCAACCGTGGCAGGAGTTTGGTACAGGAGATGGCCATGGGTTCAATCCAGCTTATCATCCAGTGTCTGAAAACGCCACTGAGCACAACAAACTCGTTTGCGACTGTACAGCTGCTGCCTTCCTGGAATCCCATGACGTGTATGTCACTTGTCTCTTCTATGTCATGTATCGTGAGGCGACTAACTGACAACGTCTTACAGCCTTTGAAACTTGACGCCTTTCCTTGATCGATCCTAAGAACGAAGTTGGACAACGATGCACTTGTTACGACCACTAGCGAGGTTCACCGTCAATATGTACGCGCAGAAGTGAAGTTCAGAGAAGTCGGCCAGTAATGGTTCAGACGTCGAAGGGTGTAAAGTCAGGTATGTAATCATTCAAGGATACTTGCAACATGCGGTACCCTCGATTTTATCGACCCCTTCCCATCAAGTCCAGAAAGTGCTAGTGTACACGGCATCTGGGCCTGGCATGCAGTTGTCCCACTAATTCGAACAGGTTGAAGTTTTGATAGTATGTCAGGTAGTGGCTGAAGCTGTCGAGACTAGCGCTGATGACCAGGTAATGTCATTCTAACACTACATAGCAGTAACCGCGCTCACTGATGACAAGTGTTTAGGCGCTCGTATACCCCTTGACGATAAGCAGACATGAACTCCAGAGCTGCTGCGGGGATTTCACCTGTACGCCAAAGTGACATCCCCTAACGCTACGCTACTGCGAGTCGCGGCGTGACGTCGGCGGTCGCTGCCTGTCACAGTGCTTTCCCTTTGCGGAGTGTTTCATCCCTGAATGCCGCCGCGTTCAGCGACATCTGCACAACGCCGTCGTGTCGATATCGAATCGTATCCCCTACAGATGGCCAGGGAGCATCGAATATCACCGCCACCACCACCTATAGAATGGTATTTAATGCTGGCCAGTATCGTAGAGTAACTGCATCTTCTCTCCTCACTTCTCCTTCTACTTTTTGCACTTTATACCACCTCTTCGTTCTAACGTCCTAGTGACCCATTCTAACACTTATCTACACTTTCATTCAAGATGTTTTCTGCACTCTTTGTCCTCCTTCCTTTTTTCATCTCTCTTCCTGCCGTTGATGCGGCTACAAACGATTGGTCCATCCCCTGTACCAGAGGAGAATGCTACTACGATATGCCTAGTGCAGACGGTATGGCTACGGGCAGTATGAAGATCGTACGTTCTACAATAGTTCCTTGTCAAGGTCACTACTAACATTCGCTTTCTTAGTGGGGATCCCCGAACGCCATTTCCGACATTACTCCCGCTGCTGGTTGGACCATTATCGGCTGCGACAAAGAAGCAATGGAACAAGATATTCGCCTCGTCTGTACAAAGGGCGGTGATTGCGAGCACTTGCTTCAGAACGGTGCCGAAGGCAAATTAGTCCGTCTTCCTGAGAACGTACGTCGACTACATGTGTTCGCGTATTGCAACCCTATACTCATCGGACCGCAGTGCTTGAAGACGCCGTTTGCTCGGGTGTCTAGGTCGTGGGTCCACGAGGACCAGACTCTTCCCGCTGATGTCAGTGCGAAACTCACTCGACGCGCCGACGAGATTCCGCAAGTTCGTGGCCTTGCGCTTGACACTAACTTCACTGCTGTCGATCCCTCAAAGTGAGAACACCCGTCTCCGATCATATCCGGGACCGGATCTTATTAACGTCTGCATTATCCTAGGTCCGGAAACGTTTCTATCGCTATCCAAGGCGCAACCGTCGCTGGGGAGAATGGCAATGCTACTATCACGCCTCCAGCTCCCAATCCTCCCGGCCGTCGTAGAAGCGAGGCCGTCCACCGTAGAGCTTTATTGTCATTTATTGAGGATGCCTTTAAGAGTAGGTCTATTCTCTTCCTTATTACCAGCCTCTAGACTAATGGGGTCATAGACTTCAATAGCTTCAGCAGCGACAAGACCATTCAACTCCCTCCCCTGAAGGTCCCGAAGAAGTCCGTCACCATCTTCGACGAGAAGATCACCTGCGGGAAAGTACAAGGCTCCATCAAGGCGGATGCCAGTTTGCAGGCAGATGCCTTAGTCACCGTTGGTATCGCTGCGACTGGGACTATCATTCCTCCCAAGTTTGATGCTTTCGGCATCTTCGCTCGTGCGTACTTGACGACAATTCTTTGCTCTGCCCTGCTCAAATACTTCATCACATAGAAATGAACGGAGAAATCGACGGCACTCTTTCCCTAGATGGATCTGTATCTGTATGTTTGCTCGATCTTACCAAGAGTATCCACTAAGATTCTCATAGGGCTCCATAACCATCGCCGACAAAGTCATCGTTGCACCCGTCGGTATTCCTGGACTCAACTTCCCGGGGTAAGTATTCCCTGCTTCTTTCTAAGCGCCACCCTCTAATTTAATATACATAGCATCCTTACCGTCGGTCCCAGCTTCAAGGTCATCGCAGAGGGCAAAGCCAACATGGAGCTCGGCATGAAGCTTGACCTTCCATTCAACTACAAGATGAACAATGTCAAGTTGTTCTTCCCGCCGTCAGCAGCCCAAAAATCTGTTGGTCCTATTGAACCCGCGCAGTCCCGTACGTATCCATCAGTTTGAGAGTTTATAGTAATTGACTTGAGCCACTCTTAGCTCTCACTCTTTCGGCTGATGTTACCGTCGCTGGCAAAGTCGATCTCGAAGCCCATATGATCCCCCAGCTCGATATTGGCGTCACTGCTCTCGGAGGTACCGCCAAAGCCACGATCTTCCTCAACCTCGATGCCAGTGCCGAAGTAGCAATGAAACTCAACGGAAACGCAAAGGCCACTGTCACTACCGCCAAACCCAAGCGCGCCGAAATCAACAAGCTTGCCGCGAGGCAAACGGTCTCAGCAGCGAGCGCCAGGATCGAGGGGTGCGTTGATATCAACGCAGGCTTGAGCGTCGACGCCGGTGTCGATGCCAACTTCTTCGGCCTCTTCGACCCCACCACGAAGCTTAACATCTTCTCGAAACGCTTCGAACTTTTCAGCGTAAGTACCATTATTAACTCTCGGCTTTGACAATTACTGAGGAGGGAATGCAGAAATGCTTCGGTGCTGCCACAAAGCGGGAATTCTCTGAAGTCCCCAAGTATCTCCACAAGCGTGCCCTTACCTGCACACGCACATCTGATCCTGCTTCCATCGTTTCGGTCGTGAAGGAAATCGCTGCCCAAATCAAGGCGAAGGCTGGCTCTGCACCACCCGCCACGATTGCATGATTCAATACCCATACCCGTATACCCCCTTCCGGGTTGAAGCCCCGGATTGTATGGACTTCACGCTCACTATATAACTGTTAAGCATACCCACGGAATGTTTGTACTAGACGGCTTTCGTCGTGTTGTTTGTGGTACTTATATTATAATTTATTGCTGTGCGATCTCTTCCTTCGAGTTTGAGCATTCAAGTGTTCGTGCTGATGCGACCGCAAACTTTTGAATCCTTCAGCGGCGCCGCCTTGGCGTATTCAACACATGTCATACCGGGCGCCCCGAGGACTACTGGTAGCCATAGCCCTGGATCCAATTTCCAGTTGATAACGCCCAAGCTAGAAGGCAAAAAGGTTGAGTTCGCTGACCTTCTCTAGTCTTCAGTTCGCTGACCTTCTCTAGTCTTCTCTCCTCCACTCAACCAGCGTCGAATATCGTAAGGGCGGCGAATATGCTGCCCAGGAGAAACGATATTCCCACGCCTCCAATGTGGCATGGCCTGGCCTCGGACATCATCCTCCTTCTGCGAATTGTGCTATCCAGGTCCTGCAAATAATACAGGGCTCGCCAGGTCGCAATGTGGTCTGCACCCACGACTAGGGAGATACTGCTCGTGTCTGCCTTATGGATTACTCTCCTCATCTTGTTCCAAGCCCCCGGTCGAATAACGAACTCGATAGCGGCAGTACCTTTTGGATTCAATATCACTTCGAAAACCAACGCAAACGTCGATTCCGTCCCTGTTCCCAAGTCCTACAAAACCCGGCTATCATGGGGGGACAAGCGCGTCCCCAAGACCAAGCTTCTCGCTCACGTTCCAGGTATGTTGTGTCTAGCTCCTTTGTTGGATTTCGCTTAGAATTGAATGTCGGCAGGATGGACGATCTTCGACCGCTTATATCTCATGAATGGCATCGTATACATTGTTTCTGACGAACCAGCATCGATTCCGGACATTTCGCTCATGCTGTCGAAAGCAAAATTCATAGAAAACGGTCCTGGAGAGATTGAGGGTCGGCGACCGGACGCAGAGGACATACAGGTCATTAGTACGAAGGCAGCGAAGAAGCTGTTTGGTACGGGGGCTCAGATCATCGATGGTGTCACAGTAAGCCTACACAATCTTATAACTGATCGCTAATTAACTTGGGATTAGTTCTATGTAAACGACCCCTCGCAATTGTGAGGCTCCCCTCTCATCTTTGAAAGGATGTAACTCATGTATTCGTCAGCATCACGCACTATTACCACTGGTCCGCAGAACTTTGGTTCGGATTTTGGAGGACGTATTCGGCGCTCGACCCAGCCATTAGCCCGACTGGACACACCTCGCTACCTCCGCCTCGCCGAATCATGTTCTCTCACCTTAACGGCGATCATTGGCGTGACTACGCAGCTATGAATCAGTGGACCCTCTTATCTTCCGCGCCTTCCATCACCTTAGAATTCGCAGAAGACTTCCGTGAACGCGCTGACCTAAAGAGGCCCTTTGTCTTCACTCGCATCATTCTGGAGGACCGCTCGGCCGTTATGTATGGCTACAACTTCCAACGTTTCCAACGCATCTCCTCCGTACCTTTCGGCCTTCCTGGAAGCGTACACTGGTGGATGACAATTCGCCACTCCATCGTCAGTTTCGCTGGCGTAGACGTAGCCTATGGAGAAGCCAAAACTTTGGGGAACCATACACATCAAAGAGTCGGAGAAAGCACGTCTGATACGCCTGTTATAACCTATATCAGTCGGCAGTCCTGGGGTAGGCGAATGTTGATCCCTGCGGATCACGATAAGCTAGTAAAAGAACTCTACAAACTTCGCGATAACTACGGATACGAAGTCAACATCGTGTCCATGGATAAAATGTCTAGACAGGAGCAAATTACATTGGCGGCCAAGACTACGGTATGGTCTCTTGTCCTCCCAGTAAAAGTTGCGCTCATGTAAAATTAGATCATGATGGGTGTGCATGGAAACGGGCTTACCTCGCTCATCTGGATGAACCCGACGCCTCGATCCACTGTCATGGAGTTCTTCTACCCCGGTGGCTTTGCGTATGACTACGAGTACACTACAAGAGCACTAGGCATGACTCATTACGGATTCTGGGGTGCTGAGTAAGTCGTCGTCCTCGACGATCCTTCGCATGGACGTTGACGCAGATTTCCTTCAGCTATTTTACGAACCCAGATTCACCGCAGGTCGCGTACCCTGAAGGCTTCCAAGGTAATTCCATTCCGATAGATGGTGCGGTCGTCGCTCGCCTGTGTCACGAGCGCTTGCAGCTTATCTCAGAGCTCGACGACTAGGATTATTATCCCTTTTTCAGCATGACCTATAGCATCTTTTATTTCAACCAATCCCCAAGCCCATTTCTCGTAGACCTCATTGCGATATCATTCTCCATTTAGTGTCCGCAGGACACATAGACACTCACTTGGGACGCTCATTCACGGAATCTTGTACATATAACTATACACATCCATAGTTCCCCACTGCATCACCTATCATAATGACTTATTTGATTCGTTTCTTTTTAACTTATGCTACGTGCTTGTGGTTAGGCGCTCGACCGACGGGCCAAAGGCGCTTAATCCCACCACATCTTGATCGCGAACTTATACATTGTCGAAACGTCGATAGCAACAACGCAACAACACCGTATTCTATCTCTATGTCGAAGCTCGCCGATAATCCTGAATTTCAAGCTATCAGTGGTACCATCGTCGAACAAGCTGCAAGTAACAGTGATACAAAGGTCCGATCTATCGATCTATCTACGAAATCGCGGTCACTAAGAGACAATGCTGTAGAACGGGAATCGAGTTCAAGAGATGAGGACGGAGGAAATGGATAGTATTGAACTCAAATATGAGAGGGTGCGTATCGCTACAGCCATCCACGACAATGTGTCAATTCTGACTATTGTGTAGATGGGGCATGCCGAGTTTGGGGATCACGAAGGAAGGGAGGCTTCTTCGGCAGAAGGATTAAATGAAGTGACTAGAATCTAACGATGGCATATATCTTATACTGACCGTTCCGCCTATCTAGACAGAGTATCTCGCTATCGAGCGCGAGGAAGAGCCTTCTCAGTTAGCGGAAGTAGCAGAGGTCCGTACCTTCATATGGACATTACCTACTTCGCTTATACCATTCTCACCGGACAGGACTCGGGTGCTACGCTCCCTTCTGAGGAGAGCGATTTTGAGGTATGCCCATTGGTTTTGTCTAGCAGCTATCTCGCTCATCCGACTGATATAGGATGTTGGGTCGCAAGACGGTTCGGAGGTGCGTTCAGCGGTCCCAAGCTACGCATGACTCGTTTCGGTTGATCCTTCTGACTATCCCATCCTGAAAATTGTAGGTTGGTCCTCTGGACAAAGGCCCATTGTTGGTTTACAATGGGAAAACGGTTAACCTTGAGACTTTTGCCGCACGGAAGCTGCTTAAACTTGGCCTCGCTTGCCTCGATGATTATGAGGATGCTGAGGAAGAAGAGGATGAAATACTCTTCCTCCACAATGCCATTCGAGCTCTTACCTCTGCCGGGGCGAAGTTGACTACTGGAGGCCGAGACATTGTTCAGTGTCTGGCCAAACTTGGCCATGCCTGGAGACGCTTGTTCTCTGCCACAAACAAGGTGGAATATCTGGAGCATGCCATCTCCAAATACCGGAGCTTATGTGCTCTTCCCTCTGTTAAGAGGCAGGATTATCCCGGCCATCTCAGGGCTTTGGGCAATGCCCTAATAGCTCATTTTGAGCTGTCCAATGAGCCAGACAAACTTGATGATGCTCTTGTTGCATTCTCCCATGCACTGGAAATTGTTCCTGTGAACAATGGCAGCAGGCATGAACATCTAAGTAATTTGGGCCGGGCTCTTTGGCTCAAGTTTGAGCATGTAGGACATTCTGCAGATTTGGAGAAGGCTCTTGTACTTAACAGAGCAGCTCTTGGCCTTTTGCCAACTAAGCAGGCATATTTGACCAACCTTGCCGTAGCCTTGCAGAGCAGTTTCGAGCTATGGGGAAGACTTCCTGATTTACATGAAGCTATCACATATCAAAAGCAGATCATTGATGTGGCCTCTCAGGAGGATGAAGTTCAAGCCTATCAGTTTAGCAATCTGGGCAATTCATATCAATTGCTATATAATAGTCAGGGTGACTTGGAAACTCTGCTGCTTGCTATTAATGCCCATCAGCAAGCAGTGTCATTGATGACCACATCTGATTCTGATTACTCTGTATATCTTCATAATCTTGGAAGTGCCTATCAGAGCCACTTTGACAAAACCTATGATATCAAAAGCATTCATAAAGCTATTGAAATCCTTGAACAGACTGTTACACTTGCCTCAGAAAATGATATGAATATGGCCATGTATGTCAACACTTGGGGCCTATCATATATGAGTCTCTTTCAGGTCTTTCATCAGTCTGCTACAATCCAAAAGGCTCTTAGTTTGTTTCAACAAGCTGTGGCATTGACATCAGAGGATCATATTGATCTCCCAACTTGGTTGGTGAACCTTAGCACTGCCTATATGCATGCATATGAAAGCACTGGTCAGCTTGATGACTTGAACAATTGCATTGTCAATATGTCTAAGGCAATTACATTAATGTCTGATGACCTTTCCAACAAATCTTTATATCTCTCAAAGCTTGGATCATTCCTCACTCGCAAATTTGAGAGATTTGGCAATGTCTCAGACATTCAAGAAGCAATTTCACATTGTGAATCAGCAGTGAGGATGGGTGATGAAAGTGAATCCAGTTGGCCTGTCCTTCTTGAGCGACTTGCTACTGCATTAATAGCAAGATATGATGCTTTTGAGCAATCCCATGATCTTCAGAAGGGATTAAAAACATATGCTAAGGCCCTTGATGCAGTGCCAGATGATGATCCGGAAAGAACTGCTCATCTTAGTAACCTTGGTGGTGCATACTGCCGGCAGTTCCAGGCATTTGGAGATATGAAGGACATGCAAACTAGCTTGAGTCTTCTGAAAGAGGCCACTGCTTCGACACCAGATGAACATAGCAGCAAGCCATATTACCTCATCCAACTTGGATTAGCCTACTCTGTTTGCTATGAAAGCAGTGGCATTATTGAGGACATTGACAATTCAATTTCTTGCCATCAGCAAGCCTTGAGTCTTGTACCTAATGAGCACACCAACAGAGGGATGCACTTTAACAACCTGGGGAATTCATATCTTCACAGGTTTGAAAGACTCTGGAATGTTGATGATATTGAGTTATCAATTCAGGCACACAAAGAAGCAGTTGCTTGTACACCAGAGCATCATGCCAACAGAGCCCTGCATCTCTATGGACTAGGAAATGCATTGTATAGCAGATACTACTATCACTATGATGGTATAACACATGGAGGAGCTATAGAAGATCTACATACTGCTATTGAGCTTCTCCAAGAAGCATTGACTTTGACACCACCAAAAGGTTCAAATACAGGAATGTATCAAGGGACTCTTGGTTGCATATTTCAGACTCTGTTTGAAACATCAGACAATATCCATGATCTAGAGAATGCCATTCAAGCAAATCAAGAGGCTGTTGAACATACAGACAAAGGCAATCCTAGAAGGCATCTCCAAGTTTGCTACCTTGCCTTGTCTTATCACTCCAAGTATGAAAAGCTCAAACAGCTCAGTTCTCTTCATGCAGCTATCAACTGCTACAACGAAGCAATTCAGTCAGCACCCAATGGTCATCCATCAATATCATTCTACCTTATGAAACTTGGATATGCTTGGGAAACTGTTTGGCAATCATCACCAAATAATGTAACATCAGAGGTTCCCTCATCCATGGTGAAGGCACTGAAATCTATGCAGCTTGGAGAGGATGTGAAGCATTGGATGCAATCTCAACAGGAGGATATGCCTTACCTTCATGCCTTACAAGCATATTGTGCAGGAGCATTTGCCACTGTGGGCAAGCCAAGTCATAAGTATGGTGCTGCCTACCGGTTAGCCAACATGCTCAAGCCTTACAACAAGTCACTATCACTCTTGGCATATAAATCTGTCTTGCACATTCTCCCTGAACATATTTGGCTTGGTCAGTCAGTTACGGAGCGGCTCAAGCAAATACCAGACCTTGATCAAATCCAGACGGAGGCCGCAACAGCTGCCATCAATGCTGGTGAATTTGGTTCAGCACTTGAGTGGCTTGAGCAAGGGAGAGCTATTGTCTGGAGTCAGAAGCTACAACTCCAAACCTCATTGGACAATCTTCAAGCTGCACATCCAGAATTGGCTTCAAAATTGTCCAAGGTTGCTAAAGAGATTGAAGTGGTTAGCAGTTTGCTTGACTTCGATGGTACAGCAAGCCGGAACAACAGGATGGACAATAAGGGTCAACAATATAGAAAGCTTGTCGCTGAATGGGAGAGCTTACTTCAAGGCGCGCGGGCTCTCCCCGGTTTTGAGAGTTTACTTCAACCGAAATCCGTCAACGACCTTTTCGGGGCTGCCCGCAATACAGATGTTGTCTTCATCAGTCTGCACAAAGGAGAGTGCCATGCATTAGTGATCAGAAAGGCGTCCCATTCAATCGGACATCTTCATCTGGACAAGCTCACCGAGAGCAAAGCCACGGCGTGGTGCACAGTGCTACCGCAATTTATACCCAAAGCCCGCGGTAGTACGCAAAATCAGAATATTGAACGGCATGCAAAGTTCAAGCGCGTGGTTGTAAAGCGACATGATGCCTTCGAGGAGATGTTGACTGCCTTGTGGTTTGATCTGGCGAAGCCGATTCTGGAGTACCTCGGATACTACACTGCCACTAAGCCCGTAGAATCATCGACACTTCCACATATCACTTGGTGTACCACCGGGTTGCTTGCGTTCCTTCCTCTTCACGCCGCGGGATGCTACGATGCATCTCTGGGACCGCGCGGCAAGTTGCACGACTATGCAGTCTCATCTTACACGCCGTCGCTTAGCGCCCTGCTTAGGTTACATCCCGAGGACAGCCGCCTCTGTAGTATCTTTGCTGTCAGCCAAACCAATACCCCGGGTCAGATCCCCTTACCAAACGCTGGAATGGAAGTCGACGAACTCATTGCGATCTCCTCGAGGTACGGCGTCGACGTGCAACGGCTGGATGGTGAAGAGGCGACCGTGGAAAGCGTCTTAGACACAATCAGCAAGCACGGATGGATTCACCTAGCATGCCACGCCATCCAGGATACGACCAACCCCCTTCAAAGCGGGTTCTATCTTCAAGATGGCAAGCTCACCTTGTCAAATATAATGAAGCAGCAGTTCAAGCACGGACGTATCGCGTTCCTCTCTGCGTGCCAGACTGGGTCGGGCGATCAGAACCTTCCAGAGGAGGCGATGCACTTGGCTGCGGGTGTTCAGGTGTCTGGTTTTCCTACGGTGTTCGCGACGATGTGGTCTATCAAGGATGCGGATGCGCCCGTGGTGACATCCGTGGTTTACAAAGCGATGATGGAGGGGATGAAGGACGCGGAGATGAAGCCGGCGTACGCACTCCACCAGGCAGTCAGTCAGTTGCAAGCCAAGCGTGGAGAGAAGGACTTCCTCTCTTGGGCACCGTTCATCCATGTCGGAATCTGAGTCACAAGGTCAAGGGCGTCACACTGCGGATGTTGATAGAAGTTGATAGATGGACGTGTTTGTATGGAAGTAGCCCTGTATGATTTCATAGTCAAGTAGCGTGTAGTCAAAGAATAATAAGTCACTAGTTGTGAGGTTACACGTCTCCCGAATCTAACCGCGCCTTCTCGGGCGTAAGTCCGAACGTAACCCAGAAGTCTCTGGAGTCAAGTGCACGGCCTAGCAGCGATACGTCGCGCGGAAGTCCACGAACTCCAGCTTCTTGCATTAGTTCGAGGACCCAAAGTGGATGCGGGCCACGATCACCGCTTGGTGAGTCCCGTACACCCCACGCTGACGCCAAGTCCCACCAGTCGTAGACACGACCATCGCTGAGGATCCATCGCTGCCCAGCGGCCTTGTCAAAGTTTGCATGTACGGCAAGGATAGCCCGCGCGACGTCGTGGCCGTGGATCATGTGGATGCTGCCCTATTCATAGTAAAACATGAGGACGGGCAGAGATGACAGAATTAAGATTAAAGAACATATGAAAGAACATATAAAAGGACGAAGATAGAATCCTTTCGCGGCGTTACTGCGTGGGCTCAGAAAAAGGTCTTCGAAAGGTTGAGTTTAAGAAACTTGGGGTGATACCCTCCGTCTTCTGGTGTGCGGGCCTGGCTAAATATTCAAGCACTAAGTTAGTGGAGAAAGAGGGCTAACGATAACCAAGCTCACAAGACTGAGCATGTCAAACCCAGTACACTGCACACCCGCTAAGTGCCGGGAGTGATGGGGGCATGGGCTAGTGTCGACGAGTTAAAGCAGCGCTACTGTGGAGGCCCATGCGGGCCTCGGACCGTTAGGAAGAGGGATTCGGGTGACCAGCCAGTCTCTCAAAGTAGGATATGCATCGGGGAATACGGCCAGCAGCGTCTGAAGTAGATCAAATGTTTGGAGGAATGGAATCCCAGTCTCGGTGTTTCGCAGCCAAGGAACACCGTGGTAGGAACTTCCGACAAATGGGCTGCGATGAACACACTCCCAGCAACAGTAAGTCGCCTCGAATGATCCGACTTCCGAACATCTGCTTCCTCAGCGCTCAGCGATTGGAATGGAAGACCATTTAGACAAGCCGACGGAAGAGGTAGGCGTTTCTCGAGAGAGTCACCAAATGCGAGGAGGGCGGATGTCGAATGTGCTCTGATCAGCACGCAAGGGAACTGGCAACGACGGAGCAGGGAAATTGAAGGGTGGAGCTACCGCTAGTAATAAGATAGCTAGCGATCAGAATAGCCCTCTGGAGGTTGTCTAGATGCATGTTTAACCGCCAGGGATGAGATGCGTGATGTCCTGGCCGTGATCTTGGTCGAAGGCAACGAAATTTGACCTCGCAGAGGGTCGCCAGTGAGAGGGCAATCGTACGTGAAGGTCCGCAGCCTCATCGGGGATACGAACGGCGCTCACTGCCCCCACGAACGCCCAAACGACAAGGACGAAAGGAACACAAGCTCACCTTATTCCGCAATGCCTCCTTCGTCGGGGCGACCTTGCCCACCCAGTTACGAGTATCGCGTTTACCGCCCCATAGACCGGCGAGATTGAGAACCGTACCATTCCCTATAGCCAGAAGTTCGTCCTCCGAGGCCGCACGGTCAGTGCGCGTATACGGCGACCGCCTGTCACACCAACGGTGCAGGTTCTTTGCTACTCCCTGTGATCCGTTGTCGGGTGAGCGAATCTCCATGGATAAGTGCACTAAATAAATTCAACGTACGTCCCATATGCTCGTCGCCCCAAGTTGGATAAACTGAGCACTGGAGCCCTCGGGTACATGCAGACGCATATACGTACGAACGAGCCTGGCAACGGCGCCAGGTTTGGTGATAGGGAAGGTTATTAGGACAGTTTGTGCCTGCGGGAGGCGCGCGAAACCTTCTTCGTCGTCGCGATGAACATCTCCCACCCCCGATGCCGCTGCTTCCCCTTGATTCCCGCCTCCATTCTCCGCTTCATGGTTCCCCTCTCCACCGGTGCTACCACCACCACTGCCTAGACCGAGCTCCTGATTAAACTCAAATCGGATGGTCCCATTACGCCCGCTTCGCGATGTTGCTGCGTGGGTCAATCCACGGGCTTCGCATATTGGGATGAGAAAAGTGGACGTCCAGCCGGCTCCGACGACGAGGATGTCGACAGCTTGTGATCTCGACTTTGAGGCTGATTTCTCCGGCTCCATATCCATGTGCGCGTTGTAAGCCCTGCTCCAGCCTGCTTGTAGACCGCAAGCGCCTTCAAGCGCCCACACATGCGGCTTTGGAACGAGGCTTCAAACTTGTCTTCAATTGACACAATGGCCTCCTGGTGTTTTGCCTTTTTTTTTCAAAAGCTCATTGTGACGCCGTCAATGAAGTAAAGAAAAGGCGGTGTAGTGTCGGTGGTCAGTTTCGGTGAGTCGGCACTCACTTTAGTGCTGGATTTCAAATTCTGCAAGGACCTGAAACGCGTATCACAGCAGTTGCAACATACACCCTCATACTATTATTCAAGACGTCTAGTACCGATTTCTCAAGCGCGTACATGCGCTGTAGGTAGCGAGTGCGACTTAAGCTTGAGTACGGAAGTCGAACGACTTCACAGGCTCGGGAAACAATAGCGACATTCCCTATCCCCATGGAGGGCATAAAATTGCACCTTCCTTCGACCTCCTCGCCACATGCTCCGTATTCGCTTCGAATTCACAGCAGCCGAGTCGTTGCCACCTGTATCCAGTCGTATCCATTGCATAAACGAGACCGCACCAAAGGCATGAGGCGGTGACGGAGCGTCGGGGGGAGGGCGTTCCTGTGCAGCCAGCAAGCCAGCATCGCTGCTGTCAGCGCGAAACTCAGCGCAAACTGAGCAAACGAGCAAGCGCCACCGTCACAGGGCTGGGAGAAATGGATATGAGATTCATCTTAGTCGCCGCTGGGTGGTCGTCGATGTTTGATGATCTCACGGCCCTGGCCCTAAGCGTAAGGTACCATGTCTCCCTTTTTTTCATGCGCTTCCTGGCGTTAGAGACCAGGCGAAATATGGAAAGGCCGATTGATACAAATGTTGATCAGTAAATTTCGTAAACCCACCCCCCAGGAGTCGCCATCACGACATCCAAAGTCACTTTCTGGAATCATAGACTCTACAACCGTTATATCCCCCCCCACATACGCCTTTGTTCCCCCGTGGACCTAATCAACCTTTTGCTCTCGACATAGAACGAGTCACCACCGAAGCTCTTGCAGATCATCCCATATCCATATCTTACTCGACCACTACTCCTTCGTTCGCGAACGGTACACGGAGAAAGCCTTCTATCACCCACGGAAGCCCCGGAACTCACTTCTCGCTCAAGTGATCCGCACATCTGCGAAACTTAACTGGTGAGCTACCTGCCTCGTGTTCCTGTATACCGTTATTTAGTAGTCAGTTCAGACCGCCCGCAAGCCACGTTGCCTCTCCGTAGCCTCGTTGTTGATATCCCATTGTGAGTTGCATTCGAACCTACATAACAATGAACTTCGGATTGATTATCAACAGAATCGTAATATTTAGTCTACGCGTCTCCAGCGCGTCTTCCATATTGCTCCGTCACCTGTCCCACCCTCAGGCTATATCTCGTGTGCCCCGATCCATTCCTCCCACTTAATCTTTCGCCCCCTCCGTCAATAATCACCTTCGCTTCAAGCCACTCCTCCGTCAAAATGCAATCGACATACTCGAGCATCTTCTCTGCCAGGTGAGCCCCTTTGTGTAGCATCACACCATTTCACTCGATATTCACACCGACGACGTAGCCCCGTGTCGCCTGAAGATTACCTCCAGAACGTCCAGGCAGAGAGTCATACATTGTCAGAGAACATTGATCGCATCCATCATCTTGAGCGGCGCTTCGTGAGTACTCGTGTCGTTCATGTTACGGACATGACATTGACTGGAAGCAGTTCTCCAACCTCGCTTGCTGTGAGAGCTCGACATTCTCTCTCCATGGCCTCGTTGGTCACTATGAGGACGAGCACATTGCCTTGGCCGACGTTCGGCCCTCTCCTGTCAAGGCGCTCCAACTGAACCGCAACCCTGGGATCGCCTACTCTCAACTCGCTCCCTTCTCTCAATCGCCGTTCATCGATGCTGTGCAGTCGGCCTACCTCCCAGGGTTTGGACAAAACTATGATACCGAGCTGTTCTCACCGGACTCCGAGTTCGGGCTCGTGTCCTCAACATCACCCGTCTTCGCGCGAGAGTTCCCCGAATTCGATCAATTCGAAGGCACGCCTCCCCCTTCCTCTCCCACCCCCTCATCACCGCTCTATTCTTCCCCGTCTTCCCCGTCGCCATCCTCTTCTGGGTCATCATCCTTCCCATCGACTGCGTCTAGCTCGGCGCTCTCGTCCCCGGTTTGCCCATCCGCTCCCATGCTTCCCGAGGTCGACATGCCATTCGCTCTAGCCTCGCTCATGGGCAACGCTAGCATTGACATCCTGCCACACGACCAAGAGGATGGTTACGTGCCCTCAATCATGCGCAAGGATCGAACGGGCATGAAAGCGCAGAATAGGAGTGAGCGCGGCGTGGGAAAGGAGGTCACCGTTACCAAAGGTGGGAAGGGCAAGGCCAAGGGTGCCTTCTCGGCCGAAAAAGCTGCAGCGAAGGCAGCGAGCAAGCAGCGCAGGGAGAAGGCCTACAAGTGCCCGCATGCCGGCTGCACAAAATCGTATCTCAACCCGAACGGTCTCAAGTATCATCTGGAGAAGGGAACATGCTGCTTCGACGCAGTTGAGCCCGAGCCTTCGCCATCGCCAGTGTCTTCATCACCGGCGCCGGCGAGCCTCGTGTCTTCCCCAACGTCGGCGCCCCTGTCTTTACCTGCCATGCAGCCCGTGTCGATGCATATGTACCCGTATCCAATCGCCTCGCCTACTCCCATGGTCCCTGTCTCCTCTCAGCCTCCCTACCTTAGCAACACTCTTCTCTCGTGATCAGCGCAACCCTTCCGCCTCCCGTCCGCCTCATGTTCTCCCCTGCACCATCCCAACTCGTAATCGTCGTCAAAAACACGTAATGGAACTGCCGGCAACGCCGTTAGCATTTCATCCATTCAATACACTCGCTCAAGTCATACATCCTTGAAAAGTTAACTATATGGCTATTAATTGCTATAATATATTACTCGTCGCCCACCTATGTCCGATATTCGAATACTCTTGGAGTCGCCTGGAGTCGCCCACCGAAGATTCCCAGCTTTCGTATCCTTTCACGCCACCGGGCTCTTTCATGTCAACGTCGTGGAAGGAACGACCCACCAATGGAGATTGTGTTGTCTCGGACGTGGAAATGGGGTTCAGTGTCTGCCGTTTGGATATTCAGATCTCCCCCTCAACGCCGAATACAATCCGTCCTCTGGTTCTCATGTCCGTGGGCGGCACTGTCTTGCTTCCCTTCCGAACTGGGTTAAGCTCATTCCACACTCCCCCGATACCTGCGTCCTGTCTGACGTGGCCGCCGAAGTAGAGCTTGTTTGGATCAAGCGGCGCTTCGGGCGCCTTGTTATGCTTCATCATTCATTGGCTTTTACCATCGGTGTACAACCTCTGTCGATATTTCTCTCCCACCACTCCTCACCCCATCTTCTGGTGATCTTGTTATGCCCGGATACATTCTATGTATAATCTTGTATGGTGGGCATCCACATGTGCATTTGTGCTTCTAGTATTGTAAACATAACTGACATCTGGTATATAATTTGAATAGACAATGCAATAATAATATGTACTCTATGCCATTTCTTTGAGAGCGTATAATGAAGTCACTGCGCTACAGTACTGACTACGCACGGCGAGGACACCCCTCCTGTCGGTCCCGGCGGTTACCACATGTTTAGGATTGAGGACCTAGCCCTACGTTGATCTCCCTCGCCTAGTATGTACTCAACTTTCATCATATGAGTATCCGGCGATACAACAGCATCGTTATTTCTAGACCTAATGACAGATCCATCATCACTATCAGCGGTCCATGATTGGCTTGGAATAGCCAGAGCGCAAGTGTCCGCGTGGGTCTGCCTTCGCCTTCAAGTTGCCTTCGAGGGAACTTCTACGCTGTGGCGATCATGCATCATGTGGCTTCCAAGGCGGTATCCAGTGGCATGGACCTGCACAAAGGACAGCACAGATCCCCGCTCGCTTATCGACATGCGGCTCCTAAGGTTACTGAAATCTCCTTGACAATTGCGCACTTGGCTTGGGCGACAAGTCGTTCTATCGTCAATGGCAGCGCATGCAGTACTCGTTTCGCGGCGCAATTGATGCCTGCATCCTAACAAGACTCGAGCCATATACTCAGCTGACCACCCCTAGAGACCCCTTAGCGACTCCTTTCCATACCACCGTTAACCACCGTTAGGCCCAAACAAACTTTCCCCGACAGGCCAATTGATCTCATTCTCATCTGCCGGGTGCAAGTGGGTTGAGCCGTACGTAACACTCAACGTCGTATGATGCGAACACTGGAGTTGTTCTCGCAATTTACTTCTTTTCAGCACTTTCCACGCCAAAATCACGCTTCTAAGAAGACTACGCGCACCTTCACACCCTTCAAACTCCTTCATATTACCCCGGCTCGCCTGACAGTAAGTCACTTGCAGGTACTGGGGTAATCCACTCTGGGATTGATCTAAATCTCCCCGCTCCGACTCAGCAATATCGCCCGAGGAGCCTAAGTTGATCGTCGGTGTCTGCATTCGTAAGTCGCTGAGTCCTGGACTACGCACGTATTCTAATAACATACTAAACCTGTTAACATAGGTAGAGTCTAGATCGTGACAAACCCCTGTAGTGCTTCTAGCAGCATTCCGCCTTTCAGCAGTCCCCGACTATGCAATTTCTATCATCGAAATGCTACACGAGGCTACTCGAAGCAACATCCACATATCCAGTTAGTAAGATTAATTTACACGCCCTGTTGTCCACATGCTTCTACAAAAGCTTAGGACGGTTCACCTCTGGTCAGGTGTGAGTATATAGCTCGCGCGGCGCTATCATATACTTATTGGTACACTACTCAGAACTCGGAGACCGAGGCCTCATGATATTAGCTGGTAATGTCGGACACTGGAGTATACATTCCTTTGAGACCAACACCAGCGTACTGACTACTAACTGGTGGACAACAGCGTCCTCGAGTCGGAAATTAATTCAGACCGACGACCAGGTAGCCTTTGTGATCAAGTTCTACGTAGAACCGGTTCAAGGTTCAACGACGGCTAGCAATTAACAATTTTTTTGCCAGGAGCGTAGCAGTACCGATGCCCGGACCTGAAGACCTGACGCAGGCTCGCATTCTGAGGCCATACTATTTGAAATGCTTAGCAGCACCCCCTAACTACGATACCCTGCCAGGAGACCTTCCCCAGTTTTCTATGATGCCCGACCGACCCTTTGCGCTCCCTTACACCTCGACTCAGCCGTGTGGTCGAGTTCGCCCTCCGCGATTCTGAGGCCAGCCTCAAGGCTCTGAGTCCCCGTTGGGCGTTCTGGGTTCCAATGAACAACGACAGAAGATCACCGTCGACATTTAAGGAATTCTACAGTGGACCGTTCAAGTTTGTCGAAGCTTCTAGTACAGGCTTCTAGTAGATCGACCTCGTATGGCCTAAACACAATTGACTAGTCGCGTCGACCAGGTGACCCTTTGCAGCCAGGCGCCATGCGCCACTTTCTGAAGTACTGGTCCGAGAGACAGCGCAGCTGAATTACTGTATAAGATACCTAGTTCATTACCGTCGTTTGATGGGGCCATGTCAAGTGAGCAAGATCACGGTTCACTATAGACGATGGCTCAGTAGGTCATTGATGGGAAATGGGGTGATGGGAGTCGTCGAGCGGGGCCTGGTGAAGGGCCCACTGATGGATGCACGGAGGCGTACCTTGGAAGATCTATGAAGGCCTTGGCGCAAAAGATAGCAGAAGTGGATGTGGCTGAGTAGATCGCGACCTAATGAAAAGGATCCTTGTTGCGACAATCGGAAGCATAAAATGGGTCAACAAAAGACGTGCTGATATCGAGAACTTCGTTAGCTACGTTCCTGGAAATTTGGCGGGCCTTGTTCAGTGAAATTACTTCCGCTTGTACTGTGCAAATTGATGTTCGTTTATATCGTCCGATCAAACCAACCCATTAGCATGTATGACACTAACGAAGTCCCTACTTTGGCTTACCGTTAGTTTAGCTGAAGAGCTATTTCGGCAGTAAGTCACGTAGGACATAGACTTACCGGCGGCTGCGCCTTCGCTCTTATGTGAACAACACATCTAATCGTAAATAGTGGCGTTCACGATATACCTTGGGCGGTATAACTGGGGAGTCTGTGATTTTGAGGACCTATCAAGTTAGACGGCGGCGGTTGATGATCAGTTTCAATGCTGTCTTGCCGTTTAATACAAGCTGTGTCTAGTGTTAATATCGTGACTCAGCCGCAGGTATCGACCTTGAGCCTCGATATCGGTGGATTGATGCAAGATGTCTATCCGCTGTTGAAATATTCTGCTCCAGCACTATGCGACGACTTCGTGATACATTGTAGATAGATGCCCATATCAACCTAATATCTAATCAGGAGTTCCTCCAACGTTGCCTGATGACGATGTACATATATTCAATGACAGGTTATAAGCATCTCCTGCGGCTGATATGGACTGATACGTTTCACTGTTCTATTCAATCAGCGACTACTGCGCTGGTCACCTGTATGCCATATGAATGCCATCGGATATCATCATGATGGTCATGGGGTTTGGAGATGCGGATGCGGCTGGCCTTGCAACACTTGCGTATGTTCTCCGACTGGTTACAGTTGGCGCTTGGCCTATACTTGGAGTGGCGAAGCCCGGAGGCTGTTACCAGAATCACTCCGAGGCAAGCGTACGGTGATGATGTGGCAGGTCGGGTGTTGGGAACCCCGGATTTGCGGTGGTCCATACATAGCTGCTGGGCATGCTGCGCTTGTTGTTGGTCTCGCGGGTTTATGCTGTGCCTTTCCCCGCAACGGAGTCTATAGAGTCAGTCAGCTTGAGACTTTACACTTCACCGTAGTAAGCATTGCCTCAAGAATCTGCTGAGCGGTCCTCACGATACGTACGAATGCCTTCCATCGAGTACTTACGCAACCGGATTCACGGCGCTCCGTGCACTTGAGCTTCAACGTTCCCCAGGATGATAGGAACTTTGAGAACGCGTAACAAAAACAAGGTATGATTTGACGAAGAAAGTACATAAAGTCAAGCGATTCGTTTCGAACCATTAATCGGTTAACCGTGTAGCCGACTGAAGCGGCGGGATGTGGGCGCAGAACTTCGGCGACCGTCGTTGGTTATGGAACCGAACATACGATCAGTATTCAGCGGCTGCAGATGAAGACGCCGTAGTCGCAATAGCGCGTTGCTGAGGGTTGTGGGTCCAGAATTTGTTTTTGGTCGATAGTTGTTAGGATCGCCTGAGCTGTTTTAACGTTAGGTAAAAAATCCGGCCGCCGTGCACCAGCATTCATCCAAGCCAGCTGTTGCCATTTCCAAGCGATGGACGATATGGCTGTTAGCCGGCGATGATGCATACAAGCTGCAGCCAGGCTTGTACGAGGTTTAGGTTAACCGTTGTCGAAGCACGAAGCACGGGAACTGGCACGAGTTGTCTAGAAACGAATTTGTCGGGTCGAAAAGGTAAACGAGGACATGCTCCTTTGAGTTCAGCCTTCAAGATGTGGATCTAGGACAAAGTGCGATGGGAAAGGGCTGCTTGTGGACGTGAAAATATTATTATTTCGGATGGCCGCGCCTATACCAGAAGAGGTAAAATACTCCCGTCGGACGGTTTGGAGCCCGAGTAGCTGAGCTCCGAGATGAGCCAAAGAACAGAGATATCTGGAGAAAGCTCCATGTTCATAGGACCGAGTACTCGAGTGCACGGGTGGCTCATGAGGAGGCTGTCATCGATTATCACCAAGATTCATGCAGGCAAACACCGAAATGTGTGACATCCAAGGTCATGAGAACAGCCGCGAGGCCGATGTGGGCATTCCCACGGCCCAAAATCAGGTGTGCGACTTCTTGTGATTGCCCGCGGGCCGAATCCGGAGGGGGAACAGGCAGCCTTGTCGAAGGAGCAAGTGCGGAACCAAACAGTCATCACTTCACTAACTTCAGCTCAGTCCACAACGTCGTCCTTCTAGGACCAGTGCCCCCGAGGCCCCCGTCGCTGCCGTCGCTGTTCTCGACGCCACTCGGTCAGCATCAAGCCCTCCTCGGATACTCCAAACCCAGAGGGTCAGGCGGGCGTATTTGACTTTGCCTTCGACTTCGGCTTCATACTCTAATTGAGACACTCGCACTCTTGTCTCTGAACCACCATCATGCTCGACAATCAGCCCTCGCCACTGTTGACCATTGCTTCGGACGTTCTTAGGGAGGTGGACAATGCAGGTAGTCTCTGGGCGCGTGAGTTATCTATCTCTTCCGCGCAGTGTGTCGGGTTCTCATGAACCGTGACTTTGACTTTCCCGGCAATGCATTGATATCATCAACGTCTAGTCTTCTCGAAATGCAAAGGGAGCTTGAAAGACGGAGAACGATTGGAGAATCTCTCGTGGAGGCTATGGCATCGCGGGATGGTCGTTGACCGCCATCGTACGTGCATCCATGCCCAGAACGATTCCATCAACGACGGGGTTTCCCGCTCCTCTTCTGAAACTGGTGAGTCTACCATTCACGACCTCATTCGGGTTTTTCACCGTTCCGATTCCTTGATTTGATGCTCCTGGAAGTGCTGTTGGTGCTGTGGAATCCCCTTCGTCTTACCTCCATTTCATTCTCGCTGACCTTTTGCTGATGTTATCTCATGGCTGATACAGATGGCTGGACAATCCACGCTCATCCTTCGCCTCCGCCACTTTCCACGACACTAACGGCTTCACGCACACCATTGGCCAATCCATCTTATTCTGCGGCGTACAGATCACCTGCGCCTTCCCTTGGATCATTTTCCTCGCCTTCTGCCTCCGTCATCGCTTTTTCAGAGTCTGCGAATGGTAGCAGTGGCAGCGAATCAGATTCAGGTGCGAACTCCTCGGATGACCAGTTAGGGCGCCTTATGTCAAGTTCAGGTGGAGGTACACTGTCCTTCCCCACAACATCGGCTCCCCTTGTCCACGTCTCGGAAACTACCTGTCCGTCTTGCCACCTAAAATCCACGAAGTCGCACATCCCCTCACCGATAACATCCCCTTCTCCCTCACCTTGTCCTTCGTCCCCAACTCCATCTCAAACTGTTGCCGCCGATCAAACATCCACTGATGCTAGCCCGTACCCCGCACCCAGTACAACAGCAGCCGGCAACGATGTTACCCATAACGGCGCCGGAGATAATGAAATTAACGGTGATTTCCGTCGGCCTGATGCTGGACGAAGGCATGATATCTCCGAGCGGGATAGTGGTTCCGGGGGGAATAGGAAAGTAGCGCAAGGCTCAATCAGGTCAAACGCTGGTATTGTTTCAAGCACGGATAATGTGGCGGACGCAATCATAAGGACAAATGGCTCAACGATGACGACGTCGAAAATGCCTCCTCCCGGCTTTTTGGTAACGGACGGACCCCGCCGTCGAATATTGCATACGCATCGCTCACCGCTCACCGTTGGAAGGATGATATCTGATATCATTCCTGGAGATGTGTCGTTCTCTTCGGCCCTCAGCGAGCAGCATCCTCGCGATTTAATACCTTCATTGTCCGGGTCAATTCAATCGCCCATACTGCTGAATGGTAAATTCTGCTCCCCATCTCGACGCCAGTGTCCGCTCCCAACACCTGAACATGAGTCTGTCGGTATGAACTTGAACATGGCCTCTTCGGTAAGTTCCGCATTATTTCTCCCAATTTTCGCATATTTGATTATCGCACCGATTCAGGCGCTCTACGATAAACCTCCAAGCGAGGCGTCCTGTAAACCGGTTTCGCCCACCGTCGCTGTAACTATCACTCCTTCCCCTAGCCCATCACCTCAACATGCTCCGGCTCCTGTATACGTGACCTCTGCGTCGCATATTCCCGCATCGAATCCCGCTACCCCTAATCGCTCACCAACACATTCTGTACCAGGCACACCACAGTTTCATTCACCTGTCGCATCTCATCCTCACACCCCCACGGCATTTCTTCGTACCTCACCGCGCACACCGACTACAAATCCCGGTAGCGTGAACCTCGCTCTAGCACCCCTTGTTGTCGTTGTGAATCCCACACCTCAGCCAACCCCTCATCCGACTCCTCCCGCTACGCCTACATTGGTTTCTGCCACTGTCCCTTCATTCGTAACGGCGTGTGGCGTTGGACTGGGACCAGATCAGACCAGCAATTCAGCCAATATCCAGAGCTCTTCACCCACGGCGAACGCTCCTGCGCCATCGAGTCCTAGGACGACAAGCTCCATTCCCACCCCTAATGCTAACGCGACTTTGGATACAGATCGCACCCGTACTGGCTCCGTATTGGCCTGTATGGGAACTACCGCCAGTGCCCGCGGACCTTTGCCTGTCCCTGATCAGAGAGACGAGTTGCCCCCAGGAAAACCACCATCGAGCATCAGCCCGCAACTTTCGAAGCCAGGCCTATCTGTGATGGTGGATAAGGATCGCACCTTGAAGCCCTCCGATCGCCGATTCTTCCTTCTTCAGTCTCCTGAGCGCTCGCCGGATTCGGTTGTTTCTCCTGGCGCCTCGAGTAGTACAGACCTTGCCTGCAGCGACGATAGTTCAAAGAATGCCAATATGGGTAAGCCTACTGTCGTAGTAGCCCCTCGGGTGGCTCAGCGCGGACGGGAGCCTGCGATGGAGGTCGTAGACGAGGATAAAGTGACAGCTCGCAAGACATGGCAAAGCGAAGATGGCGATCCGGGTGCCGTCAAAGAGCGCAGTCTCAGCCGTGACGCCCGACCGCCATCGCGCACCAAGAACAGGTCATCGGGTGCGCTTACTGCAAGCAAGCGAACCACGTCAACAACGAGTCTGACTGGTGGGACGCGTGCGAGGTCTAAGGGACTGGGTCTTGGAGGTGGGTTGACGATGACAAAGAGTAAAGGAGTTGTCGGGAGAACGGGGATCACCGGCAAGGTCGCTTTAGGGATGAAGAGGGCAGCGAGCAGTGGAATCCTGCCAACCACGACTGCTGCTCACGCGGACGAGCTTTCGACCAAGAAGGCCGTAGTCTCGAATGGGAAGGGCAAGTCATCGCGAGCCGAAGTACTTGCCCCACCTCGTCCTAACGCAGTCATGCATCGCGCCTCCTTCAATATTGGTAGTGGTTCGTCTGAAGGTGTCGAGATTGGCGAGGGCGGAGAGACTAGTAGTAGGAGCGCTAGCGCGTCAATTGGGGGCAGCGGTGGTGCACGTGAGCTGACGCAGAAGATGCCCGGTGCGGCTCGCTCTAACAACATCGTGCCGAATGGGGACCGGCAGTCGCCTCCGTCTCTGGAAGGCCAAACCACCAACAAACCAGCCAAACTCCCTATCTCGTCGTCTCCGCCTCATGTAGTCGCAAGGCTCCCCAATCCGGCATCGCTTGCGCTTAACCCAGAGGCCGCCACTGCCGCTATTCAACCTTCGCGTAAACGTGTCGTCGTGACTAACACATCATCTGAGGATTACGAGACCGAGAGTAATTCCGAAGAGGAGGAGGAGGAGGAGGCTGGATCCTGGGCAAGCGAAGATATCAGTGAAGGAGACGATGACGAAGTGGGCTTCGCGAAGGGTCAAAAGGGAGGCTCCAGCAGTGTTGTGAAGCGCTCGCACCAACGAGGAGGGAGCGTAGGCAGTCGCGGCAAAGGTCCCTCTTCAGGACATTCGCGAACAGGGGGACCATCGAAGGGCAAGGCCAAGTCGCCTCTGCAAGCTCCAGCCCCTGCACCGGCGCAGCGAACGAAGTCTTCCGGCCTTCAACAACAACATCAGCGCCCTTTGGCGCCGCAACTACACCGTCGACATACTTCTACTGCCATTCACCCACAAGCACAGGCGTCACGACGGTTATTGTCGAAGGAGGACGAGGCTGCTCTGAAGTTGCAAGCTGCGGCTGTAGAAGCTCAACGCCAACGCGAGCTGTTTACGAAGGTCCCAGTGCAGCCAACCATGCAGAGGACGAGGTCGGGCTTGCTCAGCCAGTTGATGAACCCTGATCCCTCGATCTTTCCGCCTAATCATCCGTACAGGCAGAGCTACTCAGCCGTCGACTTACGGAAAATGGCAACGGTACCAAGGGTTGTTAGCGCCGGAGCTGGAGGGTTTGCCATTCGTAGTGGTGGTAACGTGGTCGCGACACTCCCCAGTATCGAGGATATCACGAGCGGCCACGTCCGACGTCCGAGCGAACAAGCCCCAAAGCTTCCGCCCATCGTCGGTAGTTGGCGTAGTACAAAGGGGGCCGCTGCTATGCCTCTGGCAGCTCAAGTCACCGTCAGTAACGTCCCTGCCCCAAACCAAAGCGGTGGTTCGGGACCGTACAGGCCCAAAGGTCGTCCTCAAGAGGAAGAACTCGAAGATGATACAGATACCGACGACAACGCCGATAACTCTGTGCCGATGTCGGAGTCCTACGTCTATCAGAAACTCGCTCAAATGGTTGGACGCCGTGGGGCTGTGGCCAATGGCAAGCAACGCGCGGACGCTGCACCCAAGCGGCCTGAGCCAATTCGTGCTTTGACAACGAGCGAGTCGACGTCTTCCCATGATGCGCGGGTATCAGCTACTCCTGTTCCTCTCGCGCATCCATACAATCTCCCTCCTCCGTCGCCACCCTCGACTCCTCGGACGACACGCCAACGATTCCTTCAGTCAGAAATGCCTGAAAGTCTAAGGAGGAATCTCCTTTGGGAACGACAAGTAAGCAAAATGAACCTAGGGCCGCGTCGTCGAAGTACTGGTACTGGGGAGGGTGCAGCTGGACGTCCTGGCCATCTCACAACGACACCTAGCATGGTTCAACTGAGCGCGAAGACCTCAAATACTAGCGTAAGAGAGGAGGAGGAGAAAGAGCGTCAGCGTCAACGTGAATTGGAAGCAAAAGAGAATGAGGAGAGGATGCGTAGGGTATTAGCGAAGACTCGTAATCGTAGTTGGGCGGATGATTACCATGCCTCCGGATGGTAATATGGTTTCATTGTACGTTTTCTTTCTCAATCTTGGGCAAGGATTATACTAACGGCCGATACAGCTCGTTTGATCTGGACCCTTGCTTTTCAACATCACGGCTACGTTCCACTCGCACTCACTGTACTTCAAATCCCGGCATCGTCAATCGTCTCATTCTCATCATCAATTTGTATTGCATATATGTACCATCCCATCACACGCCTAGTATTCCAGCTACCGTCATCTGTTGATCCTAATTTCCGGCCTATCCAAGGTGTAACCTTCCATATCCCTTCTGAACCCATACCCTACTTACCTGTCGCCTACTTACTACTTTGCGCATTCTTTCCTTGTTTATCTTGCTCTCCTATGCTAGGAACCGTCTCTATCAATGCGTATGCCCCATGTACCACCCTTGTAATGTATATAGCTAATGGTACACGTCTTCGAGTCGTACGATTGTGAGATTTGAATTTGAACATTCGATTTGATGCATGATGGCTGTGTATGTAAGTCTGCCGATTTGCTGCGGACACTGCGCGTCTGCTTATGCAATGCGGCGGATGAGCCGCCGGAAATCGTCACCCAAGTCTGCGACATTATAAGATTGGCGACTGCTTCTTCTGTGACGGTGACCATGTCGTCAAACGAGGACGAAGGGGATGGCTCCAGTTACCTCCAGAACGCAAAAAAGCGCAGAATCCAACGGGCGTGTGACATATGTCGGCGCAAGAAGAGTACGTATCGTTGTAATATCCTGGTTATAATTTATTCTGACTACTCCTTAATATCATCATGTAGTACGCTGTGAGTCTACAACTTGCATTTATTCCACAGAAAATTGAACGGCGAACGATACGTTTGCTAGGCGATGGCAGTCAGATGCCTGGGAATCGATGCTCAAACTGCATCGCATACAGCTTTGAATGCAGTTACGTCGAGGCGGCGAGGGTGAGTATAAGCCTCTGTTTTATCGCTAACCCTAACATCAATGCTCCTCCAGAAGCGTGGCCCACCAAAAGGGTAGGTCGAGCTGTGCCGACGCCTTCATTTATTCATTTCCTTTTATAGATATGTCGAGAGTCTGGAAAACCGTTTAGAGAAAATGGAAAAGCTGCTCAAGAGAGTTCGTCATCGGTTAACCTCACCGTTCATTTTCTCTTATCACGTCAGTGTAGCTCTATCCAGACGGCGATTTCTCGAAAGATCTTGATCAATTCTTCGAGACCAGCGGCGAGGCGGGAACACCTATCTGCGCGCCCATGTCACCGGATCCGAACCTATCTAAATCCCCCACCGAGTTCGCGTCTAATGTGATTCGATCCATGGGCGAAGTCCAATCGAGGACAATCATCCCCGACGACGACGACGATCTGGGTCATGTCGTTCTGGAGGAGGACCTAGGGGGACTTGAAATTACTGATCAGATACGAAACCGCTTTTTCGGCAAGTCAAGCGGCGCCATGTTGCTGCAAGCTGCGATGGACCTCAAGGACGAATACACCGGCCAACCAAAGAGGGCCTTTCCGCATCCGAATATCTTGTCTCGCAGACGTGATGAATTCTGGTCGCGACCCGACGTACGTTTCTGATGCTTTCTGCAATGTCTCTACGTCCTAATTCATGTATAGTGGGAACCTTTCGTCTCAGAGCCCAAGAATCCCGATTACATTTTCCCCGACCCCGACCTCATACCGCCCCTTGTTGACGCCTATTTCAAGTATTATAACATATTCTTCCCGCTACTCCATCGACCTACTTTTGAAAGGGGTATAGCAGAAGGGCTACATCTCACTAACGACACTTTCGCTGGAGTCGTGTTACTTGTCTGTGCCAACGGTGCTCGGTACTCTAATGACCCCCGCGTCCTCCTTGAAGGCAACTCACCACATTCTTCCGGTTGGAAATGGTTTACCCAAATACAGATGGTACGAAAGTCACTCCTTGCTCCGCCAACACTGTACGATTTGCAATTTTATTGCGTGAGTAACGGCATTGAATCTCTTGGACCGCCGCATGTTAACCCGCCCAATCTAGCTAACCGTTCAATTTTTACAAGGATCATCCGCCCCTCACGCCTGCTGGATCATGGTCGGAATAGGTATACGCCTAGCTCAAGACGTAGGTGCCCATAGGCGCAAAGCACACACGCACAAGCTCTCCGTCGAAGATGAACTGTGGAAACGTGCATTTTGGTCTGTACTTCTTCTGGTTACCTGCCTCCCTCGTTGACACTCATTTCAGGGTTCTCGTCGCAATGGACAGAGTTATCAGCACGATCCTTGGTCGGCCTGTTGCCATTCAGGATGAGGAGTGAGTTTCCCAGAGCCATGAGTTACGAGCGGGTGCCTTATATCCATAGCTTTGATCTGGACTTACCGATGGAAGTGGACGACGAATATTGGGAGCACCCTGATCCTGACCAAGCGTTCAAGCAACCTCCCAATAAACCGTCTTTGGTAACCTTCTTTAATTGTTATCTCCGCCTCAATCAAGTTCTAGGGATTGCTCTGCGTACTATTGTACGTCTCCTCGTCTTAATTGAAGCGGGCTTTACTCACACCTGCCCCAGTACTCTATCAATAAATCCAAAATTCTCCTAGGATTTGTAGGGGCACAATGGGAACAACACATCGTCGCCGAGCTAGACTCTGCTCTGAACAAATGGGTCGATTCTGTACCAGACCACCGTATGTCCCCGATTTTCTACGATCCTCTTATCTCACCTTTATCCCAGTTCGATGGGACCCAAATCGAGAGGATCTGGACTTCTTCTCCCAATCCGCCATGCTCTACACCCATTACTATCACTTGCAGATCCTCATCCATCGGCCATTCATTCGGAAGCCGTCCCCCCTCGCTTTTCCATCCATGGCGATATGCACCAATGCCGCGCGAACGTGTAGCCATATCGTTGACATCAACTCTCGCAGGTGTTTGGAGCCTCAGCCGCATCTCATGGTGTGTGTATCTTTGTAGCTATATCCTCAGATGTTGACCACGTCGCAGTCCGCGGCATTCACCGCGGGCGTGGTGTTGCTGCTGAACATTTGGGCTGGTAAACGGTCGGGTTTGACTACGGATCCCAAGAAAGAGATGGCGGACGTACACAAGTGCATGAAGATGCTTCGGAGCAGCGAGAAACGGCAAGTTCTCTGTCTACTGGATTGTATCACATCTCTTGACTCTTAGACAGGATCCTGACTGCTGGTCGTCTATGGTTGGGCGCTATTATCTCTACACGTACCTCCCCACTGACCTTCCTTCTAGGGACATTCTGTACGAGCTGGCGAGTGTTGGCGACCTTCCTTTACCACAAGCAAGCCCTGCTCCCAATAAACGTGAACGCGGCTCAGACAGTCCGGCATCTTCCACCACCGAAGACGCGAGCGTCACCATGTCGCCGCCCAACATGCCCCGAAGCTTGGCTGGTTCGCGGCGGATCGCTAGCAAAGACCCGATTTCGTTATCTTCTCGAGGTACGTCAACCATGGGGCTGCCCATACACAGCGAAGAGCTCGGTCGACTCCCCTTGCACGGAGAAGCGGATCCCAATAGCTTGATTCGGACCGACAACGATATGCAGGCTGGCACCTCGACCGCGAACGCAAATGCAAATGCCAACGGCTTCTGGTACCCTTCCTTCGCCCCTCAGCCTCCCAATATGCCAGGTCCTTCGTCCAATTTGGGCCCCGTTCCTTCGGGCGAACTGTCGTTGGCCGATCAAACCATTTATGAACAGCTCATGATGACGACGATGAGGATGCCTTATAACCAGCAGTATCAGCAACCCTTGTCCGATCCCACTCTAGTTAATAATCGACCACTCGACCCCCTGATGATGCAGACTTCTCCCTCCATGCCGCAACAGATGACCTTGGATCCTGATACGATAGCCATGTGGACGAACGCGCCATCGGGCTTCGAGTAAGTGCTCTCTCCGACGAGGTTGACGTGCCCCCGAGCTTATTAGAAACGTTAAGGCTGGATGACTGGGGACAGTACCTTTCGAACGTCAGCGAGTTGACGCAGGGAATGCCTCCTTCGGGGGACCCAAATATTCGATAATGCCAAAGCTTTCGTGTTTTTCTCGTAGACTAAATTAGATTGTGATGTGTCGTACCGTGTAGCGATTAATTCGTGCTATATCGCTTTTGTATTGCTCGTTTTGTATATCAATGTCAACATCCCCTCCTCGCCTTGACGCTGTGTAAATTGCAATTGCGCGCTGACTTGCATCATTATTTGCTAACAACAATGATTCTGCTTCCCGATGTCACCTCATTATAGACACGAACGTTGAATAATTCATTAATATTTACGGCTTACTTCCTACATTGAATAGGGGACCCACAATGGCGTCTGATGCCCGTTCTGCCAGCGTCAAGCAGCGTCAACAACGTCCATCCGTTCTACCATCATGTACATTTTTTATCACCGCACCAATCATACGCTGTACCTTCTTTTCAGTCGGTGTCCATTCTATCGTCACTCTACACAATCGTGGGCAGGTTAGGCACAACAAGGACCCTGTGATCAATTTCGCCGACACAATACCATCGCGTTTTGATGGCCATTGGCAAATCAGAAAAATCAGAGCAGTTCGGTGGGGATTGAGAGGGCTGGGTGAAGTCAAGGTGAAGTCCTTTACGTTTGTGAGTTCATTTCGTCGCCATTTGTCTTCTCGCCCCATGGGGAGGCGTTGAGGAGGCGAAGAGAGCCTCAAAGTTAGAATCAGGGAATCGATGCTACGATCAAGCTCCGGTATTCGTAGCTTTGGGGATGGGTTTACGGAGCACGCAATTCCAGCTGTCCCGTCTGCCCGACGCCCAAGATGAGCCCCTAGAAGGTCTGCGCCCGGGCATCTAGACTATATGGTTGATTCCGCTTTACAGACGCATGCTAGATCGTCCAACGACTCGAGTTCTCCGAGAGGATGTATCGGAAGAAGACTACTTGATTGATCCTTTCAGACCGGATAGCGGTAAACGGATGACCACACGATCATGTCATACGACGCCCAGTGATACCCGCAACAAACATAAGATTTTCTTAGGGGTACTGGGCAGCTTCGAGGTATCCGATGGTTGATTGCCATGCCCTCCAGCTCCTCTGCGACTTGAGCATTGAGGGGTCTCGCGAATGAGCGTGGCCCAGGGACAGGCGTCCAGGGGGGCTCGGGGCGGGCACTTCCCCCCGCAGGTAGCTTCCGTCGGGGACTAGCACACGTGAAACCAAGGGGCGGCGGAGCTTTCATCCATAACGGAGGACTCTTCGTAGAGGGTTCCAAGTCGAGGAAAGTCTAGGAAAAGTGTCTAGCCACCCCTTGCGTGGAAGTATCGGCGACAAATACCGTTCGCGGCAGCAAAACAACACAAACCCCCACAGAGGAAGAAAATACCCCTCCGTCGTTGGACGCAGCCAGGAATCAGATATATCGTCGAGACGAAGGTTATATATATATATTAATGTTCGCTCCGAGGGTCGCTGTGGAGATGTACGGACTTGAATGGGGGTGAGTCGATTGTCTGCATGCTGGAGAGTTTGTGTTGATTGATCGGTAGGATCATGCGGGATTTTAGCCCCTTATTTGCTTGAAGGCTAGATCAATACGAAAAACCTCAATTACCCTGGATCTGGCTGAAAGTCTGAAATATAAAGCGAACAGAATGGACCTGACTGATCCAAACTCCCCCCCACTTCACGACACTAATACTCCCTCCCCTCCTTCTACCCACCCTAATCTATAAACATGTTCGCTTCCCTCTTCGTCACGGTCGCCCTCGCCCTCTTCGGCTGTGTCAGCGCTGCTCCGCAGAAGCGTGCTCTCGCCCAAGTCTACAGTAAATGCACCGTCCCCAATACTGTAGCTCTTACCTTTGTAAGTAACACGGCGCGCATGAGCGATGATTTATTCAAACCTCCCCCTTACGAATAGGATGATGGCCCCTATGTCTGGCTCTACGATATCAGCAAAGCCCTCATCGCTGCCGGTGGAAAAGGTACTTTCTTCTTCAACGGCAACAACTGTAAGCGAGGTTTTCCTTTCTCGTCGATCACGCGTCTGACTCTCTCTTAGACGGCTGCATCTACGATGATGCTAATATCAAGCGTGTCAAGTATGCCTACGACAAAGGGCATCAGGTCGCCTCTCACACCTGGGGCCACAAAGATCTCACAACCCTCACCTGGGATCAGAGTAAGCGCTTCTCTTCCCCCGACGCGCAGTCCTTATTCACGCTGCTCTAGTCCACGATGAGATGTGGAGAGTCGAACGTAAGCTTCACCGTTCCTCAGTGCAAGGGATGAGCTGACTTGTTTATCAGTGGCCCTCCAGCGTATCTGTGGTGTGCAACCCGCCTTCATGCGCCCACCCTTCGGCAACTACAATAACCTTGTTCGTGAGGCCTCCTCTGTTCGTGGCCAGAGCCTCGCGATCTGGGACTTCGAGTATGTCCATTCCTGATCTTATTGCCCCAACCTCAGTGCTCACGATGTTGATCACAGCTCCGGTGACTCTCTTGGCGTCTCTGCTCAAGAGAGCAAGAACAGATACGACACCGTTGTCAGACAGCACCCCAGCAACATCCTCGCTCTGAACCACGAAACCATCGTCACCACCTCGCAACAAGTCATCCCTTACGCCATCCAGAAATTGCAAGCCGCTGGGTACAGACTAGTCACACTTGCTGAGTGCCTTGGTCAACAACCATACCAATGGGTGGGCACACCGCAAACCAAGGACGTAAGTTACTTCCTTTTTTGTCGCTTTCGCCCCAAACCTTATAACCTTGAAATGTAGTCGAGCTGGACAGTGTTAAAGGCTCGATGCGCCCCCTCACCCTTCATCTTGGACAATCTCGAACATTTTGGCTTACGCCCATGCCTCTTTGGGACGTTCGCACACCTCTACATTAATCAGACTCATATCGGACTTCCTCTCACCTCTGACATTCGCTTCGACTTATTTGCTTACTTATTACGTCCGTTATTGACTCTCTAATCTCGTTTACCTCTATCTCTCCCTTGTCATCCAAAGGCAAAGTTTGGTAGTGTCGGTCTACTAGTCAGGAGTAATCTAGGACTCGGACTATGCACGGTTCCCACTCCGTTTTCGTTCCCCGTCACCCTTCGATGCTATATCTACCCGTCGATTGTAATGTTTGTGACCACAAGTATACATGCGTACACATCTTGCATAAATCACTTCCTCTTGTACTAAACACCAAGTTTTGTACTCACAAGATCACCCCATACTCATACCACGTACCACGTACTACGTCCATCAATATACCTCCAATCCCTGTCTCTCTCAGGAAAAAGTCTCTTGTTGTGTAGACGTTTCATTGGCTCCCTCACAATTTCCCATCGTTTCGCTCATTATAATCCAGAATCTGTCACATTTTTTCTGGCGTTTGATGGGGATTGGAAGGACCTCTCACTTCACGTCCGTCGGAACTCAGAATTGTCTACTAAAGCGCTGAAGGCATCGTTGTAAGCATGGAGCTGACGGCCCTTCAGCTACCCCGGATTTGATACGGGCGACCCTCTAGAAGGTGTGTTCTAGCTCCATCCGGCGTTTAAAGCTCAAAATGATTCCGCTGAATCCCCCACGCCAGAATATCACTAGAATATCCTTCCTCGAGCCTCGAGACCTCCAAGGGATTATGAATCCAGTCAACAATCTAGACACTCGCGTCACTTCGATGTTCTATAATTATGTGGCTTCGTGGAGCCCGGAGTCCGGAAGGCGAGCTTGGCTCTTGGGCATTGACTTGAACCGGGCAATGCTGCCCGCCCACCTTTCGCCGACATCAAGGCAGTCGGGACTACTATCACTTAGACAGATTTGCAAAATTTTGGACAATTCAACCCGGTGCTCCAGATTGGATGTCCCTACAACTCCCGGCATGCTACGAGAGGTTGTCGCTCATCTTGTCTAAATACCTATCAACTTTTTGAGTGAATCCCTTTCCGAGTAGTAGAGCAATGACGATGCCGGTACGACAAGTACCCAAAAACATAGATTTGCAAACTTTTCGTCACAGTGTGTCACGCGTCATTCAGACCCAGCAGCGCAGCCGTGTGCCGCCGTATGCATTCGGCCGCTCGCTCGGCAACACATGGATCTGCAAAACAAGGGGCAAATAGGAGCTTCTTTGTCACGCAAAATGTTGCTGGTTTTCCTGTGCATGAACCAGTAGGTACGAGTGCAAGGGACTCTAGATTCAGACTCTAGCGCTACTATACTAGCTAAGAAAAAAATCAGAAGTCTGTGGGATTGTTATTACTTCCACAGCATTCAAGTCAAATTTGAAATGACTATTTGCACGTCACATTTTGCCCGCGGAAATGGGCTTGCAACTTCTCAAATGCCTTGAGATTTTTACAGTAGCTCAATGAAGTCTATTTCTCAAACATACTTCATGTCCGAGCATAGGACATGGAATCTACAACAACTTAAAATTGGTTTTGCATATCTATGTGTGTTTGCACTACAGTACACGTGATAGTAGTCGATTTTTGAAACCGCCCGCAACAGATGTCTGCGTGGCTCCCTGCCCAAGGCCCCACACCGTAGACGACCTACAGGGACTCGTATTTTACCCAGAAAACCCGAGAAAATCCACGGCACTGTACGTATCAGTACTTTGGATGTTCTCCACGAAGCACGAATCTTGAGAGTGAGCTGGAGGTGAGCCATGCCGGATATTGTTGGTGAGATAGACTACTTACTTGGTACGTAAAGAATGGGTCGTGCAGTGAATGTAGACCCTTATTGTTCAAAAAGCGATGTTTAGTGAAACAACCCCAATATGTATGTAATCTGAACTGTCCAACGGAATATAAGATGAGCTGAACGAATCAAAAGATTCAACCCTCCCCCACTTAACAATTCCTCCTTCGTCTAGATGTTCGCTTCTCTTTTAGTTACGGTTGCTCTTGCCCTCTTTGGCGGAGTCGGTGCTGCCCCGCAGAAGCGTGCGCCTGCTCAAGTGTATAGAAAATGCACTGTTGCCAACACGGTAGCTCTGACTTTTGTGAGTATATACCCGCGTGGCCACACCTTGTCATGCTCGGCTGATGCCCAAAATAGGATGACGGCCCCCATGCGTGGCTCTACGATATCAGCGACGCCCTCAGTGCTGCCGGAGCCCAAGGCACCTTCTTCTTCAACGGTAACAACTGTAAGCAGCTTCCTTTCCGACCATGCGCTTGTCTGACTCGTCTTTTCTAGTTGGTTGCATCTACGACGACGTTAACGTACAGCGTATCAAATACGCGTACGATAATGGTCACCAAGTCGCCTCCCATACCTGGAGCCACAAAGATCTTGCAACACTCTCATCGGCCCAAAGTAGGCCCCTCCCCTTTCATAGACGCACAACTAACCCAGACTGCTCCCACAGTCCATGACGAGATGGAGAGAGTTGAATGTAAGGCGACGACCCTCTGTCTGTGTTCTTCTGGGGCTAATGCGCTCTACTAGTGGCCCTCCAGCGAATCTGCGGTGTACAACCCGCCTTCATGCGCCCTCCCCTCGGCAACTACAACGATCTCGTGCTTGAAGTTTCCGGGGCTCGCGGTCAAGACGTTGCAATCTGGGACTTCGAGTGCGTCTATCCATCCTTGTTCTACTTACCAATGCGGTCCTCATGTCATCCATCAATAGTTCTGGTGATTCTCTCGGGGCCTCTGCTCAGGAGAGCATAAACAGATATGACGAGGTTGCAAGCCAACACCCCAGCAGCATTCTCGCTCTGAACCACGAAACTATCGCGTCCACATCAGAGCAAGTTGTTCCTTACGCCATACAACGGTTGCAGCAAGCCGGCTACAGGCTTGTCACTCTGGCTGAGTGCCTCGGTCAGCAACCATACCAGTGGGTAGGAGAACCCCAAACGAGAGACGTACGTCCCATCCCTTGTTCATTAGTTTTGGCAATAACCCACCGTTTTCAATAGTCAAACTGGACTTGCTGAAGGTTTTACCCTACCACCACGCTCTCATACCTTCTAGACTGTTTATCACGAACTCACGACATTTTGTTACGGTGCTCTGTTATGCTCGGATATGGACTATGCTTCGGCTCGGACATCTCTATTTTACACCTTATCAACTTCTTCGGGATGCTGTCAATTGCGACAGCGCTCATGCACTCTGTGCCGCATAGCTCGGACTAATAGACATGGAGTCCTATAAAGTACGGTTGCCCTATCAAGACCAATGCACTCCTGTACTGCTAGTAGCCGTGTTACCCTGTGGTACTATTTCGTTTCGCCAAATACCCCGATCGCTCGATCATGATCGAGTGTGATCGTTCTCGAAGTGTTTGCAGTCACGTTGAACCTATACTTGCTGTACAGATTGCGGACCTTGCGCAAGTACCTATGTGCCATGTCTAGCAGCACATGAGTACGCAATCTCCTCCGTTGAACAAGTAATAAATTATAATATAACAGACAAAGCGATGAAGTCTGTCGAACGAGTACAAGTATTCCACAGGTATGAGTATTAAGTATAACCAGGACGAAGCCAAGTGTGATCTGGAAGGGGTATAGATATATGTGAGGTGGGTATGACTCATACGCAGAGCCAGCCTTCGCCTTGATTTGGGCGGCGATTTCCTTCACGACTGAAACAATAGAAGCGGGATCGGAGGTGCGCGTGCAGGTAAGAGGGGGCTTGTGGAGGTACTGGGGAGCCTCAGAGTATTCCCGCTTTGTGGCAGCAATTGTCAAGGAAGGAGAGAAAATGTAGTGTCACTTACGCTGAAAAGCTCGAACTGCTTCGAGAAGAGGTTGAGCTTCGTAGTAGGGTCAAAGAGTCCAAAGAAGTTGGCGCCGACGCCGGCATCTATGCTCAGACCCGCAGTCATATCGACACACCCCTCGATGCTAGCGCTAGCTGCCGTAACCGCTTGTCTGGCGGCAAGCTGGTTCAATTCGGTGCATTTCTTGGGTTTAGCAGTAGTGACAGTGGCTCAACTGTGACTCACGACTTGTTAACTGGAGACTCCAGCAATTTAGAAAGAAGCAACATTGGGAAAATAAGAAACAGTCAGAAAAGAATTCAGCAGGGTGTTTAAGACGACTTACAAGCACGGCCTTATCATTGACAACTGTGAATACCCCTATCCCCTAAGTAGTTGTGGGTCCACGTTATCCCTTGTTTGTGTGCTTGCCTAGTTGAAACTTTAGTGATGGGTAATCGATTGTAACGTGGGGCACTACGAAGTAGAGGTCACGAACACGAGGATAGGAGAATAGGGGTGGGGGTAGAGTCAGTCCGTCGAAGTGAAAGGATTAACCGTTCGTATTTTCAGGGAACTCTGCCCTCTCTAGTACGTACATGAGGAGTATTTATACGGTAGCGAAGAGCAGCCATAATAAGTACAAACTGTCCGATCCACGGGAACATAGGGAGGATACATAGAGAGGGCATGTGGTACGGAGAGGGAAGGTGAAACAGGGGAAGAATAGGGATTCCGAAAGAGGAAGACGATCGTCACATCGATAATCGCTTTACCTAGGAGTCAGCAACCAGCCCTCGGCGCCGACCTTCCTTGTTATATCGAGGAGCCTTGAACGGGCGCGCCACAGTCGTCTAACGAGCGCCACTATCCTACTCTTTGCTTACTCTACATCAATGACCAGGTAAAACGACACAACTAGTTCCAGACGATCGCGCTGCACCATCTCTGATTCAAGGCGGTTTCTGTAATACTCTAGAACTGTTCATACAGCTTGCAGTGACTACTGCATGCAATGTATGTCCCAACTAGGAATCTTGAAGAGTCTCCGCCGTCCCAATATGAAAATGCAATACGTTCAAAACATCCAAGTACCTAATAATACCATCCTCGGCCCAGCGGATTCAGTTCCGATACATCTGCTGACCATAGCTGACGAGCAGTTGGCGGGGAGATAGATAGAAGTATTGGGAGAACCCTCCCCGAGGTGAGCTGATCCCCGAGCATGGTTGATTGTGACCTCGTGCAATAGCTATGATATCTGGTAGTTCACTACTAATATGTCTGCGAAACTCAAAAGTCTTGATTCTCAACGATCATCAACTATTTCAACTTGATGGGACGGCTCCCTTGAACGAGGCACAGTAGTATCCGGCACCTATGATGCTTCTGGGGAAATCGACGCTACTTCGATGAGAGCAGGGCTCACAACGAACACGAACAAGGTCTGTCTCATTTCGCACGACTAAGATGCTTACGCCCAAGCTTTTTTGGTAGGTGATACTGCATGCTATATCGCAGTTGAATGCACATTGATGAATTGCATGGACGACCGAAAAGTTGACCCTATCAGCTAGCCCGCTACTGTTCATGTCGTGTATAAAACTGCTGGTTTTATGTCTACGAGTGTTCAGAATCACTATCGACAATGGATACCAGCCCATTGGAGACCATCTACCCATCGTGCCCGGTCTGTGTACGTCTTCTTCGCCTCGTTTGTTTGCAAGGACTCTCGCTGAGCTACTATATCTCCAGAAAGATCTAAATCGTGTATTTGCGGACTGCATTTCAATCAACATTCATACCAACTCACTTGTTATCCGCTGCTCAGTCTGCGTATGTTACCTTCTTCTAGTTCGCCAGCAAAGACGCTCACTGAGCTCCTATATCATCAGGGAACTACGTATCAAGTACCAGGCCCTCCGTTACCCGCCGGCAATGCTATAGGTGATACGAACTATCCGGGCGTCAGCGACAACAATGTACAACAAGCTCAAGAAGCGTTCACCCCTCTGGACGGCGAATCCAATGTCGGACAAACGGACAACTCGGACGCCCAGCGTCCGCCTGGTGACAATCTCCTCTCGGGACCAGACCTAGACGGTTGTAGGTGGACCATTTGCTTCGTATTTACGCACGATGGCTGAGATTTCAGATCAAGACATGCCTCTCCAACAGTATATAAGTGATTACATATACGAGGATACCCTCAAGTGCTGGCTGAACGACCTTGCCCAGATCTGTAATACTCGTAAGGACTCTTTCGTGGTTACTGCAGACCTTTCTAAATAGTATTCAGTGCCACCAACTCCGTACTCAACCGTTCGGGCGGTAGGGAGCGTCGCCATGAGCGTCGCTTCAGAATCCAGACGTGCAAACAAGGCGAAGTTTTTCTGTCCGTACAAAGATTGCCTAGGATCTTTCATAGGTTTCACTGCGAAGCATAATTATGAAGGTATATATGACATGCTTGCGCCCATGTTCCCCCCCGATACTCAAAATTTCTGTGTAGGCCACATGAGAGCACATCGCGATGAAAGGCCGCATAAATGTGATGTATGTGGTACCGCATTCACGACAAAGGGAGACCTCACCCGACACTTCAAGTCGTTGAAGCACAGTGGCACGCAGAACAGACGAGCGAGTTGAGCTCTCGATTTTAGCCTTATTTGTAAATCCCAGAAGGAATGCAATCCGACTAATCACCTCAAGTGCTCAAAGATTTAAGCCGAATCTAGAATGAATCCGTTGGATTGAGCTCGCACTTCGCCGCCGTGATTCATGGCTGCACGGAGAGGTAGGAACTCGATCTTAGGTGTAAAGATACTTAGACCGGAGGCGAAGAGCTTCGACAGGGCCAACTTATATTTAATTACGTAAGGGTGGTCCTCAATTTCGATGAAACTCTTCTCCGGACAAAATCACGTTGTAATCCTTCCTCCCTCAGAATGTTATGGCTCCCATGAAAATTGCCCTCCGCAGTCAAGGAAATGGAGACTGGACTTAAGGCATCCGATGGCCATCGCAGCACACTTCAAGTTTACATCGTCTCGCCACTTGCCGTGCTATTCCTCGAGCTCTGACATCGCTGTGGGTGTTGGCCTTCGGGCTTGCATGGCTTACATCTCTGTGGGTATCAAGTGCCGAACAATTGTCGTTACGCTGATCAGGTAAGTAATAAAGCTTCCATCCGTTGGACAGTCGGAACTATGGTCCACGTGAAACTGTCGGCAACGAACGCTCGCATGGCAAGCCCACTGGCACAAGCCTAGCAGAACAGAGCAGTCCCCACGAAGTCAAGGAAGTATGGGCATTTCCTCGCGCATGCCTCTATGGTGATGATTTGTCGATATTATTCATCTTTGGACGTTTGCTACGAGCTTGAACGGAAGTGAGGAGATCATCCACATTTGGTCTACATGCTGAACGTTCCGAGCACCAGGTTCGTGAATATTGATCGGGCACGTAAACATATATCATGCACCTAATATCACCCTGAATCTTCTAGCTGAATATAAGGCGAACAGAATAATTCAGAATGCCAGTCTATCCCCCCACGTCACGACTTAATACTCCTTCCCCCCTCCCCGGCCCAATTCTCGAAGATGTTCGCTTCTCTCCTCGTCACGGTCGCCCTCGCCCTCGCTGGCTGTGTCAGTGCTGCCCCACAGAAGCGTGCTCTTGCTCAAGTCTACAGCAAATGCACCGTTCCCAACACGGTAGCGCTCACTTTCGTGAGTGTCAGAACGCGTCTGCATGTGTATTTGTTCTGAATTCTTCGCTGACAGGATGACGGCCCTCATGTCTCGCTCCACGCTATCAGCGATGCCCTCAGTGCTGCCGGTGGTAAAGGTACCTTCTTCTTCAACGGTAATAACTGTGAGTAATGCCTTGCCATCCTTCTCACACTCCCCTAACGTTCTTATAGTCGGCTGCATCTACGACGACGCGAATATTGAGCGTGTCAAATATGCCTACAACAAAGGTCACCAAGTTGCCTCGCATACCTGGGGTCACAAGGACCTTTCGACGCTCTCCTGGGATCAGAGTAAGTGCTTGGTTATTTTGCATTGACTGGTACACTCATCATAAAAATTGTAGTTCATGACGAGATGTGGCGAGTTGAACGTAAGATATCTATCCTTGTCTGTGGAGAAGAAATCCTGACCAACTCTTCTAGAGGCCCTTCAGCGCATCTGCGGTGTACAACCCGCCTTCATGCGCCCTCCTTTCGGCAACTACAACAACCTTGTTCGTGAAGCTTCTGCCGTCCGTGGTCAGAAGATCGCTATCTGGGACTTCGAGTGCGTTCATACTTGCTCATCATCGTCGTCGTCGCTCCAGTCACTAACGATATCAACCAATAGTTCTGGTGACTCTCTTGGCGTCTCTGCTCAGGAGAGCAAGAACAGATACGATACTGTGGTCCGCGAACATCCTTCTACCATCCTTGCCCTGAACCACGAGACCGTCCCTACGACTCCGACTCAAGTCCTTCCCCACGCCATCCAGAAGCTGAAGGGAGCCGGTTACAAGCTCGTCACTCTCGCTGAGTGCCTCAATCAACAACCATACCAATGGGTTGGCGCGCCCCAAACCAAAGACGTCAGTAATCCCTCCTTCTCACTTTCGCATGCACCTTATAGCTTTGAAACAGGCGAGCTGGAAGTGCTAAAGGCCTCAAGCTGCTAACACCCCCCACATCTTCACACACCCGAACATTCTTGAACACTTGACGACCAAACCTTCATGACCCTCCGCTACATTTGATATAGCTCTACCACTGCAGCTCATATCGGACTCTAGTCATTCTTTTTGAACATACTTTACTTATTCTGTCCATTATTTGGTGTCTGATCCTAGTTTACCTTTGTCTTCCGCATGCCGTGCACAGACGATGGTTTACTAGGTAGACCGCAGAACTTTCGGACTCGGACTACGCTTCTTCGGCCTTCGTTACCCCGTAGCTCGTCATTCGCACTGCTTCGATGCTTTCCTCGATTTCGTCGCTAGTACCGTCTGGTTTCAAAAACTTGCGTGCATATATCCCGCATAACTACTTCGTACTTCGCTCTACCAGGCCTCGTACTTTACGATTACCCCACACCCATAACACATCTTTGACCAGCCCTTTTATCCTTTGCATGAGCAACTAGTTTAGCGACAGCCTTTTTTGCGCTGATCAATAGGCTGCGATTGCTGCACTAGTGTGGTACTACGGGTAGGTTAGATTTCAGCCTTTGGGACTGATGCCAACCGACGGCTTTAACAGACTTAATGAATGCCAATGGAAGCAAACGTCCAAGCAAACGTTGAAACTATGGATACCAGGCACATACAAGTGTGTTACTGTACAAGTATATAACTTAAACTAAGCATGGAATACACTAATCGAAACTTAAGCAGGCGTTGGTATGGTAATCTGTATCAAGTAAATGGGCAAGCCCGAACCAGGCCCTCAGGTTAGATCAATAATTTCGCCCTGTATGAGGACTGGTTTGTGCTCGCGTTTGACACGCTTCGCAGATGGTTCTGATCTCTCCTTCTTGACTTGTTTAGCCTTTAGTAATTCCATTCGAGCCTGACGAAGGCCGAGCGTTGAAATTGAGACCAGGGGCGAGCAGTGCTAGTGAGGACTCACCTGTAGTGCTTTGAGCTCAGACTCAATGTCCTCATTACCGTCGTCGTCAAGTTCTATGACCTCCGGAATTGTTGGCTTCTTATCAACTGGCGCATCGGTTTCTTCTTCGTCGGGAGTATGGTCAGCCTTGCGCTTCGAGGAATTGGGAGGTGGGACAATGCTCTGGGCTTGCAAGATATCTGTCATGGAACAATACGTCATTCCATGATTTTAGTCGATAGGATGTATGGTTGGTCGTACCCAAAGGCCTGTATCGAAAAGTGAACAACGCGACGCGTCCATATCTTCTGATTGAGACATATTTTGAGACTTTATATTCGGGTTCTCCGAGCCTGCGTGAAATAAGGTTCTATTAGTTCAATTACTTCAGTCAGCACGGATGGCCTCACCGGGCAGAGTGTGCTCCTAGCTTCTTCGAGCGTTCATGAACCTTGCTTTCAAACTGCGTATCACGCAGTTCGTGTCTAGGTGGGGCGTCTGTGACATCTACGTTGTTTATCTCGAGAACAATCGAGCCAAGTTCGGGGGATACGCCAACGTTGAGATATGAGTCATCGTCTAGATTCACAGCACTGATAAGACATGTACTTGGTCACAACTGCGCGACACTTACCCGTCAGTTCTGTGGCTGAGAACATCAAAGGTCTGATTTGCGTGAGCGATATCGGCACGCCCTTGACAGAAGCGTCTTGCGACATATACATAGATGGGTGAACGACCTGCCCAGACGTATTCTTTCCATCCACTCTGACATCCCCCGCCGTCGCGGTGTGGTTGGGTTCAGCGCGCCAATGAACCTCAAAGGGCTAAAATGCCTCATGTCTTGAAAGGACCTCAATGAGCCACATAGACGACATGCATACCTTGTTAACCTGCGAAGCAATCCAGCATGTAGCCTCTGTACCGTCGTCGGAGATTTCCACATTGTGCTCTGGGGTTTCCTTCCCGTCTATGGTGACCCATGCTGAAAACTTCTCTAGCTGAAGCATGGAGGGCGGGGGAATGGGCACTATCTCTTTGAGCGAGTATCAAGGTCCGGCGGTGCAGAAACCGTAGAATGGATATGCTATAGGAATTCTGTACAGTGCGGCGCTCGCGTCGTAAGAAAGCCTGTCAATGGTGCCGTGTTAAGCAGTCGTGAGAAAAGCATAACCAAAACAAAGACTCAGGGGCAAAGAAGAAAAGCTTAAATTTAAAGGTGGGGTAAAACAAAAACTTCAGTATTTCGATGACCGCAGTAGGTGTCACTTTTTCACGTATAAAATCAACGGCACATCAACATTTGGACTCAAGGGGTACACCTGCGTGACATCAAGCAATTACTTACGCCGAAAGACACAACATGGCCTCCGCCAAGGAATTGATTACATCCAAGGTTGAATCGGATTGTTATTTCAGGTATCGACTTAGCATACACCTCGTCAACAGCAAATGCTGTTAGAACTAAGTATATACTCAACAGCCCTGATGCCCGGAATACTTTACCTGAAATGATACGTATCATCATCATCATGTAACCGTTAATCTGCGAAGAGTCCCAAGTGCCAATCATACTGTTTCAGTGATTGCCATTACAGCACTTTCGATGATGAGCGACGCTAAGTCACACCAGAAACCCCGAAGATGGGTTTATTGCGATGTAGTTCAGGTCTCTCGTCTCATTTGATCGACAGTTGGACATCAGGCGCTGTGAATGTGTTCTTTCAAGTGTGCACACGTTCGCAGAAATGCTATTCGAACACGCACTTGTCGGGAGTTCGGCCTTCGATAGTGCCCGAAGACTGTCGATGTGACCGCAGGCTACCATCGAGCGAGGGCAGAGGGATAAATGCAGTCTCGTGTCCCGTCGTCCCATCTAGCGAGTGTAAGCCGTGACACGAGAACTATGCTTTCGGAAGCCACGCCCATCAGTCTGTCATGTATCTAACAGCGTCTATCAGTCAAGTGTTATAAAGAGTAAAGATACGCACGAAAGTTGCGTATAAATAACGGCCGAGCCAACCAAGCTCGACGTATCCATCCCCTTCTCCCTTTCGCCAAGGGAAACTGAAGCCATGCCACAAGAACAAGTCGAGGAACGGCAGCCCGTTGCAAACGGGCACCACACAAATGAGCAACCTGCTGCCTCACAACACATGAGTACAAACATTCTCCTTCCACGCAGCCTTCCGTACGTCCTCATCGTACGTTCACCGCAGATGCACACGCTCCGCCAAAGCCAGGAAACCCTAAGAAGTCAAACATGGACGCGTACTCCGAGGGCGTGATGAAGGAAGCAGGAAAACAAACCGTGGATTACGGCGTCGAGAATCACGACGAGTTAGCAGACAAAGGTGAAGAAACGTACGAAGATACAAAGTTGAAGGTTCAGGTAAGCCGGCTTTACAGTGGCGAACGATGTGTCGAAGCCAAAAGGTTGACGCATCGTACCTTGTGCGTAGGGATGGTGGCAGAAGAATTGTGGTTGTCTAGGCGGCTCCGTGTAGTTCATAACGGTGACGTCATTGTTGCTGGGAGGGTGCCGCCGGTGGTGTTATGTGAATATACCTAAACGGTTGATTGTATATATTTCCTTGCGGTATAGATATGGATACAATAATGTAATTGCGGCGAAAGCGCGAGTCAAAGGGAAAATAAAATGTTACATACTGCAATTTTTTATCAGTGTCCGGTCATTGACGATGGACTTGGATCGGAGACACACCGATAATGGTCATGGTTCATGATACTTCCTCCATATCGTCGTCGTCGTCGTCGTCATCGTCATCACCATCGTCCATGTTATCCATGGTGACATCCCCAGAAGTAGCGGCTGCGCTGTTCACATACGCCTCTGCCTTTACCTTACCATGGGTACAGCCATGTCAGAGATATATAAAGACGTGAAAGACGGAACGAGAACGCACCCCATCTTCTTTGAAGTTCTCTTTCAGTTCCCACAACCCGTTATACTCTCCGCTTCTGTGAAGTATCGCGACCTCCGATAATACCTCTTTTAGATAAACTTCGGGCTGCTGGGTACGTTCTCGCATAGGCCGCAACCCCCACCGTTCGGTTTCACGGAACAAATGGAATATAAGATCCAGAAGTTGATTTCTTGGCATACGCGCCATGCGTTCAAAGCTCCCTTTGACTGGTTTTGGTCTGGATTTCTGGCATTGGAGAAGCGGTGAGGCGAAGCACAGAGTATGTGTGGGATTGAAGACTTACAATAAGATCACTGAATGCATTCCCAGAACCAACGCCAACACCACTGCTGAGTCGATTGATCCCTCCCCTGCCTCCAGCAACGCCCGCCTCCTCAATCATCATTATCTGCCGTCTCGGTGTGTTGTATTTCTTCGTCCTTTCCTTCATCTGTCTCCGATAGTTCTCTGTGAAAACGGGTCGAAGGTTGCATTCGTGTTTTATTCGACCTGTAAGAATAGTCGTTCGTGCGCGGGAGTTCGCCGAGGCTGCTGCTGCTGATATTGATGTCGAGGAAGTAGAAAAAGAATTATCTTTCGGACGTTCAGCAACAACGATCTGATTCTCGACGGCGTCATTGACCATATCAAGCTCGTATTGATCCGGTTCGTCACTTGTATAATTTGTAGTCGAGGTGAAGACTGGTCGCTTCGGGTTGTTTGTCTCGCTGGTATGTTGTGCACTATTGGGATTTCTGTTCGGTGGGAGGAAAAGAACAATGCGAGGTGGGGTCCCATTCGCTCCGATGGCGTTCGAGTAGACTCGTATTGTGGCTAAGTGAATGTCTTCCGCATCAATAGCTGACCATCTTTCCATAAGAAATTTTGGAATCTACAGCACATGCACGCAGCAATTCCGTACATCCTATGTTAGATGGCATTGGGCGCGAGGAGCTAATGAAATGGCACCTTCACGAGCCATACCCTCCCATTTCCTTGGTCCAACATGAGCTGCTCATCTGGGTCCGGTAGGGCATCGTCTTCATGATTGTCATTAGGCTCGAATACTTTCTTATCGTCTTCGACTTCTTCCATTGAGGCGCTAGGATGATGGGCGGAGGTTAAGAGACAAGAACCACAACACAGCGAGACACGAACTAAGTGGGCGTCTAGACGCTTACATAACACTGTGGAGTCCGCAAATGCCACCGTCCTGTGCACCTCTCACTCTCTCACTCTCTCTCCTTCAGCTTCTCTGTATTACTCTCTACACGCTCTATACTGCTACGATTCAATATGTCAAATACACGCCAGAGGCCGTCAACATCAGCGCCGGGTGATGCTTCTCGCACTATAACAATCCAAGACTCCGAACCGATCCAAGAACCCAATCCAACTGAGGCGACATCGGTTGGCGCAATACGGGTACGAGCTACGAACAGGCGGGACAATCACCGTGTGGTATGGGATGAAGATGTTGTTGATAACGAAGGCTGCGGAAGGAAATCGTCGAAAAGTACGTCTCGGCCGTTTTTGCCCATCCGAGGAGAATATCTTCTGTGCAAAGATGAGAGGGGAGCCAAAGCCATTGATGGGGCACTTCGGCGTACAAATCACTGACGATATGTTTGATCTCCATCAGTCTGCTGTATCTATCATAAACCCCGCAACTTCGACGAATCGTCCTCAGAGGAAGATTCCTCCGACTCTGATTCTCATTCCGACTGCGATGACCACGATCATGCACGTCCACACTCCCACCGAAGAGACCCAGACAGAGCACAGCCCTCTCGTGGCGGCGATCGCTTAATGAAGGACAACGTGTCGGAGCCGAATGCTTATGAGCAGGTACCTAAGGGAAAGGCCGCGGGTAAGGGGAAGGGGAAAGACAAGAGTACAACATGACGGTGCACGCCGTATTTTCTTTCTTAGAGCTCAGGAGCTCAGAGGTTGTAAATGATGTTGCTCGCCGAGTCTATCAGCTAGAGTCAGTGCGTACGCCCACCAATGACCCCACTCGTACTCATCATTGTGCAGTCACATATCTAGATAACATCACGAAACTCTTCACCCTACTTTCCTGTACGATCACAGGCTTTGTTTCTGTTCACAGACACATGTTTCCCATTCTGCGACGAAAGACTCTCCCTACGATGGTCACGTAGGCGTGGCTACACATGCATCACTTACATCACACAATCAAGGATCTCCAGATTTCCTGTGTCAAAGCGTTCGCATCCGAACCCGATTGATTCCCCGCAACACATCAGCTGCTGGTGATTGAGCAGACATTGCACTCTTCGCCTTAGGTTGGGGACATCAACTATCACTAACTTGCAACCTCCGAATCGAATAATCACCACAAAACAATAAGAATGCTTCTTCGCAATAGCTTTGCTCGTGGGGGTCTGGTCATTTACAAGCGACCGGCAACAGCCCCAGGGACCCACACAATCACAATAGTTGGCCACGCGCGGAGATCCAACGCATACTCCGCGAATGGATCGCGACTGCATCGGCGCGAAGACGATACTTACATAGCGCGTAGCGAGCTCGTCATTGTCGATCAAATTCAATATGCGTATGTAGCAACGTTCGTCAACTACCGGACGCGAAATGAAAGAAGAGTCGGCATCTATTAGTAGCAAAGATGAATGGAAGACAAGATTGAATGCACAAGTACGAAGTAAGTGGCGCCACCACATCGGCTAAGCCTTGCTAATGCTCTAATTGGGCGACAGATACATTTGATTCATTGCGCCTGCGTGCTGCTGCGACTTCTGGTGCCGTTTAAGGTCTCCCTTCGCCGTGAACGTAGAACCGCAATTACATCCATGCGGTCGGATGTCGAGGTGCGCTCTCATGTGGCCTAGAATGAAAGAACGACTGAGTACTCTGATGTAAACATGGCTTGTGCCGTACGTACTGTCAAGATTATGCTTTGCTGTGAATGTCTTGCCGCAATCTTGAAATTGGCACTGAAATCTAGCTTCGACCCTACGCCTGTTTTGGGAGGCAGCGGTGATAGCAGGAGAGCCCACCGTTCGTATAGTGGGTGCCTGTCCTATCGGGACGTTGGGAAAAAGAAATGTATCTAAGACTTAAGCTTAAGGTTCAATACGTATCTCGAAACCCATGAAGGTTGTCTCACATGGATAGATGCCTTGATCATTGTCACCGTACGAGTATCCTTCAGTGTGCATAGCTGCGATCGGGTGGAAAATCAGCCACCGAGGTATGATACTAAAAGTAACAGAACAAGCTACCATTCCCCATGCCTGGGCCCATGGTTTGCTCCTCGAATTGTGTATTTCCCTGGTTGGTCGAACATCCAAACGACTGGTAGACCGGGGCAGTAGTGGAGATATTGATATCGTTGTCATGGATGTTATACACCGTAGTATGGGTGGGACAAGCATCGGTCGGAAGCTGACCGCTCTAGATCATGCAACGCTCAGTACGATGACACCAGAACAAGATATTGCTCACGCAGATTTGACAGAGGGTCGATGTCGCCATTGGAAAGACGGGCTGAGCTGGGTTTGACTGATTGGGTCGCATTGGGGTCGATGGTACTGAAGACTCGTTGAGTCGCTCAGGACATATAAAGGGTGAAGTCGAGCAGCTGGCTTCTTGTGGTCTTGGATTACAGCGCAATAAGGTGTATAGCAAGCAGTAAGATGTATAGCAAGCAGTGAGGGTACGAATAGCTACCACATTGTTGGAAGCCAACGGATATGAATGATAAACACCAGAGGTCGATCCCAAAACTTGTTCGTTCTGCCCTTTCGGGCGGAAGCTGCACTGCATAACCAAGATGGTCCCTGGCGAGCGTAGAACTGGTGTGCTACCCGGCAACTTGTGTCAACATTATAAACGTCGCACGCACGGACAAGCACTGAAAACGTTCGGAATTCTTCGCGAGCCCTAACAATCGGTGCGATTTGTATATGTCTACTTCACCTTTACTAAACGGTCAAGCAATCATACTCACCTGGGATTCGTCCCTGAGTATTGCAGTTAACACGATTTGCAATTGCATCTATTGTGTTTAAACCTAACCGGAGCATGTAACAATACATGAAGCCTTGAGGATGCAGTCATCACTGCAAGCGATAGTCACTGCAAGCTATGTTGGTTGCACGCAGTGGCCATATATAGGAATAGAACGTTCGGTATTCAGAGGTGGTAGACAAAATCCGACCTTATCGATTGGGCGCCTTACAGTCGTTTTACAAAACTTTGAGACACTGAGATCGAAATTTGGGATTAGGGTTAGGGCGTTCAGAGAGATCATCGATCAGCGCTCAGCCCTCGGAGCGGGCATAGAGTCTGGGGAATGTCCATGCGAGTTGCTTGGGTTTCTACACGTCCGATATCGGGCCCTGGATCAGGTGACGAAAACACGAAAACATAAATGTCATAATCTACATAGAAGAGCCAAGTGGTACACGGTATTCTGTGATAAGAGAAGCTCGACCTCTGGTCATCGCTCAACACTGAAGCATTTGCGCATGTCTCCTCGTCCTCTTATGGCGTCTGAGATCTCCGGAAGTGGTGAAGGACGCATTGCAAACATCGCATCTGAACGGACGTTGGCCACTGTGAGCCAGAATATGATCTGCAAGGTTACGTGGGAGATCAATGAGAGGTTGAAGACATGTGTGCATAGTGGACGCACTACGATGGTTGTGCCTTGCTGTAAAGCTGCTCGGGCAGTGCGGGCAGTAGAACCTTGCCGAGGTTTGACGCCTGAGGTTGGCGGCGTAGGTCATAGCTTCAGAACCTACTACATCCCTCACGATGGGCCCGGGAAGGGCGGGAGGTAATAAGGAGGGATGCTGACTGAATGAAGCTGTGATATCAAGTCAATATGAGCTCACTGGGACGGGAGACCAGGGCTTACTCGCACGACTCTCAGATGGTACAGGATGAGATAAACGACCAGCATGTTTGTAGTGCTCTTGTCCGTTTGAGGTGTGGATAGGCACCGTCACTAGGATCGTGGAAGAAGAGGTCACTCAACGGGCACGGTAAAGTGACAAAACAACGTACAGCCGCTATTCAGTCCGGACCCCGAGTTGTAGCCGTTCAATGACATCGGCGAGGCCGGTATCTGGTATGGTAACTGGTTCGGCATATACTGCCCTGGCTGATTGTGGGGGAGGTTGGGTGTGTAAGGGTACCCTTGCCCTTGCGATCGTCCTGTCGGGCTCGTGGGGGTGCTTCCATTATTCTGCATAATATTGTCGCTGCTGTTGGTATAAGGTGACGGCCACCCGGCGCAGCGGTGGACTAGACATACGGCAAGATCAAACACTAGTGGGAGGTAGATTGCGATGAAACATACACAACATGAGCGGGTCCGTGGGACAACGGTGGCAGCCGGGCATTGGGGTGGTGAATTGGGGAATTGGATCTAGAGATCGATCCTATTTACATATGCGCCCTGTTTGCGTCTCGCAGTACCCCGAGTTGACAAGCGAGTAGTCACTTCCTTCTATTGTGATCGTTCTTGGAAGTAATTGATAGTACAGCATTGAGAAGGTCAAGGTTGGGGATCGTACGGCGAACGCAAGGACTTGGGCCAAACTAGCCATGCTGGGAATGGACACGCAGCCCAACGTCATAGATGGAAAACGGGACTGCTGGAATGCAATAGCGCAGTTCAAGATCTCAGAGTCATGGACGCTTGGAGGGGACTAGCAGGCACCACCTGAACAACCCTTGGATACATGATCTATTGTGATTTTGTCGCGGAGTGCTGATAGGCCTCGGTGAGTCGTTGGGGGATTCACCAACGCTGTATTGATTGATCGTGACTTGTCACTGGCACGAGGTGATCTTGATTATATGGTGACAGTGGATGAGGATGAGCGGTTCATCAGAATTCAGTGCGGGTGCATATGCATACCACGTGTTCTCTCCCCCATCCAGAACCCTGTCTCCTGCTGGCCCTCCAACTTGACACGGGTCCGCGGTCTCTCTCCATTTTTCCACTGCCCCTCCCGTCCGGGTGCACAGGACAGTGTATTTTGGAAATAGATCGCAGACGAGGAGACTGCGCGCCCAAATGCAGACGTGGGGAGGATGGCATTGCAATTCAAGATAAGGGTTAGCGACTTTGATATCATTGATGCTTGCATGGAAAATAAACCTTAGATACACACGATCATGATGTCGCAGTTGTATGGAGCTGCTGGTCGCCGATCGCCAACGGTGAGTAATTGAGAGATTCTCTCAGAATCACCGCCGTATTGCTGCATCCAAGTAAACGACTCCTTGAAACTGACACGGGGCGACCTTGACTAGTTAGCGGTGGTGCATGAGTACAAGCAGTATAGTGCAATTCAGCAAGAGTCCATACTGCATGCTATCTCCCGCATGAAACCTCTCCCTTCCTGGCCCTCCACTTCGGCGCAGTTTCTTCCATTGATTGTGTCAGTACGCAGGGCAAAGGATTCTGGGATCCAACACCATGGAGACTTGGATGCAAACTGCGTCAACCGCTTAGATATGCACTGGCGGCCACATACCGTTGAGTGCAGGACGTGAGCGCGTGAGCCTTCAATGACTTTCGATCTTGCGCAGCCCACTCCGTGGCAACCCCGTTTGAAGATACAGCCACTGTATATCAGCGCCATCTATCGCATCTTCGACAGATTCTTCTCGATTTCCCCGATCTTCTCGAGATTTGTGACCATTTAACTAGTTGTGCAACATTCGAAGTTGCTGTGTCCCCCGGCACTATACCCATGTTGACAATTCATACGAATGCACTTACGTCGGTTGGCCTTCATCAAGAAGATCGGCACCTCGTTCATTCTTTCACGCACCGGGACCATTCCAATGACGCTGTAAGCTCCATATCGTCAGGGCAACCAGGGTGGACGCCCTTCAGGGGCAGAGGCGTAGAGGTTGACTGCCCTGCTATGTAGATCGGAGAGGATAAAGAGAAGGCCCTGTTGATTATATATGACAGGTTCTAGCAGCTGCACCCTATGGCTAGTAATAACCAATAGTTCGTCGACAGGGAGAAAATGGTGAACCGAGTGAAAACGGTCAAAGTACTATGTACATGGGCCAGAGCATCCTTGAGAGTTGCACAAAGATGGCCTATCCGTGTGTTGGTCAGATCCCTAGTTTCGAACCGTCTCGGCGCTCGGCTGCGTGCTGGCACGTATTCGTGGAAGACGATACAGCTTTTGATAAATTTGATTTCCTTGGTTGGAGACTGCTCAAACGTGCACGTGACACTGCCAGTTATGAAGTCTCAATTGAACTTGTTCCTTAGAGCTCGTACATACTACACTGCCCTTTCTCTGCTTCAGGATTCGCATTTAGGAAGACTTTCAAAGTTTCATGGAACAAGCAATACCAGATGCTCTTGCGATGGTTCCTTCTCAGACTCGTGTGGCCTCGAGGGGCCGTGGCAAGGTCAGCTATTTTTAACGGAAATCCTCAAGGATTACTGGACGATACCATGTACATTGCATACTTTCTGAATTCTGAACAGAGCGGTGCAATGTGCACCTTTGACGTCCTTTGGGTAATATCACATCATTGTGAGAGTGTCAGTCAGTCGCATGCTGGCTTTGCGAAGACCGAGATAACAGCTTTATAGAGCCAGCGTCGGGGGTCATAACTAGAACTGTGAAAGAACGTTCCTCAAGAAGCTCAGACTCGCCCCGAGCACAACATGCGACGCCTCTCTTTCACTCTGCTCGTGCTATCAACGATCTGCTATGCTCAGCGTCTATCGTTCTCGTTCTCCGACCTCTTCATGAAATCTCCCGGCGTCCAAAGGCAGCTACCCGATCTGTATGAGGCATCTGTGCCCGAACTACAGGCTGGACTAGATGCGGGTGATTTCACCAGCGTTGATCTCGTCAAGGTACTTACTATCTAATCACGATCCGGAGATGTCCTTACGTGCTTCTGATTTAGGCATACTTTGCGCGCATCGAGGAAGTTAATCTCCAAGGTCCAGCCCTTCGGGCAGTGCTCGAAACTAATCCGTCAGCTCTAACGCAAGCGGCCGAGCTCGATGCAGAAAGGAAAGCGTCAGGAAAGCGCAGCGCTCTGCATGGAATCCCAGTATTACTCAAAGATAATATTGCAACTGTTTCTTCAGAAGGTGAGCCGGGAGATATCGTGTGCACCTGACGATATCTGTGCTAAATGTCGACGATAATCTATAGGAATGAACACCACGGCTGGTTCGTTCAGCCTGTTAGGGTCAGTAGTTCCGGATGATGCAGGAGTTGTGAAGAGGCTGAGAGCTGCTGGAGCTATTATCTTGGGTGTGTTCGCCCCGTATTGCCATTATACTGGTTTCCATGCTAATATCTAACGTCAATTTATCATCGCGTAAGGCAAGGCCAATTTATCTGAATTTGCACACTTCCGGGGAAATGTAGCGTCTGGATGGTCGGGTCGGGGTGGGCAGAACTCGGGTGCATATTTCCCCGGCTTAGATCCTTGTGGGTCGTCGTCAGGCTCCGGCGTCGCTGCTTCTATCGGTCTAGCGGCTGTGACGTTGGGGACGGAAACGGACGGCAGTATCACTTGTCCTTCTGAGCACAACAACCTCGCTGGCATCAAACCAACTGTTGGTCTAACTTCACGTGCGGGAGGTAGATCGTTTCAACCCCTTGATTACATCCCGCTAACGCCTCACCACCGTCAGTTATCCCGATATCGGCCAATCAAGACACAGTCGGGCCCATAACGCGCTCTTTGACCGATGCAGCCATCGTCCTTTCTGTCATCGCCGGCAAAGACCCCAACGACAATTTTACACTCGCGCAACCGGACACTGTCCCTGACTTCTCCAAGGCCCTCGACGTGCGAGCCATAAAGGGCAAGCGCATCGGCGTCCCGAGGCTTAATCTCGTCAGCAGAGCGAACCCCACTATACTTACTGCGTTCGAGACAGCGCTCGATACGCTGCGCGGGTTGGGCGCGATTATTGTTGATCCCGCCGATCTCCCATCTATCAATGAAATACGGGCGTCTGGGAACGAGAGTCTTGTCCTGAACACCGACTTCAAGGTGTGCTTCCATACTTGGAGTACACGTTACGCCGACGTGCTGATGATTGACCTTGCGATTAGGTCCAGTTGAATGAGTGGTATGAAAACCTTGTTGAGAACCCATCCGGAGTGCGCAGCCTCGCGGATTTGATCCAATTTGACTTGGATAACCCAGAGCTCGAGCTGCCTCCTGGATTTAGCGACCAATCCGAGTATGCTAATAGCCCCCCATTTCACCCAGATCGATCGCTGACCCCGTCGTCTATCAGCCTGCTTGCAGCGGAAGCAACCAATGGGTTCACTGCAGCGTACTTCGAGTCCCTTGCGTCGAACCACGACCTAGGGAGAACACGCGGAATCGACGCAGCGCTCCGGAACAACAATTTGGATGCACTCGTAATGCCTGCTTCTGTTGCTAGCGGCCCAGCTGGTACGTCTCAACGGCCTGCCTTCTTGTTTTGAACCTGAAGCCAATGCATTCCACCAAGCAATCGCGGGGTACCCTATCGTCACAGGTAGGTTTACTTCATTACTTGATAATTACGAATCTTTGACCTCACCATGATCGTTCTATCCATCGCAGTCCCTCTTGGTTTCTTCCCCGACAACACCCCAACCCGTTCAGCGGGTCCGCTTACTGTGTACCCTGCTCCAGGGGCACCCTTTGGCCTGTCCTTCGTTGGAACGGCGTTCTCCGAGTCGAAGCTTATCAGCATCGCTTTTGCGTACGAACAAAAGACGAAGACGAGGCTTCAAAGAAAGGCGTTCGCGGCTGCTATTCCTACTACACAACTTCAGGACGTACTTTTCAGGCCCGCAGCGGCATTGATGTTGTAGTTGAATCTTGCTTTCACAAGTCTCTTTCGATTACGTCCTTAACATTGATGTTCATACGAAGCGATGGTAAGGGACTATAGTAATTGTTTGACAACCCGCCAGTCAGCCGACGATTCCTGACGAGCAATGAGCCGCAGATGAAAACATCGGCACAGAAAACGGTATCACCCCGTGAAAAGTCGGCAGAGCACATATACTTACAGAGTTTACCTCAAAGGGTATAATAATACCACTATCAGTTTTTTGGCAGATCGCATTGTGTGACGGCCCAGTGCGCTTCCTGGTAGTCCTATCAACCTTTAATTGAATTCAGTACACAATTGGTTTCGAGTCGAACAGGAGGATGATCGCAGGACACGTGACGCCCCGCACAGGCTCCACTGGTTGCATAGCCTACGCCTGCATTCACGTAGCTCCCTTTCTTTTATCGATTCCTCATGCATCTTCTTGGAGGGTGTGGTATGGCTGGCTGATGAAGCAGGCTGAGAGTGGTGCTGAGCGGCTAGGGCATAGTAAGAGTGGTTGGCTAAAGATCGCTGTGGCCGTCTTTCTTCTCCACTAATACGAATGCTAGTACTCCGTACGTTGATCTGGTGGGGTAGTAGGGTGAAGCGGTGAGGCCTTGAGGAACGGCGGTGGTAGCGCGAGCAGGGAGTGGCGAGGGATATGCACACTCGCACGGAGCTCAGGGCCACAAAGAGGGATGGTATCAAAGCAGTGAACACAGTAAGTAATATTCGAACAATAAGCGGTGTTGTGAAGGGTACCGGAGACTGGCAAGAGGCAAAATTCAAATCTATTCTCTCACCATGCTACCCGCTTCCAACACATGAATTTTGAGCTCCTCGTGTGGATGCGAACCAACGGGCAATGGACCTCGTGTCATGGGTCAGTGTAATCGCGGTGAGGTGGCTTCAACCCAAGCTATGTCGTGCCGGTTGCGTGCATCGAGGTGCGTAGCTATTTGAAAGTTAATGACATTCACTGACATACGCCTTCGAAGCCATGAGCGACAGCCCACCACCCCGAGTGATGCCAGATGGGTGGTGGTAGCATATCGAGGAAACAAAGTCATTAGGTAATGACTTGGACTCGTCGCGGTGTTATTATCCCATCTTCATCTCTCGACGAACTCGGAGGCGTCATGATCCTCAGTTGAAGGGGCCGGGCTGTGCACGCGGGCTGAACCCGAACACTTTCGTGGCCACTTCACCGATTAATATTGACAACCCGTAGGTTTACTGCGACAGCCTGTCGATTGGCCATCGGGCTGAAGGAAAGTCTTGACTCTCGGGAGTTGGTCAATCTTTGGACATCTACTGTCAGCGCTCAAGCTTTCAGTACTAGCACTCATTGGCGTCGATCACTCATTACTCCGCTTTATCAACGACGCTGGTTTACTCCAACGAGACAACGAGACAACTCACCTCGCATCTTATCGATAAGGACCCAAAGCCTTCGCCGCATCCTCGGGCAGTCAGAAGCTGCAATATTGATACTCGAAGATCATCATATTACCTAGAACAAACGAGGACCTGAAACTCGCCTCTCGAGGTCGCGCCTCGTGTAACGCGCTCGGTGAGCCCCTCTGCGTCTAAAATAGCAATACATATCAAATTCCCGTCCGCGCAGTCCGATTGCAATCTGGCACCGGCGGTATGGGATTTCACACTCCACAAGCAACCTAGAAGGATCGAGGCCGCCGATCTACTACTTGGTTGAACGCAAAACATTTACCAACCTTCGAAACGATTCGCATCACCAATGGGATTTACATAGGGAATCGGGTGAGTGTTCCGGGCGCTCATATACGTCTGTATCTTAATTGTACGTACCAGTGCATATGTCCGACATGCGGCTCAAGTCCCCGTCGATCGACGCTAACTATTCCTCCTCATCCTCCTCCTCTCCGTGTTCAGAAAACTGGAAATATACACCAATTTCGAGGCACCACAGCGCCATACGCCATATCTTGTCAACAAGCATTTGGAGCCTACATCTACAGCGCAACCCGCAGTCTGAAGCCGCCATAATACACAGGGATCATCATCGTATAACTGCTAAAAATGGAGCCAGAAATACGGCGCGAGGGCGCAACTCAGTGGGTCACTTTCGTTGAACATTGATGACATTAAGTAAGGTGCAGACTAAAATATTGATTCCGACCATAACGCAGGGGTTTCTCACTCCGCGAAGCTCAAGCAACTTGGAAGGATCGAGGTTGCCGATCTTGGAAGGATACAAACCCGTGAAATGGTCTACATCTATCTCAAGACGGGGTGCTACATGGGAAAATAGGTAAATACTCCATATACGCATACGTCCGCGTCTCAATTATATCATATGTGCTCACCAGTGCATTTGTCCGATTCGCACCTACGCTAGGCGTTCGTTTCAACGCGGCTCCCCATCATGCTCGTCCTCGAACTTCCCTATTGCTTTTCGATGTCCTGAACGATGCGTGCGCGAGTTCGGACAACATTCATGTGCCACGATTGCGCCTCTGAAAAAGCTGGAGTGAAACACACACACACACACCGACCTTCGATACCGTTCTCCGTGATCACATCATGCATTATGCAACGTCGAGGTCCCGCTTTATCCTAGTACCTTGTGCTAGGCGTTAGCTAGCACGTCAGCGTATCGACCCCTCGCAAATTCACTGGAGCGTGAGCGGCGAATGCGGACTCTGGATACGCCGAATGTACACGGCTCCGAGACAGAAAAAGGATTTCGGTTCGCAGCAAATAACGACATATATGAACTGTACGTGCTCAAATAGGGATAACAAAATATTTGCCAAAACATAGAGCGAAGACCTGGTCGAGAACGTAACTGAATATCGGTACGATAATTGTCAAGGCTGCCTCTGCACCCGGCGCACAGCTGCTCGGTATACTTTGTAGCAGCGGACCTCGACCGTGATGTCGATGGCCCGCAATTCATGCCTCAGCTTCTCGAGGTGCGATTTCTCCTCTGGCGCGGTGTGCCGGTCCTCGATGTGCTGGCGCATCTTGCGGACGATGCGCTCCAGAAATGCGTGTCCAGGCTGGTTTAGTTGAGCGGCCCGCTCCCCGGTGAATGAACCGCGGTGCGCGGGCGAGCCTGTGGTCGACGGCGTGTTGAACAGGATCACGCCTGGTACCGAATGATACGTTGACGGCTGGTGGGAGGTGGTAGACGCGGTGATAGCTGATAGCTGGGAAGGGGACTGCGACATCGTGCTGGAATACTCCTTGGTGTAGGGGTGATAGTGGTGGTAGGTGCGAGAGATGAGACTGGTCAGCCTCCTGAAATTTCTGACCGTTGGGCTGACATTTTATACCCTCCCCCGGCTGGAGCAGGCGCTATCATCGTAATCCGCTACGACCTCCTGTATACCTCCTGAAAGCTGTTGGATATCTTCGCAGTCCCGCTTGTCAACCTGTCAATAGGTGTATCTCCCGGTCTGCGTCACCGAGTTGACGGCGACGCACTGGAGGCTTTTTATCCAGAGCTGTTCGTCCGTGGCTTCGCAAATATCTGGTACGATATTTTGTTGTCTACATGGAATGTCATTATCTGACCCGCGAAATCGTAATGCGAACCCAACACTCTGTATAGTCTCAATCAGTGAAATACTGGACAACGGACTCGCTGGCTTTCTGCGATCAGGATCGACGTAGCCGGCGGTGAGACTCCGTAATGTTAGGGGTCGAATTGCTTCCATACCTAGAGATGTCATTGTCAGAATGCTTTCGGAGAGGTTTACTTACATTTGTAGGATACCCTCTGTCTAGCGCAAAAATATCTTACTTGTCACCTTGAGCCGTACTGTCCCTCAGATCGCTTAACACACCACTGGACAGGCTACATCGTTGGTTGAGTAGGGAGAACAGTGCAGTTCTAAGCTCCTTTCTTCGAACGGCCTCGTCCTCCTCGTATTGCCCTGGTTCATGCGGGTCACCTCTACTCGACTCACCTATCCATCGCTGTCTGTATATATTGTGTAAAAGAGTCTCTAACCTGTAAATATTAGGATAGTCCACTCGGGCATCACCGATCATATCAATAGTTGCGTATGGACGAAGTACGCTGGATATCCGTAAAGCATTTCCTACAGTGCATGTAGCCCACTACGAACTGAGTATCCCAAACCCCTAATTTTCGTTGCTGGGTGCGGCATACGTTCTCAAAGGTTCTACAGAGGCCCGACGAACGGCTTGGTCATAGTTCGTGCCTCGAGTCCGCCTGTCGACTGCCCTGTTTATCGTGAAAACAATCATTGGTGTATTGGTTGGTGGGCACCCAACTGGATCTGCCGACAAACCAAAGCCGCCTGAAATAGATCGTGAAGGCATACAAAAAGGAAGCAAAGCAGGATCCAGCATCTTCACTCCCCATCTTTCGAATGTTACTGAGTTCATGAGTGCATGACTAGTCGTTTTAACGGATGAAAAAGGCAGGGAGCGTGCCGGCAAAGGTGTACGAAGGAGTGGAGGAGTGGAGGAGTATGCGCGCGGGATGTACTAGTATACGACGACGTCGACCGCGAATTCTATAGTCCACTACAACTGCAGATCTCAGAGGGCGTCGTGGCACGAAAAGATCCTGAGAGATACTTCGGCTCCCAGGTGGAGAAGAAGTGGTGAGCGAAGTGCAAGGAGCAAAGAGCAATGGCTGAAGGTCGACACGTGTATAACATTTCCATTTCTGGGTACCCCTGTGTCATTTATTCGCACAACCCCGCAGGAACGTACGCCGGCACCCGGCGCTACTTGCTGTCTTTCTCGCTACCCTCGTCAAACGTCGCTCTGAGAACATACTCCCAGTGATACCACAATTCGCAATCATGTAAAACCCTTTGTCGCCGGGCAGTCTGGGTTCCAGCTCTCCAATTGTGTTCACTGAAAAACTTCAGTAAGCCACAGCAACGTTGACTCGAGCCCTCTCACAGTAACGGTGGCCACTGGCTGATACCATCTCTTGCCCCTCGTCTTCCTGGTGCGTATGCATTATCAAGGTCGCCTTCCTTTCTTAGTACTGAGTCAACTCCAGTAATTACCTCTCCCATGGCATGTCTGGACCGCTAACGATAACATCGTTGATATCGTTGTATCAATGCAACCCCATAGAACACGTCGCAGATATCCTTGAAGGTGTTCATAATCTTCCCTGGACCCCGAGGTTGCTCAATGGCCATTTCGTTTCATTTCAGTCCCAGCAGCATCTACACCTGCGTCGAAATACAACCTTTGTTCGCAGGTCACTTGCTCCGCACTCAGTGTTCCAAAGTCATCAAACGCACGCAGTTCCGCGCTGGTGTCTTCCGGCACTATTGCCTTTGTGAATTTGTGCGCTGCCTTACCTCTTCATCCTGCTTTTGTGAATGACTAATCCCAGACATATATCCGATCACCATCCATCTCCGCAAGGCTCGTGCATTTCTGGATATTCCATTCGGATACGTGGTGTACCGCTAGTGCTTACGATCCCTGTGCGACATGTCCTCTCCTCACCTCACAGCACCTCGCCACCTATTATCGGGATTTGCTATTTGGTACATTGAGAAACGGACATGGACGCAGAAACTCTATGCGCTTAAACTCTCTTTCTGGCGTTCTCAATTTTATCTACTGCTCGGCTCTCTTCCTCTTGCCTGTCTAGACCAGTTGGCTCCCAATTGACACAATCCGGCTTGGTTGAGGATTCATCTGCCTGCATCTTAGTACGGCAATCTTTGGCTTTGTGTGGCTATCTTTCGGTCTTGTATCAATCACGCTCTCGTCGCAAGAGATCTCGTGATCCGGAGATCAATCAAATTATCAAGTGGCCGTCCCGAACCGCGACAGGGAAGAGATTGCATCACGTTCATACAAATGTATACTCGTCCAATCGATTCAGGATGTTCCGGCGCTATTGCGACCTCTGCTGCCCCGGACTTGTCCTCGTGCTCGTCGCCGCCTCCGCCTCCCTCCCTCCTCCTGCTCCTCGGCCCTTGCTCAAAACCTTGATCCCTCAGCCGCGATCTGCTCCAAGGCCTGGAGTGCCACACGCAAGCCTAAGGTTCTCTGTTCTAACCTCTGCCGTTCGCCCCAACCCAGCGTGTTCATGAGGTTGGTGACGGCTGCTTCAAGATATTCTCCTTCAGCATTGAGCTCTGACATTGACATTTCTACGAATGCTGCATTGAGTAAATCCGACATATGTACCAGAGCAGCAGCAGGTATAGCTACCTTGCCTGGGCAAAGCTGCTTCCACCAAAGGCCCAGTATATCCTCCTCCAGATGCCGTCAAACGATGAGTCGGCATGAGCATTGTTAGATGGATAGGTACTTCGATATGTGGCATGATTGAGTGATAGTACTGCTGTCCGTTGACTTGATTGAATGTCCCATTCGCAGCATTGGTGTTGACAGTGTTGTCCTGATGTAGCCAGTAGGATGACCCATCTGTCTGCGGACTGCGAGGAGCTTGGGGATTGTTGTGCGGCAATGATTGTACTATGGGCTGTAAGATTCTTGTGCTGAATATTACTTGTGGGAGACGTACACATGTGTTCCTTGTTTGATTATGTGTAGTTGAGGGTATGAACTGAGGTAGAATTGTTGCCAGCTACTTCGGATGTCCAGCTCATTATATATCCTCGGTTAGTTCTTCCTTTCTCACACATTCAGCTGGGCGCCATAGACTTTAGTTGTCACTCATGCTCAATGTACACGTATCGGAATGAAAACCCACAAGTCCACCTTTTTAATGGAGGGGAAATGGTCTCAATGTGTGGGACACATGGCATCTCCTTCACAAGTTGCCTAACAGCCCTTCGGGCTCTTCATGAACATATTTGTATCCAAACAATCAGCAGTCGGATTAATCAGATCTCAGATGTGATTCTTGAACTCGTGGCCACTTCTTTCCTTGATGCTGGACGGAGTCTTTTAATGTTTGCCGCCTCATGATCCTTGCTTCTCTGTCCAGGACCAGGAGATCCCTGGGTGCACCCTAGCCTCGATTGACCAGGTACTGCCAACTGCTCTCTCATCGACACTGCCTCTAAACTTTGGTTGGTGCATATGGGGAAAGGATGGAGCTCAGCTCCAGTTCAATGACACCCTCTTGCGTCCCTGAAGCCCACTGTGCAACATAGTCATCTCTTTCATCAGCACATAACCTCCAGGCGTTGAACGTTAAACGTTGAGATTTCGAACCATCTCTGAGTCGTATTCTGGCATGGAGACTTATTTTCCAGGCGGGGCCATGGAATGCATGGGATCCAGAATCCACATGGATTATGTTCTGGGACTTCTGTGTCATTCGGCGTTGCGCATTGCGCATTGCGCTCCGTTGACAGCGAGAGTGATTTGGGGGCCTGGGGAGCTGGTGGACATCGGTCAATCAGTGATGCATGATGCATGATGTGGGGAGAGCATTGCTATCGCATGTGGACGTCCTCTATCCACCCTCACCGATGCTCTCGCTACTCCCCCGGTATGCCATCTTGTCTTGGAGCCCATTCCTACCGTTTGGCGCGCAAAGACTATGGAAATGGGTCCCACAGCAAAAGTGGCTATTCTCAATCCTCTATGATGTATTACGCCTCGCCCCGTATATCCATCCGAACCCAATTCAGGCGAGTTGTTATTATTGTCATTGGCTTTCTTTGCCCATGGGCCGGGCCGGCGTGCGTGGATTCATGGTATAGTAAGATAGGCCTCACTCAGAACCGTCTTGGTCATGTGAGTTTGTGACATTCCGTTACGCAGAGCTTAGCAGCCTCGACAGGGGTTATTATAGACAAAGCTAAGTACTACGGTACTATTGCACTAAGGTTACTCTGTATATACTCAAAGAATGGGAATTATAGTAGTTTTAAAATATATCTAATGGTCATAAATGGTCATAATGTCGTTGTAAAATCATTATCGGTGTTGAGGAGCATTCATAAGGGTACCAATCTGAGACAGGATGTTCTCAGGGATTGTGCGATGGCCACGGTACTTCTTTGCAGCCCAAGCCGCTTCTGCGCCGTTGAGTCCTTTGCGGTACGCATCCATGAAACGAAGTGAGCGAGTCGCAAATCTGCATCAAGTCTCATCAGTAACACAGTAATCAGAGCCTGGATCACAAGTGCTCACCTTCGCATCGCAATCAAAGGCACCTCCTCAAGAGACTGGAGAAGGTTCCGCTCAAGGTCTTCCTCTTTCGATGAGGGCGGATACATCCGATAACGCCATTTGGCGTATCCCCAACATTGCTCGATGAAATTCAGCTCGCAATGGAATTTTGGGAGAAAAATGACTTGGAATCCCATCGCCTTCGCGTCCTGCTCGAGAAGAGACTCGACGTGCACAAAATCAGGTTGGTTGTAGAGGAACCGGCGGCAGCAACAGTCAGTGGCTCCTTCTGGGCAATTGCCAAAGCTCTTCCCGCACTGCGCCTTCTTCTTGGCGATATCGCTGAACCCCCGTTCCTCGATGATGACTGCCATCCCTTTGAACTGACCAGCACGATTATGCCCTTCTGGAAAATAGAAGTCTTGCTCGCGCCCATCCGCAAACTTCCCGTTGGCCATGCGGGCTCTCTCCTTCTTGATTTTCCCATCAGTGTCGTAGACGGGCTTGCCATCGGGTCCCATCACATTAACATCAACTCCAAAAGTTGACGAAGGGCCTTTTGGCATTTTGGATGCTGAAAGTGCACCCTCGGCTCGTTTTGTATGTGTCTTCGTGTTGTCGTAAACGAATTTGTGATTGTCGTCTGGGTAATGCTCCCTAACATACTCCATAGCTCTCTTGAACTGGGCACGGACATCATTGTTGTCAAAATACCCATCACGCGCCTTTCCTGCACGGAAAAGCTGCAGGCAGATCCACCCGTAGTCCGCAGAGACAAATGCAGCCACCATCAATGAATGCCCTTCTCCCTTCGCAAGCGGCACTGCCTTCTCCGTTTTGTGGACCCAACGGACTCGACGACGGTCATGTGCATAGTATGTTGATTCGTCGTGGTACCACAGGACTTTGCGACGAGGCGGCGGGTTTTCCTCCACTTCCTGAGTACCATCGTTGTTCCATTTCCGCATCGAAGGCTCTACCTTGGCAATGGCCGGCAAGAAGACCTCCTTTCGGTACCTCACAACATCGATGCGTTCGTGGCCGTCGCTGTATTGACCCTTAGGTGTTTTGGTCCAACGGTACCCCATTTTTGCCAACCATCTCTGTGCCGTTGCAAGTGAGATTGGCTTTTGGCGGCCCAGCCTTTCGAGAACATCAGGGCGCGAGACATAGTCGACAATATCCTGAGCGCGGATCCACTGTCCAAGGCCTTGCAAGTGCAGGTTGATCTCCTGTGCGAAGTCCTCATCATCCAAGTGGCTCCTGCCTAATCCGCCTTTCCAGCTGTGCTCGGGAATGAATTCACGATTAAGAACAAACTCCCGTGTCCAATTTCGAAGGAGTTTGGCTTGATAAGGGCCGTGTCCTAGGCTTTTGGCTGTGTAGAGTGATGCCTGTGTCCATTGTGAGGTGTGAGGATTCTTTGTCTGAAAGCTGATGACATTGAAGCAAAACAGACGCATGGCCTCAAAGCGTTCGCGGACAACGTGATCCAGACCAGGATCTTGATGACCATACCCCTTCTTCCTCTTCGGTTTAAGAATAGCCTCGAGGTCAGCGTGCGCAGCCTTAACCGCTGTCATACTCCAAATTGGGATTTGTAGTAAGTGACATGAATATTAGTGTTTTATACCTTCCTTCATACACTGCTATAATCCATAGACATCACCTCGCAAGTTGCAAGTTGAATCAAGTCCTATGGATCTTGTGTTATGGTCATAGACTTTATTTTACCTTACATTACCCTTTTCCAAAGCCCTTTAATTCCCTTTACTCCTATCCTTCACTCCTACATCAGGATTATTCAACCAATTACTACACTTCACTCAGACAAGCTGAAGAAGATTATAGGAGACTGTAGGACAATACGGTAACCTGTAGAACTTGGAAGAATATTCTGGAACGTAGAAGAATTTGATTTCTTCCTTACTAAGCAATTATAAAGCAAGTACTTGGTTTTAGGCTCGGCACTGATGAAATAGGTTTTGAGCACTGCCTTAGCATAGCTTTAGCACTGCCTTGGCATAGCTTTAGCACAGCCTTGCACAGCCTACTACTCTTGATCCTTGCACAGCCTTAGTATTCGTAGAGTATAAATACCCCCCAAATTGTAGTAGATAGATAGGAAACGCAGCGCAATGCAACACAATGCAATGCAATGCAATGCGAAGTGAAGTTCAATTTATTAGTTCTCTTTGATCTAGCTGTTCCCTGAGAATGAATTCCTTCAGCATAGTAGGATAAAGTTTGTCCTTATCCTAGCCTCTATATAGAACTTCTGTATAGTCTCATTGTATTAGTAGTCTTGATTATATTGATAATTGAGTACTCAGATCAGTGAAAGCATTCTTTACTAGAAAACAGAGTAATTTGGTAGCTTGTGTCTACATTATTCTGGATACCTGTGTATTGATTCCACCGCATATTGTTTTGTCGTAACTTGGACATTTAGACTGTAGAACGATTCTGCAGGGTGTCTTATTGTTATTTCAGTTTTGGAAGTGATCTAGCAGAAACGTCTGATCTAGAGCTTCATAGTTTTGTCTCATTGCGGAGTCATACAACGTATCCTAGGGAAAGAATATTTCCTCATCATAGTCTTATTGTCATACTTCATTTCAACTTATCTTTAGTACTGTATAGTATTCTATCCTTCTTCCTCATCCTCGTGAAGCCATTATTGACTTCTAGCCTACACTCTTTTTCTACCCCTATCCCTATCCATCCCCTATTTCCATTTCTACTACCTTGTAGAATCCCAGTGAATATTCTTTCAATAACACACCTCAGCCTGCAGCAACTTGGGTGACTGTCCGATCTATCTAGACTGATCCGACTACATCCAAAACATTTCAGTGAAACCCCACTGAGTGTGACACCGCGTCAAGATCTGGAGCGGGTATCCATGTGCCGGCATACTTTGGTTTATGGTGCGTATCAGGATTGTAGCTGCTGTCTTCGTTTGCAATGATGTCATGTCTGTTCTCATTCTCGTCATCAGCAGGCAAGCTCAGCGGCACATTGGAATGCTCGCTTTCAACGCCTTCACCGCTTTCGTCATCTCTAGCATCTGCATTTAAATTTGGCTCGTCAATGTCTTCATCGTCTTCGTGATCAAACGGTTCATCTCCGCAACCAACTCCCTCATCGTCTGAATCATCGAGCCATCCATCTTCTATGTCTTCCTCAGGTGGGTGAGCTAGAGGCGGCGGCTGAAAGTCTATTCATCTGCGCTCAGAAACTTGCTTCTCTTTCAGGATTGGTGTAGTCGGACTCACCCAAAGGTCCTTCTACGTCGCTCTCAGCAGCAGAAGCTCTCGTTTTGCGCTGCCAATCTGTCGCTGCTGGCTCAGGAGCCTGGCTGGCCTCAATAGGAGTGTGTGGAAGTGAAAAGGTATGTGGGCAGTGTTTGCTGTGGAAACTGCTTGCTGAAGCGTCGTTGAGAGGGCCTGAGGCATTCTTCGATGTTTCCGGGTATATTGGAGTCTTCAATGGGGCGCTTTAGGCATTTTTCATACTGCAGAAAGGTGAAGATGACATACATTCTCTTTATTTTCGTCTATTTTCGATTTTTTTGTCTTTGGTGAGTAGCCAACCCAGTTGCCTAGATTCTTAAGGTTCCATTTTCGTTTAGAGCCCATTATATGGAGTGTAAAATAGCATTGAAAGATTGTGTGTAGTGTGTCAGTGGTCGCGACGCGACGCGCTTTGGGAGGCAAGGGTTATCCGTGCCTAATATGGCAACCGTGCTTATGACCAAACTGAGGCAAGGAAACTTGTAAACTCAGTTCAAATTCTGTACGCCTCGAATTCAAAATTCTGGTCGCAAGGAAATCTGCCAATTTTCATTTCTAACAATCTCTTGCGGACGGAATTTTGATTTAGCGAGCTTAAGCTTTTGTATGGGGTTTTGAACGGTTTCATCACACATTGTCACGGCCTGGCACATGACCAAGACGGTTCTGAGTGAGGCCTATCTTACGTAGAGCGGGAAAGTAGAAGGTGGACACAATGCCAGACTCAACCCGGTACTCCGGTACTCCTTGACGGACTTTGTTCCGAATAATCGATGCAACTCTGATTGATGCCTCAGAAACTAGATATCAGATATTAGAAACCCGTCGTCAGTAGTCGTGCGATGTCAGTCGCGTGGTGTAATATTGACTCCAATCCGAAGGAGGATGAAATTCATACATCAACAGATATGTTCAGTCGTGGAACTTGCACCCACTCTCCAACCCCTCGCACAGCACGCCCTCCCAGTCCGCGCACTGGATGCCCTCCACCCCGTGGACTTCCACGGGCACGACTTGGTTGATTTTACCTCCAATACAACTGAGTCCCCCACCGTTACTTGATGTGTTCGCATCAATACCATAGGGAACGACACGCAGCGACGACGATCAAACACCCCACCCCACCTGAGGCCCACGAGCGGTTTGCGCGATGTCAGCGAGTATGAGCGGGTTGGCGAGGTAGGAGCTGAGGGGGAGGATCTGTGTCAAGTGAAAGTGGAAGCGATGGTTCGAGTTTATGAAGGTAAGAGGAGACGTCTGGATCCTTTGTCACCTGAGTCTCCATGGCAACAAGCTATTAGTGAAGGACGACGCCGGAGCGACGCGTGAGTACATAGAGGGCAACGATGACTGGGAGGCTGGATGCTTATGGAGAGGATGAGGGACTCGGATGCAGAGAAAGCATACATAAGCGCCTGGTCATCATCTGTCGCGCTAGGCCCAAATCCATTCTCACCATATTCACCCACTTCCAGCACACGGATTTCACGCTCCTCGTCTACAGCGAGCGTGGATGCAAACCGATGGGCAAGGGTCCTCATATTTTGATCAATGTAAACGCGGTGTGCTATGGCTTCGACCCAAGCTGTGCTGTGGACGTTGCGTGCTTTGAGGTGTGTAGCTATTTGAAAGCCTGCCTCGGGTTACTGACATTTATACGCCTTTGGAGCCATGGGCGATGCAGTCCACTACACCGAGTGAGGCTATAGGAGTGGGAGACTGTCGAAAGTCACTGGGTCCTCCATCTTTCAATGAACCAGGAGGCTTCATGATCCTCAGGGATCGGACAAGCTTTGGGACGTCCACTGCAAGCATACAGCCCTCATCGACATGAATCACTCATGACTCCCCTCTCTTTTCTCAGCATCGCTAGTTCGATCCAACGATCCAACTCATCTCGTATCTTATTGATAATACTAAGAAGACCATAAGCGAGAACTTGAAACTCGCCTCCCGAGGTCGCGCCTCGTGTAACGCGCTCGGTGAGCCCCTCTGCGTTTAAAATAGCAATACATATCCGATTGCAATCTGGCACCGGCGGTATGGGATTTCACACTCCACAAGCAACCTAGAAGGATCGAGGCCGCCGATCTACTACTTGGTTGAATGCAAAACATTTACCAACCTTCGTAACGATTCGCATCACCAAAGGGATTTACGTAGGGAATCGGGTGAGTGTTCCGGGCGCTCATATACGTCCGTATCTCAATTGTACATATCAGTGCATATGTCCGACATGCGCCTCAAGTCCCCGTCGATCGACGCTAACTATTCCTCCTCATCCTCCTCCTCTCCGTGTTCAGAAAACTGGAAATATACACCAATTTCGAGGCACCACAGCGCCATACGCCATATATTGATTCCGTTCACGCAGGGGTTTCTCACTCCGCGAAGCTCAAGCAACTTGGAAGGATCGAGGTTGCCGATCTTGGAAGGATACAAACCCGTGAAATGGTTTACATCTATCTCAAGACCGGGTGCTACATGAGAAAATAGGTGAATACTCCAGATACGCATACGTCCGCGTCTCAATCATATCATATGTGCTCACCAGTGCATTTGTCCAACTCGAGCCTACGCTAGGCGTTCGTTTCAACGCCCTCGAACTTCCCTATCGCTTTCCGATGTCCTGAACGATGCGTGCGCGAGCTCGGACAACACTCGCGTACCACGATTGCGCCTCTGGAAAAACTGGAGTGAAACACACACATCGACCTTCGATACCGTTCTCCGTATCACATCGTCCATTATGCAACGTCGAGGTCCCGCTTTATCCTAGTACCTTGTGCTAGGCGTTAGCTAGCACGTCAGCGTATCGACCCCTCGCAAATTCACTGGAGCGTGAGCGGCGAATGCGGACTCTGGATACGCCGAATGTACACGGCTCCGAGACAGAAGAAGGATTTCGGTTTGCAGCAATAACGACATATATGAACTGTACGTGCTCAAATAGGGATAACAAAATATTTGCCAAAACATAGAGCGAAGACCTGGTCGAGAACGTAACTGAATATCGGTACGATAATTGTCAAGGCTGCCTCTGCACCCGGCGCACAGCTGCTCGGTATACTTTGTAGCAGCGGACCTCGACCGTGATGTCGATGGCCCGCAACTCATGCCTCAGCTTCTCGAGGTGCGATTTCTCCGCTGGCGCGGTGTGCCGGTCCTCGATGTGCTGGCGCATCTTGCGGACGATGCGCGCCAGAAACGCGTGCGCGCAAGGATAGTACATCCTTCGTGGCCACTGGTGACCCCGCTATCGGTGTGGAGGAAGGCTGGCCGCTCCCTTCAATCGACGATGCTGTGGGTCTATGAGATTGAATTGATACCGAAGGGTACTGCACGCTGTATGTACCTAATGATTGCTGATCTGCCTGTAGAAGAGCCGAGGTGGCACGGACTTCAGCTTCAGCGTCTGAAACATAAGTGTCTGAGAGATGCATATTGGGTCCTGGCAGAGGGCCCAATGGTTCTTGGCAGAGGCTCGCGTATTTGGGGTGCGACGAGATGCTGGTGTGTTCTTGCGAAGGCACTTGGCCTCGCGCATGATCGGTGGTAAAGGGGGGAAAGTCGTACTCGTGAGCCCCAGAGCAATAACTATTCGCGGCGACCTCATCATGGAAGAGGACATATAGTCAGCTCGCACGGGGACGGATGGAGCGCTAGCGCCAACGCACCATTACCCAGCCCGACAGCCGACAGTAGAGTCCAGCGGACCTACGGTACGGACATCAGAGGTCGATGGCAGTAGAAACGATGTCTCTTGCCAGCGGTCGCATTAAAGGCCAGGTTCACTTGGATTTCCGCCAGTGATCGCCATTGGGTGCGCGGTCAACGTTGATGGGATTCGTATTGTATCGACCATGGGATTGACGGCTATAGTTTTTGAGAGAAGGAGTTATATAGCTTGCATCGAGACAATAAAAGCAGATACCACGCACGAACACGAAGCTCGAGGGGGGGCATGTCACTGTCACGGAGGTAGGCGAATGATGAGATCGCTCTAAAGTGACAGCGTATACGTACGGTGCCAGGCGAAGGAGCACCGAGACGGCTCACTGGCAATCTCTCGCGGTTTCATACATAGAAAAACAGACAACGATATCATGCCATTTCATTTCCACTCGCATGGCCGTTGAGTGCTACTTGACCGCGCCCGAGCGTGCCGCGTGCCGCAGCGCCGTCGACACTGTCCCGGCTTTATCTTTATGTGGCGATGGGCCCGTAACAACCGTGACAGAATATCTCCACACAAAATCCGAGCTTGCGCGTATGTCCTGCGCGGTACGGCGAGTCCGGCGGCACCTGTCCTTCTTCGGAGGCAATCGAACTCGAACCCACAAGTTCCTGCCACCGACGCGAGCAGTCCTGCGCAGACTGCAGTACGGATGTGCAGACGCGCTCTCAGATCTCAGATCTCAGGCTCCGCAATGTAGCCGCCAGTCACGGTGTGAGCGGTCACCGGCCACTGGGCGCTCACCGCAGGCTTGACAACCGCAGGGGGTGACAAAGTTCGCATTCGCATTCGACTTGGGTGGCCAATGCGGTGTATGTTGTATCTGTATGCCACCGTATACATACGTATCTCCCCACTATGAGTCCCGAGTCCCGAGTCCTGATCATGACAACGTTCAAAAACATGACAACGCTCAAGGGCAAGCGCCGACACAGCGAAAGATTGTAAATTACACCTGTGGGATATTTGTGGGATATTTTCAAATTATCTCAGAATATATCCAGAATATCCCCGAAATTCTACAATGTGCATATTCTGATATAGCTTTCCTCGTTTACTCGAATATACAACAAATACGCACTACCTGACAACTAACTATTCTCAGAATATTCAAACAATACACGTATGACTTCAACAGACTGTCACTCTTCCAAATATGGAAGCCCCTGAAATCTCAAGTCTCGTGACTTACTTGTCATTTCCAGTCCGTCACAGTATTCACGCTTGACACCCCAGCAATTAGCTACGAACAGCGCAGAGCCAGAAGAGAATTGTTAAATAAGTTGTCTACACAATGAGCTTGCCTGTCACCCCCCACGCCCTACGCCCATACCCCACCAATGGCAAGTACAAGCAATTCCGGCACCACTAACGTTAACACCAATGCAATTCGGTCTGCTGCAGCACTGGGGGCAGGAATGGCACGGTTGGAGCGCCGGATTGGTGATCTCGAAGAGGATAACTTGGTACTACGGACCGAGCTAGATGAGAACCGAAGGGAGGGGAACGAGCTTCGTGCTGAGTTAGAGCTTCTACGCAATTATGTTGATTGCGGATTGGTAGAGCTTCGTGAAAAGATGGAACGGGTGGGGCAGCACGCAGTTGATGGGGAAGAGGATTTGGATGAGCAGGAGCGCAAGGCTCTTGAAAGCGAAGCATGGGTTAGAGATAACGGGTGGAAGGTATGATGAACAACTCACTGCATGGACATGCTGACATGATATTAAAAGGATCTGGTTCGCACCATGTTTGCAAAAGGGATGGGAATTAGCAAGCTCACGCCACAATACCTACCCGCGTTCCCAGAGCAGGGGGAGGACTGGCCAATGCGTCCAGACATACCCACTCAGCGCCTCCTCCGCTTCAAGTGGGATCGAGATCATCATGACCAGCACAACTGGGAGATGATTACCTTTATTAGCGACTCAATCGTTCGTCATGGAGCAGCCCACTCACCTCGGGTTGCTCCCGCAATTTTGGTTGTATCCGATGAGGACAGGCTGGAGAGTGTGAAGAAGCAGTTCAAGAGCTTGGCAAGAAAGATGAAGGATGCAGAGAAGGCGGGGCGTAATGAAAACATGCCAGAGCAAGGTGCAAACGATGGAGGAGAAGTGAGGGTGGATGAGGGTGATGGGATGGCGCTGGATGAAGGCCTGATGCAAGCACAGCCCTTGGTGGTGCCGGAGAAGGTAGAGCGGAAATTGAAGGCCACAACACGACAGTCTCGTGCCCGAGGGGTAAGTACACTAGCAATCCATGTCACTTCGACTCAAATGCTTTAGTAGAAGGTTGAAGTACGCACTTGCAAACGCACAATGCCAGACGAGAGCATTTATAAGTCATCAAAATACGATGCTGCTTTCAAGCCAACGGCGATGTCTGATGATGAAGATGAGTTTGGGAATGGCGACATTCCTACTGGACGGTTCATTTCAAGGGCCCCATTGTACCGCAGTGAAATTGTGAGTTGTAAAACTAAGCTATGGGAAGAAAAGCTTACACCGACTGTAGCTTATACAGCTGTATCAAGCCGTTGATGCATGTGGTGACCCCGCTCCTGCAAAGCGCTACATACCTCGGGTTGCAGGTGAAATAAAGGACATTCCACCGCCTGTGACTAAAAGTTTATCAACGAGGATCCGGCGCTGGATGGTAAACAACGAGTGGCTTACCGACGAAGCAAATAGTATCTATGATACGCCGAGCCGAATTGCAGAGAGTGGACGGCAATGGGGTGATGAGAAGGATCCTGAGGAAATTGAGGAAGCGCACCGAAAGGCAAAGGAGGAAAAGGAGGAGGCCAAGAGAAAGCAGCCGCGTATTGAAGGCGGTGAAGTAGTGATGGCAAGAAAAAAAAAGGTGAAGGGCAAGGCTGTACAGCCAGCTGCTCAGGACGAGATGTGAGCATGGAAGGATTAGACATCATAGTCGTCTAGATTTTCGGGTTCTGTTCCTGCCTACTCAGTTGTTCAGAGTTTGATCAGCTCAAGCCGTAGATTGACTTACATGATCAAACGAAATAGCAATTGATAATTGCCGCTCGATTACACTTGAGTATACCGAGACCATGGCTAGAGGCGCATCAATTTGAGCTGCTGAGATCACCTCAAGTCCCCAGAACTCATCGTGGTATGAGGTATGAATACCAAGGGTTGAACTCCTGATCCAAATGTTCAGTATGTGCGAGGCCTAGGTGTTTCAACGTACATGTGATCCCATGGAAGTATGGGGATATTTTCGTCCGCTCGAAGCCGTTTCACTATTGCACACACATGAGGTGGCTTGTGGCATCCAGGGATATTGACGACTAGCAGTGCTTCAATTTTTACCGGAAGGCGGGCCTGATCTTCAATGATAAAGGCATAGCAGTCAGCTTGAGTGCGACGGTTCGAAGCACATCCGTATCGAATGCCATCCTTGCGGATGTAAGGTAGAGCACGAGCAACCCGTTCGGCCACAAATGCCTGCCCTGGGTGGTTTGCAAACTCTGTTACAAGGTCAAGATCGGGCCAAAGATCTTGGAAGTACCGCAAAAGAAGGCGGTAATATTCTCCTGTGGGTGACATGTGGTGGATATTGGTTGTAGACTTGGCAATTCGACGTGGCAGTTTGACGTTGTCTACAAATACAAATTAAATGCAAACAAATGAAGAAGGTTGTTGCTCACCAGTATCTACCTCGCTTCGAAAAATGGCAATTTGCGACATCATGCTTCCGCGAGATCGTGCTTCTTTCTGTATTATCCGTTCTAGTAACTCATGCTCCTTTGCGTGAGCATCAGGAGGTAGAGAAAGAAGAAGCTCGTATACGAGGTGGGTCTGAGTTCAATTGCGAAGCAGGGTGAGTTCCAGCCGTCCACCATCGTGACCATTATGGTGGATTCGCTCTAGCATGCCGTTGAACCGCTCGAAGGCAAACAGCCACCATGCGTAGATAGGCCCAAACTGTTTAATCATGTCAAAGAAATGAGTAGAGAGATGATGGTTGATGACAAGGGGAATGCGAAGACGAAGGCACATGTGGCAGTATTCAATGAGAAAGTCTTGACCGAGCCGAGCCTGAGCCATGGTGATCTTCCGTATAGCGAGCAGGCGAACACCGGCGCAAAGAAGCAAAATGGCAGAGTAAAGTGAACGCCTCTGTCGCGAATGGGTTGTGGTGATATTCTTGTTTGCGGTTACTGGGGGCGCCGTGTCAGGAATGGTATCGTTAGCATCTCGCCAAGACCACCATAGCAAAACTGGAGTGATCGCAAGGATACGTCTCCACTCGTCTGCCTTTTTGAGTGATTGGTTCTCGCCGAGCTTCATTGGAGTAAGTGTTAAACTTCAGTTTCTATGTGATTAGATACATACATTTTTTGGCAGACGCGTGATATGGCTAGGCCACTGCACAGAGTTGATGAGATCTTCAAATCGTTGCTTGTGGGAGTCCGCACCCCCCGCACCCGGAAACATATGTGCCGCGAAGAGAACCTTTATAAATAAGTGACAAATTAGTCCCAAAAAAACATTATGCATAAAATCCAAGGCCGTCTTCGAAGATGGCAGCCAGCCAGGTATGACATTGAGTATCGACCACCGAACACCATGGTCATTGAGGATGGCATCACGGCGTTGGGGCTGGGCGTAACGGGATTGGAATGCTTGTCGAAGCATCGGGAAATCCCCCTTCCGTTGATGAGCTGATGTGAAGAACGTAAGTTGCACCGTAGTAGATAATGTAATTCTCTATGCTTACTACCGTTATAACCTGCGGCTTGATTAACATGGACTAGCATTGCCTCGCAGTATGGGCATGGGTGGAACTCATGCGCGTGCCCAGCGGTGCCAGATATCTTTCGGGCAGCTGGAGTGTCACAATTGTTACAGATGAGATCAGAAAAAACTTTCTCGGTTGTTTCATCATCGTAGATTTCCATTTTGACACCATTTTTCAGTTGGAGTAGGTCGAGCACTAGTGGCTCGAGGCAGTGGTTAATCTGCTGGGTATCGGGCTCCTTCAGACCAGGCATTACAAAGGCGCAGACCACATTTGTCTGAAGAAAGCGGATGTCACACTTCAGATCGTTAATGCTCACGTACGCCGGCCCAGTCGAATGTGGCCGGTTTGACAGCAAACCGAGCCTATAAAATAGAATAGATTAGCAGAGGTAATGGCTATTATAATCATTTACCAGTCTGCATTCAGGGTAAGATGAAGGCCGTAACGTTTTGCTGTAAGTTTGTCCGGCTCATTAGCTCCGTTGTTTGGTTGGTCTCGTATTCTACCAATCTCGTCTACTTCCTGTAAGGGCAACCTCAAGATGGCCGACAGCGCAGGCCTAGCAGAGGGAGAATCCAAAGAAATGAATAAGACTAACTACAATACATGAGAGAGCTGCTCACCTAGCAGAGGGAGAATCCAAAGAGAACAGGATGGGGATTCTCCATGCTAGGAAGCGAAGTATATACTGTAGTAGCGTGGGAGGAATGAAGGGTAACTGTACAGTACACCAGCCACAGGTACGAACGAATATCACAAGGTACGAGGGGGCATGTGATAATGAAGTGGAAGGGGAATGTACAGGAGTCGTGCCAGCGACCTGGGGAAGTGGGGACAAGGAGTAATGAAGTGGGAAAGGAGGATAGAGGTAGCTCGGACGAGCCCCGAAGCGTATCTACGAGTCCGAGCGAGTCTGAAGCGTCCGAGCGAGTCCGAGGCGAGTCCGAAGTGCGGGAAGACTTTGGAGTCACCGGATGGGGCTCGGATGCGAAGGGAGTGAACGGAAGGGAAGCGGAAAGGTAAGGGGACAAAAGGAAAGGAAAGGGGATGAAGGAAAGGGGAAAGGAACGAGGAGGAAGGGGGCGGGACAGGGGGAATAGGAGAAAATAGGAGTGTCCCCTTACACTTCCCGAGTGATGTTGACATGTTGCGCATGCCAGGCAGCGCTGTGGTGGATATCTTCCATGACAAAGTCATCATTATCGTTCAGGCACTCTGGCTCGCCTCGGCTATCTCGTATCGATCTGGCAAAACCTGGGTGAAGGAACATTCGGCGAAGACTATCAATAAGAGATACCTGGGGGATTATCTTGAGAGGCCGACGCCTTGTCTCCCCTTTAGCTCCAGTGATGTCCTCGTAAATGAGTCCAGTACAATTTCCAACTCGGCATTCGGGAGTCTCCAGCTCGCGTAGAGCCGTTGGGCTGAAATGCTTCCAGCAGTGGGGGCAAATAGCGTACTGGGTTATCCAAAGATCTGGGTCGATACTGAGCCGACGTTTAGCACCGTCAGATGTTTGTAGTGGCCGGGGGATTTCGGGAAGAGCTCCAGCAACTTCGAGGGCATCCAGAGTAGAGACAAGTTGGTCTGTAGCCTGCTGGATTGTCAGACCATTGTAGACATTGCCGATTACTGCTTGCATATAGGCCAGACGGACGCAAGCAGCCTCTTGGAATGCAGGGGGTCGGTATGTTGGTAGATCGTCCATGGGCGCATTCAAATCCTGTATTTCGGGTGGATTAACTGGTCCAAAGGGTCCTTCGGGCTCTGGGGAATGTTCTGGAGAAGGGGGATGCGCTGGAAAGTCCTCCCACCGTGGAATTGAGTTTGATTGAGAGCGCTGTTGCCTAGCTGCTGGGTTGGAGCCATTGCAGTGCTGGCCAGACCTAATTGAACGGGTTCGCTGAAGTCGAAGTCTGTGGGATTCACGACAAAGTATGGTGGGATCTACAGGTGGTTGAGCACGATTTCGGGACATACTCCGTCGAAGGCGGTTCAGTGCGGCATTCTGGCTGGTCCAACGAACAGGATAAAGCTTGACGTGCTGCGCTGCAAGTTTCTTCGTCTGCCATTGAAATCCTGCAGGATGCTTGCGGCATTTATTGCAATCACAGCGACATAGCAGTGGCTGGGGCGCCATATGTGTGAGATCGTCGTCGATTCGTGTGAGCGTCTGGTTGAATCAACCAGTCACCTGGTCGATGTGTACGTGGCTGTCACAGCTGTGACAAGTCCCACCCATGGCATATTCTGATGTTATTCTTGCATATCTTTAACGCTTCAAAATATAAAAAAATATAGGTATGTGTATTCTATAGCTTGGATATTCAATGCATATTCTACCATATTTTCAGACTGTACAACATTTTACCGGTAACATATTTTGTTATCTTTCGCTGTGCGATGGATCGTATACGTACCAGCGCGTCACGGTATTGGCCCGCCATCACCGGTCACCCCAGACTCAGGTGAACTCCGAGTCCCAGGTTTACATGCCACATATGCATGCATGCACATGTCAGGCGGGGAATGCGACAGCCTGAGAGTCAAGTACTAGTGGTACCCAAACCCAAGTTGACGTTGGACGTTGGACGTTACGTTGAGGGAGCAATGAGCATCTCGGTTTGCGCTGATCGCTGATGGCAGTTCGCAGTTCGCAGTTCGCAGCTGGGGCGATGGTGGGAATTACGCGCGTTGCACACTGGCAGGCGGGCAGTGGCAGTGGCAGTGGCTGCGGGCTGCCAGTGGCGGGCAGTGGCTGGCGGTTCGAACCACCAAACGTTAACGTTCAGCGTTCAGCGTTGAGTGTTCTAGGCCTGGAGTGGCTGGGTATCGAATATTGAATATCGAATATCGAATATCGAATCATGTCGTTCGTACGAGTTTGCGGGCTGGGATAGGGATAGACGAGGTCCCGACGATGGGCGAACCACCGTCACCGTCACGAGTTCTACTTACTTACATGCTACATGCTACATGTAACATGTAACATAGTCAGGTACCATACTACCAACACGCCAACACGGAAATGGAAATGGAAATGGAAATGGAAATGCCAGTGTGGAGATGGAAATGGAAATGGAAATGGTGCGTGTGCGTGTGCGTCTGCGTGTGCTTCCGGGGGATTTACGGTTTACGGTTTACGATGTATGTACGGTTTACGGTTTACGGTTTGCGATTTAATATTTAGGGTTTATGCATATGATTAATATATGATTACTGTTACTGACGCTCCCCCGCGCTCCCCTCCCCCGGTCCCCGGTCCCCCATTTCGCATTTCGCATTTCGCATTTCGCATTTCGCATTTCGCATTTCGCATTTCGCATTTCACGTTTCGCATTTCGCATTGAGCATTGAGCATTGAGCATTTCGCATTTCACGTTTCGCATTTCACTTTCACTTTCTGGTTCTGTTTCTGTGAGCTCGATTTTGCAGGACATATCTCTACACATATTCACACACATATACACACACATATACACAAAACTAGACACACATACAACAAAACAACAAAACTATACAACAAAACTATACAACAAGACGACAGGGGGTGCAGGGGATATAATGTATCATGATAGCAATACAATACAGATGTTTGATCTTTGATGGTGGTATGGACTCGGCTAGCGAGGTGAAAGTGGGAAAGTGGGAACGAAGATGTAAAGGGTAAGAAGATGTATAACGAAGATGTAACGAAGTAAAAGTGGGAACGAAGATCCGAAGGTGGGGTGTGACGAAAGCCGAAAGCGAAGATGTGAAGATGCCGCGAAGATGTGGGGGTACAGTATATAGGATGCGGAAATGCGGAAATGCGGAGGTGTGAGGTGTGAGGTGTGCGCCGCGGAAAGACGAATAACACCGAATATCTAACGCCAAATATTTCCAGACCCCTAGACCCCTACACGCGGAACTCGCGCCCGCTCTCGAGCGCCTCGCGCAGCACGGCCTCCCAGTCCGCGCGCTCCGCCCACCGGATGCCCTCCACGCGGTCGACCTCCACGGGCACGACCTGGTTGATCTCTCCTCCCTCTCCTCCTTCTCCCTCACCGTTATATCCCCCATATTCTCCCCCCTCACCACCGTTATACCCTCCTTCACCGTAGCGAGAAGAAGAATGGGAATGGGAGTGGGAATGGGAAGAAGGCGGCAGAACCTTCAGCACGACAATGAGACACCCGACGCCGCCCGCCGCGCGCGAGCGCTGTGCGCGGCGCGCGATGTCGGCGAGTATGAGCGGGTCGGCGAGGACCGCTGCGAGCGGCCGGATCTGCGTCGAGTGGAATGCGAATGCGTTCCTGCTGTTGTTGTTATACGACGACGATGAACTGTTGGGGTGATGATGATGATGATGGGAAGTAGGGGTGAGGTTGACGACGAGCGCGCTGTGGCGGATGTTCGCGGGGACGCTCTTGAGGCGGAGCGCCTGGAAGCCGGCCCAGCCGAGGAGGGCGCTGTGCGCGGAGGTGTACTTGCGGAGGGCGGCGACGGTGGCTTCGTGCTGCGCGGCGTGCGCGGGGGTGTAGGCGTAGGCGTGGCCGTGGCCGTGCGTGTGCGTGTGCGGAGAGGAGTGCTGGAGAGAGGAGTGAGAGGAGGGGTGTTGCTGGGCGACGGTGTGCTGGCAGAGCGCCTTGTGGGCTGCCCAGTGCGCCTTCTGGCAGTCTTGCGAGCAGTACTGGGTCGTCATCTATCGTCGCACGGGTGAAGGTTAGCTCGACGTGTTCTCTGATCGCAACAAACGGGCAAACGGGGTTGGAGGGGATGCGCGAAGGAGGGACGGGGATGCGGTGTATATGGGTATGTGGTGTAAGTGGTGTAAGTGGTGTAGAAGGAACAAAAAGAGTCGGGAGAAAGAGTGGGAAGAGAAAGAGAACGGCAACTCACGCATCCCCCGCAGAGCCTGAAGCGCGCGACGGCCGGGTTCTCGACGGCGCCGCACTGGTCGCACAGCCTGTATCCGCGCTCGCGCATCTCCCGCTGCTCCCTCGCTTCACGTGACTCTTTGTGCATCTTCGAGGACTTGGATGAGGACTTGGATGAGGATGAAGGATGGTGGGAGGAGGAGTGGTGGGAGGAAGAGGAGGCGGCGGAAGAGGAGGCGGCGGGGTATTGGTGGTGCTGGGGGGCGAGGGCGTGGTAGGAGGAGTAGTTGGCCGGGGGCTGGTGTGTGTAGATCGCAGTGGCCATGTCTTGTTCTTCGCTGATTCGCTGATTCGCTGATCGCTGGTACTCGTCACTAATCACTAATCACTGAGACTGGTTGAGTCGTTGGGAGGAGGAGGGGCGAGTGGCGCGGTATATATACACGCGGGCTGCATATCCTGGAGCGTACTCGGAAATGGAGGCCATAGCCACTGCGCGATCGAATAACAATAGAGGAATGATAATAAGAGTGAGACGAGGGACGGTGTAAGACAAGAAGACAAGAAAGCGAGACAGGAAGACAAAAAGCAAACGTGGAGATCGGGTACGGAATGCGGCGAGCGAAAGGCAGGAAAGGAGGAAGTAACAAAAAGCAGGACAGGCGTCTGGGCGAATAACAAAAAGAGTCGGAGTCAGAGGGGAGACAAAAGGACGGATTAGGCAAGTTCAAAGTTGAAAGAAGCAGCGATCCGAGACAAAAGAGACAAAGAGACGGCCTGATTAGATCGAGGTACGCACGCGCACCAACTCATCTTAGGGGTTCTTTAGTAGCATACACCCGCCGTTGGTTGGAGAGACTCTCGCTGTCAGTCTACGGTATCCTGGTATGTCCTCCTCGCCGACTCCTGCCTATCAATATCAATACATCACCTACCGACTACCGACTGCCACCTATCTCGTATTCCTACGCCCAGGAATTGAGATATCTACAGCCCTACAGCCCTCGTCTCTAGCCGTCTTCTTCCCTTCCACAGTTTTCATTGTCCGTAGCATCCACGCCCTGTATGTGACACGTGTACACCTCCATCAAAAGTGCTACGACTCTTCCTGCTATTTCTCTTTTGCTTTTGCTCTCCTTCCGGCCTCTGCCTGCCCATACACTTACCGTGCCCGTCTGCGCTGCGCTGCCCTCTTCCGTTCTTCCCCCAGCACCGCCCTGCCCTCGTTACGAGTACCCCCGCTCCTCAGGCCTCGGGCCTCAGCCCAGGCACTATTACTGGTATGTAGGCCATCTCTCCGTGCTCGTGTTCGTGTTCATGCTCGTGCTCGTGCTCGTCCTACGTCGTCGGGCGGGACGACCCGGCGCTGCTCCCCATTTTTCCATCAACAAGCGGTGCACTCATCTCAACACCTCAACACATCAACATCCCCGTCACATTTGAAGTTCGAAATTTGAACGTTTGAACGTTTGAATATGTGCCTCTGTCTCTGTAGCTGCCTCTGCCTCTGCCGCCCAACGTTCAACATCAACGCCCGTTTCACCGGCCAGTGCATGCGCCCCTTCCCCCTTCCTCTTCCTCTTCCTCTTCCTCTCCCATCGACTTGCCCGCCTGCTCCTGCTCCCGCTCCTGCTCCTGCGTCTTCAGCCCTCCGCTGGCCTCGCCCCTACTATCACTAGTCCCGCACTCTGCTCAAGCGCTCAGCCCTCAGCCCTCATATCTCTACCGCATACCACATACCGCATACACGCGCCGTACACCCGTACACCCATACACGCGCCCGCTTTTGTAAAGATCAAGACGTTTCTTTCCCCCGGGCCCGAAACCATACCTCATACCTCTGCTCCTCCGCTTACCGCTTACCGCTTACTACCCCCGTCTGCCCTTGCCCTTGCTCTCCCTCTCCCTCGCTTGATCCCTCCATCCCTCCATCCCTCCATCTCTCCGTCGTACACATCGCTCCATCGCTCCCTCCCACATATCTGGGAGGCTGGGAGGCTGGGCGGCTGGGAGGCTGGGATCTTGTTGCGTGTTGGCAGGCTCTGTTCTCGTGCTTGCGGTCACGGTATATTGGTACGCCCTCGTCCTCGTCGTCCCTCCCTCCGTGCCGCACGTCGCCATAACATGCCCTGCCCCCCTCCGCCCTTTTCGATCCCGTTTCGATTGTTGTTAGTATGTATCATGTATTATGTATTATGTATTATGTATTATGTATCATGTATTATGTATTATGTATTATGTATTACGTATTATGTATTACGTATTATGTATTACGTATTATGTATATATACTACCTTTCTCCACCTATTCGCCCGTCTAGTGCGCCCCCTCTGTACACCCATCTGCGACTCTCAACATCTCAACATCTCAATCTCAATCTCAACATTTCTGCTCCTTCCTTCCTTCATCACTCCTTCCGTCATCACTCCTTCCTTCATCACTCCTTCCGTCATCACTCCTTCCTTCGTTACGCGCTCCTTCCTTCGTTACGCGCTCCTTCATCGCTCCTTCAAGCTTCAAGCTTCAAGCTTTGTGCACCATCATGCATCATGCGTCATGCATCATGCGGCCACCTACCCACCTACCCACCTACCCACCTACCCAACTACCCACCTACCCAACTACCCAACCACCCACCTACCCAACTACCCACCTACCCACCTATGATATATTGATATCCACCCCTCGCAATGCATGCATAACGCATAACGCATAACGCATAACGCATACCTCAGCCCCTCCGCCCGCGGTACGTCGTCTGGCGCGGCGTATTCGCAGTATTCACAGTATTCGCAGTATTCGCAGTATTCGCAGTATTCGTATGCTCGTATGCTATGTGCAAAGCACTTTGCGGGTGATCCTGTCGAGGAGCTGCTGCCCCGCCTGCTTCTGTGTTTGTGTTTGTGGGTGGGTGTGGGTGGGTGTGTGCGTGTGTGCGTGTGGGTGTGTGTGGGTGGGAGGGGGTGTGCGGGTGTGCGGGTGCGGGTGTGGGACTCCGATTCTCCGGTGGACGAGCCCGATGGCGGCGGTGCGCTGAACATGGCGCACGGTATGCCGTGGTAGGTGTGCCGTGGTAGATGTGCCGTGGTTGGCGGGAGGTGGGTTGGCGGGAGGTGGAAGTGGAAGTGGCTGATAGCAGGGAAGGGGCTGCGACGTGGTACTGGGAGAACAAGAATACTTTATGTGATGGTTGTAAGGGTGTAATGGGTGTAAGGGTTGTAAGGGTGTAAGGGTGTAAGGGTTGTAAGGGTTGTAAGGGTGTAAGGGTGTGGTGGTTGTAATGGTTGTAATGGTTGTAATAGTTGTAATGGTTGTAAGGGTTGTAATGGTGTAAGGGTAAGAGCGAGGATTTCGATTTCTCTGGTCGCCTCCTGACCGTTGACCGTTGCGCTGACGCTTTATATACCCTCCGTTCGTGGTCACAACCCGCTCAGGCTGCGCCCCCCTATCTCTATCTACCTCCTGAAACCTCCTGAAACCTGCCGTACACCGTCGTGGCCCCGCCTGTCAAGACGTCACCATGTCACCATGTCACCATGCTTTTCGCGGAATCGGGGGCGCGCCGGAGGGGATTGCTGTCGGGCCGCGACCGGTGACTGGTGACCATTCGGTGGCCTGTGCTCGCCTTGGGATCACTGCGAGTGGGATTGAGGTGATATGCATGCATGCATGCATGCATGCGCGGTGCGTTGGAGTAGATGAGTGAATGAATGAATGCATATCCTCGACTGGATAATGCGTGGGCGGGCGTTCTGCACCAACATCAACCAGACTTGGCGCCGGGATCGGCTTCGACTTTCAAAATTACAAGTCCTTCGATCGAAAGCTTTAGGCCTTTAGCGCTTAGCTTTAGGAGCCGGCGACGAAATTAGGGCTCGGGATACTCAGCGCTCAGTTCGCGGGGGGCTACTGTACATGCGGTGCAGGAAATGCGAAATGCGAAATGCGAAATGCTTGACGGCTATTCAGCATACTCCGTTGATATTAATGTGCATGCGTCTTGTGCAATAGTGCGATAGTGCAATAGTGCAATACATCCGGACGGCGATGGACAGGCGAGCCGAAAATCCGGGGGTAGGGGGGGTCGGGGGAGGTTACCCCGGACCCGCATGCGCATGAGCCAATATGGGAGCGCGGGGCTGTTCGAAGAAGGGAGCTTGGACCTGCACTGTTCTCCCTACGCAACGGACGATGTAGCCTCCCCAATAGTGTGTTGAGCGATCCGCGGGACAGTACGGCTCGAGGTAATTAGCAATGTTAGCAATGAGCCGGATGTTATCGCGTCAGACAGAGAGTGTGTGTCTTTCCAGCGCAAGGCAACCTCCCCGGAAGCATTAATATTCTGGTGACGACATCCCTGAGGCCTGGGATGGAATCAATTCAACCCCTGACGGAGAGGAGTGCAGGGATTCTCGCCGCCGGCCCCTATTGATTATGTCGATCCACCGTCGATCCTGATCGCAGAACACAAGAACAAGCGAGTCTGTTGCAATTTAGTGTCCCACTGATTGAGCTATGCACCTTCAGCTTCAGAGCGTCTGGCTCGCATTCAGATGTCGCGGGTCAAGTAATGCTATTCCGTGTAGACCACAGAATATCGTACCAGCTATTTGCGAAACCACAGACGGACGGTTCTACTGATAAAAAGCCTCCAGCGCGTCGCCACTACCTCGGTGACGCAGACCGGGAGATACGGCTAATGTAATGACAGGTCGACAAGCGGGACTGCGAAGATGTGCAACAACAGCTTTCAGGAGGTGGACAGGAGGTCGTAGCGGATTACGATGATGATAAGGAGAGCGCGTGCTCCAGTCGGGGAGGGTATAAAATGTCAGCCCGACGGTCAGAAAATTCAGGGGGCTGACAGTCTCATCTCTCGCACCTACCACCACTATCACCCCTACACCAAGCACTCTTCCAGCACGATGTCGCAGTCCCCTTCCCAGCTATCAGCGATCACCGCGTCTACCACCTCCCACCAGCCATCGACGTATCATTCAGTACCCGGCGTGATCTTGTTCAACACGCCCTCGACCACAGGCTCGCCCGCGCACCGCGGTTCATTCACCGGGGAACGGGACGCTCAGCCAGACCAGCCTGGACACGCCGCCGGCCGGCTGAGGCTAGATTTAGTTGCACTTTTTGTCCAAGCGTCTTCCCGGCAAAGCACAACTACAAATGTCAGTGATCACCAGCGCGCTGTTAGATATCGTCTATATCACTAATCTCCGTGTAGATCATATGCAAGCTCGCCGAGGGAGAGACCCCATAGTTGTGATATCTGCGGGACATTGTTTGGGAGGGGGTCAGACCTCAAATGACACAAGAGGTCAAAGAAACACCTTGATGCTTTGCAGTTTCGAAGGGGAGAATCTTCTCACCCTATGAAAGCTACTTGATCTCTGTCTCTAGAGTCAACCATTGGATTACTGGTGATCCACATACATATACATAGTGATTAATACATGATCCTAATGAACAAGCGAACTGCAACCTGACGAGGGAGCTAGGCAGTCATGGTGGTCCACTTCATTTAATGGACGGCCTGCTCGGGATACAAGACCCTTCGGCTCGCACTTGTTGAAACGCAGGGATAAGCCGCACAATCTCTGCCCAGTCATCTACAACTCTTTCCTCATCTTCGTCATCTTCGTCGGGGTTGTCGTCGCTGGTGACGCACGCCTCGATGGCGCAATGGGGCGGTAGAACTCTGCTCAGATAGATCGCGAGTTGAATCGGCGACGAGATAGATGTCTTCCCAACATTGAGCTCTGCCAACCCTGTGAATTCCCCCGACTCCAAGACCACTTGCCGATATTCTTCGTCGCGCTCTGGGGATGGTATGTGCTTGTCCGAGGTGTTCAGATATAGCCCTAATTTATTGATGTCCGGAAAGAAGCTGAGAAGTGGGGAAAGGACGCCGACACCGAGCGTCGATGTTCCTTTGAGATTTGGAGCTGGGTTCAACGAAAGGGTAGTGATACAGGGCAACGCCCGGGCGATGGCGATGACGTTCTCTGTATCGATTTGAAATGGCATAGGATGGTGGAGATGAAGATGCTGAAGGCCCATCAATCGGGTTACCGGCTTGATGTCGTTGAAGGTTATCGCGGGAGGCTCGTAGCTTGCTGGCTCTATGGGAATGACGGAGATGGACAGGTATTCAAGGCCGGGGCAGCAAGCGGATAACACAGCCAACATTGCCTCGTATGCGTTCGGCGATTCGATCCGGGGGGAAATAATCTGAAAGCGGGCGAGTTTGCTGAAGTGGTCTCCCTGTAGAAGGACCTGCGTTGCGCGGGAGAACGTCGTGGGGACGGTGAGGCTGGTGAGTGCAGGAAAGCCGTCCGCGGGTAGAGACGTTGACATCAGATACTTGAATTCGGAAGATTTAGCTAGGGGCATTTCCTCCGCGACTGTGAATGATGCGGCCAAGGCTCTCAAGGCGGGGGCGGAAGCAGCGGCCTTGGCTATGGGGGAGGTAAGCCAGAAGGGTGGGAGACACAACGACGCCAGCGACGGCAAGCCATGTATCGCAGTAGCGAGGAACCCTTCAACACCGGCCTCTGGGGAATAGAACCCATCTTCTTGTAATGAAAGCTTTTCGAGGCCTGGGGTTTTCATGGGCAGCGAAGAGAGGAGAGGTCCGAGCAGGGGGAAGCTCCCTTTCAGGCATATGTTTAATGAGGTGATCGACGTGTGAAGGAAGAGACTGGCGCAGTTGAGAGTACACGTGTGGAGGTGCAAGTCGCGAAGCCTTGGAAGAAGTTCTGACGGGGGGCGCGTGACCAGTAGCTCCAACATAAGGTCGGGGTGGAGCGGTCGGGCGCAGAACCTATGCTGGTGCAATTCACGCACTCGGCCAGCGTACACATCAAATCTAACCCAATCTTGTGGTGTCAACGCGCGGGTAAAGACCTATTGTTCCGTGTCAGCATGGTCTATGAAGCGACAAGAACGACTGCATACCACTTTGTCGTCCTTCATGGCTAGAGGCGCCAGGATACACAAGAGAACGTGGACATCTGGCATCCGTTTCCAGATGAGACCAACGGCGATATTGAACCAGGTCTTGCATACTTGGGCAATGCGAGCTTGGTCGCCGCTGCTTGACTCCTCAAATATCTGATGGAGGATTTCGGGGACTCGCAGAGCCCTTTGGGTAGCGGTAGAGGGGGGCATGGTGATGTTGAGTTCAAAGCCACGAGTCCACCAGTCCTGGCTTTTATGGATCGGTCAGTTGTGGCAGTTTGTGGAAGTGTGTGGCTTTTGGCCACACCTTACCTTGATTCGGTCTGAATGGAGGACAATAGGGCTCTGCCCTCCGTAAGCGTGTCGGAGACATTGTTAGCCAAAATTGAGCAGTCCACGCGTTGCGGTCCTATGACCAAAACCACAAATGACTATGGTCCGTGATCACGAAGTCATGTCTGTAGAAGCGTAATCATCAGAGCAAGCGACCATGGGGGAAGATGAGCTTGTACCATACCGTCGAACTTCAGACTATGCGTCAAGCGCACGCGGCAACATAAGAACATAGAATAACAAAAAACCTAATCTACAAGTTCGAGTTCAATGTCCGAAAAATACAAAGCGTCTACGTGTCCACAAGCAAGGCGAAATATCAAGAAACCATACAACATACATCGACTTAACCATCTAGATGACCAACTTCACCCGAGCACGGTCTTCCACACTGCTCCGCCGACGTCACCGAGCACTCTCTGCACTTCCACCTGCTCTAGATTCAACATCACCCGCCTCTCCTCCTCGCCAACCTTTCCCCCTCCCCTCCCTTTCGCACCGCCGGAGGGATTCTCAACAATCAGAGCGTGCGACGAGGCGAGGGAGTCGAGGATCAGGGTAAGGTCGTATGCCGAGGGCTTGTTCTTCGGCTCGTCGTGCGCGGGGAGGATGGATGCGTAGGCAAGATGCTGGTGTTGAATCTAGAATAACACGATAATGATACGGTGTCATTGAGCGTAATGTAGACAGACGAGGAAGGAAGGCGACCGACCTCGCCCCATTTGATCTCCTCCACGCCCTCTCTCTTCACGCACTTAACAATGGCCGCGAGCATGATCCGTTCATGCAGACTGCAGTCGCGTATGAAGGACGATGTTATCGAGTAGTTAGTATTAGTCTGCATCAGGATCGTCTGCAGCGTCTGCTTCACGTCGGAGACCGTTACGGGTTTCGGTGGAGGGATAGGCGCCGAGGGGTGCAAAGCATCAGAGGAAGCGAGAGCAGACTGGTGCCCCTGATGAATTTGCTCTATGGTAAGTCTTCAACAGGGTGGAAAGCGAGCCAGGACATAAACCCGTTAGCACCACGATCCCCCAATCAAAGATATATAAAAACTAAAGGCAGACTCACCGGCAGATATCCAGAACCCGCCTCGCATCACCGCTGATACTGCTCACTTTCATGGCAGCGTACTTGATTGCGTCAGGTTTCATCACTTCGACAGTAGTCCTAGTTTGATCGCCATCTTTGTCGCCCCCATCATTGGAGGCGAGCTGTGCAGCAGCGAGTCGAGCATTAACGATCTCACTTAGCTGCAATTTATCGTAGGGCGTAAAGTTTATCCGGACCATACCTACACCCAAACACAATAATCAACAATCAGCAACCAATATATTCATACCACGGCCGAGAAAAACCACGCACCAAGCCGACTCCTCACGCGCCCGCTCATAACCCTCTCGGGCAGATCCATCGTGTTCGCGACGGCCAGCACCACAAGCTTGCTACCGACGAGCGTGGGCCAGTTGAAGAAGTTATACACGACGTCTTGTTTGGTCGTCACTAGCTGGTCGAGTTCGTCCATGAGGACAACGCTGTGATCGCAAACCGTAGGACGGATGGAGGTGAACGTCGCATGGGCCAAGTGAGGGAAGGCGGGGCGAGGTGATGTGCAGTGTGATAGGCGTTTAAGGAAGGTATACGCGGAGGTAGATGGCAGATGCGGAATCCAGATCGAACGTTTAAGCGAAAGGCAGTGCGGCGAGATCAGGCACCGAAATAACCGAGCCGAAGAGGGGCGCAGATTCCAGATGTCGCGGATATCCATTTCGATTTGGATCAGTCGTCGGTATAAATAGCGTTGATAAGATCAGTGTCGATATAAATAGAGCATGGAAAAAGAATAGATATAATCAGCAATCCCTTCTTCACCACACACCATTCAGAATGAAGAAATGTCGGGGGAGGTGAAAAGTAGAGGTGAAAACAGCAAAATTGGAGATACTCACCAAGCATGCTGACCGGGCCCTCGTGCCCCGCCCGCAAAATGCTTCGTCAAGCACTTCAAGCTCTCCTTCGCAGAAATCCGCATGTGGCCTTCCGCCTCGACGTCGTGCCCCGAGACGGCCTCCCAGAGGAGGGAGTACGCGGCCGCGGGCTCGGAGAGGCGCAGTCCGTTGATCTCGACGTAGGTGAAGGGGTTGGTTTCCTGTTGAACGGTTTATCATATTTTCACAAGAGGGCGGCGGGGAGGATGAAAGTCAGTAAGAGAGGAAGGGGAATAAAGGGGAGAGAAGGACATACGTTCTGCTCAGCCTGCCGCTTCAACTCTCGCACTACAGCGTGCACAGTCGCCGTCTTCCCGGTTCCCGGCACACCAGAAATATCTACAAACCAAACCATCGATCTAAATAAACAACCCACCTTAAAAGTGCTGACTAAAAGTACTCACAGATACAGCCCCCACTCCCCTCCTCGAGCAGCTCACTGACGCTCCTCAGCACCTTCTGGAACTCCCTCTCCCTGCACGGCAGCGCGTCCGGGCGGCTGCCCACATGCAACATATACATCGCCCGGACCCACGGGTCGTCCGGCAGGTTGTCTGTGTCTCCAGAGCCCACGCCTAATGCGTAGGTCGATAGACCAGACGACCCACCAACGCCCGCAACACCACCAACATTAAAAACACCATCGTCCTCGTCCTCACCACCGACAGAGCCCTCGCCGTCGAGCTGTTTGCGCCGCTTATAAGCCACTTTCCGGCGTTTGGCGAGCGCAGCCTTCGAGTGTGGTGTCGGCTGCGCCAATGCGGCGCGGCGCGGTTTGCGGGGTGTAGCGAACGATGATACGAGCAAGGATTTAGATTTTCGTGGAGATTTGCGGGGTGTAGCTTGGGCGGCGCGCTTGCGTTTGCGAGTAGGCGTTTGCGGGACGTCGTACTCGTCCTCACTTTCATCATCCTCTTCCTCCTGTGAATCCTCGTCCTCTGTGTCCTCGTTCTGCTGAGGGAGCTCAAACGGGTCGCTACCTTGTCCGTCGCTCGCTGCCGACGCCTGATACTCGTCCCCACTAGGCTGACTCTCCTCTTCCTCCCTATCCTCTTCATCATGTGCCTCGTCTCCTTCTTTTACTTTCCTCGTCGCTCTCCCCACTTTGCCGCCTTTCCTCGGCCTCCCCCTCGCTTTCGTGGCCGGCTTACTTGTCTTCTCTTTCTCTTTCTCCCCCTTCTCTAACCGCACGATATCCACAGGCGACAAGTCCCACGCACTCGCATCGCTTGGATCTCCTTCCATGGCAGACAACGCATAGCTAAGGTGGTCGGGCCATGAGAACTCGTAGAAGATACCACGCCGCGAGTGCACGGCGAGGTGGCAGTAGTAGGTGTGCTCATCACCAAGTGAGGAGTCCGTTACATTAGAACTGGGCTTGGGCTTGGACTTGGATGATGTGCGTCGGGAGGATGTAGATGTGGAGGGGATGGACCAGCGCGAGAGCTTTGTGGTTTCTTTGGAGGGGGGAGTGGTGGATATAAGGCAGTGTGATTGGATAGAGCTAGGCCGGATGAGTACCGAAGACGCTACGCTGTAGTAGACTTCGTTCTGCCAGATTTGTTGCATATTTAATGGAAGATACCGACGGAGGCAATATATTGATGACGCACCTCGTAATGTTCACGGGCAGCCCGGATTTTTGGGAGGTCAGAGTGTCTTAGGTACCAATGTATCCGAATTTTGAACGCGTCTTCAGGATCGCCCTCCTCTCCACCATCGTTTTCCTCCATCCCGTCCGAAGGCTTGACTTCCCACATCCCTGAGATGACTGCGATGCTCGGGTGGCGGCTTGCAGTGGTTACGAGCACCGTGTCGCCGACTTTGTAGCGTTCTGCGGGTTCTGATTTGGATTGCTTGGAGGCGCGGGATCTGGCCTTGGAGCGCTGGGGAGGCGTTGAGTAACGTATAAGTTCATCGTAGTAGAGTGTCGTGCATGTGCTGTAGTCAGTGGGATCATCAGCTTCTGCAATGCGTGCTTGCTCCTCGTCGAACAAGTCCGTCTCAACGACAGTCGGGCGCTCGTGGATGGGAGCGCGTGCCCAGGATACAGGAGGCGGCGTGTGGATATCCTGGCGCTTCGAAGGTGATAGCAGAGGTTGGAAGCGTTTCGAACGGCGGGGCGTTGTGGGGATTGACATGGTGGTGGAAATGATGAAGGGACGAAGAGTTAGTCACGCGGAGTAGTGGAGTGTGACTGGACGCGTTTGTGACTGAAACTGACACACCGACTGATAGTGGCTTTTCCAACTAGGAAACAAGGCAAGATGGCCGAGCGGTCTATGGCGTGTGACTCAAGCGATTAGCTTGCCTGCATAAGCAGGTTTCTCATCATCGAAAGATGGCGGGGGTTCGAATCCCCCTCTTGTCATTATTTTTGCTGCCCTCTGTCCGTGGAGGAAGACGTAGTCACGACGTGACCGCGTTACATCAGATTACTATCTGGCAGCAACCTGCGACCTGTCATCATGAGAGACTCGCGCTAGTGCTTAGCACAGTCCGTGCTTTCATGCATCGCCCGCCGAGTTATATTTTAGGAACAGCAGTAAGTCTCTTGCTGGCCGTTAACGCCGTTGACAACGCGTCCAGCTGGCCAGCACGGATCCTGTAACTTCCTGTTTGCTGTCTCTTCCGACTCCATCCTCACGAATCCACAAATTCCAGCGCTCACCCGGGGATTCGTATTTGTCTATAGAATCCGCAGTGAACTAGTGTCATCTTTCTTCCGTAGATATCAACTATGAACGCACTATGGCACTAAGAACCGCCATGCTTCCTTCTCAACTGCCGTGGAGCGCCTTGTCAGCACGAATGCTCCTTCCCTACTCGCCGTGTTGGCTTTCCTCTGCCAAGGTTCTCTCATGCCAGGCTTTGTCCCATCACCTGCATTCATTCGCCATAATTCTGGAATATGAAGAGTGGAGATGGCGGCACGGATGATGATACTCCTCCGTTCGACGAGTCTCTACCCTGTCAACGCACCGGCACCGAAGCTCGGCCTCAGCCTCAGTCCGTCAAGGGCCCCACGCAGCAGCAGCCTTCGACGTCGACCACGTTGGGCGTGGAGAACTACGCCTCGCAGCGTCCGCTCCCGCAGAGGCACTCCAGCTCAGACGACACCTTCTACTCCTTCCCCCCGACCTCCCCGAGTCAAGCCTCGTCCGCGTCTGCATCTGTCTCTGCCTCTGCGTTCGGGTCCCCAAGCATCCCTTTCCCCGCTGCTGACTCGTGGTTCCTCCCCCACCATCACCACCGCGGCGAACCCTTGTTCAATTCCGACGAGAACATCACAGTGGTCATCCGAGGGGACCATTTCTCCCCATCTTCCGTCTCCCCCGACAGCACAAGGCAATCGTCACCAGTGGAAGACCAGGCCCACGATTTCGGGGTGGCAGAGGTTCAGTCACCTGCCGCAACGACGCTTCCCGTCCTCGCGATGCCCCGCCCCTCGTACCCCCACCCGTCAATGGAACGCTGGTCGCACATCGACCTCCCCGTTCCCGTCATCGGGGGGCTCGCAACGTCTGCATCAGCGTCGACCCACAGCCGCTCCTCCCACTCCTCGGTCTACGTGATTCCTGGGGAGGCGATCACCTCAGAGGACATATCACCTACCTCGCGCTACCCCGTCCAGCCGCGCCCTTTCACGCCCGACCAGCCCCGCCACGTCCTCCCCCACCTAACGTCACCCGCCAGCCAGCGCTCGGGCGGCCTCAACTCCGATGAGACGCTCTTCCATCCTCAGGACGGCGACGAGAGGGGCGAGGCGGACTCAGGGGAGGACTATGTCCCCGAGATGAAGGAGACGTACGGCGATGGCGGTGCACATGGCGCGCTGAAGAAAGTGAGCCCCCTGCGGAAGAAATCGCCCATTGGCCGCGCATCCTTAGATGCTTCTAAGGAACGTCCTTCTATCCCTGGCGCACCCCCTACGCACCCCCTCCTCCCTCCACCGCCGCCGCCGCCCCCTCCCCAGTCATTCAGCTCCGACCCCTACTTCGCACCCGACATCATCTACGACTCCTCCGAGGAACTCTCCGTCATCCGCGTCCTCGACACGCGGCTCCTCCCCTGGATCCTCATCTCCATCTTCGTACTCAGCATGGACCGCACGAATCACTCGAATGCGATCTCGGACAATTTGCCGCAAGACCTGGGGTTTGATATCGATACGGTGAATGTGGGCGCGGCGGTGCACTCGACGCTGTTCTTTGTGTTTTGTTTGGTGGGTGCGGTGGCGGCGAAGATTGTCGGCCCAGCGCGATGTGAGTAGCTTTTTGGAGGTCTCGATGAGAGTGTTTGTTGACCGAACTCAATTTGCTTGTAGTCATTCCGATATTGATGTTCGCGTGGGGCATGATCACTGTTGCACACGCGTTCATACGGAACAGGAGGGATTACCTCGCCGGTACGCCCCGTCTCCCATCGTTTTCCTTTATCTAGTGCTCACTTTCTTCGTGCCTCCTCTATTCTATGCTCGTATGGTTTGCGGTGGTCAGTGCGATCATGTACGTCCCCTTCTCTCATATGCCCCACCTGAAAATATCGCTTAATGCACGTACCTACTGTCCAGGGATAGCGATAACAGAAGCAGGCGTCATACCGTCGATACTCGTTTACTTCGGGCGGTTCTACAAGGGCAACGAGTTCGCGACCCGGTTGGCGTACCTGTGGAGCGCGCAGGTATGCATGCATCCTTTTATCTCTTCCCCCTCTCCTTCCACTTCTACGTTCCAAGAACTAACGTCTCCAGATGATAGGCAGCGCCGTGAGCGGGCTCTCGGCCAGCGGGCTCCTGCACCTGCGCGGGATCTTCAAGATGGAGGGTTGGCGGTGGTTGTTTCTGACGGACGGCGTTATTACGATCGTCCTGGCGATATTCACTTGGTGTGTCCACCCATGTCCACGTCCACATCCTCGCATCGTACACTGTTCCGCACCCCCTATAAGCTAACCAAATTATAATGATAACAGGTTTTATCTTCCCCGCCACGCCGCGCATACTACCGGAGGGATACGCGGGAAGAAACCGTGGTTCACGGATCGGCAGGTGCAGGTCAGCGTGACGCGGGTCGTGAGGGATGATATTGCGAAACGGAGGTTGGAGTGAGTTTGGGATTCGTCCGTTGTCTTCATTCCTGCTCTATCACCTTCCATTTATGTGATTTGGTACTGACTTGTGCCTTTTTGCGCGTTAATAGCAAACCTGTAACGTGGGCCGATGCGCGAGACACGTTCTCGGACCCCAAAATATGGATCCATGTTCTGAACACGACGATTGGCTTGACGCCGATGACGCCTTTGCATACATGTACGTTACCTCCTTCACCATCGTTGCAATTTCCTTTGTCAAACGTCGTCTTATTATTTTTTGACAGACTTTCCGCTGACTATCAAGAATTTCCACTTCAACGTCGTACGTCGCCTCTGTTAACTCAGATCAGAAGACACCGAACTGATGCCAGATCTTGTAGTTCGCTGCTAATGCACTTACTGCTCCCCCTCATTTCCTTCAAGCTATTTCCACCATCCTTTTGATACGGCATTCCGATCGTGTGAGAGAACGTGGGTTTCACGGTGCTATAGGAAGTACGTCCGTTCCTCCTTTGCATACCAAGTCATTTATTCATCTGGGGAATAGCCGGCTGGCAACTCGTCGGGTGGTTTCTTCTGCTGTTCCTGCCTTCCGGAACGCCAAGGATCGTCAAGTACGTGCCCCGCTCTTCTCCTCGCGCACCATTCATCTGGTTGAATTACCCCAACCCGATAGATACTTTGCTGCCGTCATCGTCGCGTCCTATCCAGCGGTCCACCCCCTCAACGTGGCTTGGATGGCCGAGAATGCTGGGTTCGTCCCCTTTAGCACTATGTGTGCGCGTGCGCGACCATACTTACGCCTCCTCCGTATGCAGGAGCATAGGAAAGAGGGTCATAGCGACTGGCGCAATGAGTGGATTCTCCGCTATCCATGGAAGTGAGCAGGCAACTTCTCCGTCCACTATGAAATACGAACTGATTTACATCGTGCCCACCAATAGCTTGGGGCTCGCAAATATATCGTGCGGACGATGCACCTGGTACGTTTATGACATTTCCCATCAACCCACATCACGGCTACTGATCACTCTCGAATCTCGATCCTATTCGTCAGACTTCCGCAGAGGCAACTCCATCAACGTGGCATTCGCCACGACGGCCCTCTGCATGTGGCTCGTCCAGAAATACTACTACCAGTACCTGAACCGGAGGCACGCGAATCGGTACGCTGAGCTCACGCCAGAAGAGCGAGAGCGAGAAGAGTTGTTAGAGGAAGCAAAAGGAAATTCAAGTGTTCTGTTTAGATTCGTAAGCTGATAGAGTCTGCTAATATTGTTGTATTGCTGTGATGTGTTCGTGCCATCGACATAGATTATAAACGACATTACATACCCCATTTACTTGATGCATCCGTGTAATGCTGTAAATCGTAGTACTTTCGAGATATCGAAGCATCTTGGGAACCGCAGATCCTGTCACGTGGGTACGGCTTGTAATTTTTTGGTCCTTAACGCGTTCACCACGATGTTCCCGAATCAAACAGCAGACCAACGATTAGCCATGGTACCGGAAATTCTGAGCCAGATATTTGAAGGCTCATGGCGCGGTGAACAAGTTCGATCTGCACGCGTGAGCAGGTTTTGGTGCAATCTCGTCCTCAATCTCATCTGGAAGAGATTGGACGACCTGGGCGTGCTTTTCCGACTGCTGGCGCCTCTGACCCCGAGTAATGGAGTAATTGTAAGTATACTGTTTTCCTTCCGTACTACATTCGTTGATAAACTGAGATCTAGGCATTTACCCGTGCACTGACAAGCAAAGATTGGGCTCGGTTCAACTATTACGCTAATTTTTATGAAGGCGACGACTCACATGCTATAACTATGCTCGCCGAAGCACTGCCCAGGCTATCATCACTAGAATCCTTGACTCTCCCGATCTGCTGGTTCACCCCTGCCGTGGTCGACGCTGCTGCATCCTGTGCTAGCCTAGATGGATTATCTACAGCCACCTTGGACGGAGACAGAGTATGGCCAGTTGTATTCACTGTCCCTTCGCCACGATGGGTTTCCAGTGCTGCGCTTCCTTTCTATCACCCTTCCATTCCACCGTGCCGCAATGTTCATCTCCCAAGGCCACCACTTCGATGCCCTCACCTGCTTCGAGGCTCAATCTCCCTATAGTATTGTAGAACCGGATGAATACGGAGTGATTTTATCTGCGTTATCAACTTTCTGTTCGGGTCGAGAGTATCACCCTCAGCACCGCTGAACCACGAGAAAACGTAGCAGAACACCACGCCATAACCTATCGCGAGTTGTCAACAATAACCCGACTAACTGCTCTTCAATCTGATGGTATCCGTCATACTATGCCGCTTCAACTTGTCGCTGACGATATCATCGCGATCGCCCGAGCGTTGCCTAATCTTTCGGATCTATCCTTAAACCCAGCCCTCGATGTTGCCGCTGCGTCAACACTTGTTGTTTCGGTTCTTTCGCCTCCTTGCGACCTCTGCCTCATATCTTTGGGGCTGTACTTGAACGCCGCAAATGAGCACATACCGCCACCTCCATCAATTGACGAAGAACTTCAGCAAGCGGTCCCAGAAAAGGTGGGATTCGCGAGCCTTAGGAAGCTCACTGTCTGGTTTTCGTCCCTCGCATCTCCAGTGCCGCTCGCCGTTTATCTAAGTAACATCCTTCCGCCTGGTTGTGTGCTGATTTTTGGCAGTTACGGAGAGTTGAGGCCCGAAGAGCCTGGCCCAACGGCTTATTCCTATGTTCAAGCAAGTGCGAGCCCAAGGGATGCGAACTGGTCTATTGCGTCGCGGCCGCGATGCTCTCTCTCGTTGACCCTGACCGGTTTATCGATGGTCACCATCGACCTCGCTTCATTTTTATTTTTTATTTATATTGGTACTGCTCATATCAACATGATGCCTGCAGCTGCCTCATGCGCGCAAGCACTTTGAATGTCTATCACTCCCCCGTGTCACTTCATCCTACCCTCTCCCGCTCCACGTCATATGCAATTAGCCTTGTCCTCATGGACAAACTCGGCCGACTAACCAAGCAAAATGTACAACTTCTTCAAATACCGGAAGATAAGACACTTCATGGAGCCGCTCAGGAGACTTCAGGAGCCCTATTCAGGGAGCTCAGGCGCTTAATCCTGCTCTCGTATTGTCTTCAGAACTTTCTTTTCCCAATCCTTCGCCGGAAGACCTTCAAGTGACATGCTATCTTTCTTAGGTAACCACTAATAGTACGCCCAACGGGAAGCTGCCATGCGCGTACGTACTCAGAGCATGGACCGGCTAATGTCACGATGCAGAGGCCGAAGACCAGAGCCAAAGTATAATTCCGATTCAAGTCAACACTCAGTAATCAGTACCGGCCTCATTCGCTCCATCAATTTTAGTATGTGGCCCATGTTACAGTAAGCAGCCAAACCAGGCACTCCGTAACAGCGTCACTGAATTCTGGGCTATGCCGCACATGACCGCAAATGGATTAACAGTTAATGCCAAGCAATTTCCCCCACTCGGGGTCGTACAACTTCTTCTCAGTTTACGGGCCATGAGCGAGTACTCTTGTTTGTATCGACATGATCTATACACAGCCTAAACTATGAGTGAACACTCACAATTGGTAGTATCGGGAATCGATATTCTGCTATGGACCTTCTGGATATGTGGCACGCGTATTGTGTTGGCTACTAATACAGTCCTCGACGGCATTCAATTGCTGCACAGCCCATACAACCCGTGCCGTCTCAACGTCAGGCTCGACGACGGTGGCTCGAGTCAATATACCTTGTCTCACCTCTTTCATCTCCCCCCTCTCACCTTCGCGCATTCTGCACCTCTTCGATGAAGCTTGTCGCACTGTTCAGCACCTTCATAGTTCTGTTTGTCAACCATTCTTCTGCAATTCGCTTGGTTCCCATTCCTGACATTGATGCTCGTGTGAGTAGTTCCTTCTCCGAATAGATCGCACCTCAACTGAGCATCGTGGAAGTCGCCAACTCTACAAGAACGTGCCCCTCAAGCTACGCCGGGTGCGTTGGGCCCGACGTTGAAAGGTCCCATGAGCGCTGTTGGTCAGACCACATCGCAAGATAAGCCTTTGGGCTCGACTATGAAGGGAGTCGTGGATGGTGTTAAGAAGGCCACATCGCAAGGCGGGTCCGATGGATTTATCAAGTCTCCCGCGAAAAACCCCGTCTATGCTGCGTCCGCCTCTACGAAGGAGGGATCACCAGCTTCTGGGCCTGTGCGGGTCGCTTCGAGCAGCAAAACGGGAGCCCCAGGCAATGCTGTTGCAAAACCTGGTTCAGACAGGCCTGTTTCTCCCGGCTTGATATCGTCAGTGAAGGATGGCTACGACAGCGCCCTGGCAAAGCCTTCTACAGATAAACCTGTTTCGCCTGCGTCGTCTGCTTCGAAATCCGATACCCCCGGCTCTGTGACGGCTGCGACTAGCAGCAAGAGTACCGGGGGCAAGCCAGCAGCCGATAAGCCCATATCGTCCGCAACGAAAGAGGGGGCTACCGGTGGCCCCATTCAGGTAGCGTCAAGTAACAAGCCCAACCCGGGCGGCTCCACCAAACCAACGATGGACAAACCTGTGTCTCCTAACTCGTCTTCAAAGGTCGGTCAGAGCGGTTGGACTCAAGTAGCAAGTAGCAACAAGAGCAGCGGTGGCGGGTCGGCTACGAAACCCGCTGCAGACAAACCTGTCGCACCATTCGAATCGTCCGGCAAGGGGAGTGGGAACGCGGATGCTCCTGTTCGCGTCGCCGTGAATAACAAACCCAACAGTTCTGGAGGGGATATTTCGCAAAAGGCAAAGGAGGTAGAAGCCGCCGGGAAGAGTAAGGAGAAAGCGAATAGTGTGTCGGAAAAAGCGAAAGAACTGGCAAATGCTGGGAAACCGAAGACCTTTACTCAGCAGGCCAAGGAAGCTATGGAAGCGTCCAAGAGCAAGAGCCAGCCAGAGTCAAATTCGGGTGTTAAACAGCCTGGCTCGTCTGCACCATCCTCCCCTTCCTCATCCCCAAACAAGGATGCAGCCAATGCGAAGAACTTTGCCTCGAATCATCCCTCCCCTTCAACGGCCGACTCTGATGATGACTCGAACAATCCCGTCACGAAACCTCGGCCGGTAGAACCCGCCAACAAGGAGAAATCTGACTCTAAGACGCCAGTATCAAAGGGCAACGACCCGGAACAAGCTAATTCTGCCTCGAAGGCGAAGACTAACACTTCCGACTCGCACCGCGTACCTGCATCCAAGGGCAAATCTGACCCCGTGGTGGAGGACGAACCATCGAGGCCACCTTCGTCGAAAGCCAAGTCCGAAACCGATTCGGCAGCGAAAGGACCAACATCGAAGGGGAGCTCGAATTCGAACATGGCCGGGGATCAAGCTCCAAAGGGCCCTACCACGAAGGATAAATCTTCTGCTACGGATCCCGCGTCGAAGGGGAAAACACCGCCATCTGCTGCTTGCATCCCCGGTGATGCGACTGTTGGCCGTGTTCTCGCTGCAGACGGTAGCCGAGCTGGGGCCAATCCTTCTGACACGTCGATACTTCTGAACAAGTATGGCCCAGTCATAATTGGGTTGCTTGCTGGTAACCTAGCTTTGATGCTGGTCATGAGCGGACTAGGTTTCTACGTCTTCGTATCCAGGAGTGGGAGGGCTCGCAAAGGCCCGATGCGTATGGCTTCAAACTACCACCCTGTCAAGCTGGACGACGCAAAGGACAGTCAGTTTATTTATGCCGCTCGATATGACGCCTAGTTAGACTTGGACCCATCACAGACTTTTGACGAAATATTCGGACGATCTCGCTGTTATCTATGGGTGCGGAGTGGAGTCGTTTCATCCTTTGGTATAACATTCAAGTACACAGTGTATGAAGCTTACACTTATATTCGCCCTGAACGCTCTCCCGGGACATATGTCGCATATGAAGGGCGCCTTATCTACTATGTGCATTGTTAACTCGAGGGTTGTTTTGTTGATGCAAAGATGGGCAGAGACGGGGGTGCAAAACAAACCACCGAACGAAGTATCAGTAACCACGTACATTCAAGATTGTCCTTCGCCATAAAGCCTGCTTGAGGCTTGGGGTTTCTTCTGGCTGCAAGTGAGGCACCACTGGCCTCACACTTTAGGCGGTACCAGCAGGATCGGTGTTACTAGATGGGATGCAGTAAGAAAGTAACTTTGATGGTGCGAGAAAATGTGATCATGACCACCGTTCACCATCCAACCGCAGGAGTTGGGGGATCCTATACCGCGCATTGGCGAGAATATAGTAAACCAATTTTGATTTTGGCAGTCAGATCTTCAGATATTGCATGGCCACGAGGGAACGCTCGCCAAGACTATGCTCGCTGAAGCCCTGCCGGGGCTAACATTGCTACGATCATTGACACTCCCGATACCCTGGTTCACCCCTGCCATGGTCGACGCTGTGGCATCTTGTAGTAGCCTGCATGAATTATCTACATCAACCTTGGCCGACGAGGGAGCCAACATCGAGCTCTTTGATTATGACCAGTTGTACTCGCTGTCTCTCCCTTCCGGTGGGTTTCCGGCGATCAGCATTCTTTCCGTCGTTCTTCCATTCCCCCGCGCAGCGAAGTTCATTTCACAAGGCAGCCATTTCAACACACTCACCCGCTTCGAGGCTCAATCTCCCGATAGTATCGTAGAACCGCACGAATACAAAGTAATTTTATCTGCGTTATCAAAATACTGTCCGAACCTAGAAACTATCACCCTTTTCGCCACTGGACCACGAGGAGACGCGAGAGAAGACGATGCCATAACCTTTCGCGAATTGTCATCAATAACGCAATTCACAGCCCTTCAGTTGGTTTCTTTCCGCCATATAATGCCGTTTCAACTTGTTACAAAGAACATCGTCGCAATCGCCCGAGCGTTGCCTAATCTTACGACTCTGGTCTTGAATCCGGATCCCCACTTCCCCACAGCGTCGCCGCTTGCCGTGTCGGTGCTCTCGATGCTTCGTGACCTCTGCCCCAACCTCGTATCACTGGGCCTGTACGTAAACGCCGCCGATGAACACATACCGCCACCTCCTGCAAACGACGATGAACACCGCCGAGCGCTTCCAGCATCGGCGGAATTTACGACCTTGAAGAGATTCGCTATCGGGTGGTCGTCCCTTTTGTCGCCAATCTCGCTCGCGGTCTATTTAAGTAGTGTTCTACCCGATGACTGTGCGCTAGACCCTTCACTCAACGCAAAGCATTGGGATGAAGTTCGACGGCTTATCCCTGTGTTCAAGCAAGTACGAGCTCAAGGAGTGCGGACAGGACGGATCACTTGCGACCACTCTGACCGAGACCTATACCAGTCATCTAGATCAATAAGTGTAGCAACGTCGTCCAGTTCTGTTATTAGACGTGTTGATACTTCACCACAGCTTTGAAGCCAACGCCGCAACAATTTTGTCACGTCGATGTACCAAGTACACATATAACGTTGTATTTCCATGTACCTCTTTTTTGGTCCAAAACGCTTTTTCTTTTTTGTAGCGGCTGAGGTCTCCTTTCGCCTGAAGGATAAGCCGCAAACATCGCAACCGAATGGCCGTACATACACTCATGTATGAGAGAACATCGTCCTGAAAGAATGTCTTCTGCGCGACGTGTTCGGTTGGCGCGTGGTTGTCTGTGCTTTTCGCGGTTTCGCGATTCTATCGGCGGGGCACCCACTATCACCCACTAACAAAAGGCTCTGCCTTGGGAAATGGGATCGTTCTTCGTTCAGTTAATTTGATCCATTACCGACTACTTTATGATTACATCGTTCAACATCAAGTAAGCCTCGCGGGTGGCTTGGTGCGCCATCCCCTCGGCTTTTGGAGAAGCTCGTAATTCTCGGGGACGAGAACCCCCTGGTACTGACGAGAATTGTGTTCATACACCCATGAAAATCTCTAGGAGCCATCGGGGTATGTGATTGCCCAACGTTGTTTCCTCGTCTGCAGCCCCATTAGATGTTAAGTACATGTCATGATAGATTATACACATTACACCATTACACGATGACCGTGTCGTCGTCTGCAGGTTCCTGCGCCGATAGCAAGCCGTCAAGCTCCTTCACCCTTCTTTCCCAATTGCCCACCTCCGCCAGTTTGGCCTCCAATGAGATAACCTCACGGTCGATGCCCATGAGCTCCTCCGCCGTCCCCACGCGCGAGAGTGACCAACGCCCAGACCCGTCGCCTGCCAGCGTCAGCAAGTTGGTGTGGTACTTCATCAGGGAAGGTCTATAAGAGAGAAAGTCGCGTTAGATGGGCCTGAGGATATGGGGGTGGAAGAGGCAGGTATGTACCTGAGAGATATGGTGATCAGGGTGATACCGAGCGACTTTGCGTGTTCGTACATCCGGCCTTCAACATCGCTGGACACGGCGCTTGTGCACTCTGAAACAAAAAACTTGTCAGCTCGAGTATGAGTATATGGGGAGAAGGGGGATACATACCGTCTAGTATGGCAAACTTGGGACGATGATAGAACACCCTAGCCATACCCATCTACACAGTTAGTCAGCTTCAGAGTCCCGTAGCCAGGGCAAATCGGGTGGCCTACCCGTTGTTTCTCGCCCCCACTCAACACATCCCTCCACTCCTTCCTCGTCGTCCACCCACCCTCTCTCTCCGGTAAATAAGCCAGATACACCATCTCCAAGATCTTCATCAAATCCTCCAGCGTCTTGCCTGATTCCAAAAACTCGGCATAAGAATGCGGGTAGATTATCTGATCCAGCAAGCTCCCCGCGACCATGTAAGCCCTCTGTGGGACGACGAACAAGCCTTTGCGTCCTTTGTCCGACGGGCGATTGACCTGTGAGTTGACTCCTTGGGGCGGCCATAGACCCGACAGAACGCGAGCGACGGAGGATTTACCGACGCCGTTGCTGCCAGTGATCATAAGATGCTCGCCTTCTTTCAAGACCAATGAGAGATCCTTGACTAACGCCGGCGTTTCATTCGAGGACTGCAAATCCAAGCCAAGGGCGCCATCACCATCGATGTTGATATCCTGATTATTTCCCCTCGGGCGTGGGATACCGATGTGAACGTGGTCTAGTTCTACCACGTCTTCGCTGTCCGTAGAACTCGGTGGAAGGGGCTGAAGATTATGCAAGTTCGACAGCAGAGTGTATAGCCGAGTTGTCAGACCGGCAAGTTCGAGCAGATCCTTGTAGGCGTACATGAGCCTGCCGCCAGCATCGGCCAACGAGAGGAGTAGGCGTCGATTCGAGATGTAAGCTAGCCATAGATTGTAAGTTTGTGGTCACTGGCATTCCGCACGAATGGAGGTCTTACTTTCCGTTCTACCTGCAACAGCATCGTCAGGTTTCTCTCCAGCAGCTGCGCCGGTCTGGACACCCAGCGAGCGCTTCGTGCGTGTGAACAGCAACGGTACAGCTATGAGTCCATACCCAGCAGCAGACCACATATATTTGATAACATAGTCTTCTGTCCATTCATAGGCTATTCGAATCTGTTCGGGAACTGGTGAGACCGAGACTCTGTCTCCAACGAAACGGCGTATATCATACCTTATAGATGGAGTTGACGTGCTTGATCAACCGTAGATAGGCCCGGCTGAGTATATCCTTCTCGCGGGCACCGCCGTCATAGAACCTGGGCGCATAGGTCAATAATATTAGCTGGAACATGGAACAACAAACTCACGCTATTTCTTCGCTTTCCCGACCTATCCGTCCCATCCCAGCGCGGTACTCACCTTCAAGGCGTGCCTCAACAGCTGCTAGCCTCCCAAACGCAGGAGTCACCGCCCGTAGAATAGAGACCGTCGCATAGTAGTTTCCGAACAACAGTAATGTACCGCGTATACCCAGTGTACGTGATAGCTGTGAGGTGAAGAGGAGGATATCGAGGGAGGGTTTCAGGATGTTCCCGCTATAAGGAGCGTTAATACCTACGAGTCTAGATGGATGAAGAATGCGCACTAGAGGCCTGCCAGAGCGTCTGCCCACGCGTCGACGTCGGCGGTGACGTATTGGTCGATGCCATCCAAGTCAGAGCGGTAGTAACGGAGGTTGGGCGCCGAAGAAAGGTATAAATCGTTGATGTATCTCGATAAACGCGTCCGTAGATTTAGTGATAACTTGGCTTGAAGATGCCGAATCTGACACCGTAGTCAGAAACTGTGTTTCTTCGTAATGTAGGACTCACCATAGAATTGGTGTATGTACTCGGAATCGCGAGTAGGAACCATAAACCCAATCCCTTTAAAAAACCTTTGCCGTCCGCGCGAACCAAATCACGGACGATGATTCCGTCCAACCTGGCCACGCCAACGCTAAGCACAGTTCGGAGAATCAGGAAGAACGAATGCAGCGCGACGATGAACGTCTCTTTCGACCGGAATTTCGGGAAGGCTATTCGGAATAGTATGGCTCGCAGCTGCCGTAGGAAATTGGAGTCGACATTTGGTTTGGTTTGCGAAACAGGGGGGATCTCAGGAAAGTACGGAGCATCGGACTCGAATTTCTCTGTCGGTGTCGGCTGGATGTTGACCTTGGGGGGAAGCTGAGTACAGGTCTGACATGAAGACGACGAACGTACTTTGGACACTGTGTTTCGATACGGTACAAGCAAGGTCTTTGAGCCGTCCGCCTCCTTGGTGTACACTTGCTGAAGGGCTTCCGCTAGCTCTTGGGCTGCATTCTGGTTTACTCCTGCTACTTTCTTGAGTCTCGCGAGAGCATCCTTTGGTATCGTAAAAACTCGGGACCTCAGAACGAGAAAAGCGGCCAGTAATGTGAACGCTGAGCTTCTTGATAGAGGTATTGATGGCTTGAGTGGTTTCGAGAAGAGATTCATGGCAGTCTACACCATATGTCAGCCCCTGCTCGTTCCAAGACGTGATGGCAGAGGTGAGAGGAATACAAGCACAGTACTAGTGGGATGGTGCATGTGGGGGCGGGGCATGTGATTTCGACGGATGGCGCTCGTGGTCTAAAATGTCCGATTCATTATCTTTTTGGTTTACAGCCAAGTACGGGATATGTAAAGCGTCGCTCATCGTCAGAGCACCCCAGTGGTATAAACAGAGATCTCGGATGTTTAATAAAGCCCCAAAGAAATTCTCCCAACTGAAATAACTGAAATAACGAAAACTTGAATATGACTTAGAAGTGCACATGGAGGTGAAGTCAATCCTCGTATGTATCCAGTACTTTTTGCAAATTACGACGAGGGGGAAGGACGGGCAAGTCTAAGCTGTCGACATGAAGGAACTCGAGTGTGGGGCATGGAAGATCTCGAACCCTGTTCGTAACTTGAAGGTCCATAGCGAGTACGTTCTACAGATAAAACATCTACAATTGGATTTGTACGAGTTCCTCTTGTTCAGACGTTAGGTCGGGTCGTAGATTTTGGTTCATCCTTTACAGTCCTTTGCACGCTTCCGTGCCCTTCGCTCCGCGATATCAGGCGTTCTGACAATCCAGACCGTACAGGGGTTGCAGGGGCTCACGCGACTATACACAGATTCTGTATTCTCCCAATAGTGCCGCGAGGCTTCTCTAATCGGCGTTCTTGCATGGTTTGCATCTGACGCTGCGGAATACTAGCCAGATAACAACTTTGGTCCACGGGGTGCTACGGGGAAGTGACTGGCTCTTGACTCTTTTAGTTCTTCTACGGCCATGGGATTGCTTTCCTCGGGGCGGGGGCTCGCTGGGGCCCGTGGAGAAGGGTTCGCGATCCCGTTTGGGTGTAAAAGTACTTTGGTACAGTTGGATTGTGTCATGTATGATCCTAATAAAAGAATCGATACACCAAGCGGGCAGCAGGCAGCTTGGACACAATATCCACCGCTCTACTTTGACCCTTCATGAAGTAGATCCATGCTGTGACCGGACAAAGTCAGAGGCATTTCGTTTCCCTATAGATATAGTGTTCCAAACACACAATGAAATTTCACCAACATTGATATGGGCCGGCCGGTTCAAATACTTGTCATCATTTAGTATACACAAACTGTCACGCGCAGACGTATTGCAAGGAAAGCACGAAACTATAACTATCAGCATTAGACGGAAAATAATGCTGTATGATACGGAAATTCGCCTTCAAGTAAGGTCGATGACTTCGCCAGGTATGAAAATCGGAACTTGACCCTCCGTCTTCACGCGTTTCCTCCTTTTATTGGCTTTATGGTCGGCCGTATCGGGTTCTCGTTTCACACCTCGAGGTTTGTCGATCTCGTCCAACCGCTTCTGAATGAGTTGAAGTTGTTGCTAATAGCAGATGTGTGAGACGTGATGGATGGCTATTGTTTCAGAGTTGAACCAGAAAGCGACTGACTCTTAAGAGATCTACTTCTTCTGTGTCAACAGGATGGGCGTTGGTACTCTGACCCCCGGATTCGGGGCTGCGTCTGGAGATCATTGAGGCAGGTTCAACGGTGGGCGGAGGGGGAGCAATGCCGTTTGCCTGTAATAATGCTTTGCCGCGAATGGATGTAAAGTAAAAGGGCAACAAAGCCAAAGTCGTACCGAGAGGGCGGTATTTGAAACTGAAAGAGACCAAACGCTCGACACGCTCCAAATAGTGTGTCGCGGGCCTGCTATTTTTGATGCCCGGTGTCCGTTTAACCTGGACAGGCTTTCCGAAGCTACTGACACGTCCGCTCAGATAATGCTGATGAAGAATTTTGAAAGCTGACCTAACGCAATGGCCTCCTATTTTCTTAGACGTTTCATGGACTGGTCCTCCCAAACGCGGAGCAGCAGAAGTTGTCTCCGTCCTAGATTCCCCCTTGAGGTATCTCCCCAGTCGAGTAGACCACGCAGATAGCGTGATTTCCCCAAATTTAGGGTCGATCGCAGAGTGCATATATGCGTCATCGTCTAAGGGTTGAATGCCATCAATGAAGAAAGTTTCCAAGTCGAAAGTCCGTATATTTTACTCACCAGTCGTGGTGATCTTCGAGAACACGAGAGGACTCGTCTCTGTTGAAGATACGGGTACATCCTTGATCGTACCGGTCACTTCAGACGGACGTCCCTTGCGTTTTGGCCCTAGAATTGGTCCTGGTATCGGCAAACCATCTGCGCTCAGCCTCCACCATGTGTCAGCAGAGCAGGATACATCCTTAAAATGTACACTGAACGTCTTCAAAGAAGTTTAGTGAGGTTCCCAACCGTTACCCGGCGCACTCACCTTTGCCTCCTCCGATGCAATCCAACACGTAACGACCGGGACTCCACCTTCGTGTTCTGCGATCTCTACATTGTATTCTTTAGTCGGAACCCCCTCTATTTCAATCCAAGCTGAGAATTTGTTGCTCTGGACCATCTTGAGTGAAAAGAGAGAGAGAGTATGTACGAAGATCACCGTGAAGGTGTTCTTGACGCATACGCACGTGACTAACATTAGATTTCTCGCTATAACACAGAATCACTGCTGTGTGGTGGACGGAGCTCTTGTTGGCAGCGAGGAGCGCCCCAAGCAGAGGAGCTGTACTCAAAGTGTGGATGTTCAGTTCGGGGACATTCACGTGGAGGAACACTCCATGGGGCACTTTAGAACTCTACGCCAAGGTGTAGGCACTATATCTCGGCGAGTTGGATGGACGGATTGGAATCATACACCCACGTCAAGCCTACGCGCACCGGAGCCCGGGAAAATACCTAGTCCTACAATTCAGTGAGAGATGATTGCGTACCTGTCATTTCTGCATAAGGAGTCTTTCACTCCAACCTGTCCAGGTGAACGACACCGTCAAGGCCTGGAGACGCGAAACCAGACTCTGTCGGCGCCTCCAGACACTCGGTGAGTAGTATCTAGTATCAGGGCTAATTGCTGGCCTGCCGCTGAAGGGAACATTGAAGTCATTGGGAACAATTCATCGGCTCTGTGCATCAAGCAAGCATCAAGCACTGAGTGTGTCACGCCGGATTTGTTCGAGTCCACGTGGTTGCCATAGTCCGTCTCAGCTTTCGTCTCTTTCTCCAGTCTCACCACCTTCTGCCCAGCGTCGGATACTTCAGCGATACATGTACGCCTCAGTGAAATTTGCCCTTTGCGCCTACGTTTCCCTCCGCCTCTTTTTCTCGAAATTTTTCGATTATGATGCTTCATGGACGAAATCGCCTTTGCACTTCTTCCTGCCTGCACCCCCGCCCATGCTTACTCTTGGCCCCGGAAGACATTTCACTCACCCGCTGTTGATATCAGGCTCTTCTTCAACCTACATGGTCGTGAACGGTGCACACAATGACAACCGTTTAGGTGAAGGTCGTTTGAACGCAACTCAGGATCTCGCCGTCCACTCCCCCGCTGTTCCCTCGCGGCCGCCCTTCCTAGATGCAGTTGTGTCGTGCGGGTGGATATTGCTTTCGGTAAGACGCCTTTTCGGGCTCGCGCGCTGTCGTGTCGATCATGGCCCGTAGATTTTGTTAGGCTTTATCGCTCCTGATCTTATACCCCGAACTCGTCGACTACCAACACGTAAAGAGTCAGCAGATAAGGCTAAAGCTGCATCGAACCGGACGAATTCGGTTTGTCCTGTGGTATCAGCATCATCTAGCGAGGAAACGCTGACTCCGGAACTATCGAATGGAAACAGCCATCGCTCCGTGATATACGATCTCGATATTGGCTGTGCACCGTGCTCCACGCCCAACGACGCCGATTTCCCTGTATTCATCGACGATATCTTCCTGGATATGGACCTTTCGGAAACGCTATTCGCAACTGAAATTAACGGCGACCTTGGAAAGGTCGAATCCTCAGCCGTCTCGGACTTTCTGGCCTTCGAAGACATCGCGATACCCTCTCCTGTTATTGATACTGGCTTTGTGACACATGAAGAATCAGGCGATACTCCTCCCTCTGAGTCGACTGGTTTGTATCTTGGCGACACCCGGATGCCCTCGTTTACTCATGGACTTGAAACCGACTTGAATACTTGTGATGGAAAGGACTTGTTGCCCTCAGACGAATCTGGCAAGACGATCAACGTGTCTGGAGCTGCAACTCCCAAATCGAGAGGCTTCAAGATCGAAAGGCAAACCGGCAGCTCTTCTCTGATTCGCACGAAGGCTTCGCAAGATCTATTGGCTTCTCTACCCCCGATCGGCGACACCCCAGAAAAGATACTGGCATACGACAGTCTTCTACACCTCGTCCCTGGTGCACATGAGCTGGACAAGACTCACTATGCAGACGACCGTCACTCTGAAAGTGGCTCTGACGCCGCGGATGATTGTCTCCGCTTTGAAACTGGTCGGAAGACTCAGGAACTAAAGGCCGAATCGGCTTCTCCTAGCGGGCCAATGGTACACCCTCTACCTGCACCTTTACCACGGAAGAACAACAGGGTGATGCTCTCCATCCCGCCCGAGAAGCGATGCGTCCTACAACCTCTGTATGTCTACTCCGCGGAAGCCGTACAAGAAATGAAACAAACGTTCACGCAACGGGCACACGAAGCCGGTATCGTTGTCTCCAGTAATTCGATGCCGGGGACATTCATTGGTGAAGAGGAAGCGCAGAAAGCCAAGAAGTTTTGGGATGATCCCCTTGCTGCTCTTCCATCGTTCACGCAAACCCGATCTCCAGTGATTCCGTCTAGTCCTACCCTAACTGTCGTGTCCCTCGGTTCATCGCTAGGTTCAATCCTTGATCTCGAGGTAGCTAGTATCCCTGCGTTAGATCCTCAGTTGGAATGTGAAGTGGCCGGTTCTTCTACATCGGGAGCTAGTAAACGCAGACGAACAACCTCAACGAATATTGATATCCAGGATGGTCACGAAGACATTTCAGGCCATCAAGAGATGTTCTCGCCGAAGAGGACAAAGGTCGTCTCCGAGCCAGAGAGTTGGAGACAGAAACCTGCTGGATGGCGCTTGAATCGTGCGTTTTCCGGATCACGATGTCCATGGAGAATGCGGAACGGTTCATCTCCGAAGGTTTGAAGGTTTCAGTACACATTCTACTAGCTTTGTTCGCTCAGATGTATTATCGATTTGTTTATTAATAACAAAGTTGTTTCGCACACTGCCTATTTTATGTCGCTGAGTCCAATATTATGTATCTTTCATGACGCTCATGATACTTCCAAAGTCGTAGAGTGAGTACAGGTAACCGTTGACATTGTGTCAATAAAGCTAGTTAGCTATACAGTAATATCCAGAGTGGGCTTCGACGATCTAGTGGAAGGAAGTAGGGATGAGGAATTGTCACGAGTCCGGATAGTAAGATGGCGGTACACTAATAGGAGAACACGATAGCACAACATGTACAGTACGATAACTACGATAGTAATAGTCCAATAACGATAACAGGACAGCAATAATGAGAAACAGGAGAAACACAGGATGGATGATAGGGGATTTAGCGCTACATGAGAAACAAACAAGTCCAAGTCCAAGTCCATGGAGAGAAAACCAGTTGCGCTCCGGGCGCGAGTCGAAGTGGTCGGGGTATAAAGTGGTGTGGGAGATCTTCGCTGAGATTGAGGGGAATAATGGAATGCGTCTGAGAGATCTCATGGGTAGATTCCCATGGTCCAATCCAGGGTGCAGATGGTTGATAGGCTTATTATGCCACTATGCCATAGGCTGCGCTCCCACGTTGATGATCCATGCCCCAGAACCGTCTGGGGCGGGGCTTAGGCCGAAGAAAAAGGTGCTTTGGCCGAGCCAGTCAAGGCGCTTCACACCAGCACGGTATTCATTCGGATTATTGGCCGTGCGCCGGCTGAATGAGTCCGTTAAGTACGCCCGTTGCTGGGAACCGAGAGCCTGCATCTCCTGGCGGGAAACACCAGTATGGAACCATGTGTAGATTCGATGGAGGACATCGTACAGGGTTAACCCATTTGGATTCTCCGCTGCGAAAGACGAGTCAAGTTGAAGGGCTTGATTGTATATCCTCAGAATAAGCCTAGACTGACACGGATGTGTCGCGGGCTCGCTGAGCTGCGGCAATTGGGCGGCTTTCTTGAAACGGATGGTTTCTGTAGGGTACATGAGGTTGAAGTATAATACACCGGACGGGTTGTAGACTAATGCTGGGTTTAAACTGAACGACGGGCTCCCAGAGCCGTGTCCGCGATCTATTAGAATTGATCAGCATGTCTGCCACAGGTGCCAATGCAGAATGATGCCTACGAGCTAGTTTCCCGCTTTGGTCTGAGGGGAGCGGGATATTTCCTATTTGGGGTGCCCGTACCGACGGTGAGTAATGGGGCTGTGCAACGCCATACGGGGATTGGACGGCGGGGATTCGGTGATCGTGTATTGAAGGACCAGGTGACAAGGCGTGCTGCGTGTAATACGCCGGATGTGATGGTGACTTGCTTGCATCGTAGCTGTATGTCGACGGCGACGGCGAGCCTGTGTGCATATGCATGGCTAACAAGTAGTCTGAATGAGTCAGTGAGGGCGAGAAAGGTCTGCGGGGTGGGGGGTAGCGAGCCGAGTCATATCTCGAGTCGAAATCTTTATAGGACCAGCTGTCATCAACACGCAAATATGTGAACCAACACCGACATACAGGCGCACAATGGGGTGAGTCACGAGGGAGAGCAGTTGCGAGCTTCGAAATCGGGTGCGCGCGTCTCACTTTGGTCAAGGCGACCCCGGGGAGTCGCGAGACGAGTCATTTTCCCCTCGCATGCTCCGAGTGAAGGGTCCCGATCAACTGATAGACGCTAGTCGGTTACCATATCGGGTAAATCAGTGTCGGGAGTTTTCTCCAAATGGTATCAGGGCGTGCCAATAGCGCCCGAACGGCCGCTCCCATATCAAACAAACGCTAGAAGCGGTCCCTCCATTGTGGTTCGTGATAGATTGCATACGCTGTTTGGATTGTGAGGAGAACCGAAAAGCCAAGGAAGGCGGCTCACCCACCCTCAATATCGGGATCGCATGTTGATCGCATGGTAACAAAACGTGCTTGCCAAAATAGCAGCGCAGCTGTATACGCCTGTGTTGATGACGGGGTCTCGGAGAAAGAGGAACTCAGCAGTTAAACTCTGCAGCGCTGTCCGCTGGCTGAAGACCAACCGATTTGGAAAACATGGTCTGTGGTCGCCGTTGGCCAGTAGCCATGATGTTGGTAAGATGTCAAGAGACGCCAAGCTGTTACTAGGCGCTGAACCAACATAACACTTCCACTCAACATCAGAGAGTCTGCATCGCATAGGTGTTTCAATCAGGCCAACTAAAAGCCGATGCTTCATCGGCTATAATCTCTACTGCTCGGCGCGTAAACCGTAATTGCGAATCTATCTACGATGCTGTATTGACGTCGTCGTCTAGAAAACTACCGTTTATAACAGCTACCCATACGCTTATGAGTGGAATCACAGTTGAGATCTTGAGGTTGCTATGTGCACTGGGTCAGGACTCAGAACGGGGGAAGTTAACACCCTCCAACTCCGAACACCCAACAGTGGCACCAGCAATATTGCTGATAGAACGCGGTCACGTGATATGTTGATTTCACAGTTAGCCATCAATGCGCGGTATCACGGGAGACCACACTGTAATCTTTGAGCCAGCAAACGCCAACGCATTGTACGGAGTATCAGAGACGCTCGAGTGTTTGGATCTCCATTCTTTCAGGACAATCCACGATACGGGACCGTACAAATACCCTTGGGTACTTACAACATCTCCCGAGGTCTGCGCAACTGCGCCGCCATCTGCATGCTTCTGTATCGCGTCAATGGTCAGGTGAGTGGTTCTGTTCTATATCAGGCTAAGCTCGCGAAGCCAGGACGCCATCATTTCACTCTTGTTGAGTCAGATGAGTACCACGAGAGCTGATAGGTCGGCACGGTCGCTGATATGGAGTGGACCTACAGTCGACGCGAGTTCAAAGAAGGGTCCGAGTGCGCAAAGCGCCGAAGGGACATTGCCTATTTCCGCTACGCCCCCTCGGTGTTTCTTTGCCTCTCCCTGGCATCGCTTTCGCGACGTCGACGAGGTTCGCGCGATAGAATGGCGGCTAGATAAGAAGCCAACTGGCGAATGCAGTCTATATGTCGCAATGCTGTTGACGATGTCTAAGGAACGGGCCCACTGGCCGAGTCCGGCAGCTTCTTTTGGTAAGGCACCAAAGGCAGATTCGAAGACATTGTTGAATTGCCTAGTTACGAAAGGCAGCAGTGTGTGATCCTTGTCCATAGATGCGGATTCTTGGTCCCGTTGCTAGTTACATTTACCTGTCTACTAGGATGCTGTAGAGGTCGGCGTCAGTACCGGTGTTGTCATTTGGTACACCATTTGTTTCTGCTTGGGAAATGTGAGTGGGGACGTAGTCATCTCAGGATTCCGAATTGAAGCAGCAGGTCCAACAACTCGGGTCACCTGTTGAAATAAGCTGGTGAGGTCGCGCGAATTCCGAGTGAGCAAGTAGATATATTGCGTTTGGCTGGGACTCCAGCAAACGCATGAAGAAAATACTACATGCGCGCGACATGATACTACAGTAGTCACGTGCATCCCCTATACCCCTGTACCGCCAAGATTGCTGAAATCCAACATCACCGAACACGAGCGCTGTCATAGGTTTAGATATATCGCAGCTAGCTACGTCCGCTCTTCATCCACCCTACTCTTTTTGGACCAGTCCATCTTATCATTGGTACAGCGGTACTGCAATGGTCGTATTATTGTCTCTTCCGCGTTGCTCTTATAGACTGTTCGGACTGATTCGAATGAGTTAGTGTGACCTGCACAATTGCAAGGACTCGCCGACCTTTCACATGACTGTAAATCATATAGGAAGATCATATGAAGTAGCCTCCTCAGCTGTCTAAGCTTATGTGAGGATGCGGGGTTGAAGTGATCTATCTATAGAAGCGCAAGCATCTCTACTTCCTGGTTCGATGCCCGAGAACCATTTCATTCCCTTCGTAGAAGTGGAATAATGCTTCCACGCACATGGTTGAATCATAATACTTCGGAGTCCAGACAGAAAGACTAAGTGCAAAGCGGGACTCGAGGAAGATCATAATCATATGTGCAAAAGGTCTACATAATAGTCCGTAAATCTAACCCGGCTAAGTATGCTAAGGGTATCTAGATTAAAAAGGTAAAGGATAAGCTATCAAGCAACAGAAGTATCACAATTATTTGGAAATTACAGAGTCCTTTGTACGATCCCGAGTGTCCTTCAGAAACTTCACAAGATCGGTCCCACCAGTACCTTTCAACGGCTTCTCCTCCTCGGTGACCTTTGCCGCCTTTGCCGCCCTGCGCGCAGGCGAGATGATGTACAACGTCGCGATGATCATATGCGAATCCCTGAACTCCTTCAATGATGTCACTGCCGTATTATACGCAGCAAGCAGTGCCGCGTCCTCTTTAGCCATAACGAAATCGCGCAACGGTCTAGGTGTGCTCGCGAGATGAATCAAAAACGCCCTGTGATGCCTCGGCATATACGAAAGCATGCGTGTGAGGAAAGCGGGTTTATCAAGGGAGGACGGCGTGCGGTTTTGTATCCCCAAGAAGAGATCAAGGGCGTGGACCATGGAACTCTGGCCAGCGCTTGGACCTGACAGTTCCACAGGCTGTTTGAGGCTAGAATCCTGCTCCATGCCCTCGAAGATCCATCTCCGTTTGTTAGGATCCGAGTCTTCGCCACGGAACCAAGGCCGTACGACGGTGTAATAAGTCTCTGGATCACATCCGTCGCGTACAGACATGAGTAGGTCTTTGAGCCTTTTGATGACTGTTGACAAATGGTAGAGGTATGCCGTGATTCGTCGAACAGCAAGGCTGTCACCGATGAATATCTCGTTCATGGCGTCCCGGATGATGCTGAGTGCTTCGACGCCCGCTAGCTCAATCCGAGCTGAGCACAAGTAAAATTCTTCTTCGTCTTTCGTGCCCGTGAATAGATCTTGTGAACGAATGTTCTCGACAGTGGGGGTTTGTAAAGGCATGGTTGTATGGGCGGATGGGATGATGTAGTTGTATAGAACATTGTCGGAAAACGTGAGGACGGGAGGCAGCTGCAGCCGTTGGGATATCTGGAGCAGAGGAACGGTGATGGGAGGAGGGATGAGGATAGGAGCATCAGGGGGAAGACTGTTCACGTAGTAATGCAGAATAAATGTGAGGACATGGTGAGCTCGTCTCAAATTGACCTCTGATGTCATGAGGTCATGAGTTAGCAGGACGGACAACTGTTCAGCGTCAGAAGTGGCATTGAGGAGAGGATGTTGCCTACTCACCTGGCGCACAGAGGCCCGCCACCGCTCAGTATCCTGCTTCTGCTCGTCAGTAATGTCTGGTTTGTCCCCTGGCATGAAGCCACCGTCCAGCGCGTCGCGGAAAACGACCTCCCATGGTTTCCAGGACGCTGGGAGGCTGTCCGGAGGCGGCTGAGGCGGCATGAAGCCTGTCGTCGGCGAGACATGGAAATCATTTGAGGAAAAGTCAGCGACGGTCATATCGACGTAGTTCAACGCGTTGAAGGTGGCGGGCCAGCGAAGAAAGTTTCTTGGCCTTATAATGCAATAGGAGTCGCCGATCGGCTCTTAGCCGCAACTTAGTCCGCCGAGCCTCGCCGCCCGGCCACTCCATGATTCAAGGTCAAGCGCAAGTTTATCGTTGCTGAGGTGATGGCGGTACGCATGTGATGGAGAAATGAATGGAGTTGCCCTGGTGCGCCGTCAACGGACGGGATCTACTCTGACAAGTGTCGACGTCAAAAACATAGTGCCCTGCAAATCATGATGCGCAATCAATTCAACAAATACCCGATTGTGATGCCGCCGCAACATACTTGTAGGTGTCAACCTGTGTCGACGTTTACCGAATAGATAGTAGACCAGGATTTGTCACAACAGTCGCAGGGGGTAAGTGACCCACATTGTCAGTCAGACTTTGACAACGGCTGCGGCTTCGACGGAGCCAAGAATGGCGAAATAAGTCATGGAAGAACGCTAGCTGGCAATCCGGAGGTTCCATAAGGTTCTGAACTGGTGCTAGTGTATGTAGTGATTCACTGATAGTTCGAATGAAGTGACTGGGCGCCTGGGCGCTTGATGATTGCCTACTCAATCTTCCGCCCGTAATACTTACGTATTACCCTTCACGTAGAGCCATATCGTCTGCAAGCAAAGTTGCAATATGATTAGGAATAATCTACTGGCTTCTATCAATTCTACGTGTGTACGAGAATGATTACTCGGTTCAATGGATCAACGCTTCTGCCGTAGAGTCCCTGACGCCCTTCAAGAAACCGACGACATCTGTGCCACCAGTCCCTTTGAGAGGAGCGGGCCCAGAGTATTCGCTCGCAGCTGTAGCACCCTCGGCCGGAGTAGCGGAGATTGGTTGAGCACGCCTTGAAGGGCCTACGATATACATAGTAACGATGATCATGTGGGCGTCCCGGAACTCCTTCAGTGCAACTACCGCATTGTTATACGCTTCCAGCAAAGGTGCATTGTCCGTGGAGAGCACCATGTCCCTCAGAGGCCGGGGATTTGACTTCAGATGGTTGAGGAATGCACGGTGGTGGCGGGCCATGTAGAGTTGCATCCTATCGAGGAACGATGGTGCTGCGACCCCAGGGCTCGCTCCTGAGTTAGAGCCGGCATGAGAGAACCTATCTACCCCTAAGAAGACATCCAGCGCGTGGATGAGCGGGCTTTGGCCTGCGCTGGGACCAGATAGCTCTGACGGTTCCGTCAAGCTTGGGTCGTCCTCCAAACCTTCGAAGATCCACTTTCTGCTGTTCGAATTCAGTCCCCTCAACCATGGGCGCACTTGGTTGTAGAACACGTCTGGATTGCAGCCCTTGCGGACACCGAGCAACAGCTCGCGTAGGTCCTTGATGACGACGGCGAGGCGGAGGAGGAACGATGTGATACGGCGTAGCGCGATATCGTCACCTACGAATGCCTCATCCATGGTAGCCCGCATCAGTTCCAGCGCTTCGACGCCACGAAGCTCAATACGGGCAGATGCGAGATAGAATTCCTGTTCGTCCTCCGTTCCAGTAAACAGAATCGGGCAGCGTAAATTATCAAGGCGGGGGATCTCGTTCTCACCCTGTTGGACCTTCAAGTCCCAGTTGTAGAATGTGTTGTCAGCGTAGGTGAGAACGGGTGGCAGCTGAAGCTGCGCACATATCTGAAGTAGGGGGAGTGTGATCGAGGGGGGAATATGAACGTCTGCCGTGGCGGAATGCGTTTGGACATAATAATGCAATATCCACGCCAATACGAGGTGGCCGCGACGAAGATTGACTTCAGAGTTCTTGAGCTCGGTTATGGGAAGGACAGGCAACTAGAATAACCACCCCAACCACGAAGTGATCAATTCCTCGATCTGGCCTGAAGCTGATTACAAACTCACCGATCGCACGCGAGCCCGCCACTCTTCTGCGTTTGTAACTTCCCGCTCACTCAGATCAGGCTTGTCGCCGAGCTGGAGACCCCCTGCCATCGCTTCATCCAAGGCTACTTCCCAAAGCTCCCAGCTCGACGGTAGACGCCTGACCGGAACTTGCGGGGGCATAAATCCCGATCGATTATCGACATCGAAATCGTGAGCGGCCAGGGTGGTCGTATCAACCATCCCAGGTGGCGGCCCCGAGACAGCATCGGGTCTCCCGAGGGACAGGAAATGCTGGGAAGGGAGCGACTCCATGTTTTCGTTGACTTGTACTAGTGGTGGTGAACTAAAATCAAGAGGCTGGCTGCTGAATAACACATGACAATTTAACCTTTATAAGCCCGGGATTTCACGACGAAGGTACAAGAAGGCCAACGTGTTCTTACTCACCTAAATCCACAAGTCGCCGTCACGATAGTAAAAGGCTAGATGCCAAAGGCTGCTTGGAAGCGGGTGAAATCGTATTAAGGTCACTTGGTCACTTGCCCATCAGAATCAGAATGGCGTGCTGACTGGAATTATTTCCGCCCTCGCATTTGCCGTTGCTGACCATACGAATTACGGCGAAAAACAAAAACTCTCAGTTACTCCATTGAACAAATGTCTGGATTTCTACATCTAATCTTATCTGAATCGTAGCTCCGGATCTGCACCTTTGTCCGCTGCCACGTGCATGGCACTCTTCAATGTCGCCGTCGAGACTAAACTTGAAGTTGAACTGGAGTTTGTGGATGTGCACATTCTCCTTCCGTTAACATGCTCCATAGCAACGACATCTCAGCTTGGATTGAAATAGATGGAGTTCTAACTCAATAATATAGCATTGAGGTCACAAAAGATGAAGAAGATCGCGCGGTCGTTACCTGCTGGATTGTGTCGGAGGAAGGGAAGGTGAGTGCGCTGGACTCTATTTGCTGCTAGATTAAGTAACTGTCTTCCTTCGAAGGCATTCAGTGTACATTTCAGAGACAAGCGCTGCTACGCCCCATACAAGGAACATTGAGAGTCGACGGCGTGAGCATGGGAGGACTTGTTCTAGAGCCTGCACAAAACAGCCGGCCATCTGAAATTTCTGGTTCAAGCAAGGACATGCCTATATCCGCCTCTGAGAACAGCCCTTTTGTGTTTTCCAAAATCCCCACGATTGGTGAGTAAAACACGCAGTACAGTATTGGTTCTTTCTAGACGACGACGCGTATATGACTGGCTCGGCCGATTCAGAAGTCGGTGAAATCACGCTGTGGGTATGGACTACTCGCTGGGTGTCATACCGCAAAGCTCGGCCTAGCACGAGTACCTCGTTCGGACAGCTTTACCTGCTGAAACGGCAAAAAGTAGTGGCACCAGGCTGAAAACCCACCATTGGGAGCGCGTTGGGCGTCTGATGGCTTTTGTTTTCAAGCGTGCACCCCTCGGTGCGTCCTTTCTTCTTGTCCTAGTATTTAATATGTAATCATGCAAAAGAATTATTGCAGGCCTGTGGCATTGCTCCCCGCCCATCCCCTGCCGAATCTCCCTCGGCGAGTCCTGAATGTAGCCCCGATCCCGGAGCTCGCAGCACTGAAGCTAACGCGGGAGAAATAAATCTCCTAACAACCACTAGTCATCCAGAAGCGACTGGATGAGATAGACCGCCCTCGAGGTTCAAGACGGGAACCAGACGCGGTCAAGCAAAAGCTCTGTAAAGGCCGGAAACGCGTCAAGACGGAATCAAGCGTCAGATTCTGCTTCAGGTCGAGTCATCGACCTCACATCAGATTAAAGAATGGACATCGAAATCCCCACATCTTTCTGTCTAATACTACTTAGTATCGATGTTTCCGTGCTTATCTCTAAATGCTACAATCACGCGGTGAGGTAGACTCGCGACTTCAATGGAAGATTTACGTAGTCATGAAAATCCTGTTGAAATTAGGGTACATATGTATATCATATATCTAATCTTATCAGGTCCTTTTGAATCTGCAGCCATGTCAAGTGACCGAGCCGCTATGCCTTTGAACTTGGAGTGAACCCTTGTGGTTTCTCCCTCAATACTCGGTGGCTAACTATGCTTCAGCATAGTGATTTTTCGGCTTGGATAGAAACAGAAGGAGTTCCAACCCAAGAATACAACGTAGAGATCACGTCAGATGCAGAGGGCCCAGTCGTTACATGTTGGATCGCGTCGGAGGAGGCGAAGGTCAGCGCACTGGATTCATCGTACTAGAGGGGCCTCACTGACTCCCTTTTCAAAGACATTCAGCGTAAACCTTAAGGATGCCTCCTCTGCATCCACATGCTGGACGTTGAAAGCAGATGGTGTGAAGATGAAAAAGTTCTATACAAAACCTGCGAAAAAGGGACGTCCATCTGAGACCACGCGTGCGATGAGGGACATGGCCGTATCCGCCACAGAGAGGAGTCCTTTCATGTTCTCGAAGATCACCACGACTGGCAAGTAAAAGCTTTGGTGTCACTGTCTACTAATATGACTTGAATGTGATACAACTCTTAGATGACGACGCGTATATGCACCGTTCAATCGATGCCAAATTTGGCGAGATCACATTATCGGTATGGAGTACTCAACAGGTGAAATACCGCAAGGCTCAGCTGAAGACGAGTGCTCCTGCTGCTGCTCCGATTCTAGGAGGACCGATTCATGAGAAGTCCAAGAAAATGGGAGGTCATTGCATCAGGTCAGCTTTCCGAGCTTTTGGTTGATACATTTGAATGAACAAGTCAACAGTTATGGACAGCCCGTGCCCAGCCTAGAAAAGGGGACGAAAAGCAGCGCAACCAAGCTCGAGACACACTACTGGGAGCGTGTCAAGTGCCTAGTGACCTTCAGTTTTAAGTATCGGCCTCTCGGTACGTCGTTCATTTTCTTGTCCTTCTACTCGTTTAATATACATCTGTGGCAAAGCATTATTACAGGCGAACGGCATCGCTCCCCTCCCGCCCGCCGTTGAACCTACCCCAGCAAGCTCAGAACGCAGCCCCGGACCCAGGGACCATAGTGCCGAGGCCCACGCCGTTGACACAGGAGAAGTAGATCTCCTGAGGGTCAGTCCTTTTCAGTTCAACTCTGCAACGACGGTAGCCCATAGCATCTTACGCTCTACTATTAGCAACAACTTCAACTCATTCAGAAGCGATTGGACGAGATAGAAAAACCTCGGAGTGTGAAGCGAGAATCCGATGCGGCCGAGCAGAAAGCACATACAAGACGAAAGCGCGTCAAGACGGAGGGTCCGGCTCCAGTTTTTATATCAGGTGAAGTCATTGACCTCACTTAAGATCGGATTTCTGTATCATACAAACGTTGTCCTCCGTCCAACGCCGGGAATGGTCCTTTCGTGCTTTCCTTTCTTTAGTAATGCTTTAGCTTTGTGTCCGAACCTGAGTACCGAACCCCTGAGCCAGCTCCTATGGCTACTTCTAAGTAACGCCGCAAGTACTCCGCTAAATCGGCCCTCTTCGAGACATTACCGCTCGAGGCTTTCTCTTCGCCATGCTCGTCAGCGAGAACCTGTCTGCGTGGGTAGAAATCGAAGGCATCGCAGCGCAGGAATACAACATTAAAGTCAAAGAAGACCCGAAGCGTGTCACTTGCTGGATTGCATCAGAGGAGGGCAAGGTGAGTATTATCTCTGTAACTATATTGCAATCTATCGTGTCTGGAAACGCAAGAGGTTTTTGCTTACTTCTCCCAAGGCATTTGGCGTTCATATCAAGGATACTTCATGTAGGATAGCTACATGCTGGACACTGAGTGTAGACGGCGTTGAGGTTCACTCTCCCGTCCTCGTGCCGCGCCCTAGAGGCGAGTGTGAGCGGACAGGCTGCGTGACGAGGGTCCGAGTATCTCCTACGGAACAGAGGGCACTTGTTTTCTCGAGGATGAGCACTACCGGTAAGCAAGTCAACTACCAGTGTATTAAATGAAGTATATCTAAATGGTTTTCGTCAAATTTGTGTATCAGATGATGATCAATATTTAGAACGTTCAGCGCATCTCAACGTTGGTGAAATTACCTTGGATATCTGGACTGCTCAGGATAGCGAAAGGACGGGGCCCGCTTCATGCGTTCAGCTACCAAATGATCCAGTCCATGAAAAGTCGAAGAAGAGCGGCATGCATTGCATTGGGTTAGTCTGCCATGCTCTTCATCCGTAGCGTCTAGAAATACGGGACTAGCTTAGGCGCCGTTGAGCATGAGGAGAGCGCGACAGCCGAATTGTGGGACTGTATCGACCACCTAGCAACTTTCAGCTTTAAGTATCGCCCCCTCGGTGTGTTGTTTTGAAAATTCTCCTGACTAGTCTAAAGCTAAGATGGTTCAACCATGTCAAAGCATTGTTACAAGCGAACGGCATTGCTCCCCCGCCCCCGCCAGCCTCAGCGAGCCCCGATCCTGAGGAGATCGATGGGGCCGTCTCTGCGGAGGAGAAAGAGTTGAAAGTCAGCTATCTCTTCGCGCATAAACGATGCAATTTCCCAACCAATCTGATATCGTTTACTACAGCATCAGATGGAAATCATGCAGCAGCGTCTTGCAGAATTAGAGAAATCTCGCGGTGCCAAACGCGTGAAGGAAGAGCCGGACACTGCGGCGCAGAGGGCTCGGAAGCGTGTAAAGAGGGGACCGAAATCCGCATTCGTCCCGGGAGAGGTAATTGACCTAACATCCGAATGAGAGGAATTTATCTAACTAATGTACTAAATACCCTATTTGTATCATCATTTCTGATTCTATATTATTCTATGTCCATGAGAGGCATTGTATGAACTGCCTTCCACTATCCAAATCTCCTACTCAGCTGATCATATATCACGAATATAATCGCGCTACTCGGGATGGACCTCGCGACCGTAACCCCACATCCAGCGTACAACCCTCTGATCCCCTGCGCCCTATACATCGCGCCAAATGTCTGGAAGAAATTTCGCCCCTTCCCCTTCGCATCCCCCACGCCCCGCGGCCTCATCTCATCCTCCGTCTGCATAGCACTCTTCACCGTATCCGCCGGGAATAGCACAAAGTTAAACGTCGCTCCTGCAATCGCTCCACTCACTGCCGACTCCCACACCAGCAGTTCCGGCTTGCCCGTCCCCCTCCCATCCTCCGAGCCTGCGCCACCAGCATACGTCACAGACCCCGGGTCCCTTTGCGTGCGTTTGTTGACGAGATAGGTCGCGACGAACTCTTTGGTGGAGAACCAGGCGGCCGTCCCGCCTGTTTCTCGGATCAGCGTGCCAGTTTGGCCGAGCCAGAGGCCCCGAATACCGGTCGTTCGTACGACGGATAAGAGCACGGAGATAGGACCAAGGGCCCTACCACGACTACTTCCGCCAGCAGTAGCAGTGGCCGAAGCCAAAGCCGGGTTGACGAGCATCTGCACCTGCATCTTGCATTTTATGAGCTCAATGGGGGTCCTAAACAGGGTAGCCAGAAAAAGTGGATGTCCAGACGTGAATTGATAATTGGATCAATGAAATCGCGAGGTACATACAAGACGAAGCTAGTGATAGCACCAGCGCCAGCGGCGGCTACGGCCAGCTGGGCCATTGACAGTTTTTCAGGGAGAGGCTGGGCGTAAATCCTACGAACGACATTTTGCAGCTCGCCATACGCCAGGAAAAGCGAGGCATTTTCGGCCATGGCACCTACAATCGGTGCTGGCAGCCCCTACATCCACACGAACACCAAAAAGCATGAATATCGCTCGGAATCGCAGTAATGGCTATGGAATTCGCCTTTGTCCGTACGCACCCGATACAATCCCCGCATACCTTCATTACGCCAGGTTTTTGTGAGACAGTCGATAGGACCGCTAAATCGCGCAGTGGCGTCGAGAACCTGGGACTGCAGGCGCACTTTGGCTAGATCGAAAGGATGCTCAAAGACCTTCGACACCATCCCCGCGACCTGAAAAGCCCCATATTGCCTCAGCAAGGTCCCGAAGGTCAGAAAGCTCACGCGAGCACGCACACTGCCGAATGCAATTTCCTTGCAGGCTCGGACGACGGGGTGATGTGAGGAAAACACATCGGGGGATGTTTCCATCAACTAGAGGTAGGTATGTGGTGGCGGTCAATGAAGACTAGCGCCGCATGCTACGCGTCGTCAGCTGCAACGTGAAGATTTAAGTTAGCCGTTCACACCGACACCGCTCCGCGCTTTGCCTATGATTCACCGTGAGACGATCATCCGTTGAACGTGAAATCTTTGAAATTCGGACTGCAAGTGTATTCCAAAGAGGTGGGATTGACATCCAAGACCTCAGCCAAAATTAAGCTGAGAATCAATGACGAATAGTGTAACGACAAATGTATAATGTTAAAGTAACACGTGTAAGATGTAGTCCGAGCAAGAGAAGGCGATTAAGCGGTCTATGAAGAGTATAACAGTCAGCCATCTTAGAAGTTTTGCAAAAGCAAGGAAGCACGCACCGCCTCCTTCAAGTACGTGACCAGGTCATTACGATCCTTGTCCTTCTTGAGACCAGCGAAGGCCATCTTGGTCCCAGGGATGTACTGGATTATCACGTTTAGTATTTGGCCGTTAACTTGAAGAAAGCGTGCTCACCTTTTTGGGGTTCTCTAGGTATTCAAATAGGGTGTTCTCGTCCCACGTTACGCCCTTGTTGATGTTGGCGGCGGTAAACGAGAAACCGTCGGTGGTTCCACTCTTACGGCCAAAGAGCCTGCACATGACATCACTTCAGTATGCGCCGCGCATACAAAACACTGAAACCGACGCACCCGTGGAGGTTAGGACCGACTTTATGAGGCTCGCCAGCACCGAGAGTATGGCATTGAGCACAGCGGGTCTTGAAGAGACCAGCACCCTTTCCGGCGTCACCTATATGGGCGCGTTGAGCTCTCCATTGAAACGCGTGAAGCAAAGAGCAAACATACCAGCAGCAAAAGGCATTTCTAAGGTCTATGAGGTATAGAGTACAGAAAGAAGAGAAGAGATTAAGGACGACCCGTCGTTGAAGTTTTGAGGTGATGAGGTGGAAGGTGACTGAGTTATTGGAGTCGGTTTCGCGATGATTTTGTATCGCCGGAGAGAGCCGGTTTTTTCCGTCAGCCAATCAGATAACTTCCATTTCAAGCCGATCATGCCGGAACGACTCAGGGGACTCCGGCCACGGACACCCACAGCACTTGCGGGTCTGGGCGCGAGCAGTCGAGTCGTCGTGAAGAATACGACCCTTCGACCCTTGAGCTTTACGTGTACAATCTGTGCACAATGTAAGTAGCACTGAATGAATGCTCTTCGGAACTACATCCTGTTCGTTCCATGGTTAGTTCGCGACGTTCGGCAGGAGGTAATGCGGAATGGAATACCTCGCGCCGGTGTTCTCGACTGCGGCGTTGGTGGAAATATCATTTTTGAGCTTCTGATTACAATGGTAATTCACCGAATCGGCGTCGGTTAGCAAGACTCTCGGAAACAAGGTCAACTCAGGGCGGCCCGTATTCTTTTAGCGAGAGAAATATGCACAAGTAGCTCCATAGCAAGCGGCGCTGACATTCCCCGAATTGCATGGGTTTTTTTTTGTGAGTCTCTGTTTTACCTCCGTTGTGGCGGGCCCATATGTGGGAGGGTGTGCCTGTACAGTACATATAAACTGCGCGTGTAAACTAGTGTGTCCGTTATTGCATGGTTTGTTACTCAAACATCATAGATAGATGCAGAAGTATCTCAGACATTTTCGCTCCCTGATGAGCATCAACTTGGTTGCCCAGGCCAAAACACAATTCATCAAGTATCTGTTGGCAGAGGCTAAACCAGCCCGAAGCGTCCTTTGTCGTGTTCTCCATCCCGATCGATCCAACATAGTGGATATCAGAGGTTGGAGGCGGAGGTCTCATCAAGATGCATCAAGGGGCATGAGATGTCAAGATATAACAAAAACGTAGATCACAACCCACGTAGAATCGAATCAGTAGCCATTCCTTCGAGGTCGATGGACTCTGAGTACGATCGAAACACAAACACATCGCCAGCGAAAGAGCGCGCTATCCGTATAGATGCCAAACAATATCTGATATATCTGCGATGTAGAGATGGAGGCTCAGTAAAAATAGACGGAATTTGGTCTGCCTGGAGGCGTTCACGAAGGCCCTGTCGAGTGATACGTGATGTCGAAAGTACTATCAGGGAACACGGTAGACCTCTCTGCTTGCTCGCGTAGATGAAGAACGACCCTGGAGGTCAGGGTGGAGTGCACAGCCCTCATAAGTCTGCGGAAATTATGAGGAGGCGTACTGAGATACAGGCGTGTACTTACACTGAGAAGAGGTTGACAAACTCCTTCTGTGGATGATTCAGATCGAAAATATATATAACGCAACACGTTGACGTACAGGAAGCATCGCAACGGTGACGATGTTCATAAGAGCCAAAACTAGTACGACTTCATTAGTAACGGAGGGAGAGACAAACAAGGGGAACGTACTAAACAATGCGATGTAATATGTTATGCCTAACGAAGTGATCAATATCAACGATATCGATTACATTCTCTGGTCAGCCTACCGTCTCTATAAATAGTCCGCAAAAGAGCAGAGGAGCCCCTTAATCGTCCGTACAACTGTGTATACGATCTAGTGCCAGCGACGATCATTAAGGCCAGTGTTCCTACAGGATTGAATGAGCCTCAATGTGTGGTAACAGCCAATTGAGACCCTCACCGGTGTCGTACGCCAAAAGCAAAGTCCAACATATATATAGACTCTTGTTGCCAGGGATTACGAGGCATGTAGCATATCCGGGGAGACGAATGGCGTACACTGCAGGCAATGTTCATAAAGATAGATTGCTGTTTTGTTGGGTTCAATTTACCTTCGGCGTGGGCAAAGAATATATCGAGGAGGACACCAATCGGAATCCAGCAGCTCAGATAGAAGGCGACTAGCGCCACGCACGACCAGCGCCACCCCTTCCACAGTGACCAAGTGCGCATTGTGAGGATTACTGTAGCCGCTGTCAGTTTTCCAGGCTGGGGCCGCGCGGAGTCAAGAGTACCTTCAGATAATGCGATACTGAGGCAGAATGACCCTAGGACGACGCTGTCACGGAGCACACGGGTGAGTATTGTAGATTGCTCACAACCACTGAATTTATTCATGAATGTGCAGCCTTGTTCGGTCGGAAGAAGTACGTCTTGAAAACAGACGACAATTAAGTTGAACGGAGTAAATAATGTGATAGCATCACATACTGTAGAGTGAAAAAGTGATGTCCACGAAGGGGGTATAACGGTTTATGAAGAACAATATCCGGATGAGGGACCAGCGTTGTTTGAACCACATGTGGCGAGTTTCCAGTTCTAGCGTCAATATGTAGTCGTAGAGCTTTTAGTCGTCAATAATATATACTGAAGGAGATAGGATGTAATAAACATACCGCGATGGCCGCACTTGCAACTACGGATATAGTCAGTCATACGTATCTCACGAACGGATAGTACTGGGAGTGCGTTACAATCAAAATACTGAGCCGTGAAAGTCAGACATTATAAACGAGCCTAAGAGCAGATCCGACTCACTAGCACCAAACGAGAGTGTTCAAGGACAGTGACCAGGTTGGAGGTGTCCATCGTTGCCGGCAACGGGGGAGGGCCTTCGTCGTGGCTCTAGTTATGAGTAGCGGCGCAGGGGAAGTTCGAGGCAAGTGGCAGAAACCAGACCAGGGGATGCGTGGGCATCAGTTGGCTCGAAGATATGGACCCAGTACGAAATTAGCACCCTGTACCTGATGTTTTCTCATCACCGGGGGGACGCGGGCATAATGATCTGGTTGTTTTAGCTGTAGCGGGTCTAGAAGATTTTAGAGGAACACTGTTCGGGCCCACTGGACATCGACGGGTCGTACTGAGGTTTGATGCGGTCAAAGGGACGGAAGTGAGCTATCGAAGACACAGTTGAGAAGTTTGCTTACCAACGCTACAAAGTGCGTGACTATTGTGGTCAGGTCAAGTCAAATGCCCGCAACGTTCCCGCAATTCCAACGGAGTGAGATCCTAAGCACCGTGCATTTCGAGTGGCAAATGTGGCACTCTGCTGGGGGTAAGAACGCGCGTGTGGAAGTTTGATGATGTTAGGTCCTAGAAAAGCCTCCATGGATACTCAGTACTAAGCGCTGAGCTGATAGTCTCTATGCTAGCGGCATCCCATCCACTTCTGATATGATCGTGGTGCCAACACGAAACTCATCATCGGACAAGATTCCTCTCATTGAGTCGCGTGACACTTCCAGGATTAGCCACTTGATCGCATCGCGGAGGGCTTGCGAAACACAAGCTCGTCGACAGCGAAGGGGTGCTCAAGCCGTGTATAAAAGTGTCTGACATATCTGTGTGTAGAGATAGAAGCTCAGTAGAGAAAAACCAACTCTCCTGGTGTCTATCACGAAGCCTCCCTCTGAGGCTGCAGATTGATGCGTGACAATGAGAGAATAGGAAAATATGGCACGTTCCTCCGCTTGCTCGCGTAGGCGAAGGATCACCCTAGAGGCCAGAGTGGTAACGGGTCAACCTTCTCAGTCTATGGAAGAGTGATGCATATACTATTAGTGAGTATGAATATCCAAAGTAGGGTGTCTGCGAATAACTTACACCGTAAAGAGGTTGACGAGATCCCCCTGTTCTACAGTTTAAGCCCGAAGCGGTGCAGGATTGTGCGCACAGGGGGCATCATGATGACGAAGTTCATAGTGGACAGGACTACGAGTCAGTCAGTAATCATGTTAGGCGATCATGGAAAAACGGACCAAACGATGCGACGGAGTACATAATTTAGGTTTTGGCGTTTGGACGGCCATTGGAGAGTCACGAAGACGGACGGGGGGATGCTAAGGGGGAGATGGGCAAGCCAGTGCGCGCGGAATGAACGAATGGAAGGAAGAGGGAGCAGATTCAGATAGAATACGGAGGGAATACGGAAGGAATGTGCCAAACAAACGCAATACGACGATGAGCATGAACGAAAGGACACAGGTACGCCCAGGTACGTCCCCTTCGTCCTCTCCGTTGTGTCCCTTTCCTTCTCGGCGCCGCTTGGATGTGTATCCCCTCAGTTCCCTCGTTCCCTCCATTCGTCTTTGCCCCCATGTTTGTGTTCATTCCTCTTCGCATTCTATATTCCGCATTCCGTGCTTCATTTCATACCCTGTAGCCAACGACTTGAGCGCGCGGCCTTCAGCGCCCGCGGTCCATGATCTATGAGAGAGAGCGAGATGGGGATCTGTGGAGCCATGAAGGGGAAGTCAGCGACGCGGAGAGGGCGTCGAGAAGCAGATGCAATCTGAAGCAAACCAAACGAGACGAGAATCAGAGCAGCGCAAAGAGAAGTGATAAACACGACGAGACGAGCACGTAGTACGAGGGGCGAAGACGGAATCGGGGGACGCGAGAACGACAACGAGAAGACAAAACGAGACGCATCGACGTGCGCGTTCCAAGTGAGCTACATACGCCTTTGGGTGGGTGCAGCATGTTCTAGAACTACGAGTGCGTTATGTTAATGAAGGTGATTCGGCGGGTTTACGACGTTGTTGGCGTGCTGAGGAGTTGTTATTCGGGAAACGCCGCCGTCATCGACGTTAATCGCTTTCACTGAAAGATAAAGATAAATGGGTTATAAGGAAGCAAGAAGGAACGACTCGAGAATGGACGGCGAACATGAACATGGACACGACCACGAATGGAATGGGACGGAGAAGAGGGCGACAATGAGCAACGAAGCAAAATAACGGGAGGGAAAGTGATCGTTGCGAGAGGTGCTTACATCGTGTCTTTCATCGGCTATTTCGTTGCAGGTGGTATCGAGGCGTCGCTGAGCTCGAGCGTGACCCCTTGGTGATATATAACTTGTAGGTAATCTAGAATCCAAACTGTAATATCGATATCAGATAGGTTCAAAATATGTGGGTTTGATGTTTACTTACAGGCATGTGGCTGACCGGTCGAGGTTGTTGGTGTGCATCTAGATGGGCGGGGATTAGAATTGGTCGCAATTCCAGAAACCCCACTATGTGAGTTCTAATATGGTGCGAGGCCAAGGCATGAACACGCCATGGCCCATGTCGAGACTCGCTATTCCCCGCTGTAACGTTACTCTTAATTGACCGATATCGAATTGTGTGATGTCTCCTGCTTGTCGTCATCTAGGCCCCGGCACGGAGGGATACAGACCCAAGCGGTGGTGGTATCTACGTGAAGGTGTCTAGTTCTAGGTACCCTTCAGGAAGCTGCTGAGGAAGGGAATTCGACCACTCACGCATCGCGAACGTCCTACATATGTACAGGAGCCTCACTCGCCCATGGTTTTGACTAGTACACCATTCCTGCCGCTTCTCATAACTTGGAGTTCCATTCGTTCGGGTCTTGCGTGAACCGGGATGAAGGAGCAGAGAGTCAGATCCACATACACTCTCCGTGATGGTCGTTGATCTGGGCTTGCAGAAGGCCGTGTCAATGGATCCGCAGTGATTTGCGGGTGCTTGAAGACGTGCAGAGTTCGTGTCGAGCAACGGCTTCAGACTCAGACACCCCGTGCAACAGCGAGCCTGACCAGAGCAAGCACGATCGCATGGGCTGGCGAGGGCCGCCTCAAATTCGGCTTTGTGGTGATAGCCTACAACTTGGAAACGGGCGAGCTGACATGATCGTGGTGAACGAAAGGAGATATACTGGTTACATGAGATGGTAGACAAAGTTAGTACAGCCGAGGGAAGCCAACAAAAGCCGGGCCGGCATAAGCCGCTCGATCGCGTAGTGGGGAAGTTGAAACTCCCACGCTACTCTCATCATTATCAACGGTCGCGACAGACGCGCCACGGAACGCGCTCCAATGTCGTCGACCCAGCCTAAACTCCCAACGAAACGGAAAGCCACAGAAGACCTGAATCCTCTACTTGCTGCAGCAAAGAGAGTGAAAAAGGACCAAGTGAGTCAGTTATCTTTACTATGCTGTTTCCGCCCTAAAGGCTAAACATTCAATCTTGGAGGCCAAGACACTGGCCAATAAACGTCAATGTAGGTGGCTATAAGGACCGTACACACTCGTTACTGAGTTGGCTCACATTCTTAGTGCTCAATGGCGAGGAGAAGGAGAAAGCAGGGGGAAGTGGCGGGCATAGGAGGAAGAGCTCAGTCGGCTCAAGGGGAAAGAGGATAAGCGAAGTCTTCGAGAATACGGGAATAATATGTAAGTTCCTCGACCGGTTCCTCCACCTAATAGTACCTGATATTCATACTTCCCCCCACCGTCAGCCCAACCTCATAACTCAGTCTCCGACTCGAGTTTTTACAAACACATTGATCTCGACTTGGACGAGCCCGAGCGCGTCCGACAGCTCCTGACGTGGTGCTCGGCTCGCGCAGCATCTTCCTATGCAACTTCTCCGCCAAGTACCTCGATAGCGTCTTCGTCGACCGCGTCACCCCCATCGAAACTTCCCGTACTTTCCGCCGTCGGCGCGACTGCTATTAAGAACGTGCAAGATAGCATGCTCCGGATGCTCGCTGAGAAGAAGATTCCGATTCGGTTGTACTCTAAAGATGAATCGAACGAACCTGATGATGGTAGCCATAAGAAGGAGAATGCGCAGAATACGAAGAATCGGCAATGGGAGACGACGTATAGTTCACAGATACAAAGGTACGGACTCACGCGTTTGAAATTACTTCCTCGCCGACGGATCCCCCTTCATGCGACAGAGCTCGGCAAGAAGCAGATCGTTGGAATCATGTCGACACATTCTATGAGGACTACCTCAAGCGCATAACGCCTACCGATTCACAATCTCCCTCCACCCCGTCCTCAAAGTCGAAAGGCAAGCAGCGTGCCTCGGACGACGATATTGACGAGGACGACGACTGGAAGATAAGAGAACACGCCCTTCCTGAGACCCTCAGATCCGGATTAGATCTTGCTAAGGCCGTCTTGTCTCAAATGAAGACGCGTGGAAAGGGAGAGAAGCGGATCGTCGGGCCAGCGTCGACGTATGCAGCACATATACGGGAATGCGAAGAAAGGGAGGCGGAACTACGGCGGCAGGAGAAGGACCTGGAATTCAACCTCGATATGATCAATTCCTTCCTCAATACGGCCAGGGAGACGACGAATATCGCAGAGGCGACTCTCGACCAGCGGTTTGCTTTGCTTTCATTTAGCCTGGCATCACGCTCGAATCCCATGCCCCCGGAGTCTGCTGGGACAGGACATTTGCTATCGAGCTACGTCCCGCGCGAGTTGGGAGGCATCGTGTCGGGTGGTAGTGCGGACCCGCAGGAGCTCATGCGGGCCTTGGCCAATGTCGACCGCGAGCGTCCTCCCAGTCAGGTTGGCGACGCTGCTCGGCGTGCTGTCAGAGAGGTGCAACGAGCGGAGGAGAGGGGTGCTGGCATTGGCGAACGGCGGCTGACTGGGGTACCGATGGTACCAACGACGCCGAGGAAGATGCCCGGTACACCAAGGCGAGCGACTACTCCTGGTCGGGGCACCACACCTGGGCGGGACAGGGAGTATCGATGAGCACAGTTGGTACAGGTTCCTGTTTCGGGCTGAGGTATATCGACACCGTCAACTATAGTTTATTCTTTCTCCTCCTTTGGGTGCCTCATCTATATGTTCGTTTGTAATATTTGTATGTAGATGTAGACTTGTATACCTGATCCGACGCTCAGCCCCATTATTCGAGCTCGTAACATCGCTTCATTCAACCGTGACATTCATTGAGCGCCTAAACAAACGTTGACGCACCGAGGTGGTGTATCATCACCTGTGTCACCGTCTACCACGTCGCGGGCGCTGTTTCATCCTTCACTTCCTTACCACCATGACATGTTCGCGGGCTGTCTTCCGATGCTTTAAATCTCTCGAACGACTAGGCGATAGAATAACGGGTGCGGCAGGACCGTACTTCGTTGGCCTTGCGGTCATCTTAATTGGAATTGGCACGATATGTTTCTGTGAGTAGTTCGACTCCCCGATTTCCAGAGGATTGAACGCAAATATCGCAGTCGACGTTGTGCTTCCTGGTCTACAGTGGCCCTTAATCAGCTGGCCGCTGTGCATTATTATTGCTCTCAACCTCCACATGCATTACTTCTACGTGTGCACCGTGCCGCCCGGTTTCGTAGAGGATCCACCTAGAAGTGTACCGGAGAGCTTTCTATGGGCTAAAAAACCGCAGAAGAAGAGGGCTTTGACAAGCGGCGTCAGTTGGAGTGCTGGCGACTCCGTCAAGATAACGAAGGCGGAAGCCTCGAAGTGCAGGAAGTGCGGAACTAGACCTGAGGTAAGTTGTGAGGAGTTTTGTTTCGCATTGTCGCCGTTGCTGAGTTGTCGTCGAGAGAACACATCATTGCCGAGTTTGCAACCGCTGTGTGCTGAAGTACGACCATCATTGTCCCGTGAGCCTTAACCTCCTTCGTTCGAATGCATTGACCTAAGACACGCTACGCGCAGTGTAAGCGTGCAAAGAATTTGATTGGTGTTTTCTTACTTCAATTTCGCTTAAGGGATCAACCAGTGTGTTGGCGTTCATAACGAACGCCATTTCGTGCTATTTATGTACGTACATCCTTTCCCTCCAACTTCACGACACGAAGTTCAATAAACGTTAGGGCGTATCTCGTTCTGTCTACATTTTGCTTTTCGACGCTTGGATATCCATACATTCTCGATGCACTGGGAGTCAACTACATGGTAATGCTTTCTGCTGCAACTCGTCCTTCTTGCTCATCCTGCTTTGCAGCGAGAATGGCCACACCATGTCCCAGAGCTCGCCTACATCTTGACATATATTCTTTCTGTCGTGCTATGCTTCGCCGTGGGCATTATGCTCTCATATCACCTTTGGACTATTTCAAAAGGCGAGACCACCGTCGAGACTCACGATCACGAGCACTACTCTAAGTTAGCAAACAGTCGAGGAGAGGTAAGACCTACGTATATATCCCTCTACTCTAAGTGCTCATACAACCATCAGGACTTCGTCAACTCGTACGACCTTGGGTCAGTGTCTTTTCCAATGTACCCTACTAGGTCTGAGGGCTGAGACGAATTTCCGGCAGAAAAATCATGAACCTGAAACTATTCTTCAATATCTGGGAGGGTGGCTAGTACGTCGTGTCTGCCTACTTTAGGCCACTCCTCACGATATCGTAGCTCGTTTACCACTCTGTTGCTACCTCTTCGAGTGCCGCCGTACACTGATGGCCGGCATTGGGCTCGCCGGCCTGGATATGAACATCACTATGGACTTAAAATCGGCGAAGAATTTACCGATGAAGAGGACGAGGAGGAGTAGGGCTAGCCCCGATACATTATTCGCCTATCTACCTTACCTCGTTGCTACGGAACGATTTAGCCGTAGATGTGGTGCGTCCCTCCTCCTTACTGTCTTCTTCGTGATGAGACTTGCCGGGGCCATATGATGAGTTGAAGGACCATACCATATGCTTATGCGTACAGCTATGGTCCTTGGATACTCGGTGATCTATGTCCGGCTTACTAGTAAACAACTCTCCCTGATCTTGCGTCTAACACCTGTACCCGTCTATATATATATCAATGCTGACTTGTGTTCCTGCAGATATATACTATTATACCAAGGCGAAGTATAGGATACCATTAAAACTATCTAAATCCTGTGTACAATGGTCGGATCACGGTCATAGCAAATTCTCGCCTAACAAGCTGTATCAGCAACTCTGCTCTTGGTGACTTTTCGAGGACTTACCAAATGCTGAACGGATCAGTTTGCACGCCACGTCGACTGTCTTCTTGGCACTGACAGGATCTGTGAGTGACGGGTTGACTTCCTGTACACCCGTCAGGTTGGTTCGCGATCATTGTTAGCAACACAAAAAGCTTACCACGAGGTCCATCCCGACTAGCTTGCCCGTCTTCGCAACAGCCTCGCAAATATACCTTCCTTCCCTGAAGCTCAGGCCCCCTTCAACAGCTGTACCAGTACTTGGTGCAAAAGTGGGGTCCAGAGCATCGATGTCGAAGCTCAGGTGGATTGGGCGGTCTCCTTCGGGGTTGATGGCACTCAAGGCCATCTCTACGACCTTCCCGATACCATACATGTCCACATGATGCATACTAAATGCTGTGATCCCGTATTGTTTCAGGGTCTCCTTCTCGCCATCTTCGATGTCACGAAGCCCGATGTAGGCAATACGAGAAGGATCCAATCTTCCTTTCGCCCAGGAGTATTCCTCCATTTTTGACAGGCCCAGAAGGAAGGATACCGGCATCCCATGTAGCCACCCTGAATAATCGCACGTTGGTCAGTTGCTGTCTGACTCTGCATTGGTGTTGAATTTACCTTGGATCGTAGTCTCCGGTGTATTGATGTCCGCGTGGGCGTCAATCCAGAGGACACAGAGGTCTGGGTGCGCTTCTATGGTGCCTCCAATGGTTGCCATTCCCTGCGAATAGCTCTGATCAGCACCTCGGAGCTGTTGTATCTTCGCGAAGGAAGACCCACCAATGAATGGTCCCCGCCTAAGGTGAGCACAATGTTGCCAGCTTTGGCATGGTCTTCAACGATGTTGTAGACCTTTTCGCAGGCCTTGGAGACCAAGCGCGGTCGTCTCATACGACCGATTTTGGGGTCCTTGGATTCGTTGATTTCTTCAGTGATATCGTCGAAGCTGATATGCCCATCGAAGTTGATATTGTACCCGAGTTTATTGAGGTCCTCTATAAGCCCGGCTCGAACAAGATGAACTGGTCCATCCTCAACTCCCGCTTTCCCCTGCCCGCCCCTAATAGAGAACAATTAGCCTTCTTTGACTGCGCTAGACTGCGGTGTCAGGTATCGTACCTAAACCGGCATCCGAGAACCTACAATCAGGCAAACCAGTCGTATTCAGCTATTTTATTCCCATTTTAAGCCTCGCACATACTGTTAACGGTTTCTGCTGCTTGGTTTGAATCGCCATCGTTGTGAATAGTCGGTACTGGTAGTGAACAGCTGGTGTGTGGTATTTCTGAAGAGGTACTATAGGAAGCTGTCTCTCCTCTCTATAAGTATTCCTCAGGCCACCTACTTTGGGCAAAAGCAGAAATGCGAGTCATGAATCACCACGCATTGATCATTGCGCAAGCCGAGATCCCCAACAGCTTCACGGATTCTGCGTACAGCTTGAAATGCAGTTGGCTGCCGCTTTCCGTTTCCCCGAATGAAACACTGAATTTTGCCTTGGAACACAATTCCGAGTGGCTGATGGCAGGTATCCAATCGCATCTTATCAGAATCATTTGTAATGATATGGAGAGTTTCTATGTAAAAAGTCTAGATGTACGATAGGTATTGCTGCTAGATACACGGTGTACTGCATAATTATAGGTAGATATATCGTTCCATTAATACATTGGGTTTCAAGTGTGTGTCCAACTCGGAAAGCAATACGACAACAAGCACGATGAACGACTGAACAGCTTCTTGCCCTACAACTGCTCTTGAGGGCGCAAGGTCAACAGCTCCATAGCAGATTTGAGAACTTTCTCCGCACACCCGAACATGAAGAGCTGGGCCGTTGCCGTTGCCGTCGCCTCACTTTCGTTGCCACGAGTTCCGGCAGTGTTCAACAGGCGCCTGATGGCGTGGCACAACTCGAAGCAAAAGTTGACAACCTTGCAAGGTTCGTTCGTGGCTATGGTGGTGTGAATAATGTCCGGGTACTTTCCGAGGAGGAATACGAGGCGGTGAACCAGTGGGCCCGTTAACAGGTCGGTGTCGACACCTTGGGGGTTAACTGGGAGCAAATGTCGGTTCCGCCGCCGCAGAGCAACGAGCCGAGAATATACGAGTTGTAGTAACAGCCCGTTGTCGCCTTTGTGGACAATTGATTCGAGGTTCTCGGCATCCACGCCATAGTTCTTGATTCTGAGAGAGCCAACCGTCAGCAGTGTGACCAATAGGCCGTATAATGCGTTACTCACTTTCTCCGTGAGAAGTCGGCAATTTTAAGAAGAGATATTGCAAGCTCTTCAGCGACTTTGTCGGGATTAGGGATGGAGGCGTAGCGCTGGGCGTCTTTACGCAATAGAATATGTACTGCGTCTTCCACCTGGGAGATCGCGTCATCAAGCGGTAGAACGTTGCCCTTTCGGGTTGAAAATTTGGTAATACGCCCAGCAGCGTCCTTTGGACCATGGACGAGACCATGGTTGACGTGCTCACATTGGCCGGCCCAAGGGAACTCCATCAGCTTAAGAATTCTGATCACCCGCGCCATATGAACGTCTTGCTGCGACGCGACAACATAGACCATTTTGTCAAATGAGTATGCCTCGCTGCGCCTCACTGCTTCAGCAATATCCCTGGAAAGATAGATAGAGGTCCCGTCTGGAAAACGGAAGTTAAAGGAGCGCGTCGTGTGAAAAGGATTTCCACTCACTTCCTTTCCGCAAGACACCCTTGTTGAGATTCCATGGTGTGAGGTCGACCACCTTCGCAAGGCTACCTTCTACCGGAGTAATATAGCCTAACCCCTCGAGCACTTCCACTGACTTATCTTGCCAGTCTTGCCCAACCTCGCTCTCGGCAGCGTAAACATCGAAATGGGCGTTGAGTTGTTCGTAGTCCTTGCCATATCGTGCAACGGTGAGCTCGCGCCAATGTCTCCACAATCCTATCGCTTCTTCGTCCATGTCCTCCATCTTCTTGAAAAATGCAGCTGCCTGGACCTTGACATTCGGGTCCGTTTCGGCATCCTTCGTAATGTTGACATAGACCTCGAACAAGTGTTTGCAGGGGTCCCTGCGAAGCGCTTCATCGGATCCATACTTTTGAAAGCCAACGGCGATCATGGCGAACTGTGTGCCCCAATCGCCAAGGTAATTCACTGCGGTCACTTTCCATCCTGACCGTAGGTGGAGGTTTCGAAGGAAGGCGCCAAGGATAGTAGGACGAAGATGGCCAATGTGGAATGGCTTTGCGATGTTCGGTGATGAGTACTCTACGATCATCTTCCGACCGAGTCCTAGATCACTGAAGCCATAGTTTGCAGTCGCAGCAATGTCTGTAAGCACGGCAGACACAAGGGTCGAAGTAGAGCATGTAAAAATGGCGAAGGCGTTGTTTATGACCACTGAAGAGATGATGTCGTTTCGCTGGAACTACGAATATATATATATCAGTCATTGCATTCAGGATAAGAAGGGAGGTCTTACTCCAGCTAAAATCTCAGACTCGATAGGGCCGAGATGGCCGAGGCCGAGAGCACGAAGGGGGAGAATAAAGTCTCCTCCTCGCTTGTTGTAGAAGACCTTTGCGTAGACCGAGAAGTAATCGACGCAAAGCAAGGTTGAAAGCCGTCTTGCTATGAATTCGCGGCACTTGCTAAGGTGTCCAGTTGGGGACTCTACTGTCAAAGCGGGTGGACTTGAATCGCCGCCCTCATTCCTAGCGAGCTCCTTTGCCGCGTCCGAGGTGAGAGTAGGATCGTCAAGCCCGGCGTCGCTGAGGTCCGTCCGTGAGGAAGCTGGAGATAGATGAGTGTCGCAGTCCGTATGGTCTGAATCATATCGCTCGGAGTCGAATGAGCTCGATGACTCGATACTTGGACTTGGTGAAGTTGACCGTTGCGGCCAGTTGGTGTACGGATATAACATAGTAGGGTCTTTGGGAGTATAGGCCATTGTTGATAGGAGAGGCGATTGCTGTCTTGAAATACTGCTGCTGAGCTTCAGCTTTATACCATGACTAGGAGTGATTCCTTAACCGGAGCTAGTTCCGTAAGTGAACCAGAGTGAACCGTTTGCATGCCAAAGTGTACAGGAGTCACTCACTCTACTGCCAATCCGGTCCATGGGAACAGCTACGGTCGGTCCGTTCCACCAGCATCTCACAGCAAAGCGGACAAAAGAGCTTGCATTTTAGAAATGAGGAGTCCTCCGTCCGTGGGTTATCGCCGCTCATTGCTGGCCATACATTCCAGAGGTAATCTGATAGCATCGTAGTCGCCATTCTGTTTGAATGATCAACCACCCAACGCACTGACACAGCATAGCTACGAAGCGGTTTGGAGTTTGAACCGGTCGTTCCGAAATTTTTTGCATGACGGTACTTGCGGGAGCTAACGCGCCTCTATGATCTCGCAGAGATTCATTGATTAGATAACAATTGTCCTCAGGGCACACAAAAAACATTGACCGCCTGCCACGACACTAGGGTGACATATACAGCCGGAGCTGCCCGCAGGCAGCAGCTTACTAGCAACCCCCAAAGTGGGTAAAGGAACGATGTAGAAGTCTAGAAAACCGGTAAAGATGATTGGTGGCTGAACTTGGGCTTGATGAGTCAGTAGTCACCGCCGAAGACCACGCTCTGCCAATGGACGACAATGGAACAATCGCAGCGTAGTCCTACCAAGGCTCCAATAGAACGTAAACGAGAAAAAAGAGAAAAACGTACCCTAACGCTGAAATAACGGATCACACCTTTAACTTAATTCACGACTAGCCTTGATCGCCGAATACTCTATCGACCGTCTATTTTCTTCCAAGGTCCTTTCGGTTCGAGATGAGAGACTGCGGTTCAGTTGAGACTGCTTCGTTTCCGTTAGCACGCAGACATCGACGTCGTAGAGTCGTCTCGCGCGCTTAACCTAACATATCGATAGATCATCATTTACTACTTCAGCATCCATCATAATGAGTTCCGCATCAGCTAACCCGTCCGTAGAACATCGGATATGTTTTGCTCGACACGGTTGTGTTGAAATTGACCAAATGGCCATCCATACCAGCGTTCAGCTGTTCTGCGTGCGCTAACACCTTGCAAAGGCGTTCGTTTGGCGATAGTACACGGAGGCTGAGCAAGGAAACGTCTTGATCGGCCTCGGCTTCGGTGGAGGATCCCTCCTAGTGCCAAACGACAGTGCTGGTGAAGCAATGCATGGAACGGTTAGCAGCTCTATGGATCAAGAACTGATTCCAATCGTCACATCACCGATTTGCATAACCAAGTAGACGTATCGCCACCTATCTATACAATTAAAACATATTGACCCGCATGCTGCCCCGTGGCAACAACGCAGCATAACCTAGGAAACTGAAGGGGAAAAGCAAGAAAGCCACACTCTCGCGAAGCCCGAATCGGATGACACGGTGAAGTTGAGAAACTTGTGGAGGATGTGAGATTGACGAAAAATGATACACGTATGCTGGGCAACGTGTTGGATTTAGCTGAGAGTAGAGCAACGGCTACGATGCATCCGCGAGCTTGTGCTATGTCTTTGTTTCAGCGTAAATGAAGCACGCCGAAATGTGCAGCTGGAAGCGAAGAGAAAGGGATGCCAGGCGCCGTACCACGTGACATGTTGACATACAGTAAATGTATTACTCTGTATTCCTCCGGCCTCTGAGCACGACGTTGTATCCTTCAGGTACAAGGATTAACGACTTGCGGTGTCCAGATGAAACTGCGGGCAACACTACGCGAGAAGGGCCCTCAACAGGGAATATCTCATTCCTCCTGGTTGCTCGTATCAACCTTGAATCACTTCAACCGCAAGTTCAATATCAGAGAACAGCGCTTACAGCTTCTCTCTGCAACCTCCAAGATCTCTGGGAATGACCATATCGCGAAATATGTCATCGAAGATGTCTGCCAAACAAACTTGGCTCGCGAAGGAGGAGAAGGTGTTCCTCCGGCATGTTAGCAACAAGACGCTGGTCAGCCCACGACCAACTCCAGGGGCTGGCAGAGTTTTTGGGCGGTGGGTACACCGCTTACACGGTTTACACGGTTGACAGGAAGAATTTGTCTGACATACCTCAGGATGACGGAGACAGTTTGCTCTGCGCTGCTGTGGCTGGGATGAAGCTGGATTACTGTCAATGAGTGAGCCCAATGATGGGGCGATACACGGTTGAAGGTTGCTGCCTTTGCCAACTGAACACCCTAATACGTACTCAATCGTCAAGCTGCGTCCGACAAGCTCGTTGTATGGTGACGACGATGAGTTGTCGCATAGCTAACGAATGATCTACGCAGAACAATCAATAACAATGGCAGTATTCGATCCCAGGATCCTCTCCATTCGGTGATTCTCTGAATGAAATGGACGACCCCGTCCATCGAGTTCAGGCCCTCCAGCGATTTGGGGCAGTTGCGCCGGTCAGACACATCCCGCGGTCATGATGCAAACCGAGGTCAAGATGTAAACCGAAATCCTGTGGAGATAGTACCGCTTCAACAAGCGATTCGTACGGACTGCACCGTATGCTAGATGCTCTTTGACGGAAATAATATGCTCTTACAGCACACAATTGTGGGTGGTTCCACCTCGTGCGCCGTCCTTCTTCCTGCCTCTACTGCAAGGAACATTCGTTACTGATACTCGATCATATATAGGACTTCCTCTTATCGCATTGGTCATACTTCAAAGAGCTTCAGTCGACTGTCAGGCATCAAAGCCAGCGTCAATTGCATTTAGCGCTGGCCGAACTGGATGGACTCCAATTCCGAGGGTTGAAACTCTTGAGAGATACTGCATGCCCTTGCATTGTTCCAGAAATGGAGACATTGAAGATTGCGTGCTTGCGGGGAGTGCGGATGTTCCGAGCTCAACGAGAAGAGCCCACTGCGATGAAAGAAGAACATCTCCAACCGGTAATATGATCTCTGCTGCCGTTCTGTGAACATAGAAGGTCACCGTGAGTGCAGAAAATCGAACTCCATTTTACGTCGCTGACGAATAGCGTTTGCTCCGTTAGCTCCACCTGCTGCCACCACCTTGATTGTATATCACCAAAGCTCGTGCCATGTGTGTTATCTCTTGTCGGCGCTTTGACTGAGCTCCCTCCAGTGCTTAATTGCATTTCACGATAGGATGGACTGCTGAACTTTCGTGCTCTCACTCCTACGGGACTAAGCCAAATCAAGTAACTCAATTATGGACATGACGTTAGTACTCCCTCGGAACCCAGGTGGCCAGGGCATAGCGTTCGACCTCTCATAAGCATTTCCGAGCTTAAAGTTGCTCACCAAGCAGAACGCAGTTCTTACGTCGCGTTCAGGCGTCGCGCGCCAGTACGCCTCACGAACGGACCGATCATACAGGCTGAGTCAGCATTCCCTTTTACAGCTCCCGGCGACTCTCAGCTAACCTTCGGACGGTTTTGTATCGAAGACTGGAATCCTGTGAGGATGCAAAAGATATAAAGAACGATGTGGAAAAAACTGACTCACCAATATCCCCCCATGGCCCCAACTCTTTCACTCCCTACTCTCGCAGACGACGCTGCTAAGGGTATCTCCGAATCCCCGTTGGCCTCGAACATTGGTTTTGGCCACTCAATGCTACAGTACTTTTCATTTGAGCCCGGATACATCAACCTCAACAATGGTAGGTGCTAGCTTCGCTCCTCTCCGACTCTGCGACTGACTTAAGTGCGCGAACAGGTTCATTTGGGTCCCTCCCCAAGCCGGTGGCTGAGTTTTGTGTGCAACATGCTGCCAGGGTTGAAGCGAATCCGGACAGATATCATCGTCTCGAGTTTGCGGAGCTCCTCACAGCTGCGCGCGCTCGTGTTGCCAGACTGATCGGAGCAGACACGGACGAATGCGTGTTTGTTCCGAGCACCACTGCAGGCATCAACACAATCCTACGGAACATTGAATGGAGTTCAGGCGATGTAATCATTAAATGTAGGCATGATTAACCATTCTCTCCCGAGAAATGCTGATTTACTTGCAATAGTCTCAACAACTTATCAAGGGGTGGAACGGGTTGCTAGATACATAGCCGACACTCATTCCGAAGTGACGCTATCAACCGTGGAGTTGACATTTCCCATCTCTCATCAAGAGATTGTAAAACGCTTCCGAGAACACGTTGTTGGGGTCAAGGCAAGCTGTCACAGCTCATCGAGGGTCTACGCCATAATCGACTCGGTCGTATCGCACCCGGGTGTTGCTTTGCCCTGGAAACAGATGACCCAAATCTGTCGCGAAGAGGGCGTCTGCAGCATTATTGACGCAGCCCACTCCATTGGCCAGGAGATGAACATAGATCTGGCATCTGCGCAGCCAGACTTTTGGGTATCGGTACGTTGATTGATCAATTGTTAGACCTTTAAGATTAGCTTGACTCATTCCAACCAGAACTGCCACAAATGGCTTTTCGCCAAACGTGGTTCTACCGTTTTATATGTGCCGAAGCGGTGCGTGTTGGCTAGCTAAACTGATATCTATGCATTCTGATTATGTTGTCGTAGGAACCAACACATCATCAAGTCTGCGCTGGTAACATCCTGGGACTACCCCTCCCCTAAGGAGTCTGCTCCTGCTGCGTACGATACTGGTTTCGTTCTCCAACATGAATGTACGTGCATTTCATCTTATCTCCTTGCCGGAGCTTGTGTTGATCGAGCGACCCTTCTTTTCTCAGGGCCGGGTGCGATCGACTTTTCGCCTTACCTGAGTGTCTGTGCTGCGATGGACTTCCGCGAGAAGATCGGTGGCGAACAGGCGATCAACGACTATTGCCACAAGCTGGCACTGGAGGGCGGCCGGAAATTAGCTTCTGCTCTTGGAGGTTGTGTCCTCGACGAGTCACCTTCTGCGGATTTGACACTCAACATGGTATGCATGACTCGCATTCCATGCTTCTCGTACGTCGTTGCTAACATTTAGCCTCAACAGGTGAATGTACAACTACCGCTTCCTCCGACAACATCGAAAGAGCTCCAGGGAAAGATCGATAGCTTTCTGGAATACGAGCTGTTACATAAACACAACGTATCCTCCGTGCACTTCTGCCACGGTGGTTCGTGGTGGGTGCGCTGCAGTGCTCAAATTTGGAACGAGGTGAGTAATAGGTGATACGACCTTTGATGCAGTAACTGACTCAGTCCTCAGGTTTCTGACTTCGAGTACCTTGGCAAAGCTCTGAACAACGCGTGTCAAGAGGCTAGATCGAAGTTCTTCGCGGACTAGCGATGCTTTCCCAGACTCAGTCATAGAAACCACGCCCAACTCTGAACATACGGACTATATTTAATCCTCTCTATTGATTACCCATTATCACTACTCTAATATTTAACTCAACACCTCCTTATATATTATATACTGCTTCTCCAAGGGCTCGCCCCTCCCGTGGTGGACTGCGGGCATTACAACGCGTCGTCTTGCGGTTCAACGTTCCGAATGAAATGCACCGCGAGTCATATTCGCTCGAAGGGAAATAGAAGCGTGTCGCGTCCAGGTCGCGTCCTTCTCCGAGACCTCCAGGCTGAGACGTTAAGGATGGGCGGTGCCGATGACACCCAGCCTGAGCGCTGTAGTAGCGCCCGGTGAGAATTCGGCGACGAAGTAATCCTTCTTCTTCCACTCCCTCAATTCCAAGCTTCTCATCGATCCAAGGAGGCTACAGGCTTACACTCAAGCTGTTCTATATCCCTACTATCCATACAAGTATGCTAAGCACATGTTTACCGCCTTCCAGGGTTTTCAGCGAAGTCTACCGCACCTTGGCCGTATCTGGCGGTCTGAGTACACTTTGCCCCGGACAGTCTGCCTCATGGCAAGTAGACAACAGCCAGCTGTTCCTGAGGAGTCTGGAGGGCCCACAACGACCACCGCTCGGAGCTCAGGCTGTAAGTACCATCTTGAGAACTGAGTTCAACTCGACTGATGGTCCACATCTTGACGACCGAAACGGTACAGCTAGCCTGAGTATATGATATCCTGTCACAGACAAGTAGTGCATCCTCCGGAACGGGTTCTGCTGTCGCCGTCTGCCGTCTCAAGAGTCCGCGCCCGTTGGAAGGCGGAGGACTGCAGGCTGTGGCTGTGCAGACAGCTGACATCATAAACTTGAAGTGATTTCCCATCGCCAACTCAGCACTTTCAATCATGACCGCAAACGAGCAGCTTTCAGAAAGCTTCATCCAGGACAGCTTTCACAGCTATTTAAAATCATCTCTCACACAGGCCAAACTCGAGAAGCTCCTTGACGCAGATGTGCTCAGCAGTGCAGAGGGTGATCTGATGATCACAGGTATGCGATAGATGAATGTCATGTCGTACGGGAGCTAGATTGTTTACGCGAGTTCTACAGGACCCGCTCTGTGCCTCTACTTTGCTGCGTTGCGATGCACGACGAACCCCCCTTCTGTGCCGTTGCCTCGGTCCAAGACCTCGCCACATATGGATCTATCGCCTTCAAACTGCCCGCCTGCTTTTGTCGGGTTCCTCCGTGTTTGGTCAAACGTTGTCCAACCGATCCAGTCCCTGGTGCCAGAACAGCAGCACGACCTGGCTCGTATTATTTGTGGGCTCGAACCAATTTCGCAGCAAGTTAACCCATCTATCAATGGGATTGCTGCGGACCTCCGTGCAGTAGCTATTGAAATCAGTCAACGGCGGAGCTTTCAGAATCGATACGCATCTGATTTGCAAGCTGCTTTGGACTCCGGTGCTGGGCAGAGTGACCCAAGGAGCAGGAAAGCGTCGTTTGTCCCCCCTCCATCATACGAAGCTGCTTCACCACCGCCTTCCCCTCGGCGATCGCACGACGAAGCCCCACCACTACCGAAACGAACCTCCGCCCAGTACGCCGATAAGACTTTACCTGTCCCGTCCTCATCGCTGCTTTCGCCAACCTCTTCAATATCGAGCTTCGCATCATCAACTTCCTCGACTCCATCCATATTAACACCAGAAACGCCTGCCATCGAATTGATCCGTGAAACCCTTTACGCAGCTCTCGGTGATGTCCTCGAGAGTCATTCATCCCTTCGCAAGCTTCTCAAGCGCGATGCCCCTCGGGCGTATTTTGCCTCAGTAGGCTTTGCCATCTTGTACACGGCTGAAAACGCCATTACCCCAGATGGGCAAGGGATAAGAGGTGTCCTTGGAACCACATTGACGCTAGACGAATGCCCTACAGAATTGCGGCCATTTATGACCGAACTGCTAGGTATCGGCTCGCAGGCGAAGAGTATAACGGAAGACGACGACACCGAGGCGATGAAGCTCATAGGGGAAGGAAAGGAGGTACCCCTGCCGAGACTCGAACGAGCGAGGAAGATGCTCGAAGAGGGTGTTGGCTGGTCGTCTGAACGAAATGCGAATGGCGAAGGGCGTCGGAGTGTAGAGGGACGAGCCGTTGCTTTTGTCAACAGGATCAATGGCCTGGCTCTGGGGATGTCACGCTTGCGTGCCTTCAGAGAGAGGCAGGATGACGTCTTCAAAGTGCTGGCTGGAATTACCTCGTAGGCTGGCCGTGTCCAGACCGCAGAAGTGGCTATCAATATACCAAATATTTATATATTTCTACGTCCGTCGCCAACCTTGACTATGTGTTGTTCGTAGTCTCGCTTTGCAATATTCGTACCTTATCAACTTCGTAACTCAACGGACACTCCCTCTCAGCTATGCAACATATCAATGCGATTACTATTTAATAGCCGAGTCTTGCAGATATTATAGTAGCCGCAGAAAACGCAGGTACTCGAAAGACATGAAAATTCTAGATAGAAGCGTGGCCTCTGGGCTCGAAGGGCAGGAGTAAAGCAATGAAACCGGCCGCGCAGAAGATGGCACCAGCAATAAAGACAGGGATATCCGAGGTCAAATCAGCGTAAATGGCAATGATAGGTGACTGTTTGATCATTCACGTCAACATCACTCCCTCGGTAGGACGGATACCGTGAGATCCACTCACCATGATACCGAAGATGCGGTTGGCCGACGCAGTTAATGCATTGCCGGTACCCCGATCTTTTGTGGGGAATACTTCGGGGCTGAGTGCGTATAAAACGCCGTACATGACGTTGCTGGTGAAGCTATACCCGCAGTTCCATCCCAGTAGGGCGTTGGAGGAACGTGCCGTGGTCGATGCCAAGATGAATGCGCCAGTGAGTACTAAGATGATCAGGTCAGTGTCGTGCATTGTGTGTCATGCAGGGTAGTTTACTTACCGGTTGAAATGGCGAGAGTGCCCCGGCGTCCTAAGTACGGAAGCTCGACGAGCCACCCGGCCAACAAAGCACCTGGTACCCCGATGACGCTCAGAATTACTTGCTGAAAAGGCAACCCTATCAGTGATGTGTCAGGGAAAGAAGACAAGGACCTACGTTTCGGTAGGTGATGTGGACAGATCCATCGCCAAAGTCAGCCCCTCTGCTGTCTAAACTGGGATAAAAGAGAAGTAATGTGAGCACGGCGAGTCTCCAGTGTGGGAGGAGATCCAACGGACTAGTATGTGACGAAGCTGTTGTACCTGATCGATAGAAGCGTTAATGTAAGGAGTGGAAGGAAGCGTGATTGACGCATAGACTTACAAAGGAAATGCCAAGCCGATTAGAGCTACAAATAAAAGTGTGGTGAGCCCCAGAGGTGCCTTCGGAAAGATTACGGATGATGGCGCTCACCCCATAAGATAATCAGCAGACTTGTTGAATAAGCAAGCTTGCGTGTGGCGAACAGAGACTTGACGTGCCCGGAACTGAATTTGGAGAGATGTCTGCGTAGGACAGCGATGGCCGAGCTATCCACTTCAAGATCCCCCTCAACTGCCCGGGCGGTTTCGAGCGCGCCTGCTGATTTCAATCGTTCAACCGTTAGATGGGACACCTTCCCGTTCGCCTTGGCGACCTTGTGAACCACCTCGACCGCCTCTTCATCGCGCCCACGGCCCATAAGGTACTTCGGGCTTTCGCAGAGTTTGAATAAGAAGAAACGTATGGCCCAAAGGAACATCACTGCACCCTTCATATTGTCTCTTCGGCTGTCCCCGGCTTCGTCTCCAGCAACTGTTCTATAATGAGGGTAGTTCCATGTCGTGCCTCGGGCATAGTTATCATACTGCTTGCTGCTCTCCCTCTTGATCCATAGATGAGCATCTAGAACTTAATCCTACAAACGCCACATCACCCTGGTACCATAGTCTGCCATGATTGCGTTGCTCGACAATCAATCGAATTGATCGATCTCGTCAATGTAGGCGTTGACCATGCAGTCCCCGGTAGGCCGCATGAGGCCAGGATCTCTGGTGTTTCCGACCTTGTTTCCGACCTTCGCATCCTTCACATATCATTCCACAAACGGCAGCATTTTCCCCTGTACTTACCTCATCGTTGAAGGAATCAGGACCATGTCCACTCATATGCTTGGCTCCTTATCGATGTCGGTGTTTTGTACACTCCTTATACTTTGCGTGTACGTTCATCAAATGTTCACGACCCTCCTTTGTGGCTCCAGACCGAAGGTTTGGGGGGTCTGAGCTTCAATCTGTACAACCTTCGACTACACATGACCGGTGACATATAAAGAGACCGGAAGGAACTTACTGCCTTGAAGCGTCCAGCTCGCCACATTTAAATGTTAACGGGGTGCAGCCTTCGTAATTTGAGTTGTTTTGCTCCGTTACGTGGCACTCTACTAGGCGCCTCGATTTGTTCCCTAATCATTTCCCTTTTACGGCAACAGACACTAGATAACCGGTCCTAGACCTCGGGGCTACATAGCTCAACAATAATCTAGCAGCGATGTCGATGTCGCGAGTCCCCCCAAATACCGACGCTGCCGAAGGATGGTCGGATGCCGTGACGTTTGGAAGCAGGATTGGCCCAAGGGTTTGTTGTTGAGGCTTGCTCATGTGTCTTAATAATATTTCCAGATCGCCTCAGTACATAATCACTTGAGACGCCCCAATTTTAGTAAGATTCGCAGTCCTCTTTTTGTGCCGACGGCTGAAGCTAAAGGCAGGATGGGGAAGGGTATTCTCCTGTTCGCCTCGTCTGATTAGACTACATTAAAGCAAGCTAGAGGCAATATGACAGAAATGAATTTGAACCACATGCAACACATAGAAAAGACGGTCATAATTACTATATACAACATCGAGCGTGGCAGACAACCAGGCGGTAATACAGCTCCAGACATTTCCTTCTAGGCCACTAACATAATACAATCCGATAATCAACATCGAAGGCCAGGAAAGGCAAAGAATAAAGCATATCTACAAAACCAACCGCAAGAACGCACAATTCAGTAAAAGCCTGGAATGAGACTATACTTCACTTTCTTCGACCATGCCGTCCACTCTTCCCCGAACGCCTGTCGGAGGATCTCATCCTCATTTGGTATACGCAGGACAAGGCTAACAATCACCGCCATTGCCACCGTCAGCCAGTAGGCCACGGTGATTTGCACAAGGGGGAAATGAATGATGCCGCTCTCCCGGAGCCAAGATCCTTTAGCAGCATTGCTGCAGATAACCCCGATAATGGTCATGATCATGCCCGTATAACTTGGGTGTCGAATGTAGTTGTACGGGCCGGCGGTGATGAGACGATGTCCTCGATGGAGACTGAGCTCGAATGTGAAGAGTTTTCCCAACGTATTGTAGCATGAGACGCGGAGCATCGCGCCTAGAAAGGTGGTCATGCTTCCCAGCAAAGATAACGGTGTAACGGCTACCCTCTCAGCTGAGAGCGCATGTGGAAAACTTGACGTGATGAGAGTGAATTCCATGATGAAGGGCCGTCGGCTCTTAGAGGATAAATAAACCATATTAGTGACGATAGCCATTGCTTCCGTAAGGGCAGTCAACCAGAAGATCGTCTAGACAGTTTGTGGGCGTGAGGAACGTCGCACCAAAGAAGACAATTTGATTTTACCCTCAGGAAGACGCAAGGCCAGGCAAGCTTCCTCAAAAACTCCTCTCTCCAATTTGGAATCAAGCAGCGTTGCTTGGTGGGAGACGGGTTCGGTGGGCTAGCCGTAATCCACATTCCTAATGGTCATAGCAATTCAAAAGTTTGCCCCATCACGACGATGTAAGTAGAAGTCTTACCTGCGACCTCAAGGGACAGACAAAGAAGCCTTGCAAAAGACATGGTGGCGAGGTAAGGGATGTGAGCTTGGGATTGATTTGAATGGAGGTGAACGGTTAACGGGTCCTTTTAAATGAGTTTGTAAAGCACTTCTCTCACACCCCGCGAGGTGACCTAGCTTCGTGGAGAAGCGTTCATGGAAATGAATCGCACTATGTTCCTCGTGGTAGAGAACCGGGATGCCCTGAATTCATTGGTCGCTTGTTTTACGTGGGTTACAACCAGCCGGTCTACCGAGAATTCTCCAAACTGCTCAAGGCAGCGAGGTCATTTTAGGGATGCGCAGGGATGAGCACGGGGATGGAACGACGATACAACCGGGGAAAGCATCTTAGACATGATCGAGGGTAGACAGCGCGTTGAACGAGGAAATCTAGCATCGAAAACCTGATCTCATTTAGGTGAGCAAGGTCAATCAAAGGAATACAGCAAATCGCACACTAATATACTCCGGGAAGGCCTGGTCTGCGCCCACGTTCCCGAGTTTCGCACTGTCACCACTCGTCTAGAATGCGGTAAAGAATCATGCTGTATTGGATGTTAGTAGACGGGAGACGAGTCGCAACTTACAGTTGTCCGGAGCGCGTGTATAACGCGCCACATTCTCTCGCCCACTCAGAAGGTACGTGCCGGGTAATGCCATCGGGAACTGCCATAGTTGCTTCGATGATGATGGCAAAGTAGATTGCATGAGATCTAATCGTCACCGATGAGTGGTTCCTGTTGGCCGTACGTATCTCAACTCTGTGAAGTGCGGTTGGAGCTCCGTAGCTCAAATAGGGAAGGGACGTCTCAGGATGATATGGGTCTTCTGGAATCTACGAGTTCACATGTAGAGGCATGGGGTTACGACGGTTTGGCGAGACAGGCGCTGGCCAGCGATGTCGTTCGTTACGCGTTACGATTGTGCATGGCTTTGTGAGGGCGAGCTAAAAGGTGGAATAATGTTGGAACTCCATCTAGTAACCCCGAAAACAATAGAAGTACTTACGAGAGATAATGTACCTTCTTCGAAAGGAGTTAGCGTGCTTGAGCCGTCCAATATTTCTGATGCCTGCGTCATCGTGCTAATATCACTTCGGGGTCGTTTCCCTGTTGTATCCTTGATGAAGGGCACTTGACCATGATGATGAGAAAATTGCGAACCATAGCAGTACATAGAGTATAGTTTCCGGCAGTTGAACACTACCGGGGACAGTGAGAATACATTCTAGAAGACGTTCATGTCACTGAATGATGCAGCGAAGAAAATCCATGGCACCACGGTAAGAATAGCCTCGGCGCGCGCGAAGTCTCCTCAACTGGTCTTCAGTGGAAAATCGGGGGGCACCCAGTTGGGTGAGCTCCAGGGCCTCCACGGTGCTTCCAACTTCGTGATCCATGGTGGCTGGTGCCGTTATGTCATGCGCGCCCAACCAGCGAAGGTCAACACAAATTAAGATTGGGGACAGCACGCTTCCGAAATGGCGACTGTACGTCTATCCTCTCCCATGGGGCTGGTGGATGTACTTTGAGCCTTTGTCAGGATGAAGCGCTTGGCTTTGGCGATGAATTTGTGGGTCTAGTACCATCCCCATTCACATTAGTGGTGAGTACCTATAGTAATCGTCAATGATCCAAGGTGGGATTGTTAGTAAGGTGTCGTCTACGACGGTTAGATTACCTACACTCTTGGCGAAGAAACGAGCCCGTCTCTTGCCCGTCTTTCATCTTAGCGCATCCTAAATGGGACTGGGAAACGGGGGGAGGCATTTCGTTCCAATTCAGTCGAAGTCAGGATCATCATGAGAGGAAGATGAGAAATAGGCGCCCTTGAGAAGCCTTAGGGCAACAGCGGCAAACAGGATGAGTAATTCCGTGAAGATTCGCAATTGACGAGTTGTGTTCGTGTGCGCTTTCACCTTTACTGGCATGAGCTGGGTCAAAGGTCTGCGAACCGCGACAAACTCGCTATCAAGACCGTCGTTTCACCCATGCTGTCGAAGGGACCTGCTGGTTGAACTCTCCAGGGCAGGTCCTAGTTCGCGCAGAGAGGCTTCCAGTCTTATAACGGCATCGAGAAGAACTCTGCACTATACCTCGTCGGTTTTGGCCAAGCCATCCCAGCTGCTTAGTTCCCCGAGATGGATAAACAATAAGAACGGGGGTAGTGGGGACGACAAACCGGTGGACGGAGAAGATTCGGCGGAGCGGGGGAAGAGTGAAGCAGTGAAGCTGGATTCTTCTGAAGAGGATGGCAGTAGTCCCCCGGGCGCGAATGACTCTGCACCACCGGCTTCTTCATCCTCAGGCTCAGATGACAAACTTCCTCCGACGCCACCACCGACACCACCACCAGATTCTACGCCTCCGAATGCGCCAGGTAAAGGCGCGAGTTCCATCGCGAAACAGTCTGTCCCGGAAATATATCCTCAAGTACTCGCACTTCCCATTGCTCGTCGGCCGCTATTCCCCGGTTTCTACAAAGCTGTCGTTATCCGAAATCCCGCCGTTGTCGCCGCGATTAAGGAGATGATGAAGCGCGGACAACCTTACCTTGGTGCTTTCCTCCTCAAAGACGAAAATACGGACTCGGATATTATCACGGACATCAATTCAGTGCATCCTGTTGGTGTTTTTGCCCAAATTACCAGCATTTTCGCCGCGAATAGCGTTGGTTCTACTGGCGAGGAAAAGGAAGAGGGCTTAACTGCGGTCTTATACCCTCACAGGCGCATCAAGATAACTGATTTGGTCAAGGCCGGGCAAGTTGCACAAGTAGAAGAAGTAGATGAGGCAGAGCCACAGACAGTTGAACCTCCTGCTGCACCGAAGTCGGAGCCAATCACAGGCATGACTATCGTTATTGGCTTTCAGTGTTTTATATTGACTTGAAATCTCTCTAGGTCCTGTTCAGACATCTTTCCTACACAAGCATGCCATCTCTATCGTCGACGTTGAGAACCTTTATACCCAGCCCTACAACAAGGATGACCAATATATCCGCGCCTTCATGTCTGAAATCGTCTCCGTGTTCAAAGATATCGCTCAGCTCAACCCTCTCTTCCGAGACCAGATCACCAACTTCTCTATCAACCAGGTTGCCTCGAACGTCTTCGACGAACCAGACAAGTTGGCTGACTTCGCTGCCGCAGTCTCCACCGGTGAAGTCCAAGAACTCCAAGACGTTCTCGAGTCTCTTGTCGTGGACGACCGTCTCCGCAAAGCACTTTTGGTACTCAAGAAGGAACTGATCAACGCTCAATTGCAAAGTAAACTCAGCCGTGACGTTGACAGCAAGATCGCTAAGCGGCAACGCGAATATTATTTGATGGAACAGTTGAAGGGTATCAAGAAGGAGCTGGGCATGGAGAGTGATGGGAAGGACAAGTTGATCGAGAAGTTCAAGGAACGGGCGGCGGGCTTGAAGATGCCTGAAGCAGCGAGGAAAGTCTTCGACGAGGAATTGAATAAGCTGGCTGGTTTGGAACCAGCGGCCAGCGAAGCCAATGTTACTCGGAACTACCTCGAGTGGCTTACTCAGGCGGGCCCTTACTTTCGTATTTATATCGATTGACAACTGACCTTCTTATAGATTCCTTGGGGGCAACATTCTCCTGAGAACTACTCCATTTCGCATGCACAAACTGTCCTGGACGCTGATCATTATGGCCTGACCGACGTGAAATCGCGCATCCTCGAATTCCTCGCTGTTGGTAAGCTTCGCGGTACCGTACAAGGCAAGATCATCTGTCTGGTTGGCCCTCCCGGTGTTGGGAAGACAAGTATTGGAAAGAGTATCGCCAGGGCGCTCGGACGCCAGTTCTTCCGTTTCTCTGTCGGTGGCTTGACCGACGTCGCTGAGATCAAAGGGCACAGGAGAACATACGTTGGGTGGGTACCGCTTATACTTCCAAGTTGTACGACGTTGACTCGTTTGTAGCGCACTACCAGGCAAGATTATCCAGGCGCTCAAGCGGGTTGGCACCGAAAACCCTCTTGTGCTCATCGACGAGGTCGATAAGATCGGTCGCGGACATAATGGCGATCCTGCTAGTGCTCTTCTGGAGATGTTGGATCCCGAGCAGAACAACAATTTCTTGGATCACTAGTATGTTCGAACTTACTTTTCGGGGAGTCATTTCGCTGATCGGTTTGAATAGCATGGATGTTCCCGTAGATTTGTCAAGAGTGTTGTTTGTCTGCACTGGTACGCATATTTCCACAAGCAAGTATTGTGATCGCTAATGTCCCTTTGTTAGCCAACAATCTCGACACGATCCCAGCACCTCTCCTCGACCGTATGGAAGTATTGGAGGTCTCAGGCTATGTCTCCGAGGAAAAATCTGTCATTGCAGAGAAGTACCTTGGGCCTCAGGCACGGGAGGCATCTGGTCTACAGGAGGCCGATGTCGTGTTGGACAGCGAGGCAATCGACGTCTTGATCAAATATTACTGCCGGGAGAGCGGCGTTCGTAACCTCAAGAAACACATCGACAAGGTGAGTTCAGCTTCTTGCGGCCCGCATTACCAAGCGGAGAGTTAACGAGTGGTGTCCGACCTCAGATTTACCGTAAAGCCGCTTTGAAGATTGTTCAAGATCTCGGTGAAGACGTTTTCCCGGAGCCTGCGGTGCCAAGTGCAGAGGCTGCGATTGGCGAAAAGGATGCCCAAGTTGCGTCTGTGGAATCCCAGGAACCGCCGAGTAATGAGCCGCACACCAGCCCTGTTTCAGCCTCGTCGGAAGAGTCGACCTCGAAATCATCACAGCACGCTTCTGCGATCCCAGCCGATGAATCTGCCCCAGTGTCGACGCCTACAGATCTACCTCCCCCATCCCATGCTGAACGCAAGACCGTCACGACGCAGGAACGTCAGCCCATGAAGGTACCGGAGACTGTGCATATCGCCATAACACCCGAAACTCTCAAGGATTACGTCGGTCCTCCTGTGTATCAGAAAGACAGGATGTACTCGATGCCCCCTCCACCGGGTGTTAGTACCGGTCTGGGTTACTTAGGCAATGGCTCCGGTGCCGTCATGCCTGTGGAGGCCATGGTAACGTCGCTTTTCTTTTGGCTTGAGTATTTTAATTCTAATACACGTGCCGTAGAGCATGCCTGGAAAAGGTGGTTTGCAACTGACCGGTAAACTTGGTGAAGTAATTCGGGAAAGTGCGCAGCTCGGCTTAAGTTGGGTGAAGGGACATGCCTACCAGCTTGGCATCACCGCGTCACCCGATGAGCAGTTCCTCAATGACAAGGACATCCACGTCCACATGCCGGAAGGTAGCATCGGCAAGGAAGGTCCCAGCGCGGGAACTGCCATTCTGTCCGCCTTCGTGTCGCTCTTTACAAAAACCAAGATCAACCCCGATATCGGTACGCAGTCCCCACAAATTGATATTAAGAGTGACGCTACTAATTTCGCTCCGCAGCTATGACCGGTGAAATATCACTGGTTGGACAGGTGCTCCCAGTCGGCGGGCTCAAGGAGAAGATACTCGCAGCTCACCGCGCCGGTATCAAAACGATTATTGCCCCTGCTGCTAACCGCGCTGATATCGAGGAGAATGTCCCGGAGAGCGTGAAGACGGGCATTCGGTTTGTATACGTCGAGGACGTTAGGGAAGTTTTGAACGAGGTCTTCCGGGGTGAACCCATCACAGAGCGTTGGAAGGACACAAATCTATAGATCATCGCATTGCTTTCCTGTCTTCTGCATTCGCACTTACCACTTTGCCGCATCACACGTTATTCCTCCACACCAGGAGTGCTAGTAACATAGACATAGTCTTATCGTCAGGATAATTGTATCGTTTAATCCCAGATCAATGTAAATCGATTTATTCCACATCTTGTCTAACCTTAGGATTTGGGGATATAGTTCTTTTCTAGTTAGCGTGGGAACATAATCACTTTGCCAATGAACACTGAGGAGAACACCGAAGAACAGCAAGCCGTTCAGCAAATTGCGGCTACGCAGGCTCCCAGACCACTCAAAAAGTTGAAGCCTGCTCGCAAGCAGGTTAAACCCGGAGATGTAGAGAAGAAAGAGACCGTCCAAACTGGCAAGGAGTACAGTACGTCCATGTCCATTAGTAACACGCCGCAATGCTAAACGCTGAATAGATATCTGGTACAATAAATGGGCCGGCGGTGACAGGGAGGACAGTTACTCAAAGTAAGTATTTGCCTGTGTGCTGTATAACCCGACACGATACGAGGTTTTGACTTCGTTCTTTAGCAAAGTCAAGTCACAAACACGGTGCCAGATCAAACGTGACTCGGGTTTGACAAGAGCGAACACGACTGGGATAAGATACTGCTGCCTATTCTTTGCTCGAGGTTGCTGTCCTTACGGATGGGAATGCGAGTATCTCCACGCTCTACCTGATCCTGAAAAGGCGATGCCGGATAGTTCCAAGGACTGCTTCGCTCGCGACAAATTTGCCGACTATCGAGACGATATGGGTGGTGTTGGAAGCTTTAACCGGCAAAATCGGACACTCTACGTTGGCAGAATCAAAGAGACTGGAAACGGGCAGGAAACGGAGGAAGTGGTTCTTCGGCACTTTAGGGAATGGGGTGATATCGAACGAAGTGCGTATCATAAACCTTTCTTCCCGCAACCCAGGGAAATAATTGTTCATCCATAGTTCGGGTTTTGCAATACCGGAGTGTTGCCTTCGTAACTTATGTCTCAGAATACCACGCGCAGTTCGCTAAAGAATCCATGGCTTGCCAGTCTCTCGACAATGACGAAATTCTCAACGTTCGGTGGGCGACGGAAGACCCGAACCCAACGCAGAAAGTAGCAGAGAAACGGCGATTGGAAGATATGGGACAAGAGGCTATTCGTGCCAAGATGGATCCCCGAATTGTGGATGCTATGAGAGCGGTTCGAGCATTGGAAGAGGGCGATGTATTGGACGATGGTTACCTCGATGAGGCAGAAGGCGACCCAGAAGGCAACTCCAATAAACGCCGTCGTATAGACGAAGGCTACGGCACACCCTCTCCCCCGCCAGAGCCTCCTGCTCAAGAATCCCCGAAACCTTCTGGCTTGCTAAGCGTGGATACACTGGAAAGTCTCAAGTATTTCGCAGAGATTCGAAAGCGTAACGGGTTAGGAATGGTCGCCCCGAAACCACCAATAAAGGCGTCAGCCACCGGCTTAAACCTTGCGGACTATGGTAGTGATGACGAGTAATGCTTTGTGTTATGTACTGTACACATTCATGATGATATAGCTAGTAGTGAAGCTTACATGCAATGCCGCTGGGTCATAGGACTATCGACATTTAGTAGCCAGAACCGCCTCCGCTGCCATCTGTGCTGTCATATATCTGCAACTCTGCAATTCGTCTTTCTTCGGCGGCGAGATCCTCCTCTTCTTTCTGTCGTCGGAACCTCGCCAGATCCCATTCGTCCTCCTCAGCTTCTTCCTCGTCTTCGAACCATTCGGGGTTGTATTGGAACTACGCGAGCGAAACGTCAATAACGGAACATGAAGGGGTTGTAAGCGACATACCAGGTCTCTGCCACTCATTCCTGAGTTCTTTCCTGCTGAACTTTGCAGTTCTTTGGCTTTGCGAATTGCTTCGGCTTCGGCATCCTTCTTGTCCATCCTCGTCTTCTTCCATACAGCAAACGTTTCCGGAGTAACAGGGGTCAATTTGGAGCCCAATTTATGTCTCTGGCATGTCAAACGGTTTCAGGCTCAGAGTATTGAGGCGCAATGAAGTCATACTCACCTCAACCTCAAGGAATTCCTCCAGACTGATTTGATTGGCTTTCGCCGCATCATCAGCAGCCTTTTTCTGCGACCTGAGGACAAATCCAGGAGGTAAAGCATGTCGGTACTGGCAAGTGTTGTTCCCATTTGGACATTCCCAGAACCAGCCGAATCTACATTCATATGAGCTTTAGCCAAAATGAAGAGATTTTCGAGGCTAACTTTTGTGTTTCAATGGCTTCAATGAAGAATTTGCAAACAATCTGTAGATATACAAGCAACGTGTTAGAGGCGTACATTGAGAGCATGAGGCGATACGAACGTCAGTGGTCGTCCGAGGGTTTCCAGCTTTGGAGAGAACGACTCTCTGCAATTTTTCGTCGTCCCATTTGTCCATCGTGTCTGGAGAACATGGCATCAGGACTGCGCCTCAATCAACGTATACGATCGGCGCACCTTGCATCTTCTCTTCGCGACCGTCTTCGTACAGATTCCTCTTCTCGACCTTCCGGCCTACATTCAGATCATGACTAAACTTGCATTTCGTTCCCTTCTCGCAACTGCCTGCCTTAAAGAATGCACACAGGACTGTCTTAGGGTCGACGCCGAATGGCACCTTCTGTGTCTGAACGGGTTTGAGCAGCGCCGCCTGTTCCTTTGCTCGTTTCTCTTCCTCAGCCTTTGCCTTCTCCCGCAGTTCTCTCTCCTTCTCCTTGGCGAGTGCCTCACGAGATTTACCGGTCACGGCCTGCTGTGCTTGGATCTGAGCGATGTGTTTCTGGACTTTGGCTGATTTATTTTTCTAGAGATTTCGGTTGTTTCGTGAGATCGCTGCTGATACGGGGTAGTGAACAACGCAAACGTTTTTCATCCCAAAGGTCTATGAAGAGTAGACGTGGATTCCTTGGTTAGTTAGTGTCCTTCGAGAGCGGGGACATGGGGAAGGAGTCACCTTGTCTTCCTTCACCTTGGAGCCGCTGGGCGCATTTTGCTGCTTCTTGGGAGGCATTTTGAGAAACAGAAGTGGTCAATTGACTGCTGCTGCTGTGTACGGTCGTCGTCGTTGATGCCGTCCTCGGCGTGTGCTTCTTGTGATGACACGTGATGACTTCAATCAGATAAGTATCAGATAAGATTTTCACTTCTTAAATCGATTTCACTGCGATTTCATGTTAGGAATGAAACCAAACATTGACACCCTGGGGCATTAATTACGATATGGTGTTTCCACCTTAGCTCAATATATTATTGGGGCCCTAGTTGTGTGCCGCGAAGTATTAATTACAGGGGATCCCACTTCACCGTCAGACCGGTCAGTGTTCCACCGTTATGCCAGGTGCCAAATGACTACACGTGAGGCGTTGCTCCGTTCCATCAGTCCTGGCTTATGCTACATAGAACATAAGCATATAAATTGCAGCCGAGATTAATTTCGAAGAGTCCATGCATTACCCATCCCCATCCTGATAACCGTAAAGTTGGGTCTTCGTCCCACCGTCTCCTTAACGCCCGCCCGTTCCTTACCCTGCGTATAAATACTGGGTGCCTTTGTGGACAGAACATTGACCAAGTCATCCTCTCATTTCCCTTCACATCGCCACTCTCTCTACCAATGCCTTTCGCGGACAACACTCAACCGGATTTAGTCGATGACCTAGTCTCGTCTTACTATTCCACGGCGAAAGACGAGCGAGAGGGCAGATCCAAGCCGTAGGTTTCTTTCTGCACTGGCTGGACGATGTACGACGGACTCACATAATTCTGCCCTCTAGATCATCGTCAACACCCAGCGAGTGCGACGACATGGACTTCTACGACCTATACAACGCAGACGAGGACGAAGAAGAGGAGGACGATGTATCAAAGGGGGATGTCCGAAGCAGCCGTTCAGAAAGTCCTGTATACGGCAGCGCTCGTGATCAAAGTCTCTCTGAAGTAGAGGATGCTCCAGACTCCCCATCCTCTGATGTGAATCCCAAAGAGGCTTTGAGTGGTCGTCCGCAGCAAGCTAGTAGAAGCTCGGGGTCGTCACAATCGGCATCAGCTAACGATCAAGGGAAATGTGAGCATTGCATCGCGCTTCGTGTGGGGAAAATCATACTTACTTTCATCGTAGCCACCAAATAGACTTGGATTCCGGCATTGTCTTTGTTTGCTGACGACCATTTCTTGTCACAAAAAGAATTCTGTCGCTATTACTGGCACGCAGATCTTATTATTAAATAGTATTATCTGTATGTATCAGCCTATCTATCCACCTTGGAAGCACCACACGCGGCAGAACCTTTGCTTCGGCTGGGAACTCTGAGGTACCAAAGAAGGTATTATTAGACCGTGAAATACAGAATTAGTCGTTAGACATTGCACAGCCAATAGCTTTCAGCTCCTCCTAAGCAACTCCTAAAACTTGGTGAAGGTTGGAGCGAAATAGGGGGTGGAACTCAAAGACGGTCACGTGGAGAGTGGGTTTGGTCGCGCTCGCCTCATGCACCGGCTTGTTCGCTGTCTTCTTCCTTCACCAGTAACTTCATCCTTGTCTTCCGATTTGCAATCGCGCACTGCACCTTATGCTTAATTCTTACTCGCAGGGAATCATCATGCATCCTCGGCAAAGCATTCTGTCCATGTTCGACCCGTTGAACCAATCCACCACGCAGTCACTGGGCGATGATTCTGAGAAGGAGAACGCCACGCCAACCCGTGCGCAGAAGCCTGCTGATGGGCTGACGATGACTGCCTTCTTCAACCGCACTTATAAACCTACCCTCCAACCCATGCAGCCTACGCTCACTCGGAGGCTCGTTGACGTTGGTGATATAACAGTGGACGAATTCTCAATCATGTCGCTTGGTCTGGAGGAGCTGAGCGAAGATTTGGAAGGAGATGTTGATTGTGGAGATGATGAAGGCGACACGACGGTACTGGCGCCACACGATTTACCACCGCTTGTTGATGAACCTACTGCCGAGGAACCCGTTACGCCCAAGGCCGTCAGATCCCATATACGTGGACTCTCTGCACTTACCCATCAGGAGCGCACCCCACCTGCATTAATTCCAACCGACTTCACTGACTACGGAGCTCTTCCGGATCACTCGGAGGACCAGGCGCCATCTTTGGCATTGCCGACATCTGAGACCACCCCTGACCACCTAACAATATCGATTCCCGACTCAGAGTCTTCGCAGCCGTCACCAGAATCGTCGTTCAACCCCGTGATTACTATTTCTTCTCCAGTTGCTGCCTCGCCGTCGCATAGTTCCCCCACAGCTGTGACAGGCAAAGAGGAGGACTCACCGGTCATACTCCCAAGCTCACCCTCTTCGACACTGCGACCCCGGAAGTCGACTGATATAGCTATCGATGATCCTCGGCGTTGCTCCGTGGACCTTCAACAGTCGTTCTGCTTGCAGATGCAAGAAGCAGACAGTTCGTTTGACCTTCTTAACGATAAAATATCCTTCTTCGCGTCGGCAGGGGGACCTGGAATGGAGACTTCTTTCGACGATGACGATGATAGCTTCGACGTTCAAGTGAAAGCTTCAGGAAGGAGTCACGAAGCATCCAAAGACACCACCAAGGGGACTGATAGTAAGATGAGATTCATTGTCTTCAATCTTATGTTTTTATTTACGCTTTCGAAGCTCTCAACTTCCTGGACGACATCCAGATGCCAACTTCAGGTGTGGAGGCCCCCTTTTCGAATGATGAACACGTTTAAGCCTAACGCTTGTAGATGAAACCCAAGCATTTTCGCTGGTAGAGACTCCAATAAGTGAACCGACATCGTCTTTCCTCCTACTAGCTCACTCACGCTCTATAATAGGTACTCCCCAGCTGTCCCCAAAGAATGCCCCACTCTCGACTGCGAAATCACTTGACGACGGTACGCGCCAACCTTGTGGTGCTTGTAATGCCGATGTGTATACTCATCTACCTCATGCTCCAGCTTACGACAATACGGAATTAATGAAGGAAGCTTTCCACAGTCGAAAACCGCCAATTAATTCAAGCGCTACCCCTAAGCCTACCGCCCTTTCCATGGCTCCTCCCCCTGTCCACGCGCTCAAGATTGTTAAGCGATCAAGGCTACAACAACCTACCCAAGCGCGTCCCCGATCAAGTAACCTCCCAGAGGAGATAAATGCCATACGACCTTCTTCGTCGAGACCCATTTTGCCGCTCTCTGATGCCACGAAGGATTCTAGCAGCGGTAGCAGGCCTGCGCGCGTGCCCTCCCAGGCTCCCCGTTTCAAGCCACCTCGTCCACCAGTGCCTAAACTTGTACAAGGCACCTCCGCCAGCTCGACTGTGTCCGCTCTTTCTGGTGCTCCAGGCAGGCCTACAATTTCCCAGGGGAGTTCAGGAGCAACTATCGGGGTTGTACGTACCACTCGTGCAGTCACATCTCCTGCTTTACCCCCAACAACTGGTCCTCCCGCTCGCAGGGTGCCTCTTGGTATTCCCGACACTAAGACCCCATCTGTCAGCGCGAACTCGCCGGCGGCCGTTTTGAAGCCATCGCGCATCCCAGGAAAAGTGTCCGGCTTACCTCGGATAACTTCCGCGCCATCCAGATTGCCGGGCCCTTCAGCGACATCAAGAGGGAAATCGACCGGGGACATCGGAAATGCGGCGACGCGTCTAGTGCGACCAGTACCTGGTAGAAGAATCAATTGATAAATTACCGTCAATAAGTCAAGGATGGAATCACTCGTGTTGTCCTGTTTTCATACGCAAAAGTTTTCCTTCACACTCATTTTACCAGCGCATCATGTTGCATACGCACAACTATACATAGAAACACATTTGTCCCACAGCAACCGCCCCACTCTGTCTCTTACGCAACTCATGCATCCGACAACCGATGGGACAACGATGATAACAGCGGTGAGAGTCAACCCTATGATTCTCACATGGTGGCAACTGTTGGATTGTGGGATTCGGTATGTATGGCGTGTGGGCTCGGTCATTTCTCTCACGACCTTCTTGCTCGAAGTTATCGGGTCAGGCCCTCAAGCTCAAGGCCCACTTTTCTTCATAACAGAATTGCATAACAGAAGCATCACAATCACTAGACCGCCGTCAAGTACTCTACTGATGGAAATACATCAGTCTCGCAGACATAAAGTTGTTGAACGAAATGTTCTTGTGCACAAACCCTTCCTTTCTAACACTGACTTCATTATTTATTTGTGGTGGTCACAAAACGCTTGAACCCGTTCGGCGATGTCAGCGATGCAGGCCACCAATCTCGAGTATCTCCGTTGGGTGTTAGTGCGTGGTCCTTTCACCAATTTGCGTCGATGCTATCTGACGTGCACAGTATACTTCCCGTAATGCACCTCCAGCCGTCTAACTCTCTAAAAAATACTGAATGATGCCCACAGTCGCAAGCGCAGCTATTGTGGTGCGTTGGGCAATGGCTTTGAGTGACTTTCGCCACTGACATACAGAAGGTCTACGACTACGTATTGACCTTTGAATTGGAGAATCACTACATGTGGTCCAAACAACGCTGGAGTCTAATCCGTGTGTTGTTCTTCGTCAATCGATACATGCCATTCGTGGATATCACCGTGTCACTTTGCGGTAAGTGTTATTATTACCCGCCTACCTGCAAGGTTGATCCATCTTATAGCCCAGTTGATACCCACGCTGAGTGACCGAGACTGCAAGCTCCTGTACCGTTTAGCCGCCTGTAGGTCATTGTACTCAGGACTGTACGCCATGATAACGCCGCCTTCATAGGGTCATTCTGCTTCAGCATCGCCCTATCTGAAGGTGCCTAGGCTTTTGTATATTTCTTACGGAGACTGATTACTCGTAGTGATCCTCACAATGCGAACTTGGACGCTCTGGAAGACGAAGTGTTGGTTAGGTATCGCCTTAGCCGCGTTCTATTTGGGCTGCTGGGTCCCGATATTCATCCTTTTTGGAACATTCCTGACACACGCAAACGGTGAAACCAAGTGCCTACTATGGGAGCATGATCTCGTGTTCATACTTCTCTCTTCGTCCCAGTTTTCAATCTTCGGATGCCGCAATACGAATACGCTGCTTGCATCGTGGACCCGGGAAATGTTAACCTCTATCTGTGTTGGATTTTAGTCCTTGTGTACGATACCGGTAAGGCTTTCCATTGTCAACACTCCCGTAAGGGCAAGGCTTACCATTGCCCTCTATAGGCACCATGCTATTGATGGTTATAGCTGGTGCAAAGTCATGCGCGCAATTCCGTGGACAACCTAGAGGCTCGTCTGCGCTGGTGTTCACTCTTTACAGGGATGGTGAGTACCTAAACATGCGAATGGCATTGTTGGTCCTCAATCGCCGCAAGGTATAACATACTACATCGCATTGTTCAGTACGTCTCTTTTTGATCACCTAATCCTTCGGCCATGACGAAGCTTTTAGTTTTGTCTGTGGCGAACATCATCACCATTGTGATACTTCCCGTAAGTCGAGGGTATCATGTTATCTGCTGCTTCAGCACTGATGATTCCTTTCAGAGGGATCTTGTCAATCTCTTCTCAGTGTGAGCTTCTCCGAAGATGTCTTTGTACATCGCGTTACTGATACACGATTCCTCTACAGACTTCAGAGGGCTATTCACACCGCTTTGTCCTCTAGAGTCATTCTCCACCTTCGCGAGCAGGCGGGGAAGCTTAACACATTTTCCGACACTCTCATTGCCACATATATTTCCACAGAGGCCTCTTAAAAAATGCCATCAGCTTGTGCACTGATTCCGGATCTTACCGTCATGTCAAAGCGCCGCTTCCAAGTCTTCCAAGCTCGAAGTTCATCTCGTCTTTCTACGCCGGTCAGACCTCAAACTAATAACGCAACATGCCGACTTGATAAATGCTGATCACATTGCATGATGCGCAACGTAGACGACGTGAACCCATTGATTCACGTAGTCATGGGACAATGAGTCTTGGCCTTCATATCAATGAATATGTTCGACACTCTCTTACATTGACAGCCAAATCCGTCAATAACGCCGTGGGCTGGCTTTGTATCATCGACACGTACACCCATAGATCTCGTAATCTAGGTTTTACTAGACTCTACCTACAGCAACGACTAGACCTCCGACTCATCCAGTGATGTTGCTACTCTCACACCAGCAACGCACAGCGGGAACTTGTCAACCTCTTTTCAAGGTGAGCTTTTGTAACTTTCTCAATTATCTCATTATCAGGACCTATCACCTTTCCGTAGACTTCAAGGACCATCCACGCTACTCTTATCTCGAGAATCGTCCTTCATCTACGCGAGCAAGTAGGGAGGCATGCCACGTTTTCGGGCTCCCTCGTTCCAACCCTGTATCGTTGAAGTCAAAGAAGGGATACGTAAATGTCTCATTTGGTACAGGAGTCGTATTCTCGAGCGCTTGATTTCGTGACATTCAACTACATTACTTACGTTTTGATTACATCCCAACAGACCGCGCCTCCACTAGGTGCGCCTTGATCTCACGCTTTCGACTGATAATCGCCAGCTTGATCAGGAAGCTGATGTCAATAGATCAATGTTTCGACTGGTGCTATTCTTTGATTCCTTGATAGAACCCGACCATAAGAAGGTGGACCTTGGTTTCACACCGCCCCCCCCGGCGCCATGCTGCTCACTCAGGCTGATATCGCCTCCATCTACCATGTCGAAGTAGTGAAAGTGAGTTCCCTTTCCCTTGCAACGCCCAAACAAATTGCTAAAGCGAACAGCTATGGGACAGTATGTCTATGCTTCGTTATGAATGGACGAATATGCTCAACAGGGTTATCTTCAGTCGCCAGTGCAATGGTTTTGGTGCGTTCGCCGATATGCGAGGCTGATGAAGCCTCAATTGTGTTCTCTAGGTCTATGACTATGTCCTCACGTTGAACTTGGAAATCGAGTATACATGGGGCAGAAATCTGTCCCTATTAGACTGTCTTTTCTTCTTCACAAGATATGCGCCATTTCTCGACGTGGGCATTTCACTGTATAGTGGGTAACTGTTCCATCTGTTGCTGCACCTCTCTTACTTCGTTCGTCAGGCCAGCTATTCCCTGGACTTGAAACGTCCACCTGCGAGAGAGTGTATAGGTTCTCGGCATGTAAGGATCGTCATCTTCGACACTGGGATACTTTCTGACTTGTCTCGGACTGCGCAGGGTCGTTCACAATTGGCATAGCAATCGGAGAAAGTATGGAATTCGTCTCAAATGCATCATACCCGTGGTTGATCAACCTCTAGTTATCCTGACCATCCGGACATGGTCGTTATACACGCGCAGCCGCATGCTGGGCATGATACTCACCGCTTTCTTCCTGACATGCTGGACGGCTATATTCACTTCGATGGGATTATTTCTAGAGTCAACGCATGGTACGCATCATTTTCTCCTCTTGTACATCCCACAATGAGTGATCGGGATTATTCTACTAGCAATGAGATCTCCAGTGCCGGAGAAAGCTACTTGCTTTGCCGATGTGGGAAATGTCTTGTTATATGTCTGCTGGTGTGTGCTGCTGATCTATGATGCGGGTGACTTGCGGCTTTACTGCTCGCTGAAACTGCCTTGCTGACTCTGATTATGATTAGGCATCATGATATTGATGGTGGTACAGGCAGTATCCGTGTACTCTGCGAAGCGAAGTTCGCCCTTGCTTGATGCTTTATACATTGATGGTAGCATTTTGCCTCGCTGTCTGGTTCCCATATTGATAGATTGTTCCTAGGCGTCGCATACTACGTACTCTTGTTCAGTGAGTACTGGCGCATCACCTCAACGGGCACCACGATGCAAACAGCTTTTTTCAGTCTTCTCCCTAGCGAACGTCGTCACTATCTTGACACTATCGGTTGGTATTCGAGCTTTGTTCCAATTTCCGAGTTCTGACCCACTGCCACAGACTGATTTTGTCAATCTTTTCTCATCGTATGTATGATGCGTGTTGGCGTCTTTCATTCCTCTTGGCTACTCAAGTACTCACCGACTGAACAGATTCACTCGAGTATTGCATAGCATCCTGACATGCAGGGTAGTATTGCATGTGCGGGAACAAGCAAACTATGCCCGTTGCATCGATGGCGATGATGTCTCGAATATCAATTGCTTGAGCCCGTTTCCAACCGTCCCCTCCATTGGAGTTGTACCATAGAAATCACGCCAGCGACGGTCAACAGTAATCGACTAACGTTTAACACCGAAGTTACATATATTCAAATCGCTCGCTACAGTGGACTACAGGTACTCATTACGCTGGCGTATATAGTTATCAGTTACCAGTATTTATTATTAACTTATCAGGATCAATTGTATCATTCCACGACACGACCAGGCATCAATCAGACAATGCGCTTAGCTTGTGCGCCCGCGGAATCAACCTGAACGGAAACTGTTTCGGACGGCTGATCGAGTATTTAGTATCTTTGTCTTGTGTGGGAGCTGGGTCGCCTACCTGATCAATCCGGGGGTGTAGGCTACATCGGGTTCGATGGGATTTCCTTTCTCGTCGCAAGCTTTGGCGATCTGGTAGACAGAAAGAATTGTTGCCATCGCAATCCATATCGTGTCGAAGGCGAGGAATCGACCAGGGCATATTCTATAGAATTATCAATATCAATTCAGCTCGTAGCAACAGAGGCACTGGATGTTGAATTACCTTCGCCCGAAACCAAAAGCTTGATCTGGAATGGGATTGATTTGCTTTTCCGAGTTGCCCTTGGTGTCAGCGAAGCGCTGCGGGCTGAACTTCTTGGGATCTGGATACCGCTGTGGGTCGTGAAGGATGGTCCTGATGTTCTGAATGAACTCCAGCGACAATGGGTCATGTAATAGAAGCTCACCAGATGTTTGCAAGGATGGTTGTCCCTTTCGGTATCCTATAACCGCGATATTCGTCGTCTTCGGTTACTGAATGGGCAAGCGCGATGTTTACGGATGGATTCCATCGCATCGTCTCCAAGGCGAGATAGTCGATGATTGGAAGTTCTGATCTATCGGAGAACAGTGGTAGACGATCTGCGGGAACGACGCGGTCGAGTTCTGCCCTGGCCAACGCTTGTATCTCCGGGTGAAGGACCATGGCGAGGAAAAACGACGAGAGAGTGGACATCGTCTAGATGCGCAAAGGCTTCGTTAGTTCTTGGAATGGAGCTGGCTCAATAAAACTTACTGTATCGACCGCGGCTGAAAACAGAATACGTGAGCTCGGTTAAATGGCGAGTTTCAACGAGGCTTACCTGCGTAAGCTCCAGCAGCCACATTCTTCACTAGTGTTTCACGGTTGTCATTGGGAGAGCCCTTCGCGAACCAATCCTCGAGTTCCAGAGTCATCATGCAAGGTTCTGCAGCCCCTTCTCTCTGATGATAGCGAAGTAAGTTAGTCTAATCCAAACACTCAGATCCTATTCGTGACGTACTATCTTGCGGTTGACCATGTCAAAAGGGCTATTCAACATCTTCTCGGCGAGGCCTCGCCACTCCTTCGCCTGCTTTTTGAACCCTGCTCCAGGCATCCACGACGGCACGTACTTGACTGCAAAATAACATCAGACGACATGTCGCTTAGAGCAAAGGAGACAGGCACTAACGCCATGGTAAATAGTCGACCATGTAGGACCCGAAGATGCTGCTCTGGTTAACTGCTGCTAGCGCTTCATCCGCTAGAGCAACATATTCGTCTCCCTTCTCTGCGACATGATGACCATAGCAGATCTCCATGATAACGGCCGCGGAGGTTCTGTTGTTGACACCGCTTAGATGAAATTTCATGCTGACCGTTAATTCTTACCTGCGAAGATGATGCTCAAGGTTACTCGGGGTGTTGTACAGATTGCGGATTAGCGTATGAGTATGCTTGATAATGCCTGGGTGGTATTTGCTGATTGCCCTCGGTTGGAAATGTTTCTGGAAAAGGCTTCTATGTTCTTTGAAAGAAGGACCATAAGGCATCCCAGAGAAAACGAAGTCGAAGCCCATCCTAGAAAGGCATCAGAAATGGGTTCTCAGCGTTTCGGAACAGAAACCTTACAATTCAGTCTGCATCGTTCTGACTGGACGGGATGAATATATTGCGCTTCGGTTTTCCAACAACTCGTGGGCCGCTGAGGCAGAATTGAGTACGAGGAGTGGATTTCCGAAGACGTTGAAGTAGATTATGTCCCCTTGATTTCAGAGTTATTCCTTGGGAGACGTGAGGGGCGAGGAAGTAAATTCACCGAATATCTTTTGCCAGTCAGCGTAGACTAGCCAGGCAAACGCGCTTGGTAGTTCGAAGCCCTTCGACCAAATCGTGAAGAAAGAGATTGAAGGGCCAGGGGGAAGGCGTCGTGCAACCCATTGAGAATAGATGCAACGAAGAATTGCGGCGACACATATTATGGCAAAGAAAATGGATTTCGGTGAATAGAGGGTAAGTTCGATCATGGTCGAGGATGGCTGCTTGTGGGCTTTCTAACGCGTTTGGGCTGGCCTTCATATAGGGCTCCAATATGGACTCCACCATACACTTACAATACAGCAAGATTTCTAAGATCTCGCCATTTATAGATACACAATCATTTCCGAGCATCTCCGGGGAAGAAACATACCGAGAGCGAGAAATTGACCGTCGGTCGCAGTGCCTGTTCATCAGATATCGGAGGATGTGAGAAGGCGTGCAGGAAGCTGGAAAATCCATCGGGTTGTTAGTCAATTGAATTAGTAAAGGAAGTCCTTCATGAAGCCGGGTTGCGACGAGTGCCGCCTGGGATAATTTTAAAAAGGATCCCTCGCTATAGGCATGTCTGTTGCACTTGAAGATGTATGCGAAGCCACCACCAAGAGCGCTTGGCTGCGATTGGGCCGTTTGGATAGGACACGGTACTGAACACCAGGCACAGTACGACTGTGAACAACCGACAACAGGCAAAGAAAGTTCGACGTCGCGCAAGTGGCGCCCAGTATACCAGATCCGCGGACTTAACAGGGTCAAGGATAAGAGTTCGGCTGTGTTCGTTTGTCAATAGGCTAACGCGACCATGAAGAACAGGCACTAGCGTGGTGAAACTTGAACTATGTTGCCCGTATACATGGTGCGCATTAGTAGATGAAGCAAGAGGGGTAAAACCGATCAACGGACCTAGGGTTTCTCCAGTGTCCGATGGCGTACGCAGTCCCTCCCTCCGTGGGGTGCCCCAAAACCCCGTTGATTCCGCTTCAAAGCCTTCTGCACGTCCATCAATCCTTGCGGATGCATCGCGACGCTGCTACATGTATGTAACGACCCGTGGAGTAAGGCCCAGATATGCACCTTTGGCTTTTCGCGAAGTTTAGGCACTTGCAAGGCGGTAGCGAAACCTGTCATATTGGAAACCGAGAGTAGGAACGTCGAAGCCAGCGTGGAAATTTGCTGTACGGACTACGAGACTTCGATGAATACAAACATCTGCAACATACCGTCATGTCTTTGCACCATATGACTATTGTAAATGAAGAAGGGGTCATCCGCAGGAACAAAGTTACCCAAAGATGTCCTCATAGTGATGTAATATCGCACCGAGGGAGTGGTAAACGGGCCCGAGGCAATAGGGTAGGCGACCATGTAGGCGGTGAGGCGTGCCCGCATACCGTTCGAAGTAGCAACAATATGTGGGTCGGATGATGCCCTGGGGGTACGACGGCGCTATGTCCACCAAAGCGATTATCTTCTAAGAGAACGCCACTCCTTTGGTATTAACACAGACTCCCGAGATTCTAGCCTTTCTCGAAGCACTCTGAACAAGGCTGATATTAACCCATATAGACAACATGGGACCCACATTGGAATTGCCAGATAATTGCTAAGAAAAAGAGAACCATCTCTGTCTAACACGAGCGTTCAAGGAAGGGATGGGATTCGTCAGGGTGGAGGGGTAGATCGGCTAGAAACGATCAAGTGCCACACTTACTTCGCGGTTTCACGATCACCCATATTGTGCGCAGGGCATGCATCCTGTAACTTAGTTTCAACTTGAGGCGTAGAAGAACGATTTGCCTTAGTCGGGTTCATCGGCCATGAGGCTACAAGAAAGTTATGTTACGTTAGGTATGAGAAAATAATAGGTAACCGACATACCACCAGCTAGGCATTCCTGTCCTTAACCCTCCAATCTGCCCTGAGCCATCTCATGCTCGTCCTGCGGGACACACTCGACCACCTGGGCGGGGCCACGACATAGATTTAGCAGACACTCTCTGAGAAGTCTGCCATCAGCTATACGTAGATAGATTGCTGCGTCGCTGCGGGGTCGTGGAAGCGACGATGTGGGCTGGCTTCAGGCGTCAAGCTGAGAGAAGGTCGAAAGGTGGGGCTGAAACTGTGAAACCTGCATCGCTTGTCAACAACGCCTCCAGTTTTCGCTGTCGTTATCGAGAACATACAAGACGATCAAGAACTTGAGACATGAAAGGGCGCAAGGTGCAGCGGGGCGTCACCCTAAGCACAAGGCAGAATAAGTACCGTTATTGAGCTGGCAAAACTTGCTGCGGAGGGCACTGATGTCGGGAAGGCAGTTTTGATCTTACGCGCCGCAGCCTCGCTTATCGGTCGAACGGGCCAGGAATGAAGACAGCTCCTCTCACTCTACAAACTCTACAAAATAAGGGATGACGCTGGGTTGCATTGATTGTGTAGGCCAGACCGCGGCGTGTTGTCCGATTGCGCAGTTAACAGTAGTATATTGGATATTGATATTGACCTTGTTGGGTTGACAACACCGCAATTAGTGAGACATCAGGCTGCGGACGCTTGACGATTCGATGAGCCACTGATGCTAATGATAACCAGGATGACATCCAGAGGACTTACCATTTGCTTGAGCCTTCTGACGTGCTAAAATTGCATCCTGAGCCTCTTTCAAAGGTTTCCCCCACTTAACTTCGGGTGGGTCCCAGATTCCTAGCTCCTTCTTCAACTCCCCCACATCTTGGTCCCACCTCTTTTCCCAGTAAACAGTGATCAAGCTCTTCGCACTCCCACCGCACTTAAGCGCCCATGGGACAAACTCTGCGAACAGTCTTGTCCTCTGATCCGCACGCAGACGAAGAGGTCCGAATAATGCGGCAATGGCCGTCATGGGGAGGCCCAAGTTGGCAAATTCGAAATACTTGACTGCGAGTTCGGAGGAAACATTGACGGGGAGGTTGGTGATACAGTGGTAAAAGTCATGACACTCGCGATATCGCTGCATAACATATGCGAGCTCGGGGTCGGAGATGTAGTGAACCTGGCGTATATTGGTGATATGGGATAAGTTGATAACGCATATGGTCGTGAACAGGACCGTCGCAGCGCGTATGGCAGTAGATGATCGACGAGGTCAGTCCGTATAACGATTATCAGGGAAAGCACGACACTAACAGGCTCCCGGGTATCCGGTGTAACCCCACAACGCTCAAGCCACGTTACATATGCACGCCCAAATGTGCCCTCAGGATATTTTGCGAGTTGGTCCATGTCGACTGTGGAAGTATTTACTCTCGGTCGCTCCTTTAGTATTTTCCTCCCTTCCTCGCTCTCCAACATCAAATCTCGAAGGCGCGGCAAGCTTGGGCCGGCAGTCGTCTCCGCCAAAGCCGCAACCATGTCTGGTCAATTCATAGGTCACGTCGCGATACCATAGAGGAGAAAAGAGAATCAGGGCGCACCACCTCGTCGCGGATTTGCTAGCGACATAAACGCAGACCCAGCGGCAAGAATCGCGTTTTCGAACCAATTTAGAGGGATGTGACCCTCATAAGCAGGTTTGGTACTTTGGTGTCGATTAAGGATACACCCTCTGTTGAACATATTCACCATAGCTTTTCGAGAGCATACATTGGGACGCATTCGAACGCTAGGATTGAGGCGCATAATGATGATAGTCTCGATGAAAGAGAAACGAGCGCCAACGCTTTGGGCCTGGCTGCCTGACTTTTCCCGCGCCGCATGAGCGCTTTCTGCCAAATATGGTCAAGCACGTCGGGCATACAAGTGACTCTTCCAATTCCAATTACCTTATATTGTGGCTGGCTGGCGCGGACTCGAGGCCGACACTGGAGGCTGACACTGTGTTTTGATAGGTTCTTCCCTTGGGCGCCCCTAGATCTGGCTTCATCAATATACTCGGTTGCCTCGTCCTTGCTGCCACTAGCCAGAGGACAACGATGTCGATACTCGAGTGGAACACTTTGGGCTTCCTGTGGCCATCAGGTGGCGACTGTGGTCTACAATTTGCTGTGGTCGGTCAAATCGCGAATTTGTGGCCAATTGCCTTCTTAGGCCAACGGTGGCAGGCAAACGCATGCAAGCGTCAGCCACGCCAACGCGGTATATATGAGGTGGTCCTTGGGACAGTATCACCACATTTCCATCTTCTTGTCTCCCATTACTCTAAGGCCTATGCATACTCGCTTCGCACCGTCTCCTGCCCGCAACGATTCCGCCGTCGGGAAAGTAAGCCCATCGACTCGTCGACAATCGGTCTCCAGGGATAGGACGAAGCGTTATGGCATGTTATTAGGCGTCGGGGCGGTCGCTGAATTGCAAAATATGTTAATGGCAGATACTCGGGAGGCGGGTAGGGCACCGAATGTTATACTAGTAACACCCCCTACCCCGCGTCTTGTACCTCGTGGCGAAGACGATAGCGACGTTCCCGAGCTGGATTCTGCAACCTCGGGGACTGTATCCGACGATGACCAGAGCCTGCTGGACGAGGCTCCTCCATTGCCGCCGAAGGATGGTGCATACAGGACTTGCACTCCCGCCGAGCACATCGTCAATTGCTACCGTGCAGGCATGAGCCCGGAGGATATTCAAGACTACGCAGTCAAGACTGAGCAGCAAGTTGGCAACGACATCGACCTCTTCGGTGACTCCTTCGACAGCATGTCTATCTCCTCCGTTGACTCTGGAATCGCATTGTCCCCCGACGAGGACTGTTTTGCTCGGATCAGGATTGTAGACACGGCCGGCCTCAGTGAAGCTGTCAGTGTCTTACATGCTTAGCGCAACGTCTGGCTGACGCTGACTTCCAATTTCAAGCGAAATGAAGCCTACAGTCTTTTGAAACAGAGCGGCTTGAATGAGGACAGTGCTATCGCCTGTCCCCGAGCGGATTGCCGCAACGTGGTCCAAGACGTCAAGGCTCTCATTGCTCATATGCATATCCACAATCTCCATGACCTGTAACTATACCTCTTCTTCTCATCACCGATCTCTTTCCGTGCTTACAGATCGAAATAACAGGAGATTCAAGTGCTCAAACTGCAGCCGAGCATATGGTCATCGGTGGGAGTTGTCAGCACACACATGCCCGGCTCTGCTGTCGTCTAACGCCCCGTCTCCCTCTAAGTCTATGTTTAGCGTATTTGCTCGTCGCCGATCATTCTAATATGCTCTCTGATCTACATACTTTTCATGTTTCCCCGTTCCTTCCCCTTCCCAACCTAGTTCATGTTGTTCATCTCATGGTCTGCTACTATCATTAATTCCCGTCACCTGTTGTATACTGTTGTTCAGCGTTAAACATACTGCATTAATCATGTATCTCGATATTCCATCAACACTTTTAGCTACAAAACATACTATTCTTTTGCTTTAATTTTTTAGCCCGCGATCCATTCTCTCATCCACCCTCAGGGCGCTCAGCGTCGTGGAGGAGTCCATTCTCCTATACCCCTATCTTTAGACATACCCCTTCGCATGCAACTCACCGACGTGAGGTCAACCAAGTGTCTAAATTCATCGTGGTAGCCTTATTATAACAACCATGTATATACGTAGGTCTATATATACCGTTTCTGTGCCCCACATCCCGTAACCGTCCTTGTCTTGAATCCAAGCCCGAAAGAAAGAAATGACCGTATCTGCATACTTAGGACGTCATATCGTCTGGATGCATGGTAGCTATTGCAACGAAGGGGTCCGTCCCTCTATGGCTTTCCGCCTTCAGGTGTGGGTGTGGGCACAAGCACGTCTTCATCTTCCTGCAGCGTGGTCTTCCCAACAACACCGATGTTTCTGAGTCCAAACGCCGCGATGCAGAACGCGACCCCTGCCGCAGCGAAGCAAGTCCACCCAGCCGCCCTAAAGCCGACCATCAGGACTTCAGGAGAGCCCGCAGGAAGGTCTGGACGGGCTGCGTTGTATCTGTCGCTAGCTGCGGTTGCGATGGTGCTGGTGAGGGCTAGACCAATGGAAGTACCAAGCTATTTATATGAACGTGAACCTTGACGGCGGGGGGATGGAGGAGAAATGGGAACACGAACTCTGGTTGCAACGGCGAAGATACCGCCTGCGAGCGATTGGGAGGCTTCATCGAAACTGCGGACGAGGTGTAGGTTTCCGACGGGGTATACTGCGTCTACGCCCACTGTTATAGGAGATTGTGAGCGATGGCGGAAGTATGAAAGATGCGATGCCACTTTACCAACAAAAATCATCACCAGGAACGCGCTAGCCCAATACGACGCGTTCACATCGATTGTGCTGAATATAATGGTTGCGACCTAGGGCGAATTGTTTGGATGGAAGAACGACAGGAGCCAAGGCGCAATACACACCATCGTCGCAGCAAGTCCGGCCAAGATCAAGCCTTGACCAGGCAGACGAGAGACCAGAAATCCAGTGACAATATTAACAATGAATCCCGATGTGACCATAGGTATGAACCGTAGGGATGTATGTGCGGGGTCCACGAATTTGACCTGTTGATAGCTAAGACGGGTTAACAAGTTGTATGCGAGGGGAGCATACTGCTCACTATAGAGTTGCGAAGTAGGCCAACGTGTTGAAACTCCACCTAAAGGTAAAAGCCTGAGCGAGTGAATCAGGGTATCTACAGTTGCCAAATACATACCACGCAAGGAAGGCGACCGCGACCATACTTCCCATCTTCGCATTTGGCTGTCGCCATATGCTGAGAGGAATTAGGACCGACATATCGCGTTGTTCACGCCATTTCTCGTAATACAACAGAACGCCCAACAGTACTACAGATGTCGCCAGAAGAGCAGGAATATGCGGAGTAGCCCATCCTCGGGTGGCCGCACCTGAATCTCTGCGGTTTAAAAGTCAGATTAATGCAATCGAGGACCGTAAGAGCGACGAACGCAAGACTGTATGTCATCAGACCAACCGCGACGGTACTGATAACTGCACCTCCCCAGTCGAGTCCTTTTTTGTACCGCTGCGATTCCAGTGCATGGGGGAGTACCAGCCATCCGAGTACGACAAAGAGGACTCCAAGACCAGCTTGTATATAGAAGATAGCACGCCAAGTAGCGTGACTGTCGGTCAATACTCCACCTAGAAGATGTTGCATACAGAAAGATGCATATGACAGAATCGGGATACATACCCACGACCAATCCGCCGATGAAACCCAATGGTTGACCGGCGCCTACCGCTCCAAATGCTTTACTCCGTTTCGGACCGGGAGGGAAGTAAGTTGATAGTAAACCGATTCCGGCAGGTGTGTTGGCGGCAGCGCCCATTCCTTTTAAGGCCACAAAAAGGATGAACGTCGCAGCGCTTGGAGCAAACGCAGTTGCTATGCTCCTACAAGAAGACGATTTGGTTTCAGTTGACTTGACTGAAGGTACATGCAGGTTGACAACTCTTGCTTTGCTCACCAGGCCGAGAACCATGCGGAACCAACCAAGAAGAGTGTACGCGCGCCCACGATGTCTCCAACTCTACCAAAGAAAAGCAGGAGACATCCATAAGACAAACTATAAGCATAGACATTTAGCATATAATATTCGACGAGGAGGACGGAAACACCAACGCGAAGACATTCAAAGGCCACTGGAGGTCAGCCTGGACGTCACAATGTCAGGAAACATGCCTCTGGTACCAATAAATGAGCATGTACATACCTGTTTGAAGCCAAGGTCCTTTCCAATCGTTGGCAACGCAACCGTCAGAGCTCCCGATAGAAAGACCTGCAGAAGGACGGTGGCTCACGGCACCGACGGAAATCCGAAACCGGCGCGACTCACGTTCAACGTTGTCACGCCGCATAATGCGCCGACAACAACCATGTCCTTGAATGTGAACGACTCGGAATACATGGCGGCAAGTGAACAACAGTAGACGAAAATTTCTGACTTGATTTTGCCACACAAAAAAGAAGCCGGTGTCATCGTCGAGTTTAACTAGCTGCGATGTGCCGACTGTACGTTGATTAGCTTCGACGATGGGAACCCGATATCGCAACATTCGGACAGCGCATAGGAAACAACTGCAAGAAGATACCAACAAAGGAAAAGCCTCGGTTCGACAGTGTCCGACTCTTCGTGGCCTTCGAGAAGGGCGGTGGCGCGGAAGGTTCTGAATACGAATCGGAGCGCACAACGCAGCGAGGCAGTGTACAGTGGGGTTCTTGCGCTGGGGCGTTGCCTTCTGGTGGGGATCCCCTTCTTCTTCTCCGCATCCCCCCTGGGGAATGCTATTAAGCATAGGTGTGGGCAAGTATCTTCGCACGACGCGTTCTACGATAGGCACAACCTTGAGCGTCCTTATCGACGTGTCCTAGGGGACTTCGAACCTCATCGACGCGTTAGGAGACAGACTCGCCACAAATCTACGATGTGCATTGAAATGAAAGCGACACGAGTTGCAAGGTTCATCGAAGTTTTGGGCTTGCATCTAGGAAGTTGGTTGATCCTCACGAGCTGCAAGGGGGATTTCAACGCTGGGCGGCAGCCAACCGGGGGCACATTGTGCGACGTGCCCATTGTCGTTGAACTGAGGCAGAATTGGCGCCCAGAATGCCAGCGCGTCGGCAAAGACCGAGTGTAGCGCGTCGTCTGGAACGCGCTAGAGTGACAACGATCAAGGCTGCCCAATTCCAACCACCACGCACTCGCAGTAGCCCGCACCTCCAGTCTTCGTCGGCATAACCGTCCTCCCCTTTGTGCCATGTCGCCCCGACTTAAATTGCTGTGGCTGTTTCTCGCGGTTTTGTTAGCCGGCGAAGTCCTGGGACTATCAAACAAGAATCCCTTGAGAGTCTCGGTGAGATTCAGTTCTTCCGTTCTTCTTGGCTGCCCGTCTGCTGTGTCCACGCGGGGTTGCTGACGACATGGCGACGCTCTTTGCTTATCTAGGAAAGTGATATACAATCATGTGAACCAATACAGAAGCTTAGTGCACTGAAGGCACAGATAGAGGATGGGGAGTCGCCCATTCTGCGGCAGATATTTGCGTGGCTCTTCCCTTTTGGACCTGGCTGGAATGCGATACTGGGGACGTTCTATATCAGCTCGTAAGTCTTGTGGCAATTCTAGACCTTATGGGCGTGTTTAACGCGCATGTAGCGTCCCCAATTTGATTCTCGCCTTCATTCCTGCGCAAATCAATCCAGAAACGCTAAATACTATGACAGCTTTTGCCGTGAGCGTCTAGATATGTTCCTTACGTTACATTGTGCTGAATTCTACTAGACGGGAGGGTTGCTGTCAGACGTGTTTCTGCATCTAGTGCCGCATTCATTCGTTGGGGAACACCAGGATGATGGTGTTCACTTTGTGATGGTTGAAGAGAAGAGAAATATCCTCGTTGGGTTCGTAATTCTTCCTCATTCAAGCACGTTTCCTCATGCACCATTCTTCTGGTAGCTTGGGTATATTCATTGGCTTCGCCTCATTCTTCTTCATGGAGAAGACACTCCGGGTACTAGCTGGCGAAGATGCATCCGGAGGACACTCTCACTCTCATTCACACTCTCTTTCAGACTCGGATGCTAATGGACACGCGTCAGGCGTTTCAACTTCGGAAAAACAGAATGGGCTTCGTTCGCGGGCAAAAAACGAAAAGGAAGATTCCCTCGAGAAGATTGACGTGTCCCCGACGACAAACTCAGGGCCTTCTAAATTATCCGCATACCTTAATTTATTTGGAGACTTCGTTCACAATATGTGCGGTGAACCCTTGACTAGCCGCATAGTATCCCTACTGACATATCGTTGGTGTAGCACTGACGGCCTCGCGTACGGCATTCGTTTTTGTATTGTTTCTACATGTCGCTTACGTACCGGCGATCTAGGATGGCTGCTTCTTTCTACTCTTCACCTCTGATAGGTGCAACAACTACACTCGCATGTTTCGCACACGAGATCCCCCACGAAGTCGGTCCGATTTTCCCCATCTCGTGTGCAATCAACTGAGCGCCCCCCTGCGTAGATTGCGGACTATTCGATACTCGTTCGCAGCGGCTTCACCAAAAAGCAGGCCATGCAATCTCAATTTCTCACCGCTGTTGGGGCTTTCGTGTGTTACTTTGACTGATCATGATATTCCGCGCTAATTCCCTGATCTACAGGTCGGGTGAGAAACTGGAGCCTTTTGGCTGTTATAGACCATTCTAACGTATCAAAGCCAGCACCTTTATGGGTATCGCTATTCATAATGCGACTTCCTCGGATGCAGCAAAGATCGCTATCGACCTTGCCGCTGGCGTGCGACAGGATGCAGCTGGCATCCTAGGGACAACAACCCATATTGGGGACTTGGTGAGCTGTCTCTTGTTATCTCAATGTTGATCCACCGGAGGCAATCGCGAGGACATAGACCCCATGTGAGCTTCAAGGTACACTGAATGCTCTACCACGGCATGTGCCCTGAAGGTTGACTCGCAAAACGAACTCCTCGTTTACTGACGGGATGTTTCATGTACATTGAGTTTTATGCGCTTTAAAGGCACTATCGCTCAACGTGCCCCTTGGCTTTGCCGCCGGTGCACGGTTGATATGCCACGGATCTTGACTAATTGCTCTACTCTCCCAGGTTATCCCTTTCGTGGCAGGGGGGTTCTTGTACATAGGTGCAGTTGCTGTCTTGCCAACGTACGTGGTCATTCCATCTTTATCCCAAGTAAGCTAAGAACTTACCGTCAATCTCACCCCTCATGCCTACTCCGTGTAACGTATCTATTCATGTCGTCTGACCTTGCTAGGTTGCTGGAAGATAGCAAAAGCGGAAAGCAGGCCATACGAGAGGTGAGTAACTGGGGGGCGTATTTATACGCAGGCCACCGATCTGGATCTTCATTTCTGGGCTGGGAACTGACTCTATTTTGGCTTGATAGTTCGCAGCGATGGCATTTGGTGTCGTGTGCATGTTCTTGGTAGCGTGAGTCCTACCCTGTTCTCTGTCCTTGCCTGGATTGGCTGACGTGTTTCTGGCAATATAGATGGAATGAGTAGTAGGAGCGTTATACATAGATACACTCTTCCTTTCTTCCCTAGACCTACTGCTCGAAACTTCCAGTGGAGAATAGAACGCTGCGGGTCTGCTATGATCCATCATCCTTGAAGCTGTCAGGCCGCGACTGCAAGTACTGCATCTAGATCAAATGTCGTCGAGTCAGGGACATAATTGATTCAGATTCGGCAGCAAAAAGCCGAGGAACGTGCGTGAAAGTGACGAAGCCGTGACAAATTGCCGGAAATATATAATTTCGCAAGCTGGTTTATTCCATGTCTCTCCAATTTGTTCCTCTCCACGTCGCCCTCGACGCTGCCCTCGGCACTCTACAGGTCGTCGCTAACGGCGCCAAACACCTTTATCAAGAGCGACGCCCCAATCCAGGTCCGATCATTCTAGACCTCAGTGCTTTTATAACCCGGCTGATTTTTCACGTTTGAACCATCCCTTCGCCGCAAATCCACTTCACGACACTGTCCAGCTCATAGAGTCAAGCTTTCCGCGTCGCGACGCCCAAGCGTGACTTTTGAATAGCGCCGACACCCAATCAAAAACGTCCCTCACTGGATTCACCAGGTCGTCCGGACGGCAACCGCGGCAAATCTGCCAGTCGTCATCTCATTTCACTGAAGGCGCTTTTGCATTCGGAACACTTGCTCCTTCGCCCCACATTGTTACCCTTGTCGTATACCACCACCCCAACCGGGCATAACATCGCAATGAGTACTAAAGGCCGCTCGACTCCGCGGATCGTGTGCTGCGCCATACCTATCGCAAGGTCAGCTGGAAAGGTCCTTGTAGTGACAAGCCGCAAACGACCAGATATTTGGCTATGTGAGTGCTATATGGAAGCTTTTTCCAAGCCCCCTTCAGAGTTCTCGCTCATGACGTCTGTTTCAGTGCCGAAGGGCGGATGGGAGCCGTCTGATGGTGAATTGCAGGCTGCTGCGTTACGGGAAGCCTTGGAAGAAGGTCTCACCCTTTGTCCCTCTATCCGTCTCCCCACTTCCTGACGTCTCGTCCTCTTTGCCCCTTTATTTTTGCGCAACGCCATTGCACGCATGCCTCGTGCCGCTCCTACTTCCACCCCGATTGTCAACACAGCCGGTGTTCGCGGTCAAATAACGCGATTCGTGAAAACGACGTACTCACCGTCGGCGACATATCACTTTTACGAACTCGATGTGTCAGGGCTTGACTCTGATTGGCCTGAAGCGAAGGAGCGGAGAAGGGAGTGGGTGGATTACGCTGAGGCTATCAAGCGCCTAGAGTGGAAGCAGGAGCTATCGGAAGGCTTGAAGATGTCTACCTTGGCTCCACGTCGTTAGGGCATCAGCTAGCGTCCAAGTCGCCCGACTATCAATTGTATCGGCCGTACGCCCTGACTTGGCGGATCCGTCACCCTCTCCCTTCTAGGACACACGATTACCCCACTTGAACCTTCACACACGAGCATTGCATAGATTGTCGGGGTCGTTTCGGATTGCGTCCTCATTACCTTACTTTCTACCCGTTAACTGCAACCTCTTCCCAGCCCACTACGCTGCGCTTGATTTGTCAAGCCAACGCCACATTTCGGTCTTCGACGGGATAGACGCAATCCTCATCACCTTTTGTTTTCGGTCCACTGTCGCATCATTTGCTATGTTTGTATAATCCCTCTTAAACCCCCCATCATCTAAGCTAGTCACATAGATATTATTGATCACTTAACCCCAACACATTTTGTACTTTTTCTGCAGAAATACGTTCGCTTCCACGCTCAGTCGTTAGTGAGCGTATGTTACACGCGTGGCAGTCCCCAGGCCCCACGGAGATGAAGAAATGAGTCACTCATCAATGTTATACTTTCTTCCTGACCATTATGTACCCCTCAAGCATTGAGCAGAAGATCATCGATGAAGCAGAAAAACTGATGGTGGAGACAATGTCGCGTTACGATGCCTCACACGACGCGTTCCACGGTGGGCATGGGCTTCAGCAGTGTCGTACTCGACGTGTCTCACCACCGCTTGAGCACAGTGCGACGTGTTCGGAAGACTGCACTCGCTCTGGCCAACTCGGTGACATCCTCATCTCCCACCAAGCCCGATCTACTGGTCGTTGAACTCGGTATCCGCATGCATTTCACAACTGACTGCGCAATATGCTTATAAAATGGACGCGCAGCCGCTCTGCTTCACGATGTGCTCGACAAGAAATACGTTAGCCCTGAGCAAGCTTCAGATCCATATGCGTACTTTCTACCCTTCTTTCAATCCACGCTCGCAGTCCAGGATGAGCTAGACCTAATCGCCGACGGCCGAGCTCGATTGATTACAAGGATCATTGATAACATATCTTGGAAGACAGAACAAGCACTGCGCGAAAAAGGATTGGTGACGGATTGGCACAGGGAATGCGTGGAACTCCATTGTGTCCAGGATGCGGATAGGCTGGACGCCATCGGGGCATTTGGTGAGTCCCTGCTGAACTCAAAGAATTGGAGAGCGAATCATTGAGTGGAGGATTTTGATAGGAATATTGCGTTGTGCTGCATACAACGCGGTCACCAACCAGTACGGAGCACATTCGACCATGATTGGACAAATATTGATGTTTGCGATTCTATACAGTGTTCTGCACGCACCAGCAGAGGACCCCGCCAATGATACATCCGCTATACAGCACTTCCACGACAAACTTCTCCACATTTCTGAGCAACTCAAAACCGAGCCAGGGAAGCGGATGGGGAGGAAGCGACACCAAATGGTGAGTCGATGACCTTCCAAATGGGACAAGTAATCGTGACATTCTGATTGTTGACTCGTGTAGCTGGTGGGATTTCTGGAGGCAATTGACGAAGAATACGCAGGATCGCTTCCTGCTGCATAGGGCGGTACTTCTTATATTGTTCCTCACTAGATTCAATAATCCTTTGCTTACGGCGCCGCGCGTCTCCGCGCGCACACTATCTTGAATGCCTCGCGGCGGAGTGAAACGCATGTTTAGACCAACATTCTGATTGCGGCATGTCGGCAAAATGGAGTCCATGGGGGCGCTGGCCGGTGGGTATGTGCACCACATGGACCTCATAGAAAACTCAACATGGTGCGTCGTTGATAGAGCTTCGCCGAATGGTTCTTGCTTAATTTCTAGTTTATGCCCTAGGGGATGGGCGTATAAATATACTGACAGTTTTTTTCGCGGGCGACTGCATGAATCATCGCTCCCCCCCCGCTAAAGACTTCTGAACAATGCCCGCGTATTCTCCGCTCTCTCTGGTTTTCCTTGCGGTGCTTGGTGCGGCCGCCAGTCAACCAAGTTTGAGTGATGCGCAGGTCTCGGAGAAGTGGAACCGACTAGGGAATTTGTCGCCCTATCACAAGGCGCCTATACCGTCCGGTGTGAAAGAAGTCCTACCGGCTGACTGTAGAGTCGATCAGGTTATGTTGGTACGTTCGCAGCTTTTGGCGGACCCCCCCATCGGGGGATGAGACTATCCATTATTGTTCGACTCCACCGCGTTCACCTCCACTAAGGGGCATTGTACGATTTGCAATTCACTGATTTCGTGTCGTAGACTGGCCGGCATGGTAGTCGATATCCCCTCGCTTCAGAGTTAATCTTCATAACGAATATGACGGCGAAACTCTCGTCCAACGCGCAAGCGATATCTCGCTCTCGACTACCGAAAGAACTTCGGTTTTTGGAGAACGGGTATACGTCTACCTTAGGTCATGATGATCTGACGGCTGTAGGAAGGCAGGAACTGTTTGATCACGGCGTAAAGTACGTATCTTCCCAACACTCGCCCTTTTCCCTATACAATATACTGTAATGATCCCGCCCTCGCTTCGTTTTTCGCGCCGTTTTGTCATGTAACCGGGCGGCTGTATTGTTGCCATCGTCTCAAATTCGTATCCGAATTTTTGGTCGGGTGGACTGATCACGCTTGTTCGCTAGTTTCAGGCTCAGGTACCAGCATCTCACCGCCGATGCTATTTTGGCTGGCGATCAAGATAGGGTCTGTTCTTCCAAGCCCGGTCAATATTCAAGCCCTTACTTACGAGATCATCCGTGGAACCCGCCCTTTTCGGCGCATAGGTCATCGAATCGGCGCAGTGGTTTGGGCAAGGGTACTTTGGTCGCAGTTGGTCTGAGATTTCTGGGAATGCATTCTCTACAATACCTGAGGACAATGTAACCGTCTCGTGGATAACGCCGATGGATACCTGTCCTAAGTGGCAGTATGCCTTTGGCGGTGATGTAAGTCATCCCCTGCTCCCTAAATATGCTTCTTTTGCACAAACGCTCACGACTATGTTAAGGCTGTCACTTCCTGGGGGAACAAATACTTGCCCTCCATCACAAAGCGGCTGAATCGACTCACACCCGCACTCCGTTTCACGGATGCGGATACCCACGGAGCACTCTATGCCTGCGCGTACGACTATGCGGCGCTCCGCACATCCCCCTGGTGCGGAGCGTTCACAGATCAAGAAATAGCCAGCTTCGAGTAGGGCGAAGCCTACATGATGATCTCGAGTACTCGCTAACCATGTGTGTCGGTAGATATGAGCTTGATCTGTTGATGAATGGCGCCTTTGGGTACAATCTCCCTGGCGATATGGGGCCAACTCTCGGTAGCCTGTATGTAAACAAGCTGATTGAACGGTATGCACTGCTTCTCATTTTGGAGCCCGACAATGCTAAGTAAAAAATGGCTTAGGTTTTCTAATTCCTCGAGTGATGCAAAGGCTGTCTATTTAGAGTTTGGGCACGACACAACCATTGACATGGCTTTGACTGCACTAGGGCTCGCGAAGTGGGTAGTTCTCGATCTTATGTATCAGAGCTGATGCTTCTTCCTCCCTAGAGATTCTCCGCCACTCTCACCGACGGGCCCCGTCCGTCCAAAGCGGAAGTTCAGGACTTCGGAACAAGTCCCATTCGCTGCTCAAATGGTCTGGGAAAAATTTAGCTGCGATTCATCGTGAGTTAAATGGCCTCCCGCAGAACTATGCTCACGTCATGGTCCTTACAGGTTTCACGGCCCCCAAATCCGCCTTGTCCTCAACGATTCGCCCTTCCCGCTGACGTTCTGTTCAAAGACATCGTCTGACAGGTCTTACGGAACGTGTTCGTTCGATGCTTTCGTCAGCAAAAACAGCTTCAGCACATCTCGACAATGGGGAGATGCCGCGTGGAATGCTACCTGCGGTGCTTCGTCGCTGTAATCGCGCACACGATAATATTGCATTTGCTTCCGCGGAACATGGTTACAAGGCCCCAGACTAGACATTTGATTTCAAATCGTCCCGTTGTCATTCGACAGAGAAACATGAAGGGGTTTTGTACGCTTTGATTCGCCACTTACTAGACGAATTATATATTGATTCAGCGGGTATACCCTCCGTGTCCCACTTTGCAATTCCAAACGTTTGATTCGTCAGGGAAGGTAAGACGTTTTAACGGTGTATCTACATATGCTTTTGCCTTACACGATGTTTTTAGTATTTCTACACTGTGATTTGTTCCTTACCACTTGCTATATCGCCAACGCTGCAAAAACATGCTATCGCGCAGGTTATAAATCCAAGTAAGGCAGCGGTCTGGAGTAAGGACTCTACCCGAATTCTAAGATGGTCTCTCGAATGGCCTTCATTCTTCTCTCGCTTTTGGGCGCTACATTGGCCCAGCGCGACCCGTCGAGGCTGAACAATTTTGGTGCCCTATCGCCGTACCATACAGCCCCCGTAAAGGGGGGTACCAAGGTCTCTCTCCCTTCGGACTGCAAAGTCGACCAAATCATGCATGTGAGTAACGCGTACAAATCACTGGGTCTACCAGGATGATACTCATGCCCTCGTGAATAGCTGGGTCGTCACGGTGCTCGATACCCTGAACATGAAAGCGATGGGATAAAGGCCATGGTCGCAGCTGTTGCAAGGGCGAAGGACTATATCGCTTCCGCAGATCTCCCGGAGGAACTCCAATTTTTGAAGAATGGGTATGTGTCCGATCTCGGAGTAGGAGACTTGGTGGAAACGGGTAGGCAACAGCTCTTTGCACACGGCAAAAGGTATGCGTTCCCCTAGTGGATTGCGACGCGTTTGACCATGCCGTTATTAGTTTCCGCGCGAAATACCCGACCTTCAAAGTCGACAAACTTCAGTGTTCTGGTGTCAAAAGGGTAAACATCTTCCACGGTTTCCCGATTTACAATGAACCATGATAACTCAAGGTTGTCGAATCCACGGATTACTTTGGGAGAGGGTATTTCGGAGATGCTTGGGCCGCCAATTCCAGTGCCATGGTCTCCATAATCCCCGCAGACAGCTCAACGGTATCCCACATCACGCCTTGGCATGTGTGCAAGGATCTGAGCTTCGATACTACCGACAAGGTGAGCAAATCATCACGAATGCAAGTTCTATCACTAATCTAGGCTCTAGGTTTCTGCGGAATGGGGGAGCGTTTATCTGCCTCCGATAACCAAACGCCTCAACTCTTTAGTCCCCGGGCTCAATTTTACCACCGATGACACCCTGGCGGCCTTCCAGGCCTGTGGCTACGACTATGCTGCACATGGTTCCTCCCCTTGGTGCGACGTGTTCACAGATGAGGAGATTGAGAGATTCGAGTTTGTGCCCTTAACTTCACATACTTTGCTAAGCCTGACGGATCAACGCAACAGGTACAATGCTGACATATCTATGAACGCGATTTGGGGCTCGCGGTTGCCGAATAACGGCGGCGCCGTCATGGGATCCATCTACATCAACACGCTAATTGACCGGTAGGCCGTGAATGCCAACCTGTATGTGTCCCCCAGATTCATCCTGTCTCGCAGTTTCTCGGCGCAAGACAGCCAACCGGCGTATGTGGAGTTTGGCCACGATGTCACGATATCTTTGGCATTGACTGCAATGGGATTGACGAAGTGCGCTGTTTTTGCAATCCCCCTTCCCTAGGCCTCACTAACATCGATGCTACTCCAGAGATATCCCGCAGCTGTCTACCTCGCAGATAATTACCAATAGGAAATATCGGAGCTCTCAGCAAACACCTTTTGCTGCTCAGATGGTATTCGAGAAGTTCAGCTGCTCAAGCTCGTATGTCTATCTATTTAGCGTCCGGGGCAACCCAGGGCTTACCATTCTCTTTACTATCTAGGTTCAGTGGGCCTCAAATTCGGCTCGTTCTCAACGAGGCACCGTTCCCACTTGAGACGTGTATCAAATCGGAAAAAGATGCAGAATATGGGTCCTGCTCGTTTGATAACTTCGTGCAAGCCAATAGTTTCAGTAGATCGGTTAAGTACGGCGATGCTGCCTGGAAACGGGCATGTGGCGAAGTGGTGTAACTTGGTTTTACTTGTAATGTAGTACTCGTCAAATTGTAGTAGCAGTAGTTGAGAGCCGCGGTTTCAGGGACTATTCGTGAGACTGTTTTGATAAGACAGACAAATCAGTAGGAAATTCGACTTGAAAGTGGAGAAACGAGGAGGATACTCAGACTCTAGCCACCTTGCCCCTGAGTGTGACCGAGTTGGAATCGCGTGACATAACGCGACATGTGACAAATTGAGTCGCGTGTTCTCATCATTATCTTCGTACAAACTACACCACAATGTCTCTGTGGGTCGACCAAGTAACTTTTTGCTGTGTTTATGTTAGTCGTCACTGATCCTATGCTCATAGTACCGCCCAAGGTCCCTCGACGACCTTCATTACCATCAAGGACTGTCCGCGCGACTAAGGTCATTGGTACGACGCCGAGCACTATCACGAGGATATCTTAGCTGACAGAGTAGTAGGCTGCGTCGGGGGATTTCCCTCATATGCTATTCTACGGGCCATCGGGAGCTGGAAAGAAGACAAGGATAGCGTGTACTCTGAAAGAGTTGTTCGGACCGGGCGTCGAAAAGGTGGGCCTATTTCTACCCGATGTGTTCGCGTTATGTTGCTGAGAGGTTATGTAGATAAAAATTGACCAACGAATCTTTCTTACACCTTCAAAGCGTAAGCTCGAAGTCAACCTCGTGCAGAGTAATTTCCACATAGAAATCACACCTAGGTGTGTTCCCACTGCTGTATTGCCTATACAACTTCATGGAGCATCTCCCTCTGTAGCGAAACTGGAAATTATGATCGTATCGTGATCCAAGAATTGTTGAAGGAGATTGCACAGACACAGCAGGTTGATTTGAATGCAAAACAACGGTTCAAAGGTGAGGGGGCCTTACCTATCTGTTTGTATTGCTGTTACTCAATTATGGATAGTCGTGATCATCAACGAAGCCGACTCACTTTCCCGGGATGCTCAGGCTGCGCTGAGACGAACAATGGAGAAATACATGTCCAACATGCGGATAATACTGTGTGCCAATAGTACAAGCCGCTTGATCGCTCCAATAAGAAGTCGATGCTTGCTGATGCGTGTAGCGGCCCCCGACTCGGATGCAGTGAGTATTCACTCGTCCCACGTATCACCAGAACAAGTCTAAACCCCGCACTTGTTGTAGATGGGTACCGTCCTCGACTATGTAGCTCGACGAGTGGGTTTCGATCTGCCGCCGGATGTCGCTGGCCAGATTGTAGAAGATGCTGCGGGCAACATGCGGAAGGCATTGTTGGTTCTCGAAGCGCTAAAAATGCAATCGTATGTGTTTGGTTATCTTGACTAAGCAGGGCCTCGCTACTGACGGTCGGCCATGCCTCCGTAGTCCTGACTTGTCGGGGAACCTCAGCATCGCCAAACCTGATTGGGAAACATACTGTCACAAGGTGGCCGATCTGATAGTGCAAGAACAGACACCTGCCCGTGTCATGGAAGTGCGAGCAAAGTTCTATGAATTATTAAGTCACTGCATACCGCCAACGGTGATATTGAAGGTTTGATCTCCCTTATACCTTGTACGGCGACGGGGAACTCATTATCGCCTTATCAGACGGTGGCTGAGCGTGTTGTGGAGAGGGTGGATGAGGCACTCAAGGCTGACATCATGCACTGGGCTGCATTTTACGTATGTATGGTCCGCTTCTTTCCTTATACCTACTAATTTCAGCTCTTTAGGAGGTACGCATGCGGGTCGGTAGCAAGAAGATCTTCCATCTCGAGGCGTGGGTTGTAAAAGTCATGAGTTTGTACAAAGTCAGTGCTTTCCTTCATAGCCTCAAACGAACTCCGCTCATCCCGCACTAGCAATTCTTTTATGGTATGGATTTGACAGGCTTTGATTAAGACATACGTAGCTGTCTGAATATCAAAGAAGTGTCAATCAAAGAGTGATATTAAGTGGGGAACACACAGGCGTGGGGCTGCGATTCACTGCCGGCTAGTCAACGCACACCTCAGGTTCCCGGATGTCGAGCAGTGTCCGTGTGGCTCTCAATTACAGATCTGGCTAAATCTCATATCCCCGTGAATTATGGTGCTGTTTCGATTCTCTTAGTCGACACTGGCAGGTTCACAACAAGAGCCAGATCGCGGGCCAGACGGCGTACATGTGTACTAAGTTGTATTTCGAACTCGTTCTTATGTTGTATCAAGGTTCCATTATGCGGGTGCTTATCGAAGCAAACAGCTCGCCGTTGTTTTTAGCACGGCCGCGAATTGGCGGAGGGTTTCGATTGGCTGAAATTGTTGCCTTTGTTCTATATGACCATCCAGCCCGCGGGGTCTCGTTATTTTCAATCCACATGGTAATGATGGCATTGACAAGTATTCGCCGTGTGTGTGCCCTGTGGTGTTAGTACTGATGTGATGAACGCCTTCTTTGTTTCCCGTCGATTAGTCGGTGCAAGAGTGAGTCCCGGAGTCTGAGCACCCACCGGATGGTAAGTATATATGTTTACCGACGTCAGCAGCCAGCACTTGTACAACTAATTGGTCGGTATACTATGAAAGAGACACAAATACCGAGATCATTCAGAAATGCAGCAACGTGGATAGAAGTCCTAGTGGAGATCAATAGATGTTACGGCGTTTACTGTCCATGGTAAGGGTAGTGGTATTGCTGCTCTCCTACGTTTGTATTATTGGAGCCATGAGTCCAAGAATCAGTGGATCTAAGGAACAGGCGTAAGAGATTCGACGAGGCAGGAAAGGTCAGCAATCTACCGACTAGCCGACAAGACGCATGGCCATTGGGCATCCGGAGGCATCTCATAGAAGGGCATACTTGAAGGAAACCCAGATGAAGACTTGGATGGAAAAGGTTAGATTAATACTTCCAAGAACCATCCAAGCGCTTACTTGATCATAGCTTATGCCCCGTGGGTAGAGGTTGTCTGACGGCGTGGTGTATACCGGGCCATCGAAGAAATAAAGCACTGATATTTCGTCTCCAGTATACGTAGCTTGGTGCTTATTGCTTGCCGTGATAACGGAGGGCAAGGGCACGAAGGAGTGTTGAATGACGTACTGCTCAGGGACTTCGAACAATCGATGGTAATTCATTTAGCCGTGATGTTTAAGGCGATGCAACGACTTACATTGGTCACAACATAAGTCTTTCCAACGCCCCTGCACGAGAGCGGTCCGATAGATCCACTGGCCTACTTGCGTAGGCGGACACGGCTGCAATTGACAGCGTTCCTTATAGACTAATGCCCTTGATTGAGCTTCCAGGAGGAAAATATCGTACTGTTCCCAAAGTTGAACTCCAGATACAATCATGACGGACGGATCCATACTTGCGAGCATCTTTGATGCTCGGTGATCAACGAGATGCATTGCTTCCGGTATTGATCCCAGTCGGATCCCTTGTATATTTTGAGGAGGGTCAAGGAAGACATATGGAGGCCTGGAGCTAGAGGAGCTAGCACATGTCGAGATGGTGACGCTCAGCTGTATCGGAATTCTTTGCCGCAGTTCGGTTGGGGTGGATGCGCTGATTGTGGCATGCTCCGGGGGGAAAGTAGATGACGTTGGTGATGGCGATGGGTCTGGTGAGCAATGCGGCTCAGGCGTGACGGATCCTGAGCTCCCGGAATTGCGAGATATCAGTCGTAGGACTATTTGCAAATAAAGGATATATTTGAGCATTGTTTTATACCGAAGCGCTAGAATTCGAGGCCTACTGTGTTCTCCTTTGCAAGTGTCTCGAAGTTGTTGGATTCGGCTTCCCACTTGTTTCGGTGTCCGCCTCTTACCAGTGACCTAGGGGAGGGGGATTATTGTGGTATAATCTAAATAGTTAGCAATCCGCCAACCTGGAAAACGTAGTCCGAAATGAAGCGATTTCGCATCGGAAACCTGCCCAGAGACTTGGTTGCCTTCTTACTCTCCGGCTGGTACTTTTCTAAACCTGACAGCGTTCCGAAGTGAGCGAAGCGATTACTGAATATCTCCGATTATGCCCTACCTTCTATCAGAGCAGCCTCTCTGACGAGCCATCAGTATAGTGTGAATCGATAGAGGGGATTGTCCTACAGTTGTGGGGACCAAACCGCTTCTCCAGAACCACCCCTCACGGTTTTCCAGCTACGGCGGCCGGTTACGGCCTTCTGCGCTTCGTCGCGCGTCTGCTCTTCGGTGGATGGAATGTGCCCGAAGTCCTCGATAGTCGAAGTAGACACGAGCATCGACGATTGTTTACCCGCGCCGACATTCTGTCCTGTACTCCAATCTGTGAAGGACATTGTGTTCTTATAGTAGGGTTGGCGGGCGGAGGGCCGCTGATCAGTGATGAGGATGGATACGGGAAGTTTACGAACATTTAGCTCTTCGAGACCGATTCCTTAAGTACCAAGACAAGCTGTGCTGTACGAAATGAAGGGCTTTCGGTCGCCTTCGATTTTTGAAACCGCTATGTTCCTATGATTGAATAGATCTCGATCTCAATCGAGCGGAAGCAAATTGGTTTATAATAGGTTAGCGCCATCCTTGCGACCTTTTGGAAAAAATCGGCCCTGGCCGGCACTCACAAGTCTAGAAGATACATACTTGGTCAGACGTGATATATTGTCGTTACTGATGTTGATATTAGCCACGCATTGCCATCGTGTTGGCTGGGTTTGGAGAAAGTCTGGATGACTTGTTGCCACTACATGTGTGTTGACACATTGCAATGGTGAGGGATTCATGAGGGATTCATTAGCTCCAGGAAGGGCCAAATTTGGGTTTGCCAGCCATTACCCCCAGAATAACGACGCGTGAAATCAATTAAGATACTAGGCCACTACTGGATGAAACGCGTCGATATATTCTCTAAGGGTTGCATCCTTGAGCTACACCACGAGTGCCTGATGAGCGAGCTTACGAAGGATCGTGGTGACCACTTGGTTGCTAGTGGATTTTCGACTGGGAACGAGGATGATCTATAAGCCCAAAGGAATCACTCCGTCACCAGATCCAGAAGCTCGAGCACCTGAGCCTGCTGCGTGACCGTACCAAAAGTGGGGCCTCAATCCCTAAGACTAGGTTTTTGAGTACTTAGATAGAAACTGTATGCGGATAATAGAGGGGCGCGCCGTCGGACACCCAGAAGCCCCGCGACCCCAAATCGGAATATATGTAAGTGCTCATGAGAAAATTGCATGAGGAAGGGAATGCGTCATCTGGGCGATTGCACTTTCGACGTACCTGGTTGCCACACAGAAAGGCTAGAAAACCCTTTCTACACAGCTCCCGGTTAATCTGGTTTTGAAATAGCCGGAAACATGATGGAGTGGTACTTTGAGGGCGCGGGAGGTGCGGGGATCACAAGAAGTCTTAGCCACGCATACAAGAATCGACAGGTCGAGTTGTGATAGGCGTTCCTCTGAGTCGAGTGTCGGTACATTTGAAATCGCAAGGTTTGTGTGGGACGCGGCGACTCAGGGTTCTACTAACTCTACAAGGAAGCAAATGTAGATCGGGAAGGAATGGAGACACCTCGAATACCTTTTGGATTGAACGGCATGGGTGTGTCGACAGGTCGTCGGGTCCCAACCATTTTGGGAAATCAGCCCACGGGGCCGACTGCTCCGGGTCGAAGTTCGGCCACCGTAGGTACAGCAAAAGAGGGTCGTCCCAGTCAATCTGGCGAAAAGTCGTACATCCCGACTGAATTAAGCCGCCCGCAAAATATTTGGAGGAGGCGGCGGTGGCTCAGACTCGGGGTTGATGGGCCCTATGCCAGGTTCCCATTCGACGAGGGTGCAACATCAGTCGCGCCACCAAAGGTGTGAACGTTTGGGGTTGTTAGATGACATAAAAACTGCGGTCCGAGGAAGAGTAATTCATGCACCGTGTGCTACAACACAGAACCTCCTGGGAAGAGCCAAGTCCTCCCATAGGTACTGTGTGCGCACGGACGACACAGGGAAATCTGGATGCCAGAGATCATTAGTAATGGTTGGTGTGAGTATAGAAGTTCATTGATCCATGTCTTATCGTCCACAGCTTGAGATTACTCCTTCTATAGTCGGCAGTAGATCAAATTCCACGTTACGTGTCTATGTACTAGCAACGGGGTCTGGAAGAGTCCTGTCGCCTCGGCTGGTTGCTTGACCACTTGACACACGTCCTTCTCCCCCGTCAAAGTTTGTGGCGATGCTTTTGTCTTTGCCGACTTCCATAATATTGAATTTTTGAAGGCGATAATAATCTTTCACAACGCTAATGCCACACACACTCTGTTTGGTTGTGTCAACAAAGGATGGTCAGGACAAGGTGCCAGTTCACCTTGAAGACTTCAGCAAGTATAAAGATTTCCGGATTGTTTAAGTCGACTTTGTGGCCCTCGGGAAGGCATCGTACTATCCGTTGAATTAATACGTCACGAGAGTGTGTGTTGTGGTTCCGTATTCGCAATTCAACTTTGTACTTGAGAAAATTGTCAGTGACCAAGTCCATTGGGACCGAGCAGCAAGGCGTTTACACTCCAAGTTCCTGGGTTTTCTTCGAAGAATGATTTGAAAATCTTTGCGCACAGATCATCGATATTAGGTAGGTTGGCGGCACAAGCACCAGCGGAAGGAACTAATCGATGTGTATAACTTTTCGACACGTCATCAATCATTTATGGCAGAAGACGCGTCGTTCCTACCGTGTGCGGGAAATTCCAGTGCGTTGTACATTCTCGACGTGGGAGACCACCAGCCTGACGGGATCAACGGGCTCCTTGCAGGCGATGAAAATGACTAAAATGTGAATTAGCTTTCACTTAACAGCAAGTTCATGATTACATACCACACGGGGTCCCAGTCATGCAGTTAGCTAGTACCCCTTTGTCAGCATTGGACTTCTCGAGTGAAACCGTTATTACAAAATCGCGACTCAATCTTCGGTCGTTTCATGGCAGCAACTTCTTTAGCTATTTGCGCCTCAATGGAGAGTTCTTCATCACTGTTGCCGCCTTCAGAATCGTTGCTTGAAATTCCCAATGGCCACATGTCAGATGCCAGCTTTTTAGACCGTAAGTCAAGAAGCGATTTGCCGTCCGGAGACGTACGGTGTCAAACAAGTCATATAATTCGCCAACGGCTTGTTTTTCCTTGCCTTTTACGCCTGCATTCTATCTTCATTGAGTCTGATTACTTCTGTAGGCGATGGCGACGCACATGTAGCCCAAATCCCAGGCCCGTCAATTGTCCTCTTCGTCCATCCAACCCCGTCCTAGGCTACGTCAGACACATACACACATCACAGCGACGTAGTGAATGAGATGCCTACTCGCGGCCGGTACTTGCTTCTAGCAGTAGGACCAGGATGTGACCTCTTATGACCGGCCGAATGTTTGGAATCGGCATTAACTGCGATTTAGAGTAAATTTTGAGACATCGACATCCGAGGCATCGCTGATTCGATACCTTGCGACTTTGGGGACATGGAACCGAAATTCTCAAGACACGGAGCGGTACAAAGTGCGAGCGTCAAACTTCCTGATAAGTTGAAGCGGAGTCTGAATAAACTTCTAATTCTACAGCGTGGTTCGCCGACAGGCCAAGGACTCTGAAAGTCGCATATGGGCAAAGTTCACGAACTACCGATTCATTCAGTGGTGATACTTGCTTATCCTCGTAGATCTCGAGCAAGATTGAGTGTAATCTACCAATCTTTCCATACACGCGTTCACAATGCTCTAAACCGATGAAGGCAAGCCTCGCCATTTCACTTGCACACTTCAATGCCATTTGGTCTTTCTGATTCACTTAGAGAGCGGGAACTTACATGGGAAGGACTCAATGCCACGACAACCCCAGTAAGCAGTCTATCTGATAATCTCCGTTGTCTACGGGTATTATATTGACGTCCACGGCAGTGGCTGCGTAGTACTTCAAGCCTGCTTCGTGAGGCTCATCAAACAATTTCGCCGCTGATGCATGGCATTGACACGTGTGGGGGGAGGTGCTATCTGAACCTTTGTGTAGCATTCTGACGTGTCATTCTCACCCCAGATGATGGACCCCCTCCAAGAAGCGCACCATGTTCGATCAGCGAGCGCAAACAACATATGCGAGCTTTGACCTTACGCTACCACCAGGGACTACATTTACGAGGACCCAGCCTTGTATGACACACCTATATCGCTTGACAAAGAGGCGTGGTGTACCCGCCCCCCAAGTTCTGGATCAAATCGCGACACATCTGGCCATATTCGACATGAAGTCCTTACAACATCCGACGCACATACTCTGGGGGCCTTACTATTCAATGACCAGCGTTATGGGCGCCACTGTCTCTTCAGGCTTCTGTGATTCATCTCCTAACAAGCCGTTCATTACTCACGCTATCTACTACAGCTTCGTTCCCTTCTTGAAGGTTCTTCTTGCCTAATTTCGATCGGCTGGGGTACTGCTTCGACCCGCGACTTGGCCGCGCAATAAAAATTCTACTGCCGTCTTGCTGCCGCCTCTCCATCTCTTTTATGACGGCCGTCGCACGGATCCTTCGATTCATACATGCCATATGGCAGGATTGATATGTAATCTCGTAATTTATGTCGAATGTGAAGATGGCGATATTTATGCTCACTGACAGTTCAAGCATCCCGGCCAGAACTAATTCGCCTCGGTTAGGCGGAACTACATACACCCAGGGAATACTTCCGCTCACCACGACACGGCGCTACCAGAGGTGCATACTTTGTTGAATAACCGACGGTCACAGTGTGCGGGCCAAGAACAAGGGCCGCTCTTGGTCAATACATTACACCCACCACAGATTACAGTTACCGGACATAGGTCTACATTCTTGTAAAATCAGGATTTACTATTGAATCTGCAGTAAAACGGAGCAACTGTTGTCCCTTGAATTCACCCAGCGAGGCCAGTCTGGCCAGTCCGACGCAAGTTGTCCTCGCGTCAAAGATCTTGCGGTGTAATACAATTGTTTCTACAGGCACAGGCTTCAGCGGAATGAGTAATGTAAGAATCTGGTTGGGGTGGATTTTGAATGGGCCAATGGTCGTTCAATCGATTGCAAATCGGCATACTCTGGGTCCCACTCCACGGCATGAGGCGCTCGGACATTAAGCTTTCAGTGGGTGCGCTATATTAGGGGGTTGCGACAATCGGAAGGGGGTGCCACGAGGTCACTACTCCTGATCGTTGCCGATCGCGAGGCCCGGTTGGGGGACTTTACATATAGGATTCCGCAGTCAACCAAGTACAATTTTGAGTGCGACCGTGGGAATAAAGCGCCGTATGATCCGACTTCTGCGCCTCTTCCCGCGAAGAAGCGCTCCGGGGATGCCCTGAAATGGAAACGTCTGGGAACGTCCCTCTCCATATAGGTACGTCGCGCCGCAGCCAACTCCTTATTTAGGGCGCCCAGAATTAATGCATAGCATGGGGCAGGTTTTGCCAAGCTTCCATGGTAGTCACATCGACACTAGTAGCTGAAGAGGTTAGTAAACAATAGCCTAATGGAATTTGGATACACCGACAGATCTTCGTAATACGCCACATCATATGATCACAGCAAGTACATCGGAACGGGCGATTGGCAACTTGCGAAGGAAAACCTCCGCTAGAGCCCGCCATGAACGGGTCTCAAGGAAAGTCGACCGAAAAAAAGCTCGTTCATAAATTCGTATAAGAATGCAATTTTGATGTGGTGTGCTGGACAAGTCGTGATGGTATGATGGTAGATATCGATGCGACGTAAGTGGGGCAGAAGAAGTCCTTTGAAGGAGACAACGAAGGCGAAAAGTTCGAAGCATGAACGGAAAGAGAGGAAGATTTTCTATGGCTATATCATGGTGGTGTAGTAAGGTGACAAGACCGACAGGTTATTAAGAATTAAGTATAGTATGATATGATAAACTGTACATTCGAAGGCGAGACGGGGGTAAGCTACAGTGGGGGTCGGATGTTGTGAAGTCGGACAGTTTTGCGATAAGATGTTGTTGACGCAGAGTACGTATGTGAGATGAAAGTGGAAATAGCGGACGCCCGTTCGGTCCGTCCAATCAAAGCCGAAGCCAGGAACAAGGAAAGAATTGGAAATTATGTGTATCGGAGGACCGAATCCGAAGGAAGGGTGTATTTGAATTTGGTTGGTGTAGATGGAAGATGCATTAGGAAGGAAATAATGTAGGGTGAAGGAGCATCGATGGAGGAAGCGAAGCGAACTGAAAGAAACCGATGCTCGATTGGGCGGTCCAGGGGGTAGAAGGGGAGAAATGGGGCGTTGTTTGATACAAATGAGAGATTGGGGGCATTAAACTTGATTTGCATTGAGTCTGGGCTTAGGCAGATTCTTCATCGTCGTCACCGTCACCGTCTTCGTCCTTGTCATCATCGTCATCATCGCCGCCGCGCCATTCTCGGTCCCATAGAGGCACCATCACGACACCGTCCTTGATGATCGCCCCCTCTTTGAATTTTGAAGCATCTAAACCGCTGAGACCGTTCAATGAGATCATGGCCGCGTTTTCGTCGCCTTTGTTCGCAAAGTTCGGTGTCGAGTCGCCGTTCTTCGACTTCTTCTCCTTGAACACGCACAGGTTCTGACATAATGGTGTAAGCGCTGGGTGGCCGAAAGGCAGTGCAGAGCGGGCAGTTCGCATGCGATCGAGAAGAGTTGATTGCTCAGCGAGTAGCTCAGTAATATAGTCAATAGCTGCGATAACAGGTATTAGAACGGACGGAACTAGTCAGTGGACAGGGCTTACTCTTTGACAACACGACGTTCTCGCTTCTCGGGCCAGCCCGTCCGTCAACTTTGTCATTGGCCGCTTCGTCCTTAGTGGTCTTGCCTCTGGTCCGTTTGGATCTTGTCGATCTCCGCGTGCTTTTGTCGTCCTCGAAGTCCATATCGGCATCGCCATTTGCACTGCCTTTCCCTCCTTTCCCCATTTCCTCGTCGCGTATCGCTTCTCTCAGTGCGGGGACAGTTTGGCAAAGGGCCTCATAACCACGACGAATATTCGCGCGGCGTTTCTGCTCACTTTGTATGTGATTTGCTTTTTTCTGCGATGGAGAGAGGAGTGCAGGTTTACTCGAGGCTGTATGAGAGGGATTGGGATGCAGAGAAGCCATTGACGCGTGCGAGGAACCCGGCCGTGATGAGCAATTGGATGACACCGAGGCGGCGCGCGAGGGAGGTGCAAGCCGTGAGGAAGATATACGTGGTTGGTGCATGTGAACACCGCCATCGAGTTGACCATTGGGAAGATAGTGGTTAGGATACTGACCAGCGCCAGGGATGGGATGTGACCGTGAGCGCTGCATCGGATAAGGGTGAGCTGCAGCGCTTACAGGTGACATGCGCTGTCGTTTCGTAGGATGTAACGGAAGATCATCATAAGTAGACCGTTTCGACATGTTGCTTAGACTAGGGGGAAGTGCGGGGGAGCCGCGGGATGAACTAGGGTGCTATAAAGAAGCGGTTTAGAAAGGCTATATTTCGAATAGACGTTACATACCGAGCCAGCAGGTGAGGGAATGCCGCGATGCGGTTGCGGTATTTGTAATGACCCGTTAGATACGTTCATCGGGAGAAATGGGGTATTATTTGGGGATGGCAATGTTGGTGTCGCAATCGAAAACGAATGCGTCGATGAAGCAGAAATTGGCGGCGTAGCTGACGCTCTTGAAGGTGAAGAGGCGTAGTTTCCGTTGACGTTCACCGAAATTGGCGGCAATACCTGGTCATGGTGAGGATAATGTGCCTGTTGCTGCTTGTTGAGGAAGGGGAACATCTCGTGGCGTGAGTGCGTGTAAGGTGACTGATGCATCTGCTGTTGGTGATGCTGCTGCTGGTGTTGCTGCTGCTGCTGGTAGTGGCCATATTCATAATCCATATTTGGGGTATGGTGCTGCTCGAGAGGACTTTGCTGATACGCGTCGTATCCAGCCTGCTGATGTTGATGCTGCTGCATGCCGTACGGGTTTCCCGCTCCGTTCTGCTGCTGCCACCGGCCTCCGTCGAGAGCCATCAAGTCCTTCGTGGCCTTGGCCAAAGCTTCGCGCTTTTGGACCTGGGCCGGGTCAAGATCCTCCTGCATCATGTCCGGGGACGAGTACATCGACCACTCGGGTGCTACCTGATCTGACTCTGCGTAATCCACCTGGGAGAGGAACGACTGGAAGGCATGGGACTCGTTCGGGGTGAGGAGGGACATTGCCGGAGGAGGCTGAACGAGAATGTTGTGATCGATAGCCAGCTTGGGCAACGTCTAAGGCGGCGTGAACAAGAGATTGGTTGTGTTACTGGAGACCTTCGCCGTCGTCAATGAGGAGCTCGTCAACGTCGTGGTGGACAGTGAGGAGGAAGGGGTTTGTAGGAAAAACAGACCCTTGGGCTGGGTTAGGAGATCTGGTTATATACTTGATCTCAATCCGGTCCGACCCAAATGGGCATGCCCCTGCATTGCGCGCCAAACGAACTAGCTCGGTTCATCATTGCCATGTGGAATGCAAAGGCTTTCATGCGTCTCGTCTCTAAAGGAACCTCTCCAACCCTAGTCAACCGCTGCAGTCGCTTTCTCCACCAATCACACACTTGACTTGGGCTCAACCACAAGTCCGCATGGTCTCTCGGCCTCTGCTTTCCGCAAAAATCTTGAGTTTCATTCTCGAAGTCGCGGGACTCCAATTTCTTCGCACAATGGCCCATCGCTCCTCGCAGTACTTCTAGTACGGTCGATCTGGTCTTATTCCATTTGTTGAACGCGACCTCTGCAGACTAAGTCCTAAAGGTATTGCGGGCTGTAGGCACCTTCGGGCCTTAGTCGACACTTGTGGCGTCGCACACCCTTACCTCGCGACCAAGTCTCTTATATTCGCCCGTCAACGGTCACGATGGCTCGGTCTTCTGTGTTGCGAACCACTTATCGTTGGCAATATTACGATCAACCAAGTCTACAAATTCTTCCCTGTGACTCGTGTTCAAAATAAGTGGAGCTTCACGGTAATGTCCTAGCACCCTTGCTGTGCTCGGACGCAGGTACTTTGGGAACTAGGCCCTTTGGCTCTCTTGCGTACCGGCCGTGGTCAAATTACCATCAAGGATTGGCAATATTGAACCCGCGTCATCCTACATGGTGAGTGAATACCTTTGATGTCGGACCGTAATTTATTCCTTTCTTGCGCTAATAGTGGGAGTCACAGCCTCACGGATGACTATGTCGGCCGCATAATTCTCGTCGCGCATCGCGGTCACTCACAATAATCGACCACCATTCTTGACTATTTTGGGCGATCGACAGCTGAGCGTAAATGTTATCAGTCTACTCGAGGCCCAAAATCATCCAGACACTGCCTGCAACTTGCGATCAGTTCGATTGATTGTATCAACAGTATAGAGCGCCCGTATCGAAGAAATGGACTTCTGCATTTCACTCGTAAAATTGCAATGCCTTCCTGATCAAATATCAATATATGACATCGCATCGCCCCGACAAGACGAAGCCTTCTTGGGCGCTTGTCACTCTCCTCGGTAAACCCAAGCACGAAAGCACCAGGAAGCTGGAAGTAACCATTACTGAACTGTATTCGGCGCCTAAGTGGGGGGTTTAATGGTGTCGTAACGCTGATATCATGATGATCGGAGCACGGAAGCTTTCCTTCCCCACATCCAATCGGATTTAACTTTATGGCGAAGTAACTCCCATCATACAATCTGTCCAACTTCACGACCTGGCAGCAAGCTCAGGTATATCAACAAAAAAGAAGGCCTCGCTTGCTTGCGGCTTGACGTCTATTGAAGCCCCAAAAAGTCCACTTTTCACTGGCAGCGAACTGCGTCGTGGCAAAGGCATGCGCTGACAATGTGTCGGAGCCTTTGCATTGTTTCAAATTCTCGTCCCGGCTTGGTGAAAATGAACTTCGCCCGCGATGATGGCATACGGGGCAAAGGAGAAACATTTCATCGATCCAGTGCCTTGCTTCAGGAAGGGTAGGCTTTCTTGTGTGCCTTGGCTGACTTACTGCCTGCGCCACTTCGATTTCGATTGTGAGTAATAGTGGCAAATCTTGGGCAAATCGGCGTTTTAGATACCCAACTGACTCCAATTCATCAGGTCGTTATACCTCCGACCCCCGAAGTAGTGCGGTTCGTGCGCGCAAACGGACCATCATGACCTAGGCATCAGAAAGACTGGCTGATGTGTGTACCAGTGGACTACGAAAAGGCCCCCAGCTTCGCTTAGCCGCCAGTAACATTTTCGATGTCAATAGCCATTCATTAAATCCGCCGATCTTGTTCGAAGCTAGTCCGAGGCGCTCACCCACTCTGGAACCGCCTTCCGTTGTATAGTTACAATCCGTTGATATCGAAGACTCTGAATGACTGACTGACATGTGCAGAATTCCACTGGTGGTGACATATTTTTAGATCAAACCTGCTATCTTTCTCACTGAACTGTTTGTACCTCCTCGACGAGGTGGTGTCGTGAAGGCCTACATTGAAGGGTCGTCCAACTTAAACATCTACAACTCATCGACCTTTTAATACAGGAATCGCATTTTCGCTCATTCCTGGAGACTTCACGATCAACCGACCGAATCGTATCATGTTCTGTCAGTTCATTGATACGTCCGTCTGCAGGTGCTGGTTCGTTGAGCGGAAGTTCAGGTACCTCATGACGAGGTTGCCCAGGAAATTTCCATACTAGCACCTACTTGTCAGATCCAAGGCAACATTGCCTAGCCCTTACCCGTTGATCTACATCCGCAGAAATTACGAGGACGTCTATTTTGACGTCTACTATAGCGGCTGAAACAATTATCTACGATATAGGGGTAGCTCGTAGTCTACCGCCACATCCTCCGAATGTGTCTCAGACTCTCAGCGGAGCTTTAGGTCTGTGCCTGAAGCGCTCCGACATCGTTTTTATGGAATGGGACCGTTCGAAAAATTCACTGGTTTCAAATATACGTTCGTTATTGCGACTCAGAAACTGCGGTTGGTCTACTCGGCCGTTTAGAATGTAGGCAGTACATCGTCCAGCCTTTGACGTCCGCCGCAGGGCTGGCACCGGTTGGCCTATTAAAGTTGGTCGCACGTGGAGATTTGATCCGCTCGGCCACGTGCAGCCATGTGGCGAACTCCGTTGGCGGCAAGTTCAGTAGTTCGACGCCGATCGTTCGTGATCCGTTCAGTCACCCTCAAACACTCCCCGTTGAACAGAACCACCCCAACCTCCTGACATTTTCGCAACCTGACGATAGTAGCAATGAACCGTCACTTGTACGCAAACCTGAAGGTGTACATCCTTTGTGCTCGGCTCAATTTTGCAGTCGTTCATTATATTTACCGGGCAGCGCGACAAGGGAAGTAGAGGTCGAGGGGCAACGAAATGTCAAGACTGCCTCAATTCGAGACATTACGCCTTGTGCCCGTGGATACCAAGCATCCGAGCCTCTATCTGCACGACCTCGAGGCGGATTAACGGGGAAGAGGACGCCACAGCATATGGCTTATCCCGACGTTCTTGACAACCAGTGCGCATCGTGCTGTCTTAATGTAGCTCTGTCCCATTGGTACTACCTCAGTTTCTGACCCCGTCCACCGCCGATGGTTCCTTCAGGCCAGAAAGCTACAGAAGCCACCAAGACTCCAATGGAGATCGCTCGACAACCGTTTTCAGGTCCATGATTGATTGATGTAGGAGGGTCCTATGGCTAATGTTGGTGCGTCTTGTAGTTGTGGATGGCTGAAACATGATCGGTTGATATGATACGATATTGTTGAGATGTAGGCTCGACGATATCTTGAACCGCCAGCATTCTATCTCTATCTTTGACCTGTGGCTCGGCTGGACCATCCCCAAGTTAGAGTTAGATTGTGTAGCATCTATTCTGCAAGAGGTTGTTCTTGAGGCGGAGGCCTTAAAATGTCCTCCTGCACACCTTTTGCACTCCAGCCATTCGACGGAAGACGCGTCTGGACACTTATCACCTGGGTCGGTGTCTTTCCCTCCAACTTCAATCCTCCTTGATACGATTGACATTGCTCCATTCTGAAGTTGCGCTTCTTTCGGCTTGGGACCTCGGCTTGTTGTGCAACCAGCTCAGCAGGTGGATCATCCGCCTTGGTTCGCAGCTAAGGCCTTTGACAGCACCCTGGTCCCCGCAGAGGTGGTCCAGCCGGTGCAACCGTCGTCCCTCCCCAATAGTCTCGGAGATGAACACTAATGGACTCCCTGGTCTGGCATGTGCCCCCCGAATCTCACCCCAATTCCGGCATGCAGAATGGGCCCATCAGTATCTGGCTTCGACCCTCGTATCTCTGGTTAGTCTTCTGCCTTCGAGCCTAGAGTCCACCTCCGCGCATTCGGTGCAACTACGCTCAAAGGGGTACATACGGATCCGCCCGAGTGTATTCTAGTGCTTTTGTATACACATGGTCAAGCGGAATCAATTATCCACCCTGGTGCCAAATAGTCGACCTTCGTGGCCCTTCCTACCCTTTCTCCCCATCTCCGAAGTATAGAGGATCGTCAGGCGCGCAGCTCGGGGCTGAGGATGTAGGAGATTTTGTTGCGCAGCTGTCATGCGCGTTGTTTCATCCTTGTCTGTCCTTGGAAGGGATCGAGCCTCGTGATTTGTGGTGGTCAGACTCGGACGTTTCCTGTCTTCCACGTCCTCCACTGCCAGACCCTCTGTTCGAGGACCACAGATACAATATGACTTCTGTTCAGGCTAAAATCGAACCATCCGGTTTTCCGGATTTCATTCGCCGCATAACCGCACCTTCCTTTCATTATATTCGACGCGGGAGCAATCCTGACAGAGAAACCTTCTTAGAACATCGCTTTAACTCAGCTACTTCTTCAGACACGTCGAAGGCTCCATTTGGCTCGACTTCGCAGTCCACGGGCATGCGAACAATGGTTACCATCCACAGGTCCCCTTGTTCCACTATCGATGTCTAGGGAGTTTCTCCACTTTAACCCCAAAGTCATACTCCTTGGGTCCTTCGCATCTCTCCGATTGAAATGACTCAGTCCATCTCGCCCTCCGCCCAAGACACCCCAGTTTGTGGTGCCCACCGATCCATCAGGTTCATCAAAAGACAAGACCCATGACGAGCGTGCATGTGCCGTTGTTCCATTCGTCTCGAGGTTTCTATGGCGTACGGCTTCGCATCGATTGTGGCGCTCAACAGCATGTTTTTGACAATTGCGACTTGGTGGCATGTTGGAGTTGTGCACTCCCGACCACCGGACGTCCCAGAGGGAGCTCTTGAGCATCTCCCGAAAGCCCGGTCCCGCCCGCTACGTACAAGTATGTATGCAGCATCAGAAGGCTCGGCGTCCTCGGTGGCGGATATACACGAACGCAGCAAGGGCCACTGGCATGCAGTACGCTCATTAAGTATGCATAACTGCAAGAATGTCGGCGCCTCGATATGGTCGTCCCGGCTGTCGCCATTCGTTGAACTCCATAATATCGACCATGACTCGCATGTCCTTGTGCCGCTTTGGGGTCAGCGCGGTACCATTTGACGGCTAACTCTTGCGGAAAAAAACGATGGAAATGTGTCATGACCATGCTACCATTACAGCAAGCATACTTGTTGCGCACAATGCGCATCAACAGTCATACGCACTCAACCTTCTTGTTCGTTGCTTCTGTGCCTCACTAAAGTCCCGACCCTCACCGACGTATGGTGCGACGTTCGATGGTGTTCTCCCGCTTCGCAAATTCCCTGCCGAGGCCCTCTGGGCCACTGGCTGACTGGCCGCTCGCATTGCCAAGGAGGAAGCACATGCAGCTCGATTTATTTCCTTCCCATTCTTCAGCCTGAATACGTGAATTAAAATGAACTCGTTGAACCCGATCATGATCGGGGAAGAAGTTTAAACCAGACTTCGGCCATGTCCCGGGCATAAGGATGCAAACCCCAGAGTCCTGCCAGTCGACGCGTCTCCAGCATACTAGACCAACCTGTAGTGCCCCATGGAACCCCCTGCATACGTATCCAGACGTTCCCCATCGTGGAGGCTATTTGCAATTGCTTCTTTCTTTTCCAATATCCCCAACTACATACGTAATGTTGGGACTCGTGCGCGTGGTCGATCCGTATTTTGGGATTCCATTTCTACTCCGCGGGCCTTCTTTCATTGAGGGTTGCCTCCTCGCACCCTCTATGACTCCAGGTCTGCTCCCTGCTAATCCTCTCTAACCTTCCCTCACGTGGAATGGGAGGGCCTACCTCCAACTGTTCCTGTAGATCACCAGCACTGGCTCGAGATGAAGTCATGGGCCGCTCGACTGAGTCCCGATGCTAGAGCCCAAAATAACGTTTGCTTGCTCGCGGTCCCTCCTACTCGCAGGACTCGATACCCCTGCTTTCATCCCATGCTCAAGGGTGCATAAGTTGGCCTTGGTGTGGAAGTTCGAACTTCTGGAAGTAAATTTTCTGAAACGCCTTCCAATATGATGAGACTCATATGCGATTCCATATGCCTACTTGCGCCACCAACCGCTCTTTCCCGCGTTCACATCACCACTTCACCAGGCGATTCAGTTCACGGGCCATGCATATGCTCGCTAACGAGCCAGTCAGCATGTGATAACCCCACGACGATAGACCGCCGGGAAACGCTTCGTTAATATACCTGGTGGCACCTTGTATCAACTGCATTATCTATTCCCTCCAATAAACAGTACTACAGCTTGTGGTGTTTATTTATTAATGAATGTTAGTGGTGAGATAGCAGGACGAAGAAGTGAAAAAAGGACAATCCGTGGCTCGAACCCGCAACCTTTCCGTGCTAAAAAGTAGTACTCAAGCGCGCAAACCGCTAAACCAACGTACCACATGTTAAACTCTTTTGGACTAGTATATCACCTACTGAGCCGGGATACTTCAGGTCGCCGACAAGAAATACAAGAAATACCGAAAGCAGAAGTTTGCATGTATTTACTTTGTATCTATTGCCGCTTTCCCACCATGATGTCTGTGACTTATTTGTGACGATTCCCAAGCGCCCTGAGCAGACTCCAGCGCTAGGTTTTGTCAAGTTCAATCTCCGCCAACCCCAGGCCCGAGGGACTGACATCTCGACGAGCAGACCGGGCCCTTACGGAAACTTAAAGCCTATTTAAGTGAATTTTCCCTCAGCGGCGACATAGCGGCGAGGACGACGGAGGGCACGGAAGGTCGTCAAGAGTCAAAGCTCAATGTAATACTCACGCTGCTTGCACCATCTAGGATCTCAATTCAATATATTTCAACGCTAGCAGAATATCATCAAAAGAGCGCCCTCTGTCAAAGGCTGGCGAGACCATCTACGAGTTCGAAGCTGAGTCCGTTCGCATCTTATTCGCTGTGCCAGTCGTTACAGCTTTGCTAGTCACACCGACGCCGCGCTCTCGGCGGTCGGTCCCTTGACAGGAGCACCTGGGCATTGGGCCGCGACTGCATGTGGTGCACGGAATTGAGTGTGATGGCATTTCTAGTCGTTCTCTAAAGAAAACCACCCCACTGTCGGAGCCCGCCAACCGTAAATGCAAGTACATGAACATGACTCCAACAATACATCATGCGAATGTGTGCCGTAGACGGTGGCATGACGGTAACATTGTTCAAAACGATTTCCATGTGAATTGATTAATTTCTGCCACATGGCTGCTCCGACATGCTTGACACAAACTGTCCGCTTCACGTACCAAAGATAGCTGTATTCAACTGTTCTCTGCGAGTGGTCATCGTGACCGGTACGCTATTTTGATGCGTAGTCTGGTGCAGCTCTCACTCTTTGCTTCGAAACCCAAGAATGGGAGTTCGCCCGTCCATGAGGCATTCTAGCAAGCTAGCTCGACTGCTCTTGGTACGGCTGCAATTCTCCAAATGCAACGTTGATGCTACATCAGTGTTGCGCCAGTTTGACGTGTAGTACGGGTATCACTATACCCGGAGGCCACGGTAGAACAAGCTGCGAGACTTCATTAAGCTACATAAAGAAGACGAAGTGTACTCAAAGGGATTTCTCTTCCCAAGTACCCTGCGATTAAACCATGATAGGGAATGATACGTGAATCAATCAATCGCTGTTCGAACTATCTATTTCGGTCCCCGGTTCTAGGTGTAGCCCGTCCCAGACCATAAGTTCGAGTAGTTAGGCCTTAGGACCCGCCATCATCAGGAGACCACCGCAACTCGATTAATAGCCATGAATGCGTAACATCGGGGGATGATTAAGAATAAATATAATGTTAATAGAAAAGAGAACGTGCACATAGTGTATGGGTAGGTTGCCATAACGTATTATACAAAGCGCGAACCTTGTTCAACGAGGGGGAGCGACAACTAACATGGATGGGGCGCAAAGAGCGGACATATACTGAGCGTGGTCGAGGACGGTCATTGAAACTGGAGGGAGCTTGGATGGAGGAACGTCTGCAGGAGGTACATTGGAAAGAGAGTAGAGACAGGCGGCATAGCGGTTCGTGTCTATATGGTGTACAAGAGAAGCAACTGCTGCCCTCGTTCTGGACGAGGCAAGAGAGAGAGAGCAATGTCGACAAGAAGCGGAGGGTGAAACATCAGAGAGAATACGGCGAGATCACGAGAACCAACAATAGGGAAAGTCATGGGAGGTTCCTGACCGTTACACGAGTGCTGCAGATTGAAGGTAGCCGCGGAATATGGAGTCACGGACTGCATCAAAGTATTTTAGTCATCTGGCCTGAAAATGGACTATTTTCGACATACCGTTCCCAATGATTCGTTGAGTCGTCTTGGTATCCTGGGAATGAAATCAACACCTCTTCTATGATGGCTGATTGAAATCGAAGCTTACCACAACACTGGTGAAATGCGTGTACAATACTCTACGATTCTCATTGTTCCTCCGGTGGACTTGCAAAAAGTGAGCGCGGAAGTACTGAATAACTGTTTCGTAGTCGTTTGACCGCTCTCCGAACGAGGTAATGCTACAATGCGTCGTGAGCCAGCGCTATTGAATGCACTTCCGGATGCTTACTATTTGCGGACTCTCACGCCCGCATCAATTTTGTTCTTCAGTAAATCTGTCTTGTCTAAAGGAGTTAGGTGATAAGCATGAGGAATGCAACGGCGGAGAATACACACTAAGGAAGAGAACCAGATGAACGTTCTTCAACAACGCGTTGGAGCAGATTTGCGTGAACAGTTGCAGAGAATCATCAATTCGATTCGTACGAGGATCTTCCTCCAGGTACTGTGGATTCGGGACCGCTGAGAAAAACGCCGAAGGCCGATCAATTCTGGATGCTCACCTGGTCAAAGGCACTGACTGGAGCCACGAATATGATGGCATTGGCGTCGTCAAAGTACGGTACCCATGTGTGTCGTTGCCCACGAGCACCACCAACGTCGTATAAGTGCCATGCCACGGATTTACCGTGAATGTTCACATCAAATACATGTTCTGCAACGCCCATGGTTTGTATTCGAGCGTGTAAAATATCATCTGCCAAATTGTCAATTCCCATCGAAATTGGCATACGAAGTGGGGTAAACCTGTTGTTGGAATGTAATCGGGCGCTGCCACACGGGTGATGTGACTCAAGAAGCTGTGGAAAATGATGGTAAGTCGGAGCGCGGAAAGAAAGATATGGACACTGACAACTCAGACCATTCATCCAACTTTAGCTTCCGTTTTGTCATCAAAGCTTTGACAGTAGGATGGCTCCAAAGTATCTGGATGTCTTCCTTGCTGCTTTCGAGTAAACGTCCCACTTCTTGCACTAAGGCATCGTCGGCGTTCTCTGATGTAGATATACTTTCCCTACTGGGTTTAGTGTCCGCGTCTGTCGAAGTACGCTTGTTTCGTTTGACGCGACCCAGCGCGTTCTCGATAGCCCGAGCCTGCCATCCACTGCGGACGAAGACTCCACCTTTACCGGACCCCGAAACAGTAATGCCTCCGCTTAGCCGATCGGCCAGTTGCTTGTCAGCGGCGACAAGAGAGGTCAAGCGCCGTCGAATGGGGGCGATGGGAACGGCGCCGTTTTGTACTCGAGCAGCTTCCTCGATAGCCTCGCTTCTTGGCGGAGACGAAGGTAAACCATTGGTGGCCGTGTGCGGAGAACTCGTTAATGATGTTGACGGCGACGGCTGTTCCGACATAGTGATGATGTGACGAGAGGTGAAAGGCGCAATTGAGGCAGAGTCGTCCATGTCTGCTATCTCATCCTCCAACCCGTCATCCCAGGCTTCGAGGACGTTTAATATATGCTTTATTGAGTGCACAACGTTGAAGTAGACGACAGTCCGCCAGGAAGCGCGTTCTTGTTCCAAAGTATGTGGTTTGTACATGAGCTGGAATTGCTTTTGCAGAGTAGATTTTCCAGATTCGGCTGCAATGTTTATCAAACTCTGTAACTCCCTCTAGCAAAGCTTAGAGTGCGTACCTTGTCCCAGAAGCAGAAGCTAGTGTCGCCAACCAAATCCATCAGTATATGCGCATATATCCAGCAAAGAGCAGCTGCCAAGCTTTGTACGTTACCTTCACGTCGCCCTTGGAGCGTTTAATCCTTTCCCTTTCCAAACGAAGCTCTTCGTCGATTTCCTCTGAGATTCGCTTTGCCTCTGCCTCCTGCTCGAGACGGGCTTTGCGCTCGGTCTCTGTCTCATCTGAGGCTGGCTGGAGAGCCGCCGAGATCGGGTCGTCCTGGCTGTAGATGGAGGGAGTGCGCATGGTGGTGGTAGAGACGGAAGGGAAAACGGGAATATTTGAGGTCAGTGCGAGATCTGAGAGGGGATATATTTATTTATTTGGTGTAAAGCTGTCGGAGCTTGAAACCCACGTTCGAACCCTCTCTCCCTCACCAGCGTCCTTCTTGCACATCAGATGGTAACCGACATGGCACGCTCCCTGAGTTTCACGATGAGTAACTGTATCTTTCGCAGTCAGTGACATTGCACACGTCCCATGGAGAGCTCAAGGTGAAGTCCCACTGATCATCTAGCTGGATCCTAGCCTGACCCATTCGGCAATTTCCTGTACACAGATCGAGGTGTTCTGTGAAGCGGTTCCAAAGACGGCTGAGGTCCCATCTTTTTGCAAATATCGAGGGAATCTCTACTTATCTTCCTCTCTCAGAACTTCTTGGCCCTTTGCGCTTCAAATTATTACGATGGATGTCTCTTCCACCGTAATATCAAAGGATTCATGACCCAGACGGGTGACCCAACAGGGACTGGCAAAGGCGGCCAGAGTATTTGGGGAAAACCCTTTCCTGACGAAATCAGGTCTACATTGAAGGTTGGTAATTAAGATCCTACTTCGGTGAAGCGAAACTGACCCCGGACTGGCAGTTTAATGCCCGAGGCATGGTCGCGATGGCCAACTCGGGCCCTGATACTAACAAGTCGCAGTTCTTCATAACTTACGCGAAACAGCCTCATTTAGATGGTAAATACACTATCTTCGGCAAGGTCATAGATGGCGCGGACTCCACACTGGACGCGTTAGAACGCGTTCCTGTTAATGCCAAAAACCGACCGTTCACTGAGGTTCAGTTAACCCACGTGAGTGTGCCTGCTTGCGCCCGCTGATTTTGCATCCGAGGCCGAAGTTGACATTTACATATCTTTAGGTAACAATCCACGCGAATCCCATTGCTGACGCCAGGCTTGTTGGAAGATGAACGCCTGAATAGTTAGCTATATATGAAACGTTGATGCGCTGTTACAATTGCTGTCTTCCTGACCACGCCCACTCAATCTAGCTGATTCGAGCGTAGCCGCTCTCAAGCCTTTCGGGCCCCTTGGTTGCCCTTAGATGTGTAGCGCCACTTCAGGTCGACGCGTCATGAAGTCGAGCGCGAGGAGATCGTCCCTGAAAACTAGTAGATCGGTCGTAATCCGTTGATCCGCCAGCCACAAGATAAGTCAACAAAACAAAGAAGCGGAAGTGAAGTCTCCTGAGGAATAAGAAAGCCGTACATGACCAAATGGCTACCGTTTGATGAATCCTACCAACTCCTTCTGCAGATCTCGTTGGCGACGTGCCCTTTCCAGGTCCTCTACGCTCCGAAGATCATATACGATATCTCGCGTTTTGCCGAAGTAAACCTGGTCAGAAAGGTACACCATGATCACCTCATTAAAGCTAGCGATATGGCTTACCTCCTGTAACAAGTTCCTCATCTTGATTTCCATCTCTTCTATCATCCTACCGGTGTTGGTGATATGAGATGACGCGTCCTGCAGCGGCCAGTCTTGCTCAGTCTACAAGCAACCGCCACCAACAAGTTCGATGAACAGGAATCAAAGAGATGGTGCCATTCGATCACATCAGTAATGTGTCAATGGGCAAGGGATCATTGCCGCGAACCTGTCTCGTCATACTTCCACTTAGGCTGACTTCACCGTCTCTCTTCCTGCCGTCGCTCTTGGCGCCTTCGCCATTGTCAGACCGTCGGTTGACAAGGTGAAGCATGATGGTGGAGGTCAATTTGTAATGAGCCTGCCTGCCGCGTTCGGCTGTCTCAAAGACATGGATGGAGTCCCAGGATCCAGAGGGTTCATTTGGTGTCGCAGGTGTCATGGCTGAGCGGAGGAGACATACACCCTGCCTGAGAACGCGTCGCAGAATGACAATGCAGGGCACTCACTCTTCTTGAGTAGCACTACGCCAGCGAATCCCCCATCGTCAAGATCCCATAGGTATACCGACGATACGCCGCCTTCATAGTACCTGCAGTCAGTAGGGCATCAGGGATTGGTTTGGAATGTGGTTGGGAGCACACATTTCACGGTATGTGTCGAATGCTTCGTTCGCGGCGATCTCCAATTTACGCAGTCGAGGGGTGGGGACCGTGCCATCAACCAACGGTGGATCATACTCGTTTGACCAGGGCGACCTTAGTGATAAATGTCAGTGCTTTGTTTCAACAATTGATATCACTAGATGAGCATCACTGCAACTGCAGCCACACCCTTAACATCGATATCTTAGCAATGAGACGAGCTCACCGATGACAGTCTCCATCACGGTTATAATCACAGACCAAATATTCTCTCCCCGTAGCTCTGTCAGTCTTAAGCTTCAATGGTTGATCGACACTGCCCAGCAGATCGTCCGCGTATTCGGGGCAGATATCGACCAGCGCTGCTACATTCTCTTCAGTACGCGTCGGGGGAAGGCGCCGCATCAGATCCAGCATTGAGTCCACGGTGTCCGTCATGTTGAAAGTAGAAAGGAAGTTGTTCACTGAATCTCAGACGCGATGCAACATTCAAGCGTCGCAGTTGATGGGCGCCAACGATAAGGTGATGCATACAGGGGTATCAGGGGCTCAAGCGCCAAAATGAAACGATAAATGTTTTCTCCCAGTCCTAAGGAATATGGATCCGCGGGCCGCGCCGGCGGTAGCTCGCTTCGAAGTGCTAGGGCAAGGATTCAGTGTATATTCCTAGACTAGGTAGATGGCTAGCTATTACTTGCGTAGAATCTATGAGCGCTAGGAGGGCACATATGAGTTCTCATCGATATGCACCCAGTGCGTACACCGTAAGCTCAGAGAATTAGGCGCGCGCCACGTCAGCAAGTCTCGAGTTGATGGAAGTTGAACAACCTTCGTCAAATTACGGTCTTAAATCATCAAATCTCTACCAAAAGTGCTGCTTTCTTGGCGCAAACCAACTACGGCAAGCAAAATCCACACTTCCCATGATTCAGAATTGTGGAAAAGAGGCCAGTTCAGCCAGAAAAAAAAACACGACCGAGCCTCCAAAGTACGCAGAATTTGTTTGGCCTTATTTGCACGGGCCTTGAACCCTTTAGGGCCCGGTCTGCTCGTCGAGATGTTAGTCCCTACCTGCCAAATTTGGCTCCCACGGTTGGACCAAACCTGGCCCAAACCTACTCCAAACCGACAGTTTGGTCTGCTGTACCAGGGGGTTTGCGGGTGGGTTAGGACCTTCCTGTCACATTATTATGTCAGCGTTAATATACCTGGTGGCACCTTGTATCAACTGCATTATCTATTCCCTCCAATAAACAGTACTACAGCTTGTGGTGTTTATTTATTAATGAATGTTAGTGGTGAGATAGCAGGACGAAGAAGTGAAAAAAGGACAATCCGTGGCTCGAACCCGCAACCTTTCCGTGCTCAATGTTTTTCTCCCAGTCGACCTCGTTGTCCCAAGGAATTGAATGTCGCTTTATGATGCATTATTTTGTTGATCTCGGAAAGAAGGTATTGATAAAATATCAACAAATTCCCATTCCATTACGTCTTGCGTCGAAGGATATTAATATATAATATATTCAATTTGACGGCATGAAATAGTCATCCAGACTCAAGCTGGTACTCCGCATGAGGCCGCCCACTGTGCGTCGCCAAACTCGATTGACATGCTGAATTGGTTGGACTGTATGAAATTCGAAAGTGAACAAGTCCCATACTTAGCATCTCGTGGAGACTGAATGCAAGGAGTCAAAGGGTACGTCGCTTCGTTCAGAATTAGTCGGACTTGCGGCCCTTCGAATCTATTGACCACTGAGATGAGCCCAATATACAGACAAAACGATGGCTAGAGGGGAAACATACGATCTCGAACAAGTGAACTTCTCGAAAACCATTTGACCTCCAAAAGGTACTTGGTTGGAACTCCTCATCTTCCTTTCTGGTACGATGTGTGTAGTGGGGAGGAGAGGATCATCCCTGTTGGAACAAATGAGCCATTTGGGTCTGACTCCCTAGGAATAGGACCATACGTAGCCAATCCCATTGCGGTCATTGCGACAGCAATGGTCGCGTCATGGCCCAGCTCGACATAAGCGACGTTCTCCTCGTTGGTAGAAAGACTATAGCCCGAAATTAGGTGATCTGTGGGCGTGGTTTACCTCATCACTCACCGTTGAATCAACTTCTTGGTATATACTGAGCCCATGACGCGGGCCATATTCTGAGGGTGCATTAAACCCCAAGATGCGGAAACATCGAGGTCTGCGTAGTACCTATTAGGTGACATGAGTATCACACTGATTTGATCGATGGAAACACATACTCGAATTGATCAATCTCTTGTTTTGTGAAGGCACCACACCACGGTGATTCACCATGAGCAGCATAGTCAAAAGCACAGGCATAGAAGCCACCCAGAGTATCGATATCTGCGAAGTTCAGCCCAGGCACTGCAGCATTGATACGTGCTGTAATGGCAGGCATGAAAATGTTCTGCCAAGCTCCCTTAATCTACGAACATCGTTTACATATGAGTACAAAGAAGGGAGATCATGTCATCACATACTGAGTCGCTGACGGAGAAACTGTGATTTGGACAAACTTGAAAAGGCGTGAGGTGTGAGAGTGTAGCGGGGTTACTTGGAATGGGGGAAATCATAGAAGGATCGTTCCAGTTGTGCCCGAAGTAGCCTTTACCAAAGTAAGTCGCCGACTCGATGACCTGTACCAGACATCCAAAGTGAGCTGACAATCGACCAGGAACACCAAATCTATCTCACTCTAGATGAGCCTGACGTCACAAAATGCTCGAAGCTGAAGTGAGGATATCTCTTGCGGAATCTTGTAAGCGAAGTCATATGAGTTGAAGATTTGACAAAATGAGACGAGCAAGGGCACACTCTTTGCCATGGTGAACCATTTCCTGCCTTCCTTTGTCAACGAGGTCTTCCGATCCCAGAGTCGAAGTGTATGTCTTGAGAAACCTCAACTCCCTCGGTAGCCTGGCACTCGCAATGACCGGTTGAGCGGTAGTCACCGTCTGCGCCATGGCGCTAACATAAGTCCCCTCGAACCCGGGATATCTACTACCATGTCGACTCAGCTGAATGGAGAGAGAAATGAGCATGGAATAAAATCGGTTGAATGTGAATGTACTCACATACACAACTTGCTTGACCTTACAATCGGACGGCAAGTTCTGCTTGACCCCTCGGGGCGCTGGAGCCTTGTGATACGGCGCATTGGGCCCCAATTTAATCAGCTTAGCCCAATCGCTCAGAGGCGTAACCAACGCCGCGACGTAGGCGAGAAACGAGAGCGATACGAAGACCCACTGGAAAAGCATCTTGGGGCAAGATGCGATGGCACACGACCAGAAATTCGACGGGTTTTAAACCAAAGTCATCGGATGGCATATGATCCTGCTTTGTTAACCCTGCCAGCTTCAACCCTCAGAATCCTATGACATGTACCTGGTTAAAGCGACCGAGTCATTTTTCGAAAAAGTAGAGAAGGCAAACCCTTGCCCAACGATGTCGATATCACTCTTGTAGAGGGTCTGAGAGGCAGTCGTAATGGAGAAGCGCGAAGTCGGTAGCTTCCACAACGGGGGCTCATAAGATGTTATATGTATGACCGTCACGGTAGCTGGATTACAGTACGAAGAGCCATTGGGGTGGGCCATGTGATACCAACGATTCCGGTTGAAAGGAATTCACAGAAGCGCGGAATCGAATACCACTGGGCTCCCAACTAGTTTCCGACTGTTGTGGCGGTGATCTTGGAAAGGAACGACCAGGGCGCTTCAAAGGTTCGAAAACGAAAACGTGGGTATGCCTTTCTTGTTGGTCGACGGCAATCTCCGACAGCGTACTAAGAAACAGTCATTGCGCCAATATCCTCTGTACAACATTCTCGTTCCGCATCCAGATTTCCTCCTTGAACAACTGCATCTCCCTTTTGGATCGAGTCCAGCCCCTGCTCATCATCTCCTGCATGGCTTTTTTTGTTTGAAGATTCGGAGATTCGTCCTCAACCTTCCGGGTACGAAGAGCTTTGATCGCTGCAATTTCCCGCATCGCCGCAGGGCGAGTGACGACAACTCTGTCGTCGTCTGCATAGGTATATGATGCCCGCATACGGTGCGTGACAAGTATAGGAACCTATGGATCCGCGAAGATTAGGCGTCTTAACACCGGCAAGTCACGCGGGTACTTACATCGCACTCCAGGGACATGGCAAAAGTCGAGCTGGCCTGGTGTTCATAATACCCATTTTCTGCAAACGCAGGGATACATATGTCCATACTACCCATCAACTCGTAGAAGGCTGAATATTCAAGGTTGACATGGACGCTAACGATGTTCTTCAACTCCGTGGGCACATCAACATGGCCCGAACCGATGAGGTAGAGATGGAACGGGCTCGGGTCTTCCGGGTCGATGACATAGGAATCACGATCATGGAGGGGTAAATAACCCCAGCTTCGTGGCGACTCTGTCACTAAGTTAGTCCGCTATAAAGGATACCATCAGTGTCTATTCACCAGCCAGGGAGTCCTTCAAGTCCTCAAATAGATGGGCATAATCGCGGCGATCCATGTTGAACGATCCCTGAATTACGGCTTTGGACAGGACTTTGTCGGCCAAGGTTTGGGGAAGACGAGGAACGTCCAAGATAGGAACATGTACGTCAATCGGGATGTACTCGTAACCAGCTGAGCGGATTTTCGGATCCTTGGAGTCGGCGAGTTCGTTGAACGATCTTCTGAAGCCTTGAGCGACGCTGATTCAATTATTCCGTTTAGACAGTGAAGTACGTTCGAAGCCTAGGAGCTCGCTTACTGGTTGGATATGGGCAGCAAACGAATGGCGTCCCTACGTGACCACTCCGCGATTCGAGGTTGCCAAGCCGTGCTATCGTCCCAATGTGCGTTAGCTCACGTTGCTCGAAGGAGGCTCACATACTCTAGAACATGATGCACAATACAGATAAGTTGAAACTTATGATCGCCATCACGTGCATCCCATGCGGCCAGCAGTTGCTCATGCCAATCTCCTCGCAGGCTAAAACATCCTTGATTAAAAGTCATCCATCGATATGCGATTGCCAAGAAACGTACTCTACCTCGCATGTTCCAAGGACAACCAAATCAATGCTGCCTTCACCATTATTCCGGGTTATATCCTGCACCAGCTCCTCAGGCGTCTTCACGGGCCCTGAATACAGCCTGAGCTCGTCCACAATCTCCTGGAAACCGAATGCGTACGGGGTCCTCGCATAAACCTGCACGGCGCCGCCAGCTGGCCCTAACACTCGCTTCATCGTCCATGCCAGCGCAAGGAAGACATCGTGATGGAATCCAAACGTAGAAGCGATCGCGATGTTCTTCCTCCGTAACCGCTGGCGGTCAAAGTTTGTCTGGAGCGTAGAGACGTTCGGCGCTGGTGATTGGGGACACAGCTTCTGCAGCCAACTGGATTGGCCATATTCGGCTCCGAGATATGTGCTCTTCTCTTGCTTCGGGTACTGCCACAGCAGGGTGGCGAAGAGGACAGTGATTATCCCTCCCAGGATCAAGAATTGCCGTTTCGTGGGGGAGAACGGCGACGACATCGTGGAGGTTAAAGGCAACTAGAGGACCCTGCAGCATCATACAGCAAGGTTTGGACATGGTGGTGATAAGCAGAGCGCCTTATAATCCCCAGTTGGCACTTGGCGTGAGATGAGACGCGAAACCAAGCCTTCAGTCGGTCGAAATGGCGAGCTCGGGGATTGCAGCTTTTGAGACCTACGATCACATGTACAGCGCATACCAAGGGAACGGACGGTGTTCACAAACGAGCTCGCTTTCCGTTTGCTACAAGCAACAAAAGGCCTACGTTGGGTAGCTCACATAATGCCGTCAATTTCGGATGGCCTTGGGGGTTTAAGGTGCCGCCAAACAACGGCCAAAGAGGTGCGAGGTGTGAAATCCTCCCGCTGACCACTACTGATAAGAGACATCACACTCCACTTCACATCATCAAAGTTGCGCTGGCTTACCTATGGAAACCATCCGCTTCGATTGTAAGTGATGTTCTTTAAATATGTTGTGTTCCTGACCTGGACGGACGCGAAGTTGTAAAACGGTGCATGATAAACTGCGTGAGCATCTCGTTCCTTTCACATTGATCTTGGATCAACAGAGGGGCATTGAATCAACAAGAAGACCCATTCATTAGTATCGAGCTCGGACTAAATTTTCTACATGAAATCATCTGGGTTGGTCCCAAAATCATCCAGTGACTCGTCATATAGATTAGTATCAAGCCTAAGGCAAAACCAATGTTAGCGTAAGTGATACCTGAGGAAAGGAAAGACGCACCTATTCGAAGCCTTCGCCGCTCCGAGTGCCGGTTTAGTGGCAGCTTTCGGTTTTTTCTTCCCGCTAGCTTTCTCCCTTTGCTCCTTCTGTTTCTCGTTCGCCAGCGTGGTCAGTCCACTCGCGGCCTTCCGTATCTCCACATCCTTCAATGGCATCGCCAACTGCCGTACATGATGCTCCACGAATGCTGCGTAAAGAGGCTTGTTCTGATGTCGTTTGATGGTATACTCGATGATGCGGGAAGAAAGGGTGTGGAAATCCTCCTTTGTGCGTGGTTGGAACGAAATGATAGAGTCAAGTTCCGCAGATGAAGTACCTAAAGTAAACGCATAGCCGATTCAGGAACGAAACCGCGATCCTGAGATAGACGGCCATTTACCTCCCAAAGCAGCGGCTCCGAATAGTTCTGCAGCATTATTCAAATCAGCATTAACCTCGCGTTCTTTGTCCCTCCTAGCTTTCTCTCGGGGATCCAAAACCTCATCTTCGTCGTAGTCGACATCATCATCCTCTCCAGCAGCTATTCTGGCAGCCTTCGCAGCCTCCTTCTCAGCCAATTTCGCTTTCAATGTACCTTTCTTCTTTGGCGGAGCGACTGGTGCAGCAGCTGGCTTCTCCTCTTCCTCTTCTGAGGATTCTTCCCAGTCACTCTATCAAAATTGAGCAGAAATTAGTTATAAAGGGAAGAATACCATGAAAAGGTAACGCACTGCAGGCTCGCTTTCTTCCTCGTCTTCGCCCTCCCATTTCTTTGCCTTCTTCACGACGATCGGTTGCTTCGCAGGCTTCTCGTCCTCAGATCCTTCTGAACATATTGTACCACAGATAATTCTGGCGGTAAGTCAACGCCCAGGAGACTGTTGGAGATCGTGCGACGCACCCCAATCAGACATGATGGCTTTACTTGATAGATTACGAAGGGGCTGCTTTTGTATGTGTGCGGATTTTGAGCTTGCAAGGGGGTGCTTGGTGGCAATCTACGTGCTCGATGTCAAGCCCTCGCGCTGGTAGTGACAGTAATAGTTTTGAGACATCCAAGATCAAGATAACTGCTGGACTGATAATCACAAAAATTATCACATGGGCGCTCAATGTCAGGGGTCAGCGCTTGTTTGTTGACTGGCTGTCGTATTTACCTTTTTAGTACGCACTCCCGTTAATCCTCCTCCGTTTTGTGGTATATGGCCAACACAGCGTTCCAAAATGCCGTCAAACGAGAAGAAGAGTATTTAAGACGCGTGCACCCGACCCCGGAAGATATTCCAGGATGTATGAACCTCTTCGACGTTTACCTTTCATGCAATGGTACGTAAGGAATCCGTCTGCCTCCAATCCTTGCTGAATTGCGTATTTGCTAGCCATACGAACGCAGGTGAAGTCCCTGTATCGGTACGGGCAAATGTCTTCTTGTGGCGACAAGCTCGAGGACTTCAAATTCTGCTTGACCATGAAGATGATGCACCCGGAGGAGAAGCGAGACGCGTGGATACGGCGTAGAGCGGAGTGGTGGGCGAAACGGAGAATGACGAAGAGCAGTGAGGACGTCTGGGACATTCGGAGGTATGTGTTACCTGAAGTTTCTGATTTGTGGATCTGAAGCGGCCTCAAGTGAACCGCTGAAAAACTACCCACCCCCTCTGCCAGCAGAAGAAGCCCAAGTAGAAACAGGTGTAATTCAGTAAAAGTAGTGTCCCACTCTCCTAGACTCCCGGTAGACATTGATATTTGTACGTCCACATAATCAGAAACCACTTCTCGCCAGAAGCATGTACAAGAGCTTTCTACAGCTATTGAGATTAAAAGATACCACTACTTCGAATGATCCCTTGCCAGCTCTTCATCACGTATCCTCCGAACAGCCCTACTTCTTCCACTGAGGCGTGCAATTTGGATGAAGATGCTAGGAGGGAGTCCAGGAAAGCATGGGCAGTTTTAGGTGACGCTAATTGATGAAGCTCTGCAAATCAAACATCAGGGAGTAATGCCTCCGCAGGATGCGAGATACCTACCAGCTGCTGTATAGATCCCAGCGAGCGCAGCACGTCGGGCATACCAAGAAAGCTGCATCCAAGATAAAATATGACGAAATTGAGAATAGTGAATCAAGCGCACCTGAAGCGACTGGTCCCCCGATACGCAACATGCCTCATCAGCTATCCCCACGGCATGCTTCACCGCCGGAACGGGATCGAGAGGCGTCAACATCATAGACGTGATAGAAGTCGGTGTCGCCAGACAAGCGAATGCTTCAGGCAAGTATTGCAGAGCCTGTTCATTATACCTCAGCCTCTGATGCAAAATATCTCTGATGGACGGTCTCGGCGAGGCTTGTCCCAGTGGCGGCGCTGAGCTCGGCGTCTTCCCCATCTGTGAGATTCCCTCCGCTAGCCATGCATTTATCAGAGTCCTTCGAGCATCATCTCCTTCACCAAAGAGCGCAGAAACTGCAGTATCTGAGAGGGGGGCGGTGTGCTGACTTGAGGCCGGCAGGGCTAGTACGGATTCAGCGAGGGCGGCGCGCGTGAAACCATGTGTCGGTATCAAAGGCAGCGCAAGTTTGAGGAGACGGACACTAGTAAAACGCGTCAGAACGCGTGCCATTGTGAGATTTTCTACATGGCGGACCTGGAGAGCATTTACGGATGGAACGACGGAACCAATTGTATGGTTGTATGGTACAGGCGCCCAAGGGTCATGCCGCCTCCTAATATTATTTCTCACGAGGAACAACAGGAAAAGCAGCGAACAGCTTCAAGCGTTTCTACACCTATACGTGAGTTTGGGTCTTATAAGAATGGAGAAAGCATAACCTAGTAAAACGTACTGGACGTCGATCTATGTCTCCCTGTAAAACAAGCCCATATGTACTTACAACTAGGATGGGCTTTGCCCCTGGAAGGCCAGGGGCTACAAATACCTTGTTGAAATTATCACGAGTTGTATTGCCGTGCTGTACAATCCATGCTCCGAGAAGCACGCATTATATGAACTACTTACTCGTAGTTGAATTCCCGTCACCTATAAAATGGTTTCCTCGGCAAAAGCCACTAGCTTCCGTCTTTGCACAAACTTCTTTCCAACAACACTTTCAAGTTGAACGTGTAGACTCACCGAGCCTATCTCGTTGATGTTAAGTACCCTAGATCCAGTAAACCCCGCATTTCTTGTGGACAACAAGTTCCTTCTTGCTGCAACGCACGAAGAATGCGTGAAGAATGTAGTTGCTCTTGCGAAATCAATGCCCAAGCAGCAAGACCGCAAAGGCCAGGAATGGGAGAAGTGGTTTAGGTGTATGGATCAGAGCATAGTAAGACTTCGCAAATCTTAGTTTACTGTAGAGTATACCGGGAGCTGAACTCGACCCCTTTAACTTGCAGAAAGAAGTGATGTTTGTCGGTGGACGGGCAAAAGAACTAGGTTGTTTTGGGTGGATCGAGGAATCTCTCGTGAAGACTTACAAGGAAGCAGTCATACTTTACTACCGCGAGCAAGGGCAGCCCGTTGTGGTAAAAGGAAGCACTCAGGACAGCCAGAAGCCCCGAGATGGACTCTTCACGCCGACGCCCGAGAAGGTCCTCAGAAAGTCGATAAAACAAAGTGAAGAACCCGACTCAAGCAAGTCAACCTTCCTTGCCTATTTACTAGTTTTCACCTGAGACTTTATAGACGACGTCGATGATGACAATACGAATCCTAACAATGAATCTTTCAGATGCGGATTCAGCCATCCCCACGACAAGGTATCGCCTGATGGTGAGAAGCCTGTGCGGCGCCGGGGAGACAGAATTTGGACCGGCTCTCGGCGCTGTGCACGATGCCAAAAATCAGGCGAGGGTGTGTGCATAGGCACTGGGTGTCACCTCTGCCAGGCCTGCGCAAGGAAGCACATACGCTGCAGCCACACCAAGCACTTGGTGAATCCGACCACTCAAAGCTCGGCGATGAAGCACCAAGGGTTCGACGACGATAGCAGTGACATCGCAGAAGATAGCTCCCAAGAATATCAGCTCGAAGACAGTCCACCCCCACCCAGCAAGATACCTGCTGCAAAGTCTGGAGGTAGTCTGGTCAAATGGATGCCCCTATCATCCCAGAAGAAGGGGAATGGGTCGAAGAGGCTACGACCATCCGATTCCTCTAGATCCTCTTCTCCAAATACGCGGTCGAAGAAGAGGATGGTACACGAAACGTCGGTAATTATTTCATCGGATTCCGAAGTCGACGAGCCAACTGGTAGTGCTCTCAAGGTAAGCCCCTGGGGTCTCCTATATCACTTCAACGTTTGGAACTGATAGTTCCTGGTCATCGCTTCTTCAGAAAAGGGCAAACAAACCAAGCAATTCTATCTCACCCTCGAGATATGTCGACGAGACCTCTGGCTTCCATGATAAATTCTCCCGCCTCCGAAAGGCAAATACCGAAGCTCACAAACTGACAATGCGAATGTTGGCGAATACCTTGGAGATCTCAGAGGCGTTGATTGATGCACAAATTGCAACCACGAAAGGAAATGCCGGGTCTCAAGTTTCTCGAAGAAAGTAGCTCGCTCGAGCTCTGGGCTTGGAGTTCGATATTTGGGCAACATTTGGCTCATGGGTTTTGTCACCGACCGCGCATTCTGGCTAGGAATTTCTTGCCTTCAGTCTGATCACATCAGTAGTTTTGTTATCTTGGAAATGTCTCTGGGATCCAAATATACTTTGTACAACGAATAGAATTTCTGCACGCCTGCGTGACCGAACTACTTGTTTGACTTGTCCAAAAGAGGAAGTTGGCGCGCGCACGCTTATGACGCCTGCTGAACTGCTTTTCTTCTGACATCCACCAATATTCCCTGCGACCAGCCCAAAACTCGAAGCTGGCTCGCCGAACAAAGTTCTCCTTTGCAAATCTACTTCACAAATCATCTTCTACCGGCACAGACACCAAATCGACGCCGAATACAAGCCAACCCACCACATCTCCATCGGCGACAATATCTTCGAACAGCGTTGCCAGTGGTTCTACCCCGAAGCAGCCCAGAACGGGTATAAAGCAGGTGTTTGAGCCGCACCCCGACAGCCCATTCTCTTCCCCGACCTTAAATCTGGGTAATAACTCGACTCCGACGGTGGGTTCACGGCCGCGGCCTCAGCCTAGAGAGCGCAAACAACGAAGAAGAAGAACACTACTACCCATAGTCACTACAATGCGAAAGGGGCCGCTCGAAGACCCGGAACACATGCACGCACCGACCAAGGCGAGCTTGAAGGCGTGGTGGCAGTCGTTCACCTTTGCCCAGAAGATGAAGAAAGACAGCGAGTCGGCGGCGTTGAACAAGGGCGGTGAGTCGTTGTCGACTGTTCTCGCCATGGTCACAGTCTGACTGCGCGCTGTCTCCTCTCATTCCCTGCGGATCGGCTGTTTCACGGATCTACGCATACCCTCACGCAGAACCAGTGCACACCGTATTCGGGAAACCGCTGAAAGAGAGCCTCAAGTACGCTAGCGTACAGATATCGACTGCGAACGCGAACGGAGAGCTCTACGTCTGGGGCTACATCCCCGTCGTCGTTGCGAAATGGTGAGTTCCATTCGTGGCGTATCTAATTCAAATTTCACTCATTCGCTTCCACGCTCATTTCGATATCCCGAACACTTTCTGTTGATGATGGCACCGGCAACTTGATCCCGTCCTGGCATGTCACTGTTATCGCGCCCTCATCACTATCCCTGAATGTATTTTTGGGATGCAGTGGGTTATTTCTGAAAGAGAACGGTATGTGTATATCGATCCTCCAGCTGCGGGTCACAGGTGCTGACGTCAACTAGCTACGGAAGTCGAAGGCGTGTTTCGAGTCAACGGATCGGCCAAACGGATGAGAGAATTGCAGGCTGCGTTTGAGACACCGCCACGAGTGAGTCGTGACCCTCGTCGCTATCCCTGATGCTGCATTGACCTTTATTTGTTCGCGTCTCCCACTCACGTCTGTGCAATGCCTCCCACTTCTGCCCGCATCTCCGTAATCGTGCCAATCCCACGCTTCCGCTCGATCAGTACGGTAAATCACTCGATTGGAAACAGGAGACATATACCCCACACGATGTAGCAAGTGTTTTCCGGAGATACCTTACCCAGATGCCCGTGAGCTCTCTGTGTTCGTTCTCTCACTCATCTCCCCGTCCTGAGGTCCTCCGCAGGAGCCAGTGATACCACATAATCTATACCACGAGGTACGTTGTTGCCGATTTAGCCATAGATAGTTGATCGAATTTGTCCTTGTCGATATAGTTCCGGGATGCACTAGGTATGTGGTATCTTCCTCTTTATGCATGTACTAATCGCGCTGACATCCCATAATTCATCCTCGATTCTCGCCTGGTCGCAACTGCTCCGCATGGAATTCAAGCCAAAATACCAAACGACCATAATGAAGTTATATCGACGTACAAACGTCTCATACGCTCAATGCCGCGGGCAAACCAATACTTGCTACTATATGTGTTGGATTTACTCTCGGTGTTCGCTAGAAAGTCCGATAAGAATAGGATGACTGCTACAAGTGAGTGAAGCTTGCTTTCTCTTTCAGTATTTCAGAGGTTCTGACCGATCACTTCCCTCTTCTTTCCCCAATCAAAACCACCTTGGATAGACCTCGCTGTTATATTCCGTCCTGGTATAATATCACATCCAACACACGAGATGTTACCGAACGAACATCACCTCACACAGAAGGTGCTAGAATTCTTGATTGAACACCAAGACTGGTTCATGTTGGACATACCGCCACCGCCACAAGGTCCTGAGGTAGATGGTCGTGGAGGTACGGGCGCTGGATCAGGAGGAAGTCAACCAAACTCGGTATCGAGAACGGGTTTTGGCGGCCGTCGGCCGGGCGACGGTGGCGGGGGAGATGGGCATGGGATGTTAGGTTCTGGCTCTGGGGCAGAAGTCGACGATCATGATCTCCACATCATCCCAAGTTCGGATGAAGAGCGCGATCATACATCGTCTGTCAGTGGTGGTTGGAAGTTGATTGTTAGGGGGGGAAGAGGGGGGAAAGAGGGCCAGGGAAAGGTGCATCGTCGACGGACGTTGGCCTCGCCCACGACGCCTACGCGGCCCCTGAGCGCGCGGAGAGATCGAGGTGACGGCGGTGTCTTGCAGGAAGAGAGTTTGACGCCTCCAGGAGGGAGCCCAGGAGTCGACGACGGTGGGCTGTCTCCTGTGGCAGAAAGTCCTACAGGGGAACGGGGATTCGGATTTGCGGGGGCACTCGGTGTGTCGAGAAGTAGAACCCTGCCAACAGGGCGGAGGCGAGGTCCAGGTGAGGACGGCGGTGGCTCGAGAGGTTTGGAGAAAGGGTCGGAGAAGGACAGGGCGAGAGTGTTGAGGAAACAGAAGCGGGCTTCGTCTTCTCAGTCCAGGGTTCCTACGACAGGCGCCCTGCAGATAGATACGAGTCACAGTGCAGGGCGGTAAGCACTGTCTCCAGTTTGGTGTCTTTCTTCTTGCCGCTCGTCACCTCGCGCTACCTCTTCTATGATCCTCGATAATGTTTTCAACTACCTCTCTTTGGACACGAGTACTGTAACGATCACTCTTACTCCCTCTTTTACGGACGATATCCACGACATTTACGACCATGGACAAATTATGATATGCAAGTGCCTTTAGTGTAGTAGCTTTTCAGTTCTGTGGTACGTTGGTAGTGTAACTGCGTAATATACATAATGGACCTAAAAAAGAAAAACATACGTTCTGCAATGCGTGAACCGGGAGTCGAACCCGGAGCTAGGCCACACTGAAAAGTGGGAAGACCCAATGTTACCGCTACACCATCCACGCTTGCATTTTGTCTGTCAAAGCGAGTAATGCTTCTAGTGCTTCCATTGCCGGCGGCGTGGTGCTGATCGTGCTCATGATCATTTTCATTTTCCAAAGTCACTCTAGCAAGATATGGGCTGGCATGTGAAATCAAGACCGTGTGCCACAGTCTGTTGTAGTACCCCGCCTTCGTCATAAAAGCAGTGGGCATGCTTGCAGGGTTCGGAAGCGAACAAAGATGCCTCCCCCCAGCGTGCTCTCAGATTTCTCAGCGACCGTAGGCGAATCCTTGCTGCATGTTAGGCCGATATACATTGTCGCTGGCCTTTGTGGTAAGTCTGCTTCTATTAGAAAATCAGCTCATTCAAGCGCCGGATCTGTAAACAGCTTGGATATCGTGGCGGATCCTCTACCGTTTGGTGCTCTGGCCTCGATTTTTATCTCCGTTGCGAATTGTTCCGGGTCCCCCTCTCGGAGGGATTATTGCTGGACAATTTCCTGCTATAATCCAAGGCGAGGCTGGGATCCCCCAACGAGAATGGGTCAAGCAACATGGCTCGGCTGTGCGTGTTGTTGGACCGTTGGGCATCGAGCGACTTATCTACACGAAAGCGGACACGCTGCACAAGATCCTCGTGAGTGAATGGATGGAACATCCCCGAGTACGTCTACCATACATTTTCTTGTCATTTCTGGTCTGTTGGCTGACGGTAGATGTTTGTGCACGATTAGCCGGGGTTCCTGAGAGAGATTTTGGGCTTCGTCGCTGGCTATGGGCTTTTGACGGTGACGGGGACTGAGCACAAGCAGATGCGCAAAGCCATGAACCCAGCGTTTTCTATTCCCAATCTTATGGCTCGTGCGTTATCGTGACTGTCGATGTCCTTGGTCTCTCCCTGACGCGTTGCCTGCCAGAGACGGACATGTACTACGATCCCATCCACAAGCAAGGCTGATTTCTTTCACTTAGAACTGAACCATCTACTAACGCGATAGCAGTCTTGTGAGGATCCTGAACGAACAAATTGACGGCGAAACCGAGCCCTCGAAGGGCAAAGTCATTCACATGTATGAATGGAGTACGTCTTTGCTGTTCCACACCAACTCCAGACTAATTTCTCTCAGTGAGCAAAGTTACCTTGGATATCATTTGCGAGACGGCTTTCGGATATAGAACTGACTCTCTCAACAACCCACATAACGCTCTATCGGAGGCATACGAAGACCTCCTCAATCTCCAGTCCGGAAAGAACATCGCAGAATTCATCCTCCTGGCTTCCATTCCTGGCTTCAAGCGCTTCATCAATTCGGATTGGGCGTACAACCACCGCCACTGGTTCGCCAAATCCAGTCTCTTGGGTGAGTTTTCATTTACTACTCAATGATCATTTGATCTAATTCTGGATCGTAAAGCGCCAATGAGCATCGCCCTCGACGCGATGCATCGGATCAAGAAAATTTCCGCTGAAATGCTGGCTGAGAAAACGAAGGACAATGCTGTGGCGCTGTCTGACACAGAAGCCAAACGCGACATCATGAGTTTGTTGGTTAGAGCACGGAATGCCGATTTAGCGATCAAATCAGGTTACACGATGACTGACCAGCAAATGATGGACCAAGTCGTACGACTATACTATTGTCTTGCATCGTTCGATGGAGCTCATCTCCGGTGTCATTCCAGCTTACGTTCCTCGGGGCCGGTCACGAAACGACTGCATCTGGCTTAGCTTGGGTTTGTTCTACGCTAGGTCATCGATATGGTAAACCGCTGACTAGCGGACGACATATAGACTCTCTGGCTTCTCGCGAACAACAAGGGACATCAAGATGAATTGCGGAAGGAATTGAAGCCTATCTTCGAGAACAACCCTAGGCCGGAATACCGTACGCTCAAGGATTTAACTTGGTTAGATGGCGTAGTGTGAGTCCTCGAACGTAGTCTTGACTGCGAAATCAAGCTGATGGAGTACATGTGACATTAGCATGGAAAGCCTGCGCTTGCTCCCTCCTGTGCCCATGACTTTCCGTCAAGCGGGGAAAACGGACTACATTGAAGGTGTCCTTGTGCCCAAAGGCACTATGCTCTATATTCCCGTTAGTATATTGACACGTTTGGTCCATATGATCAGTTCTAACCTGCATTCTAGATCAGGGTTGTCAACACCTGGAAGGAGATTTGGGGTGAAGACGCTGAGGAGTACGTTTGCCTTCGCTGTCTGAGCATTTCCATTTCTTGCTAACTCGATGGCAACCAGATTCAGGCCACTGCGCTGGCAAAGCCTACCTAAAGCGTACACCCCGACCTTGTCTTTCCTCTCGTTTATTGCCGGGCCTCACGCGTGCATCGGAAAGACAATGGCGGTGATGGAGATGAAGGCAGTCTTAGCGTGCGCCCACTCCATTTGATCTCTTGCATCATACAACGAGTCTGACGTACGATCAATCCAGCGCTTTAATCGCAAACTTTGAATTTGAGCCCGCCTACGAGGGTCAGGTGGCTCAGCCCACAGCCGCCGTTACGATGAGTAAGTACAGAAGATAAGTTCGTACAACTTTATCCTGACGAGATGCTGCAGAACCGGCAGATCATATGCCCTTGCGTGTCAAGAGGTTCCTTTGAAGATGGCAGTACGCGAAAGAATAATATTTGCCAATGTGGTCTCTTAGTGTATATACTTAAATGTAACGTGTTCATGAAAGCAACTAGTTATCTGCAGATGCGACATGCCCCTAAGAAAGCCTGAAATTCGAAAGGGGGATTTTTAGTCTTTGTGGGGTAACGAGGGCGCATGTGGGGGAGAAATCACAAGCCGACAGATTGCTCCCGATTCCCCGCGTGATGCGCGCGCCGTTCGTTGCTCCGATTCTCGCTTCCGACATTCTACTTAACGACCCCATTCGAAGGCTGGCGCTTTGATCAAGAACTATGTCGAACATGTCGAATGCCGCGGACGCTCTGCTGGCCTCCCTGCGCTCTCAGGCCCCTGGTGGTCGTATGAAACTTCTGGCAGGTTCAGCAGGCCTTGCGGCGCTGTTTCTGGTCCTCCATAAGCTGCTCGTCTCTTCGAACAAACTTTCAGCAAAGGCACCTACGAAAAAGAACCATTTGGTCGCAAACTTGGACGAGCTTGATAGTGAATACGACGTGATCATCATTGGAGGAGGCACATCTGGCTGTGTGCTTGCTTCAAGGCTGAGCGAAGATCCAAACATCAAGGTTCTACTACTTGAATCTGGAGGCAGGTGAGTGCGAAAGATTGGTCGAGCCAGTTTCGACCTGAGCTGACACCGCGCAGCGGTAAGGCTTTGATCTTCACAAGGATTCCATCTGCTTTCGGGCGTCTTTTCCACAACAAGAACTACGACTATGACATTAGGACGGAGCCCCAAGTGCATGCCCAAGGGAAGACAAAGTATTGGCCTAGAGGCAAGTCCTGTTACTCCCCCGTCGCCAATATAATGCTGATGATCTTACAGCGAGGATGCTTGGTGGATGTATGTCAGCGTCGCGTTTGATGTGATGTGTACTAACGGTCGCGTTCTTCAGGTTCGTCTATAAATGCCCAAATGTACGCCTCCTACTTTTCCTCCGCAGTATAGCTTGACAAGTGGATGTACAGGGCTCAATACGGTGCTCCTGGTGATTTTGACCAATGGGCAGAAACTATAGGCGACGATTCCTGGTCATTCAAGAATTTCGCGAAGTAACCCCAGTTGCGTTGTCATCTATTTACTGCACTAATCACAACCTAGGTATTTCCGTAAATTCGAGCACTTCGTTGCGAACCCGGTGTTTTCGCCTTACACGTCCTTTTCTTCCCCTGACCCCTCCGAAAAGGAAGAGGAAATTGGATTAACCGGCCCCGTTGAAGTAGGGTTCTTCAATTACGTGTCGGAGACGTCCAAATCCTTCGTTCGCTCGTGTATCAATGTAGGAATACCGTACACTCCATCGTTCAACGGAGCGAGTGGTACTGCCGGGGTTTCAAGAGTGAGTCAGACTTTCTTAAGTTAATTCACGGTCATTCACACACATAAATTACGATGCAGATCAGTGAGTTTGGTCATGCTTCCTTATCACCTTATTACGAATGACTAAGTCCGTGTCTTTACCAGTGACATACATCGACTCGAACGGTACTCGCGTGTCGTCGGAGTCCGCTTACTTGACCGACGAGGTTTTGTCGCGTCCCAACCTCACAGTAGCCATTTACGCCCACACAACACGGATTCTCTTCTCTGAGCCAGAGAATGGGAATCCTCGAGCTATAGGCGTAGAGATTGCCTCCACCAAAGACAGAGATGTAGCGGAGCCGAAGAAATACAAGGTCTTCGCGAAGAACGAAATTGTTCTATCGTATGATACTAACTCTTTGCTTGAGGGGATAGATAAACTCATGTCTCCTGCAGGGCTGGCGCGGTGCATTCGCCTCACATCTTGATGCTTTCCGGCATTGGTCCCTCTGAACACCTTTCGGCACACAATATACCCACTGTCGTGGACTTACCTGCCGTCGGCGCAAACCTAGTCGACCATCCAATTGTTGACTTCATCTTCAAGGACAAGATGGGCGTTTCTCTGAGCTTCTTGAAGCCAGCGAATGTCATGGACAGACTGAAGTCTATGAGAGCTCTGATCCAGTATACCATATTCAAAAGGGGCCCATTATGCAACAATGTGCGTACGCTTTCCTTCGGTGTTGGTAGATTGATGAAGAAGCAAAGACTCATTCATGCGGTTTCTAGATGGGCGAAGCGGCTGCGTTTGTGCGAACTGATGACCCATCGCTCTTTCCGAAGGACGACTTCAAAGAAGAGTTGGAAGATAGCACCCCTAGTAAGGATAGTCCTGACTTGGAGCTATTCTGCACTCCCTTGGGGTATAGGGAACATGGAGCATTCATTTTCGATGTGCATACATACGCTCTGCATGTGTACTTGTTGAGGTACGCCGATTCGATCGAGATCAGTATTCCTCACCCCTTGAGATTCCGACTAATATGATTCCTCAGACCCACGAGCAAGGGGTACATCAGACTCCTGTCGAATAATCCCTTTGATAATCCTAGCGTAGACCCAAAGTGAGTTACACAACCGTGGACTTGCCGAGCATTGATGTACAACACTTTTCACCACAGCTATCTTCAGACTTCAGCTGACATCTACAAACTCCTCCGAGGAGCCCGGCTCTGCTTACGACTTGCGCACACCGAACCCCTGTCCTCTTGCTTGACCCATTCAGAAAGGCGCAGCGATCTTGACCACTTCCTACATGAGAAGACAGACGACGAATTGCTAGAGATCATCAGACAAAGAGTCGAGACGGTCTATCATCCCGCGTGCAGCTGTCGCATGGCGAAAAAGGAGGACGGGGGCGTCGTCGATGCGAAGCTAAGGGTGTATGGTGTGGATGGCTTGCGGGTTTGTGATGCATCTGCCTTCTCTTATGTGGTTTCCGGACACACAGTGGGTGGCTTGATATACTCCACTGCTTTGCCTACTGACATCTGTGACTTACAGGCTGGCGCATGCATTGCCATGGCGGAGAAACTATCTGACGAGATGAAGGCAGAACTGAAAGCAAATCTTGAAGAATTCTAAGCATCTGTGGGTTTCGCCGTCCACTTCCAACTGTGTAATTATCTTGGGGCTACCGTTTGCCATTCTGTGTATTCGCGTTCTATGATATATATCCGACTCGCTGATGTGCAAGTCGTACTTGACCGGATTAATTTCCCGAGGAAAGTGTTTTGGGCAAAAAGAAATGCGTGAACCGGGAGTCGAACCCGGAGCTAGGCCAAACACGACAAAGTGGGAAGACCCAATGTTACCGCTACACCATCCACGCTTCAATAAATACGGTCGTCCTTCAACTCATGGTAATGCTGATATATGTCTTATGTGCTATGTGCTAAATGCTAAAAGATATTAACTCACTTCTGCCCGACCTTCACTGTCATCTACGGCCCCGGATGACGAAGACCATAGCCAAGAAGCAACGGGACAAGACTAAGTTCCAGCATGTTCCCTACTCGACAGTAGCTGTATATATAACCGCTTGGAATCCCTCCGTACCCGCCTTCTTTGGTTTCGGTCGAGCGGGAGCTGTCCGTAGTCATCATGCCCGAGCGCATTCTGGTGGGTGTTTGCTACCTGCTTTAGGACATGCTATCTAATTCACGTGTATAGATAACTGGAGGAACAGGCTTCCTAGGCTCGCACGTCGCAGAGCAACTCCTTGATGAAGGATATAACGTCCGTTTGTGTGTATTTGCATTTCGTGGACCGTTGAAATGCGTCAAATTCAACGTTAGTACGCAGAGCAGCTCGAAGAGCAAAGATTCTAGGCCTTTTGGAGGTTTATGCCCAGCATGTTACCGATGGTCGAATGGAGATCACGCGAATCATGGATCTTGCGAACGAACAGTTTATTACCCTCTTCGTGGGCGTGGACGCGCTCATACATATGGCGGCGCCACAGGTGGGAAGAGAGCATCCTGAATGCACGTTACGGGTAAGCCACATCGACGCCACGTACCTATGAAACACTAAACAGGATGTACCAGAACACGGTCGATGGGTCGCTGAACGTTATCCGTCAAGCTGAAAGGGCCGGCATCAAAAAGATAATTGTGACGAGTGCCGCCGCAACGGCATTCGGACCAAAGGGGAATGTATCGGACCAAGGTCTACCGCGCTCCCTCTTCCTCAGTCGTGGTTCTGACTTCACACCCGTATAGAATGGAATCCTGTAGATAGAGGTGTCGCGCTTCAGAGCGGAAACCCTCTTGCAGTTTTCACAACGGCCAAAACGTTAGCAGAAAAGGCCATCTGGGATTTCGCGAGTTCACACCCGCATGTCGAATTTACAACAAGTGAGACACTCATTGGATTGTAAGATTGGTGTAATGCTGAGCATCTGAACCATCAGTAAACCCAACAATAATATATGGGCCACTCGCCAGGTCCCATAAAGTTCCGAAGAGCAACCCAGCTGGCCTCTCCACCAACATACTCGTGTACCGCCTCCTCTTCCCGACAGGCGCATTTCCAACAACGGTCGACCATGTAGACGTCAGAGATGTCGCTCGTGCCCATGTTCTAGCTTTGAAGTCGCCTCCAACCTTCATAGTCGGCCGGAAACGCATCATAGTCGGCTCGCCACACGTTTTGGACTTTCGACAAATCACCCAACTTATTAGAGAGAAAAGACCCGAACTTGCGGAGAGACTGACGAAAGTACCCGTCCCAACGTTCGAACGGCTGACACTACCCATCAATTTTGGGAGGATCGAAGATGTTCTGGGCATGTCGAAAACGGAATTTCATACAGTGGAATCCACGTTTCTGGATGCTGTTGATAGATTAGTAGAAGCAGAGAAAGAATGGCTGTAGCAGCTGTACCTTTGCGTAAATTGTGGAAGCACAGATGTTTATAAAGGTCATGAAAATCATAGAACTCACCCTTGAGATATGAAGTTACGAGATATAGCGGTGAAGGGGTAAGCTAATCGACGCTAGGAGCCATACTTACATCTTCTACAAGGCACAATTCATTGTTCGCTTGCATGGGACTTCAAAGAAGCAAAGTCTCGTGGGGAGTAAGCTGTATACTTCGTGATAATGAAACCCATGAAGCAACGTCGTCTAGTATATAGACTTACTCTGTGATTCTAGGGGGCTTGTAACTCTCACCTTGTCCATTAATGTATGCCTCTGGGCCGTCGCTCGGCCGAACCTTTTTTCTGTATTCGCCGATAGGCTACTAGCTTGCAAGGTCACCGTCGAGAGTATGGTCGATGATGCTAGAGCTGTCATAATGGTTTTCGATCATCGGAACAGCAATACGATGGGCAAGTTTGAGAACGAGATGATCGTGGAAGCCTGGAGACTCAAGTACTCATGCACATCATGGCGGGCGCTTCGTCAGTTGCTTCCAAGATCGCACAAGCGCTAGCGCCCTGGTTGGAGTTCCTAATTAACTTTTCTAAGGGTAGCAAATAAATTCTACAGAGCAGCGGTAGCATTGTTTTTGCATAAATATAGTGTACAGATGTTGCAGCGTCAACGCCTGCGTAGTCATAAAAGCAGATACCAGAGAAAACGAAACATGCATAGTCACAACAACAGAAGATCTAAACGCCAACCAATGCTAGATTCTAGATTGTACAATAGGAGGCCTCCTTCCTTCATCCGGGTCACCGAACTCATACTCCCATCTTGATAGGTTCCAGCGCCACCGAGGGTGGCAACCCAGGGGATGTGCTGTTGGTACGCCCGGTTCGCGGGCCAGGTGTGCTACTCCTGCTTGAGGTGTTCGCGCTAGCAGGGGGTGTGGGGTTCCTGCACACGCCCGTGGGTGGCAGGCCAATCAACCTTGTGATGGTCCATGGAAGCTCAAAGTCGGACCGGCCAACCATAGCGATGTATCTAGACAACTCGAGGTGTAGGTTAGGATAGTATACGGTCGATGCCTTGCGTGAGATCTAGAATCGTATTGCCAGTTTAGTCAATGCGTATCCATCAACAAGTCACTTACAGCAATGATACGCTCTAACCCGGAGAGGAACATGTCGGTGTGGAAGCGGTAGGCCGAGTGCTCATGGTCTCTGGGCAGGTTCAAATCTTCGGTAGATTTGGCGATGGCGTTAATTAGACGCAAATGACTGGTCTTATCAAGAACGTGGGTGAGTTTGGAGATGAAACATTGACGGTTTGCTGCACTTACGAAATATCCCATTGCTTCGAATTCAACTCCACCTGTCATACCGCCAGGTGCTCTGGGCTTCTCTACCTTGCCTTCGTCAACTTCATTCAGAAGCCAGATCGTGTTATTTGGATGACAAAACACCCAGAAGTAATCTCTGCAAACGTCGCTAAGCTCCTGTAAGTACGTCTTGTATACGCGTGGTTTATGCAGGTTCTCTATGAAAGCGTGAGGCGAAATGGGGGTTGCAGGAGATTCGGAAGGCGGTGGCGCGGGTGTCAGCAGGAGGGCGCGAATGAGGGAGAAGATATTGCGATGTGGTGCCGGAAGCGTAATGACGTTTGATGTGCAAACCGTAGCGGTGGACTCCCAAGCCTCGCGACGGGGTTGACCAGACATGGCAGGTAGTGCGCTTTGTGGGTAGAGTTCGAAGAGAATCAAAAGAAGGTCGACGATCAGTTGACGAGTGGCCACCTCGCCTGGCTTCTTATCGGAGAACAGAAGGGACATCAGCTGAACGAAAGGTGTCGGGCACGAACTTCGGAGAGCAAAGCACCCGATGCTGGAGGTGGAGAGTGCCTTGAGGCACCGAAGTAGCTCGTGAAGAAGTTTGTCGTCGTGTTGCTCCTCCCTGAAGCGCTGCTACATGAGTCGATCAGAATGAACCAAGAGACCGAGGGACAGACCGCCATTCAACTTCGAGAATCTCGTTAAGTCGGGTCAACAAAGCATTGTAACCGCCCAAACTTAGGAACTCTTGTGTCCAGCTAAGTAAAAAATGCTGAGTCTCGTTACTTATGCACATCAAAACGTTACCCACGATGCTGATTCGTTTCGCAGAAGAAGTCTCAATTTTTTAATCGTTTCAACTTCCATCTGGGTGCTTGATGTGCCAGAGAGGATATTGAAGAATTTCGCTGGCGATAGATTTTTGTTGGGAACTTTCTCCTTGTTAGGTTTGGAGCCGACGAGGGTGCTCAGATCTAGTGAGCTTGAAGTGGCGAGGTTGACCTGACTCCGAGAGAAATGTTTGGTAAGATCGAAAGATGACCCGCGGCTGTGAGTGCCTCGAGGACTTCCAGGTTCACCAGATGAGGCTCCGTAAACGAAGTTCGGTCGCGGAGGTTGGAGAACTTCGCCGTCCAGAGCCGAGTTCGATCTACCCGGAGAACTTATAGAGTCGATGCTTCGAGTCCGTCGGAGACTTGCCGTCCGTGGGGTCATTGGGGGTGATTGCGACGGTTTCGAAACCAAGATGTGGGACGACTTGAGCATGGCTGCTTTCACAGTGGCATCCATGCCATTCAGCTTTGGTCGTAGGGTATCAGGAATTTGTAGATCATCCTTGCGACACGTCGTTAGTGAGGACTTCGCGAGATAGCATCTGAACCTACGGCATACCAATAGTTTATCGAAAGCTTGCTCCATCTCAGCTGGTTGTTGTTCAGATTCTACAACAATCTTCTTCTCCAACCACCTCCTCCTGTCCTTCTCTGCTGGCTGGCCGAAGCTCTTGGCGCCGTTGTTCGGTGGCCTGCCCTTAGTTTGCGCGGTGTTCGACATCTGAGGTTTATTCTCCTTGCCATTGGCAGACGAGTCACCCAGACTTGTTACCATGGTAAAGTCTGTCGACGCTATGCGCTTGTGCGATGGGAGGATGTTCTTGAACATGGTCTGAGGCAATGAACGTTGTCTGAAACTACAAGTGGAAACCGAACGAACATGCACGCGTTGAGACACGTGACCGCGAGATTTACAGTTGGCGCCCCTGGGTCCCCTGAGACTTTTCGTTGCTGCGTGAGTCTCGCTGCATCGTAACCGTAGCACTGACGCTCGAAAAGCTCAATACAAACCGGTGAGGCAGAGAATTGCCTGCCTTACACCAGAGATGTGGTATTCCAATTCAAGTGGCTCTCTACTCGACCGCCGACAGCATGACAGACTCCGAGACCCTCAGTGAAGACATTGACTGGCTGCCGCCTGTCTCAAGGCTTCAACGCCGTATACGCGTGTATTGATTTTACTGCATGCGCTGAAGCATATCCGAGGCTAGATGTTTCATTTTCCTCCCCTTTCCCTGCTTTGGACGGCAAACTGCCTCTGCGGCTTCTGTCCTGTCATCCTCACCTTTGGCGAACGGTTGCAGCAGTCTATGGGCTATCGACAAGGCTATCGGAAGTCTGTCGACCCTCGGAAAAGCACACCCACGTAAGAGGGACTTTATATAGGACGATCGCGCAAGTCATCGGAAACCGTTCGTAAGTTTGTGGAGTTTTGTTTGGAATACATCAATGACAATAATTTCCAGGCGACTACACACACGGACTCACTGGGTCCAAAGCCCTGACCGCTTGACTTGTGCATGCATGGGGCTGCGAAAAAACAAGTGATCAAGGCAGCTGACTGACTGCAGCTGCATCCTGGTCTACACAATGAATACTTTTTTCGGATATATCTGTTGTCCCCTCAATTCACGTAGGCGACGTTATTATTACCTATACGGCGACCAGGCGGTTCTGGTCGGCTGACCTGACAGGATGTCGGTGGAGGAGGGTGCGGCACCCCCTTCGACTCCGCCTCGCGCCCCGCCCCTGTCTCCGAGCTGCTGTTTATGGATCTTTGATCAAATCATCAACAGAACTTCTACGCGACTTACACACGACCCCCGTCAAAAATGGATAGGAAAGGTCCACAATTGCAGTCGAAGCTCTGTTTTAGCCCCCCTACTACTTAGAACGCCATCCAGGAGGTAGCCAGTCCCTTCACATCACACCGAACCCACACCTTCTTTGCCCTGCTGCAAGTCCCTTCGGGGTAGGAAGCCCAGTTGCTAGTCAGCTGCTCACTTTTCGACCTTCACATCTGTGCATGTGTATGATACCTGCCTTTAATCGCTGGGAGCGGACATTACGGAATATATTACTTCTACGAACACGAACACGAATTTTCATTAGGTAGCGTTGTAAAGACCAATCTCTTGGGTTCGCGGGTATATATTATACATAGAACGACCAGCCAACCGGGCTAGACGAAATACAAATACAGTGGTTTTAATTATGTCCTATTGGCATACACGATGTCCGATGCTTGGTACATATCGACATAGAAACGAGGTTGGCAGCTCGTGGACGACCGAAAACCCAAAGAGAGAAAAAGAAAGTGCGTCATGTATCATATTCATCGCCTATGGAAGATCTTCTTGAATGATTGCCACTTCGGAAGAGAGGGTGGCTCGATCTGCCACCTGTGAGGAAGGGGTAGTCAGGACCAAGGTTCCAATTAGGCGGAAGAAGCACATACCTGACAAACAGATCGCCTCGTCTTGAGGGCTCTCCTTTGCCCGTCATACCAGCGCCGAAGATAACATTACAGCCTTTCAATGACCTCTCCTTCCGGTAGTCTATTTTTATGGTCAACATCTCGCCGTCCAGGCCACGGAAGCGAACGGTTCCTTCGTCCTTCTCGAGATTGCTATCCCAGGGAAGAGTAACCTCCATGACTAAATCGTCAGCCACGCGGTAGAACATATCGTGCGGTTCTTCGTCGACGACGAAGACGATATCTTGGAATGTGCCGTCTTTGTGTTCATGCCCCGCACCAGCACAGACGATTCGAGTGCCGGGAGCACACCCAGGAGGGACGTCGATGTTGATGACGATTCTCCGTTTTACGCCCGACTGTAGGTAGCGGTCGAGGCGGAAACGGCACTTCTTCCCGTGAAAGAGCTCTTCCAACGTAAGCTTCAGGTTGTACTTCCACTCCTTAGAAGAAGTCTGCTTGCAAGGGGTGATTGTCGGGACACGTCGTGGGTTGTAGCCCGGCTTTTGTTGACCCGTGTCGCACGTTCCTGTGGAGCTACATGCAGGAATCGGGGGCCTGTACGTAGGGTGAGTACATATACTGTACCCCGGCGAATCAGCGCAGACGTACCTGGTAGTTCCGTGTCGGAAGGGGTTTCGAAATTTGGAATTGAAGTGCTTGTCCTTGAGATCGTGGGCGGACTTTTTGAGAGGCGGCTCGTCGTCTGGGTGGGGTTCGTATCCACAGGCCGACTCATCGACGCGAGTCCAGCTGCTGCTGGAACTGATGTTGGACGTAGACCTGTTCATAGACGGGTTTCGCATGTATTCATCTTGAGCAGTGTCATCCTCGCCCACGCAGGAGTCAGACTCGAATGTAGTGAAGGAAGATGTGCTACGATTGTCGAAGTCTGGGCAGGAGTCGTTGCTTGGGGTACGGGACGAAGACCTGCTTCGGCTACGGGAATCCGAAGAACTTGTGCTCTTCGATCTCCCCCTCCGTTCATTGAGCAAGGCGCGGTATGCGTCGTTGATCTGGGGGACAAGCATGTCAGTTGTATCAAACTTTCATCGTGGGGGTGGGCGGAAAGCACTAACCTCAACAAACTTTTTGGTGGCATTCTCTTGGTCGTTCAATCGACGGTCTGGGTGCCATTTCAACGCCTGGGAGAGAAAGGTTGATAGCAACGATGAGGCTTTGCTACTCACGGTGTGGAAAGGTAGATTAGGGCGACTCACCAGCTTCTTGTACGCTGCCGTAATTTCCTCTGTCGTCGCCCCTTCCTCAACCCCGAGAATCTCAAAGCAGTTCATGTTGTCGACGGTGGACATGGTAGTGGTGAAATGCGAATGGAATGGTAGAAGAAAGTGGGGAGAAATTTGAAAACCGGTGAAGCTGAGGGAATTCTGAACCTGACCAAATCTTTATATAATGGTGCATCTCCAGTGTAGCCACGGGTTGATTGCAGCGCAGGCGTGATCATCTTCAAGGGCGCGACGTGAAAGACCAGAATAGCCTGAGATCGTTAATGAACTGAATCAACAAATGCGGACTAGCTCAAGCTTCGCGGTCGCCTCATGATGAACACGCTGCGGCTCGCGAAGAAAAAGCCCATCACCCTATAATGTGCTTCACGCTGGTTCTTGACTAAAGAGACAACATGCTGTCGCAACAAGCCGTCGATGCCAACCTGGCCTGGTCAAGTGAACTGTCTCGGCGGACCTGATCTCTGGAGAAAGAGTTCATCTGATGGCACAAAGGGGGCGACTCAGGACCGCGACGCGTAAATTATGTAAATGGCCCGCACCAATCGCTCCTGTTGCTTCACTGCTGGGCAGAAATGCTGTTAGTCTGCTGACCATACAGCGGCGTTGAAGGTGAAACCACACCTGCTGCAGTCACTGGATTGTGCGCACTGCGGGGGCCACCGCTGTTCAAAGCTGCTCAAGGTTTGGTTCCCGAATACCGATAAAGTCCAGTTAGGATGCAATATAGTTTGCTTTGGTGAGCAGGCGTTACCTGAGCTATCTCCTGGAGCTCATTTCCCAGAACACTCCTGGACTGCGAATGCGACAGGAACGCATGAGGAATGACTCGGGATAATCCAACAACCATTCATCCAGGCAATACCGCGATGCCGCATGGCCTCGTTGACGTCTGCCTCTTTGATGCCGCTATAAGCGACCTCGTGTTGCCGACAAAGATAAGCCCGTCCTTTTCGTAATATTTAAAAAACTTACTGCCGATGACAGAATCTGTATCAATTTCTTTGTGCACGTCGTCAGACGCATAGAACATGCTGCAGAATTCCTGAATTTGGAGCCGTTTTTACTCCCAAATCGACTACTGACCGCGGTCGCGCCCTTGTCCTCAAGTCCAATATTTTCCCGGAGAACTAGGCCTTTTTCTCGAAATATCTACACCCAGGAGGTACATACCCATTATCTAAACAGTATCCACTCAAGCACTGATGATATCCATTTGGTGTAAACGAACCCTCCCCGAAGAGGCTGGTTCTTTCCTGGATATCAAAGGCACCCCAAATTCGAGAGGCGTTAGACACGACCTAGTCCGTCCTTTCATTATCCAATCTGCCGTAATCGCATGCACGAAGCCTGTTCAAATCAATGAAACTGTGCTTCGAAGCCTCCCACCACCTGAATGCAACTCGCATCGTACGCACTTCCCTTCGGACGACCACAGAAACCTCTTTCGGATAGCTTGGATCCCCGAGCCCTCGACCCATGACATCGTTTGAAGCAGAGATGTGGTTTGCTCGTGTAATGCTAAGCTTTTCACTTGAGAAGTAATCGTCGCTTTATTCCAACTTTATTATTATCCTTGTCATTTTAGCATGTTTATCATGCTTCAGCTGTTTGTACGCGCCACGATGAAGCTTGCAGTCGCAATGGCCGTATCGGTAATCAATTTGCCACACTTCTTTCTTCGGCATTTCATTTGCGAGGACTGTATCGAACACATCGGTATCACTTGGTTGTTTCAACGCCATTCAGCGTGTTTACACAATGGGACGGAAGCTTCCAGTCCAATTGGATACCAGGCTCTGAGGAAAGAACCTCAAGTCTCGTCTTCTCCGTGTCTGTGGAGACCTCTCCGCTTGTCTCGCTGAGGCTCGATGATCTTCGATGGTCGGGAGTCGGGACCCCTATCTCACATACCAGGGGTTGAAGCCGCTCCCATTGGGTGGCTTCCTAGAAACACGGTCTCTCTCGGATTCATTTGGTATCTATGATGTTCGACACTGTAACTCCATGTGTTCCCTTTTGGTATGTGCTAGAATATGTCAGAATTCACAGCAAGAACATCATCGCATCCAATACACATGAAGCGGTATTCATGAAGCGTTCACACGTAAGGGTCTGCACCTGCAAGCAGAGGTGTAAAATGTTTTTACAAGGCTGGTGGCGACAACAGCCTCTGCAATCGCGTCCTCAGGCTAGATAACGCGTCGAAGGGTCCAATACAAAGTTATCGATAAAATCATGTTGCAGCCGCATAGCCGAGGCGTCTGCTGTGGTCTCCGGGCGGGATAAAGATTCTCTCTCTCTCTGCACGACCAAAGTAAGGATTGACGTAGCCCTCTGCCCTCTGCCAGCATCTATCAAGCATCCCACGGATAACTCGTCATGAATTTCATCCGTCGAAGTTTCATAGCATAAGTGCGTAAATGAAGTGCACACGAACAGTGGGTCCGTTATTGGTTCCTTCGGTACACGGCGATCCAGGACTCTTTGCGGTTCTCCATGTTCGATGGTGGTTCGATGGTTTCACGGGTGATAGGGGCTGGACCTCTAATAGTCGAGATACACATGTAGGAAGACACCATCACAGTGAAGATAGCCGGGTAACTAAGAGGTCTGGAGGGGATTCTATTCCCTAAAGATAGCTCAAAGCTTCACACCTATTCTCGGCCGACAGTGAAAAGGTTTGATACATGAGGGCGGATCGCCTTCAGAATTGAGCTTAAGGTTGCACAAACTGTTGCACGTACCTTCAGAGAAGCAGATCATGGTTAAGAGTCTTGATACAACCCCTCCTGAACCATATACTCAGCAATCCGGTCCGGTACAAGACGCCGCCATTCGCCTCCACTTGTTACGGAGGGCGCGGTGAAGTCAATAGTCCTGGATGTGACCCTCTTCATTTCGCGCACAGCGCTGGAGCTGAATGTCCGCTCCGCGTCCCCAATTTCTATGAGTTGTATCCGTTGAGAGTCAACAAACTCTCGCGCAGTGTTAAGTGTTTTCCTCTCCTCTGCTGTCAAATCCAGCGCGGTAGATGATGACGACGGTGAGGTGCTGGCGTCCTCATTTTGCGGATTATGGATCCCAGACGAAGCCAGAGACCGCAGCGATTTGTCGTTGAAAGAATATGTGCCTGCCATAGTGCGTCTGGCACAGACGATGGCAGAATCATCCCCCAGGGGAGCAGGGGATAAGAATCGTCGCAGCGACACCATCATGATTTCCATTGAGTCTGAGCCTGCCGGGGCATCGGCGGCGGCGTAATAGCGGGGTGATAGCAGTCGTTCTAGTGTGTCAAACCCCAACAGGAAAGTGAGCTTGGGTTCGTACATTGCCGACGACCCCGCCCTTTCCGACATTCCAGCCAACCGGTTGCGTAGAAATGTCAGTAGCTTCGTGGATTTCCCGACAAACGTCGGTTCATCGATGATAGCTACGGCGACGTTGGATTCCGCAGATCTATCAACGTCGGGGGGTCCCGATGGAGGGCATACGATGTCCTTGGCCAGCAGCACCATCATCTCAAGACGCTGCACCAATGAAGCGTCCCTCTGCTTCAGCACCTTATCAGCATTCCGAACAGACAGTAGAAGGAGTTTCGCATCATAATCCAAGCCAAGATCATCCGATGTGGCTCCATCGCGCTCATCGGTGAAGCTGCGCTTCGGTCTCGGCGAGTTGGCTAGCGCTAGGTGTGCTAGCGTCGGTGGGTTGAAAGATGAGTCGAGGACGGAGATTCTGACGGGCCTTGGCGACCTCCCGGCGGTTTGCTCGTCCTTGTGCAGCGGCCAGGCGTCGTGCGGGACGTAGATGAGTTCGACCGGCGCAAGGTTCTGCTGAACCCTGTGTAAAAGAGAGAGCATCCCCGCCCTCGATGGGACATGCATGGTGGCTCAGACAAATTCCGGATAAGAGATAAGATCGGATTGCCTAGACTAAGATAAGATAAGACCGGCCGCTTCTCATCTGAACGTGTCATGGCTTTTACTTCCTCGTTTACGCGAAGTAGGAGTTACAGTTTACGGTTTGGCAGGGTTAAAACGCTAAACATCCTGGCTGTATCCAGGGGGAACACCACACTACCTGGGTAAATATTTAGGAATGCAGGCGATAAGCGTAGGCAATACCCAGGATTAAAATTGGACACGGAGCTCAAAGGTGCATAACATGACCTTGCGCCCACGAAGCAAGTCAATGGGGAGTACGGCATATCCCTAGGCTTGGGCTGGGAGAGTTGGTTCACGGGCGCTATAGCGAAGAAGGGCGATTTATATTGTCGGTCGGAACATCCCTGTTGATTGTCGAGATCGAGAGAACCGGGACTGCGCATGGTCATCAGGACGACTTGCTGTCGACAAAGAGGGCATCTGACTCAGGGGTGGTAACCAGAGCACCGACACGCTCAAGGTTTACTGAGCTTCTTAGTAGGTTTGCGCTACGCAGTTTACATCATAAGGAACGACTTTCCATTAATTAACAATCGACGTGCAGTAGGCGGGCCAGCGCTCACTTTAGCATTTCAAACTCACGAGGTTTAGGGATGCCAGGTCGATTAGCTCGGAGGGAAGGAGCAGCAATCGACTTCAATGTCTGAAACGGAGAAACACCTCTTCACAGTCGATTGCGGCGTCGACATGAACGTATGGCGGCACATGAAACTTCCGGATAACACAACTGTGGAGGGATCTTGCGTACCGGCGGCTTCGGCGGCTTCTCGCAAGGCCCGAAACTATTTCCGTGTATGGAGTCTCTTGGTTATGTTTATCGTATATCAGACACGCTTCCCATTTCCCATGTTGTGGAAACAACGAGGCGAACCCATGACACCGATCGCCAACTAAAGCCACGAGCACAAAGAGGCAATCATCGACCTTGAGGCGGGGAAGGGTAACTTATTTAACATTCCTCCCGGATTATCGTAGTGGAAGCATGAGAAGAAATACAACAATGGGAAACGATGGACGTCACTCAAGCCATCTATTTCAAGGCTTGTTTCATTTTCTAGAAAGGATACACGATAATGAGTTATGAGAAAAGAAGGGTATAAAATAAGGGACGTACCTCTTCCATCTCGTCGAAATCGTTCGTCTCAATCCTGATGATCTTCTTTCCCAGGGCTTTCTCGATCTGCTCCATCTGTAGCCATGTCTTGCGATCGTGAACGAAATTAATTGAAATTCCTTTCCGTCCGAAGCGACCCGTGCGGCCTATTCAACAGCGATTGGAGCAGTAAGCGAAACAGGCACAATATGAACCGCCGTGGTAAACATAGTAAATAAGGAGGATCATCGCTGTAAGTTTTGCTATCAAAGGGGATTTGAAGTAAGAACGCACCAATCCTGTGAAGGTATGTTTCGATGTCGGGCCTCTCATCTCCGCCCCTATCACGCTCATTCATAAGGGGTAGGTCGTAGTTAACAACCATGTTGACTTGGAGGATGTCGATACCACGCGCAATAACATTGGTGGTAATTAAAACCTAGGTCGTAACGGAATAAAGTATGAAAGGAAGTTTCGAATCAGCGGAGGTGAAGCTAATGAGATCTCGACCTCAAGACAAGCTTACCTTTTCTTTGCCCTCTCGGAAACCATCGATGATTGCATCACGTTCGGCAGCATCCTTGGCACCGTGCAAGGAGGCGACCTTGTGTCCCTCGGCTGTCATCCGCTGTGATATTCTATCTGCGGTTTGTCGATGCTAAGTCACAGGTCAAAAAGGGGGAACATCAAGGGATGTGGCGGGAAATTTTACCTTGCAGAAGATGATGCTCTGCCCTACGGTCAAAAGCCCGTACAAACTGACAAGAATATCGTACTTGTGCTCCTCGTTCTTACAATCCATGTAAAACTGCCGTATTCCATCTACACTCAGCTCATTCTGTTGTAGTTCGATTTTGTTGGCATTCGGCGCGAATTTCGAGGCAAACGCGCGGACATGGTCGGGGAAAGTAGCAGAGAAGAGGATAATTTGAACGGGATGTGTCCGCGGCAACATATTCTTGACACGAAGAGTTTGGTCACCGAGGCCGTCCTGGTCAAGCATATTGTCCGCTTCGTCCAACACAAAAACCTTCACTTCGCTGGGATCAATGACCTTCCGTCTCATCAAATCTGTCATTGTCCCGGGTGTTCCAACGATAACCTGTGCAGTGATCCGTGTCGCGCCTTTAGGAAGATGGTCTTTGATGGCATATTCCGTTTGCACTTGGGTGAACTTGCCCATGGCTACCACCACGGACATGATCTGACGGGCAAGCTCACGAGATGGCGCGAGGCACAGGGCCTAGAAAAGCTATAGACATAGGGAAGCAATAGGTGCACATACACGTACCTGGGGTTTATTGATTGAATAGTCGATTCGGCTGAGCATGGTGAGGACGAATGCAGCGGTCTTGCCGGTTCCAGATTGGGACTGGCCGATCATGTTCGTTGGTCTGAATGGATGTTCATGGATTGTTGGGGCGTGTAATCGAGGGTGAGACTAACGGATTGGAAAGAAGAAGCGGCATAGCGCGTTCTTGGATCTTCGACGGCTTGGAGAATCCCATATCGTATATTCCCTTAAGAAGATCTTGATGACTGGTGATATCTCATTCTATGACCAATTCAGCGCAAGGAGGATCGCCCGACTCACAGTCCAAGGGCTTCAAATGATTTCGCACTGTAGAGTGGCGAATTTGGGTCGGCTTGTTGATCTGCAAGTGTCACCTATTCGACGTGAACTGCAGTGCATGGAATTAACTAGTACACCACTTACGGCAACCTCGAAGGTTGAACTGACGAGATCGCTTGCCCCAGCTAGGACATGATAGTCAACGTCAGTATAATGCACACTCTTGCTTGATTTATCACTTGCCTGGCTCAGCATCGTTCCCCTCCTCCACCTTTGGTGCCACAACTGGTGCTGTAGAGGATTCGGCTAGTGGGATTCTCGCATCAGTTTGACATCGCGTACAAATATGGACTCAAGGTTACCAGGCGTGTAAAAACCGTCAGCATCCTTTTCTAGGGAAGCCATGTCGTTGGATTGTTCGTGAAATGTTCAGGTAAATACAGAGAGCGCTAATCCTCAGAGGAACGTGACGACGGCAATGGCCGATGTGTTTTAGCGCGCCGCCTCACCCAAATATGGAAACGGGGCGGACCTGAGAAACCTTCAGAGTCAAGAAACCCGTATTTCAGTTCATGGTGCACGCTCGGATTTTTGGGGACGTCGCGGGGGTAAGTCATGAAAGCTCACCATCCGACTGGCTTATAATGAGCCTCTTCGATATTTATGACGAGGTATCTTGAGTGGACATAATACATGCATGATAGTAACGAAGTTTTCTGAAGACTGAATCGGCACACTGGACGGTTGATTCGTGAAGCTATTGTATATTGGTATAGAAAACATGATGATAGTAAAACATTGCAGGTGAGTTCGTGGCAAAATCTATGTATCGTAGCAGTCTAATAGATCCATGGCAGTCGTAAAGATGAGAGAGTTATGCAGATTTCGTGGCTTGGGCGAACGCGATGGCGACAGTCTGATGAAAGTTTAATGAGCCACTCAGTCCAAGGGAAAATAGAAGAAGACGTACATCAGAGTGACTGAGGGAAATAAGGACATTCTTTATGCCCTTTGCTTGTGCCTCAGCAGCAGCATCGCCGTGAAGAGTGACGGTAGGAACGCCCTGGTCGTTATTGAGGATCTCAATGTCTTTCATGGAAGCTGCGGCCCCTTTGGACCGAACGCCGAGAGACTTGAAGATGGCCTCCTTAGCGACCCAACGGGCTGCGAATGATGATGGGGGCGAGGGTTGAGCGCGACAATATATTATTTCGGCATCGGTGAAGTTGCGAGCAACGAAGGTAGGGTTATGCGATGGTACAGCAGAGATCAATTCTGAAGCAAATCTGAGTCAGTGTGCCGAGTTTAAGTAACGAGAGAACTACAAACCTTGGTCTACGCCAACACCGATGGCTGAGTCAGAAGCAGGAGGAACTGAGATCGCCTCAGTGATTGCTTGGACATTCTTGCCGTCGAACTCCGGGGCTTTGGGCAAGTTAGCCTTGAATGTATAACTACCGTTCTTGGAGTCGAAGCTAGCACGAGCCATAGAGTTGAGGAGGACCTTATCCTCGAGGTCGGGGGTGTAGGGGGGAGCCTCCTTGATGCGAACGAGGGAAGGCTTGATCATCATCTCACTCATCGCCTTGTAGGCCTGGAGACTGCGCGAGCGATTGCGTTCTACGTAGCCCTTGTAGTAAGAAGGCTCAAGAGCACCCATGAGGTAACGAGGATGAACGAGGACAGCAGTGCCACCAACTTGACCGAAGCCGAATGATGACATAGCGCCAGCGCGAATGCCGTCGGTGTGGATTGACTTCGAAGGGAACATGAGGAAGTGACGATCTTGGAAGTGAGAATCGATGTTGCTAGAGTGATACGGTAAGCATGCTGATACTGGGGGTCAGGATCAAAGACGCTTACTCTGAATTCCTGTTTCCGGGGATGATGCCATTGAGGATGGTCTGCGACAAGCCACCCATTTGCCAGGATGCAGAACCACCCTTCGAGTGACCGAGCAAGCTCTTCTGCGCCATGACCGGAACGGCGTTACCAGGCGTACGACCGATGTTGGTGAAGATCTCGTTCCAAATATGGGTCTCATTCTCCTCCTGCATAGATTATCGTTAGCCCGTGTCTATTACGATTTCAAGTAGGACTCACGTTTGCTCCAGTACTTGTACCGTGAATTGAAAGAACACCAACGTCATCAGCAGTAAGTCCCCAAACAGCAAGTGCACGGCGGATGGGGGCGACACGGGGATCAGAGCCTTCAAGCATGCCGTACATAGCAAGTGCGTCCTTCTCTTGCTGTTTAGCTTCTTTCTCCATAGCAGCGACGCGCGAGGTAAGATATTCGTCGTCAATGGGCTCGCCCGATTCCTTTCGGAACTCGAGCTCTTGCTGGAGTTGAGCGCGCTCATTGTCAAGCCATTGGGAGATCTGGTTGCGGCGGAAGGAAAGTTGACGAGAGCGGTAATTGATGTCGAGGATGGGAAGGGGGTGCTTCGATGGTACTTCTCTGGCGACTGTGAGAGCGCCACGACCCGGAGCAGGGACAGATCGGCCAGCTTTGTCACTATTCGATAGTTAATAAAAGACACTTATCATAAGAAGTTGTGAACATACGTAGATGTCGAAGTGAATGCGAGGATACCACGAATAGGAGCGCCGAGCTCAAGAGCAGTCTTCGCGCTCATGACGATGTGAATGCCGGTTCCTTGCGCCTCCATGAACTACGAGAACCGGTAAGATTCGACGAAGAATGTTAAGAATAGAAATCACTTACCCCTGCACGCGTCGTTGTTGCTGGGCGAGACATTTCGGTCGGCTCGCGTCCCATAGCGAATTCGGTCTCAGCGTTACTTGTAGCCTTCATGTTGGCGAATTCATAGGATCCTTCCTCACTCAGATCATCAAAGCCACCTGCGAGCATGACCTTGGCCTTGCCAGAGAGGATGGTATCGCAGGCAATCTCAAGAGACTGAAGAGCCGTAGCACTGGTGGCAAAGTGAGCAACAGAAAGAGAAGATAAAGGCGATAGTCGTACCAGGCACCGACAGGAATCTTGACAGGTCCGCTGGAAGACATGAGGAGTAGATTGATCCAACCGGCAGTCGTGTTGATGAAGCTAGCGAGGAATGTCAGTTTGCGTCGAGCGCAACTAAGCAAGAAACTCACGTCTCTTGGAGGATATCATTCTGAACATCCTTTTCGTCGCGACGATCCTTGAACATCTTCGCCATACTCACGACACCACCCATACCACTGCCGATACACGTTCCGACTTCAGACGGGTGTATATATTTGTAGAGTTCGTAGGGATCAGTGACACCGGAGTTGTTGAGTGCCTCAGCAGCGCAGACGAGAGCCCAAAGAGTGGCACGATCTGTTTGAGCAATGATATCATCCGGAATGCCATAGCGGCCAGCGTGCCACCCGGTGGGGATTTGAGCAGCGACGGTTCGGCTGAACTTAAACGCTTTCGGAACGAAGACACAGGCACCCTTCTTGAACTTGACGAACCAGGAGCCGTCTTTGCCGGCCCAGATGTCACATTTGTCGCCATGCTGATACTTGAATTTCTGAGCTTCCGATTCGGACACTTCGATGGCCTCAAGGTCGTGGATGAGCTCGATTTCCTGGTTGAAGACCTTCTTGTTCGGGTCATAGCCACGGAACAGTTCAGGTTCTGAGAGGAAGTTAGTACAGCTGGCGGGAACCTTAAAGGAACAAACTGACCGATGAGCCGGATACCGGCATGGGCAAGAATGTCCTTTTCGTAGCGTCCGCGAACGTCTTTGTCGTCAACCGGCTCGCCAGTCTTGCTATCAACCCAGCCCACATGCAGTGAGCCGTCCTTGAGTTTCCCATCGAAATGTTTGATGTAGCCCATCATCCATGCCATCTCGATGCAGCCTTGGATCGTGAATTCGCCACGAGCTTCCATCTCCCAACGCGTTCTAGCACTTCCCCAAGGCCCGACTTCACCGTACCCAGTGAGGACGATGACCTTTTCGAGATCAATCATTCCCTGGAGCTTGGCAACGTCAGCAAGGCTCTCGGGGGTCTCAAGTTGAGGGAAATCGAAACGGAAGTTGGCACGTGGAGTGATTTCGACAGTTTGGAGGAGGCGCTCAGCTTCTACACCATTGACGACGGTGAAATCGGCTGAGTTGTCCCTGGTGATGGCGCGACGCAGATCGCCCTTCTTGAGCAGGTCCGTGCGAATGCGGTTCGTAATTTCGGCGAGGTCAGGTAGACGATCCATGCCGCCGTTGAGGTCCGCCCAGATTGGTTCAACCTGGGTAATACTGAAGAGGAGAGGATGCATGAGGCCGAGGACGTTGAATGCCATCTCCTTCGCGGAGAAGGTGCGCACGCCGTAAGTTTCCAACTCGTGGGCGACTATGTTGGTAGCACTCATCAACCCAGTGCCACGAGTCCAACTGAAGAAGAGAAAGAAAAGAAAATTAGAGAAATAGTAGACCGAGACTAAAGATAACATACCCAATGACTGCACCAGCTAAACACAAGTATTCCCCCCAGCTTTCCGAATTCCAGCGGTTGAAGAGCGTCTCGAGGGAAATCTTCGACTCTGAATAGAGACCATCGTTGCCGAAAAGGCCGTGATTGGGAGACAAGGGTAGGATGACCTGCGTGGGACGAGTGACGAAGTGGCGGCTGGCCTTCTTATTCTTCACGGCGCCGAGAATACGAAGAAGGTTCACAAGCATGATTCTGTGAGCAAGCTCTGACTTGTCATCGAGGCCATCTATCTCGCGACCATTTTCAGGAACTGCGGCGAAGGGAAGGATGTAGTCGAGATCCATGCCGAGTGTAGCATAGATGTAATCCACGAGAGCTTCCACATCCTGCCTTGAGCCTTGGTTGAATGGGACAACTGTGAGGGCAGAGCCACGACTTCCGAAGCTATGATAGATGGACTGGTAGTACTCGACGGTGGCTCGGCTATAACGCGAAGTTGTGACAACAACGTGAGCACCGCCGGAGAGGAGACCCTTGAGAATTTCGACACCGATAGACCCTTTGCCTACGCCGGTAAGGAGAGCATTCTTGTCTTTGAAGGTAGTCCCGGAAGTGGCGATTTCGTGAAGCACGTCGAGGTAGACACCAGTGAGATTGCTGCTGTATTCCCAGTTGACGCCGACTTTGCGCTTGAGATGGAGAAGGGGAATCTTGTCCCCTGAGACGGAAGAAATGGTCGAAATCTGAGGACGAAGGAACTGAGAAGAGGATCGTCGATTGCGAACGCCCGGTCGAGGTCTAGCTTCAGGATTCTTTCGCAGTGATCGAACGACGCCCTCGTATAACGCCTTGATACGGTTCTTCTGCTCCTGACTGATGCCTGGTTGAGATTTGACGACCGTCCACAACTTCAAAACATCGTCCTGGACCTTCTGGATGTTCACAGGAGTAGACACAGTATCGCCGCTGGCCATCTCCTCGACGTACGCCTCCAACTTGCGGACATTCTCGCGGACAACCTCAGAGTAGACAATATCACCTTTGTCCGTTACTTCGGTGTGCGGCGCAGTGGGGAAGGTAACTACAAACGATATTAATGCATTAAAGTGATCTTTAAAGGTCCAACCTTACCATCCTTGTACAATGGCGGTTGGCCAAGTACTTCCCGTGTATTGTCGATCAAGCGTTGACCGAACTCCTTCGCAAGCGCGTAGTTCTCTCCCTTGGACGGATCACACTGATTGATATGATACTGCATGTATGTGAGCATCTCCGGATCTGCGCGATTAAGCAATGCGATGCAGCGAGCTGTGATCTCACGATCAACAGTAGTAAGGCGACCAAAGATGATGTCGTAGTACATGAGCAATGCATCTTGACGAACCCAATTCCAGGAGGAGTCGAAGCGACGGGCCTTCAACGGATCGAAGAATGGTTGAATGCCCTCAATATAAGTATCGCCATGCTCTTTCGTGATGCTGTCGAGCTTAGCTTGAAGAGACGCCGAAGTCGCTTTCTCTGTGTCAAAGGCGATCTCGCCAGCGCGGGAGTCACGCTTGAGATAGCGCATGTAGAGTTCGATTTGTTGCGCGGCGAATTGCTCCTGATCTGCTTGGAACTTGATGAACTCTTCGCTGTTGATTACGGCGCCGCCACCAGAAGCACCACCGGCGCCCCCGGCACCAGGAGCGGAGAGAGATATGCCAGCTCTTTGGGCGTAGGTGGAAACGACACCGTCGAGCCAAGTCTTAGCTTCGGGTTCTGATCCAAGACGTTTGGGGGGTTCCAAAGTTGTTCCGAGCAGCAGCACGGCATCTGAGCGAGAGGGACCTAAGCCCCAACTCTTGGAAAGATATGTCTTGATTGCAGACGCGTTGAATCCTCCCGGCATTTTCCCGCCAACCATGCGGGAGACGAGACCAGCAGTGTATTTCCCGAGGGACCCGCTATGTCCAGAGCCGAGAGCGGACCCGAGTTCTTCGAGTGGAAGCTCCTCTCCTTTTTCAGGTGCAGATGTGAACTCCAACTGAAGATCACCCAAGATTTCGTTCTGAAGAGTTGACTTGCCTCCGACGAGGTCTTTGATCGACTTGCCAAGAGGTACCTCATCGACGCGTTTCTTCAACTTCTGGGCAACAATGACGCTCAGTATATCAACGGCCTTGATGGGCACGTCTTCAATGGACACGACAGGGCCGGAAGCAGCGGGGGCAGGAGCAGACGCTACAGGGACGGCAACGGGAGTAGATGGGGCGGAAGCAGCGGGCTCCGGAGATGATGAAGAGTCGGCGGGAGCTTCGGGCTCATCCTCGAATTGGTAGTAGATTTCTTTGACGTTCTTTGCGTGGCAGAGGATGATACGAGACCGTGTCACAGAGTCGTCTGCAGCTTCGTACTTGGCTTTCAGCGTGCGAGACGCCATTCCAGTAAGAGTGGGGGAGGGGCCAAGTTCGATCAGGCGTTCAAAGGCGAATTGAGTGAAAAGTCTGTCTTGCGTTTCTATCCAACGAACGGGCGAGGCGAATTGGTAGGCCAGAAGTTCAACGAGAATGATATAAGCGAGTTTCTGGCGTTGTTCGGCTCCTCCCCAGTTCTCCGATTCCCACTTCTTGAGGACCTTGTCGAGGCGAGGCGAAGATGTTTGGTCGTAAATCAGCTGAGCATATTCTTGCGAGACGTCGAAGGGTTTGGCAACCAGATTTGGAATGTATTTGCCGACGAGCATATCCGGGTTCAAGTGTGCAGCGTTAATCTTCTTGGAAAGATCTATATAAAACATCAACAAAAAAGTCATAAAACACAGGAGGGGTAACTTACAAGCACGGAAGGGCATGACACCAGCCCATAGATAACGCGAGTGGAATGGAACATCAATGCCAGGGAGGGGAATGGTAGCGAAACCTCTCTCAAGCTTGATGTAGCCCTCCGCCTCTTGCTGTTTCTTAGCGCGGTCGAAGCATTCTTTGACGATGTCTCGAAGCATCTCTTTCACTTTCTCCACAGTGAAGGTTTCCGTAAGCTAAGTGAGATCAATTAGTGGATGTAAGATAGCCAGTAACACAGGATATCACCTTGGCAATGTCGATCTTCTGGACTTTCAAGTAGTTCAACACATTGGTCATTGTTTGCAATGCCACAAGTTCACCAGCGCAGACGTATTGTTGTCCCTAAAACCACGATAGTCAGATTCAAGTCTCCGACGAATTCGAAGCCCATACCTCGACATTGTAGTTGACGATTTCCAGCAGCGAGCCCGAGACGGAGGCAATGGAATCGACGACCTCGCGCAATGCGGCGTCGGTGAAAGAGCTTGAGATTCGACTCGGGTTGACAGCGCACATCGCGTAGTTGGATCGGTTCTCTGCATCGCGTTCCACAGCGCGTTGCATTGTAATTCCACGATAGAACACGACATCGACAAGAGCGGAGATGTGGAGGACGTCGGCGATTGACGCCAACGCAGAGTATTCACCGAGGGAGTGACCGGCGAAAGCACAGTCCTTCTGTACGAAGCCTTTCATGCGCATATCCTCGAAGGCGGCCTTCTCGGTGACGACAAGGGCAATTTGGGCGAACTGTGTGGCAAATAGAAGACCGTTGGGATGACTGAATGTGTACTTGGGGGTACGTATGTCGATGTCAGCGAAGAGAGGGAGAGTTTTGACGTTGCCGTCTTTGTCCATGGTGTCGTAGGTCATGTCCATGTAGCGCTTCCGGATTGCCTGGCCCTTAATACCTCCAAAGTGGATCGTCTTCTCTTTCGGGTTATCCTTGACAATCTCCGTGATCGAGAACCCATAGACGGCGAGCAAGTGAGCATCAGCACCGTCCCAAACAGCGCGAGCAGCAGGCGAAGAATTATAGAGATCCATACCCATACCAGGCTCCTGCGAACCCTGACCGGTGAAAACATAGACGGTGGTAGGTTGTGCGATTTCCGCTGAGCCTTGGAGGACCTTCTCGCCTCGCGTGTTGGTTGTCTCAATGTTGACGACCATGTTCCCATCTCTCATGCTGACATGGCGGATTTTGACGCTGAGTTCGTCGCCAGGAAGAACCATGCCAACAAAGTTGACATCATAGCTAAAGAGAATGAACGGTGTGAGACATCATGTCAATGTGTCACATACATAACTTACGCGAGGACTCGCTCGGGCTTCCCTTTCGCAACGACATTCTCGATATATCGCCTAGTAGCGGCGCTTGACCAGAGGCCATGGGTAATGGTGGTAGGAAGGGAGGCGTAGTCCGAGAAGTAAGGGTTGATGTGAATCGGGTTGAAGTCGCCCGAGACATTGGAATACGGCTCGTTGGTCAAAGGCGCATTGAAAGTGGTTGGGACGCCCTCCCCAGTCATAGTATATCCATCGTTAGCGAGGGGTGTTGGCAATCCTTGGGGTGCGCCGTGACGCTGAAGGTAGGCGAGGACTGGATTGCCCTTTGAGTCTTCGTGTTGGAAATATACAGAGCCGACTTTCACCAAACGTTTGAGCTGATCTCGAACGAAGACATCACCGGTGACCATGACGTCCTTGTAAGAGACGCGATCCTTGAACGAGAATTGGGACTGGATACGGAATATGAGGGAGGTGCCGGCAAGGAGGGGTTGGGAGGGGTCGCTCCATTCAAACCACTCCTTAGATTGCAGTACGCCGACGTGGGCGTCATTCTCCAAGGGCACTAGATAGTCGGGTTCCTCTGTTGTCTCGAAAGTATTCTCGTAGTCAGTGAAACGACCGCGGTAGAGGAAGGCCGAGACGACTTGGATAACCGGGTTAGAATCACGGTACACATGGCCCTTTACCTTCACAATCTTGCCTTCGTTGCTGTTGGTCACAGAAGCAATGCGTGCCTCTGCTTTACAGATGTCGCCGACTTGGAGGGGCCTCGCACCCTCCACCATCTTGAATCCGTTCGAAAGATGAACGAGTTTGAGAAGGTCTCCGTCGACAGCTCCAGGGAAGATTGATTTAATGATCGCCTATATTTCTCATATGGTGAGGAGCTGTGTGCCGACTTATCCCAAGGAATACTTACCTGCCACCCGGTAACGATAGCGAAATCCATTGGAGCCTTCACGGACTCGTTCCTGCTGGTCTTGAACTCCTCACCTTGATTTCCAACCACAGAGCAGAACTTCTCCACAGTTTCCGCAGCAATGACGACCTCGGGACCGGAGAAGGATGCCTTCAAGTCGATCTCGGGCAAACTCTCGTCGTCACCGTACCAGAGTTTCCAGTAGAATTCTTTGATCCTCTTGTTTCGACCTTCGGCGACTTCGTGGATCGGGGCAAACCCTTGCGAGGGCTTATACTGGAATTGCAGCAAAAGGGGAACAGAAACATTGCGGCGCTCCTCGAACATGATGAGGTCGATGAGCCCCGTAGATTTGTGGTAAGTGATCTCGACGGCCTTGAATCCCTCTAAGGGCTGACCGAAGGAACGAGCCGCGCCGTAAGCGGTGAGAGACGCAGGATCCTGCCCATCGAAGGTGACAACGACTTTCTGTTTGTGACGGGGGGCAAGAATGCGGCGAAGAGGATTGTCAATGTAAGAAGTGCCTTGGACGATTGTAGTTGAAGTCAACAAAGCCTTCAACCATGTCAGTTTATGGCCGCTCAAAGTTTCAAGCCAGGTCTGGGTGTCGGGTAGCACGTCGCCGACTGTATAGGTGGTAGGACCGTTGGAAGTGGGGGAGGTTGTTAGGGGAGAAGGAGCAAGATAATCAACGGTTGGGACTTTATTTGAGTCGCCTGCATACTTGCTATCCAAAAGGCGCTTGATGAGGGACTGGTTAATACCACCAAGGAGCTCTTTGATAGGCTCGTCTTTGACGATAGCATGCTTGACCGCGACAGGGCCTTGGAGGACGCAGACACGTTCCGGATCCTGGTCAAATACAGCCTCGATATCTTCCGCCGCCCAAAGGGAATCCTGTGCGAACGGCTAGTAAGCAACGGCAATTGTGAACAGCTCAGTTGGACTTACCTTCTTGAACCAAACCTCGAAACTAGCGTCTAGAATGGGAATGAATGGCACAGGCTTCTGACCAGGGCGTTGAGCGATAGCGAGGAAGTAAGCACGATCCTCGGAGGCAAGGAGCTGCTCTTTGGCAAGTGGGTACTTCTTCAAGAACGCCTCGACGAAAGGGAGGGGGTCGTCCAATGATGCGTAGCTTTGGAGGATACTGGCCTTGTTCCCTCCCCCGTTGACACCGGCGAAGCGCTCCTCAACACGTCTCAACCAATCACCGGTCAGATTCCTCAAGCTTATATCCACCCAACGCTTCTCGTGCGCGACGAACATCAACCTGATCATCCTCAAGACAGTCTCCTCATAAGTCATGTCGCGCAAGTCGATCGCCACGGTGTCGTCCTTCTTCCATCCAAACCACGGCTTGCTGAAGTCCCGATTGAGCTTCATAATCACCTCGTCACGATGTTGAGACAACCAGGCGTCTCGTTTCTCCTTCGGCAGCTTGAAGACGGTGTCATCGAACTCCTTCCACAACTTCACACCACGGTTCGCGACCTTATGGATCGGTTCACCGAGCTCGGAACGCACAGTGAGAATGCCACCAGTCGGCGCCTTGTATGTCCCTTCCCACTTGCTGTCGTCAACACCAGCCGCGGCGACAATCAGGTCCTTCACGCTTCCGCTAGTATGTGCTTCCTTCGCCACCATTACCCGGCTGGCGTAGAGGAAACCGTCGAATGGCATCAACTGTGCCCCGTACATCGCCTTCGACCACTCTCCCGTGAGGTAGGGGAAAACGTCTTCTCCATCCTTCGCACCAAATCCACTACCACCGACGAGGATAATATTCTCGGCTTGACGGATGGCACGGTATGTAGATAGAATCGGTTGATGGAAATCTTCGAAGGAATGATGGCCACCGGCGCGACCACCAGTCCATTGCATGATGATGGGGAAGTCGGGGTTTGCCAACGCGATGTTGACTACTTGCCTGATACCATCGACGCTACCGGGCTTGAATGCGACGTGACGAATACCAGCTGCCTTAAGGCCATCGATGATTTCTTTGGCCTTCTCGGTGCTAGGAATACCAGCAGCAACACAGAAACCTTCGATGGGAAGACCCTCGCGGCGCATCTCCTGCCACAGAGGGAATTGGAAGTTGAATTGACGGGGATTGATATAGAGGGCGTTGAGGGTAAGGCCAACGCCAGCAGGGATGTTGGCCTGGATTTCTGCGACCTTGGCGCGAAGGGCGGAGGCATTGTAGTGGCCACCACCAGCAAGTTCGACATGATAGCCAGCGGAAAGAACAGCAGAGACGAAGCCCGCCTTGACGGTCGTCGGCGTCATACCGGCCACCATGATGGGTGGCTTGCCCAACAAGCGAGAGAATGGCGTATCGAGATGGATAGTGCCATCACTATATGAAGTCAAAATTCAGCAACCACAAGTAAATGAACGACGTAATAGCCACAAACCTAGTCTTGACCAACTTAGGAGCCCACTTCTTGCTCCAGCATTCTTCGTGTTTGACGGTGATGGCATCGTACAACTCTGCATCCCCCTTCGTCTTGTCGCCAACAACAATGACGCGAACACCAAGGCCATCAAGATTACGGGCGGTCAAGGGCCCAATTCCACTGAGGCCACCTGGCCCGAAGTCAATGGCGTGGGTGGCGGTGTCGGGGAAATTAGTCGCGATCGACCAATGAATGGGTTTCGTGAAAATCTGATCACACAGCTCACGCGTGAGTGATCTTGTGCTGGGAAGTTCACTAAGGTCCGTTCCTGATAAAGTCGACGCGATTAGCACATGTAACATCAAAGAAGCGTGGACAAATGGGCTTTGATGTAGTAAAAGCACATGATCGAGATATAACACACGTACCGTCTTCGGTGTTATAAACAGGGATACCCAAATCTTCGCCGGTCCACAACTCCTCCCCAAGATCCTCCATGACCTTGTCCGACGCGCCCTCCATGTATTTGCTGTGGTAGGGGACGCCGACAACCAAGAACCTCGTGGAGAAAACTGGCTTCCTCTCGCTGAATGGAACCTTGCTCTGATCGGAGTTGGCCGCTTTGACTTTCCTCAGATGCGTAACCAAGCCGTAGAGACTCTTAGCTGGCCCCGTGATGACGAACGCTCGGGGGCCGTTGTGTAGTGAGACGTAGATTTGAGAATTGTCAGGAAGGTGAGAGTTGGTCTTCTTGATGTGGGGCTCGAGCTGGGGAAGACTCAAGCCAGTGACGCTGAGCATGGGAGATGGAGCACCTTCGCCTCCTTCGATGCTGTCCTTCACCATATTAGGCTCCAAAGCGACAACAGGGAACATCTCCTGGCCTCGCATGCCGGAGTAAAAGAGCCATTTCAAGGCCTTTGAGGCGTTCTCTTCGAAGTCCTCCCAGGTCTCCGATACAGCGATGACAACGGCGCCTACGATCCCTTGCGAGTGACCGGTGGCACCTTGTAGACGTTCTTGCATGTCAAGGGGCGTTAACCCCGATATCTTGCAAGCAATGACATATTGCGCGAGCTGCGTAAGCCCGATGAGTGGGAAAGAAATGGGGACGGAGGCAAGGTATGAAAGTGGTGGTCGCGATTCGGCTCCTTCCGCTAGCCAAGACGCGACGGACAGCCCATGGGTGTAGAACGAAGTGCTGGAAGCATTGGTGGTAGATTGTCGCGACGTCGCGAGGGGTTCCAAGACATTTTTCGAGACGTTCTCGATGAATGATTTGACATAGGGCGTGTAAGTGTCGTATAATGACTGCAATTCATCGAAGTACACTTCGTTGGTGCCCTGACCTCCAAATAGGGCGTAGATTTGTGCTTTCTCGTTGGTCGCGGCATTGAGAAGAGCTGAAGAAGACGCGGGGGTCGCCCCTGACGCAGATAGAGCCTTGAAGTAAGCCTGAAGAACGGCTTTTCGCGTGTCCGGAGTGTACGCGGCAACAAGAGTGTGGATTTCTTGGGCCTTCAGGTATGAATTGACGAAGTACGAAAGGACGTTCGCAATAAGTGATTTGGTCGCCTCGTGGTCGACGAGATACGAAAGGAAACGCGCTGTAAAGGCTACCGTTGCCTCCATAACATCGTCTTCTCCTTCAACAACGCCAGCGTCCGTCTGGCTCTCCACATGTGTAAATTCGTCCCGAAGGACTTCAGCTTGGATCCATTCGTCCGCGTGCGCGGATACGGGGATGGAAAGCTACGATCAATGAACAAAATATCTTCATACGACAACAAATGAAATCCACGTACTCTAATTTGTCCAGAGGATATGATTATAGGACGCATGCTGATACTCGGGGTGGCTGAACCGTTCTGCTTGATTGCCATGTCTATGATTGCAATCCAAACTCTTCTAATGTGATTTCAGGAAAACGCAACGAACTGAGATGAGCAGCCCAGCGACGGCGGTAGTGGTGATGGTGGTAGAGGTGGTAGAAGACGAAAAGTGAGAAAGCCTCACGAAATGAACGAGGCAGTCGAGGTCTGTTATATAACGACCCCAAATGATATGGGCTCACTCAGTTTCTGGTCCAAAAATCTTGACCCCAAAGATTTTTTTTGCGATCAAGGTCATGTGATGGACGCGTTCAAGGCATGCGGGGGAATTCTAGGCTCACAAAACGTGGGCGCTTATATACTGACAAACACTTCCTGCCGTATTTGAGAGAGGTGTGTGCCCCAAATGCTAACGCTAGTGTTGTTCACCCCATGAACGGCGAGATTGGGGATCAAATCGTTAAACCAAGATCCCCTAGCTACCCAACTGTTCTCATGGTTAGGTAAAAGACGATTTAATGTGCGCGACGTGCACAACATGAGGTCGCTATCACAGTAATCCATCGACATCAACGTAACAAATCAGACAACTCTCGATTATTTGCAGGAAATTTGGCGCCGCAATTACCATCATCATACAAATCTCGGGTTTTCGCTCCAAAGTTACACAAATCGGTTACCGCGTCGTGACTGTTCGTACGTTTCACGCTCAGCTGATCATTTGTCCCAGACGAGATCCATCAGATTGGCATAAAATCGTTGATGAAGGCAGGACGTTGAAATATACTGTAGTACCTGGGTATCATAGCATCGAGCGCACTCTTCAAGCCTCCTCACAATTATCAACGACGGAGACGGTTCACCCGTTGCCAGACGCGGGCCCCACCGTTTCTGCACCGTTATTATGCTGGCGCTCGGTGTACTCTTATTCTCTCTTCAACGAGCGGACGACGACTCAAAGTTAGCTCCTTGCCTACAGGACACAGCGTCAGGTGCTGAACGTGTCTCTTGTCACGATCACAGAGACATACCAAGACATACCCTGAGATACATGGCCTTCGATTTTGATTGGATCATATCATGATTGGTGTTGGATACCGTTATTCACCGTTACTACAGATACCCCCTAGGTATCTCTTTGTGAGCGACCAAGCAGTAGCAGAAGAGAAATAGAAAATGGAGCGTCAACAAGGCAAACATGGTGAATGAGCAAGACCAAATTCCAATGTTCGAGTTGAGATGAATATGTTATGCATGGAGAAAGGCTGGCAAATACTCTAACTTCCTGGCAACATCCTGGTCGTCTTGATCATGAATTCATCGCCCCAGGCCGTTTGAATCGCCGGAAAGGCTGGTTCGCTAGTATGCGAAGGAGAATCCTAGACGGGGACTTACCGCCGATAAACCCGTCTCATAATTTCTTGTCGGTCTTAGCTCAGCGAGAGCTGCGGTGGTCTGAGCTAACCGTGGGTCAGTTGTTGGGATACAATTTGGAGGCCTTCCGGGATCGCTTCCCATGCCAGAGGGCAACAGTGGTGACGGTCCTTACAGCGGCTTATGTTATCTGCTAGCCGTTCGCTTTTTGACTCTGGTATCTGATTATAAAAGTTACCAGTAGCGGAGGTTATGTTCCTCTCGAGGACACTGTCAGGTTTGCCGAACATCATGGCGGGCGTCACAAATAGGAATCGGGGTTGGTCGTTGCACGTAGTACAGGAAGGAAGTAAATTCAAGCTGCTCAGAGATCTTCGTTGCACTCACTTACTTTTTCTTCTTCCCCCGAAATGCGTGGCGAAGAATGCGGTGAGCTCTAGTCTGTTCGTCTCAGAGTCCAAAATGGACTCAGGGGAGATCAGGGGTATGCCGTGACTAAGTTCATGTTTGCCTTTAACAACCACCATGTAGTCACCCGCGAAGGACGGCTCGTTTTCCGCAAGGCTTCGTCGCTCTGCGCATGGATCCCCCAGTATCAGGCTCGGATGGCCCGATGTTCTATTCCAGCAAAAGCCTGGAGAGTCGCGCCGCAGAATAAGCTCGCAAGCCTCCCAGTACCTGGGTTCTTTCAATTGGAACACAGCTAACTCTGGCTACCGATATTTACTCTCACAATTGGCCCCACACGCCATCTCAGGTGAACATTCTCGCCTTGACCACTACTCCCAAATCCTACTAGCACTGATTTACTGATAAATTTGATAGGCTCTCACTATCTCTACAATCTCTTCCTTGCCCCTGCCAATGTCGGATCTTCTGGCCAATGGCCTTGCTTTGAAGCTACATCATAGGACTATTAAGCTCGCATACAGCTATGGCGCGTGTGACGAGCGCAGATGTTCTAGCTTCAATGTTTTGAGGGGACAAAGTTTATATACCTAAAAGTCGTCATATTCGGGTTATAATTGTATCTAGTGGAATATCTGGGCCGGTATGTTACAGCTTCGACCGTATATAAGTCGCAACTTCGCTTTCAGGTTGACCAGCATCTCCTCAGGCTCTTTACAGTATGTGCACTTCGCTACAATACCCTCGATTCATTTACTCATTCACTCCTCATAGACCAACGGAGCCCGACATTGCTGCCGTGTACAAGTATTAGTCGTCCACCATGTGTACGTTGGCATTTGTATATTCTGTCGGCGTACGAATGCTTACGCTCATCACCAGCTACCCCCGCTCGCGCCGCCTTTTTGCGCCCAGGCAAGCCCGAGGAGTGCTACTTCTTCCAAGGCGACCAATACATTCGTATGCTAATCACCCCCGGCGCTACGAACGACAAACTTCTTTACGGACCTGCTAAAATCATGGACGAGTGGCCCTCCCTCAAGCAGGCTAGGTTCAACAGCATCGATGCGTGTCTCCCGAACCCCAAAGACGACTCCGAGGTCTACTTCTTCAGCGGCGACCAGTACTGCTTGATCAAAGTCATCCCGGAGAGCAGCAACGACAAAATCATCACCGGCCCGAAGAGCATCGCTGATTATTGGCCTTCGCTGAAGAAGGCCGGGTTCACTACCCTCGAGGAAGTCTTCCCGAGCCCGCGTGGAGACGGAGAGACATATTGCTTCAAGGACAGCAATTATTGCCGCATCAAGTTTGTTCCTGGCACCCTGGATGAAAGTCTCATGAATGGTCCTACGGACATTCAGGCTGGGTGGCCGTCGTTGAAGCAGGTCGGGTTCAGCAGCATCGACGTTGCCGTAGTGAACTACAAAGACCCCTCTCAAGTCTACTGCTTCAATGGCAACCAGTACGCCCGAATCCACGTCGTACCTGGGACTTCCGATGATACAGTTATTGATGGCCCTCATGATGTCGCTTCGCGCTGGCCTGCATTGAAGCAAGCTGGGTTCTATTAGGTTATTGCATATGCTTTTCGTTATTAAACATCCTGACACTTTCCTGTTCCCCAGTTCCCAAACAGGTCGCAGGTCGTTAGTCATCGAAAGTACGCAAGCAACGAAAAGATGAAGCCAAGTGTACACGAAATACTTAGCAAGATGTAACCATGTAAATAAATACTGTAAACTAGTTCAAAGCGTTGTTCCTTACTCAAAGACGATAGGCTCGCGTCACCTCAGTCTCTCCTCGGATAGGAACGATTGACAAATGAATTGTGATGATCCGAACATAAGGCTGGACGAAGTGATATCAAGCCCCATGCATGTTTATTATCTCTTGGTCCTTAAGAACACAATAGAGATCGTGTTTCTCCGTTGACATCGCTGAGTGTCCGGACGGGGTCTTCGAGCGATATCGTAGGTTTGATATCATCAAGTGAACATGGTTATGGTTATGCTGTATCACACGTGTGAAGCCAACTCGTGCGCATTGACCCGCCCTATCCAAGTTCGTGGTATTTTAACACCGGGGTACGCCCGTGGAATCAATGTCGATCAGTTGTATCAAGACCCATTCAAACTGATAGTAAGTAACGGCCCCGCCCGCTACCCTACCGATCGCCGCGGGCGGGAAACCAATCAGCAATTGCAAATCCCAAGTCAACCAAGTTTAGCAACGTCGGCGCCCGTCTTGCTAGATGGATCTGCTGAAACAGATGTTGACAGCGTCTCAAACAGAACCTAAATTGTAGCTAAATTGGTATTTCAGCCCTTGTGGCTGGATAAAAGTTACAGCATTCTAATACAGTACTTCAGTACTTACAGCCTAGTCCGAGACCTTGACCCCGTAAATAACAAAACGCGGAAGGGGTATCATGAGTAGTAATAGTACGAATCATTAACTGACCAAGCGTAAGAGGACATGAAACAAGGGGACATCAAGATATCGTAACGCTTGGAGAAGATGTAAAATAAGCACGCTGAACGAATAAACGGATGGGGAGAAATACAAAGGAAATCACCAAGTTACATATCGCGGTAACCTCTCTTTGATTGCGGTAGGTCAACGAGAGCAACATGCTCCTGGGTTACATGAACGACGGTGGGTGAGGCGCCCTGGGAGTCGACCTTCCTGTGATAGGATGTGTAAGGACTATCGGAGTCGACGTCCATATGTTTTAGCGCATCCGATGCCTTGCCGGTGCCTTGGTATTGTATGGGTGGGGGTGGCACGGAAGTAATACCATACGAGACGGTCCCAGTCCGAGTACCCCGTGAAGTAATTTTCCCCGTGCTGTCGTCCATGCTTCCTTTTCTGAACAACTGCATGATTGCAGTGACGAGGACAGCTGAGTTGCACACAATTAAAGATACCGAATTCTGTGAATATTGAGCCGTCAGTGATGGGAATATTAGTGCGCGAAACAACCGTTACCTCAACGATGGCAGCAATCAATTCCTCCAAGCCTCCCACACGAAGCACGTAGAAGGCATGCACCAAACTCACGATGGTGGTGATAATACTTGTGGAGAAGGTCAGGAGCAGCCTGATTCTCTGGCTCCTGGACACTCTCAGGTTCCAGAGCAACTTGGTGGGAATCGCAATAAGCGAAAGATCGGCAAACACATCAGCTGCGATAAACTGTATCAGACGGATGATTTACACGCAGATCTTCATGACGCTTACTGATTAGCTGGGCGATGGCCACGTCTTGCCCAAGCGGACATTGCGGAATAACGGCTTCCTGTTTTCCTGAATTAGCTAGGGTAGCGATAGGCAATAAACGCACTAACCTTCCACAGCGGCTGGCTCTCACACACCCAGAATACCTGGGAGAAAAGGATGGCCCAACATACGCAGAATGCGACAGCCAAGCCGTACAGGATACGCCGCATGATGTAATCGGGTGTTATGCGCACGATAGAGAACAAAATCGACAGGCGAGTGGACCTGCCGCGAGATTCGCATTAATTCCTCGGCGAACGTAGATCATTGTGCGGACCAACGCACCATAGCACACCGTAGAACAGCTGGGGGAGGACGTACGAGAGTGCGATAGCAGTCGTCCGGGTCTTGTTTGCTGTAGATCTTTAGCAACCCTGAAGGGTGTTGTCAGTGGGAAGTACTACTTACTAGGGTCGCCCAAATGAACGAACATGCCGACAACGAAGACAAGGAGCATGGCTGTGGCCAGGCTGGCGAAACTGTCATCCACACCCCACCTCTTTGTGCGGATACGCTCAATTATCCGGACAACAGTGACGACCATGGCGACTGTCGGGGCCGTGAGGGCGGTAACTAGTGGGTGTCTAGAGTAAGTGCCTGCCACAGTGAGCATGTCACTAGATCACTGACCCTTGACATTGTCGATTGTGGGTGGCATCGTCGATGGTGTACTGCGAGGTAGCCCAACCTGTGGACTGTCGTGATAGAAAGATACCTGGATAGACCTTGCGAACGCGGGAAGGGGCTTGACTCCTCGCAATTGTTATAAACGCCTATATATTTCCGGGAGTTTAGATGCCCCCGGATAAGGCAGTGCCACGATCCGAAGGTGAGGATCTTCTCATAACCTAGGCGCGCACACGCGACACATTGCAATGTCTATCCTGACCTGGTTGCGGTCCTAGCGGGGATAATAGGTTCCCCCGAAACGAACAGTGTATCTGACATATCTCCGTCTTCGACGATTTGGGCTCCGATACTGATGAAGTGTTATTACTGTCCACAAGGAACCGTCATGACCCATAACCACGTCTGCCTGGCGTCTCGATGCGTCGTCGGGGATCTCCATGCATGAAGTTGAGGCGGGCCCTCTGAGAAGGTTTAAAGTCGGTGGAGGGGTTCATGTTGTCCGTGGGTCGCCTAGTGCATGGGTGCACTAGGTGAGTACTTCTCATGAACAAGTGATCAACATTGACTTACTCTTCGACGGTTGCCGAGTTGTTGCATCAAGGTTGATCAGGTCTCCTCGTGCATAAAACGGCCAACTCCATAATGGGAAGGATTCAGAGCATTAATGATAAACCGTGATAGTGCTAGGTCGATCTATTCTTCTTACTACCTTTGTAGTCATTGCCTTGCACGGCGTACGAGGTACCAACGCATCTGGCGCCCGGGGCACAGCCCGGACCTCTGAGCGAGGCACGTTCGTGGCTCCGAGTGGAAATAGAACATGAGGTAATTCGTGATGTTCGGGCAATCCAGAATAAGTGTTGAAACACTCTTCAGATGATGGGGGGACAGCGGATCAAGGAGCTGGCAAAGGAACGGTCAGTCACCTCGACCGGCATGCTCTGGGGAGATTGGCATGGTGTAGAAAGCCTTTTGGCACTGTTACACGGACAAGTCTGTAACTTGAAGTTAGCCGAGTTGCCTGCATGGCACACAACTAGATGGCGGAAACTTACCGCTTATTGCATAGGAACTTCTGAGCCATCATGCGTCATGAATCAAAGGTATCAGAGGCATCAAAGGCATCAGTAATGTACTGCACCATTTGTCGATCTTCCTGGGAATTATGACTCGACACAACATGAACGATCGACAACAGTGTGGGAGGTCATGATGCGTGGGATCTCATTGGACATCCACACGGCCTCTGACCTGGAGGAAGCTATGACACCATGTAAGTCAAGGTTGATCCAAGTTCAATTAAGCCATTCGAAGGCTTCCCATGAGTACATCACATCCAAGGGAGTGGTCATACTACGGCGCCCGCTTGGCGGGGAAACATGGGGTTTTCGCAACGCTTTCCCGTGAAAGCAACGAAGCTGGTGGCGTGATATCTATAGTTCCCGACTTAGAGGTCAATATACGTTGAGCAAGTTACAGTAGGACGTCCGCCAAACTTACGTGTGATGCGCAGCCGAGATTAGTATCAGGGAGCACTCAATGGCAAACCGGGAGGAGATACACAAGCCGATATGGAAGCTGTACAAGGATGAAGAGCGGCTGAGTGCAAGCGACCATCAATAGAGCAAGATTGATGTTTCTGAGAAGGTACTATTAGCATCACCTTTTGATTTGATCATGATGTGAGACCTACAACAGGCAACGAGCAGTGCGCACAGTTTCCACCACCGAAACGGTGGATAAGGACTATACCCGTAGAGATCCTAGCAATACGACCTTCGTACGCGCGGCGCGCGCAGTATCCGAGTCGGTGGACGTGAGCAGAGGGCCGATAGGGGTTGTTAAGGGGCAACCGCCGCCAGGGGTCCCACGCTTCCCCGGCCTTCGGTCTGGTTCCTTCCTTCTTCCATGATGCCTTGATATTCACTCTCTTAGATTGGCCATTTGCTGGCGAAACAGCGGACTAATTTTGAGCGCCTTCCACTCGGCCTGATGGTAAATTTTTATGCAACGCACAAGGGACCTCACCTACTTCCACGGACGGACACACATGCTATTTTGAACGCTTCTTAGCCGATATGCCTGCTTGATGAATACTTGTGGATGTGGGCGTTCTTGCCTAGAATCGTCACCAAGGAGAGGCCCACAACCCTCTGGACACCACCAGACAAGCGGCAGTGTGTTTGATTAAAGGTAAATACTCGTTTCGATCTCCTCCCCATTTAGCGGCACGGTCAAGCTGATATAAAAGGCTCAGCAATCTCATATAGCAAACTTTAGCGATACAATGACCGGTTCAACTAGACCTGACTTGGACCCAACGTTCGTTTCCCAGCTTACTCCTGAGAAGCTTGCCTTCTTCAAGGAAGCATCCGGGATCCAGGACGACGAGGAAATCAAACAACACCTGGTCCGAATTCAAGAGGATTCATACAGAGTGGGTATTTAATGTGAATGGAATCAGATTCACGCACTGATGTTTCCTACTACCCTAGGTCGTTAGATACCCTTGTATTCGCAATTTTGGGTTCACTGAGTATGCATTTGGCTGCATCCGACAGTGATATTTATAATAATCAAACCGTCTAGACATCGATGCACCAAGATACCAGCGTACAAACAAGCCCTAAAGATAGGCCAAGAGCGACACGGCGCTATCTACTTGGAGGTTGGCTGCTGTTGTCCGTAAATTCCTATCCATCTGGAGACCGTCGAGCTCATTCTGTCGTAGTTGGCACCGACACACGAAAATCTGTTGCCGATGGCTACCCAATTCACAACATGATTGTCACTGATTTGCGCCGAGGTAAGCCTAGCTCCCCTCAACCCAGTGTGATCGCTGAAGGGCCCGTTTAGAATTCTGGGATATTGGACACGAACTATTCAAGTCTACCCCGGAGTCGTTCCCGGTCCCCTTTATCGCCGGCGACGTATTCAACCCGGAGCACCTCGTTGTGCGAGCCCCAGCTTACACTGTTCCCAACACCGCTGTCCCAAGTCTGAAGACGCTGACAAGCTTGAATCCCCTGTATGGCCATGTGTCAGTCATCCACATTTCCTCTGTGTTCCACCTATTCTCGGAGGAGAAACAATTGGAGCTAGCGAGGGCGCTCGGCGCGTTGCTCTCCCCATTACCTGGATCTGTTATCTTTGGTTCACATGGTGCCCTTCCTCAAAAAGGTTTCACTGCGAACGCCGCCGGCTTCGAGAGGGAAGGGCCGGATGCCACACCAGGTGACCCCAACATGTTTTGTCATTCCCCTGTGAGTTCCTGCGTTTGGCGATATCGTACCAGCCGCTGATTAGTCGCCAGGAAACTTGGACAGCATTGTGGGATGGGGAGGTGTTCGAGAAAGGTACCGTAAAAGTTGAGGTCGAACTTAAGAAGATCAACAAATCGGAGTCTCTTGGAGAGCTTGGCCCTGTATTTTACCTACTGTTCTGGTCTGTAACTAGACTGTAGTTGAGTATTTCTTGCTTTCGAATGTTCACTGGTTTTGCACTCGACCCCGACCCTGATGAAGTGACCAATCGTACCCAGACCAGCTATATATCAACGTTCAACAGCTGGCGCGAACATAGCATCCGACAGACACAAACCTTTCATGCTGATAAATAAACTATCATGAAATTTTTAAAAGGCAAGGATACTAGCCAACTGTATAATAATCACCGGGCCTCACTTACGGCAGGCCATGAATTCCTCCACAGTACTCTGGAGTGATAAATGCTGAGAGAGTCGAAGAATGACTCTACACCAAGGGGGTTCAAAGTGGGATCGGGGGACATAGAGTGCCTCAAACGCGCGAACTCAGATTGAAGAAGAGATAAAGGGAGTGGATAGAAGGTCGAATGTCTTGGCCGACCAAATTCAGAAGGACGTTTGCTTGGTTGGCTGTGAAATCGAGACGGCGTGGCGCCAGCAGAAGCACAGCGTGCAAGGATCCCTACTGTTATCATACTAGTGGCTCAAGTATGATGAAAGTATTTTAAATCCTTTCACGATCCTTTGTCCTAAAGTATGGTTCAGTTATGGTCCAAGTATGCGAAAAGTATTGAAGAAAGTTGCCCAAAAAGGCAATTTCTTCAATACTTTCATCATACTTTACACGATACCTTCGGACAAAGGATTATAAAAGTAGTGAATATTGAGCGCAGTCACGATAGGGCGGTCCCAATGTCACCCATGGCACCCAAAAGCCCCGTTCGTTATGAGCGAGACTGATTCCCAAAATGATTGCCATGGGGAAGTCCAAGCAATCAGAGTACGACCTTGAGCACACTAGGTTAGGTGCCGAATAGACAGGAAATCATCAAGGAAAAGAACTTTCTCCCTACTGAATAACCATTGTCGCGGATGGCTTCAGTCAAGTGCAATCGACCAGGGCATGATGGGTGACAACACCCTCATCCAAAGGGACAAGACGGTCATACTACATTATTTCAGCGTACCATATCGCATTGTTGATGAGTTGATCACCTTGCTTGAAAAGCTAGGTTTCCCATGGAGTTGGAACCGCTCATTTTCAGGACACTTTCGGAAAATTGTTTGTTCGTGCTTCGTAGATCGGGCGCACGGGATGATAGTGGAGAGGCAAACCACGATGAAGGCGCTCTTGAATAAGCAACTTACCGGTCAACAATCAGATTTTCTGGAAGTCTACGGGCATCAACATGATCACAAGCTAGCCTCATCAGAGTGGCTATCCTTTTGATTCGCAATATAAGCACTCGCAAGTGCGTTGCTGTATCTAATACTATACCATTGCCAATGTCTCCCGTAACCTCAAAGTATCTCAAGTCCAGTGATGGAACAACAATCTATGCTGAGGCGAAGGGGGACTCTTCCAAACCAAGCATCGTCTTCCTTCACGGGTTCACTCTATCGGCCGCTGTATGGGACGGCCTTTTCGATGATCCCAAGTTACTAGACAAATTCTACCTGGCACGCAGACACTCTTGACATGGGGGATCCGGATTCTATACTAAACGTTGTCTCAGGTTCGGTACGATATGCGTGGCCATGGAAGAAGCGGAAAGCCAAACACCCCCGAGGGACATACATCGGCGCTATACGCAGCAGACTTTACTGCTGTAGCTAACGGATTCGCGCTGAACAAGCCTGTCTTTGTCGGCTGGTAAGTAATATTGTCTGTCTTTGAAATACTCGGGGCTTTGACCGTTTGAATTTCAGGAGTGTAGGATGTAAGTCTCTAGGTCCTCGCGTGCCTACACTACCCATACTCACAAGATCTCGTCGTAGCCGCTGTCATCAGCGATATATGTGCCAATGTGGACCCACTCCCCATCGCTGGGGCCGTAGCTCTCGGCGGGAGCCCCGGCATCAGCCCAGAAATGGTGGGCGTAGCTGGGAAGCCGTTTCTGTTCGCCGCGCTACCGAAATTCAACGACAACTCCGACGTTGCTTTCGCTTTACGAGCGCGCGTGGAGTTCATTGATGCGTTGTTCAACAACCCAGATAAGATCCCTTTCAGCCTGAAAATGCGATACCTCGGAGAGACCGTCTTGCAATCGCCTGACATCAGCAGTGTTGTTTCACTTCGGCCACAGGACCCGAGCAAGATGTTGGAAGCGGGTGCCAGGGGGTTGCCGCTCCAGATTCTGTTCGGAAAACAAGACAAGTTCTTGGACGGCGAGGCCGTTGTGAACATTGTGAAACCGCATTTCAAGAACCTGACGGTTAGCTTGATTGACGGGGGACATGCGTTGTTTGATGACAATCAAGCGGAATTGGTGGACGAGCTGAGTAAATTCGTCCTCAGTGTACAGGTGAGAATGTCGTTTCTACGTCCTGTGGGTGTTGCTGAACAGACCGCAGTCATAGTTATCCACACTGTGTACAATATTCGAGGCAGTTTCCGAAGAAGCCAGTCATCGGCGTTGATTCGTGTGTGCTTCTCGTCTGGTCTCCCACACCCGTGTCTCGGCATCAGTGGCGTGATCTCGCCACTCCCCAGCACTATCAAGTGAAGGCCCTACGGCGTTGTCGCCCTAGAGAATTGAGATAAGTCGGTGCTGACGATGCCTCGGATCTGTTCATACCCCGCATGGTGGCCTGACCTGGGCTGACTGACTTTAGGCTTAGAGAACTGGCATCACGTTACCAATGTGACCATCAAGGTTGCTTCGAGTGAACGTGCGCTCGCGGTGAAACTCGTGGAAGTATCAACATTGGCATTCGGAGACGTACTGATCGAGGCATTCACAGGAAGGATATTTTGGCAACATCAACACGACACCTCGAGCATCGGCAGCCCTTCTGTCCCCCTTGCACGGTGCTAGCCATCATACAGTTGAGGACAGTCAAAGTCCGCAAATTGCGTAGCGCTCGAAGGGGATTTTTTGGGGACAAACTAACGCCAGATTCAGACTCAGGATAGCTGAAAACGTCTGAAAAAGCACCTCCGAAGTTTTTCCCACGAGAATCTGTCTGCGCCAATATTTTGGAGCAAAAAATTCAAATTGTGTGTACCTCTGTGGGCCTTTTCGGGATGACAGGCGCCCAAGACTGGGCATGCAGCCCAATTCTTACGATCCCCGATTGGAAGTTGCGTCGAAATATCGCTAGCCTTTGTTTTGGAACTATCCCAAAAGCGCCTCAAGCCATAAATTCTCACACCGACGGCGTTTTCTCTCACGTTCCTGGTTTTCCCATCACGAAGCGCCCAGAAATATGAATATTTTTTCTCAGGAACGGCTCGATAGAAGTCCAAGATTTTGACGGGATCAACATGAGCTAATCAAAAGGAGTCGATTGGCATATTTTTCATGATTTTATCTAATATATTCGGCTTACGCCAAAAATTTGAGGGTATTTTCCAGTAATTCGCCTTTTCTGGGCGATCGGCTCGTCAGAATTGGACAAGCACGGTATCATTCGAAAGGGTTTTCAAGCCGGAATGTATTCCGCGCAAGTCCGGAGCACAATAAAAAAACTTTTTATTTTAGCGGACTTTGACTGTCCTCAACTGTAATAAGGGGTGCCATCTGTCATCGTGCTTCAAAGCAAGACTTATATTGGTCGGGAACCACTAAAGCTTGCTAGGTCTTGTCTCACGACACCTTGTCCCCCATGATGGTGTTGCGACTCGCCCCGCTTGTTCTTCTACTCGTTTCCTGCGCCTCTGTGGTTTCCGCACTCAGCGCCACGACGTCGAAGACAGTCAAATCGCGAGATGGCACACCGATCTTTGCCCAAGCTACGGGGGATCCAACGAAGCAGAGCATCGTTTTTGTGCACGGTTTCGCGCTGAGCGGACTCGCATTCGATAGACTAGTCGCCAACCCCAAATTCAAAAGCGATTTCTACCTCGTAAGCCGGTCCCGACGTGCAGTGGAGCTTTTGCTAACTGATGGGGGTGCTTGGAACAGGTTCGTTTCGACATGCGCGGTCATGGAAGAAGTGGCAAACCGAATACACCAGAAGCACACACATCGGATAAATACGCCGATGATTTCAGAGCAGTGATGAAAGCTTTCTGTCTTGATAAACCGGTTCTGGTTGGCTGGTTAGTGAGCCCTCTTCCGCCTGATCACACGAACAGTTTTCGCTGATTCCCTGTCTTTGATGATTTGTCAGGAGCCTTGGAGGTATGCACACGCCATCTTCGCATGAGAAGTTCTTTCATCTCAGGCGTTCTTTCCAGCCGCTGTTATCACCGATGTCGTGGCTAATAACAAAGATATCCCAATTGCTGCCGCCGTCGCCCTCGACGGGTCGCCCGGCATTGACATGAACATCGTTCCAAAGATCGCCACCCCTCTTTTGTTAGGCACACTCCCTGTGTTCAACGACAACACGAACGTCACGGCTGCCCTCGAGATTCGCACGTCCTTCGTGGATGCCCTTTTCGCCAACCCTGCCAATGTACCCTTTAGCCTGAAAGCTGAGTACCTGGGGCAAACCGTGGTTCAGAACCCGGATGTCAGTGCCTTGGTGTCCATACGTCCGCAGAATGCTTCCAAGCTTTTCGAAGCGGGTGATGCTGGGAAGCTTACCATGATGCTTCTCTCAGGAAAATCGGACTCTATGGTGATCCAGGCGGGCGTGAACTCGATATTCGGCCCTCATTTCAAGAATCTGCGGGTCAGGCAGATAGACGGAGGGCATGCTGTGTTTGACGACAACCTCGAAGGCACGGTCGCGGAATTGACTTCCTTCGTTCACGATGTGGTTGTTAGTATTTCCTTTCCTTCTCATTGAACACGATCAATTAATCGACGTCTTTTAGAAAAATCCATTTGCGGGGCTTACTATTCCACGGCTTACGTGCATTATTCAGGCTCTGTTAACCCACAACTAGGTGCTGGACTATCCATACGTCAATGTACGCTATCTCTGCGCCTTGTAGCCATACATGTCAAATCTACGGACACTGCACAATCTCTCATGCACTAATAATATACAAGGCAATGATGTGAATCAGCATGGGTCCTCATACACGTTCGTTGAGGCTGTTGTACAATACATTTCAGTAATCACACCACAATTTTTTCGAAGCTCCTCACGCTAATGTTCTGCCGTTCCTCGTCAAGTGATGGCTATATTTCACTTTGATTCGCATCTTTAACGCCTATTTATAGATACTGAATTTTTCGAACTACAATGCACAAGCCCCTGATAAATGTCCCTAAAAGATCTCCTAAGAGCGACAGGGTTGCACCAGCATCAATCAACGTTTGAACTCTGACAGAACCACCAGGAACTCCTCCTCGATGGCCCAGAATCCATGAGTCCATCAGTTCTTTGCGAATCGAAGAACTGTCGCAACTCTAATGCTTGATGAGTACCACAAGGTGAGCCATGCGCTGTCTTTCAGTAGAACAAGTACTGATCACGTATGTCGCTGACAGTGGTGGTCAATGAAGGGTCCCTCGCGACCCACCCACTGAACTCTTGCCGACTGCAATTCCGGTTTCACTCTGAGTTAATGCTCAGCTGAAGGCTCAATGGGAATATTCGGTGAATTCCCACTAGCTGGAGAAGAACCAGGCAACTTCAAGTGAATTCGGCTAGTCTTGTTGAAACCATCACAGCTTCACGACACAGCGATACCCGCCCCACCGGAGGAGATAAAATAGATATAGTACCCAGGACCGATCTACGCCATGCGGATCACACCCAGCGCTCAGTATTCGATCCTTAATGTCGGATCGCCTAACAGTACGAGGCACCTCCCAACATGACTGCCGTAACAGGGCCTTGGTCAATAAGGTCTCATACGCGGCGCTTGGTTGATCCGTCGAAGGGGGATATCATTGATCAACGACTGCCAGATGCTACATATAAGTGCAGCAAGCCCATCAGTACGCGACTTGATCCTCAACGCTCAACCCACAATGTCGCTGAGGCTATCTCCCTTTGTTTTCCTGTTCCTGTCTTTCCTTTCTTTCGTCTCCGCTGCAACTACTAGTAAGATCGTCACTTCCGCCGACGGCACAAAAATCTACGCAGATGCTACCGGCGATCCCAAAAAGCAGAGCATCGTCTTTGTCCACGGGTTCGCGCTAAGTGGGGTGGTATTCGACAGGTTTTTCGCCAACAAGCGGTTGGCTAATTATTATCTTGTAAGTGGATGCGTTGTCTGCTCAATGTATGTATGGAGTAATCGACCGCGAAATGTTATGTAGGTTCGCTATGACATGCGTGGCCATGGGCGCAGTGACAAGCCAGCTACCGCTGATGCACACACATCCATCCGATACTCTCAGGACTTCACAGCCGTCATGGACGGCTTCGGACTGAAGAAACCCATATTCGTCGGATGGTACGTCCCACCAAGTGCCATCAATAAAACCCCGTTATTGACCTTCGATCCACAGGAGTCTTGCGGGCAAGTATCCCACCCCCACACGCATCCCTTCGCGTAAACTGATGATATCCATCTTGTCCAGCGGCTATAATCACCGATATCGTAGCCAATAACGACGTTCTTCCTATCGCAGGGGCGGTCGCCCTTGACGGCAGTCCCGGCATCAGCGCCGACATAATCCCGACCATCGCCAGTCCTTTCCTCCTCAATACACTCCCTGCGTTCAACGGCAACGACGACGTTACCGCCGCCCTTGCGACCCGCCAGTCGTTCGTCGACGGGCTCTTCCAGGACCCCGCCAAGGTCGATTTCAGCATCAAGGCACAATACCTGGGGCAGACCGTCGTGCAGCCTCCTGCTGTCAGCGCCCTGGTGTCTATGCGGCCCCAAGATCCTACGAAACTCTTCGCTGCTGGGGACGCAGGCAAGCTTCCCCTGCAGGTGCTCTTCGGTACCTCGGACAGGATGGTGGTAGCCGACGGCGTGGTCAGCATCTTCGCTCCTCATTTCAAGGATAAGCTCTATGTCAGCAAAGTCGCTGGCGGACACGCCCTCTTCGACGACAACCCAGAAGGCATGATCGACCAGCTGACATGGTTCGTCCAGAAGGTCACGGTAAGCATCCTCGACCGTTGCTCATGACACAGAGCTAACCATGCATCACTCGTAGACCGGCACCTCCCCCAGAAGCGTCATCTACGCGAGGGAACATTGATCAAACGTCTTGCCGTACAAAACTCACGCGACGCAGTGGACGATATAGATACCCACGTTAATTGAATGATACTGGACAATGTATATAACATAGCAGATCACTAGTAATTGTGTTACAATACGTGCAGGGATCGGATATCGTGCAGCGCAACGGCTAGGCGCGCGGATGGCGCAGTGACTCTAGAGGGACCTACTCAGTTGGTCGTACCAAGGATGACCCCCACGAAGACGATCGGGGGCTCAGCCTCCCCTTCCCTCCCACTCAACCTCCCAAATCTCTCTCACACCCTCACGCACCCAAACGACATTCCACTCTACCAAACCCCTCCTGCCTTCATACACACCGCTAGGCAACAGAGCCAATAACGCCAAATGCGGAGTGAGCGCATGGTACGTCAACGTCGTAGCATTCGGGTATGTGTACGAGCTATTGACGTTGTTTGATGCGGTCCCGTTGTTTGGTGACGACGCTGCGTGGTTGCCTGACCGATGACCGTTCGGCGTGGACGTGCCCGAGGTCGGGTTGCTTAGCGCAGCTTTTGTGTGTTTCGAACTGTGGTTGGTAGATGCGGATGGCGTAGGAGACAGGGTCGTAGACGCGGATGGATAGAAGAGGTCTTTCGGCGGACTTGAGGTTTGACGGGCAGAAGACGCGCTGCTTGAGACCGCCGTGTTGTTTGACGACGATGATGTCGATGGAGTTAACGGTGGGCGAAGGAGATTGGAACCAGCCTGCATGAGTCCTTGTCTCGAGGCAAACGGCCGACCAGAGGCCAAAGCGGGACTAGAAGCCGAGGGACGCCGCGAACTTGGCTCTGCGGGGCTGTGTATCGCTGTCGGCGTGACTGCTGTCGGAGGGGGCGTCTGGGGTTGCGAGGCTGAAGGCGAATCGGGCGAGTGCTCGGATGGCGCACCCGATGAGGGCGTGACACGTTGTTGTCGCGGTGAACTATCTACTTTGGACCTGGGAGAAAGGCAGCGTCTCAGCACAACACGAAGGCGTAGGTTATATGGAGGAATCACCGATATAGCGGCCCAAACGCGTTGATCATGCCGAGATAGTCACAGCAGAGGTTGTGCGTGGCAGAGTCGACTGGCGACGCGTCTGTGGCAATGTACAGCCGAGAAGAGATATCGAAGAGGAAGGCTTTGGGTGATTGGGAGTTCTGGTGGGGAACACGCGTTAGTGAAAGACGGAGGGGTGATGCAGTGGCGTACAGCACAGAATCCGTTTAGAAGGTCTTCGAGGTACGGCAGGCTATCTACAAGTTTGTGCAGGACGCGCGAAAAGGCTTCGTGTAGGGAGTGATCATAGACCGAAGTGAGGTGAAAGTTCAGCTGCACTTGCTCGTATGATGCCTCCTCGGATGAAATATCGAGAAGACGGTCGGAGACCCTTTCATGGATTTGTCGGAAGTTCTCTGTTGCCCTCAGCACCTTGAGCACATGGATATGCGACTACAATGCACACCTATTTTGTCGTCTTCTTGGAGCTTTTCTGCTTTGTGCACAAATACTTCAAAGTTGATGTTCGGGTTCTGGTGGTACGAGGCAACGATGAATTCAACGAGTTTGGATATAGCTTGGTTGTAGAGATCCTGTACGACATTCTGACATCCTCAGCCAGCCACGGGGATTAGAAGAACTCACGCGAATGTCTATAACGAATATGATGGAAGAGAACTGCGAGAGCGGTGCGCCGAGTGTATCTACGGTGATATTTCCTGGGCAATCCCATATTTCCAGTGGTATTAGTGTACTGTAGCAATGTCACGAAGATCCAGGTGCCTCATGAGCAAAGCCACTCACTCGTAGGCATGCTTCACCACTCTCATGGTTGGTTCCAGGTAGAATGTCTGCTTCGGCGATAGGTCGTTAAAAAGTACTTGTTGTATGGAGGTCTTCCCGCTGCGACGCAGCCCAAGAAGCAGAATCTTGGTGCGCTTCACCGAGTTATTCAGGTTACTCGACGAAGAGGCCGATGTCGAACTGTAGTTGGCCATTGAATGTGTCCGTCGCGTGCAAACGAGAAAAGAAAATGATACACGCTCAGAGATCAGAGAATGAGTCAAGAACACGCTTGAGTCCTGTGCGATCCAGGGTCCTCATAGGAGGACTAGGGGCTCAATCACTTCGTGGAGGATGGCACGAAATATGAGGATGGCAATCAAAACGCCCGTGTAATCCCTCATATTATACATAGGTAGAGATGTCGAAAGTAATTACATTTACATCGGCGGCACATGAACGTGACGGCGCTTCTACTAAGTTTCTTCATCGAAGTGGAGATTCTCCACCCACGCTTTCCGTTCCATTGGCGTTGGATGTGATAAGGGAGGGTGGTTTGCGACGGGGGCAGCGGCATCGTCACCGGCGTTGAGATGAACAGGCGAGGGCATGGAATATTGTATATGAATTCAATAACCCAGATATTCTAGCAGTTCCTTCAGCGAAGTATTCATGTCCCGCCTGCGCCTCTCCGAATTCGGGGTATGGCGCTGAGAGTATGGAGGAGGTCGTCAGGTTGTATGGACAGAGCGCAAGAAAGAAGATCGAGACTAAGTTCCCGAAGAGCGGGGAAGGAGGGCACCCGAACCTCCAGAAGGATATGCTTAGGGTGAAGTGCTTGGAGCCGGGAGGCCCTCTACACAAAGCTTGTACAGCCCCGGGTACCCCATGTCACGTCTGCCTCAACAGATATGCGTAAAATGTCGAGCGCCGGCAGATTCTTCGACCGTAGGGCTTCGTGCATGAGAGTCATTGACTCGCGAGGTTGTTATCGCGACATCCAGGTCTTTGAATCGTTCGGAGTCCAGCCGTAAGGCAAGTATGTCGCATGGGTGGGCCGCCACTTGTGTAGTGTCCTGATGGAATCGGCTTCAATCGCTCTCTGATAACGTAGTTCATCCACTGCTGCGAGCAATCGCTGTAGAACACCCCCCAGATTGACGGGATGCCCAGTTCAAGCACCCCCACTTGCGGCAGACACAAGTAAAGTTTTCGCAAGGATGGTAATCGCCAGACGACCTCTCAGAGGTAAATAAGGAGAGAATCGACTCGGAAGTGCTTTAATCGGGTTGACTGGAGCCAGAAATTCAAAGATAATTGCTAGGATTTCACTTAGAATTCGGAAGATGAGGGGGATCTGTGAGTTTCGTTGCTCCTTCAACGACCTGGCTTTCTCGAGGTATCTGGCGATTTTGCCGTCAAATTGATCTGCGGTGTTCATAATGCGGATTCAAAGCCCAGTGCGCCAGAAGTGAGAGCCTGGGTTTTGACCATGTCGGGGAGGTGGCGGTCGTTGTGGAAGAAAGTTCTGAACTTTGGGCTCCGAACGCTGGTGGACTTGCGGAGAATCGGAATCTTCACTCAGGGAAAAAAAATACGAAACAGCATTGACGAACTACAGTACAGAATACAAGGTAAATTAAGTGATTAGGGATGCTATAAGATATAGGTATATTCATATAGAGTAATTGTTCACAGATTCCAAGTGCTTTTAATCAGGTCGGCCCCGCGTTCTGCAACGACATATGTTGGGGCCATCGTGTGCATGCTGGGGTTGTAGGGCTATCATGAAGAGTCAGAACTGAGATATGGGCAGCACATTCAACACTCACGAAGACGGAAGCATCCACAATCCTCACGCCCTGGACACCACCCTTCATCTTTAAATCAGGGTCAACGACGCCCCATTGCGCGCCCCTCGGTGACATGCTCGCTGTCCCGACAGGATGGGCCGTTGTTCCACTATATCCCCTAACATATGCTTCGATCTCCTCGTCCGTTTCTGCAGTGGCAAGCGGACCCAGGGCTTCGAGCACATAGTCCTGGAACACAGGCGCAGACACGAAACGCTTCGCTGCTTTGACTGCTTCGCGCATGGCTTTGATGTCCCATTCCGTGGTGTAGAAGGCTGGGTCGATGTGGGGCGCACGGAAGACATCGAGGCCGCCGGTGGTGTCAAGTGTAACAGATCCACCTAAGAGGGGATGAGTCGGCGTGTAAATTTTGTTGAGAATGGGGGCACTTACGAGAAGTTGCTGAAACAAGGTTGGTAGAGATGGTGAGCCATTTGCCGGGAGGGGGAGTAGGAGACACAAAGCCATTCTGTGCCAATAGTTTAGTGTCATTAAGTCCGGGAGAAACAAAAGAGGACGTACGCCGATGGCTATTTCCAAGTGCGGCGTGTTGGGACCAGCAGCGTAGTCCACGCCGGCAGGTACACCGAGATCAGCCAGCTCGGTATCGTTTAGGCGATAGAACGCCACCTGCCCAATAGGCGTGACGACCAGCGGCCCAGTGCCATCATTGTTCCACTCGTCCATTGCGCTGTCGAGCACCGCCTCATCCTGGAACACAGGATCAAAAGTGTCTGCATCGTTCCGCACATTCCACAGGCACCCAGTCGTCGGCTGGTCAGTCAAATTCCTGCCAACACTGGGTAGGTCGACCAGCGGCGTGATCCCAATCGATGAGAGGTAGCCCGAGTCGCCGATACCGGAGTTGAGGAGGATCTGGGGAGTACCGATAACACCTGCGGCGAGGAGAACTTCCTTCGACGCGGTGAAGGTGCTCAAGGGTCCATTCACGACATCTTGTGTGTATTCGACGGCTTGGAAAGCGGAACCAGATCCGGTTTTGAGGATCCGAGAGACCCTGGCGCCGACGAGGACGTGAAGATTAGGTCTGTTGATATATTGAGGCGCGAGGTAGGACGTCGCTGCACTGCTACGTTGCGAGCCATTGATGGCTGCTTGAAGCCAACCTGCATAAAGCCAAATCAATATAGATACCTAGACTTAATAAAATCTTAGACATACCCAGTCCAAGAGGACGACCGTCATTGTAGTCGAGCTTGAAGTCGAAGATACCCCCTAGCTCTTGCCCCGCTTGGAATACCATCGGGTCGAGTGCTTGGTGGTGGCCAGAAAGACTAAATGAAGTCATGCCAGTGGTGCTGTGCAGTGAGGGGTCGTATTGGCCAGTCGTGTCGTGTCCATCGGCTGGAGGCGTCCACTTCTCGTTCTGTGATATCCAATCAGACTCTGGTAAATTAAACAAGAAACGGAGATACTCACACGTTTGAAGTACGTCTGGACATTGTCCCATGTCCAGCCTGGATCACCGGTGACCTCCGCATAGCGGTCAAAGTCATCAGAAGATCCGCGTGTATAGAACATCCCATCTATTCATTGTCAGTATCCTGTCGCGTGACCTGAGATATTATAGTGCGGCTTACTGATGGAGCTGCTGCCACCAAGCACGAATCCGCGGGGGAATGGGATCTCAGCATTGTACATCCCTACTTGCGGCGTGGTTGTCTGTAACGCGCGTCAATGCTAAATTGTTTAGAAAATGGAGTAGACAGCCGCGTACATAGTTCCAAGTGTACTCGGCCGGGATTCGTGTCACGAAGAACGGCACTTTCGTCTCGAAGGCATCTTCGTTCCTATAAATTGTCGTATAGCGTGAGCTAGACGGGTGAAATAACGGAGCCGTTGCACTCACGATGAACCCCCTTCAAGAACCAACACTTTCGTTGCTGGGTTCTCTGTCAGACGGTTCGCAAGAACGCTACCACCAACACCACCTAGTATTTTGTCAGTTCTGGAATAACAACTGAGTAAATTACGCTCACCGCCGACAATGATGAAGTCATAAGACACGTTTGGCAGGTCAGCTGCCTTTCCGTATAAGCCAGCGGAGACTCCGAGTGGCAGAGCCAGGAGCGAGAGAACGAGGGAAATATGTGCTGCGAGGGATTGGAACTTCATTTCCACGATGCTGAATAATTAGGAGGAGATGCGTAGTAAGTATGCGAAGAGATGCTGGGATGGTGATGTTTTTGTCGTCAATTCGCGCCCTTTAAGTACCCTGCACTACAGTGCAGCAACGGGAGTCTTTCAAAGGAAAGCCAACCGGACCCACTCGACGCATTTACTTGCGGCACCGATTCTGCGCGTCAAAGTGGGTTACTGGTCATTGTACCATCCCGCCGACAGTTGCGGGTGCCTAGTTGGGAGTAATTGAAGCTCGCGTATGACATCCCCAGACGGTGCCACAGGGACAGTGCGCCATCGTCGCAAGTTGTTCGCCTACACAATTCGCTGCCCGACGAAGTAATTATGTGCTGCCTGTGCTGCCTACGCCCAGAAGTCAGAACCCGCTGATGTGGCTGCCGACTGCTTTTGATGAACAGGACTCGGAAGGCTGGTCCGTACACTCATAGCCTGTAGGTGAAGCTGGCTGAGTGGTTCTGTCGAGTGTGACAAACATCGCCGACTAAGTTGAGCGTCCTTGCCGACTTGATGGTTGTCTTCTTCTCGAGCAACATAGTTCGCGAGCCATGCCATTTCCCTAATAATACCGTAGAGCCTAGTGCCTTCCAAGTGCACGCACCCACCTTCGCGACGGTGACTGGAGGGGACAAGTGAGGCACGCTGGATGACTGGATGATACTCCGTTAGCATGAAACTACACCTTTAGTTCCATCCGACATTGCTGAAGTTCCTAGCTATTCGTAGCGTACAAGAACGAGGACGTTATTGGTTGTTACCATTTAATTCGTGCATTTCCATCAAGGATAGGCAATTGACTGGACCTAGGACAGACGCCGTCAGACGCCTGCTAGTACTACTAGGACAAACTTACTTGTAACTTCAAAGGGACATGGTTGACCCGTCAGTCTACTTCAAATGGCCCCGTTCCTTGCTTTTATCAGGCTCTGATATCGCGTCGGCCCGTCGCTGCACAGATCATGACAAGAGTACTTCCGTTGAAGAACAAGTTATCATGATTTCCTGCTAGAAGTTCTCCTACTCCCGAATTACGGGCTGGATTTGTCAGACGATGCAGCAATCTACGTTCTCTCCCGCTTGGCTGCCCTTGAACTACAGAGTGTGTTGGACTGGAGTTTTAGTTTTAGGCGACTGAGCGTCCGCCACGCATCACGTGATCGAAAGGCAAGAATTTGGACTCCTCTCGGAGTCCTTCTCTCACCAATCTTTACAGCTAGACTCAGCTGCAACGTCCCAGATCCATGGCTACACCTGTCATTGTCGGTGTTGGTGCTATTGCGGCAGCTCTCGCAGGCCGCCACTTTCTTCGTCGCGCGGGCCAGGGCGCGGCCGACCAGTGGGTTAGAGGCGGATTCAAGGCAAAGATGGACCGGAAAGAAGCCATTGCCATCCTCGGTCTCAAGTACGTGCTCTCTCTTACTCAAAGGGACAGGAGCTTACGGGTGGTACTTTTTGTCACGGTAAGAGATGGCGCTACGCTGAAGAACCGTCTGAAGGATGCACACCGACACATCATGCTAGCAAACCATCCTGACCGCGGGGGTTCACCATATCTTGCCAGTAAAATCAATGAGGCGAAGGACTTGCTCGACAAAACAGACGGTCGGGGACGGTAGCGATGAGCCTCAGGTGTGTGTACTCTGCGCTCACGGCTATCCCTTCTGGCTAACAGCTCGCCAGTATTTTTTTGTTTTATCTTATAGCATTTGTTTTCGTGTAGTTTAATCCCACCTCGTCTCTTTCTCGAATGACCTTCACCTAGTTCCCAGCCGGTCTCGTTTCATTCAAGTTGCGAAATATCACCCGCGTTTCTTTGCTGACTCATCGTAAACTCCACTCTGGTACTTGCCGCCATGACTTCAATGGACGACCTCGAATTCAAGCCATCCAAACTCGGAACCAAAGACCAGTAAGCCTCTCGGTCTCAATTTGTGACGCAGAATGTACCCTCATAAGTTGGGACAAAGTATACGAGAATGAACTCGTGAATTTTGAAGAGATTGGCGATGAGGGTGAAATCTGGTGAGTCTCTTTCCCCCGAATCAGCAAATTGAACCCCTGAAACGCGAACCGCACTAGGTTCGGCCAGGAAAGTGTGGAAAAAATGGTCGACTGGGCTCTTGCGCACGTCCCGCCATCTGCAGGAAAATCGATCCTGGAGATCGGGAGCGGGAACGGCACGCTTCTCGTTGCTCTCGCCGAAGCTGGCTACCCGACATCCCATTTGTCAGGGATCGACTACAGTAGCGATGCCGTCAAGCTTTCCAAAGCCGTCGCCACATCCCGGGGGACGGAGGGCATAACGTTCGCCGAGTGCGACTTTTTATCGGAGGATCCGCCGAGGCTAGTACTAGAAGATAATGCAGATGGCTGGGATGTGATGATGGATAAGGGGACCTTCGACGCTATCGCACTTGCCCCGCCGGGCGACGACGGAAAGCCTCTCATCGAAGGATATCCAAGTAGAGTGTCTCAGTTACTGAGTTCCGATGGTCATTTCCTCATCACATGTACGTTATCGTTGTCCTTTAGGTATGCTCTCGTATAACGGGCCTGTAGCTTGCAATTTCACTGAAGAAGAGCTAAAAGCGAGGTTCATCACTCCTGCGACTGGATTGGCCTATCAGTTCGTCCTCTACTACTTTACGGCTGAACTGCAGCTTACAATTTGTTTATAGTTCCAGTATCAAATACCCCGTGTTTTCCTTTGGCGGTCAGCGTGGTAGTAGCTACGCAAGCATTGCCTTTCGAAAGTCTTGACTTACAAGCTCTTCTTTATGTCATATTATTGCTTCAGGTCCAGGACTACGTCGACACCAGTGCGCAACGTCTCCCGCGCAACACCTGTAGCCCATAATGTAAAATCATCTACTTTTGATTCCCTGCTGCCTTTGTTTTGCTTCCGAAATGCTTCCGAAAGGAAATATACAATCCCCATTGCCAAGGTCTCGTTTCGCGAGCCTTTCAGGAAGATTTCTTCCAATGACCCTCGGTTACGGGTCGTAGGGAGGCTTTTGGTTCCTTCAGCGAGCAGAGGTTTGGACGTCTGGCTGAAGATGAATACTTGAGTGAAGAGCTCCTTGAGGAAAGCCCGGGCGGGTGGCTTGAGGATCGTGAAGTCCACGGGCTACTCTCTGGATAGATAACGAACTTCATGTTATGAGTACAGAAGGGAACGTACCTTGAGAATCGCCAAACCGACAGAATCCTTCGCTATCCACCAACCATACGCTTTTGCCACGTTCTTAAGCCTGGAAGTTGCGATCTTCGTCCCATCTGACGTCCCGAAGTCCTCCCTCGCACCCGCATTCTTGATCACCTCGGCGCCGCCCACCGTCGTCTCCCCCAGATCGCGAAGGAAATCCCACAAGCAGAACTGAATCGTGATTTTGTGAGAGTGGGAGACGCGGCAGAGCTGTTGCCCCACGAGGGTGTAATACGGGTTATACGACTTTTCCTGCAGTTTGGAGGAACGCGTCAATGAGCAAAGTGGGCACGAAGGAAGGGGAAATGGAGGGACTAACGTTTCCACAACAGTGGAGCAGGACGCGCACGATCTCTCGTTGCTGCACCTCGCTAAGGTTGAGCTGCGAAAGCCGCTCGCACGCATCGACGTAGTCCTACTTCCTCCCCATTAGCACATCCACACCCAGAAGACTGTAATAAGCCCACCCACTTCACTGCTCATCAGAACGACGAAGATGCTCCGCCGTATATCAGTATTCATGCCTTGTTGCCGCGCGAGCTTCATCAAGGCGCTCTCGGACATTGAGTCAGGCTGACTGTCTGCTGGCTTGGGTTCGTTCTGCTGGTCGACGAGGGGGTCGCCTCGCCAAGCTGCGCCGACGAGCCACCATTTGCCCTTGTTCTCGGCGGAGTGGAGGTCGTCCAGCGAAACGCGGAGGGGTTCGTGCGCGAGGACTAACGAGTACTGAGTACGAGCGCTATACGGACTACGTTTATGGATCACTGCGTACCGTGTCTTTTCTTGCTTAGCCCCGAGAGAAATTTCTTCATCCGCTCGACGGCATCCCCGCCTTGGTTTTGCGTGGCGTTTCGCTTGAGTTTGTTGTTCTTGAGGTTCGTGAGAGTCTCGATCATGAACTGTGCGCGAGAACTAGCGCAAATCAAGTTAGTTGTCGGAAAGAAGGGACTATGATTTGGCAGAGCGACACACCTCAACGTCTCACCCTTTGCAGTTAGTTTGTTTTGTACGATGTCGATGATATCTTTCAAGGCCGATGGATCGTCGTGGCGCAGTTGTTGCCCCGAACCTACACTCTCCAGTCAACATCGGCGGGTTACCTTGAGGCACAAAAAGACGTACTGCGCAGGATCTTCAGCAGTAGCTCGACATTCAACTCGGTGACGTCTTGGCTCAACAACGCCCGAATCAAGTCGTATATAAGCACACAGGATATTACTTGGAAGTTGTACAGCTCGGATATCAGGATGATGAGGTTCTGACATTCCTTCCCTGCCTCTTCCTCGGGCTTTTGAGCGTCGGGCGCCGGCGGATGAGAGAGCTGGGTGGAAGCGGCGGTGTAGTGCTTCTCGTACGATGCAACGGTATCCTGGACGAAGTACGCCGCTAGTGTCGTAGTAGTGATTAGCAGCATGTTGATCCATACAAAATCACAGACATACCAAATTCGATACCAATAATTTTGTGAAGGGCAGAAACGAGAGTAGCGTAAAGTACAACGAAGGAGTCGAGGAGGGAGGAGTGGTCCGTGATGCCGTGGATGATCAAGTTCGTTATCGTACAGGTGACATCTGGCGGGTACGAAGTCAGTTTTAGACAAGCACGATTTCACGGAGCGAAGATAAATAGCCAGACCATTGCGCCGGTGATCTCGGTAAATCCCTTCTATGGTATCGAGAATTGAGGTCATATTCTGCTCACTCACGCTGGACCGAGGTGTATCAGAGCATATTTATCGAGAACTCGGTGCAACTCACCGATTGAGCAGACCTTTCAACTGTTTTCGCAACCTCAATTGTGCTTCCGATGGTTGATCATCCACTGGGGCTGGCGCGTTGCGAAGGTGAGGAGGAACATATTTCCCCTCTGAAATCCGTCAGATAATTTATTTCCAAACATTATAGTAGAGAGGCGTACTAGCTGGTGATGCATTGGTGGTCACAGGTGTCGATGAACTCGCTACCTGTAGGGGAGGGGATTCGAGTTCAACACCGCCCCATTCTTCGTACTCGACGTCGCTGTCGTCCGGACTCTGGCCCTCCTCCTCTTCAGAGCCCCCGCCGTCGGCAAGCCCAACTGATTCGGTTAAATCAAAGAGGTCTGCCAGAAAGTCAAATAACGCGATTTTTGGATGAAATTAAAACATACCGTCCAACCCATCACCCACGTTTGATTTCTTCCTCTTCCCCCCCTTGCTGTACCCTAGTTTCGACTCTAGATACGCGATGTACGCGTCCTCCTCTGCCTCATCTCTGCTTCGACGCATTGCTGAAAGTGCGACTGCTTGAGTTAGGGGGAAGCTTTTTTGATTATGTAAATGGGGTTATCACGTGAAGGAGATAATACGCGACGCACGTTCTTGCAGCTCCCCTGAGTGCAGCAGTGGACCGGATTCTCGTTTGGGCTCTTCAAAAGCCTATATCAGCGCGCAGCACAGTTCTCGACGAGCGCCATCGATCTGCATCATGAAATTTGGCCGGAAGATCTCCGTGCGTCCGCATTTCTGCTTGTCCCATTTGGTTCTCACCATCTCCGCAGAATGACCTCTACAGCGAGTGGCAGCCGTTCTACATCGACTACAACCTGCTCAAGCAGGAGTTGAAGGTCACTTTCATGCACTTTGTCTTGAGCCGTGCTCTGAATTTCCTTTAGAACAAGACGAGCAACCATGACTGGACGGACCAGGACGAGAAGGAGTTCAGAGCCATGCTTGCACGCGAGCTCGACAAGGTCCATGAATTCCAGAAGGAAAAGGTTCTCTAGCAACGTTCGTTCTCGGTGTGCGGCATTGACGCTTCTCACAGACTTCGGAGCTCTCGCACCGTATTCGTGATGCAGAAGAGCAGGTCAAAACGCTCGTCGGAACGGACCATCTTGGCTCGCCGACAGCGAATCGGCCAAAGCATGCCCCGGAGGTGTACGTTGGCAAACTCCCACAACCGCCGACTGCTGCCGGAGACGAGCAGCTTGAGACGCATGTGGTGGGGAAGCGGGTGCGAGTAGCGGAAGAGCCTATCGCATCAACTTCCAATGGCCTCGACGCCGAGAGCCAAGGTGCTTCAAGGCCCATGTATACTCAGGATGATGGTTCGGATGGAGAGGACGAGGCAGAGCACGACACCGAGTTCACGGACGGCTCTGATGAGTCCGACTCAGACTCAGAGCTTGGTGGAATGGGTATGTGGCCCATTCGTCCTCGTAACTGAGATATATCATCTCAACACAGATACAGACACAGACGATTCCTTCGACTCGCTCGAGGCACGTTTTCATGCATTAGAAGATGAAGTATGTGGTTTGTATCCATGCTCCTGCTGTCCCGCTCAAATGGCGTGTAGGTAGCTACGTTGGTGGCGGACGTTCACGACCTTGCTCTGTTCACGAAACTCAACATAACGGGATTCATGAAAATATTGAAGAAGCACGACGTAAGTGGCGTACAATCACATGTTCTCCTAACCTTTGAACCGACGGTATAATTGCAGAAACAAACTCCCGTCCCCCTCAAATCTACGTTCATAAACACATATCTCGCAGATCGTCCGTTTTACAAATATAACTGGGATGCACTGATCGTTAAGGTTGGTCGAATACACACGCGTATATGCTACGTATTCAATGTCGTCTACCGTACCCATAGCTATCCCGACTATATGATCTTGTCCGAACACGAGGTCACCCGGTGGAGGGCGACGCCATGGCTGGGGCCGGCCAAAGTGCCTTTGTACGACAAACCACCAAGTATTGGGTCCATCCCGATAACCTAGTGCCTCTCAAACTAGCCATTCTACGAAATCTCCCCGTTCTAGGTATGTTACCTCCCGCATATATATACGTTCTCCTTGAGAACGAGCGAACCATTGACCCCAACTTTATGACGCTAGTATTCGATCCAAATAAGGAGTTCGAGCCCAAGGACGCAGCGATTACTTCGATATACTTCGATAATGAGGATTTGGAGCTGTATCTTGGGAGGTTGGAGAAAACGGAGGGCGCTGAGGCGATCAGGTTGCGGTGGTACGGTGATGTGGGCGTGAAAACTGTGAGGACTGACTTCGTTTGTGTGCTTCCCCGCTCATGTTCGTATGCCGTTTTGCCCGACGCTAGATCTTCGTGGAGCGTAAGACGCACAGAGAAGACTGGACTGGGGAGAAGTCCGTCAAGGCGCGCTTCCCGCTGAAGGAACATCTAATCAATGATTTCTTACGAGGTATGCATATATCTCGCCTACTGCCCGTACCTGGCGGCTGATTCGCGTCTACAGGCGATTATACCGTTGAACAGCTTAAGGAAGAATGGCAGGCGTTGGTGGCTAAGGGCAAGAAGACCCAGTCTGAGGTTGATTCTATGGTTCAGCTCGCCAGTGAAGTACAATATCGAGTTGTCACTCGGGGGCTGAAACCAGGTAAGTTTGAGCAGTGCTCCCTGTTCTCTGTGTTGTTCGTTGACGTGAATTATGCAGTAATGCGCACGTTCTATAACCGAACCGCTTTCCAACTTCCCGGTGACGCCCGTGTTCGTATATCGCTCGACACGGAGTTAACGATGGTGCGAGAGGATAATTGGGATGGCGCCGTTCGGAGTGCTGATAATTGGCGACGGACGGATATCGGGATCGATTGGCCTTTTGACCAAGTAGTTGAAACGGATAAGGAATTGTTCAAGTATGAGGCCTTGGCCCCTCCTCCCTAACGTTACTGACCATAGCGTTCGACAGATACGGTGTCTTAGAAGTTAAGTTGCAGACTCAGTTTGGCCAGGAACCCCCGAAATGGGTTACCGACCTCGTGCAATCACATTTGGTGGAGGCAGTACCAAAGTTTAGGTAGGTTCTTGCCGAAGGTTGTGGTCAATTGAGGATTGCTGACTGGGCGTATAGTAAATTTATCCATGGATGTGCTACCCTGCTGCCCCATCGCGTTGATCTTGTTCCGTTCTGGTTGCCTCAGAGTAAGCGCGCTTAATCTTGTAAAGAATCCTTCTGATATATTTATTGTCATCCATAGTGGACACCGACATCCTGAAGCCCAATACGGGCTATCTCTCGATCATCGAAAGGCCCAGTCACATAGCGTCGGGCTCTGGCTCCAAGGGTACATCCTCGCGAACGAGCGTCGAATCGCAAACTCCCCTTTATACCGAGCCACTGTCCGAAGGCGAAGAAGATGAGGAGATCGATCTCGCGCCCGCAAGAGACGAACACAAGCGCACTGGTCTATCTGGCAAGGAAGTGGAGGAGGCGATCGCGTACCGCGAGCAGATGCTCAAGGAGCGGCGCCAGTCGCACGGGGAGGAAGCTGGCGCGAAGAAGAGCAACGGTGGTATAGGTGTTTCCGAAGAAGTCGAAGAAAGTGACGGCGAGGGTGGCGATGAAAGGACGCCGTTCTTGAAAGCAAGAAGGACGAGTGTGAGTGTACCAAAGCCAAGAGCGTTGTCTATCGATCCTCTCGCACCTTCCTCCGCATTCGACGAGACACTCAAAGACCGTCTGCGCATGGCGCATCCGAGCAATGGTGCGCCTAGGGAACCACACACCGCCGATGAGGATGAGGAAGATGAGGGAGTGCCAAACGGTGAAGATAGGTTACTCGAACGAAGATGGAAGGCTCCGAAAGGAAAACGTATAGCTGTTCCAGTGCGCATAGAGCCCAAAGTCTACTTCGCCGCCGAACGGACGTTCCTTGTAAGTCCGCAAGCTTATTTCGGAGTCTATTTCGGAGTGGTTGCCTGACATTACTTCCTCGTAGAAATGGATCAATATCTCTGTCTTCATTGGCACAATCGCAACAACTCTACTGAACTTCGTGCAGCCAGACGATCCCCGCGGGTTGATCAGTGCGGGAGTGTTCACCCTTGCTGCCCTGATCGCCATTGCCTACGCCGGAGGCGTCTTCGTGTATCGAGCAATCCGACTGAGGCAAAGGAGAGCCGAGGGGCTGTACTATGACAAGTACGGACCTAGCTTGCTCTGTTTCGTCATGTTTGCTGCGATGGCCACAAACGTTGCACTGCGGCTGCCAGAGTTGTGAGTTGGATAGGTGTTGTATTGTCGATTTCTCGGACATTTATTGCTATGATTGTTTCACCGCTGCATCATTCGATATCTTTCTATGAGCATCTGTACCCTGAATATGCATTTAGCCCGACTACATGGGGTGTATGCTATTGCTTCCTGACTCACTCAGTGGGATTATCATTCAACTCATGCAAGGGACCCAAGGCCACCTGGTTCCCATCTAGTCGTGGTTACTTATTCATATAGCTACTCGAGTCTTGTAGTGATCTTATCTGTTACGTACGCCGCCCAGCATCAATCAGGATGGTCGATTAGTATTTCCTCGCATAGACGGTGCTTCTGGCGGACTTGTCCGCCTAGAAAGTTACATCAGGTCAGTCCCCCATCACGACCAACGGCCACTGATACTTACCGTGATCTTCTGGACAAACCACATCAGCTGATCAATCAACCCTTCTGGATTGTCATCGAAGAGGGCATGTCCCCCAGGTACTTTGCTGACGAACAGCTTGTCCCCGAAATGAGGGGCAAACACGCTAACGACGCCATCGGCCACCACCTTCCTGTCAGAGGTACCGAAGAGTACCTGCAGAGGAAGCTTGCCCGCCTCCCCGGCTGCGAAGAGCTTCGTAGGGTCTTGGGCCCGCGTAGATACCAGAGCGCTGATGGCAGGAGATTGAACTACCGTCTGCCCTAAATACTCAGCTTTCAAGCTGAAGCCCACATTGGCTGGATCCTGGAAGAGGCCATCGATGAACGATCGGCGAGTTGCTAACGCTGCGGTCACGTTGTCGTTGGCGATGAAACCAGGGAGTTCGCTGAGCAAGACGGGGCTCGCGATTATTGGCAGTATGTCGGCACTGAGGCCAGGACTGCCGCCAAGGGCAACTGCCCCCACAATGGGAAGAACGTCATTGTTGGCTACAATGTCGGTGATTATGGCCGCTGGATAGGATGCGTATGATTAGTTTACGTGAAACTGCTACCAGTGTAGTCTTGTGGAACTTGCCTCCAAGACTCCTGTGAATAAGGGGGGGTAAGCTTAGCTTGATAGTGTTATTGTTGGGAGAGACGTACCACCCGACGAATATAGGCTTGCTCAGCCCGAACCCATCCATAACGGCTGCGAAATCCTGAGAGTATCGGATAGATGAGTGGGCATCAACGGTGGCTGGCTTATCACTGCGGCCGTGGCCACGCATGTCATAACGAACCTTCATAAAATCCCTAATCAGTCATGTTGGTAATAAGCTCTGAGAAGGCAACAATCGACTTACGAGATAGTAATCGGCTAGCCGTTTGTTTGCGAAGAGCCTGTCAAATACTATGCTGCTCAGCGCGAGCCCGTGAACAAAGACGATGCTCTGCTTTTCGGGATCGCCGGTGGCGTCTGCGTAGATTTTCGTGCCGTCAGCGGAGATGACGATTTTACTAGTGGTCGCAGCAGCGGCGAAAGCAAAGAGGGGCAAGAACAAGAGAACCAAGGTAGATAATCTTGGCGACATTGTGAAGTGAGGCTGGTGGAGTCAAGTTGCGTAGTATGGTGGTATCGAGGACATCTTATATCGTCGTCGATGGACCATATCCCCTTGGACAAATCGACGAAGCCCCGTGCAGGAGGGCTACTGACAAAGATCCTGGTGCGCCGTTAGTCCTGTTTGCATCGTGACACCTCGGGGAATATCCCGCGATTACATACTCCCATAGGCAGCATGTCAGAGCATGACTCGATGATCGTGATCGACTTGGACTGCCAACGGTGATTGCCATCGTTCTCCGAGTCAGTTAATGTTGGTTCGGCACGGCACCGTAGAAGACAGTTACGTGTGATGCGGAGAGATGCATGGATTTTGGGGATATCCGGCTGCTGAGAAGTTAGAACCGAAACAGTAGCACGGAGTCGAAGATGAACTTCGCGATCTGTGAACGGTATCAATGCAGCAAACCCACCTAGTATTTATTGCAATGTAATCATTAAGCCACACGAGAGCCGCAAAAAAGCCGAGAAAATATTAGCAAGGAGAAACATTAGGGAGAACGAAGTACGCACCTGAGTTACAATTACATGAGTGAAGGTAACTCGTCTTGCCTACTAGTCTAACCACTAGACCTTTTACCTCAGTAATCCTACAGGCAAGTCATGGTGACTTGGAGGCCTGATTATTGAGTACGTGAACTGGACATGATCATGGTCAAGACTAAGAAGCGAAACAGGGTCGCGACATCACGTAGAATGATAGACGCCCGTCCCGCTCTTTTCACGATCACGTGGCGACATAGACCACGTTTGTGGTGGCGCGTTGGCCTCCACAGGCCTTCTTCCACAACGACCACCATCTCCTCGACAGTCAATCTCGTCCAAAACTTGCTCTCCGGCTCTCACGCTAGCGCTCTCCGCTTTAGCATGAACACTGCCGACCAATTTGACGGCAAAATTGCCGAGTACATTGAGAAAGCCAGGTCGTTGAGGGAGCAGCGAAACTCGCAGATCCCCCTCATCTCCCGAATTCCGAGTGAACTCCTAGCAGGTGTTTTTGAATTCCTTGCTCAAGTAGACCCGGACGAGCCTTCCCCGAGCCCATACCATCAACCGGAGAGGTCATCTGGCGATTACCACCCTTGCGAAAACGTAACTCGTGTCTGCCGCAAGTGGAGAATCCTTGCATTGAGCATGTCTTCCATCTGGGGGATTTTCTACGCCAATTGCTCACAGCAATGGATGGACTATATTATCGCGGAAAGATTAAAGTCAATGTCGCCTATTTCCATACGGTCTCCACACAAGCGGCGGTTCCAACAACGCGACGTGCTTGCCTTACGACTGGACTCCGAACGATTCAGTCACCTGGATCTCGTACTAGACTCCGATCGGACGATGAATCTCATGCATAAAGTCCTGCGGTCAAAGAATTTACCGGAGCTCAACACCCTATGTATGACTCTTGACAGGACCAAGTGTCACAGTCCGGACCCAAATGGCTTTGTGTGGAGGGCGGAAGCACCCCGCCTTCACTCGCTTCGTCTTGAACACGTCCTTCTCAAGGTTCAGATCGCATCTTTCCCTTCCCTTCAAGAATTTAAACTTGATCTCTCTTCATTTCATGGCCGTCTACACCCTGTCCAACTTCTCAACGCCCTCCACGCCATGCCTCAACTTCGCACCTTTGAATGTCTTGGCCTATTGGAATATAGAGACAGGAAACCTATACCAGCGGATCTACAAGTTGAGCTGCCTCATCTAGAGCATCTTGCCATCTCAAAATTTCGTTGGGAGGACCTCGTCATCTTCGAACATATCACGACAAAGCCGCTAATCTCTTTTCGTATCGACCTCCTTGCGCAGACAGAAACCGCTCTCCCAGATTTGCAATCTATATGGAAGCTACTGCCCCCTCCCTCCGCCTCTATTGACTCATGGCACACCATCCTCCATAAGAGATTGTACGGAGCCGACGATAAATTTGGTCTAGTCATGCAGATATCATCTCCGTCTCCCGAATTCCGTTTCGAGCTGGCAACTGAATTCAAACTGGTGGGAGCGACACGGCATGTTGAAAGTGATATATATTCCTCGCTGCCTTCAGCGTCGACGCCGGACGTCGTTGCATTAACTTCGCAGTGGCAGCATCGGCCTTGTCCCAGCCTGAAGAGATTCGCCCTCGATATGGCCGGAGTAGCAGAATTCCACTTCATCGACCTCACACAATTGTTGGAGGCGTTATTGCCTAACCAACACCTAGAAGGGGTCCACCCTCCTTTGCAGAACGCTGCTACCCGAGCGACGAAGTCGAAATCAAAACTGGTCAAACCAGCTTCACAGAACGGATTCACGCTCTCTAGCTTCCCAATTTATCTCCCGGGATTGCGGCGCATTGTAGTTGTGCAGCAGGCTGATCTCGGGGGATCGTTGAATATCATCTTGAGTTACCTAGGTCAGATTTTCCTGAAGCGGAAAAAACGAGGCTTGCCCATCATGGTCGTGAAATTGGGACAACTCTCACTGGACGCAGAGCAAAGAATGCTTGTGGGAGACGGCATTAGCACTGAGCTGACATTTATCAACCAAGGTGAGAGAACTGGATGCATCTATACCCCCATAACATGCGACTGACCTTCACTCAGATGATTGCAAGCATTATCTGAGTACTTCGCTAAAGGAGTTGCCAAAACATTTACGCTGAGGTTCATATACAAGTCCATTTTCCGATATTAAGTACACCCGAGTCGAGGTTGGTTTCCGCCAGTCCACTCCCCATCACAACTCTTCAATCTTTCCTCGCCGTCGTCCGTCACCCCCTTCCACTCACTCCAAAGTTGGCGGCGATGCTCCACTCCCCATCATAACCCACGCACCCTCACTGCTCACATCATCCACCGTCAGGAAAATGGTGGCGGGCCCCGGAGGGAACACCCGTCCATTCGGCGGGGTCGTGAACGTCAGAATATTCCTGAAAGGCGAAATGGTAGCGTCCATGAACACTAATCGGGCGCTCGAATGGAAAGCGTGGGTAGAGAATCCCAAGTCCATGAGGGATACTAGATGCGGTATCAGCATAGATGTTCATGTAGCGTTGGTATCTTTATAATTACCTTTAATGTCTCTGCCTATGAGGGAGGGCGGGACTGATATAGGAACACTAATTCGCTGCCCAAATCTCAACTTCTTCGGCATACTCAGCAACCGGGGTCGTGCCACCTTCATGAATGGAGGATCTAACGTTTGGACTCTGAATTCACTGTTGAACTTGGCCCCCACGGTCGTATTATCATTCGGATTGCTCCCAGCGATCAAGAAGTTGCCTTGGGGTGTTAGAGTAATACTGGAATGGTACATACGCGCGATGTCGGTGGTGGGCATTCCCTTGTTGCTGATTCGACGACCGAGGGGGAGCGAAGGTGTGTATAACGAAGGCGTCAAGACTGGGTTGTCCGCATTGGAGTTTCCTATGGGGTCCGCGATTGACTTCACGGCAGCGAACCCAGTGCGCCCACCGTTGGCGATAAGGATCTGTCCGTTCGGCAAGTGCACCAATTCTGGCATGGTTCGACCTTCCAACATGTGTTCAACCTGCCATCCTTGCTTGATACCTTCTTCGGTGAGTTTGATGCGGGAACATTGGGACGAGGCGGGGGTTTGTGAGGAGAGAAGCGAAGGGTCGATGGTGTCTGTTTGTGTTCCTCCGCACACGAGGACTTCGGGGATGAATTGAGGTGGGGAGAGGGGGAGCAATATCGCGGAGCCGTCAATCGGGTTGGTGACACGGACGTTGTTGGGGATGTCGGGGAGGATAGTCTCAGTGTTGGCTTCGATGTCGTAGATGATAGACTGGTTATTGGCTATCATGAATACACGACCGTCAGGGAGAGCAAATACTCTGTTCAAGATGCGTATTAGGGTGAAATGATACAGCGTCGGTGAAACGGAGCATTACCTAGGGAATAGGTTTGCAGGAAGGGCGCGCTCGAGGAAAGCAGACGGCCGAGTAGTCGCCTCCTTTTTTGGGAAGAATTCGAACGAGTTCACGGGATCGATGTTGTAGAACTTCGTGTTGGCGTGTGTGCCCCCAACGATCATAAGACTTCCGTCAAAAATCCGGAGGGTCGAAGCGTACCACCGCCGTTCGAAGAGATGGTGGGTCTCCAGATTTTCAAAGAGGGTGCAGCCTTCACCTGAGGGAGATGCGCATGGTTCGAAGATACGAATGGCTTGGTTGCCGGCTTGATTAATACCACCGCCTGGAGCGTCGCCTCCAATGCTGACCTACAGGTAAAGATGGTGATGAGAGGGATATCCGATAATTAGCACCCGCAAGTATTACCATGGACCCGTTACTGATGAGAGCGCCACTACCGCAGAATGCATTCGACACAACCTCGAGAGGCCTGACGGTACTTGTCCGTAGATCCCAAAGGGCACCCAGTGCGGAATGGTTGTCGATGTGCAAGGGGTCAAGTGAAGGGCGATTAAAGAAGATGGCCAGTGTCGGTGAGACGACTATGGACTCCAGGGCAACAATCCCACTGGTCGATTGTTTGAGATCGAAGCTCCATTGGGGGACGCTCGGAGCTGCAAATACGAGGTTGAGCACTGTCAAGAGGGAGAGCAAACGCCGCATTCTGACGATCGGGCTGGAGATGAGACAGCGTTCTTGCAGCCCTCACCTCCATCCCAGCGACAAATTTATATCCATCTCCATGGGAGGAAGAAGACATGCACCTACGCTGTTGTGGGACGGGAGTCAGGCCCCAATCCATTTAGCGTGTACCCGACGTGCAGTACCCTCTCACCACACTCCCCATCGCTCCCTCGAGCTCACGCCAAGTCTGCCCAATTAACGAGCCAGTATGCAATCATGGGCAATAAAGGCTCACCGTGATGTCAAAAAGCCAAAAAGTACCACGCCCATGGGTTGAGTTCCACCCGGGAGAATGGAACTGCGAGAAAGAGCAGGAGAGGCGGTGCCTAGGATGCCCCCTCGGAAGAGGTGCTCGCTGTTACCGGTGAGATTTTGAACAGCTTTGAACGCAATGTTCCCAAAAATCCAGGACTATTTGTAAGAATCATCATCGGACCTCAACATCATACACCTTCAGATTCGGGACCCACTTCAGTCTATTGACTTCAGGCCGCCGTGCTTGTGTGTATTGCCGCGTTTGCACGTTTGCAAAGAGAACATTCCTACTCGCTGTTGACTCACGCTAAAACTTTGTACTTGACATTGCGCTGCAGCACTACCTGTGGGTGTATGGATCAATTTCACGATCAGCGAACGCCTAAAATTCTCACCCAAAAGACTGAGGCAGTTGAAGACCTGATGTGAATCTTCAATCGCCTCAGTGGATAAGATTAGGCCTTTAGAAAGCGACTTCGGTAGACAAATAGACTCCAGCGCCATCAACGCTAACAGAGTTACGAATGTCCTGGGTCACTAATTTATATCTGTGTAATGTTACAATACATGCTTGCGTAGTTGATGAGGGTATAAAGTAAATATGCAAAAGCGAAATAATAATTATCACGAAAATCGAAGAGGTACTTATCCTAGCACCTTTTTAATACCCTCCTTCTGTGCGGGCGTGAGTCGGTCGGGGAAGACGACATCCCACTTGACGATCATATCACCCTTCTTCTTCACGCTGCCCTCTTTCCGCACAGGCATCCCCTCGTTCGGGATAGTCGTTTCTTGCCCGGGCTTGACGATACCAAGTGGTATTGGTACTTGTATCTTGCGCCCGTCGAGCGCTTCGACAACCTTCTTCCCTCCGCCGCCCGTCAGCGCTTCTACCAGCGGCAACGTCACCTTGCAAATAAGGTCGTTTCCCTCCCGCTTGAACACATCGTGTGGTTTCTCTTCGACGACAAATACGAGGTCCTGTCCTTCGCCTGTGCTAGGCTGCTCGTTGCCAGCGCGAGGGAACCGTATTTTGGTGCCGGATTTCCATCCGGGTTGTACAGCGATTTCTAGGACCTTGTCTTCGGTGGTGCCATCTAGCAGTCGACGGCCAACTTTAAGATGTTTGGTAATGCCGGAGTAGAGCTCGTTTAGGGAGACTTTAAGGGGACGGGTGATTTCTGAGGGGCCAGCATCTGGGCGGGTGGATCGTGCTGAGGGCCGTGATTGGTGAGTCCTAGCACCACGGGGCATTCCGCCGGGCATACCGCCTGGCATTCCGCCGCCCATGAAGTTAAATGTCGTGTGTCCGCCGCCCATATCGTCGTCTTCGTCCTCGAACGAGTTCATACCACCCATGCCGCCCATACCCCGCATGCCTCCAAGGCCGCCTCCCATTCCGCCGAAACTGCTGAAGAACTCCCTGTGGCGAAGGTGAGACTTTCGTCTATACGGATGGAAGTGGAAGGGATGTACGTACTGGAATATCTTGTTGGGGTCAGTCGGACTGAATCCCCCTCTTCCGCCTCCAGGGCCTCCCGTGGTGAACGTGTACGTCGAACCTCCAGGGAAGCCGCTGAAACCTGAGAATCCCCCAGCTCCAGGCCCACCGGCACCGGGTGCGGGTCCTCCTCCTTTGAGACCTTCCTCGCCGAACTGGTCGTATACCGCGCGCTTGTTCTTGTCACTTAGGACTTCGAAGGCTTCTGAAACCTGTGAATATACCAAGTTAGCATCACATTTCGAGGGAAGCGGCGATGAGAGAAACCCATACATACCTCCTTGAACTTCTTCGAGGCCTCCTCTGAGCCTCCGTTCCTGTCAGGATGCCATTTCAAGGCCTGTAAAACAAACAATCAGCATCAATGATTCGACCTGGAATTCATGGGAACACAAAGTGTATACATACCATTTTCTTGTAGGCCTTCTTAATTTCCTCGTCGGTAGCTTTCTTATCGACGCCCAATAGTTTGTAGTAGTCGGTACCCATGATGAATTTCTAATGGGAAAACTGAGATGGTGGTGGTAGTGAATCAAGAGCGGGGAGTCAGAATGAGGGCTCGGAGCTGGTTATATTCCTTTTGCCTAGGCCGTAGGCGATTTGAGCACATTCTGTCCGCATTATGATGATTCTAGTCGCTTCTGGAAACGTGACATGACGTCGCACGGCTTCACCTTCCATCTCATTCTCCGACAATCTCCGCCCAAACCTAAGTATCGCGTGACTTTACCCACGCTCATCGTCCATAGGGATCGGACTTTGCAATCGAGCTCTATGGGATTGAAGGCTTCACAGTATGGGAATAGACCGGAAAAGACTTAGTATTAGCCTATTCGGAGAGACATATAGTAGATATTGGTGCCCTCTGAGCCACGTCCGATTTCTTGTGGTTCCCGTGAACAATCGAGGGGAAAGTCGATGAGGAGGAGACACTCCTGACCCCTAGCTGACCCCAAAATTAGGCGCTTTTCAAACAACTCGGAGGTAATCCCGACGACGAGCACACCTTCGAACTTGCGAGCGGGATGTCCACAGCAACGCCGAGACCCAGGAACGGCGACGTGAACGCACGGGCCTTGCGCGATGAACGACCAGACTCCATGATTCGCAGATCGTGGCACGCAATGACCGACATTCTGTCGCCCTTTTCCTCCTCAGCGCTCGCTTCGCTTCCCCGCCTCCGACGCCCCGTGCGCTACCACCGCGCCGACGGGATCCCAGAGACCGAACAAGACGACAACGGGCAGTGGCCCACGGTGCAGGACTACCACGCCATCAGCAGCGCCCCGAAAGTACGAGTGCCGAAGAAAGTGCCGACTCCTGTCAAGGTCGAAGCCAAGGTCTGGTTTGCGAATGAACGAAGTGAGTGACTGCGACGACGGCTACATTGGATTCACTGATGCTGTGGACTGCGCAGCGTGGGTGGGGTGGCTGGACCTTTCGATAGTGATAGGAACACTCGCGTTGGCGCTGCTCAATGCGTCTAAAGACCCAGTAGCGCGCAATTTTGCGTATGTGTATGCACTCATCAGTGTCGGCGTTCTGGTGCGTGCTTTCTCTTTACCGGGGGTAGTTCAATTCAATGACACTTCTCCTAGATCTACGGATACTCGCTGTACCAGCACCGTATCTCCATGATACGGCGACGGGATCCAGGGCATTTTGGTGCGTGGTGCCACTGTAGCACAGGGCTACCTACTGACGACGCCAATGGCAGACATGATCGCTGGGCCCGTGGTGGTGAGCCTGCTTCTGTTCTTCGCGGTTCTAGCCAATTTTGTCATCCGTGGTAAGTTTCACAACGTGTTGTTGATGCTCTGATCTAACACCGGTTGGTCTCTATCAGTACGCGAACTGTAAGGACGTCGATTACTTTGCAGTCGTGATGGTCGCTAACTGGAAATTTGCCATTGTAGCAAGGAGAAGAACGTACCGATTCCAGGGGCCGACCTGCTTCAGATGTTTTCGAGAAATGTATCAGCCAACTCTACCATCGTTCCACGTCCGTTTGCGTAACTCTTCCTCCCTGTCTATCCATGTGAAATACGAAAGATCTAGTTGATATCTACTTACACCAGGATCACAGGTTACGCAAACGTTGAACGTGCCGGGATGAGTGTCAGAAACGAAACGTTGCACTACGAGATTTGACTTGACGGCGGTTGGAACACAACAGACCCAAAACCAGCCTCCATTAACTGCTTATACACAGTGCTCAACTTTCGCTTCGAATGCAATTCTTGCTTCGGCGCGTACCAATGGGTCAGGTATATGTAGCGCCTATCATCAATAAGGAGCATGTCACCATTGGTGAGATTGACCCATCGTATTCAATCAATTCGAAGTTGATATTTTCGTTCGGAAAGCTGAACCCGCGCTGCAAACCTTTGAGTGTGAGCATCCTGCTGAATCCTGATCATACACATTGATTCGATGTGTCTTGTCCCGTCCTCCCGTCCACACCGTACCAGGAGGTATCTGCTAGAAATGGTATGGCACGTGCAACTAGTTTCGCACCCTTGTACTCCGAATACTCCGACGGCGACGCCCGACCGATCGACTGTAACACCTATATTGTCGCAGTCGTTTACAATGACTCGATGCCATGACCCATGGACCATGACGCCTCGACGCCAGCGCTCAGTGCGGAGCCGTGTCCGCGCTCGCACTCGGACCTCGTTTCTCTCCGCCTTCGCGTACCTGCACGCTATCTGTCGACTGACGGGTACTCTGTTTCACATACCGGGGATATCACTGCAATTGTCGTTGTTGGTGGGAAGACCGTGTCTCAAGTACTGTGCGTGTCGAGCATTGTATTATCAAGCACGATCGCCGTCAAAGTCCGGACCATCCCCGTTAATTTGCAGATACGGCGCAGAACACGATATCTTGGCGCATCAATGCATCATCCTTCAGTCCGAGTTGGTGTCGTTTCACGCTAGTGGCCCAGGAAGTGGTGGTTGCCGCCACTAATTGTGTACGGGAACAATTGCTACCCAGTGGTTTGCTTTCTCACCTAGGCCGTGCTCATTAATACCGGCCTAGCATCGCTGGCGAGTGCATTTCATGATCATTCATTTTAGCTCAATTCTTATCGTTTGGATTGTTGGCCTTGCAGGCGCGCGGTTCAGCTCACCCCGTCGCCACCAGAAAACACGGCCGCCGCGCTCCAAATATCTAGCCCGATATAGCTTCGTCTCGAGCTGGTGCATTCCTGGCCTCCACTAGCTATCTTTATGCTGGTCGGATCGTTGTGGGCGATACAATAACGCGTACGCCCTTATCAGATCAAAACGCTCATATCGATGCATCAGGGCGCTTTACTCCCGAACAAGTGACGCCGAGTCCCGACTGAATGCGGGAATACGAAGGGGCTCTGGCAACCGTCACTGCTGCGATCACCATGTATGGCTAATGCTCAGGCACATCTCTCCCAAACGGCATCTACCCGAGATTCTGGCATTTGGGATGTGGCGAATTGATTTCGAAATGTATTACCCCAAGACTCTCAAGAGTCTCACTGCACCCGCGAACATGCCTACCCGCATGGCTGTTCAGCCCTGATGCATTCCAGACCCCACCGCTTTGAAACATGCGACTCGCGACATCTATCACCGTGTAATTGAAGGTGTGATCGATGACAAGCAGCCAAAACGTATTCCCGGCTGTAGGGTAACGTAGTTGTAAGGCTCATCGAATTTGGGTTCCTCCCGATCACAGGCAGTCGCGTTCCTGGACGCAAGTTATGGAAGTGGGAAGTACCTTCCCGAAGAGCACACACAGGCACCCACAGTGGCCTCGATCTCATATCGGTGGCTCGCACTATGTCTTTTACAGACCCGATAGCACTCACTTTCTATTAGTAATTCAGGCCTTACCGAACTCGAGTACTCCACGATAGCACGGATCATGGGCATACCTGGGCTGCAACCTGGGCTGCATCCATCCTGTAGCGCCGCCCGGCCCACGTCTTGGTTTCGCTTCAGTCCATCCAACGCAGGCTTAGCCGTCGGTAGGTGCCGTAGCCGCTTGGCGGACACCTGCCGCCGCCGTGACAAGACTGCGGCCAGCTGACGCGCTCATGGGAACAAACGGGCTGTTCAAGTATACAATCGCTATCTCTGCATTTCCCCTAGGGTGGAGAGGGTTGGGTATCCGAAATGTGATTCCTATCTTCTCGGGTTGCTTAATATGTCTCTAGTCGGTCCGACGTTGGTGAGTCGTTGATGATGAATCATGCATCATATCGTATATTGCGCGAGTAGAATATGTAAGTGTGTTGCCCGCAACCGCGCAACCACTACCCTTTCCGTGCGTGGAATGATGCCTCTGACCACTTACATTGCCACGCCAACCCGTGCCGGTTTTGCCCCATGAGATTGGATCATAAAAGTTGAAAACATTCCGTCGTTTGACTGTAAACTGAGTGGTGTAGACAGCATTTCCCGAAAGGGCTCATCGCCTCCGAACACATGCCTCGAGGCACGCAATTCGCATCAGGTCAACCTCACATGTCGCCGTCATAAGATCACTCGAGCACTCACTGCAAGCCTTAACAGTAACATGTTCGACATTCCGTACCCCTGGGCATATGTTGGATTTCTTCCAAGGCCGAGTAGCTGGCACCCAATGCGAATAACGAGACATGATATGATTAGTCCGAAAATTATGATGTATCTAAAATAGACAGTAGTTACACAGGTGCCTATACTACGGAATGTCAGAGGGAATTGCTAATACAGATGAAATGGATGGGGCCATCATCAACCTAATCATATAATTATACATAAATAGTCTTCCTGGGATGATCAGAGTGTCGCTTGGCGGTCCACCCTAACGTCGTTCGCAACGAAAGTGAGGTTAACGATCCTTCGGCTGTCGACGTATGGGTCAGAAGACAAGGATTCGATCCTGAAAGAGATGGTCAGGTTCCTTTCTTGTGAGTAGGCCTCGAATTCTGGACTAACCTGACTGTAACTGTCTTATGTCGTTCAAACTCGGCAGGTTTGCTCATGCCTGGCAATTGCTTCTGTATGCCACTGATAACGTACACTCCCCAAAAAGATCCGTCCTGGTAGGGATACAATGAGCGGCCCGTACATAACATAGAAATAATGACGGGTACTAACTCTATTTGTCGTCGGGTCTCCGGGTGCAGGGACGGCCTGATGCCAGTGGACCTTCAAGCCGGTGGATGAACCTCGTCGCATGGCTAGCACCAATTGCTTGATGCTCTCGCGATCAAGAGGCGCGCCATTTATCGTAGCTTTCAAGTTCTTTGCGAATGTCGACTCGATGGCGCGAAGGCACATGTCATCGTTAGGTGCTTCAAAGACATCATGTATGTGTTGTTTCGACCAGTCAGAGAGGGTGGACAGCGAAACAGTGGTTGTTGTCGTTCGTGATTCGAAGGCAGAGGATTGTATTAAAGACATGATGAAGTGCGGGGGAGGATTTCTGGGGGGCGTAATGACTCTTTCATGGCGGAGACGAGCCTCCTTTTCTACTCTCTGGAATATCGCGCCGATAGATCTCGAGGAACGAGATATTGACTAGACCAAGTCGGAGTATGTCTTGAAAATACGTCAATGTCCGAGGTACAATATTACAGATGGCACGTATGCCCTAAATGAGCGGAATCGGTGGAACTCTATTGTTTGTGTGTCAGGTGAACGTGGCGGTGTTCGCAGCGGTTGCTGGCAGGGGTCGGGCTGTTCAGAGCGATTAGTTCGCGAGTTTGGTGCGCCAAAGACCAAGGAGAAACGAACTATTGATTGACCCATTCTTCCTGATGCGGACTGCAAACTGGTGCAAGATCTCACATGATGACGACAACGAGCGCCTAATGCCCACTCGTCTTCCCCCAGAATAATTGACTTACTCGGACGGGATTGTCGCGAAGTCTACGAAGTGTCGTTATGTGAGCCTTCATTAATATAGATCGTCGTGGAAGTGGAAGAGAACCCGTGCTTAAGCTCCACACTCAGGTAATGCCATAAGTTCAAGAGCCTCTTCGTCTACATCTGTCTGATCGAGTGGCAAGATCGAGCCCCAGAATGAGGGTGCCAGTCCAGTCTGGCGCGAAGGGTCGGCCATACGCGCGACTTTGCGAGGACCCGGCAAGCGGTTCCGAGGGGTCATCAATGCATAGGCGGGATGGGAGTGATGGCGAAATGTCACTATTCCTGGCGCGCCCGCAACTACCGAGGAGCATGCATGTGTCGATCCCATGAAAGCCAGGTAGTATTCCCAGTGAAATAAACGTGTGCTCAAACCGTCGGCCTTAGGTCGGAGAATGCCCACACGGACGAAATACCGATCGACAGCCAACGCATGTAAGATGTCGATCGTAGTCGAGAGGTGCTCATACAGAAAGAGAACGAAGGCACAAGTTGGCCGCACATCGATCGACGGGTGGCGGGCATAGCGGCGTACACTTTACGTTCGAAGATACAGGGATCGTTGTTACGGATGTGATAAATGACATACCTGCAGCGGGGGTGTCACAGAGGGCATCAATCGACCTCTAATATTTTTCGCATACGGCGGTGATCGTGACGGAGATGAAAGATTTGGAATGGATCGATGGTAAGCCAAAGTTTCTGCATGTAGTCATTCATCGATGTCCATCGGGCAACATAGAAAAGAAGCAGTGGCACAGTCTTCAGGCTCCTACGTAGAGGCACTCTGCAATTCGGTAGCGCTTGCATCGGTAGACGGGAGCACTTGACTATCTTCCACGTTTGCCGTGTGAGTTGCTGTCGCGTCGTTGGGTAGCGATTACAGATATATTGGATGCTGCTGGAAGGCTCGACTATTCGGTTTCGCACGAAGTTGAAGAAAAATACGCGACACCATCAAGTCACACGAAGACAGGGGTTAGGAGCGCTTGTTCCTCCGAGGGAGACTGAAGAAAGTGACGAAGCGAAGTAGTAGAGTCACTAAAGACAAGAGCCACTAACCGATGAGCGCAGATGAGTACGCATCAGCCATGGATACCTTCAATTCTGGAAATCATGCACTGAGATTCAGCAGTGAATCTCTCCCGCGTAGAAGATGTAGCATAATTGACACGCTTGAACGCTAGTTTCTGGGAAGGGACGTCACGAATGTGAAACGGTCCCGTCAGTGGTGAGCGAATTAAGCAACTTGTCATCGACGCTAGAGGTTCCCTCCACGCGTTGGTGGCTAGTAGATGGAAAAGAGGGTAGTGCCAAGGCATGTTTCCGGCCAATCAAATCTCACGATTGCTGAAGGGTGAACCCGAACTCACCGACATCGAAGACGAAGCAAGTGAGTTTGGACGGGCGTATGCACTTCAACCATCTTCCACGTAGATTCAGAAATTCGTTTGCCTGGGTATAGTAGAAGGGTGGTTTCGTCCGTCGTACCCACGTGGAGGGCCACCTGGTGAAGAGGTCTCACCTATGCGTCACCGAATCCAGAAATTCTGCTACTCTTGTCGCCGCCATGAGTGACCAACTAATGTGTGCAGAAACGGTGGATCGATCACCTATATGCGCCCTTGCTACCCTTGCTAGGGTCTTTTTTCTCGGTTGGATCGGTACGAATGCCAGGTTCTCTGTCAAAGGCTGCCATCCTGGTCGCTGCTGGAGTTCGAAGACTGACCACGCCGTCAATATATGCATGGAAATGAAATGAAAGATTAAAAAAAACCTCGCCTCCGCAGAGATCCACTGCACAATCGCGAAATCTACGTTCAGATTGCCCCGCATCTGACGCGAGCTTCTACAAGGCGTTGATTAAATCTATCAGTGGCAAATGATGCTACGTGTCGAATAGGGATACGCAGGGATTGAAATAGGGCAGTGGTGAGCCTTGTGTATGTAGCGCATTTGGCAACCACTCACTAATTTTCCCATTCTCTGCCTTCAAGCAAGATTCAACGCGGTCAGAGTGAATCGAAATAAAGACGCGTCAAACTCCGCGTAACGGGGTGTCAACGACTGTGGCGAAACCCACGCTTCGAGCGCAAGGAAGGGTGGTCTTCTATGAAGATTCGAGTCGTTCATTTTCTGAGCTCCCTGAATGCAACATGACGGTAGCAGTCAGAGTCTCGGAGAGAAGGTCGGACAGGCTAAGGACGCGCCTTGTCACAATTGTCACGCGTCGCGATAGAAGGTTTGTACCAAATATCAGCAAACACCAACGGTGGGACGGCAAGTCTGAGTGAAATTTGAGTAAAAGGGACTAGACGCGCCCTGGCACAGTTACAGGCGTCTCACACTCGGATACCAAAATGCCCATGTGAATTGTTGGGTAAGATTAGTCGCTAACAAAGTATTCTACGCAGCGCGGTTATTTCTGTCATAAATTACGGGTAGATTAGCCCCAGAACCCTCTCCCAAACATCGGCAAACCCAACGCTTGCAGAGAGCCCGTCCGCGCGCAACAGACTTACACCAACCGCAACGCCGAGCAGTGCACTAAAAACACTCAACATCACGGCATTCTTCCTCCTCGCACTACGCATACTCGCGAACCATGGCTCGGCCCCGACAGCAATGTAGTCGCCCCACACGGGCTTGCGGAGCATCCACCAGAGATAGGATACCGGCCCAGGGAAGGTCGCGACAATCCTGGGCTTTGCTTCCAATTCAGATTTTGAGCCTTCGTCGTAGTTGTTTTGGGATTGGTAATACGAATGACACTCCGTCCAGACAGAGGTCGCGAGACGGCGCTGCAACCATTCATCATACTTGTTCGTAGCAGCGTCAGTTACCTCGAACGACTTGGCCTTGCCTTCTAGTATGGGCTGGAGCAGTTGCACGGCGAGATTTATCTGTGGATTATTAATTAGCTTATGTATTCAAGCTGGATCGCACTGTTTACGCATACCTGAGCCTCCTCGGTGAAGATGACAGACGCGTGCCCTGTCGCCGTGTTGGGTCCTTTGTTTAACCGTTAATTCGCGCACAACACATTGCAGCAGACACCTCAGTAGTAGAGCAGTAGCAGAGAACAACGAACCTAGCAAGGTGAACACGTTGGGGAATCCAGGGATGCATGTGCCGAGGTACGCAGTGGGGCCACCACGCTCGGCGTAGTACCCCTCCACGGTCCTCCCATTGCGTCCCAGTATATTCATATTGCCCATTTCCTATATCAACAACAACACGATCAGCGTTCGGCTCAGTGAACTTGAGATAGTACCAAAAGAGTGAAACCATACGCACTACCACGTATCCAGTCCCGAAGATAATAGCATCTAGCTCGATAACTTCGCCTGTCTTCGTCTTGATTCCACCCTCGACAATCGAGTCGATGCCGTCCCAGTTCACAGTGACGTTAGGCTGCTGGAGGGCATCGAGGTAGCCCACGTCGACGATGATGCGCTTGCACCCAGGTGCTATTTCCGTGAGGTTGTGGCGAATAAATCATGATTTTGGTCAAAACGAGGGATTGAAGTACTGACGATAGGATGGTGTCATCTTCTCGAGCATTTCCTTAGGGAGCTTGGATTTGAGGTACTTGGTGAACCCCTACACACCACACGGTCAATTAACAACCCGAGTCGTGGGGGAGCCGCGTATCGTATAACGCACCTTTCTAGCCTGCTTGAGTACAAATGTATTCTCCTTGCGAAAGGCGAGCGATGCTGTGTCCGACTAGATATCAAGATATTGATAGATCGCAATGAGGGCCACGTAATGCTCAATGGTGAAAAAGTGCTGAATTTACCCTAGCCATGATGATGTTCCTGTAAAGTCGCATTACGCCTGGTACGTAGGCGAATAGAGTTTGCACCCAGCCAGGGTATTTAGAGTTAACCTACACGAGATTCGAGAGTTGATCTGGGTCAGCGATTGGGAGATTGGCAGAATGGACGGATGGCAGAAGTTGGGTTGAGAATAATCACCGCGGGGACGAACCACTGAGGGGTCCTACAGAAATTGACGACTTGCACGGTCGGATCGGCAGCTATTTTTGGGAGGAATTGTGCCCTGGATGAACGATTAGCGCACGTTCCTTAGTAAGATATAGATGCTGGCGTTCAACGTACACGGAGCAGCCGTTGCCAATCACCCCCACACGTTTTCCCTCAAGTACATATCCATGGTCCCACTCCGCCGAGTGCCAAATAGCACCCTTGAACACATCTCTTCCCCTAATCTCTGGAGGATACATCCCCCTCGCAAATCCCCCCATCGCAAACACAATCGCGTGGGCCTGCGTTTCGATCTTTGCACCCGTGATGCTGTCCTCTAAAACAATCCGGTATAGCTGCGCGTCTGCGTCCCAGACAGCACTCTTGTAGAGGGTGTTAAATTGCGTGTGCGCCACCAGACCGTGTTTGTGGAATAGGCCTTCCCAGTAGGCCTGTAGTTCAGGCTGTCCCGCGAAGTAGGTGCTCCAATGCGGGTTCAGCTCCGTGGAGAGGCTGTACCAGTGCCCGGGGACATCTGAGCCGCATCCCTAGGAGGTGTTTCGTGAGTAGACGCGTGCAAACAGGAAGTCTTAGCCTACGGGATAGGTGTTGTCCTGGATAAACGCGTCTGAGCGAGCGCGAGATACTGATTGCGGAGAGGCGCTCACCCTCCAAGTTCCCCCGACATTGTTGGCCTTTTCATAAATCTAAACGCACGGTGAATGTTGAGCAGCAGCAGCAGCAGCAGCGCATCTGATAACAAAGTCCAACCGTGAAATTCTTGCAGTTCAGTTGCTGTTTTAATGCAATACCGGTGGAAATGCCTGCCAGGCTGCTCGAAACGGTCAGTAAGCAGTCGTTATGTAACGGGAACGAAAAGGCGGTTACCCAGCACCAATGACGACCACTCGGGGTTCGTTACTTGTCATTTGCGCGCACTAGAGCTTCGTAGGTGGTGAGGTAGGGGACACTTGAGCTTGCGTATCGCGTTTATAAGGCCCCTGGGCGTATCAGTGGGCGGTGGACACGATATGTCTGCGCAGTCCACTTGGCTCATTCTCGAACTACCCTTTCGGAGATGGGTATAGTACATAGGCGCCCAATAATTGCATCCGGCGACCTCTGGCGCCGGAACCTGGACCGTGTTGCCATTTTGGGCGTGTTCGCCTTGTCCACACCGCACCGTGTCCCTACAGCCGATCTTTCGTACCACCACCATCAGCTTCTCCTCTTTGATCTCTTCTACTCTACTGAACTATCCACTTTGCTGTGAATATGAGGTCCAAATTCAAGGATGAGCATCCCTTTGGTACGCCTCCATATCCGCAGTAGTGCAGCGGAACATGCTGAATGACCTCGATGAAATAGAGAAGCGCAAGGCCGAAGCTGAGAGGATACGACAGAAGTATCCAGATCGCATCCCGGTAAGCTTGATAACTTGCGACTGGGTGCGCTTTACTGAACAGGTTTATTGCGTAGGTCATCTGCGAGAAGGCAGACCGCACTGATATCCCCACAATAGACAAGAAGAAATATCTTGTGCCATCTGTACGCAAGCGCATCTCAGGAACCTGAAGGCCGCTAACCCTATCGTTCTAGGATCTTACTGTGGGGCAGTTTGTGTACGTGATACGGAAACGTATCAAGCTCGCGCCAGAGAAAGCCATCTTCATCTTTGTGGATGAAGTTCTACCCCCCACTGCGGCTCTGATGAGTGCGATATACGAGGAGCATAAGTAAGTTTGATGCGCTCTAGATCGTCTAGCCGTAACTGATTACTCGACAGGGACGAGGATAATTTCCTGTATGTCAGCTATTCTGGAGAGAACACGTTTGGCATGGAAGGATGGCTGGAAGTTCCATCGGATTCGTGATGGCTCGTTCCCGCATGGCTTTGGCGTGGCGTAACGGATACAAGTCGGGACCTCTTTGATCAGTGATGTCTTTGTTCTTTCCACCTGCTTCCCCACAAACTGCTTCACCTGCTGCACTTATACATTTGCCCCTTGAGTTCCCAAGGGTTTGTACGATATATTTTGCTTCTCTTTTTCAATGTGGAATAGATGGTGTTTTATACAAGATCCTTTGGACGTTGCACAACGAACCAATCGGAAGCCCATTGGTATAGCAAACCAATACTAGCAAACCAACACAGTATTACAGGCATGATGACTGGGGATGCTTTAGGCAGGCACTGACTCAGTCGTCCAGACATTCTAGATGACTCGACTTCGTCACCGTGACGTTGAGTGAAGTTCTGTAGTGACAATGCAAATATTCACTGCTCAAGTGCCCGCCGAGCCATTGATCACATCAACTTCATAATGTCAGTAGGTGACCGATGATCTTCGTGCCTGTGTGCAAGCTGTAGGTGAGCATTGTTCTCGTTCTACCGCACTGCTTTGATGCTTCCGAAGCGCAGCTGGTGTACACGCTTCCCGAGTCTCAATACAGCGTTGCGATCACCTCGTGTCAGATTCTATTCTCGGTAGCAGACAGAAATGCCTGCAATATCATCAACTTTGTCCATGACTAGTCTCACCTGCGATCAACCTCGACCGAATCTGTTGCAGGCAAAAGCCCTCGGCGTTGACGTCCATCATCCCCCACACACACTTTCAAGCAGGCCCACGGCTGTGATACGGTAGGGTATTACCTGCCGTTATGTGAGACGTCGCCTCGTCATACTACGCTCATATCAATAAAACGAAACAAGTCCCCGAAAGCCATTATTTCCACTCATCGCGACAATATATCCACCACACTGGGGAGAAACGACACCTCTGTCCTCCTATAGCAGTACAGCATATTAGACTCCACATCTACGTACTCCATGTAATGTCACATATAAATACACATAATCATAATCGTTAGTGATAAATTAAAACATAACCCAGTCGTCCATCAAACGAGTAGAAGACGAGACCTCTTGAGCGGGCCACGCCATGTCACAGGTGCGAGCCATTTCCCATTCTCGGTAACGGTGTCATGATCTTGCCATATTGACTCCAATAGGTTCATAATAGCTGTACAGTTCCCTATGCTGTCCGTGGATTGTTGGCGAAGGTGGTCCTGGAGGAGTTGGCGGCCTTCTTGCTGTGTTACGAAAAGACCGCATATGAAGATAGAGAAGACGGAGCTGCGGACAATGTGACGCTGTGTACGCTCCTCGGTTGGAATGCTTCGGAGAGATTGGAGAAAATTCTGCACTATATGTTCCATGGGAAACACGGAGTGGGCGCCACTCATGAGAGATCGTAGCCATACAATCGTGGCCATGCAGAGCATGTGGGACGTGTACCGCCGGCTCCACTCGCAGCAGCAAGCCGCAGGTTCTGGGTGGCGGTGTCCTTGCGCATGCCCGTTCAAGAGCTCCATAATGAAATCGACATCACGGGAGTGAGCTAGAAACGGGCGAGCCGTCGACGAGAATGCGGATGTCCGGTTCAACGCCCAAAAAATGTCGTTGTGGCAGCCGATGGAATCCTCCATGGAGAGCAAGGGCGGTGATGTTGGGGAGCGCGAGGGATGAAAGATTGTGTCGATTTCGTGATAATAGTGTGGTCTTTGTTGCCGAGTGGCCGACGCAATGACGTCGAACCAGAATGCATTCTTAACGATGAAGATGAAGCTATCGTCTTTGGCGTGAGCTCTGAGGGCATTTTCTACACCATCAGGTGACTTGAAAATCTGGTCAAGATAATCAAACGCAACCTGGAGCCATAGCTGCCAGCCGCCCGTCCCGCCATCAAAAAGGACTGAGGAGACGACTAGTAACGCCGCCATGGCATCCTCTTTCGTATACCGGGCTTGCTTCTTGTCGAGTAAGGCCACCGAGAGCTTACCATATATGCGGGAACTATCTCGGTCGGGGGTTTCCAGAGAACGAGGTTGTCCGCAACGACGTTTGTCCTGATGTACAGCAGCAAGCAATCGGACTGCCTCGTGTATGGTTGCGTTAGTTTGGACAGTAAGATAGATGAGAGTGGCCGTGGCCTCTTTGTCGGCGAGCAGATATTGTATGCTAACGACGCAGGTTAGATAGTGGTTCACAAGGGGATCGTCCAATGCGCGGTTGGACGGCCGAATCGGCCGTGACGGACGTGAGAAATAGGGGATTGGTGGAAGAGAACGGTATCCACAAGTACAAGCCCAGTCTTGCATGGCGGGTTGTCCACGACGCCCTTTCGAAAAGCAAGGGTCGTAGGTAAAGATCGAAGGGACCTAATAGGCATGAACATGAGTTGAACTATGACGCTGAAAATTGGCCCACCTGCTGAGCTGACGGGATGCCATTTGATGGCGAGCGTTGCTGCCGGTGCATCCCCTTCGTTGTAAACGGTACGCTTCCGAAGCGGCAGTCGTTGAATGTGTTGATGTAGATTTTTTGACCACCTTGAACGTCGTTAAACTGAGAATCTCTGATTTCGAAATCGCTGCTTGCGCGGAGGATACCCATAGTGAAGAAATGGGTGACAAAGTCCGAGGCGAGAGCATCTGGGTCATTAAAAGGAGGCGTCCACGCCCCTGCCATGAGGATATTAATCAAGCATTGTATAAGCCCACCGTTGTTGGGAGCTGGGGAGGATGCGAATAAGAGACAAAGTGTCCTGCATATTGGTTCAACCGATCTTCTAGGAGGTTTGGGCACCACGAGGCACTCGCCTTGCACCACTAGAGTTAATCATAAGAGAAATACTGACAATGATATGTGATAACAGGAATAGAAGACTCGTCAATCAGACAACGTGTCAGCTCGGACCTGCAACCGGACCTAAATCTCGAGCTGACACGGCTGGTGGCAGGTAGCAACAAGGCGGCGTTGGCAGCGGTCCGCCGCAAGTGCATGATTTGGTGATAACAACGAGAGCAAGAGGAGGGAGGAACACGTACATGGCTTTGATGTATCAGGCTTGGAGAGTAAAGCAAAATCATGCGGGGCGCAGAGACTTCTACTCGTTTGTGCAGCGCCATGTCTTGACATGTTATGAACTGAAAAGGATTCTTTATGCAGGAGGGAGTTGGGGAGGGGAAATGTACAGGAGCGCCAAAGTCCCGTCGAACACCGCGTTATATAGCCTGCATAGAACCAAATGATTGGAGCCCAATGGAGTCCATAGACGCTGAGATGTCTTGAATTAGCGCGGTGTAGGCACGTCCTTCGCGTTCTGATCGTGTTTGCTCTGACTTCTGTCCAATCGTGTACTACCGTGACGAGTTATAGCGCCTAGGATGTAAACCGAATGCATGCGTTGTGCGAGGAGTTTCCAAGTCGGGGGCCGCGCTTAACGGACAGGTATCAGAAAATGACTTCGCAACATGTTTGAACGAGGGAGAAGAGACGCCGGTAGGCCCCCAAGGTAGGCTGAAGGGTGCAAGCGGATGGATTCGTTGCGGCGCTTCAAGTAGATTCAGAATTCGCTCATGCAGCGAAAGCATGACCTGTACATTTCGATGAGAGAAGCCGTACTGTGTCCATGATGAATATTTACACTTGGGCATGTTAATAACATTAACATCACGAACTAACGTGTTCCAAGTGGCAATACCGGGTGACATTCCGACACCTCGTGCAGTAGCTTAGCATTGCTAGCAGGGAAAAGAAGAGCAGTGCTAGCGAAGTGAGTGACACTCAGCATATGGGGGGTAGTCGATCCGTTCGTGGGACATAATCGGACACGACACCATATGCGATGGGGGTGTTCTGAACTGGCACTCGAGGATCGGATAGAAGAGGCTACTAGTAAAAGAGGGCCAACTTCCAAGGTCAACTGAACGATACGTGATAGGGCTTCAACAGCGTAACGATTGTCGTACAGTTCCCTATGGTGTCTGTCGACTGCTGGAGGTGGTCCTCGAGGAGCTGTCCGTCTTCGCGCCGTTCAATATGTTCATCGTGGGGGACATTTCAGAGAGATATGAGGAATTCATTGACGGTGCGCTTGATGAGGAGACGCCAGGCAATGAGCGACTGTAGCCGTGCAATCGTGGCCATGCAGAGCAGATCCACCACGCGAAGCTGCTGGTTCTCAATGACCCTGTGCATGTTCATCTAGAGAGTCAGGGCGTGGACGTTGCAGGGCGTGGACGATAAAAAAGTGTAATGATTTCGTGATGCTAATGAGGTTTGTGCTGCCGACTTACAGATGAAAATACCAGAATGTGGTCTTGACGATAAAAATCAAACCAGCATCTTTAGCCCGAGTCTGAAGAATGGTTTCAGAGCCGCCCCTGAGGACTCCAAAGCACGAGGTTCTCCGCTACAATCTTTGTCTTGCCGTACAATAGCAAGTAGTCGAGCTGCTGCGAGAAAACGGTTGCGTTGGTTTGCACCGTGACATATAGATAAGGGTGGGCGTTGCCACCTTATTAGTCACGAGATGATATTGATCATTGAGGACGAGAGTTAGATAGTGCTTCACCAGGGGATCGTTCAATACATGGTTCAAAGGTTTGAGGGAGGAGGGAGTGCACATTCAAAGGACTGGCCATATAGCGTGGTCTGCTTGTGCTGCCCTTCCAGAGACTCCACATGTGATTGGTCAACTGATGATCAGATGAAATCACTAATCGATCCTAACGGGGCGTCAGCATGAGGCAGCGTATTGATTGAGAGAGAGAAACATAGCATACTGGATAATCGGACGGGATAGCCAATGTCAAGTTGAGGCTCATTGTTAACGATGTACTGAGTATCGTGACATGACAGTTATTATATGTTTTGTTATTGAAGCGCTGGCGATCTTGAGCATCATTGAGTTGGCAGTTGCTAAGATTGAGATTGCTGCTACCGGAGAGGGTACACATGAGATAGGTAGCTCCCCATGTAGCGTGCGAGTATCGAGCAAGCCTTCATGTAAGCCATCCGTCGATTAGGTTTTGGGAGGCTGTCGGCGATGAGGGGTCGCTGCTACTCGTCAGCTAGGGTGTTTTCATTGCGCGAGGCACTGGAGCCACCATTTAACATGAGGAACACAACAACGATGCTCGAGACACATACTTTGTCATAACTGGCGCTGCGCCGTCCACATCCAAGCACCGAACCAAAACGTAAAGCTGCAAGGCCTCAATTTGCGACGAGAAACACCAGGCATTACTAGGTCAAGGTGGTGGGGGTGGGACCGTATGTCAGTGGGTGCTGTAGGAGCGAGTGAGGCATACTTTCATCACGACGGTAGCCCAAACTAACAGCTGTTCATGGTGTAGGTGAGGTAGGACAGGAGACGGGCCTTTGATGATTCGTAGATGAGTCGAATTCAGAGGTGATGGTTGGCCGGGTGGCCAGGACGCAGAGGCCAATGAGTGAAGGCTCGCCACCGTTTGTTTGGGCAGGATACACGGTCTTGAGGGACTTCTGTTGCGGGACCTTAGAGTTGGGAGGGGAAACACACGAAGGGAGTGTCAATCCTAGGTATGTATACGCCATACTGTAGGAGAAGCGAGGACGGAAGTGGTCATGGTGGGAGCCCATCGAACGCACAGAAAGCGCGGAAATGTCACGGCGTAGGGACGTCCAATGCGGTGCGTTGAACTTTAGCCATTTCTGTAGTGCCATCATGAGATAGCGCCCTGTAAATATACCAACCGTATGGACTGTGTGAGTAACATCCCAGTTTAAGTGCCGCGCTTTGTGGGTAGGGGTCATGGATCGGCTCTACAGAATACGATGTGCCATGTGCTTGACGCTGACAACTTGAAGAGACCACAGTGGATGCGCAAATTACCGTCGAGGTGAGTCGAAGGGGCCACGACGAAAAACGTCCCCGAGTAGAACTGTGGATTCTTTGTCAATGGTCTATGGAATGATCCGTGGAATGAGAACAATGTGCATACACTTACTGGTTCCTATGGGCCATGGCTCCAACGAACGGGGTTCGAATCTGCACTTCATGTCAGGAACAGAATGCGAGGGCATGGTTTCGTTGAGGCTGAGACGCATCATCTGGAATCCGTCCCTACATCATCTCCGCCCCCGGCACCAAACGCGTGTCTGGGTTACCGTGGGGGAATCCAAGAAGGTTCGTTGTTCCTGCAATGGTCCGTATTCGCAAATACTCGAACCCCAGAGCTAAAAGCAGCGAACCGAATGCTAGGCGGTCTGATCTAGATTGAAATCCAGTGCTAGAGTGTGCTTCGTAGGCGTGCACACGGTTGATTCAAGGATGGACAAACGAAGGCAAGGTGAAACACAAGGCTCAACGGGGATGGGTGTTGAAAATAGCACGAATAGTATGCCACGATGCCAGAGAAAGGGGAACATTCCAAAATACCAGAAGGTTCTCTTGAAAGAATACAATTCAAGAATAATGGATGCGAGGTCGCTAACGAGCAAGCAATCGTGATTGTGACGAGAGGAGCGGGCATCATACTTGTTGCGAAGAATTTCAATGAGGAGCCTCTGGAATCGCGGTCTCCAGCATTGCGCCCAGAACACCGCGATCTTTTTTCAGGAGGGCGGGTTTGGGAGTCGGGAAGTCGGGAAGTCGGGAGTCGGGAAGTCGGGAATCTTCCTTTTTTGGGCAGCTTGGTGTGCGCTCGATATCACGTGCCGCTATCCCAGTTCTCCACGAACTTTCACCAAGTCTCCCTCAAAGTCCCCAACCGACCGATGAAATACTTTCCTAGTCGACGATAACTGCATGAAACATCATGAAAAGAACCACGTTGGCTTTTGTTGCGCACTTGGTGCGCTATGTCTCCGGTTTTGATCCTTTGCCTCGGTGTGTGTCGCTCATTCTCGTCGGGGGACCTGCTAAACGATACGCCTCCAGGTGGGGACAGTCGCAAATGCTCGTCGACGAAGCTATCTTCGTATATGGAGGGAAGACCGACGAATTCAACTCGTTTGGCTACACTGGCGCACCGTCAACGAACGAGCTACTCATCCTACCACTCTCTTCGCCATTCTCTGCAGCGGCACCACCTTGGACGCTACTGGCCTCGTCGAACAACGAATCAACGTCACAGGGCCCCCACATCGCTTGGTCTACCCTTTCCCCGGTCAACACCTCCATGGCTCTGCTCCTTGGAGGAATTGCCGATCCCAACTCGGACATCTCGATTCAAACTCGCGCAGACTCGGCCATTCTAATCGACGTATTCAATCAACTGGCACCGACCATCATCGCCCATCCCGACGCAGGGTACGCGAACGAACCGGTGCGGAGGATGCAGCACGCCGCATGCACTGCGCCTGACGGACGCGTCTTCATCATCGGGGGCGTGAGGGCCGATGGATCTGGGAACGCGCTCTCTCAGCATCTCATCTTCGACTCGTCGCTTTCATTCACTTTGCTAGGATCTGACGGGGGACCGCCTGCTATCTACGGACACAGCTGTATCATGCTTCCAAACGGCCATCTGCTTGTACTTGGGGGTCTGTCACCTATCTCTGGGGGCCTCGTTCCTTTCGACACCATCTGGGCGCTCGATACTTTGCGCGTTGATCCGGAGTGGTTCCAGCTCAACATCAGCACGAACGCACTTCCTGTGCCTCGACGCAACTTTGCTACGGCTCTACTTGTCGACGGCCGAATACTGATACACGGTGGGCAAGATGCCTCGGCGCAGGCAGTGTACAGCGACGGGTGGATACTAGATTTGAGTGGAGATGGGGTGTGGGAAGAAGTGGAAGTGCTGAGCCAACTGGGCGCGCGGAGAGACCACTTTGCCGTGGTAAGTGGCAATGAAGTGATATTTGGATTTGGTGAGTCTTCTCTTCGTACACGATCATGCTACTAAATAAACTGCAGGTTACTCTTCTTCTGCGCCCGCTCCTGCTCCGCTGCAAATCTACGATTCTTTGTCGAACGCATTCGTTGCTTCTCATACCCCTCTGCCGTCACCTCCCTCCCCAACGATACCAGGTCCCGTCCAGACGTCCAAACCCGCACAAACGAACACCAATACCAGTGTCCGTCCCACGCGTACCTCTAGCCACGGTGGAGATGATGATGATGATGGTAACGGCAGCGGTGGAGATGGTGGTGGCCACGGAGGCAATGATAACGGAAACGGCAGTGAGAATGACGGCAGCAGAAGCAGCAGTGTGACGGCCATCGCAGTGGGGAGTGCCCTCGGTGCCCTTGGCGTTTTCCTCATCATAGGCGGTGTGATCTGGTACTACCGCAGACAATCAAGGGAGGAGTATCGCAAGGGTCTGTTCGCGCCGCTGGACGACGGGGAAGATGGGTTCGGCGGCTCACCCGGTTCAGGTGTTGGTGTTGGGATTGTGAGTGCTGCCGCCGTAGGCACAGCTGCAGGTCTCCCCTCGGAAAAGGGCGGTCCGTTTATGGAGCACCCCGTCACGTCAATCAACGATCTAGGTAACGCTTCCACAAGGAACCACATCTACAGCAATATCAGCAACGCGTCTTTTGCTACTCCCTTCACACCTTCGCCGGCTTCGTCCCGGTTCTCTGTGAACCAAGGCAGTGATGGGGTCGTTGGGGCGGTTGGCCGCGGCGTTGGTACGGTGACATCGGTTGTCGGCGCGGGTGTTGCGTCGCTCGCCGGTCTCTTGGGACTGTCGTCTGCCCACCAAAGAGCGCATTACGCGCGCGGGGACACGAGGCCTCCGCCGAGTGCTGTGCGCATGCTGCCAGAGCGACGGGACATGCTTTCCGACGAAGATACGCGCGAGTTCGCATACCCCAATCCCAGTCACCGGCGATGGAGGAGCGGCGCCAGCAGCGAGAGGAGGCGTGCTTGGTTTGACTATGAGCGGAGGAGGGCGGATGGGAGTGCAGGGAGTGCATGGAGTTTGCTGAGCATCTTCGGCGCCGGTGCGCGGAGCCGTGAACCTAGCCATGGCGGTTCTAGTTTGGTGAGCAGCCGGGTAGCCACGCCGTGGAACGAGAAAGGCGATCCATTCGACGGTGAATGGAGGAGTGGAAGTGGAAGTGGGTACGGGGAAGAGGGATATGTTTCTGTGTTCACTGACAACGCTGCGAGCGGGGGGTCGAGGCCAGGAATGAGGCGCGAGTATAGCCATTCCAGTGCGCCGAGCAGGAAGAGTAGTCTGCGATATGTCGACCCATTCGCGGATCCAGCACCGCGGGAGCCAGACAAGAACAGGGATTTGGGCGGGATAACACTCAGTGGGGGTGTTGCTGTTCTCGGTGCTCATGCGTTATCCGGGCCCAATAAGCAACAAGCTAAAGATGGCCATGCGCCTGAGAATGGCGGCGAGCTCGGCGCGCCCGATCTTCAATTACCCTCGATCCGGACCGTTCTCCCTTCTTCCCAGATGTATACTCAAACGCTCAGCACGCTCAGCGAGCAATCCTCTCACCCATCTCTTCAGTCGCCTACCCAGCATGCACTCGAACGTACAAACTCGCCGTCGGCATCCCAGTCAGCATCCCACCTAAGCGACAGCGCCCAGCTTTCTAGATCTCGCGCAGATAGTTCCGCATCATCAAATCAGCTGCTCTCTTCATTTGATCGACCGTCATCTTCTCATACATCATTCGGCGCTCACCAAGCTGTTCAGCAGCAGTCCTCGCCCTCGGATACTCCGTCGACTGCAAAATCGCAGCAAACATCGTACTTCGGTGCGAGGCCGTCATCCATCCTTGATCCGCCTACTAGTCCGACTATGTCGACTACGCTAATATCGTCGGCGCCTACGCAACCGCTTCGCCGAAGCGACACATGGTGGGGAAGGTTTGCTCGCACAAGGTTCCTAGACCGCGGGAGCAGCGATGCCTCGAGGAGGGGGCCCTCCAGTGGACTGGTTGATATCAGAGATCCGAACCCCCCGCCGAGGCTCAATCCCATCGAAGAGAATCAGCACTCAGGTAGTGCGACTAGCGGCGGGGCCGCCGGGGCACACGAGAAGGCTGAGACGCACGTTCAGGGAATACACAATGGGAAGAGCACGACGTCCTTGCAAACGACGCGGACGATGGACTCGGAAGCGCTCGAACGATTGGGAGGCACGATGCAAGTTGTACAACGCATCCGTGATGCCAGCGGAAGTGCCGACAGTGGTAACACATCATTCAGACGACTCTCCCGCGTCGATACACTGTCGAGTAATGATAGCGGCTACGACGCCGACGTTGCAGTCTTAGCGGGCATGTTTACGAACCGGTCACCGGAGGAAAAATTGGAGGACGTGATGACCCCCCTGGCGACATCACCAATGCAATCCCCCAATTCCCCTGGTGCCCATTCATCCCCCACTAAGACTCCCTCCACTCCCAGCTCACGGCCGCCGCCACCAAGGCTAGCACCAGGTGGGAAAGTTGCATCACGCGTAGCAGCCTACGAACGCCGAATGTCTCAAGACGTTGACAGCCCGATAGCTTCTCCTGTAGGCGTGAAGGAAGACAAGACACGACGCAAACACGTTGACTACGGGCTTGCCCCTCGCCCGAGTTTGTTCGTGACAAACCCAGATTCCCGGAAGGGCTCGACAAGCGACTCGTAGAACCCGTCGTCCTTCAAATCCTGCCCGCAGCCGCCTTGCGGACGCGTTCTTCCATTACTACATTTAGATCCAGATCTCCTCCATCTTGCTTTCTAGCCCCTCCTTGTAACCGTATAGAAGCTGTAACAGCTGCCTGCTGACCTCTGAGTTGCCTTTACTTTCCCGATTGTTCATTTTGTTTACTGATATCTTTATGACATTTACGACCCTTCACGATGTTCTTGATTCATCTACCTTTGGCCACCTTTTACACACGCACCGGACCCGATCCTTACATTGGACCATTTTACTGCTGTTATCGCCTCGCCTAGCCTCGCGGGAACCATGTTGTATCTCTTTTTGTAATCATTCTTTGACATGTACAAGGTTTAATTTATCAATCTGAGCTGTATCTACATCACTGGGCGCTTTTTCGAAGCACTATTGTTATTATAACGGAGAGTCTGGGACCCTAGAGCCCTAATTCGTGCCCCGGAAGTCGCATGGATTAGCATGGAGGATGCTCATGGTCCAGCGGGGATGAGACGATTCTCGTTGACTATTTCAGCCGAGGAAACGATGCCCGCCTGGGCCTATTGCGTATACTGAGAAGCCCCACTGTTCATTTGAAAGGAGATTACGCCTCAGGCAAATACAGTTTAGTCGAATATGAAAAGACGCGGCCGCAATGAGCTGATTAAGACATGAAAGCCGTACGTTCAGCATGCGGTCTTCTATAGTTCATGACGGCCTCTCGGTGAAAGAGTGTCGGGATGGCATGGTGGCTACCGCTTTGTGGCTGGAAGATCGTTTAGCCAGTCTTCGTAGTTAAGGTACGCGAACCTAACAAGACAACTGCCACGAACTATGCGCAAATAGAGGAAGGTCGAATTTTGCACTCAACTTGAGAACCATTATGATTAATGGATGCCGACCGACTTGTTCGAGACGGATCATGCAGCACCAGAAAGCAAAGTCGCCAACGATTTACCCGGCGGCTAGAAGTCCTTCCACGAGAAATAGATGCCTCTTTCATCGTCTTCAGCAGTAGTAGCCTTCAATAAATTGTATTCGCCGGGGTCGGGTCGCGGCTGTGAGAGATGGCGAGCTCAAGTAAGCACAAGTCCAAGAATCTGAAAGTATGCCTTACATTAGAATGGCGTGTCTTGTTCTGAACCTAATCGACGTTAGAAGTTGATCTGCAAAAATGCTTCCGTGCATTGTTTCGAATGATGTCCTGCTCGTGGGGTTGCCACCGACGCCACCGACGAGGCGACGACGGGTCTTGAGGCGGGAACTTGTTTCGGGCAATATATGCCGCATCATTCACCAACAACTAAAGTGGTAGGTTAGTTAGGACCGACGGGGCAAACTTGCCCGCACCAAGTCACTATCTGTCCTGGATGGAAAGCGGCCCTTCCATGCTGACAGATAGCAGGATGATTATTAACGCGTCCGAACTTCGTCCCATCGCTGGGCTTGCGAGCTGAAGAAATGAAACGAATGAGGGATGCCACATTGCAAAAGAACTCACCTCTGAGGGCGAGTGAAACACCTTGATTGATGGCAAGGGCGACATGACATGTTCGGTGTAGAGCGCCTCAAACTCGCTGAGTTCTAAAGCGATTTACCTCCAGCATACCCCGCCGCTGAGATCGCGCTCAGAAGGTTTTGACAGCTTGTTCGCGTCCACGAAGCTACATCGAGCAGATTCTAGAAGCAACCAAATTGACGTTGTGTCCAAGTCCAAGGACCGAAACGCGTACGTGTTTGCTTCTTAGCCTGCTCGTGGGTCCATTCAGGCATCCATCTACTCGCCAACAGGAACATTCAGTCAAAAGAAAGATCACCTGGCGAGGGTGAAACGTCGTAACCTTTTTCTGTCTTCGTGCGTGTATGAAGAGAAGCATCAGCCACTAAGTTCTGTCCGGTATTGTGGCGAGGGCATGCTTCGTCGTATCTCGGACCCACCAACGGTGTTCTGCATTGACATCTCGGGCCAACCGTTGGTTTTCCTTGTGGCCCCAGGCTTCTAAGGCTTCTCTCGCTCACAAGCTGTTTCTTCAAAGTTTCACCCCACAATGGGTTGATCGGGTAACATTCGGGGATAAACAACGTTCTGGGGTGGAAAACACCCTTTGGGTCGCCCTGCAGTCCGTTCGAGGGCCGCGACGTATCAGGCCCTGGTTTCCACCGTACTACCGTGGCCCAGAAAATCAGTTCTTGCCCTTATATTTTGTCCATACTGAATGGGTCGGCACTTCTTCTCGATATAGATAGGGAATGGTAGTTGACAGCATCATGGAAGGGGGGAGGACGAGATGGGTATCGTTTTAGATAACCTCCGTATTTTGCCTAGTCTGATAGCCACCAGTAACAGCATGCCGTACGACTCACCTTACAGCAACCAGACGTGCGGCTCTTTCCCATTCTCCACAAGGCAGGCGCCAAAATAAGATGAAACAATTTTCGAATATGCAAGTCCCCGGGGGCTTCAACCATAGACCCTATCATCTGACACAAGCGCTACAAATCGAACGCCCATAAATGGGCGTTTCTGCACAGCTTTGTTATCTGAGTATCGATCGCAGGATTCTCGGGATTCCACCTAGATTAAACAGCACTCGGACCGAGGACAATGTCTTCGATAAGTAGCGAACTTGAATACAGGTTTCAATTTGCAGAGATAACGCTTTATCAAGCTGCCTCGATTTCCGCGATCCATTTGTTGGCCTCCTCGGTATCAGCTTTCTTCAAGATCTAGAAACATATCCGTCAGGCTAAAGATTCGAAGGACGTCGATGGGTGAGTCACCTCAATCAGTTTCTCGACGTATTGGGCCATGGCATCTTCCTTGGACAGGCCCTTGACAGAGTCCCAAGCATCCCTAGAAAGGAAGGCCGACTCATCAACGAACGAGGCGACTCATCAAAACGCGGCTGCTCACCACTTCGCTTTGCCTGTAAAGTCTAGCATGCCAGGACGGGGGATGTTGACATCGCCGACAGTAGCTGTGTTGCGCCAATGCGTCAGCTGTACGTGTATACGACTGATCCTTTGGGCTCACCTTGTTTGTAGAGCTTGTAAAACTACAGCCATGGTTCAGTTGACAATATAATACTGCTACAGGAACACGTACGTTGAGCTGATCATCCTGTGTGGGCTTAATCGGTCCATCCTTTGGAAGGCTCTGGACGATGCTGACGGCTTTCTCGAATTTCGCAGACATGGCTGTGGACGTGCACTACTGATGAGAGGAGATTGGCCAAATCGATCGAAGCCGTCCTAATGGCACATGCCCAAAAGCGGAAACACGCCCCCTATTCAATCTCTATCACTCATGATCGCCGACTGTCGACTACAGCCCCATGTAATCTCGAAAGCTGCGATGTCTAGGCTTCTCCCTTAGACCGAGGCACAGTATTCCTTAGTGACCACTACAGAAATAGATTTGAACCCGACATAAGGAGCATTCGGAGGATCGCTACTTTCGTCCACTGGGATATGTACGTGAGAGCGCAGCACGAATTCAGGGAGTCATAGATTGCGCAAAGTACGAACGTTTTTGTTTTTTGGAGGAGAAACTTCCAATCGCCGTGATGCAAACTGCACAATCGTGTCTCCGGCGCTAGAAGCATCGGGCAGAGACACTTGGGCAATATTTTATCCGAAGGAAGTGGGAAAAAAAGAACAATCCAAGCTGAAGATTCTGTCCACTGCTTTGACATCCTGGGAATAGAGTAATTAACACCCACTCGTATGCCTTCTTCACACCGCGTCATACAATAGCCACCTATCACAATTAATTGAGTATCGCCTTCGGAGGTCGTATATACTCCATTGTAGCCTGAAGCAGCTGCGTACTATCATGAGGATAAGCTGCGTGCGCCTTCCGCGAGGCCAACAACCCGAACAGTGAATAGGACATGAGGTCGGGGATTCCATCGGCTTCGAAAATGCGTGCTGCGGTACAAAGGAACATATCGACACCATTCTGTCAGATTCGGTATGAAGTACACATGACTTTGCTGATGAGATGAGTCGATGACGTGAATAAGAACGGGGGATACGGCAAGTGAGCGTGCCGCAGCTGGGGAAATGCAGATCAGGGATAGCTTCGAAGCCCATCGGACGCTGTAGCTGATGATTGACCGATGAAAATATAGCCAGAGGCGCCCAAGCCGTGCGTGCCCGCCGCAGCTTGAAGGTGCCGTGGAGGCGAGTAGGATGCCTTGAGCTAGAACAGCCGAATGAAGCCTCGTGGCTATTGCGTGGGGACCCCCGCAGGCCACGAGCTTAATTCGGTCCTATCGAGGAGAAGCTGACTTGATGGAAAGGGACCGTAAGACCATCTGGTTACGGGCATGGTGTCAAGACATTGTTCTCCGTAAGCGAGGATACATGAGACTTCGCCCTTTTCATTTCTTGAGTGCGTGATAGATTTGACCATAGATACCTAACGTAGGCAACGTAAGGTACTTGGAACCAGAGCGTAGGCATGCGGTCGACAATAGGCACCAGGGACGGTTGGCCAGCCAATATCTGCCCGGGTGGTGTTGATGCGGGGCTGTTTTCGCGATGTTCTAAGTTTTCAACGAACCCCCAGGCATCGGGCGCGAGCCCCCCGGTCCCGTGTTAGGTTCTGAGAGATTGGAGGCCAGAGCTAGGAGATATCCGCGGCTGAAAAATCCTCATCAGTGATGTGAGCGTGCAGGATCATTTACAACTACCTCTCCACATGTTTCCAGTCGATGGTGTTTGAACTAAACCATCATTCCTCGAATGAGAGAATTGATAGAAATGGTTGAGAAGGAAAGTACGAGAATGTAGGACCCCAGCCATGAGTAGCTGTACATATGTAGGAAGATTTGATACGTACCGAATGACGCGAACACTGGTATACTGCCAGGCAAACATTATTGAGAAGGGACAGAGCTGCGAGGACCCTGGTGGCAGTGAGAGATCAGCGAATGACAAACACGTGACTACTACCACTTGGTACCCCCCTCCACCACACCAGCGCTCTCCTCAACAGCAATTTCAGGGGCCTCTCATCCTATCGCCCTCGACGGCCAGTATCGAAATTCTCATGTCGCCATCAGCAGCTCCCCCGTCGCCCAAGGAAATCCAGCGCAAACTATCAGTTCACTCAGTCGCTGGCAAGAGCCCGAAACCCAAGGCAAGTGCAAGTTCTAGGTGTTCTTGGCTGAAATCCCGAACGCGGCTCATACCTGTCGCATTTCTTCCGTTAGCCTTCGAATGTATCGATATCCGCCATCTCGGGAACAGAGTCAGATTCAGATTCGATGTACGCGCAAGAGGTTCCGGTGTTGACCCCGTCGAGCTACACAGGGCCTGGCATCCACGGCAATGCGCAACCGCTGTCTTCGATTGCTGAGCGTAGGTCGGGAAGCGGGGAAGACTCGGAGGACGAGGACGACGATGAGGATGACTTTCGGGCAGATGATGATACAAGAGAATCGTTGCCAAGAGGCTCGGTGGACGAAACCGTCATCAAGACCGGGTACTTATGGAAAAAGGGAGAGCGCCGAAAGGTAAGTTCTATACTCATCGGGCAGCGGCGTTATCTTGTGGCTTGATATATTGACTGCGCCAAATAGACGTGGAAGAAGCGTTGGTTCGTTCTGAGACCAGCGCACCTAGCGTACTACAAGACCTCCGCTGAATACAAGTTACTTCGTCTTGTCGAGCTCTCAGAGGTCCACTCGTGCACCACCGTTGCCCTCAAGAAGCACGAAAACACCTTCGTTTTAGTCTCGCAATCACGCACTTACTACCTGCAAGCGCAATCCCAGTCTGAAGTCGAGGGATGGATAAGTGCTGTTGAGGATGCACGTCAAACGCTCTTGGCCACTTCGACCCAGACATCCATTACCAGTCCGATCCCCATACCAGGTTCGAGGATGCAGTCGTCTCCGAGACCCTATCCCATCGCTATTACCCCATCACCCCCCAATCCATCGTACATGCAACAGAACATCACTTCGTCTGATTCGGAGGATGCATCCCCTAGAGCGCAGCGAACGGTCTCCATCTCGTCGCAGCAGCCACAGACACCCACAATTGCTACATCTCAATCCCCGAACTCAAAGTCTCTGCCAGCTGACCGGGCGAAGATGATACTATCGGGATACCTCATGAAATGTGACTCTAAACGCAGGAACTGGAGAAAGCGATGGTTTATCCTCACTGGTGAGAAGCTGATGTATACGGGCAGCCACATGGTAAGTCGTCACCGTATCGCCCAAGCCAATTTGCGGACCCAACTCTTTTAGGACTCTAAACCTCATCGTCAATTCCCCCACGAACAAATCCTCGATGCCCTCGAGTGCGACTTCCCTGCGCGAGGGACTAATATCATGTCCCCCATCAGCACCACCCCAGCTTCATTCACTTCCTCCATGCCCGACATGGACAGCGACTCCCATACCTTCAAAATCGTCACTACCAAGCGCACCCTCCTTCTGTGTGCTCCGAGCGAGGATGACGAAATCAAGTGGCTTGGCGCTGTCCATGCGCTCATCGCTCGTCGATCGGGTGCCATCCCCATGAACCCATCCAACTCCGTTGGGGGAGGCCCAAATCCCAATGTAACCAGCATAAGCGCGAGCCCCGAAGGCAGCAACCCCGCGAATACTGCCCATCAGGCGAGCGCTTCTGGGGGTTCCGGAATTTCTGCCTCCGGCGGGAGCAGTGGCGGTGGAAGCGGGGGGATCAAAGCCAAACCTAGAAGGTTGAGCGCTGCGAGTGGAAGCGGGCCTGATAGAGGCACCACTGATCGGGAGTGAACAGAGGGAATGTGTGGGCGGCATTCGTGGTCATGGACACTGTCTCCCTGAACCTATCCTACCCGACGTTGCCCTATCCGACTCCTTCAACTTCCCCTTCAACTTCCCCTTGGGCCTCACGCTCCTCGTTCCGGAAACACAAAATATTCTTTGAAACTCGAATTGATGGAACATCTTTCAAATACAATCTTGGATACGGAGTGCATCTTCTTACCGTTCAAACTTTGTTATTCGGGGCTTCTCTCGTCCACCGGTCAGATTAGATGGACGAGAGACTATATGAGGTTTCCATTCTTTCTGCTCCTTTACGTTAGCCACTCTTCTCTCCATCACTAGCACGCCTCGCACATACTCTCTTTTCTTCATCACACAACCAAATTCAATACACCAATCCACTCGCTCCGCTACAGTCAAAAAATGTCCCCTGCCATTGTACAACATCGCCTCCTTCTATCCCCCGTACATCATACATACCTGGCTCGATCTATCATAAAAACCCACATACTACAGATGATCACAACAATTTTCGGCATCATTTCTCTTCGAACGTTCACCTGCATGTTTCACGTTGCTGTTTATTCGTGGCCAATAATAGTGACCGACTAATTATCCCGATATGCATCCCATTGAGTCGAACAAGAGCCCACAGGTGCGAAGTTCAATATTTGTCGTACGCAGTTGACATTGGTATTTGTAGATCGTGACAATTCAATTGGTTACCTCTAGGAATCATTGTTATCATCGCCAGAAGCCGCGTAGCCCCGCTATTGACCATTGTAGCGATTTCAAGAGTTCTCAATTTCAATGATGCTGCATTGTCGCAGTTGATGTCACTACATATGCACTGCGCGCTCCGAGAAGTGGGTACTTTTGTTGCAATATACATAGTACGTATATGAAGCCAAGACTGCGCCGCGGGCGAGCACATGGGGCACATGCAGGGTTGCTACAGTCGGTGGGGCGTTACAACAGCCGTTGCAGCTTGACAATCTTGACAATCCTCATCAACGACAAGTAGTGTTTACCCTTAGCCTCACTAACGCCTCGCAGCCAGCCCAGGCCATGTATAGTTGGCACCGCTAAATGCGGAATCTTATTCCTCTTCTTGTTACTTATTCGGGATGCGTCGCTCACTGGTTACTGGGATACTGGGATACAAGGAATATCCCGCAGGAATGCCTCTCGGTCTGGCGGTCGGCGAGAAGTGATGATTTATTTGGACCTGATCTCTTCGTTTCTCGGCAAGTCGGCGACTTGTCTCGAAGCCGGCAGAGTAGGCGGGCTCGGGGATAGAGAAGCACTTACATATTGGTTCGTTCATGATGACCTCGACCGTCTTCCCAGCTCAGAGTCTGGAGACGGTGGATCACCACCAAACATTCGTGTACCATAGTATGCTAATCATTTACGTGACGACCTTATTTGACTGACTTACATATCAGCATCAAGAATTTCTATTCAGTGGCACCGATCATCCCGGTTCATATGACAGCAGACAATTTAAACAATCGTGCACGCGGGCCAGAATAGATAATTCGAATGGGGGATGAGAAGTCGAAGCGTATGAAATTGAGGACAATTGCCCCACTCGTCGATGATAAGTGGGGGGAAGGAGGGAGGACGAATCCGAGAACCGATGCTGATAATTGCAATGTGTAAGATGTATGGCGAATGTGAAGGGTGCCACAGTGATTCGGGGGGTTATGTTCGTGAATCCGAGAGGCACCATGATTAAATCCAACGGCTCACCGTGCGAGATGAGCATGGGAATCAATAATGAAACCAAACATGGTTAATGCTTGGACACTTACCTAGACACGATACTGCAATACCATGCGTGGACCACGCAGCGAACAATGCTTTACTGCGTCGGTATGAGAAGGTCATAGAGCAGATATACGGTTTTGGAACAAAGAAGAAACGTCAGACAGGGGAGGCTGTATGATATGTGATGGAGTTGTGGATATATGTGGGCGCCATCGAGGGGGCCCTGGTCGATGCATTGTCCCCTTGATGATCCCCCGTACGTGTTCGGTTACGGCTGGGTTCAATTAGCTACAGATAGGTTAAATACAAGAGATGTGATAAGGGCTAGATGAGTGGATGAGTGGCGCAGCAGGCGTTTCACTTTCACGGACCATGAAATGATGTCGGAATTCGGGGAAGCAGGGCACGTTGCTAGTTGCAACGGGCCAAGGATCGAGGAAAGGTGAGAGAGTACGAGGAGGAGGGGACGTATCTAGGATTGCGAGATTCAAAGGCCGCGATTGCTGGGATTGCTGGGTCGCCGACGGAATCAAAAGGGATCATTGACAAAGCCATAGGAGTTTGGCCTTTTATGGGGTGTGCCGGGCAGTCGCCAGTGCCGAGAGGGTGGCAGGACCCCAGGAGTGCATCGGAGATTGAAACTGGACTGAATGGAAAAAGGGTATTGTTGAGTGCCTTTTTTCCTTTTTCTCGACGACCAAGTCCACTGAAATGTTTTCGTTCGTTCAGAATACATATAGTCCCCCATCGACCATCTGAACTCTGCAGCCAAACGCCCCTTCCCTTCCTTTTGTAATCAATTAAATTCGCTGAAAATTCAACCTCCACGGACGCCAACGCCGACGACGCACTTCTACATCAGCAGCGATGCCGCCCGCACCAAAGTCGCCGTCGTCAGCCGCTAAGAAAGCCGGAGGAGGGGCGCCAAAGGCGAAAGGCGCTGTGCGCGCTAAGTCGGGATGCTACACGTGCAGGATTAGACGCAAGGTTCGTCAGGCGCCTCGTCGACCGCGCTTGCTCGTTGTCTCTGACCACCATCATCCAGAAATGCGACGAACAGCCTAATGAACAAGGTTTCTGTCAAACATGTGTACGACTGCGCCTCGAGTGTTTAGGTTTCGGTGCAAAGAGACCAGAGTGGCTCAGAGTGAGTCCCACTTTGCTTCTCCATCGTCGTCCTCGTCGGGCGGGCGGGCGCTGACACCGTGTCGCACATCCAGGAAAGCCGCAATGTAACAGAGTTAAGAGAAAAGATAAAGGGCTTCCTCGCTTCCCAGGGAATGATCAAGGGTCACTCGGGGTCGGGTCCCCGAACAGCTGAACAAGAACCCCAAATACTGCGCCTCAACGACGACGCCTTCCCCGCCCAACCCATCATCGCTCCCCATCTAGCTTTATCAGACCCTACCAGAGGCGACCCAAACCGAGTCCTCTTACCACCATTTAATAACCTTTCTGCTGTACGTGAGACATGGGCGGTACACCCGCACCCGCCTCTTGGCTACCCATCTGGTATGTGCCCCCTCGACGGTCATAATCTCCAAGCACTTGTTCATAATTGAGTAGTGCCACCGCCACCCCATGACATGAGACCAGGAACGCCTGGATCTCCCTACTACCACCACTCCCCAGAGAGTGCGCAAGCGCAGCCTGTGTATACCTCGCCCTCTTTGTCGTCGAATAGCTTAGCATGTAAGACTGAGTGAAATAATAGTTAATGTAATTAATGCTCAACGCTTTCCCCCCTTTTGTCGCGCAGTTTATCAACCACAACCGCCCCTCCGCTACTCGAGCAAGCAACCGTGGGGCTACAGCTCGTTTGGCCCGCACTATCATGGATTAGTCCCCTTTGACGCTGAGGAATACGATGAATCTCAAGTCGACCCGGCGCTTCTGGGAGTGAATAACGGGATGCTCTCCTACTCTAGGGATTCGCCCGAGATGAACCTCTCCCCGAACCCAGAGATCGATGCACTCGTGCAACACTACATGTCAACAGTAGTAGGTATCCAGTACCTCCTCGCCAACAAATCAGACACGGCGACGATGATATTCAACACGGTACAAAACAATGCCTTCGTGCGCAATGCCGTTCGTTTGATGGCGTCTGTCCATCGGCACAAACGCGTGACAGGGCCCGAGGATATGGCCTTGCAAAGAGTAGAAACCAACGCATACGGGATTTACCACGAGCTCCTGCAGCAGCTCATGCCGTCAGGCCAGAGAAGGGGGTATACGAGAGAAGATGCCATGACTGCGCTGCTCATTATCTCTTCCTTGCTCTTCGACGGTGGCATGGGCGACTGGCGCGCATGGTTACGCATTGCCTACTTCTACGTTGATTCCATCTTCCAGGAATTCAGCAACCCCGCCGACGCCCTCGCTCGTGTTTCCGACGCAAAGATGTCGTTCATCATCAAAACGACGTTGTGGTTCGACGTAATCGCTTCAGTCACTAGCCAAGAACCACCTCATTACCTCCATATCATCGACGAATTGTTCAGCCCCGAGCAGGCTCGCATTGATGAAGGTTATAGCACTGTCTCCATGCTCGACGTTATGGGATGCGATAACAACACGTTTTGGGCCATGGCCAGGACGTCGGCATTGTCATGCTGGAAGCAAGATCGAATCACTAGAGGGTCTCTTAGTGTCCCCGAGTTGGTCACCAAAGGGACCGACATCGAGCAAGCTTTGACGCATGCCTATTATCCTACTCAACAAGCCGACGCCAAAGATGAAGATATTTGCCGGATTCGAACGTCGGAGATATTCCGCGCGTCTACGCTCGCATGGCTGCATTCCATCATTTCGGGTGATCGTCCAAACGTTCCAGAAGTATCGAACGCTGTGCAAACGACCCTCAAATGTCTGACGAACATCCCATCTACTACCCCGCGCGAACAACGCCTCGAAAGATCAATCGTACGCAGCACGGTGTTCAGTATCTTCGTATGCGGGGTGTTTGCCACGAAGCGTCAGGACAGGGACATTTTGCTTTGCCATCTAGCGAAGCAGAGCGCGGATAATGTGGGGAACTGCACTGCCATCTCTGGGTTGATGGCGAGCATTTGGGAACAATACGACCGGGATGGGAGGAGGTCAGTCAGGTGGAGGGAGCCCTTGAAGGCTTCGGGGATTCTGTTGGTTTGAGTTCCAAAGGAAGTGATAGAAGGAGAGTCGGGTCGGTGGAATTGTAACTGTTAGGACCGGGACCGGCGGCGTGTTCAGGTTGTGATGGTATGATGGACTTGTGGGAGATGGACGATATGTCGGTGCCTGGTTTCGACCTCAAAGACTTCTTTTTCCCAGAACCCGCCATTCATCGTCTTGGACAAGATCTCGGTTGTACTAAAATGGGAAGGTCTACGCGAGTGGTACCTCCGCCTCCCTATGTCTCACCCCGCCGCTTCTTCCTCCGCCGCCATATTTCCTTCCTCGCTGTCGATTTCTCCGTTGCACTGAACCCCGCTTCCCCTTGGATCCCTCTTCATTTTCCTAGTCCATTCCTATTCCTATTTTCCCATCGGCTCGATAACCTAAAGAAAATTAGCAAAAAAATCAAGCTAGAAGAAACCGGTTATCTCCAAGCAGCTGGCTATTCTCCGACATCGAGGCCCAGCAATACAACCTGCAACTTGCCGACGCTTCTAGCGTTTGCGTTTACGGTTGCAGGCTGCAGGTCTTTCGATATGGCAGTGCAGCCAGCTATTCTCGTCTCCATCATGCCTCTCTCCTGTTTGAAGAACAATACCCCATATACGTACATTACAATGCATCGCTCCCCCTCCTCACTTTCTTGCTCATTTCTATTTACGCATTACTCACTACGACGTGTATATGACAGACAGACTGCCACTATCCCGTCAGGCAATTTGTACCAAACTCAGTACTTTTAGCCGGAATGTACTATAGTAAATCAATGTTGGTTTCCATGATATGTGAGAGCACGTTTGAAGCTGCTGAGCCTTGCACCGTCCATGTGTGCCACAGTCTCCGGTTTGTCTCCGTAGTACACGTTTGAAGGTTTAACGACAACCAAGTATTGGCTATTTGACGCGCCACCGTTGGACTGATGGGAGGGAACAGCAACCATCACAAAGCTAACGCTATCAACCTTCAACAGAGCATGTACATGGCGTCGACATGGACAACACCAGCAAATGCAATTACGGTCTTCATCGGATGCTTGGTCAGTGGCTGTAGGCGCCTGTGCTAGGCACACATGGATGAGTGCGATTGTTTCGGTGGGTGACATAAGCAGTGCTCTCAGTGACTTCCAGTTGCGAATCGAGAACAAGGCAAGTGCAGTATGACATGGACAGAAGTTGACCGGTGAATATTCGCAGGGCATGGTCAACCGGAGAAAGCCATGTTCTGCGAGTTGATCAAAGAGATCTCAGACTCTGACGGGCCCATTTATTTTCCGTAAGACGCATAGAGAACAGCTCCGATGAGGATGGAAATTGGCTGGCGTCTGCTTTTGTCAGACCTGAGAGTCTGCTGCCGTCTACCCTGCCGGCTGTGTGCGTGAATAATTATTATATTAATATTTTTGGTGAGTTCGTCCTTCGATACGATCATACTCACGTCCCTCCCCCGGAGCACTAGAGTCCGGAAATCCACACGAACCCTTTTGAGACAAGGCGTCGCAATATTAGTTCCGACTCAAGCACTCTCCAACTTTATCTCTTCCACTTCAAGTCAGGACCAGTGTTCGCCGCTGCTTAACCACACATATTATATATACCGCTCCCGACACAGCTCGTCTGCTCATCATATGGCCTACAGGTCTCCAGGCAGCTCTCCCAGCGAAGCTGAAGACACACTCTCGAGCAGCAACGTGTCCCCGTCTTCTACAACTTCCCCACTAGCCATGATACCAGCCAGCGTCGACGGATCTGACTCACCGTCCTCTCGCAGCAACAAGGGGACACCAAACAGAATACCTCTAGATCTACCCCGCACTCAGACAGCTAGCAAAGGAGGTTGCTGGTGAGTTATCCACCGTTCGCTTCCATCTACCGAGCGATTTAACCCACCGACCATTGACTCAGGACATGTAGATTGCGCCGCAAGGTATGTTCTATTTTTGTCTCCCATATCGCCTCTCTGAACGCGACCTGACCAATCATCTCCCGCAATTATAGAAATGCGACGAACAACGCGAAGGAGACTCGTGCCGTACATGTATCCGACTCAAAATAAAGTGCCTAGGATGGGGATCGAAGCGTCCTGACTGGATGAGGGTGCGTTCATTTCTTTCTAGTACCGTGCTTCTGTTTCTCATACGCTGACCGGCGAACAAAAAGGACAAGCAAGAAGTCGAACGGTATAAAGCCGACATTAAAGCGCAGCTCACTCGCGCAGGTCTCATTCGCGGACAACCACGAACGAACCCCATCAGTACACCAGCGAACTTGCCTTCAACGGCCTCGTCCTCGTCCATGAGCTCAGGTTACCGCCATACGGCTGATCCAGGTCCATCATCATCTTCACATCCACGCGAGTACCACCATCACCCCTCGAACAGCCTCGATTTTGGCTATCACCCTCTCGGACAGCCTCAGCCTCCCCACCCCAACAGCAGGCAGTCCCGCCTGTACCATACAAGTGCACCACAACACAGCCATTACATGCCCGAAATGCCCGGTAAGCCTCTTATCTCGTCATCGTTGGCTGCATCAAAACGTGCTGCGCGACAAACAATAGGAACCTAGACTAACGATGTTTCGTATCCAATTTTAGGTCTTTCGAATTCGATATTCGGGGACTTGCCGCCTGCTTCATTCGATCCCACTCTCGCTCCCACAATGGACCCGACATCATCAAATTTCTTTTCGGCCCATGATTTCGGTCAACCATCGACCTCACCATCCTCTGCCCCTGGGAGCAGCAGCGCCACTCCGGCATTGGGTCTTGGAGGAACAACGAGCCAGTATCCCCTTGAGTTCGGCATCGTCGAGTCGTCGTCGACAGGGTTCGGGCAATCGTTCGGTTTACCCACCCCCAATCCTACTCCCATCTTCCCCGATCAATCATCCCAACAACAAACGAACCTTCAAGGAGATCTCGTAATGTATTACTTTGAAAACGTTCGCAAGGTACAATACATCTTCGCTGGAAATTCAGTAACCAATGTGACCTATTCCGTGCGTACCTTTTTCTATCAGTCTAGCTTTCTCCACCCCGACCATCATGGCCGTGGTGTGGTAGTAACTGGCGCTCTTTCCCCACCGAATCTAACCCCACTATCTTCGTTGACGTAGTTAATACTACAAGAACCACGCGGGGCGGTGACAAATGCCGTGTGTGCTCTCGCGAGCCTCCATCACACGGCGATGCGGGTGGCCCAGGGGCTCGAACCTCCCGATCCGAATCCGGAATTCTCTACGGCAAGATACTTCCACGACGAAGCTTACCTCCAACTCGTCAATTCGAAGGCCATGCGAGGACACTACAACGAGGCTGATGCCATCGCAGCTCTCCATCTCGTCAGCTTCTCCCTGTTCTCCGGAGGCGCCACCAACTGGCGGCAGGTTCTGTCGGTTGCCTATGAATGGGTTGCTCAGCTGGGACTCCCTGCTGATGAGAACGCGCAGCCCAAGCTGATGGGAATGCGGCCGATCGAACAAGTGATCGTTAAGACGACCATGGTAAGCACCAATCTCCCAAATCTTTCCGCCCCTTCAGCCCCGACTACCAAGGATCTTCTGCACTTCCTTTTTTCTTCATCCCGCTGCTTCCCGCCGGAAATAAAGATTACTCACATCATACTCTGCTGTAGTGGTTTGATATATTCTCAAGCGTCTCGTTTTCGCCGCCGCCTAGGTTCCTCGGCCTGTGGAAATACCTATTGACTCCGGGTTACTGGCCAAGTCATCTGCCAGGAGATGACCTCACTAGTCCGACTGTACATTCGTCATCGTCACCCATACATATGGAAGCCCTCATGGGATGTCCGGATGATGCTGTACTTGCCATCGGGGAGATATCAGCCTTGGCCCATTGGAAAGAGAACGAACTGCGCAAAGGCACACTAAGCATTCGTGAGCTCCTGAGGAGAGGTGACCTTATCGAGGCGGCACTCCGTCAAAACCACGGTGATATTTTCAACTCACCTGGATCCCCCCTCCACCCCAACCTCGCCCAGAGTGCATCCAACGGCAATGGCGAACTATCAAGCACTCCGCAGCCTGCTTTCCCCACGGATGACATGCGCCGCGTGATAGCAAGCATCTTCAGAGAGTCAGCTGTTCTTTATCTTCAAACCGTCCTCAACGGATGTAACCCAGGTACGCACCAGCTTTGCTTCCGTTCCTTCGCCAACACGTGACTAACCCAGTATTGTCGATAGGGGTTATCGAAATCTCTCAAAGTGTCGACCAACTTGTTCACTTGCTGCAACAACTGCCTCGATCGGAGCTCGACCGTTCGCTTGTATTCCCCATTTGCATCGCCGGATGCATGACGGACAGCTCTCCTCAGCGAGAGTTCATAAAGGGACGGCTCCAAGCGCAGGACGAGGGTTGGGGAAATATTAGGCAGACGCGTGCTTTGATGGAATTAGTATGGCGAAAACGAGACGTTGAAGGATCCGCTGATTGGCGGCAAATGCTCTGGGAAAGACCGATGCCGCTTCTCTTGGTGTAACCAAACGAGGGACACACGAACGCGACGCCGAAAATGCTCACACGAATACCAGTAACAGGGACCGGGTGTTCCCTCCTATCACGACTTGCGCATCCAACAATCTACCTCTCTAGACTGGCGAAGGGCGAAACCTTGTCCACGATACCCCAACTCCAAATTCACCTCAATTGAAATAGCCATATAATGCACGCAAATAACTCACCGCTTTAAAGTCGTTTACTCCCATGCTTCGATCGCTCCCATCCGCATTTGTTCTTTTGGTTTGCAAGCACCCCACCTGTATCCCTATTTCAAAGAGTGCCAGTATTAATTAGCCAGTGTATTACAAGTGCTAGATATTTTAAAAGATCTTACCAATATTTATTAAATATGCATTCATATGTTCGCCATATGTTCGCACTTCTCTTCCAAATGTGTCAACGAAGGCGTGATGAAGCGAATACGAGTGCAGTAGGTCCATTAGACCACCGACAGCCATGCGTATATCCGCCCGGAGGTTCTAACGATGAGATCTAAGCAATTCCCGACGGCGTCGCGATATGGCTAATCCTTACACAGCGTCAAAGTGCCCATGACCTAGAAAGACGTCAATACTTTAGCACACGCCTTCATTGCTTCGTAAAAGAAATCACGACTGTCAAGGCCGTGCAAGTGGCAGGTGAAGGGGACATACGGTGCTTTTGAACTCGTGTTCCATGCAGTAAATCATAGCCCGGCGAGCCGACGATAGTGCGGGACCAACACGGCCCAACGAATATCAAGGAGAATAATGCGACCGACGGCGTACTCATCGGCTACAACGTTGAGCAGCGAGGTGAAGGGTGAGTGGGCGGGTTCTTGAGAAAGAGTGGGCAGGAAGAGCTTATAGCCCGATGACACGGAAAATGCAACGCCCACATAAAAGGAAGAAAGCGGTGCGCCCACTCCATCACGTGGTGCCGCCCAACCACCTTTTGACTTTGGCTCAACGAAGGTACGAGGACGAGCGCATGGTTTATCAATGAAAAGAATGCGCCACTAGGTACATAGCGCTCTATTTTTTCTGCAAGTTCATTGCAGCATTTTGCAGCAAATTAATTTTCGAGTCGATTTCACCCTATTCTCTTGAACCACATGACTCGAGCGCGAGTTTCAAGCGCTGGCGCTGACGGAGGTTGTTATCAGAATCCTTCTACTGCGGTCAGCTGGGCGAAGTTATCTACGAATCAGATAATGGTCTGGTCAAAGGATCCAGCGCTGGGACGCCCATCCTACCCATTCATGGAGCAGATGGCACTTCTTCACGGCCGCCCAATGTTCTTGTGACTCGCACAAACATATTATCGGCGCATCGCTCGTCTGCTTGACAATATAAGAGGTTGAACAGCCGCTTCGAAGGTCAATGCAGCCTTCGCCTTTCCCTCTAGCTTCCTCCGAAGGAATAAACACCTATCCCAATCAAATCCCAGTCTTACCCATACGGATCAACTACCGACCAGCACTTCGGTGCCGCCGCCGCCGAATGATGATGTGTCTGCAATACAGGGCCTAGTGTAGCTATAGAACCTAGAAGCTGGCCCCGTATGGCTGGAAGGTGACTCGATCATCGCAGCAGTGAAGTCTGTCTTTTCGTGACCTATTCGCCTCGTCGTGATGACTCGCAATGTGAATGCTATTAGATCCGTAGGTCTTTACGCGGGGGGCGAGGCTGGGGACAGCCCGTTGGACGCGGCAATCGTCGCTGGCGTCTGGGAGGAAGAAACGAGGACATCAATGCGGCCGGCTGTTTGTCTGTCCCCTGTAAGTAACTTAAAAGACACCCAGTTCATCTCGATGTGGTCGTCTATCTATGACTAACGTTGCCGAGGATACCCGCCGCTGTCTCCCTTGCAAGATGCCCCAGAATGGGATGAGGCCGCGTTAACTGCCCCTCCATGGGAACGCCGGACCACTGCGCATTATTTAATGCTCTCCGCCACTCACAAATTCACCTGATGCCACTCTCATATCAATGGCGATACAAATTTGACATTCCCCAGACCTCGGGATGTTGTTTTGTCATATCCGTACGCCCCCCTTTGAAGTTGCCACACTAGGATCCGTGATAGGTATGGAACAAGTGACTGCGAACAACGATGCACGTTCTATCTCACCGACAGGACCCTCTATTATCAAAACACAAAAGCGGATATCTCTAATGGACGTGGACATGCTCTCGGCCTCGTTCCCTCGCTCGCTTGTGGCTGTCAACTTTTCCTATTAACGCCGGTCTACCCGTTGGTCTTCCCAGTCATCGGTTCAGGTCGGGCTTTTGATCAGAAACTTGCGCCTCACTCAAACGGCAATGTTACGCGTCGACGCACGATAGGCGCCTCCTCATCAAAGACACCCATTCTAGGCTATAGTGGCTTTACAAGCCCTGGATAGAACAGACGGCCACCCTGCTTTGGATCTGTATGTACTTGGACGTATGTATACACACGATCAGGAGTGTCCATCTGGAAGGGTCGTTCCGACTCCCCAATTATATTACCTTCGCCGCTCCGCCTTTATTTTCAGAAGTATGAAACCAGCAACTCCCATCCAACCTCGCGAGGGCCTGGACATACAGCGGCTTTTGCCCGCTTTGGCTAGTATGTTCTTCGTCTCCATCAGTATCAAATATTTCCCTTTTCTTTGATGCATCACAGAAACCAAAAATGGCCTTCGTGGAACAGACAGTTATGGATGCCATGATCGCTTATTATACGACCACGGTTCTACCGTTATGTTTCATCAAGAGAGGGAAAGTGGTTGATGCGTAAATGCAACCCGGACTAAATCAGGACTCAGGAGCAATGTGCCCCGTTGTCGCCGGCGCATCCCACTACGCGACACCGGCATCTAGTTAGTTCGAACCAGCCAAGCGTGTTCTTGTGTGAAGGATGCATGGTTCCTTCGTGTCACGAGTTAGAGATAGCGTAGAGTTAAGTGCCTCAAGGCCTCAAGGTGGGCTTCAATCCGCACCTGTCGGCGCTTGTGAGTATATCGCAAGTGCAGAAATGACATCCAGTGGGAACCGTTTCACCCCCCATGGCGCTTTCTTGGGCCATAAAGTTTTATGGAGTGATGCCTCTCCGATGATGCAAACCAACTTCTTTGACCGCATTTGCTCTCTTGTTCGCACTAAGCACTAAGTTTCGTTGCTAGGCGAGATTTGATCACGCCCAGGCAGATGGCAGTATGTTAGGTAGTCATTGTGCTCTCCGGAGGGCGATCTTCCGAGCAGGGCCTGTTGATGAATGTACGACTAGAGAGGTTTCACCGTGTAGCAGAAATAGCAATCAAAAGGACGATAGATCCTCCACTAAAGTTCAAGACAAGACAGGACATTGGTCGGTGTCAGCAGATGGCATCGCCGAATGGGCGTGGCAGGAGGGTGTACAGCACAGTACATAGCTAACTCTTCCGCCTCCTAATGCTAACTCTCCTTGATGCAATCGGAATCGCTTTGATCGAGGTACTGTCACATTGAGTGCCAACCTATGCGGAAGTAAGTGGCTGTACCAAAGGCGTGGGAAAAACTCTACAGCTACTAGAACAACGAGGCAGCTACGTCCATCTGCATTTCGCACTTGTTTCCGCAGAAGACAATAGATGCTATGCACATGTACTCATTGCACTGTGATTTCTGATCCAGAAGGAAGCTAGGTACCGCTCTAGTACGCTCGTTGTAGAAGCTTCCGATGCATACCAAAGAAGAGATCTAGGGATAAACAAAAATGGGTACCGGTCGAACATCACGCGGTGGAGGCAGTTGCAGACGATGTGTTATGGTACCTTACTACTTTCAAGACTTCCCTGGCCAGAGTCGGTCAAAGTCTTCCCGAGCATTGCTGAGACAAGGGTTCCGCAGTGCAACGTACTGCAACGGTCATCAGAGTCGGTTAAGAAATATACCCTTCTACAAGTCAAAGTCCAGTTCCTGAGAAATGCTAAGAGCTGCTTTTTCTCTTACCACCAACGCTGTGCTGTAAGTGTTGGCACCGACGTTGGCCGGACAAATAGATAGCTATAAAGCAATCGCATCCATGAGATATTGCCCAAAACACCTGCTACTAAGGGGACGGACATCTCAGATGCAGTCGGTTGCCTGCTTGGGAACAAAGAATCGAGGGAAATGTACCAGCGACTTTGAGGTTCCGAATGCCGTATACCGGAGTTCACAACGCCGCCTGGTCGCGAGGTTTCATACTGCAGGTGCGCATCTTCACTAGTCTCAGCACCAAGTGACCGGGCCAAAAATTGTCCAACCCTTACTGAATGCCATGTAGTTGGTGGTTTGTGTCAGCCAAGCATGTCGGAGATCGCGATCCAACGCTACGGGACATAATTCACCGTTAAGTCGTATGTATTTATTGATGGTCTCGTCGTCTTCAGCCGTGGATAGAATGTCCGTGGCGGAGATATCCGATGGGCCATTCCTTCTCCCACAACTTGCGTTACTGTCAGGGGGAAACACGGGGTGCTTGCGCCAATTCATCACGGTACGAGGGCATGCGACGGGCGGTCTCTCGTGATCTCCTGTACGCCCATCTGAGAGCATCAATGTCTGCTGGTCTTTGATAGCTGAGGAGGTATCCAAGACTGTAGATCTAGTCACATACTCTGTCAAGAACCCGGCCTCAAAATCTAACCCGGCCTGCCAATCGTCCGCGGAAGCGATGTGGACTCTCCCGGTAGATACGGGGTACGTCTAACCACTAACAGAAATACACTGTAATCGAAAAATGAATAATGGAAGCTTACGGTGAAGGAACTCAAAGTCATGTGTTGACTTTTAGGATCGGAATCCTTTCCTGTTTAACTGTAGCGAACATAAAGATTAGTGATGGTTGCTGCAACATAAATTGAAATACCGACCCAGAAACTGGCACCATGCAGACCACCGGTTTATCTGTTGCTGCGGCGAAACGCGCCGCCCAAACCTTCTTGAAGTGGGGCCCTAGTTCTTCAAGATCTTCCAAATGAAGACGAAGCCTCGCGCCAGCATCAATGGCCTTGAAATAAGTCCACGGGGTTCAGCAGACGCCTCGATATCAAATGTATGGCATGCAATGGCGTACTTCGTTGCAAGCTACCCGGCTCCATCTTGCTCCCATCGCTCCACATGTACTGGCGCAGCAATTTTAAACTCGAACGCGAGAAAGAAGGGCCGTCACATACGTTCCATCTCATCCGGACTACATTAGTTCAAGGCGTCTAGCGAAAGCGTAGATTCAGATGGAAAGTATGGAAAAAGGGCGTTATGGTCTACCAGAATGTATCATAAGTAATGTCTTCGCTGATGATGTGGTTGCTCACCTATGTAGTTTTCCCGCCTACACCGAGCAGATCGACTTCTTGCCTGATGGCCAAATTGGGCGATCAATTCGGCTGCACCAATGCCGGAGCGCTCAAGGATGGCAGGGGAGCCCAACGCTCCAGCCGATACAACGACTAGGTATCTTGCGTATGCAGCAATGACCGTAGAAGATGGGTCACTAGCGTCACTGTACTCCACACCAATGGCCCTTCCATCCCTACCCAGGTGAGCTGTCATTTCCACATAGCGCCACACAGGCTTCATACACCTCACCTACCTCATCAGCACACGACGTACCACTGCCTCTGTTAACAATTTGGATTTACCGAAAATTGGTTGTATATGAAGTGGTGAGCAGCGTCTGAACACCACCCGAATTTCTTGTCAATGAACCTGTTCACTGATATCCGACTTGCATACATGGAAAAGAAGAGCTCGAAAGCTCACTTCGTGTACCACTGTACAAATGAATGAAGTGAGTTATCGCGTACAGCTTATCCCAGGTGGTAAACAAACCCCATAGGCATTCGCTGTCCCGAAGTTATTGAGATCGCTAGATATTTCACGGCTTAGGTCGTAGGCGCGAGCAACCTCGAGGAACAGTTTGCAGTGGTCAAACAGGATACCACCTTTATAGGACCTGGGTATCCGTGCCGATCAACAGTCCCTTGTTCCTGGTACGTCTCAACCTTCGAACGATACAGTTATTTTTAGCTAGAGTAACTGCGACAGGATGCGCGAGAAGTAGACCTTCTTGAGGAGAGGAATCATCTCCTTAGCCCCCAACCTAGGTTCTTTCCTTGAGTCTCCCAATCGTCGAAGCCTAATGTAGCAGCTCTCGTGTAAACAAAAACCACCAGGTTCAATCAGATGTCCCACCAGCTTCGAGTGTCACTCACGATTTACACTAGAACCTCCTCCAACACATCTCCCTGTTGGGACGGTCGCAGACCGCCTGGGTGGAGCATCACTGGGTTTGCTACCGTGGAAAGTCAAGACTTCGCTTGCTGGAATCAACGATGCCATGTATCGTCCGGGCTGTACGTGCTCTGGAGGGCCGTATGTGTGCAGTCCTGCTTCGATCAGCTGGGAGTACTGGTGTGTTCAGTACCTTCATCAATAACGCGACGTCCACTCGACATGCAAGTATTAGCCTCCCTGCAGTTACACAGACGAGAGCTCCTCCTTTCCGCCAGCAGCTTAGCTAAACTCATAAAATCGAAGGACAAGGCGATTACCTCCACCGAAGACGATATCAAACTCTTGGACATAATTGAAACAGACGCGTTATTTTCGATGAGCCAAGGTCGTGCAAAGTACTAGTATTTTCCCAGTTCCTCACGTGACTCAAGGATTGACTACTCCGACAGACTCCGACTACTCCTTTCAAGGATCGTCCTGTTCCTCCTGTACGACTCCTCAGGGTAGCCATCAATGATTGAACGACTTTGGCTACAAATGCGCATTATCGACTACTGAGCGCCCTCGTGGCGGTCCCTCCGGTGTGTTCGCATCTCTCAACGTAGAACAACGACTCAACGCCGCAAAATGTCCGCTTAGCCTGCGTTCCTCCTTCTCTGGATAATTTTCGTGCATCGGGCATTTCGACGGTGCACACTATCGCTACTGGATAGCTTCCATCGCAGTCAACCGTCGCCAGTACTCCAATGAATCAACTACACGACCGTGAAATAATCGGCTTCGAAAGAATTAATGGGTGATGCAATAACTCAATGTTGCCGTCATATCACCACATGCCACGAAAATCACTCCTGGATCCTGATCTTCTCGGGGCGCCAACGGCTCTCTATTAATCTGTCTGACACGAGCCTTGCTGTTTAAGTTCCGCGGAAAGGCGAGAGTCGTACCGTCGACTTTGTCCTAGAGCCTCAGGCTCGTGCTGCCAGTTCATCGAGCCATCTATCCCTCATCGGTGGGACCCTTGCGATCGTCTTTACTGGCCTCCAGAACCTTAAATATCAATATTGTGCAGGATAGGAACTTGACACTTGTGCGGCATTCTCAAGTTCTAAACATGATCTTGGCGCATCCCCCCTCCCCACCACAAGCCCATTGAGTCTCAATCCCTTTGTTATGTTTGTGGAATTGCTATAAAGGTCAAGATCCGCTCGTATCGTTGCTTTGGACCGCGCCTATGCATCACGATATACCATATATAACAACAGTGACTCCCACTGCGGATGCAACTTGGTCGATTCCCCCTCTTATTATTGGCTGACTGCTCATCTTGTTTCAATATGCCAGGCTCGTCGGCAGATGTGAACAATTACTTTGCTTGCATGCAAGATAAACGAATGAGTACAGTGAGTTGTTGGTCTTGTGTCAGTCCACAAGACACTCACGAACTCACTATAGTATTTCCTTTGTGCGTACCAGATGGCTCTCAACTGGCCGATTGGCAAATGCTCAACATTCATATTACTGCTTAGATGCGGCGACTACCTTATATGTTCGTCTAGTACGCTCCCCTCCAGGACGTCAAACGGGATCTAACTTTAAAGTCCAGTTCTATGATTTTGGTTTAACATTCGCGACGGAGGTAAGGTGACATATTCTGGCGTATGGGGGTCTAAACCAGTTGGAGCAGCTTCGTTACATATGGCAACGACGCAAGCCCTCACCTCGTAATGTCCTCTACTTTACTGCTCGGTATTGTGGTTTCGCAAGCGCAATCGCTGGTGCTTTTCCCGTGCGTTCTCTATGCCACTCTAGAGCTAGTGTGTGTAAATAAAGTAACATTCCATTAGCCCACCATCACTATGGGAAATGTTGTAACAGGTCGGCCTATCCCCCACTTAGCGGACTAGTGATAACTGAATATGCTCATCTAGGGTTCAGATTTATTACCATCGTTGCATCGGACGGTAGGCGTTGCATGAGGTTCATACTGCGTTCCCTACTCTCAAGTTTTGCCCTTAGTTGTACTCGCGCACCGTGCCTGGGTCTTATGGAAACACAGCAAGATTGTCAAAAGTATCCTTATATCAGCGTACCTTGTACGTGGTACAACCGAACATACATTTAAAGCTCCATGTGCATGACGTCCCCCGGGTTAGGGTGCCCTAGGACCATGTCTGTTCGTTGTATACGAAGACATCAAATCCGCCGCAGGTGAAAACCTCGTTATGCTCCAGAGCGAACCCACCTCACTGCCTTTACAGTTGCGACGTCCACTCGAACGATACCAGGGATAACTCCAGATAATGTATGTAGTTTCCTTGTCAGCGACGCAACTAGTCTATGGATCATTCCATACATCATGTCGATCTTCTTTGAACTCGGTGAGCCCTCGCCTGCAGGATTGCCGCCAGTCCGCGACCCGGAGACCTATATTTACAGGCTTGACCAGTTACTTTCATTCTGGCCTCCCTTGCTGCGGTGCGCTGGCGAGAACGCATTCCAGCACCAGTCCGATCATCGCTGGTCAGCGTTCTTTGGAAAGATGGTGAGAGCGGGCAGTTGTATGAAAGGTAATGACTGACCGCGGCCACTGTCTGTATTAGGCGCGATGTACTTCGGATTCATGGCAGGTTACTTGCCACGCTCCTTTGTCTGTACTCCAAGATGGCTCACGGTTGCAACTCCAGCATTTTCTATCTTCAACATTCTCCTGGTTATGTCCATTTCCGTGCGTAATCTCGTTCCATCTCTCACTTCAACACCAGCATCTCATAGAATCCCTCAGCGTCCACAGCTTCGCAATGGCGGATCGCAGTAAGTAAACCAAACAACGTTCCATGCCCACGCAACTGAGCTATTATTCCGTGCTGAAGACTGCAGACGCTCCTTCATAGCATCATCTCCTCGAGGGCGGTGCTCCATTTGGCATCCATCTTGGACGAGTCCCACTCCTCCCTACCCACCCCACGAACAGGAATTCAATTTGCTCCAAACCACCCAACCGCGGAAGATAGTTCAAGCGGCCACGGGTCAAGTCTCCCGTCGAGGGAATCGAACGCATGACGAAGATCAATTCATAGACGGATTAACCTAGCTGTAGGTACACCAAATGCCGCCACCAACAATCCCTTTATACTACAGAGTCAGCGAATACCGAGTAAAGGCATTCATCTCTTGGGGTGGGGAGCCTGCCTCGGTCCGTCCAACCTCAATCGCGACGCAATTCGTCTACTGCGGATGCACATCCGCAGGCTGTCAGCGACAATGCGCCACTCTCGAGGAGACTTCTATGGTATCATCGTCTGGTCAGCTATATATGGCCCCAGTTAATGCATCAAGATCAACACTTCATATACACAAGGCCTCGTCCCACTTCCACTTCCACTCCCCTGAGGCTGAGAGCGAGGTGTACTCAGGGGTGTAAATTGACATGTCAAGATGGATGGAAGGTGCCAGCAATTCAGAGAACCTTTAATGCAATTATATACACGCGATTCAACGATTCATGTGATGGTGTCTCCTATTCCTGCACCCTGATCACCCCTGAGCACACTCTCCGCCGAACCGCCAAACTGTCAAACGCTCGTACCAAGTCAAATTTCCTTTCCTTACGTTAAGTCCTTCAGCGCTTCAGCAATGGCACCCGTCTTCAGTACAGGGCGGCCATAGCAATGGCTTCTGTATATACCAGTGTCGTCGCATCTCAGCATCGGGCATTGCACCATCACGCGCCTTCATATTCTAAGTACTAATTGGCAGGTATGCCCTGGGCTTATGAATGAGTATATCTCGTTTGCTGTTCATTATATTGACAGTCAAGATCGGTCCTCACATGGACCCACACAACTGAGTACCTAGAAAGGTTACGACAAAGGGCCGACTTCGGTTCTTTTCACATTCTATGAACTTCATCCAGGCCTTGTCCCTCGAAAGCTAGTAGGATGCGGGATTCGGTATGCATCATCTCCGACGATGAGCTCGCGCCATTATGAGCTAATGACCTTCCTTTTTAGCATCCTCTAGCTTATCGATTCTTTTCTTCCAACCAACTGAGGTGGCCAGCTTCCATCGGATTGGCGCCTCTCGGGAGGATTCGGTGCTATTACTCTTATTCGCCATGATCTGTCAACCCCATGATGCATATCATGATGCATCCTCATTTCGTGGTTGAGACAATAGTAATATGTCAACAACAAGCCCATGTTGGATTGTAGGATAGAAAACGCGAAGCGGAAGTGGCGACGCGTATTTTTGTGGCATTTCTAGAAATAGATAAGGTGAGCTTATACTCAAATGGTTGATTCCGTATATTCATTTATTTACCTGGCGATTCCTAAGTTTGACCTCGGGGCAGACACGCCGCAAACCCAGATACGACTAACCTCTTCTTCAGATTCTTTGATATACCTCGGTCTCTGCTTTCGTTGGTGTCTGCCAAATGTCGTGGGTGCAAGAATGCCTCAGGTCCGACCTCCGTGTATTTCGACACTCGCTTCGAAATTTCTGAAATTCTGACAACTGTTCTCTTACCAAACCGTTACAAGAGCAATGGCATCGGCTAGAATCGCCCCTTGACGTTGATCAGCAATCGTTGTTTCTCGCCCTCAAAAGCTTCATCAGGCCTGTGGTCCCTTTGCAGCGTGCCCACCCACGAGGTTTACGCCAACCAAGCGTAAACGTGAATGCCTCTATGATCGCTTGCTATCTACGTCTTGATATGGTTATTGATTGCGGAGTAGCATCGGACAGAGTTAGAACTGTTCTTTCAGTCTATATAGTGCTCTTTCTCGCAACCAAAGGTTGCCAACCTTCGACGGTAGCAGCGAACGAATCCACTTACTATCCCCCAGCGGTCTGGCTCATGTTACCACAGCTATCATACGCAGACTGCTTCAGTATTCTCGGTCTTAGCACCAACGCGACAAACGAACAGATCAAGGTCGCGTACAAGAGGCTGGTGAGCCGCCCCCTCGTCCCTTCAATCGAGGGGTATCTTGCTGAGCATGGATCCCTCAGGCTTTGCAATGGCACCCCGACCGACACGCGGAGAACAAAGACTACGCCACTGAACGCTTCGTAGAGGTAATACACTTCGAACGTTCCACTCCATCAGGTTTCATGGCATTGATTTAAGGTCAGCAATGCCTATCGCACAGTTCTGCGCGAAAGGCGCTCCCACTCCCAGGACCTACGAGAAGTACCACAACCGCCTGGTAGTCCCCGCAACTTCCCCATCCCAACGAGCCTCGGACACGTGTCGACCGGATACAATTCAAGCACGGATTCATCATCTACTCAAGACTCTTACCATTTCCAAGCTAAGGACATCGGAGGGGACGCGTATTTCGTTCATACCCTCCCCTATCAACACCAACAGGGGACTCCAAGAAAGTCTGAACGATATGATCCTGCTCCGACTCCCATTCCACGGAAAGCAACCTTACCCATGAGGCGCGAGAATCTAGTCGCCGGAGAAACGCCGAACAGGGATGGGAACGGTATGTTCTAGGTGTATCTGGTTCGCGTTGAGCACCCACAATTCTGCAGAACCACAACATCGCCGAAGCGGAGGACCGCCACACCCTTGTGCGCTGATGCAACCCACGAACAAACATTCATTCACCCCAGCGACATTCCCTCCGAATGGATATTCTACCTCCACCTTAGCCTCGAAGAGCTTTTCAAAGGGAAAGCTTGTCGGTTCCAACTTTCTCGCACCCTCCGATCAGGTCGACAAAAAGAGGCGGTTGTCGACTTCCGGATACCACCAGGCTGCCACCACGGTACACGGTTTGTCTGCCGAGGTGTCGGTCATGAACGGGTTGATGGTTCAACCCAAGATGTCGTATTCATAGTCGACGAATTGCGACACGACAGGTTCTTCCGGATTGAAGACGATTTGATGGCAAACGTCATAGTTCCATGGGCGAGCTACGCCGGCGCTGGAGGGCAGATCTACGTCGAAGGCCTAGACGGGAAGCAACATGCGGTCATTCAGCCACAGCAATCCTCAACTCGGAGGCTGACACTCAAAGGTGTGAGGACAATTGTTGGAGCGGGGATGCCTATCTCGGAGGGCGAAAGGGTGATCGGCAGGGGCGACTTGGTTGTTTGGTGGGTTAAATGAATTGTGGGGTCAATCGGTACTCAATTTGATCTATCTGCAGTTGGGAAGTGGCGCATCCATCGGCTGCTTCAAGATGGGATGGATTGAAGCGGGCTCTTCACCTGAGGAGATGAACGATTTTACTCGGACTCTCGCCGTCAATATCGCAAGAACCGTCCATATTGTTCCCGGGATTCATTTGATATACGTACAATTAAATTGTCTGTGAATTAATCAAAACCTTTGTCCGCTATACGTTCGGGTTGCCAGAAGAGGGACTGGATGAATAGACGCTTGAACCCCCCTCTATAGGTCGATGGTTTGAAGCGAATTGGAGCTTGGTGCGTGGGGTAGATAGGGACGGATGCCCAGAGTTGTCGAGGACGGATGCCAGATGAAGCACTACCCTGGAGGAGATGATGCTATGAAGGAGGGTTTGCAGTCTGGAGTTGGAAACTCAGCTGCAAGGAAATTGTTTGGGTATATCGGTTTACTTACTGCGATCCGCCGTTGCGGAGCTGGGGGCGCTGGGGGATCTCAGTGAGACACTTGATGATGGAGGAGATTATCCTGATGAACAAGCTCACGTACAGAGACGGACATGACCAAGAGGATGTTAAAGATAGAAAACCCTAGAGGTACAAACGTTAGTCCGATACTGTTCTTGGAGCGCAAGCGAAGAAGTGGATGAGTTGACCTGCCATAAATCCAAAGTACATTGCACCTGGTATAGATGGTAGACATAGTCAGTCATTTTCCTTCCAACAGCAACCAGGTTCTCACCATCCTTCCAAAGAATGCCGACTAAAGATGATCGGACTGACGATGGGATGCGTTCTCGCCAGAGCAACGCGGCGAAGGATGCCAACAGGAAAGTGACTGACCCATGTCGAGGTAAGTATAGACCTCCGAAATGATAATTGGTGCTACTCATGATGGCGAGAAGGACTCACCAAGTTCGAGAAAGATCGACATGATGTACGGAATGATCCATAGACTGGTTGCGTTGCTGACCAGGAAACTACATATGTCGTCCGCGTTTATCTCAGGCGTTGGCCTTGATGTCTCGACTGCAATCACAATGAGACGCGTTGACTCCATGGCAAAGTGGGAGCTCGCTGCTCACCCCCTTCAGATATGATGTCTTCGTACACCACGAATATGCATGGTGCTAGTGAACCCTAAAGCCAGAGTGTTATGTGCCCGTTCTGGTGTACTTTGAAGACGTACAATACACGTTGCTACGAGCAGGCGTTTGACGAACTTGTTGTGTTGCCATAAAACCCAAGTACGGTGCACGAGTATAGCTGAAATGAGCACTGAGCATAGGAATCCAACGTAAATTCTACACAAAGCGTACTCTCCGATGCAACGATAGTGATAAGTCTCAGACCTATGGGTATGCCATTAATTGCACGACCAACGGAGGGGAAGAGGCTGACTGGTTATAGCATTTCCCAAAGTGAGAGTGGTCCACTAGAATGTTAGCCCATCGTTGGTCACACCAGCTCCACAGTAGCAGGAGAAACGCACGGGAAGTGTACCAGCGATTGCGCTTGCGAAACCACAGTATCGGGCGGTAAGGTAGAGAACGTTGCGAAGCGAAGGCTTGCGTCGTTGCCAAACGTGACAGAGCTGTCCAGACTTGTCTGAGCCTGACACATGATATAAAATGCCAACCTACCTCGGCACCAAACGTCAGGCAAAAGTCATAGAACTATACTATGAGTTTGAATCTTGTTCGGTGTCTAGAGGTCTGACAGCTGGAGAGGCGTACGTATAAAGTAGTGGCCACATCTACGCAGGGGGATAGTTGAGTGCATGGCCGCTTGTAGCGCTGGGATGCATCCGCTACGTACAAATAAAATACTGCCGTGTGAAGTTGATTAGCGTTACAATTGACTGAGGAACAAAGCTGACGACTTACTGTACTCAATCTCTTGTCTTGTAAGCAAGTAACATAATTGTCCACGTCCGCCGATGAGCCTGTCATATCGAGCCTGATCAACAGCCAGTGCAGCCAAAGGAGAACCAGGGGGGGGGGAAGGCGAGCCTCCGTAACGGGAGTGATTAGTATTATTATATACAGAATGGAATACACCTAGGCGTGCTTGGAAGCAACGATATACACGGTTCTTCGCATCTGTCAAAAATGCTGGGAACCTTACAGCAACGACACTGAAGATATGAAGCGGAGGGGACTCGATGGTAGGGGCATGCGCTATAAACAGCTTAAAGTTTGATACTAGTGTTCGGCGTATGTCAAGACTCAAACCCAAAGTGCCCACGACAACATAACGACGTGGGATTCTTCCGTCAGCGGTTCTGTGGAGGCAAAGGCCTGCGTTAACGATGGAAAGCTCAAAGAGCCAAGAGGTAGAATGATTGAACGAAACTGGCACTGCCACTGTAGTACGCTACAGGATGAGCAAGTTCCTGGACACAACCTGGACACGTAGTCGAGCCTTGCTCGTATATGGAATTTGAAATAATAGGATAGCTGGGAAGAAAGATTCGCCTGAGATGGACTGATATGAAAGATCAGAAGTTAATGTGCGGGATGCTGGTGATTTGCCGTCACGAAGAAGCTGTGCCGATATGATGCCAATACTTTGAATATATTCCGTTAGCTTGGCGAGCCATTCTCGTCGTTTCGATATTGTTGCGTTAACCCATTCGAAGCCGGTCCCGATGGGATGAGAGTGCCTGGGATAGCCAAGTCGGCACGAGAGTGATGCCATCTTGCAGCTCTAAGGTATCATTCAAAGTCGGCCCTGGTTGATGATACGAGTAAGGTATTGCGTCCGTCGCGATGGGCTGTACATAACCCTAAAGACGTCTTCCTCAGCAGGCATAAGTTTTGTGTATGGAGAGGTGAACCACTTCCCAGACATAATACAGCGAAAGCCAGACCGTGGTGATAAGAGCCTATCATGGAGGACAGACATCGAAGAAAAGGAACGAGTGCCTTTTTGTAGCTGGGCGTTGGCAGTAGTTCCACTCCGTTGATGCCAGAATTTCTTGCTCGCTTTTGCCTCCAGGAGAAAAGAAATGAGTTTCGTGGGTTGAAGAAAGAGAGCAAGCGCTTGTATTCCATCAGGTCCGAGGCAAAGCAAATCACGGTGCCAGATAAATATTAGACTTCATATCATTACCTACACCAGCACAATGTCCCGTTCCGACCCAAATTCGTGGATCCATGGAATTTTGACCTCCTCCGGTGCCAACGCTTCATCACTTTCATCCCACGGAGGGTCGGAGCCCCAGAGTGCAACGCGTCGAAATGTTCCGCCCCCAACGTCCGTGACAAGCAACCCCATGACTTCCGATCGGTATTTAACAATTGCGACAGCCAACGTCCTCTCAACAACCACGGCGTCGTCGGTGTCGAAATCAACAGTAATCGCGCCCATGAATGGTAGTTCGTGCTCCTTCATCTTGTCATACCTCACTTGATCGTCCCGCTCGGTGTGCCGCATCGCTACCAACTCCTTTCCACGCCCTGCTTTCACCTCAGTTTCCTTCTTTGGGAGGTCGCGTGCGTGGAGAGACAGTGTAAGTGACGTTTTCCCTGGCTCGAGTGGGAGCATCCAAGGAGTCGGCACAACGAATGCGCGCAGCATCAGTTTTAAAGGCATGACAACGTTCCCAAAGGGAAGATTAGTGTTTTTCAGCTCTGCATTGCATTGCAGAACCTGTGCCCATTCCCTGCCGATGTCGCCCCACCACATCGATAAACCCTGCCACTCTGAGGTACAAGGTCCATTCATAGAAGCCCATGACCACGACGGGAGGAGAGTTTCGGGTAGTCGTCGTGAAGTGGTGACAGTGGTGAGCAGCGGGTCGCGCCGCCATAAGAGGTCCTGTAGAAGAAAATTCTCCCAAATTCCGGCAATATATCGACCTGCGCGAGATCCCCAGATGCGACCGAAGACTTCCGCGACCGCTGCGAACGCGTTCAGCTTGTCCTCGTCATATGTCAACGAACGACTCGTGTAGGTGCGAACCATCCAGTCCCAGGTATGGCGCAGTTTTTCCCACTCCTTCGAGGACCAGTTTGAAACATCCGGTACATCATCACCAGGCAGCAGAAGATTGCTGTCGGGGTCGGGGCCTTGCGCAAGGCGGGAAGCCCGATTCCAGGAAGCCCGAGCGACGACATCCCCGAGGAACACTTGTGATGTCTGGCAATAGTACTTCAGGGCATCACTTCCATACACTAGCTTTCGGGGAGAGAGAACGGACTCCTGAAAACACCATGCACGATACTCGATTGGCCCGTTCACAACATGATGCTCGTCCCACTTCATGTCGAGATGGTCAAATAAGCGTACACGTCCCAGACGGCCATCTCGGCAATGGAAAGGAAGCTGAGGATTGTCTTTGTATGGCCCCATGAAGGCACCGGTTTCGAGAAAGCCAGCGCTTGCCTTGTTGGCACTGGCAGCAACGATGGTGAGGTATGCATGGGTGTAGATATGGGCCATGTTAGCGAGTTCGCGCGACTTGTCTTCATCTGAGTCCTGGATAATGCACAGGGCGTCCACCCAGAGATAGCGAAGGCCGAGTTTGTTCGTGACTTCAATTGCGTCGCGAATTGTCTGGGGTATAAAGTGGCTAGCGATTCCATTGATGTATTCATCAACATTGGCCTTGGTGGTGCGGTACGGTTGTGGCTCGCCCCACACGTAGCTCAAGGTCACGTACGGGGAACGTGTGCCTTGGCTAACGAACAATCGCACATGAGATGGATCGGCACAGTCGAGGACGCGAGAAGGGAGAGGAGCATCGAGAGGAGGTTTGCGACACTTGACATGCTCTTCGATACAGTCTTTTAACGCTCTTCGGGCTTCTTCGTATGCCCGAGAGGATCGACGATCTAGGATGGGACTTTTGGCGACCACCTCGAGAGCGGCCGGATCACCTACCGAGTGTCACAGAGTGAGTGAGGTGATGATTTATGACATATGTGGTGGGGATATACCTGGATCACTATAGATGCACCACGTATCCGCTAGAGTTTCATCCTCATCCCAGTCAAGATCCTCATAATCATTTCCTTCTGCTACCTGACCAATCGCATCTCGAAGAAAGATGCGCAAAATTTGTGCACGAGGGGGGAGTACCAAATTATGGTGGTCTCCGGTCAAAATTATAGACGCCTCAAGCAACGGCCCAGCGGTGGGAAGTTTGTCCTGGCGGAAGTTCGAGAGGGCGGCACAAAGGGTGCAGCCTGTTTCGGCACTCTCCGCAATCCGACTTTGTGTTATCTCGTAAACAAACCGTTCACCATCCATGATGCTTCTCCATGACAGCGGTGCGAGAGGCCCAGCTTTGCAGTGATGGCAAACGTTATAGATTTGTTCGCTGTATTATATATCCGACGTTATTATTGGTTGGAGGGACAACAGAGCATTCACCTTTGCGACTTTGGTTCGCTGTCAGCATCGGGATCCGGCTCTGGTCTTGAGTTTATGATCTGAGGTTCTGTGTACGTGCCAGACGTGGGAGCAGACGATGGAGACGGGTCGGTTGTTGCCGGCGTTGCCCTCAGTCCCTCTGGGGGAGGAGTGCGACTTTCGTTGTGGGGGAGTGACGTTTGAGTCAGGACTTGCAACCCAAGACCTTGGTTTGCCTGCCCCGAAGGTGTTGCTGGTTTGGCATTGACAAGAGGACGAGACAGCGGCGGGGGAGGGTTCCACTCTGCGGATAAGACAGGCTTTGAGCTGCAACAGCCCATTATGGGTTAAGAGTTGCAAGTATATAATCTGGATGCTCGGCAAAGAGCTAGACGCAAGATGACGATGGTGCCAGGGAGAAGCAGATGGAAGTCCGTTTTTTGTAAGGGGGAACACGCCTGTAGCATCAGGCAGACATTGCGAAATATGTCCACCGCAATGTGACCGCATGCCGCCAGCTACTGTATCCGTCCTTAATCGGTTCCTCGCACATAGATTCCACGATATTGTACATGCAGGCGCTCTCTCGCGAGTATGGTCGCGCAGTACGACTCTTGCCTGTATGCGGAGTAACAGGACATCCTGACGGAGTAGCTGGTGTCCTGAATGTTGTGGAGAGTTAATTTGCGAGGTGTGGGCGATTTGCCGTCTTGAGGAAGCGGTGCTGGCTGGTGTAGAGTCGTTATTAAGTTAGCCGGCTAGCCATCTTCTTGTCGCGTATTATTGTGTTAGTTCCCCCGAGACCGATGAAAAAAGCCTAGTTCCATGTAGTGTGGCTAATCCGCTCGAGTACTCCGCAATGCTTGTTTACGTTTAAAGCTGTCCCAAGTATGCATGCTAGTTATCCGAAGGAAAGGGTACCGTGGTGGTATCCTGCGGTTTTCAGCCGACGACACGCCTGCGAGTGATGCGTGCAGTCGACATTGTTGCATTAGTCGCCGGGAATTGAACACGAGGCGTGAGAGGTCACCGTATTCCCGGAGTGTGTGGGATCGTCCCCGACGAGCGCAAGTTTGGTTCTAAACTATCCTGGAAAAAATCAGTCATCGAAGTCGACGAATAAGTTTCATCTGTCCAAGATTCGACCAAGCAGGGAGCCTGCCTCCAATTCTACGAGCGCCTGTTTATTCAGGGATGCTTAGGGGCTTCGTGCGGGAATAGGAGAATCACGCGACCACGAATCGTTGAAATTGCAGGCATGTACATGGTTGCATTAGGCTCTCCCTCTCTGAATCACTGAACCACCCCACACAATTATCACGGCTCGAGTCCCGCTACAGAACCTGTTCCGTAGCATTTACGCCTTCATCAATCTATCTGTCCGGAGTCTCCTCGGTATCTCACTTCGCGAGGCCGAAAGGCATGTCAGGCACCGTAGCCAGCGTCCTTGAAGAAGAAAGGGCTAGCATGGAAGTTGTAGAATAATTTGTACTCACCTGGAAACGTGTAGCTCGCCCTGGGCGAGCATCGCATTGCTCGAGGCCAGCTTGAACCCCAGCCGACCAGCCGACCGTGCTTTAGATGGTGAACTCGGAGTCAGTAGAACACACGCTGTCGAACGAGCACATGCTCTCCATCGAGTACACACTAGGAACAGTCCAGAAACTCGCCTCCGCCGCCGCGAGCTCGCCACCATCCTCCAACTGCTTAACATCGGACTCAACCTCGACATAGCTCTCCATCGAGTACACACTCGCATCATCGTCCTCGTCGTCACCAACACAAGTCTCAGTCTCCGACTCTGAGCCTTCACTATCCGACTCGACGCCAGCGTCAGCCTCCATCCGCTTCGTACAGTCAACGCCAACCAAAGAAATCAACTCTTTGCTGACGACGCGCCTCTCGCAGCGCGTCCACACTTGGTTCTCCGGCTCGTCTCGCTTCGTACAATCCACATACAATAACTTGATCTGGTGTTTACTCACCTTTCTCCTCTTGGAAGACTCCTCAACGTAGACCGGCTGCGTTGGGTGCGCGTTCTTGAAAATGCGCGTGAGGAAGCTCTTCTTGGAGGAGGAAGATGAGGCTTTGGACGATGCGGTAAACATATTGGGGGATGTAGTCGTAGGAGGTTTAGTATGAGAATACTGGCGTTCCATGAGGGATCTCAACCAGTATTTATGTTACCAGAAGCTGGAATAGGGGTCATTCGTCGCCCCTATTCCAGCACCGAAACACGATCGCTGGAAAAGGGGTCCACTTGTGCCGGACATACGATTGCACCGACGGGTCGATCGATCAAGTTTTCCCCAGTCCTCGTTCCCCACACGCGTTTCGCTTGTTTCGTTGATGATGGTTATACCCTTCGTTGACTAGGGGGCTCTCCTTTACAGCACTCACTTATACAGGTCGCTCGACCTCCTACCTTCGACCTGACATTAGCATGTTATTTCCCTTCTGTCAGCCAGTCGTCTGTCGAATAGGCTCGGCCTCGGAAGTAAAATTGGAGGATAGGAGTGAGAGGAGACAGGGGTTGTCCAGAAGGAGGACCACTAGAGATAGACGGCAATGAATTGATCATCGGGAGAAGACTACAGCATCGTCCAGATCTCAACTCAGGCCGCTCGCCTGATAGTAATCACGGTGACGCTGACGGCCGGGGCAATGTAGCTAAACCTTCGGCCTGTCCTGATGGAGCGAGAAATAGGCTGGATGGCGTTGGGAGATGTTGGTGTGTTGCTCGTGGTGGCTGCACCGGTTAGCAGGTGCGCAGTACCAACGGAAGCCACATTGAAAGGTAGCACAAAGTTCAAGGTCGCGCTGCTTGACCCTGTGTTGGATATCTACGGCAGTAGCGTTAGGGGTAGGAGACAATGCTAGAGGCTGAGCTCGCCTTGATGATCAAGTTGGTCCGGTCGCGAGTGACGCCCCAGAAAACAGTACCATTCCTGGAGGGCAAAGTACTCGGTAGATATTCAGTGCCTTTATTAAGGCTGAAAAGCTACGCGAGATATCAGTTAGTTTACTCAGTTTAACGCTATGTACGCAAATACTAACCTGTTGAACGTAGTAGCTCGTGGACTTGAAAACTTGTCCGGAGCTTGCAGAATTGATATTACTATCGAGATTGATATCTCTACGTTAAATAAAGCTCACTCAAATCCAACGAGATTTGGAGTCTAGACCACTGTGAGTTCTCCAAGTAACATTCAACTCCATTACTCCACATACCCATTGGCTGTTAGACACGTGCTGACAGGGACAATTGGTCGTTGAGCCAGTCTGAGGGAAGAGAAACTTACACCTAAAAGTGGTGCGTAGGCAGCGGCAAAAACGATATCACTGTTGCGCTCCATGCCAATCATGTACGCGGCCTCGCCAGTGGAACCTATCCACAAACAGAAAATTCGTCGGCCTATAAACAGATGGTTAAACAAAAACATACCCTGCATAGTAGGGAAGGGAAGTCGACCATCGTCAGGCGTACCAAAGATGTCGTTAGGATTGGTGGAGATGGCAGCGTACTCTCCTTCGAAGTATTGTGTTCCGTCGCGCTAGGGATGAACGTGTTGGCGCCCAATGAAGAGGAGCAGTAAATGCACACACCGCCATATCATCGTAGAAGAATGAATTTTGGGCAAAGAAGGCTTTGAATAACACGTTTGATTGGTTGGTAAACGGGCGAAGGAGGATGGGAGACGTACTGGGTGTTTGGTACACGTGGTGGTCGTAAACTTGGGGTTTTGGTGTAAGAACGGGGTCGTTGATGTTGGAGGTAGCGATGAACTCTGGGCAAACAATGAGAAAGTTGACGAGATAAGGCGGAAACGTTCGTACTCAAGTGAGGGAACGCGCTCTTCAAGGGATTTACGAAAGCGGGCCACCGATACGTGTACCTGTTGAGTTCGAATAATTTGAATGAAGAGTAGTATCATCTAACGGGTACTCACGTATCGGCAGCGAAGAAATCCTGAACGTGATGGTTCAACAAGGTTGCGACACTTGGCGCGGGGTGTAGCGCTGTACGCACCTCATTGCCAATCTCAACAAAATTTAATTTGAAGGGGGACGGGTGGCCCAAGGCGGCACGGCGTGCAGCTAACGATGGATTATCATCAGGTAGGGTAATCAAATTGGAGATTGAGATATTACCTGCTGCGTTGGTGCGAGCATCGCCAATAACGAAGTTGATTTGATCCATAGCTTGCTGGATAAAGGGTTGGAGTTGGTCCTGCGCGATACTGGTGCCGCCGAGTGCGAAGCCTAGAGTCACGCGTGTAGCTCAGTCATCAAGACGAGGCGGCATGGAGCTGACCTGACCAAACTGCCATAATAGGCTCCATTCCGACGTCCTCACAGAAAGTGAGGAATTCGAGTAGACCCAAACCGCTGTTAAGGGTAAAATGTCAGTGAGAGTAGTTTGGGAATTGATGCCATTGGAGATTACTCTGTGTTGATGTAACTCCAATCCCCTGCACGTCCTGGAGAGTATCGTTAAGCCTTGAAACTTTGCGCTGGGACTCGTACTTACCTGGTCGATCCAATAGGCTTCCAAGGGTGGCATTCCACTGCCATCGGCTGGCAGGAGTTTGCCCCTGCATAAATAGGAGACTTAACAACAGAATTCAAGAGGACCGTGTTGGGTGATACCTCAAGATTATTACCTCCGGGGAAGCGAAAAACACCAGGTTTCATCTCCGCAAGGGCCTACTCTAACGTTAGTAGAATGATACCGTAGGTATCCTGGTACATACAGTAGCTATATCGATGCGCATCCCATTCGGCCTATTTTTGAAGGTTGGAGGGAAGAGCGAGAACATTGCGAAGTTGATTTTTTGGCCACGAGCAACATTGCCGTCCACCGTAACAAATAATTGGTTGGAGAAGGAGCTTGCCGATGATGAAGGCCTGAGGGAGACATTGACCTGACGCCAGCTCGTCGAAGCGCCACTGATAGGCACAGTAGCAGACGCAAGGACTTCACCGCTTGAGGAGCGCAGACCAACGACGAGGTTTCCGCGAAAGGAGGAACGAGTCGGGAAGCGAAAGTGGAATGAAGCCTTGTACGTCCACGCAGAATCAACTTTGATGCCTACACTGGGTCAGATATCATTGGCCGGACTATTGTAGTATATTTTGTACCGAAGAAGCCAGAATTCGCAAAGCCAACGGGACCGGAAAGGCCGTTTGGGACGTCGAAGCGTAGAGAGTTCCTCAGAGAGTTAGAGACTGGCACATCATCGCTGATAATCGATATGGAACCACCGTTGATGGAGCTCCATGCGTTGAGCGCACCAGATGTTCCTGGTCATGATGAGGTAGGGACGTGAGATGTGCCGGTCGTACTCACCTGGTGTTACCTGCTGGAAGGCTCGATTCTGGAGGACTACAGGGATGTCAGGACTGCAGCCTTCAAATGAAATTTTTATACTTACGTTCGCCGTAGAGGCCTCCGTCCCCGCTCTACAGAAATATAAGCAGGACTCGAGGGGAATACCCTACCATACGTACGTGCTATAAGGTATTCAAATTTGGGTCAGATATGATGTTTCAGGCTGAGAATACCTACACTGATATCCTGGAGTATCGGTGATCTGGCGTTGAGAGTTATTCGACATGAGTTATGGGGTAGTTACCTCAAACATCAGACCCCCTGTTCGGGGATGGTCAGCAGTCCGGCATCGAGAGTACAGCTATGAGGATAGAGCATACAAAGAGTGCTTGGAATGGCATGGCTGGCCGATGAACTGACAGTAACGGTCTGCGCCAAGCAGCGCCAGACATTCAAAGACGCGAATGCAAGCAAGAAACCAGGGCGAAACATGCTGTCTCAATTCCCATCATTGAGTCCCGGTCGATTTTAAAGCATGAACCTACGGTCCGCCCAGGGAGAAAATAACCTGGAAGGCAATTATTCGCCTCTCCGCGACTTCGATTAACGTATAGAGGAAGCTTCAGGAAGACTCTAATCATATGTGGGTGAGAAATTTGGGAGCTGCTCGACCCATGGTCTGTCCATCTGACAGAAACGTTGGCTCTGAAGTGTTCTATATACTCAGGAACGAAATATAGTGTGCAATTGCGAGACGTACATGAGAGGAAATGCCCTGCGCACTCCTGGTGATCAGACACGGACTTGACACGGACTCCCGTCAAGCGACGTTGAATCGTTGCGGGCCGTCGCGTGAGCCTCCAGCGAGCATTTGGGCACCACCCAATTGAAATTTACAAACAAACGATGTTGCTGAGCTTTGTACTGCCAGTCCAAGAAGCTTTGGAGGAGCGACGATTTACGATACTTGGATCTTCCCACGCCACGCGCCTGCACAAGGTTCATCCTTTGCTTTCAACGCACATAGAGCCATGAATCCTGCTCCCGCCCCAGACTCGCCCCGTTCCTCACAGTCCCCACCCCCAACTGGGGTCCAGGGGGACTTAGAAATGGAGCTGTTTGGCCTTGCGACCTCACTCTACAATCTTGGGACGACCGTTATAGCCGATTCAACCAAAGATCGGGATAAACCAGGAGGAGGAAAGCCTGTCGCTCAACGAGTGTGAGTTTTCCTTGCGGAATATAATTGTGCAACGGTGGAATTACTCGTATGTGTCTGTAGGAACGAGGTTGTCAACCATCTCGCCACGCTGGACGAAATGGCACAACACATGAACATCATGGTACCGATGCAAGTGCTGACCGATATCGATAACTCCCGCAACCCAATGAATGTCACGCGCGATCGTATAGAGCGAGCTGCTACCGAGAATCAATTTATGAATGGTAAAATTGCTGCAATTGAAGTGAGTTTGGACCAGCTCTTCCATTCCTCGTCCTTGTCTCATATTGTTCTCCTAGTCATATCACACGTATCTCAACGAGGCGCTGATACAAAGCTTTCCTGACATTGCACCATACTTAAACGAGCAGCCACTCACGGAGGTACCAAACAGTCAGTGATCATGATCAAACAAAGTGCGAGACAGGCCTCTCCTGCTTCTCCCCATCTACCCAAACATCCACTCTCTCGTCGTAAAACGCCACATATCCTTTGATCGCAGCAACCTCCAGGATCGGTGACTGGTACCACCACACAATATCCTTCGCCAACTCTTGACCAGCACGAATGTGGTAGTAATTAGCTGTGCCCTGCTACTCATTCAGCAAGACTCTGACACAAGGCACGGTCGGGGATACCTTGTACGGGCATTGCGTCGTTAACTCGGAGGGAAGGAATATATCGACCCTACAGTCGGTTTTCTTGATGTATGTGCGCACAGGCAAGCCCGTTTCGAACAACAATGCCGGGCTCCGCGTGTTTGCTACTTCCACTCCGTTCACTTCCACGCGGACGTGCCTCGAGGATTGCAGAACGTCGACGCGCTACGCACCATCATCCATCAAATCGTCAGCGAGCGAGTACGAACGAACGGACCTTATAGGGATCCTTGGGGTGCACGAACACCTGCTCATCCTCCTCAAACCATGCATCCATCGCCCCGAACGTAATCCTCAGTAACCCAGCAAGTTTACCATCCTCGCCATCCGTCTGAAAGTACTTCGTGACCGCACCCTCCGCGCGACGATCTCCGACGACTATGTCGTATATCTTGCCTGAGTAGCTGGAGCTACTGCTTTCTTGTAGGTATTTCGTATCAAGGGCGTCGTGGGGGAAGAAATATGTTGGATAGAATGGCTTTTCCCATCTGTGTATACAGTGTAGGCCTCATGAACGACTGCGACTAGATTAATTCTCTTATGGAATGTCGACTCACACTAACTTCGCCTTTCGTGTATCGACAATGTACGTTCCCCCGAACAAGACTCGTACTCTCTTGGGCGAAGGCTCGGTGTGTCCTCTGGGAATGATTATACGTTTAGAAGACATCGCGGAGTATCAGGAGGATGAGATGTGCAAGCTTCATCCCTTTCCACGAACTATTTATCAGCCTTGGTCACGGGCGAACAAAGTAGTTTGTAACACGCTCTGTAAGTTAAGGCATACATAGGGGGTAGATTCCGAAGATAGTCTATGTAGCTGACATACATGTCCAGTCGCCGCCGACCTACTCGTCATCGTCATCGTCGTCGTCAGCCTCCGCGAGCCACTGAATATTGTTTAAACGTCAGTTGCTGATGCTTCATTGTAAAGAGGAAACACAAACCTTGAGGAAAGGCTCGCTGGCCTTTCTGACCTTTTTACTAGTGTCTTTGTCGACATACTTTTTGCTGACATGTGTCCCCCACTGGGTGATGACCTCCTCGTCGAGGACGTCAATCTGATAGAGGGCCATGAGGATTTTGGGGACACCCAACGCAATAAGCTCAGGATGTGAAATGCCAACAAGCCGCTCAATACCCCCAAGCAGTGCCTTCTGATGCTTCTCCGATGTCACCATCTAATAGAACGCGTGTGTAAATCAAATAGTTTCATAACAAAGCACCATGTGGACTGCACACCTTGGCAAGCAGCGCAGCGTACTTCGGAATCTGAGTTACAATGTCGGCGTCAAAGAGGGCCTGCACGATGACAAGCACAGTTTTGTGCTTCTTTTCGATCCCGAATTCCTCCGCTTTCTTGTAGATGGCGATGGAGAAAGCTTTGGCGTCGTCGTCATGATTCTCAGTGATCCAGCGTCCGAGTTGAGAGTAAGGGCTATTGACGTCTTCGTCACTTCCGTCATCATCACCACCACCGAGTGCAAGGGCGGCAACGCCTGCCTCGAGGGCTTGACGAGCCCGAACGGCTTCGGGGGACGTATCGGCAGACCAATCTTCCTTCGCGAGTGCGGCGTCATCGTTGAGCTCAGCGGCTTCAGCCTTGATGCGCCTGCTTAACTCATCGTCACTCTCGGCGCCATCAGGGGTTCCTTCACCGTCGCCATGATCGCCGTTGGTAATGGGAGAAGCGGCATTACCACCGACACCATCAGCAGCCCCTCCGCCAGCCCCTCCCTTCTTCGACTTCTTGGACTTGACAGGAGGGTTCTTGAGGATGAAGGTAGTAAGCTTATGACGCATGTCGATACCCGTACGCTCGCCACAAGCTTTGCAATCACGTATGATGTCCTCCGATCGCCCCACTTTGAGGATTACGAGCTCTGTCTCAGGGTTCTTGCATGCCTTGCAGAGAACGAACTTGTCGATGAAAACGTCAAGTAGTTCACGGAGGCGATTTGCGTCGTGGGCACCATTAACGATGTAGCGATCATTCTTTTCGTCGAAGGAGGTTTGAGCTCCGAGTTCGCACCCGAAGAACTTGGTAGTGTAAGTCGGAGGTCGGCTGAGAGCGCGAGCAACGTCAGACATATTCGGGACCACTGTCTTAATGCCGTTTCCTTTCCCCTCGATTTTGGTTGTGAGAAGGGGCATTCGATAGCGGTAGAATTTGTCATCGACATCGCGGCGGATGTTCACTATGCCACCAGAAGCCATGTTGGGCAGATTTTAGCGCTGCACAGCTGTCAGCATTTTGAAAGCTAGCACACAATGTTCGTCAACGTACAGATATAGAAGAATCGGCAGAAAACGGTCTTTTGTGCTTTGGTATACCGTTTGGCGGACGAAGCATGAATCCTCTCCCGTGTCGGAAGATAGGAATCGTGGAAATGGGAGGGTACGGGGAAGGTATTGTGGAGATTTTACTGGGAAGGACTTGAGGAACCAAAGTCTGCAGTACCAGATGGTGGTTTGGGAAAAAGAATTGAGTCTGCGGGGAAGAAGGCAGGTCCTCGTCATCTGCCGGGTTCCACACGGTCACTGGACCCGGCCAATAGCTAGTTGACCGAGCCCCTGCCTCAGCCTAGGCATCGCGCAAGTGTCAGAGGCCAGCGCATCCATATGCCTTCTTTCCGTCTCCTCATCTTCTGCACGACATTCCTGCTCGCGGCAGTGATTCTGTATCGCTATCCGACCCAGATTTACCTTAACTTATCACCTCATATTGCTGCGCTTCATGGGGTACTCTGGCGATGGCAACTGCCTACATCCATTCCATACTTTACTCCAGAGTCCGTAACAACGGAAGAGCGCAGTGATGACCTAACGAGATCGTTTACGAGACATATTGTTGCGGTGGGGGACTTACATGGTGACATGCCGAACGCCCAGCGCGTCTTGCGCTTTGCTGGTGTGCTCAACGACTTGGGCGACTGGAGTGGTGATGTGGATTTCTTGGTCCAGACGGGGGACATCATAGACAGGTATGTAACATGGATTATCCCCTCACCTACCGCATTACAATTAGTTCTATCCCAGAGGTGACGATACAATCCCATTATTCACCATGATGGATGAGCTCCGCGCGCAGGCGTCTGCAGTCGGCGGGACTGTTCTCTCGGTACTTGGGAACCACGAATGGATGAATGCCATCGGTGATTGGAGGTGAGCGATACCTCTCTGCTTGGAATCGTCACTTATTCTGTGCAAGATACGTATATCCAACCGAAATAAAAACATTTGGCTCAGTGTCTGACCGTCAAAAAATTATCTCGACTGGCAGAATCGGGCGTTCATGGGCGAACAACTATACGACTGCCGCGCGGTTGCCTCTACATCCGTCTCTCGGTAAACCAAATACACCATACCCATCACATCACGTCTTCGAGAAGGATGACGGCGATGACGAAGAGGACATCGTTGTCGAAGGACTCTCGCATTCCGCGCTCTCCTTCGTACATGGTGGATTATCCCCGACATACAAACAACTTAGTCCCTTTCCCTCTGCGATCAATGATATTGCCGCATCTTTACTGCGGAAACTCCAACATCGAGCCCAGCCGCCACCCCATCCGCCGTATCCATACCCGGGTCTTCCACCAGATTCAACGCGGCAGGAACACGAACTGTACGATGCGAATGGGCCTTTGTGGTACCGTGGGTGGGCGATGGACAGCGAGGAGAAGGTATGCGGGGATGTTGACGCGGTGTTGAAGAAGACGGGGACGCGACGGATGATCATGGGACATACGCCTGACTTTACGGGCATCGTGTCCCGATGCAACGGCAAGATTATAATCATCGATACGGGGATATCTCACGCCTACGGGGGCGTTCTGTCCGCACTTTCGATCCACTACACATTGACGCCAGTCGCAGGGAAAGTGTGGAAGGAGAGAGAAGTTGTTAGTGCTCTGTATCCTGATCGGCAGGAAGTGTTGGTTGATGAAGAGAGGGTCGTTGTCGGGGACTTTAAACACTAAGTGGGTTTGTATAATTGCCTTGTTTATAATTTATATTATAGCAATATCCACAAGCCGTCCGCATTGGGGCTTCTATGTGGCAGCTTAGAGTCGCACTTGAAGCACATCTACCAACCAGGCACATGCCGCATTACTCCTTCAATCTCTGGTCGTGCAACTTTGATGGTCCTCTCGCCCTTAATAAGGCCGCGGTCAATCGTCCTCTATGTCGCTATACTCAGGATCTAGGCTGACTTATCATTCCTCGTTTGCTCCTTTTGCATCATACATCAGCTGCGTGGCCACCATGACTGTACGAACTTATATCCGGCTAGAGTCTTCTCCATGATGATCGGGTCACTTACACAGCTTGCTCATTGAAAATGTACACTGGCTGACACAGCGATTAGCACGAATCTATTTCCTACTGACTCCGAGTTGGAGCCTACACTGATGTCGAACCGCCTCTCCACAGAGATCTCAGTATAAGAAGCTTCAACGAACGAAATTTGATGATGTGCGATCCATGGAAGAAGTAATCCCCTCTTGTGCCCAGGAACTGCGAATAATCTTGGTGAGCTGCCCGTACATGATATATTTTCTCCATCGAGGCGCACTATTAACTTGCTTTTGTAGAGTATAACCTGTGAGTGCCATCGGAACGATAATCAAACCTTTAGCGCTCAGCACTTCGACGCGCCTATAGACGGAAGCATTGCGATCCTGGTGCGTCCCTCTAGATTAGAACTGTGGCTAGTACGCGTATCTCATTTCCTCTAGTTCTATGACTACTTGTTGGCCTTCAACGACGAGGCAAGTAAACCTTCGTTTGCTAAGTCTATCCACCGCGACTCAACATGCTGGTTGCATTAGCTTTATTTTCTGGGGAAAGCAAGAGAAGGAAGGCGTACCGCCACCCGGTACCTCTACCTCGTTGTACGGTATGCTGGGGCTTCTGCAGCATTATTGAGTCTCTTTTCGGTGAGTCGGTAACTTCCCCGCATATGTCTGGACTCCAGTCCTGACGAAGACACGACACAAGTACTCCAGGCCTGTCACACTACTTTGTGGTAGTACGTGGTGCCCATTCCAAGCACACTGTTACTGGTAATTAACCGAGGTTACCATGCATGGATAGGTTTGATGTTTCTCGTCGCCCTTTCTTCAAACGGTGTGTTGACTTTGCATACAAATGTAATCGGTCTCATCGTGATACACAGCCCTCCTTGCTGTCAGAACATACGCACTTTGGCTCCGAAGCCGCAAAACCGCAGTATCGCTCTCCTTCGTAGCTCTGGTAAGCAGTCCGAACATCAGATTCCCCTACGTAACAGACCGCAACCCCTAGATCCTCCTAATTCCAACCAGCATCGTCGTAGGCTTCGAATACGCAGACAAATCATGTAAGCTCGCCATCTCATGAGTCTAACTGAACGTTGTGGTCATAAATCACTGTAAATTTAGTCATCCAATATCCTATCACATCCTTCGTGAAACCAGCTAGCAACCCGACATGCCGGTACGATAATGTTGATACCCCAACGTCCCCGATTTTCCACACTAGATTCCATACAATCCCATCACTATTGTGCATGCTTTTCAACCTATGTGAGCTCACCAGTAATAGCTTTGTTTCTCCTGCTGACGCTCCCGTTCAATTCCTGCTGGGAATCGGCAGTAAACTTGACGTTGGCTTCTATCGTCATATTTAGGTGGAGGAGAAGCTCTAAAATCTCGGGCGGTTCCCACATAGCCGATATGCTTTGGGCAGATGGTAGGTACACTACGACCTGAGCTGTCCCCAGAAAGCCCTAGCTAACGCGCAGACAGGGCTCCTTTATGCGTTCTCTGTAGTTGGTTGGTTACATTCGAAGCACCTAAATTCCTGCGCTCTACTAACGATCAACCGTGCAGCGTTTACCATTCTCCAGCTCGTATTCGAGTCAAAAATCCCTGTGAGTGACTTTCTAGGCTACTTCGTGCAATCAACACTAACACCACACTCATCCACCTGCAGCCTCTGCTGCGGCCAGTCACCATACAGTAAGCAGCCCACCCCTTCCTTCCCCCTTCGATTCGGGCAGCTCCAAGCTGTATCCCAAGCTGACACTAAATTGGCAACGTAGAATGCAATCCAATCTACATAGTCTATTGTCGACCAGGATCGTGCGTGAGTGTTACTCTTCTGAACCCCTAGCCACCGTGCTATTTTACTGACAAGGTGAGGTATAGTGCATCTTGCCTGCGCTGAAAGAGAGTCAGAATGCGAAGATATCCTAACGCCGGACATTCAATTCGAGATCCACAGCACTTCAAGATGGACTCAAGCGTAGTGTAGACAACTCCGTTCCAGGACTTGAATATACATTAAACACGGACGATGTATTGTACCCCATCTAGATACGACGACTCCTCACTTAAACTACATCTCACTAATGTTGAAATAAGCTGGTGAGGTCGTGCGAGTTCCGAGTGAGCAAGTAGATATATTGCGTTTGGCTGGGACGCCAGCAAACGCATAAACTTAAGATAATACATGCGCGCGACACGACATTACAGTAGTCACGTGTATCCCCTATACCCCTGTACCGCCAAGATTGCTGAAATCCAACAACTAATACTGACGAAGTATCACTACCCCACCCGAGTTTTGCTGTCACACAGGAAGGGAGTCCTAGGGAAGACAGCTCAGATCACAAATGACTTGTGGGAAAGATTGAGACCCGCCCACATGGCGCATAGCAATATATCTTTTACAGGCTGGGCTCTCAGCTCTGGCTTCGGCGAGACACACGTTGCAAATCCCATTCGTATCATGCGTATCATGCATATCATATCCATGAAATATCTCCTACATAGTTAATGTGACACCTTGGGGGCAGCGTTCGGCGAACATGAGTGCATGAGGTCGAAACAGAAGGCAGACACGTCCATATTGTCATGTCAAAACGCTAACCACGAAGGCCCCCCATTTCAAAACCTTGGGCTCGAGGTCGAGCCAGACATTTCTGACTGCCATGAAACCGACGAGACGTGGCAGCGTTCATGATGCATTGATATCCGAGCGAAACGACATACAATATACGATATGTGATCTCGGACACCGCGAGTACACAAGGCTCCAGATTGTCATTGCGCAGATGACTAGAAGGAAACCACACCCATATGGTCTGCTTCTCCGCTGATCTAAATATTCAGAGAAGCGATATACAGGTGATATAAAAGGAGCAATAATCGTCTCAGTCCTTCCCCAACAAAATGCAATACCTCGCCTTGACATCTCTACTATCTCTGGTCTTCAGTGCACCCCTCGCGCACGCAGCCGTAAACGGTGCGTGCTCCGTCAACGGCACGCCTGGTGTCTGCCTCGCAAGTGCGTCGTGCACAGGTAGCGGTGGGACGACACACGTCGGCTTCTGCCCCAACGACCCCGCCGACATCAAGTGCTGCACGAAGACCGCGTGCGGTTCTGGGGGCAACTGCCGTTTCACGAGTTCTTGTTCGACTGGGAACATTGCTTCTGGTATGTTCTTCGCCGACATTGTAGACAGTTACTTGAACGCTGACGGGAATATCGTAGGCCTCTGCCCAGGTCCTACCGACTTCAAATGCTGCCTCCCTGCAAGCACCGGAGGAGGTGCTTGCCCGCCCGCGATCAACAGCGCGACAGTCAGCTTGATCAAGGAATTCGAAGGCTTCGTCGCCCGACCTGCACCTGACCCCATCGGCCTCCCCACCGTCGGCTACGGCCACCTCTGCCAAACAACTAGTTGCAGTGAAGCCGGGGCGTTCCCGCTCACCGAAGCCCGCGCAACCACGCTCCTCCTTTCAGACAGCCGCGTCGCCACCAGCTGCCTCAACACGGCCATCAGCCGAAACGTCCGCCTAAATGCCAATCAATTCGGGGCATTGACGTCGTGGACGTTCAATGTGGGTTGTGGGAATATGCGGTCGTCGTCCTTGCTCAGCAGGTTGAATGCGGGAGAGGCGCCGAATACGGTCGCCGCACAAGAGCTGCCGAAGTGGAACAAGGCAGGCGGACAGGTCCTTGCGGGGCTCACGAGACGGAGAGCGGCGGAGGTTGTCCTCTTCCAGACGGCTTCGAGCGTTATCGCCCATCCCTGTTAATTAGCGCGGGTGTAGACCCTGCGTAGGCACTCCCATGTGAGACATCGCCAATGTACTTAGGTGTTGTATCTTGAGGCGACGACTTCTGAGAAACGGATGGAAACCGCCTATCTTGCGAAGTGTGCGCATTCTTTGGTTTTGAGCCATGCTTCATTTTTTCTTTTCTGCTTCTATGATATCAATGAGCCACATGAGTGAAGTCTTCTGCTCACCTCCTTCAGTGAAACACTCCGAATCAATATACGGACGCATCACAAGGGAGATTAGCCTAAGGTCAAGAAGCGGTCGTAGTGATATATTGAGGCATTGTTGGGCACGGTCTGTCAGAAACACCATCTGTTGGTTTTGCTCGTTCCCACAGTGCAGTCATCACATTGCTCTGTATCAGCACGGCGAGGATCCTGGTATTGGAGGAACAAATGCTGATACGAAGAAAGTGAGGCTTCTTTGTTGACAGACACGCATGCTGATCATTAATCATATCATTCTTCATGTGCGGGAGCTTGTCGTGGAGGCGCCGGTAACGGTTTACAGTCTCTAGCCGTTCTGACAAGCTTGACATTTGGAAGTCGGGATGCCATATGGACGGTACTGCACGAGTTGATTAAAAGGCAGCCTGGCGTAACCGGGTCTGTACAAACACGAATATGAAGTATCTCGCATTCGTAACCCTGGTCCTTGGTTGCGGCTTCGCGCACGCCGCATGCCCACCAGCTATCAACACTGCGACGACCAACCTAATCAAGTCGTCCGAGGGCTTCGTGCCCAGTCCCGCGCCAGACCCCATCGGCCTGCCCACCGTCGGGTACGGGCACCTGTGCCAGACCTCGAGCTGCAGCGAGGCGGGCCCGTTCCCGCTCACCGAGGCCCGCGCGACGACGCTGCTCCTCGCCGACAGCCGCACCGCAACGAGCTGCCTGAACACCGCCATCAGCAGCAGTGTCCGCCTCAACGATAATCAGTTCGGTGCACTGACATCTTGGACGTTCAACGTCGGGTGCGCGAATATGCGGTCGTCGACGCTGGTGAGCCGGTTGAATGCGGGGGAGACGCCCAATACGGTTGCTGCCCAGGAGCTGCCGCGGTGGAATTTGGCTGGTGGGGTAGTACAGCCGGGCCTGGTCACTCGAAGAGCCAACGAAGTCAAGCTCTTCCAGACGGCTTCGAGCGTCGTAGCACACCCGTGCTAGCGATTTAGTGGAGCAACCATGAAAGTTGGGAGTGGATTAGGGGATATAAGTGCTGAACCAAGTGCTTAGTAGGTATAGTGGTTTGTGATTTAGGAAATAATATATCCTGGCGCCTGGTCGTCTGGTCTTGACTGATGAATCGTGATGAGACTGAAGTTGTGACAAAGTCATTGAAGTTCAACAACTGGTTGTTCATTTAAGCGCCCATATACCGATCATGATCGATCAATAGATTCAAACACGAACAAGCAACTTATTCTTGAACCCAAACCTCCTCCTCGACAGGAACACTGCAAACACCTTTTAGATAAATTAATTCTCGGAGATTGTGGCGAGTACCAAACCTCCCATGTACTTCTGTCCGAAACCTAATCTCTTCCATCCGACATCAGCCCAACCACAACCGTGATCATTGATGCTTAATTCGTTTAGGCAGATACTCGGTCTCCGGGTTGGTATCGGGGTTGGTGCGATGGGTGGTCCATCATGATCCTGTCCCTACTACCAAAGACTACGAGCCTTAGTACTCGGCACTCAGCTTGCTGCCGACATAGTTACTACCTCGCCTCCTCCATACTCCCCTCATGTCGCACATTCCTCGGAACCTAATGGCTATTCTGTTCCCCCGCGTTGTCAAAATGTCTAGCCGCCGGCGCAACGCACTCCACTCTGGCCTTGGACCCCAACTAAACCCCAACTACCTGCGCGACAATTCTGCGGTGCATCCGATCATTGCCATAACGCGATTCCCCATGCACTTTCCGTGAACGAAGGCGTGTCGGATGAACTGAGGCATATCGGCGTATGATCTGCAGAAGCGCAGGTCAAGCCGAGGATATCACGATTCACGCCCGGAGTCTCTCGAGTCTCATATATTAACAGTCCCTCGATTTCGATTTCGTATACACAAAGTCGCTTTGATGATGCACGTCCCCGCAGGATTACTCACCCTCGCCTGCCTCGTCGCCGCCGTATCGGCGCATACGACTGTATACGGCCTCTGGGTCAATGGCGCGTTCCAGGGTGATGGAAGGAACTTATACGTATGTGCCCCAATGTGCAAAAGATCCTGATTCTTGGTAGCGTACTGACCGTCGCCATCGGCGTGTATGTAGATCCGCTCGCCACCGAACAACAACCCAGTGAAGGACCTCTCGTCGAACGCCATGGCCTGCAACGTCAACAATAGAGGTCAGTCCTCACTTCAGTGACATCCTCCATCGTCCGTTACCCTTTCTGATATCCGAGCAAGTCGTACCGAACACGGTGTCCGTGCAGCAAGGCGACTTGGTGACGTTCGAATGGTACCACGACACGTATGTACCCTTTCCCCCATGCCCCGTATCTCCATGCGCGGCCCCTGCTCACTAGCTAATTATTTCTCTCATGTGCTCATGGACAGCCGTGACGACGATATAATCGCATCCTCCCACAAAGGGCCCGGTAGGCTTACATCTTCTCCTCCCCATATACACTCAAGTACTCAATACTCAACGCTTTATGTTTACGCGTATTCAGTCCAAGTCTACATCGCCCCGACCTCCTCCAACGGCGCCGGCCCAGTATGGACGAAGCTCTTCTCTGATTCATACGAAAACGGACTATGGGCGGTCGACAAGCTCATCCTCGCGCACGGCCAGCACAGCGTCACAATCCCCGACATCCCCGCTGGCGACTACCTCCTTCGCGGTAAGCCCATCCTCCAACCTCCCGTGGTGGAGTTATTCACAGTTGTATACGACTGGTTTCAGCCGAAATCGCAGCGCTGCACGAAGCTAACGTCGCATACACCTCGAACCCCATCCGTGGGGTGCAGATGTACATGTCCTGTTCGCAAATCCGCGTCACATCAAACGGCACCGAAGTGCCCCCCGGGGGCACGAGCTTCCCCGGGACGTACACTTCGTCGACGCCTGGCATCGTATGGAACCTCTACGACCCCTTCGGCAATCCCGCCGCGTACCAGGCTCCTGGGCCCGCTGTGTGGGACGGTGCGGATGGAGGCTCCATTGCTCAAGTGGGGAGTGCGTAGAGTGTAATACTAAGAAGATTGAGGATAGGATGGTTTGTCGTCGAAATATACGGTCCTGCTGCTTGCCTGTAAGTTCAATTTTGTAGATATATGTCAGTGGAATATTGAGCTCTACGTTACTCGGGATCGTCTTGGAGCGAGCGGGAACGGAGGTCTAGGCGCCCAAGCCTAATTTCGTTGCTGACGTCATACTCCATAAAAGAGAGCCAGTCCAGCCATGACCTCATCCCCCTCATCCCCCCATATAACGCGCCATTCCCGGCGCCCATCCCCAATAATGCTAGGATCTGCTCTCTCCACTCCCTCAACACGCACAGAACGTTCCACTCTATATTTCGACGCGCCCTCATCGCCGCTCTCGTCCCCCGACGACTCCAGAGATAGAGATCCCATAGCCAATACAATGAACAATATGAACACCCAGAACGACGGCTACGGCGGCGGCGGGATGGTCCTCCCAACCGCGCCGGGATCCGTGCTCCCAGCGGCGGGCAACGGCAAGCAAAGGGCGGTGTACGAGGAGGAAGACGTGCTCGGAGAAGGCGGCAATGGAATACACGGCTATGGCGGTGGCGACGGCGTGAAGGACCCATTTAGCAGCCAGCAAACTGAAGCTGAGTCGCCTGGCTGGCTCCCCGCTGTCGACAACAACTATAATCATGACTACGACCAAAACAACGCGAATTCAAACTACGCAAATGGCGGCGGCAATGCGCACATGTACCGGCCAGGCGTCGGCGGGGGCCAGACGAATAGTGGACCCGTGAACCGCTCGAACTCGGTCTCCCCAGCAAAGAGGCCGCCCGTGCCCGCGCGTCCGAATTCCTTCATCATGAATGGAAACAACCCGAACAGCAGGATAAATAACATCCAGAACACGAATATGGCGGGCGTAGGGACTGGAATGTACGATGGTAGCGGTAACGGTAATGAAGAGTTCGGGAACGGAAATGGAAACGGTACGGGCGGTACGGTAGGACATGCGAGAGGGAGTTCGATTGCCGGGTCGATGGGGCGCAACACTTTGCTCGCCCAGCCTCATCCTCAGCAACCGAATTCGAATGGCACCATACTCGATGGAGGCGTATATTCTGCTGAACCAGCGCAAGACTCTGCATACGACCCACGAACGAACGGTGTCGCCCTCGCTGACCCAGGCGTAGGTGGTGGCGACAACTCACAGCAGAGCCTCCACGCGCGCGAACAGTCTGCGGACGCTGCGTTGACTCCAAAGCAGCAGTCGCAGATCGCTAAGGTACAAAGCAAGTCCAGTCTCCACTCCTTCGCTTGAAGGCATTGCTCACAGACCTGGGATCTATAGGGAGTGAGAGTAAACGACTTTCGAAAATCTTGAAGAAGGAGAGTAAGGTGGAGAAGCAGACTTTGGCGGTCAAGATGAGTGAGCTGGAGGAGCTGATCAAGCTACAGAAGGATGCAGTCAAAGTATGTCCCTTTCTCTTCACTCCCGATGCGTACAAATCAAGACATACTCACCCTCGCCCTTTACATAGCGCGAAGCCAAAGCGCATCACTCGCACTCGTCTGTCCTTTCCTCCTTCCAGAAAGAATCCACGTCCTTCCACACCCTGCGCCAGAAGTTTGAAGCCGCGCAGGCGCGCCTCTCGTCGTCCGAGCAGAACGTAGGTAATGCGCGGAAGTATCTTGAGGAGGCGCAGGAGGGTGTAAGGGATGTGGAGGAGAGGGTCAGGGCGAAGAGGATGGAGGTGGAGGGGTTCAAGGAGGAGAGGAACGTCGGGGAGAAGGAAAGGGTGGTTAAGATGGGGGCATTGAGTGGGAATGCTCCAGCGCAGGGCATGGGAAGTCCATTAAGGAATGGGACCACGGAGCAGATGGGGCACACACAGGCGCCACCGATGAAGGATGTGAGCAGTCCGGGGCGGAAGTCGGGGAGAAAGTTGGGGATCTGGAAGTAGAGCTTGATCGTGGTGCTAGATGCCGCTAGGCCAAGCGCAGGTGAAGATGGACATTGAAGATTGAGGGCTTATATTGCTTATGATGTTTGTTTCGTCTTGTCTATTTCTTTGGGATCGTGTAATCGTACGGTGGTAATGGTAGCCAGCCTTTTTTGTGATTTCGCAGCTGCCAACAGAAAAAAACTGATCACGATCGAAATTCTGTGAACTCACCTCTGGCGCCATGCCTGCAATGCAGCTGAACACGTACTCTCCGCCAGTCGCGCGAGGTGCGCCAAGAGCAACCCACGTTCGCCAGCGACTAGTGGCTTGAAAGCTTGAAGTGTATCCCAACGCATGAACCTCAACTTCGACAGACTCCATGTCGGTGGCCTACACGATTTGCCTGGCAAGCTTTGGTCCCCAAAGTCGCGGAATATCAATCCTGAGCCGCCCAGACGGAAACGGACAAACAAGCGACTTGCCAATATACCACTGAACCGATATGAGAACGACTCGCAAGCTAGAGAGAGCTGGGTACTTAGTATTCAGTATTGAGTCGAGATGAGTCAAATAGGAACAGTGTTCGGTACCAGGAGCATAGGAGGAGACACAAGGTCCAACGTGGGCGACAATTACTTGGGTAAGTCAATGTGGATCGCTCTCCATGATTCTATATTGAAGAAATCTCCAGACCACCAAGCTATTGTCGAACTGTAGCTCGCCCCATAGCCCTTGAAACTCTCATGTAGACCAAGAGGAGTATGCTCGACCGTCCTTTTGTGCAAAACGACCGTTCGCTATACGTTGATGATTTGGTTTTGTTGTTTTGACAACTTCTCTAGTTCGCCATTATGGCCAGTGGCGACGACGAACTCGACGGTCGGAGGGTGACTCTGGTGGACACCCCAGGATTCGACGACACGAATAAAAGCGATACGGATGACCTTGCTATGATAGATGCAGCTCTCGCATTTCTGACCTCATCGTGAGTGAGATTGCCACACATTCCCCAACAACTAACTGATGGTCCCGCGACGTAGGTACGAACAAGGAAAAACACTCTCTCCGGGATCATATACTTGCACCGGATCTCGGATTTCCGGAGGAGCGGACTCTCGACGCGAAATATCAGAATGCTTTGGCATCTGTGCGGGGAGAAGACGCTGGAGAACTTGGCCATCGTCACCAATATATGGGGAGAAGTACCAGCGGCTGTTAGCGAAGCTCGCGAGCCGTCGCAGGAGGTGTTCTTAAGCATGAACAAGAATCTCGCACGTTGAAATGCGAGATGGATGAAGGTGTTTATTATATTCCTCAAAAGTATTCCTTGGGCTAACTCTCTGTTACACAGCTTTGCGCCTCAAAGATCAAGAGCTACGAGACGAGCTTGGTGCTGAAATCAGCAAACTGCAGGGCGAAGCTGATCGGATTCAGCGTGATGCGCAAGACATGGCCTCCCGATACGAATCAGAAAAGAACAGACTCGAGGCTCAGATACGAGTGGCCGCAGAGGTTGCCAGGGTGGAACAGGCGAGGCTGATCAGATAGTATGAAGGGGAGCTCGGGGAACTCGAGCAGAAGATTCGAGAAGGTGTGAACAACCCGGAGGTCTTGGAGCTTCGCAAGAAGATCTTACAGCTTTAGACGCAGATAGCTAACACACCGTCGAGGGCAGGCAAACGAGGTGGTTGTGAGGTCTTGTCACAGTGATGCCGGCGTGGGGTTTGCTTCTTCAGGACCACCGTTCATGTTATGGATTCTCTCCACAGGCTTTCCATGACTTACGGTCTGCATTGTTCCCAAGGTGAGCCGAAATAGTCGAGTGGGAGATACGACGGGGGTTGAGGGACACAACTCTAATTTTGTCTATGCCCACTCATAGACCCTGGACCCCGACGATCGAACGTGACTCTGCTTCTCAACAGCTTCGCCGTACTTGCGCTCATTCGGTTCCGGAGCACCACTTATGTAGTTCACCTGCACCGTGAATACGCAACGCGAAGACAGTATTCTGCATGCGGCTATAATGTGCATAAAACCTCCGTCGTGCGGCGGAGGATAGTCGATGAGCCAGAAATCCTCAACCACAGTTGACTACGTGAGCACTTTGTTGTTATTTCTCTCCCTTAGTATGTTTATGTCGATGATGCACCGTAAAGGTACCAGCACGGCGTGAAGCTCTCAGGCGTCATATACATCCACCACATCTCAGACTTTCGTATGGGCGGCACATCAACTCGGAACTTCAGAATGTTCAGGGAGTTATGCGGCGACTCCACGTTACGGAAAGTGGTCATAGTCACGAACATGTGGGGCGAGGTCTCTCTCAACATGGGCGAGGCCCGTGAGGAGGAGTTGAAGACCCGGGATATCTTCTTCAAGCCTGTGCTAGGCAAGGGCGCGCAGATGAAACGGCATGACAATACATTCGACTCTGCCTGTACGATAATGCGTTGCATCGCGTTCAAGGATCCTCTGGCATTGCGGATCCAGAGGGAGCTGGTGGACGAGAAGAAGGACATCACAGAGGCTGCTGCTGGTGCTGAGCTTGGTCGCGAGTTGCATGAACAGGCGATGAGATACAAGGCAGAGCAACGGAAGCTACAGGATGAAATGAAGCAAGGTATCTTCCGTTCATTTTTCAATTCAACCTTTGCTCTAAAAGTCAAACCCCAAGCGTTGAGGCAGAAGGATGAGCAAGCTCGAGAGGAGTGACAGCGCAGCTAAATCGAGACTTGATGCGCGTGCAAATGAATCGCAACGCGTCCTCATACGCTGAGGAGAAATAAAGGCTCGAAAGAAGGATGGAAGACCTTGAGGCGGCATCTCGCTTAGAAATCGAACGGCAGGTTGTGGAACACAAATGAAGGATGGACGAAGTCAATGACAGGCCAAGTCGCACACAAGAGATGGACTCAATAGAAAGGATGCAGTTAAAAGCGACTGTGAAACGCCTTCAGCAACAGCATGCTGAAGCTGCTCGACGGCCATCTTGACGCGGAATGTTTAGCTCGATCGGGGACGTACTTGACTCGATCTTTCATTTGTGAATCTATCACTTCGTGCTTATGGATCGATGTAAGTGACCAGTGATATGGGAGGTAGAAGAACCATTCACCAGTCAATAAACATCTCTTCTTAGTCGCTCCCGAGGAGTAGCAATCAATCCTGTGTTTAATAGTTCACATATCTGTCATATCGTGGTCCACCATTGCAAGGAATTCGCGGACAGTCGATTTGGTGAGTTGAATGCAATCTCCTATTTGCGAGTTTGAAATAATGCCTCCCATGTGCAGGAGCATACCTTATCGAACAATTATGCATCTATATCGTATGTCTCTTTGGCATGCTGTATACACATTTACATTTACACGAATCACTCACATTCTATAGGGCTCGGATGTACAAACCCCCTTCGCTCGCCGGATTGTATTGTATTTTGATGCGTTGCTAAAGCAAGGTATACAGCTTGTTGGCGACGCGTGAAGTCAACGAAGAGAAGGAGAGACACTGCATGGGCTTGCACGTGCCCTCCCGGGCCAGACGAACGATGAAGTTATGAACCTTCTGAAGTCAGCTAAAGCAAGAAAGCTGTTTCGACCAGCTGCGGTGATGATCCTGCTTCAGTTGGTATGCTTGCACGTTGTTTCATCTTATAGTGTTTCTGTGCTAATGCGTTGTTCTTTTCGATGTCCCATCTACGTTTGTGATTGATCGTTTGAAAACTTCACGCAATCTCTATTTATGAACGGAAGATCGGAACTCTGCAGTATCGCTGCGGTGAAGATCAATGTTCCTCCTTCCTCTCTCCTCCCTGGAGTGCGGCGGTGGTAGGACATCACGCCAAATATGGTACAGGGCTTAAAGTTATATTATCGCTACTTGTCATATATAGAAGAATGACTTGAATTCGCTGTAGCTGCAACCCCAACCCCTCCTCAAGTAAGAACTATACCTTGGTCCCCTTGTTATACGATACTATACTAACACGCGATAGACTCACAGGTACTGAAATCACATAATACATAATGACCTCTGGTCAGAATGTCCTCATAGCGTGAGTCTCTGCCTTCTGTCGGTCATGGCATCATGGCACAACTCATAACGTAGGGTAATGGGAGCCACGGGTAGTGGAAAAACGACGGTGACTCCAACATGATACGATCTTCATCATCACCTGATCGATTTCAATGTCTAGTTCATTAATACAGCTAGCGGAGACGGTTTACGTGTTGGTCTCGGCCTGCGTTCGTGTACGAGCGAGGTTCAACTGTCCAAGCCTTTTCAAGTGGATGATCGTCTAGTCACGCTCATCGATACCCCCGGCTTCGACGACACAACAAAGAGCGATGCAGACATATTAGCAATGATCGCAGCCTTCCTCGCGAGCACGTATGTGAAACTTCTTCTGATATAACATCACCTAAAATCCTACAAGTTATCGACAGGGGACAACACTCTCCGGGGTGATCTACATCCACCGCATCTCTGACTTCCGTATGGGAGGTATCTCGACGCGCAATTTCAAGATGTTTCGCAAGCTCTGTGGCGAAGCGACATTGCGAAATGTCGTGTTAGTGTCGAATATGTGGAGCCAGGTGTCGCCTCAGGTTGGAGAGGCTCGCGAGGCAGAACTTGCCTCCGACCCCGCGTTCTTCAAACCGGTCTTGGACAAAGGTGCACAATTCATGCGGAATGACAACACATTCGAGGGTGCGAAGTGTATTCTGGGCCGCATCATTCAGAATCACCCACTACCCCTGTGCATCCAGACGGAGCTGGTCGATGAGGGGAGGACAGTCGTGGACACCACAGCTGGAGCCGAACTTGATCGCGAGCTCCGTGACCAGGTGGAGAAACATAGAGAGGAAATGCGGCAGGTCCAGAACGAGATGAGTGAAGGTAAATTTCCCGTTCGCTCTGTGGACTCGGACACCTAGTACTTATCGCCTTTCCGCAGCAATACGACTTAAGGACGAGGAAACGAAGTTGGAGTTGCAATCGCGTACCAACGAGCTTCAAGCAGAAATCCAGCGAGTACGCGATAGTGCTCAGAACCTGGCTACGAATTACCACACGGAGACGGCCAGGCTTCAGCAACAGATGAAAGAAATCGGGGAAGCCACACAGAGGGAGAGGGATTCGCTCATTGCACAATACGAAGGCCGTCTGAACAGTGTGAACCACGACTTGCAGCAGATACAGCGAACAAGCGACAACGAACTTGTGGCATTGAGGACGAGCATTCAGCAATTAGAGGCACAGAAAGAGGAGGCTGCAAGGCGCGCGGCGCAGGCGCGAAAGAGGCGCAGGAGAGGACCATTTGGCATACGATGGTAGCCGCAGCAAGTCTGTCGTGTGAGGGTCGGGCCCTCGGGTCGCGGCCTTTCTAGCTATCCAAGGACACTGTTCATAGTTCACGGCCGTTCGTGGATTACTATGCACTCATTTGTATCACCTAATAGTATGCGCTATGCCTGTAGTAGTTTACCATACGGGCTCCTCTCGGGTAGCGCACTTGTACTGCGCCGCTCGGAGTGTGCATAAAGTTACTTTTCGACCTTATTACTGTGCTCGCCTGGCTTTGAATTTCCGCTAATCTAATAGGTAAAAAGGTATATGTACACATTTTGAACCCCCCACGCAGATAAAGAGCAAGCTCCCCAACTAAGACAGTGAATCGCGCAGGCTTCGTAGACGTCCACACGATGCTACAAACACCCCTCAAGCAGAACACCAACGTCCATTTCCACTCTACGAACACGAGCGCCCTCAAGACAGACGACAAAAAAACCCACTTTCGCAAACAAGAGAAGCTTCGGACTATAGTCAAACGGGAGCTCCGTAACGCCACCTTCGAGGCAAGTTGGGTGCCGGACACCTTCTGTCCAGCCGACCCAACTGTTGTTACCAGAGTTCTTGATTTGTTGAAGAAACAACAAGTGTTCACGACAACGCTGGGCGGAGAGCAAGTCGTTCTCACTAACTGGCCAGCACCCGGCGCTGGGGAGAGACAATTCTATGCACCATTTATACAGAAACTCAACGCTATCATCGATGCCTTCAAAGCCCTTTATCCTAATCAATACGCCAGGTCTTTTTTCGCCGGCACAAGGTTCTACGTCTATGATAGAAGCATGTTGGGCTCCGTCGACGGCGAGGCTGCATTGAAACCGGATCTCCTAGCTAGTAAAACCACCCTTGATGGAGGCCTACGCATCTACTGGTATCATGCCATGCTGGCCGGCGAGGTTAGGCTTAGCTGGCCGGAGCTCGTAGCTCAAGCGGCTACCTACGCACGATGCATGTTCGCCGCGACAGAGCACCACGTCTTCATCCCCATCCTTTGTCTGAACCATGCCGAAGGTTCGTTCCGTCTCTGTTTATACCATCGTGGCGGGTTATTGGCGAGTACGGCGATGAATCTGAAGATGATTGTCGGGTTTCACTTGTTTGTATCCACCATTGTCGGCCTCTGGCAATGGGATTCGTTAAAGAAGGCCGGATGCGAGCCATCTATGTCTCACTCACACATCAGTTTCAATGATTGTCAGTATCGCATCACCGCTGTTCTCTGCCGTCGCCAAGCTATCCGTGCTCGGGCAACCAGCGTCTTTGTCGTCCAGAAGGACGAAACACCGGCCGACGAAGGCATCAAAACACGATCTCAAGTCCGTGACAACATGGCGCGCGTATTGCTGCTGAACGATAAGAAGCTTGAACCTTGGTCCCGCTTGAGCCCCTTTGATGACTTGATCCCCCTTCCTCCATCGGTGACAAAACATATTGCCCCGATTCAGTTCCCTGATACTTTCATCGTCAAATGTTCCCACCAACCTGATGGTCGTCACAAGGAGGAGGATGTCTTCCACTCCGTGCAAGGGTTCATCGGTATCCCCGAGATCTTGGGTGGTTATGAAGCTGAACAGTTCAATATCCCGACGGAGCATACCGCGGTGAAATGGGACATTATCTCGCATGATAAAGTTGGTCTCGATTCAGACGATTCAGACGATTCAGACGATTCAGACGATTCAGACGGTTACGGGAGTGATGCTGAAGAAAACACGGTAGCAGCGGACGAGGTAGAGGACTTGGAAAACCTCATCGTCCCAATCGAGTATAAGACCGACGATGGTAGTGACGACAATGACGACAGGAGGGGAAGCGGTAGCTACGTCGACCACCATGAAGATAGTGACCACACAGCAGATGGGAACAGTGATGGCAACGAAGGTGTTGGCAGCGTTGAAGACGATAGCAACCATGAAGACGATGCGGCAATTCAGGAAGTAAAGCCTCATCAAAATCACACCATTGAAATCCGACGTCATCGTCATCTCATTATCAAGACTGTGGGACGACGTCTTGAGCTTGTTGATGGCCCCAGAACGCTTGCGCGCGCCATACAACACGCAATAATCGGTCAGTTTATTCACATATTCGTCATCGGTCCGTCCTGCTCATCCCTACCAGGACATTGTGCATTGTTCACAGTTGGCAGTTATTTGCACCGTGATGTTAGCAACGGCAACATAGTCGTGCTGCCTAAACCTATAGATGGCTGCAAGATCCCTCCCATGTAAGTCTAAGAGTAGTCCTTCCCGCGCGGCGACCGATTTCATAACTTTATACAGCCTATCTTCAACCGTTCGAAGCAATCAATGCATTGCGGTCCTCATCGACGGCGATGTTGCAAAAGAGTGGGGTAGCAGAGAGCAAGCCTCTCACCGATCCGTCAGTACCCACAGTTGCTCGAACTGAATGCTTCGTCTGATCTATTTTCCAGGGCACGCTACCTTTCATTTCAGCACAAGTAGCTGATCGGTGGCTTGTTGGATTGCCGCCCTCCCATACCCCCATTGATGATCTGGAGTCGTTTGTCTGGGTACTTCTCTATGAACTCCTTCGCTGGACGGCTAAGAAAACCAAACGGGAGAAAGCATGGTGGAAGCAAATGAACGCCGTCAGGCTCGACATCGCGGCTCTCTCGAAGCACGCCACCCTTTCAATGTGGGCGGACCCAGAGTTGTACAAGCAGATCAAACTCTCTTCGATCCTCCGGCCATTCCGAAAATTACTGCACAAATTGTTTGCGAGCGCAGCTTCCTTTGAAAAAGAGATGCGTACCACTTCCGAAGCGGACCTCATCGATTTGTTCAATCGTGCGTACATACAATTCGTTCGGATCTTAGAAGGCCATATCCCTCTTCTTCCCACCACATTCACTTTAAGAAGGGATTCTAAGGACAAGGGGGTTTCAAAGGGCTTGAAAAAGGGAAAGAAGGGAATTTGAGTCGGTTCACCTTTTCTTTTTTCTATGTAACTACCACAGTAGCAAGCTTTGAAGATGGATGTCATGCCGATTGATCAATGCCCCGTCGTCTCTTTTTGTGGGAGCGGTGACTCGTTTGGTGTACCGAAGGCTACGATACCCAGAAGGCGTCCAATTCACCAGCTTCATCGACCGCTTCATCCAATAATAGACGTCGTCCGCACCATCCGGTGACGACAAATATACGCGGTTGTAACTTCGAGCGGGACTTATCTGAACATCAATTGGGCACGCCGTGTACTGAACAATGTCGCACAGCTCTGGAATTCTTTCTGATGTAGATCGACATTCAGTGCTGCTAACGGGGCTTCTCGCAGTCGACAAAGGATTACAGGCCGCAACTTTTACACTATGAAATGTGTTGTTAGCCATTAAGTGAGCACGCTTTTGAGCTATATCGCTGCAGGGGATTGATACTTTTGTTCTGGGGATTTCATCTTGCGGTACCAACGAAGGCTCCGGATTTCTACCCGAGGTTTGTCTCCTTTGGTGGCACATCCCAGCGACGAAGCCAGGACATATCAACAGCGAAAATTGACAAACTCATGACAAGATCTCAAGTAGTCAGCCAGGAGAACAACTCACCGGACACCCATGGAGCTCTTTCGAATTCCACCGCTGCTCCACTCTTCGTGATCGGTATTTCTCGTTTCTGATGTTATCATGTCGCTAGATGCCATTGGGTACAAATACGAACGCTGTTGGGACCGTGGCACGTACTTCCGCTTGATCAATGGTTTTTAGTACCCCCAGTATCCTGTCACTTGTGGGTGTCGCCTTCTGGCTATGGATTAAGAATAGGCGTCCCGATGCTACTACCCTCCCGGCCCTCCAAGTTGGCCTTTTGTTGGTAATCTACTCAGACTTCCGGGACAGCGCCTGTGGCACCGTCTCACCGAATGGAAGGAGAGATACGGTGTGTGCTTTCCGTGCCTTTCTTCCCCATCACTCACAGTGGTCCTCAGGGCAGATGGTTTACCTCCATGGGCTAGACGGCACTACCATCCTTTTCCTGAACAACGTGAAGTTAGTTTTGAAACGTATGTCGGGTGTTGATCCTTAGATTGAATGTCCGTGTTGTGTTTCTACAGCTTATGCCCTTATGCATGCACGATCACGGCTGGAAGCTTCAGCGCAAGTTAGCGCGGAGTGGTATGAGTCTTGATGCCGTCAAAAGGTCTCACTCTTCGCTAGAGGATGTCGCAGCCATGCTAAGTGAGTCGTTACGAGTGGACCCGGAAACATTTACCCATCACATCCGACTGTATGTTCCATTGGAGTCGACTTCTCTACATCTATCGTCTACTGACACATCTGCTCAGCTAAGCAACCCCACTCGCTGTTGTTCCGAAACGACATTCAACGTAACAGACGTATTGTACAAGATTGTACAAGACTCGCTGAGCAAACCGTTTGATCACGTCAAGAAACAAATCGTAAGTCTGCCTGTACCCACGTACACAATCGTTAAAATTTTTCGAGGTCCGCCCTCGCTTGTTCAGCAATCACTCGCAGACGAACTTAAGACGATGAAGATTTCGCCAGCAGACAAGAATACGAGAAAAGGTAGATGAGTTGCGGTATACTGTACTTATTGCTTATTGTCTGGCATTGCACATAGCGCGCTGGAGGACTTTAGATGCAAGATTCGGCCAAGATCTGAAGAACGGGTGCGCTAGTGCGAGGTTGGGCTGCGGCGGTATTATACATGGCTTGATGGACGCGTATAAGGCAGGGCAACTATTCTAGTTAAGTTCAGTGTAAAATCATACAATACCAAAGAGATTATGGGGCACCAATACACCAAAGGGCCGCCCTTTCCTCATACAAAAATCTGATGTCGCTGACTCGCTCGGTTCCCAACGAGTAATTCCTTTCCAGGAAGCAGCGGAGATTGCCACAGTTTGGCGATGAGTGCTTTCCCACGCCGAGCGCCCGACCTTCCTGAATCGGCGCGCCCTCACCTCCAACCATCAATCTTCCCGCCCACCATGTCCGGATTTCCCGTTATTCTTCTCCTTGTCGTGACACTGGGCGTAATGACTTCTGCTGCTTTGTTTACACCAAAGGGTCCCCATCAAGTGTACGCTTCATTGAACTCGTATCTGTCTATTGCCTCAATTCCATAACAGGACAATTCGAACCGCCATTATGCTCACCGTAGCAGCCTGCTACCTACTATGGATGGTCACGTACATGGCCCAGCTACATCCTTTAGTTGGTGAGCAGGAAAGTCCCCTGTATCGTTTCCTGTCTGACGGTACCTCGTCGCAGCGCCGCGTCGTTCGCCTTTAGCTGAGTGATGGCTGTGGTGGGCATGTACTGGGTACGTTTCTTTCTTCCACGCGACGTCCAAACTCTCACCCTCGATTAGACATTTTTCGTTTACCGTGGTTTCCACCGCTTTGTTCAAAAGACTGTCTCTCGGCCTCAGTCACTACAACCGCTGTCAGCTACATCCTACTCGAATAGCATAATGGGAACCCAATAAAGGTTCTGAACCGATGAAAGTTAGTAAGTGTACATGGTTGCCCAACAGTCTGGCAAGGGGCCTGGAATAAAAAACTATGAAGTGTCCTCACTTGCATCACCGTCCCAACCTGCTGTCGAAGTACCCGATCCGCTGAGTGTCTCGTCTTTGTCATTTGACTTGTCTTTGCCCTTGCCCTTGCCAAACTTGGCTTGGATTTCCCCATCGTTCAGCGAGTCCATCCCCCAACCACGTCGACTGTCAATGAGATTCCACCCTCGACCACTACCCCATCCAGCTTCGTCATCTTCATCCATTCTATCATCGCCCACCTCCGACCCATTCCACGAAACGTCTCCCTCGGCCGCCGTAGATTCCCAATCTTTTGCATCCTCGCTGCTCTCGCCCTCACCATAACAGCTCCCCTCTTGCCCAGGAATCCAATCTGAAGGTATCAAGTCTACACTTCTCTCACCATCCTGATACTCGTCCCATTCGTTATGATTATCGCTGAGTGTTAGAGATGGAGCTCCATCTGGCGTGCCTTGTGACCAAATGGGCGGTTTGGTGTCTCTCGGCCCCCCGATGAGTTCTACCATCCACGTATTTTGCCGGCCATCTCTCTGTAGTAATAAGTGCGGCGACTTGTCCACTCCTTGCAACAGGAACTCTATCCATCCACCGCAGAGGGTTGAGATCTCTGGATCAAACCACAATTCTTCAAAACGCACGAACGCCTCACGCTCTTCCTCCATCCGCGCCTTAACCGCCTCGCCAATCGCGTGGATTGCTACAGGCTTCCGGGAGCTCGGGTGCGCAGGATGGATGTCCGCTCTGAGAAGCCTATGCGCCTCTCGATGTATGCCCTTCGTTTCCAAATCCTTCCACATTTCATCCACTAGTTTCCTTGCTTCCTTCCGCTTCCCTTCAAAGTTCTCTTTCTGTCGGAATGCGGCGACCTGAGACGCTCCACCCAAAGCGTCATCCCGCCCATACGGATCCTCCTCGCATGTCCTCCCTACGCTCGAAATGTCAACATCGTATCCCCATTCTGCCGCAGTACTCGTACACCAGTCGTTAAACTCTTCTAGAGTCCATTCAAATTTGTGATCCTGGTGGCGGAATACGCGCGTTGTTCGTCCCGTTGGGTCCGGGAACCCATTGCGAGCTGAAGGTGGAGCATCGGGAGCGGTAAAGCGCGCGTTAAATGTGTACGATGGGGTTGTTATCAAGAAGAAGCGAGGCTGGTATATTCCTAGAATCACTGGTGCGTAGAAGGGAAGGATATGTTCTGGTAGATGCTCGATTCTAATGTTTAATATGTCAGCGAGTAGCTTGTGTGCGAAGCCCCAAATGTCTTTACTCACACCTCAGATGACGTGATGCATTCAATGTCCAAGAACTCCTCGTTCACTACCTCAAGGCCCCCCAGCCAAATCTTGGATTCCATCTCCTCCCATCGTATGGTTTGAAGGGTCCTGATGTATGTTGGCGTTACCGGTGTCTTCCCACCTAGGTCGATGCCTTGTACAGCGGATTGGTATGCTTGCTCAGGTGGGGGTGGTGGTGCAATACTCTGCAGGGCGAATTCCAGATCGGGTTCGTATATGTCTAGACCAATAATACGTTTAGGGTTGAGGTTGATGATTTCGTCCGCTGAATCTAATTCTGGTACCGGGGATAATATGTCTGGCGGTGGTGCACGGAGCCATGGCGCGGGTTGAGCCAACACACTGAGTAACTGACCCTCTCCACACCCAATATCAAGAATCTTCAACGTCGTCCTGCGTCAGGCTACTTTGAACACGCAATATGACAAAGGCTACTCACCGAAGTGATCCGCTGGTTTCGCAAGATGTTGAGAATCCATATCCGCCGCTGAAGTACAAGCGGTGGATAGAACGTCACTTTGAGTTCGGATTCAGGATCGGCGTCATGGTCGGTCTCTGGTTCGCTTGATATCTCAATCCCTTGAAACTCGACTTCCAGCCCAGGTGTTGAGAGCGGCGATGGTCCGAGTGATTCTCGTCTGGGTAGATTCGATGGAAAGTTGTTGGGACTTGGTGGTGCTGGTGAAAATGACATGTCGGATATTCTCGCCACTAAGGAGTACCGTTTGAATCAGTACAGAAAGAAAGTGTGATCTTGCGCTATAAGTAACTAGTTCCAACGCCTCGAGGTAAAGGCCAGATCACTCCCACCTTACAACAATGAGAACATGCGTTGCGAGGAAACGTTGATTTGTGAAACAAAGCGTAAAGTCGACTGCATGTTCTCTTTCTTTAGCTAGATCCGCCTCATGGACTGCGCTCACTTTAACTGGATAATCATTGTTGCCTAACGTCAGATTATCGCGACCGTGAGAGTATTTCAAAAAAGGAAATTTTAGTCGCCAGAATAACTTTGCAGGCAGCAGCAATCTCAAATTTTATGCACCAAGTTAGATGAGCAACCTCATCTCTGCGGTCTCTTGGGTTCGCAGGGGTGTAGCCGAGCAACACCCCTCAAAATATGTCCTCGATGACAAGGAACTCGAACGTGTAAGCACCTTGGCCCGGATAGAACTGGAAGATGCGAAGCTAGAGCTGGAAAGGGCGCATGAAGCTGCGAAAGGGATGGGGAAGGGAGCTGAGGGGGATGAAGGGGACGACGTGGTAGACGACGATGGCGACGACGCTTGGGTTGAGTGAGTACGTTCTTCTCCTTTATTGCATTCACCGTCATTTTTTGTTAAACGGGGTTCTCAGCGATGAGGATTCGGAGGGCAAAGAATCAGAGGGCAAGGACGATGCGATGGATGTCGATGGCGAACCGAACACGCAACCAAAAAATGATCCAGATGATCTATCTGCGTACAAACTAGACGAATACGACGACGATACACATTCTTCCAGTATGTACATCCTTCTGTGCATCTGCTTCACCCGTTGACTCTCCACGAAGATCCAGGACCATTCAGCAATATAAAAGGCCTCACGTACTACAAGGACAACGAAGAGGACCCGTACATAACCCTCAAAGACGTGCGTACCCAAATGATTGGTTTTTACGAGGAAATACACATGATTATTGTAGGATCCGGAGGACGAAAGGGAAGAACTGGAGATCTACCCTACTGACAACCTCCTAGTCGTCGCTAAAACCGAAGACGAGATATCCCAACTAGAGATCTACGTTTACGACGAGTCCCAAGATAATCTATATACCCACCACGATCTCATGTTGCCCAATTTCCCGCTATGCCTTGAATGGCTCGACTTCTCTCCCGCACCGATATCTACTCCTTCACACACCGCACCGAAAGCAAATGAGTTGCGACAGATGGGCAACTACATTGCTGTCGGCACCCTCGATCCTGAAATAGAGATTTGGTCGCTGGATGTTGTTGACCCCATGTACCCCGACTCCATACTTGGTCGTCCAGACAAGACTGCCGCCCACATTCCCGTACCTCTTGGAACCGGAAAAAAGAAAAAGAAGAAGACCAAGCACCGCGCTGCCTCTTCAGCATATCACGTAGGTGCAGTCCTGAGCTTATCGTGGAACAAAACGCACAGAAATATGCTAGCCAGTGCTTCCGCCGATCGAACGGTGAAGCTCTGGGATTTGAGCAGGGATCCTACTATTTCCGGAGAGGGTGGAGGTGCTATTCGAAGTTTTGATGATGTGCACAAAGATACGGTGCAATCGGTGCAATGGAACGACAAGGAGCCAACGGTGTTGCTAACTGGGAGCTATGATCGTACCGTGCGGACGTTCGACTCTCGCGCGCCAGGTGCTGGTGTGGGTGCTGTCGTTGGGTCTGATGTAGAGGCTCTGCGTTGGGATCCTTGGGAAGCACATGGTTTCTACGTACGCTAGTTTTCTTCTTGTTGCGGAGAGGATGTCTCACCTGAGTTTGCAGGTTTCCCTGGAGAACGGTCTTGTATTGAACTTCGACGCGCGGACACTACCGTCTAACCTCAACGATCCGTCCCCTGCGCGTTTTACACTGAGTGCACACGATGGTGCCGCGTCTGCACTGGACGTCAACCCACACATCCGAGGGTGCATAGTCACTGGCGGTGCTGATAAAATGGTGAAAGTCTGGAATGTCATCGATGCCGAAGATGACGGTGGTAAGCGAAGTGTTAGCTTGGTTACTTCACGAGATCTCGGTGTGGTAAGTGATAGTGGTCCCCGCCCAACCCAGTGTTCAAATCTGACTGTTTCCGCCATCAGGGCAAGGTGTTCTCAACAGTTTTCTCTCCCGATGACCCCCTGACTCTCGCAGCGGGTGGTTCGAAAGCTAAGCTCCAGCTCTGGGATGTGGGCGCGAATTTCGGTGCCAGGAAGGCCTTTGGGGCTAAATTGAAGGCCGCGGGTAAGGCTCTCCGCGAAAGAAACGAGGCGGAAAATCGCGGTGGAGTTATTGGAGTTGTCAGCGATGGTGAAGAGAGTGACGGCGTGGATAATGATGATTGATGTTGTACATAATGTATACATTCCACTTCCTGCATCTACAGTGTACAGAAAATTCGTGAAGCGGTAGGCGCCGAGTACCGGAGCATGTGATTCGTGATTCGTGAATCCCGCTTCGTGCTTGCGCCGACCACGACGGTCACGAAGCTTCAATTCACTGTCAACACCAGAAGTGCCATGGCCAGCCCAGCATCGGCTTTGGCGGCGGCGGCGGCGTCGTCGTCCCCAACGGTGTCCGGGCCTTCGTCCCCCAATACGGCGACACTACGGTCGATGTATAACCGCGCCGCAAAAGCCTTTCTGAACCGAGATATTTCACTTACCAACTCCTTGCTGCACTCAGCGTTTTCATTAATATCTTCACCACCCACCTCACCGTCGTCGAAGGCGGACCCCCTCGATGGTCAGCGACGGAAATGGGATATCCTGCGTATAACAATGGAGACAACATTGTACGCTTCACCCCGCAACCCCACAGACCCCATACCCCAGGATCTCCGTGAATTGTTAATTCAAACACCCCACTCGCTCGTTCAGTCAATGTACGCCCGCTCGCTAGAACTATTTACGCCGGCAATGGACGGACAGCACAAAAGGGACTCGGCATATTTGCCGTCTCAAGTTCTCGTTACTTTAATTTATTCAACTCTGAAATTGGATTGCCCGGATGTTGGAAGGAAATTCATTGAGGAATGGCTTGCCCGATGGGGTCTTATCGGATTGGACACCAACGAGGATGGAGGGTACGACAAAGTCATAGAACTGTATTGTTTACAGGTATTGCCCAAAGTCCAGGATTGGGCATACGCAAGAGAGTTCCTTGACTATGAAACCCAGCTTGCGAAGGAGAAACGAGAGGTGTGTAACGTTGTTGCCTGCATTCTCTCCCGCTTACATTAACTCCAGGCTCTGAAGACATCCCTTCACGCGCTGCACGAGCAATATTTGAAATCACTGGCTCCTCCAGAACCTGTCCCCCTCAAACCGACGGCGAACGGATCAGCTACTCCAAATGGAAATGGGCATGCTAACAAGCGATCGCATTCACCAGCACCGTCCGCAGCATCGACTTCTTCGTCCCTCTCTACCACATCTACTCACACAGCTGTGCCGTCAACGCCTCGTGACCTAAGAAACGGCCGCCCGGCCCTCCAGAGGCAACGGAACGGCTCGTCAGCATCCCTTTCGTCCACGGACTCGACAGCGACAGCGACCCCGCGTAGTCAGCAACGACGTAGCTCATCGCGTCGAAGTCCATCACATCATAGTAGCTCGCACCGCTCCAGCGTCTCGGCTGTTCTTCCCTTTCGTTCACACATTCAAACACAACAGCCGGTCGCGGTCCGTCCACCCAGCGCGTATTCCCTCATCAAAGCGTTCCTCCAACCGTATTTCACCACGTCGAAATTCACCACGTTCTTTGTTCTATTCATCATCTTCCCTTTGGTGTCGTTGTTTTTCCGAGTGAGAGGGCGGCGGAAATTGGTTGGCCCAGGATCGAGGGCTAGCGCTGGGATCGCTACGGCGGACCTCGTACGAAAAAGATTACAGGCCGCGGAAGGCGCGGGGATGGTAGGAAGAGTATGGGGAGAAGTCGTAAGGGCAGTTCTCGATACTGTGAAGATGGGCGGCAGTGGGCTAGTATAGTATTGTGATTCAGGTCTAATCTTTAATCAAGGTTTTTGAATGTGGGTGGATTGGCAGGAGATAGGAGCAGAATTAAGGCGCATGTTCCTCTTTCTATAGCGCTAGCTAGCTAACTATGGATATTTTATTCTGGAACCAAATAGGTCTTAAGCTTAGGCTCCAAAGCCTGCGACGATACCGTCGTATGCAGGCTTCTTCACGAAAGTCTCGTCCCAAGGGAGCGCAGCGCCTTGTCCACTAAATACGCTTGGAATCCAAGAGTACTGATGGCGACATAGATCAATGCTTGCGTCCTGCAGAAGAAAACACAGGACTGTACCTTGTCTGTCCAGTCCCAAATGGTAACACCAACGCACGCAGGGACGGCCGCGCACGCAGCGATCACCTTTTGATAGTCGGCCTTTTGCTGGGCGAGTTTTTCCGGTGTTACGGGCAAGGTCAGGCGGATGTCCAGTTCGGTGATAGCAATCTCCACACCAAGCGCGGCGAATTGCTCGAAGTTGGCTTGCAAGTTGTTTGGGACCGCACCGACGATGAGATGGCCCTGGATGCCGATGCCGTCAACTGGGACGCCGTCGGCCTTCAGTTGTGCGACTAGGTTGGTCATGGCGGTTGATTTGGCCCCGAGACCGTCTATGTTGTAATCGTTGATGTAGAGCTTGGCGTCGGGGTCGGCGGCGCGAGCGGCGTGGAAGGCGGTGGCAATGTATGAAGAGCCGAGGGTTGTGTAGAAGACCGAAGTTCTGAAGGTCTGTCGCTGAAATCAGCCCCCGCCCACATATATTTATTGCGATCCGGGCTTACACCGTCGTCGTTGAACGCCTCTGAGGTGAGAGCTTTAGTACTTTGGCTAACGCACAAATTCTCATCACTCACCATTCACTACGTCCCATGCGTCTTCATAGATGTAAAATTAAGCAAATCGGCTAATTGAGTTCATGGACAGTACTTACAGCTATAGAGCGAGAGAGGCAGTAAGCAAATGAACTCAATAAACGAGGATCTGTTGGCTCACACTTGTCCCTTGTAGTGATCAACCACGGTGGTGGTGTGCGTCTCGATGATGCTAGTCAAGTCGGCTGCATTGAAATTGCCTGCAGTGACCCAGCTGGGAAGTTGGCTGTGCCACACGCATGTGTGCCCTAGACAATTCCGAATTTAATGTGGAATTAACGCGTACGCGGAAGTAACATACCTCTCAGAAGTTGCCCATTGGCCGCAGCGAAGTTAGCAATAACGTCGCCACCAGAGAATGTGAAGACACCCCGGGACCTCTCTGTCGCGTCCTGTCGCGTTCGAAACTGGTTAGTTTTGCGTCTCTATGGCAGAGGCATGCGAAACCTACCCATTTCATGCTGTTTCCAGGTGTAATCTGGCCAAATTCCTTGTTGTCGCTGAGAATGGCAGCGTATGGCGCATCGTTGAGCTCTCCGTTGTCTGTGGCGGACCCGAAGTACAGTTTCCCCTTGGATTTCGCCACCACATCCAATCCGGGGGAGGCTGATGGTACTGTTGTCGGTACTGTCGACGTAGTCGGCGTGCTCGGCGTTGTGGTCGCCGGTGCGCTCGTCTGCAGGCATTAATTCACTTTGCTGGTTCAGCTTACAGTCATTAGATCACTTACCGTCGGCTGTAAGCACTGGGAGTACCAGTCATTGAGCCACACGCATGTCCATCCAGAGATACAGACAGTGCCGCCTGTCCAGCCTATACCTCCGCCTTGACGTTCCAATGTTGGTAAGTGAACATCCTTTCCAAGTTACGTCAGGAATATGGACGTACATTGCGCCCAGGCGGGTTGCTCGGCGGTGGCCAAAGGAAGCAGGGCCAGAAGGGAGCTCAATGCCAAAGTCAATTTCATGGATGAAGCTATTTGCCGAGGTGATTGCGAGGCAAGGTTAGTGGGTAATCAGAATATCCACCACATTGTATCTCTTAAATATTCGCGTTTGTAGCGACCGGGACTTCTTCGCTGAAAAGCTGGAAGGAAGTGGTACACGTGCTGGCAGGAGTCGTGGCGAAAGTGCGCTTCGTTCGCGATCGTCGCAATTTATTTTCTCCGCAACGCTGCGCTACCTCTTCGTGCATTCGTCAGTGATACTTCCTTCAAGGGCTGTGAGGCGAATGGTCGCATCATTGACGCGTGGTCAGTCATTATCATCAATTGGCTACAGCCCGAAAAATCTCATTCAAGCCCACGGTGTGCCACGACACAAATGTGATTACAACGGCACTAACAAGGGCGAAATTTACTAGCCAAGATGGATAACACGAGTTTTAGTTGAACCCTTCGACTATACCGTCGTACGCAGGCTTCTTAGCTAAGTTATCGTCCCATGGTAGGGCGGCGCCTTGGCTGGAGAAGACACCTGGTACCCATGAATACTAGAAACGTATTAGCTAGATCTGCGCCGGTATCGAGGCGAAATGCTTACCTTGTCTGTGTACTCCCACACGGTGATACCTACGCACGCTGGCACAGCTTTGCACGCAGCGACGACCTTTTTGTAATCGGCCTTTTGCTGAGCGAGTTTTTCCGGTGTGACGGGCAGGGTCATACGGATGTCCAGTTCGGTGATAGCAATTTCTACACCGAGAGCGGCGAATTGCTCGAAGTTGGCTTGCAGGTTGTTTGGGACCGCACCGACGATGAGATGGCCCTGAATACCGATGCCGTCGATAGGGACATTGTCAGCTTTCAGCTGCGCGACCAAGTTAGCCATGGCGGTCGATTTGGCCCCGAGACCGTCGATGTTGTAGTCGTTGATGTAGAGCTTGGCAGCAGGGTCAGCGGCTCGGGCGGCATGTAGGGCGGTGGCAATGTAAGAGGTGCCAAGGGTAGTGTAGAAGACGGATGATCGGAAAGTCTGAGGAAATCGTAAGGTTAAACGTTAAACATGAAGATTGATTGCACCGAATAGTACTTACTCCATCGTCATTGAAAGGCTCTGAGTTGCGTGTTGAATACTGTCAGCGAAGGTCCTACCATGTGCAATGAACCGCATACCATTGACCACGTCCCATGAGTCTGTCAATATGAATATGGTCAGTTCTAAAGAAGGGGGTGGTTGTAAATTGCTTACATCTACATAGAATGCATCACATCAGTTCAGGTAGGTCACCGGAATAGCAGACCAGGCACTCACATTTTCCCCTTGTAGCGGTCAATCAAAGTAGTTGTGTGGTTCTCGATGACGCTCGTTAACGCTGCCGCACTGAAGCCGCCCGATGACACCCAGCTGGGCAGCTGGCTATGCCACACCGTGGTATGACCTATACATCGCGCGTTAGTTGCTTCCATGCGCATCAAAAGTTCGGAGTTTTACCTCGGAGTTTTTGGCCGTTTGCAATGGCCCAGTTGACAAGGTTGTCTCCCCCAGTGAACGTCCAAACTCCTTGGGTCCGTTCAGTGGCATCCTAGTGCATGGAAATATTGCCTGAGTATTAGCGGTATGTATCTGATAGTGCCGATGCTAACCCATTTCATACTGTTCTCTGCGGTGATCATTCCGAATTCATTGATATCGCTGGCAATAGCGGCATACGGGGCGTCGCCGTTGAGTTTGTACATCTCGGTCGCAGTACCGATGTACAATTTGCCCTTGGAGACGGCGACATTGTGTAAACCGGTAGCAGTCGGCGGGTTCGAGGAGGTGGTCGATGTAGGTGGAACAGAGGAGCTGCTCGACGAGCTGGAGGGAGGGGGTGTTACGGGATTCTACGCGATTCTGTTATCTCACGCGTCGCTAGTGAGGAGAATGGCACTTACGGTGTCTTGGAGGCACTGCGAGTACCAATCATTTTGGTATTTACAGATCCACCCAGTGGCACAAGTGGTTCCGCCACTCCAGCCAATGCCACCACCTAATCCTCTTGACATCAGTAGCAGTATCAAATCGACCGTTTAGACCACATACATTGCTGCCAAGGCCCTTGTTGGGCGGTAGCAAGCGGGATCAAGGCCAATAATGAGGAGAATGCGATGCTCAGCTTCATGATGAGGTACCGCACGAAGTCGAAATTGTTCTCTAATGGGTGATATTTATGCTTTAAATATTATAGGCATACTGGGTTGTGCTTGGAAGCGGTACTTCCTCGCGACAAGACCAAGTGGTCGGCGGCGGCGCCCTTGTGTTCGTGCAATTTAGATATGGTAAGTGGTCAGGTGTGATCGGCCAGCGAAGACCTGTCGATATGTCAGGAACTGGTGAGCGGAACTATTAGCGTCGCGATCACTTACTGTTTGCCCACGGGCAGTCCGTGTAATGGGCCCTGGACGTTGTGGGCGATCTGCAAAATGGACATCATGACACTGACGAAGGGCGCACTTCGGTCGGACATCGGATGCGCGCATCATGGTCACGTCAATAGCTGAAGTGGTCGGGTGCGGCCATGACAATGACAATATATTCGTCGCGAAACCAATCAGATTGGTGTCTGGTACAGACAGGTTCAAGAAGCCACATCTCTCGATGATGAACATATAGGTTACGAAGGGAGGGCCGCCATATTAAGCGAATCCGGCGATTATGCCGTCAATAGCGGGTTTCCGTACCATGTTCTGAAGATATAGTATCTTTTGAGTATGTTACCATACGATGAGCGATCAGCGCACCTCGTCCCAAGGGCAAGCGGCACCTTGACCAGTAAAAGCTCCAGGCACCCAAGAAAACTATAGAAAGACAGGTCAACCAGTGCGTTTTCCTCGGGACCAGAAAAGGCACCAACCTTGTCGGAGAAATCCCATACCGTCACGCCAATGCATCCTTTAACGGCCTGGCATGCACTGATCACAGTCTGGTAGTCTCGACGCTGCTGTGCCAGCAAAGCAGCCGTAACAGGCAACGTCATTCGGACGTCCAACTCCGTAATCGCCACCTCCACGCCCAGGGCCGTAAACTGCTTCAAGTTAGCTAACAAAGTTGGGGGCACGCCTCCCACGAGTAAGTGTGCTTGGATCCCAATGCCATCGATGGGCACCTTCTGTGCTTGGAGCGATTTCACAAGGTTGACCATGGCCGTGGATTTGGGGCCTTGCCCTTCGATATTGAAGTCGTTGATATAGAGTTTAGCTTGCGGATCAGCAGCTCGGGCAGCGCGCAACGCAGTTGCGATAAATGACGTATTGAGTGTGTCGAAGAAAACAGACTGCCGGAAGGTTCCATCGTCGTTTAAGCATTCTTCGCAGCATCTCAGCCAGAGAACGGAAGCAATACATGACAGAACGAACCATTGATGACATCCCAGCTATCTTTAGTTTGCGGGTGAAAGTTTAGCTCGAGTGGGATCTGAAATTTGGAGACGTACATCTATAAATACCACGAATGAATAGAGGGACGAGTAAAGGAGTATCATGGGTCGTACATTTGTCCCTTGTAGTGGCCCACCAATGCGGAGCAGTGGGTTGATACGATGCTTGAAAGTGTAGGCGCGTCAAAATGACCAGCAGTCACCCAGCTCGGAAGTTGTTGATGCCAGACGCAATTATGGCCTATCCAAAAATCAGCCGCGCTCATCACAAACCATCTGTTCACGTACCTCGCAAAAGCTGATTGTTTTTCTTAGCAAGCGCAGCAATCTGGTCGCCAGCTCCGAACGTGAAGACCCCTCGAGAGGGTTCCGTGCTGTCCTAGCAGGAACGTTGTGAGTCCATACACAAGTTGCACTCATAATGCCGAGGTACCCATTTCATGACGTTGGCAGCGGTTATCTGGCCAAATTCAGTGCGGTTGTTTATGATTGCAGCATAAGCAGAATCGCTGAGCTCCTCGATGTTGGTAGCAGTGCCAAAATACAGCTTCCCCGCGGCCTGTGCGACACGGTTGAGCTGCGCAGCGCCCTGTCCGGCAAGAGTGATCAATAGAAAAGAGAATAAGAGCTTCATTCGGCAATTGTGGGGTCGAGAGCATCGTCTCTCCTCGTCCTTTTATCGAAACACGACAATACTACCGAGGCTTCGTGCACTGGGGCCTGGCATGTCGAGGATGGACACCTGATGAGAATTGTGAGAGTATACGCATATTTTAACAGCCTACCAGAGAAACATTCCCTAAACTCGGCCACGAAATGCAAATTTAGCTGCAACTCAGCCAGGCTCGTTGTCAACTTACGAAACGGCGAAACGGTAAAGGACGTATACTTCCTCGGCGGCCTCTCGGCCCGGCATTTCCTTCACTGGGCTACCATTGTGCGACAAAGTGCTTCGAGCCCGGCACCTCAATTTCCTAAGCTTTGGCTGAAACTCTGCTACGAACGTCTGTCATGGCCCCGGAAGCTGTCCATGGACAAGTTTTGCTCGGCACAGGCCCGCCTACACGCGAAGAGCTGCTGGTGTACTACCCTGCAAAGTTCACCTGGGAGCAGCTCAAATGTTTTGTGAACTCTGGGTATGAGGCTTGATGAATCGTAGGTCATGGTCGGCATGACTTATACCGTCGACCAGAGACTTGGGCTTGCTTAAGCGCGACAAGAAGCTGCAGAAGCGATACAATGCCTGGGCAGAGGGGATCAAGGAAAAGTACGGGTCTATAGGTAAGTGAAAGTAACATCTACCATCGCTAGGACTGACATGGTGGCAGTCAACTATTTACTGAATTACAGGTTGCAATGGGGGCAGCCTGATACCTTGTCACTACTCGGATCGGCTCTCGACGAGTCGTTGCCATCTCAAGGGACGCGGAAGCTTTTAGATCCTAGTGTTTCGCGTCCACTACCACCTATTCCACCTGACGCGCCACCATACTTTGCAGCTGACACGCCGAAGGAGTTCATCAGCATCATACAGAACGACTGGCCGTATTCAGGTGCATAGTTGCGTCAAAATCACTTGTACTGACTTCAACTCATTTCGTATCAGTGCCACCCGAGGTAGAACATACTCTGATATGGACGCGGCTCCCCGTGTTCCACCCCGACCTCATCTCCTCATCTATAGCAGCTCGTGTGGAACAGGATGGGCTGTGGGGATTCACCGGGACAACGACACTGCCTCCCTCCCCATCCTTGCTTCCCACGTATCTTCCCGCATTGTCTGAATGGGGGGTCACAATAGACAAGCTGATTAGATCGGCGAAAGGCAGTGATGAAGAGGAAGCGTTGGTCAAGCGTGCTGGGTCCTATATCGACGCGTTCGTTCGACAACGCTGGGTTGAGGATGAATGGGAGACTGCATGGTTCGTCAACCCACCGGTACGTTCGTCCTTCATCACCTGAATCAATGAGGATTACAATGGTCTGCAGAGGCTGCAGAGCGTTCTAGGGCTCGCTCACATTCACGTTTTTGCAAGACATAAATAGATTTCCAGACCGTCCGATGTTAGCCTTCTTAGACATAGACCCAGCCTTTCTGTCCCATAGAATTATCAATAGATTTACATACACACCATGGCAACACCAAAGGAACTTTGACATCTTCATAACATTGCCTACGGGCAATCAAGACGTTCAGAGCTGGTCGTCGATATCAGCTCAGCACCAACTTCCACACACGACTACGGCTACCACGGCCTTGTTTCTATGACCCTGCGCGCACGTAGACTTCGACTCCGTCTACCAACGAGCTTCGACGAGAAAGTAGTAGTGCCATAGGTTACCGTCGCAAGGCGTGACCATGAGTAATAGTATTGATATTTGCCTTGTGTTCTGCACCCTGCCTCTGTGTTTCTCGCAATGTATAGCGACAAGACAACCACCCATGTTCGTCCTTCAAATTTCAGATGGTACTTTCGTGGGGGTGCTGTTTGACTGACTTTCTTTGGTGGGATGTTAGCGGGGAACATATGTCTATGGACTATAAAATCTTAGGCACTCAAGTTCTTGGTTCGTTTCACCCAACGGAGATGGAGAAAAAGAAGGTATATATTATCTTTAGGATATGTACGACACCGTTCGGATGAGGCAGTCTCTCCCAAGAAAAAACTGCTGGATCCTGAGCGCCAGCAAAAGCGGCGCCTCGACAGCAATTTTTCCTCGGTCTAGCGAGAAGGATTCAGTCGACGAAAGAGAGACGGTCCTTCTTGAAGACGGGAACGCGGGCAAGGAGGCGGAAGAGCTGAGCCAAGCCCGAACTTTTAAGTCTTCGATGGTTTGTTCTGAGGAGCAAAAGCTACATCGGTGGCTTATATAGGCTGCGTAGTCTTACGTAAAGTATACCCACGCTCACTCAACCAATTCCCCGGTTAAGTTTATGGGACGAAATCACAAGTCCGGGATCATGAACTTCCGCGCGCAAAATAACACTAGCTGTTGACCACCATGTCTCGAGTCTCAAAGCCGCTGTCGCTGTCCCGTATAAGCGATCTGACGCTCGGGGCGTTCATATTCGTACCCCAATCTGAGACGATAGACCATCTGGTGCGGTACCTGGGGACATGGAGTGGCAGCGAGTAAGTTCTATTCGGTTTCTTCATCCAGACGTTCCATTGAACCGGGTATGGCAGCAAATTTTTCATGGTGGGTCATCAGAACAGCTGTTCGACAGAGTTATCAGTACTCACACGGCGCAAAGATCATTCAATATGCAGTCAAAGTGATTGTTCCATTACTGGAGCTTCGGGCGAGGATCCAGCACCGCGCGGGGCTCCGTGCTAAGCCAACGAGCAGCGCTGCGGCAAGCTACTCCAAACTGGGTGGCATCATTGGTGATGCTCGGACTCTGTGGAGGATATGGGGTGAGCACATCTGTACTATGGCTGACCGAATCATATTGTTGCTGACCTTCAGCTCCCAAGGGCTCCTTCCGATAATTCAATGGCTGGTATCGCTGGAACGTAACCCTCAACCTACTAGAAGGCTTCTGAACATTGAACGTTTGCAAGGATGGTCGATGCTTGCTTATTACCCGCTCGAGCACCTCTATTACCTGCTTTCGCATTCCCTGATCCCACCCACCATCCCTTCGATCAAATCCATCTTCTCCTCGACCGCGAAGCCAACGAAGTTAGATCCAAATGCTATTGGCATGTGGTCCACCCGCTTCTGGGCCTTCTACGTCTTCCTGCAATTCGCGCACCTTCGGGAGGATAGAAAGTTGCTTCAGGCAAGAGAACGTGCGATCAGCAAGGCAAAGCGCGGACCTGGTGGTACTGGCATCAGTGCGGCTGAGAAAAAGGAGCTCGGTGATAGATGGGACGCGTTTTGGAACGAAGTGGTGGTCAATCTAGGATATCTGCCCCTAACTGTTCACTGGTTTGTACCTCGTTCACAGGCACTATTCATTGTTGCTAATTGTACACTTGCGTTCTCAGGTCTTTAGAGAAAGGTTTCATTAAGAATGACGTACGTTTGCTCTCACCTTGGCCGTTTCGCCGTGCTTACTCTATGTATATCAGTTCTGGGTCGGAGTCTTTGGCCTCATCGCTGGATTAGCTTCGTTCAGAGCTGGATGGAGGGCGACAGCATTACCTACCCCTTCTTCCCCTGCGCAAGAGGGATCCGAAAAGGCGACTTCAGACCCCAGTTATTAAGATGCACGCATTTCTTTGACCACATGCTCATCTCGCCACCGGAGCCCCTCCCAAATGTGGATAGAGACTCCATAATCTAATGTCACGTTCTATAACCAGCATCTTGACTGGGGCTTCTTTCGCTCGATGTATTTATCCGCCTCGCATACTGCTATCTATCTCCTGCTTTTAATCCCCGCAGACACCTCCGAGGCCCTGGTTTCTTTCTATCATGTCTGCCTCTGGAGTTGGTTCTGAGTACGATATCATCTTCGCCGGTGGTAGGCTGTTTCCCCTTCTCATGGATATGGCTGACTTTAGCCAGGCGGAACCGTCGCCTGCGTCGCTGCTGGTCGACTTGCAGAGGCAGATCCCAGTCTCAGGATTCTGGTACCTATAACGTTCATTCTGGCGAATTCCCGTCTCAAATCGCAACGTATAGCTTATCGAACAAGGACCGGATACTCGCAACCTACCAGCACACATCCACCCCGCTCGGTTCATCGCAAATCTAGTGCCGACTAGCAGTGTGTTCACGTTCCACGTCGCGCAACCTAGTGAGGCCTTGTTGGGTCGCGCACCGATTGTGCCCGCTGGTCGATGCGTGGGAGGAGGCTCCTGCGTAAACTGTAAGAAGTCCCGTTTCTAGATCGCCGCCGACACTACGTTGAATTTGGATGTCCTAGTCATGGTGTACACTAGGGCTGCAGCGTCGGACTACGATGATTGGGAGACTGTTCATGGGAATACGGGCTGGGGCTCAAAAGATCTGATTCCTTTGCTCCAAAAGGTATAAGTTAGAATAACCTTCCAAACAACCTTTCGTCGTTTGTTGACTTCGCGAAACCAAGGTCGAGACGTATCAAGATGATCTTAGCGCCAGAGAAGAGGGAATGCACGGTGATTCCGGTCCTATCAAAGTCTCTTTTGGTGGGGTAGCCACGGAAGTAGGGAAGCAATTTATGGAGACCGCTCGTGCATATGACAAGAAGCATGGAGTAACGGTCGATAGCAATGACTTTCTGACCATAAACGCCTATTCGGTACGGTTTTCTAGAATATTTGTGGAGTATGCTCGCTGACATATGATGAACCTATAGCGCTGGATGAAGTAAAGTCCCTTCCGTAGATCCTTGTGGGTTACTAAACTTTTCAAAGGTACATAGATGCGAAGTCCGGAAAGCGGTCCGATGCTGCTCACCACTTTATATACAATCAAGAAAGTGCAGATAGCAACCTACATGTACTTGCAAACGCTGCCGTGCATCGGATTATTATCAAGTTGGTGGAGTGTTTTATCCCGTTTCGTGGATCTTACCCTCTGCTTCCACAGGGAACATCGCGCTATCGGTGTTGAATACGCTGATTCTTCCGATCACAGTTCTAAGCTCAATAGTGTATACGCTAAGCAACTCGTTGTTGTCTCTGCAGGAGCATTCGGTTCTCCGGCGATCCTGCAACGCTCTGGGATCGGTGCCAGTCAACTTCTCAAGAAACTAGATATCAACGAGCAAGTAGACCTTCCGGGCGTAGGCGAGAACTACCAGGGTATGCCCTGAACTTTGCGCCTTCAAATTAATTGCTCAGAAGAATGTCGTGTCAGACCACAATCTTGGCTTCGCGACCTACTTCGTACCCGATCGCACGGAAACTCTCGATGTCTTCAGCGGTCATCTCGGAGAAGACGAGTTGAAGAGTCTGTGACTAAGTCCGCCCTACATTTTGATCAACTCTGACGGTGTGCAGGTTATGTGGACAGATGGGGACAACATGGTGATGGCTTACTGGCTACTAAGTGGGTTCTCCAGCCCGCTGATTTCCCTCTGCTTCATGACTCGACAACGCTTCTTTGTAGTGGCATCGATGCTGGCATCAAACTTCGCCCAAATGAGGACGACCTTAAAGAACTAGGGCCTAACTTCACCAGGATCTGGAACAACTACTACAAAGATGCACCAGACAAGCCTGTTATGATGTATGTGCCGTTCGCTAGGTGGGTACCCTTGGTCCTACTATAAGAGCTGGCAACCAATGCATCGAACCCGTTTATCAGTCATTACGGGCCCGTGCCTGATCCCAACGGAAAGTATATGTCGATGTTATGGTTCCCAGTTCGTGCTTCCCTTGTCTTGACATCGAACTTTGAGATAACTATGAGCAGGAATACCCCGAGTCAATAGGGAGACTGCACATCACTTCGGGTGATGATTGGAGACAGCCCCTCTATTTCGAGCCGGGCTACTTGACTGAGTATGTTGTTATCGCCCCTCAGCCGACATCGCTCATTATTATTCCCCAAGGCCGGCAGATCTTGATATTCTTAGATGGGCGTACAAAAGGTCGAGAGAAGTAGCACGACGTATGCCACTCTATAGAGGCGAGGTTCAGCAAGGACACCCGACGTTCTCCCCGAATAGCGAGGCAGCTTGCGTCTCTCGCGATGGCCCTGTCCCAGTAGACGCACCTGATATTGCTTATACCGCAGAGGATAATGAAGCAATCCACGACTTCCTGCGTAATACCGGTAAGTTTTCCATTGTACATTTGTATTGCCATGCTGACCAGCCCCAAGTTAGTACTACTTGGCACTCCGTACGTGTTTACATCCTCACTAGACTCAAGTTTTGACTTGGAAGACAGATGGGCACATGCGCCATGAAGCCAAGGGACAGAGGAGGCGTAGTAGACCCGAGGCTCAACGTGTATGGGATGACAAACTTGAAAGTCGCTGGTCAGTACATATTTCCCTCTACGCTGAGCTGAACCAAACGCTTACCGACCTCCCTCCAGATGTACGTCCACAACAAAAACCTTGAAGTGTCAAACTCATGTTCATTGTTTCCATAGCTCTCCATATGCCCTAGCAACGTTTCTGCCAATACCTACAACACCGCCCTCGGTATCGGCGAGAAAGCGGCGGTCATAATTGCAGATGACTTGGGCATAAAGTTGGCTGTTTGATTTTTCTTGATTAACACGCCTTGTAAAGCTCGTCATGAGCACCATTGTATACAAAAAATATGTATGGTAACGGGTTATTGGAATGAAAGAAGGCTATGAAGGTAGTTTTTATAGCGATACTTGCTTACAGACTTGAATGACAGGTAAGGACTCCCCTTGGGAGGTTCCCTATTGCACACTGTATATGGTTTCCCACGATAAAGCTTTCCTCTGAGCGATGAGTCCGGTAGCAGACCCTCAGCCAGCGCAAGCTCCAGAAGCTGAGGAAGGCCGCCTCCAGGACCTTGATGAACTTGATGATGTTGAAGAGGTTGTCGATGGCGTAAACGGTGCGTCTCATGACTTTGGGTTGACGATAGATCTTTAACGCCATTGCTTCAGGCGACGCAAAGAAAAAGAAGAAGAAGAAGAAGCCAAAGAAGAAGAAGCTGGAGCAGACTGAACCGCCTCGGGTAGGCCTATCGAAGCTTTTTCCAGAGGGAAAATACCCCGAGGGTGAGATTCAGCCGTACAAGGACGAGTGCGCACAGTTACGCAATGATCTCTGTATTCCAGGTGGCTCATCACGATGCAATATAGTAATCTATGGAGGACGACCTCAGAAGAGAAGCGGCATATCGAGCGAGTGATCCAGCAAGATCCCAATGAGACGTACCAGAACATCAGGAAGGCCGCCGAAGTTCATCGACAAGTCAGACAACGACTGCAGAAATACATGCAACCCGGCATGTCACTAATGGAAATTGCCAACTATATCGAAGACGGAGTTCGTGCCCTGGTTGAAGAGGATGGACTGGAAGCTGGCATTGCATTCCCCACTGGGCTGAATCTCAATCATTGTGCGGCCCATTTCTCGCCCAACCCAGGAGACACTACAAGTATGTGCAACAAATTCCCAATTAAGAATGTCTCATCATCCGTGACTAGTTTTATCTAAGGGTGATGTGATGAAGGTCGACTTCGGTGTTCATGTAAAGGGACGGATAGTAGACTCTGCGTTCACCGTCAACTTCGAGCCTACATACAACAAACTTCTGGAAGCCGTCAGGGCATCTACCAACGCAGGTATCAAGGTAAATCTCTACGCTTCCTTACCTACTTGATCGTTCTGATTGCACGGATCAGGAATCTGGCGTCGACGCTAGGTTGGGCGAGATAGGTGGGGTCATTCAAGAAACGATGGAGTCTTACGAGGTGGAAGTCAATGGCAAGGTTTATCCAGGTTAGCTTCCCCGAATACCTTCCCTATCGACCGCTAATGGTATGATAATAGTCCGATGTATTGACAACCTGAGCGGTCACCAGATCAACCGGTATCAGATTCACGGGGAGAAGTTCATACTTCCCGTGCGCAATGATGATCAAACGAAGATGGAAGAAGGGGAATACTATGCGATAGAAACATTTGGCACGACAGGTCGTGGACGCATCGTCGAGACTGTGCGTCCTCTGTCTCCATTTAGTGGGAACATGTCTAATTATATTGTAGGGTGATTGCTCCCACTTCGCTCGAAAAGTAGATGCGCCCCACGTCCCCCTAAGGTCAGAAGGGACTTCCGTTCACATCGACATTGACCTAACGAGCTGGCAATAGATTGACCACGGCGAAGTCGTTGTTGAAGACGATCAACAAGAATTTTAGCACACTTGCCTTTTGCAGGAGGTACCTCGAACGTGCTGGCGAGACCAAACATCTGCTGGCGGTACATTTCGCCATTCTGGACCTAGTTATCCCATCTGATCCATCAACTTGATTTAGCTCAATCACCTTGTTTCTCAAGGGATCGTACAGGACTACCCACCTTTGTGCGACCAACGAGGATCCATGACGGCTCAATTCGTGCGTGCTACATTTATAAACACACCTTACCACGTACTGAGCGCCTTCAGGAACATACCATACTTATTCGTCCAACCGTTAAGGAGGTGGTCAGCAGGGGTGACGACTATTGAAGTTGTTGGGCGGACCACACGCTTCCTTATCATCTTGAAGGCTTGTATCGTCCATGAAAATACATGTCTAATTTGTGCTCCTCCTTAGTCACCAACATCGGGAGATAGCGTTGCAGCGACACGCTCTGGATTTCCCTCCGAGAAGGACCCCCGATTTATCAGCAGCAACGCCTAAACGACCATGAATCAGAAAACTTGAAACAAAACCACATGGGGCAAATCACTTTACCCTTCTGTTCAAACTCCAGCGCACATACATTCTCTGATGCTCTTCTGGTTGCACAAGTAATGATGGCACTCACGGTCCAGTTGATGTCGCGTATATAAGCCCTACGGGCTAATGACTCTCCTTCACTCCCAGTATTCTAAGAGTTCGCAGCAACTATGACATACGATATCATCTTCGCTGGTGGTGCGTTTTCGACGCGTCTCATTATCTCAGTCGTACTAATGCTATTGAATCAACAATTAAGGTGGCACAACTGCTTGCGTTGTGGCAGGTCGCCTTGCAGCCGCTAGGCCTGATCTACGAATCCTGGTAAACACATATTATTTTCCAAGAAGAATCTCATTTCAATTTGTCGCAGCTCATCGAGCAGGGTCCGCACACCAGGGAGTTACAAACTCATCTTCAGCCTGCGTTGTTCCCGAAAAATTTAACGCCAGATACCAAAGTCTTCTCTTTCCATATCTCCCAACCTAGCAATGCCTTGATGGGTAGGCCCGTCGTTGTTCCAAGCGGAAGGTGTGTCGGAGGAGGATCCAGCATCAATTGTGAGAATGTTATGAATAGATCCTCGTCTTATCTAACGCTCGATTACAGTCATGAAATACACTAGAGCATCTGCGTCCGACTACGACGATTGGGAAACATTGTACGTGAACGAGGGCTGGGGCTCCAAAGACATGATCCCGTTGCTGAAGAAGGTACTTGTCGGCCTCACTTGATGGTATTCTCTTTGACATACGTTTGGCGAAGGTGGAAACTTACGAAGTCGACGGAGATCAATCCTCGCACGGCCAGTCAGGTCCTATCAAAGTATCATTTGGTGGAGTCTGCCTGGATCCGGGTAAACAATTCCTAGAAGTCGCCGAGAGATACGACAAATTTCGTGGAGCAACTCAAGATGCGAACGATTTTCACACTGTGAACGCTTATAGCGTATGTACCAATATACCTCCACGGTTTGTCACTGATCTCCCAAGCTTTAGCGCTGGCCCAAGTAAGTTTATCGCCGCGAACATCGAATCCTCGTGTGTAACAGTGCCACAGATACATCGACGGGTCGACCGGGCTCCGTTCAGATACCGCGCATGGCTTTATATATAACCAGGACCATGCGCGAAGCAATCTCACTGTCCTGGCTGATACTACAGTGTTACGCGTGATCATCAAGTAGGCTATCAGGAGTCACTGGTAGGCCGCACACTGATTTACCATACCTTTGTGCGTAGGGATGGACGAGCGATTGGTATCGAGTGCAGTACTCCTACATCGACACTCGGCGCTACAAAGATATTCGCTACACAGCTTGTCGTCGTCTCTGCTGGTGCCTTTGGTTCCCCTGCAATCCTTCAACGCTCTGGGATTGGCCCACGTTCAATCCTCACGGCGCTAGAAATCCCGGCGGTCGTTGACCTGCCCGGCGTGGGCGAGAACTACTTGGGTATGTGAGGCATGTGTCACTCCATGATCATACACTGAAGGAAACTCCAGACCATCAAGCTATAGTCGAGCCGTATTTTGTCTCAGACAGCACCACAACCCTTGAGGCTATCATGGAGATGGATGAAGATGAATTACAGTGTATGTTCGAGCATCCTGGCACTGGCGATCCCTCATAAAACTCTATAGCTCAATGGCAACGTAGCGGAGACGGCCTGATGGCTACGAAGTATGCTTGTTTAATATGGAAGATCTCAGTCCCACGCTAATATTTTCTAGTGGTATCGATGCAGGCGTGAAGCTTCGACCCAGTGTGGATGAGCTCAAGGAGTTAGGCCCTGGGTTCCAGGAGCGATGGAAAGCATATTTTGAAAATGCACCCGATAAGCCTATCATATGGATGGGCCCACTTTCCAAGTGAGACGATATGCTTACTTACGTTATGGGCACAGTTGACGCCCTAGGATAGTTATGCCGGTCAGGACACTGACGTTCCAAAGCGAAGATACATGTCGATGGTCACGTACATGGTTGAGTCTACTTTCCACGAACGTCTGCAGCCAATCTGTTCAACCAGCAATTAGGGTTATCCAGCTTCTACAGGAAGGTTGTACATTACAGCCAACGATTTATCCAAACCTCTTCATTTCGAGCCAGGGTATTTGAATGAGTGAGCTGTTTTCCACCTACATCAGAAATTCGTACTAACGCGTGGGTTGCAGCCCGAGCGATTTAGAAGTTCTGCGATGGGCCTACAAGAAAGGAAGGGAGATTGCGCGGCGCATGCCACTTTACCGTGGCGAACCCACTCAATGCCATCCAGCGTTTACACCAGACAGTGACGCTGCTTGCGGAGAACGAAGCGGACCTGTAGATGTTTCGGCACCCAATATTGTTTATACCGCCGAAGACGACGAAGCGATAAACTCACACGTCCGTATGAAAGGTGAGTCTGGTTGTCTCTCTCTACTCAATGTGTATTCAACTTGATACTAGTTCAAACCTCCTGGCACTCTGTAAGACTTTCTGCTTGCACCTTCGTACTCTAATATTTATGGTACGTTAGATGGGAACTTGTGCCATGAAACCTCGTGCAGAGGGGGGTGTTGTGGACTCCAAGCTGAATGTATATGGATTACAAGGCCTCAAAGTTGCTGGTACGTCGTACTAGATATACGTTATATTCTACTAATCTCTACGTGTAGACGTATGGTGCTCCCTTTAGAATCAACCAAATAACTGACTGACGAGTATCAAACAGCTTTCTATCGCTCCTAGCAATGTCTCCGCAAATACGTACAACACGGCGCTGGGTGTAGGCGAGAAAGCAGCAGTCATCATTGCCGAAGAACTCGGCATCAAGTTGTGAGGCGCAAGGACAGAGGGCCTTCCGCCTCGGCAGTCGGATTTTCCGTCTCTTTATCACTTCGCTCTTGGTTTCATGTTTAAAATCATGCTTCTGTGGCTATCGATTGGCCTTGCAGTTGGTAGTCGACTTCCTAAGGTTTGCTTCGTCCATACTCATCAAACCTTTGTGACAAAGCGTGATGTTTTCAAAGAATTTCACATAACAATCCTGGTACTGTTCAAATCAAAAATCCAGAACTATGATAAATTATTGAATAGTGTTTTGGAATTTCTCATAGTTCTGAATTTCTAAGGAATTGCGGGTACACATTGTTATCTAATTGTTTTGTAGCCATTGAGAGATTATGATAACAAAGCAGGGCACCAAAATGGCGTGGAGTAACGCGATGTCACATCAAGCGAGGTTTGATGAGTATGGATGAAGCATATCTTACAATAGACACTCAGTTCAACGTGGGTTAGCATGAGAAAGTTCACGCTTCTGTGGGATTCGACCCATTGGCATTTGTGAGACTTCTTGCGGTCGGACTTGACCGTTGCACTCATGACTCGGTCGTCCGATGCTCGTACGCCGTTGCCTGCCTTTCAGTTGGGCATCATACTGTTCATCCAGGCGGCCGAACCGATCACCGCGTCAGTCATCTTTCCTTTCGTCAATCAATTCGTGCTAGAAAGCGGGGTCACCGGTGGCGATGAGCGCAAAGTTGGGTACTATGCTGGTATTATCGTAAATCTATCATTTATCAACAAACACATATCTCTGACTTTCTTTACCTGCAGGGTTCTCTGTTTTTCCTCTCAGAATTTGTCACAGTACTGTTCTGGAGTCGTCTGTCTGACCGGATAGGCCGTAAACCTGTCCTTCTGGCTGGAATGGTGGGATTGTTCGTTACAATTCTGAGTGCTGGTTTGTCCAAAAGTTACGCCGCATTCGCTTTGAGCCGCTGCATCCAAGGTGCCTTCAATGGCAATGTCGGTGCGCATGTCGTTTACACCCGAGTCATAGTTCGGTTCTGATTTAGGGGATAGGGGTCGCTAAAAATGTGATGGTAGAGGTATATGTTCCTCAACTTTGGTATACAACATGAGAGTAATCGAGAATCGAGATCACGGATTCATCTAATATAGCGGATGCTTTCAGCTTCCTCCCGCCTGTCTGGACCATGGGAAATACCTTCGGGTGGGTTGTCTATCCCTACTCGGTCCTCATTTTCTAGCGAATTGTCAACTCTAATAAATCTATTCGACCAGGCCTTTGATCGGGGGCGAGCTCGCCGACCCCGGAAGCCGCTGGCCTGGTACATTCGGGAAGATTCCTTTCTTCATTGAATACCCATATTTTTTACCCTGCGCCACTGCGTCGTTCTTTGCGTTGCTCTGCTCGATCCTGGGAGCTCTTGTCTTGAAAGAAGTAAGTGCGAAGGATCCCCGTTGTTTCACAGTGCTCACACATTTGTGTTATAGACACATCCCACGAAATTAGCAGAGAAGAGGCAAAGCAATTTAGCTGCTTCCCGCCGAGATTATGGCAGCATAAACAATGAATCGGTCGAAGAATACCCAGCAGCTGAGGACACGTCGTCTGCGGCAGATGCCAGCTCCCCGCCTATTCGCAGCGTCCTCATTCGACCAATAGTTATTTCCCTCACAACCCATGCCTTCCAAGCTGTTACTATGGAGTCGTTCCGCACTCTCCTACCTCTGATGCTATCGACATCCATTCACCTTGGTGGTCTGGCACTCTCGTCTGCGCGCATTGGCACTATCATGGCCGTCTGGGGCTTCTGCAATGGGGGATTCCAGCTCGTCTTCTTCGCTCGTGCTATCCGCAAGTTTGGCCCAAAGAAGACGTTCGGAATCGCGTATGGAAGTTATGCGATCTGCTTTGCTTTGTACCCGGTTATGAGTTACTTTGCTAAGAGAGCAAACGGGGTGGATGCCAAGGTTATCTGCGTCCTCGTCGTTCAGCTCAGTTGCTTTGTATTAGGGGCCATGTCTTACGGTAAGTTTCCTTCTCATCCTCACCAGCGACTAGCACTGAACATCATACAGGTTCAAATCAACTTTTCATCATCGCTGCTGTACCAGGACAAAACTCCCTCGCAACGGTCAACGGGCTGACCCAAATGGTCAGTTCGATCATGAGATCCTTAGCACCCTCGATTTCGTCCTCGCTCTTTTCCCTATCAGTGGAACATAATTTGCTCGGTGGATATCTAGTCTATCTGATAATCGTTCTCACTATCATGGTGGGCCTGTACGCCGCCTCAAGATTGCCTGATAAAATAGAGGGTGGACGATAGTAGATGCTCCTTGAGAATTGAGTCCATAGGCTGTACCTTGCTAAACGTATTACTCGTAGGTAGGTCTTCTAGTACCACTTTAGTAAAGCCATTTGACCTCTTTCTAACTCCAGATGTCCTCGGTGGAGCACCGACCAAAACAGGACACAAACTTCGAATCCTAGCAGTTACTTCTTAGTTGGATCCCACTACAGGGCAGTCATGTCGATCGAGGAAACGATCGAATAGCCGGAAGTAGGAAGTGCAAGATGCCTGTTCAGATACTGGCTTTGGCCCTCGCAACCTGTACTCTCGATCGTATGACCTATCTAATAAGTGTTTCAACTTGCAAAGAAGATGACTTTGCAGGTGCCTTGCTTACGATGTTGCCGCAACTAGTCAACGCACAAGTACAATCGGTAGATACTGAAGACAAGAAATCCTAGACAATCAAATCGAAATCAAGAGCTAATGGATTCCTCTGTCACGGATAAGGATTTCTGCTTCAGGAAACCTTTTGTTCACGATAAACTGCGTTACACATAGACACGACGGAGAGCCGGTTATACGCACCTTTCATCTTCTGCTTATGAACCCGTTCGCGTTCATTGTCAATGATTCGCAGTCTTGTCATTTCAGCATCGGCAGCGGCGGCGTCTGATAAATCAGGGGAGAGGGTCTAAGTGTGAGCTTGCCAAAGACCAGCGACGTGCATTGTACCTTCCGGGCTTTTGCTCTTCAGATCTTCTAGAACCTTCATCGCCTTCTCAAAGAAGCCTTGCTCGCCGAGAGCTTTTCCCTTCCTGAACATGGCCTTGTAATTTTTGTCATTCTTGGCTAAAGCCTAACGACGATGAGACAATCTTAGTATGTCGTTCTTTGTGATGATCGAAAATAACAACCTTCTCTGCTGTCTCTGCTGCCCTTTGCCAATTTGAGTGTTTGATATGACACGCCGACATATTGGCGTAGACCTTCTCGACAATTTCATCTATCTAAGAAGAGGATTCAGAAAGCATGCGGCAATTACAAAGGCGTTATGAGAACCTCGGTCCTCTCCTGCTTCACTTCTTCGCCAGCAGGTGGGGGTGGCGCTCCCATGCCAAGGCCTTGCATTGCATTCCTATATCCTCGTTTCTGTTCTGATTACTTTCGCCGTGCTCGATTCCACGTACTTATCCAAACCCAGGAGATACAGAAGAGCCTGCAGACGCAGCGTTAAGTCAGCGCCATGGTTCATTCGGATATGGGTAGTTTCGTACCTGGTGATACGATCTAAGAGCTGCATCGCCACCCTGCTGTAGAGTTTACCATCCTTAACGATTATATAAGACATGGCGTACCATCTTTCGTGTTGCCTGCCTTGAAAGCCTGATCAGCAACGTCTTTGTGCTGTTTCGCAGTCGCAACCTTTTCTTCCACAGAAACCGGGTTCGAGGACGCCATGATGGTTTGATGCAAAGCTGTATTGTAGGCAAATTCTGGTGAGCTCTATGCTCGAAATAGACGCCCATATTTGTTTCTAGTAGCAGCGCTAAGAATATTTGGCTCTGTTTGCCCGTCGGCCAAAGTGCGCCAGTCTGAAGTTGCGCCAGTTCATCTGCTCACCAAAATGTCCCTGCTCTCAAATATAGTCGGTTTCTCACTATTCGGCCTTGCTGCGCGTTTTGGACAGCTTGGAATACAGAAAAGGAACCTATTCGACAGTGCGTAGCGACTCGCTGGCTCAAGGGGACTTGCGCTGACACCCGACTTCGTATGTAACCGGAACACTCAGACCCAGGTGCACACTTGATTGCGATGGGTGTATTTGGCTATGGTGGATACTGGGCGTATCAGTGGGACCAGCGGGCTGCTGTCTTGATTGCAGAGAAACGGGCTGAAATACAAGAGCGGAGGAAGCAACAGGTGACGGCGGCCGAAGAGGCTGGTGCAGCAGCGCTAGCGCACGCGCATTAGCTTTCGTTCCTGATGGCCTATGTGCGTAAATCCCTGTTTCTGCGTTACGACGTGCTCACTTGAGATGCAGGCATGGGTAGACAGTGCATAGGATGCGGTAGTTGTTGGCTGTATCCTCGTACGCGAAGCTACATTTTCTGATGCATACCAACCCAGCATGAAGCCCGCTGTGTTAGCACTGCATATCCTGGACGTACCTCAAGTCATTGCAATCTCCGACCGGGATACGGCTCGCTTTACCCTTGTGGGCCTTGAAAGATCTCGGGAGCGTGGATCCTTAGGCGCACAGTATTCGTGCTCAGAAGGTGGAGCATGTAAAAAAATCCAACCGTCAGTCCTGAAAATCAGAACGTACAACAGAGTCGGCCTGTCTTCGATTCCCATTCATTACTCATCTTATGGGAACGCGACAGACTGTCCTCAAGGAGGCGCTCACGCTTTCCTGTCTTGACTCTTGATTGATATCGTCGGAAGCCTCTGGGTACGTTATCTGACCATATGTAGAGCTTCTGTATGGCCACCATTACGAATATTCCAACGCAACCAACGACATGCGAATCCCTGTGAATACCCTACATTGGGGTGGAGCTGTCAAAGTACCTACAGTACGTTGTCTCCCTAAAAACTGATGCATCAGCAACATACGTAGCCCTTCCAGTTCTATCAGTTTGCTGTCCATCAGTCGCCAATCTTGCGGAATATTCCGCCACGGCCCTTGGCCTGTTCCTCCGTCCGACTTTCCGACGTTCCATTCCCCAGCTTTACCACGCACGACATAATGAACACGAGGCCCAACATTCTCGCCTTCGTCAGGGATTCTAATTGACGTGGGAAGGGCAGAAAGCAACGGGCAAAATGCCCTCCGAATAGATTATATTTATTGGAATCTAAGTAGGTGTCCAGCGAACAAATTTCACTTGGCTATGAATTGTACAAAGTAAATGTAAGTATCCTTCTGTGCCAGACATTCGAATTCGAACTGGGTAAATAGTAGAAAAGTGTGTCAAGGAAGCAAACATTGAAAACATGTGTATGGTGTAACACAGAGAACGAGGCAAGGGAAAATGATCCAGTGAGCCCACGAGGCTGAAAACATCAAGCAGAGGATTTCCCGAAGAATAGTAAGGAGTCGAATTCGAAAGTAATAGATGGCAAAAGGGGTAGGTAGAGATGCAATAATTGAAATGCAATATGATGGATGCGAGTTGTGATGATGGAGCAGGGATGGGGAGCCGGAGGCGGTTTTGTACTGTACAAGATGATACACATCTCGTCCAAAGCGAGGCATTTTCCGGTGGTTGAGAAAGGATGTGAGTACACGTGTGAGGGGACTGGTGGAAGAGTTACGGGAATTCAAAGCTGCACCATGGCAGCTGAGAGTCAGTAATGATGCGAGGGGGATACGGTAGGAACAAGAAATGAGTGTGAGCAAATGCGAAAACGATGTAATGCAGATATAAGCAGGCAGAAATGCAAGGAGTGTGTCGTTAAAGTCTTCGAAACGATACCGTCCCGACCAGGTAAAAATATTGAAGGTGGGACGGGTTATACATGGTGAGAGAAGGAGCGTGGGTTCGTCCAAACGAACTGATATGGGTGAAGCAAAGGAGCGGATGGGGGCTCGTTATTGAGAGATGAGTGGTAGGAATTGTAATGAGTGTGCGTGTGATGTTCCCAGTCGCAGCAAAAAGCCAAGAGGGTCTTCAACTAGTTTTCCTCCTTGTCCAATCCATTCCGAGACAGGGTAACCAAGAAATATGCGGGGCAAAATGTGTGGGTCGTTGGTGAATCATGATATCCAACAAGGAAGGGAAGCGGTGTCAAGGTCCTACTTGAGCTGAAAGGCGCTTCCCAGGGCCTCTTCGTCCCCCTCGCCCTCGACGTCTGCATCCGTGCCATCGCCAGGCGTCAAGCTGCCAAAGGATATCTTCCGTGCTGGGGCTAGCCTTCTGACTCGTCTCAAAGTGCGAACTTTCTGGGTGGGCGCTGGTTGCAAAACCGGGACTCCAGCCTTAGACGGAGCAGGGATATGCATATGCACATCGGTACCTGGAGAACATAGCTTCGACGAATGCACAGGCGAACACGGTGATGAGCCAACGGAAGCCTGAGTGCTACTAGAGTGCGAACGATGGTGACGATTCTCCCTCTTCGACGTCGAGATGGGGGTGGGGCTCATAGCTAAGGCGGGGAGCTCGGCGCCTAGGATACTTGGATTGCGCTGGACATTCATTGGCCGGTGTCTGCTCGGTTGAGTTTTGGCACCTTCAGTTGGTGAAGCCTTCGAAAGCTTCTCGACCCCCAGCCCCTTGGCGCGATCAGGTTTGCTCTTCTGGGTATCGGCCTTCGGTCCTTTGGGACTCTTCGCCTTTTCCACCTTCACAGGCAAAACACAAGACTCCGTCGACTTCTTGCTAGCTTTGCTGGGAGTAGCTATCGGCGAAGGAGAGAGCCCGACGATCCCAGCGTTCGCATCGGCGGCACCGGTCCTCGTGCGCACCTTCTTTGCAGATCGAGAGCGAATCTTCTCTTCTTCGTCCGAGCTGGGGTACATGCGGCTCGTTGAGTCAGAGTACTTGTGCCCGCCCACAAACAACGCTTGCAATTTGCCGTGCGTCCGGACTTCCTGAGCAAGGGCGCCAAAGGAAGGTGCACGCTTGGCCGATGTTCGGTGCGATGCGCCAGGGGTTGAAGGTAGAGGTGGAGGCGTCATGAGATCAGGGGTTTGAGGGAGGGGCCGATTGTAGATAGAAGGAGCGTGGAGCATACAAGGAAGAGGTGAACCTCTACCCGAATTACTACTGATTGACGCAGTGTCTGCCTTGCGCATACGTTGGATACGGGGATCAGCCATAACGAACAACCCTGAAGAAGAACTGATGGAGGACATGCTCGATGATGTCGAAGTCGAACGACGTAAGGCGCGGGGTCGAGCAGTAGCACTCAGGCTGATGGAGTTGATCGAATTGAGAGTCGACGAAGACGGGGTCGAAGGGTTGATGAGTGAAGGGACTGCGCCAGCAGGTGGAGGCGACGAAGAGCGGTCAAGCAGGCGGCTGGAACGGCTGGGTGTATAAGGATGGAATGCTCGAAAGAGACGGTCGGGACGAGGAAGGCGACTCCTAGCAAATGGATGAGAGGCGTACATTTAGAAGTATGTGAATACTCACCTCTCGTTGTCCTTCAATTCGGCGTTGATAAAGTCCATACTAGACTGCCGATACAATGGCCGCTTGCGTTGTATGTTAGTGGTCTGTTGCAAAACGTCCTTCTCGTGGAATTCAGGCATTTCCTCATCGAAGTCGGCCTCAGATTCTTCAGCAATGACCTTGCGCCCTTCAATAGCCTCCTCCTTTGCCCGAGACTTGGCGACCTCAAGGAGCTTCGCGCGTGTCGCGCGGATAGAATGAGGCCATTCCACTGGACCTTTCGATTGGCAGACACCTCTAGCAACTTTATCCAATAGGTTGGACGGGGGTACTGGACCGTTGAAGGGGGTCAAGAGGTGAGCGGGCAACGCGTCGAGGGTCTGTCGTATTGAGAATACGACGCGACAATGGCAGAAAAACCCGATTTAATACCGTCCCAAAGACCCAGAAATCGGTCGACGTACCCTTGATAGCAGGAGCGTCTGCTCAGGCTTCCACTCCCATTCACAATCGTCTGCGTTGGAACTATTCCAACTATCGGTACTCTTTCTATTCGTAGCATTGTTGAAGAACAGAGTTGAGCATTTGGGTGAGCCGCAACTAGGAGTTCGCGGCGACGAAACCGAGGTAGCGGATAGCAGCGACGAGCGACGACGCGGGAGAGGGGGGTGGGGAAGAACAATGGCCAGTGGGGTCACGCCAGAAGGCCTTCGGACCTGCATGATAGATAGTCGGGGAAATAGAGCTTGAAAAAACTGTAGGGAGAGTGGAGAATAATATCCAGAGTCGGCCGCTGTCAACGACGATGAGCAGAAGCAGCGGGCGTCGTCTAAGGCAGCGACCTTGGACGTATAGGTGATCCTCAATAGTATGGGAGGGAAACAAGAAGGATGCCCGCTTTGGGGGGGACGAGGGGAACGTGTTATGCATCCAATTTAACGATTTAGAACTCCGCTTTTGGTAATTCTCTCACCCCTGCTTCGACGCTTTGACCATTTCACCATGTTCACATCAAACAAAAGCTTGCACATAGCGTCTCCTTCCAGCTCCTTCCTCATTCAAATTCACGTAAGTGTCCCTCGGGAGTACAAGTACGCTACACAGGTATCTCATATTTTTTGACCGTTGCAACAGCCCAAATCATTATGTCTCACTTGCCAGCTCATCGTCTCTGAAAGGCCCGACGGCCTTCTTATCACCACAAGCCGTCCCGACGTTATCATATGAGTCTCACCGAATGTGGGACAAGAATACCAGTCAACAGAGGTCATCAGCAAGTCGATCACAGCGTAATCTACAGATTCGTACGCTAATTGATTCCGGACTCAGTGAATGATCACGCGTGCGCGGCGTGGCGCCACAATCTGATCGTACCAACGTTGGCCGGCCAGATACGCATACGAGATCCTACGCACGATCACAGACACTCGCCCGGAATACTGCAATATGAGTGTAGGATCCCTGATAAGAAGCGCAAGTACAAAGGTCAAACACGTACAGATGTCGCAGGCAGACTGGGATCGCAGGGAGGGGAACGTCCGCACGATGGTGTCGTCCCGGCTCCGGCGGCTCGTGCATTGAACACAGGCCAGGTGAGGGGGTCTGCTCGCCTTTCGACTACTTGGATCCAGCCTTCAGTCCTATTCCGACTTTCGAAGCCTCCCCTGCCCCTTCTACTTCGCACCGTAACGCGACGAAATGCATAGCAGAAAACGGACCCCCGTCATTAACAAGGATCAACGCGACTGTCACTATCGTCTCAGTGATGCCGAATCTGTGGCCTTGAGATATCGGGGTTCAAGGCATAGGCCCCTACTTTATGTGTAAGGTGTTTTCTTTTGCCACCGTTTCCCTCCGACGTGACATCCACTACAGCTTTCGAGCATCGCTGCAGATGTAGGTTCGAGGAAGCGGAACCATGGCCGAAGTCATGACAAGTCCCAATACTGCATCAGGGTTATCTGCGGACCAAGTATCGGAGAGGTCCTCGAGGCCTTGAGGTCTCAATACAACGTCAACACTGGAGCTGTGAGTGGAGCACGGCGTGAACGCCAGCACTCACGCATCGAGCCTCAGAGATTAAATGCCGTCACTAGCACTAGCATGTGCCTTGGGCTGGGGAATCAATAGAACATACTTCAGTCGAGATGCGCCTATCGTGAGCCGTGTATGGTGTATAGTGTGCGGTGTATGGGGGTACAGTGCATGTAATAGTGCATCGTCACTAGTGCACAGCCATGCGCAAGTACATTCTCCCAGACACGATTTGCGGGCGCTGGGGATAGCCTGAGTGCTCCGCACTACGCTCTAATGCAACACGAGGCAGTTCGATCGCATGCTACGGTGCGTGCCCTCCGTTCTCGATGCTCCTGGTAACATAAGCACTTCATAATGCATAAGTACCGAAGGAGTAAGTTAAGTTTGCATTATACTTACTCGAATGATGAAGTGATCAGGTTACTACTACAGGAACGGCGTGCGCTCGCCTGTAAGTCGTCATCACCTTGAAGACATTACACCACAGCTCTACGATGGCATGAATTCTCTTGCATGCAGTCTCCAATTCAACGGCCGATTTAGCTTGCCGTTCACAACACGATCATCGTTTCTGTGATGAGTATTCGGTTGTAAAAATATGATCCAGCATCTCCCTAACTGACTAACTTAGCATGTTCTGTGGTGGGTTGGACTATCAGACTATCTCTTCGCCTGATTCCCGCTCAACGGCCTCATATCATAGTATGCCAGATCGGGGTGCCTCGAGGCCCCGTTCTTCCATTCCATCCGATCCAGTCATTCCAACTCACAAATTGAACCTTGCTATCATTAGCAAGCGTTTACTTGTCTCACGCCGGTCTGAGTCGAGAGCGAATGACTCGACTTAAGCAGTTTCCCAGCGTTCCTGTGTACTCGTATCACGAAGTACTGGTGTCGCCGAGGGGTTACCCCGACTCGCGTTCTTCTTGATTGATGGATGTAAGTTTGGGGTGTATCTAGGTCTTTGTATCACCCGTATCACCCGTATGATCCTGCTGGAACCGTCAACGTCTGACTGTAGCTATGGTGTGTACTTATACAGAACCGGCAAGCTCATACAGTACGACGGTACTTTCTTATACCCGCACCTCTGTATTTGCCCACAGCGAGCTCCGTCCCCCGTGGCCCGACCTTAAGTATCCGTCTGTGTCTGTGTCTGTGGCGGCCAAAACCGACTTCAGAGAACCTTGATGTAGATGGAAGACTTCAGGGCCGCTTTCAGCACTTTGATCTCTGGCTTGTCTTTGACGGTTGACGGCGACATAACAGGCATACGACGACATAACACATGGGCCTGATGCCAGCTGATTCCACCATGAAATCTGATGCATAGCTATCAGACTGACAGACACCCAGAAGTACGAGTACGAGTACAGGCGGGGGCGGGGGAAGTGCTGGCGGTCGGCTAGATCCGTCGTTCGACCCTCGTCTCGCCTATTTTGGTTCCTATGCATTGTGCAAATTCGTAATCTCTATCGCGTATTGCAACTAGCTACCCTAGGCAATAGTCACGCTAATAAAGCTACTGTTTCTTTGTTGGAACACCATTTATGGCTGCTTTGTCTGGAATACATACCCGTAAATTCGTCAGGGAACGGGCAGTTCAGAGGGTTCAACGCTTAGAGTACCAGGGGAGACAAAGGAGTCCAAGGATGAGCCCAGGGGATTGGTAGATAAACACATATTCAGGAACTGCATACTAACACATACTCCAGCGCGGCGGCAATTTAAGCACATTGTCTAGAGGACTGAGCAAGGGAATGAGTATACATATTCAGACTAGACTGATGGAACGATGAAATGAATATGCCCGATGATGCGGGTATGGACATCACCGTTGATGGGTCGAGTGTAGATTGCGAGTGAAAGAGACTGTCTATACAGGGAAATGAGAGTAAGCAAAGACGGAATCCTAGTACATATGTCGCGATATCAGGCAACAGTGGAAAGATAGACAAAGAAAAAAGCAGATCCAGGAGCATCACTTCGCATGGACCTTCCTGGTCAGGGCCCTTAGCCTCTCCGATGCCTTTCTCCTCCTCTCTACATCTCCTTCCACGCTGACCGTATTCCCTCTCATAAGCCCACCACTCTTCGGTGCCACAGTGTAGCTCCCCAAGTCGCTCCTCGGAATATTAACCGCATTCTTCCTAACTCGTCCCTTCTCAGACTCCTTCGCCTGTGACAGTATAGCGTTGAGCGAGCGTCCAGTAGGTCGTGAGGGCGCGTTTTCTTCTTGGGCGATAGGAATAATACGATCCCTGTACGAGGCGGACCTCTTGATAATAGGCCGCGACCACGTAGAGACGAGGTCACCGGCAGTCCGAGCGATGTCAGGCTGCACGCGCTTGCATCGTGTGTAGAAGATCATGACTTTGCCGAGGCCGGATTCACGGAGGACGGCGCTGTCGATGTAATCCATCTTTTTTAGGAGGGGGAAGAACTCGCGCTGGATGTTGAGAGCAGGGATTGAACGATCTGGGAGGGGTTCCAGCCACCGTCGGACACCTTGGAGGAGGTTGTTGTCCACTATAGACTGAGCTAGTGAGGCTCTGCAAGCTGTCAGGTCCATTCGCAGAAGAGATATAGAGATAGAACGCACTTGCGGAGAACATCCATGACCTCGGGCAGGAGCCTAAGTTTCTGAAGCGCAGGGTTCCCCTCCTTGATAGCAATATCATCCTGGTCCGCAGCATTTATCATCGCCTCCCTAAGCCTCGCGACTTCGTCGTCCGCAAATCTGTCTAATTCATCCTCGTTCTTGCGCTTCTTGCTTCGTGAACCTTTCTTGGGTTTTATAATGGCATCAATTTGCATATCCAAGCGAATTTTCTTAGCTAAACCGGTCGCTGAGTAATGGCCATAGCATGGATACAATTGCGACTCACCCTCCTCTGGCGGCAAGGTGCTCAAGTCAATCTCTGGCTGCTGCTGACGCTTTCTCTTCTTCTGCGCCTGCCGTCTAGGTCTGCCTACTTCATCCTCATCCTCCCCGTTGTGGCTTCTGCGGGACTTCTTTTTTACTGCTTTCTTAATAGGCTTCGCTCCTCCAGGACGCTCTTGGACGTAGTCGTCCTCTGAAGAAGCACCTGAAGAGGACTGCTCTTCTTCTCGGGCTACTGGGGCCTTTCGGCGCTGCTGAACCTCTTTATTATCATTTAGTATTCAATGCAGAGCCTCGAGAGTTGCCACAGATAACATACCTTCCTCGAAGTCCGAAAGGTCGGAACCAGAACCGAAGACTTCTCGCTCCAATTGCTAGAAAACGGTGAGTGTGAGCTCGTCGAAGTGATAATAGCATGGTGAAAATACGAACGTTGACCATGATTGCTTGTCAATGTAGAGTGTACAGAAGGTGAGGCCTTGTCATTGTCAGGTACCCCGCAGGATATTCCCACAGTCAGTATGGCCTTCCCACAGTCATTGTATCCTCACATGATCGCGTTCAGTGCACTTGCCACCCACCACCACAGTCCGCACGCGACCCTTAGGGCGTAAGACGACGTCGACGCTCAAACTTTCTTCTAGCGACTCAGAGATTGGCCTCTGTACATAATGTCTCCCTCGAATCCTGGTTCAGCTATGGCTCAGGGTTCCGGCAGCCAGATAACTCTTTCGATCCTTCGCGCTTACTTCCCGGTCGTTCGGACTCTATCAGAGCACCTCAAGGCGATACTACAACCTTCTGAAGTGGCATTTGAAACTGTACATGATAATGATTCGCCGGCCTTTACATCGTTTCTCCAGACCTTCGTGGTGTGTCTGCACTCCGAGACCCCGAGGCATTTTTGCGTCCTGCCTCCTATGATGCGGATTCACGAAGTGAGTGAATAAATAGGTTACTCTGAGTAATCTCTCTCACTTTCCCAGTTAATTGACCGCGCCCAAGAACGCATCCTTAATTCGGCGCGTCCACAAAACATCATAACATCTGGATACAAGTTGGTAAGCAGAGCCACTTCCGAGCCTTCTCTAGAATCTTGACTAGGTTACGTGAAGCGTTCAAGTGACAGTCAACGCGGAAAGACTAACCGCATAGGCGTTGTCAATTTCTTTGTCAATACAATGGTTACCGCCCTCCAAACGCCTGAGTGGCAGTTGCTTTTGGAGCGGTTAGCTTCGAGGCCTTAAAGCGCGTGAGACATCGCTGATATATAGTATCATAGAACAGGGGTAGACGCGACTCTCCATCTCTTGACGGACACATGCATATTCGCTCCTTTGCCCAGCGACTGCCTCTGTCAATTGACGGGTCAGCCATTAATGCATTTGACCCCGAGATACCGGGAGCTTGGCTGCCCGCAGACTAAGCCCGAGCCTGTGCTAAGACCGCTGAAACGAAAGGGACAAGAAGGCGAAGAACGACATCCTAAGCGGCGAAAGTTCCAAAGAAGTGGTTCAAGCATCCCTCGTCCAAAGGTCTTGGTGGAGGAGTAAGCTGCCGCCTATCGACGGCATCCATGTCACTAATACTCCCCTTGTAAGAGCTTCCCCAGCGGACATCTCCCTCTTTCGGACGAGAATATATTACGGCCGCCCACTGTATGTACCGCAAACCAGGATGCTTGTCGTCGGGTTGCCGCCGAAGCGTAAGTCTCCCACACTTTCAGATCACTCAGTATATCTCATCCGGCATCAGATGTCCTCAACAGAATCGCCCCGTCGTACTTCCGTAAACCGAAGGCATCACCCGAAACCTGGGTCGATCCGGATCCAAGGACACAAGCCGAAGACGCTAGATATCTGTCAAAGTATATATTTCCAAGACAGTATGGCTTGTCGAGCCCATTTATGATCAAGAGACAACAATATGAACGATATACGATCCCTGACTATACCGACAGAGAGCAAGAGATACAAGTACTCGTTTCTACTTGATGCTCTAAACCCCATGTTCTTAATCATGTCGCAGTCGCAGGGAACCTGCAAAACTCCGAAGCGGCTAAAGGAATCGCTTAAGATATTGCAGCGGATGGTTTGGAAGCACAGCAAATGCGGTTACAAACCACTCAGAGACAAGTTCTGTCCTTCAAAGGTGTGCAAAGATACGGCTTGACATTTACTCTTCACTCAATTCGCATTGGGTAGGCAAAACCCTCGGGGAAGGAGGACTTCGATAGCACAACCATCCTTGTAAGAATACTCTGTCAATTTTTGGCGGTCGATTGAGCCTCTCGTGCAGGAAATGATGTCGGAAGATTCCTCTACGTTATTCTCGCAGCCGGCTCAGCTTGATACATCAATGGACACGTCCCGATACGAGGCGTCTCTGGGAGCAATTGATCAGGCCAAGCCTAGACCTAAGTTCGCTGAATTCGCTTGTGGTTATGTTGAGGTAAGGAGTTTCTCTTTTATGAGCACCCCCATGTTGACCATTTTCTAGGTTTACCGCTATGTTGCTGCTATCACGCACTGCGTTATCCCGAAAGCATTCTGGGGCAGCGAAGCTAATTATAGGCTAATAATGAGACGTGAGTTGTAAGAGTTCGTCGCTCATATATGTTCTCATTGGCTTCGACCGGGTTAGATGTAAAGCGCTTTATAACATGTCGGCGATACGAAACCCTCAGCCTGCATTGCGTATTGCAAGGTTTCAGTACCGCAGCATGCGAATGGTTGATGCCTCCCGGCGAGAAGGCTCAAAAGCAGAGGCGCGTTTCTGTCTCGGATTCACTCAAGCGTCGCGAGTTACTCGAAGAGTTCTTGTTCTGGTACTTCGACGGCTTCATATTACCGTTGCTCAAGGTTCGTTGAGTTGCTCAGCATGTCCATTGCTCGTGGTTACTGAGTGAGATTCACAGACCACGTTTTACATCACGGAGTCGTCGGCATTCAGAAACAAAACGTTGTATTTTCGTCAGGACGACTGGGAAACACTTTGTGCACCACTATTAGAGAAGCTCACCTTGACAACTTTCACACAAATACCCGACGTATGCGATGCATTCTTGAATATTTTGATATTTCCTCTGACAGATTCATGGTAGGTAGACGCCGAAGAACTACTTCGCCAACGCAAACTTGGGTTCGCATTCGTACGCCTTCTACCTAAGGATACGGGGGTGCGGCCCATCGTCAACTTGAGACGGAAGGTGCAAAATCGAGTCGTACGTACTGTTCTACTCCTTTAGTCATCTACTCGTTAACCAGAGAGCTGGGTGTTTTTAAGGGCACGTTTTCCGGTCCTGAGAAGTCCATCAACCAAATACTACAGGCCGCATTCCATATCCTATCGTATGAGAAGGTAAAGACACTAACCATGATCTCTAGTTCGTCAGCCTCACCATTTAAACCAGCAAAATAAGCCATCGCTCCTCGGAGCCTCCGTCTTTAGTCCAGACGAGATTCACAAAAAGTTGAAAAGCTTCAGGGCAAATCTACCCAAAGATGCCAGAGGCAAACTGTACGTTCAATTCTTGCACGCCTTACTGAGTGTTGCTAAATCGATTACATTCATTGAAGGCCGAAGCTTTATTTCGTGAAGCTTGATGTTCAGGCCTGCTTCGACAGTATAACGCAGGCTAAGCTGCTTGATATCTTGCGGTCTTTGATCTCCGAGGTTAGCGTGTGAGGATTATCCAGGGAAGTGTGGTTTCTTACTTCATTGCCTTCTTCTAATACAGGAAACGTACCTCCTTCAACGCTATGGTAAAGTTTCGTCGTTCGCTGGTAAAATAGAGCGACGGTACATGAAACGGGCTGTACCTGACGGTGACCACGGTTCTCATTTCGTGTCGATTTATATTGACTTGTCCTACAGATGACCAACCTCACTTTCTTCGATATGCAACCGAACTGGCTAGCTGCTTGCGGGGCACAATTTTCGCCGACCAAGTCGTTTATCCTCACGCAAAGCAGAACGATATTCTTCAGCTTTTAGAAGAGCATATAACAGAGAATATCGTGAAGGTCAGTATATGTTTTACTACGACCCACCAAAGATAATCCATGTGACTTGTCGCCATGTAGATAGGGAGCCATTATTATCAACAAACTGTAGGGATACCCCAAGGCTCGATTCTATCCACTCTACTTTGTTCCTTCTTCTACGGCGATATGGAGAAACGGTTTCCCGCTGCCGTCAGCGAGGGCGAAGACAGCGTACGTGTTTTACAGGACCCTGCCCCATTAGCTTAACTCAGGACATGATTAGATTATGCTGAGAATGGTGGATGACTATTTGTTCGTTACGACGAGTTTAACGAAAGCGAGGAAGTTCCTGACCATGATGCTAGAAGGTAAGTGACATACTCTCTCTGTGCCCACGCCTCTCTATTAATTCGACCACAAAGGTCACCCCGAATACGGATGCTTCATCTCCAAAGAGAAGACATTAATTAATTTCGATCATGGCCAGATGGTTATGAATGTGGTCGCGCCCTCCGACCAGAGTACGCTACACACTGCCTTCTAAGACGCATAATTGACTCGCCATTTGCCTTAGGATTTCCGTGGTGTGGTTTATCCATTAACATGAAGGACTTGTCTGTAGCGGTTGATTATTCTCGATTCCATGGCACAAGTAATTCCCTCCCGCGCCGTTGGCATGCCCTGATCCCACTGACTCGATCCATCAGGTATCGGGAACACGCTGACCGTGGATCGTGGTCGCAACCCCGGGAAGACGTTCGTCAATAAAATCCTCCGGTATGTCGCTACGTTGCAAGTCACCTCTATTCCATGTTGATCGTTCTCTAGGTTAGCAAAATCTCGCAGTCAAGCAATTCTCTACGATCCAGAGCTCAACTCAGAGCATGTCGTCTTGCTAAACGTCTATCAGCATTTCCTTATGCTTGCTATGAGAACGCACGCTTATGTACGAAGTTGGGGGCTTAAGACGAAGCGAGACTCTGCCTACTTATATCGTGAGTCGCATATCAGTACGTGGAAACATTGACCTCACTCTCTAAGGTTCCATCTGCCGTGTGGTGCGATACACGAGCAATTCATTGTGCAGAACTTCAAAGCCGACTTGTGCTTCTCTACGAAGAACCGACATCATTTGGTGGGTGCTCATCCTCGTGCAACAGTCCCTTCCATGTTAATAAAAGCTAGGTTGGGTATGCACGCGTTCATGTCAATTCTTGCTCTCAAAAATTTGCATGGCCGACATACGCTTGCAATGCTTCTACGAGATCTCGCTGCACGCAAATACAGGCACAACAACAAGCGCTTCCGCAAGCTGATTACAGAGGGAATATCCTCCATTGCACCTATTCGATTTTGAACCTGTTTCACGCACTTCTGTTTGCATATCAACAAGGAGATGATCCTTTCACTTGCAAACTTCGTGATCCGATCGATAATATGTTGTAGATGAATAAAGATAGAGCCAAAAAGCGGAAATGTAAGCTAACATAACTCTAATGACATGTGCCGGTCGATGCAGACTTCGCGCAATATTTTTAGATATTCTTTTTCTTCTTCCACGGTTGATTTATCAGAAAGGTCTGTCCTGACTACCCGCAAGCTAGTGCAACTTGTCACCAACAGCCCAAGCACCGGTGACACGCCGCCCCCAACTATGGCCAGTGTCTCGATATGATTGAGCGGAAGTCCCTCAGGGATGCGCAGGGGATAGTCTTTCTGCAAGTCGCGAATACGTTTGGGGGACGTTCCTTCCGTGAAGCCGAAGGATATGTCCAAATTTGTGACCTGAGTAGGAAAGATGACAAGTCGCATGTTGTCGAAGAGGTCGGTGAAGCCGCAATTGTGGAACTCGATGGAGATGTGACGTAGGAAGGGTAGATATGGGATGTCGGCGAGCCAGTCAAGTAGGTCGAAGACGCTCTCTGAGTTGTCGATGCTGTGTGCGAACTTCATATTGAAATGCGTGGGTGTTTGGACTGAGGGGCTTTCAACATGGAAGCGAAGGGAACGGCAATGCTCGTTCGGCATGTCATGGATGGTCTTGTCAAAGATGACCGACCGTTCGTCGAGGAGGTGAGTGTGAAAGTATTTAGCGTATTGGACTGAGGGGATTACAACGTCCCGCGAGGAGATGCGGCTATAAAGGCAGGTCCATGCTTTGCTGATAAGCACAGACGCAGCCATGAATCTGACCCGTTCTGCATTGCTAAAGGTGGATAGCCAGAGGATTTCAATGATCTTCTCAACAAGTTCGGTGGGGAGTTCCCGAGGGGTGGTTTGTGTCAACATGGTGGCCGGTCTGATGAAGAATTGTGGCAATACCTTGCGTTTATATACTCACGTCGGCTTGCCATTAGGAGGCTAGGAGGCAAAGCTTCAGTGCTGAAAGTACTCCCGTCCGGATGTCTCGACCATCGATTGCACTGCTTTTATCTCTTAGGTCAACGTAGCATCCGCGTTGGACCGACGGATAACGGAAACAATGCTTGCTCTCAATCTTGTGACTATTTAAGGGGTCACAGGGGATAGGAGATTTCGTTGAACACATTGAACGTGCATTATTTCAAGTCAAGTTCAATGATACAATATATATATAAGGCTATTAACTACCTCTTCGATCTCCATTGTGACAGTGCACTGCTGATGGTATCGACATTTTCGCAGCACGTATACAATATCTTCAGACTACCTTCCATCCTAGTCTTTTGTAACTTCAACTTCCTTTCCGCTTCGAGGAAACTTGCTTCTGCACTGTGAAACTCATAAGTTGTAGAGATGTACGCTTCTCTCGCTTCTCCTTCTTTCTGCGATTATCTATCGTTAGGATATTGGCCCGCGAAGTAACGTAAATATAATACCTCAGTCGCTTTCTTGTGGAGATTTTCCAAAACATTCAGGTGCTGTTTATATCTCTTCTCGTTTTCGATCCCAGTGCCACCAGCTTTAGGAGTCTTGCGGTTGATCTGAGCAGGGGGTAACAAGGGTTCGGAGCCAGCTATTCTGCGGTGGTCAACACTGTGGCTAAAAGTCGACATATATCTGGAACTAACCGTGCTTTCCAAAGTTACTAGGCATGCTGATGCTATGCTTCATGGCATTATGATTGTCTTCCATCGAACACCCGAAGAGTGCGGCATGTGCAGTGTCGGATAATAATCGCGATGAACTTCTTGAGCACCCCATGCCGAGTCCAGATGTCTGGTGACGCCGTTCTGAAACGGGGCTAGGTTTACAGACAGCAGGAGACCTTCGATGGTCTGGGCCGGACGAAGGAGCCACGGGATGCGCCTCCGTGTATCGTATCTTCTCGGTCGTCGCAGCATCAACCTTATGCGTTTCCCAGTGTTTACCCCCTGAATCTCCAGAAGGGGAGAATGTACCAGATGAAGAGATGGCTGATTGTCTCAAAAGAACTGATTCGGAGTATGCGTACTCGCCTATAGCGCCATCATCTCGGGCTGAGATACTATGAACTTCCGTTATGTCCACTTTTCTGGTTTCTGAGGTGACTTCTGTGTCTGCAGTTACCGTGATCTGAGGCGCAGCGTGAGCTATCCGTGTATCAGGGGTCGCCGCCAAGCCGCTGCTCCCTTGGGCGAGAGGAATGGCGGAGTCCTGCAGGGGAGTGACCGCCGGTAGGTTTAAAGGCGCTGCCATATCTGAAGTGTCAGATTCTCCCCGCTCTGAGATGACTTGCGTTTGCAGGCCGGTTGGAGTGAAATTTCGTCTATGTCCATTGCGGCTTCGTCGGTCGGTGGTCGGGCTGGTCGGGCCTGTCTGAAGTCTACGAAGGCTGGCTTCCGCCTCACTTGCAGCCGCTACCTGCCCTTTACCCGGCGGGCTAACTCCCGCCCATTGCTCCATGCTGCTCCCTGACTTTTGCATCCCAGTGCCACTAGGGTCTTCGCCGACGATCTTGATGGGAAGTCCGCTTTCGAGAGTGTACTCACATGAAGACGGATCAATTCCTTCGTCGTATTGGTCGCCTAATCGTGGATCCATCTCGCCCAGCGTCGCAATTTCGCCGGCTGACTAGGAGGGTGTCGTTGTTCCAGAATCGAAGAATCGCCTTTCGGGATGCCAATGCTCAATGATTGTAGCAGACCAGACTTCCCCAATTTTCGGTATAGGAAATATCGCTAAAGATACCGACGATGAGGTCCTCTAGGTGGTGGTGTGAGCGCGGGATGCAACCAACAGCACGGACACTGTGTGTGATATCAACCACTTGCACCTTATCAGGCAGGTGAATTGCCATATAGATCCAGTACTGATCGGCTGGCTGACTTGTACACGTTCTGTCAACGTTTCACGTTCTGTCAACGTTTCACCATCTCCCGGCAATCCCGGATAAGTAACAGAACCGGTATTATGTGTCTGACCAGTGACCACCGCGTGCGATACGTCTGTAATTTAGACTTTTATGTTCAAGGAAGTTGTGAGGAAGAAAGAAACCTTGAAAGCCACCCTGAGCGCCACCGACGGATCAACCGGGGTGCTGTGCATTTCCAAGTCTTGATCATCGATGACAACAGGGAGCATGTGCGCAATGGCGGTCACGACATCTGCACGCAGAATATTTCTCATCAACGTCACTCATCCGCATTTGAGACTGTCTTCACTTCTCGGCCGGACGGTATTTAAATACCCATCAGGCCGCTCACATATTGTATCAAGAGCTCTTTCTTTCCGCATCTCTGTATCCCAATTTTCCCCTCGTCTCATAACTCCGCCTATCTCGCGCGCGCATAGCTCAAGCTCGACAATGACTTCATTCTACGATCTCAGCGCTACATTACCTGGAGGAAAGCCTTACCCCTTTTCGCAGCTGAAGGGCAAGGTGGTGTTGATCGTCAATGTTGCTTCTCAATGGTGCGTCCTACCACTTCAGCTCCTTTCCATGGGCGCTCACATACCAATGTGTAGTGGCTTCACACCCCAATATAAAGGTGTGTGTGATCGCTTCATCGCTAACCATATGGTTCCTAACGCCGTGTGGCAGGTCTCCAGGCCTTGTATGAGAAATACCACGAGAAGGGCCTCGAGATCCTTGGGTTTCCTTGCAATCAAGTAAGCCAACAACAAAACCTTGCCAACGGATAATAGTGGCTGACTCCTGGTAGTTTGGGGGACAAGAGCCTGGCACGGATGATGAAATCGCTACATTCTGTGAGCGTAACCACGGCGTGACTTTCCCACTCATGGCCAAGTCGGACGTGAACGGGGATCAGACCAATGAAGTCTACAAGTGGTTAAAGGAGAGGAAGGCTGGCCTCTTGGGATTGACCAGAATAAAGGTATGCCTCTCGCTCTGTCTTCGCCCAGCAAGTCTTACCTGTGGCGTGGCCGATAGTGGAATTTTGAGAAATTCTTGATTGACAAGGAGGGGAACGTCGTCCATCGCTGGGCAAGCACCACCAGCCCAGAAGCTATCGACAAGGAGGTTGCAAAACTCTTGCAGTGACTAGAAGGGCCCACTGACCCCACCCCTAAATTGTGAATATGTAGTTGTTTTCGTATCTATCTATGTATATTCTACCTACCTCGTTTCACCCGAAAGCTACACATCTCAAGCCTAAGATTCTGTGTCTACGCTGTACGCAAGAGTTGTTAAGCGCCTGGGACTAGGATGCTTTCGTTTAGCGCTCGAATCGAAACATGGCCTACATCCTCAAGGCAGGACGGACCTTGAGGACAACGCCTGCTTCCTTCATTACAGACTTTCATCATAAATCCTGTACTGGCACCTCAAAAAATTTGTGAACCCCTCATTCGCGCACGATTCTCTTCGCCTAATAATACTGCATGTCCGACAGACAATCCGCGCTTTCTCGGCAAGCTATAGATCGTACCTTCGCAACATCAGGCTCAGAAAGGCCGGATGGGCGATCGGAAGATGGTTCGGCGCGTCCTGCTTCAGCGCCGCTTGCCATTCCTATGGCCATGAGGCCCGCTCAGTCGGAGCCGATTTCGTTTGGACGACCGTCGTCAATTCCTCCAGCACTGGGTGAACGCAACGCTCAGAGGGTTATCAGTGAAAGTCATGTAACGGGGAGGAAGTCACCAGCGAATAGCTCTGGTGGGACACCCCTAGATTCTCTGCAACGCTTGCTTCCGTCGGTTGTAAAGTCTCGGAGCGGGAGTGTGCTATCGCGTGGCTTTATATTGAAAACGGACCACTATCCTTCTGGTGAGTTGCCAATGACATGTTGCGCTACGATCTAGTTCTTGATATGTCCCAGGGAGAGCATTGGATCTGGACCTCAACGTACATGGTGCACCGAACTTCCGAGCGCCTCGTGTGGGCGGGCTAAATGTCTTCGGAGCCGCACAACCTCGTACGCAGGGTCTAAGAGCTATATTATCTGTCCTTGGATGTCGACCAAACATCAATAAACCAACTCACGTCGTATGGTTCTCCACTCGTGAGGAACCTATAGGTGCGTACGAATGTAATTTAGGCAGGATAGCCCAGATCGAGCAATGCTATAGTGTATATCTCTGGCCGACCCTTTGTGCTTCGTGATGTGGCCGAACCAAGACGCACCCTCTCTCTATCTGATCGTGCAGAAAACCTTGAAGCCATCGAGTTGAGACTCAAGCACGATATACTACAAGAAGCCTCTCGGTCACTATCCGTTTCCTACATGGACGAGCATGAGCTGATACCCTACTCTTCAGCTATGGCGGCGTCGTTTTGACTCACAATGAGATAGGTCAGCTTTGTGTGCGCGCTAACCACCGACTGGTTTCTCACATATAATGCGATTTGGTAGCTTCAGATAGTGGCGAGGGAGCCATTCTTCCAACATGGACAGCTGTGGACACCGGAAACGTCAAGACATCTCGCGAACTCTGGGAGACCATGAAAGGACAAGGGTGGAATGTCGACGTAAGTCTACTATTTGCACACATAGGATCGGCGCGCTGATCCTCTGCCGTAGTACTATCGGTGAATATAGAGTAGTTTGTGAAGTGCTTATTGCTGACTTGCAGTGTAGGATTCCCATTTCTCCTGATAGGCCCATCGAGGCACGTCCTCTCCGCTTCGTTATTCTGATGCAGGAGTAACTCTCTTGATAGGATAACTATCTAGATGCCTATGTCAGCGTTTTGAAGACACTGGATCCCCTCCAGACGGCATGCGTGTTCTCTTGCGGCATGGGCGCCGTCCGAACGACTTTCGCCATGGTTGCAGCCTCTCTCGTGAGACGCAAGCAAATAATGGCAAAGGGTTTTCCGGACCCTTACACAACAAAGGGGGTGGGTCTTGCTGCTTCCTTGGCCATGCACACTAGCAACTCGAACAGCGCAAGTGGCAACGGTTCGTTGAGTAATTCCGGCTCTGGATTCAATACGGTGCGCCTTCCGCATCTTGTTCCGTACCAACGCTGAACGTTCTTTCACGCGAAGCCCACAAACCCGGTGAGCATAGCATCTTGAGTACAAAAAATCATAATGTAACGCCTAGACTTCCAGCAAATGGAATCAAGGATCCTCCATTCCCTTGAGCAGGCCAGTGCCCAGCAAGATCTCAACAAATCCCTTTTGCGTTTGACGTATCTCTTACAGCAAAGTAAGTTCCGGGCACCTCGCATCCTGAAGTAGCCCTCACAATAGCGCCACAGGCCTACCTGACAGAAACTCACAATCAGCTGTGGAACTTCTCATGTCTCAGTACTCGCTCTTGGACAATCTTCGCAAAGTACACATGGGTAATTATGGAATCATACTCAGTTTACTGGGTTGTTTGGACCATGGCCTACAGGCAAAGAAGCTCGTAGATCGGGTAATCGACGCCAGTACGTTGTCGCGTGCACTTCTTCTCCGAACCTCATCTGATTCGTCAACCCTGCCTCCACCAGCCGACCAAGTCACAAACCTGCGAGAAGATATTCTCATTCACCGACTGAAGTATTCGTTAACCAGTATGGACGAGGTTAAAGGGGAGGTATCCTTGGACAAAGCCGTCAAAGCGTTGGAGAAATAGTATGTCTTCTTCGTGCTGTGGGACGATACTGACAATATTCTGGCTTAGCTTCTTTATCATTGCATTCACGAGCTATGTAGAAGCTACTGACAACTTCGGCGAAAGCTTCTCAGCGTGGTTGAAAGCCCGGACGGAGATATGGAAGTGAGTACCGGGGCTTGATCTCTTCTCATTATTTATGTATTGATTTCGATTGTAGTCAAGTCTCGTTCCTGAGGAAGTCGCATGGCTCACGACTGAACGTTTTCGCCCCAGTAAACGACTTGTCTGCTCTTTCCATGACCGGCTCGTCAGGGCGGTCGCTAGTCCCAGGGCGCAGGAATGATGTAGCCATTGCTGGTGGCCAGATTTTGGGTGATGAATATTCTGACCACGTTGTCAAGGTATGTGTGCTAGGTGCTCGATTATTAGCCCTCCCTCTCAATCCGATTCCGACTAGAATCGCAGTGGAGTTATCCTACGAGAAAGGTCCGCTCAGATCCACGGATGTGGATTGATTACAACACTGACCTTTCCCCACAGCACACTCCTCAAGTCGGACCAATGGCTCAGCGAGTCTCACTACGTAGAACACGGAGTGCGTGGCGCCATCAACTTCAGGCAAGTTCCGAAGACGAAGATCTATGCTCTCGGACAACCAACATTGGAGGCCATCGACGAGGTAGTTGGTCGTGTCAAGGAAGCTCACCCTTCCGCCCACCGGATAGTCTGGATCACCCTTCGCGAAGAGCCTATTGTATACGTCAATGGTGCCCCATATTGTTTGAGGCGAGAAGGGTTCTCACTGCGGAATATGAAAGGTGTCTTGACTTGAATCGTATCTTTTTTCTCGCACTGATTTCCCTTAACAATCAGATTACGGTGGCATCTCTGCCTCTAGGTTGGAAGTGCTAGAAGAAAGACTCAAGGATGATGTAGTTGCAGAGCTGAATGCCTTCGGTGGGAGGTACGTGTGCCCGTCGAACAGTCCATGTTGACCTACCAATCCCATCCCCATAGATTACTCCTTCACACCGAAACCTCAGATGGATCGGTGGTCCCTGTATGGGAAGATGCTGGCCCGGATGACGTCGCTGTTCTCAAGGAGGTCATGGCCGGAAACAAGACCTTTGGCTCTGGTGTAGAACTCGTGTATCGTCGGATCCCCATTACGGCTGAGCGTGCACCAGACTTCGCCGATTTGACTGAGCTGATCGAGCTTGTTGTGAACGAGTCAGCGGACACGCCTATTGTCCTGAATTGCCAATTGGGTCGCGGGAGGAGCACTCTGGCTTCGGTGCGTGCGCGTGAGCTCTACACTAGAGGCAGAATCTAACGTCAGTTTCAGATTATCATTGTGTTGATCCAGCAGTGGCTGGATTTGCATCGTAGGGTCACTGTACCCCCCACCCCGCGTACCTCTCGCTCGATGTCTACATTTTCACAGAATGGGAACGAGGTCGTCCTCCCCTCAAAACATCGACACTCCTACCAAATCATCAATAGTCAGTCCCCAGCGTTTTCCTCGTTGCCGAATTCTTGTGACTAAAATCATCATAGACTTGCTCCGGGTAATGCGCAAGGGACCTGCTGTCAAGAATACCGTCGACGAAGCGATCGAACAATGCGCCGAAGTGTACAGCCTCCTGGACTCTATAGAAGAAGCTCGTACCAGAGCAGAGCAGGCCACCGATGACAAGCAGAAGCGCGTGCACGCTACTAAAGGTCTTTCTAACTCCTTTTATAACTAGTTACCTGACAATATCACTGACGGATGCCTTGCATAATTAGGCCTCCATAACCTGAGACGGTATTTCGAGTTGATTGTGTTCCAGTATTATCTGCAGTCAACGGAGCCTGATACATTGAGCTCCTTTGAAAATATTGAGACGTTTGTCAAGAGCCGACCTGGTGCGTTTATTTACGTTGATCACTGACACTGCTTGACGTTCCTTCAGTCATCGGCACGTTTCAAAAGGAACTGGTCACCGTTGGAATCAATGCGCTCAAGCCCCTCGAAAGGGCAGAGGTAACCGAGGATATGGCGCATCCCGATGAGGTCAAGCAAGTCGTCGTTAACCGATCTGGTAGTATTCTCTCCGCCTCAACGATCCTGAAGAGCGACTTCTTCTCGAATCTCCAGAAGATGACTCTACCTGAGTACGCGAGGCCCCTCTCATCTGTGTATTCCCGCTAACAAGTACCTGATCCCCAGACGCATTGACGGTTCGCCTAACTTCCGAAGAGTACCTCTGACGCTCAATGTATTGGCGAGACGCACGTCTCCACATATGTTCACTACGGAGTTCGTCGTTCAAGATGAGAATGCTGGGAGGAGGGTATGCGGAAGGTTGGCCTTACGTTTATTTCTGTTTGTCTTCCACTGACTTGTTGCTGGTAGCGGTATGCCTACAGTAGATGGGTGAGCAATTGGAGACATTTTATCGGCCTCTCATGACTAACTGACCTTCGCTTTGTGGTCAGACTAAGACGTGCACTGCTCCGCGTTGACGCAGGACCCCACGGGAAGAATTCGGTTTATTGGACTTCTCTACGGGAGGTATGCCTTCATTATCTCTGGAAGACATTTTCAGCAAATTGAGTAATCTATATTAGGAACCCGTTGTCTACGTTGCGGGCAAGCCGCATGTCCTTCGCCTAGTGGACAAGCCCCTAGAGAATGTCGAGTACGTTTGCCCACTCTAGTTATTTTATCCAATTCTCATTATTTCCAATTACAGGGCAACTGGAGTCACAACGGCCACCGTCGAAGCGATGGAGAACCAGTTTAAGAAGGACATTCTACGTGAATTGCGCATGGGCAACGGACGTGTTCTTTTGCACGACGAGGTAGAAGAGAGGCCGGGTGTGTTCAGTATCGTGCCTCTGTGGGAGCCTGTGCAAGAGGATGAGATTATGACTCCGAGGGATGTGTTCAATGTTATGGTGAAGGACGGGTACAGGATCAATTATGGACGCGTGGCAATCGTGAGTACGATGAAAGGTTTATTTTGGTGTGGAGGGCTCAGTCTCGATTGATAGACGGACGAGCAAGCACCGCTTCCGGATGCGCTTTGGCAGCTCGTTGAGCGCGTGCGGGAAGGGTTGTCGGATTCTTCTACTGGTGATTTCATCTTCAACTGCCAGATGGGACGCGGGCGGACGACAACAGGGATGGTTACCGCATGTTTGATCTCCACAACCATGCAATGGAGTGCCAATGAGCAGAATTATGTACAAGAGGATGAAGAGGAGGATGAAGAGGATGAAGAATCTGGTGGGGCATATGATTCCATTGACGGTCCGTCAGAGGAGGAAGCGTACCTCCAGGGAGAGTATAAGACGATCCTGCAGTTGGTTGGGGTGCTTTCGCATGGGAAGACGGCGAAGAAGATGACGGACAAGGCGATTGATATGATGCAGGATGTACAGAATCTGAGAAAGGCGATCTATGAGTACGTTGCTTTCTTTGTTCTCCTGATTTTGATTTCTCCAATGCCGACTTGCGACGAATGTAGCTATAAACTCAAAGTGGATGCGTGTGCCAAAGGGAGCCTCAAGGAGCAAAAGCTACGCGGCATCACCGTCAACTACTTGTAGGCACTCCTCTCCCTACTCCATTTCATTGCTCACCAACACTCTACCTTTCAGGTATCGCTATGGCACCCTGATAGCGTTCGCCAACTACCTCATCGAGCAGCGCTTCCGTAGCAAAGGCGCGCTGGAGGCGACTTTCCCGGCGTGGCTTACAGAACACCGGGAGATTACGAAGATCCTGGAGAGGCGATCTCTGGACTAGTGTGAGCGTCGATTTGAGGTAGTAAGTTGTAGACTATGCTTCTATAATGTGTTTCTTCCCCTAATTTCCTGAGACCGGACTTCAACACCAACTATCATGGATCTTCCCAGGTGTACTAGGCCAGCGGCTTCCAGGATTGGCGAGCGACCCGCCGATTAAAGGCCTAATTGTATATATCGACAGTTTGCTTGAAAATGACGTCCGAGTAGAGTAGAGATAGACAACCCACCCGAAAGTATTTCCCATGGTCCAGACAGGAGGAAGCTGAAAGCATCTGCTATATTAGATCGTGATCTTGATTTTTGATTACTCTCATGTCGTACACCAAAGTGAACGAACGTTTACCTCCACCATCACATTTTAGAACGCAAGCTATGCCCACCGACTTTGCCATTGAACGCGCCTTGGATGCAGCGGCTCAAAGCGATCGCGGCGTAGCTTTTAGACAAGCCAGAATTGTAGCGAACAATCCCACCATTCCAGCCAGAAGGACAGGTTTACGGCCCGGTTTCCACTCTACAAATGCCCTTGATGAGAGACACTGTTTCGCAGCGTATGCACACAAAACAAAGCAAAGCTCATTCCCACGGACAGTACTTGATACTGACAGGCTCAAGCTCAAGCTCAAGCCAAGTACGATGGCGACGACGAGCAAAGAAGAACGAAGACCAGTGATCGCGACTTGATAGGGCGCTCAGCATGTTTACAAGGCTCGTATAGCTAGTTCGATCCCAACTCGGTACGTCGGAGTCGCCCTCATGATTCGAAGGCTTGCGTGGAGCAGTTACTGAAGCTTTGTGGATTCTTCTGGAACGAACAATTTTGATTGCCACCTCTCAGGAGCCTGATATAGCTTGATGTGTGGATATACAGACACGAAGCTCATTTCACTTCTTGCACCCGCCAATGGCAAACAGCGATCTCAGTATCATTCTGCCTCTGTTGGGCGTCGCCTGCTGGCTAATGCTTAGGACCAAGCGGTTTAATCGCATTTACCCTCCTGGCCCTCCAAGTTGGCCTTTAATTGGCAATTTGTTTAGACTTCCGGCAAAACATCCATGGCTTCGTTTCACTGAATGGAAGGAAACATATGGTAGGTGCTCTCGCCATTTCCTAGGCAGGATCCCTCACCAGGGTCCTCAGGGAGACTGGTCTATCTCCACGGGCCAGGTGTCTCTATCCTACTCCTTAACGATGTGGAATTAGTGGCCGAGTTATTCGAGAAACGGCCAGGCATTTATTCAGATAGGCCGCGCTTCACCGTTGCTGGAGACTTACTGGAGCTTGACAAGGTCAGTTATGAAATACTCGACTGGTGATGACGTTGCATTTATTGTGCGTACTGTGTTACCGCAGTTGATGCCTTTACGCATGCACGACCACGGCTGGAAGCTTCAACGCAAGTTATCACGGACCGCTATGAGTCTTGACGCTGTCAAAAAGTACCACCCTTTGCTAGAGGACATTGCAGCCCTGCTTGGTGAATCGTTACGAGAAGACCCGGACGCCTTTGAGCATCATACTCGACTGTATGTTCCACCACCGTCTCTGCATGCACTGTCTAAGTATGTGTCGTACAACTGTAGTGCCGTCAGCCGCGTGATTCTCGCAGTAACTTATAGAATCCCAGTAGCAACATCCGACAACGAGGTACCGCACTTCTCTCCACCAATGTAGATCACTGACTGCGGACAAAGCATGTGGTACTAGCTGAAGAGGCGATGAAGGTGATCTCAAAAGCCACGAACCCTGGCGCATACCTAGCAGATCTCTTTCCCATTCGTAAGGCGTGTCGCCTTCGATGTATCGAGAGCCCAATGATAAATAACTTCCCCAGTCAAGCAACCCCACGCTTTGTGGTTTCGTAACGAGATTCAACGCGACAAACGTATTGTGCAAGACTCGCTGAACAAACCGTTCGATCACGTCAAGAAAGCGATTGTAAGTCTGCCTGTACACATATATGCACTCACTATACCTTTCGAAGGCCGAAGGCAGCGCCCTACCCTCGCTTGCTAAAAAACTGCTTGTTCATGAAGATGATAAAGAATTTGTCGATCGGCACGAATACGAAGACACTGTCAAATGGTTGACGGGCTCACTCTATCTGGGTGCTTATTCTCTTTTATCATACTACGTCTCGCCTAACGATATTGTCGGTTTTGGTAGCCGGGGTTGAAACGGTGGGCTCATTCAGTGTTTGACGACCTCCCCTTCTTATTTAGCGTTGCAGGTCAATGCCGTCGTACTAACGACACTACTCGCTATGGCGATGAATCCAGACAAGCAAGCCCGTGCACAGGAGGAGATAGATACTGTTGTTGGCACGCACCGGGTGCCGACATTAGGTGATAAAGGGTCTTTGCCCTATGTGGAGGCTTTTATCAAGGAAGCCACGCGATGGCAACCCCCTGTACCTCTCAGTATGCCAACATCCTCACAAGCTACCATCCCGATATGAACTGACTTGTCTCTATAGGTCTCGGTCGCCAGACTTCGCGTGATGATGTGTGGGAAGGTACGTCCAAAGGGGCCTTCGGGATCAGGTCCCTGCTAACCCATGATGCCAATAGGCTACTTCATTCCAGCCGGCACTATTGTCTTCCCGAATATCTGGTAGTGCTCCTGCTTTCAGACTGCACTACTTACACACTGACTCTTGTGCGGCGTGTAACGCATCAGGGCAATATCGAGAGACGGCGGAGGAAAATATCCTGCCAAAGAGTTCCTACCAGAACGCTTCCTGGATTCGGATCCTCCTCTAGATCCGAATAGTTACACATTCGGTTCTGGTCGTAGGTGCGTCCCGTCGCTAGCAGATATCTCCCGCTCTCGACTCAATCACTTATGCGTATCTTCCCCAGAATTTGTCCTGGGAATATACTCGCCGAGCACTCTGTGTTCATTTTCGTCGCTTCTATTTTGGCCGCTTTCGACGTATCCCCGGAAACAGACGATAACGGAAACCCTATTGCGTACAACCCTCAATTCTCGTCCGGCCTCATTAGGTAGGAGCCCTAATGATGGCCTGCACGCATGCCCTACTCATTATTGTCTATCATTGTACATAGCTTTCCTGAGGATTTCAAGTGCAAGATTCAACTACGATCTGCAGAACGGGGCGTACAGGTTCGCGATAGGGCTGCTGCCGTGGCATCGTACATAACATGATGGGCTGTCTCCGCTGTATGCCCAAATGACCTTGCGAGATAACGAGGGCCACATGCGGCCTGTTTATATTTGCGATGGGGCCTTTATCAATCAATGAGTGGCGCTTGGGCTGCAATCGGCCTAACGGATTTCTATTAGTTATGTAACTTTGGTGAGAATAAGTTCGCTGTATGTTAAATAACAAGGGGTCGTTCCATCGATTCCACAATTTCCACAGGTGCGCAATTCTCAGTCTGCATAGCTAGCTTCGAATGTTTGATCGTATCCCTCAGGAACGCGCAACAAGTTGGGCACCACTATACGAGTCCTGTTCATCTATCAGTGTTGCCCAGCCTGAAGGAAACACTCAAACTCAACAGTTGGACAACATTGTCTCCTCGTTGCGACAATGATCACAGACATCCTAGCAATCGGCACATTGTTAATTGTTACTTGCTTACTCTGGGTTTGGGGGAAACCCTCTCGGTACAAGTACCCCCCTGGGCCCCCTGGATGGCCCCTCGTTGGCAACCTCCTCAAAATTCCCTCGATCCAACCATGGCACCTCCTCACGGAGTGGAGGCATATATATGGTTGGTAGTTTAATTGCCTGATTTTCCATCTATTTATGCGGAACCTCAGGAAGTATCTTCCGTCTTCATGGATTGGGGATTTCCATTGTTGTTCTGGGCGATATGACGGTTATCAAGGAACTTCTTGATGCGAGAGGGTCGACATATTCTCATAGACCCGTGTTCACTGTTGCCGGAGACCTGCTCGATCTCGACAAGGTTCGTGTCACTCCGACATCCGTCATTTCTCACTCATGCCTGCCTTCGTGACAGTCTTTTGCTCTCCAACCATACGATGACGATTGGAAAATTCGGCGCAGGTTAGCACGGGTTGCTCTCAGTCCCGGGGCTATCAAACAGTATCAACCTCTTCAAGAAGATATCGCTGCACTCCTCAATATGGCATTGCTTGACACGCCTGAATCGTTCCGCAACCACATTAGGCTGTTGGCGATTTGATTCCACTGCTCAACGCTATCTGACTTTATTTAGTGCTGCTGGGCGTCTCATCCTTACCATAACCTACGGGATTCCAATAAGCTCGTTGGATGACGAGGTACTTCATTGGCCCCTAGCAGTGCCTGGAGGACCTTGCTAACGGTACATTCAGTTTATTGCACTATCAGAAGAAGCGATGTCTGTGGTCTCTAGAGTCACGGTCCCTGGGACTTATCTAGCGGATGTATTTCCAAGTCGTGAGTTTCAACCCATTAGCTGGCAACACTCCTTTGACATTAGTGCCCCAGTCAAAGGCTTGCACCCCTGGTTATTCCGTAATCAGGTGGAACACGACAGGAGTACGATTCGGGACTTCATCAACAGGCCTTTCCATCATGTTCAGAAGCAAATGGTGAGCCAAAGTCGATCTAACTTAAGGATAGATCTGAAATCATTGATGACCGAAGGCAGAGGGAATTGCGCCCTCCTCGTTAGCCCAGCATTTACTTGAGGACCCCTCAGATCATGGCTTTAGTAGCAAACAAGATCACGAAGATGCTGTGAGATGGATATGTGGTGCTCTATATGGCGGTCCGCACCTCCACTTCCGATGTCTGTTGCCTTCACTAACTATCCGTGCTTCAGCTGGGGCAGAAACAGTGCGTCACTTGCCGTACCAGTCGTGTTGTGACTCAGAGTGCTTCGCAGACATTCTCCGCTGTCTTGACAGTGATTCTAGCTCTCGCACTTCATCCAGAGAAGCAAGACCGAGGTCACAGAGAGATAGATTCCATCATTGGGGCTGGGAGATTGCCTACGCTAGATGACAAGGGCTCCCTGCCGTATGTGGAGGCGTTGATCAAAGAATCCCTACGGTGGCATCCCGCTGTCCCTTTGAGTATGGTCGTCAGACCATTAATTTACGCCCTAGGTTGACGCGTTGATATCTCTAGGTCTCGCCCGCCGCACTGCGAAAGATGACAGCTACTTAGGTAAGTAAACCATATGTTACTCGAGATTTGCGAAGAGGTACTTTGCCTGCTGACTCGATAAATGGTAATATCTTATAGGTCACTTCATTCCCGAAGGGGCGATCGTAATCCCCAACATTTGGTACTACTTACCAACTTTTCTTGTTATCATTTTCTACATGGGCTAATCCCTCACTCTTTCCAGGGCCATAGCTAGCGACTGCAACGACCAGTACTCGCCCTCCCAGTTCATACCTGAGCGCTTTCTCGACGAAAATGCTCCCATTGACCCGGCTACTTATTCGTTCGGTTTCGGTCGGAGGTGCGCATCTCGTTGTCTTGTGTTCCCTTCATATTATCATCCCTTTCCAAATGTTCAACGTCAATAACTTCACACGGATTTAGGATATGCCCTGGCAAGCACCTCGCCGAGAACTCAGTCTTCCTTTTCGTGGCTTCAATCTTGGCCGCTTTCGAAATCTCCGCAGACACAGACCTTGAAGGCAACCCCATTTCACTCGTCCTGAATTCAGCTCTGGTGTAGTGAGGTGAGTTAGCTGCGACTAAACCGATCTATATCTGTGCTGATTTTTGCGTGTACTACGTACACTAGTTCTCCAAACCCCTTCAAGTGCAAGATCAGCCCCCGGTCTACCGATCGGAGCTCGCAGGTTCGGAATAGGGCTAGTGCAGCATCGCATTACTTACATCCAGGAACATAATATCCTGACTTCCACGTCGAAACTCATTACTATGCTGCTATACACACAAGCTGGTGCCAGCTAACGTGTCCTAACAGATCGGGCGTTGCCAATTTGGATGTAGTAGTTGAAGTGTCCTTGAGACTCGCGCCGCAGTACGAAGACTGGGAAACGAACGTTCGGCTTCAAGACGACATATCTGAGTTATAAGAGCTCATCTTCCGTCATTTCCTCCCGCTAAGGCTTCGAACTGTATTTCTCAAACCAATCAGCCGGAGAAAACAGCTTGTACAATGTAGTCGCTGTTATGTGAGGTAGTCGTACAAAGCTTCCCTAATCCCAGCCATTCATCTCCATCTCAAACTTCCCTCGACGAAGGTCTTTCCTATCTGCATCGCTCAAAGCTACCCAAGCATCCAGCCCACCAAGGCTCTCAATCAGCTCCTCTTCCCATTTTTCCTCGCGCTCAATTTCCTTCTTGGTCTTCTTCTTTGGCGGCGGAGGGGGTGGAGGAGGGGGCGGTGCTCGTCTATTGGGATGAAGTGGAGCTATTCTAGACAACGTACTCTTAGACGTCTTGAGATACGGTGAATATGCCGAACCCGTTCGGGCAGCTGGCGAAGTAGCGAATGGGGAGCCAGGCATGGAGTTGACGCGCCGAATTAGCTCAGACATAGGCGTGGATTTCGTACGAGGTGCGATGGAATAGCGCGATGTGAGAGATGATCCCGACGATTTACTTGCACTTGACGAAGTGTTGCCAGGAGGTTTGGCCGGCGTTACTGGCGGATGGTTCTCCTGATTGAGTCTGTGAGCATCTCGGCCATGAACGTAGCCTAGGTGACCTACCTTCGCCGGTGGATTCTCTTCAAAGGGTTCCACTCTGGGCAGAGCCATTTCCGGTGCAATAGTTTCTGCTTTTCGACTACGATTTCCCTTCCTTTTGGATTCCGGGTTAGGAGGGCCGTTGACTAGGGCTGCTTCCTCCCTTGCACGCCCGGTGCTATCATCGTCTGGATCGGGCGTGGCAATCAACCTTGACGGCGGTGCCATATTTAGATGGGAACCCTCCACCTCTTCGTCGGGCACATTAGCAACTTCGTCGCTTTTCTTCTTCCCCTTCCCCTTGCGCTTGGGTGCAGTACTGCCGCCGTCTCCCGTGGCTGATACAGCCGTTGATTCTTTCTTCGATCGCGGCTTGGCCTTCTTCTTAGTTGCTTCCGGGAGGGGTTCAAGAGGAATATAAGATTTCTGTTTCTTCGACGGAGTCTTCGATTGTTTTACAGGGTTCAGAGGCGGCGATGAGGACGCAAAGAATGTCGGGATTGGCGGCTTGATAGTGGCGAGCTCGTCTTCTTCGTCGTCGTCATAAATAACGCCACGTTTCCGCTTGCGCGCAGCAGGTTCGGGAGTGAACAGCGACGGCTCGTGTCCTTGGTCGAGCTGCGGTCCGATGTCAAGGCTATCTGGCTCATACAACGCCGCGATTGGTGGGTGCTCAGGTTCAGTGAGGGGTGATTCGGGGATGTCGGATGGGGGTAAATGCAAGGGCGCGTGGTGATAACCAGATAAGGACGATGAAGGGACTGGTATAGTAGGTTGAGAAGAAGTGACGGGCGCCGTATGATTTGCCATAATAACAGTATCAGAGATGGCGCGCCCTCGAGGAGTTCCTTTGGCCTTCGGGCCCTTTCGAGGCCGTGCTGGAGCTGCCATGGATAGCTCATCTTCCGAGGACAATTCGATAACCTCCAAGGGTTCTGGGTGGGTGTTGCCTGTCTTATGTTTCTGAGGGGGGAGGACAATGGCCAATGAAGGTTCGGTTACTGATAGAGCCTTCTCCTTCGCCGTACGCCGTCTCACTTTCGCGCGTTCCGCGATGTCCATGCCGTACGGCCCAGAGTTATCCTTCGTCTGTTGAACAATAGCGCCTTCGATACCTCCAGCTTCGAGATGAGGGTCGGAATCTACGGTGGACTGTTTCCGTTTGATTGGTCGCGGGCGCGGGCGGTCTTTCTTCTTGACGTCATCATCCACAACGAGAGGTAGTGCGGAAGACGAGGATGCAGAATTCGAGATGTCAAGGTCGTTTTTCCGTTTAATCGGCCGCGGTTTTGGGCGTGAAGTAGAGCCAGTAGTAGTAGCTAGGTCGCCCACAGTGCTGAAAATCGCAACTGAGGATATGTCTGAGCGCGCGAGCAGTGTGGATGGTAGATCGGTGAAGTTAGAAATATTTGAGGGTTCTGTCGTCGGGATCCCATAAGTATCGACAGAGGAGGGTCTTGTTACTCTGGTGGATTCATAATGGTCAACTGGATGGTGGGAGTCAACAGTCGATATCCCTACCATGTCATTGACTCACTTGTCTCATGAGTGGTGTCCAATGGAGCATAGATATCTTCCTCTTCGCTGTCGGCAATAACCTCTTCCTGATCGTCCGCTTGCATGAAGTTTAAATAAGCCAATAAAGTGCCAATAAAGTTACAGGAAGGTGGTGGTTGCGGGCTAAGGATGGATCAGCGCGCCTGCACCTTACGCGAAGGTCACGTCACGTGATGGATGTCACGCAACCAAGCTTTCTCACACTCAGTATTCACCTCCCACGCTCATAACACTTCTTACATACAACATGCCACTCAGTCCTCCATCGACTCCTGGTCCCGCCAGTCGCAATCCGGATTCGATACCTCGACCACCTCCTTCACCGCTCAGAAATTCCCCTTCATCCACCCCCGGGCCACACCACTCTCCTCCTGTTCGTCGCGCGGGTCAAGCATCGAATACACCAGGCAAAACACGGGCCAGGGACTTGTTAAGGAAGCACTATGGCTTGGGCGTCGGGCCCCCTCCCCCGCTTCCTGGAAACACTGCTGACCCCATGAGTCTCGGTATGGAAGCTCACATGGGTATACGTTGGGCTCACAGCTTCTCAGATTCCAGCGCCTTTGATGCGAAGTCGTATTACGAGCAATTGATCACTACAGCATCCTTGTCGACTCTGCTCAAGCGAGAGAACGAACTATTGACAGGTATTAATATGCAGGCACTAAGTTTTGACTATTATACTGATGTTACTCCAAGAAATCAGGGAGTTGGACGGCGAGAGACAGTCATTGGTATACAATCATCATCACGAGCTGATTGCTGCTAGTGATACTATAGCAGCGGTAAATAACTTCGAATCATATTCTTTACTTCTCATAACTCGAAGCCCCTTAGGTCAAAACCAGAGCCGAAAGTCTCGACGCCGATTTGGATCTATTGAAGGCAGCCTTTTCCGATATCTCTCGCCTCGTTGCAGAGGTTTCTGTAGAGCCGCACGCTTCGGACTAGCATAAATACCCTTGCTTAATCAATGGCTGCGCTCATCACCAGCACCTTCACTTCACGACGAACACCCTACTGGTGGCTTCCTCCATGCTGAAGGCAAAGCCTCGATGACACTCTTGCGACACTGTTAGCTTGGGACTTGAGAAGATAGGTGGCGTTAATCCCTCGCGCACAGAACTAACCAATCCCAGACTTTTATCTCGCCTTCGTTTACCCCGCGTTTGAAGTCGAGGATTCGCCACTTCGTCGCTGCCTACTGATGCCTTGATCCCAACCTATAAAGACATCATGAATGACCCAGTATTTTGTCATGAAGGAACTTGGGGCAACAGCTGGCGCCTGTGTGTCACTTGATGTAGTACATTGTGGATGGGTATTCCGCACCCTCACAACGGCTCAAATATGGATAGCAGTTATCATGGTGCACCCCTCAGACCGCCACAGAATCGCCTCTCAAGGTTTCGCATGTAAGTTTTTTACTCGTATTCCGGGTGTCCTACTCTCGGAGCCTCCACTACCATTCTCTCGATGGAGCGTTTAGCCCACTGCTTATACCCAGCGCACTTACTAAGACACCTCTCCACAAGGACACCATGGCGGCGATACACGACCTGCGTCGTCTGTGGGGCATTTATCGGCGTGCCTAGAGGCACACAGACTGACAGGTCGTCGTCGTGACCTTCGCGTGGACTTAGTGGTCGAATAGCCACTTCCCGCAACTTTGTAACCGTCTACCTGCGTAATGTCTAGGACCCCGGAGCGCAAGTCACGCTGCAGGATCTGGCATCGTCCGTTTATTCACCTATCTCACCCTTCAGGCAGCGTTACCGCGCCTACGTATCTCACATGTGCTGGGATTTGTGTCTCTATCATGCTAGGTGAAATGGTCTTCCGTCACTTTTCCAATACACCTGTCTTCGATACATCGCGATCAAGGCGCACCATCGAGAATATTGGACCAGTCCATGTGCAACAGATTGCCTGCTGCAGTGCATGTTGCTTCATTCCGTGCGTGGGACTGGTGGCACGAATTGCGAGTCTTTGCTCGGGTGTCGCCTCGTCTAAGCCATCCAAAGCGACTACTAGGCGTCCGTAGGTAGGGCTTTTGGTCCATTTTCTCCTCTTCACAGAAGCGCTCGACCACCAGCACCAGCGTCTATCAGCGCTCCAGCCAAGTGCACCAGGGGAAACGGTTTCTTCGGTCCGCCAATCTCAAGAAGCCATTCTCGTTGGTCCCTCGAAATTGAAATGAATACTTAAGTACTGATACCCCGGATCGAATACATGTCTTCAACTCCCCGCTATGGTCGTCCCAATAGTTCCTGTTGATATTCTACGAATCATTACAGGATACTACGCCGAAGACAAAGGGTCCCTGCTCAATCTCCTCCTGGTGTCCCAAGATTTCCGCCGCCTCGTCGAACCGTACATCTACGCCAGTGTCTCTTTCCTTGCCTCTGGTATGTCGAGCGCGGCGCCACGCGTGGGGTACTCGGATGCTGATATATCAGTAATGGCCAGCAATTTCATGCATAGCATCGCCAGGGACTCTGGTTGTGCCCATTACGTCAACAGTTTATCTCTTCCCTGCAACTCCTTCCAAGGAGACCATTATCCACTGTTTCAAAGTATTCTAAAGTCACTTTCGAATCTCGAAGATCTACGCGTTTACCCCTCGTCGTCGCCGCAAAAAAACAAAATCTCTGAACTTTCGCACCCTCTTCGAAGATTCCAAACGACAGAACTCGCAACCCCCATTTGCACTCAAAGCATTTGCATGGTATACAAATCTCTTGCAACTGGATTCGGGAGGCTTTGAATGGTTTCTTGCCTCGCAAAAGTCACTACAACGTCTATCGATCCCATACAATACCTACCCTTCCCTTCGAATTCCGACTCTTCCTAAACTTCGTACGATTCACTTACCGTCGGCTGCCACGAAGACCCTCGTCAAAACAAACCAAATCACCCGTTGAGTGTGTCAACAATGAAGCCCTCCGGGATGTGGTGGTCTGTATCATTAGAGGCTATCCTAAATTCGAAGGGCAACTTTCCCCAGCGGCTATCGTACTACGAATGCCAAATCTGGAATGTTTAGAAATAAATACCTTGTTTGTAAGTTCGTACGTTATTTCTCTCCATTCATAATTTTGACCTCGTTGCAGTCACCGATACCCGATGTCCTGTCTCAAATATATTTCAAGCAACCAAGCTCCGCCATCTGCGTTTTCATGCTGGCTGGCTCGTTTCGCAGCAATTCGACATTATGGAGGAAGATCCCCCGTGGGATCACGGCAATGTGCTCAGTGCATTCGATAGACTTCCATCACTCACTCATATCAGTTTCCGGGTCGGTCCCTTTGCGAGCTTTCCCGAGTATTGTTGCTTTACCAGGGGGACGCCGCGGGCAGTCAAGCTTCGCTCACTTCGACCCGTGGTGATGGATCGTACGGAGTGGTGGCGAGATTGGGCCCCAGAAGATTATGTGATTGTCCCCTTCACCCCAAGTGACTACCGAGCGGGGTACCGGGGGGACCTTGCTTAATGAGCCTTGGGCGAGCCAACTTCGGTCTCCCTTCGTTCTTGTTGCTTTCATAGCTTGATTGCTGAACAAGGATACTTTGTGGTTCCTCAGTTCGTAGTCAACTACCAATAGTCTAACAAATGATAGGTAAAGTCCCCCCAACTACCGTCCCTTATCATATGGCATCCCGCGCCGTGTGTCCGATTCCACAGGAGTAAGGTGTTGCGCTTGCGACGCTAGCCCCTGTTAGCCCCCCTGTCTATGCTTTGGGGGAAATTCAAGGAGAGCACTGTAAAGAGTTGTCCCCTCTGCGCGGGGTCGCTAGTGGGCCTCAGTCGTACGCCTTGACACTTGAAAGGAACCTTGAAGTGGCTAAGGGGCAAGAAGGCAACGACATGCGCCATCACGACGCCACTCTTTGTCTCAATCATCGTCTAAGCCGCTACCAAACGGTGCTAGTAGGTCTACCACCGAGCAGATATCACGTATACGCAGACCAGGTCAAGATAATGACCAGCAGCCAAGACAATTTCCAATTTCCCCTCCCACCCTACTTGGTCGGTATTCATGCATCATGTTTTATCAGGCAAGATATGATGAGACTCACAGCATCTCTGCCACGGGACTTCCGCAGCTTCCAAAGACTATTGATAACACAGGCTGCGTTCCTTTAAACGTTCTACCTACCAGTGACGGTGGGTATAGGTCTCGGGTCTCATCAGATGTGCAACCTACAGAGTTGGCCCCAACGATTGGGCTCGAAACCTTGTGGTGCGCTGGTTGAGTATGCCATCACTTGCGACGAAAATGGCGCTGATAAGAAATCACATAATGTTTCCTAACAATCGATGTTGCATTAGCGGGCGTGAAGCATTTGCGATAACGGACATTTCCATTTCGGTTGACCTTCTCTACAGTGGCGTGTATGGGTTGTGTATGCTTGGCTGCATGCAAGGGGAATAAGAACCCATCAGAGTTGCGAAATAATACGGCGATAGAGAAGAGTCAAGGACTTCCACATCAAAGTTAGCTGGTTTCGCAAGGCGTGGTGAAGTTCCCTTACCGCCAGGCGCCTAGAGTGTTGTGAAGGCCGCCCTGACAAGGTGGGTCCCATCACTTGGCCGGTGGAGGAGAAGGTAAACCAATGTAACTTGCTGACAAGCCAAGACGGGTAATATAGAACGCGCTAGAAGGAAGTTGACCCCCTTTGGGAACCGTCCTGTTCGAGAGAGAAGTTGATTTCCGTACATGGGGTCCGCAGCGTTTCCGGAAAGTGGGGAAAGGGGACAACGCCCAAGCCATAGTGCTTCCTTAACAGGTCCCTGTCCTGTGCTTTGCCCAGTGGTGTGCTTGATAGCTGGCGGGCACGACGAAGGGGGGAGGCTGGTGTGGCCTCAGGCAGAAAATTCACATGACGAAATAACGAAAGTAACAGTTGCCTGTAGATACAGTAAGGCCAAGCATGCTCTTGTCATGACAATGTCTCCAAAAGTACATCTGCGGTCCTCTCTGGTTCGTCCCAATGCATCTGGTGGATCTTTCAGCACTGGGAAGAATTAGTGACAAGAAGTACGCTCACAAAATGGTTAGCACCACTAATCACTTTGTAGTGCACATTATCGCCGCCATTGGCTTTGTCGTCATCTTGAATAGACCACAATGCAGCTAGGCCGAACGAGGATGTGAGATCCCCGATGAGGAGCCAAAACTGCAAGTGGGTGAACCGGCTTTTGATAGATTTGTCGAACGTCGCAGATTTGTAAGAAGCGCCGTTGGTAGCGATGAATCCCAGCAAACCCATATCAACGTTGAGGCCTGGTTCATCCACCATTTCAGATATGTCGGACAAGGTCATGTTCCAGATGCTGGGCGTATGGGAGAAGGCCGGGACAACGTATTCGATCACATCTAAGTTGCGGGTGGATAGATCACCATGCTGAAAGTACGATGTAATCCAGGCGACGAATGATAGGCCGCGTTTGTCAGCCGGAATTGACATGTCCGCGAGCGGGGTGTATGTCTTGGGAGGAAAAGGTAAGCCGAAAGAGAGTGATGGTGGATCTGTCGACATGTTCATACTTGATTATTGTCAAGAGCTTGGAAAATTGCACACCTAACATGATATGCGCCCGTAGATATTGCGATAGGCGAATTTGTACGGGCTCAGCATAGCTATCGATAGAAGAAATGACAGCAGCGGTGAACGAGTTTCCACCCGACCAACCCAAAATTGCGATGCCGCCTTGTTTACCGTCGCTGGATGGAGCGGGTAACTTCTGTTGCTGGATGAAGCTGTCGATGAAGCTGGCGATCTCGACTGCTCGATCCTTCAACCAGACCGTCTTCTGGGCCTCGTCACCCTCAGCGAGCACAGCAAGTTCGTCTGCAGCAAACGGAGTCGATCCCCTGTACCCCCTACGGGTAATGGCTACGAAGCGCCCGCCCTTCGCTCTGAAGGCATCGGATACCTTAGAGAAGACATCTAACTCAAGGCCACAGAGGTCAGAGATCGAACAACAGTACAGCGTAAGTACTCACGACTTGAGAAACCGAAGCCGTGTAGGGCGAAAATAGTCACGTAAGTCTGCGTCTTTGGTGGGCCAGAGTCGATATAAGCAAATTCTGTGCCTTTGGCATTAATTGCGAGAGTCGACGCCATGCTGGGGCGCCCTAGTGCAGATGCGGGGCGAGGGCGACGGTACTTGAGGAAGCTGTGCCATTTGAATCAAGAAATCGAGTTCCATTTAGCGACTGAGGCCTTCCATCTTCCCAGCCCAACCGCCGATAATGCCAAGCCATGTTAACATCCTCAGAATGTCCCAAAATCTGGAGCCTACAGTGGGCATGTAACATGTACACAAATTGGATCAGCTGTCCGACCTGCCCGATCGATCAGTCTTGCGTCCACGCGTCCGGGACGCGATGCTTACCATTTTGGGATTCATCATCTACCCTCCAGTGTCCCATCATGCTAAAACGCATTCAGAAAAGGATACAGAAAAAAGAGAAAGAAGCCGAGCTCGGACTCGACGATGACACAAAAGAAATTCTTGGATTTAACGATACCGATTCGGACGAATCGGACAGTTCTGGCGTCGACTCGGAGGATGAGGATTCAGACGACGAAGAACTTTCAAAATTGTTGGAAGAGCCCGTTGTTGGCGACAGGGATGAGGGACCCATCGAAGCGGATGAAGAGAGCGAAGCCGACTGGGACGCGGGTGCAGAGTCTGATACCGACGAGATATCGAAAGTGACCGTTCAGGAGGCTCTGAATGATCCGATATACGTCTCCTCTCTGGATGCTGGTGCCGGTGAATGGCAGTGCGTCGTCTGCCCGGGGAAGATATTCAAGGGGTCGAAAATGATTGATGCTCACCGAGAATCCAAGGTCTGTTCTACTATTAGTAAATTTTCGAAGCTGACTCAGTTACGTCCTGCTTAGGCCCACAAACGACGCTTCACGAACTTCTCTAAACTCGCAAAATCTTTTGAGCCCACGGGTAAAGCGTCTGAAGTCCTCGGTGGGCTGCCAAAAGGCCCCAACCACCCGCGACAGGCCGAAGATGGTATCACTATAACATCGAAATCAAATCGCGCGTCTAAACGGGCGAGTGATTATTATTGTCGAATGGCTATCTACCATCTCACTCATGCGCCCTCCACAGCAAAAATCTACACAGGTACGGAAAGAGAAGCGGCTCAAGCGAAGGGCTCAAGCAAAAGCACAAGCGAATGAAGCTACCATAGGAAACCTGCAGCCAGAGTGCGCGTCACCGTCACCGCAGCGTAAACGAAAACGGGTTGTGGTAGAACCAGCGAAAGACCGTGACGATGGCACCAGTCCACCACGAAAAGTGACGGCTACAGGTATAAGACCGAAACGAATGAAGGCCGATAAACTTAAGAAGTCGCCCAAGCCTCCCAAGCCTTCGTAGTTGTCGTGTTCTCGGCGGACAACCCAAGGCATCGCGTTATGGGCAGGTAAGCGCGCCCCGCCTCTAACCATACATTGTGCGCTATCCATTTATCATATTCAAATGTCAATCATGATTCACCATCTAGAATGCGTTTCTTTCGTGGCGGCCTAATGGCCTCATATTGATGAGTTAACGTAGCAACAATGTCCAACAGACAAATCCAGAGAGAGCGACATAATAAGGATAGGAAAGGAAAGCGCATGCGGTGATACCCACCACATGCCGTGCTCACGAAAGCGACCTTAGCACGGCATCCGCTTTTTCGATAACCTACAAGCGGCATAAGACAAACTACCCATCCGCCCTATCGTATTTCGAACTCACCTGGTGAATATTTGGCCGGTCGTCAGGATTGACCTTGAGCATGCTATCGATCAGGTCTTTCGAGCCCTGCGAATAGGCGGAGTCGGGGTGCTTGTACTGCGCGTTGAGAACGGCCATTGCGATCGAACCACCCTGCTCTGTCGTTTGCGTGTTCTCAAACGGCGAATGCGAGTACGCGAGAGCGTATAACGTGCAACCAAGTGACTACAAGAAATACAGCATTAGTCGTCACACGCCTGAGCGGTGTTGGTGCACACACGCACCCATATATCCACTTTCTCGTCCAACGTGTGCCCCGTTTTGACGTCAAACAGCTCCGGCGCCCTGTATGCCATGGTGCTTTGCTCTGCGGCGATATCCTGGACCCACGGTGAGTATACAACATGGTGGGCTTCGGGCGGTCCTTACGTACCTGTTGCAATAATGCCTGAGATCGAGTGTCGATTTTTATACGCGCCTTGATCGTACTGCCGAAGTCCATAAGGATAGGCGTAACACCATCATCCGCAATCATAACGTTCCTTGTGCGCATGATGAGTCGCAAGTAGCGTGCTTGGAAACAGGACATACCCCGGCTTCAAATCTCGGTGGGCGTACGGGACGTGTTCCGTTTTACTAGGGTCAGCAGTGCCGTTTTGCTGGGCTTCTTCGTCTCCATCGAATACGACGTCTCCCTGTTCCTCAATTCGTTGACGGGTGACCAGAGGCACAGAAGCGCCGTCGTAGGAATAACCACCCTCAGCATCACCTTCGGGTTGCGGGAATCGTTCGTCGTCATCGGAATGTCGACCAACAGCTTCTTGTTGATTTCTAGACGAAGAAGCGGCCGCAGCGTTCGAATTTGGAGTTGAACGGATAGGTGCACGGTAATCATGCATTGCCCGGATAGCTTCACATGTCCCCTTGAATAGACGGACCATCTCTTTCTCTGGAAAGTGTGTTCTGTTCACGACGTTGGTGTTGATGGCATCCTGGAGATTCCCCCGCTGATATTAGGGTTAGCAAACGTGTTTAGTGACATAGCGATGTGCGGGACCTTGTAAAGAGGCAGGAAGAGATAGACAATCTTGCCTTCGCCGTCAGGGTCTTGTACCACCGCCGAATCCTATAACAGACTCCGTCAGTTGCCGGCAGTGAATACAAAACAGCGCATGCAGACCAGAATGCGAATGATATTGGGATGTCTATCGTGGTAGATGAATTGGCGTAGGAGCTTGCAGGAGCATACCACGTACCTAAACCGCCTGTACGCCTCCACTTCGCGCATCGCTTCCTTGACCCCGTCATTCCCCGTCGGACACCGTATTTTCTTGAGCGCGAATTGACGCTTTACCCATTTTTGTTAGCAAAGCCGTGCAGTCAGTGGTTAATTGAGCCTCACCCCGCTATGGTCATCCTGAGCTAGGTATACAAAGGAGAACCCTCCCTCGCCCAGGACTTTGACAATCGTAACTGTTGGCACAAATCATTAGGTACACGTGTCTTCGACGTGAGACGGCTCCTCACAAGTTCGTCCATTTATCTTGACTTTCGCAGACTGCTGGCATAAGCAAGAAGAAAGTGCCCATAGCGCATCCCTTGCTTGATCCTTGACCGTTTCGAATGTATGGAATAGTTGCTGGGATATTGACATAGTGGTGACTGGTCGTGCTGCGTCGGTGCGCAGGGCATGAGCGCTCTCGGGACTGGATTCGGCTCCCGAACTTAACAACAACAAACTCAAGGGGCGGGCACAACTCAAGTTGGTGACAGAAACAGTAGGTGGTCTTAGTATTCATTGGGAAAAAGGTGTTTATGCTGTGGGGAAGTGTTTCAAAAGCCAACTGTGTAGATCGTTGTTAACCTCTTCAGTCGCCTCCAGATGCACCCAGTGACCAGTGTCATATTCTACGTTGTTACCTCAACTCCATACTGCGCCATCGTTGCCTTCCCTCGGACAGGCGTGCAGATACTGTCTTTTGAAGCAACGGCAAAGAATGAGGGGCTCGAAAGCTTCCATTTTTCCACAGGAATCTCTACGAAAGTAGAAGAAAGGCGTCAGTGAAGTTGACAGTTGGCGTAGTGGCAACAAACTTCTGTTATCTTCCAAGTCGTTATTATGCATTTGAGATATATACCAGTTCATACAAGATTGTATGCTGCCCTCCTTTGAAAGGTTCTGGCAGATAGTAAGATAGGCCTCACTCAGAACCGTCTTGGTCATGTGAGTTTGTGACATTCCGTTACGCAGAGCTTAGCGGCCTCGACAGGGGTTATTATAGACAAAGCTACTACGGTTCACTATTGCACTAAGGTTACTCTGTATATACTCAAAGAATGGGAATTATAGTAGTTTTAAAATATATCCAATGGTCATAAATGGTCATAATGTCATCGTAAAATCATTATCGGTGTCAAGGTCCATGACATACATTGTCTTTATTTTTGTCTATTTTCATTTTTTTTTTGGTAAAATAGCATTGGAAAGATTGTGTGTAGTGTGTCAGTGGTCGCGACGCGACGCACTTTGGGAGGCAAGGGCTATCCATGCCTAATATGGTAACTGTGCTTATGACCAAACTGAGGCAAGGAAACTTGTAAACTCAGTTCAAATTCTGTACGCCTCGAATTCATAATTCTGGTCGCAAGGAAATCTGCCAATTTGCATTTTTAACAATCTCTTGCAGACAAAATTTTGATTTAGCGAGCTTAAGCTTTTGTATGGGGTTTTGAACAGTTTCATCATGCATTGTCACAGCCTGGCACATGACCAAGACGGTTCTGAGTGAGGCCTATCTTATCGAATTCCTACGATGAATATTAAGGACGTAATCATTGCGCCGAAAGATCCTACTCGCCTCTTTGGTAATATATTCAGGCCATCTGTAAGGGCAACCTCAAGATGGCCGACAGCGCAGGCCTAGCAGAGGGAGAATCCAAAGATAGTGAATAAGGCTAACTACAATACATGAGAGGGCTGCTCACCTAGCAGAGGGAGAATCCAAAGAGAACAGGATAAGGATTCTCCATGCTAGGAAGCGAAGTATATACTGTAGTAGCGTGAGAGGAATGCAGGATAACTGTACAGTACACCAGCCACAAGTCCGAACAAATATCACAAGGTACAAGGAAACATGTGATAATGAAGTGGAGGGTAAATGCACAGGAGTCGTGCCAGCGACTTGGGGAAGTAAGGGCGAAGAGTAATGAAGTGGGGGAAAAGGATAGAGGTAACCCGGACGAGCCCCGAAGAGTATAGATGAGTCCGAGCGAGTCCGAAGTGTCCGAAGTGCGGGAAGACTCCGGAGTCACCGGACACGGCTCGGATGCGAAAGGAGTGGGTGGAAAGGAAGTGGAAAGGAAAGGGAGCGAAAAGGAATGAAGGGGAACGAAGGGAATGTAGGTAAGAGTCCATGGAATGAAGGAAAGGAGAGAAAATAGGAGTGTCCCCTTACACCATCTGGGTTGCATATTAGTTGTGATGAAGAGCCATATATACACACCAATCTTCCGGGCGTTTAGGATAAAGAAGCTGAAGGAAGCTATCGATCTGTGAACATATGAGAGGCGTGCACATTAACCCAAGAACAAGACAATTGGACATTTGCCTTTATCAAGTCTACGGCTCCCGGTTGAGTGAAGAACTCCCAGTAGGAATATCCTTTGTAACCAAATTGTAAGGGCAACCTCAAGATGGCCGCACAGCACAAGCCTAGCAGAGGGAGAATCCAAAGAGAACAGGATAAGGATTCTCCATGCTAGGAAGTGAAGTATATATTGTAGTAGCGTGAGAGGAATGCAGGATAACTGTACAGTACACCAGCCACAAGTCTGAACAAATATCACAAGGTACGAGGAAACATGTGATAATGAAGTGGAGGGTAAATGCACAGGAGTCGTGCCAGTGACTTGGGGAAGTGAGAGCGAAGAGTAATGAAGTGGGGAAAGAGGACAGAGGTAGCCCGGGGTGTATAGACGAGTCCGAGTGAGTCCGAAGTGTCCGAAGTGCGGGAAGACTCCGGAGTCACCGGACATGGCTTGGATGCGTAAGGGGTGGGCGGAAAGGAAGTGGGAAGGGAAGGGAACGAAAGGGAACGAAGGGGAACGAAGGGGATGTAGGTAAGAGTCCATGGGATGAAGGAAAGGAGAGAAAATAGGAGTGTCCCCTTACAACACTCTTGCGTGCCCTGTATTTTCAGGGGGAGTCCTACGCGGGTACCGAGGGTACAAGCGCAGGCAAGGGGATGCGACGGAGGGACCTCAAACGAGAGGTGAGGATGTGAGTGCGGAAAGGAACTAATATCTGAACTAAGGTAACTGTATGTACTGTACAGGAATATATACTGGGGAACACGCAGCGTCTGCACATTCACAAAACAGTAATGAGTCCGGTCATAGTAAGTACAGTGTGCTCAAATATGTACTTAGTCTGTAACCCGAGAAGTCCGAGCGGCCGCGTGTATACGCGGTCCGAGCCCATAGCTGGGAACGCACGTGAATGCGCCCCTAGTAGCCCCTAAGGGACTTCTTGGATGCGCCTATAACAGCCAGACAACTGAGGCTTCAGTTCATCGTAAGTTATGACAATAGCAATGGAAAGCGGGTGTACGTTGGATTCAAGCGGTGCAAAGCAAAAGGTGCTTGAGGTTTGGGCAGTAATCGGCTAAAGCAGCCAGCAGTGCACAAGGATGCATCCATTCTGGTTCAAGTCGTGCACTCTGCAGGTGCAAGGTGGCTTTGTCAGCCACCGAATGCCCAAATCGAGCGATTTTCAACTTGCGCAAACTGGTGGCTGGTCTGACAAGCATTTACTCCTTCTGTTGATGGAGCACATATTTAATTTCTGCGGCATAATAAGTTCATACGCGCAGCTGTGAGTGCGCAGCACAATGCAGCTAGCCTGCTGCTTGGAGGAGAGGCTACCAGCGAATTCTAAGTAGACGCCTCGCAAACTCTTCCCTGTCTTCGGCTGATAATGAGCGAGCAAACGCCTGTTATGTTATTTCAGCGCCCCGATATCACTCTGATGGGATACTTCACGTACAAGCTTACCATCTTTAATCGTGAATGGAGCCAGTAGCCTGAACAGCACTTTAATATTTGGCACCCTCTTCGTCACACCACCCGAGCGATGGCCACTTGGTCGCCGGATGAAGGATCTCAGGTGGCAGAGACGTTGTTGGCAATTCCCCCAGTCCATCCACGTGGTTGGCGTCCCGCCCGAAAACCTAAATAACGCGCATGGTGCTTCCGCCGCCGAGGGATGGTTATAGCCAACTCGTTTGTCGACGACAATTCTACCGTGAACACGTCTTCTCCTATATCCTTGACGGACACTCTCATATCCGCTTCCTCGCCTGCCACATTCCGATCGAGCTCCATATATTCGAAGAGACGACCTTTTCATTCAGAAGCACCCCCAATCTCGAGTCCATCACTATTATATCGACCTTCACTGCTGCGCAACCAGAAGACGAATTTCACTGATTCCTCATGTTCGACGCTGCTAGGGAACATCACAATCGATGGAGGAAACCCTATTCCTTGTGGGTAATTGAAATAGTAGGCTAAAGTGATTGTAGGTTAGTTTCAAATCTCCAACCCCACCCATTTCACGAATAAACATACTTAGTGATGCAGAACAACCGAAGAGCGGGGTCTGGCGAGCAGCCAGACGTCCTAATTGCGTATGTGCAGCAACGTCCCTCTCTATAGTATCTTGGCGATACTGATCTTGTTTCTAGTATTATGGGCGCGACGGGTAGTGGCAAAACGACCGTTCGTTATACGTTGATGATTTGGTGTTGTTGTTTTGACATCTTCTCTAGTTCGCCAATATGGCCAGTGGCGACGACTTGCTTGTAGGAGCGGGCCTCCGATCGTGCACCAACGACGTGCAAATATGCAGACCATTCGAACTCGACGGACGAAGGGTGACTCTGGTGGACACACCAGGATTCGACGACACGACCAAAAGCGACACGGACGTCCTCGCTATGATAGCTGCATTTCTCACTGCATCGTGAGTGAGATTGCCACATTTTCCCCAACAACCAATTGATGGTCCCGCGACGTAGGTACGAACAGGGAAAGACACTCTCCGGGATCATATACTTGCACCGGATCTCGGACTTCCGGATGAGTGGACTCTCGACGCGAAACTTCAGAATGCTCCGGCATCTATGCGGAGAGAAGACGCTGAAGAATTTGGCCATCGTCACCAATATGTGGGGAGAAGTGCCGGCAGCCGTTGGCGAAGCACGCGAGGCGGAGCTTGCGTCCCAGGACTTGTTCTTCAAGCCCGCTTTGGACAAAGGCGCGACGCTCCTGCGACACATCAACACCCTCGACAGTGCAATGAATGTCCTCCGTTACATCATCGGCAACACGCCTCTTCCACTACAAATACAGAGTGAAATGGTCGACAGCGGCATGGCTCTTTCTGAGACTGCCGCTGGGGGCGAACTGCGCGCTGAGCTAGCGGCCTTGATAAATAAGCATGAACAAGAAATTCGCACATTGAAGAGCGAGATGGATCAAGGTGTTTATTACATCCCTCAACGTATTCCTTGGGCTAACTCTCTGTTACACACAGCTTTGCGCCTTAAAGATCAAGAGCTACGAGACGAGCTTGGTGTTGAAATCAGTAAACTGCAGAGCGAAGCCAATCGCATTCAGCGTGACGCGCAAGACATGGCCTCCCGATACGAATCAGAAAAGAACAGGCTCGAGTCTCAGATACGAGCGGCCGCAGAGGCTGCCAGGGTGGAACAGGCGAGGCTGACCAGAGAGTATGAAGGGAAACTCGGGGAACTTGAGCGGAAGATTCGAGAAGGTGCGAACAACCAGGAGGTCTTGGAGCTGCGCAAGAAGATCCTACAGCTTGAGACGCAGATAGCCAACCCACCTTCGAGGGGAGGCAGTCGAGGCGGTTGTGTGATCTTGTAGTGATGCTCGCGTGGGGGTTGCTTCCTCAGGACGCTGTACATGTTATGAATTCCCTCTCCAGCCTTTCCAATACTTACGGTCTGCATTGTTCCCAAACCGAGCGGAAGTGGAAAGGAAGTTCAAGACGCCCCTTGCAGTCACAGCTAAGGCCCTGGTTTGAGAAGAACCCCGAAGTCGAGGGGGGGATGCGAAGGGTTTGAGGGACACAACCCTATTTTTGTCTACACCACCCATTCATAGACCCTAGACCCCGACGATCGAACGTGAATCTGCTTCTCCACAGCTTCGCCGGACTTCTGTTCATTAGGTTCCGCAGCACCACTTCTATAGTCCACCTGCACTGTCAATATACAACACGACCGTCGACAACATGAAGACAGCATTCTGCATGTGGCTACAATCTGCATAAAACCACCATCGTGCGGGGATAGTCGATCCAGCTAAGGCAGAAGTTCTCCAACCACAATCAGCTATGTCCTGGAGCAAATTCACTCCCCCAAACGGGCGATCCATGGCCAGGTTGAGCCCCTATTCGTTGCGTACCTACCACGGAGCTAACCATTGTCATAGGTCGAGTCTACAGGCGAAAACGTCGAGTGTAAACTATTATTTGGATACACGAACATCCGTTAACCATTGAAATGGTATAGCATGCGCCTTGGCCGACGAGCGAGCCTCGCACTGCCAGGGTGATATCCCCTCACGCTAGTAGCTACCTTAGTCCCAAGTCATCCTTTCGCGAGCTAGAACCAGACGCCAGCGGCCCCGACGAAGTCCTCATTGCGTGAGTGCTCCCTCTTCGCTTTGCGGGTTGTCGCTGACCGTGTGCAGCGTGATGGGAGCCACAGGCAGTGGAAAGACTACCGTAATTATAACTTCTGTTGCAGATAGCTCGATCTCGTTAACTTGGCGATGCGGTAGTTCATAAACACCGCTAGCGGATCCGCATTGCGCGTAGGGTCGGGGCTTATGTCGTGCACCAGCGCCGTTCAGGCTTCGAGACCTTTTCCGCTTGATGGTCGAACGGTCAGACTCATAGATACCCCCGGCTTCGACGATACGACAAGAACTGACACCGACGTGTTGACCATGATTGCAGCATTTCTTTCCAGCACGTGAGTGCCACCTTTTGTGGTTATTTCTCTCCCTTAGTCTATTGATGTCGATGGTGGATGATGCAGGTATCAGCACGGCGTAAAGCTTTCGGGCGTAATATACATTCACCGCATCTCAGACTTCCGCATGGGCGGCACGTCAACTCGGAACTTCAGAATGTTCAGAGAGCTATGTGGTGACACTACACTCCGAAATGTGGTCATTGTCACGAACATGTGGGGCGAGGTCTCTGTCGACATTGGCGAGGCGCGCGAGGAAGAGTTGAAGAACCGGGATATCTTCTTCAAGCCCGTGCTAGGCAAGGGTGCCCAGATGAAACGACATGACAATACATTTGACTCGGCTTGTGCCCTCATGCGTTGCATTGCGTTCAAAGCTCCCCTGGCTTTGCGCATTCAGAGGGAGCTGGTTGACGAGGAGAAGGACATCACAGAGACTGCCGCCGGTGCCGAGCTCGGCCGCGAGTTGCACGAACAGGCGATGAGATACAAGGCAGAACAACGGCAGCTACAAGACGAAATGAAGAAAGGTATCCTCCTTTTACCTTCCAACTCATTCTTTCCACTAAATGTGTATCCTTCTCCCCAGCACTGAGGCAGAAGGATGAGCAGGCTCGAGAGGAACTCGAGCAAGCGACGGCGCAGCTGAACCGAGATATGATGCGCGTGCAGAATGAATCACAACGCCTAGCTTCCTCTTACGCCGAAGAGAAAGACAGGCTCGAAAGAAGGATGCAAGACCTTGAGGCGACATCTCGCCTGGAAATCGAACGGCAGGCTGCCGAGCACAAAAGGAGGGTGGACGAAGTCAATGACAAGCTCCGGCGTACACAAGAGGCGGACTCGGTAGAAAGGATGCAGCTGAACGCGACGGTGGAGCGCCTTCAACAACAGTATGCTGAAGCTACTCGACGGCAATCTCGACCCGGGATTTTCAGCTCGATTGGGGGTTTACTTGACTCGATCCTTCCATTCTAAATATTGAGATTCTCGCTTCGTGCTCATGGATCGATGCAGGTGACTTGTGATGAGAGAAGACCTCTTCATGGTTTAATAAATACTCCTTCATAGTCTAGTCACACTCGGATTTCGTGTTCATTGTAGACAGAAACCTCCTCGAGCAAGAACTATACCTCCCTCTCCGTGCTTTCTAATACGCTAATACGCCATAAACTACAGGCGCAAATATACCACAATGACCTCGACGCAGAACGTCCTCATAGCGTGAGTCTCCGTCCTCTGACGATCAAGGTCAGCACAATTGTAATGCAACTTATAACGCAGGCCCCAGGGTGATGGGAGCTACGGGTCGCGGAAAGACGACAGTGACTTGAACAGTTCGTCGAGGCTAATCGATTGAGTGTCTAGTTCATTAATACTATCCAAGCCTTTCGAAGCGGATGGCCGTCTAGTCACGTTCATCGACACCCCCGGTTTCGATGACACAACAAAGAGCGGCGCAGACATACTAGCAATGATCACAGCTTTCCTCGCGAGCACGTATGTGAAAGCTTTCTCTCATCAACTTCAGCTAATATCCTATAAGTTATCGACAGGGGACAACGCTTTCTGGGGTGATCTACATCTACCGCATCTCTGACTTCCGTATGGGAGGTATCTCGACGCGCAATTTCAAGATGTTTCGCAAGCTCTGTGGCGAAGCGACATAGCGAAATGTCGTGTTGGTGTCGAATATGTAGAGCCAGGTGTCGCCTCAGGTCGGAGCAGAACTTGCCTCCGACCCCGCATTCTTCAAACCGGTCTTGGACAAAGGTGCACAAATCATGCGGAATGACAACACATTCGAGGGTGCGAAGTGTATTCTGGGCCGCATCATTCAGAATCACCCACTACCCCTGTGCATCCAAACGGAACTGGTCGATGAGGGGAGGACAGTCGTGGACACAACAGCTGGAGCCGAACTTGATCGCGAGCTCCGTGATCAGGTGGAGAAACATAAAGAGGAAATGCGGCAGGTCCAGAGATGAACGAAGGTAAATTCCACGTTCGCTCTGTGGGTTCGGAGACCTAGTGCTTATTGCCTTTCCGCAGCAATACAACTCAAGGACGAGGAAACGAAGTTGGAGTTGCAAGCTTCAAGCAGAAATCCAGCGAGTACACGATAGCGCTCAAAACCTGGCACGGAGACGATCAGACTTCAGCAACAGATGAAAGAAATGGGGGAAGCCCCACAGAGGGAGAAGGATTCACTCATTGCACAATACGAAGCCCATCAGAACAGTGTGGACAACGACTTTCAGCAGATACAGCGAATATACGACAACGAACTTGCGGCGTTGTGGGCATACTGTGGGTAACCTAGTAACGAGTCAACTCCGTCTGCGCCAGCAATTACTAACGGCCACATCACTGTAATGGCACAGAAATGCTGCGGACGTCTTCGTAAGTATCTACTCTAAGCAAACATCTACTTTTTTGTATTTTTGGGAGAGTAAATATCGGCATAATGAATATTTTATTTCTTAGGGACGGAATGACCTGTAACGAGTCAGTGCTCGGGAAAACCCGACGAAGTTCCCATCTGCAAACACAGCGAGGCTCAACGCGACACGATATTAAGCGCTCGGCCTCAACAGCGTGTGTGTCGCACAGCGACTTGGATTTACCTGCTATTATTGTCAGAGGCATGCCTGAATACTCCATTTATTATTAGCATACCATTCAACAACATTTTGCTGTCTCTGAAGCAAAGTAGCGTGCACCAGGAAACTTTAACGAGAGAAGGGGGGATAATGCCTCGCTCGGAGCAAGGCTCTTTATATAGGGCTCCAGGGCAACTCTAAAAATCCGGAAAAAATACAATCAGGAGGGCCGAAGTGATCGATATCGCAATCGGAACTCGTTCGGGCTGATATTCTTCGGTCCGTAGCTTTGACTAACGATGTGTGAAGACATCTCCCAATATCAGGCGAGGAATGACCGTGTCGATGCTCAATTCTCAGGGCAGTGAATCTCCCCGGGAATTGTATCAGTACATCGAAAAGTAGTTAGGCTTCACTTATGTACCATTCTTTAGGTGTTCTTGGTGGTCGTTGTTGCTGCAGATGGAGACGGCGTGGCGGGAGTCCCAAATTGGAAGGGAAAACAAGGAGTCGCGCGATTGCATCTCAAGTTTATATCCTCATTTTGGTCTATGCTCCCTCAATTCTTATGGTACACAATAATAATGGCATAGGCTACACTATGCCATACTTTGAGGAAAGCGAGTGGCGGCCAGGAATGAGATATTCAAGCCATGACTCGTTACTAAGTGTGACTCGTTATTGGGTCACCCACAGTATGATTGTGGGCGCAGCAAGTCTGTCGCCCTTGGTAGTAAGTAGTTCGGCATTTCTCCGAGGGGCAAGGTCAGAAGTGTGTACTGTAGAAGTGTGCACATTCTTAAGTAGGTCCATGTGTCGCTAGCAGTTGATCCATCCATGTTCTAGAAATAAGTTTATGGGAATATTCTAAGATGTAAATATACTAAGAATGGTATCAAAATATCCGAATCATCAGTTACTAACGTCAGTCGAACTTCCGGCGACGGTAGAGTATGTTTCTTGGCTTCTTGGGCATGACGATCATGGTCTGCGGGATAAAAAGTTAGAGGAGGTGGCGGGATAGAACACGACCGACGTACGTGGTAATTGTGGGCGGGTACTGGGTCCTTGAGCCGTAGCTCAACTTTACGGATCATCGTCGAAATGAGTGTGCCCAATTGCAGATAAGCAAACTGGTTGAATGAAGCGAAAATGTCAATGAGAAAGGACATCAACATGCGTAGATAATAACCCACCTGCTCGCCGATGCAACGATGACGTCCAGCACCGAAGGGTTGGTAAGGACTTTCCGTTCCTTTGCTGACTGCACCAAAGCCATAATCAATCTTCTCGCCGTTCTCGTCCGCGTATGCCTTGAAGGCCTGGGCGGCAACACCATCGGGGTCGGTCCACCTGGAGACGTCGAAGCGCTGGGCATCCTTCCATACACGAGGATCCATTTGGCTGACAGAGGGAGAAGCAAGAACGTAGTGGCCCTTAGGAACGACAAAGACACCATCTTTCGAAGGGGCAGCAAGGCTTGGGGGGACAGACACGTCGTCTCGGACATAGCGCATGATACTGTGGATAGGAGGATGAAGCCTGAGTGTTTCACGGATCACGGCGTCGAGGACAGGTAGCTCCCGAAGTTCTTCGTAAGTCATAGAGCGCAGGTTGCCATCTGGGGTACCGAAGTATTTAACTTGTTCTTGGTATAAAGCCTCGCTGCAGGAGTAATTGTTAATGCCTTCTCTGGTTTTCGCGGAGAATAGACTGACCCAACATCCGGATTTTCTGCGATGTGAAGCAGAGCCCATGAACCAGTAGCAGAGCTAGTATGTTGGCCGGCCATGAGAAGAGCAATCAAAATATGGGCTATCTCATGGTCTTTGAGAGGAGTGCCATCGCGGTAGGTTTGCTTGATAAGAGCAGCAATCATGTCGTGGTCGCTCTAGTGTCGATGTACACGATGAGTGATAGTAGCCAGTGGAGACTAGGAGAAGGAGACGTACGTCAGCGCCCGCCTGGCGACGCTTTTGAATAATGTCGACATAGAATTCTGTCATTTTCACGTTCGCTCGGTCCCGTTTTCTGTAGCTTTCCAAAGGCAGGTTGGGGAATAGGAAGTTCAGCGGCGTAAATCCGCCATCCAAATCGTTGTAGAGTTGCGAGAATGTCTTGTCGAGTTTGCTACGAACTTCCTTTCCTTGTAGAGTCCTTGAAGCGGTAAGAATGGTGATTTCCTGGAGAACGCTGACCACATCGAACATGCCCCAGTCGTTGATGTCGTTCATTCCATAGACGCGGAAATTGGCATCATTGTTCATGTATTCTTCGACCTCGTCCTCAATCATCCCGACGTACGCGCGAAGATTTTCAGTAGACAAGCCCACTTTGACGAATCGCTTTTGTTCCATGAACTTCTCGTTCGGGACGTCATACACCACATCTTTTCCGAAAACGGGTGTAGTGAGATGCTGAGCGAAAAACGTCAAAGTAGAGCGCTATGAGATACTGGATTGACGTACTGTATACGCATCTTCCGCGTTAAGAACCGTTGATTTCCCTCCCAGGACAAAGTTATTTCCCTTCGCTCCCAACGCGACAGTCACGCGACGACCAAACAATATAAATGTGAAGACATCGCCATACTGTGAAAAAGGTGTGAATGAATAAACAGTAAACGTGTACAGGCCACACACCTTTTCCCTACACGCCAGGAAAAAGTTCAAAGGGTCGTTCCCATAACCGACAGCCGAACCAATTATTGGAAGCCAATGGAACACGGTGGGTGGCTTTGATGGATCCCTCGGTGCGATCTGGGAATAGCGAATTATTTAATCATGGCAATGCCGCATCTTCAACGCCGTCCACGTACCAGTTGCCAGACAGCATTCAGAAGAATGATTATTACGGGCGCGTTTATGAGCGCAATAAGAGCAAGCCGAGTATTCGACATTCCCAAAAGGTGGGCTTGAGCCTCGGTGAGATACCCCGACCATGAATCCAAGTTCGGCACTGTTGCGTTGTGCGACATTTCCGAGAGAGAAGTGGGGAAGATGGCGGTCAGAAGCAAGGGACACGCTTGGAGAGCACCAATTTATGTATGCCGTTCTAAAAATGCAAAATCGAACGATCACACGAAGACAGGGGTGCAGGCGCCAGGGTCCCACGCGAAATTCTGGCTCGTTGATTGGCTACAAGTCATATGACGAGCTCCTATCGTTCTTCAGGAGCGCTGGGACTTTGTCCAGAACGAAACGACGCTCGAGGACGCTCGACACGTCGGGCCCAGGCCTGTTGAAAGGAGCAGGAGAACGCGTTGAGTAGGGGGATATACATACTATGCGTCAATGATTAGGTAGATGATACGATACAATTAAAAGATGAGGCGATTTTGACCGTCATGAGATAAGTCCAAAATCCAGTTGAGGAGTGCTACCCAGCTTTATTTCCTCTACTCTGATCGGAACGATCGAACCAATCTTAGGGACTTTATCCTCCTCCATATTGCGCAAACCTGCCGATATACCGAGCTTCGGGATGGCGACTTGACATTGGAAATGCATTGACATGGTGTTCAACGCGCCGTTAGAGATGACTTCACCAGTAAGATTACCGAGTACTGCACGAGCTTCTGGGCTCTGGCTCTCGATTTGATGACGGATATACAAGTACTTCCAGAAATCGTCGTGAAGCTGTTGTTGCTTCTTGCGTGCCCGGTCGTGCCAAACCAAAGCATCTCCATAGTCCTTCAACCAATCCGTAGAGAAGGTGGGCGAAGTGGCCAATAGCGCGGAGTGGATTTGCCAATGTGCGACCAGATCTGAATAGCGGCGCAAAGGAGATGTCACCCTACAGTACCCTTCGCCATCGGGAACACCGATCCCCCAGTGACCAAGTGGTTCAACAGAGTATGAGGCGTTCCCAAGCACAACACCTTTCTTCAGCACTTCGACGAACGGTACGTGTCCGTTGTGGGTGCGCAGTTTGAGGAAATCTTGAAGGTCAGAAGGGTTGGGGAGAGTTGCTGGGGGCGCGATTCTGCGCAGAAGGGGCAGACCGCGGTCTTGACTAAATCTAGATGCTACCCTACAAGCGACCTTCATCATCTCTGCGACCATCTGTCGTGAGCCGGTATCTTCGGACGCTGGGTCAAAGACCGTATACCGAAGGTCGGGAAATCCGCGGAACACAGCGACATGCTTGAGGTGGATGGGTGTCTCTGGTGCGCCGTGCTGGCGCAGACATATCTCGGACCCCATCGTTGATACGATGAAAGAAGCCTCTCTTCGGCGTCGCGTCACAAGTCTCTGTACAACGTCATTGCAGAGCATGAGTTGTGTCGCATCCCCGGCAGCAAGGGAACGATGTGGACGGGGCAGGGAAGTGCCTTGTCTCTCGAAGGGAGTTTGACGCTGGGTTGTAGGAAGGGATAAGGCCGCATTCACGGAGTCGTAATCAACGATTTTCACGTTATTGACAATCCCTGCGCGGACCTTGTAGTCCACGATGTCTCCGTCGGCATCAATCTTCCCACTGAATGACAGGACTCGCTGTGGTTCTCCGCGTTGCAAAGCGGAGCCCAAAGAAAGACCATGGCTCATCAAAGCACGGGGAAGCATGGATTGCGGGGCATTGATCATATACAAGCTCGACCCCAGTTTTTTGGCCGCCTCGGAGAAGACATGTTTGACTGGAAGAAGAGAGGCTGGGTCGGCGATGTGGACGTGTACCCAGTGGCTCCCAGGCTCAGATGGGATACTCTCGACAGAAATTCCATCGTCCAGTTCCTCAGCGGTCACATCGTCGATTACGAATACCGGCAAATCCCCGAAATCGTGACGAATAGAGTGAAGAGGATCTTGAAGGTGGAAGTCTTCAGGTCCAAGGGGTACCGGGACAGAGGCAGTTTGCCGGAGAGAAGGAGAAGAGAAAGCTTTGTCGATGATAGCCTTCTCCTGTATCTCGAGCAGCTTCTGCTTTTTGGGCGGCTGGTCCACTTTGCCGACGAGAGAAGCAGCGTCCTGCCATGGTGCAATGACACCCAGATCTACGAGCGTTTGATGAACAACAGACTCGTGTATCTCTTGAATATTTGTATGGAGCCGTTTGAGAATCGCGAAAGTCCCAACGTGGTAAGGATCAATCTGTGTGCTACGTTTGGGCCGAAGGGAGTGCAGCAAGAACGTGAGGATTTGCCTTTCCACTGGCGTCCATTTCACCTTGGTCGGCACTATAGAAGGTGACTCGTCACGAGTACTTTGTCGGATCTGCTGGTGGCGAGCGATAAGTTCACGAGCCTTCGCCACGAATTCCACTAAGGGATTACTCGGCGCATCCCCTTGGCGTGTCATGGCTGTCACAGCGTTGATAATATCGACGTGCGCTTGAGGCCGCACATGGAATGTTCGAGCGACGCGGTAGTCGGGATCGGCGACATATTGCAAACTTTGTTTCATCAGGAACTTATGTACCGCGAAGGTGTGGACGAGGTCAGGGTTCGGGGAGATAATTTTTGCAGCGTCCGCGAGGTCGACAGTCGACCAAGCATGGGGATCGGACGACCTTGTCCGGCTGTATAGGCTGCGCGCTGCCCGTTGAATTTTGTTGTACGCATCTTCCACTGCCTTGTCGACCTGATGTAGCCGCTGCAGAACCTTCACACGTGCCATAAGCTCTGAGTCGTTCCCAGCAACCTCTTTTCCTCCGCAGCGGGAAATCAGATCATTTGGCACGAAGTCTGCCACAGCAAACATCACGTCGTCGCGCAACGGCGTCCAAACGTCGCCCGAGCTCACGAGCATGACAATGCGCCACCTTCTATTACTTAGCATTTCACCCAAGACGATGCCGTGGGTGGAGACCTCGTTTCTGGACATCGTCGAGACTTGTCAAGGGGATATAACGTGTACAGTGTAGGTGTCCGACACACCTTCTGGTCTCTATGAATGATCCCGGCGTGAATATAGTCGAAGTCGACGGGTCCGCGTCCTCTGCGAAAAGCTCTTCGTCTGCATGGTATCGAGCCTTTTCCAGAGATATCGGGCGCTTCGTAACTCGGGCGGACAGCTTTGCGCGTTGTTCCTCGATGTGCGTGTTGCTCTCAGGTCGGTACTTGTTGGCAGGAGAGTGAGTGAAGTTGTAGGTGATCTCACCCAAAGGGTCAGAGACCTTTTCAAGTGTCGGCGACGGCGGCACCACTGACGCGTCCTCTGCAAAACGTAGAGACGCAACCAACCTCTGCTCGTCCCCCCGACGCGATTTCGTATGTGCCCAGGCAGCTCCATGAGTATGGCTTCCAGAGGCAACACTTATCATGTCGGACGTAAAGTCCATCATGTCCTGAACTTCCTTGTCTTCGTTCTGACCATGGTGGTGTTCAGCGTTGAGTAATTTCTGCTGCCCGGAGCTTTTCGAAAGTTTTGCGGTCGAGTATGAGCGGTAACATAGTCGACGGAGAAGTCGGCTTTGCATACAGAAAGGAAACAGGGAGTTCGACCAAATGGAAGGGAATACTATGGCTATGGGCGTCTGTGATTATCTAAACATACTCGGGAGGCGCACTCCCGCGCCTCTATTTCCATATTTGGGTAATAGTCGGAGTTGTAGGGTCTACTACGCACTCATGCATGATCATCGTGTGAAGACCGGGCAGCTGGATAGTGCAGTGATTCTCAAGCACACCGACCCAGTGGAATGAGTACCGAAATTCCGCTCCCCTTCAAATCTCTGTCTCTCCTACTGACACTGGAGCATAATTTGCGTCCAACCTAAGTCCAACTTGCGATGCATGTTGATCCCCATTCGATATCGCTTGAGTCAGTACTGCGACGCAAGGGACTGATGCAATTGCTGAGAAGTACTAGGCTAGCTGAAACATTTACAGTCGCTGGATCCCTCCACGGAGTAGCCCAGGTCGCTACATAGTACACATTGAACATCATTGGGTTGTAAACAACATGGCTCTCACCATCCCTCGCGCTGCTCAGTATATGGTTTATCCTCGCACCGACCCACTCCGCTTTCACGCAGGGACAGGACCTTTCCTTCAATCCTCTTTTCTAGCCAAACGCCAAAGCCTCTCGTCCACATCAGCCTTCAATGTCAATCTCGGCGCTGAAAACATGGTCTATGCAGTTCTTGCATCGATTTTTGTCCACCACGGGGGACACCCGTAAGTACAATTTCAACCCCGGATCGCTCATCAAAGTCCTGGAATGTGAGAACGAATTCCAATGAAGATCGTGAAGAGGACATTCATCAACATGCGACACATGTGAAGGTGTCCCGGGGCTGCTGACGATGCTAGGCATTATGGTAACTACGAGATCACACAAGGGCCGCTGCTCCCTTCGTCCCATGGTCTGCTGGCTATCTGCTCCTCAAGTTGTAGAATCTGCTTGCGCAACTCCAAGATCTCCTTGGTGTTCCCTCCTTCTCGTATCTTCTGCTCGATTTGCCCGAGCTTCCCCTCATACTCCTTAGTTAGCCTCGCTTGTTCCTTTTTGGCAGCCTCTGCGTTCTGTTGCATCTGAGCTTCAAGCTTCTTCCTCTCCAAGTCGTATTTAAAGGTCATGGCTTGAGCATCGAGTTTGACCCGATTCGTTTCATTCCGTAGTTTGGCCATCTCAGCGCCAAGTTCCTGCCGTGTTTCTTCGTCCTTGCGGCGCACAGCTGTTTGGCTGAGTTTTAGCTTAGAGAAGAAATAGAGAAAATGTAAGAAACACCTTCATCCATCTCAGCCTTGAGTGCGCGCAGATCTTTTTCATGTTTCTTCATCAACCTTTTGATTTCAGCGTGGACCTCGGCACCGGCGGCGGTGTCGTCAAGACTCTTCCCTTCGTCAACCATTTCTTCCTGGATCTTGAGAGGGAGCGGGGCGTTCCGGATCGTGTAGCGGAGGATGTTCATTGCGCTGTCCACGTCGTTGGTATGTCGAAGTAGTTTCGCCCCTTTGTCTAAGGCTGGTTTGAAGAATATGTCCTGCGACGCAAGCTCCGCCTCGCGAGCTTCACCAAGGGATGGAGATACTTCTTCCCACCTGTTCGTGACGATCACTAGATTCTTCAAGGTTGTGTCCCCGCACAGATGTCGGAGCATTCTGAAGTTCCGCGAGGATATACCACCCATTCTAACATCGGATATGCGATGCATGTAGATGATACCAGCTAATTTCCTCCCCTGCTCATACCTACGCATGGTGTCAACGGAATTCGAGCGGCTGGAAATGAATACGACATACGACGCAGTAAGAAAAGAAGCTATTGTGGAGAGTATATCCGTGTCGCTTTTGGTCGTATCGTCGAATCCTGGTGTGTCAACGAGTATCACCCTGCGTCCGTCGACCTCGAACGGTTTGCATAGTTGCACGTCACTCGTACATGACCTCAGGCCCGCCCCGACTGTCAGGTTGCCACCACTGGCCTTGTTGACGAACTAGCGGCGCTATGGTCACAATTTTGTGTAGAGTGGCAGAAGTATTACGAACTGTCGTCTTGCCACTACCCGTCGCACCCATGATGCTAAGAAAGCGTGGGAATCGCCAAGTATTAGAGTATAACGAGACTGGACTCACGCGACTAGAACATCTGTTTGCGAATTGCTTTGCATGTCTGGTAATTATATAAACGGTATGAAGGACGAGTGAAAACTGGCTCACCACCATGAGCCTTAGTGCCGTTTTAAGTCAAGCGCGACTCACGATTTAGTCATCGTGAAGATAGCATCTTCCAGCCGTTTCGCGTCCAGAAGCTGGACAGAAGATACAGAAAGAGCGAGGTCTGACTGCGGAGTGTGCATGCCGAAAGATAGACAGTGATGTGAAGTGAATTTGAGTAGCACCCCGGGCTGCGATTGAATGGAAGCTCAAGCCGACTGGGCGATAAGGAGAGGGTTTGGCCGAGCTATTGAGTCTCCTACTAGCAGAATCACTGCCAAATCATTACAGCCTTCCGGCTACAATGATGATCATGAAGCTGCAAGCAGGCCCAGCGATCGGTGCACAAGCGTGGAAACTTCGTTTTGGGGGGTTCCTGTTAATCTCCGGGACGATGCTTCGCTTTTGAAAGGTGTTCTCAAGCTGCTGAGCTGACAAGAGTGTTTACGTCCTAGTTTGCAGTGCCTCTGACTTGAACTTAAAGCCGCACGTGATTGATTGGTTCAAACAGTCACGGTATCATAACCGCACTGCCAGAGTCCCTTTTCCACGAAGCGGTATAAAGCTCACTGCTCCGGGACCGCTCGAGGCTATAACAAGGCACTGAAATGCGGTCTGTAGGTACATGATTCTCTGACCTAATCACTGATCACGAACTCCGGGATCAACTGACCGCTGTGGACTGGGCCACGACCCCCACTTCTACTACCTCTCAAACCAAAATAGTACTGACCTCGAGCGCAGAGAAGCACCAGCATGTTCGAAGGGCACCTTTGCGCTATTCACAAGAACCACATTCTTCATTTTTCCATTGCATATTCCCCGAGGATTGAGCGTCTGCTGCTGGGACTTGTATTGATTGAGTTCCGCAGCCACTTTTACGGTTCACTCGCATGGTGAATATACAACATGATCGCACTATTTTGCATGCGACTGCATAAAACCGACACCGCGGAGTCGATGCTGGTGGATCCACAGAAACTAAACATCTAACCAACATAATCTGACATGTTCCAACGTCGGAGCTCGTCCACACTCATGTATGCGTGATACATTTTCAGGTCGTCCTCGCTCTTGGTTAATTATCTACCGTAGACCTAAAGCATGCCGCCGATCGACTCGGCAAACTCAAGTGTTGAGCGTGAGCGATTTTTTTACCCCCAACATAGTCACTTACTATCGAGATCAGTCGTCTTGGCCAGCAACACCGCCTAGCAATACGAGGGCAGAGACATCCCGAGCTCGCCACACAAATCCCTTGCCAGAGCCAGGAATAGATGCCCAACTTTCTCAAGAAGTCTACATTGCGTATGTGCTTCCTCTTCTGTGTTATACATTACTGACTGGGTGCAGTGTGATGGGGGCTACCGGAAGTGGGAAAACCAGTGTATATTGTATCCTTCTTCGCATGCTACCGCTTCAACTCACCGTCTGATAGTTCATCAACATGGCTAGCGGGTCCGCGCTACGAGTCGGATCGGGGCTCATGTCGTGCACCGACGCTGTTCAGACTTCAGAACCATTTTGGCTCGAGAATCGAACAGTTCGGCTGATAGACACACCTGGCTTCAATGATACATCGAAGACCGATACCGAAGTGTTGACTGATCGCAGCATCTCTGTCTAGCATGTGAGTTCAGGTCATAGCCGTGATCTTTGACTTACGTCGATGATGCAGGTATCGGGGAGGCGTGAAGCTCTCCGGTGCCATATACATTCACCGCATCTCAGACGTTCGTATGGGTGGCGCGTCGACCCGAAATTTCAAGCTGTTCAAAGGGTTATGTGGGGACGACATGCTGCAGAACGTTGTAATTGTGACGAACATGTGGAGCCATGTTCCCCTCGACGTTGGCGAGGCTCGAGAAGAAGAATTGAAGTCTGACCATGATTTCTTCAAACCTGTGCTAGATGGTGGTGCACAGTTAAAACGCCACGACAATACGTCCACATCGGCCCGGGATATTGTGGGTTCCATCGCATTCAACATTCCTCTCCCCTTGCGCATTCAGTTGGAGCTAGTGGACGAGCAAAAGGTCATCACAGAAACCGCCGCTGGGGCAGAGCTAGGCCGTGAGTTGCGCGAACAAGCGACGAGATACGAGGAAGAACGACGTCGGCTACAGGACGACATGAATGAAGGTATCTTCCGTTCATCTTTTAATTCATCCTTAGCACTAAATACATATCCCCCCAGCGCTGAGGCAAAAGGACGAGCAGGCTCGAGAGGAGCTCGAGCAAGCGACAGCTCAGCTGAATCGAGACATGATGCGTGTTGAAGATGAAAGGCAACAGTTGGCCTCTTCCTACGCTGATGAGAAAGAAAGGCTCGGAAAGAGGCGGCCGGCTCGACGAGAAAGTGAACTACAAGCCGCAGGGCACCAAAGGAGGATGGCCGGTGTCGATGGCGGGCTCAGGCGCGCACCAGAGGCAGAATCGAGGGGGAAAATGGAGTTGGCGGCAAGTTTGCAGCGCCTACGACGGCAAGCTGAAGAAACTCCACCATCGTTTTTCCAACGGTTTCGCGGCTTTCTCAGGTCTAAATCAGCACCGTCCCGTCGTTTCAGCGCCACTCTGGATTCCGACTGAATAGACAGTCGCTTTGTGCTCATGGATGGATGATGTGATTCGCGGTCAGGGCGAGCCAAAGACATTGATTACCATTTCGCGCTGTTGAACACTTGTTCTTCGTCGTGGCCGAAGGGGTCGCAAGTTCTGTATTTAGTTCTCCACATAAGCTACAGGGCTACAGTTGCATCACTCTGCGTCACGAATCCCGGTTGCTTCAGTGACCGCAAACTTGTAAGTTCACATCAAATGATCTCTAAGTCCTCCAGCTTCAGAGACATGTTGTATCGTCGGTTCGCCTATTGTCGGTGAAACCGATTTGTTATCCCAGCTTCAGATGCCAAGCGCGGTGGGCACGATCAAGCTCAAAGCTGAAGTCACAGATTACTTGGTCGATCTCTAGTCTGCCTTAGATCCCCACCGAGGGGGCACCTCATGTTACCACGTCAGAAGTAAGCCTTGTTCAGCACCAGGCCTAGGACGGTTTGGCCTGCGCCCGTGTCGATGTGTATTAGTCTACCTTAAGTTTAGTACGACGTCCTACCACCGCCGTGCAAACAGAGAGGCGGAAAGCACAAGCCGTGGCTTAACAAGAATTACGACTGAACAAGTTGCATGTCCCCAAACAATTTGTACTTGACACCAAAAATACTACGCAGCAATACCAATAGCAAACAGTAAGATGAAACACCGTGCAACCATATCACGAACAGAATTACGACCGTAGCTGGTTGAGTCTGCTGATCAAACCAGCTTTCTCGCTTTCTTGTTGCCTTCGCACATTCTGAAAATTCTGAGTCAACGATTGCAAACGCCCCTCATACTCGGAAATGATATGCGTGGTTGCTATCCGAGAGGCACTGGAATGATCGAGGACTTGTTGATGGAGCGTCGCATTACTGGCAGCGAATGTCTTCTGTTTGTTTTCAAAGTCGACTCGCAAGTAAGCGAGATTGGTTCTGAGCTGCGAAGTGCACTGTGCCACTACTTCTGGCTTCTCCTGGGCCTTGGACCGCAACGCTAGGTAGTGAAGGTGAGGCAGTTTCAATTGCTGAGTGACAAAGGATCGATACCTTCATCTTTGGCCTGACGGACACGTGCAAGCTCAATTCTGTGCTTTTCCTTCTGTTTGTTCACTGCACAGTCGAGCGCATTGGCGGCAGACGTTCCAGAAAGATCTAACTTTCGATCCACTAGGTCAGTCTGGACAAGCAATGGGAGAGGATGGTTCTCGATGATGTGGCGCAGGATGTTCTTTGCGCCGTCAGCCGTATTGTTGTGGCGGAGGAGCTGTGCTCCCTTGTCCAACACTGGTTTGAAGAACAGTGTATCACTCGCTAACTCGGCTTCGCGGGCGTTACCGACTGTTTGCGAGACTTGATCCCACATGTTGGTTACAATGACGATATTCTTGAATGTCGTCTCTCCGCACAGCTCCCTGAACATTCGGAAGCAGCGGGTCGAGATGCCGCCCATGCGGACATCAGACACGCGGTGCAAATAGATAATTCCTGCGAGCTTTGTACCTTGCTTGTATCTACGCTCCAAGGTCTAAATCAATTCGACAGCCACAGGATGGGGTGGACATACGACTGCGCTAAGAAAGTGGCAATGGTGTTGAGGACGTCAAAATCACTCTTGGTGGTATCGTCGAATCCCGGTGTATCGATAAGCGAAATTTGCCTTCCGTCGAGTTGGAAGGGCTTCGAGACTTGAGCGTCAGCGGTGCAGGACCGCAAGTTGTCCCCGACATTGAAGGCGGACCCACTCGCTAAGTTCACGAACTGAAGTATGAAGGGGGTTAATTGAGACAACAAGGTAGGTGTCACTCGACTAACGCTAGTCTTCCCGCTTCCGACCATGCCCATCACCCTGCGCGGAGTGAGCCAATGCATATGATGTAGCATGCAGGAGAGACGTACGCAATGAGTACATGATTGCTCGCCATGATATGTTTGCAAGCTAAAAGCCATCAGTTCGATTTAGCACACCGTATACAAGGAATCTATATTATTAAAACACAACGGTCCATAATGTTATGTAATCAAATTTAATGTTACATAATCAAAAAAAAAGCGCTCACCTCAATGCAGAGCCACACAGGGGGACAGGAGACGAATAGGGAATAGGGAACAAGGACTACCAGACTGAACTCTGGACTGTCAATGTTACCAGATTATGACAAGGGTAGCCATAAAGGCATCATGTCTTCTCTCCCTCTGCATAACATACTTTAATAAATAAGCCTCAAGTACTCAGATTAAGCAATTCATCAAAACATTGAAGCAGGATATCAACAAAATGTAGACTGCAGGATTATGCAGTTAGTATTCAATTGGAGCTTTGATCATTTATTTACAGCTGTGATTGATGTCTGAGATTGAACTTTGAGGTATCTTAGTTATTATTTTTTAGCCAAAAGTCTGTACCTATGTAGATAACCATGGGGAGTGCTCTGGCAAGCATTAACAATGAGAACCAATGCCTCTCAATGTAAATCAGGGTGAAAAGTCTACAATATGAATCTTTTAGATAGACATATGTTATTGAGATCAGAACAGTGGCCAGGATTAGTAAGGGTACACCAGGAGGCTGTAGATGAACAGGAAATAGGAAATAGGGGAGGAACTACTCAACTGTAAATGACCACATGTTAAGGACCGTGTCAAGGGGCCTCCTGACTCGTCCGCACAGGGGCGCGGGAGCGCGGGCGGAGCGCGGGAGCGCGGACGCGCGGACGAGCGGAGCACACGGGACTTGGCTTCAGCTTTGATGCTGCGCCCTCCTAGCCCTGCGGTGTCCCGATTTCGGAGAGAGCAAGGTGAGAGGCGGGCTCCGTGGAGGAGCCCGCAGCGAAGACTTAGAAGGACAAGTGACAGAGAAGGAACTAAGATTCAGAGTGAGGAATACATGTCTACTAGTGCTACTATAAATACTAACTAACACATGTATGTAGTGAGGCTTAGTATGTAAGTACACATGTAGGTGAAACATGTAACAAGTGAATCCAAGTGCTGCGCACCATGCATAGGCCGCGAGGGCGGAGCCTGAGGGGCTCCGAGGGTCCGAGGGTCCGAAAGGGGCGTAGGGGGGAACCCCTAAGGGGGCGTGAGGACTGGTATATGACAGTACCTCCCCCTTAAGGCCGATTCCCAAGAGGCCCACAAGGGTCAAGGTCATAGGAGCCATGGATGCATGGGTGCGCGCAGAGCGAAGGGCGAAGGAGCGGATGTCGAAGGAGTATGGACAGGGAGCGAATGAACATGAGTTGGCACAAAAAGGACGGAGTCCGTGGGGTGCGCGGAACCTAACAAGGAGTCCAAACGAAGGTGCAGCACTGACAAGTGCAAGGTATGTACAAGACGCAGTTTTCCGCGAAGAAACGCGGAGTCCGTAGTTCGAAAACTCCGAGCAAAGCGAGGTGGTGGGTAGACAGCATAGTGTGCGCGGGAATTTTCCGAGGAAAACGCGCGGACGGAGTGAGACGAATGAAGTTGAGTGCTACCCAGAGTGACTCAAAACAAGGAGTCCGCGGAGGCGGAGTGGGAGGCGGCAAAGGATTCAAGTTGGCAAAAACAAAAGGAAGTGGGAAGCCGCGCACAGCCGCGCTTACCCGCGGGAAACACGAGGAAATGCGCGGAAAGTGCTTGAACGGACAAAAACCCAATACCACCTAAGTAGTACGCGTATCTTGAAGTTTGCGAGGGGACGCGCGGAGGGACAAGAATATGGCTGGCGAGGGAGTCAAAGGGCAAGGGAGTGCGCGCGTCTCCGCGCTGGAGCGCGGGAGAAACCCACGGAGCGCGCGGAAACGCTTGAACGAACATAAGTCCAATACAACCCAGCGTAACACATATCTTGAAGTTGGAGGGAGAGGAGGGGGAAAGGTGACAAGGCCAAGGGTTCGAAGATGAAACGGAGAGGTGCATGCGCGCGTATCCGCGCCTTAGCCGCGGAGAAATCCGCAGAAATGCGCAGGAAATACTTGAATGGACAAACACCTATAACCTAGCATAGGACGAAATCTTGAAGCCTGTAGGAGGAAATGTAACGGCGGGAAAAATCCAAGACAGCGGAGGCGAGGGGAAGCGTAGTGCTCGCGCGTATCCGCGCTAGCGGCGCGGGGAAACTCCGCGCAGGAGCGCGGAGGCGCTTGAACGAACAAAACACCAAGTACCCCAAGTAGTACTGAAATGAAAAGAGAATGGGAGATGCGCGGGGGGCGAGGGCTCCGAGGGAAGCGAGGCACGTCTCAGAGGGGTGGAGGAGCGCGGTTCTCCGCGCTGGAACTGCGGGAAAACCGCGCAAACGCGCAGAGGGACAAGGGAAAAAGGAAGGAGCGGAAACTGAGCATGTAGCCCAGCAAGAGGAGTGAGGAAGAGTGCGCAGGGGGGCGAGGGCTCCGAGGCAAGCGAGGCATGCTTCAGAGGGGAAGAGGGGCGCGGGTTTCCGCGCTGGAACTGCGGGGAAACCTGCAAAACGCGCGGAGGGGTGAGGGTCAAACGAAAGGATAAAAACTGGGCATACAGCCCAGCACAAAGAGTGTTCAAATTCTCCGAGGGGGGGGCCGCGGAGCGTGGGGATGCGCGGTGCGCCGGAGCGCCATGGTAGAGTACCATGTGACGGAATTGCGCGGGGGTAAGGCGCTCATAGGTCAAACTGAAAAGTCAAACTTGAGTTCAAATGCGAAGTATTGCTTAACCCACACAATCGACGGATTGTATTTTGTGGGAAGTCAATGGTGCTCTCAAAATCATAGCATGGCCACAGTCAAGGGGGTCAAGGGGTCAAAGGTGGATTTCCGTGGGGGTGCACGGAGGCGAGGGGAGAGCGGAAATCCGAGGGGGGGTGAGGCAAAAGGCGAGGTTGAAGTGAAGGGACGGAAAGGGACATGGTGACGAATGAGTGACGGGCCGCGGAAGCGGAGTGGTAAGGCGTGGAGGTCATATCCTGACTAGGAGCAGAGCCCGGTGGGCCCCGCGGAGCATGAGATCTGAGGTCATGACGAATTAGTGCAGGGTGTGGAGTGTTACTCTGAATCTACTGTTAAGGACCGTGTCAAGGGGCCTCCTGACTCGTCCGCACAGGGGCGCGGGAGCGCGGGCGGAGCGCGGGAGCGCGGACGCGCGGACGAGCGGAGCACACGGGACTTGGCTTCAGCTTTGATGCTGCGCCCTCCTAGCCCTGCGGTGTCCCGATTTCGGAGAGAGCAAGGTGAGAGGTGGGCTCCGTGGAGGAGCCCGCAGCGAAGACTTAGAAGGACAAGTGACAGAGAAGGAACTAAGATTCAGAGTGAGGAATACATGTCTACTAGTGCTACTATAAATACTAACTAACACATGTAGGTGAAACATGTAACAAGTGAATCCAAGTGCTGCGCACCATGCATAGGCCGCGAGGGCGGAGCCTGAGGGGCTCCAAGGGTCCGAGGGTCCGAAAGGGGCGTAGGGGGGAACCCCTAAGGGGGCGTGAGGACTGGTATATGACACCACAACTTATTGTAAGTATGCAATAAAGACATTAGTACTTCAGAGCTTTTGCATAGAATATTTCAATTATCAGTCAAGTTGAGGGATTAGAATTAACTCTTCCCATTGAATGTCAAGACTCATGATAAGTAAGCTGCTTATGTAGCAGAACACCTTTAAGATAGTCAGAAAACAGAGAGGGCAGGGGGTGGTGAGAGCAAAAGATGATCATGATCAAATAACTTGGATTTTGACGGTAGTGGGGTGGGATACTGTAGGAGTATGGTATTCAAGTATAGAAGGAGATCAGGGAGTATGAGTAGAAGAGGAGAGGAGAGATAGAGGAGAGAAAGGGAGTATGGAGGAGAGGGGAGGAAGTTGGAAGTTAGATGAGAATATTCAGTACCCATTTACACATCTATACAGTAAACCTCTCAGAGTGACTGTTAAGAGCCACACTCGCGGGGGCTCAGGGATACACGGACCTGCGGGTGCGCGGTTCCACATAGAGACGTGGAGGGGAAACAAGGAGAGCAAGGACATACGGGCTTGGCTTCAGCTACTGGCTGCGCCTTCCACACTCTTGTGTGCCCTGTATTTCCAGAGGGAGTCCTACGTACCGAGGGTACGAGGGGAGGCGAGGGGATGCGACAGAGGGACCTCAAATGAGAGGCGAGGATGCATGTGCGGAAAAGGAACTAATATTTGAACTAAGGTAACTGTATGTACAGTACAGGAATATATACTGGGAAACACGCAGCGTCCGCACGTTCACAAAACAGCAACGAGTCCGGTAGGAATAAGTACAGCATGCTCGAATATGTGCAAGTCCATAGTCCGTGACATGTTTGTGTAGCCGTGTGTGTGCACAGCCCGGGTACGTAGCCGGAAACACTCATCGTAGCCCCTAAGGGGCCTCCTGAATGTGCCTATAGCAGTGACTTACAACTTAACTATGATTTTGTGGAAGTACAATTGGGAGATTGTACAATGTAGCAATTGCATGATTAGGGGATGTCAGAGTTAGTGTAATGGTTGAAACAAAATGGTCAAAATATTACACCAGATATGCTGAGTTCCCCAAGCTCTTTGCCATCTGAAACTGTTACTGCAGAGAATGAACTCTTGAAGAATGCACTGTAGCAAGCAGGTCTTTGTTGTTCCATTTGTTTTCATCATATATCACATCTGGCCTGTATACATACACTACCGTGGATGTCACATTGTTACTGCTTTCAGCCATAGCTTATATAAAGCTATTTACTTTTGAATTACTGTATGGTATGCTACGGACTAACAAGCCTGCCCCTAAGCCGGAGTTAGTGCTTTTTGTTTTGTTCTGGTTGCATTATTGGGGTGTCAGAGCTGAATCCTTCATATTGGTGGAACCATAATGTTTTGATCATTTCGTTTTGACTGTTACACCAACTCTGACATCCTCTATTATGAAGCTGTGGAATTTTGAGAGGATGCAAGTATGTTGGACCCCTTTCTGAGTTTCCAAATCTCCAAATCTCCAAGTTCGATAAAAGTGTTCCTGAGCAAGCAGAACAGGTAAATACTGTATAGCATGTATCAGCCCTTAGGGTAGCTTAGTTGCCAGGGGCTGCATAGCAAAAGCTGTCACAGTGGTTTGGAATAATACCAGAGAGCACTCTGACCATTGTTGATAACAATGACTGATATCCCTTAGAGCAATTTAGGGGCATGAAGGGTAGATATGTATGTTAGCTGAAGTTTTCATGTTATATTTCCAGGCAAAGTGAGTGGTTAGCAGATTAGATGTATAGTAAAGATGAGGGATTATGAATAATAATATTTACCTATAAACTCTGTCCCAATGACTCCCAACTCCTTTTTTTCTATGAGATACACTTATCACTCAAAATACATCTAATTTAAGCAGAGCAGAGGATGGCCCATTGATTTTATTCCATGTTCTTTTATGTTACTCTTAACTATAAATGCAAGGAAAACTGCGTGATAAATGAAGTGAACACCACTCCTGATTTGATGGAAGCACTAGAACAGGGGAACAGGGAGGGTGGAAGGGATTGTCATCCACTAAAGGCAGTGCGGGACATCAACAAGATTTTAAGATGTATTCAATGAATGGGATTCATATATGTATTCCAAAGCCACAGTCACTGATTTGAGTTTTCTGCATTATATCTATCATGGAAGCCTGAGTCCCATGCGTGACGAAGTCACGGGCCTGAAACTTGTTAAATATGTATGGCTTACCGAATCGATTGGCTGTGTTCCTCGTAGTGAGTAATAATGCTACAGCAGCTGGGCATAGCAGGGTTTAAATACAGGATTGCAACACCTCCAATGTGATTGGGGAAGAAGTTTTCATACTACGGTGAAGAGTGCCGAAGAGGGTTCTTCGTCTTTCCTTATCGTAGACGTCACATTTATATTGAGTCATGAACACGAAGTCATTCATCGATGGAAGATCGAGTCAAGTGCACTTCCAATTGAGGCAAAAAGCCCAGGTCGAGGGGCTTCAGCATGCTGTTTTTGAAGCCGTTGCAAAGTTGCCGCCAATTCCATCTTCTCCCTCAATTCCGCTTCTCGTGTCTGCCTGAGCGTATCATTGACTTCATCTATCCTCCTTTTGTATTCCGCAGCCTGTCGTTCAATTTCTAGGCGAGATGTCACCTCGAGGTCTTGCATCCTCCTTTGGAACCTTTCTTTCTCCTCGGCGTAGGAAGCTGCAAGCCGGTACGATTCATTTTGAACACGCATCATATCTTGGTTCAGCTGCGCCGTCGCCTGCTCGAGCTCCTCTCGAGCCTGCTCGTCCTTCTGCCTCAGTGCTGGGGGAAGTACGTACTTAGTGCCAAAGATGGATTCGAAGTTGTAGGGAAGATACCTTCATTCATTTCATCTTGTAGCTGCCGCTGCTCTGCCTTGTATCTCATCGCCTGTTCGTGCAACTCGCGACCAAGCTCGGCACCAGCGGCAGTCTCTGTGATGTCCTTCTTCTCGTCCACTAGCTCCCTCTGAATTCGCAATGGCAGAGGAGCCTTGAACGCAATGCAACGGATTATCGTACAGGCAGAGTCGAATGTATTGTCATGTCGTTTCATCTGGGCACCCTTGCCTAGCACGGGCTTGAAGAAGATATCCCGGTTCTTCAACTCTTCCTCGCGGGCCTCACCAATGTCGACAGAGACCTCGCCCCACATGTTCGTGACAATGACCACATTTCGGAGTGTAGTGTCACCACATAGCTCTCTGAACATTCTGAAGTTCCGGGTTGACGTGCCGCCCATGCGGAAGTCTGAGATGCGGTGGATGTATATTACGCCCGAGAGCTTTACGCCGTGCTGGTACCTTTACGGTGCATCATCGACATAAACAGACTGAGGGAGAGAAATGACAACAAAGTGCTCACGTGCCGGAAAGAAATGCTGCAATCATGGTCAACACGTCGGTGTCAGTTCTTGTTGTATCGTCGAAGCCGGGGGTATCTATGAGTCTGACCGTTCGACCATCGAACGAAAAGGGTTGTGAAGCCTGAACAGTGTTGGTGCACGACATGAGCCCTGAACCTACACGGAGCGCGGATCCGCTAGCGGTGTTTATGAACTACCGCATCGCCAAGTTAACAAAACTGAGCTCATTGTGCAACATAAGTTATAATCACGGTCGTTTTTCCGCTGCCGGTGGCTCCCATCACGCTGTGCACAGTTAGTAGCGACATGCAAAGCAAGGAGGGAACACCCACGCAATGAGTACTTCGTCGCCGGAGCTGTTCGCATCTCGTTCAGAGGATGGCTTGGGGCTACGATAACTACCAGTGGGCGTTGATTTTAGCCTGGTATTGTGAGGTTCTTTCACCGGCTGGGACGAATACTATTACGCTTCAATAGTCAGTGGGTATTCATCAAATCAAATGACCTACGCTTGGCCCTTTTGCCCGTGGGCTCGAACTGAGGCGTTCCGTTAGCTCTGCGGTCGATAATGAACCAATAGGGAACTCGACCTCGTAGTTCGTGTATATAGGGAAGTAAGTCTGCTCCAAGACATAGTCAATTGTGTTGGAAGCATTTTTGGTTTGCCTGGGTCCACCAGCCCCAGCAGTGCAACGTTTGTTTTATGTACACTGCAGCCGCATGTGGGGCGTTGTCTCCATGTTGTATATTCACGCATGAGGAGAGTGCTACGGAACCTAACGGACAAATAGCAGGGCAGTTGTGGAGAAGGAGACTCACGTTGAACCATCGCGGCCCAGGGTCCTCCATGAATGGTTGTAGACAAAATGAGGGTTGTGAATGTGGGTACTGTGGATGGTCTGAAGACGTCCAGGGGATTGAGACTCGAGCTGAAGATATGAGAAGGCACAAACAAGCAGGAGGTCTGGAGCTGCGCAAGAAGAGAGCCGAAACACGTTCGAGGGGGAAATGCTGCTGCTGGCTGTTCATCTAGCTACTAGTGTTGGTCTTGGACACCATGCTGCAAGAATATGTTCTCTTTGAAGCCTTTGCCGATACACGCTGGATGGCTGTTACGAACACTCACAGTCAGCCTCGCTTGTTCCTTTCTTGCAGCTTCTCCAATTGGTACCTCAAGGACCATTCTCTCCACAGTTAAGTTACGCCCGCCAAGTTTTCGACACCCTTTCACCGCGCGTCCACTCAACTATGCTCCAAGTCTTGAGGCACGGTCGAACACCAAACTTTGGAACGTGATATATGACTGCGAGCCTCTAGGCAAGACGGGAAGAACGTCTTTGCTGCCGAAACGTGAGCACTATATAACGACGCGACATAGCATACCGATCCCCGAAGACTCAGACTGTTGCAACAACCGTTTGATGAGTGTGAGGTTCCTCGTCTGAACACGTCGAGCATAAATGACAGGCACCGAAGACTCTGTGAGTACGACCACTCGTCAGGCGCAATCTTGAGTGCGAAAGATCGGTCGGGCACATTCGCATCAGAGCAATCGTCTGCCCCCATGTCCTCCCGCCAGCTTCTCCATTGCGAGGACAACGAAACTTGAATAAGCACAGGTTTATGGAGATGGTGTGGGACAAGAACAGCCACCAGTGGGCGCTCAAGCGCTCAAGCGTTGGGCTGTGGCGAGTCACGGTCGCCAACAAGCCCGAGTAAGCTGCACAGTCTCTTTCTCTCGAACCATCACCATCTCGCTAGTCCCTCAGCATGTGGAACAACAACAACCAAAACCAAGGCAGTTATGGTACTCCTCCAGCGTACGTGTTAACACCCGTCTGCGTATCGTTCGGTTCATCTCACTGTATTGTAGTTTTCCCAGTCCGTAAGTCTGACGAGGGTTAATCGGGCCCACGTTCAGTGCTGATAGAAATGGTTTCTCCAGCGGAGGATTCCCCAATGCGCAAGGCGGTTACAATCCTGGCTACGCTCCCAATTACGCGCCCCCTGGGCCCGGAGGGTGAGTATAGGAGGCCATTCTATCTGACGACTCTGATCGCCGCAATTCAGCTACGCGCCCCCACCTGGACCTCCTCCAGTAGGGTGAGTTATTCGAATGGCTGCGCATATGCCTTGGGCTAAACGTATCCACCAGGTTCCCCGGTGGACCCCCACCATACCCCCCACCTCCAGGACCTCCTTCGGGGTATGTCTGATCTCCTTCAGAAAGTCTACATCGTATTTTAACTTCGCTCTAGCTATGGCCCACCACCAGGGCCTCCCCCTCCTCCCGGGCAACGGGGGTCAGTCGGCGTTCTTCACTTACCGGAGTCCCGATACTAAAGTTACAAATTCAGGTTTTCTCCCCCATCGGGCCCCCCGCCTGTTGCAAGGAGCAACTACCCTGGTCAGCAATGGCACCAGCAGAACTCTGGCAATGCAGGCGGCGGGTATCCTGGTCGATACGGTGGACCACCGTACGTTAACAGCAGGATTACATCAATGCCATTACTGATGTTTATTTATAGCCCACCGCCTCCTAGATCTTACCCTCCGCCTGGAGGACCGCCTCCCAGGCCGCCAACGGAAACGCAATACTACGGCCCGCAATTCGAGGATGCGCATCATCATCGTGGACAGCCTAATTTCCAGTACTCGCAATGTAACGGAAAGAAGAAGGCGTTATGCGTACGCTTCTCAACACGTATCCTTACCTGCTGTTCCTTCTCATGCACTCATAAACAGATTGGGATAAACTACTTCGGTCAAAGTGGCCAACTGGCGGGTTGCGTGAATGACGTTAAGAATATCAAGAGGTTCCTCTGCAGTATGTCCCTGCCTACGTCGTCCATGTTGCACAAGCGGAGCTTACTCGAAACTTTTCAGCCCAGTTTGGCTATCGCGAGGATGATATCGTGACGCTCACGGATGACGCGACTAACCCTAGACAAATGCCAACTCATGATAACATCGTAGGCGTCTTATATGTATTTCGAGGGCTCAATGTTGACTATCTGAGCAGATCAACGCTATGAGATGGCTAGTGCGCGACGCGAAACCCAATGACTCCCTCTTCTTCCACTGTGCGTTCTACAATCGTCGAGACGACTACTTACATGCGAGACTGAACTGCAGATTCCGGACATGGTGGCCAGACGAAAGATCTCGACGGTGACGAAGGCGATGGCTATGATGAAGGTAAAAGTTCCTACCCATTACCCTGTATTCGAAAAACTGAGACACTCTCCTTCTAGTTATATACCCTGTAAGTGCCCCTCATTTCAAGAGCGGAAATGATCGAGGACTTATGTTTCGCGAAGATGGACTACGAAGCGAATGGCCATATTGTTGATGATGTACGCTCCGTGTTTCTGTGCAGTTACTCGTACTCAATGGACGCACAGGAAATGCACGCTATCATGGTCAGGCCCCTTCCTCCTGGTTGTCGTTTGACAGCAATTTTCGATGTACGTACCCATGGCATTATTGGAGGTCTGCCTCATTTTCTGAAACTATCTCCTTACCACAGTCTTGCCACTCTGGATCTGCGCTCGGTACGTGTACCCATACCTTCCTCGCTCTCTCACACGTCTAACTAACTATACGTCTGTATCCAGATCTTCCTTACATCGTAAGCACCCCCTCTTAAGGCCCAACCTAAATCTCGCGCAGACCACTGATCTGCGGACACCGATTTAGTACTCTACGGAGGGTAAGCTCAAAGAGCCCAACCTCGCTGCGGAGGCCGGTCAGGGCCTTCTCTCCGCAGTGACTTCATACGCCAGGGGCGACATGGGCGGCGTGTTCTCGTCGGCAAAGAGCCTCTTCCAAACGGCCACGGGCAACTCGACGAAGGCAGACAAGATCTCCAAGGCCACAAGGACGAGCCCCGCGGATGTCGTAAGTGCCGTCCACACCTAATAAAGCTGAACAAGCAGAGTATTTGGGGCTCATGGATGTTGTGGTATAATGTAGATTTCGTGGAGTGGGTGCAAAGACTCACAGACGAGCGCGGATACCCAGGAAGCCGGGCAGGCTACGGGGGCTATGAGCTATGTTCGTCTTGGGTTTTTCTGGTTGATGATGATCGTCTGACTAACAGTAACCTATCACGATAGGCTTTCATCGCTGCTCTCAGTAAGCATAATGATTCGCGATGTCCGAGTTGTAGGTTATTGAACACTCACTTCCGTTTCCCCCGTAGGCCAGAACCCGCAGCAGAGCTATCAGCAGCTCCTAAATAACATCAGGTATGTACACAGTTCACTGTCTAGTTGGTCTCTGCTCATCACCCGCCTACCTCCACAGAGACATCCTTCGCGCCAAGTACAGTCAGAAGCCTCAGGTCAGTCTTACATTTATCCATGATAACCTCAGAGTCTCATCTATCTTCGCTCATAGCTCTCGAGCTCTCATCCCATGGTCTGTGCTTGCACTAATGGGTTCGATTCGACACTGACCTTCATTTCAGGAAACTAACCTGCTGTTCATATGTTAATGTCTTCATCTCGACGCGAATCGTCCGTTTTCTTGACAGACACTCGATTATTAGTATTTACATGTAAGTATGACTATGACAACGTCTCGCAAGTGGATTCTAGGTAGTACTAGAAGGCGTATCGTCCGTGTAGTGTAATATAAACAAAATGCAAGATGTAGGGGCCAGCGTCTGCTGCCGCTCAGTATTACAGTCCCAGATTGGGAGGATAATTCACTCTAGCTGGCACTCGATGCTGACGACGTGCCCCGTCAGGCTGTCGCTGAAGGGAATATCGGTGGGGGTGGGCTTTTGGTGCTTCTGGTGCTTCTGTAGATTGACGTGCTTGTGGCGGCCCAGGACCAACGCGGAGAGCTTGCGGCCGTATACCTTGGAGTGCGCGATGAGCGATGAATACCAACAAGATGATGGTGGGGAATATACTCACACACCCGGAGTCCAAGCCCACTGTCCACCGCTTGATGTCCAGGCCTCTTGACGCAGCGTGGCCGTATACCACTGTCGAGGGGTGACAAGGCAGGGCTTTCCGCTTCTTTGAGGTTGTATGGTCGTCGTCAAAGCTAAGACCGTGCTCGAACCCGTCACATCGAGACATATCCCGATTCCAGATATCCGACCACGGCCTGCCGTCTTTCCCCCTTTGAAGAGAAATGTCAGCTAACTACGCCGCAATGTAGACTAACTTTCGGTAACCGGTAACCAACCTTGTGACATCGTGGTTCTTCAGAACACCTCTCATGTTGAGTTTGACCCAGGGATCGGTGTTTTGCTCGATGTCAGAGAGGAGTGCCGACTCTTGCGCGCGGCGAAGCTTGGGCACGTCGGACCCATGCTTCGACTTGGCAGAGTCGAATAGCGTAGGGACGCGAGCTAGAGGCTGCCGGGGGTCCCTCGGCTTGTACCGCGGATCGGACGAAAGGAGCCCTGCGTGCACGACAAACGTGTGCGCATGCGGGATGTGCAGGACCAGCGGCAGGGCGAGCAGGTATCGGTATTCCGCATCGGACATCGCCCGCGCGATCTTGTAGTGCTCCGCGAAGATTTTCCAGTCCTTGGGGATCGTGCGCCACCACGGCGAGCGGTGGCGCTTCATCTGCTTGCTGGCCCAGACGTCGGGGTCTGCGCCTTCCGCAGCGGCTTCGTCCCAGCGGCGCTCCAACACAGTCAGCCATTTCCGGCCGTCGGGGAAGCGGTGCAGCCAGTCAAGCCAGCCGCGCCATTCAATGACCTTTTGGTCGTGGTTCCCCCGGATGCCGGTGATGTTGTGCGACGCCATGTAGGATAGGACGGCCAGTGAGCCTTCGTAGGGCCCTTTGGCTATGATGTCTCCGACATGGATGAGGACGTCAGAGCTTGGGTCGTAGTCGAGCACATCGAGAATTGAACTGCAGGGGGTTAGTGTTAGTATAGTCTCTCGCGCTGGATATGAGACACACCTCAGCGAACTGTTCATCCCATGTATGTCTCCTATTATCACTGTCCGTCGACTCGCCGCCGGGTCTGGCAATGTGTTAGCAATCAAATTGCAAATTTCATACAAATCGAGGAATACCCAGAGGAAAGTCTTGCACAGACAAGATCGAGAGTGATTTATACATGCTGAAATCTGGCCGTCCTGGATTCGAATATGTCAATGAAATCGCAATTCAATTCCAGGACTCCTCGTACGTTTGCCGCCGAACGTCAAAGGCGGCCATGTGAGATTGACGGAGGAAAATGTGAATCTGGTTTGCGTGATGAGAAATACAAGGGCGACCAGCGAGGTAGTAAAGGCGAGTGCCTTCAGGCGGTGGATGTCCATGAATGAGATGTTCAATTGGTGAACTCCAATGGAGCAGAAGCGGAAGTGTGACGGTGGCGCAGCACTATCTAATCTGATAAAAGTCCGAAGCTCAAACTCTCACTAGCCATTGATGTACTCCTATAGACCAAGGCTGAGCCAGTGTGTTCTAGGATGTAAGCGTACGCTGGGCAATTTCCCTGCACGAAATAGTACAAGATGACTTGCCTTCCTTTTCCTATTCAGTCAAAGGCCCTTCTACGCCGTCAACTTATGCCCGATTTGCAAGGAAAGGTGGCCCCGTGTCTCCCTGCCCTGGGCCCCTGCGATGGGAATCTCGGTGAGCTCTCCGGATATGTGGATATATATTTCAGTCGGGGAACAGAGAACACGATGGGCCAGTAGGGCGCTACCTGCACTTTCTAACTAACATTTATTGCAAGATAACTTTCTTCGTGCATCCAGGTTCTTCTAGTCAACGTAATTCAGTCGCGAATGTACGCCATTACCGCCCAACGAAGGGTGGAATGGAGTTTCCCTGGACTAACTGAAGCCACGCTGCGAACAATCAGTCTATATCTACTCCAGTCGCATAGGCGGTGCCGGCGACTAACTCCTTGGTGTAAGTACAACAATCAATTCTGTATTTTTCTCAGGTGATCCCAGTGTCTTCCATCTGGATATCTCAAATTTTGCCGGCCCGCCAGACCCACATTCAAATCGAACAGGAATGAAAGCCACATGCGACTATGAACCAACTTCTCCACGGATATCGTCAAAGCAAGTCTTCTCACAATCCGACATAGATGCCGGTGGAGGCTTTATAAAGATAGCTCTATCCTGCAATCCCCGCATCCCCAGGATATCATCTCCCTTCTCGCTCTACTGCAATCATGGCTGGAGGAATCGGTGCCACAGGGACTTCGTATGCGGCGACCAGGCGCAAAGAGTTAGCTGGAGCCTCAGGATGGGTAGGTAGACGTCCTCCATTTGATACTTGCCTTCAATGACCTTGATCGCAGGCGGGTTTGGTCCACAACCGTCGCGTTTTCGCAACGTCTGTCTTCGCTTCACTTGGCGGTTTGTAAGTGACTTGCTTCTACTGCACCGTCGCGCAGCGCTAATTCGCGAGTATATAGGTTGTACGGTATGTGTTCCTCTGCGAGCGTGCGCCGTATGAGTCAGAAGCTGAAATGGCTCCCATAGGGTACAATCAGGAAAGTATACCCTTATCTTAAATGACTTGATGCTCACTCTGTGAATTTTAACAGGGGGTCTTCTCTGGCGTCCTTGGGTAAGAAGTCTCAACGATGTTTAATAGAAACGAGACTCACTTCGCCTCCCTAGGATGGCATCTTTCGATGAGAGGATGGCTTCTGCAGTAGACCAATCCGGAACCAAGGGCTGGCTTGTCGCTATTCTTGAGTTGGGCGCATGGTTCGGCGTCCTCGTGACGGGTAAAGTGTTCTCCCAACTCCGCCCTCTTGGTATCTTACTACAGTGCTAGGTTACTTGGCTGACAAATTGTCGCGAAAATACACCATCCTCCTCGGTGCGCCCCAATCACACACACTGTGATGGTGATGCTAAATTTATGACCGGCTGCGGACGTCTGAAGCCGTCATTATCTTCTGTATCGGCGTCATTGTCCAGACTGCCGCTGCTGCACCAGATTCTATTTATGGGGGTGCGGAATCGATTAACTGGCTATGTCTGGCTCGTTCTGAGCTTCTGATGGGTGGGATTAGGGCGCTTTGTCACGGGTCTGGGTGTCGGATCGCTGAGCATGGCCGTGCCCTTGTACAACGCCGAGCTGTCGCCGCCTGAGGTCAGAGGCAGTCTGGTGGCCCTCCAACAGTTGGCGATCACATTTGGGATCATGGTTTCATTCTGGATTGACTTTGGGACTAACTACATCAAGAGTGGAGGTGTGCAGAGCGAAGCGGCGTGGAGGATTCCTCTCGCACTTCAGTTGGTCCCTGCTATTACTCTCGGCGTAGGTATCTTGTTTATGCCATTTTCTCCTCGGTATGTCTATAAGTCTATCAACTGATATTTTATTGATCCGTTGGATCAGGTGGTTGGTGAACAAGGGACGCGACGACGAAGCTCTGAAGGTGCTCAGTGCAGCTCGCAGGATGCCGCCCGACTCTGACTTGGTACAAATCGAGTTCCTGTATGTTCCCGCGTATCTTCAATTGATTTCGAGTCACTGATAATTGCAAACAGCGAAATCAAAGCGCAGTACTTGTTTGAGAAAGAGACGTCGGAAATAAACTTCCCTCAGTATCAAGATGGATCGTACATGTCGTCGTTCAAGCTCGGATTACACGAGTATCTTAGCTTGATCACCACGCGCAGTCTGTATCTGTTCCTATCATACACTTGTAAACGCCTTATCCCCAATGATGTCTATAGCACTCCTCTACCGAGTCGCGGTAGGATCTTTGTGCGTCATCTAGACTCCAAGGTTCTGCGGAGATGAATGTTGATGCGACGGTTCTCTTCTTCAGGACGATGTTCTTCCAACAATGGACCGGCGTCAACGCCATCCTCTACTACGCGCCTACGATATTCCAGTCGTTGTCGCTTACCGGAACCGCGATTTCCTTGCTAGCTACAGGGGTCGTCGGAATCGCGTACGTCCTATCGTATCATCTACCTTCGCAATTGTCGCCGTTCTAATCCTTTCGCGCAGCATGTTCCTGGCCACCATCCCCGCCGTGATATGGGTAGATCAGGTCGGCAGAAAGCCTGTCCTGATTTCTGGTGCTTTTCTTATGGCAGCGTAAGTCATCCGTTAGTCGCTGTCCTGACAGCCTCTCACGCTCTGCTGGTGTAGATGCCACTTTATCGTCGCAGTGCTTACTGGCTTGTTCCACGAATCTTGGGCGAAGTGGGTACATTCCAATGGCTGTATGTAAGATAGCTGAACCAATTGTTTTTTTCTAGTCACCAAGGTACTTTCTAGCGACTTGTTGGACTTCGACATCGTTTGACGTTTCCGTAGCTGCTAGCGCTGGATGGGCCGCTTGCGCTCTTGTCTGGGTCTTTGCAATGGGTTCGTGCACCTTCTACATTCTTACGGCAATAATTGACATGAGAAATAGGCTTCGGATATAGCTGGGGTATACACACCTGCTCGTACAGAGATTGATGACCGCCTAAACATTTTGTAGGCCCTTGTGCGTGGATCCTCGTTGCCGAGATTTGGCCTATGAGTGTCCGTGGCAAAGGAATGTCGATCGCTTCCTCGTCTAACTGGGTAAGCGTCCTTTCTGTCGCATATTCTAGAGACTCATATCTTGCGTCTAGATGAATAACTTCATTGGTGAGAATTAGTTCACTGAATATCGTTTGGACGTTATTCATCTCCTGTCCCATCCGTGTTTCTAGTCGGCCAGGTACGCTGCAACAGTTGTGGCGTGGGTCGTACGCTTACTGATGACCTTCTAGGTGACGCCAACAATGCTGGATAAACTGGGCTTCGGGACCTTCGTTTTCTTCGGTGTAAGCTTCGCATCCATGGTGCGCTACTGCTGTAGTTGCTGACAATGCACAAAGGCATTCTCCCTCTTGGGAGGACTATTCATCCTTTTCTTCGTAAGTACCGTCATATCATGTATTACCTGGCGGAACATAGTAACCGATAAATGCAGGTTCCCGAGACGAAGGGACTGACCCTCGAAGAGATGGACGATGTATTTGGGGACTCGGAGGGGCTGGGCGTTGCAGACCTGGAACGCCAACACGCTATCCATAGGAAAATTGGGTTGCTGTCGATGAGCGAGAAGCCCTCAGAAGTGAGAGAGTCAATGACGAAGGTGTCTGAGGAGTAAATTCTATTCGTGATGGCGCAAAGGTTGGAATTCGAATGTTTATATGTACTCTTGTGTAGCTTCCTTACTTTCATCGTAACCGTATCATTTGTGTAATAATTCCCAGCCTTCCATGAGTTTGTCTTCCATGGACGATGGTTTTTATGGACCCGTTTAGCGTTGTGAGTGGAGTGGAGAACCGGGATGAAATCGTTCTGCGACGGAGCCGGACCGATGGAATATCCTGGTCACGTGAGATGCATGATGAGAACGCGCCGAGACGCGCCGCCACAGCGCGTCTGCAACACCGACTACATCCTGTCCGCCCATCTACAAGTATATGCCCGCAGGATCATGGGCTCGAACTACCTGGAGGCTCTGAACACCGTTCAGGAGAAAGGTTAAATGCTTCCGTGCCTTTGCAACTCACGCTAACTGGTAGGGTCGTTTCAGCCGTTCAGCATCCCCCACAAGTTCCTCTACAGATTCTTGCTGGGCCAGGAAGTGGGAAAACGAGGGTATGTGATGGTTTACTACGTGCTCTTGTACTTACCTGTGCGTAGGTTCTCACCTCCCGCATCGCCCATCTCATTCTTCACCACCATATCCCACCAACCGCAATATGCGCTGTAACATTCACTAACAAAGCTTCCAACGAAATGAGAGAGCGGCTCACGAAGCTAATTGGAACTGAACGAACTCGCGCGCTGAAACTAGGAACATTCCACGCGATATGCGCTCTATTTCTGCGTAAACACGCATTGGTTGTGGGATTATCCAACAACTTCAGTGTATGCGACGCGGATGAAAGGTGCGCGGGCAGTCGGATACTGAAATGCCACCTGCATTAGCTGATGTTGAAACCAGTAAGAAGCTGATCTCACGTCTCCTCAAGCCCTATCAGACGTTCTTGGAAGCTAGGGATATCACTCTCAAGGAAGCCACCGTGTTCTCCATGATATCCAAGCACAAGTACAAGGGCAACACCTCTACGGATGTCATCGCCGAACTCCGCATTACGAAGAGCAAGAGCGACAAGGAAAATACCGGCGTGCAGCACAAGTCCCGGCACATAACAGACGAAATAAACTCGGTGGTAGCTGAAGTGTATCGGGAGTACGAGCGCGCTCTTCGCAAGTCCAACTCGCTCGACTTTGATGACCTTCTGCTATTCGGGCTTCAGTTATTCACGGATCACAAGGAATCAGCGGGATGGTGCAGGCATGTCCTAGTAGATGAATTGTGAGAGCGCACGCTGCTTCTCGATGTTTGGCGGTTCCTTGATCTCAGGCTTACAGTCAAGACACTAACTCCATTCAATACGAACTAATGAAAACACTCGCGGTATCCGCCGACCAGTGCCTAACCGTGGTGGGGGATCCCGATCAGTCGAGTAATTGACGTGAACGTGTCAACGGTCGAGGATACTAATCCTGCTCTACAGTCTACGGGTGGCGGTCAGCAGATGTCACTAATCTTGCTAAGATGAAGAAAGGTATATGCTGCTGGCGGTACATGCCATGCACGTTGCTGACAGAGAGGCAGACTTTCCCTCAACGGAGAGCATACTACTCGAGGAGAACTACCGCTCAACAGCCTCGATCCTGAAAGCGAGTCTTGCTATTGTTTCTCAAGGTGAAATGCACGCGTGCCAACATGCGTAATTATTAACTTCATTAAACCGTAGACAAGGCGCGATTGCCCAAGTCCCTGCATACCTCCCATCCATCGGGCAGCATTCCCAGCCTCGTGTCGTTTGCGACCGACCAAGACGAGGCCGCGTTCATAGCCCACGAAATCAAGAGAACGGCGGCCAACATGGGAGGCATACTGAAATGGAAGGACTTTGCCGTCTTGCGTACGTCAAAGGGGCAAGTGGGCCGGGCGTATTTCATCTCGCTAACATCCTGCAGTTAGGTTTAACGCGCTTTCGCGTGTCATTGAGAGTGCATTGCAGAAATCGGGCATTCCCTGTCGAATTTTGGGAGGTCACAAGTTCTTTGAGCGAATGGAGGTGCGCGAACTGCATGGCCCGCGGCTGGGATGTGCTCATCAGGGGACTAGATCAAGGATTTACTCGCTTACCTGCAACTTGTCGACAACCCTCAATTCACCCCCGCGTTCAGTCGAGTAATCAACGTGCCAGCGAGGGGCATAGGGGCAAAGGTCTGATTGGCACCAATCCGTTGGACTTCATTTTACTGATAGTGAGAGTAGACTATCACAGAGCTGGAGCTTCGCGCGCAGAAGACGAACAAGACGCCGTTGGAATTGGTGGAACTAATCCATGGAGGCAGAGTCCCCGACATTAAGCCTCCGATAAAACGGAAGATACCTTCCTTCGTCAAAACTATCCAGACGCTGCGTGATCTAGCCATAGACGTAAGGTCATCATCACTTTTCCACATCTCACGTTGACTTTGCGAAGGGTTCATCGCCGGTGGATCTAATTCGCCGACTAGTTGACTTGATTGGCTACGAGCAGCACCTCAAGCAGGCGCAACCGCAGGACTGGGAGAGTCGATGGGAAAATGTGCAAGAGCTCATCACCTTCGCTAGCGAGGTGGAAGGTGATATTATTGAGATGGATGATAGTGAAGAGACTCGAAGGTGTTTGGGACCCCTCAGGATATACATTTGACACTGACCAATGCCCTCTAGCACGACGCCTCTTCGTATGTTTCTACAGGCTTCCATGCTTTCATCGGAAGGTGATCAATCGAATGGCGAGGACAGCAATGATGTCAGTGGGTCTCATTCTCCAAATATACATCCTAACGCGAGTCTTTGCAGAAAGTGACTATTTCAACTTGTCATGCCGCGAAGGGACTAGAATGGCCTGTCGTAATTGTACCTTCAGGTAACTCGTTCACAAAGACGGACATTAATTCAGTAGCTAATGGTAGACATAGTCGAACATGGGACCTTCCCGTTCTACCGGTGTGACGATGTTGAGGAAGAGAGGCGGTTGCTTTACGTCGCATGCACCCGCGCCCAGTGTCTCCTTTATCTCTCCCACTGTGGAAAGCGCATGGTCGCAGGAGAGACCAAGTCGGTCGAGCTCTCTGGCTTCGTCTCAAGCGTGCACCACCAAGACAGGGTAGGTACCACGACGCACTCTTTGCGGCCCTAAAATGACCGCCTTTAATATTAATATAGACAATCTTCAGCGATCGGGCCCCAGAGCTTCTTCCAGCCGATCGCGCCGTTATATCTAGGGTTCTTAGTCGGCCAGAACCTAAGCACGTTGAAGTAGCGAAGCACGTCGCCGAGTTGTGCGTCCCAGCGTCCCTAATATGTTTTACTTCGTTGATCATTGGCGTTCAGCAACCGAACGGCACGCCATAGGCCCGAGCCACTTTCCAATCCGCAATCGAGTGCCTATAATTGGCATCCCAGCCTCGGGGCACAATCAGGTCAGTACATTTAACTGTGCGAAGGGTGCATATCGGTTGAAGGTTCGTAGCCCCTTCCTTGGATATAATAACGTCAAGCAGGGTTATGTTAGACAATGTCGGAGCTGGACGCCGTATGGCACCATGTCCTGAAGTCCCTGTTGTAAGCGCAAAGGCTGGCACTCGGTTGCTGCCGACAAAAGTTCACGAGCCCAGATTCATACACACGACACCAACGGCTACTTACAATCTTCAGACGAGGCCGGACCCAACAGCAGCTGCGCAGAGTTCGGGGCCTGTAATAGGCTCCTCGTCAGAAGGAACAAGTGTGGGTGTTAAACGGAGATTGGGGATGGGTCGATCGCACGTAGGGTACGCGAACAAAAAGTTTAGACCTCCCACTTAATGATGAAACCATACGTCGGTAATGTAACATTAGAACATACACATGTAGAGCCAACTAATCCTAATCCAAATTTGCGGTCCATTTAGAGTGAGGTCAAAGAATTCAAAACCTAGGAAGAACGTTAGCTTGAGGTGAGACTCGAGGCGTTGTCATGTAAATTTTTGAAAGGTCAGAGTCAAGGTAAAGTTTCCACATTGCTGTGATGCGTTGGTAGTCTAACATGCTGTTTGACTTGGGTAGAACCCCATCATGCGAGACAAGAGGATGTTTTGGTCTACTCACCTTTTGGTTGGACGGATGGAAGGAACGTCAAGAAAAGTCGTCTGGTCACCACGATGTGTTTGACTTGGTGGACGTTGGCGGGCGGGTCAAACAAGGCACACCAGCTTCTGGTGGAATGCCACCTCGATGACATTTGCCTCATGGTTTCAACGAGGCCAGCCTTGTGCCCAATTTTCCTTGAATCAGTTATCACCAAGAATCTCTAGGCCGCATTCTTGCTTTTGACAACGCCTGGCCATCGATGCACCTTAAACATGTCATGACGAAATCGAATTCTGCTGGCTCCGGACCCGACTTGCACTGAACAAGCTGTCGATTCGCTGGTCAACGGACTTGCTGAATGGCCCGCATACGCTGTCCCTCCCAGACTCCATGATATCCCCGCAGATTGATCCCGCGAGATCCGCAGGAATCTGAACCATGGATTTGTCCTTGATCTGACACTCCTCGTGCTCAACGCAAGGCATGTACCCGACCGTAGGCGATAAAATCCCTGATCAAAGAGCCTTGTTTCCTTTCTCTACTGGCTATCTTTTGACATCACAATAGCGTTTGTTTTCTCCGTGTCTCTCGTCTCCCTTCCTCTGCCCCTCTGCCCTGTCGCCTCTTCGCCACCCCACCCGCGTTCTCGCAGCCGTCTGTATAACCGCAACAGCACAGCTCATGTACAACACTCCTGGTTCTGCCCACAATCAGGTCCATCTCAGTATCAGCAAACAAGGGGACGGCAAACCTCACAATAATTCACCCATTACGCCCGCCGTTACGGGCCTCTTCTTTCCCTCGCCGATAGATGGCAATGTGCAAGACAATGGCAGGCAGAATCCAATCCTCCGGGATATCGAGGCCGAATTCTCTATCGATGAACGGTCGCAGTCGCATGATACAGTGGACCCCATCACACCCACCGATTACCAGGCATTGGACGAGCTCTGGGGTACCCTCCGGATGCAGAAAGAGTTGAAGATGGCGAAGGAACCACCCAAGGTCAAATCGTTCGAGGGGCTGAGTCTTGGAGTCCCTTCGGAGATGCAGCCTACGTCAAGCAGACAACCCTCCGAAAGGCACTCCAGTTCGAAGAATACATCAAACACGAAGCCGATGTGAGAATTTTGCTTTCACGCTCTCCATGCCCTGGATCTGGAAACTCAATTGGGTCTTTGATTTCTCATGCTAGTGTCAGCTTTCGCGAATCGTCCGGTGGTCGAAGTGTGATGGCGTTCTTCAATTTACCGGGGCTCACAAAACAGGATGTGCACGTCAGCTACCAGCGGAATCGCTTGGTAGTGAGTTGGACGGAGGTAGAGGCGTTGGAGCGCGAAGAGCAGGGGGTTGTCGTCCGGGAACGCAGAGAGAGACAATGCAACAGAACGATCGCCCTACCAGAAGGAACAAAGGTGGGCCTACACTTGTAGTTGTTTGCACGATGTTGACACCCTCTGCGTTTAGTTTGAGGAAATACGTGCAGCGATGGACGATTCCCAACTCGTGCTCAGATACCCTAATATTCGCTCGAGAGCCGGGGAGTCCAGATCGAGGCAGCGCAGCCGGGGGACTTCATAAACGTTGACATCCTTGCGGATTCGTCACGGAATCAAATTAGCCCTCTGCAGCAGCGCATTGAGTCATTTACTGTATATCGGCCACGATGGCCTCTACTTACCCACATCAACATCCACATATCCATGCTGTTCAACGCTGTCCTCCATAGTATACGAGATACATATGAACATAGTATTTATTCGCCTGGATAGTTGTAGTACTAGTTTGATCGCTTTCATTCCCAATTATTGCATAACGCGAGTATTTTGACATTTCGAGATTCAACTCCCTAAACAACCGACGTTCGTAGACCTAGTTGTAAGGTCGTTGAATTCAACTGATGCCCCCCAGCGCTGAGCGCTTCTATGGGCGCTTGAGTGGGCGCTGTAATGATATCTCTTCAGAAGCTTCTCTTCCACATTCCATCTCGTTCTCAACTTCTTTACTTTATGCTCATATCCTATTAGTGATGGCAAGTACCGCATCTTCCGCACGACCTTCCCAGTGGACTGCTGGTCCCGCAGTTCAAGCTTCTTTTCCCGGACCACATCGTGGCTTTGTCCCACCAGCCAGGAATCAACATCAGCGCTCAGCAACGAGTCCATTGTCAAACGAGTATAATCCAAATCAGCCATCAATACCACAAGCAGCAAGTCCTACACCCACGGGCAATAGCACAGGGGGAAACGGAATGGTGGCTTCCGTAGGAGACCACCCGCGCCCGGCCCTCTCGACCACAAATTCTGGACATAGTCGAGTGTCCTCGTTCTTCTCATTTCGCAAGAACAGCGCGTCGGATATAAGACCCAACGTAACCAGGTCTCTCAGCGGGAAGGATCAATTAAATGGACAAAATGTTAATGAATTTGGTCGTAGTGTTCCTCCTGGAGCTGGAGCACCCGTTGCTGGCCAAGGGCATGCGCCAGCATCACCGCCCGCAGGCCAGAACCCTCAACAACAACATACGCGTACCCGAACCCTGTCCAACACACCGTCATTGAATGGCGCGCAGGCACAGACACAACCGGCGCCTTTGCATCCCGAGATTCGTTCAATCGTCCAACTCACGATCGCCCATGCTCACAAAATCTATTTCTCTGGGCCTCTGGTACGACGGATCGAGAGACAACCCGACGGTCATCGACCCTCCAAGGACGAGGGATGGACGAATGTCTGGGCGCAGCTCGGAGGAACAACGCTGAGTATATGGGACATGAAACAGATCGAGGAGGCCAATAAGCATGGCAAAGAGGTTCCGCCAGCGTACGTTAACATAACCGATGCTGTAAGTATCATGTATAATCGCTGTACGCTCCATGTCTTTGACAAGTCTTCAGTTTGTGCAAGTACTAGGATCAGTCGCGGTTCCTACCGCCCCGGGTGCACCCCCAGGCCAGCCATATACAAACGTCATTGCCATTAATACTGCTGGGTCCAACTTACTGTTCTTCTCATGTCCCTCGACTGCTTCGCTGATCTCCTGGGCGTCCGCCCTACGCCTCTCGGCTTGGGAGAAATCAAGACTGGAAGAGATATACACTGCACACTTGCTGCGCATCAGCATCAATGGTATGCACCATTTCTTTTATTGTTTCGGGATTCCTGACCTCGTCCGTATATAGCGCGGGACACACCATCGACGTTGGTTCGTGGCAAGATGGAGGGCTGGGTGCGCGTTCGCGTAGCTGGCCAAACTGACTGGAAACTTCTCTGGATGGTCATCTCTTCCGCTGATGCACTGCCAATCTCACCGGGCGCAACCGCCACTAACTTCCCGGCTCCGAAGAAGAAGAGGATGTCGAACTTATTTTCACGACATGAAAATACCTCACAAAACTCTCAGACCAATGAAGCCGTTCCTGCACGAGCGGCGATTAATTTCTACGCTGGAGCTAAAACAAAGGAGAGGAAGAAAGCAATCCTGACGTTTAGCGATGTTACACAGGCCTTTGCTGTGTACCCTGAACGACCGGAGTTGATTAGCAGGAGTACGTTGATCAAGATGGAGGGCACGTTTGGAGATGACGAAGCCGCTCAGGCTATGAAACTGCGGGAAGGATGGATACTGATGATGCCTGAGCTGGAGGGCGGGTTGAGCCAGTCAAGCGAGATGCTGAAGTGGATCACCGCCCTGCATGACGCTTTCGAACTCTACGGACGGCCGCAAGCATGGACCTGGGATCCTCGCGATCCTGCCTCTCTGATGTTTGCTTATCCGGTTGGACCTCACAAAGATGTAAGGCACTCTTCTCAGCTCGCTGTTCGAGAAAGATAGTCGTTAACTGCTTTTCGTACTCCAGCTCCTGTTCCTCGACCGCGAGGCGGCCGAAGTTATGGACCCTCGCGAGGACCGCACTTCTGCAATCCGCTCGAAACTCCTCGAAACTCTTACCGATCGCATGCGGGCAATCGAACCTGGTCAACAGCCTACGGCTCAGCGCCCTCTACAACCTCCTGGACAAGCCGGACAACCACCGACTTCGACCGCTCCCCTTTCGCTCCCTCCGATACCGAATACGTCGGGAGCACCGCAGCAGAATCAGCAACCAGCGCAGCAACAGAGTACGACATTCTCAAGTGGATTTCAACTACCTCCTCTCAATTTCGACGCTGGACAGGCCGCCCAAGATAAACCACAGGAAGCGTCATATTTGACTCCAATCAAGGAGCAGAGCATTTCTAGCGACAACTACAGTGGAAGTGCCCAAGCCCCACTCCTACGGGTGCTTCGGGGCTACAGGAACAGTCATCCTTCATCCTCAACGACCCTTCGCGCAGAACTGTTAGTCCTACGCCGCATGCCGAGGAGACGTCAGGATCTGGTCCTGCGGTGCCGGGAAAGGGAGCGTTTAGTCCGAGCGTTGTTGGTTCTGGGGCTTCTTTTGCTCCGGCATCCCGGTTCAACTCAGACAAACCTACGGCATTGAACTCGCCTGCTCGAACTTCGATGGATAGCGCTGTGCGCGGTACAAGCCCTGCCAATGTACGGCTTCCAGGCTCTCCGGTAGAAGAACGGAAATCTGTGTTCTCTATGTCAAACGCTAGTGTCGATACTACCAATGTCGCTTCTCAGCAAACCAGAACCAACCAGTCCACTGCATCTTTGTCTAACAGCACGAAAGGAACAGCTTCACAGGAGCCTCCTGGATCGCCAAAGTCAATAAGCATGACCGTCCTCACTTCCCCACACTCACCTCTTCCTTCGCCCGTAATGAGACAGTCTACTGCTGCTCCGGGAGCTTATGGGAGGGATGCAGACGCTTCTTCTATCTTAACTTCTCCCCACTCCTTGATGACTTCTCCTCATTCTCCGATCGAGCCTACCCGGTCCTTTGGAGAATTCAATCGACTTGAAGGTCCTCAGCTCACGCCCCCTTCTTCACCGCCCAGGCAAAGTACAATGACCTCGAACGGGCCGTCTCCCTCTAACTCTGCTTCGTCATACAAGGCTCAACAACGGCGGCCTACCAGTGATGATTCGAATCTCCTAGCTGGGGAAGCTGGCGCCCTGTACTACATGCAGCATGTTGACGGTAACCAGCCGAGAAAACTTCCCATACCTTCGGGCGTGAATGGCGATGATGACTCTGATTCCGAATCAACAGAAGAAGACAACGGGTCTGTGAATGCCACGAAGTACTCTACACAGACACAGCGCACGCCTCCAAAGCGGCAAGGTACACCTATGGCATTCGACAGGTTTACATCAACTCCTGTAGACGTGCCACAACAACAGCGAGAATCACCGTCAGGATCGAGTGCCCGAAATAGCAGCCCAGACGACCGGCGCAGTCCGAAATCCAGGCCTACTTTTGGACGTAAGCCATCGGGCGCACGTGCCCCTGCTAAAAACCGCTTGCAAAACAACCACAATGGGGATTCCTCGTTGCCTTCTCACTCCGAACACGACGCTTCCAACAACGAGGCGAGCTATCAAGAAGCAGGCAAGAACATGAACGACACGCGCGTATCCCAAGGACAGGCTGCTCCACTCGCCCCACAAATGTCGAACTCGACATCAGAGGACATGGATGGAGACGCGTTAGCCGCGTTGAGCTATCTCACCGTGAACGATGAGGACGTCCCTCCTCCTATGCCACCTACACAAACTGTAGAGCCCTTGCGCACTAAATCGCCGCGTTCACATTCTTCCCCGTCACCCCCTCCCGCGTCAAACGAAGGCAGTGCACCTTTCAAATCATCGTTCGCACCATCCAAACAAGCTGCGGAGAGGAAGGCAAAAGCTCAAGCCCAGCAAGCTGCTCACCAAGCTGCGGTCCATAAGCCCGGTAGATCGAACGGCAAGCGGAAGTCGAGGGTGCCTGAAAGGGCTGTGTGGAATGAAAGTAGTGACGAGGAGGAGGAAGAAGACGAGGAGGAAGATGATGATGCGGACTCTGATGCTGTGCCGTCGCCACCCCTTGACCGGCGCTCAAGACAATCCTCCCCCAATGCAGGACCTCGTATGAACAAGCCAAACACCGGGCCAGATGTCCAAGCGCAGCCTCAGCCTACATATCCCAATCTCAGACCACCTCGTACGTTGCCTCAGATCCCTGGAGGCCGATCTGGTGTGTCCTATTCGTTCTAATTACTGCCTCTCCTGATCACGTTCCTTAGATTCTGAAGATTACAACGCACCTCCACCGCGTCGTGTTCCCGCTGACCAAGGCCCGTACTATGATGACGGCCAGCAATATCGCCCACAGTCCAATTACCCACAACTTGGAGCTGCTCGTCAGTCAGTATGGAGCCAAGTTCTTGACCCAGGTCGCAACCTTGGCGAGCAGAACACCAACAAACAGGATACCTTCATTCAACTAGAGCCGCCCTCGCAGACCATGACAAAGGCGTTCACACCTCAAGGTCTTCTTTCCGCTGGTATGCAGGATAAACAGGACCGATCAGCGAAACGTCAAGAAGAGCTTGCTCGTGAAAGTGGGGCCTCTCTAATCAACGTACCCAACAAACCTCCCCCTCCCCAGACTGGTCTACTCGGTGCCATTACCGCTCATGAGCGCGAACGTAAGCGAGAGGGCGGTGTAGGCGCTGCCCTGACCGAGCGCGAACGTGAAAAGCGAGTAGCGGAAGAGAGGCAGCGTAGATTCGACGAACAACAACGCCAGCAGATTGATCAAATGCAGCAAGGAGGAGCAATGTACGGCGGCCAGTTTGGATATAATCCCATGATGAACCCAATGATGATGGGTATGAATCCTATGATGGGCATGTCTCCCATGATGACCGGCGGCGCGATGCCCCCGATGATGACTGGACAAATGCCTGGACAGATGCCATACGGTAACATGATGGGTGGCTATAACCCTCAGCACATGTTCGCTGCTCAACAGGCAGCCCAAGCGTACCAGCAGGCGATGATGGCCTTCTCCGTTGCTGGCTCACAAGTTGGGGGAGAGGGTGGTGTTCCTGGCGCGGTCAATCCTATGATGACAGGCGGTGGCATGGGTGGTGGAATGGGCAACTTCGATCCTAGAATGTCTATGATGAGTATGATGGGACCTATGGGCATGGGTATGGGAGCGAATGGTATGGCAGCCAATCCAATGCAGATGCAAATGACAGGCGGTGGCATGTCGACATTCGATCCTCGATTCCCTCCTTCCATGAGCAACACACCTCCCAACGACATGGGTCTTGCGCCTCCTGGTGCTGTCGGCGGTCAAAACCACTCTTCCGGCACGAGCTCACCAGCCAGGAACGGCTCACCTCTTGCCCGCCCACCATCACAAGGAGAAGCAATGCGGTCATCTTCACGCCCCCCGACTCCTAAGCAGTAATCATGCTTCCAACATAACGTTGGCCAAGATTCGCTCGTTTCCTTCAGGTTTCTTTTGGTATTATACCTCCTAGATTCTTTCACATTTACTTTTCGAATCTTGATAGTACTACGTTTCAACTCTTTGTTAGTTTTACATCATGATATCCCGGACTCTATGTTATACAATGCATCTTCGTTACCAAAAGTATTCCTCTCTTTTTTAGGACTTCTGTTTCAGTGCGTAGTAATGACAACACGTGCACCGATCATTATTTCTTCAATGCAACAACTTTGAATGGACCGAGTCATCTATCATCTTGTCCTCATACCCATGGCAAAACGCTGCAAGTCATCCTCGTAGTAGTGCGCAATGGGTGTCAAGTCCTTGTGGAGCCTGCTGACTCCTGTTGGCCGCCCAGTCATGTACGAAGCTCTTCCAATTTGGACGTCGGCGGGATGCTGATCCAACCAGGCTGGAAACGGTCGAAGGCAAGACAATGGCCATCGACTCGAGTATATGGATATATCAGTTCCAAGCAACCATGCGTGATAAGGAGGGCCGTGCCTTGTCGAACGCTCATGTCCTTGGATTTCTGCGACGTATAACCAAACTCTTGTTCTATGGCATCAAACCAGTATTCGTCTTCGATGGTGGAGCACCTGTACTTAAGCGGAATACCATTGTAAGTTGCCAAGATGTCTACTAGAAGGAGAGTATTGTTACTGATACGTATCTAGACTGAGAGGAAGAACAAGAAACGAGGTGCTGCATCAAGTCACGTAAAGGTCGCGGAGAAATTACTTGCTGCCCAGCTGAGACGCGAGGCTTTAAACCACATTGAAGGCGCGAAGTGGGTTCGGATTCAATCCCTGATGCTGTCCTTTCTGATCATCTTCAGGTCATCCAAAGACAAAGGGAAAGGGAAAGCGGAGTCGGGGCCAGTGAGGCTGGATGATAATACAGTCTATCTCGAGGATCTTGACCAGAGGATACCTCGATCTCCTGTGAAGAGAGTACCGGATTCTAAGTCACCAAAGAACAACTCACCCAAGAAGAAATTCTATGATCATGATCCCTATAAGCTTCCTGAGGTCGACCTCAACGATGTCATCTCCAAAGCCACTCAATCTACCGCTCCAGATCCCCGTCTCGCTACTGAAGATGAACTACAAGCTTTTATCGAGGATATGCGGCCAGAGGACTTCGATGTCACGTCGCCTGCCTTTCGAGAGTTACCGACCGAAGTTCAATACGAGATCATTGGTGATTTACGTCTCAAATCTCGACAAACGTCGTACCATAGGTTGCAGAATATGCTCCGAAGCGCTCGAACTCCTTTAGATTTCTCCAAGCAACAAATACTCAACTTGAAGCAAAGAAACGCATTGACGCAACAGCTATTGTCGACCACTGATAGTATCGGGAAGGCTCATATTGAAATCCCTATTCGCATTGCTAGCGAACGGAATAGGGAGTATGTTCTGGTGAAGAACGAAGGAGCAAATGGCGGATGGATCCTGGGTATTCGTGACGACGGAACTAGGGACAAGCCTATTGAGATAGATCAAGACGACGATAAACAAGCTGCTGGCAACGATAGCGACGCCGACATGGATGAGGTCGACCTGTAAGTAGTCTTCCGTAACATTTCAATGGCGCAATCAATTGTTTTCTGTGCGCAGCGGGAAGGAACAAACAATCGATGAGGATCTCCGTCGTCATCGTAGGGAAATGGCCTTGACTGCCCTCTCAAACCGATATGTTTCCAAACCCCTCGCTCCTTTGACCACTAAATCTAATGTGGTGAAGTCAAAAACACCTCTGTTCGATCTTACCGATGACGAGAGCGACGCAGGAGTAAACCACTTCGACGCTCACTCTGACGATGATCAAGCCCTAGCGTATGCTATCCAACAGTCATTGGACAGCAGTCAGGTATATAACGCCCATGCTGGATCTCCAGGCGAGTCGCCTAAATTATTTACGACACCACCGAAGCCCCTACAAGCCAAGCAGTCAGAGGATGCCATCTTGTATTATAATCGTCTGGAGACTGCACTGTCTATAGGAGGCGCGGGTCCTTCTCGAACGCCCATGAAGAGCCCTCTCTTCCCAACGAAAATCACCAGTCTGGCAAAACCCAGGTCTCCGTCTCCGCAGTTGGAATACGCTTCAGACCTTGAACCTGCATCATTCGATCCATACCGCCCGGTCACGCCTTCCCCATCTTCACCAACACATGGCACTGTCCAAGACTTGGGTTCCTCAAGCGACGAGGACATGGAAGAAGTCCTTCCTGTCTCACTTCCGGCTGCCGTTGATCTAGGTGTAGATGCCGGGTCGAGCACCTCTGAAAAGATTTCGCCGCCCACAGTTCATTTTCGTCTAGACCCATCATTGCTTGCGCCAGCTGACGCAACTTCGAAGGATGCTGTTGACCATTCCGCCGAGACGAAAACGCCAGGGACGATCGAGGTAGATACTCAGGAGCAATTGCACCCGTTTGCACCCGTGTCGAAAGCGAGCAACGTAGGCACATCTGGATTCGCCGTCTCCTTCAAGTTAGACTCCACTATCTTGAATACCAACACGGATCAAACCAAGGCCATACTCGATGACAATGTCTCTAGCGCCGAAGAGGAGGAGGGGGACGCAGACGTCTTATCCCGATCCCCGTCTCCCTCAATTCACGACACCGCGGAAGATGTAAATGCCGGTAGGGCGGAACCGCTCAAGGACGAATCTTGGGATGCTGTTCAGGAGATCGATGTTGTGGCGGAAGAGGATGAGTACGTTCGTTTTATGTCGCAAGTCCAGGGAAAGGACCTTGATGCAGTTCGACGTGAAATTGACGATGAAATCAAGACCCTCAATCAAGAGCGGAAGGCAGCCATGAGAGACTCGGAGGACATCACACAACAGATGATCTCACAAATCATGGTAAAACATCACAATCTGTCAAAATGGACAAACACTCATGGAACATATTAGACGATGTTGCGACTGTTCGGAATTCCCTATATCACAGCTCCAATGGAAGCCGAAGCGCAGTGTGCTACTTTAGTGTCGCTTGGGCTTGTTGAAGGTATCATCACGGACGACTCTGACGTCTTCTTATTTGGCGGACAGCGGGTCTTCAAGAACATGTTCAACCAGTCGAAGACGGTGGAGTGTTTCTTACTTGCCGACCTTGCTAGAGAGTTGGGTCTAGGCCGAGACACCCTCATTCGTCTGGCATATTTGCTCGGAAGCGACTACGTCGAGGGTTTGCCTGGTGTGGGCCCCGTCGTAGCAATGGAATTGCTGAAGGAGTTCCCAGGAGAAGATGGGTTGCATAAATTCAAGGAATGGTGGCTGAAGGTCCAAAGTGGCAAAGATAAACCCGAGGTCAACAAGTCTGCTTTCCGCAAACGGTTTGTGAGTTTCTGTGTAGTTCACGCTCCCATGCTCTTCACGTTGCTGATATCTTGATGGTCAGAAGAAGAAATTCAAGAAACTTTATCTACCTCAAGATTGGCCTAATAGCGCCGTTGTGCGTTTGCTTTCCTACTGCACTTTTTTTGTAATAGTCGTTCACTTTGTCAGCGAGACGCATATTATCATCCTACGGTCGATGAGTCGGACGAACCGTTTAAATGGGGTTTACCCGACCTAGACGGCCTTCGAATGTACATTTTCAACTTTATCCTCTACGGTACCTTGTCTTATCCCATGTAGGTTCCTCCAGGAAGAACTTGGTTGGCATCAAGTCAAAGTTGACGAACTATTGTTACCCATCATCCAAAAAGTGGGAAAGCGTGTTCAGGTGCGTATTTCAGAAATAAGCTTTACCACTACCTTTATTTACGAAGCTAACGGCGATGACAGGCGGCAGCGCTAAACAAACAAGGGACCTTGAATGAATACTTCGACCTTTCCGTTGGCCAAGGCACGTATGCGCCCAGGAAGCGTACAGCGTATGCAAGTAAGAGGTTGCAAAAGGTGGTGGCCGATTTCAGGAAGAGCAACTCATCTCGGAGCGCAACACCAATGGTAGAGGCAGGTGTATTGGGAAGCTCTGAAGATGAAGCGGGCCCAAAGAAGAAGAGGACGAAGCGCGTTCAAGAGAGCGTTCAGGGTGAAGGGAGTCATGGCGTGGCCAGAACCGGGAAAGGGCGAGGGAGAGGGAAGGGTGTCCGCGGGCGAGGGAGAGGCAGAAATATGGCCAACCAAAGAGCCCATCAGGAGAGCGAATCTTCTGCTTCAGACCCGACACCTGAGGGGAGCGAGCTCTCCGATACTGGATTGCCTCCTCCAACTCTTCCTCCCGCCGAAGCAAAAGAGAGACCTCGTCCGCGACGTTTAGCTCGTGTATAGTGCATTGCGATTAAGATACAGGATCAGTGCCACGAAGCAGAACGAGCCGCCAAAAGTAGAAGACATCGGTGTCATGGCACGATGTATACATCCCGAGGTTCGAACTCGATGTATCACTGTGTTCGCCGGGTTCGTTAGCGGTGGCTTAGGGAAAGGAGGATAGAGTGTTCAGTGTGTACCAAGTACTAACACATTACCAAGTCATGCAGACTGCTTTGCGCTAGCCTCTTTGGTGTAGGAATGAATATCCTTCTCAGATCCCTGGTGTTCAATTACCTGCAAGGAAGACTCGACGCTTCTATCTCGCTGTTGACGCCTCGGCAGCAGAACGAAATTCGATTGCTAAATCACACTCCTCCAACTCTCACAGACCACAAGACTCCAGCCACATCATCATGCGCAAGACATCCGAACTCGACGCGCTGGATACAGAGTCGAGCCTCAGCTTAGATTATGAAACGACAGGTCAAAACATGCGTTGAGATGTTGGTCATCATTCATGTACCTTCGACGTCCGCGGAAATGAGCGATGGTCATGGTAGCGAAGGACCCGATGTCTATAGCCTCTTCTTTTGTAAGAGGTTCCCGCCGTTGGGCGACACTTGTAAATGATACCTCGGCCCATTGCATTTCGATGCCGAGTAGCAATGTGGTGTGGGCAGTCGGATCCACATCGTAAATCGACAGGCCTGGTGAGTTTTATGACTGCCAACTCCTGTACTCGTTTGATCTCGAGCCTCTCTGCGGTGCGGAGGATGCTTAGCCATTTTTAGTTGGTGCTTCGCGTTGTAGTGATCTAAAACGCTAGTGATTTCCGGAACACCGAATCCATGTCGAGTGACGCACTCATCGTGAAAGACCCATAGAAGGTCCTCAAAATCTTCTTGTGTGATCTGGGAAATAAGTATTGGTGTCCCTGGTTTGATCCATCAGTTGCACTCCCAGCAACTGTGTTGCTGATAGCAGAGGGTGACAGGAGATGCTTGTAAACCTTAAACAGGACATCCTCAACCTGCATAACCCAGCGTTTGGAGCTGCTAATCTGATGCTGTTCTGGACAACTAACCTGGACGTAAAGGTCGCCATCCTCGAAGTAGTACTTCCCCCTGGAGGCCGCCACCGTACCCTGAGATTCTGCACCATCGGAATAGGGGACGACAGGGTCAAGGAGGGCACAGTGAGTAGGCTATCGGCCACAGCTCGCAGTGCAAATGCATAGGGAATGCGGCACATGGGATCAGCACAACTATGATCATATATATATATATACGTCGTATCACCACTGCGCTGATACAAAATAGGCTAAACTCGTGCAGCGAGTTCCGTTGTTCCATTGTACAATACATATTGTCATCGTCGCTAGACAATGTAAAGGTATCCTCTCGATATATGATTTTACCAGTCGTGCACATAGGCTGATATCCCAATAAAAAACACATCGTGGTATAAGATGCGCACTTCAGTAGCAGCAACTGGTTTCGATCCAGTGACCTCAGGGTTATGGGCCCTGCGCGCTTCCCCTGCGCCATGCTGCTATTGCTTATGAACGCCGAAGGAGGTGCTAAGTGAGGCAAGTCACTCATCCATACAAGAACTGAGAAGCAGCGAGGGTGAATGAGATCGGATATGACCCCCAGAAACGTGACATTGCAGCGATTACAGCGGGACTAAAGCTCTACCTACACGATCTCCTGATGAAGATGAACTGTCTGTTAATGAAGGTTGAACCAACAGCATAGGTTCGCATAATGCCAAGGCCCTGGAGTGATTTGCATGGAAGTATCGTACTCTAGTGTTTACTCACGTCTGTGGGCTAACGTTAATAATTGGCTAGATAGTCCTGGCAATCCCCATGTACAAGGACAAGTCTAAGAGACATCTATGGACATCACTCTTCATCATCAATGGCCTCTATTCTAGCCTGTGGAAGAAAGCCCGCTAGTTCGGCTGGCGAAGCGAAAAGAATGTGCGTGCAACTTACTTTGTTATCTTCCAATCCGCCGAGTTCTGTGACAAGCCCGGAGAATGGGTATTCACGTCGGATGGACGGCATTTCCGGGACATTATATTTGGCAATGAGTCCGAATGTGACGAAGCCGAGAGCAACGAGTGTGAATTGGAAGAGTGCACGGGATGGCTCTATCGGCGGGATGTCCGGCCCCCACATCGACAGTATCTCGTCCTTGTCGTGCAGCTATCGTTGACTAGTCAGTGTCCTGTATCAAGGGGAATATATAGGCATTTCACAGTGTCGCCGTAGTTCCTCCTCATGAGTGAGTCTTGCCAACCCTTGGCCGGTAGATATTGACTTGAAGTAAACGGAAGTTGAGGGTATCCGAGTAGCTGGGGATCTGTCTCCTCCTTTGGTGGCGTCGCGTAGGCCCGACGGCCAAGCAGCGACGGCTGGGCGCACTGAACGAGAGGCCGACTGGCGGCGGCGCGCGCGCCAGCGACTCGGCGAACGACGGTGGAAGACAACATGGTGAAGCGTGGGAATGTCTGGCGCGGAGTTTAACAGCAGAAAGGGACCAAAATGAGCACGTGGGGACGGGGATCAGTATTATTTTCGGGAGTATATTTCGCTTGAGGTTTTATTTTGCAGGAAACTCAAGGACCCTTGTTCCTTTCCTTCTCCAGAATTTAGACAACCTCCGGCCATCATGGGGTGACCGTAATTTTTTATTGGCGATCTCGAGATTCAAGCTTGTATATATACCACAACCTTGCGGTAAATTGAGCTGCTCTTTCCCCCTCGCCTTCATCATGGCTGCGCCCCCCATGGAGAAGGACGTATCTGACCAACTGCTGCGCCAGCGCAAAGTGCGTCGCAAGGTTGGCGAGGTACCATATCCACTGCGGTACACAATGGAGATGCTCAATTTGTGAGATCCAAGTCACCTCGCCTCCTCGTACCCGTACTAAATGAGAGCTGCACCCCAACTCAGCGACATTTGGGATCATATGTTCCTCACTAGTTGTTGCAGGAAACTCACGATGCATCAATTCGATGTCCCCCCTCCGATGGTACTTGACTTGGGATGTGGAGGTGGCTATTGGGCGATGGAGGCCGCCCGACAATGGCTAGTATGTAATTTTCTTGGTGCGCGCATTCAATCAGTGGCTCACTCGCAGCGCTACAGGGCAGTACGATCATCGGGTTTGACTACTATAGAGTTCAGCCGAACCTTTCTGTGCTGCCGTCGCATAGAGACCTAGCCCGTCGGGTCCAATGGGTCCATGGAAATTTGTTCGTGAGACCATCGTGCAGCGCACCTGAGAAATCCGCTTGTCTCACTCCTCATCTCTCAGGCTGGATAGTCTTCCATTTCCCCCTTCACATTTCGACTTCGTGCGAGTTGCCGGCATTGGTCTGGGTGTTCCCGAAGATGAGGTACGTGAATCAAGCCACCAGATAACATATTTATCGGACATTAACAATCATGGGGCGTTAGTGGCAGTTTGTCTTGGAGGTATATTTTTACACTCCACTTTGGCGCTTGGTATCCCCATTCTGACGGGTTCATTATTAAAGGACATCGCGCGCGTCATGAAGCCAGGCGGCGTTCTTGAGGTACGCGAATTTATTTGCGAATATCAAAGGTGTAAATGGAACAGAAATATATGGCCACCCTCCACAGATAATCGAGGAAGATCTGATTTTCCCTTGCGCTCGACCGCCAAAGCCACGCCTTTCGCCCATCTCCTTCGACGTTTTCCCCGGGAATCCCATCACGCCAAATCCTTACTCAGCGCGAAGCTCGACTACACTCCTTTCTGACCCCTGGTCCGTTAATGTCGATGACCAGCCCCATGCTGATGGATCTATCAGGAAGCAGGCTAGCCTCTCCACGCTGCATGAATCGCCCATTTCGACGTCCCCTCGCTCTCCTTTCAGCCCCAACCCTTCGTTTAGTTTCCCCCTACCCGATGAACCCGCACCACTCGAAAGCGATCCCCATCCCCAGGATCACACGCGGCTAAAGGCGGCATGGGAAGCCATGCTCTCGCGCCGATTTCTGTCGTCACAACTCATTACAGTCCTTCCATTCTATCTCTCCTCCTACTTCGTGGATGTGCAGACCCACCCCTCGTTATCGATCCCACTCCCACCCAACTCACACTCGACTTTACGGAAGAATTCCCTTGGTCGTACATCTACTCATGATTCTATCACCATAGGCGACCGCTTCGACCCGGACAGCGCCTTTGAGCTGTCGCCCTCGTCTAAACGTCGGTCCAGCGAAGGAGACCACACAACCAATTCCACGGCTAAAAAGTCATCGCAGCGCACTGTGCCGTCGTGGGCGCCTATGCATCTAGCTCGAACGGTGAACACTATCGTGGGCTGCAAAGAAGCCATTTGGGAAGAGTACGACCAACTGTACCGTGATAAACCCTCTTCCACACCGATACTCAAAACGTTTCGTCCGAAGAAGTCGCTCACTAGTCCCAATGGGACTCTCAATCCCATACACTTGGAGACTGCCAACCCTTCCGCTCGAGAAGAATTCGATATAGCCTGGGCCAACTGGGAAAAGTGGGTGCATCCGTTTTCGTGTTCCGCTTTGGGTTAAATGGGCGAGGAATGTGCTAACAATAATCGATGTACAGTGATATGAAGGATCGGACTGGGATGAGAGGGCGAATCATCTCCGAGTGTGCGTGGCCGGAGCCCGAAGGCGACCGTCCGGACTGGAGAGTTTGGCGCGATAACCTGGAAACGAAACTCTCTCCGCGCGTTCCTTCCGTAAAGAGCTCGCTGAATGAAATACCGGAGCTTTGCAGGTCAATGCGAGGGTTCGTCGCGTGGAAGCCGACATCATAACGCCGCATACCCAACACATTCTTTTTTTCTTTCATTTTTCGCCGCTATCCATCTATCTATTAATCACTCGTATATGCATCCGTCCCCCCTGCTTTGATTGCAAGCCACTTTCGACGGATCACTAGACATCAAATATCAAGGATCGTAGACTTCTCATCTCGTTGGGATCAGATATACCTTGGAAACTTACGCTGTATATATATATACCATCTGTTGTGGGAGATAACTTGTATATGCAATATACACCTGAAGTTGCAAGATCATTCATTTCCTTACTTCCAGCCTGTGGATCGATCGCAAACGGATAAGGCAACCTGGCCATCTCCGTGATCGACTCTATTGAAGACAGGGGTCCTGGAATTGCACGCGCCTGATAATTTCGCCCAATCCTTTTTCCAGCCACCGCACCCTCCTCCTCCCACTCATTAAATAAAAATGTCTGATACCGAAACGCCTGCAGCCCCTCCTGTCGAAAAGAAACAGGTTCCGACAAATGAAGTCGATCTCACGAAATACAAGGTACCGTTTCGCAAATCACCTCGTTAGCGAATGATCTATTCATCATCGAAGGGGCTTTTCGATCGCGACGTAATCTACTACCTGGGTTGCAGACTGCGGCAGATATTGTGAACCAAGTGGTCAAGAAGTTGATTGATCTTTGCGTCGAGGGCGCGAAAGTGCTCGATATCTGTGTCGAGGGGGACAAGCTCCTCGAGGAAGGCACTGGGGCCGTTTACAACAAAGCCGTCAAAGGTGTCAAAGTACAGAAAGGTGAGCATCGGTCTTACCAGTTGGCCGAATCATCGCTGATGTTAGAGGGAAATCGTAGGCATCGCCTTTCCTACAAGTATATCTGTCAACAACTGTGTGGCTCACTTTTCACCGTTGGCGTACGTTTGTTTGAAGCTTGATCATGCATTGGGTTTATTTGACATGGCATACGGGTCTTAGGTCGGATCCCCTCTCATCGCAGCTCCTTGCCAAAGACGATGTCGTTAAGATTCATGTCGGTGCCCACATCGACGGCTATGCTGCCGTGTCTGCTGAGACAATCGTCGTGGGCGCATCACCTGAGAACCCCGTAACCGGTCGCCGAGCCGATGCGATCAAGGCCGCATGGCACGCCGCTGAAATCGCTATGCGCCACATCAAAGTGGGCAACAAAAATTGGGCCGTCACTGAAGCCGTCGGAAAGATCGTGTCGACTTGGGATTGCAAGCCCGTAGAAGGTGCGTTGATTTTCCCGACGTTACTTTATTTTCTTTTTTTTTGGCACCGGTCGATCGCGGTTTGACTGACGTATATGTGATAGGCATGCTCTCCTGCCAGCAAACGCAAAATGTTATTGATGGCAAGAAGCGCATCATTCTCAACCCTAGTGAATCGCAGAAACGTGAATTCGAGACGATAACGTTCGCCGAGAACGAAGTCTATGGCATGGACATCTTGATCTCGACTGGAGAGGACGGAAAGGTGATTGAGCCTTTTCGGCTCGCGGTCGACATTCTTTTCGTTTCTAACCGTGGTTTAATTGTAGGCTCGTCTGGAGGAGTCGAGAACCACCATCTACCAGCGTGACTCCACTGTTACCTACCAGTTGAAGATGAAGACTTCCCGAGCCGTGTTCTCTGAGGTACAGAAGAAGTCTGGGGCCTTCCCCTTCAACATCCGCTGTCTCGAAGATGAGAAACGAGCGCGCATGGGTCTTCAGGAGGCCGTCCAGCATAGTTTAGTGAAACCCTACGAAGTGATGTCAGCGTTCGATCCGTCTCTGTGTGTGTTTACCTACTTACGTGCCCGTCTTCTTCTTCCAGCTACACTCCCGCTGGCACCTTCGTTGCCGCTTTCCACTTTACGATCGCCCTTCTCCCCGCCGGCCCTGCCTTAATCACCCACCCACCGGTGTGGTATAAGCCGGAGCTTGTCAAGACCGAGAAGGAGCTAGAGGACGAAGAGACCAAGGCCCTCCTCGCCAGAAATTTGCGACCTACCAAGTCCAAGAAGAAGAAGACAAAGGCTGACGGTGAGGCCGAAGGTGACGATAACTGAGTAATTGTTGGCCATGGATGGATGAAAGTCAAACTCGAACATGTCGAAGCTGTAGTGATGTCAAATGGACATTGCGTAGTTGTCAATTGTATTTCGTACAACCTCTCCCACACCGAATGTGAATATTATCGTTGAATGTATCATGTTACATTGCCGTTAATCTGTAAGCCCGCGATCATGGCACCCTCGGGCGTGGTGCATTAACCACCATTGACATGAGGATTCGCTTATCGTGATCCTGGTGGTAGCGACGCAGCAGGTTCTTTGTCGGAACCCCGTTCAGCATCGTCGCCAAACTCAGCCAACGTTCGAGCCACCAAATCGACGTTTTCGAGGAAAGAGTTGACGGCCAAGCGAGCGAGTCTGACCGTCAGCGTTTCGAATGACCTGCAGACAAAACATAAGTCAGTCGTCGTCCATGCGATACAGCAAAGAGCTTACCCTATGAGTGTATCATCGTCTACATCGAGCTGGCGTTTCACTGCCTGTGGTTGGAGTTCCGCGTCGACCTCGATGGTCTGTTTCGCGATGGTCGCGTGCTTGTGGGATGCAAAAGGAATCCGTACTACGCTGAGACAAGTTTAGCTGGATCTAATCTTTACGTGAAACGAGATTCTTACATCCTATGCCATTGTGCATCAGGCTCTGACATGATGGTAAGCGATAGGAATTATCTAACCTCAAACCTCTGAGATTTCCTGTTCGCGCGAATGCAGACCGATGATAGGATGGACAACAAATTTCCATTCGACAGATCAACAGTAAACTAGTACTCCTACGTAATAATGCAACTCGCAGAGGATGAACGACACAGTTGATGAAATAATGATAAGTAGCGGAGGGTGCCCGGGTCAAACAACGAGAAGTTATGGCTACATTAAAAACGGGGGAGGAAAGTAGAAATGTTGATCACAACCAGCTCGTCACGTCGTAAAAACTCTTCATGAAACGAGAAAGAATCAACACCAACCGCCTCCACACAAAAAATGAACCCCTCGGGACAAACGCGACTCTGCTCTCTAGTACAAATCGGAACATAAAAGAAACTGGACAGTAGTATACCTGCGCTTATAAGCGTGATACAAGGGTGTGTATCGCCAGGATAGGGTAGGTTGGGACGCCGCTTGGGTATAGACCTTGGCCCATTAGAGATTGCGGGTGGGTATATTCACAGGGAGAGAACAAGGCCGGCCAGGACGGCGGAGACCACCATCGCGGAAATGCTCGTTGTGTGAAAGGCCGAAGCAGAGTTTTGGGCTGCCTTGGAGAAGGGATCGGAACCGGCGTTCGCGGCACCAACGGGGGTAGGCGCGACGGAAGACGTGGCGACAGTGGTTTGCGTAGCAGCGGGAACGACAAGACTGTCCAAGAGAAGGGTTAAGTACGTAGCAGAATATTAACATACTGGACGTACGTTGTACCGCCTACTGCAATAGCAGGAACCGATGATGACCCAGTACTTGTAGAAGCAGCACCAGAGGAAACGGCAGATGAAGAGCCTAGGGCGAGGAGGGCAGGGGGGACACAGGACGCATCATTACTACCCTTGACAGTGATCTTTTCCAAATTATTGAGCCAAGCATTTCTCACAAGGCGAAAAAAATCCGGCTTACAGTCTCAGTCCATGCCTCTTCACCGTCCACGTCTTCGATGGACAGCTGAACTTTGATTCCAGCTGGGAGGGCTACCTTCCATGCACCAGTTGTGCTATCGAAATCCCCAAGGTCGGCACTGCTCACGTCCCCTCAGTCAGTGACACGAAAAATGAACATTGTGAGGCCAGTGCTCACAGTGCGTCGCCACATGGGTCAGAGGCCTTGGTGATGAGGATGTTGTATGGCCCCTTCGTCTTCTGCCAGCTGAATTTCGCCTCTTGACACTGGGAGAAATGGAAAGGTTAAATCCTTGTTATCGTCATAGATCAAAAATAGAGCGTGCTCACCTGGGTGAATTCTGGCTGGGAGACAGCGAAATCGGCGAAAACGCCTTGGATGGAGAGGGATGCGAGGAGGGAAACGGTAATGAGTGTGTTGAACATTTCGTGTACAGGTGGGGGGTTAACGAGGGGAAAAGGTCGGAGACGGCGAGATGAAGGGAGTTGAAAAGAGAGATGAGAGAAACACAAGCACAAACGCACCAGGCAACCGCATGGGCGCTGCCAAACACGACCAAATACCCCCATGAACACAATGGGCCAAATGGCAACAGCATCAGAATCACATCAATCGGCCCGTTGCAACGTTGGATGCAATTCCGACAATATTATTAACACAGCCTTCCGACGACAAAGAAATAATTTACAGCTTGGCTTTGCCTTTGAACGACGCAAGCATGGTCCGTTTCGATATCCTGCAAAAATGTCACCATGGTCACCTCCCCATGGTTCCAGACGAGGTCCATGATATAAAACGCACCCAGAATGCGCAACGGCCGAGGGCATTTCTCTCAATCCTTCCACGGGGACACGTTGTTCCATGGCCACATAATCCCGCTTCGGAGCACCAACATAGATCTGCCGGAAGGTTTCAGCGTGTCTGTCTTCGCGTTTTTGCTACCCCAGCACGTTGCTTACCTGTCGGGGTCGCCAGATTTTTACACCCCCTTCTTGCAGCATCATCTAGCAGACGCTCAGGGTATCAGTCTCTGTAACTATCCCACACAAAACACGACTTACCTGACGCCAATGCGCCAGCCATCCGACAACGCGAGGCACGGCAAATAGGACCGGGAAGAAATCCAGGGGGAAACCTAACGTAAATGTCGAGTCTCAGTCCGTTTCCCAAGGATACCGAAGCACTTCCACTTACCCATTGCACGGTAGATCAGGCCACTGTCGAGGTTTGCAATGAGTATTCGCACAGTATGTCAGTGACGCAAGCATTCTCACCTCCTATAGAAGGTTCACCATACATTAGTCAGTTGATGAAAGCAGCGGAACTAAATGACATGCGTACCAGAAGTCGACGTTCGGAGCCAGTTTCCGCTTGACGAAGTACTCATCCTTCATCGCGGCCTCGTGTAGGGCCATGGCCGTTTCCAGCAACTCGTCCTTACCAGTACTACGGTATTTGGGGTTATTCAGAATATCCACCCCAAAATCGAGGCAAAAACACTAACACTTTGAAGACTTCGTCCGCCATCTTACGCACGATGAAGGATCGGGGGTCCGACTAGCCCGACCAACATCAGATCCGTTCACACAGGGTCAAGAAGCGTACATACCGTCTTATACACGCTAAAGAAGGCAATCAGCGCTAGCTAGCAATGATACACGGCTTAATGAACCCACCGGTGACCAAATCCAGAAAGTACCTTCTCCCGATTTTTTACTGCCTCGATGAATGCCGGAACATTTTCCGGTCTAATAAGTAGTTAGCATCTCTTCGAAGCCTGGCCGACGCCGGGTAGATGTTTACCTTCCGATCGAGATCAGCATTCGAATGACGGCTTCATTGGCACCACCTACAAAGAGCCGTTAGTTCATTGTACGAAGCAAATAGATCCTCTAAAAATATACCATGTAGCGGTCCACTATAAGTGTGTGTGAATGATCAGGAGTGGAACGCTCAATAGTCTCGCAACTCACTACAAGGATGCACAACCAGCGCTACAGATTGACTATTAGTATCATCCTTTCGGCAACAGTCATAAAAGCGCTTACGCCACGGCTGAATACGGGTCAACTAGAGAGCTACCTGTTTGTAGCACTGTAGTTGCTGATGCGTTAAGCTCGTGGTCGGCGTGGATAAGGAATAGGACATCCAAGGCCTTCTCTAGCACGGGATTCGGTTTGTAGTCAGTTTCACCTAGGTGATCCATTTGGTAGAGGAATCTATTTCTTTCGTTAGGCGACAAGCGAAACGAACCGTTCAGGACTTACGAGCCCGTATAGCTAAGACCTGTGGGTGGTGTGACGAACTCTCGACCTTGACGAACTCGGTAAGCCATTCTAAAGCATTCGAATGCGTCACCAAAACAACTATACACCAGAATCCGACGAAACTCACGCTGCCAACGTCGTGGCTTTGCCAATTAGCCTGTAGATCTGTTTATCTATGATCGCGAGCGAAGCTGCGTCGCCCTTTGTGAACAAGTTTTGGCCTAAAACATGTCACATTAACTCGATCACTTAATACAATGGAAGTTTCCACATACCTTGTAGAGAAGGGTTTGCTTCGCTGTAGTATGATCCAAGGTATGCCAATGCGCTGGTCAGAATGGCCATAGGGTGGGCATCGTATCTACGATCGATATTAAGTATTAGCTGCTGTATTGCTGCAACTCTTCACATCCTTACCTGAATGATCGGAAGAATTGCTCAGCATCGGCATGCACAACACTGTGGTGCATAACTTCATCCTGGAAGACCTTATATTGAGCAGATGTCGGTAGCGAGCCATAAATCAAGAGATATGCTATAGCACGGGGTTCAGCATCTGGTGAGAGAGAACACCGACTCAATGTGGACTTACCGGTTTCAAGATGAGAAGACTGGAGGGCCAGCTGCTCGATAGGATACCCCCTTCATTTGCTTTCAGTTCAATGTTTCAATAGCATAAGGCCATTCATTTCACCTGTAGCGCAGCACTGAGACAATGGTGTCAGCGTGTGCTGAGTCGAAGAAAACAACGTAGACACTCACCACCTGCGTCGCCATCAATATACGTGATCTTGCTTCGCAACACCGCCGTATTCAAGAACCCCTTGTCCTGAACGCGTAGCCCTTTCTCCGTCTCATTCTCCTCTCTTTCACCTTTGGCCTTCGGTGCAGATATGGCCTTAAATGCGGTCGCCGAGATGCTGTTATCTTCGATTCTACGCAGCCGACTATCAATCAGCCATTCACTAAACAAAACAACGAAATCTTCACTTACGGGATGGTGTAGGTCTTCCCGGTACGATTATCGCGAACACTCAATGTATTGTCGGAAGCTGCGTTTTCTATGGGTCGTCCCATGATAGTGTGATGTGGGGGTGTAGTGGGGAGATGGAGATTGATGGCAGGAGGCAAGCTTCATACTTATACCGTCTGCTACCAAGTCGCGTCTGGAAATGGTATGTTCTAGCGCTCATGATGCTCTACTGAGACAATCACATGTGGAGCTGCTGTGTACTGGGCGCTAAAATGTCGTCTGGATCTCAGGGAGCTCGGAAACGGAAGAGGACTGTCTGCGCAGGGCCTCAGCGTTCCTGTACGCACTTCCGTTCCCTCACAAGATCACATTCAGCCCGAAGCTCACCGAAGTTGTTTCTCTCAAGTTGGAGGCTACACTGCAGAGGGCGTTGCAGCATTGGTCGGCTCTTGCTTTATCACGACTCCGGCAACTAGAGCATCCGGAGCATTCATGCGAAGCGGTTTGCGACACCGGAAGATCTCATAGCGGATAGGATGTGATAATATAGTGCTGAATATGTAAATACTAATTGGGAAGTATCCCGAACCACGTTGAACCACGCACTCAACTATCCCGGGGCATGCCGATTATAAAATGTTTATTAGAAGTTTACGAATGAGACAAAGTGGAACGGAACAGCTCGATCAAAGGTACAACCCCTCCGGAGTGCCCTCGTTCTTCCGATAAAGTACCTGATGACGCCAAGTCAACGAGTGGAGTGCGGGGAGAATGCGGGGTACTAACCTTCTCGCGAGCAGACGTGAAATCTGCCTTTGTGACCCGCATACGCCGCTCTCTCAGAGCAAGCAGTCCGGCTTCCGTGCAAACAGCCTTGATATCAGCTCCCGACAGGTCGTCCTTCATCATGACGAACTCCTCCAGGTCGACATCTTCGTTCAGGCTCATCCGCGATGTATGCAATCTACAAGAAATTAGGATGAACAACGGTGGGGCAGGGAAAACATCCACGAATAAACCCACCGGAAGATGTGTCGCTTTGTCTTCACGTCAGGGAGAGGGAACTCTATTTTACGATCTATTCGGCCAGGTCGAATGAGGGCGGGGTCCAGCGAGTCTATCCTGTTCGTGGCCATGATGACTTTGACGTCGCCGCGAGTATCGAATCCGTCTAGTTGATTGAGAAGCTCCAACATGGTTCGCTGGATTTCGCGTTCACCACCAGATGTGGAGTCGTAACTGAAATCAAATCAGTTCAAAATCTCACGTATTTACGTTCAACATTCTTACCGTTTTGTTCCAATAGCATCGATTTCGTCAATGAACACGATACTCGGCGCGTGCTCCTCAGCCACTCGGAAGAGTTCTCGGACGAGCTTAGGACCGTCACCAAGGTACTTCTGGATAAGTTCTGACCCGACGACACGAAGGAAAGTGGCAGAAGTTTGATTTGCAACGGCCTTGGCAAGGAGCGTCTTTCCTGTACCGGGGACGCCATAAAGGATAACACCCTTCGGAGGTCTGATGCCCATTTCCTCATAAAGTTCGGGGTGAGTGAGAGGCAATTCGACGGATTCCTAAATATCAAATTAGCGGGGAAATGCTTGGAGGAGAGGCACAAACCTTGATCTCCTGTATCTGTGTCTCTAAACCACCAATATCCGCATAGCTCTCCGTCGGTGCCTTGTCGAGCTTCATAATGCTCACCAACGGGTCCGCATCATCTTGCAAGACACCGACGATGCCCTGTGTCTTATGGTGGAGGAGCACCTGACAGCCTGGCTCCAGTAGGTCCTTGTCGACATACGACATTATCGAGACATAGTACTCCGGGCCAGACGCCGTGCTGATAATTGCATGGTCGTCGTCGATAATCTCTTCCAGAGTTCCAACCGCCATCGGACTTCCACGCAAATCATCAACCTTCGACCTGTCCTGCTCATTCTTCTCCTCCCTCGTTCCTTCGGGCTTCAACCTCTCTTGGTTCTGCACGAACTCTTCCTCTAACAGGAGATAGTCCTTAATCCGCTCCGACTTCAGCAGTTTCAATCGGCACCGCGTAGTGGGGAAGACGGCGGGCAGTTTGGATGCTGCGGCAGGACCTTTTCTCTTCTTCTTTCCGACGCGAGTGGGGAGGGGCGGCTCCCATTTCTTCTTCTGTGGTTGGTCTTTCTGGTCTTTATCCTTCTTGTCTCCCTGATTGCCGCCAGGAGCTCCCTGGCCCAGTCCTGATGGTGTATTTCCCTGCGCAATGTATCAGACATCTGTGGTTCTTCGAATTAGACCTCTGCTCACCATTGTATGAGATTTCGCGGTGTGATGGCGAAAAGTGAGAGGAAGTGGACTTGAAGACGCGTACGCCTGCCAAAACGGGCATTCAGTGATTTGTTACGTAAGCTAGCATTGGCGACGTGACGGCGTTCTCCCTTGTGAAGCGTGGCAAGTCAAAACCATACATTGACCATGGACCCGGCGAAGACACCTCTCACAGCGAGCTCGCAGTTCATCCAAGCTGGTAAATATTGAAGTGACTATGGGGGAGCAATGCTGAATTCCCTTCCCAGACGACGACGACGATTCGGACGAGGAGAACATCCCGGGGTTCACGCATCCTGGCTTGCCGCAGTCTCCTCAACCCGACAAAGGGAAAGGCAGATCAAGAGAGCCAGAACAACTAGCGGAACCTTCTGGCAATGGTAGCATGGCAAGTCCGATGCTGTCTGGGAACATTGGAAGTACGCCTGCCGGTGCACCGAGACCAAACAGACGAACAGTGGGCGGCGTTCAAGTCGAGACGCGGTATGCTTGTTTTGAAATATTGCGAATAGAATTGTTGAGGCTGACCAGCTGTCCTGCAGATATACTGGTGTGGATACACTGGATGAACCCGTTTCCACAACTATCGTACGTTGATAACATATTAGAAGTGATTGGACATGTTCTAATTGTTTGTAGGCACGCGATTTAATGTCTGTCTACTCTAAAATTGTGCAGGTTCTCTACCCTCGGAAGGCTACTGGTCGTGAAGTTCTCAGGTAGGAGCTTTATCACTGTGATTCGGCGCCGAAACCTCAACAACCTCAAACAGGGACTGGGATCTCTGGGGACCTCTCATTCTCTGCCTCATGCTTGGTATCATGCTCAGCATCAACGTAAGTAGTAAAGCACGCTGGAATAACGCGCCTGGCCTCAACTATACTCTCAGGCCCCTGCTTCACAATCTCTCGGTGTCTTCACCAGTGTAATCGCTATATGCTCAATTGGTGCATTGGTCGTCACCGTTCAAGCCAAGGTACGGCTACCCTTCGTGTCAAATGCCAGGTTAATTTATATTCCGTATCTTAGCTCCTCGGTGGCCGAGTGTGAGTATCCCCCTCACTACCAAGTCTCGCCCCAACTAACGCCATTTCCTGTAGGTCGTTCTTCCAGGGACTATGTGTACTCGGCTATTGCATTGCACCCCTCGATATTGCTGCCCTTGTTGCTTGCTTCGTGCGCCCGATCTATGTCAGAGCACCTGTTGCTCTTATCGCCTGGGCTTGGTGCATATGGGGTACGTATAGGCGCATGTCATTTGGAGCCTTGCTCACATCACACCGCGTCAATCATCAGCTTCCGTCAACTTCTTGGACGGCACGAAAATAGAGCAGCAGCGCATTCTGCTTGCTGTTTACCCTCTCCTGTGCGTATTCATTATATTTTGACATATCGCGCAATGGAAGCTGATTGTATACGGTCAAAGGCTCTTCTACTTTATCCTCGCCTGGATGATTTTGATCCAGTAAATACCGTTGCTGCCAATGTAACTGATTATATATACCTTAGGGTAGTATGTCTACCTTGACACGGACGACCTATTCATTATCGCAAGTCTGACCTTTGGAATGTATAGTAAGGTATCAAGAACGAGCGGAAGCATTTGACAGCGTACATGTTACAGAGAAGCAGAAGAATAGAACATACGGACGATAAATTACGATGAGCAATAGGTAATAACGATTATCCAGAACGAAGTAGAGTAGCTTAAGTGAATAGTCAATGAGGGCACCAAGAGTAAACACAAACGACCGTTGTAGTGCGAACGCCAAAAAGACATCAAGAAGGTTAATTAATAAGTGTTAAGTGAGAGGACAACGTCTCTTGGGTCATTATTAACGCATTATTTGCGCAAAAGTTTCTCGTGGAGCAATGCGCTTTTCAAACGAGCACGGAGGTATTCTAGACGGGCTTCGTACCGCTTCATCAACTCTGCTTTGCGGTATCGTACATCTTCAAGCTCGCCGGATGATGCTGGCCGAGGTGTATTTTCCGGATCCGCTAGGTCGATTACATCCTGCGAAGTGCGTGACGGGTGTTCGTGGAGTGCGCTGAGAGGGAGATGGTTAGCACTCCTTGAGGGTTTGAAGGTCCCATGCATGCCGGGATGCAATGTCGCGTTCAATCGTGCGGGCATGGACGAAGAACTGTGAGGTGTGCCTTGGGATGAAAGCGATAGGCTTGAGGTCGAGCTCTTCTTCGTCGAGGCGGCGCGCTTGAGGGGGGACAACGGGCTCGATACACGCTGAGGTATCCCAGAATGCTGTTTCCCGCGGCCAAACAAATTCCCAGAAGACGAAGAGCGGGAACTCTTTCTTGAAGAGGTAGACCGTATAGAAGCGTGGTCGCCGCCATCTGCAACAGGAAGAGTGGACGTTGAAGCTGCAGTCTGAGAGTAGTCCCTCCAATCGTGTCCCGCCATCAATGCTAGTGGAGACGTAGGTGTCTGCACGGGCAACCGCCGCAGTTCATGTACTTGTGTTCGAACAAGGGTCGTCATTTCCAGCCCATTGAACGCGTCCAACAAGTTCTTGTATTCGACTTCAACGTGGGCAATCTCTTGTTGAATGTCTTTGCTAGTAACTAAATTGTTGTCGTTATACACATCCAACGGCAGAACGTGACGGCTAGATGACGGTGACAGTGGGGGAGTGCTAGCGGGACTATGGCGACGCGGATACCCGCGGCCTGGTGACGGTGGGGCAAGGGTGTTGATCTTCGTGGAGGAAGACGAACCCAGTGTGGTCCCAAGCTTAACTGGCGAGGACGGGTGACTCTGGGAGGTTTGTACAGGAAGGTCTGTCCGCACGGCAAGTTGTTTGCTTCCCTTCCGCAGAAGAATCCGTGAAACTAGGTTCCGCTTGGGCTGATTCGCTGCCGCCCCGCTACTGGGATCATGGGGAGACGTTTGATGGGACAATGGGTCTGCTTTCCCCGTCGCAATACGGATGAAATTGGTGACTCCCGACGGTCTTTTCTTCGTCGGGGAGATAAGGGAGATACGAGCGGATTCGACCTGGACGGATTGTGTTCTAGGTTGCGTCTTCGGTTGCGTGGAGGACGACGAGACCGACGCTGCAGCATCACGGTCAGAACCTTTCCTCCAGAAGCCCACAGCGCCATATGGGATCCACCGTGAATCCCCCGCTCGGCTAGGCTGCTAGTGGCGCCTTGATCATGGACTCACCTCCTTTGATATGCTTCGTCTGCCCTCCAATCGGTACTACAGGTGGTTCCCCGGGAACGACAGCACCGCTGCCAAACCGTTCAAATAGATTCTGACGTAGAAGTCGATATTCATCGTCGCTAATACAGGAATTCGTGGTCAATCAAGATTTGCCTGAGAAGGAGTTTCTTAATTGTGCTCGTTACCTGAGACGGCCCTCGGCGTTGGCTACGGCAAGTTCGTCAAGTCGTTGAGCGAGTGTCATGATACTGGTCTTGAAAAACTCATGAGGTAAAGGAAAGGTTAAAGAGAAGAGGACAAGGGGATGCGATTTGGGAATGTCAGACCCTTTATCGCAAACCAGCATTTCAAAACAACTGGAATTCTTATGCTGATGGCGACATCCAGCCTGGAAGAAGATTGAATGATCCCAGTAACAAATAAATGGAGATTCTTTGATTTGGTAGTATTCATGCCACAGCCTGCACAGTGCAGCCGCAACTGTGTGAATATCTGGATATTGACTATACGCGGTAGTCAAAGTCGTACGACGACGGTTTCTTTGCTACCACCACGATGTCCAAGGACCTCAATCCGAAAACGACCTCCTACGAGTTTCTGGGTCCTCCAGGAGCACTGTTCATCACCCTCGCGGTCCCAATCACGACTTACGCGCTTTACTTTGGATGCTCTGAGGCGTCGGGAGGGTGCCCGCCACCCAACTTCTCCCAATGGTCACCAATAATCTCAAGGTCCTTGTCTAATTCTGAGTGGTGGAAGGGGCTTTGGGACACTGAAGCTGCCCTCATTTACCTCGCTTGGTACGCGTTTTGCGTCGCGACATGGGGTATTCTGCCTGGAGACAAAGTCGACGGTGTGGTGATGCGCGATGGGCAGAAGAAGCAATACAAAATCAATGGTCAGTTTGTATTACTTTACGTGACTTAATATTGGCTAAGTTGACTTGGATTTCATGCAGCCTTTGCTACTTTCTTGTGCGCCATGGGCGTGACCTCGGGTATCATTATTCGATATGGACCCCAATCCTTCACTTTCTTCTACGACAAATGGCTCGGATTCGTGACCGCCTCGATTGCTATGTCAGTATTCCAAGCCCTCTACGTTTACATCGCGTCTTTCAAGGCAGGGAAGCTACTGGCCCTAGGTGGAAATTCTGGGAATTTCATCTATGATGTACGTCGCTTTGTAGCGTTAGAGCTTGCGTTTTGACACCCCCGTAGTTCTTCATTGGACGTGAATTGAACCCTTCCATTGGTTCCTTCGACATCAAGTCCTTCAACGAGCTTCGTCCTGGACTTATCTTATGGGCGCTCATTGACGTTGGCATGGCCTGTGAGCAGGCTACGCGTCGTGGCGGCCTTGACAAGATCACCGACTCCATGTGGCTCGTCCTCGCGTTCCAGATTTGGTACGTTGCAGATGCGTTATATAACGAGGTTCGTATCAGTACTTCACGTTACTTCTCATGAATAACCCACACCTCGTTTTCAGACTGCCATCTTCACCACAATGGACATCACCACCGATGGTTTCGGCTTCATGCTTTCCGTCGGTGACCTTGCTTGGGTTCCCTTTGTCTACTCTCTGCAAGCCCGCTACCTCGCGTTTAACCACGTGGAACTCGGCCCAGTGAAAGTCGCTTTGATTTTGATCGTCAACCTCACTGGTTACTACATCTTCAGAGACTCGAATGGCGAGAAGAATGATTTCAGGAATGGAAAGAACCCAAAGAGTAAGTATCGCTGTAATTTCCCAGTGATAAGCGAATTAATAGTGCTCCTGAATTATTAGACTTGAAGTTCTTTACTACGAAGAGCGGTTCCAAATTGCTTACATCGGGCTGGTGGGGTCGCTCAAGACACCCGAATTACCTGTACGTTTATTTTACACAATATCCATCTCTATCACTGACCTATTCTCCAGCGGCGATGTCCTCATGGCTCTCGCATGGTCTCTACCCACCGAGTTCAATACCCCCATCACATACTTCTACGTTATCTACTTCTCCGTCCTCCTCATCCATAGGCAGCGAAGAGACGACGAGAACTGCGAAAAGAAGTATGTGTTGCTTCCTCCTTTTCTACGGAGCGTTCCTTGCTGATCAAAGTCATCGGTGTAGATATGGCGAAGACTGGGAGAAGTACAAGAAGATGGTTCCCTATCGCATTATACCTTACATTTACTAAATACTCCAAGCTTACGACCGCCTTTCTTACACGAGAACCTTGCGATCTACTCTAATACCCTTTGTGTGTAATGAGTCCGCTGTTCGAGTGCGCCGTGCGATATCCAAAGTCGTGTATTGGTATGATTCATACAGATCCTGAAGCTCTAGCTTGACACATTGACGGTCCAGGCATAGTAAGCCCTCTTCTAAATTAAAGATTCCTAATCATGTTGATATAGCACTTGGAACATTTCTACCCTAACGAGGACGACTGAGATCTTGCAATGTATTGGTGCCTATTGGTGTACAAAACGAATTGAAGTATAAGGAGTCAACACATCGACATGGAGTTACATCTATGAAATCCTCTACAACTAGGCTTGGAAACAATACAATATATACGATCTATACAGGACAGGATGTGAGGCGTGACGGTCCAGCCGCTGCGAGTCCTCTTCTATAATTTGGATCCTTATGAGTGTATCGGGTCAACCGCGTTGTGTCGAGTGGGCTAGTGGGTTTAATGATATTTGCGGATGGCATTGAGGTACGTCTGCCCAGATGGACTATAACCAAATTAATGGTTAGATGAAGGCCATTCAGAAGCAAGCACTATACGAACCTTAGTTGACCATTTCTCCACATAGGCCAAACATTTCCGAGGCCCAAGCCATTGCTGTATGCGTATGCCACTACTCTGGAGTCTTTCTGAAGGAGGTCGACGATTTGATTGATGAAGGTGTTGATCTTGCCTTGATCGGTACATGGTATGAAGGTGTTGTGGTCTGCATGACATGAGGGGTAGATGTCAGACATGAATCTACCAGACGCCAGGACATCAAAGCGCACCGTTGACACAGGCGAACTCGGTGACCCAGATTGGTTTCTTGTAGGTGTTCCAGTAGTGGTCCTAGATAGGCACGCGTTGGTAAGGACTCTCAATTTGCGAAGTAGTGGCAGGGAGTAACTTACAAGATCCTTCTGGACGCCCGCCATGTTGTCCTTGTTGATGTGGATAGCGGTGAAATCCCAAGGCGTCTTGACCTTCTTATTGAACTGCGCCAACCACGTTTCGTCGGCTTGCTCTAGTGCCAGAAATTATCCATCAGTCGCCCCTTCTTACTGCAATTTGAAGTACTTACTGCACATCGCGGGGCTCCCGAGCTTGGTTCCCGAGGCCTTCAAAGGGGCGATCATCTTCTCCCACTGGTAGACGCCGTCGTCGACCGACATCCCAGCGGAGCCGTTCCCTTCACAGTCTGGTTCTTCGAAACCGAGGACGTAGGGCGGCGGGGAGGCGAGCTTCTTGAATTGGGCGTATCGTTTGGCGTCTTGTGCGTCCGCCGTGCCGTCGCCCCATAGCATGGGCACGCCGATGGGAGAGCCGGCCTTGCGCGGGGTGGGCGACCTAGGAAATGGGGTTAGCTTCTGAGTGCACGTCGGTTGAAACGGGCGTGTGCTCACCAGTCGTACCACCATCCGATGTGGTCTTTCAGCTGAGCGAGGGCATCGCCAGCAGAGAGTCCCGCCTTGATCCCGTTCGGCGTCAGGCTCGAAGCGGTGTTTGCTTTGGCGGGGCTGGCGTGTACTGTGGTGTTGAGGACCAAGTTGATGTCGGTATGCTTGCGATTGCAGACTCGCTTCATCGTTCGGCCTGCGAGCGTTGAAGGGATTGCGGAAAAGGCGGCGGCGACCAGGAGAAAATGAGTGAATTGGACCATTGTTTTGCGATCGGGGAGGGGAGGCGGGAGGAGGAGGAGGAGGAGAAGTCGGTTACAAGACTTCGCTCCACAATCCACCGCTTTATATCACTTTCTCTGCAACTACCCAAAGATGTTCCATTGAGGCTTGGCTCATTGTTCGATGGGTTCAGCGCCAACATCCTTTACCTTTCCGAACCGAGGACCTGTCCAAACTTTGCGCTTCTATTGCCTAGGATGGTCAGAACCCGTGCAATGCGGTGTCTGATGGTTTCTAGTGTCGCTGCTTCGCATCTCGGCATTGCTCGTAGGTCCACTCCAATGTAGTTTTAGATAAAGAGTTGCTTGTTTCTAGAACATAGTCTATCCTCCGAAGATGAGAGAAGCCGTTGGGATGGCGCGTAGAAAGCTGGCTCCGGTATCGTCTTAACAACGTGGGCAGCTGCTCACCCTCTGTCCCGACAGCGGAGATGAGACATAGCCGACAACCGCATGTATTGGAACAACTGACCAGAGTGCTGGTAGGGTCCTAGGACTTGGCCCGAAGTTAAACAGGCATGCCACTTGTGGAGAGCTTCTGTAGACCATGAGGCGAGCTCTACTTCGACATGGAATGGCATACGAGCTCCGTCGGTGATTCTCCAATAGTATAAGTCTTCTGATAGCGGCGGCGGCAGACTCTAGAACATACACTTTCCGACTCCTGGGGAGCCCCTGTGACTATAGGGTGAATCCTCACTCAAGCTCAAGGTTCTGCCAGCACCGAGCGGGACACATTGCGGCATTGGTACTCCCTGTAGACTGATTCAGTACATATGGGTAAGGTATATCTGCATGAATACATCGTAACGAGCCATTATAACACAATATTTCCTGCTAGATGTGGATGAGCCAAGGATCGGTACATGATTGCCATGCAGATATTTTGCTACTAAGAGAGCTTGTACTGTACTCACATACTGTAGTATCCATATGCATTGTACTAGAAAGGTCTAAATATGTCTCCCAGATGTGTAGCTAACTGCAAGAATGAGGGGTGCATTTTCTACCAATATTGCCCAACTGGATTGGATATTGAAGCCAAAGAGTTCATTTCAACCTAATAGGTCATATATATATATTAAGTATATCGTACTATTGTCCCATTACTCAAAGGCCAGTTGCGGGGCCACTCGTGTAATGGTCACTCGAGACGGTGAGGACTCCATTCTCTCTTATTTCCTATTGTGGATTTACTCTCCACATGTGTAGCGCGCCCATCTTGTGGTAGTCGCATCCAGTGATGGCTGCTTCCTTTGTTTTGTTGGAATCACTCTAAGTTTTGCTTCAGAATCTGAAGCGAAACTCAGCCATAACCAAATGGGGAAATAGAATTTCCATATTCAGACTTAGTGTTGAATGTCACTCGGCTTATGGACGGCAGAATCACCATTCCGCTATAGTACAAGCTGCACGTTACACGTCGCCTAGTCGGTGTCACAGCTTGGTGACCGTCCTCTCATTTCATCCAGTGCTCCCCTCGCTCTTTTGTCATCCTGCACTCTCTTGGCTCTCTACCATGCACTCAGATCAACACGCGCCAAGGACAATTCCTGATTCCACTTCCACAGACTCCACTGGTGGGCTGGTCGCAGCTTCAAGCAATGGCGATCTGCCTCTATTCCATCCGCAGCAACGAAACACGCCATCGACACGGTCAAAACCGCCCCGCCGTGGAATACGAAAGCATTTTCTGGGCTGGAAGCTTCTGGTACTGGGATCATGTACGTTTGACTGGACTATCCGATGGCAAAACTTGACTCTGCACTTAGGGCTCAATGTTTTGCTGTTTCTTTTACCCGTGGCGGTACGTCACTCTTGCGAGACAAGGAGGTTCTTGACCACACATATGTCTTAGTGGGTTATCGGCTGGGCTGTACCAGAGTGGGCGAGCGTGGTGTTTGCTTGTGAGTACGTCCAACATTACTGCGTCATCGTCGGCTGATATCGCGTAGGCTGCATTCTCGGTCTGATCCCGCTCGTCAAGGTTCTATCGCGCTCTTGCTCTTTTAGACACACATGCTCACCAAGGACGCTGTAGCTACACGAACTCACTACGATGGAGCTCTCGTTACGGCTGGGAAGCTCCAGGACAGGGCTCATCAACGCTACCATGGTGGGTTCATCTTCTAGCGCACAAAGTAAATTTTTGGGCGGTGTACTGAACATGCTTCTTATTCAGGGTAATCTGTAAGACGCCGCCTTTATTTATAGCATACTCGGGCTAATAGACGTATTTATATCAGCGTCGAAATCGTTGTGGCTGTGAGTGCATTGATTTATTGAATTCTATTTCGGTCCGTTGACGTACTGCAGTTTAGCGCTCTTCGACGATGTGAACTGAAAGTCGTCCAATCTGCACGTATGTCCAATCAACATTTTGAGGACCACTGAATGACTGTTATATGTAGTTCTGGGCTCGATGCTAAGCAAGATGCGTTCGTGGTTCTATCAGTGATTTCAAGTTGCCTGACTGATGATAACACAGTCTTGGTCCTTGGAATGTGCTTCTTCGCTGGTGGTCTGCGTTTCTCGGAGCAGGACTTCGATTCAAGTATGTAGAAGGATCCGACTTGAAGTATGATCTTAACTTCATTTCTTTAGCCGCCACCGGTATCAACTCGTCGTTGCTGAGCATCAGCGTTGGAGCTGTGATTCTACCCACAGCCTATCATTTCTCTCTCCATACTGCGTCTGAAGCTTCGCCCGACGAACGACGTGGGATTTTGAAAATGAGCCACGGAGTGAGCTAAGTATCTGATTGACATCGAGTATACGCTAACTATTCTTCTTCATTAGGTATCTATCATCCTGCTATTTAGTACGTTTCCGATCTAGTCTACTGCCTACCATTAACGGAACCACCAATCATCAATAGTTTATCTATCTTACCTTCTCTTCCAACTCTGGTCGCACACGCATCTATACAATAACGCGACTCTCACGAACACCCAAAGGTCACCCAGGCTGCCCAACGGGCCTGCTATGGTGCTGAAGCAGAGGAGCCCCGGGGGGACCTGGCGGCGCCGGTTCTCATCGGACATGGACTCGGTCCGGGACTTCGAGCACTTGAAGAGCAGCGAGGATGTCACCACGTCGTCCTTGTCCCTGAAGATGCGCCAGCGCGAAGACACGCTTGTGGAGAAACCGAGCAAGATGTACTCTGCACCGATGATGTCTCGGTCCGAGACGACCCTCGCGGGGAGCAGTACGTTGGAGCTGAACGAGAAGGCGTATTCTGCGGAAGGCGGGGTTAAGCCGACTGTGCGGCTGGTCAACGAGAAGGGCTCGGTTAAGGATGTGCGAAGGGAGGGGTCGTTGGATAGCGTTGACAGTTCTACGAGCGAGGAGGCTGAATGGAGACCGCGGATACTGAGCCCTGTAGTGGAGGTGACTTCGAGGGAGGAGCGCAGTCAGGCAGCAACGCAAGAAGATGTGCAACGCGAGGAGGAAGACGAGGTCCCTCGGCTCAGTATATTCCTGACCATCGTGACGCTTGTTGTCGTAACCATCGTAAGTGCGTTCTCCGGCATCGGTGGGCCTGATGCTCTGACGCGTATATGGCGATGCAATAGTTGGTTGTCGTTACAGCTGATAGTCTGGTAGAAACTCTCGACGAGATATCCAAGTCCGTCAGTAAACAGTGGATTGGGCTCATCCTGCTCCCTGCTGTAACGTCAGTCGCAGGTACGTCCAGACCTCTGCATCCAACTGACTCCAAAATAACAATGGTAATCCGGCAGAGATGGTGACAGCGGTTAATGTATCGGTGAAGGATCAGCTAGCATTCTCCATTAATTTGGCTGTAGGCTCGACGATTGTGAGTGCCCCTCTTCCTAGAGTCCCCACTTACCGTGGCTTAAATGACTTTGGATAGCAAACTGCTCTCTTCGTCATTCCGTGAGTATACGAACTATCTGACTACTGCGCAACGGCTGAATAGCGGCTAGATTGATGGTCTGTGTCGGGTGGGCGATGGAAAAGCCGATGTCTCTCCTATTTGACCCCTTTGAATCAGTTGTAAGTCTGACGATTTCCGGCTACTTTTCCGAGTCTGATTTGCGATGTACATATTCAAGGTGTTGTATATCGCTGGTAAATCTTTTTCGCGCTAAGTATCCCTGACGAGTGTACTGATCATGGTATATGTCATTAGTTCAGACAATGTCCTACGTCGTGGCCGACGGCAAGTCGAATTGGCTGGAGGGCATGATCTTGATCTGTAGGTGCTTTTAATTGATGCCCTGATGAACTTCTGAGCCAGGACATCTTTCAGGTCTTTATATGACTATCGGCGTGGCATTCTGGTATTACCCTGGTGCCAACCTCCCGATCTCGTTGACGACCTGTTGAGCTTTGGACTCGGACTTCACACGATTACGTTCTAGAATCTAGAATACATGGCACAACCGAACTGATCTATACTTCTATAACTCTCACTACGGATACGGATATCTTTCTATAGTACTCGCACGTAGCCAGCCGCCTTTAGAATGGCGGACTGGGTACGACTTCGGATGTAGCATATTATTCCCGACATTATATACCTCGTATACAGGCTAGCTATCCTACATTACATGTACTCTTTGATTTTGTACTAGAACATTTCGATTCACGCTTCTTCCGAAGAGATCACAACGTTAACAGGAAGGTAAGCAAGATTGATGATGTGATTGTAGATGCAAGTGTCTTTCGATGCATTGTTCTATTTTGCGTTGTCTATTACAACGGGCCTGCATACGTGATACAGTGTCTTACACAGCGATCAAAAGGATGGGATGCCGTTTGTGATGTTGAAGGTAAGGGGCGGGTTAGGAACTATGGGGAGTTGGCCTGCGAAGCTGGCAGCCATCAAATCCGCAACCATACTGATACATGAAGAATGAGCCACTGTTCCACATGACTAGGGTTTCACGTACCGGCCGAAAACGATGGTTCCATTGACATTCAAGTCTGCAAGCAATTTCCGTGAGTCATGAGCCGACGAGGCAGCAGAGAAATAGTACACACGCGTGTTGTCGTCTACAACGAATTGTTAACACAGGCAACAAATGTCGAGGTGATGAACTTACCAGGGAGCCTGTTCAACCGATGAGCAGCATCAGGTCCAATGGCTTCGACGTATTCGATCGACTTTGCGTGGAGATCTAGCAAGTGAGTTTGCTTCTGTTGAGAGATCAGAATAGTTTCTGCAGAGATATGAGCGTGGTTGTTCATGTCGTAGATTTACGACCACGCATACCATCTGCCCAAGGTCCTAGTTGATCACTGATCGTTCCGTCCGAATTGAAGCTTCTTCTAGTTAAACTTGTGACTAGCACTGGCTCTGCTCCTAGAGACCTGATCGTGTCGACCATTACGGTCATGTTAGCCCCCATAGATTCAGGAGGTGCAATCTTTTGGTCGTTATGCCCAAATTGAATTGTCACGAGCGTACGTCGCTGTTTAGCCACCTCGCTCCGAATAAACGACAGAGATATATCCCAGAAGCCGTCGGCGACGAAGCTGCCGGTTGTTGCGCCGTTGTGGGCCGTATTGATGCAAGCGGTGCCTTCAACCAGCGAAGCGCAGAACCCGTTGCCCCATCCACCCGAGTTGGGTGTCGTACTGAGGACAATTGATAATAAGCTGCGAACTCAGGAGGGGAGTATAAAACAGACCCGTTGGCGGTGGTACTATCTCCTACCAAGACGAAAGACGTGCCCGCGCCGTACGCGGACAAAGCAGATATCGCAAGTACAACATACATAGAAAGGAGCATCATCGCGACGTCAATGAGTTTTGAATACCGAGTGGTGGGGTCGTCTCGGACCACCACCCCCGTCGTTAATATATCTTTCACAGTTACGCTTACCGGGCCGTGCGGCAAACAGAAGTGGCATACGGGACGGGTGTACGACCAGAAGATCTGGTGATTAGTGCACTGGCATCACATGAACGAAAGACTCGGAGCCACGTATGAGCGTGGAATGTAGAGACGTAGCTATTCGAAGGAGCTTTATCGGTGCCCGCGTGCGCAGGCGGTGATCTAAATTAACCACGTACGCTGGAGGATAATTTATAGCAAGAACATGATCAGGCGAAGGACGACTCACCTGGCAGCCACTGGTATTCAGGGTTGCGGGTCTATCTACGTAGCGTACGAAGAGGACTAGTTATGACTTACTACAGATCATCGTCCAGAAGATACGATCCTATTTGTTCCTTCATTTCCTCTCTATTCATCTTCCTTACTTTCATAATGTCTGTGCTTGCATCGTCTATCAGGGAGGTCCCTGAGCCGCGAGAATTGCTTTGCATGCTCGCATGAGACTGGACCCACACAGGGAGGGGGATGGGGACGTCGGATGTGATATCATCGTGACTTTTGACTGAACGGTTTACGCTGCGGCTGTTCCGACCGGTTAAACTCGTGTGACATGCATAGCAAAGCGAGGGTGCGAGCGATATTCGATCGGTGCTCTCTTTTGAGTTTGAGTACGATAGAATCGATATCTGCGACTTCCACTGCTGGGCCCTGAACTGTGTAGGTCTGCGGGGAAATGTCATCAAGAGACTCGGTATCTTGTAAGCTCAAAGAATTCCAACCGTTGGCACAATGCGCAAACCCCTGTGGCTTTATCCTTGGGGGCAAGCTTGGAACAAGTCCTTGCGATAGTGGAGACCGTCGAGGGATAGTCGGTCTCGAGGCCGACGATGAAATCTACAGCAGTCAAGATTTGGTAAGAGGGAATTGAATGAGTGGCGAACCTTTGGTCAAGGAACCGATCCCTTGCTTTGCGCTCGGGATCGGCGTCTCTCCAACCACCGTCAAATGATTCCACCACGCCCAAGCAGTACACTCTTTCATGGTAAGGTCTCGCAGCGGCCGAATGACTCGTATAGTCATTTCCGTGCCAGTATGCCATTCCTCATCCACCTCTTCGCGTACGGCGAAACCGCCTCCCTGGGCGATTCCCGAGATCAGATTGATCGAAAGGGATGTGAGGGATGTTCCAAGAAGGAGGTGGGATGATTGAGTAGATCTAGCTGAATAGAGCAGGAGGAGTCTGATTAGGGCCTGTACACTACTCAAGAGTGCTGTTTGAGTGGGCATTGCTGATAGGTAAGCACGCAGGCGATCGAGGGGGGTAGAGAAATTTGAACTTGGTATGTCGCAGAGCAAAAGATCTGCGGACAATATTGAGGATGGATGTGGAGAGACATTTGAAACAAACGTGCCTTCTTGTGCGTTGTCTCCTCTTGGCTTGAATCCAAGATCGGACTGAAGAGGGACCCCACCAACCCGATCCCACCAAGAGGGATCAAAGGCATCTTCGAGTTTCAATGGAACGAACTCAAACACGTTATAGCTCTCAACGATCGCACGAATATCGGCGGTGCTGTCTCGCATCTATGCCGTTAGCTCAAGCTGAGAACTAAAGACAAAACACGAGAGGCCGCTTACCCCTGGGAATGCGTCGGAAACTTCCACATAGCAGACATACCCCGCCTTCCATACCTTCTCGTTTAGTTTTCGAGGATGATCCTTCCCTCCCTTGTTGTCTTCAGGGCCGGAGCTCCTGAAGTAGTTCTTCGCCACCAGATCCATGAGCACTGTCGACCCCAAGCCGCCAGAAAGGCCCATGGTTAGATTTCCAGAAGCCTTCAGAGATTTTTGACGGGGACCATCAAGCTTCTCCTTGATAGATGGCTGCAGGATCTTCCGAAATTTAGTGTTGACGAGAGGTAGAAAACATTCCCTTGTAGAGCGGTATGTGTGCGTTACTGATTTACTCGATGGCTTGGCCCACCTGCAGTACACCACATGCCGTATTACGATGTTCCCGACTCGTCCTTTGCACTTTACACACTCTTTGGAATGGTCAAACTTGGGACGACCTGAGCACTACAAAATTAGAGAGTAGCCAGACAGACTGATTGATACACACGAGTCATTAACGCATCGATTTCAGCAGCAGGATTACCACACGAGGTCATGGCGGTCTAAGCGAGCGAAGTCAGAGGCGAGTCGAACTTGAGACAGAAAGATCCAAGAAAGATCTATAGGCGCCCTGGCAGTCACGTGGGCTCATAAAGACGCGGCGATGGGCGCTTGTCATGTTTGTCAATTCCCGAATGTCTCTGCGTCACCCGACCATCGAACGACTCTTGAACATTTGGAAAACGATCCTGCTGCATTTGGCACAACGGGCACGTCAATACGGGACCTGGATCTATTCCCGCAGACTGTTAGGCATCGTGTATAACATTTTCCGACGTCTTTCAGAGTTCAGACTTTTGGGTGCGTTCAAACTTTAGTATGGTGTGGACGGAGCACTATATATTTATTGATGATAAGAAGCGACGCGTCTTGTACAAGGAATCGACGCGCCTTTCCAACCTGCCAAATCGCTGGCATCCTTTCCATTGGAGTTGCTCACCTTGGTTCTAGGCAAACTTGAACTCAGAGATCTGCGGCGTGCTCGCTCTGTAAGAATTATCCACTGTCTGTATCGAGCACTGATGACTGGTTCAATTAGTCTTGCAGATCCCTCTACGCTGCATCAAAATCGCGGACCATCTGGCTGCGTCTCTTCCAGCAACTTTCGGACTCATATGTCATTCCAATCATTCCCCCAAGGCCTCTGTCGAGTTATAATGCTGCCGCGTTAGAGTCGATGGTTCTCCAGTGGATCCGCGTTGATCATGCATGGTCTTCGTGCTCGATAGGGCAGCAGCCTCCTCGTCAGCGTATCAGGTGCCTCGAATGGCAAGATACTCCCTTCACATTGATCGAAGGCGGTCGCTGGCTCCTTACGACAGACCAATGTGGTTCGGTTCTGGCGCACGACTTGGATTCCCCCTCTCTCGATATGGGAACATATGTACTAATCCGACCCCAAGATAGACGAGATCATGCCTACATCACGAGTTTGTCCGTCTGTATCGATCGATCCTCTCCTACCTTAACATTCAATCTGGCGCTTTCATACGATTATAGTTGGGTCTCTTCCGTTGATTCATCTGTGGCAAAGCTGAGTCTGCTCGTAGGGCGGCGCGCGATATCCTCTAGACTATCTATATGGAGGATAACACTCGTTGAGACTACCGATCACTGTTCAAAACTTACCTCGAAGTTCATCAAATCCTTCTATACGCGGGTTTCAGTAGGTGTCTTCGACGCCTCTCTATTGCACTCGTTGTACGCTCGGATCGTTAGCCCCTGGGCCGTTGAGATATTCAATTGGGAGGGCTCGCAGTCTATGTTTCATGTAAAATCTCATGTTCGTCCGGAAGGAGACATGGTAAGCCCCACCTTTCACTCCTTACGTAGGACTAACATTGTATCACATCAAGCTGTCGGTACGATTGCTACCTGGTAGACGAATACTCACCGGTAGCCAAAGCTCAATCCACATTTACGCCGTCCCCGAGTGTGCTTACCATTCAGCGACACTTCCCTTTGTCCCTTTGGAGACCACGGAGGGCCCGAGTGCCCGCTCCAAGTCATATCTGTGGGGCGGTCAACTGGTTATCTGAAATTCATTCTGCCAGTTTGCTCACCCGGACTTATCTGTTAGGCTGCCTCAGGTTGCCCGCCCGTGAGTACTTGCGCTCCCAATTGAGTTGTGGATTTCGAGAATATATGGCTCATGGTATGCCATACTGGGTCGAAAATCTATAAAAATACTTCCGTTCCGAAGGCACAAATCCATTCCGAAAGCACGACCTCCGAGGCGTAAGACCCAGTTCCGAAAGCACAAGCACTAGTTCCGAAAGCACCATCCAGTACTCCGAAACCCCAACGGAAGCTGTTCTGAAAACCTGCAAAGGAAAATGTTTCACACACCCTCAAATATAACGCGCTGTACATAGAGCTGATTTCGGCGAAAGCTCAGCTTACTTTTGTCCGGCGGCGGCCTACAAATTGGAGACCACGGAGGCCCGAGTGCCGCTCCAAGCCATATCTATTGGCGGTCAACTGGTTATTGGCTATGAAGGACGTGAGCGGACAAAAAACCTAGGTATTTGGGAGAGCTGCTTGAGTGCATAATCTAACAAAGAAGTATAAACGAACAGATCTTGTGGTTTCGGAATAGTGGCTTTACCTTCGGCATATATGTTTGTGCTTTCGGATTTGAGCTTTCGGAATACGCCGACATGCCCCCTGAGGCCCAATGAGCTCCTATAAACCATCGACTCTTGATAAATGAGGTGAACTGCGAGCCAGCATGGCATCGAGGCATCGACTGACCCTGGAGCGCGTGCATATCCTAATCATCTTTCTAATTGGAAATGAACTAAGAGGGAACTAGCCCATGAGATGCGAATATCCTTGAAATTCATTCTGCCAGTTTGCTCACCCGGACTTATCTGTTAGGCTGCCTCAGGTTGCCCGCCCGTGAGTACTTGCGCTCCCAATTGAGTTGTGGATTTCAAGAATATATGGCTCATGGTATGCTATACTGGGTCGAAAATCTATAAAAATACTTCCGTTCCGAAGGCACGAATCCATTCCGAAAGCACGACCTCCGAAGCGTGCCGCTCCAAGTCATATCTGTGGGCGGTCAACTGGTTATCGGCGGTATATCTCCCTCATACATTAGTCCCGTTGGGAAGATATATGTTTTGTTGGCGACTTGTCAGCATATCTTTGCTCTTGCTGCCGACGCAGTCAATGACGAAATATCCGTCATCAAAGTGATCGATTATGCGATGAGATTTGAAGGCACCGTCTATGCACTTGGTCTTCACAGGACGCTCATTCGACAAGATTATATGCCTGACTCAGTCATTACATTGAACTTACTACGCGACCAACAATTTGATGTCAACGAGCACTATTGGAATGACAGTATTCATCGTTTCTCACCGACAATACTTGATGAATGGAGTGGAAGGGTAGTTGATTGTTCAAAGGACGGAAGAATCATCGTTGTAGATTTTCTTTCGTAGAGGCCACGCCTCGCAAACCACTGCATAGGGTTGCACCACTGCTAGTAGCCTTTGAAAAGAACAATGTCAAAATTGCCCAGAAGAACAGGGCCTTAGACTGAGCTTCGATACTGAAACTTGGCGCTGACAGTGTCTCAGTCAGATAGCAGGCATAGTCCATAGAGTCGGCAGATTCATTTATTGCACCAAATATCCATTGTCTTCCGTTGGTTAACGCGAATGAGAGCGAGTGATTGCTGGTGAGTTTCATCTTCTTCACCACTTCGATCCTGTTTTGAAGTCCATTCCTTTAGGCAAGCCCAGAGTTATAAAAATCAGAGACAGATACACACCCTGCCATAGCCTCTCCCACTGCTTGTGGTATATGAGCGCGCAACGGCTCGTTTGGGTTTTTCACCTCAATTATAACCAAATTTGAGTCCTTTTTCATATGACGTCGAGCGTTGAGGACATCGGATAACGTGCTCGCACTAAGTAGGGCTAAGACATAGTATAGTAATCAGCAAGATCATCAGGTGAGTGTCCAGAAGAGAAGCCTGTACTTGTTACTTCCTCAGCCTCTTCCGTAAGGTGCGGCCGGTCCCATTGAAGTGTAATGACCCCATAGTCGGTGGATCCTGTCAGAAATGTCGCCTTTCTCTTGTCATTGTTGATAAATGAAGCAGGCGAGTTCCCCGCCTTGGCAAGTGTGAGCTCGGGAAATACATTTGAAGACCGGTCAAGGGGATGGCAGAAAACAATCAAGGAGTAGATGAACTGGTTAACCACTAAACCACTGCACGCCTCGGTCTATCAAGTCAGTGTCACAAGAGTAGTTATGCACGACTTTGATGGAGGCTCACCCCACCACCGGCGTGCTTCTCCCACACCGCGATTGATTCTCCCAGAGGGTTGGGATCCCAGATCGCCATGGCATTCTGGACTTCTTTGCTGGCTTCACGCTCCATCTCGAGGAGGAATCCTGCAAAGGCCTTGCATGTTACGGTGTGTAAAGTAGAGACCCCAAGCCGTAGAAGATGCTTGTTCCTCATACGGGAGAATGAGACAGCCTGCAACGGGAAATCATCACATCTACAGTTAGCCCAAAGGTTCGGCACGAAGGAGGCGTCGTGGTGAAGACGTACCTGGACATCCCATCCTTCGTGCTCTTTGACGAATTTTGCAATGGATTTGATGACTTCCACTGTCTCTTTTGCTGCCGTTTCGAGGTTGCTCACCTCGTCCAAATTCAACACACCGTCTTTTACCAAATTAGCGCTAACACCTTCAATGATCCCTGCAGCTACCTCCAAAAGCTGTTGGGCGACCTCAGTCTCCGAACTTTGCTGTCGTTTGTGTTCTGTTTTGCTTTGAAGCGGGGGAAGCCCAGGTGTAGCTTTCGTGGCAAAGACCACATATTCATCACAAGAGGGATTATGAGTTGAATATGACCTTACCAAGTTCTTGTGCTGTCTCAGCTGTCTCCAGAAGCTCTTTGGCGATCTCGGTTTCCGAGCTTTGCTGTCGTTTGTGTTCTATTTTCCTCTGGAGTCCAGGCAGAGCTTCAGCGAAGGCTACTACATAGTTATCACAATAGGGACAATCGTGAGACGAAAACGACCATACTTGGTGCAAGTTGCGCTGGCTCTTGTGCTGGGTCTGAAGAGGGATGAGCGTCGGTAGACTTTTTGGAAGCCATGCGAGTGGAGCGCCTAGAAGTCATATTTACTCCCCGGTATGAACGAGGGGGCACACTGAATTATGAAGACGATTATCTTTTTCTTAAATCAAGAATCAAGGCGAGCCGCGGTTGGACGTGCGTCCTCATCGTGGTTCGCGGAGTGAATGGGTTGCGGATGGCAGATGTAGCTCACTCCCAGATTCCTATGATTGCCCATCGATAAATGTCAGACTGCAGTAGACTTCGACCAAACAGGAATATGACTCGACTTGTTATGGGAATGTTTTCAAGAATGGGGTGAAGGGTGAAGTGCTTATCGCGACCTCAAATCACGGTCTGACAAGATAGACGGCTTTGCACCCAAGATATGGTACTCTCATTGGGCTTCAAGTTTGCTTTTCACGATTGCAGGAGTGTTGAGCAAGTGGCATTTGATCTACCTGTGACCGGAAAGATCCAAAAGGTCAGGATGGATGCCGATGAACTTGAAGACGTAAATATCAGGACTTCATAATCCAATCACCGTTCGTTCACAGAGGTCTGTCAGAAGAAGGGCACACATTCATGAGTGTTTGTCTTCAGTAAAGTGGGATACAAATGAACAAAATGGCACATAGGTAACCCCCTCGGTAGCTCAGTTGGAAGAGCGTGGGACTGTAATGGATACCTTTCATCCCAAGGCCACTGGTTCGATCCCGGTCTGAGGGAGATGTGCTGTAGAAGAGGGTTGCAATAGTTTTTGTCTCGGAGTCGGAATCAATCCATCGTCTAATCACCTGACCCTTAACTGACTGCGACATTTCTCCGACCATCAGTGTACATTCTTCGGTATTGAATGTTGGCGCGTACTAAGTGATTTACTGTCCAGCATGACTGTAAGTCAGGACTTACACATTTATACCCCTGCCAAAACTTACCTCGTTTACCTTGGCCAGGACCTGACTTTCTGTTACTTGCATATGGCCAAAGGCGATCTAGAAACCTTACAAACGCTGGAGACACCAGATTACATCAAAGGGGAGATATCCGATGATGGTTTGTATTTTATTCACTAGTATTTTCTGCTCGAGGGACTCATAGTAGATCAGAAATGGACTTCCCAACATACATGGTACCGCCGAATCCCGACGACTCCGATAGTACGTGCCACTCGTGCTTGTTATGGTGTATTGCCTGAATATCCGTAATATGCAAGTATTGCCATCGCAAGTGCATCCTTCGTATCCATACGGCAATCCCACCAATCCCCGGCATCCTGCCATGAAGCCACGCCCTCTTTATGACCCTATGTCGAAAGCGCTATTCCAAGATATGGGGTATGATGGAGGTGTAACAGGTGCTCTGAGGTGGAAGGACTTGGCTCTCGAAGAACTACTACCTATAGACGAAGCGAAGGAGGAGGCAGTCAGGGCAGAGTTGGCGAGGAAGATGGCTAGTGGCTCTGCTTCGAATCAATACCAGTCACAGCCGGCCCTACCTACACAACCGACATTGGAGCCTACCGACATCGAAGACAACGACGAAGATGAAGATGAAGCGGACGAAAATGAAGATGAAGACGACGAGAGCGAAGAGGATGCGGAAGAAGACTAGAAATCGAGGTTCTGCCGCTCTCTTACAGACAGGGCGATGTTTGCGCGCCAACACCACTACAGTGACCGCTCATATTCAACAGATTCTCTGCGCACGCTCGCGGCTGTATGTCCCTAGGGTATCAGGCGCATGGGCTATCCCCAGAGACAGCTGCAAGTTGTTTTCGAAGCCATTGTTGTACTTTCATAGAGTAGACCTCACACGTAGAACGCCCTTGGCTTGTAGTATTCCCCTTCGTTGCTAGACTAGCACAGGTAATCGTTTTATCAAGGATGTTCGGTCCATCTGGGCAGTGTACGACAATATCGAGACTCTAAATTGCCCGTAGATATGGCATTTACTGGTCCTCGTAGCCTTGTACTGGCGTCCGTGCGCGTTGGGGAACTACAAACTGGTCAGAAAACGCTGCCTCGAGCATATGCTTTGGCTCACGTACGCGGGTACGAAGTAGGAACTATCTCGGCAGGTCTCCATCCCATCCGCTCACGAATTGGGGGTACCGTCACCACCATCACTGGCCCAATAGCACCAATAACACACGAATAGAAGATGACGGGGCTCTCATGGGCCTGCCGTTGCTGCAAACGCCGCACGCAAACGTTCCACGCAGGTCAGCGGAGCTGTAGAGGATATAGCTATGGCACGCACCAGGTATCGGTAGGACGAACGCAATGTTTGGGTGAAGAACATCTCTATTGTTGTTGTAGCAGCCCAAAGCAGTCGGCGAGTTGGATGGATTCGGGGACCAAGTGCGTGGGAACGGATTGCCGACAATGGTCGTGCCCAATGTGCACTCACTGTTGTCTCTCTACCACCATCACCGCCAGTCGAGTCATTGCTGTCCCCTCGCTTCCTCAAAATGTCGCTGGAAGAAAGTATCAGCTTGGAGGAGACCAACAAAATCCGTATCTCCCTTGGATTGAAGCCTCTCACCGAAGACGCTGCGCCAGCTGACAGTAAGGAGAAGGAGGCCGAGGACAACTACGCGAAGAAGCGCGAGCAGGAGACGAAAGAGCGAGATGCGAAGTGCGTATGTCGTCTGGCCTTCTACTCGCGTACTGACATGCTCTCTTCTTCCTTTTGCTTGCAGGAAGATAGCTGACCGGATTGCCAAGTGAGTAGCCCTCCATTGTCCATTGCAGTCACTTCCATCTTCTTTCCTCGGGCAGCTAGGCCCAACGACATGCAGAGCAAGTTTGCTCACATACAATCTGTCCCCCCAGGGTGAGAAACAGGCGTGAATTAAACGCCTCACTCAAAGGCTCGACACTTGGAGATGCAGATGGCGACGACGACACCCTGAAATGGATCAAGCGCAGCAAGAAGAAGGAGAAGGAGCTGGCGAAGAAGCGACAGGAGGAGCTTGAGGACATGGACAAGCAGTTCCAGGAAGAGTACACTGAGCGTACGTTGCATTTAATTCCGAGTTCGGGATGATTGGTTCAATGGGATTCTAGGTGACCTCGCTGGACTTAAGGTTAGCCATGACTTTGAGGAGCTCGACGAAGGCGAAGCCCGTGTTCTTACACTCAAAGATAGTCGTGTATTAGATGATGAAGGTACGTCCCAGTCGCACTAATGGCCACTACATTACGCTTACGCACTCACAGAGGACGAGCTACAGAACGTTGAAATGGCGGAGGATGAGCGAACGAAGAAGCGCAATGACTTGAAGATAAAGCGACGAGATTACACTGGTTATGATGACGATGAGTTCACAGCTGGAAACGCTAACATGAAGAAAGCTATCTTGGCTAAATATGACGAGGATCTTGGATTGACGGCGCCAGAATCTGTGCGTCAGCTAGATACCCTTTGGTTTCATTGTATGGCCTTCCTAATTATTTGCACAGGGATTTCGACTTGGAAGCTCCTCTTCCCCAGCTACAAAAGCCGAGCGGGCAGAGAAGAAGGAGAAAGAAGCCGCTGCTTCCGTCAACAAATCGCTTTTGTCCATAGATTACGCTAGTACGTTCTATCTGCCTCTTCACGGATAACTTACCTCAGACCATTATAGAAAACTTGGAGCTCGCGGATTATCTACAAGAAGGCGACGTCGGATTCAAGAAGCCAAAGGTATGATTTTCATGGCGGAGAAAGCTCGGAGTATGGGGGTCCTCTAACAGACTGTAATCAGACCAAGAAAAAGCGAGCGAATCGACGCGCCGCTGCTGACGCTGAACTTGCCCCAGACGATGCCATGGAAGTCGACGTTAAGCCGATCATACCAAGAGTGAGAGACCTAGATGCCAACTTCGTCGACGATGATGAGCTGCAAGCTATGCTAGCACGCTCGCGTAAGGCGAAAGTGCATAAACCCAAGAAGCTATCGCCTGAGGAACTGGCCAAGAAGAGTGAGTTGAATCCTTCAACGGTTATTTGCCATTTTGTTGACTTCGTTGTCTTCCTAGTTGCTGCGGAACGTACGAGAGAAGCGAGTGGAGCCCCTCAAGATATAATCAAAATAGAGGACGGTGAAGAAGACCAAGAAACGGGCCTGGTTTTCGACGATACATCAGAATTTGTGCGTGCAGTTGGCCTTAATCCCGTTGTTAAGCGGGAACCACCAGAAGCCTCTGCAGTCCCTGCTCGTGCAGCTTCGCCACCACGGCGGTCACCTTCTAGGGACGTTTCGATGGCTCCAGGAGATCAGGCTCTAGAAGAGCTTGAGGCGGGCGAGGTTACCGTCAAGGACGAGGAAGAGGACGATATGGCCGTACTCAACGCCATCGAAGATGCATTGAAGGTTGCTGATGCTCAACCAGACGACACGGACGCTATTGGAGGCACTTCGGCGGAACCTACATTCAACTCTGGAATGGCTTCGACTCTGAATCTCTTACGGCAGCAGGGTATTCTCGCAACCCCGAGTGCAGATCAGTCCGATCGCGAACGGATACAACTGCAACGTGATTTGTGGCTTGCTGATCAACGCAGGCGAGTTGCCCAGCGAGAGCTTGAGCGTCTGCAATCCCGTGGGGGCAATAAAGACCAGGCGCAACGAGAGTATGAGAATCGCATGCGGGAGCAACAGGAGGCCCGGGATAACTTGGAATCCTTTAAGCACTACAAGCCGGACGTGGAAATCAAGTACTACGACGAGTTTGGTCGCTCATTGACGCCAAAGGAGGCCTGGAAGGCTTTGTCCCATAAGTTCCACGGGAAGGGCAGTGGCAAGATGAAGCTGGAGAAGCGGCTGAAGAAGATCGCGGAAGAGAAGAAGAAAGAAGCCATGGCTAGCGGTGATACCCCGCTGAGCATGAGCAAAGCATTCCAGCAACGGCAAGAGAAGACGGGTCAAGCCCATTTCGTTCTGTCCGTTGGGAACAGGGGGTCAGTATCGTTTGCTACTTGACGCTGCGTCTTATCTGACCAAGTTATACAGAGCTGTCCCGCAAGCTGCAGAGTTCTTTGATGCTCAGCCATTATCTAAGGGCAAGACGGAGAAGAAGAAACAGAAGAAGAACGAAGGAAAGCCAAATCAAAACGGCTTCATGACTGTTCCGGCACCCCTGCAACAATTACATCTCGCTGATAGCCCGGCTCCTTCGTCTGGCGTTCAGACAACGAGTGGATCACCAGCACCTCGGGCTGGCTTCTCTAGAATATCTGCAACCGCTGTTGTAGAACCATCATCGCAGGGCGGCACCCCCGTTCCCAGCGAGCGTGTGAAGGTGGCATTCGGGTTTGCTGCGAAACGCAAAGCTGGCGAAGAAGCGATTGAAGCACCACCGTCGAAACGTAGATGAAGCTAACCGTCTTATTCTAGAGTATAATATGTATGGATCCACTCTACGACCCTCGTTCCCTCTCTCATTACTTATTATTCGCTGCATCGTTCCTTCGATCAATTTCCGTGTAGAAATCGTGTTTATCTTCATGCCCCGTCCATTTCCAAGCATTTTGCTTCACGAAATCATCGAACGACCACAGCGCTGCATCTAAATCTGTGGCATTGCGGTAGACGTATGTATCAACCTTCACTGGCGGAGAGAGCTGAGAGATATCTTGTGGAAGTGGTGGGGGATTGGTAGGCACTAGGTCGTATTGTACGGTGGGCTGCAGGTCTGGAATTTCGGTCAGGGGACCGAGGGGACGAATGGACACCTCGTCCCGAGTATATTCCTACACCAGGATGAGCATTTCAACGAAGTGTAAATGTAAATGAACGCAATGCACATTGCCTTCGAACACGTCTAGTAGAGCGATATCATGCGATGATAATCCGACTACCATCGTCCCCCTGACCGATCTTTCCTCCACACCTAAATCAAGTCCAAAGACCTGCTTGCTGCGTTCGTAGGGTAGGATTCCTGGGTAGTCGGCGTTCTAGACAGATATAGCATCGGGTTAACTACATGTCGCCGGACGATAAGGATATGTCTAAATCGCCCACCTTCACATGGTGCCGCGTGTAATCCTACAAGTAAACGCGAATAGGGGCTTGAGAGGACTCCTCTATTCACGAGGATAACATGCACTTACGAGGAGAACTGCTGGACATATCTGCAGATGCTTCCCGTTGTTGCCAATGACGCGGCGGAGGATCTTTGGGTGCATCAACGTCCCGTAGAAGAATGCGGATACCGTGGGCGTGCTTTCGATAGTATCAACTGTTTCGAGAGGCATGGTGTGGTCGTGAACACTAGCTTAGCCCTTGATCGGGAGAGGTATTGGAAGGAAACTGCCACAGTGTGTCGTGTGATGCAATATGATGTGATCTCAGAATATGCATTACAAATTGATTGAACAGTTCGATTATCAGGGAAGCAGTACGTGTATCTAGGGGACAGTGAATCGGCATTAGAACAAAACAATTGAGCAAAAGCAACTCGTAGTTGAGCCCGGCTAAAATGGGTTTTCAGTATGAGGGAGAGCGTCAGGACATGCGACCTAGTACCGTAGATAGATGTAAACAGATTATGTCCGCTGTCTACACCAATTCGAGGCTTATCCTCCCGGTATTCACAGCTTCTGAGATGATCTGACTTTGTGAGATAAAGGATGATGCAATGTCTATGTCGCCGTAAATTACCAGACGGGATAGATACGGAAACTGTTCCTCAGCAAGAAACATTTCTAAAGCGGCCGTCATAAGTTGTTGAAATCGTTCAATACCATTATAGCCGAGTCGGCGGTGCCTCGCGGCGTCTGCGTAAATCCGCAGGGTCTTCAGCGCCTCGTGAGGGACGTTTGACTCGTGAAGGATCAGCGGTGGCGCCCCAGGTTGGAAGTTTAATTCTTCGAGTGCGGGGCAGCTCATCAAGATATCCGCAACGCCCATGTACGTGAACTCCGAGCCCGCTGGACTACCGTCGAGTTCCAAGCGATGTATCTTGTCTCCCAATACATGCAGTATTTCTGGCTCTTCGGTATTAAATCGATATGACATGTTCATAGGCTCAGCGATGAAGTTCGATAACTTGGGAAGGTCGCTGGGCCTCACACCAGCAGAGAGAAACCCCGTCGCACCCCGTAAACGCAGTGTCTCGAGGGAAGGAAAGAGGATAGGTAGAGGGATATCATCGAACATATGTTCTTTCCAGTCGTTTATGGATAGGTATCGAAGATTGGGCGCTTGTAGGATGATGGTTCGAAGGATGGGGTAAACCACTTCGAGGTGTTCAACGTATCGAGGCCGGCCAAATCTACTGGACCAGTCGATCCTTTCCAGATGGCTAAGAGATAGATTGTCGACAGAAGGAGAAGGGCGGGCGAGAGCAGTCCAGAAGGGTTCGTCGCCATGCCGTCCTAGCGTAGCTTTGACAATCAGCTTCACCGATGGACAACACGTGAGGATATCATAAATCGAGCATGGATCGTCTAAGACGGCGAAGGGAGGGATTTCGATGCATCGGACGAAATGACCGACGGTGGGCCTGGTCCGCTGACCCGTTCGTCTGCTCAACGCTTGACGTAGGCCAACAGTGCCGTATCGGATAAGTATCTTCGCGTACAAGAATTCCAGCATGACTAAATTCCACTGAACGCAGACTTGGGATATAGCGAGGGAGATTGGACGCGAAGTCCAAGAGGGACATTCGCCTGTCGACTCAAATGGTCTGTAGTCGGACGACATTTCTGCCTGGTCGAAGAACTCGTCTCCGAGGGCATTTCGAAAGATATCGCGCCATAACTCAGCAGGGAGGCTATTGCTGGCACTGGGGGGATTCATGGGCTGCATCTCAGCCACGCGGCTAGGGGAGTCTAGAATCGTCAGCCGCGTCAAGGCAGTACAGTAGTTATACTCACTTTCAGAGCTTTTTGACGGCCTGGGTCGATGAACTGCCAAATCATTCGTGGCAGGACTGAGTGGAAGTACATCTTAAGCGGCTGATTGAGCCCAGCGCTTAAGTTCGAGCCCAGAGTTCGCGGCGACTGAAAAGCAATTGAAATACAAGCTCAACCCATCTTGGGGGTACAGGGGTATAAGGGATACACGTGACTACGTAAGATTACATCGAGCGCCCATCCTCATGCATTTGCTGCAGTCCCAGTCAAACGCAATACACCTATTCAATTACTTGAATATCGCGCGACCTCTCAGCAGCTTATTTTAACACACTCATCCACCAGTGGAAGGTGATAACTCTTTGCTAGTGGCAGCTGGAATGAGAATGAACAAGGACTGCAAGGTTCAAACACAGGGGGGATGTACTGTGAAGGCGAGGGTTGCGGGTTTAAAGCGCTCGTGCAAGCTCGACTCAACACCCTCCAAAGTACATCGCTAGCTACATCCAATGAGTCAAGACGTTCATTGCCTGTCGAAGGGTAAGCTCGCTCGAGACCCTCAGTTGAAGGATGGGCAATAACAACCACACATACATGCCACGATTCCGCCGTATGAGGGCAGCGCGATCATTGTGATCGATCAGCGGGATTCATTTCTTTCCTTGCCCCGTCGGTACATTATCCGCGAGGTCTCAAGACTCGCGAAGTACTATCCAGTGTCCATTGATTACATTGTCACAGTGATAGATACCAACGAAGTAAATAATAAATAGAAATGCGAAATTATCTAATGATGGCTATTTAGCTCGACAACAATATTCGTAGTCATGATGATGCAGTACGATACAATGAGGAAGACGCCCCACGATCTCGTCAGGAAGTACCCGTTCCAGGGGACGAATATCACGGTGGCGGCGAGGAGGGAGAGCAGTCCGACTGTGCTCACAAGGAGAGTTGTGGAGAAATGAAGCTCGTAGGGGACGCCTGTTTGGTGCGTGATGTAGGAGCCGGATATGCCGACACCGAGGAGGATGTTGAGCATGGGCCCGCCGAAGCAGGCGGAGAAACCCATGATGGGGGCGAATGTCTGGAGGAAGAGTTATTAGGAAGTACGAGCAGGGACGCGTGAGGGACGTACTGCGACACTCATGTTGGCCACGAGGTCTGCGAGGGAGTTGCCAACCGCGAATATTGTCAGTCCGATGATAGCATCGGATAGACCGAAGATGAAGCCGAATGTCTGTTGTGGAGATGCTGAGCCGTCAACATGCAGATAGGAGGGGAAGAGCTAACCCTAAGGATGTTGACCGTCTCGTCTGCGACGGCCATGATCCAGACAATGGCGACGAAGAAGCCCATGAAGCATCGGGCGGTGCGAGTCGATGTATGATTCCCTTTCCCTCCGAAAACTACGACGAGGATAGCGATGGTCACGCCAGCCAGGGATGTTGCCAACAGGATCCACTTCAAGTGACTGCTCGCATCTAAGGGAGTGAGCTGAATTCATGTCGCGCCCGCGACCAATGTATGAAGAACTCACTGAACAACACGGAAACAGCGAATATCGGGCCAGCTACGCATTGTACTGCCGTCAACCACTTATTGTAATCCATGTCGTGAAGTTCGTCCTTCGCTTCTTCTTCGGCGACTAAGACTCGCTCCACGCCCTCCTCCTCGAAATCCACCAGCCGGCCTTCAGGTACGTGCCGGGGCGAATTATGTGCGTATTCGTATTTCATAACGACCACGGGCAGCGTTAACGTTAGCATCATCACCGCCGGCGCAGCGAAGATGCTCGCGAGCTTCCCAGCTGCCGTCTTGTCACCGAAGTGATACAACGAAGGAAACAGAGTATGCAGAATGCGGCGGACGACGTGCATCCACCGGCGGCGGCGCGAGGTCAGAGGTAGCATGGAATCCTCGGAGAATTGGGACAATATGGGGGAAGCAGGGGTCGGCGTGACAGATATGGAGGGGATGGTGGAGCCGTATAGCGAGTCGCCATCTGGGTTGCCTGGCCGCGATTCATCTGAGTCGGAGGCTGGCGTGATGGCGAGTCGTGGTGCGGAACGCTCGTCAAGGGGCACGCCGAGGGAGGCCTCGAAGGGATTCTCCTCGATGAACGACGGGGATCGGGACCTGGCATGGGACGGTGTGTGGTAGTGCCCGCCAGCGAATGGAGTGGCTGGGCTGTCGAATGCGTTCAGCTGCGGCCCAGCGGCGTCGGCACTGAGGGAGTTGACGACCTGACGGAACTCGAGAGCTCCGACAAGCGAGAACGAGGGAAGACGCGGGTGGTGGTGGTATTGGGAGGGGGAGGGGCTCCGAGAGTGTGGGCGAGGCGGGAGGGTTGTTTGAATTCGAGGGGGCCCGGGGGTGGATATTGCGCGAGCACGCGAAGCGGGTACAGGTGTCGGAACGACCAACGTCGTTTGTGGACCATTGGCTTAGATAGATTAATTTAGCTACGACTGAAGGTAAGGGTATCGCAGAGACTCACGATTGTCCCTGTATGGCATAAACGGAGGTGTATTCTCGTCGTACTCTGCACGGATCCGAGCCTCCAGAACCCGTTTGCCCTCTTGTCTCCGTTCCCACCAACTTGAAGACACAACCACCAGAGCGTAGAAAACATACAGAACGACCAATCCTGCCGCTTCCACGAACAAAAGCTCATTGTCGAGCAATATAACCAACAATAATGCCACCGCCGCGGCAAAGAATCCTACATCGCGCAGGAAAGGCCCCCGATTGACTTGGAAAGGCTTGATGATGCACATGGAGCCCACAACGACTGAGACGATGAACGAAGCAGCCCCAATCAACTCGCCGATGGCCAGGCTGCCAGAGTTCGTGCGCATCGCGGCAAATGTCGAGAAAACGTCAGGACTGCCATTCCCGAACGCCAGAAACGTCACCCCCGCGACATTCTCGTCCAGACCAAGCAGCTGCGCGATCGTCGACAGATTCGGGATGAAGAAATCGGATGCACTGATGCCGAGGGCCGAGAAAAGGAAAGCTAGCCATAATATGAGGGCGACGAAGCCAAGGGGTCGCAAGGCAGGGCTCAAGCAGAAGTAGAAGCTGAGGTAGTCGAGTGAAAGGAAGGTATCGCTCGTCGGGCAGCTTTTATGGACATGCTTGCATTGTTCGTGAACCGGGAAGGTCAATGGGTGACACTAACGATTGAATTGGGCGTCAGTAACTGAACGAGGCTTGGGCACGAGCTCCCGCTCAGCAATACACTCGACGTTGTAAAATTACTTTACCTCAGCTTTATGACCCAAAAGCCCTTCCAAACTACCGTGCCCCCTCCTGACCAGACTTATTGTCGACGAGTCCAGTAGTTCTGAAGAGTGGAGATCGTGGAACCGGCCATATCGACTTTGCGACCACAGGATGCAGTTTACGACGAAACAGGTAACGAAAAGGAGTCTTGGTACGCTTCGGTGCACAGTCATGGCGAACGAAGTGAAGATGGAATGGTGGTCGTGGGCACAAGCTTCATATGGCGGGTCGTGTGCCGTGTGCAAGCTCCAGTTTGGCTCCGGTCACAAAGTTAGTTCAAAAGAGGGGCACACGGTATTTAATAGTTATGGCTCAACGAATCATACACGAGGGAATTTATAGACATGGCCATACGTAATTAGGATATCTACTTTACAGTGCCAATCCCATGGATTGGGGTTGCAACTTTCCCGATTCCGCAAATCGCTGAGTAAATGGCGAAAGCAGGTGCACGATGAGCACCGTCAAATGATCATTTAAATAATTCAGGAAAGACGCACCAAGCTGCTTTCTGCAGCCTCTTCATCGAGGTATGGCGAACCTCTGCGTTCTGGCTCACCCGGAACCCTCACCTAAAACGAACGGCGAAGATTTCTTGAGAAACAAATCAAAATTGAATTCTGGACTTACTCGAAGGTTGATGTGGTTTTGATTTTCAGCACTGATCGCAGTGGCTACGCGAAACCCTATGGAACCGTCAGCAGCGGTCGAGAAATCGCTCGTATCAACGGCCGATCCGTGCAGTGATTTTCGTGAATTAAAAGCGGCTAACAGAGAGTTGACGTAGACTGATCAGATGTATATGACCAATATCCACCGTATCACCGTCAGATCTCAGGCGAGGCGAGATGCGAGAAAGACTCACGTTTTCCGATGATGAAGTCGAAAGCAAAGTAATACAACGAATGGGGAACGGCGACGAACTAACTGAAACTTGAGCCATTTATATTGAATGACGGGATACGTGGACTCACGACAATTGTTTCGATGATGGCAACAGCACTAGAAGGGCACAACTTTATGGGAATGGCTTTACCCGGCGAGGGAATTGGACCCACGAAGTCAAGACGCAACGGTTAATCGACCAAATGATCAACTTGTTGAGGATGTTTCGGGTGCTAGCGGACATGGTTATGAACGATCTACAGTGAATTTGCGAGCCGATACGAGAATTAGTGAATTACTCACTCATCGAAATCTGTTTTCGTGCTACCCAGGAGGTAACAGAGAGACGCTGCGACCAATACGTCCGAGAGGATGGCTGCTACAGCGAAAGGCAGAGCTACGGATTGTGAACGAAGAATTGATCGAAGGGAAGGTTACGAGTATGATGAATAACTTGCCTGCGATGTACTACGCGTCATTAGACGATATAATTCGCATGGACAGTCGAAGACAGAGTGTTAGAAGAACATACATTAAGCTCTGATAGCCTGTCAAACCGTTTCTTCACAAAACTACGCAGTATATTAGCATCGTGAAGAGAGAGAGAGAGATTAACTTCAGGGAGCTACGTACCTCAGAATGACCATTTCTTTCATAGGTTTGGGTATGAAGTATGATATACTATCTCAGAGCGAGGGAAACGCACCTATGCCAAAGCCTTCAGCCAGAGCAGTTGTTAGTCAACAAGGGGACAAGAATATGATTGCCACGAGCGAACTCACAGAAATGTGCGAATACGAAGAAAGCCTAGAACACATGCTCGCGATTTAGGGAGAGAAGACGGTGTGGAGACGCCGTGAGCGTACCGTGGCAATCGCAAGACACAATGTTATCTTCCCTGTACGTACTGCAAGACGAAAAGCCTTCCGACTTAGAAAAGCACCTTCTCACATCAGATTTCGGAGCCGACTCACGTTGAAATATCCGCACAGAGAAGAACCACTGTACAACGAACGCCATAAGAACCTAGACAGTCTCATAAGTAAGTAACATGTGTGTGGAGGCGGAGAAGAAGAGGCTGGCTGACGTTCACAGCAACAGATGTCTACCATCCTGTTCAGGCACTAAATTCGCTATAACGGAGCTGAGACGTACGAATAATGTACTGGAAACGGCGAGTAGCTGTTAAGGACAGACCAATGGTTGGAATGGAGCACGGCAAGAGCTTACGATGTGCCCTCTTCGAGCTGTGATGGTATCCCGTAGCTTTTAATCTACGTCGCCAAACATCACGAGTGACGAGGCTAGCTTTCGGGGCGGGGAGACTACGTACTAGGTAGTAGTACAGGGCGTGGCCCACTAGTATTCAAGTGATGCTCGTTACTCTAACAAGTTTGATTCAATGTTCGGATTGACTTACTGAGTATAACATGTAGTGTGTCCAGCACCCTGGTTTAAAGGAAGGGCATGACGTCGGGTCACAATGTGAGATATGCGAAGCCTACCAAAGTGCCGTAACCTGTGATAACGGGGACAGTGAAGTACCCAAGAGTCACGGTAGACTAAATCACTCACAAGAAGCTTGAGGCGAAGGGGATCTTTTGGGTATGCGTAATAGTAAAAATACGTCTGATATCACAGGAGAGGGAGAGGGTTGGTGTTTGACACCGTCCATTAGCCGAACACGACATACCTGTAGATTGGTGATCCCATACATCCTGATCAAAGGGTATGCATTCGTGAATATCGAGCTGCGAGCGCAATGTCTTACATTGTAGCGATATTGCAACTCACATCATCGTGATCAAAGCACCGACGAGCATGGCACCTAGTACACCACAGGAACACCAATTAGTCAGTTTTCTGTTACTTCCGAACCAATCCAATCTCAGTACGCACCGAAACTATCAGTTAGTGGACCGCTCATCCCAAGCAACTTCCTGCCCAGACGCCTTTCGAGCTTCGAAGGCAAGAAAACTGCTATGGCAGGAAGATGGTAGAAAGAGAAAGTGGAGAAAGGCCCGACAAGCCCACACGAACTAAGAACCCTTCATACGCTTGCGCCGCTGATGCTATACAGCAACCGCACCAATAAAACACATCATGGAGGATTTTCCTAAGTTGACGAGACAACCCTTCGAAGTTTGATGCATGATGCACTTGAACATTGACAATTTGATGTGATCACTAATCCCATTCGGTGCCTATGCTACATAGGTGTTGCTAGCCAATGTTCTCCCGGGTCTTGGTGTCTTGTGGCGACGTCACATTTATTGATCTTCGGATAAGATTTCACATGTCAGTGTGTATGGTGTCTGGAAAGGGAAGAGACCCTGAGTGGCTACCGGCTTGTTGCGCTGCCATCGATGTGAATGGCAAGTTGAAGGGGAAGGGGGAAGGGTGGCTAAAGGATGGTTGAGTCCATCGCGTAAAGTAACATTACATTTGATGATGAACGCCAAGTTGCTAACGATCAAGCTTGAGGGTCTAAAAGAATATGAGAGAGACAACGCTGTCAGCCACCCACTATGCATACTTGGCCATTGATCATGGCGTACTTACTGGATGATCTCCCCTGGTCTCCGGACCCAGTATATGATAGAAGCAATGACCACACAGCACTGCTCCAACTTGGCCCAGTAAATAGTTTACGACGTTTTATAGAGCAACGAGCTGTATCGAATTTCACGAACGCTTGATATTGGCAGGAGTCGAAACAATCGAAGCGTACGACCAACTTCGCTCGCGTTATTGAAGGTTCGCTCGGGTGGTCGCGTCCGTCGACGTCACGTGCGATCTTGTCTTCGTATTATAGCATCGGGATTCCTATACACCCGCGAAGTCTCTTCACGGAGGGAAGAGGTGGTGCAAGCAAGTAAATCAATGCAAATATGTGTACATAGTCAAGAGGTGTACTAAACTATGGTGAGTGGGTGATAGGAAACAGGGGGAACATGCGTCACTTAAATATTTAGATAAAGAAGTCAATGGGGGCGAGGAATCCTTTTCAAGCAAGGGAACAGACAGGGTCATAAATATCGTACCGGGCTTACAAGATCGTGGGTGAGCGTTACACCTTTGCCGATTCCACAAATTGCTGGAGATAGCCAAAGTGAACAATGAACACCGTTCAGATTACTATGCAAGAGAGACGCACCGATCCGCTTTCTGCGTCGAGGTATGGCGATCCTCTGCGTTCTAGATCGCCTGAGCCCCTCGCCTACATAGAACGAAATAAAGAAGAAATAAATTACAAGGTAAATGAATTTGAACTTACTCGAAGGCTGATGTGGTTCTGATTTTCGGTGCCACGGGCAGTGGCAATTCGGAAACCTATGGACCCATCGGCGGTGGTAGATAGATCACTGGTATCGACGACCGATCCATGTAATGACTTCCGAGAATTCAGCGCGGCTAGTAGAGAATTTACGTAGACTGAAGGACATTTACAACGCCCAGCATTCACGGTAAGACTTCGAAGAAGTTGAATTTGAGAAGCACTCGCGTTTTCCAATGATAAAGTCGAAAGCGAAGTAATAGAGTGAATGCGGAACGGTGACGAACTAAATTAAAAGCCCTTTAGCTCTTTGTGTTGGGCAATTTTATGTATGTGATTTGGACTCACGACAATTGTCTCGACAATGGCAACAGCACTAAGAGGAACATAGCAGAGAGGAAGAAATTCAAACAAGCTATTCAGTAGTGATGAACCCGAACTCACGAGGTCAAGATGCAACGGTTGATCGACCAGATGATCAACTTATTGAGGATGTTCTGAGTGCTAGATACCACAGTGTAGATATGGATGGTCTACAATGAATTTTCGAATTCATAGAAGACCCAGTGAGTGACTCACCCGTTGAAACTTGTTTTTGTGCTACCCAAGACGTAACAAAGGGAAGCTGCAATCAAGACATCCGAGAGGATAGCTGCTACTGCGAAAGGCATAGCTATAGAATAAATCAGCCAAGGGGACGATGTAAATAGAACAAATCACGTACCTGCGATGTACTATGTATCGCTCCCTCATGAGTACGGTGCAGCAAAGGATGATAGTTGAACACACATTAAGTTCAGACTGCCTGTCAAACCGCTTCTTCATAAAACTACGACGAAGTCACTGTCAGGAAAGAGATGCTAACCACAGGTAGCTAGCTGCATACCACATAATGACCATTTCTTCCTTGAATTAGGGATCAAATGCCCTCTGAGAACGGTGGAGGCTTACCTATGCCGAAGCCTTTCGCCGGAGAGGGTGTAAGTCGATGAAGGCTCAGGAATATGAAGGCTACGACTTTCACTTACAAAAATGCGCGAATACGAAGAACGCCTACAAGCGCCCTCATTATTTAGATGATGCAGAAGGTGTCGGGGACATACAGAAACAATGGCAAGACACAACGTTATCTTCCCTGACCGAACTGTACAAAAGCAGAAGGCTTTTGCATCAAATGATTTGACGTCCTGATTTCGACTCACGTTGGAAAATGCGTACAGAAAAGAACCTAATAGGAAATTGGACCAATTCAGACTGAATAAACCTGAAGGGCTTACCATTGTACCGCGAGTGCCATCAGAACCTAGATCATTGAGAAGGTAAGACAACGGGATTCGAAGAGGTTGAAGAGGGGACTGACGTTGATAGCGATAGATGCCTGCCCGTCTGAAGATATAGATAAAAGTCCGTCATAACTTGAGGCGACACGTACGAATAGAGAACTGGAAATGGAGAGTAGTGGGATTTGGACGTGATTCCAGCGTAGTACAGTGAAGTGCTTACAATGTGCCCTCTTCAAGCTGCAACGGTACTCCGTAGCTTATTATCTATATTCCTCAGATAATGAGTAACAATGACGGTCAGCATCAATCACAGGAGGTTACGTACTAGATAGTAGTACAGGGCATGTCCCACTGTTATCAGAGTGATGTCGGTTATTCCAATGAAATTAACGATCTGTGAATCGGCGTACTGAACGCAACATGGAGTGTGTCCAGCATCCTTGTTTGAATGGATTAGCCAACATCAGGTCGAAACATCGAAGATGTAACATACCAGAGTACTGATACCTATATGATGGGGTCGGTGAAGTTGCAGGAGCTACAACAGGGTATATTACTCACAAGAAGCTTGAGACGGAAAGGATCTTTCGGGTATGCATAATAGTAGAAATAAGTCTAAGACGAATGTGACTGTCATTCAAAACGTCCGATAACTAACATCGACATACCTGTAGGTTCGTGATTCCATACATCCTGGCCAGAAGTCATTCATGGATATTGCGCGCTAAGTTCATTCTTTGCATCGGAAACTCACATCATCGTGATCAAAGCGCCAACAAGCATGGCACCTTCATAGCACGAGCACCAAATTAGTCGAAATACTGTCGTACTCAATGGGCCTTCAGTGCGCACCAAAACTATCAGTCAGTGGTGCAGCCATTAGACTTCACGGACACCTCGGGCCTCTTTGGAAACTGACTGCGGCACGAAATAGGGAGGGAGAGAGAGAGAAGAGAGAGAGAGAGAGAGAAGAGAGAGAGAGAGAGAAAAGGGAAGAACCCAACAAGCCTATGAGAACCAAGAACTAACCCAGAACCCTTCATATACTTACGTCGCTGATGCTACACACTAGCCGAGGAATACTGTTGAACAAGGTGCAGCATGGATGCACGATGCACTTGATCAGACTTGATCATTTACTCCATGGTTGATGTGAACTATCCAGTCGTGTGGGTATCTGATCTCTGGAGAAGGAAGAAACCATGTGTGGCTGCCTTGTCTTTCGGCCTGTTGCGCTGTCATCGGCGGTTAACTACTTCTAAGGCTCCTCGAGACTTGATCATAAAGTGTCGATCGGATCAACACGTTATAGGGGGATGATATAAGTGTCCACCGAACCCCGATCCTCCGCTGAAATAAGGACGAACGACGATGATAGTAAGATATGGAAGAATGTAGGGGAGAGCGAGAGTGCGAGAGCGAGAGCGATGTTAGCTATTGCACTATATGCACTGGGTCTTTCCTGTAACTCTGGTGTACTCACTAGGGAATATGATGATCTCTAGATGATCTCCCGACTGCGGTAATAGAAGCATTTGAATCAGATGCCGACACCGCAAGTTTGTCCCAGCTAGTGATAGATGAAGTCACGATGTTTCATGCTGCAGCGTGCATCAGAAAATCTTCGCGAAGTCAGAATGTTCAAACGTTCAAGTTCGAGAGTCGAGACGGCTCACTTGAAAGTTGAAGCTTGAAGGGCATTTGTGGCGTCAAGGTCACGTGGAATCTCTTAGGAGACCGAGGAAACCGAGTGCAAGGGAGGGCCAGCTGTACCACATAGGCTGACCTACTTTCGCTTCTGGGGTGGCGTACTTTCCTGTGACCTGTCAGTAGTTGGGAGTCGAAAGTTTTGCAACATGCACTGCAACATGCCCGATAACAATACGAAGATATGAGCTCAATGCCGGGCGAATGAGGATATAACCCAGCAACAGAATAATCGGGTGCACCTGCATTTATCCGTGCTTGGTTGTATATCAACGGCGTTTGTTCCTTGCTCTTTTTGACCGCCACGCCAGTGGTATGAAAGCTCCGCCAACGCTCAATGAGGTAGGTTTCGCGGCCACTACCATGGTCGTAGCAGGGAGGCTGACCTACTGTACATCCGCTTTGCATGGTTCAATCCCCGCCAGAACATATAAATACCTTGCTGTTTCTCCCTCTCCCCAGCTGCTCTGGGTTTCTTCCTTACCACCACCATCCGGCCTCACCCATACTTACTCCCCCTTCCTCACCCCGCCCTAGCTCGATCCGGCTCGTCCGTCAGTCCATTGCGCCCTCAACTTCAACATTCAACATGTTCTTCGTGTTGTTGCTTGACTATGCTTCTATCTCTGAGCGGTCGCTGAACTCGCCTTGGTCTAGCCTCTTCGGCGGGGGCTCACGCCATAGCAAATAAGTCTATGCGTATGGCGGGCGGATGAGATGGCCGGTGGGTGAGGCTTGTCCCACAGTGAGTCTCTGGCTTTCCCGCCTTTTGGGTATTGGTGGCTGACGCCCGTTATAAGCCTTTACAATGGTGTCTTTAGTCGTCGCGTCCTTGGCGGGCGCAGACTTGCCCTAGGCGGGCTCAGGTCGCATTCTGGCCTACTCGAGCATCGTGGTACGGCCCTGCCTCATCTTTGGGGGGATCCATCTCGTGTGCACATTTACAGCCAGTCGAGGCCGTCGAAATGGATTGGTGGTCAGCTTCAAAAGTAAGTCAATGTTTGTGGCATCAAAGAAACGTTGGCTGACATACGTTGGCTTGAATATCACAGCGCGCAAATTCGGATATCTACATCCTACAATTGAACGTACAGCGGATAATAGGCTTGCCTTGTTATGTCCTAGACCATGGTGGAAGGTCGGCGTGAAGTCACTTGGGGGTTGTTGCCTTCGTAGGCGATGCCTTCAATACTCTTATCGCGCTTTCGTTATGAGTCGAGGGGACGCAGCATGGTATCGTCGTATCCTTTCGCTGTGCCTTCAGTTGTAGGATGTAGGTATTCGAGTTTGCGCGTTGTGGACAGGTGCGTGTTGAATTGTCGCGTCATTAGCAGTGCTTATCCTGTCAAATAGGTCGCGTTCGTGGACTCGATCCACACCGAAATCGACATCAAGACTCGCAGCAAGGTTCTGATGCCCTGAGTAGGTTGTCTTATTACGCGGGGACTGATTGTTATGGGATAGGGCGATTCGATTCGATTCGACCGACCTCAAGTCCCCGGCCCTCGCGGCCGGGCCATTTTCTTTTTTTTGCTAGTCTTGTTGTTTGCCGCCATGTAACATTGTGCGATGTCGCTCGGGGGTTTGTAACATTCGTTGTAGACCGGGGCTTTGTTTCTCGGATGTTGGTGACGTGGGCTTCGCCGTTCACGATCGGGGGGAGTTTTGATCGATGCCGGGGCAACTGGCGTCGATTTGCCTGCGTCCGGCAAGACCCAAAAGGGCAGGGTAGCTTTATGCAACCCAAGAGCGGCCAGGTTTTAGAACCCGCATCCTCTCTTAAATGGGCAGAGAATTGAAATTTATTTCTGGTTGAAAACGTTTGATATGTAAGAACGATGCCACAAGATGCATGAAGCGACTTACGTTGGGGATCATCAATCAACCTTGGCAGCTCCAGCCAATGGCTTTTGCGACTTGAGCGGATTCTTCGGTAGAAGCATATCATATTCGCTGATTGCTGAGGAGGTCCAATTGTCAACGGTTTGGCAGTAGCTGTGGTGTGGAACTGAGTGAGTCCATGGACCGAACATGGCGCAGCTTCGCTATTAAGCGATATGCATAGGAAACGCAGCTGAAAAGAAGTCTCATCGCGACTAAGTACATGTATGTTCATGACTGGTCACCTGACAAACGTTAGGGGCTTTACACTGAACTTACCCATTCGACCCCAAAACAGTTCTAGAAGCCTTGTCGGTCCAACTGAAAGTACCACTAGCACGTGATGTAAGCCAGACTATGGAAAGCAAGACTGATCTGCTCCTTGGCAGGTCAGTCTTGCACTGTTTGCCTGCGAACCAGAATGGTCCGCCACAAACAACAGGGTTGCGAACGAATCCCCTTGAGTGGGACCCCAGGTACCTTTCATGTGCATCTCAATCATCAATAGTTTTGAAATATAAGTATACTACTTGATACTAGCAAAGTCAATCAAAAGCAATATATCAAGTCTAAGGCTTCTTGCTACGTCTAGTCACCCGTATGCCAAAGAGTGGAGGAATGATATTCTGCTTTCCAAAGGTCAACGATAGCCGAGCATCCGTACTGAGCCTCTGCTTCTTTCTCGGTGGTTGATCATCTTCATCGCCAACAAGGGTATTGTCGGAGGAAGGCCCTACTACCATCTGCTGATCATCGTCATCATTGGCGGCTTCATCTGAGCCATTGAAACCATCCTCAGTCTCCTCCATGTCGCATCCCGAGCCAGAGAGTGCATGGCGGCGAACAACTTCCAAGGAAGTAATCCATTTATTGAGATCCGTCTGGTGCTCCTTGGACATTCCCTTTTTTGGTTGGCCTGGTTCATCCAAGTGGTTCTTAATCCGATAGATACCTCGGATGTATCTCTTGAAATCGGTGTTCGATAGCGAGGGGTCACCTTGTACAACGAATACTCTGTATTTATCTCAGTACTCTTCAATGTATGAATGAGTGGGGAGGCTTACCTCTTCTTCTGATGTGTTGTCATTATGATGCGACCATTTCCGCAGTACTCTAAAGGCCCAATAGCAACACTTGCAGACTTCTTGACAATCTCAGAAAAGAGACGGGTCTTTCGTTCCACCCCAGTAATGAGATCGAAGGACTCCGCATGACTAGAAAGGAACAGTTAGTGGAGCAGGAGAATAAATAGATAAATGAGCACACGAGGAAGGAATCTTGGCTATCGTCCAGAGCTGCTTCCCGCCAGTCTTATGTGCTTGATAGTACAAGTAGGTCTGCTTTCGTGGCCGAGTCTTGTCCATGAAGTCGTACGGGACAATGCTGCTGTAGTACTCTGGGTTGATATGGGATTTTGCGTCAAGCATATCTACCTCAATGTTTAAGAAAAAGGGGGAAAGGAATCTATCATCACGTACTGTGCTTATTGAAAAGAGAAGACAAGGGATCACCCCCACCCACGGACCCGCCGAGGCGAGTCCATGCACTCTCTCCAAAAACAAGATACCCCAGATAGGGGTGCTCCTGAAGGGCAATATTGAGATATCCAGGCTCGAAGATATCACCCTCCCCATTTACATCATTCTAACAATAGGTGAGCTGATCATTGAGAACTTGGGAATATATGCTTACTGCTTCATGCTTGACGATCAACTCTGCCATGCGACGGGGTACAAGAGTCCTTGTCTTCCCATACACCATCAGCCAGTCGCCATATTGCTCCCTCTGCCTTCTGGTGGGTGCCAAGATGTTATCCACCAATGCAGGCTTCAAAATATCCGACCTATATATAATAATAAGTAAGCGAAAACATCAATATATTTGATTGAACATACCACAGATTATCATGGGACTTTCTTGTATATTCCCATAGTGCCAGACAGAGTCGGGCCACTCGAGACGGACTTTGGCAAAAGTCTTGTATCGAAATATGGATGGGAATTCCTAGGTGTTCATTGCGATGAGTGTTTGGAGGATGAAGAGGAGGAAAGCAACCTACCTGCCATAAAAAATACCTCGCAAAGTGTGTAAACCCCCATGCCAAAGAACACCCTGCTCGGCGCAGTGCGCATGCCATCAGCAGCCAGACCAGCTTTGCGTGAGCCCATAATGCCCTCAACAAAAGTGCTCACTCCACGGAGAAATCCATGAAAGTCAGCATAGACATCTGATGGAGTGGGCGGTAGCTTGTCGCAAGAGACTGCCCAGTTGGGCTGTATTTATGTTAGCTAATGTCTCTAATGCAGTAACTCAAGACCGTACCTGGAAGACGTTGTCTAACGTCACAAATGCTAAGGTATGAGTTTCAAACTCGAAGGCCAGGCCAACTCGGAAACCACGAAGCTAGAGTAGATTGCCATCAGTAACAATAATGCTTCAACGATAAATATATGGTACTTTTTTGGGGACAGTCAGTATAGAGTTGTACCACATGTCCTTCGTATAGAACTGAAGCGACATATGTGTTAGGTAGGCAATCTAGACAAGTAGTATGTTAGCCATATGCGAAATCTCCGAAGTGTATAGAGCACTCACAGAGATCCATAGCACACTGAAGTCCAGGTGTATTGTTCTGGCAGTTCCCTGTGTTCATGCAGCGCTGGCAAATTCTAATGAGGTGGACGGCGTCAAGAAGTCTTATCTCATCGAGGAGGTCATTGATGGGAAGTTCATCAAGTACATCAACAATGACAGCCCAGAGCTTCTTCCAATGGAGAATCTGGATCAGGAACGACGAGCAAAGTTCCTCGCCTTTGCTCAGCATGTTCAGTATTTCAAGACAGAGTCTGTTTTCATTTCTGATCTTCAAGGTAAGCATGTTGGCGATCAAGGAGGTGCTATTGTCCGCTAACATGCCCCTCAGGTGGTGATACTCTTCTCACTGACCCTCAAATCACAACCGATCCGTGAGTGGCTCTACCTTTCTTGCTTTTCAGCAAGTAGCTGAAACTCGAACAGCAGTATCACCAAAGGACAGATCTTCGCATCTGGCAACCTGCCCAGTGCGTTTACGAACTTCAAAAGGCTACATACCTGCAACTATTTTTGCAAGTGGTATAAACTACACTCTCTGTCGCTTTCTTCCTCCGACTCCGAGTCCCATAGTAACCAGCCTCTCTTTGTAGGATCTGTTGATTCACCAGATAAGATAGCTTAACTATGTATAGCTAATATACAATACCAAAAGCCTTGTCTAAACCTACTTCTTAGCTACAAATGATAACAGAATGGCCTTCGAACGAAAGGAAACGAATGAACGAAACCGAGTATCATTACTACAGTCACACCATGTCACAGTCACTCAGAGAATGGTGGGTGCGACTTACTTTGATCAGTAGTGCCAGTGGATTCAGTTTGATGATGCCAATCTGCTGTGTATATGTGTATCACACACACCCAGCACTGTTGGAGGCTTAACGGTCCATCCTGTGGCTCAAATTACATGCTCTATAGTCAATCCACGGTGCGGAGTTTGTTATTTGTCAATGTTTGTCTGGCTGGCGCTTCAAGGTTCCTGCTTAGCACGAAGCAAGGTCTGACTCTCATGATGAACAAGACACTGGGTTTTTTTTGAATCATCTTACTACTTAACAGTATCACACTCCATATAATGCTATTGGTCCATCCAGTCATGGTTACATTTGACTGGCGACTCAAGTGAGTGCCATGTTTGTGCATGTTTGCCTCATGTAAGCGCACTCTCTACATACCAACCAGTGACTATGGCTTTGGTCAGCCACAATGGCCATGGATTCACTTTCTCTGCTTAGTGAGTCTATTCATGATTATTATAGACTGCCTGTACCATTCTTTGACCTTGCTGGTCCATCCCCCCTCTTAGAGCACCAACTTGTGCGATGATTTGAGCACTAGATATTTGTACATATTTGTACCTACTTCAGGAAGCGCGTGTCTAACTGCAGTGCTTGGGGGCCTTGTGCCAAGGAATAAACAACTCGGACCTTTCAAGCCGGTGGAGAGCAGATCAGTCTTGCTTTCCATACCAGACAACCAAGTACATGTTGCGACACTCTAAAGTCAGACGGGTTCATATACACAGGCATTCACTAGTACATAACATTTTAAGTTCAACTTCGATTCTTACTTCTGCATTGACCAGCAGTCCCAAAAGCGCCCGGACTGCATCTTCAGTCGACGACACAAACGACCTTCCCTGCCGCAGCATTGGATTCCATATATTCATGGGCCGCGCCAGCTTCCTCCATCTTGAACACTTTGTCTAGGTTGAGTTTGAGCTCGCCCCGAGAAGCAGCATCTACGATCCATTGGATCGGAGCGTTTGCGACGTCGATGGTGGCTGAACCGAACATTGTCAAGTGCTAAATAGAAATAGCCATGAATCAATGCAACCTCGCCAGCGAAGAAAAGGAACAGCGTACTTTGGAAGGAGCGAGCGTCATCATCGGGTCGAATTCTTTGCACGTCCACTCGCCGGACACGCATCCAATCATGGAGACAACCCCTGTCGGTGTCAAGGACTTACACGAATCCACGAGCGTCGTCCCCCCAACCAACTCAACGCACTTGGTAGCGCCACCGCCGCCTGTGAGTGCCTTGACCTGGTCCGCAATGGACTCGCCCGTTCTGTCCACAATGACGTCGGTGGCGCCAGCGGCTTCGACGGCGTTGATTTTGCTGGGGGAACGGGTGGTCGAGATGACCTTCTGGCAGTTGAAGAGAGAGGAGCGGGCGAGCGTGGAGCAGGCAAGTCCGACGCTTGTTGTACCGCCGCGGATGAGGAGAGTGTCCGTCGGCTGGAGGTTGAGGGATTGAGCGAGTGTTCCCCAAGCTGCAAAGAACAGGAGTGGGTTGGGTAAGTATTCAATGAGTGCACTGTGCCGTGGCGCACCTGTGAGAAATGTCTCTGGTACGGCAGCAAAATCTGCCCAGCTCATGCCTTCAGGAAGCCGCACTGGCTGAGAAACGGCCGACTTGGGTACGAGTGTATATTCCGCATATCCACCTATGACGGAGTTCAGCAACCAGGATAATAGATAGTAACATTAGGGAATGTCCCCTCACCGTCGAATTGACGTCCCATGCCGCCCATGATAGCTGCTACGACGTCGCCTTTGTTCCAGCTGCCTCCACCCGCGTCCTCAACCAGGCCAACGCACTCAATTCCAAGCACACGAGGAAATGTTATCCCAGGCGAATGGCCTTGCCGAGTGAATAATTCCGACCTGTTCAGGCCAAAAGCTTTCACTCGAATTAGTACATGACCTTGTTTTGGTGCAGGAGTGGGATGGGACACATTGTAGACGAGTTTCGAGGGTGGTATGGGGGCACTAGGGCACACAACTGCGCGCATGGTCATGGTTCGGGCAAAAGCCATATTGGAGAGGCTATACATAGAAAGTGGGGTGATTGTGACGAGTCAACTGGTCATGTTCCAGAACTCTTAGGAGATCCATGAGTAATGAGGACTCTGACATCGGATATGCCGTAGAGAACATATCGAGGAAACATACGATGCTGAGAAGCGGTTTGTGTGTTATAGAGTACAAGAAGTTCAGCTGGCCCGTACGGGAGGTCTATCGCCGCACCTGTTGCAGCCCATTCCGTCAGCCAGCATCACTTTTAAGGGTGGACGAGTTTGTGCTGAGGCTGGTCCGTGATGGCCAAGTACAAGGATTACGACACGCTTGGAAGTGGCTGCAGTGAGGCTTCTGATATCATGACAGTAAGGCGAATATATTGGATATTCAATTTTCATTGTCAATCGGTCAGTAATTTGAGGAGCGTCTCAGCTGGGCCATGGGAGCACCGAAGCAGGGGGAATGGACGCATCGTTGTGGAGGAGAGTGACAGCCAGCTTTGTCGGGCCGGCGGGATTGCTGGGCGGGTTGTTGACGTGTATTTGGGCGCAGTCTTGTTGATTGGCTCGTCAAATGGACTTGGAAATCTCTTGCTTCTTACCTTCATGGTCCTGGTGACAGGCGCAATACATGGCTTTCCAGGCATCCTACATTCTGGCTGGCTGCTTCCTGTCCATGGCGACGCCCCTTGTCTGGAGTTTCTCCGTTTGCCTGGGATCTGAGCCGACTCTGTATTTAAGGACTCGTTGACCCGTCTGGATCTAGAAGGCTTCGACTGGATATTTTACCAGCCAATCCCCACTGACTAGCGACTTGGGTTGTCCTAATGTCGAGTTCCTCTTCGTTTGATTTCTCGTCCTCTACCACACTCTCTTACCCCTCACCGGCCTACCTACACGTCGGCGGCCACCTCCAACTCTCCACATGCGACGTTCGAAGTTACACAGATGGCGGGTGGAGAGAGCTTTACGAGAGCGATTCTTTTGGCATGGAGGCGCCCCCTGCCTACCAGCGTGAAGATTCGAGTCTTCCCTCTTACCACCATGCTGTGAGACGAGTTCCAGCACCGACACCCACGCCGCTAGCAAAACGATTGCTTAAATTCGGCTTCTGTGCGTATTGTCGTTCTCTGGCACTGGAAGCGTCCTTATAGAGCTCTAGTCTTCCCCCTCCTATGGCTTGCCGGCGCCATTGTTATGTTTGTCGCATTCTTCACCCGACGAGCCGCGCGACAATCCTCTTCGCTTCTTCCAGAGAAGATCACGCACCAGAAGGATATCGCATACGACCGCATGCTCAGCGAAGAGATTCGCTGGGGCCTCCGTTGTCTATGGGCGTTCTCCATTATCTCGTGCATCGTCTCAGGCATCATTCTTGCTGTTGTCTTTTGATAATTGCCCCCGCCCCCGCCGCGCCTTTATTTCGTTCGCAACGCTACATTCTTTAACGCTACATTCTTTGGAACACTGTAACCATACTCTCACAGCGTACCCGCTGGCACTCCTTGTAAAGTCCCTTCATTACCATTGTTGTTGTGCTTATATATTGTAGAAACATTGACCCTCCGTAAATATTGTATATATATCCTACCCTACAGAAACGCCTGCTGTCGGTTCTAATATATACCAGTACTCGTTTGACACCCTGACGTGAGCACCTAATGTACGCTTTCCGATATCCCACTCTCACAATATCGGACTGGATAATTATCCTGAAGTCATGAGGAGCTCTGACGAAGCCCGCAATCCGAGGTTTCTCCCTGTCCTTCTCTCATCTACTATAGAATCAACACCATGGCATCGTCTCGTACCCAGTCGAATTCCCCGCAATGCGTGCCGTTCATTCTGGGCTGCCTCTGCTGTGTTTACTTTCCGCCGGGGTGGACGCCGCCGTGAAACCAGTCGCAGTCAATGGCCCCTCCCTGACTCTGTTATTCCAAAATTCGCTCAACCACACCGAAAACGCGCTCTCTCCTGGTGGCTTCATCGTTATCTCCGATGTCACAGGGCACTCTGCTACAGTTGCTTGCCAGAGTCTGTCGGAAACCCCTGCTGTAGCTCGGTCACTGTCCGCCACGGCTTCGCAGGACCTGGTCGATCTCCTACGCTTCCAGGGTGGCACATCACAACGATTCTGGATTGGCGATGAATCCAATAACTCAAAGGCGCTCGGTTTTTGTCAGACTGTACAAGTCACAAACAATGGGCTTCGGTTCGCTGCAGCGCCCTGCTCGAGCCATCTACCAGCGGTGTGTTCGCAAAGCGCGCCCTTTAGTAATGCGAGTACTCGGGACACGTCCGCTCAATTCCAGATAGCGGTGAACAGTCGTGGAAAGCGGTTTACTGGGTGGGAGCTATAGTGCTTCGATCATGATCAGGAGTTCTGATCCTTTCGCCTACTAGCTACCGCGATTTCGCTTCTTTTAGGTTTCTCGGGATTCCGTATGGTGAGCCATCCCGCATACTCTAAAACAGTCGCAGAACGGCAACTTTGTTCCATAGCCAATCCTCCAAAGAGATTTGAACACTCCACGCTATATTCAGGCACCCAGCGTGAATTCGACAGCACTCGACCTGGAGCACACTGCGTCCAAGCAGGCGACTCGAACGTCTCCGAAGACTGCCTATTCTTGAATATCTTCACACCATTTTTACCTGGGACGGATGGAAGAAGCGTTAAGCGGAAGCCCGTCATGTTTTGGTCAGCTGGGGTCATTCTTCAATGTGTGGGTGCAATGTGGATTAACTTGGAGTCGTGTACGTACAGGATTCATGGTGGCGCGTTCACTGGTGGCACTGGGTCTGACGCCACGTTTGACGGCGGGTCGTTGGCCTCTCGCGGCGACGTCGTGCTCGTCACCATCAATTATCGCCTGTCAACTCTAGGCTTCCTCGCTCTCGATGATGGTGTCGTCAACGGGAATTACGGGCTTGTGAGTCTTGACATACGCCTAACATAAAGGGATAAATTGAGTCTTACCAACGAGTTTGTCGCTTTTAGGCGGACCAAATCATTGCCCTGAAATGGGTACAACAACATATAGCTGATTTCGGGGGCGATCCTGGTCAGGTTACGATTTTCGGACAGTCGGCGGGCGCAGCTTCCGTACGCGCCCTACTTGGTTCGCCGAAGGCCAAAGGGCTCTTCCATGCAGCCATCCCTATGTCAAATTTAGCAGGAGCAAGTACGTATACTACGTGCCACTACTTGATTTTCCGTTGACACATCTACTGCAGATTACGCCACGACGTACAGTAAATACTTCACGATCGAAGAGGAGGCGGCAACGGTCGCTCGACCGATCATATCAGAAATAGGCTGTGCGAACGACGATCCTGCCGCAGTCCGGGCGTGCTTATTAGCGGCCCCTGCAACACAGCTGGTTTCCTTGCCAGATGTGGCTAGGTTTATCGTAGTAGATGGTACTTTCATCACGTCTGATGGTTTACAGCTGAGTGGGAAGGCTCCTGGTGTCAGTAAAGTGCCGACCATGTGGGGATGGATGGCGTTCGACGGAGCACCGTTCATAGGGTTCCCAAAGGATGGGCAGACGCTAACACAAGCCCTCACCAGCCTCTTCGTGACGAACGAGACGGTGGCCGAAGAGATTGCTCAAAGCTCCAGCCTTTTCCCTATTCCATCCACCACGAATCATACTCTGGATATTTTCAACGTCACGTCGAGGATCACGACCGATCTCGAGTTCAGGTGCCTCGACCAGGCCACGGTGTTTGCGGCGGTCAGAAACGATGTGTTCAAAAGCGTGCATATGTATCAATTCGATCGCTCATATCAGGTAATCACATCTTCACAGCATATATATTTACTTAAATGACACGCTTCTACCAGACACCAGGTTTCAGCCCCAACCCACCGACATGCGAAGCTCCCATTACCACCTCACATCCCTTCGGCGATCCTAGCCTACCGTATTTACAGTGCCACTCGGGCGAGCTCTACTACGTCTTCGGGACCCTTGGACAATTTCCACTGCCGTTCAGAGATAATGACGACTTGGGATTCAACCAATTCATTCTGGACAGTTGGGCGTCGTTTGCGCGCACTTTCGATCCAAACCCCTCGGAATCGTTCTTACAGGCGAGAGGCTTCGACGGGACGTTACTCCGTGTGAGGCAGCAGAGGAGTAAATGGCAGAAAGTAACCAAGACGAATTTGAACGGGAGTCAGATCCTTCGGCGTTTGAACTTGCAAACGGGGGCTAGTAGTTTCCTGGAGAAAGCCCAGTGTGAATTCCTAGGCTTTCCGCTAGATTTCTACCTTTAACGTTCTAGGATGTTACTTAAGTACGTCGCGCAAAAACGTGTAACAAAATTCCATTCATAGGTGTCGGCGTCGCAAAACGTGAAGTGAATCACAAAGAGGTTAGATAGAAGCAGAGGGGATCAGAGAGGTTTCCTCTTTGTTACTTCCGAGTCTTTGACTGCATGTAGCATGATCTTGTTTGGGAGGTTCTGCATCATACCTATATGGCCCTTGGACCATTCATACGAGATCGCGTAGGCAAAGATACCGCCGGTGCGATTAAAACAGGTCGAAGAGATCGGCGCTGGCGCTTTCTTGAACGCTAGGTGCAATTTTTAAAGAGAATGACTAGAGGCAATGCGGGCGTTATCGCTCACGGGTCGGAAGACGGCATCGAGCGTCTTTATCCCATATGTTGATGTTTCCGTCAGACCCTATCTCTGCTGAGCACAACGAAGCGGTTCTTTATGTGATGAACGTCTTACCAGCACTTGCGAAGGTTCCTTCGGTGGGATGAAAGGATATGTCGTTCACTGCATAAACGAAGGAAGATGTTACTCGGCCATTGACCTTCTCTTTGTCTTCACGATGGCATCTGAAGGTATAGTTGCTCCTGGGAAAGGAATCAGCGATCCAACGAGGGTTATGCAGGATAGTCAACCGACTTGGCCTCGCTCTGGTCGACGAACCTATAAGAAATTAAAGTAAAAATTTGGGTACCTAACACATCACCTACTCTACAGCCAATCGTCCCTCTACACTGCCAACGACATAAGCGGGCTTCGGGGACGCGGTGCAACAGGCAACAACCCTCGTTTGAAACTTCAACGGCGACATAGCACTCTACGTTCTCGATTAGTGATATGTCCGTTAACCATTGCTGAGGCTGAGAACTGACCTTCAACGCGACGTTCGGTCTGCGAAAATCGAAGACTTCGATGTGACGAGCAGCTGTGCCTACAACCATCAGAGGAAATAGAACATCCATAGAATACAATCTTTCGGGAAGTTGAACACTCCCTATTGCATTGGGTGTTCTGAGGTCCCAGTACTGCGAACAATGATTACCAAGGGTGAAGCAGGAGACGCATCGTTGAACCGTACTTTGATAGTTCTGTCCCAACTTCCGGTGGCCAGAATACCGGACTGGGAGTCGATCCATTTCACGGCCTTGATAGGGGCGTCGTGCTGAGCAACCTGTATTGACTGGCCAGTGAACGGGTCAAACATGAGTCCGGCATTATCAGCACCTCCTGAGAATAGCTTGTCTCCAGCCTAAAGATATTGTTCAACTTCTTGTTGATATGATCGAGTGGAGACAACTCACAGAGTTCCAACAAACGCTCAACACAGGGCCTCGGTGAGAGTACATGGCCTTGTACTGTGATTGGAGCGAGTTGTCCACTTCATAGATGCGGACCTGGCGAGAGATGTGATTAGGGGAAGAAGACACAGATGATGAGGCTAACCGAGTTGTCCCAACTACCTGCCGCAAGGTAATCGGCCCGACCAGAAAATGACATCGAGGAGATCGAGTCCGAAGGAGGTTGCGGTGCTTCAACGTCTCTCTGTGATTCCGTGCTCATTGTGCAAGGAAGGATAGAGATGCAAGAAAGCTCGAAAGTTGAAGAGCGAGAGGTAAATATAGGAAGCCAGGGTCTGCTCGAGTCATCCGCGTAGTAACCAAAGGGACCCTCGGTACCGTAAATCGCATCGAGATTCACCAGTCACGTAAAGGTCGCTTTCCTTCATGAGGTCGAGAACATGCACTATATATGGGTTACTGAGGGGAAGGGCTACACTCGTTCCCTTAGCAGAGCCTCGAATTCCATCCGTGGTTCGATAGAAAGAAGAAAACAGAGCAACTTGGAAATATAATGGTCTTTGAACACGGTATCTGCGGTTTTCCAAATTACTCGTTGTGCCCGTCGCTTGCGGTGTCCCGGTGGCCCCCGTTGATTACGTCGCGTGAGGAACTTATCCTCAAGGTGCGTCGAGTACTGCAGAAGCAATGCAGCGATTGTATGAGCGCAACTTTCATCCAGGAAGTTCTAGGGCCGTGGCAACTCAGATTCATCTCTTGGAACCAAGCATTAACGTGTTCGGATCCGCGATCGAGAGAAAAATACCAAGGATATGATGCTGCCCAAGGGAAAACAGTGAGGCATCAGTAAAACCGCACATCGGCTTTTTGGTGGCTTTCCATTTCAAGCCGTTCAAGCAATAAGTCGTCGTGTTCTTCAAAAGCCATGTCCCTGGCTTTTTGAGCCCCTCAGGAGCTGCTAAGTTCAATGCTTGAGAAAGTAAGCGGTTCTTTGGGAAGATTAAGTACAACTCAAAAGGTGAAGCTTGGGCCTTAAGGAAAACTCACAAGCAGAAGGCTGGATCGTAAGGCAGCGTCAAGCTCAATTGAAGGGAAGAAGCCCGACCAAAGCCCGGTAACGTGGGATTGCAAAAGATGCATTACATATTTGTAGACTATATAACAATAGTTTACATTCAGTCATAATACAGGGAGTCGTGTATTGAACTCTATATGCAATCTAAGTGTGCGGCGCAGTGAACGAGTGACTAGAAGTAAATTTGAAATAAGAATGCGTTGAGAAACTCGAACCGTACCGTTTTATTCGTGTTCTTCGAGTTCGTCGAAATCGGACTCGAAGTCATGGATAGAACCAGATCAGACGGTGGAATCAGACTCGTCACCATCCCATCAAACCTATACAGACTGAAGTAGTACTACGTGTAAAATGACCTAGAATCCGAATGCGTGAGGGCTTGGTGAGGCTGAGGTGAAGACATCGATCATTGTTCAGGCGGCCACTGCTCTCAGTTCCTCCTGCACGATCGACTTAAAGGAATCTTCTCCAGAACCTTCTCCAGCACGAAAAGTCCCAATTTAGGGAGGGAAGGCTTGATTTCCAGCTACACACAAAGAGGCGATCCCTCCAAACTTCAATCGTTTGATTTTGTTTGTTTGTACAGGCAACGCTTTCCTATGGTCTTCTCGTATTCCCCTCAGTTCAGAAAGTCTTGTTCCTGAAAGAAGTTATATCTTCTCTGTGGGATGCGCCTCGTGCATAACACAGTTAGAGAGTGAGCATCCATTGTAATGCTAAATGTCTCACTGGCTCATCTTGATGATTTGGACGGGTTCACCCCGCCTGACCGAACTTCTTTCACTGCGTATGTACCATTCGACATTGACCCAAACATTTGTTGTATTGTTCGGAGAACGTCGATCTTGCGGTTCAAGTTCTCCGTATTTACATGCTCTGAAAATACTTCAGTCTGGTTATCGATTGTCATTCGAGAAGGCTATATCTTCACATTCGTACGTAACCGTGGCTCTTCAACGTCTAAAAATCTTTCTACACTCTCCGAAGGAGTAAGTGGCAGTGTATCATTCAATTCCATAATCCTAAACTTGTACAAATCACAGAACTAATATTGGCCGTGATCTCCTTTCCCCTCTCCCTTCAATTAGGTGAATGGGACGTTGATGGACCTGGTGCCAGGAGTGAAGCAGAAGCCCCCATCGAGTCTCGTCCCGCAGGAATTGAACGTGTTACAGCTTCCTCCACACCCGCCTCTGTCGCAGAACGCGACATCCGTCGTAGCCATCAGGCAGGTGGTGTCTGGAGCGTTGAGACAGGCACTATTTCCTTCGTAGACAGTACAGTCGCCTCCGCAGACGGACCCACTGCGGCGGTTGCAGTAGACTACCCTCGTATTGAGGGCGCTACGCTTGGCGAGAGGTCCTTTGGCGGTGCCGGTGAAGGTAAGGACCGCATCTGTAGTGCGGAGCCAGTTGTCGAGTTCTGCATTGCTGACGATGGATGCCTCGACGTCCCTGTTCTGTTGAAATACAGGTCAGCAATGATCGATACGTGCAGCAAGATTGGCAAGACCATACATACATAGGCAGGGCTAGCAAGGACCATGGTCGCGAGCGCGACAACGGAGACGAGTCTGAGAGTGAATTGCATTGTGTAGAGACGAATCTGCTGAGTGTCAACTGGGAAAGCTGACTGTCTGAACCAGTAGGTCTTTGAACGTCTTTTATACTGTCCTGCGCTATTTCAAAATGGATTTATAGGACGTACCGTCCTCGGAGGAACGAGGACGACATGTGAGGTCAAGAACGTTCCATATTTGGGCTGATGATTCTAGCGGGCTTTTCTTAAAAGGTTGGCGTTGTAAAAACTAGTTATTCTTAGGAAGGCCGCCATATGCGTTGTGACACAATGACAGGGATTTATCTATTCTTGTCACCCCGCGGCCTCAGTCAGAAGATATCATTGGCTGTATATTCTGATCATTCCAACGATTCATTGAACTGCGGGCGGTGATTAATTGAGTACCGGGTTCGGCATCTACTTCCTGGTACATATGGAATCGTTTCACCTCGATTAGTCGGGAGAACACAATTACGACAATCTGTCAGGCCAGGCGGAAAGAAGGCCAGCCCCACTCGGGGGGATGCATCTATTCTAGTAAAGGCCAACACTTATTTCAGTATATGGCATCAACTTGAGGATATACCATTCTGTAGGCCTGGGCACCGAGGACATCAATTACCTACCTTGCTGAAGTCGCCCTTCTCCATGTCCCAAAACTTGTTTCACTCTCTCACAGAGTTGGAGGAAGGCGGTTGTGCACCAGGACTCCTGGGGAGTGACCACAGGGCCTCCCTCTAGTACTTGAGACAATGCCTTGTAGAATGGGATTGGTGTAGCCACGACGCTTTTACGGAGACCGTGCGAAGCAGGTTTTAAGCTTTTGAATCCAGGACGGAAGCGACTTAAATCTGATCGCAATCCGCCTCGGGATGTTGCGGCTAGCAGTACCAGGATGTAGGTTCCGAGCCGGGCACCAATACTAGTAATTCAACCCCGCGAAGCCGTAAGGATACTGATCTCTGCTGTCTGGGTCATACGGTAAGATGCCAGACGCGAGAAGCGGCGGTCGATAAATGCTCCGTGCTTGTCTTACGGGGCGTACGGCCCTTCCAGGTAGAAAACCGCTAGAATCATCAGCCCAAATACGGAACGATCTTGACCTCACATGTCGTCCTCGTTCCTCCGAGGACGGTAGGTCCTATAAATTCATTTTGAAATGGCGCAGGACAGTATAAAAGGCGTTCAAAGACCTACTGGTTCAGACAGTCAGCTTTCCCAGTTGACACTCAGCAGATTCGTCTCTACACAATGCAATTCACTCTCAGACTCGTCTCCGTTGTCGCGCTCGCGACCATGGTCCTTGCTAGCCCTGCCTATGTATGTATGGTCTTGCCAATCTTGCTGCACGTATCGATCATTGCTGACCTGTATTTCAACAGAACAGGGACGTCGAGGCATCCATCGTCAGCAATGCAGAATTCGACGACTGGCTCCGCACTACAGATGCGGTCCTTACCTTCACCGGCAGCGCCAAAGGACCTCTGGCCAAGCGTAGCGCCCTCAATACGAGGGTAGTCTACTGCAACCGCCGCAGTGGGTCCGTTTGCGGAGGCGACTGTACTGTCTACGAAGGAAATAGTGCCTGTCTCAACGCTCCAGACACCACCTGCCTGATGGCTACGACGGATGTCGCGTTCTGCGACAGAGGCGGGTGTGGAGGAAGCTGTAACACGTTCAATTCCTGCGGGACGAGACTCGATGGGGGCTTCTGCTTCACCCCTGGCACCAGGTCCATCAACGTCCCATTCACCTAATTGAAGGGAGAGGGGAAAGGAGACCAAGGCCAATATTAGTTCTGTGATTTGTACAAGTTTAGGATTATGGAATTGGATGATACACTGCGACTTACTCCTTCTGACCGAATACACAGGTTTGAGTATTTGGGTAAATCATAGTTCACTACTTGAAGATAGTATTAGTTCAGGCCTCAGCGTTGCCGCTTTGCTGAACTTTATCCATTTGCAAAACCCCGAAACGAAGTAAGTAACAACAACGTAGCAGTGAGAAGAACTGACTAGACACGGTATCCGGTGCGAACGCAAACTGATGTACTGAGTATCCGCGTGTAGGCGAGAAGTCAAATATGTACGCGTATTGCTTCTGAATGGCTGAGAAGAAACGGTGGCGAAACTGGGAAGTAAGTAATCCTAGGATGAGGGCTGTTTACATAAATAGTTCCCACATTCAATGGTGAATTTGCGGGGCCTGTAAACAAAAGGCTCCGTCTAGAAACCAACTCGATGCTATATACGAAGCATAAGTTTGAGACGTAGCTAGGAAGTCCGCCCAACTCACACGCAAGAAATCATGCAACAGGTTGCAATGCGTATATAGTTCATCTGTTATGCTGGACGATCCACAAGTGCAAACCCATCATTGTTGCAACCTGCGCCTTTGAATCTCGAGCGCCCGAGCGAGGACTTGGGGTTACTTCCAGCCATCAGGCGTTTTGCGATGATCTATGTTTATCGTTGTATGAAACTTAGCGACACACAGCCTTGTAGAGATTACCCACATGATGGCTGTTTCATATCATATCGTATATAAGTAGCTGGAGTTCAGGAGTGCTGGTCAAACAGCAAGTCAAATGGCGCGCAGGTGATTCTCCCAAGACAATGATCAGATGAAGAGAAGCACTTACATCCACGAATAGTAGCACACTCCGCCGCAATCCCAAAGAATACGGGGACGTCAATCCACTGGACGACGACTCGCTTGACGATGCAGGATCGGACACCGTCATTCTGAAAGTAGAAATCACCACATCATCGCCGACGCTTTCCCTCTCCAACCCAGATGACAACTTCCGTCTAATTCTCTCCGTACGCGTCTTCGCCTCTCCGAGAGCGTCCGCCCCTATAACTATCGCGACTGGTCGCACTGCACTGGATGTAGATTCATACATTCGTGGGGCGTTCCGCCTTGAGTGTATCACCGATCCAAGCAAATCCATCGCACTATCCACAACCACACAACCACACTACGCTCGTACAGAGACAGCGAACAAAGATCTGGAGGAGATCGAATGGTTGAAGTTCGTCACTGTCCCCCCAAAGAACGCTGGCGTACTTCTGATAGAACACCCCCTTCCCTTGGAGCGAATGCTGAGCCGCGAGCCCACAGTCAAGTGCGAGGATTTGACACCGGGGTTGAAGTACCGTGTCTGGACGGATGAACGCATTCTCAACGACGTTGCGACCTCGTATTGGGGGGGATTGGATGGAGAGTTGAAGGATAAGAAGTTGTCAGATAAGCGCGAAGATGAGACATTACAGTTAGACCGGGAGGCACTCGAAGCTGACAATTGGGTTCTTGATCAAGGCGGGGTCATTGTCAGAGGCAATGTAGGCAAGCATGGCCCTGTATTTGAATTAGTGGAGTGATTTACCTGTAGGCTTACCCATCAAGCGATAGACCGGTTAGTGGACAACAGAGAAGGACATTTGCAAGCATCTGCGCCACATTCTACGTGCTTGATTATTTGACGTTTAAGGCCTTGATGCTCAAAATGGATCGAACATTGTTGCTCAGATCTAGTACACATCTCCTTCGCCGTCCAAGGCGAAGCGAGTCAATTAACAGGCTCGGCTGCCGTACATGACATGCATAGCACTAAAGAAACAGACATGGGTCAATATCGCAAATACAAAGCCCACAGAAATCGACACGATGAGATAGCAAGAGGTAAAAATGGTACGTATGGATGCGGGTGTCAATTGCCATCTATTACTTCTTCTGTCGCTTCTTCACTTCGTCGTCTTTGCAAGCGTGGAGCATGATTTTGTTCGGGTGACCTGGTGTCATTCCCGAGTGTCCCTTCGACCAGTCGTATGATATGGCGTAGGCGAAGATGCTGCCGTTGCGGTTGAATGTGGTAGCAGAGATCGGACCAGGAGCGGTGTCAAAGGCTGCATGGATGGAAACATTGAATACGAGAAAAATCGGAAGAGGACGGCGCTTACACTTTAGCCGACTGCGAGCATCTTTGTCCCAGAAGTGAATCCCTCCGTCAGAACCTAGGAAGCATCCTTACATGACTGGCGCTTGAGTAGAGAGAGAGGGAACATACCGCAGGTGGAGAACGTGCCATGCACAGGGTGGAATGAAATATCGTTAACGGCATACACTAGTGCTTGATCCTTGATATTGGCCGAAGAGTCACGTCGATGGCATTTGAAAGAGAAATTGTCCCTGATGGGCGTGTTAGCCGGAAGGGTAACTGGACATAGTATAAGTCTTACTTGGCGTCCTTATCTTCCACATATCTGGTTCAATCAATAATAATGCTCCCCCGGCTAGGAGTCCACGTACTGGATGGCCACTCTCCCCTCGACACTGCCCACAGCGAATCCGGAGGTTGTGGCTGCTGTAAAACAGGATACTACGCGAGTTTGCCACTTGAGGGGAGATATAGTAGTCTTATTCGAGGTAAGTATCACCACAAGATAACGGAGGAGAGACGAATACCTTATAAGGCGTGGTGGGGTTGGTCAGGTTGAATATCTGTATGTGTCGCTCGGCTGTGCCTACAACCATTAGAGGGTACTGGACGTCCATAGTATAACAGCGTTCGGGAAGCTGGACCGTCGCTACGGGGTTTGGAGTGCGCAGGTCCCAGTACTGTTCGAATCAGTGAGCTCAACTAGGATCCGGAGTATTTGGGCAGTCACCTTTATCGTTTTATCCCAGCTCCCTGTTGCCAATATCCCCCCTTGCGCGTCGACCCACTTGACGCATCTCACCGGTGCATCGTGCTGAGCGACCGGGGCGGCCTGGCCCGTTGTGACGTCGAACATGCGCGCCACATTATCTGCACCTCCTGAAATGATTTTGTTGCCCTCCTAGCCAAAGAAACCCATCGTTAGGATTGTTTGCTGAGAGCAGAAGGCCACCCACTTTGTTCCAGCAGACACTCAGGACCGGTCCTTGGTGCGAATACATGGCCTTCCCCTGCGTCTGGCCGTTAGCACCTACCTCATATATCCGAACCTGCGATCGACACGAACGCGTCGAATTTGAGCTTACGACGCGTAAGCACGTCCAGAACCGACTCACGTTGTTGTCCCAGCTCCCCGCTGCGAGGTAGTCCGCCTGGCCGGAGAATGAAAGTGAAGATATCGAGTCGGATGGCGGATCGGCAACCTCAACCTCAATGTCCTTCTCTGCGGCGGTAGAATTGCTGGTGTTCACGGCCGCTGCGCCCGTGCCGGAGCCAAAAAATGACATGTTGAGTTCTTTGTGATTTCCTTGACGTCCTTAGGATGGATGTACGATTGCAAGTGGACGGTGAATAATATCCTTGCCCGAGAGTGGCAAGGCTGGATATTCTATGTCAAGCGCCGTTTGGAGGTGTTTACACATGACTCGGGCGCTAAGTATACCCTCACCTCCTGAATCTTCCTGAATTCAATCACAGTAATCACAAAACCAGTGTCGTAAGATCTTTGGCAGAGCCAGGAGACACGACAAGTGTCCTCTTCGATTGGGTACTGAAAGCACTTTGAACCCGGCAGTAGAAGACATTTCGAGTCGAATGTTCGAAATGTTCGAAATGTTCGACGCAAAAGTCTAGTTGTTGAACACTGCTAGGTCATCTGATTATTGCAGAAGCCAACGTAGCACAATGGTTAGTGTGTTGCTTTCCGGAGGCAAAGGCTGTGGGTTCGAGTCCCACCGTTGGTTACAAACCAGGTCCATTCCTTTCTTTTTCGAAAACATTTGAAGACAAAGCATTTTATTAAGAGTATCTATCAGAGCCCTAGAGAATCGCACTACATGTATACAACACAAGTCCTTTTAATTGTTGGAGAGAGAAAAGAGGGAATAATCTACTGGATGGATCCGAAGTGGTACCGGGATGAAGTGATGCACTGATATGTAAAGAAACAATTGATCGTGGAAGAACGAAGATGTGCAATGCCAAGCTTAATCGAACTTGGGAGTATCGAAGCAGTCGTCTTGATCTAGAGTGAAGGCAACAAATCAGTGAAAAAAATATGAATATTGTGATCAAAGACACTAACCTTTTCCGTGTTCGAGGATGAAATCACGATCCTTCTTGATGAGATGCTTGATATACGACTCCTTCGCGTGGGCGTCGACAGCCACCTTGGGGTTGACGCGTGCACCAGCACGAACAGCAGCGATAGCAACATCATATCTCGATGTGTTATTGCAAAGCATCATATCGAAAGGCGAAGTAGTCGTTCCCTCCTCCTTGTATCCCTCCATTGTAATACGATCCAACCGCGGGCGGCCGAACAGCAGACCCTTCAGCTCGATGGGGTAACCATGGTAGTTGAAGTGGATTGGCTTGTCCTTGGTGAAGAGGCTGTCGAAGGCCTCGTCGGTGAGCGAGTGCGGGTGCGTGCCGCTAGAGCTGAGGATCATGAGATCCGTGACGTTGACGACGCGGACGCGGAGTTCTGGGACGAGCTTGCGGAGGAGGGCAGCGGCGGCAATAACTTCAAAGGTGACTTCCACACCAATGCCAACAAGAGTGACGTCCGGGTCAACACCACCGTCGGTGCTAGCAAACTTCCAGATTGAGGCACCAGCGATACAATGCTAAAGATGATGATTAGAGTGGGGTCTGTGGAACAAGGGTGAAGCTCGTACTTGGTCGGCTTCTTCGGGAGACAACCACACCGGGGTCGGTTGCTTGCTGCCTACCATCAAGTTGACGTAGTTCTTCGCCCGCAAGCAGTGAGACACAGTCGACAAGAAGCAGTTGGCATCAGGAGGGAGGTAGACCCTAGCGAAGCGGGCCTTGAGGTTCAAGACGGCGCCGATGAAGCTTGGGTTCTGATGCGAGAACCCGTTGTGTTCTTGACGCGCCCACGTCGATGTTTCGATATAGTTCAGCGAGCCGACGTCCTGGCGCCATGTAGTTTCAACGGCCATTTTGGCGAACTTGGCGTACTGGACCATCATGGTGTGGACGATGCCGAGGAAGGCTTCGTAGGATGGGAAGAGACCGGTACGGCCGGTGAGGGTGTAGCCTTGGAGCATACCTTGGCAAGTGTGCTCGGAAAGGATTTCAATTACACGACCTCCCTTACCGCGAGAGGCGATATCCCATTGGAAGTTACGGCCGCTGTCGTCGAGGACGGCGTCAAGCTTGTTGGAAACCAATTCATCGGGGGAGAAAACTCGGAAGGTAGTGGGATTCCTGCGACGAGGTTAACGCGAGAGTAGGAGGACATTGGGGGGCAACTCACTCTTTGACAACTTCCTTAAGGAAGCGACCAACGGCCTTCATGCAACTATCTTGCGAGCCCCTTTCTCCGCAAAGAGGCTTCCAGTCTGGAGTGATCAGAGGAACGTATGTGCTATAGCTGTCGGGGTTTTGACCGAGCTTGAGTTGTGCCTTTTCCGGAATGATGCTGAGCACCTCTGGGACGGGCACACCCGACTCGGTGAAGAGTTCCTCGGGCTTGTAGGAACTGAGCCAATCGTGAAGTGCAGAAAGTTCTTCATCAGAGGTCTTTGCGTTAGGTAAGGGGACTTGGTGAGAGTGGAAGGAGCCCTCGATGAGCTCTCCGTGGAAGGCCTTGGGACCGAACCAACCCTTGGGTGTACGGAGGATGAGTACTGGCCATCTGGGCTTGACGATGGGATTTCCTGAGCGTGCAGCCTTCTGGATTGTGCGGATTTCGCCAAGAGCCCAATCCATAGAGGCAGCGAGATCTTGATCGATGTTTTCGAGATCTTCGACAATTCGGACTTGATAACCATAACCGCTATAAGCAAAGTAAGTATGTGGGCCTGATCGGATGTCAGATAGGCTTACGTGAAGAGGGCGGTCATTTCTTTGTTGTCCATCGTGCCGTAGATAGTACGCTCAGAAATCTTGAAGCCATTGACGTGGACGATAGGGATGACGGCGCCAGACTCGGCGGGGTCGATGTACTTGTATGCGTGCCAGGCAGTTGCAGTGGGACCTGTCTCGGCCTCACCGTCACCGACAATGCAAGCGACGACGAGGTCGGGCTTGTCCATGACGGCACCAAAGGAAACACTGAGCGCGTACCCAAGCTCACCACCTTCGTGGATGGCGCCTGGGGTGGCAGCGTTGATATGACTATGGTACTTAGTTAGATCTTCCTGTAAATGTAGATCGGCGCGAATCCAAACCTTGGGAAGCCTCCGGGGGCACTGAATCGCGAGATCAGCTTCTTGAGCCCGGCGTTATCTTGAGTAATCTCGGGCATGAAAGGGCTCATGGAGTCCTCTAGCCACAAGCAAGATAAGATTGCTGGAGCTCCATGACCTATTGATGAGATCGTTGTGGATCAGCGCCAATGACGAAAGGTATGACTATATGCGCCTACCGGGGCCGACGACATAGAGTGCCTCAATTCCGTTATTGCGAATAAGCCTGTTGATGTGCGCATATACCATGGTAAGACCGGGGCATGTTCCCCAGTGTCCAAGAAGACGAGGCTTGATCTGATCGTGGGTGAGTTTATCTTTGAGAAGAACGTTGTCGTTCAAGAATATCATCGCTGCGATCATCGTCAGAAGACATGCGTATTAATGGCAACGTTAAACGCTTACCCGCTGCGATGTAGTCTGCAGCGCGACGGAACATTTGGATATTCTTGAGTTCATCGGGTTTAAGGTAATCTTTGGTGTTGAGCTTGACGCTGTACTCGAGGATGGAATCCGGGAGCTGGGAAGGGTCAGCAGGTGGATTTGGTTGGAAGAGTTCTTGTCCAGGCATGATGGTTATGGAGGACGAGAACGAGAACGAGGCTTGCGATGTTGTGGTAGTGGAGAGAGAAGGGTTGGAGGCATTTGGCTTTATAGGTGGAGTGTTATGGTGCACTACGGGTGTATGCACGGATTGTTTGCCAATACCGCGCCAGTCAGATTGGAGTGGGCGGAATAAATGAGCCGAGACCCTCTGATCTGGACATCTGTCACCGCTGCCTGGACCATGTTGGTGCAGGATACCGCCTTTTATCTATTGGATGCTGCGCGAATTGATGAAATCTGATGGACGCACAAGGTCTTCACCGCACAACCTACTCAACACCGCGACTGTGACCACATTGCGCAGGTCTGGAATGGCTTTGCCGGGTATTGACCGTGAGAATGTGTTTATTGACCGTGGTAATTCAGTATTTGTGATCGTTCGTTGTGGACGATGCAGCCAACGTTCCTCTTTTACCTCTAATCTCACCTCGTTCGTCACTCGTCGGCCACACAGATGGCTATTGAATATGCCTTTGGCTGGCGGGTCCAATGGCGAGTGTCCAAGGTCTTGAGCAGCCTTGAGCATGTGACGCTGGCCAGAACTCAGCGACACACCGCCTACGCCTAGGCTTGATGCAAGCGGTCCCAGGCTCACCGAACGACCTGTGCTTGGGAGGCAGCGTATCAGAGGTCACCATCGGTATATCCAATGATAGCTCGATAATTGCCCCCTCAAATCTAGGCAGGGCCCATCTATTCAGTGGCGGCTACGATAAGCGCGTCGGGGTGCAGTTCCCCAGAGTTTCACCATGCACGCTGCACTGAATCCGAGGCCAAATATTCGCCGCGATGGACACGTTCGTATCAGCGATTCTGGGCGATGCTCTAGGTGGACGGAGCCTGGGCATGGAGTTCCTTGAAATTTCTCCATCGGAGGTTGCAGAGGGCACGATTATCGTGGCGATCTAAGTTTATCGCTCCCATATCTACACGCGCCCTGATCGAGGGTGCACTCATTCATTCACTTCTACCTTTCACCATGTCCTCCCCCTCCGACCAGTCCCCAGAGCCCCTCGCGCTCTCGGTCAATGCTGGCTCGTCGTCACTGAAGATCTCCCTCTATGCCGTGCACTCCCATGAATTCGTGCTGGGCGTGGATCCCGTCGCGTTGCTGCTGACGTCATCGATTTCCAATATATCGGCGCCCCCTGCAAAGTTCTCCTTCAAGGTCGCCAACGCCGATGGCATCGTCAGCGAGCAGGCGACAGACGTGAAGGACGAGCCGGTGGACTCGATTACTGACCACGCCAGCGCGTTTGCCCATTTCCTGGATTATCTGAAGCAGGAAGCCAATATTGACAGGGAGCGCATACAAAGGATATGCCACCGTGTCGTTCATGGTGGAAACTACAGTGATCCTGTTATCATATCCGACGAGAGTTTTCATCACATTGAAAGGCTTTCTGATTTGGCACCATTGTAAGTTTTGTCGTTCGATTACCTTTGCGATGTTGCTGACTCAATTCAAGGCACAACGGTGCAGCGCTGTCCGTGATCAAGGCATGCATAGCCAATATACCATCGGCGCAGTCAATCGCATACTTTGATACCGCATTCCACCGGCCTATGCCAGCCCATATCTCAAGCTACGCAATCAACCAAACGATAGCGAAGAAGAGAGGTCTTAAGAAATACGGATTCCATGGCCTTAGCTGTGAGTTCTGGTCATATATGCGTATATATGCGTCTGATTGAGTTCAATTGTTCATTAGACGCGTTTATCCTACGTTCAGTCGCTCGACATCTAGAAAAGGTGCGCATATATATGCGTTTACCTCCGTTTCTGATCTCTAACGTGTATCTATATCCAGCTCCCATCAGAACTGAATCTCATCGTACTGCATCTCGGCTCCGGCGCGTCTGCCTGTGCTATCAAAGAGGGAAAATCCCTCGACACATCTATGGGGCTTACGCCGTTGAATGGGCTTCCTGGCGCGACGCGTGCTGGCGCCATCGACCCGAGCTTGATATTCCACTACACGAACAAAGCGGGTAAAATTACCCATGACCGTAAATCCGCCGTGCAATTGCACGTTACCGAAGTACGTTCATCCACATGTATGCTTTAACCTGACTGTATTGACCCCTACCTCTCCACGTATAGGCAGAACACATCCTCAACACCCAATCGGGGTGGAAGGCCCTCACGGGCACTACCGACTTCGCCCAGGTCACTGCCAAAGCCGATCTTTCTTCTGACCCCGACTACGAGAACAACGCGAACCGGTTGGCATTCGATCTCCTCATCGACCGTATTGTCGACTACGTCGGGGGGTATTACCTCAAGCTGAACGGGGAGGTCGACGCGCTGGTGTTCTCAGGGGGCATTGGGGAAAGGAGCAAGGAGGTAAGGCGGGTTATTGGAGGGAAGATGGCGTGCTTAGGGTTCGAGGCGGTCGATGCGGAGAAGAATGAAGGGATGGATGCGTCGGAGGGTGTCGTCGTGGATCTGGGCGCGGGCAGGCCTGACGGAGAGGTCGTCGGGAAGAAGGGGAAGAAGTTGTTGGTTTGTAGGACCGACGAACAGGTAATGGCGGCTTCCCCCCTTATAGAGTTTGTGGAACTAACTTGTGCTTCTCACCCGTCAAATAGTTGGAGATGGCGCGGGAATGCGCTTTGGCGAAGAAGTTCTGGGACTAAATTCATATACATTATCAAGGGACGATTGGGCAGGCCGCTGCTAGAACGAACCGTGGACTATCGGATAATGGATTGGTTAGTGTTTATCATAACCCTGTATTAACTTTAATGTGTCACTGCATGATCCACCCGACAGAGTGCGCGTGAGTTGCTAGCACTTGCTACATCTATTTTCTGAGTACACCCGACGTCGCCTACTATCTCATTCTCAAAGTTCTCAAAGATCGGGTGCAGATCACTGAGTACGTCCTTTCGTTGTTTCTAGCACTAAACGGCCTCTAAGCTACCTCGGAAAATTGCATGCATAGTGATTCTCAATCTGAAGTCTTGAAGGAGGTTACTGGGTCTCATCTTGCTATTGGGTCAAAAATTTCAACTGTCCGATTGAGCTGGACGTATAAGCGTACATGGGCACGGCGCACGTCGACTACTGCCTGTCTGGACCCAGTATTATGGTAGGACGCCAGCCGGTGTCACGAGGCGCTATAGCCAAACTCTATCACTCGCGGGTACTCTTGAGCGTACGTGCTGCCTCTTTCCCTCAGCTAGCCACGGTGTAGAGTGTGGCAAGAGCGATTATAGTCCCTATGGCCTATCTTATTCACAAAGATACCCTACAAACGTACAGATCACAGGGTGTTTTGTAAATGCACAACATATCCTTCTTCGCACTGACCCCACAAGTGGGTCGGTTTTTTGCTTCTTTATACGATGGGACTTTGTGAGTCGAGCGATAGCAGAGGATTTATCGTCTAGAGAGAAAAGGTGGGGGTATTAGGAGTATAGTCAGGGGTCAGGCGTGGGAACGGCGCTGACCTTGAGAATCCTTCCGGGGGTGTTATCTTTTTATTTGTAAGTCTTGTTATCGAGACCCGTAAAGGCAACGGTGCGAATGGTTCGAAGTTCGTTTTGAGCGGAGCGGGGAGGGTGGTAAATACAGTCACCCACTCTTTGAATGACACTATAGTCTTCTTCAACAACTAAACACTCGAGGACATTGGAGGCGCATTTTCCAAAGTAAAGAACGTCGACCATACATCATTCCACTCCAAAGATTCGATTCTCTCTGCAGCAGCATTATTCTCCACGACGGTAGTAGTCTTGGGGTTGAAGACGGTGAAGACACGGTGTTTGGACTGTGAACAGACTGTTATATGTGTGCGGCAGTACATCAGTTGCTGCGGAAGTTTAGTCGTATAGTGTGCATGTGGAATTGTACGTGAACATCGGACCCAGCTAACGAATGCTGTATACGGTACAACTACGTTGTAACGGACACCCATCGATCAATGGGCATGGCTTACGGTGCCACTTCCATAAAGCAGTTCGCCTCTATTATCAGATAGAGTTCAATGGGCACGGAGGTTTGTTATTGAAGATGGGACTAACTTGTGCATTGCGACAAATAGTGGGAGATGGCGAGGGAGCGTGCGATGGAGAGAAAGGTTTGAGAGTAGGTTCATATACGTATACGGGTCTATTGAGCACAAGCCGCCGCTGAACAGCATTGCAAGCGTACATATGACATTGGCTCCCTTGGATAAACATACGTTACTTTCTACGCAGCGACTGCATTCGAAAGGGTGAAAGAAGGATGGGCTATGGTATTTACCCTATTTGTTACAGATTTGTCGCGCGCCCGCTTGCTCTTTTCAAGCATGAGGAATGATACCACAATGAGATCTTGCAGGCGTAGTGCCTCGTGATCAGGGGAGGAGAAGTCGCCCGAGACGACATATCCCGCTATAACAAGTTGCGATGGGGTGGTGGTATATGTAGGAGGATCGGTATTTTGGTTCTTCACTCGATACGACTTGGTGAATCGCGCGATAGCTGAGGATTTGTCGTCCGGAGAAAAGAGCTAGGGGAACGAGGCCTTGAGGGGTAGATAGGGGTAGGAAGTGCGAATGTATTCACCTCGAGAGAGCTTCCGAGGCTGTTACCTTTCCACTTGTAGGTCTTTGTATCGGTACCTGTGAAGATGACAGTGCTATTTGGAGCTCATATTGAGCCCGGCCGATTATAAATATAAATTAAGCAACGCACTCCTTGAACGGCACCATACTCTTCTTCAACCAAACGCTCGAGGATACTGGTGGCGCATTTCCCAGCGTAAGAACGTCTGATCGCACGTCACTCCACTCCCACGATGCGATCTTCTCTCCTGCGGCATTCTCCACGATGGTAGTAGTTTGGGGATCGAAGACGGTGAAAACATGGTATACGACTTTGCCTATTTCAGCGTCGGTCAGATCGCAATTACTCGGGTTATCCGGAGTGAGGGTGAGCGATAGATTGCTGTTGGTGATCATCTGAAATATGTGATATGTGGGGGTTCTGTGGGGAGGCTGCTATATGTATACGGCTCGCCGATGGCCCGGGCAGTGCATCAATTACTGCGGGAAGTCATGCCGATAGTCATCGAGTCATAATACATATGTGACCGTGAACATCGGTCCTAGCTAATGAGGAAGCCCGAATACTATCTACGGGTCATATTAGCTGAAGCTGAACGGTACGACTCAACTGTAGGGTATCAAACCTCAAGTTCCGTCAATCGATTGGTCATGCTGAGTACGATTCCACTTCCATGTATCTGTCAGTTTATCTGCACAATCAGAGATAGAGTTTAATGGGCGCGAAGGTTTGATATTGAACAGTAGTGAACTTGCTATCTCTGTTTCTCCGGAATGCCTCAATGCAAGGTTGATGTAAGACATGTGCTTCGCTGGCCATTGGTAGGTACTAGCGGATGATAGAGAGTTGAGTACCGTCCTATATAGCACGCGATAAATAAATCACAAAAAACCCTGTCAACTGTGACGCACTTGCCTTGGTTGTCTTGGTCACAGTCGCGAGATCTTGGCGGGAGACATTCCGCGATCACTTTCAGGGGCCGACGAGTTGTGCGTTCCTCCGTTCAATTATCACGCTGGTCTTCTCTCCTCGCTCTGTTCGTGAACTCTGGTCGGCGATGAGACACTGCTCAGTGGGAATAGAAGGCCGCCTCGTGCGTGTGTTTTGAAGCTCCATTTAGCCTGCTGTCGTGTACAGATAGGCTAAATTAGTCCCGAGTTTCGTGGAGGAGTTCTTCCTGGGACCTTCATATGGCGGAGAGTGCCAACATTCTCGCCCAACGCCAACGCCCGTGATTCAACATCATGATCCTGGGGAAACGCTCGCTACCCGACAAGCAAACGTGCGCCAGTCCCCCAGTAATGTTACGCCCTACGACTTCTTCTGCTGAAGAGTTAGATTGTAGGGCGTGCCCATGCCCCCTGACACTTGCTCCGATGGCCCATGTGTTCCTCCCCATAAGCGGTTGATAGTCGCTCAAAACGGTTTCGACCAACGCCCGACTGTGTTTATATTAGACGCATGGTGAAACTGTCAAACCAGGCTTCATTCTTCCGCCCCCTGCTCCATCCCCCATAGTCGAGTCCTTCACTTCAAGATGAGCTCGGATTTGACTTTCAAGCAGCGTCTGAAGAGTGTTTCGCTGATCTTCGCGTAAGTTGTGTCTCCTTGAGTGCGGGGTATCGATTGACCTTGTCTTTTGCCAGGTGTGGAACCGCGCTATTCTCTGACGGTAAATCCCGTGCCGTAATACGCAAGCTAACCATGGAGGGACTAACGCACGACGATAGGCTACGCGAACGGTGTCATTGGCAATGGTATGTGCCCTTTTCCGCTCGTGTGATCGAAATCTCACAGGCTTTGCAATAGTCAACACGAGTAAGTTTCTTGACCTCACTAGATCGCGCGAAACTTGATACAATATTTTGCAGTCTTGACGCGTATCTATGGCAAGGAGCAGCTCGGTTCACACAACTACAGCACGACAATAAGCAGTCTTGGATTTGCCGGCACGGTGGTTGGAATGCTTATCTTTGGGTACCTCTCGGACAAAATTGGACGCAAGTTTGGGATGGTGTGTATGACCGAATCAAGATCGGTGCACAAGCTGATACGCCATTAGATGTCTGCGACGGCCATTGTTGCGTTCTTCTCTCTATTGTCTGCCGCGTCGTCGGGTGCCCATGGGAGCTTTGGCGGTATGTTGGCGATGTTGGGTGCTTGTCGGTAAGTGTCCATCGCACTACCCAGTGTCATCAGAGCGAGTACCCACTTCATGCACCCTAGTTTCCTCCTTGGTATTGGTGTCGGCGCCGAGTATCCCTGTGGTTCGGTATCAGCATCTGAACAGTCTGAACAAGAGGGAATTAGCCGCAATGCCCAACACCGCTGGTTCACTTTGGCGACAAGTGCGTATCTTCCTCCCTTTAGTCGCGAATCAAATGGTGACCTGGGGGTATCACGTAGACTCTATGATCGATTTCGGTTTCGTCATCTCTGCGTTTGTCCCACTTGTGCTGTTCTGGATGTAAGGTCCAATCTGTCCCCTGTGTTCGCCCTGTGAGCTGACAAGGTTGGTAGATTCGGAGATAATCACCTCCGGGCTGTTTGGCGTATCTCCCTCGGACTCGGCGTCGTTCCTGCGATGGCCGTCTTCGTCTGGCGACTCAGTATGGAGGAGCCTGACCGATACAAGAAAGATTCAATGAAGCACGCCAAGGTTCCGTACATGCTTATCCTAAGGCGTTATGGCGTTTCGCTGGCCGCTGTTTCGTTCACATGGTGAGTAGCTTGTAAGCTTAGCAAAGTATGTTGACTAACTCATCTTTAGGTTCCTGTATGACTTCATTGTCTATCCTGTATGTACCACCTCTTCGCCTCTTCCCTTCGGTCACTGGTTGATCTCCGTTGCAGTTCGGCCTCTTTTCATCCATTGTCGTTAATAAGTGCGTCGACTATGCCCCATCTGTGAACCTGATTATCTGATTTTGTGGCAGCATTACCGGTGGAAACGACTCCATGGGTGTTGTGTTGGGCTGGGCTGTTGTCATTAAGTGGGTGCTTTCTCCGGCTAACTACGGAGCCTTGTCTGATCCGAGTAGCTTGTTCTACATGCCCGGTACACTTGGAGGTGCCTTCATTGTCGACTATCTCGGTCCCAAATACACGATGGTGCGTAACACCTTCACCTTGCTGTGGCCTGAGTTGACAATAGCGTAGATCACCGGTCTTTTGGCCCAAGCTGTGATTGGGTTCATCATGAGCGGTGCCTACGTACAGTTAGTCTGCTGCATCTTCTCTGCAACAACGATTACTGACATCCGAGTCCAAGTCTCACCAACAACATTGCTGCCTTTGCCGTCGTCTATGGCATTTTCCTGAGTTTCGGAGAGCTTGGTCCAGGCAATTGCTTAGGTCTACTTGCGAGTAAGACTAGTCCAACTGCTGTCCGTGGCCAGTTCTATGGTATTGCTGCCGCCGTCGGCAAGGTGGGTGCCTTCGTTGGCACATGGGGTGAGTGTTACTTCTTCCAAGAAACTTATCGCCATTGACATCATCCCTAGCCTTCCCTCCCATGATTGACGGTATGAGGTGCTTAGATGGTCGGCTGAGATGTATTGACTGACGTACGACTCTAGCTTTCGGTGGGTCAGACTCTGTACGAGGAAATACCGGCCCATTCTGGATTGGAAGTGGTCTTGCTATCCTCAGCGCCATTATCACATTCGTCTTCATCAAGCCTTTGTCCCACGACGGCATGGAAGAGGAAGATCGTCTCGTAAGTTGTCCTGGAAGTGCGGGAGTTTCTGTGCTAAATTGTCGCCGCAGTTCCGCGAGTATCTCGAAGCCAACGGATACGACACCTCTCAAATGGGCCTCCACAGCACGGCAAGCAGCGACACTGCTTCCATCGAAAAGGAAAAGATCAGTGAAGAGAAGGTTCCAAGGGATTCTACTTATGTTGTCTGATCTGTTCCTATAACGTGTTTCGTTATTCACCCACACGATGAAATTATGTAGCTAATGTGTTCTTCTTACGCTTTGCCCGCTTTCTATCGGCACTCTGTAGCTCTTGGATCGTTTTATTTGTTCAACCTATGACATGTCATTTGAGAGTATATGTGCAGTTTGATCGGGATGAGATGAAGCGAGACTGGTTGACTATCGCCCTGCGTAGGTGCGGAATAATGAAATACAAGGATGGGTTTCGTTTAGTGTTCCATCGCATCGCTAGACTTTCCCGTCTTCACGAGTTCGTTGCTGCCAAAATATCAGTCAAGTTCAACCGGACGCCCTGGGTGGCACCACATACCGTAACTGCACGCTGAACTCGTCCTCGATGTCATCATCATCCCAGTTGTCCTCCCATAGCTTGTCGCCCCCTGATTTTGCGGCTCCAGGTGCAGCACCACCCAGATGAGCTAGGTCCGTCTGGGAGTCATCCCAATCTATTCGAAAAGACAGAAAGCAATGTGATCGCAATGAAGCTAAGCCCAGGCAAGGCTATTACTTACCAGCAGCGGCGAACTCTTCAAATTCATCATCCTCCTCAAGGACACCAAGGTGAAGGGAGTCCTCTTTCTTTATATCAGAGGATTTCGATGATGATTCTGTAGGCTTTGAGGACGATGCTGAGGACATGGTGGTGGTAGTTGATTAAACTCTGGCACTGGGCACGCGCTTGACTTTGGGCGACGCGTCAGTGACCATGAGAATATATGCTGTCGGAGATTGAATGCGAACTAAGAAGTGGGTTTCAAGACCATTTATTACTTGGCCTAAGAATGCAGTCCTGAATATAACAAGTCCAGAAGCTGGTAGTTTAAGTAGTACATTCGTACATACTACAAACCACCGAATAATATGCTCTGATGCTTTTTGGAACATGTAACATTGATTGATCGACAGATTAGTGCTATAGTGCTCTTTGACTTTCTTTATACGGACTGGATTCCACCACATGGCTTGCACCTGCAGAGATTCGTCGTAGCCCACTGCGCTTAAGCTACGTTGCTCGACTCCTGAATATACCCCCTGAACCAGTTACTCACTTATTCCACGACCTATTGTCTACAGTCTCCGGAGTACAATTTCCAATTCACCTAGTGGTCACCACATGTAGATAGTACGTTACGACACTAAATCTGGCGCGGATATTAAAAATCAGATTTTGCCCACGCCAGCACCAGACGTAACAGTTGAGCGGACACTCGTGAGGGGCGTCAAGGTATAGGTATACGGAACGCTGGTAAAGTTTCCCGTGGCCGTGATATTATTCCTTCCAGTTCCAAAGTCGCTGGCTAAGCACATACAGCGATGTTGAGCAGTGCGCAAATAAACCCTGATGGTAGACTCACCTGCTCCGAAGTTTGCAAAGCCATCGGGTTCGAAGTCGCCTGATGGATTCGCTGGTGAATCGTCAGGAATGACGAACCCGTATGTAGACACTGTAGATTAGTTAGCCTCTGTATTTCATTCAATGTGAAGACTATGGACTCGCCTGGCTCCGTGGTGTTGACAAAGACATTGCCTTCGATAAGGACTTGTGCAAAGGAGCGAGAGTGGATGCCTTGCGAGACAACGTTCTCAAACAGGTTATTGAAGGAATGAACGTGAGCGAAGCGCATAGCTGCATGAAGACAGATGGTAAGCCAAGCGCAGAAAGGTCAAATGAGTCAACGGCGTACCCGGGGTACGAGTGTGGATGTTATTCCAATGGTTGTGATGACTATATTCCGTCAGCATCTAAGTCTAGCAAACGATGAAACTGAAGACACATACTATGTAATGTGGAATTTCCCGGTATCTTCCTTCGAGTTACCAGGATCGTGCCCTATCAACGAGCACTTGAAGTGATCGTGAAAGAAGTTCCACGAGACAGTGATAAAGTCGCATGCATGCGTCAGGTCAACCTGCCCGTCGTAGAAATCAAACCCATGATCGGTGTCGCTGAAGAACTCGTTGTGATCGATCCAGATGTTATGGGCTTTCTGCACCGTGATGGCATCGTTGCCCTTGACTTTGTTGATTACCAGGTTGCGGATGATGACGTTTGATGTGCCGACGGTCCTGAGGCCTCCGCCGTTGATGATGCCTGTGGTCCCGACGCCGATGATGGAAGTATTGTTCCCTTGGCAGTGTTAGTTCTTCATCACATCGCCAGAAATGGAGAATAAGTTACCAATTGAGGCTTGAGAAGAAAGGGAGATGGGGCCCTTCAAGAAGACGACCTTGGGCGTGTTGCTCTGCAAATTCAACGAGGATTATTTCTAACTGAGAATGAGAGAGGAGGTACTTTGATGGCGGTTTGGAAAGCTGCTGCTGCAGAGACGGTTGTAGTCGTTCCTCCAGCGCCGCCAGTAGTCCCGCCATTCAATGCGGCGTAACCATCCTGCGCGACAACGGAAGACACCAAAAGCGAGAGGAGAACAATAACCTTCATATCTGGGAACAATGTGAAGTTGTTGTACGTTCCATCGTTCGCTAGAGCTCCGTCTTTATAGAGTCCCAGAATGCACTCCACTCGGCGAAATTGAAGGATCTGGCGGTCGGACGGTCCGCTGCGTCCCGTTGGGTTGGTGTTCTATCCATTAACGAGGAAGCCGCAAGGAGCATAAATAGCCCTTTGATCCAGGAGAAGGCCCAGTACAGCAGTGGCTGATGGCAACCGTGGTTCGTCAAGGAAATTATTCATGTCATGGGACAGACGCCATTTCTGAGCATTGATTGTCTTTCTAGAAAGAGAATGCTCCATTATAGATTGATACCGTGTATGTGGTGCCAGCGTTGCGCCCGGGATGGTGTCTACAGGAAGGTTGCAGACTTGCAGTAGCCAACTGACCGTGGATCTTGGTCACTGTTAGTTCAATCAACTTCGACATGCTATTGAGAGAAGTACCTCTGATCTGCGCAATCAATATAGAGCGTCACATTATTATCACATCCCAACAGCACTCGCTGTATGATGCACAGACAACATGTTGAATGTTGTTCGACTTGCCCAAACTCAGTGACCCGATCGCTGTTCAATGTACTGCATAGGAATGTTGTTCCCACGCCACAACTGTTCTCACTAGAGACGTGCAAGTTCGGTAGGAGCACCGTCACACGTTGTTCCATCGCCTTTCGACTCAACCGCCATCAAGCTGGCGAGTGGGTAGCAGCGCAAAGGCTTCCGATGACCATATTCCTGCCGTTGGAACCGGCCAAAACCCTACCGTCGTCGCCTCCATTTCTGGTCGCTTCATCGGATCCCCGAACACAAACAGCGAAAGTGGTGAAAGCTATACTGAAGGCTAAGCGAGTCGTGATAATATGCGGTGCGCAACCGGCTTTTTGTCTCGAGTCTTGAGGCTCTGGATTTTGGCTGATGCACAGTCACTACGCAGGAGCTGGAATATCGGTTAAAGCTGGCATACCGGACTTTCGATCTCCTGATGGGTTGTTTCAGACGTTGAAGCGGGACAACCCCCGCGAGCAGCTATCTTCCGGGAGAGATCTTTTTGATGCGTCTGTATTCAACGTGAGTGCTATATTTCGTGTGGTAGCAACATATCCTTGGAGGGAGGCGACTGCCAGATAAATCTGTTACTCTCCACGGACTGCCAGAGTCCCCCTCGACACATGATGCTATCCACCTAAACTCAGTGCTGATAACTTATCACCCAGTCCGAACAAACAACCTCCCTATTCTTCCAAATGATTGCCCGACTTTCATCTCTCTCCATGACCGCCGACCCGACCCCCTTTCACTATCTGCTCCATAGCCTCGATGATCGTGGCCGGCTGCTGCGCGTATACACACAGAACATAGACGCCATTGAGCGCAAAGCCGGGCTGTCGTTCGGCGTCCCCGAATCGTCTCCGAAGCCTCGGTCGAAGAGCAAGTCTTCGATAGGCCCCTCTTCTGCTAGTGCGGTCACGCAGTCAGCGAGCAGGCTGCCCTCGCCGCCGCTCGAGATCCCGCGGTGCATCCCCCTCCACGGGACGCTTCAGACGGTGCACTGCCAGACGTGCACACATAAATACCCGCTGGAAGAGTATTTACCGTCTCTAGAGTCTGGTCTGCCCCCGCAGTGCCCCGAGTGCACGTCGATGGAGGAGACGCGGCAGGTCATCGGTAAGCGCGCTCGAGGAATCGGCAGACTTCGACCCAGCGTGGTGTTGTACAACGAGATGCATCAGGACGGCGAAGGCGTTGGTGATGTTGTAGAGAAGGATTTGATGGGGTCGTCGAAAGGGAAAGGTAGAAGTGGTGCAGATCTACTTCTCGTTGTCGGCACGAGTCTTCGCGTTCCTGGCACGAAAAGGATGGTGCGCGAATTTGCGAAAGCCGTTCACGCGCGAGGGGGTGCATCACCCAAAGAGTCGTCTACCTCTTCACCCTCTTCATCCCCTCGCCGCTCTCCCACTAACGATGAAGACCCGCCCTTCAGATCCATCTACTTGAATATGGATTTTCCCGTGCCGACTCGGGAATGGGACGGCGTCTTCGATGTCTGGTTGCAAGGAGACGCGCAGATATTTGCCGAGATGATGGAAGCTGAGATCAAGAAGGAAGCGGAGGCCAAGCAGCAGGCTTTAGACCGCAAGAGGAAACGCGAAGAGGAAGCAGCAGCAGCAGCTGACCGCGAATTCAACGCCGTCGCCGATTGTAGTATGAAGCAGACCCAGACCCAGACGCTTACACCACCAAAGAGCGCGAAGCGGAAGCACGCTCAGGATGCCAAACTCGACGTTTCGCCCAAGCGACGGATCGTGGTTACGAGTGGGTCGAAACGGTCGCATAGTAGCTCGAGCCGAGAGTCGCAGTGTGAGGGCGAGAGCCCTGGGTCGGGCATTATCCTGCGTATACCACCCCGGACGCGTTTAATTCCTGAGGTCGTTATAACGACCCTCCCACCTAATGTAAAGAGGCAAAAGGCTCCGCGTGCGCCTCCCTCTCCCCCCCAAACGCCTCCCCGTACGGGGCGCGGTAAAAGCGCGACGCCCTCATCCAAGTCAAAGGATGTACGAACCTATCCACTCGGCAAGCCCAACTCTCGCCGTAAAGACACTAAGCAGCAGCAGCCCTCACCTCGTGCTCCTGTCGCTCCCCATCCGCCCAGAGAACCCGCCGTACCTCTTCCGACACATCCTACACACAATGCAAGCCAAATGACCGATTCCATGGTACGGACGATGCAGTATGGACTACGCGGTTCGGCGCTCAGTTAAGTACCACGTTTCTTGTCTTTCATTATTGTGCATTATTTTATCTTATCTATTGTAGTAGTTGTATCTTAGAGCAGTGTAAGCACTGATGGTGTGTTACATTTATACCTGCGTAGCATCGTTGTTGATAGCTTGGCGATGCCACGAGTGGTGACGAATCTTTTTGCTCGTGTCGACGCAATAGCTGAACTTCTGTCATATCTTGAGCGACGGTGTTATGCACGCTGCTGGAAGAATCGAAAGCATTACTGTGCGGATAGCTTATTCGCGTAACAAACACCGCTCGTCGTTCCATAGGGAATCCCCCCCCCCAAGCTGCTAAAGTCAAAACAGCAACAACAGCCTCTTCAGCGACGGCCTTCTCTGGCTTCTCTGCCAATGCGAAGTCCGTCAGGGGGTGTCTCAGGGTGTCTCAGGAGCGTAGTACAGATCAAAACCAATGAAAGCGCTTGCATTTGTGGGTATAACCGTCAGAAATTGCAACAAGTCTATAAAGTGATGCAGTCTATTATACTAGTACACAAGTTTCTTGTCAAATAATAATCAGTCAGTCGTCAAAAGCATGAAGAAATCCAAAGCGTGTCCACAAGAAAGCGTTGAGAAACGCGGGCATGATGATTGGTGCGTTTGATCCCTTGCCAAGGTGATCAGCCTAGCCTTTTACTTCCTCTCCTTCCAAGCACCTTCTACGCCCAATTTGGAGAACTTCTCGGCAACTTTCCCATCGGGTTGCGGATTCCTAGAAGCCAGCTCGCCGTCCCCAGGCTGCGTTCCAGCCTTGTCCATCAACGCCAGCCCACCGAAACCTCCTCCCCGCATTCCCATGCTGCCAGGTGCTGACGCATTCCTTACAGCCGCACTCTCCCCCACGCCAGAAGGATTGCGGAGCGCCGATCGCGTTATAGGGTGTGCATATTGCGTAGAACTGGTCGAGCTGTACGAAGTCGATTGTGAGGCGTCGGGAGCCTCGGTGGCATCCCAGTTCACGTAGGGTGCAGAAGTGGGGTAGGCGCCAGAGGGGACTTCATGGAATGTATTCGAAGGATCAGGTTGGCATACAACATATGTTTTTGAGTTGCTGAATGCGTCGTACACGGCTTCGTCGCCCTCCTTCTGGTAGAAAGAGGCAGGTGGGGGAGATGATGTCAGAGGTGATGTGTCGAGTACGGCAAAGGGGGAGTGGAACGCGCGGGCGGCCGCTGGTAATGTGCGTATTGATCGTGATGCGGTGAGCGCGCGCATAGGAACAGAGCGGAGGATGCTGGACATAACGACGAGCGTGAAGAGCCGGTTGGTGAGGGCAGAGAGGAAGGAAGTTGGGGTTTTACTGAGAACATCGAAGGCTGGTATATGTACCCTGACATATACGTGGGAACTCTGGGGGTCGCGGAGTTTAATTCCTTTTATAGTGCGAAACATCCCAATTAGGAACCGATCGGCAAGAACTCTAATCGCAAAAAAGTCGTTTTATTCCCTTCATGGTTCGATATTGTCGTATTTTTACACCAAATGCCGCTCTTCTGCATCAATACTCGGAGTTGTACACGCAAGCTGAGAGGGGATGCACAGCAGAGTATTTTTGTCAGGTTTCCACCGAATTTCCGAGCTTGTATATGTCCGGCCGATACCCTGGTACCACCGGTCAACTAAAGGTCAGCTGTGAACACTTGTGACCAAGAGGGGGATCCAGAGTGGTCGTTAATCTGTTTGACTCTGAGGAAATCTCAAGGATCCGGGGCCTTCCATGGCCAGAACGACCTGTTCCAGCAATAGTACGCCGCGGCCGGATAGGACCAGCAGCCCATGTGCATTTGAGGTATAGTAGGAAGATGATGAACACCAACACACCGGCGCATACACGCTAGATCTAGTCCACAAGATACGAATCAAAGCCTGAGGTTGATAATCTATGGCCGGTGTAATCCCCATTCTAAGTGATCTATATCAAAGACAGTGAATGTGGATGCCACGTACCGGTGGAGGGACTGCCTGTGTGGAGGTGTTACTAATAATACACCAGTAGTCCGCTTCCACTCAGCAGCCTCAAAGTTATGCTAGAAGAGTGGCTACTAAGCATGTTGCTTTACTCTAGGCTTGGCGGGCGGAAACGTTTGTATTCGACTATGCTCTACTGTGCTACGTACCTACTTATATGGAATGCTGTATCCTCACAGAGGTCCACAGCTAGTACTACAGCCCGGGCTGATCTCGAACATCCGGGGCTGATAACAATAATGAGTGTGCCCTGCTAGACTTCCGACTACGTTGCGGGCTGATCGCACATTCGACCTTCTTGACGAAAGCAGCAACGGCTAACAATTTCGCATCGAATACAACCGTTTCTAAGATACATCCTCCTATGAGTTTCTACCTCTATATTTCACCTCGGGGAGCCTCGTGCCTAGTTCATTTCCGCAAATTAAAGATCTATGACGGAGTGTAATATTCTCGAGCAGTTGATACTTTGACCGTAGGCTGTTGAGCTGCCTTGGGTTTCGGACGATGGGTGTCGACCGCAGCAATTGGAAGCGGATACCTGTGGAAATGGAGGAATTAGGCAACGCCAGGGATACGTTCTAGATCAGTGGATGGGAGTGCAAGAAATGGAATGTCCGACCTTTCTTCGTCGCAACCATAAGCTTTGGGGGTAAGCTTTATGACCGTGTGTAATGGAATCTTGATATATGGAAGGTCTTCTTGGGGAAGGTGATGGAAATACGCGTAAAGACAGCGCAGAATTGCCTAGAGGCGAGCCGGTGAGGGGAAGAGAGGGACAAGGAGACCGAGAGCGTACTTGATGGCCAATGACAAGAACATTTTCTTGACGTTCAAGTTCCATGATGACAGGCTCTAATCGAACTACGACGTCGCGGTAGGACTCGCCACCTAAACAGCGAATTCCGCTCAGTGTTTCACGGTTTAGACGACTCTCGAATGGGATACCTTACCTCTGTAACGGTAATTAAATTTGTCCTCGTCACGATTGGCGAAGTCATCCGGATAGGCTTGCTAAATCAAGAACCAGCTCAAAACCTGGTTGCACTGGCGATAGGAATTGTATACCTCAATTTCCTGGACTAAGTCAGCGACAAAGTCATACCAAGGTATTGGGAGAAGTCAGTTACCTCGTACGTCATTCCATCGCATACACCAGCATCTAGCTCGTCCAGCGACTTCCAAGTCAATTTAGGATAGGGGAGCGCTTGAGCAGTCTGGATGGTACGTTTCAGGGTGGAAGTCCAAACCTGCGGATGGAGTTGAGTGGGGTGGAACGCGAGAGAGAGGGAATATTGCGACATACCGTCAATGGGGAGTCCCCAATGTTCTTCAAGATCAGCTCTGGTAGGGCCTTGGCATACTCCTTGCCTCGTTCCGACAACGATGCATCCCCACCAATTTTACCTTCTACGTTATATTGACTCTCACCATGCTAACAACACTCGTCAATACATTATCTTCGTCACAACGAACAAATTGAAACATTTACCCTTGAGAAGAATATATTCCTCGGCTTCAAGTGGAGATTCATCAAATAGAACGCGATCCGACTTTGGAGGTACCCATTGATCCTATTGACGGTGACCTGCTTGCCGACATTCATGATGCGCAGGTAGGAGATGTCAGGCTCGGTAATCGTCTCGTAGACTTTTTCGTATTCTTGTATGCGGCGAAGAAAGTCGTTCTTGGCTTTGTCGGGGGACATGTCCTTGTAGTCGGGATCGCCTGAGCTGACTTTCAGGGCGACATTCGCCGCGATGACGGCAGGATCGTCGCAAAGGGACTCAATGAAGATCACGGAAAGGCCCTTCTCTTTCTTGACTCGCGCTTCAATCTTCGCCCTGGAAACTGGTCAGGCATAAGGTAGGAGTGGATACATCATGCCAGAGACCCACCGCCTGCTCATAGTGCTGTTCGTTGCATCTTCCAGGGAAATAAATTAGGTCCACGCTCACAATTCATCTGCTGTGGAAGCATACCATGGATGCCAACGTTTCCTCCGTCCTTTAGCCACTGTATCAGCATTTCTAAACTATCCTCTGCGAGGCGATCTCTAAGCTTGGTTGCCTCCTCATTGTTGTGACTGAAATATGAAGCCGTGTGGTCCTCCCTGACTCCACTCCTGGAAACGAGTGATGGGCGATCCTCGAGCTTGAGTTAAAGGACGGCAACGTACTGCAAGGCCTTTTGTTTGGCTCGTGTGCGCCGTAGCTGTCCGACGTTGAACACCTGGAGAGCAACAAAAGTACTTTAAGTATTCGAGACCCGTCGTTAAAGTTCTTTAGCTCACTTTGACATTGTATTCTAACCACTATACCACTATTGAGTACTGCGCGTACCAATCAGCAAATTCGATCACATACGTTCAAGTAGATCATCAATTTGTTGCTCAGATATGACTTGCCGCGTGCTGGCAGTCCAACCTGGCGATAGGATTGGCGAGTCAACTAAGAACTGGCCAACGCATGAACCGACGCACCATGGCCAGCACGATCTTCGACTCTGAGTAATCCGGCTTCGCCACTGCGTCGGGCGGATGTCAGCGATCCCGCTCGTACCAATCAGTGCGCGAACCTTTGCCACCAATGCCGTACACAGATCGCGTTGGCGAAGGTGCGCGAGAAGCCTTCCGACTCGATGCGGCCGACTCATCAAACTTCTTCAACCTACATCCCACTTCAGATAAGTACTAGTCGCATATATCTCGGGAACATACTGACATTGGACCTCCGGCACCAAACAAAACAGGAGGAGCCTCCGGCGAACCAGGAGGCATCTTCAGGTTGGTGGACATACTGGTTGCGGCTCAAGACAACTTGCCCCGGTGGTACGCGGTTCAGATGAATGAACGAGGAGGGTAACCCCTATCAAAATGGTATTCGGCGCCCCGCACCACGGAAGAACGCGCGAGACAAATAATATACACAGGAAATAGTGATGGACATTAGTGGGTTGAACCTAAATAATACAATGGATGAAGAAATGCAAAGGATGAGTAGAGTAGGATGTATCGTGGGGGTGCATGGCAATGCTTGCGTAGATAGCGAGTTCAGAGGACAATCAATAATCATCGTGAGGTGCATGATTTACGATAGGGTAAAGGTAAGTCAATGTGCGGGCATGAATCAGGAAAGATAGGTGCGGAAGGTCATGGCAGTCTAAACTAGTAAAAACCCTACCGAAGCAAGTTCAGCGCTCGAGGTCGAGTGAAGGAAGAATGGGTACTGACCGTGAAGAAACATCGAACCGTTGCTGACCTGCAGCCTACACACGACAACATAGTATACTCCAGAACCCACGTTTCCGCCCATGACCGTAGTCATCATCGTGTTCGCCAACTCGTTGCATCTGCTCGCGATCGTAGACACCCATACCACGAGGCCCACCGGGAAGGTTTCCAGTCCCATTGGTGGTGGTCCCGTCCCGCGAGTCCGAATGGTTCTTCCCAGCTTGCTGCGCATACAGGAATGATTCGGAGCCGTTGGGGTGATTGAGAGCTTGCGATCCGGCCGGCGGCGGTACAGGAGAATGAACGAAGGCGTTGTTGGTCGTACGATAATTAGTGGCGGTGGGTGCGGCAGCATATGGATGAACATTGGGATTAGCAGATCCGTAGGCATCGCGTTGTTGACTAGCCCGACGACTGGTAGGGGGTATGGGCTGTACACTCATGTCACGGGCCGAAGCATTGCGATCAGATGGTCGACGACTGCTGCTTTTGATGTGGGCTTGCGCTGGGCTAAGGACCAGAGGCGACGCGCTGTCTTGCACCTGCTTCGATTGCCTGTGCCTCCGCTCGCGCTCTCGTTCTCTGTCGCGATGGGGTGAAGCGGCATCTGCATGAGCCTGCACAAGGTGTGATGCCGGAGACTAAGGAAGTGTTAGTTAATGCAGCCTTTACAAAGCGGAGCTTCCTTACGTTTCCAGCTTCCCATCCTTTCCCGCCATTCAAGAGCATCCAATCGAAGATGCCATCGTCAGGCTCTCCCAATGTCTTCAAAACCTTAGAGAACAAGTCCCGAAGGAAATCGTAATCGGGAGTTTCTTCGAATCCAAGCTTTCGGACGTAATTCATGTAGATAGCGAATTCCTCTGCAGCAGGACATTAGAACATGTTATCAGACTGGAATCAGGAATCGCTTACCAGGAAAACCTTCGCAAAGCTCGGCAATTGGCGTGGATTGCTTCTTTTCCCCGATTTTCTCATACTTTTGCTTATTCGTAGCAGCCCTCAAGCCTTGCCATGGTAAACCACCTCGTAGAAAATACATGAAGACATGGCCCAGTGACTCTAGATCATCGCGTCTTGATTGCTCTCTACCCAAATGAGTGTTGATGGACATGTAACGTGCTGTCCCGGACAGCGACTTTCGTTCCTTATAAGGAATGTGCTGTTTCGTTCGTGGATCACGATAATGTTTCGCCATGCCAAAGTCTAAGACACCAAGGATTGTTAGTACGTGCATCATGGCTCACGACTATCGGATAGGTGGCGTGTTCACCCGAAATGAACGGGTTCATGCGAGAGATTTCCCCAACAGAACCCATGCAAACGCAAACTCACCTATAATGTGTATTATGTTCGCCGTCTTAGTTCCCGGGACACCGATCAGGAAGTTGTCAGGCTTGATGTCGCGGTATATAAGAGACTTCTCGTGGATGGACTGAACACGCGAGATCTAGGTTCAAGTCAAATCAGCATATGGAAGCAAGGATTACAGGCATAGATGGTCAGGCGTAGCACATACCATCTGCTTAGCCGCCATACAGACAGTCTTAGCGGTGAACTTGCGCCCACACATGTCGAAGAGGTCTTCGAGGTTAGGCCCAAGAAGATCGATGACAAGGACATTGTGGAGTCCCTCCTGTCCGAAATGGTGCACTTGCGGAACGCCGACTGTTTAGCAGGGACGAAAGGGTAATGTGAGATCACGACCAAGTGTGAAAGTGTCAGGGAACGTACGGGTCCCATTCAGAGTACGGTACGAGCGGAATTCGTCCCGTAATTGGGGAGCGTCGGATCTGCGGGGTTCCTATTTAGGGAATCAGCGCACCGCAAGATGCGATCGTCTGAAAGCACGAACGAATTTGATGGCCACTGGTCGATTGTCGGACAAGCGTACACCTGTGAGGGAGGAAATATGTCAATTATGTGATTCCGATGTCGTTTGCTGCGTATGGTGTCCGCAGTCGTGAAAGCAAGAGCTGTATGCCCAATGCGAGAGGAACGGGTATGAACCAAAAGCGTCCCATGGACATCCGCTGGGACGAGACAGCCGTGAATGCACACGAACCTTCGTAAACTACACCGAAAGACCCTTCACCGACTTTCTTTCCGACTCTATACTGGCTTCCGACGACATTTGACGTAGCAGACTGCTGGTGGGACGAAGAGGCGATAACGTGGGGGGTGGTCATTGTGAGAAAGGGGGTAGAAAAGCTGTGCCGCCAGTCCTGGTATACTAATCTTGAAGAAACGGACTGGCTGGAGGACTAAAGCAAGTCCTGGCCGGAGGAAGAGGGGATGAAGAAATGGGACAGTTGGAGGATTTGCTGAAAAGCGGACTCTGAATTCCCCGCCGTACAGGACCACGTGCAGCTGCCACCTGGTGCCATCAGTGCACCCATTTTGTTTCCGTTACATACTTGACTGCGTGCAGGCTTGACCGGTGACCGACTTGTTTTGTTTTTACGTGCATGGCTTCGCGCTGACCTTCTGCTTAGGATTTGAAGTGGGCGGGAGCGAAATTCGCCTTACTATCCATGTCGGCTCGATAGACGCCCATGCTACACTTCACTTCTGCCTGTGATTACCTTTGACGTGCGCCGCAGGATCCCTTCGCACGAACTGGAGGCGTTCAATACCATATAGCCAGTGATCAATGCAAACAATGCGTTGAACGCTCGAAACAACGCGTCCGTGCCATTCGAGACTGGCTGAACTGCACCCGCCGGCGGCAAGAATTAAGTAGCTTGACAGTCGGCACTCGCCAAGCGACCCCACTCCTTGCGTTTCATTTCGCTAGCCCCCATCGACCCCTGGGCGAACTTAGACTTTCTTAGACAGGTGAAGCACCACGCATCTTGAAGCAATCGTCGCTGCCCTGGGCTCAGCTGGCCTCGCGGTCATTAAATCCACCTGTGGCTTGCAATCGACCTTTTTCGTACACTTTACAGCCGAGGTTGACATGAGTCTCATATGATCGGATTCTACACTGAAGCAGCACGTTTACGCGGCGCGTTCACCGCATTATGGAGCAGCTGGGGTCTCACTTGCCTGCCCTTCCTGACGCCTACACCTTGGATCGAAACCTGTGCACTGGTCCCCAGACCTCCGAACTCGTCGAACTTGCGATCTGTTATTTTTTTGACCGTTGTCTCAAAAGACTTGCACGCAACCGACAACTCAAAGCCACTGGTCGTTGCTTATCGAGCGATGAACACTATGATCGTCTTCTACGATCCATATTGCTGGTTTTATTGCTGGTGTTAAGCGGATTATGGAGTACAATTCGCTATACTGGAGAGACAGGGTCCAGATTCTGCAACGCTCTATTCTCAGAGCATAATAGCTAGCGCGCTTGCTGCGAGCGATGCCACACCCAATACACCTGGTACTACGCCCATGGCACTGTTGCTTGAACCAGTAAGCTTCTGGCTCTTCACTGGCGAATCAGCCTCCTTGCAGAGGTCCGCATACTCTGCGAAGTCCAGATCAGTCTCACATGAAGTGGTCTCAAGGGCGACTCCGACTCACTATCGAAAGTCGTTTGTGCAAGGCTTTTCGCGGAGTCTGATTTGTTTTGCTCCAGTGCGCAATTCAGGCACGATCCAAAGGCGTCAGATACTGAGTCGTTGCACAGACACTTGGCGGGATCGCTATTCGACGCGCAAGTCGTCTCCAGGTTCTCAAGGCCACTGCACGCGCTTTTACACTGTTCGGGAATGTCTGGGACATTGACCGTGTCTTGTCGAGCGGCAAGCTGTTGAGGGAGGAGGCGCGGAATAAGTGATGCAAAGTCTGACCCAGGGGTGGCCTCAGCTGTACCGAGTAATTGTGAGTCTGAACTTCGAACATGCGTGCTGGATATGATTAGCTCTTACCTGTTTGTGAGAACATGCACAGGATGGCAGACACGACCAAGCTGATGAAAGCGACCATTCCAGATGGTGATCTTATGGGAAATTTACGGTGAGCGAGGGGAGAAATAGGCTCAAAGTGAGAAGAGGAAGATAGCGAGACGAGTACCTGTCTACGTCAATTTATATGTCGTCTACTGCTCACGGTTGCATGCGTCTACCTCTCATTCTAGGCAGAATCAGACGTAAGGTGTTACTCAGATCAGCCAACATGATTCGCATATCAGCCAACATAGCTGCCATCATTTGCCCCAGGCTTTTTGCAATTTGTTACTGACCGCCCCCGCCAATTGCGAGCCAATGGTGGTGCTGACCCGTCAATACGGTGCAATCAATCGACGCAGATCGTTCGAGCGTCGGCGCCCACTGTCAAAGCCAACCCCGTGAGTATCGCGCATCTACACCAACTTACTGGCATGGCAGGCGCCATCGAATCCTGAAGTAGGATACAGTATGGTTCCTATGCATTCTGAACCCTCCCGCGTGTAAAAACGTCCATCTGGCCGTTTTGATGATTGTGATGCGGCAGCAGTACGCGCCAATCAAGCTACGTAGGCAGCAGTCGTGATTCATTCTTGGACGAACTATAAAATCTTGGTGAATTACTAGCCACTCTCGGGCATTCCCCAAATCAAAGTCGATGTCATTGAATCCGTATTGTGTTTCGTTCTACAGCTCCGGGCATCACAACAAAGCTACCGCGCCAGCCAAGACGATGCCGACCAAGCCCCAAACCTCTGGTCTCAAACCGATACCGCCGTTGCTTTGCGGGCCCAGTTTCTGAGCCTTCACCGTTACAAGGGCCTGGCCGCACTGAGTAACATAAGCTGTCCCGGGATCAGCTACCTTCATATATAATTGGCGGGCAATCAGCACTCACCATCCATATTTGTTTGGGCATCCTTCAGAGGCAAAGTTTTGTTGTCGTTTGTGACGAAACAGTTCAAACACTTCGCGATGTTATCTGAGACCGTGTCGGAGCAGAGACAGCTGGTGTCCACCCCACAGTCTTTGAGCTTCATCACTTCACTGCAGTCATTTTGGCACGCAGACGGGATGCTTGTCAAGTTTAATCCCACGAGACCTGATTGACGGGCGACGAGGGTACCAGCAGGGGCGATGGCTCTCTCCAGGAGAGCAGGAGTGGCAATAACTGTATTCAGAGAATTTTCGGACTTAGAGGCGTACAGAGTGAGTCAAGCAAAATTCCTTCTTACCGAACGGCACAGCCAGCAAGCAAAGAATGGCGTGAACGAACGACAAAGACGAAACCATCTCAAATGGCTGGAGAAAGAAAAGTGAAAGAGAGAAGGCAAGCACTTAGGGAATGAAGGAGGGGGGAAGGGGCTTCGCGTGAAACTGGATTCCCTGTTATACTTGAGGATCAATTCCCATGGTCACCATCAACATTCGCGTGCTCCATAACACCTTTTATTAGGTCGAGCCCAGGCAGTCTATGGAATTCAACAGTCGACTCTAGCCTTGAGCTATGGAGAGGGTGTATTCTTATATCTATCTGCCTGCGAAGGTTCGGATCAATCGCTGGACTAGTGGCAACTTGGTGCAACCTGCTCGGAGACCATATCATTGGACGAAAGCGAGTTGTCGACAGCCCAGCGAAAGTACTTATCAATATCCGATCCATGCTTCAGTGCCATTTTCATCCTTTTGTATCTGGTTGTGAATCAATCACGAACGTTGCATGGTGCGGCCCGGTTGAATCAAGTTCGCGATATTGCATTTGGCGCATCCGATCATCTTCACGTTTAGTTTATGGGGCTATTTCAGAGTTGAACTACATAGATACCATGCCGTGTCGCCGGTGTACCAGTGATCAAGGAAATTCTCATCAATATCTATCGGTGAGCGATGCCTCCTCTACTACAATCTGCGGACTGCGTTGTTGACTAGTCAAGGCCAGCTCGACATAGTACTATGCGCTAGCCTAAGTCTGAGGAACGCAGATAGGGATAACATGGGCTTTACATGAATCTGAAACCATCACGAAGCTAGCTCAACGGCTACTTTACGTGGTTGCAGAGGCTGCCGAAGAAGCATTCAGTACATACTTTTCCATCATGCTTAGTGACTGAAGGCCCATCAAGGGGCGGCCAGGGGATTAAAGGGGCGGGCTCAGAATCAAAGATTCAAACCGGATTTCGTTTGGTGCGACCATCCAAAACAATTCACGATTGCTCGATGCCTCCGAAGCAATATTGTGATAGTAGTATAGACAAGTAAACGAATAACAAAATCTCAGTGGGAAACGGGGGTCTTGTTCTTCCGAGCGGCTTCATTTTGTATAGTGCATCATTCAACGTATATGTAGATGCTCACAGCAGCACAAGAAACTTGATACTGTCTCCACTCCGTGTCCCTACTGACTATTTGGTAGTTTAATCAACTTTACCGCTGTGCTGGATGTTGATTTTCAGTATCTATCGGATCCCTAGCCAATATCAATGGTTAGTTAGGCTATTGTGCATCAGAAGGCGGTATAGCTACATTTAAATCGCATCGTACTGTATACTACTGATTGATCCAGGGCAACCACGGTCAAAGTTGATCAGTGAGCAGTGCCTTTATGATAACTTGCTGATACCATCAATCGTTGGCTGTGACGCTAACTACCAGCCGTGTGGCACCACCAACCTAATAGACTCTCACCTTGATACCGAGGGCTAATAATCGATCGCGAAGGCCATCGCAAACGAATGGCTTTTTTGCGTAGCACCCGCTAGATTGCCTAACTCAGAAGAAAACCTACCCCTAGTTGTGCAATCAACTCATGATGGTCAACATCTTGAGTTTGGACCCACCTCTTGAAAATTCGAATGAGGAAGGAGACACCCACAAGCGTCTCGACTCTCTTATAAGGGCTGGGGAAGGGTTCTCATCTCATCCCCGGCTGTCAAGCGCCTTTCGACTTCCCCCGAGCCCTATTTCCCTTTCAATATATTTGTTGTTCTACCCATCTGCGATGGTCGCTTTCGCCGCTATATTATCCGCCTCTTGTTTGGTGGTTTTAGCTGTGCCGCAGGGTATGTGAACGTCTGGAGTGCAGAATAATCGGACTGACCTCTCCAATTGTTGCTCATCTGACATCGCATCTGCAGTAGGAGCCGGACTTGCATCGACGAATTCAACGACACTCCCTCCTGCACAAGCGGGCGCTCGCGCTCAGAACGGTACATCCCTGGCACAACCTGCACCACCGCGCCCGTGCTCGTTCGCCGATCCCGCCTTGAACCCACGTAAAGGCAACACACCATGTCCGTGCGCCAAAAATACTCCGGGCTTCGTCACGGAACCCGCACTGTATACGGCGGGATGTATGGACGACTATTTGACACCAGTTGGACAGGGCGCGAGGAGGCGCAGAAGAAGAAGGGTCAAGGTCAAGCAGCGCGAGACCCTGAAAGAGCTGCCGTAAAGTTCGTCTTGACGGTGGCGGACGCGTGTCAGATGGAGGATGGCCTAGGAATAGGGTGGCCTAGGCGTTGAAAAACAAGCGACGTATGGTGACCATTGGTATGATTTCAACGAATGTACATTGTGTCGGTGCAGCTTGCACGAGCGAACAAAAATAATCTAGACAAATATATACTACATACACTCGCGTAATGAAACTCACTTTGAAACCGCGGTCAGTATTTGCATACCGGATCAACCAACAGAGTACTCACAGGTATACTGGAAACGAGGTATTGCCTGCCCTCTGGGCGGATCGACGTGGAGCTTACTTAGTTGAAGAGGTAGAGAGCAGACATCGCGAGGGCAGCCCCGATGAAGGCGGGTTTGGTGTGCGACGCGCCGTTGCTATTGCTCTTCTGCGCATCGGCGACAGATTGTGACTTGAGGTCTGCGCCCCCGGCTTTGCAGCTCGCGATGAACTCTGCGGAAAACTCGTTAGATGCGGTACGGGGCGTGATGCGAATAGACGTACGATCGACCCCAGTTTGGGCCTGGGCGACTGTTACTTCGGAGCCTTCGAGTCCAACGGCGCAAGCCAGACAAGAGGTGATCTGTCCAGCGTTCTTGTCGGTGCAGATACAATCGACGCTGGTACATTTCTACGGCAGAGAGGGAAAAGGGGGGATCAGAAGTTATCAAGGAGGAGGACAGGGGGTTAGGCATACGGCTATCGCGTCGTAAATTGATGAGCACGCGGGTTTGCATTGCTCAGGGATCTCGCTGCTATCGAGTTCACCATCGAACTGGCGAGCGAGCAGACCGTGCAGAGATGACGGCTCGAGGGGAGATGGGGTGGCAAAAACTGTATTTTTTCCTCCGTTAATGACTCGAATTGGTGCTAGCATCTTTGCCACGACTGACCTTGACGCGAAGTCAACAGAACTGCGAGAGATGCAGTGACAACGGAGGAGAAGCCGATCATGTTCTAGTTCTGAACGAATGTGGGGTAAGGGAGTGTTGCTGTTGGGGAAGGGGGACAAGGAGCAAGGAGAGCAGATGAGTTTGCTTCCTCAACCATTGAGTAGATTTATATTGTGCGCTGATGAAGGACCCTGACGGCCGTGTCATCAAGGGACAACCACTGGACGCACAAGTTTAAGGCACGAAGGCAGTTCGGGCGCTCAACGCTCACGACAAGGTTGGGTCAGTGGTATTTGTGCTGTTAGCTTGAGGGGCACAGTGATTAAACGACCCCGTATTATGTTGACCGCCAAAGGTCGCAATCCCTGGCGCGTACCTCTTCTTTCCAAGCAAGCTTGATTGCAACGGATAGAAGAAATAGGGACCACCCCTGAATATTGATTAGTTGACTCTTCGGTATTTTCTCGGTTTTCAATCAATCCATATAAGATGGGTGAAGGATGTCGATGAACAGTGTTCGTTTAGTAGTGGTGCCCCGTTTCAGAGTCACTTATTCGTTCTCTTCTCACTGCTTCATAGACCCTGGCAAATGCGGAACGTACGAGGTCTCTCCCGAAAAAATCTCGATTCCTCGCCTTGCCCAGTCTACATGAGCACTGACCTCTTCGCCATCCACGTCTTCTTGGGTCGTGAAAGCTAGGCCAGGGAAGTTGCTTGCCCATTATATCTTCTCTTCGCGGCGCCAACTGCACAAATCGACTCAGTCTTACGATTCATCCGCAATTAATCCATTAAACTCTTCCATTAGTATCGATACTTGGTGCATGCGCACGCACTAGTGATATGCACTCTGGCCGAGTCACGTTGTGGCAACCAGGCTCCATACATATACTCTACCATGGAACCAGACAATGGCAGTACAAACTCTCTCCAGTCGCATCCTAGCTTCAATGAAAACGCTCAACGTTCCCAACTTGGAAGGAAAGGTGGCCATCGTCACCGGCGGAAAGTAAATACTCCTTCTCATACCCAGAAACCGTAGACACTGACATATATTGTCATAGCCGTGGAATCGGTTTCCAATTGGCGCAGCAGCTTGCGAAATATGGAGCCAAAGTGTACCTCGCCGCTCGCTCTGAGGCAGCGGCGAAGGAGGCTATCGAACAGATCGAGCATGAAACCCCAGAGCTTCAACGGCTCGGAGACAAGAACCGGATAGAGTTCTTGCACCTTGATTTATCGACCCTCAAAGGTAGCAAGGCCGCAGCCGAGACTTTCCTCAAGCTCGAGAAACGACTTGACGTTCTGAGTATGATATTTCCATTACTGTTCTTCATGATCTTCGTGACAATTTTTATACAGTAAATAATGCTGCCCTGTAAGTGGGCTTGGAGTGGGGATTCGACACCCATTCACTCTTCGTTTAGCTTACCATGCCGTTATGCTACAACCTCTGATGGCATAGAGTCCACCATGGCAGTAAAGTAGGTATTTCTCTTCTTACAACGATCTTCTATGGACCGACGCTTGTTTAGTCACTTCGGGACATTCGTATTCACCCAGACATTATTTGATCTCCTTGTATCGACAGCCAAGGAATCGGATGTCAGAGTTGTGAATGTGAGTTCAATTCATCCTACCGCGCGAAGCTGACGTGAATAACAAATACACCCAGATGTCATCCTTCTCCACGCTCAAGCACCCGCTGGAGGGCAATTCTCGACTCTCGACGAAATTAACTCCCCGCTGACCTCGGCTGCATCTGCTCCTGATGGTCTCATATCCAACCATCTTCGATACTGTGTGTTCCTCCTCTCACGATGACTTTGACACAGCGGCCTGACTACAACGTCCTTAGCCCGAAGCAAGTTGGCGAACATGCTCTATACTATACAGCTGCAGAAAGAGTTCAAAGCCGTTGGCTCCAACGCACTCGCTATCTCCGTCAATCCAGGAGGGGTCGCAACGGACGGAGCGTTGGCTACCTCATCCATGTATCCCTTCCTCAGCGCTTTGGTTCGATTCGTGTTCTCTACGTTCTGGAAATCACCTCTAGAGGGCGCAACTACGGCTCTCTACGCTGCTACATCAGCCGAAGTTCGGGCGAATGCAGGACTATTTGGTGGGGCGTACGTCGTCCCTTATGGACAGATCGGGAAGGCCACCAAGGACGGCCAAGATGGTGATTTAGCGAAAACGTTGTGGGACGTCACGGGGAGTATAGCCAATGCAACCTTGGCGATGACAGAGTGATTACTTCGTGAGTTGCAGATTGAAGGGACACGGTGACAATTCATATATAACGGTTGTTAGTATTGCTTTCAATATAGTATTTCTTCCCATCAACTGCTGCGCCTAGTATTTCTATTGAAGGAAATGGTCTTGTACGTATTATGCAGGCTCTCCTTAGATATGACCGTTTTCACGGAGCTCTCTGTGCGCGCTCAAGAAATTCAGTCATTTATAGTTTCAATTTGGCAACCAACCCGACTACGCTCTTCATCTCTTGATCATCATCCAAGACTGGTTCGGTTCCCCCGGACGGGTCAGCAGCAACGATGATCAGGAATTATGAGTATGCGCGTGGTCGGGAAGATAATACAATGCTAATCACATAGGGCAGGCTTCGACTCAGCATCGTCTTGACCATATTTCTGACTGAATCTCAAAATAAAGAGCAAGCCCAGTGTTACGACCAATATATATACATATAATTATAAAATACAGACTGGTAGGGGGCGTACACAGAACACTAGCTCATCATACCAGTTTCGCCAAAGACAGCGTATTCCTGTCCACGTTTGTCGAAAAGTACGCGTTCTTCAGGAAGACGTCGCCCACGAGCCACTCATTTGCTCCTCCGATGTTTCCAGAAGAGATACCAGATACACAATCACCTAGAGTATTCGTTGTTTGTTAATTGCCAAGCCGTACTACTAAAGATAGATGGGACAGCTCACCGGTTGGGTCGTTGGGATCCAAGGGGGCGAAGGCAAGGTCTCTCGGGTCAATGGCAAATGAGGTTTGTCCGAAGGTTAAAGCAACACTTGCGGTAGTCGTGCAAGGAATGACGAATCCCCCTTGTCCGTCGGATTGAGCGCCCGCGATTTGTTGATGAATGGCAAGTGCATCAGCGGCTGGTGCGATGATGAGAGTCGTGCCCGTATCTAGGATGGCTGTTCGTCCCTTCAATCCGAGATCTGTTCCATCTACCGAAACTGCGGGCATCGATGCCTCCCAGAAGCCTTGCTGACTAACATTCGGGACTTCAGTGAGAGTCAAAGGATCGAATTTGGTAGCATCAAGCCCGCTAATGATCATGGTTAAGTGACGGAACTCGCTACTTATATATATGGGACGTACCCGAACGTGATTTCACCGTCATTCTTCAAATCCGCAAGTCGGGAAATCTTGTACGATACAACGGTTTGTTTAAGGGCACCAGTCTTGACAAGAGCCTCTATTGGTGTGGCAGTATTCTGTTGAGAAAGAGTCTTGTAACGACGGATCAGATAACATGATGGTGTTAGAGTTGGTGAAATGAATTTACCGACTGGGCCAGCCCCATAATGCCGTCAAAGGGCGTCGAGTTGTCCGAGAAATCCACGCTTTCCGTTGTGGCAACGCCAAACGTATGTGCTTGGAGGGGAAGACCGGCCACACTGATGTCATCCGTTACGATGCTACCCTGGACTTCACCAGTGCCGTAAGTGACTTGGAAAGGTTTTTGGGTGTCCTTGAACGTGTTAGACGATGCCGGTCCGAGAAAGTTGTGGTTTCCCTATCACAACTTTAAATACCAAAATTAATGAAACGAGCATGTCATTATCGACTTACGCAATTACCACCTGCTTGAGATTGGCAGTTCTCCGCTCCTACCCACAGATCAGCCGATCCCGAGTCCATCAACAGTTCGAAGTTGCGAGGGGGAGTGCCCATTTGTACACTGGCTAGATACCCAACGTCGCTGCTCCTATTATGGATGCTCGAGAAACGTTATTCGACGATGTCAAAGTCACGTACTCGATGTCTAGTCCGATAGAGTTGCCAACTGAAGGGGCACCTGCGGCCGTAACCTTGTTCTGTGCGACGGCATCTAGCTGAACTTGACTGACACCAGGATTCGCCGTAGCTCCACCAGGGCTGGGCGGATATCAGCACGGAAATGAGATGTTGAGAAAGGTAAACTTTACATAGCAGTAGCGGCTTTGTTTGCTTTGGACTTCTTCCCCGCAGTTTGACCTGCCTGCTGGGCAGCTGTAGCGGAACCAGCACCACCGGGGGCTGCAGCAGACTGCTTAGCCCCAGCGCCAGGCAACGTTTGACCCGTCGCAGCTTTAACCGTACCTGCGGCCTTCCCTACTGAAGGACCGACCAGTTTCAGACCTTTGACACCTTGGCTCTTGGTACCATGGCGGTTATAACGCTTCTCAAGCACGTCGGTGTCATCTATAGAAACAAGACGCTTCTGGATAGATGCCACCATCTCATGCTGATCTGGCTCCGCTCTGCCCGTCATCCGGGCTAGACGTCGATTACTCCGATTGATGTGTTGTTGCAATTTCTACAGTTAATGTCATTTCGGTAGATCATGCTATATGCGAACTTTGGCATACCACAATCGGGTGGACGTTATCGTCTCTCTGCACTCGGTGAAGAGGTAGAGTGATTATGCCATGAGTATTCCGTTTAGCAACTGGCGCGGCCTCAACGGAAACCAAAAGCACTGCCAGGAGTGCCGAGAAAGTCAATTTCAACTGCATAACGAGCGGACAAGAAGGCCAAAAGGTGGGTGGAATGTGGTCTACCGGAGGCACTCAAGAGCGAAGGGAAAAAAGCAATGCCCAACCTGGGGCAGCGGAGAAGGGGAGAAGATGAAGGAGGCTGATCAATGCCTGATCGTAGAATATCATTTATATATCTAGAACCAGGGGCTATGTGGGTACTCACAAGGAACCTGTAGTTACGCCGACCAAAGATGGCCGATTTCCGGGTCTGCGTACTACATCAGTTCGTATACCGTGTGGACTTCGCGTCGCGAGACAGGTGAGGTGGTTGGTGCTAAAAATAGGTTGATATTTATATGTTGTGATGGGTGTGAGCCGTTCGTTTTCATTGACATGCCTTGCCGAAGAAACAGTACCCCTTGGATAATCCGATCGCTCAAAAGGACAGTGAGCATCTGAGAATACTGAAAGCCAGTGGGGGATGCAGAGGTTAAGGACGGCAGAAAATAGCATCCTCACAACGATCTTTGATGATTCCGGATACAAGCGACTTGACGATCTGACGAACATAGCTTCGCGATGTTGCCAACCATAGATACCCCATCTGAGCCAAACGGCACGGAGTCCATGCTTACGTGGGAAGGAATGAATCATGCTCGCGAACCAACGAACACTTAACTTGATGCCGAACACTGGTGGCTTCTGATCCATATGACCAATTATGAAGACCCTTGAGAGCGACAAGACGTTGAATTTGTTGTTGTACAACTGCCGCTCGGGCAAAACTATAGACGAGCTTTGGCGGCCGCATCCTCGATGAAGGCGTTTGTCATCCTTCGATCTTTTGCGACCCATTCCAAAGAATCCCGATACAGATCAGCCTGCAGCGTTGTTAGAATGATTGGGTTGCATGCCATGAATGATGACGTGCCTTGATTAAGCCCCAGACTCCCGTATTCGCCAAGGAACTTACGGAGTCGGCGAGTTGCTCTGCCTTGGCGAGGACATCATCAGTGCTGCCACTGACGAGGTGATCCAAGAAGCCTGCTTTGAGTCCGTCTTGAGGTGTGAAACGGTGTCCCTCGAGGGCTATTTTTCGATGTGTGTTGCTATCACCTACTTTGGCTCTGAGTACACCTGTGAACGACACAGGCCAAACAGCGCCGAAGTGCACCTTGAAGCAGACAAGGTGGGTGAGGCTACCATCAGTGAAGTTGGTCGTTACGTACTTCGTTCATGCATAACCACGCATTTCGCTTCGTACCGTCAGTCATAACACGGTAATCACAGGCAAGCGAGAGCATGAAGCCCCCCGCAAAGCAATGTCCATTGATAGCTGCGATGACCGGGACTAGGCACGCATTCGTCGTAGACATAGCGACTAGGATAGATTGGGAGACTCACTAGGGAAGGTCATCAAGCGGCTGAGCAGAGGGTTGAACGTCACTAGCCGCGGTCAGACGGACTTCCGTAAATTCGCGCAGAATCTACTTACGGGGAAAGAAATTGGGGTTGTTCACCACATTTGCGAAGTCGAGGCCTACGAGAAATCCTCAGTGTTCCTTGCCTGGATGATAGAGAGAGTAAACACAAACCATTGCTAAAGAATTTATCTTGATCCCGACGGCCAACAATAATCAGAGCGCCTTTGCCGCCTTCTTTATCTTTAGCCTTTTGCGCCGCCCGCCATTGCTGTCGCCAGTGCTTCTCAGCTGCGTCCAAAGCGGGTTTCAGCCCTTGGTCCACTAACTCGACCGTTAGTCTTGCATCTTGTCCATTGTGCAGCTCAATCACCCAGAGGTGAGGTTTAGCTATGAAATAGTGCGTTAATTGCTGCCGTTCCAATATGGCCACGTGCGGAGAATACGTACGGTTAGTGAGCGTTACGAGTGGGTTGCCAGCTGGAAGGCTCAATGGGTAAGACATTGTAGTGGTGGTGCAAGCGTAGAAGTTGTGGGGAAGTCATGATTGATGATCATGAAGTTCAAGGTCGTAGACATGTGATATTCGGATATCCTGAATCAACCGATTCACGACACAAGGGTCAGGCTCGACGCCGGGTGCTCGTTCGCCTGACAAATGCTACTTCTATGGTGCACACATCGTGGTGTGGAGAAGAATGAAGTTCAAGATCGACCACATGTGGCATACCGACTGACAATCAAGCTTCTATGGGCGCTTATGAAAGGCCCTCAAGGAAGGCATAAATTCTTGCCAACTCTCAAAGCACTTTCCAGTAAGATAATATCATGTCCGACAATTAATCGTGATGCGCAACGCCCAAGCGCCTTGGTCTATAAAGGTAGCGTGCACGGTGGCTGTTCGAGCCGTTGCTGGCAGACGTGCTTTATGCTTCTTCCATGCAGTCACTCATCTCTTGCTGGTCATCCGTTGGTAGCGAACACTAAGCTCTCGACGTAGCGCCCTTTATAACCCGAGATGTCTGCCCAAGTAGTTTCCTCCCGTTGAGCTGGAAGGATGAAGTTCCCTGAGTTACCCGCTGTCCTGGTATCTCTCCTCCTCACAGTTCTCCTTACTCCGGAGCCTGCTGTTGGTCTTCCTGCCACGCAGACCGGTTATATATCCGTCCCCCTTACCAGCGTCCACGACAAAAGAGACCCGGACGTCCATCCTGACATCGTGAGTCCCATTATTATATCACCAAGTGGTTGGACAAAGGACTGAAACGATGTACTCGTAGCTCCACCAGCGACACGTCAACCGGGGGTTGACACGATATGCCAGGCTTTCTGGGCGCGCCGAGCCGTCGCCCTTGGAGCTCCTAACGAAAATGAAGAATCGCCTTGATTCACTACACCCTGACATTCGCAAACGCTACAACCACGAGGGGATTGAGGAGTCCATTAGCCACCTGATGTCGATCAACAGCATCTTCCCCGGCGCACCGGTACCCAATCAAGCACACGTTTCGGACGAAGGTGCTGGTGGCTACAGCCCCAGCCTGCTTGCTGTCGCCGTGATGCACACCGTCACTGAAGCGAAGCAGCCGGAATTCCCTTCGACGATGGGATTAGACATACAGTGAGTACAAACCACAATAAAATGCATCTCACTCACGCGTCATCGTCAACGGCAGAGGCAACGAACTTGGTTGTAAGCCGCCGCTACTCCTGCTCATTCATCCGAAGCTAAATGACACACAGATATGGGGCACTTTCTCCTGGGAACACCGCCTAAAACGTTTAGGCTATTGATGGACACTGGTTCGGCAGATCTCTGGGTTGGCGGGGAAGACTGTACAGCGCAAGGTGGCGGGGGATGTGTACGTGGCGTTATTGAGCAAGCGAAGTATATCCCTGACGTCGGGTGAACAGGGCAAGCATCAATTCCTGGGTCCGAAGTCGAGTTCCACCTATAATCAAACAGACACGATATGGGCCATACGGTATGGTTCGGGCGCCGTGCTGGGTCATCTGGTGTATGACCGTTTCGAAGTGGCCGGGTTGGTTCTGGAGAAGTTCTTCTTCGGTGTTGCGCGGAACGAGACGATCCAGTTTACACCGTGAGTATCCACTAGCCTATGATCGCAAGTAATCAAACGGCGCCCGCAGAGATCGTATACCCTTCGATGGTATTGCCGGCACAGCGAGATCCGTAGGTCCAACCCTCGGGATCTTTCCGTGTTATTAAAGTCGTTCACTAGATGATATCTCGCCAGCGCACGAAGACATTCGTAGAGGCCCTTTATGAGGCTGGGTTGATCAAGGATGGAATCGCGTCTTACAAGATCCCTAGGGTCACGACTATGGGCGTTCAAAGCGACGGTGAACTCACGTTGGGCGCAATGAACCCAGCAAACTATGACCCAGCAACATTAGTGACATTATCCAACATCAGTCCCATAGGCTTTTGGGAGGTCTTCCTACAGGACGTGAAGGTTGGGGGCAAGTCCATTGGTTTCACATCCAGGAACGTCATTCTGGATACCGGAACGGTCAATCATTTCGGCATTATCATCTTTAGGAATGTCGCTTACATTCTTTGTCTCCATTAGACGCTTTTCCTAGCCCCGAAAGATGTATGTAGCAGATTTCAAGAGCGAGAATGTCTAAAAGCTTACCTTCATTGCAGGACGTAGCTCTGCTCCACAGAGATATCCCGGGAGCCATATACAACGGCCATGCATGGACCGTCCCGTGTACGACAACAGCCGTCATAACCCTCAACTTCGGCGGGAAGGAGTTCCCTATTGACCCCCGCGACCTCGCCTTTATCCCACTCGACACACGCGATCTCAAGGGCAACTGCGCATCAGCAATCACCGAAGTAGTCCTCCATTCCGGACAGGACCACTGGCTCGTAAGCGTCCTTCCCTAATAACGCTTGAAGTTTTATTGACTCGGTTGGTGGATAGCTTGGCGACGTATTCTTGAAGAACGTATACTTCTCGACCAACATCCGTACCAACCAAGTTTCCATAGCACGCTTACCTGGAAGACCATGAAAATACTCAAACCCTGTACCCTTTAGTTCTGCTATCGTAGCTGATTGTATCCCTAAGTAACATCAAAGTGTAGCATAATGCATTACTTACCGACACCCCCGAGTCCATCACATCTTGATCCCCAGCGCTACAAACCTAGGCCGCGTCGGCCCGTCCGTGTCGCCTGCTTACCGCCGCTGGCATTCATCTCGCTGGAAGGTCTACACGAGGGTATTGCGTCCGCGCCCATGGCACTACATTGAACCTTGTTGGGCAGAATGGGATCCGAGCTTGTGCATTTGTTGGAGATATGAAACGATACGACAGTGTTTGATGCTGATACATATTGAAATAGAGAAATGAATTGCGTTACGTCTAGGACTGGAAGAAAACGGCTGGTATGCACATGAATAGACCTAATAAATGATTCCTCGATGCTGCTGCGTGGGTTTTTGAATCCGGAGGTTCTGGATAAAAAACGTCAGACAGAGTATTAAACACGTAGATGTATACAAAGTGCAAAGCCCCAAAGGTGAGGAACAAGTGCTCAAGAATATAACGAGAAGAAACACAGCAACTTTAGAATACAATCATGCGGGATATGACAAGGATGGGCTGAATGCCATAATGATGACTTGAAGGGTTGTTGGAATGCGCTACATACGTCAGATGCTGGATAAATACGTTCGTTGGAGGGTAGTCTTGAGTGTTTGTTTGCAAGGCAAACTGATGAGTTGGTGGCGTCGGCGGCGGCTGGAGGAAGGTACTAACGAACACGAGATCGTATGATGGCGTTAATATAGGGTTCCGACGGCGCGAGAAAGTAGTACACATGTGAAGGTAATAACAACAGGCGGAGTTGAGTTGTAGAGAGTGGTCGTGGAGTCGAGGGTGGATGATATATCATAGAAATCGAAGATGGGAGCGACAGTTTATATTTCGTTCGGGATGTTTAACGAGAAATAAGGATGGTGCAGGGCCTCTTTGACAGTTATGCGGTGAGATGGATCAAATGCAAGGAGCTTTTGTACAAGGTCGAGGAAATGCTTGTTAATCATATCCGTCGGAGGGATTACCTCCTACATAATTGTTAGTCAAAGCCCCCAGATGCAGCAGAGGGGATACACCAACATGCAATGCCTTCGTCGCACGGACATCTTTCTTGCTTTGCCTGGACGCCTTGGGCTTTGGCCAGTCCAATTTGTGACCGTCTTTGAAATATTCAGGTTTCGACCGTGCTCCCGCCCGTGCGAACTTGTCTGGCATCCTTCCCATGACCATCTCCATCATGGCCAAATGCTCGAGGTTATCGTGGGTCTGGAACAGGGCTATGCCGGTGTAGAACTCGACTAAGATACAGCCTAGAGAGTATACGTCGCATGGAAAAGTCCATCCGAGACCTAGTGAGGTGATAAATGAAGGCGTTACGAATGATGACTTATTCGAGCGAACCTAGGATGATTTCCGGTGCACGGTAATGTCTGGTTGACACCACTGTCGAGTGGTACTCCTGTTCAAACGTCGCCGATCCAAAGTCAATTAGACGTATATCTGTGGAATGAAGAAGCCTTTTCGGCTTCGGTGGAGCGTGACGCTTGACGACAGTAAGTTTGTCAGTTCGATATTTCGGCTCAACAAGGGAGCCAACACGAACCTTTCCAGAGACATGTACGACCTTGAAGTCGTTGTGGACGAGAAGGATATTCTCGGGTTTCAGATCCGTATGGATAAGTCGCAGCTCATGGAGGACTAGAACCAAGGGCGCAGTCAGTAATGAAGAAGCACGGCAGGCATATACTTACAAGCCACGCTGCCGAGTAATTGGCGGGCAAAGGACTGTATATGGTGCCGAGGGAAGGGCGCGAAGTCGTTTTCCTTCAGGAAATCGTATACGCACATCCCCAAGAGCTCAGTGACCAAACAAATATGATTCCGATGGTCGAAGTACTGTAGAAGATGAACGCATTTACTGGCGCAACAGATATTATTCGGGAGAAGAATACGGAATAAATCAAGAACGTACTTTCTATTCATCGGGTCTCGCTCCTTCAGTTTCTGCAAGACTCGTATCTCAATCTTGCTCGCATCTCGATATTTGGGAATGGCACGAATAATCTTGATAGCGACCCGTGCATTATTTGTCGTATCTATTGCCTCGACTACCTTGCCAAAGGTGCCTTGGCCCAGCAATCTGATCGTCCGGTCTACGAATATGATGAATCACGATTGGAGAATCGCGTGAAAGAACGTACAACGCCCATGAATCATATCATCTGGGACGATAATATAATGGCCTTCTTTGTCATCGCATGGCGGAGGGCCCTGTGTAGGATTTAGTACGTAATCGGTGGTATGGAAGAATGAGCGTCACGAACGTCCTCCGTAGCCGCACCGCTTCTGCTATCCCAGGAAGACTGTGTCGGCTGGATGGCGGCGATGGCGGGTTTCTTCAGAACCGGCGCACGGACCTGGTTCTGGTCAGGTTCCCGTTTCCTTTTCTTGGGCGCTGGTGCGACAATGGCAGATGAGGTCGACGCAGACAAAGCTTGGGCTTCAGCAGCGGCCCGTGCTCTTGTCCGTACTGGTGCAGAGAATAAGGGCGGTTGATATGATGCAGAGTAGCCTCCATTGTGGGTGGTTGCGGGTGATATGGTTGCTGGAGGTGGTGTATCTTCAATTACTATGACTTCTCGCAGTCGTCCAGTGCTGTCTACCTCCTGGACTTCGCTGTAGCTGACGGTGTACTGATGGGCTCGTTTTCGCTTGCGAGTCCCTAGCGGTGGGGTCGGCATAACGCTGGGACCAGCTCCAACCCCGTTGAGTGACTGGCGGGTGTAGTGTGGAAGCATTGTGGGTGGCAGCTGCTGCAGAGCTGGCTGCAGCGTCTGGGTTACGACGTACGACGTGGTGGTAAGAAACGAAGGAGCAACGGCGACAACTTGGGGGAATCTGAGCAGCAGGACAGCAAAACGAGAACCTGAACAGGTCACTACAAGCAATTTGGGACGGGCCTTTGTTTGGCTCCGTGTTTGGCTCGCTCTGCCAGTGGCCACAACATCCCCCCTTCAGTTTCCCTCTGCCCACAAAATGCCTTTTTCGAGCCGGTTCGCTGAATAAATCACCACTGCGCTGGGGCCTGACATTCCTCTGAACCTGTATCTACCCCATCTGCCTCTTTGATCTTTTTTCCCACTGTGCAGTCACGGTCCGTACCACTCAATGCCTTCGGGCGGCACTGACTCGGCATAAGCCATCATGCCATACCATGGGAGAATCTCAATTTTGGTTTAGGTCTGCTGCTGGTCTGAGGAGCAAGGCCTAGATATCGATCGATAACGAAGGTGAGCCTCGGAGCACAGAATGAAATTACACTCGTACGCGAATCCGTGCTGTCCCAGTGTGCGGCAGTTATCAGTGTGTTTCTTGCGCCGTCCGGGGGAGCTCTCCATTCGTCGTCCTTCGTGCATCATTGTTGCCTCGAGACTGATTCGAGACCTAAGGTTATGACCAACTGTCCATACAGTGATGGGAACTATTATTGTTCTCGCTGCCAACGGAGCCCGTAGGCTCGAGGCCGGCCGTATAACTCCGGGTACAGGAGTGAAGCTAGGGCGCACATCCCGCTGCCGCATCGGGGAAATACGTTGCATCCGTGTCTCCAGCATCACCTCGTTTTGCATTAAGTACGGCATTCACTGCAGCGTGTCAAGCAGCGCATAATTTTTGTTTGCGAATGTTTGCGTGTTACAACTTAGATCCTTGTCTGCAAGACCAACTAACGTTCGTAAGCACTTCTGAGCTGCTCTAAGGCCAACTAGAAGGACACGTCAGTGGACATATTATGGAGCCGTCAACATAGATTAAGACCTACCTCGTAATGTTTCGTGTAAAGCTCTAGGCTCTTGCTGTCCACCTTCATACGTTTGATGCTATCCAGATGCTCCGCATCTTTCATCATGGACTTGAAGTATCGCGCCTACCAATCCATAGATTGATTAACCGCCTTAAAGTGTATAGAGCGCATCACTGACCTCTTGCTCTTCCACTAATGTCCACGCATCACCAGAGCGACCGGCGCGTGCCGTTCGTCCAACGCGATGCACATACTTCCGCATATCCACGGGTGCATCATAGCTGACAACGTGCGATACGTGACTAATATCAATGCCGCGGGAGATCAGGTCAGAACACACAAGGCTACCCCGTGATGCGGTGAGTTACGTGGATCGGTGGCTTCAGGTTGGCCACGCACATTTGGATATCCTGGCTTCGGAATTTGTCCAGTATACTCCTTCGTTCGGAAGTCGAGAGGTCGCTCGAATACGAGCGAGCGACGATTGGTTGGGCATTTGGATCTTCTTGGGCCCTCGCTTGTTCAAAGAATGTAAAAAGCCGAACTAGCCTAGTGGTCGACTCGGCCGACTTTGTGAAGATGAGGGCGTTCCTGACATTGTGCGTCACAATCAGGTAGAATAGCACGAGGGGCTTCTGTGAACCGCTGCAAACAACATATTGTTCCTAATCACAGGCATGTCAGTTTGAATAGAGATGCGATCATCATTAAAACATACAGATAGCTTATCAGGCATCGTGAACTTTTCTAGACCAACGGCCAGGATGCCATCGTCATCCCCCTTCGAGGCTTTGCCTCCTTGGACGATAAAGTATTTTGGTTGTCTGAGATCCAAGGCAGCTAGTTTACCTGGATCCCGAGTAAGCGTCGCGGAAAACAAGAGTTTTTGGCACGAGGGCTCCTTTCTCTCGGTTATAGAGCAAGGAATGTCCGGTATGGAAAATGTATGGAGAAACGCGGGGGCAACGGCATCGGAACATAGCGAAGTCTTTCCAAGATTTACCAGGTTCCCTTCTTGGGATAATTCGTAGCCCGAAGTAGGGTGAACAGGCGGTCTCGTCGCAGCTAGTACCTGAGCCAGCCAGTCTTGAAAAGACTGGGCAAGAAGACGGTCGGCTTCATCAACGACCTGTGAATTATATATGAGCAGTATTCTATATACATCCGGTCATTCACACGCACCAGAAACCGTAGATGCTGTAGCGTGAAATTTGGAGTCTCGTTGAGATGGTCAATGAGCCTACCAGGTGTGCATATCAAGATGTCAACCTGGCTAGAGCCCCCTTTAAGCCTGCAGGATCGTAAGCATTGATGTGGTCGAGGATATCGTTGGAGCGTACTTCGATGTTTTATCTGTTACTAATTGTGCTTGCTCATGGGCGAATGAATGTTGCCCTGTTGCTGTAGCGATCTATCCAAGACTTCAGCGTGGAAAACTATGCCATACAAGGGGCCCAACCTTGAGACCGCTCCCTTTGCCAACCGCTTCAAAGGTTTCTCGAACTTGGGAGACCAAATCACGGGTGGGAAGCACGATCAGGGCCCGCAGCCTGGTGACGATGCGTGTTGACAAAGTCTACCCACATTGATATTAATACACATTAGAACGCGAAATGAAAGATACTTACCTCTATGATGGGTAGGACATAAGCCAGTGTCTTGCCACTTCCAGTGGGCGCGGAGGCGCATACATCCCTTGGAGGATTGTACGGTAAGTAGAGGCGTCTCTGAGATGCGTCCCCCAATAGGAATGGTAGTAACGCGGTTTGAACTTCAATAACGTCAACCATAACATCTAGGTACGAGTATGGAAAGGTATCTCACCAGCAAATAGTTCCTCGATCCCCAACTCCTTGAGCCGTTTTCGAGTCTTCTGGCTCAGATACGTTCCCCCGTCCACTTCACCATCAGAAGGAATGGTCAACGAAGTATTGGGGTCAACGATCTCTGCGTCTAAGAGTGCTGGATCGAGTCCTTGGCGAGCAAGCGCGAGTTTTGAGGGGGCATTGGGAAGAGAAGGAAGTGGGAATGAAGGTAGCGCGACGGGCGATGTTGTCTTCTCTTCTGGTGGAGGAGGCACCTGCGCTTCGGGCACAACATCGTCCACTAGCATAGGTTCGTCATCATCGGGTGCCTCTGCCTCGGTTTTCCGCCGTTTCTTAGCTTTGCGAGCCTTACTTGAAGGCGTTTCGTCCTCCGCTACCGCTGGACTGTTATCGGGTTCGTCACTAGGTTCGACGTCTTCCTCGACGGCCTCTTCGTCATCCGATTCGACCTGCACATCTGTGTCTGCACCCTTTCGAACCGGAGCCTTGCCTTTTGTCTTTTTGCGCTCCTTCTTTCGTTTTAGATATCTCTGCTTGGCTTTCGTCTTAACCTACATTTCGCGCTAGTAAGGCCCCATGAACTGCTGTCTTGGTATGGACGTATATAAACTAATCCCTACCTTAGTCGTCGATTGTTTGGCATCTGGAGGAGGGCCAGAGATCTTTTTCAAGATGGCCATAATTAGGAGGAAGTAGAAGGGTAAGAAGCGCCGGCAGAAATCAACGCGAATTCATCCATTACAAACAGCAGTTATATAGAAAGACACAGTACATAGATTGTCGATAGCTGTTATCGTATAGTATTAATGAATGAGGTGAAAGTCCGTGGATGACAAAGGCTACAAGATGATGCTGCGAGACAGAGACATAAAACACATAGTGGACGTCGTGTCAAGTCGTGAAGATGGAAAGAAAATGCAAAATCCGGGATCAGTCGGATGTGAAAAGCTTCCTCAAGTAGTCGCTAGCAGCCTGCCGTAGAGCAGAATCAACGCTGGGGTTACTCAGCAGCTCCTGGAAGATGAGTGAGTAATAATATTCGTCAGAAAATCGGGGCACGATACTTACGATTGCTCTATCAGCCTTCTGTTTCATCATCGCCGACTGCTTTGTGTGCTCAAACTCGGCGAGCTCCCGTTCCTGACGAAGCCGCTCGACTTCTCTTCGCTGTGTACTCTCCTTCTCCTCCCGTTCTTCTCTTCTGCGCATGTACTCCACCTTCATCTTACTCGTTTGCGTTTGGACTTGAAGAAATTGTAGATATGTAGAAAGCATGCCTTGGGTTACTGAAACATTGACTACGGTTTGGTCGGAAGATGAAGACGTAGTGGCTGGGGTTGGGGGAAGCATCGCTGCCGTAGATGTCACAGGAGTGGATTGATGTTGGGCATTACCAGGCGTAACAGGTGAGTTGGGGATGTTGGACGGGCCTTCTCGGAGATTTTGAGGGTTTATGTATGAGACGGGGTTGTGAGAGCGTTCGTGAGGGATTCCATTCATCCCACTTGGCCCCGCTAGGGGGCTAGTGTCAAAGTCCATGGTGAGGTCGTCGGCGTCGTCTGGTTCGTCCAAGCCCACAGAATGTTGACCACCGCCTGCGTTGCGTGACGAAGATGGTCTTGGGTTTGTTTGATCACCCATGCTGAAATCAGTTAGTAAACACCACCGGTCACCCGACTAACTTCGTGATACTTACCGGCTGTAAAATAGATCATACCAGCCTAATTGGTGCCAGTGATCAACCGTCCTTGCCGCAATGTTTCCGACTTCGATGCCAGACTTGCGAGCTGTCTGCAAACGCCTCTCGTACTCGCGCAATCGGTCGGCTTCACTAAGCCCTTTCACAGACGGACTGCCAGATTGAAGTTGAAATCGTTCAAAGCAGTTGATCTGCTTGTAAAGGTTGACATTGCGTTCATAGCACCCTTTCAATGCTTGATAGGTTTTCTTCCCTCCGAACACTTCAGAGGAACACTAACAGCACCATGAGTAAGGATGAAGACGAGGGCGCTGTAGCTGTGTAACTTACCTCTCGCAGACATGAATTTTTGGTGGCCTTGAGTGATTGCCAGTGATCGTCCTGACCCCTCCCCATGAGATAATTGAACAGCTTGGACTTTTCCTCGTCTGTCCAGTGCTTAGCGCCTTGACCGCCTCCATCGACATCGTATTGATCAGCATCGTCCACGTCCCGCCGCCTCTTCTGCATCTGCCCCGGCCCCACCCCGAGACCATCGATAGGTTTGCGCTTCAGCCCGGGCGACGACGCCTGCCCTGGCCCCACCTGGTACGCCAAACTATGGGAACTACCAGGATGCTGCTGGGAAGGGCCGCCGTTGGGCACATGGGGCGGGGGTGAGATGGGATAATTGTCCTGGTATGGAGCTCTGCCACCAACCGTGTGCGGAATGCCCAGCGCATGCCCAAGGCCTTGATGGGACTGAAACGGAGTCTTGAACAAGAACGACTGAGGACAGCTTACTATATATTTATCTCAAGAGACTTACAGAGACGTTGCTGTCTAAATTTGAGAGGTTCGAGTCCCTTCGCTCAGGCATGTGGCCATATTGCATCGTTGTTTCACTGGGACATGGTCAAAGCGAAGTCTATGAACTGGATGATACTTGGAAGATTTCATGGACACAACGTACTTCTGAACTTGTGTGTCCATCGAACCGGCTGAGTCCCCGAGCCGCTCGAAATCGTTCGTTGTCGATGTGAACTGCTGTTGGCTCGCAAGCGGCTCGATTTGCAAGGTTTGTTTGCCCGAAGCTGCCCAGCCAAGCATACACAGACAGTCGCGGGGTTTCAAAGCCTAGAAATTAGGATATACGGTTGTTGCTTCATGCTCCTTCTCAAGTCGATTCATACCCGTAGCAGCAGCAGGAGACCCCATCCAATGCCACGGAAAAGACGTAAAGAACGCACTATGGAAAAAAAAACATGCATGTCATTCTCCACGGTGTTTTCTCGATCAATGCCTTTGTCACATCTTCCCCAAGGGACGAGTCCATTTGGAACGAATCAGTTGAACGATTCAATGAACCGTCCGACGTTGTCAGAAGGTCGCTGACCCAGCCAGTGCCTCAATATATACTGAATATGTGTGATGTCTAGTTCCTCGGTTCTGACATCGCGGCTCCGTTACCTTCATTTTTGAAACAGAACAACTGTTCTCCCTGCTGCTCAATGGAGGGATATAGACCTATCGCCCTTGCAAGCAATATAGAACTTCAGAGTCATGATACTTTGTATATGTTGGGCAGCAGTGATGGATGGGAACTACCTATCGCTTGCGCCTCTATTTGTGTCCTTCTTCTTGACTGGGTCTCTATCCACACCATGTAATCGTGTTGGCCGTCTCCTTCGTATAGGTTCTTCCACCTCGAGCAAACGGTCAGCTAGAACGTGTTCCTTGTGCACGACTGATCCCCCAGAGATTGCATCTTCGCGCTAGTAAAGTAGGAGTCTTTTCCCGCAGTGTATGCTCTCACTGCCTCAGAAACGCAGCAAGTACTACCGTGCGCCCGTCAGCGTCGATAAAGAACAAGGCTAAATGTCTCCTAACTACCCCTGTCAGGGGTAGTCACACGTTCATATCACATCAACATGGCTTGCTCAATGATCCTGCGCCTATTCACCGTTACTCTCTGCGCCCTGTTCAGCGCGGGGATGCGTTTCATACAAGGCCCATTCTCTTGAAAGGGGTCCAATTCCAGCAGGTTGAGTGTCAGAAACCGAGAGAATCACGCAACAAGCGACTTGGCTCGGAATATACCAAACAAGGGTAAACAATCCTGCTCACTGTGCAAGACGACGACGACGACGCGAGCCAAGAGGCTCCTTCTCACTCCCCATCGTCTTGAATGTACCTGTGCACCTCTTCAGCGCTCTAGATGCAACACCTGGAAGTCACTCAGCATGCCGCCAACCCCAGCGAAGCCGCGACACAATATCCTTCGATCCATATAAATGGCCACCAAATTCCCATTGATCCAGTCCTCACCGGCATACCCTTTGACCCGGCATTTCTAGCAGGGGAGAATGATGCCGACAAAGTTCAGGTGAGTCGCTGGGTTTCCTTTCGCACCTCCAAGCCGTAGACGAACGCGTCGCGTCGTACCACTTTGCAGCCTCCTCCTCCGCCGACGCCTCCCCTCGAAGAGCCCAGACAATACTCGGAGCCCCTCAGACAATACTCGCAAGGACCCCAGGGTGATCCATTTGCGCCTCCTCCTCCACCTTTTTTGCCAATTCCGATCGAACAGTCCCCTCCGCGTACGACAACCAAGAAGAAGCGCAAGACACGACAACCAGACTATTGCGGCATCTGCGATTCCAACCACTCATCAGAATTAATGGTGCTGTGTATTGAGTGTGGGCGCAAAGGTGCGTCGGACGTTTGTGCTCGCGCATATACTGACGTTTTCCTAGATCACCCCAGTTGTATCTCAGCGGAGGTAGTTGGAGATGTCGTGAGATCTTATCCATGGCGGTGCAGTGATTGCAAGATCTGCGAAGTGTGTCTGAGCAAGGGAGATGAAGTTAGTGCAAGTTCATTTCCTGCTATCAATGCAGCCCCTGACTGTATACAGGCGAAGATGGTATTTTGCGACCACTGCGATAGAGGTATGAGCTGCGCCTCCATTTGTCACGTACTTCTCAACGAGATTATAGGTTGGCATACAGATTGCCTGAACCCGCCGCTCGAGGAGACGCCGCAGGGCAAGTGGCATTGTCCAGAGTGCCCAAGTTTGGACGTTGAAATGATCGCCCTTCAAACGGAAGCACTTGTATTCACCGAGGTTCCCGTCCAAATGGACGATCCGATGCGCGGGTCATCAGTCGCGTCTTCCTCTCGCCACAGGAGCAAGCCATCACTATCAATCTTCACGGAAGAATCAGAAGCTGAAGTGAAGGTACCATCCACTCGACGGCAATCAAGGAAGACTTATAGGAAAAGGGCGGTGAAGGAGGAATCTGTACTATCTTCGGATCAGGAGGTAGCTCCTACACCAGTCAAGTCTCCCAAAACCAAACGCCAGAGAGTCCAATCTCCCGATCGACCGCTGCCACGCATTCGCCTGCGGCTCCCAGCTCAGAAATGGAAAGGCAAAGAACGTGAGCCACCGGAGTCTCCTAAAGGGATGTTCAACGATATACTGCCTCCCGAAGATCGTGACACGACGAAGACCACGATTACTGCTTGGGACAAGCAACAGTTCGAGCGTAGCAGGCAGGTTGCTGAGGTACGTCGTGAATACCCACTTCTTCGTTATTGCCCATTCAGAGATTGGCTCGTTCAGGAGAAACTCGCCCCGTCGTCCGAAGCCCCCGCCACCCCAGTTGCAGGTCCATCCCGGCCACTACGCTCGGCCGCCATGCATAGTCTCTCCTCATCAATGCCAACTACCCCCGCCTCTCCGACTCCCTCAACTCCCGGTGCCAAAGTGCCCGCCTTTCCCTCCATGAAGCCCAACGCGCTGCGCATACGCACTATCCGTTTTGGACCTTTTGATGTCAAGACCTGGTATGACGCACCTTTCCCCGAAGAATATGCATCAATACCGGACGGTCGCCTGTGGATATGTGAATTCTGCCTGAAGTATATGAAAAGCCGGTTGACCGCGGGTCGACACAAGGTATGGCGTCTTCCTGGCCCTCTTTCCCGCGCCCTAACAACACCTCCATTTGCAGCTTAAGTGCAAGGCCAGGCATCCTCCAGGCGACGAAATTTACCGTGATGGTGCTATTTCGGTATTTGAAGTTGATGGCCGGAAGAACAAAGTGCGTCGTGTTTCGCGATGAATTTGGAAATCGCCTGACGTCAGGGCTTGCAGATCTACTGCCAGCAGCTGTGTTTGCTATCAAAGATGTTTCTTGATCACAAGTCGCTATTCTACGACGTCGAGCCTTTTCTCTTCTATGTAATAACGGAGGCGGACGAATTTGGCGCCCATTTTGTTGGTTACTTTAGCAAGGAGAAACAGTGCACGCAGGACTATAATCTCAGTTGCATCATGACCCTTCCTGTGCGGCAGCGGCAAGGATGGGGGAACTTCCTTATGGATTTCAGTAAGGGCTTCTCTATTTCATGGAGTCGAAACTGACTTTCCGCTCTATATGCAGGCTACCTTCTGTCGAAGAAGGAGAAGAGGACAGGGTCTCCGGAGAAGCCTCTATCAGCACTGGGCGCTATTGGCTATCGGAACTATTGGACGTTGGCCATCATGCGATTTCTTGACACGGTGCGGAGTGATCTAAGATTGGAAGGTGAGCTTCGGGCGTGCGGAAGTCCTCCCTAAACTCCCGCTAACGGGGGGCAAAAATTATTTTCCAGATATCAGTAATGGTACATCAATGACCATTGAAGATGTCTATAACACGCTTGTTCAACAAAACATGATAACTACCCGTGAGACGACTCCATCAGCCCGACCGTCCCCAGGTCAATCCATCAAGTATCCTAAAGGCCGCAGGGCTGGGGTCGCCCGGCGGGCCCTTCAGCGGACGCAGACACAAGACGATGACGTCTCGAAGGGTCCTTTCGTTCCCCCGAAGTCGTACCGCATCCATTGGGATCAGGGGAAGGTGTCTTCGTATCTGACAAATTGGGAGGGAAAGGGATACCTGCAGCTGAAACCCGAGAAACTTAAATGGACTCCGTTTTTGGTCTCGAGAGCTGAGATACTCACGCCGGCATTGGAAGATGATCCGTTACGAGAACGAGAAGGCAAGGACGGAGGACAAAGCGAGGCCTCTACGAGTGCACCACGTGGGGAGTCTACCTCCTCAAGGCAAGCAGGGTCGCCCGAAGCTCATTCGCAAAACCCTACAGACGATACTCTACCTGTACATTCACCCTTATCTTCCGTGGACGGGTCAAGGGGTCCTCCACTGTCTATTGACACGGGTCAGTCTTCCAGTCCTCCCCCTTTACCCCCTACGTTGTCGAGGCGGCGAACAAGGTCGCAATATACCCCCTCACCATCAACCCCTTCGCCATCTCTATCTACTTCACGTGCCCGGGCTACACGGTCGTCGTCCCGCAAAGTCCTGTCCCACAACCCTGACGATATCCTTGCTGAAGACGAAGCGTTGGCGGCTCAGCTGCAGGATGAAGAGCAACGCCCAAGACGGCAGCTGCGATCACGGCAAGACTCGTCTACCCAGCCTCCCAGGCTATCTCCCACCCCACCGAGATCTTTCTCCCTCAAACGCAAGCGGATAGAGTCCCCCGAAGATGACGACGATATTGAATACGACCCACCATCCGAAGCCACACTCATTCCCCACCCCCACGTCAATGGCAACCATAAACAGGAAAATGTTTCCGAAACATCCAGTCCCGTGGTGTTCACCGAGCCCGAACACATACATCCCTATCCCAACGGCCACAATCAACACACTATAGGGCCTGGAGTCAACGGTCTCGGGGAGCAGGGCCTTGCTTGCACTGCAAGCGATTTAGATATCGCCACGGTCCTTGTATCGCTAAACAACTCTACACCCGTCCGTAGTAATGGTGCCGACCTCAAACCGGAAGCTACCAAGCCGGTCATGTCCATAACCGACCAGATTATGCCTCAACCATATCTCAATGGCACGCATGTCGACGTGGCTACATGCTCCCACACAATGCCCATGACCGTCCCAAGCACGCCTACGGAGGTCAAATCCGTTGATTGTACAATGTCCGTCGACGCCACTATGGCATCCCCAACTCCCGTCAAGACAGAGGTCGCTGTAGGAGCGATCCCTGATCAGTCGACAAGCATGGAGGTAGAGGATGAATATGGCGACGAAGATGCTGACGGGGAATATGAAGAGGATGCCGAAGGGGAGCCAGATGACGAGCTTGATATATCGGATACTGCAAGACTCAGTCAAGTGTAGATAATCGTTCATGATGTACTTAGCTATCTGTGTGGATGTATAATCGGTATTGGGGAACTCATATCAATGCGTAATGTAGGTACTTCTACTCGTAGTAGGTTACTATTCTTTTCAGTCTTACTGTCTTTCATTTTGGCATATATGTTATTTCTAGTTTTCATGTTTGCTCCATGTTCGCTCACTTTTATGAAGCAGTCATTGTGTTATTGTAGAAGACTTTTTTGTGATTGTTGCACTTCTTACACCCCGTCTTTGACGAACTTGACTAGACTTGACTCTGGTCAGCTTTGATTCTTTGATTCTTGAAGTTTGAATCCGATAAGTCCAGCAATGCATCACGTGAGGCATAACTGGAAGAGCGACAAATATGCACAAACTTACACTCAACCGTACTCCTCCATCATGGCCATTGACGAGGCTAAAGCCGCTGCAGTAAAAGGTACGACATCGTCGACTCTGAATCGATGAGCGCAGTCACTAATGGAGAGAACTACTTATTTCCGGCAACAGCAAAGCTCCAGGAGCGCGAGGAACACATCCGGGAATCCTGGGTCCGCGCCATGGAGGCACGGCTGGTCCGAGAGGAACTAGAGAAATGCCAGAAGGCCGAAGGGGTGAACCACTACGAGAATTGCAAATGGTTGTCGGAGAAGTACCTCACTATGCTGAAAGACAGCCAGGTGCGCCGTGTTTCGTTAAACCAAATTATAGGTACTGACGAGTTCCCTGCACCCGCGTCCCAGGTCAAGGGATACAAGCGTATAGAAGTGTAGAAAACATGCCTGAAGTTCTATCTATCCCATATGTTTTGCAACTCTGAACACGCGAACTTAGCTCAATTTGCGAAAGTCCATGCTATTGCTACACTATCCAACTAATCTTCTGCTTTCAGCTTTTCAAGCCAGAATCCCACGTCCATTCCATTTAGGATGCTACCTTGGGTTTGGTCGCCTCCGAGGAGATGTCAATAGTCAACAAGTCCTGGTAACACTCTTTAATTTCTCCTCCTCAACATACTGGGCGGGGAACTCACCTTTCCGTTACGCACTTCCTCTGGACTGGGCATGAGGCCGAGTCGCATCAACTCGCTGGCTTTCCCCATCACTGGATCACTTTGCGCGCAGGCGACTGCGACGATGGCATTCTTCTTGACGTAATATGCAATGAACTATATCGTGTTGGCCTCGAAACATAAATCCAGGACGACCTATAACGACATACCTTCATGGCTGCGGGATCACCTTTAATGATTACTTCGTCATGTCCGCTGCCGACGCCACAGTAGCGCAACTGCTGTCCCTCTGCATATTCAGATTGATGTCAGCAGACTTCAACGCGTCAGTCGGCATCCGACGTACGAGCACTCCAGAATACAGGAACTTTCACGAATGGCTGAGCGGCTGCGGCAATTGTCTTACCCACCGCCCTTCCATGGTTACTTGCTACCTGTTTAAAGCCACTCAGCATCCCGTCCTCAGCTCTGACCGACATAAACACATACATTCCAATGCTCAACGCGTCTAAACTCTCCTTCAGGGCTGCCCAGTTGCGGGTACACCGCGATATCTCCGATGGCAAAAATATCGCCGCTCCCACCCACGCGCAGGTACTCGTCCACTTTGATGCCGCCATCCTTCTCTAGCTGGAATGTGTTCTTGAGGAAGTCGGTTGCTGGTGCTACGCCGACGCCAAGGACAACGAAGTCGCCCTTGAGTTCAGTCTCTGTTTCCTGGCCCTCGGTGCCTTTGGTCTTGAAGACGACACCATCGACAGTTTTCGGGTTCCCCGGGGATGTTAGGACGCGCGTGACGCTGGACGCCATATGAAATTGGATGATTGGAGTATTCGCTTGGTGGTACTGACGTTCAAGAATTAGTAGTTCATCAGCGGCCGGTGGAAGAAACTACGGACCTTCATGATCCCTGCCCCGACTTCCTTACCCAAGACAGCTTCGAATGGCACGTCTTCAAGGCCGATGACGTGAATTGCGCTTAGTCCTCTTTTGCTCATGGTGATCACCAACTCCATGCTGATGAACGATGAACCAATTACAATAGCCGTCTTTCCTTCCTTCGCAGCTAGCCCGATTGATGCATTGTGAGCGCATGCAATACAACGGCAGGACGAACTAACCTTTGTCAACTTTGACAGAGTCTGCCATGCCTCGGAAGGTGAAGACGTTCTCACGGAGTTGACCGTCTTCGCCACGTAACTCTGGAATGGGCAACACTCTGGGGTTCGCACCAGGCGCCAACACCAGCTTGTCGTACGAGAATGACTCTCCAGACACAAGCGTCACCGACTTGGCTTGAGGGTCCACGGATTTTACTTCCTAGTTTGAGTCAGCGCCCGCTCCACACTTGGACAGGGCCTCGCATAACTTACGGCGTCGGTACGGATCGTTACCCCGAACCTCAACTTCAATTCAGCGGCAGAGCGCCATTCCAGTTTGGAGACATCAGTCGCCAATGATTTGCTGAGCTTCGTCCTGTCAATGGGTACGTGGGGCTCCTTCGAGAGCAGCAGGATTGGTTTACTATATCCGTTTTCCCTTAGGGATTCGATGGTGTGGAAGGCACCCGCTCCACCGCCAACGATCACGACACCTTGACCGTGACCTGCTGCCGTTGATTCTGGCGCCATAATTTTGGGAGGTCGAGATATGTTGGCCTTGGTGGTGTTCTTTGGATCTGCAGTAACATTTATTTTCCCGTCCGAGATGAAAGCCTTGAATGAATGCAAAGCCGTTGGCGCGGGCGCATCTTCGATGTCGCCGTTGCAAACATTGAAACATGCTAGTTCACGGAGACAACACGTTATTCACTTTCATACATTGCGCATTAAAGGAAGGTGTACCTCCATGCCATGGGCTGCATATAGTCCGTTTGTTTGAGAAATGTACTGTGACGGGGCTCAGCGCTACCATGGCTCACCAGACAACTCGACCATCAGAGGTGAGCACTCCCTTTGCAAGCGGCGCCCCATAATGCGTGCAGAAAGCACTTGTTGCGTGAATCTCATCTCCTATCCTTGAAACTAACACTTCGCCGTCCTCGAAGGCGACCTGCTTCATCTCGCCGTCCTTGAGTTCGTTTTCATTGAGTACAGCTACGGTTTTGGTCGCCATTGTTCTCCTGCGTGTGATATCAGAGTCGAGAAGATGAGAGTACGGAAAGAGTCGAGATAGCGGCGGCCTGAGTGTGCGAGGAAGGGAACAGCGCAAGAGCATCGATCACTAATACACGGCCAGCCCGCCAATCAACGCGCGACCATTTGTCCATATGAGGGTGTCAATGGTGATGTCAGTCGTGGTGCACTGAAGCTAGAATCGCGAGCGCTAGTTGCACGGCCACGTGCTGCTTCTCAGGGCGTTCACGAAGTTCGTTCTTGTCAGTTAACGAAGTTCAGATGTGGTCCATGTAAGCGAGCGATGCAAACCAACCAAGTGTATATCTCGCTGTCGCGCATGCACCGTAAGAACTCCATCATATTTCTTGGCTCGTTTCTGAACTTTCGCCTCTTAGACATCATCAGTCAGAAAAAGTTTCGTAGACTGAAGATGAGTGCCGAAGCCTCCAATATTTCTGGTTGGGCCAAGGTTTGTACATATGCTCGAAGTTCACGGAGGATATCCATAATCTCTTAAAATTAGGCAGGCAAACCGGGCGTCTTGGTCGTCCAGGGCCAAAAGCAGAATATTGCGACATTCCTAGAGAGAGTACGTGGTGAGCATCTAGTTCTCTCACCGTTAAATGCACATCGAAGACTTACAGAACCGTGCAAGTTTTGAGGTATCTCGAGTTCCACCATGTTTCAACGATTCCTCTGGAGGCCAGTGCGAAGTTATGGACCTGGTCAGGCTTGAAAGAAGCTCCAGATATGAAGTTCCTAATATTGAACGTCGATGTCGTTCAGCAGGGGATGAAGACGTGGTTTAGAAAGGAAATGGGAATGAGTGGTTCTTGATTATAGGTACATCGCCGCATTGAACTGCTACCAATGTCAGGAGGTTCTTTTTGAGAGTTCTGTACTCAAATCCAACATGCTTTATACAGCTAGTATCACCGAGCTAGAGCTAATTCCCAACAAGTCCACCACACCCCTATTCCTCCTATCCCGGGAAAGTTGACAAACAGACAACAAACCTCTCGCAATGTCAATAAGGTCCTCACGGTATGGCTTTCACTATACAGTAATGATACGAGTTTGGAGAAATATGGTATTATTGTTCAAAGGCCACAAATAGTATGAAAGAGGGAAGCTTAATGTAAAGACGAGTCCCGCATTCAATCGTTTATTTACTGGAACTCGGGAGCGAGGCCATCATAAGCTGGGCAAAGCGTCCTACAGATCGGGGGGGTCAGCGTCGCATCGGCTGTAACCCACACCATTGTGACTCACCTCCAGTCTTGGGTGACGATCTGAGCCTGTTCGCCCTCGTTCACTTCAGCAGGTCGTTCCGCGAAGACAACAGCGAGGCCAGCTTCAAGATGCCAGTCGATATGGCACTGTGTTAATTGGGAGCCTAGTCAGTAAACATGGTCGTATTGACATCAGGCGTTCTACTCACATGGAGGAACCATGCACCGGAGTTGCCAGAGACTGTTAGAGTGAGGGTATCGTAAGGTTGATACCGCACGCGACGAGGGCATCACTTACAGAAACGGAATGTTGTGTTTCCACCGTTGACTGGAAATGATGCTTAGTTACGCTTTTCGCCATTTTCGGTGAGGAAACTTACTAGGCAATACGTCGCGACGCGGTGGGTTGACAAGGTTCACGACGTCGCTATTCGAAGTGCGCACAATGTCGAAGGTATGACCGTGCACTACGGAGGATAGTCAGCCATCATCCGGACGGTTCGAGGTAGAATAACTAACAATGGAAAGGATGCGCGCCGGCACCGGGAATAGAGACTTCAATAAGCTTGTTGGCGGGCAAGATGATGACTTGTTCCTATAACAGTGTGAATTCCCGATGGCCGACGACGTAAGTATAAGGCAGGGCATACCGATGGAAGGAAGTCTTGTGGTTTGCGAGCACCGCTAAGCATCTGGAGCAACACTGGAACCGAAGGAGAGAGATACGAAATGCCGTTGATATCGAAGAATGGGGGGTTCGGCTTCAGGCGCTAGTGAGTCAAATATTGATTGATAAGGACAAATGGAGCCATACCTGGGCGATGTTCAAGGTGATGGCCATGTCTGGGGGACCGGTGCCCAAGTTTCCGGGACCTTCCTGAGCAATTGGCTGGAAGCGGGCATAGAAAAATCAACAACCGTTGTACTGACAACAAGGGGAATATCACTTACGTGCATATCGGCATCATTGAGCTTGTGGCCTCCAGTAGTCGCAACTGTGGTGGGCTCGACAGCGGGAGCACCCTTGTAACGAAGGATGGCCCTGATCAACGATATGTCCACTACATACGATATTAGCATGCTTGAAACGCCATAGTGCGCGCAGTCTACGACTTACGGTTAGGGTTACCTGCGGGGTTTCCCCCTGTGAGTCTAGTGAACAAGCTGCTCCGTGAATAAAATGATATAAAGAAACCAGTAAAACCACGCACGGCGCCCGGATCCAGTAGTTGTCGATGGTCTGGTTGGCGTGGACGATGATCGACGCACGTTGAGCTGGGAAATGTGTTAGGCATATATATCAATACATTTAATAATAGATGGAAGCGTACCAGCATAGATATCAATGTTCTGGGCGGGTGTTGGGTCGTGCTCTATGCCGTCGAATTCAATTGCATCGAATGTGTGGTTGTCAATAGAGAAGGTGAAGAAGGGACGACATGAAATCTGGATGAGGCGGAATCTTCTCAGAGCGTCAAGACGTTGTATTTAGCCAGCAGTGAGGCAGCGCGTACCTGTAGCGCTTGCCCTGCTCAACGTTGATGACGGCGTAAGGGACAAGAGGGCCGCCCTTGAATCGTCCAACACCGTTGATCAAACCAGTGTCGGGAATCGGGACCGAACCAGTTTGGAAGAACTGGTTTTGAGCGTGGGGAGCAAGGTCATGATACCTAAGTTCAAGTCAGGACCCCTATCCCCTAGAGGTTCGTCAGGAGGGACTAACCAATCTGCTAAGGTGATGATGGTGCTCTCTGTAAATTCTTTAGTAAATACTTTTGATCAAGGAGGGAGTATATAGTACCATCATCAACATCGTACAGGTGCTTCAGAGGATCGTTGGGATCTATTGTGGCGTCAGCGCACTCCTGAAACGCCTCAAGGACCAAGACGCACCATAAACGATGAAAGAACCACGAAGACCGTCGCAATATTGCGTAGACAAGTGGGAGTGATACCTATGGCCTTCGTGTCAGCCGGGTAATACCATATCAAGGCGGGCACGGCGAACCAGTAGTTTCCGGTCTGCCCTGCGGTATCGAAGTCGTAAAGGAAAGTAGAGTTGGGGGGAATCGGGCACTGGTTAACGAAACTAGCGGATCAAGGTAAGTAGAGTAATAGACGCTGCGTGATTATCTGACTCACGAAGGCCCGTCCATGCCGGAGGTTTTATGTTGGAATAAACCGTGCCAATGCTATATCGGGGTCGTTAGTTGAAGTCTTGGATGGGTAAACGACACTACTGACGATGGAGGTACTGCGACGCATGCCAGGGTCCGTCAGTTCATTGATAGTATTGATCTATGGGGCTCTGTTAGAGAGGGGATATGGCAAACAGTCCAGTCACTTACCTGGACCTTGTCGTTCTTCTGCAGTATAACGGCTAGAAACAGGTTATGAAGATGTCGCCGTCGTTGGAGTCAGCGGTAGAGCTTACGCGTCCCAGGGAAGATGCCATTGACTGTAATCGCCCTAAACACAGAGAAGGGTCAGGATCGTCCCTCAATGCGCGACATGGCTAAAATGCCTCACCTGCGCTCGAAGCCGTCTGGTGAGACAACGTCGTTTCGAATGTGGAAGTCGAGTTTCTTCGTCGCAGCAAGAACGAAGGGGAGCGAAGCCACAAGAGCAGCGAGCTTAGTAGAGAGCACCATTGTGAGAATGTCTCGAGTGGGGCTTGGAAAACCAGAGGGCTGTACCCCAGGCTTTTAAGCTCGTCGCATCCCATCTTTGGATGCGGCAATATTGCACAGGCGCGAGCGATGATCGCCAGGCGTTCAGGACTGTGAGATGCAAAGCAAATTGAGTGACATCTGCATGTAGTTCCCATCGCCGTGGGCTAGAATTCCCACTCGATTGGAAAGGAGATACCGTTGAATGCAAAGCTAGTCACGGCAGGGGGTGAAACACGGTATGCGACCCCCGGAATCCACGGTCCTCCTATGAGAGCACCGATATTTTCATCAATGGGAAACCGTCGAGGGAACTGCGTGACGCTTACCTGAGTTACGGAATTGATTTTTGCGCATCAAGTGGCGCTAGCAACTGACAGGCCCACAGCCGGACGCTGAGGGCCCATGTGGAACATCCTTGAACATCACCACCTCCCCACCAATTGGTGAGTTGAGGTTAGAAGTAAATGCTCTGATGGGGCCTAATTCCCTTGAGATAAGATGGGCCTGAGAACTTGGTGAGCAATTCAGGATTCAGTCAGCACCGAGTCGATGGGAACATCAACTCTAGGCTCTCACCATCGTCGCGACCTCATGAACGGCGGAACATGAGTCAAATTCGAGCGGATTGCCGAGTGAATGGAGCTATTGAAGGTTACGGCGCGCTTTGGGCGCAATGATTTCGTTGAGCGTTCGGCCAGCACAAGGGCCAAGTTTGCCTCCGTTCTGACCTCCGATCAATGATCGGAGACCCTAGGACAAATACAGATAAATAAACAGAGCGTATTTCCAACGGCCCGGCCGTGCCTGCGTCATCAGCTTGACAGACTCTTGCTGCGTGCACGATATAGTTTACTGTAAGACGGTTACACGGGTAAATTAGACAATGGGAGTATGTGGTATGGTAGCTTGACTCTGTTCTATATCACTGAGGGTGATGTTACTCCTGTCGCACAGCGTGCGGAAGATGCTGTTGGACTGACAGAACAGACTACTAGGTGTGTCAAACTCCTGCGAAAGGATTCAGAAGACGAAGATGAACAAATAGAAAATAAGCACGCACTGCAACAGACCCTCCATCAAGGACTAAAATGCGATCATATGATATGATTGTTCGTAGGCGGTCTGTGAGAATTTTCAGTTCATTTCATGGAATCATTCCTACGATGTCACTCACGCGCTATGCATAACAATGTGCGACCGCGGAATTCACTCTGAATAGTTTCTTGGATCTTACTGTCGGTCTCTAAATCAACCGATGCCCTAGAGGTCTAGATCAGCACCAATCCGTTACGAAGACGCTCACGACCCACGTTGCTTCATCCAGAATAACAACCCTCGCATCCTTTACTAGAGCCCGTGCGAGACTGAGCAATGATCGTTCCCCAACGCTCAGGTTAGCCCCTTCCGGTTCGATCACCGAATCCAAGCCTATCCTCCCATGCGCGTGGCTACTTGCGAGAACTTCCGGGGCCGAAGCGTCTTTTTTGCTGCTTGGATTGCCGAGTAGGGATGACCTCCGAAGGGCATCCCATAGTATCGCATCATCGTACAATGAGAAAGGGTCTAAGTTTGACCTTACGGTCCCTGATGCCCTATTTAGCCTTGGTCATCGGACATCTGAGCAAGCATAAGCATACCACTGAATAACAAGGGCTTTGCGTGCTATTAGTGAAGGGTGTCGTTCTAGCGGATAAAGGACGCACTTCTTGGGGAATGATAGAAATGTTGGCACGGAGGTCCTTGAGGCCGATGTGGGAGATATCAACACTTATGACGAGAACGCATCGTTAGGTTTAGCCTAGGCCCCTTCGTATCCGAATGTATGGAAACACTTACTCATCGATGGTGATGCTTCCCGTGCACTCGACGATTCTGAGCAAAGCCAATGCCAATGAAGATTTTCCAGCACCCGTTCTACCCACAATACCGATCTTCTCGCCGCCTCGAATGTCAAGGGAGATTCCCCGAAGTACTTGCGGCAGCCCAGGGCGATAGCTGAGAAAGACGTCGCGGAACCTGATTGCTCCATGGGTAGGCCATGTCGTAGGAGGCTTTGTGGCCTCGATTTCGTACGGAGCCTCTTGCTCGATGAGGTCCCCTCGACTGTAGTGAACGACTGGAGATAGGAGTAAGACTTGGCGGCCAAGAAAAAGATTGTACCATACAGACCTCTTTCCACCGAGTTCATATAGTTCTGCGGGTGATGGGAGATTGATTACCGTGTGCTAGCTAGCTCAAAATAGACGACTCACTTCCACCTCAGCGGACTGACGTGTGACCAGCCCACACAGTTGTGTCAGCGATGCTGGAAAGTGTCAAAGCCTTGATGTGAAGTTGTGGATAAATGGAACTTACTTGTGTACGTGAGGACCAAGCCGATCTCTGCGGGACTGATGCCAGAGACGCCGACAACGGCTAATAACGCCACCTACGACTGGTGTGAGTTAGTGTCCTCAAATATGTACAACTGACCACGCACGATGAAGACCATTATAGCACCAAGAAAGTCAAGCCGTATTGCGAGCCACCTGAGCTCTCGTGAGCGAAGCAGGCTGGAATGAAGCGATCGAACGTACCTTTGCGTGGTCACGGTCAAGAATAAAGCCCGATTTTCAAGATCGATATAATAAGAGTTGTCGCGAATAAACCGTGGCATCTCACCATAACTACGGATGGTGGGGAGGCCAGTGAGGGACTCCGAGAAATGAGAGTATAGCAGCGATCGTAGCATGGCATCTGAGACAACATCAGGACAGGGACAAATGTTCAGCAAAATCCATAGCCCACCTAGTCTCTTCAACTCCCTCGCGCTTGAACGATAAAATGCAGCGAAATAGTTGTACCCCAGAGCTAGTACAACAGCCGCAATAACTTGTAAAACCCAGATGTAAGCATCTAACAGACTTTGTTAGTGGATGGTGGTGGTAACTTACTGAAATAGTGTTCGACGATAGTAATCACCAAAACAGCGCCGAACACATTGGACATCGTCAATATAACTAAGGCCTTCAGATTAGCCGGGGTGATGATTGAGTGAAACCGCACGTACACATTCTCATGGACACTGAGATCATGGCATCTAGTCAGTAATTTATACACGGATGGTAATGGAAGCACAAGCATACCAGGTAATTGATTATCAATTGCTTAAAATGTGGTCAGAAGCAGGCCAAAATAGCCAGAGTATTTACTCACCATCTATGTCTTTGCCAAAGACCCCAAGGACACGCCCCATAGGCTAGGTACACTATCAGCCCCTTTACACTCTAGTGACTACCGTGAATTTACTCACCGTCGTATCGAAAAATGACATCGGTGCAAAGAAAATATTCCTAACAGAGTCATGGTGCAAGTTTCGGGACACGAACATGGAGCTAGAAGATTGACGCTAAGTCCGCTGCAAACATATGGTATAAGTTATCCGAATAAGTAGCGTCATGCAATAATGACCCACAGGAAGAACGTGAACGTTGCTTGCGAAAGTCCCAGGCACGCGTATAGGATCTGGTAAAAGGAAAACGGTTTCCCAAAAGAGCTAGGGGAGCGTCAGGGGCGTCGGGAGAAGCAAGACCAAATCCGCCCACTTTGCCTGCCACCAAACCAGAGTGTACGAGTTGAGGATCTGGCTACTCTGCATCAATATTATCGATGCAACAATCAGTGGGATTGCAATATATCCGCGTCCCGCCTTGAGATATGTCCAATAAACTACAGGATCTCAGCGAACTAAGCGAAGGGTGACACTTGAGACACGTACCGCTCCATGACACTGAACCAGTTGTACGCTTCTCGTTAACCATGAGGCGACCCTCCAGCTTACCCGTACCGGCGCCGCGCTTTTCAATCCTAGCGGATTTGGATTTTGCTTCCTCGGAAGCGTCAACGATGGTAGGTGTCTGGGAGGTGATGTCCTCTTCTTGAGTCTCCTCGTGCCCCCCACCAAACTCCTTGTCAAGGCGAGCAAACTCTCCTTTCTTGGCAATAAGCTCTTGATACGTTCCATGCTCCGCGATGTTACCGGATTCCATCGCGTAGATATAGTCGCAGTATGGCAGGAAATGAAGGGCGTGTGTCACGAGAATAACAGCTTTTCCTTTGGCTCTCAATGAGCCGAGTATGGCTCCGTGGAAGAGGGTCTTTCCAACATGCGCATCGACTATTGGACGTCTTCAGCTCCAGATAAATCACAACAATGGGCAAAGATCTTACGTGCGGATAGAGGGTCATCGAAGATAATGATATCGGCGCCGAAGTAGAGTGCCCTCGCAATATTAACCTACAAGATAGCGGTGAGATAAAGATAGTAGATCTAGAAAGATAAGACGAACCCGTTGCTTCTGGCCTCCACTCAAGTTGATGCCTTTCTCACCGATCTAAAAACAATTGTGATGATGGGTATAACGGCTTGCTTGCAATGGATTTCATACCTCTGTAAGATCGCCATCTTAAATGATTGGACCGTCAGAGGTAGTCTAAATCTTTATTAGGAGAGCACATACCGGAAAGAACAAGTAGATCCTGGGAAAGGCATGCGTCTTCGATCGCCTGCCAGTACCGGTCTTCATCGAAAGGCTGACCAAAAAGGATATTGTCTCGCTGTGATAAATCGGTCAGAGTAGTCAGTATACCGTATCTAGTAAGTCGTACCAAAGTCGCATTCTGAATCCAAGCTACCTGAGGACAGTAAGCAATGCGTCCACAGAAAGACACTTCGCCTTGAACCCTTCGCATCTCTCCAATTAGGCCCTGTAGTAGGCTTGACTAACGTATTTGTTAGCGTCTTGCACGATTCTATGCCACGAAACTATTCTTACCTTGCCGCTTCCAACTCTACCGACGATACCTACAAGGCTTCCCCGAGGCACATTCATGGAGACATTCTTCACTTGAAATGGTTGCACATCATCATCAACGGACTCATCATCGCCCTTCTCATGCTTGACATTACTGTTAGCAACTGCTTCCCATTCGAAGGTTGCATCTTTCACGATCAGTGCGTCGCTCTGATCCGGATCTGTGACGAATGGAGCTTCCGTTATGATTTCGGCATGGAAAACGTTGCTCAGTCTCCCCAGCGCGTTCTTGGCATCGGAAATGGCTGAAAGTGACCGAGGCAGGAACATCATCGGTTGCCGAAGTAGCTTCACAGCGATTTGATGTTAGCGGATAGGTAACCGGCTGGAGAATATGCGTACCTGGAACAAACTCAACGAGGCAAAGATAACGGCAACATCGAAGCCATCTGTCGTAAGTGTGTAAGTCAGAAAGGCAAGCGTTGCGGCTAAAACTGGCGTGGAATAGGCGAAGGCGATGCTTTGCGAGGGTTAGTTACTCATCGCTTAATCGAGTCTGAGAAGACGCACTTCGCTGATGAGAAGTTCTGGATCTTGCTGATGCCCCGCAGTTCATTGGTCCTGATCTCGAAGATGCCTGATAGGGTGGAAGGATGAGAACCGTCTCCAAGCTCAGTAATTAGATATTCCTCACGCTTCAAGAAGGGTACCTCGTAGCAAAAATATTTGACCACGCGCATTCCAGCTGTTCATCGTGAGCATTCATTAAAGCCACAGGCAGTGATATCCCCAACAACATACCTAACGCTTCCAACAATGTCTTGGCGCGTTGGTCGGTAAATTTCATCGAGCGACGGCGAACGGCGAACTGAAGCGCCATGACACGTTCTTGGATCGGGGCAATAAGGAGAAACAGCGAAAAGCCGGCCAGTGCAGAGGGCCCGAGCTATACATCGACTGAGTATTGCATTGTTCATGAGATGATTGAGATCATACCTGAACCAATAGGATGATCAAGCACACCGTTACCTGAATCGGAGCAGTCCATCCTATACGGAAAGTTAGACCTCGCAATCAGAGTCTCGTGAAGACGCTTCACGCGTACCTGGGTGCTTAACAACGAAAGGGGAAAATGTGAGATCAAAACAACGAGGAGTTTCCAGAACTCACAAACCACTGTGCACATGCATCAATTCGACTGACCTGATGCAGTATTGCGTGAGAGGTCAACTACGAAAAGGCGTGATTATAACGTACATCCGTCGAGATGTGATTGACCAATGCAGAGTTCGGAAGCTTTGCTCGAGACTTGCCCGTGAGATGAACCCCTCGTTTATAGATGGAGTTGATTAGAGCGGCTCTCGCAAGAACGCCCGTAGTCATAGAGCGCCAGAAGAACTGTGAAGGGTGATTGTCGGCCGACGTACTCGTAAGCAATAAGAACGCCTTACCTGATGCTGACAGATGCTAGTGACAATGACAATACAGAACAGACCAATGGCCATGGCAATACCCTGACCAATGTTGGGTGGTTTGGCGCCTGCTGCCTCACGAGCTGACCGCGCTTTTCCAAAGTTGATAATAGCCTTTGAAGAGTATCATTAATTTCGTCGTCTCACAAACTATGCGAAATTTCATTACCTTGACCAAGAGAGGTCCCATCAGCTGGGTTGTATCGCCAAACACCTAGGGAAGGTTGTGAGGGGCAGGAGCCTGAACGCACGCGAACACTAACCTTGAAGGCTCCTCCAATCCAGAATAAGTTACCGAGTGTATCATTCAAGGCCCATGCTAGGCTAGGTTGCTTTAGTCCGTCAGCTTTGCGCCATCGCTCCAGTAGAGATGCTCTATGCTGAGAATAACGGGTGCCTTTAGGCAGGGACCGTAATACCCATGTCAAACGTCGAATTAGACTTGGATGAATATCTCCGCAGGCTATACCCTTGTTCCAAGCGTTTGCTTCTTCTACTCTACGAGCCCAAGCGGCATCCAAACGGTCGGATATGTTACCAGACAGCCGGGAGTCGTCCATCTTCCACAGATCGGAAGCCTGGAGCGTACGTTGATACCCGAGTACCTTATGCATGGGTCAGCGAACGTATCAACATAATACATGACTTGAAGTGTTGCAAACCATGATATCTGTGATCCATGTGTATGTAAGTTGTGCCAAAATCGACGCGTCGGTGAGCGGGATGATCTGGGCACTGTTTTAGACGGCGACAGTAATTTTACGTGAAAACTCACGGGCGCGTCGTTCAGCGACGTGCGCGGAGGCGGAGGAGGAAGTCGAGGAATCCTGTGCACGCCGATCAGTAAGCAACGTATACCAACTTCAAGCACACTATGAACTTACCATAACTGCCACCAATGGTGGCGAAGTCTGACACGCTGTATACCAGTGTCTAGCTGAACATTACGGGGCGCATCGTTTTCCTTCGAGCCGCTGAGACTTGTCTTTTCTGAAAGCGATGACCTGCTGTTAGCAGCGGATTCTTGTTCGCCCATCGTGTGGGGGACCCGTGGAGGGGGGAACGCCCCGGTGGAATTCTAATTTAAACATAACTTTTGATGACCCGTAGAGAGAAACGGTGTCCGCAAATATTCTATGGTTAGAAAAATCATCAATTGGTCGTGGTGGGCAAACGAAACCGAGTGGCCAGTTACGTCAATTCTGCCAAGTCCCAGTAGAAAGGAGATAAGCCGTATATGGATGTTTGGTTCACAGTGGAGACCAAACAAGATTGATGAGAGATTCAGCCGCTCACACCTCCTCATGCACTCCGGGCACCGAATGCGTCCAGTTTGTCGAGATCCATATCGTAGGATTCTGCGTCGTAGCCATGGGTTCGGCTTGAATCCATACCCATGAGTCTTACAGCATCGCGAACCGGGGAAGACCAAACTTACCACAGCAAACTCAGCTTATTCCCAAGGCTCATTCCGCGAGATTCCCCATCACCGGAAGTGTGGTAACACCTGATCCAAGGTGGGAAGCCAGTGGTGTGGAATTTCGTATGTCGCATTTTTTGGAACCTACCACTGTTTTGCTAATTGAATGGATCCATAGCCGTACAGGCTGCACGCCATAAAGGCATCATACACGTTTAAACGTTCCAGAAACGTTCTTCGATTCACAAACATGACAGGCGCAACCGCAACTATGGTGGTCAAAGCTACCCCTGCTGATCGTGCACTATTCGCAACGACGGCGCGACTTATATCGTGTCTTGTAACCGAATCGGTCGTCCGTGCTTTGTATTACACTCTGGATGGGTTCGAAGCCAGTGGTGTCGCGGTTGTTCTGTGTAACGCAATGTCTACGATCGACGTGAACTACGGATCCAACGACATCCTTTGTGTCATTCCGCTTCAGCACGTCCCAGTCTTCAAACACGATGGCGCCGATCCTAGGGCCCCCGAGATCGGATTGCTCGATCCCCTAGACATGCTGCCACTGGTATTCGAGCCAATCGAGGCCACCGAGGCTTCGAATGCAGCGGAGGTACGCGTTCTAGCCCTTGGCGATGACGGCATTGCTAACCCCAACTCAGCACACTGATTTATGTGCCGCCATTATTAAAGCCTTACCTTCCCCTGGTTGGGCTCTTCCAAAATCTTTCAAACTCGTAGAATTCAAAGGACCTCTGTCGATCTGGCATCGATACGCTGCAAACGCCCGAATTGCAACCGATCTCTCTGAAAGCATAGCAGAGGAGTTCGAAAGTGCAGTGAAATGGCAGAGTACGTGTTCGTACCCTTCCAGGCTGACCTTGCCTAACAAATATTCAATAGCGTATTCGTACGAACATCCCCCGGCTGCTGCTCTGTTCTCCTCCCCGAGTATTGACTGGGAGCAGTCCATCGTAGAAGGACACCCTACGCATCCCGTTCGTTGCATTGTGTTATTTTTATTTTGTGTTTAGTCCTGAAACACACGCTCAGATGCATAAAACGCGCCGCTTCTTGCCCCCGATAACCGATTTCCAGCCTGGTGAATACGACTTGTATCACCCGAAGTTGCGATTTGTGGCCTTGCCAAAAGACGACCTCAAAATCACCCACGACTTTGAGGGCCTAACGGCACCCGTCCGTGAGGCAGCGTCTGCGAATGCAAACAAACCGTTGGTTGTCCCTGAAGGGTTCCTCGCCATTCCAGTCCACGAGTTACAGGTCGCGCACATTCAAGACAAGTTCAAAGATGCGGTGATCTATCCCCCTGAGTTTTACGTGTCTGCCCTCGCCCAACAAAGTATTCGGTGCGTTGTATCATCTTCAGAACGACCTATTTTCTAATTTGACTACTTCAAGGTCGGTCATCGTTCCTGAGGCGTACAAGGAGTTGTCGCTGAAGCTTGGAGTGGGCATCAAGCTTACTTCGGCTGTGCGGACGATTTCGCCGGCTTCAGCATATCTTGGCCCCCGTTTCTCAGAGCAAGTCGTACCAGCGCTGACTATGGATTGGAACATTGTCACTGTCGCCAAAGAGCTGGCTAGCGTTGTTCATGCCCATCCAGATGGAGAAATAGCCAAACACTGCTCTGCCATCGTTCGGCAATGCTACGAGAACACCAGCGAAGAGCGAAACGAACGACTCATTGTTTGCACCTCCCTGGTGGAGAGCGGCCATGCAGGATCTGATGGAGATGTTCCCGCTGTAATCCGCATCTTCGACTTAGACACCGAAGACAAGAGAGCCGACTGGTTGGACAAGTACGTTCCGATTCTTGGGCGAACCGCGCATTTCTGATGAATCCCTCTTTGATAGATTTGTCAAACTTTTCTTCGAGGCTTTCCTTCCTTCTGTCATTCATGACGGCGTAGCGTTTGAATGCCATCCCCAGAACTGTGTGGCTAGGTTTGATTTGGACACCAAAGAACTGCGCGGGTTCATCATTCGTGACTTCGGCGGCCTTCGTATTCATCCAGAGACCCTCAAGGCATCTACTGGCGTCGACGTGGATTTCGTGGAGGGGCACTCGATCATCGCAGAGGACCTCGACGACGTCTATACTCGGATGTACCACACTGTCATCCACAACCACCTCCAGCAGCTCATCCGCGTGCTTGGTCTCCACTACAACGGCCGTGGTTGGCGGATTGTACGGAAACACCTGCATGCGATCATCCCGCATGATCATGGTCTTTACGTATCCTGGCTTTCACCAGAGAACAAAACGTTCCCCGGCAAGTGCTTCATGAGAATGCGGATGCAGGGGATGTATCGATTCGTGAGTTTGCAAATGTCGCTATTGAATCAAAATGCTAAATGTTCTTCCTGCACAGCACTTACATGGGCCCTTCCCTAATCTAATTCACTACCGAGGGGTCTCCATGGAGGACGATCCAATAGATGCTTAACATGATCGATGTCGTTAGAAATATGTCAAATTAAACTATATGTAACCTTTGTTTCGTTCTGCCTTCTGCATACAGTGATTCGGATTTTGTATGAGCCCGTTGGGTTGGAAGCGTTACTCTTTCTAATCTCAGCTGGCATCCACAAATTGAAATATGGCATCATCATTGTGTAGCTAATGGGCGGTAGTTGAGCTTATGAGAATAGCCCCAGCTCCACGGATAATCCCAAACCAAAAGAGGTTCCCACTAATGGGATTATTTGCTTGTTTCTTCGAATTGCAGCCTTTCCGCCGCTTCCCACAGGCGTCTGGTCTCCGTGAGTGCCAGCGATTTTCTCCATGCATCTAAACCAATTCCTCACACAGCCGTACGACGCCTTCGCGCTGAGGAGCGGGTTGCCTCTACCCTATTTAGCATTACGTGTATTCAGGCCGAAGACGTGTCGCATGTCTCGCGACTTGTGTGTGCTGGGTTTCCATCAGACATATTCTGCAGCTTCTGTAGCGGGAGGAAGGGTGACTTCTCCGTTATCTTATCCGATAAGATCTCGGTAATATGGTGATTCACAAGCTTTTATCTTATCAGATAGGCACTGTCTGGCCTGCCGGACTTCGGGTTAAACAACACTGCGATCCCGAGCTCGAGGCCACCAACTTTGTGTTTGCTTCCATCGGATTTCTGATCCTAGCTCTCTCGGGGACTCATCAAGCACGTTGGCGTTTGCCACGACGTGCATATGGGAACACGCAACGAATCATGTTCCAAAGGACGACCACGAGTGCACAAGTGACTCATTCATATGCGTTGCTGCTCTGAGGGGAACCCCCCGGATTGTTGTTCCTGGATCTCTATTGCGCCATGGATTGGAGTGGTAGACCCGCTGCGCAAATCTTGCGGGCCGATGAGAACGCCTGGAATGTCCTGCGACCAGGGCTGTCTTCACTTAAAGAACCGTGTCGTCCTCATATTTTATTCACCACGGCCCCAGTATGCTTGGCAGTCCAATGGGAGTGTCTTTAACGTGCAATTTCTGCCCCAATTGATGCATAAACCCGATAATCATGTCACCACGTAGCTGACGATTTAGTAGGTGAGCTCAAATCGGTTGAGATCCCAATCTCATGTGAGAGACTGATATCCCCCATGTTCGTTAACCATATCTTTAGAAGTCCCCCCGTTCAGCCATCCAATTGCTGTTAGCCTCCTGTGAGATTGTTGCCATCACCGGCATTCCGACTATCGCTTGTTGGGGTTTCTTCTCCACGAATTTGTTAGTTGAAGAACGAACGAGTTTTGGTCGGCAAAGGGGCGTTGATGTCTTAATTGAAACTAGCCGTAAGTCAGCCTCTCTTCTGTTCGATCCTTGTACACGCACGGTGGCTCCTTATTCGTCATACAGGATCTCCCCATTCAGCCGCCCAACGTTTAAATACGGCTCCTTTCTTTCCAATATCTTTATTCACCTGTTCGCTCAATGTCCTCTGGCTACTCTCTACCGCCCGCTGAGCACGCAGCATTCGCTGTGACCTCGCGCCTCCTATCATGCCTCGTCACCGAAGGCCTCCTTCGAGCATTCTATGTGCCCATCGACTCTGATGCAGCCTCCGGTGCACTTGTCGTGCTATCCACGCACCTCATGTCAGAGCACCCGGTCATCGATCGAGCTCTACGGCCAAGAGATGTGTTCGCCATTGTCCCTGTGCGGCATGCCCCTATGACGAAGGGGTCTACACACAAACAGGGGCAAGCAGTTGGCCTGGTCGACCCGTTGGACATGCTCCCGCAAGTCTACGAGCTATCAGAAGTAGCCCCCACCGACGACAAAAATGTTGGTCTTTTCTTGCACATTACACTATCCTAATTAACCCTTACATTAGGACGCCTTGAAGAGCGCAATATTATCCCGCTTGACGCCTCCTCCTTGGGAATTTGGTCGCTACACGTCCCTTTCTGACGCACTCGAGCCTGTGCGCCTGTGGAATAAGTTCGTCGAAGGACTTCTACTGGACCAAACGCTTCGTGAGACAATCGAGAAGGAGCTCAGAAGCTCACTGAATTGGCAACGTAATCACCTCTACTAGTGTCGATGGCGCAATGAGACTGACGCATCTGCAGGCGAAGCCTTCGAACACCCTCCGCGATGCCCTTCTTTGAGTTCCCCTGCCATCGAGTGGGAACAAAGCCTTGTGGCAGGGCATCCCACCCACCCTGTAGGTACCATCGATCCTTCCAAACTGGTAGATCTCAACGTTTCCGGTAGATGCACCGTGCCCGATCGATGGCTTCCGTTCCATCTAGCTACGATTGGTACCATCCACGCATACGGTTTGCTTGCGTTCCGCGCTCGAAGCTCCACATTTCCGGCGACTTTGAACAGAAAATGCGAGGCCTGGTAGAGAGCACTGCCGCGAAAGTTGGAAAATCACTACCTACCGATGCCGACATCGTCTTTGTGCCTGTGCACGAACAACAAATTTCGAACATTCTTCAGAAGTTTGACGACGTATCAATCCTTGACTCGGAAATTAGCGTGGGGGCACTTGCGCAGTCAAGCATCAGGTCAGCCACGCGTTTAAGAAGCCTTCGGCCTTTAATGTATCTTAACATTTGCGTCACAGGACCGTCATCGTCCCGGACATGCCTGGTGTTGCCTTCAAGTTGGCAGTGGGGGTCAAGATATCCTCCTCGCTGCGAACCATCTCCCACTTCACTGCTGACTTTGGACCGCGATTCTCCGAGCAAATTGTTCCAAAATTAGTGATCAACCCCGATATCCTGAAGGTTGAGCTTGAGCCAGCGAGCGCCGTCTACCGCGGAGATCCAGACACCGTAAAACACCTGACCGCTGTCCTCAGAGAAGAATATCATCCGCGCGAGGGAGAGTGCCTTATCGTTTGTGCAGCGTTATTAGAAATGGGGCACGAAGGACTCCAGCCCGGTGTATCAGCCATCGAGCATATCCTGAACTTGGACACTCCAGACAAAAAGGCCGCATTCCTCGACCGATACATACGTCTTGCTTGCGAAGCGCTCATCCCGCCGCTGCTTTACAACGGCGTCTCCTTCGAAGCACATGCACAAAACGTCCTTGCACGCTTCGACACCACTTCCGGAGAATTGCTGGGTTTCGTAGTCCGAGACCTCGGCGGCCTTCGCATCCACGCGCCTACTTTGCGTGAATCCACTGGCACGGATTTCCAGTTCCTCCCGGGTCACTGCATCGAGACAGCAACCTTGGAAGAAACTTATCCGAAGTTCTACCACACATTGTTCCACAATCATCTACAGCGCCTCATCCGAATCCTCGGCATGCACCACAATGGACTCGGCTGGGAGATGCTTCGGACGCACCTGCAGAACGTGATACCCGTCGACCACCCGTTGCGCAAGGCCTGGCTGGCTCCAGAAAATGCCTCGTCCCCGGAAAGTGTTTGTTGAGAATGCGACTGCAGGGTGTTTACCGAGACGTACGCCGTGACAGACTCCTTGCCTTGCTTGTTTCGTGGCTAACATTCCCTTTAGATGGTCTTCAACCCGTTCCCGAACCTGATTCAGTACAGCCCCGAGAGAGCTTAATGAACGCTTGTTCCTATAACGTGTATATATTTATCGCAATATCCATTTGTATCGGAACGCTGGCGGAATTCTTGAGAGTTGATAAGATTAGATTAGATACCCCATGCAAGATATTGCACCTACACTGCATGACCTGTCTTGACGACGTCCAAGGCACTGCAGCGACAGCGGGCGCTGCTTTTATAGGTCATGGATCAGTAGAGCAAGGACTACATCCCACGTATCTCTCCCACCAAGGAAATGTCTAAAGAGTTGCTTGGAACTCTCATCATCGTCGTGTTGAAGGCGAAGAACCTCCCAGATCCGCACTCGTTCTACAAATCCGATGTCTACACGCAGGTGTCGCTAAACAATGAAAGCAAGTCCACTCCGGTGGACGTCAAGGGCGGACAACACCCTGTGTGGGATGCAGAGCTTCGGTTCCCTGTCATGAAGGACAGTGCCGCAAAGTTTCGGGAACTCAAGGTATCATGCTGGTCGAAGGAGCCTCGAACTGATGAAAAGCTCGGGGAGGGAAAGATTGACATTACTGAGACTCTGAAGACAGGCGAATTCGATGGTGAGCATCTTCCAGACTTGGGAGACAGATGCTGATTGCAGAATCTTGTAGATTGGATCAGTCTGTCAACCCCAGAGGCAGGTGTGAGAGGAGATGTGTATCTAGAAATGACCTTCTACGCCGCTGCCCCGATGCCTGCCACATCAAACCGTCTTTCTGCGGCACCGGGTGCACAGCTCCTTCGTCGGCCGTCCAAGCTCTCGCAGGCGGACCGGCTTTCGCGTCCTGCTACCAAACCTTCCCCCTTATCTACCAACGGATCCCAATTCACTCAACCAGATAATCGAATTCGCCGAGAGCTGTCTCCGCTGCGTAATAATCAGCTTGCTTCTGGCCATGTCTCACCTCCGCATCCGAGATCAACTTCTGTGTCACTACAGCGTTTGAATGCGCCTCTGCCGGAGGAGCCGGATCGCATGCAATCCCCGCCCATCCCATCGACTCTTCTTCCGGGGGCTGGGAGAGCGAAGCCAACACCTCAACCCGTTCAGCCTGCCCAGCTTCCGACGGGTGCCCTTCCCGCGATCCTCAGACCAGGTAATCCCAATGCTCCCGCTCGCACCCCTGTGCCGACAGCGGCTCCCCAAGAGCACGCCGTACAACCATCCCATAACTCTGGTCAGCCTTCGTCATATTACCACCATCCACCGCCCGAGCAGCCCGCACACCCCGTACAGCCATCCCACAACCCTGGACCACCTTCGACGCAATACGCTCCTCCCATCGAACCCCAGAGACAGGTCAGCTATGGCCAGGTGACCGGCAACCCTTATGCAGAGCCTCATATAAGGCCTCAGAGCCAACACGCCAACGCTGGATACGGATCACCGCCTGTCCATGCCGCCACCACGCCTGTACCACAAGCCGTCCCAGAGTTGTGGAGAACGTATGATGCCTCAGCTCCCTTATCGTTTCCCGTCCCAGCCGTTTCCCCCGTGCGAGAGAGCTATCTGCATCACTCGCCCCCTGCGTCGCACACGCTTGGTCCCAGATCGCCAGGGCCTACATTTACTCCTACTCACAGTTGGGGACGAGAGCCACGCGACATCCAGGACATACACCGTCAGACACGATATCAGTCCCCCCTTCCGCTCCCTCCATCAGCAACGACCGTTGGATCTAGCCCACCGCCTGCCCAAATAGTGCAACCAGCGGCACCGGCACCGGCGCCAGCGCCAGCACCAGCAAGACGGTCTTCAACAGACGCGGCGCTGCTGGAAGCCCATCGTAAGGCCGAAAGAGAGGCAGCTCAGCGGAAAGAGCAAGAAGACAAAGACTTAGAACTTGCCCGCCAGTTGGATAGAGAGTTGAATCTATAGTGATTGATACAGTAGTGATTTAGTGCAGGCTACATGTAATTCGTTGTCCATAGTCCGTCGTATGTCGTCATGATGTGCTCTATACGTGTCTTGTATTCCTCGTTCTAGAAGAGAGCTCGTGGTCGGCGTAAGCAGCTGTGAGCTCTCCTTTGCGGACGCCCTTTGACATCCTCAAATCATAGAAGAACGTCAGGAGGTAGAAGGTGAACCCGAATGCAATAGTCCATTCCAAGACGCCTTTGAAATGGGATTCAGAATTGTGCGTTTTAAATATTGATGGAAAATTTCACCTCCAACGTTGGTGCTTTTGAACAGTGCAATCCCAAAGGCTATTGCAAGCACTATAAGAATGCTAGCTATAGCGGCTTTGACGACGTAGGCTTTTTTCAGTGATCTGACGAAAACAAAGTCTTTACTGATCCATCGGTACTGTCGAACAGGTCAATCAGCCAGCCCACTATGTAACAAAGAACAAAGATGGGGCGAACCTCCACGACGGTAAAAATGGCGCTCAACACCACGCCAACCATAAAGACGAGAAGGAATATTCTGTGGAGACTCGTGTGGCGTTTTGTGTCAAAAACAGACAGCAATATCAGTCCACATCCGCCCATAAACGAACTGAGTATCGCAAGAATGCTAAAGGCGCGTTCCCTTTTCCGCATTATTGGAATCAATCTATCGTCAAAGGAGGTTAACGTTTTGATCCCTTATGAAGAGCTGTACGTGCCGTCCTGAATGTCGCAGCCATCTCTCCATAACTAGTGATGCAAAAAAGCATACAGCCGTTACTGAACACCCTGCGACGAACAATGGCTTGAGAATATCGGCACCGACGTCGGATATGTACGCTATTGAGCCGTCTTGTGACACATATCTGGGACGCCCTTGCGCCAGCCATGTTATCAGCATCGACAACAGCGTGCCTTTTTTGGGAAAAAAATCAGCAAGTTGAATACGAAGATCCAAGATATCTCACCAAACCAGATAAAAGCACCAAAGAGGGGAATCCAAACATATAGCCAATGAAAGTATCGTGAAGCAGGCGTCATCTAACAGGAATGAAAGCTACCCAAAGGTGCCAAATAATGTCGTGTGCGTTCGGCGGGTGCTTGAAGCGATTTATATACGATCGTGTGCACACCGCAGCACACGGTTTATAAGAACACAGGAAAAGGAGTGGAGGCTGCATGGCTTCTGGCTTGCGCAGACATGACGTACTTGGCGGAGACTGCGAGAAGCCAAGTCTTCTAATTTTATGTCAGAGTATCGTTGTCAGCACGCCCGGTTGTCGATAGGCGCCCATCTCCGGGCTGGGCACGTCGAGGTCGGAACTACATAACGTTCCTCCTAGTACCTTTCTGTCAGTGCCTTCACAAAATCAAGGGGGCCGAAAAGACACCGGAAGACCTACCTAGAGCCAGGTTTTACGAGTAGGACTAAGCTAGACCCTGTGCATGCAGTCGCGGGAGTTCCAGAGGATCGAGTTGTTCTCAGAAGGAGGATTGTGGGGTAGACGTCGGTGTCAGGCGGCCGTCAGCATGTCCAAATGCAAAATTCGAGATTGGAGGCCTAGGTTAGAGAGGGCGTAAAACCCTTAGGAAACTACAATGTTACAAGCAAGCTACGTATCTAGCTTGCACTGTGAAATACAAACGATCATGAACTCGAAAAATCAAACGGTGATCACAAAAAGGTAAAGAAGAATCAAACATTCAGAACGAAGAAGAAGAATGATCGATAAGCGCTTAAGCGCCCGAGTCAACCTATGATCGCAACCGTCACGTCGCAGACTCCAATGTATGGCGCCTTTTCCGCAAATAACGAACAATTGGGCGGTAGCTCAGAGCTGCAACAGACCAAAGGGCTAACCAGTTGGGGCAATCGTGACTACGACTCAGGCGATAATTCATCCATCAATTAACGCACGCATTGCACACTCATAGGGGAAAATATGGAGCTAAGAGCATTCAGTTCAGCTCTAAGCTAGCCTGGTCGATGGAGGTTCCCGCGTCAAGGTCATTCACTATTTAGCGTGGGTTCAGAGAAGCTTCATCATAGTGGACAGGAAACATACGCATCAACGCGCGAGTTCTCAAACGGACAAATAGTGTACTATACCCAAGCGTATGTTTGGTTTAGTTCACCCACTCGTTCATGGCGCGACATGACAATGGCCTTCGCCTACTCCTGTATTGGTGACCACTAATGAGCGTCTGTCGATCCCGCTTGAGCCTCCATGGTATGGTTTATAGATTCAAATGCCTGCTCAATGTCGTTCTTATAATAGGTACCCTCCCTACGTAATTGAAGTCACCGACATACAAGGCCATGCACTATCCCGTGCGCGCACTAGTATCAGTCTTGAAGTCGAACTTACTGACAACGCGCTTTCACAGACTATCTTATTAATGAATAGTATATAATTGCCGTGGTACGATGACATGCAAACCAGACAATCCGGGTCTCCTTCCTATCCCTCGAAAGCAATGTTGCTCTCAAGAGGATTTGTGGCCTTTATCAGCGTGTCGTTCGCCATTATTGGTGCCGACGCCGCCAATGACTGGACCAAGCCCTGTTTCGACGGCGAGTGCGCTTATGATCTTCCCGAGAGCTCTGGAGGGTCTGGTATCATGAAGCTAGTACGTACAGTGCATTTACAACATGTCTTGGTCCACGAGTGGTATTGATTACTATTGTTTTTTATTTACAGTTTGGTTCGACGAAGTCCATCAGCGACATAACTCCTGCTGCTGGATGGGTCATCCTGGATTGCGACCCGAATCTACTCGACCAGGAAATCCGCCTCGTCTGCGAAACCGACGATGAAGACTCGGGATGCAACCACGTATTTGACCACCATGGCCCCGTTGGCAAGATTGTGCGACTTCCAGAGAGCGTAAGATATTGCCGCCAGTCGTATTCCTGATGTCTGCTAACAAAGACCTACACCAGTGCGGCGGGGGACCATTCCTGAGGATAGCAAGCATGGCAGTAGCTGAAGACCAAACACTTCCGTCCCATGCACAAGGGAGAATCAGCCGTCGAGGGGGCGCTGCTGCTCAAGTCCACGTCGTCAAACTCGATGGTAACTTCGCCGCCATCGACGCCGAAAAGTAAGCATACTCTTGACTACCCCCATGTACCGCCCTCCTGATCGCCCCTGTTGCCAAAGAGCGGGGGACATCAAGTTCGCTTTCGTCGGCGTGAGTTCTTCTGCTGATGAGTGCGACATTAGTTGGGCGAATATTAATGTTCTATTCAGGCAACGGTTCCGGGCCTTGATCTGAATGCAGCATTCAATGACAACATCTTTGGCGACGTTGGTAACTGGGTAAAAGGGGCTGTCCAAACTGTCGCCCAAACCGCCACTGGCGCTGTAAAGGCCGTCGGAAACTGGGCGGGCCAAGCCCTCAAAGACTTCAGCGACCTCCTCAAAAGTATGTTTCTTGCAGTACAAACTACCGCCCCTCATGTCTCTCCCCCCCGATATTTCCTTAAGATAAAACACACTTCGAGATCAAACCGACCGTCGAGAGCGCCAACATCTCTCTCAAGGCCGACGTCGACCTCTCAGCTGGGACTCCCCCCACAACGTGCCCCGGCGGGAAACAGGCGAAGGTCAACGTCCAATTCCACAACACAGGGTCCGTTGTGGTCAAAGCTGGGATCGTGATCATCGGAAACGTGGTTCCGGTTCCCAATATTACTGAATTTGCCGCCTTCGGAGGTGAGCCGTAGCAATGATGTCTTCCGTCACTCTGAGCCATTGTAACTCTTTTATAGGTATCAACGGAGACTTCGATGCTCATTTGCATGTCGACCTTGCTATTTCTGTGCGACGAGCGGCACTTGCCTGATAGTATTTCTACTAACGTGCGCCGTAAACCAGGGGGGGTTCACGTTCGAAAAAAATATCATCAAAGAACTGGGTATCCCAGGATTGAGCATTCCTCCGTATGTGCCTGTTTTGGGCACACATACCTCTGCTCACCGGTATATATTGCAGATTGGTCACCGTTGGTCCCTACATTTCGTTGGATGCTAAAGCCCAAGGCCACCTCGCCCTCGACTTGACGGCGGACGTCCATCTTGCCTATGAATTCAAGGATCTAGAGATGTGGTATCCCAAGAAAGAGGCCAAGTATATGAAGGAGGATGGCATCAAGAGCAAGGACAGCGGTAAGCGCGTCAATATCACCACCTTGTTCGTGGCTATTGATGTGACTACTGCTACAGATCTTAACTTACAAGCCTCCGCCCATCTGAGCGCCGAAGGGTTTGTTCAAGGAACGCTCACGCCTAAACTCCATCTCGGTATCACTGCTATCAATGGTGCCGCCCATGCAAGTATCTGGGTCGGGGTCGATGCCTGGGTACGGGCATCTGTCGTCGCTAAGGCCGATGCAGCAGTAGGACATAAGAGGGATGTCCAAGGCCTTGACTACGTCCCGCCGTATTCTCATGGGATGAGAGATCTTGTTGGGAGGAACTCGATTTCCGCCGCCGTCTGTTTGTGGATCGACGGCGGCTTGCATGTGAGGGGCGGCGCAGAAGGTGGCCTTCTGTCATGGAATGCGCCTGCCGGTGAGCTCTCGCTATGGGAAAGCCCAGCTTGGGAAATATACCACGTACGTCCAACTTCCAATTTGGCTACCATGCAGGGAGGCTATAGTAACTGACGACTTGGCCATGCTAGTTCTGCGCACCAAAAACCGCTGGGTTCTCCAAGCCCAAGCACACACTTGCGGAAGTAAATGCTTTGTCAGGCGGCATTCGAACGTGTTTAACTGACCAAGAGTTGGGGTCGCCCATCAAAGAGAAAGTTCCTGCCAAACCGTAAGTGCTAGAGTTTATTTCTACAATTCCTCGCTCACCCATGAATTCAGTATGCCAAAGCCATAGATCTTATCCGTGTACTTACGTTGGATGCAGTCGCTGTGTCACTAGTTTCCTAATACGAAGCTCTCCCTTACAGTGACCAGCACCATGGCATAAACATCCCCGCGGAATATAAACTCGTTGCCTGTTACACTGAGGAAATGGTGGGGATGTATACATTATTGAGTCTTCGTTAGAATCATGCAGAAAAATAAGTGAGATCAGACACCAAGACTTGCAGGATTTCAAGCGTGCTCCTACAAAGAATCCCAGAATTCCCTTGTAGTACCCCAAGAAACACTAGGTTCTCTTCCAACTGAATCGAGGATTCCTCAAGTGCAAACCCGAAGAGATAAACAACTCTCACAACACTATCGATTGACTTTAGAACTTCCCCGCTAAGCGTCAGCACAGATGCCGCATGAATTGGGGAGGCACATAGAAGTAGGCAATGATCGGTGTGATTGACACGGTGAGTTCCATTGAGGCTCCACAGCTTTTCGTATTGACATGGGATGGAAACAAAGCCTCGCGAAGCCCGAAGAAGAGAGACTGCCTTAGCCAATGATGGAGTGCATTTCTGTGCAAGGTAATGCTTGGCGTACTTCGTTGGTATGAAGAGCCGCGTACAGCATTAGCGATGAGACTATTTAGGAGGCAGTAACCGCGATGTATCGGAGAGCGTAAAAAGTCCAGTGTATTCGGGCGAACGGCTCTAAAACAGTAGGTGCAAAGAGATGGTGCAGCAGTCAATGGGAGCCACTGGTGTGGGGACTCACGCGCACGCGTTATGACGCTAAGAATCTCACAGTAGATTCCTATCTCATCCGCGGCATCACGAACGAATAGACGATAGTCGGCACCGTGGCCAATGGTTACTGTGTGAGCCAATCGCCGTGAAACGTTGGGAGTAGCCATGGCTTGGCGGTCTGCCGCTTGCAGGAGCAGAGCAACAATGCAGGTCACCCGAAGCCACACATGACCGACTCCATCCCAATAATAAGCCTTGCATTATAAACTATTCAAACGCTAACGTCAGCGCGATGCTCAGCCTGTGAGTGAACGGACGCATAAGTTAATTGATCATTGCATCTGGTGTCCGAATTCCGCTCCTTCAACGCACCTCTCCAGTTCTCTCCACTCGCTTGTCGGCACGCCCGATCTCCCATTGTCGAGCGCAACCGCAACTTTTCTCCCATGCCAGGATGGGCTGGAAATAGCGGCCCTCCGCGTATCAAGTGATCGTGGCATGTTATGTGAACCAATCTGAACATTTCCTGTATCGGCGGCGAATTTTGGCATTTCGGTAGGCGGCACAGTGCGTATGGTCTTTGGCCTTCGCACAACCTGGACAACTACGTCCCAGAAGACGAAGTGCGCGTATGTAGCCGATAATCGATGAGTGCCTGGTGTCAATTGAATAGGCGACCCTCAAGCAAGCCTTTGCCCCGGGATAAAGATTTTTAACTCCCACTGTCAAGACGCAACTTCGGTTCTCCATTGCGCTGGTTCGGAGTCTCACCACCTACATCCACAAAATTCATATCATTCCCAAGAAAAGTGGTTCAAGGAATTACTCACTCGCGTTCCTTGATCGAAGAAGCACAGAGGACCGGTACCCAGAACGATCATCCGAACCCACAGTTGAGCAAACAGGAACCGGTGTGTGTGTAAGTGGTGTCGGCCACATGTGCGTAGCGCTTGCGATCCAAAACAGACGGGCCGTGCATATTAGAAACAGATTAGAATAACAACGGATAAGAAGTGCATACGTACGTGGGTCCTCTCAATCCAGCAAGTTCTACAGCTATGTCAAATGAAGCAGAGTGGTCTCAGGGACTACAATCCCCACAGCTTAGTGTGAGCGTATTGCACGAATGCGTACATGGACGTACAGCGCGACGTCAGCGGAGATCCTTAACAATTGAGCCGCTTGTGCTGCCCATGAGTACCGGGACTATTGTATGTGATGCAGTGATATCTTCCGACTTTCTACCCTATGGTCGAGTACACCGTCCATGTGCTACCATGGAGTCCCTGTCACATTGTCAGAGGGTATATAAACGGGCGGGGTCCAGCGCACCAGATATAATGCTACAACCCCCAACATGGCCTCGCATAATGGCGCCCAGATAGCAGAAATCATTACTCGGTTCTTGTTCTGGATCACCCTCCGTGAATAACATAGCTCAACCCACTGACGATGACATGAACATCAGCCATTCTTGCGACATCATCATTCGGTCTTCGGCCGACATTCACGGGTCTCAGGCCCCCAGGGTCAACATAATAAGGCTAATTTGCAGAATAGAAGAAACAGAGGTAAGGAATGTAATGTGAGGAGATAGAACGTAGAACGAAGGGGAGATATGACGGAACGATGCATCCTGATGTATAAAGCAAAGTTGGCAAGAATCGACAGATGAACGAGACGAAGAGTAAAGGGTATGCCCTAGTTGGAGATCCTCATCAACCTACAAACGATAATGAATGGGTCCACCGATTGACTTCAGCAGCATTGCGTGGTCGTATGGAGCTGTGGCATGAAAGGGGACGAGCCCCGACTCGAACTTGCTCCGCTGGCAAGTTTCTTAAAAATCTGCACCGAGTATGAGATAGTCACACGATGGAGTACAAATGGAGAATCTACCTCGATAAAGACGCTTGCTGACTGTCCGCCCTTGAGAACCCACCTTCCATCGATGACATACACAGGAACTCCTGTGATACCTTTGGCTTTGGCTTCCTCGGTCATTTTCAAGACTTCGTCTTCGTGGAGGTTTGATTGTAAGAACTCAATGGCCTGCATGGATAGCACAGAAATAAGTCATGAATGTCGTCGGGTGGGTGAGCTTGCCTGGACACACCTCGCCTTTAGTCATCACACCCACTTCCTCGGATATGTCAGCCAAAAGGTTGATATCCCCGATATCTTTCTTCTCCTCGAAGTAGGCCTTGAAAAGTGCTGTCAATAGCGGGAGTTGCAAGGCCTGTCCTCCGATGTTGAATGCTTTGAGGCTAAGGCGATGCGCCCAGATTGTCTGGCTCATGGGGCCATTGAAGGAGCTGCGGTAGACACGGGATGAACGGTCTGAAAATAAAAATTCTATATCTGTTCGACTCACATAGGGACACCTGATTCTTTCGTCCACTTGTCTATGGCGCTTTCTGTGGCCTCAAACTTCTCCTTCCCCATCTTGTTCATATAGAAAGTTGTTCTATCGATGCCGGGGGAAAATTCCTTCAAGCAGTTAATGAGCCGAAATGGGCGATATTCGACTTCGACGGTCAACGGCAGGTTTAGCGAGTCCTTGCAGTATGATATGGCCTGCAGCAGCTCGATGTGTCCTATGTAGCAGAAGTGGCATGCCTACGGGATGATCAGACAAAAAGCAACCCGACATTTGACTTGTAACGCACGAAATCATTGACAACGAATATCTTGACCGCTCTGTTGGCCATTTCGCTCGATATTGGGGGCAGAAGATGAACAGAGGTCCGTGGTGGAGGTTGATATGGTGGCTGGGTGATGCAGGGGGCAAGTAAATGGACTGCGTCGTGGCGAACGAGTTAAAAGGCGGATAGGAGAGTGCGTTATGAGTGCAGAGCAGTTCTGATCATGGATGTTCCAAGCTTAGTGATATAACGGACTTGTGAGCGGCATGGCGTTGAGTTGGTGTCTTAGCCAATCCGGTGTGTGTCAAATGCTAAGATTGGACACACGTGACACACCACCCGGCCCTGTGATCACCGCTGCTTTGTAAACGCTCGGTGCCACCGCTTGGCTTGCTCATTGATGTCGGCGACGTTCTCGAGGGCTCGGAGCACTCTAATATACGTACACTTTATGCGGCTATCAAATACCGGCTTCCCCGTTCATCTCTCTTTGCAGAGATCTGCTTTTTTGCTCGAAATAACATTCAGGACCTGTGCAATGGTCAACCCCATGTTCTTGGCTCAGAAAGTTTCTTTGCCGGCTGCTCAGTCATCCTATTAACCGTTGGCCGTGAAGTCGGTCAATAGCTTGTATTGCGCTTGTCTTCTGAATCCACTTGCATCCGGAATTCAAAGGTAGTCATCTTGTCTTCCTCTTCCGAGTCGGCTAAGTAATTGCATAGCAGGCGAGAGATCTAGTTATTAATGCAGTAAGCAGTTGGAACAGCGATATTATTCATCGCAGCGATCGCAGTATATAAGTAAGACGGAACCAACGGCGAGCCTGTGCATTGTACTGACTAAGTTCCTAGCCATGGCTGCGCCTCTTCCCCATCTATTCTTGGGGAGCTGCATTGCCACAGTGCTCGCGCTGCCGCCCTGCTTCATTTGGTGACCTCGGAATTTCTTCGTTGTCAACTCGACAAAATTAACTCGGCGGGCCGCATTTGCCTAACACCGCTCTTGTAGATTGTAGAATAGAGCCAGCCCTTTGCTACATGTTGGATTTAGTAGTGTGAGGAGAGAAATGACACGCGCAAAGTGGCGCGCACCATAAAGTTGAAGTAACGTATCGCAGGTCGGCTCCCAGAGTCCAAGAAACGAGAGGCTTGTATTTGGTCGTTTTTATGATGATGCCATCGAAGCGTGGGGCCACGAGCGTTGCCGCGGAGACTGTCGGTGTAGATGCAGAGTACCCATTATCGATGGGTACAGGAAGCTTGGGCTCGCTAATGGGCCACTGCATGGTAGTCGGCGTACTTCGTGGGCGGCACTTGAGCCCGTCGCTCACGTGTAGTACTTATACTTACAAAAAAAGAAATTACGGCTACGTCCCGAAATAGGAAAGTTTTCAACTTGGCCAGTAATAGACGAACTTGACGCATTAATCCGTAAAGGCACAACCAACGAGTACGACCGACCAACGACGAGTGCATCTCTTCGACCTGTATTTTGTGTGGAACGATTAGCCATAAATGGAGCTTCAGTGAGTAGGTCTTCGTACTTCTTCCATCTAAAACTGTCCGAAGTATCGTCTCCTTGTTGGTAGAAAGCAAGGTAAGTCACCGGGCAGATTACTTCGCATGCACCACGCCGTCTTTTCCAAAGATAACAATATCTTACATATGCGTTTACTATTGGATGAATATTGAAGCTTGAAGCTTAAGGCTTTATGCTAGCTCAGCTATTGAGATCTCGTTCTTGCCCAGATGTGTGGAGAAGTATATGTTCTTGAGGAACACATCGCCAACCTTATCATCGGCGTGAGTAATGCAGACGAAGACCGGGATCATGAACCAGGAAATGACTTACGATCCACCTGCTGTCCGTCGACCCCTGTAGCTCTCCTATTCTTGAGAGGCAGAGCCCGTCGGGGTCATTCTTGTCCACAGGTTTGAAAGGGAGATCGCGCGCGGGGATGGGGAATGTGCGATCGCCAAATGTGAAGGATATGATCACATCTGTGTGACATGGCACGGCCCACGTTCCGTTCTGGTACTGTGCGCCTGGGATCGCCGTGTGGACTTTGGCTATGTCCTGATGTCCTCGTAAGTGACTGGTGAATGATTGGCAATGAGCGGTCAACCAACCTTCCGTGGGCCAAGGATGAATGTCTACCAAAGCAACAAATATCAATGTCGTGTTATGATTGATCTCAACGCTTGATACTCACAGACCCACTGTCGAGCACCGCGCTTCTCGTGCCCCACGTCATCCTGAGCCCGTTGACGACGACGCGCTGTAATGACACCTCCCAGAAACGCTGGGTGCCGATGTTCGGGAGCGTGATGACGGTGGCGGCTTTGTATTTAGCGGGATTCATGGCACCGATAGCGACTTCGCCGTCGTCCAAGTGATCTGCGCGGCGGGGGATTTTATAGGATACGATGGGATCTTTGATGAACCCCTGCTCGTATAGCGTGTCGATGAGTGGAGGGAAGCTACTTTGACCGGGAAGCTGCGGCAGGCAAGTAGGTGAGCCAGAGGTCGCTCTATAGAAGAGAATTGGAAAAAGGAACGAACTAAACGCGCAAGGCCCAGGATGCCGTCGTATAGCGTGCTCTTCCTGGTGATGATCAGACGAGATGCATACAGGGGGGAATCACTACACTCACAGTCCATAGTGCCTGCTTTCTTTGAGGGCAACGGCGAATGTTAGATCCTTGACATCAATGCCAGCGAAATTGACATGGTCGGACACGATGTGCCCTGCAACTGGTCCAGAGCCGTATTTCACGAAGAATGGCGCCCCGGTGTCCTTGAAGGTCGAGCTGCTTTGGGGGCCAATGAGGGTGTGGTTCGACTATTCAAATGATTGCATGGCATCAGCAAGGGAGGCTTATATCAGAAGAGGCACGGAGCTGACACAGTCACCACTGCCGTCGCCCATTACGCATCCTTCACCACCGACCCATAGGTACGAGGACCCAGAGTCCACTAAGAGCCTGAACGGCCGGGGAGGTGTTCCTATAAGCATCGAAGCGACGTCTACATCGCATCGTCCTCAATACCTGCGTCAAGAATAGATGAGATGACCTACAGCCATAATCGTCACCCCTGCGATTTCGATATTTTTTGAGCGACACGTCAGTATGAAGAAAGCGATGGTCACTCACTCGATGTCGAGTCCAAGCGAATGGATTGCATCTGCCGTAGGGGATTGGATCGTCCCTGCTAATTCGCCTCCATTCGCAAACAACGCCTGAAAGTCCAATCAAAACTCTAGTCAGAAAATCCAATCGACTGTATTCAAAGAGAGCATGTCGCTTACGTTAGGCTCATCCAGCTGTGACGAAGGGAGATTGTACGTCTTGGTGAGAGGGATGGCTAGGAATCCCTGGGTCCTTGCCGGTGTCGCCCACGTACTTTCAAGCGATTGCAACCACAAGAAAGCGAGGAATGCCGCTTGCGGTACCGACGCGATGTACATGGTGAGCCACAAAGTCTTTGGAGGACGCGCAAAGAGCTTTGGGGAGGTAGGACCCAAGGGAGGAGACGTTACCGAACGCCTGAGTTGATGGCGTTGGCAAACGGGTTAACTGGAATGCTGCCAGTAAGGAGGTTTTAAGTACTAGGTACTAGGGAGCATGTTGTTGTGCCAGGTCAGCAAGCCTTGGTGGTGGCTGAGGAGAATCGAAGCTAGTACGGCGGTAGCTCGAGGATAAGCCGACGCGGCCGCTTGGTGACAGTCGGCATTCAGACAAGGTGCTTATTGCGTGCGCAGCGCCCAAAAACGCGTCGGTCGGCGACGATAGTGACTGGGTGGCCCTTGGTGTGAAGTGAGAAGATGGTGGTTTGTGTGTAAGAACATGAAACAGCACCACTGTTTAAAATGGTGACCACAACTTCAAAGTACTTCAACAATACTAGATTTGAATAATGCTAGTAAATACATATAGTTTATAATACATTAATTAATGCGGTGAGTGTACAAATGAATGTCGTATTCAGTTATCGTCAATAATGCCCCAAAGTCCAGAGTGTAAAATCGTTTCGAATGAGTCAAGATGTTGCATGGATTGAATCACGCTAACGCAGCAAGGGACATCGAGTTCGTCTTCACATTATGCGAGAAGTATGCACTCTTCAGGAAGACGTCTCCAACCTATGCCAAGTCCAAGCCAAGTCAGTAAACGGAGAAGGAGGCAAGCGAAAAAAGGAACGTACAAGCCACTGGTTGGCACCTCCAATGCTGCCTGAAGTGATACCAGAGAAGCAGTCGCCAGTAGGATCGTTCAAGTTGAGAGGCGCAAACACCAAGTCTCTGGGATCGATAGTGAACTCTCGGCCTCCAAAGGTCAATGCGATAGTCGCGTTGGTCGTGCAGGGAATGATGAACCCCCCTTGGCCGTCTGAGCGCGCACCGGGAATGGCTTGGTGCAGGGCCCTCGCGTCGGCGTCGGGTGCGAGGATCAGGGTGGTGCCGGTGTCGAGGATAGCAGTACGGCGGGTGAGGCGGGTGTCCGCGCCATCGACGGTAATCTTGTCCATGGCGGCTTCCCAGAAGCCCACACGTGAGAGGTTATCGACAGTGACGAGGGTAGAAGGATCGAATTTGGTCTCGTCGAGGCCGCCGAAGGTGATGACGCCGTCGTTCTTCTGGTCGTCGAGGCGGGAAATCTTGTAAGACGTGATGGGGTCTTGAATGAGGCCATTCTGAGCCAGAGATTCGACGGCGGTTAAAGTTTTCTGGTTCGAGAGCGTCTGAAAGGTGGCCAGACTTGTCAGAGGAGAGTATGAGTCGACTGATTGCAAACAAAACCTACGGATTGCGCAGTGCCCAAAATACCATCAAAGGCAACATCATTGCCAGCGAATTCCTTTGATTCGTTGTGGGCAACACCGAAGATATGACCGTCAAGTGAGAGGCCGGCGAGCTTGAGGTTATCGCGAACGATTGTTCCGACAACAGCGCCTGTCCCGTATGTGATTTGGAACGGCCTTTGAGAGTCCTCGAAGGTGGTTGAGCTGATGCCTCCCAAGAAGACGTGGTTTCCCTGCCGCATGTCTCAGTAAAGGTGAGGATGGGAGTGGGCGAATGGGGCTTACGCATCCGGTAGCTGTATCCGAGTCGCAGTCTTCAGCACCAACCCATAAATCGGCGGACCCAGAATCCATGATCACTCGGAACTCGCGAGGGGGCGTCCCAAGAAGGATGGTTGCGAAATACCCAACGTCGTTGGCACTATGTTGACATATATTTAGCCCACGCGCGCACTCGGGCAAAGGAAACTCACATGATGTCCAGGCCGATGGAATTGTCCGCTGCAGGTGTGTCAGCGAACGCGATCCCTCCGTTGGCTAGCGCTTCGATCTCGACGTCTGATACACCGTCCGCGTTATCCGTAGCCGCGACAATGGGATCAGAGCCGCCTTCTTTGGTTTGAGCTTTGGTGCTAATGCTCGCTGCAGAGAGATCGGGGGCCGAAGTGGTAGTGTGTTTGGTTCCCCCGATGTTGTATCTTTTGCCATGTTGCTTAGGATCGGACGGAAGCAAGAACAGTCGCTTCTCAAGGTTGGAGACAAGATCAGCGTCTGTAGGCCCGTCGCGTCCAGTCATTCGTGCGAAGCGGCGCTGACTCCGGTTGATATGTTGCTGCATCAGCTGTATAAATTTCCGTCAGTCTTTGTTCCCCCAAAATTGGCGCCACACTTACGATATGGGGGTGGACATCACGCTTCAATTGCTGCACCCGGCGAAGGGGCAAAGAGACCATACCAGCTCCTCGTTTGGCTGGTAGCGCGTCGACATTTCCGGCATAAAGAACGACAAGGAGTGTTGCAATGAAAGCAAGCTGAAATTGCATGGTGAAGTGGTCCAAAGTGGTCGTGCTTGCGTAGCTGAAGATGAATAGTAGAGAAAGGTAAATCTAGGAGAAGAAATGCTCAACCTGGAGCAGAGGAGAAAGGGCAGGAGAAAGAACGGAGGAAGCGTGTGGAATGAGCATGGTACGAACGCCGGGAACTTCTTATATACGGCTCGAAGGCTACCAGTGGCTCGGCGTTGCAATTGTTTTGCTGCAGCCTCATGGTGGTTGCGTTAGGGCTCAATTGGTTGTGCGGTCAACGAATAATTGACAATGGAAGTGAGCTGAACAATAGCCTCAACGCCCATTGTATTTGTTGTCACGTGGATGGCCAAGCCCCTAATATCATTCTTGCACCAGCGTTTCGAGTCGGAATGGGGACAGCAACAAAGACTACAGGCGTAAGTACCTATGTGTACTATCCGAACTCGTTACTTCTCGCTGGGTGACCTGTAGGCCGGAATGTGTTTCTGGCGGCACCCTAGCGTCCTCTCCAGCAAACTTCGGTAGGAAGAAGAAACAAGTGGGTCTCTACTTTAGTATCGGGACCAACGGACAGAACAGCCTGTACGTGGTAATCAATACAGCGGTCCCACTATAGAATTCACTGAGTAATATATAGCCACTACAGAAATGTCTCTGAGGCTCTCCCTCAATTACCTTGTGGCTCTACTGCGTTTAGTGAGCAAGGTAAGGAGGAAGCGGAGGTAAGGCCTACTGCGACTCTAGGACAGTATTCCGAGCCAGTCGTTTAACACAACACATTAATTCAAGACTAGCTGAGGGTCAGAAGGCCTCTTTCTATTCAGTCCGTAGTCTACACCGGAAGTACAAGAGGCATGGAGTCCTTGATCGGCAGACTAATCCTCATCCTCATCCGACTCGTCTTCGCCGATGTCCTCTTTATCACCAGTAGATTGCGTGTCTTGATCAAATACAAAATCTCCCTCGACCTTCACATATCCCTCCAGTCGACTAACAATGTCCTTCGTTATCTCGCACTGATCGATTTCCAACAAATCGATGGGCAACCCGAGCTGCTTACGTTCTTCAAGGAGGTGCACAACTAATGCGACATTGAGTTCAATATCGAATTGGCACAATTGTAGGGTTTTCAGCTGTGCAAAAGGTGGTTGCTCAGCTGCAGGCGGTTTCAAAAGTGCTTGAATACAGCTCGAGCCCACATACTCGGTTACCAACTTCTGCACGTGTTCGTGTCGTCTGAACAACGTCTCCCAGTCCTCTTTATTTATCGAGGGGAATCCAGAAACGTAGAAGATGGGAGCTTGTGAGCGCGGTAGCATGAGGGAGAGCTTGAATGTATGGTGTACGGGTTGGCTTGATAACTCGAAGTGCAGGTTCAGTACCAGACCATGACGATCGGCTACAATCATCCATAAGGAAGCACCATGAGGGTTACTTATGGACACATCAACGATATTCAGCATGTTGTCGTCGCTTGCTATATGCGACAAGAGAGCCTTCAGATCGTCGGCGCAGGATGTGATGCGGCCATCATCGTCAGAGATGACTGATCTGAACCTCACTCGTACAGAGGGAGGATAGCGGATTTGCCGAAACAAGGAAGAGCCCTTGAATTGCGTTGTGGTGTAGGATAAGGAACAGAGCTCGGGAAGTTCGACTACTGTACTTTCGTCGATTACTTCATTCGAGGTTTCTAAGGCACCGCCAATCTCAAGTCGCCTCAAAGAAGGCGTGCTGCGCAAGATCGATAGTATTGATGACACTGATGGCACAATATGATAGGGAGGAGTGTAGGAAAGCTGACGAAGTTGCGAGAATATGGGTATGGTCGGCGGCAAAGTGAAGCCTATGACTTCAAGGGTCTTCAAAAAGGGCATCTGCGCTGTGCATAAGACGTGGTGGATCCCTTCGCAAGCAGCATCGATGGAACTGAGCGGGGAGGTACGCGCATGCAGATGCAAAGACTGGAGTATGAGAGGTGAAACTTCCGCTCCAACGACGATTGCTTCTATGATCTTCAGGAGAACAGTGGAATTACGTCCAGAGTCCGAGTTGATATCCAAATGTTGAATCCTGTCCATGTGGGCCAAAATGACGGAGAGAATGGCCCAATGACTTTCCGAATCTGTGCACCATACACGGAGCGGCGCGTTCTGAGAATAGGCGAGACTCGCAATGGCCCAATCGAGGTGCCTTATTCTTGATGCATTGAGTTCATCCCACATGCGAGGCGCATTGAGGGTAATTTTGCGCCAGTTCCGACATACCTGGGCGACATTCAGCCAACCACCACGATCACCCGGGGAACGGTAAGAAAATTGTCGGGTGACGGATAGTTTTGCTAAGACAAAAATCTCTTCAAGAAGCTCTACTGGGAGTTTGGAGATAGGAGCGTGATCGTTTCTACGGGTACGCAGTTCCAGGATGGCAGATTCGTAGGCCGTGATTTGCTTGTCGATCGCTGCTTGGACACCGTGCCATTTGGCTGGGCATTCCGTTGTGGAAGGCTGGAGAGCATGTTATTAGTTGATGAAGGATCGCGAGCGAGTGACCATTTACTGGGGACATTGTCCGAGCCTAATGGTGATAGTCGCGACGAGTCGTCGTAGTAGTATGTTGTAGACTGTAGTAAAGCGAGGATTAAAGGTGTAACTCGCTGTTTAGACGCCCAGCGCTAGGACGGCTCGGGAGTCCCGAGTCCGAGGTTTACTCCCCCGTTGTACCTAGACTGGAAAATTCATTATTCGTCGAAAGGCCAGGCTGAGGGCATCGTCTGCTTGTCGGTTTGAGTAGCTCATTAATTACCTGATAGCATAACCGTAGTTTATCGACAGGGCAATGTCAGTAAAGAAACACGATGTTTGAGTACGTCAACTTAAGATGTAAACAGTCAGATTATATATGTCTAATACAAGTTTTGTTCAATCACTGAAAACCTGTATATACCATCAGAATAGTTGTATGCCGTTTTGTCAGTACGCGTTCTCATCGCGGATTTTGGACGCGAGCCTGATATCGTCTAAAGTGATCGAGGATCGCTCGCACATCCCTCTAAAGATACCATCAGCCTTTGAGTATAGGTTTAGAGGCGTGTCGAATTCCTTAGGCAGATAAATAGCTGCTGAGTTAGAGCTCTGCATCAAATAAAAGGCGACTCACAGCAATTTGGCCGGCATCTAACACGCAAATACGATCGTAGGCAATGATAGTCCGTAATCGATCTAGCAGATGGCATTAGCAAAGTGAGTAGTAGGCACGATTGCTATGCTCACGAGCGATACATAATATCGTGCGATCTTGGAATTCGTGAGCAATCGTATCTTGAATCTTGCGATCGGTCTCATAATCTACGGACGCTAAAAGAGCAATATACTGTAAGGCACGCCTAAGAATGGTGAAAGAGGGAGTAGGTACCCGTGGCTTCATCAAGAATTAGCACTTTGGTGTCCTTCACCAACGCCCTTGCGAGGGATACAAGAGATCGCTGCAAACCAAACGTTAAACAAGCGACGAAGCGCGGAGCACAATACGGCGTACTTGGCCCACGGAGAGGTTGGAACCTTCGTCTTCGATTGGAGTGTCAAGGGTAAAACGATTGGTGGGAGTATTTGCACCGGTTGGGAGATCGTCCTCGAGGGCAGCAGAATTCCTCTTTGCGGACTCCACCAAGTATGAGCGCTTCAAAGCGTCCCAAAGTCGCGCATCATCGTGTAAGTTGAAGGGATCCAAATTAGTCCTCAGCGTCCCAGAGACTTGTTGCTACTTCAGCGGCGTTATCAATCGTCTTCGAAGAAATACTCACATAACAACTGTGAAACGATTCAGAATTATGAAGATACTAGCAGGTGTCGGACTTACGGGATCCTGAGGAATAATTGCTAGCCCACTTCGCAAGTCGGTCAGTCCAACGGTCGAAGTATCGACACCGTCGATGATGATAGATCCTGAAGTGAGCTCAACCAAGCGGTACAACGCAGTCATAATCGAGCTTTTTCCAGCGCCAGTTCTACAACCCAAATCAATACCATTGAATCAACAAAAGTTTTACCGCTGACCGTCCAACTATACCAATCTTCTCGCCTCCTCTTACAACCATGCTGACATTCTTCAAGACGGCTGGCAGCTCTGGGCGGTAACTGAGTACAACATTCTTGAGTTCCACGTCGCCTTTAGAGGGCCACGGTGCGGGAGGTTTCCTGTCAGGAAGTTCGTGGGGTGCTTCTTGTTCAATCTCCTTTGCGTAGTGCACTACTCGCTCAACTGAATTCATGTCGTTTTCGACTTCCGCGCTTTGACGAACGAGCCAGCCAAATCTAACCCCGGCGTTTAGTAAGAAAGAGGTTTTGAACAATAAATTCACTCACGCTTGCTGAACAGAGAGGATATAAGATAGGGTCACACCAGTTTGAGCAGGAGAAATAGAAAAGCGAGTGCCGACGGTAAGCATGCCCACAACGAAAGTGAGCAGTGCGCCCAAAAAGTCCAATCGGATACCCAGCCACCTTTGATTCGTGACCGTTAGCCAATAGGCCCTGCATCGGACAGATCAGCATCGATTTTAGGTGGAAACCAAACGTTACGCACCGATTCTCTATGTCTACGCGATCCTCATTCTCTTGTCTGAACCTATCCGCTTCACCGTAGGCTCGAATCGTAGGTAGGCCAGATAGGGACTCGGAAAAGTGTGAATACAGCGTGGATCGCAGAATAGCATCAAGCCGCTGCAAAGTCATCTCAGCGATCATCAAAAGATTGCTAAGGCGAACAGTGTCACCTTAAGCTCTCGAGCACTAGCTCTATAAAAGGTGGCGGCGTAGTAGTAGACGATCAAGATGCAGAAGACGCCGATGAGGAACCAGGGAAGCAGGATGGAGATCAAGATGATAGCTCCCAATATAGATGAAGAAGTGCCCGCGAGCATGCGTAGGGCATCTAGATAGAGAACCGTCAAGTATGTGATATAAAGCATGTAGTCGGATACGTACCTCCCAGTAGGTTATCTATAGTATCGATATCTACAACCACTTGATCAGCGTACAAACATAAAGAATATCGAAGAAACTCACCCTTAGAAAAGCGATTCATGATTCGACCAAGTGGCTACAGATTCCCGAGTCAATATTCCATGATTGTCAAATCGATCAACAAGGGGCTGACCGTAGTGTCGAAGAATGACATGGGCGCATGTAAAACTCTGTTTATTGCGGCCTACAAGCTCTGTGAGCATTACTTTGAACAGCGTCTGGATGCACTTACCTTGTGCAGTCGCTGCGATGCGAAGTACGTCAACATGGCAAATGTACTTCCCATCAGGAAAGATGCCAGGGCTTGAGAGATACCCAAGGATGCATAGATCCCCATCTGTGTGGACATTCGTCAGAAGACGTAAAAAGAGGTTGTTTCCTGAACTCACGTAGAAGCCCGGAGATTGATTGAATTGGCTAGTGATCACTGTTAGTATAGTATGTCTGCTAGTTAATCGCCAAAGTAAAGGACGCACTCTTCTTGCCAGTACACAAGCCTAGGGACAGTTGTTGTTCAGCAAGGAAACGATGGCCGATTGGATGAACTCACCAATAGGACGACATAACATTCGAGCCCTGCAAAAACACCAACGCGAACGCTAAGAGGGGAAGGACAACTGCGCCATTCCCTGCCTTTGCGTAATCTTTATAGATTTGCCCGCTAATGGCTCCAGTGTTCCGTTCCTCGGCCTGCATCTGAGACGCGCCTATAACATCTGGCTTTCTCGCTTTTTTGTTACCGTCCTTTTCAGCATCTATAGCATCTTCTTCCGCCTCGACCTCTTTCTTCTCTTCTTCCTGCGACCCAAACTCGTGAACAAACTTCGAGAATGTGCCGTTGTTCTCCATAAGGTCGGCATAAGTCCCGCGTTCGGCAATGCGCCCGTCGACGACGGTGAAAATGTAATCAACTTGCGGCAAGAAGTGAAGAGCGTGCGTCACCAGGATCCTCGTCTTGCCAGAAAGAGTGTTCTGCAGGACGTTCTGAAAGACCGCCTTGCCAACATGGGCGTCCAAGGCACTGAGCGGATCCTATGGTTGACATGATCGGTGTCATCGTTGCGTAGTTTAAAAGTTAAATTGACTTACATCGAAGAATTGGATGTCGGTGTTGCAATATATGGCTCTAGCAATATTCACTCGTTGCTTCTGGCCTCCGGAAAGAGATATGCCCTTGGAAGGAGTTTAGTGTGTGAATATACGTTAGTGAAATCATAATCCACCTTTTCCCCGACTTCAGTCATATCGCCGTAGGGCAGCATATCGATATCAGGTTCAAGACAGGCATCCCGAACGGCCGCCCAGTAGCGCTCTTCTTCGAAAGGCCTCCCGAAGCAAATATTCTCGCGGATCGTTAGATTCTAAGTGACACGCAGTGTCAGCTCAGTATTTAGTCTTCGTGATTTCCTTTGGGAAAATCGTATACCTGGATCCAAGCAGTCTGCGGGCAATACCCAACAGAACCTCCGAATGTCACTGTGCCGGATGTGCGTCTCATTTCCCCGATGATGCCTTGCAATAACGACGTCTTGCCGGAGCCCACAGCGCCGACGATGGCAACCAATTTGCCCCTTGGAATAGTCAAATTCACGTCTTTCATCTCGAATATCGTCTTGTCGTCGTTCTTTGCCTTCCCTGCAGAGGTAGTCGAGGTTGGAACGTGCGCGTAAAGGCCTGGCCGCTTCTTCGACTTTGCGTCATCGGGAGGAGGACTGTCCCACATGAAGGACGCATTCTTGACTTCGATGGCATAGGGCAACTGAGGATCGGTGACTTGTGTTTCTTCTAGTGTCTCCGCTTCGAAGACGTCGTATAGACGCGAGGTAGCGTTCGCAGCATCTGCGATCGAGCTGAATGCCACGGCTACAGTCGATTCGGTGAGTCAATTCATTCGTGGGAGAAGGAAGCTAGGAAGCTCACGCAGGAACATCAAGGGTAGTCGCAGCAAATTGAACAGAGTTAAAGACGCAAAAATAATGGCTGGATCAAGCGAATGTCCAGAAAGCGAGTAAGTAACGAAAGATAGGACCGACGCCAGGACTGGTAGTGACATTGCAACAGCGTTGTTGGCGGATCGCACGAGCAGCAACGAGCGGATGTAACTGCGTATAGTCATTTCCGTCAGTAACAACTTGTATACGCAGTACAAACTAACAATTACCTCAATTCCTTCTGCCTGTAATCGACGAGGCGCTGAAGAAATGGTGTCTCCCAAGCGAAGAACTTGATGACTTTCATACCGCCTAGCAGCTCTTGCAGCAACTTCGCGCGCTTATCGGTCCATATCATGCTCTTCCTTCGTAGCTTGAATAGGTTCTTCATCACCATCGTCTGCGCTGGAGTCGCGAGGAGGAAGAACCCAAATCCAGCTAAGGCACTAGGTCCCAGATTGTCTATCAACAGGATCAAGCAGACAATCATTTGTATCGGAGCCGTCCATGCCATATGGAAGAAGCCGCAACAAAAGTCGATGCGCGATACATCAGTGGAGATATGGTTAACGAGTTTGCCGTTGGGTAACTTGGAGCGGGCACGGGATGTTAACCGGAGCGAACGCTGGAATATGGCAGTGATGAGAGCACCACGAAGGAGCACCCCTGTTGATGCACCGCGGTAGAAGAAGTGGTGAGTACATAGGGAGGCGACTATTTGTAGACCCAGCAATCCGAATACGTAACCAATTCCCTGGCCAATGGGCGGGATGGCGTCGAAATTACCCGTTCGGTGATTCGTGTATGATGCAGTAGCAAAGTTGATGATTGCCTTGGACCCGTAAGATGAGGTCACAATGGACCTAGGGACCACATACCTTTACAAGCAAAGGGCTGGTAATTTGCGCGCCGTCACCGAGGATTTTGAGGATTCCCCCGGACCAGAACCACCACTTGACGCTGTCATTCATGGCCATGACCAAGCTCGCGCGTCTCTTGCCATCAAAATCTCTCCACCTCTCCTCGCGCGCCTTGCTGTCCCTTCTAAGAATCCACCACAACTTTTTCCACACCGGAGGCTTGACGTCCCCATTGCGCAATCGCATGTTGTACTCATCTGCCTCTTTCCGTCGCCGATCGTACGACGTTACTATCTTCTCGGCCACATATGCAGACGATCGGTCCGCTTGTAATTTGTACAGATCCGAAGCCTCCAAAGGACGAAGGTAGCCAAGGACAAGTAACGGGGTGATCCAGCCAAATGTGATAAGGCTTATCCAACTAGCCTTGACTTCAGGGATAGTTTCTGCATCGTCAATGGATCCCTTCGGTGGGGGCGGCGCCTTGGTCGAGATGAAAGGTACTTTCGTGAATCTGCAATGTAGAAAGTTGGTAAATCCCTCTTTGGTCAGCAATATGACGTACACTGAGCGTTCAGGGTATTGGTAGTTAGTTCGGAGTTTGGATTTGTCTTGTTTCTCGGCGTTGGAGTCGTCGTCGAGCGAAGGGGACGTCGACTTGGTCATACTCCTCGGGGACAGGGAGCAAGGAGGAGGGGGCGGGCCACGCAGCAATGTCTGGGAGCAGGGAAACTTTCGCTGACTCACCAAACATTATATTTAACTTCCACTGCCGGTACAGCCGACGGTCTTTCAATTTCCAACAACCCCCCGCACATGCTCGCTGACGAAGAAGGCATTCGACCTCGAGGACGGGGGTGGCATGTCATTGATATGGCCCCGTGGGGCGTGCCATCGGTGTGCTCACCTCGGAATGCTACGAACTGTGACTCAGTGTACTTCAGTATATACAGGCATTGACGGTCACGTAGGTGGAACTTACTGCAAATGTGAACTTCAATGAGCTGCTGCCTAGCTGCAAGCAGAGCACTGATTGAGGGCAGTCGGGTTGCTAAATCAAGACAAAAGCGATCGTGAGCTCAAGATGTTCCGCAGCTTGTTGTCTGATCGCCAACGAAAACTCACGGCAATACTCCCTCTACCCCACTAAATGAGCAGGGAGTCGTCTGAGAAGTCAACCGAGGAACTCCTTCGCGGCCCCCCAAAAAGGTTATTTTTCAAATTCCCCGACGTCGGACGTTGATGCCGTTGTAGCTTCGAGTCAAGGCGACGTGCCGCACAGTCGGATTACAACTCTGAGAGGCTGCCAGAACGCTAGAAAATGAAGATGGATGACAAGGAAGGTACCAGGAACGATTGCAGCATTCAGGTTACGGAAGGCGATCCTTAAAGACTTGCAGTACGCACGCCGTTGCGCACATCTATGGCGTAATGCTAGGCGCTTAAGATAAATCACTAGAGGACTTTGACATGTACTTGAGGACCCCAATTAGCTGTCAGGGAGAAATATCCATATTTCCGTCTTCCTCGCTGTTCGAACTTCGCAATGGATTATGGAGGAGCAGGCCTCAGTAGGGGTTAATATAGATTTACACACACGCGACGGTCACGTGACTAGTGACTAGTGACTAGGGATGTTTGTCCTTGTTGCTGCAGCGCCTCGCCTCTTGCTTCTCCTCAACCTCGTTCTCAACCTCGCTCTCAACCATCCACAATAGAGAGTTTGCGAAAGCCACCCAGGTGGCTTTGTCAGCCACCGAATGCCCAAATCGAGCGATTTTCAGCTTGCGCAAACCGGTGGCTGGTTTGACAAGCATTTACTCCTTCTGTTGATGGAGCACAAATTTAGTTTCTGCGGCATAATAAGCTCGTACGCGCAGCTGTGAATGCGCAACACAATACAGCTATCCTGCTGCTTGGAGGAGAGGCTACTAGCGAATTCTAAGTAGACGCCCAAAGCCACCAGCCGGTGAGTTTCGGGCTTTTTGACCGGGAAGCCACCGAGTTCCGCAAGCTCCGCGAAAGCCACCCGGTGGCTTTCGCAAACTCTCTAATGTCGGCCACCACGAATGGCACAAAGGAATCAATCTGCAGATCGATTTTCGAAAAGTATGCTATTAGCCAGCCATGATAAGGAACTGACTGTTGACACTGATCAGATATGGCGTCGCCCCTGGCTTCTATACGTGAGCGTTCAATCCTCATTTTGTAACGGCCTCAGTTTGATCTCTGTGGTAGCGACCTGATGAAGGATATCGAGGACAAGTACATTTCCTGTGATTAGTCGCTTGCGAATCCTAATATCCAAATTAGCTTGTACGACCTCATTGCTCCAACTACATACGATGTTGCTTCCGAGTATGTGCTGCACCTTGCTGGTAGCATACACTCTGATTTTATACTCTTCCAAAATCGCTCGAAATAACAACAAATGGGACAGTTGGTGCGCGTCCGTGCACGCTATGACGAAACGAGTACACACCTTCGTCCATGTCATTCCTTCTGTAACAACCGAGCTGGAAGCGGTAGCAAGTGCTGTGCGATATCCTTCCAAGCTTCGCAATCTCTCAGACCTCCGCCAAAAGGTGCCGTCTCTTGGAAAGTACAACAAGTTCCTAGATGACATCGCTGAATGGGCGAAATCCCCGGAGCGTAGTCGTTGGGACGAGGCCCTGAATCCAGACGTTCTTCAACTCTACACGCCCTGGTGCATAACCTTGGATGCTATCCAAGCTGGATCGTGTGAGCTCGCGGCCCGCACTGCGCCAGATGCTCTCCTGCATACTATATTTTCTGGAGGGTCCTCGGACGAGTCCCGTCATACAATGTAGTAAGTGTAAACACCCCACTATGTCACGTCTACTTATTTCTTCTTGCAGCACAGAGGTCGACGTCCTCCTTCCAGTTATGCTCGACTCTCCACACCCTCTCAAGACAGCGCGGGCGGATACTTGCTTTGGCATGGTCGCTCCAAAGGATCTATTAGAAAAGATCGATGCTGCATCCTTCACGATGCATGCTGCGCCATATACGAGCAGCTTAAGGTGTATGGACATCCAACGGGAAGACCTAGCTTTTGGGACCTTCTTTGCAGAATGGAAGCGTAACTCGACACCCTCGGACGCCTCGCGTCAAGCTGTATACTACGGTTATGCGATGCAGGCTCTTCGGCAACTATTCAAGTTGCCCGCCCGCCCCTTATATGGTATGGTATTTGAGAAGGGCGTCCTTCACCTCGCTGCCATGACGATTGATAGCACCGATAATTCCTACGTTGTGTCCTTTCCGCTAGTTGAATGATGCTTTAGACTGACTCCCTTGTTGTACAGCAATTGCAGCAGTCTATGTCTATTGCCCATTCTTGGGACCTCCGTCATCCGTCGGCCCTTGTTGAATGCTTTTATTTCATCCTCGCCTTGAAGAAGACCGTGGACGCTAACCTGCAGAAAGATTTCGAGGAACTACGCCAACGCGACGATGCTGCACTGATCGATTGGGATGCATTGCGGAAACGGGCAGACGACTGGCGGAAATATGACGCAGGAAGGTCCAAGACGGCTAAAATCAAGCGCCTCAAGGGCGCTCGCCCGGGCCTAGCGCGTGGTGACGATGGAGGCAGCTCTCCTGCTGATGAACGTTCGGGTGGAAACAACAACGAATCAACAAATGTCGACCACAAGTCCGATGACTATCAAATGGATTCTGAAGAAAACAGCAGTGATGATGAGGAGTCGGATCCCGAAGAACGCCATACGAAGTACGTGTCCATCCTGAGTTGGCGGCGCGGCAAGGAATATCCTGTGCAAGATCTAGATGCATGGTACCGCGACCCCGAGTCACTGAAACTAGTTTCCCGCTTTTAGCTTATTGGCAGTCATCGGCGCCTTCTTTCTGTTTGTTTCCTTCTGTACTGTATAAACTGTAATACATTATCTCGAAACAGCTAATCGTAGAACAAAAACCGACAATATACAAGGTCAGGAGAGCAAATAAGGTCTGTTGCGGTAAATGACTAGTTATACGTGAGGTATAAACGACGTCCAGTCAACAGACGCAGCAGCGGATGGGGGCAAATCCCGTAATAGCACGAAGGCTTCGACGACTCCCCGAGTACTTCGAGACCTTCCCCATCCCCCACGATGGATCCGTGGAGGTTCAGAATAAAGCCTCCGTTCATGATTCGCGCAAGGTAACCGCCGCCCGCTGGCTTTCGAGGCGGTGGCTGCGGTTTGAAGTTTTGGATGCGAATGGAAATGGGGCGCTGGACGTTGTAGGGCTTGTGCCACCAGAAGGCGTAGAGCATGCCGCAGAGGAGCGCATAGGCGAGTGTCATTATCTCTAGTTTCGTGATCGTGAGGCGGCGGGCTACGCGGGCAAGGAGCTGGATGAGGAAGTAGGAGGTTTGGATGACGACGATCGCTTTAGCGAGAGCATCACCCTTGCTTTTGTCATCGATTTCCTCCTTCTCAATCGTCGGCGTACGATCCCTGCTGAATTAGACACTCTGTACGTACCTGTTCCATCGTTCTTTTCAACATCGTTCAGCGCCGCCATCCCTCCCTTGCCGATGCCATTGGCGGCATTGTAGGCTTCAGAGACTCGTCGCGCCTCAGCCCATTGTTGCACCGCCCACATTACCATCAACTCGGGAACCATCAGGGCCCAGATAGCCTGGATTAAACGCCAGCGGCGTAATTTCCATTCGCTATGGCGGATACGTTCAGAGGGGATGTTGGGGTGAATGGCGGTCCAGGTGCAGGCGAATATGATGGCCAAACAACTCCAAGCGATCCCGAGAGGCGAGCGGGTGTCGCCCGCGCCGTCAGCGCTATCCATGCCCGATTCTACACTAGTTTGGTAGGGGAAAGGTAACAAGGCGCGTGGGGGTCACTGGCTGTGATACTTATATCAGAGCCTATCCTAAAGAAGCCAGAGCTGTGGCGTGCTGCACAGCGCCGGCGACGAAATAGCCAGTTGGTCACATCAGTCGGCCATTTTTACGGTTTGAGCTCACCTTCAAGGAAAGTTATAGGAGGGACTTCGTGGTATATGACTGCGACAACGGGCGGCCGGGTCCATGGTGAACGTTAACGGGTGCAGATTTTGAGATTAGAAGTTGTACTACAAGTTGAGCTTATTGCTGTCTGCAGAATAGTTGACCCAGCGTGATTTTAGCGCCACACACACAAAAATAGTAGGCCAGCCCGGTCGCCGGCGCTTGAGCAGGGGGGGCGGATGTAAATGATCACGTGACGTGTGACGGTTCGCGACAGTCACAATACCTTTGAATCGCCATCTCTCTCTACGATTCACCTTCAGCATGGATGCTGAAATACACCCTTTGCTAAAAGGCAAATCCAAGTCATTGGACACCGACAACACCGATCCAACACACCAACACGAAGCCATAACCTATCGACATCTTCTGTCTCAAACACTTGGTTCTCGGGATCCCCTTCGTGTCATTGCCCTTTGCGACTCAGACGCATTCTATGCCGCCTGTGAAATGGTTCGTCTGGGAACAGACCCCGAGCTACCGTTGGTGGTACAACAGTGGGACTCCCTGATCGCAGTGAACTACCCTGCTCGAAAGTTTGGCATATCGCGAATGGATAAGGCGGCCGACGCGAAGAAGAAATGCCCAGAGCTTATTTGTGTACATGTACCAACGTACAAGGAAGGGGATGCTGAGCCTGGACATTGGGGGCCCGTAGACCCGAGGACACATAAAGTAAGTACGGGACATTCGTGCGGATTATACATGTAAGCTTGATGATTTCAATTTGAAGACGTCGTTGGATACGTACCGTACTGAGAGTGGGAAGATACTGAATGTATTCAAAGAGGAGCTTCCGGGTGTAGAGATTGGTGCGTAGATATTTGTGCAACGCCTATAGTTTGAACGACATACAACTCATGCTATCTCCGCAGAGAAAGCTTCCATAGACGAAGCATTCTTTGACCTGACTCGTCCTGTTCGCGAAGCTCTTCTGCGCCGTTATCCCCATCTTGCGTCTGCCTCTCCTAAGGACATGGACACACCGCTTCCGCCTCCCCCACCAATCAAATGGGATGAACTCGGTCACCTCATACCCATCGAACCCGAAACAACTCCGGCGGACGAGAAGGAGGGGCAATCGTCAAAAATACCCGAAGCTGTGAAGGAGGAGTCTCTTCCCACATGGCATGACGTGGCTTTGTCTATTGGTGCTGAGCTGATGGCGGGTGTGAGGGAGAAGGTGCGAACGAAGCTAGGGTACACAACGTCTGCAGTGCGTGACTGCAACGCTCTCGCTCGATACTGGATACGATCGTGCTTGTTCATATAGGGGATCGCCAGAAACAAGTTTCTTGCGAAGGTAACGTTGTTTATTCAACTCCGATGCAACTCTAAAAGTAAAGGATTCTTCCCAGCTCACCGCTTCGTATAGAAAGTTCAATAGCCAGGTACGAAGAATTGTTTGCACCGCTTATACGGCGACTGAGACAACTGTGGTTAGTCGATTCTTCGCAATGCCGCTATTGCCAATTACCTCAGGCCAATGCCATTTCAAAAGGTGTGCGAAATGAGTCCCGGTGCTAAGATCGACTTCCATTGAGGCCTGGCGTAGATTCGATTCCTTGGGGGTAAGCTCGGCAAAGCGATCGCAGAAGAATACGATGCCAGCACCGTAGGGGATCTCTTGTGCGTGCGCTCGGTCGCCCATTTCCCCACGGCAAAACTGACATTCTCGTTCACAGATCGGTCAGCGTCGGTAAGCTCCGCCGCACATTGCACCCGGCTCCAAGGGTTTCCATGCTGATGAGACGACGCAGAGGAGATACAAAATAAGTACGGCGAGAGCGCATTGTGGGTCTGGGAGATTCTTCGGTACGGAGCTTCTTTGATTCAGAGATCGAGTCGAAAATAATGCCTCGATCCTTCCCAGAGGCATAGACAGGTCAGAAGGTGGGTACTAGTAAGGCCTCTAACCCATATTTTTTGGATTGATCGACATGACATTTGATGTCGGTGTAGTTAAAGCGAAGACGGCGTTCTTCAAGAGTATGTCAGCCTCCAAGAACTTGCTCAAACCACTCGTGAAGCCTGCGGAAGGCGCACATTGGATCAGGATACTTGCTGCGGATTTAGTATTCAGACTGAAGGCTGCGCGGGCCGAACAGCCAACGCTTTGGCCTAAGACACTGGTTTTGGGTGCATATAAAGGTAAATGGATACCAGACGCCTGGAAACCGTATATAACATGTCCTTCCAGGATTTGGCAACGGACACTCGAAGCAAGCGCCATTCCCCTTCATCAAAGATGTGTCCGTCGACATAATCGCTTCGATTGCGGATAAGCTGTGGAAAGAGCTCATGGGGCTCGAGGTCGAGGGCGCCCCTCTAAATATACGGCATATGCACATGTCCTTCACGGGGGTAGGAACGGCGGAAACTGGCCAAGGCAGTATAGAAGGTTTCTTGAAGAGTCCGTTGCCAATCGCTCCAAGCGTATCAACGGCAAGCAAGAGGAAACCGCATGCTGAAGAAGATCTGTCAGCGAACGAAGACGACGATGTGTTGCCCTTTACTGACGGCACGCCAATCAACCCAGGCCGCAACTCCCCAGACTGCCATACAGCTCCATCTTTCACATGTACGCGTTGTGGGAAAACCATAAGTTTGGAGGTGAACAACTCTGATGCGTTCAATGATGCGACCGGCGCAACAGATATCAGCAGGGCGAGGCTGGACTGGAACTCGAGGGTTGATAACTTGAAGCGGGAGCATGAAGATTACCATTACGCACTAGATTTGACACGGAGAACTAACGGAACGTTGAAGGTAGGCATGCCCGGGCCAGTATCCGGCTCGTCCTCGAAGAAGAAACGAAAGACGGAGAGTCGGAGTCGAGTATCCACAAAAGGCAAGTCGCCAGGGATCGAGAGGTTCTTCAATACGTCCAAGTGAGGAGCTGTGAGGAGGCGGTGTTGGCGTTGGACGTTGATACATTGCTGCCGATGATGCATGTATGTACGTCTACTCTATCGGTTACCTAGGTCTGATCGACACTCTATAAGTATTCTCCATTGGTAACGTGTGTATGATATGATGGCAAACTCTTCACAAGAGTGGATCCTGGAAGTAAGTTCCTCTCACATTGTTATCTGGCTACACCAAACCGCAGCACTACTGCTGTCGCTGCGGAACTTTGTCTTTTCTCCTTGAATGTTCATAGCTAATGATACTACCATGCGTTCCCAGCTGTAATTGTATCGTCTGTGAAACAAGACCGTGGAATCCATCATCAACCATCAATCAATCCGATTCTGTGATCGCTCCGCTCGGTAAACTCTCATTGATATACAGCGATGGAATCCGCCCTTCTCACGTTCGCGACCGTCGTTCCTTCCACTTCGTTCACGACTTACGACTTTCGTTCGACCAGGGCGGGCTCCCCCTTTGCATCCTTCCTTTTACCTACCTATCCGTCCGGGACGCTCTCTTCGTTCTTAGGCCCAGGAAGGCTACCCCGTTTGTCCCAGTCCCTCGCGAAGCTGTGCATGCAAACATAACTTCTTGTTGACCATCAAAGGGTATCATCAACGACATGCCTTCGTCCCCCTCTATGGTATTGGACCATGATCAAATTGTGGGCGCGGGCGTACGTTGTCTTAACTTCGTTAATGATCAAACGCTGACAACGTTCGTTGGGTGTAGTTTGCAGCTGCATTTTCTGTCCTTGCTACTTGCGCGATAGCCGGTGTTATTTTTCGTGTCGCCTACTTACACCTTCGTCAGTGCGTCACCAAGTCGGAAGGACCTCCTCCTCGGGAGCACGTCTTCTTTCGTACACAGCTTGGCCGCTATGCCTTGTGTCTCTTGCTTGGAAACTTTTGCATCAGTCTAGCTGGGCTTCTCGACTTGAAGTGGCTTGCGCAAGGGGTCATTACTTCTGGTCCGTAACGCCTGAATGACATAGTCTCGCTGCTAATCACATTGAATCACATTAACCAGGTTCTACATGTGTGACTCAGGGTGAGCGGAAATGGATGATCTAATCATGACCTACACATATCGACGATGAATTGAATGCGTATAGGTGTTATCATGCAAATTGGCAATTTTTCCACCGCGTACTTTTCCATTGTCATCGCCGTGCATACATTCCTTACATTGGTGCTGCACAAGAGGCAGTCAATGCTGGTATGTGGAATATCTGCAACTCTAGGCTGGATAGTGGCTGCGACGATCGGTCAGTCCATCAGAATCACTTACTACATGGCATTTTCTCACTGCGAGTGTTCAGCGCTAAGTCCTCTCTACTTTCCCCAGCCTGTGGGGCCATTGTACGGACCATCGGGCCTTTCGTGCGGGATTCGAGCCATTTACGCACGAGAACAATTTCTATTTCATCTTTTGCCGGTGAGCACATTAGAGCGCTTGGTTGACCTAATGTTGATCGATCGTATGCAGATTTTCACTGCCTCTGTGTTCTCCGCCCTCCTCTACTCGTTGATATTCCTTGTTCTTCGGGGCACGTTGATGATACGGGGTGGCTTGAGCTTGAACTTGGGCCCTCCAACCGTTTCAAGAGGGCGCCTTACTTACGAGGGCTATCATCGTTTTGTAACTGCGGTCGCTAAAAGTATGCTGTGGTATCCTTTGGGTAAGTGTCCGGAAACTCGATCATACCGGCAGAAAGAAGTCCATACTGACGCCATCTTTTGGCCCCCATAGCCTACGTAGTGCTACTTCTACCATACTCCATAGTCCGGTTGCTAAGCATATCGGGGTTCTTCGTTTCGTTCGCTGGGGTTGTTTTGGCGTCGGTATTTTGGTCTTTCCTAGGTACGTCTCGCATTATTTGACAACCAGCGGAGATAGATCAAGGAACGACTGGATTTTATTTTTATTAGGGATCGCTAATGTGGGCCTGCTGTACAATACCCTCCGTGTGCTAGGACCTACTTTCGACATCCGTAACACAGCCGCAAGTGACTCGGAGAGTTTCGATACCGGGGAGAAGTACAAGACGTACGATGCAGATTACGTGACCAAATTTCCTCGCGAGCAAGACCAACCACCGCTTCCTGGTCGTAATCCAATGGCCGCGACTGATGCGCGGATAACCTCCGTGGCAGGGAGTTCCAGGTACTCCATTCAAAGTAGCTCATCAACAGTTGGACTCCTCAGGCCTCAGGCGGATGGACAGCTCAATCCTGTGACATACTCCTTAGACCGCTCTATCTCTCCCGCTACGGATCTAAATCGCGAGATTGTTGTTGGAGCTCCGATATCCTCTCAAGATGAAACAGCATCGCATACGTCGTCCCCATCCGCGAAGTATGGTCGAAGCTTAGGGTCTATTTCTACAGTCAACAGTTTACCTGCGCCTCCTCGGCGGGGTCGCTCTCCTATCTCTTATACACCCAGTCCTGAGAGTGTGGAGACTAAGGGGCGCGCCCTCCCTCAAGAACCGGCGGTGAACAGCGCTTCAATGTCATCCCCGTATCTTATGCCGGCGAAAACACGTCTCAGCGCTCCGTATCAAGATACGTCCAGACCTCGGTTATCTGCGCAATCGAGTTCATCGTTATCGGTGTACCATGATATGGGGATGACTGAAGATCAGTGGACGATGCGGCAGAGCAGTTCTCAGTCGAACGCCGGGGTACCCGATACACCGCACATTTTACGAGATCATACGGGCCATCATTTACCACTCAGCGCCATAGCCTCCCAGACTAGCTTTCCTTCGCCCACTTTCTCTTACTACTTCGCTCCCGAATCGCCCACCGAGCGACCTCTTCCACCTCTTCCACCCTTCCCACCAAGTCCCAACGCATCTCTCAACGAGGATCCGAATCTCACTTCAGGAGAAGGTAAAACGATGATTTCTCACAAGTACTCAGTATCAGCATTTGGCGTCACGGACGGAGGCAGCCACGTGCGGCAACTCTCGACGAGCAGCCATACCAGGAGACCATCTGCCACCGGCAAAGCTTTCTGATTGTTTGGTAAATTACAGTAGTGACTGGTGGTTAGATACCCTCGGAAGCTTAACTTCGTTTCATCCTTTACTAGCCTATGGATGGGTTGTGACTTTACGGACAAATTAATCGAAGGACTATATAATTGGATACACAGCAGAATGATTGGCGCGTTGGTCGTCCGCAAATGAATGGGTCGAGGCTGAACGATGTAGGAAGTATCCCGAGATCGTTCAAGATACGTTCTAACAATGGGCCTAATCGGTAGCGCTCGCTGTCGTCGTGTCGCGTGCCTCGACAGCTCTATAAGGAGCCCCCATCGTGCCTGCAGCTCCGGAAGATCCGTACATATGAGCATTCACCACACAACGGCGGATAACATGATTCCATCATACTGCTGGTGCATGAAGGAATTGACATCTCAGATACCCATCACCGCTTCCGGTCTAAGGTTGACCGGAGATTGCTTGATATAACGAAGTGTTAGGACGGGTAACGAAGTACATTCATAATACCGTTATTGATATTGTGCCCAGTCATTTCCTGACGGGTCGGTATCCTTCAAGCATGGAGACTTGCTTGAAATGAAGAAAGCATCGTCATTTTGGTCTCTTGTGGATAATATCTCGTCTCGGCAAGCGCTATTGATGGTCTCGAGTCACGGTAGGTACTGTCACTTCATGCAACATTGAGACTGTCAGCGTGTGGGATCCTCAGTGCATTTGTAATGTATTGGCCTCAAAAAGGTTAATACAAGTGGGGAATCCCAAAGATATCAGTTAAGTCCGAGAATCAAGCGAAGGAACGAAGTGCTGTCGTTGATGTAAGCGGACCTAAGACAAAAAGAAAATCACCATTGAACGGAGGCGAAATGTTCTGACATTATTAGTCTTGAGTACAGAGCAGCCTCATGGTTTAGCCACGATCGCCGGAGAATGCAGAACAGCAGAAGGGTCGAGGAGCGATATGGGTGGGTTATTTCTGCGCCAACCGGCAAGTAGAGAAAGCCCTGCTTACGGTTGATGGAATTGAGGAGCACGAGGACGAAAAAATGCACCAGCGGCTCACCACGTACTGCTCATTACATCACTCGCCGTTCGCACCGCGTCTCATTGTGCACCTCCTCGCAGGATCGATCACAAAAGGGCATGTCGCACCGCTTACATTTATATTGGCCCCAGTAGCCACATATTGAGCACAGAAGCCGCGGCGGATAACGGGGAGGTGGAGAAACTGCCGTCAAATAGGTAGGTACCGAAGATGGATATTCGGCAATATGCTACAGTGAGAAAGTCTTTTACGTCCAATATTGGCCTTACCAATACCTACAGATTCTTCGATGAGAGTTGACAAGTTCTTGCGATACAAAACCGCAGTTCGAATGTTCATTGTAGACTTCTTCTTTCTGCCAGGTCGCTCGAAATCCCGTTTGTCGGAAATGGTCTGTCGAGCGCGCCCCTTGGTGGTTCCATCTGGCTCCCCATCTCCTTCAGTGTTGAGAAGCGTTGGTTCAGAGTAATTGGAGCGCTAATGCCGGGCTCAGTTCCCAGCGGCAAGATATTTATCAGGGCGTTAGACAGCTTGCCTCCAACTCGTCAAGATGCCGTTTCTTTCGCTTTGCAATAATTTCTGGGTCAAGGCCAGGTAGAGCTGCAGCCTTTCGGGCATCTGAGAATTGTAGTTGTCAGTCGCGCGCTCTGAGATTCGACTTCAAAGCTGCAGCTCACGACGCTCTCTGGTTTTCTTGACCATGGTGGTGTGATACAGGATCTCGCAATTACCTCATTTAGCTCGAGCACGCCATGATCACCTGTTGTTCGCACTGAAACAGAAACAGAAATCGACTCTTCCCTTCTACCCCGTGTCTGACTCTGACCATTATTGCTTGTCCACTACAAACTTTAGAACAGCATCTTTCTCATCGAGCTCGACGATGGCACCCAGGATTGATCCAAAGGTGCCCCAAGTTCTGCATGATCTGCCCACTCCAGAGCCAGAATCTCCCTTTCGGCCGCGCAAACCCTACCGGTTCTCGACGTTATGCGCTACGGTTGAAAACCCCAGCCAGAAGGACCAATATGGAAGCAGCTCTGTGCCAATCTACCAAACATCTACCTTCAAGGGGATGAACGGAGAATACGACTACTCTAGGAGCGGCAATCCTACCAGGAGCCACCTCGGTAAGCTAGATGTGTATCGTCGTGGCGAGACTCGTCACTGACGAGTATCAATGTACGACAGAACACCACATAGCCAAGATATCGTCTGCTGAGCATGCGTTTGCCGTTTCATCCGGCATGGCTGCACTTGACATTATTTTGCGGCTTCTCAAGCCAGGGGACGAAGTTATTGCGGGCGATGACCTTTACGGAGGGACCAACCGTCTTCTTACCTACCTGCGCACCCATGGCGGCGTTACCGTTCACCATGTTGACACCACCAATCCTTCTTCAATACGCCCTTACTTGAACGCAACCAAGACAGCCATGGTCCTTCTGGAGTCACCAACAAATCCTCTGCTCAAGATTGCTGATTTGGCTCAGCTGAGTAAGGACGTGAAAGAAGCTGCACCCAATGCCGTAGTTGTTGTCGATAATACGATGATGAGTCCCTACCTACAGCGCCCGCTTGATCACGGCGCGGACATCGTGTATGACAGCGCGACAAAGTACTTGAGTGGCCACCACGATCTCATGGCTGGCGTCATCACTTGTAATCGAGCAGATTTAGCTAAGGTCAATACTATGGTTTACACCTTGAAGTCATATGTTTACTGACTGGTCTCGTCAAACAGCAAATGGCGTTCATGATCAATTCAGTTGGAAATGCGCTCACACCCTTCGACGCCTTTTTGTTGCTGCGAGGCACCAAGACACTCGCTGTACGCATGGATAGGCAACAATCCTCTGCCCAGCTGGTAGCCAAATATCTGCACACCCTAGGCTTCGCTACCTATTATCCTGGTCTTGATTCCCATCCTGGGAAAGAAATCCATGACCGCATCGCAGATGGGCCGGGCGCTGTCCTGAGCTTTCGAACTGGTGATAAAGAATTGAGCGAACGAATTGTTGGAGCTACGCGGCTATGGGGTATTAGCGTGAGCTTCGGCTGCGTCAACAGTCTGATCAGTATGCCCTGCGCCATGTCGTAAGGAAGCTATCTTTGATCACTGTCCATTTTTCTAACGTCGCATATCCATATCATTGTAGACACGCATCTATCGATCCTGCTACTAGAGCGGCCCGTGGGTTACCCGAGGATCTGATCCGTCTATGTGTTGGTATCGAGGACCCAACCGATCTCCTTGATGATCTAGAGCGTGCGCTTGTAGACGCCGGCGCTATCGCACTCGCTTCCGATCTTAATTCTTATGTCCGGGCGAATCTCCAAGATAACTCGCTGTAGGTTCCTTTTAAAGTATGACAGCAAAGCATCAGTTCATCTTTTGACCCCCAGTCGCGACGGGGCCATCAGTAGAGCGGTAGAGAAACTCGCCATGAGAGAAACCCCTGATAATCGAGAATGGTTGGTTAGTGCGCCTGGTAAAGTCATTCTGTTCGGCGAACACGCTGTCGTTCATGGGGTGGTGAGTCATCTCCCGGATCCTATTAACAGAACATGATCTGAAACATATGGGTTCACAGACCGCCATCGCTGCTTCTGTCGACCTCCGCTGCTACGGTTACGTAACACCGCGTCAAGACAATAAGATAACCTTGCATTTCAAAGATATTGATGACTTCCGTGGCGAATGGGACATCGACTCCTTACCTTGGGATGATTGTTCCATTATTGTGGAAGGAGAGGAGCATCCAGATTCAGTCGACCAAAAATTATACGATGCAATTCAACAGGGCCCCCTCGCCCATTTGGAAGGTCACAAAAGTGCCCAAGCTGCAGCGCTTGCATTCCTCTACATTTACATGAAACTTGCACGCGACAGGTACCCGTTTCTCAACAGCAGGATCAATACACAATTAATTCCGTGTCGACGTATTTAGACCTTCGCTTAACTTCACCGCACGGTCGACTCTTCCTGTTGGAGCTGGTCTTGGTTCCTCCGCGTCCTTTTCCACATGCTCGGCCATGGCCCTTCTCCTCGTTCACAGGCGGATCTCTTTGCCGACCATACCTAAACCCGCTCGCGCGTCAGATTCGCCCAACGATCCAGGTCATATCCATTTCTCCCATCAGGGACGTAAGGCCATTACTCCAGCGATAGCGGAGGAAGTCAATCGGTGGGCCTTCGTGGCGGAGAAGATCCTCCACGGCAACCCCAGTGGCGTCGATAACAGCGTGGCCGTCTTTGGTGGTGCTCTAGCTTATACTCGCGCGGGCTTCGGGAAACCATCTGGAATGGAGGGGATACAAGGGTGAGTTTCTGACGACTGGCATGGTTATCAGACCGTGGCATCTCGCTCATTACCTCGCCCCGTAGATTCAAGTCTTTGAGATTCCTGCTCACTAATTCTAAGGTGCCCCGTGACACCAAGCGGCTGGTTGCCGGCGTCGGCCAGAAAAAGTTGGAGGTGCGGCTTGACCTTTCGAGAAGTAAACTGTTTATCTGACGTTGTACTTGTTTAGGAGCCGGAGCTTGTTAATGGAATCCTAGACGCTATTCAAGCTATCAGTGACGAGGGGCGGCGTGCGCTAGCAGATCCGGAAGTCTCCCGCGAGGCATTGCTTTCCGCGCTTTCAGTGAGCCTCCAAAAAATGCTGTTCAATCCGGCCTCCTAACAATACGACCACTCGTTCACAGAGTTTGATCAATGAAAACCACATCCATTTGGCGAATCTCGGCGTGTCTCATCCTGCGCTGGAAGCTATCAGAGCTAAGACTGCTGCTCGCCAGTTAAGCACCAAGCTCACTGGGGCCGGCGGCGGAGGTTGTGCAGTTACACTTGTACCTGACGGTAAGCTTTTACCATGATTACAATGTGCCTGGAGTTAACCTTGCCTTGTACCGTAGACTTCCATGAAGATGCTCTATCTGACCTGATCGAGGACCTACGACGCGACGGCTATGAACCTTATCTCACTTCTGTTGGGGGAAGCGGGCTTGGTGTACTTTCGCCGTATACCCGCCGAGGCTCAGCAGAATCTCTAGGCCGATTGACACCCCCAGAGACGCCTGGGGAGTCGACTTCGCAGACAACAGGAGGCGAAGAAGTCCCTTTGAATGCAGCTTTCGAAACTACCGCGACTACTGGTCTGTCTAAATGGGCTGAGGAGTTAGGGCGTTGGCTATACGTATAGATTTCTCCTTGAATTTAACAGCAGTTTCAGCTGTAGTATCTATCATGTTGTCAATCTGTTTATGACATGTGTTTTTGTACCTTGTAATGATATCCGCCTTTCAGTTGAAGCGCCACACCCGATGTAGAAGGGGGACTTTCGATAAGTACGGCATTTACCCGTCGGATGCCTTCGCTCCAACACAGCATAATTCCTAGAATGGACGACGTCCATGTACGTAGCAATCATTGACAGATTTCTGTTCGTCTTCGTCTTCGGGTTGGATGATGCTGTCGGTGCGGACGTTTCTCTGACTCTTGTAATGACATAAAAGAGCAACAAATAGATCAAAGATGTATTATGGAATTCTACATTATCGTTTAAGATGAAGCAGGGGAAAAAACGATTACAAAGATAATGTAGATTACGAGGTTCAATAATTTTATTCTTTATGCAGCAGCCATCGGAAGACGTGGACTCTCCGATCTATTCGTCGAAATCCTCGGGCGAGCCGTGGGGCCTTAGAGTCACGACTCTGGTTGCCATCACCTCGAGATGCTCAGCACCGAAGTAACGTTGAGTTTCGAAACTCCAGCTGAGGGAAAGCGGGTGAGTGATTGGAATCGATCCTATGGGGTGGAGTATACTTACTCAAGGTTTCCTTTTGCCCAGTGGCCAAGTGCCTCGACGTAGCGGGCGATGTTAACATCAACTTCAGGCCCCCATGATGGTAGACGCGACTTTGATTCCATATATATGTCCATAATTTGTTGGAAGTGAACGCCAACGTGGTCCACAGCTTCTTGAATTCCCATTCCCTTGGATTTCATGAGGACGGTGACGATGTTGTTTCCGCTGTGTCCTTTGGCTTGCTCCATGTTATAGGAGTATACATCCTGCAGGCGGGTTTAATGATGGAGACTGCGGCGGAGGGATTTAACTTACGTTGCTCCAGCTAACCATGTCGACGGCGGCAAAGTACATATCCTGGAATGTCTTGTCTTGGAATATTTCATCGGGCAGATCGATGCCAAGTGCGTATTCGAAGAGACCGAAGCAGAGGCGAATCGCGCTGTTTTCGCGACGAAGAGCAGTGAAGGGCTCGATGTCCAGGACTTCGCCCCTTTCACGGAGCTCAGCCTCAGTGGACACTGCGTTGATATAGTCCTCGCAGTGCTTCAAGAAGCGACGAGAAGAATTTGGTCCGGCGAGGCGGAAATACCTGGCCCTAAAGCTGAACGAAGATGGAGTTAGCTTAAAGACCTTGCCTGAGTACGAGAGAACGTACTCTTTTGTGATTCTGGACAGTAAAGAACCATCGTTCCATTCTGGGTCGCCAAGAGCGTTGAGGAATACCTGGCCTGTTGCACGGGCATCCTTCCCGCTCTGGTCGTCGCTCACTTCGTCGATGACAAATAGTAGGTTGACCAAGTCGCAGCATGTTCTGAATTGCTCGTAGGGTGCGTATGGGAATGTGTGGGAGACAAGGAGCTCGTTGCAACCTTGGACGAAGAAGGCACGCTTCCTGTCAGTGAAGACGTTGTAGCTGTCGATCCACGCGACAGATTCTGCGGCTGCTTCTTTGTAGTGAGGGTTCGTGTATCCCTTCAGAGGGCACATGGCCAGGAGGTCAGGGAGGACGATTTGAGTTGGCTGGGAAGACATCGCGGAGAGGGAAGTAGTGGTTGGACTAGTAGGAGAAGTAAGTAAGTAGAACTTGTGGATGAGGATTTTTCGCTCTACTTCGCCCTAGATTTATAGCCAGGTAGAAAATGGTTATTCCCATGAGATTGTGTTTATTCCCGGATCGAGTGACTGGTATTATTGAGTAGGAGGAGCGAATCTGGAGATTCGTCGACACGAGTGCGTTGTGTCATTCATCTCCGGGGACAGATGAGATCAAGTAAGGCGCTATACGGCGAATGCCACTAATGGACTCCTAAGGATCAGGAACATATATGGGTTTAACGTTGCGCGGAAGGAAGAAACGGCAAGGAGCGCCGACATACTGAATACTGAAACCAGACAGCCGGACATATTGCTGCTGCAACCTCCGAGAAACCAGGCGGATATCGACAGGTCAGAAACTATCATTTCGAGACTTTCCACCTATCGAGACAGATCATTGAAATCAACGCTGTAACGGACACAGATTCGCAGCCGCCCTCTGCCCGCAGTGGGCTGTGGCTGAAATCCCTGACATTTGTTAAGCGGGATCTACAACGTTTTGACGGAGACCTAAGACCTCATACGGGACTAGGACGGCAAATTTCTCTTGAATAGATGTTCAGAAGGGGGTCCGGCACGAGGCAAAGAAATCCAAGTGGAAAATACAAGAGAGTCGTGCATCTCAGTCATCCTGTAGGTAAATAGGCCACGAGTTAAATTTCTCCCACGACCCTTACATCTCGAGATGGAAATGGAATCCAGAGGCTCGGTGGTACATGGAAGCTTTGGGGGCGGCAGAGTTTGGCATAGTCGCTAGTGTACGCCAAAGCCCACCCAGATTGGCCGAGAAACTAGGGCCAACGTACACATGTCCCATCCCTGCAGCCATCTGGTTCAACAGCGTGTCCAGATCTGCGTGAGATCGGTGAAGCGCATCAGTGGGAGGCGACGGGGGTTACGATATTGCATTCCTCTTAGTCAAATTGTTGGCATGGTTCTCACCTCAATTCACGAGTTCCAGCCTATCCGAGGCTCGCAGGGTGTGCGAACTGCTGCCGTTCGGCCTCATGTCGCGCAGGCGTCGCATAGAATACAATTGTTGCTCAGAGATGGACCGACTTTTTAAAATATATGTAAAAATCCCCGATGTGCTTGAGAAACGGTTGTTAATGGAGTGTAGTGTAATTCAGACTTTGTCCGTTACAACTTCTTTGACACATAGAGGTTTGCCGGATGTAAAATGAGCAAAGTACTCGAGCCCCAGTGGTCGACATACCTCAGCCCAGCGCGATATGTGCTTTGTCGTCGGAGCGTTTAGCTATTAATGTCGGACCGAAATGCAGTGCACTCAGAAATAGGACTCGGAGTTACGACACTGGGTATCCCTCCGATAACGGCCGGAAGACAGTCTTCACGGAATGGCATTAAAGCATTTCAGAGTACTTACTGATGCCAATGCAAAGTATGAGTCAGCCTGTCATTCCTTGTATTATCATTGTGACGTTCTGTATGCATGTACTTGAAACGATTGTCTCTTTTTATCACCCCCGAGTTGCCAGGAGAAGTAAGGATCTAACCAGTCGGAATAGACGGTGGCCTACTATCCGAGTGCTCAGAACTGAAGCTTGATCCCAGCTAGCTAGATCCAGCGAGCACTCCAGTAGGTTGTGAAGTTGCCTAATGACCTGTGGTCCATTTCTGGATTAGACGAATCAAGGTACATCAGAAGCTCCAAAGTCTGAATAAAGTGGAACACACGGTGAGTACACGCAAAGTAATATTGATGTAAACCTCAGACGCTTCTAGTTGAGTGTCGAAGTTTGTGATGCTCGGGGACACAATGTAGGCTCTCGTAGACCACATGCCCCATTCGCATGGACGCAGGTTATTTGAACACCGGGAAATGGGACCGACGGCAAGCGGACATTGCGAGACTCGTGGCCGTCAAAGATGAACATCACAGAACCTCTGTCGTGACGGCATCCGGGGAGCCGGCAGAAGTTCAAGTGGGCACGTATGTACGATCTTTGCATGCGGGGCAACGGGAGCACGGTAGTTGCGAAAATAGAATCCGGTCGACACACGCACCGATTACAGTGGATTGAGGGAAGAAACGGTAGAGAAACCTTGAAGACCAGCAGAGTTTCTGCATTTGACTACATCACACCTAATGGGCCCTCGCCGCGTGGGGTTAGGGAAGGTGAGGTACACTACAACACCCTACGAGCTTCGTATGCCTTCATACGACTGAGAGACGGAATCGTAGCCATGGATCGCTCGGAGAGTCAAGGGACAACGGCGGGCTAGATCTCTTGAGAGAGTGTTGGGCGGGTAAAGCTTGGACCCCGTCAGTAGCAATTACATTAGTTGAATAGAAGATACATATGAAAAGCGTTGGGTTGAAGCCCAAAGATACGATAACAACAGCGCCGTGAATAACGGAGTCTCATTCACAACAGTAAACCTTCAGAAGCAGATGCGATAGCTAGCATATCGACCGCTGGTTTCACTGGGTCTAGTGATTTTGACAACCTGCCCCCGCCGTAGGCCATAATACCGAGCCACAGGGTCCGCCATTTGAATCCGCGGAAGTTGCGTTTCCTTCAGCCGGCTTTATAACGTATGTAAAGATCATGGATGAGGGCATACGAAGGTGGAGAAGGCACGTACTATTTTTCTAGAAGAACTTTCTTTTCCTCAGGACTCAAGACCTCGTGCTTGGGAACAAGGGTATGGTGGGTGATGTTTACAAGTAGATCTGCCTCGGAGAACTCCTCCAATCTGTACTGAGCAGCCATCGCGACAATGACCTGTTAATTATTGGTATTAGCGTGATTACAAGATGCATGGTAATACTTACCTTTCGCGCTGACGGTGTCATATTACCGGGGAACACAATTATACCACGGTTGATGCTCTTTTCTTCGAGAATGCCGAGGAGCCTAAGTATTGAACGCGATAAGTGGAATGGAATGGTGGAAGAGACGTCGCCTTACGCACTTGCGCATGGTCTTGACGCCTACGCTTCTTTCTTCGGTAAAGAACACGAAAATTTGGTCGGTCGAATTCGTCTTCGAACTGGTGAAGAAATTCAACTGGGAGCGGCTGGTTCGGTGAGATGAGGATGCCATCTTGACGTTCCCTATGTCTGAGAGAATTCTGCTCACTCTAGGGAGCCATGGGGGGCATAGGTAGCGCGAAATGTGGCCAGGTCCATTGATATCTCCTCCTCTGAAACTAGGAAGCCCTGGAACAAGCTTGAGGGACAATCGGGGGCAACCAAGAGGAAATACGGGCTCACTCTATCATTTACAAGTTCGTGTATTGTGCGATTGACCTTCCATAGTTTAGCGGACTCGTCGCCATTCTCTGCCATGGCAGTTGTATGTTGGGAGTCACGGTGAGAAAAATTACAACTCCGATCCATCTTGCCTGGACGCGCCTTACTCGCCGCATTCACCGACCACTTTGTCTCGCAATGGCACCGCAACCGCAGCCTCAACCTGCAAACCAGAATCCCCCACAAACCATGACTTTGACCAACCAACTCATGGTATGGGTTTTCTATAGACACCTGGGCAAATGGCAGATTTCATGACCGACTTAGGGGAAATTCAAACCGGCGAAGATCTTCAAAGGCGCGGTGGAGGCTACGCCACCTCCATCTCCCGGTGGCAGGACATCGAGTAATGGACCCAAACATATCACCGGGATCTCCTTTGACGATAGAGGGGACCAAGTGATCACAGCAGCTGAGGACGAGACGTTCCGTTTGTACAACTGTAAATCCGGCAAGCAAGTTTCCCCGTTCATGTGTCAAATTCGTTAAGCCTCATCTCACCATAGGCCCTTGAAAACACTACATTCGAAGAAGTATGGAGTTGATCTACCCCGGTTTACCCACAAGAATACTTCAATTGTCCATGCGTCGACGAAGGAAGACGATACCGTACGGTATCATTCCTTACACGACAACAAATACTTGCAATACTTCAAGGGGCACAAAGATCGAGTTGTGTCACTAGAAGTGTCCCCTGTGGACGATTGCTTCATGTCGGGATCTATGGACAAGACCGTTCGACTATGGGATCTCCGCACGCCGACATGCAGAGGCCTTCTCGCTTTGCCTTCTACTCCAATAGTCACATATGATTTGTCGGGTCTTGTCTTTGCTGTCGCAGTTAACCACTACTCAAGAATTCTCCTGTACGATCACGCGAGCTTCGACAAAGCGCCTTTCCTAACCATAACTCTTGAAGATCCCACTCTTTCCCTGATCTCGTACCCCCCTCGACCTATATATATGACGTCTATGTCTTTCTCCAGTAACGGCAAGTATCTACTGGTCGGTTGCTCGGGGGATGCCCACTATATACTGGACTCCTTCGAAGGCCACTTGCTCGCGAAGCTGGAGGGGCATACTGGATTGGAGCGACGTAGAATGGGAACTCCACCATCGATTGAGCCTTCCAAAGGCAACAGTGGCGAAGAAGTCTGCTGGACGCCCGACAGCAAATATGTCATTAGCGGTAGTCTCGATGGCAAGATTGCTATTTGGGACGTGCAAGATCTACCCACGCGAGAAGGGCCCATAGACCTCAAGGTTCCTCCATTACGCTTGCAGCCCCTGGCCTCGCTAGAAGGACACCCTGGCCCGTCGAGATGCGTGAGATTCAATCCTCGTTATGCTATGATGTGCACAGCCGGCGCAGAACTGGTAACTCTAAACTATCACTGCTTCGTAGTTGAAATTCATCACTGTTTTTAGGCGTTTTGGCTGCCCGACAAGTCTGCGGACGACGATGAAGTTGCACGCGAGCTGCTAAAGAAGAAAGTACCATAAATAACATCTAATAGTAGTCGAAGCTGTATTGATTCCGTTCTGTGTATACCTGTTTGGAACCCAAGCCGATTGCACGCGTCCGTGAGCCAACATACGTGGCGACCGACTCATTCTCTGCTTTCACTGTAAATCGCGTCCACTAATTGTTTTCTTCTTTCTCTTCTCCAAGCACTCCTTTTCACAATGCGCATTGGTCAATATCTCATTGGGGCTTGCTCTCTGCTAGCCTTTCATACCGTTCTCGCATGTCCGTACTCTACGCTCCGATCAGGCCACAACCATAACAATTTTTGCAGCTTCGCCAATAGGAGAAGAAACCGAAACCGTGCCGGAGTTGTCGGTGGTTGGGTCCTTCGCTGAAAGCAACCCATTCGGTCGTGCGTAGAAGCGGTGCTCGTTGGTCCCGAATGGCCTATTCACCGTTCATCAAACAGATGTCGTTAACGGAGAAAAGAACCAGCTGTCTATAGCCGTAGAGAACAAGACACCTCGGGTTGTGACCGTCGTTAGCGTTGCGGGCTCTGTTCACCACCCGGAGACTGACAAACTCATCAAGAACGTGAGTGGTGTTGTCGCTTCCGCCGCGATTCGCGATATTGACTTCGGAACGGTAGCTTACGAGCGTCAAATACGACGTCCAAGTCCCGCAAGGCCTGAAAATAAACCTTCCATATAACTTCCATAGCGAGTGAGTGGTCATCTCCGCGTCCGATGATCTACTGTCGCTGACCATATACCCCTAGATTCAAGGTATGGTCGCAGTAGGCGCTGTTGAAACGTAAACCCATCTCACGTTGGTTTAGCCCGGAGACCTCCGCTTACGCGTATGGCTGGACCACCTCAGTGATGTATGTCGGTCCAGATCCGTCCGCCGTCCCAACTCTGACCAACCCATCCGCAGGATGAAAAACTGCGAACAGTAGCCTACGATTCAATCGTAGCTATCGTTGAACCTGAAGGTTCTATCTTCGACCTCAAACTGTGTGTCTAATATCCCCTTCACCTGCGTCTGATGTTGCTAATTGGTGGCCACAAACCCAGTTTGATTACTTACCTCATCGTCGCCGCTTTCTGTGGAGGTCTTGGGTATTTCGCCTATCTTTCATTTGTTCCTCAAGCGAAGAAACCCCGTGGAAAGGCCAGTGTGCAATCCGTAAGTGCGCCTACAGGTACAGTGACTGCTAGCGGCGCGGGCGGCTATCAGGAAGAGTGGATCCCTGAGCACCATCTCAAGCGCACTAAGGCAGGGAAGAAGGACGGTGGTTTCACAACTGGAACAAGTGGGGATGAGCTCAGTGGCGGTGAAGTTAGTGGCACCGAGGGTAGGAAACGCAAAACAAAGAAGTAAACCTGCTTCCCTGATGTGCATCCAAAAATGCTGTTAGTTGGGTTACTTAATATCTATGGGCTTGATTAACTAGTTGTGGCGTATCTATCCACGTTGATCCTCCTCACTGTGTGACCTTGCGCACACAGGAAGTATTGTTCCCGTCGTGATCCACGTTAGTCGGTGCTTGGTGCGAACCATCGGAAATTTGCACGACGAGTGGGCTTGAATGAAACTTATTTTGTACACACTAAAGGATGTAAAGAGCAACTGCTAGTGTGCTGAGGATTATTGTAAGCAGAGTGCCGTAAGCTATGGGTGCAGTGGCGTCGTTGCTGCCAGTCTCACGTTAGGGCAAACGATACCTTCAATTGTGTTTCCACGTACCTGGCCGGCGAGGGCGTGTGTGTCCCCGCTATGTCGCTTGTGCCAGAGACCTCACTTTGACCCCCTGTGGGTGTGGGAGGACTTTCATCACTTCCGACCAGCGCACTGGTGTTGAAAGCCTTGGTTGTATTAGCCTGTAATGTCCATACGATTCCGCCAAGAACATGACCCATGAATGTTTCGTCCTGTCAAAGGAAATAAGGCGCAAACTGAGCAGAGAAGGGGTGTCAACTCACCCTCCACGTTTCGTTCAGATGCCCTAAGCTTGTGTAGAAGCTGCGGCCGGACACACCACCAGAAGAGGTGCCAGCACCGTGCTCCTGGTACCATGCTACGAAAGAAGGGGCATGTCATCAAGTCAGACATATCTGATATTTATTTACCTGTTGGGTGTGGGGTGCCTTGATTGAACCTGCGAGTCCCGGTGTCTGAAAGCGGCGAGTGAATTTCCAAAGTCCATATAACACATAGACTAAATAGTGACATTACCGGAGTAGGTCGACTCGTCAACGGAGAGTACGACGACGGCGCCAAGGTCCCGGGGGTCAGATTTGAAATTGTACCTGCGAAGGTTACACGTCTCAGCTACTTGTAAGGCGCTGGGTAGATGTATTTGACCATTCGTCCCGAATTTGCCAACGGCGGGGAAGCTTATCGGTACTTGGATGAGATGGTCCGACGACATCGACGGTCTATAGGCGAGCAGGCAAGTTCCACGGAATATTACCCAAGGATAGAGTTACTCACAGCTTCCTGGAGGTCGGCATGGTAGTCGAAGTGCGCCCCTAAGCACACGCATGCTGTCAGCGCATCCCGCCGCATAATATACAAGACATGGGTATAAGGTTACGAACCAAGTTCACGCTCGTAGAACGTCGCATTGACTAGCGTGTCCGAGGCAGAGTGAACGCCGATGAAATTTCCGCCGGAGTTTAGGTATTTCTGGAAAGACGCTTTCCCCGCATCGTCCAGGACTTCCACGCCGCAATTTAATATTAAGTCTGCTGACTTCATATTTGAACTCACCTTCTCCGGTCGTACTTAGAAATAATATAGCATCATATCTCGCGAGATTTTGCTCATTGAAGAGGGCCTGATCCTCGGTGCTGTCGAAGCGAAGGTTAATTGTGTTGCTGGCGTTTTGTAAGGCTTCAATGGCCGTTGGGATGGAGTCATGACGGAATCCTCTAGTTGCTGAATAAATTAGAATTCTGGGTGACTGAGCAAAGGCGGACACGACGAGGAAGAAGACGGTGAAGGCGAATGTCAACATCAGAATCCGGAATACGATGCAAGCATCGTGCACCGGCGAAGTCAATGCATGGAACACACTCCACTGACTTAACCCACCGTTTTCGGGTAAATGTTCCCACAGTTACTAATAGGTATACCATGGATCCAATTGAATCATAGATTAGCGCTGCATATTAGGCGGTATATCTACACTATGAAGAAAACTCTATAAACTAAGCAGGGAAGGAGTGGAGGTATGTCCTCAAGTAATGCAAAGAGACGGACGGGGTCATTACTGTGGTCGACATTCGGGTTCGTGGTTGTCATCGAACTCATCGTCTTCGTCTTCATCAACCCATGCATCTTCCCCTCCACCGAACTGTGACGCAAAGCCCTGGTCAAAGAAGTCTCCAGCCGGAAAAGACCTTGAACGCACATCCACAATATCGCTCTCTTCATATGCAGCCTCGTCAACTACTACGGGCCGTGGTTCTACGTCCCGCTTTTTCGGAGGTAGGGCATTTTCCAAGACCTACCAGACATACTGCGTTGGATTGGGTAGAGGGAATAGAGGATCGTGTACATACCTTTTTGTCGACAGACTTCAGCCACTGTTCATCGGGCATCTCAATGTCAAAGATAACGTAGAGATCCCCTTTCTGATCAGGGTGTTTGTACTTCGGCATGCCCTCACCACGCAGTACAATGCTATCATGATGCTTGATGATTTTACCTGGCGGACTTCGAAGGTGTATACCTCTTCCATCAAGATGTTTGATAAGAATACGTGAAAACCCTAGGAGGGCCTCTGAAAGTGTGATGGAAACATGCATGAGCAAGTCGTCGCCCGCGCGTTCGAAGCTATCGTGCTGAGCACAACGCAAAACGAAGACGACGTCCTCAGGAGGTTGTCCAGGCTTAAAACGAATAACATGTCAAATATAGTACAGAATTCCAGATGATATACCTTACGCGCTGATCACCGGCACCAGAGAGAACAATCCGTTGTTTGTCTTCCATGCCCTTCTCGATAAAGATTTCCTGCCGGGTCTTCTCCGTAGTTGTTTTCTTTCCTTTGCATTTCTTGCATCTGCGAGACTGGTGAGCTAGGCCGTGTGAGGATCCAGTTATCTTACCGATCCTTCTCTCGAAGCTTAGAACCGGTTCCTTCACAACTGTGGCAGTTACTTCGCGATGTTCCTATCACGGAAGGAGCCACCTACGTGTTGGAGAATAGTTAAAGGGTCAAGACTCTCAGGGAATTCCCCTTACCTGTGTCTGGACGAACGTCCAGCCTTTCCCATCACAGGTAACGCAAGGCTTCGGTTTTGCGCTACCTCGCGCGCCCGATCTGAGCATTTGGGGTAAACTATGAGTTCACAGAGACTCTGAGAAAAACATGCCCTTTGCAAAGGCCGCAGACGGCTTCCTTTTCCATGTTCATCTTCACAGATTTGCCATTGTACAGGTCTTCCAGAGTGGTGTCATAAGGGATGACCGACTCTTGATTCCTCCGAGGACCGCCGAATCCAAACATTCCTGAACCAAAGAAGGCAGAGAAGAGGTCTGCCTCATTCATGCCTGCCGATCCTGCTGATCCCTCTAAACCGGCCATGCCGTGCATGTCGTATACCTCTCGCGTTTCCGGATCGCTTAGGATTTCATAGCTACAAAGAAGGTAGCAATCAGGAACCACGGAAGGCCATGACGAAGGAAGAACAAACGCAGCGGCCATCTCCTGGAACTTTTCACTGGCCCGGGGGTCATCGATGTTCTACGGAAGCAATTTATCAGATGGGAAATCCTCACAAGCGGGGTGGAACGCGTACCTTGTCCTAAATAGCGTCGTAGAATGTCAGCTTCTCCTGTGAAGGAATCACTGGGTTGGTGAAGACATACCGGGTGCTGTTCCTTAGCCTAAAGAATGTCAGCAGGACGTCGCTCACGATGGGTAGGTAGTACCTTCTTTCGGTAGGCCTTCTTTATGTCAGCTGGCAATAAAAGTATAGTTAAGCGGTCGAACGACCAAAGCTTGACAGTCTATGCACCTTCACTACCATCTGGGGCAACGCCAAGCAAATCGTAAAGCGTCGTTTCAACTGGTGCCACTGTAGTAGAAAGGTCAGAAGCCGTCAAAAACGAACATAGGACACGCACTCAGCAAAGAGCAGTGGTGGTGGAGGCGTGCAGGCCGGGCACGCGTCTCGATCACTCATTAGTAGAAAATACCGTCGGAGTTTAAAATACACCATATATAGCTTCCGAATTTGTTGCAAATCTACCACCGTTCTCTTTTGTACCCTCAACTTCTGTCTTTTTGGTTCAGTACGTGAGTCTCCGATTTTGCACCCAGCTTCATGATGTTCTTTCTTAATTATCTACATTGTCCGACTGGGTTTATCTCAGATGTGACGCAAAATCGATTCTGACCCTCTTTCTTCAACGAACTTCAGAACTGCCCACTGACTCCTTCCTTTTACCTCCAGACTATGATCAGCCGACTTCCTATAGAGACAAATGTACTGTCTTTCGATGTTAGCTCGGGGGCACATGCTGAAGGTTCCGTTTTGTGTATATAGCACTAAATCGATGAATTTCTACCTCGAGGCCGCTAAGGTGCTTGATTCGCTTGACGCAAGGAAGGGCTCTATCAAGGGCTTGCTGGGCACCGTTGTCACAAAGGACAGGAAGAGAACTGCAGCTCTCGTCATCGAAACGCTGAAATGTGAGAGACAGTTGCTTTGAAAAGAACACGCAGACGCGAGCTGGTAACAGTCAAATCGGTCATTACAGAGGTGATTTCTCAAGCCAAGTTACTGAAGGAGGAGAACAAGAAGATCAAGTCCCCAAATCTCGCATTGCTTCTCGTCCATGACCTCCTGCTGGCCAAAGGTATCCAAGCGGGGGATGGGCCCATAAAACAGGCAATTCTTCGTCACAGGACCCGCCTCAATGCAGAGCTTCAGAAGATCAAGATCAAGCGGGGCGTCAAGGACGCGAAGGATCTTGCCGTTAGCGGCGATCCGCGTGCTGGTCCGTCTTACCTCCTAGAACTCAGCTCACTAGCACCTGAGCTCCCCCTCGTTGACAGAACAGATACCTCGTTACGCACGCGTGAACACTCTACTATGGAATAGCTCCGATGCTATTGAATATTTCGTCGCCCGTGGCTTCGTGCTTTCAGGGCCGTTTGAATCAGAGTGAGTCGCCTCTGTTTCGTCATGGCTCTGCCTTATCGCCTTGCCATTAGCACTGGCTTTGGAAGGGATGCACACGTGCCGAATTTACTGCAGTTTGCACCCCGAACCCTATTTCACGAAGACGATGCGTATCTATCTGGAAAGATCATCCTTCAGGACAAGGCCTCATGCTTTCCCGCTATTGTTCTGAACCCTCCCTCCACGGAGACAGCTACCGTCATCGATGCTACATCAGCTCCTGGAAATAAGACATCCCACCTGTCCGCGCTCATGGGTGGCAAAGGCACAGTAGGTCCGAATGGCTTACACCGTGATCTGTACCTTCTGACCTTCCACTCCCCCTTGCAAGCTGTATGCCTTCGAACGGGACTTCAAACGCTTTTCCACCCTCAAACATATGCTGTCGAGCGCTAGATGTCAGAATGTACAACCTGTCAACGCGGACTTCTTGACCGTCGACCCATCGGATACACGTTTTGCTGGAGCCACACATATGTGAGACATGGATGGCATGGGTCTAGGGACAATTATCGCTGACCTCACGAACTTGCAGTTTGCTGGATCCTTCGTGCAGCGGCTCCGGAATCGTAAATCGGCTTGATTATCTCGTGGACACAGGTAATTACTCGTCCTTGCGTATTGGCAAGACCACTTATCAACTCCCTATCCTGCAGATTCCGAAAACGAGGTAGAAACCAATGATCGCCTGAATAAACTGGCCGCCTTTCAACTATCGATGATTAAGCATGCTATGAAATGTAAGGCGTTTCATGGTACATCTCATTCAGCACCTAACCCATTGGTAGTTCCCGCTGTCCAGAGAATCGTCTACTCAACTTGCAGCATCCATGCCTTAGAGAACGAACACGTTGTCAAAGAGGCGTTAGCATCCGACGAAGCTGTTTCCAATAATTTTCAGCTCGCCCCAAAAGAGGACGTTCTTCCAACCTGGCCTCGTCGAGGTCTCCCAAGCGAGATGAATGCTCCAGGTACGTTCTATGAATGGGTTGATGCTGCAAAAACATAACACCCGCTTCATAGAATCTGCCGAGTCACTGATTCGGTGTTCACCTGGCGAAGATGGGACCAACGGCTTCTTCGTGTCATGCTTCGTCAAGAGGACAAAGGACCCGATGAAGAAAAGGAAAAACCCAAGCTCCGAGGACCCGCCACGGAAGAAGAAACATAAGCAGAAACGATAATGTTACCGAGGTCTTTATCTCAGACGTGCTCATGCATTTCCATTAAGGATTAAGGATAAACCAAATCATATTAAAAACATGTACGAGCAAGCCTGTTAAGACCGCGTCAGTCGATGATTAGTGCCTACATTCTTGTACAAGCCTGAGTCGGAAAGGTGGAATACCTGTCGCAATTGCGTTGTGAACAGACGATGCAGCTGGCTGACAATATGGGTAAAGGGAAACATGGAACACGTAAGGAGCGGTGAGGTCGTGACGCAAGAGCGCGGGATCTACAAGTGAAGAAAGGTGAGGAGATTTGATTTCAGTGACCTGAGACTGTCAGAATAGTGAGTCCTGATGCGATTAGCTGGTCTGTTGCTGAGCGTATTGGCCTTGATAGTATGATGCATAATTAGCAGAGTAATCTTGGCCTTGAGCACTGTATCCTGCAGTGGGAGTGTATCCTGCCCCCGCCCACGCTTGGGCGCCATATCCACCACCACCATATCCTCCATAACCAGGGGGAGGAGGTCGATATCCTTGTTGTGGCTGAGTAAGTGCGGGCGTCTGCCAAACTTCTGGACGGCGCCATGGCGGAATGTTAGAGCCTCCACCTGTGATGTCATGGCCCGTGCTTGGTCCTGCCCAGTGTGACTTGTTTGAGTCCCCTCCCGACTCCCCGAGCTCAGCCATAAGGCTGGCGTACTCCGAATCAAACCCGCCCCTGTTGACGGCCATGGCCTGGCTAGGACTACCCATCGGAGGCGCATTCGGATCCTTGTTGACTGTACAATCGCGCGCCATATGCCCAGCGCTTCCACAGACACGACATATAATGTTTGCAGTGAAGTTGCGCTGTTCGGGGCAGTCATATTTACGATGACCAACACCACCGCAGTTCTGGCAGATCTGGTTCTCGTCATCCCGAAGAGTACCGTTGAGGGCGGCCAGTTCGCGAAGCTGGTTGCGCTTATGGTCATTCTGCCCTTCGGGAGTGGAAGCAGCCTAAAAGTCGGGAATTTTAGTTTCAGCTCAATGGAATATCATGGTGACACTGACCGTCTCAATAACTCGATTGATCATCTTGACGCACGTAGCTACCTTGTCCTCTGAATCGCCAATGACAAGGCAATGGAGGTCTTCTTCCGCGTCATCAGCATATTGATCCGGCCTGGCCTTGCCCTCCTTCACACTGCCCTTCCCTCGGATGCTAATCTTCGCACCACTCTCTCTTTCCATCTTCTTCAAGCTGTTACCACGGGGACCGACGAGCAAACCAAAGAAGTTGATTTCAGGGAACTCCTTGACAGGTATGTACACCTTCTCGGAAGGTCGCTGAGAGCGCTTTTGTTGATGATATTCGACAGGAGGGCGGAAGTTGGGATCATTTTTCATGGCGCGATCGACGAGTCTAATACGCTCGTCTTCCAGTTTTTTGCGATATCGCACCTCGCGGGTGTTGGTACGGCGACCATGGGCATCGTAAGTGGGCGGAGGGGATTGCGATCTACAGCAACAATAAGGATATATATGCACCCTGTTCTATAATGACAAACCTTTCACGCTCCGGAGGAATGAAGTCATTCATGCGTAGTTTGCGATTTATTTCCTCTAACCTAAGGTGAATAGCATAGTTGTCAAGTTGGGCTTGAGAAACGCCCGCTGCAGAAATGGCAGTAGGTAGACCGGGAATTTCTGTTTTGGCTTCACCCCATCGACTGCGTCGTTTGCGTGGGGCGTTAGGATCAACTGGAGACAAGAGATGGTGCATCAAGAAAATAAAAGTTAGTTATGTCAGCGAGAGATCCTGAGTCAGCGTAAACAAGTGAGTTCTGCGAGACGTGTGCGTTGGCAAAGCGTCGAATGCCGCTGCAAAGACCTCAACAGCCAAGCCCCGAGCTGCAGAGTGAGAACATAGCAAAGGTAGCTTACCCTTTGGGTCACTAGAGGTGGGAGACTCGTCGCGTCCTCTTTTTCCTGGGCTGTTGTCCTGATGTTGCGGTCTAGGGTACGCAGATGGAGAAGGTTGCGCAAGTTGAGGCGGGGCTGCTTCCTCTGTTGGTGCTGGGCCAAAACGGCGCCGCTGGCCCAAAGGCACTAAAACGAAGGTCAGCTCGACAACGGTGTATACAGCGATCACGACGCACCATCATTTGTTCCAGTTATCTGGCGGGTAGCTGGCTTCCACATCGTTGGGAATGTCTGACGAGGAGCTTCGAGATGATGGGAGAAAGCAACCAGCAACCTTCATGCGGAACTTTTTCGAAGTCCGCCTCCCTGCTCATTATCTAATACAATCCCGACCTCGAGTCACTTGTCCTGTGTGCTTGAACTGCAACGTCCATCATGTCTGGAAAGCGTATTGCACAAGGTCAGCTCACTGGACGCTTTGCGCTGAATCCATGCTTAGAGAACCTGCAGACGAGGTGTCTTATCCCGCGAAGAGAGCACGAAGCTCTAAGGACCAAGGAGAATATCTTGACATCGACAATGAGGACGACGTTATTCCACCCTCACCTCCAGAAGGACAGGGCCTCGTCCCTCGAGGGGCAACAATCAACTTCAGTGCTCTAACGCGAAAGTTGGCCGAGGCTAAGCGAATGGTAGACAATAGTGTGGGCGGGCCTTCCATCGACGCACACCGACGACAACAAGACGCTCTCATCTCGCACATATTCATGGATCAGGACTTTTCATGGCTACACCTCAAGCCGGATCACGCTTCAAGGCCGTTATGGATAAGTCCTGAAGACGGCCACATCATTCTCGAGGCATTTTCTCCAATAGCTGAGCAGGCGCAGGACTTCCTCACCGCTATCAGTGAACCTGTCAGCAGGTGCGTAAGCTGATACATACGTAGATACCAATTAGAAACCGTAATATAGACCGGCGTTCATACACGAATACAAACTCACTTCCTATTCACTCTACGCCGCGGTTTCTGTCGGTCTTCAGACGGAGGATATCATTGAAGTCCGTCCCTAGTTGTTCGTGTCTTCCCTAACTAACTTCATAGCAAGGTCCTCAACCGCTTATCCAAGGTTTGCTTCAACTCTGGTGTCTATTCAACTGTAACCTGACTGTAATGACGGAAGGTCCCCGTTCCTGAAAGTATCATATCCTTCATTCGCGAACGGACGTTGAGCTACGGGAAGGTCAAACTTGTGTTGAAACACAATCGGTATTTCATTGAATCAAGTCATCCCGAAACCCTTCAACTACTTCTGAAAGATCGAGTCATTCGCGATGCCCGTATAGTCACCCCCCAAGCTGACAATAGTATCATGGCCTCCACCTTTACCACCAGCAAGGCCCCGGTCAAGGGTGGCCTAGTGATACCAGGGTCCCGGGAAGCTGATAAACGCAAGGATGATCAACAAAATGGGAAACCCGCACTCGGCGGTGCATCCAAAGATGCTGATATATTTACTTCCGTGGTCGGTGTTGATGGTGGTGAATCTTCATTTCGTATCGTACATCCCCCACCCACTCAATGACATTATCATAGATGAAGCAGACGAAGACGACGACAATGTCCACGCCTTCGAGATCAATGATACAATGATAGATGTATGTTGGCGCGTCGGCGGGGTTTTACATTTATCAACTTCCTTCTGTAGGACGTCAAGAAACGTTGCAACGAACTTGAATACCCTATGCTTGAAGAATATGACTTCCGTAATGACACAATCAATCCAAATTTAGACATCGACCTCAAGCCAGCCACCATCATCAGACCGTACCAGGAAACCAGTTTGAGCAAGATGTTTGGGAATGGGTAACGATTTTCTCCCAGTCACAGCCCGACGTGCTAATTAACGGGTTGCTAGGCGCGCTCGATCTGGAATCATCGTACTTCCATGCGGTGCTGGAAAGACATTAGTCGGCATCACGGCGGCTTGTACTATCAAGAAGTCGTGTCTGGTGCTTTGCACCTCGTCGTAAGGCTTTTCCATCGTTACGAAACGCTGCCTCTAACTCTTTACAGGGTCTCAGTCATGCAATGGCGCCAGCAATTTATGCAGTGGTCTAACATCACGGACCGTCAATGCGCGGTCTTCACGGCAGATCAAAAAGAAAAGGTAAGTATCGCCGAAGCATCAAGTGGGTAAGCGCTCAATCTTGTCGCATCTAGTTTGCTGGAGAAAGTGGGATCGTTGTCTCAACGTATTCCATGGTTGCTAACACACACAACCGTTCGCACGAGTCGAAGAAGATGATGGACTTCTTGACATCGAGGGAATGGGGGTTCATCCTACTGGACGAAGTGCACGTTGTTCCCGCTGCGATGTTTCGTCGAGTCGTCACCACCATCAAGGCACACTCTAAACTTGGCCTCACTGGTGAGTGGAGTTTTCCGACTTTTGAGTGGATCGCCCCACCCCTCCCTCTCATGCCTGCTCCCACATGTCGCTGAATACATGCGAACACTGCGTTGATATTTCATTCTCAGCAACCCTGGTACGTGAGGACGATAAGATTGCCGATTTGAACTATATGATTGGGCCGAAGCTGTACGAAGCAAACTGGATGCAAGTAGTGTGTCTGCTCGGGCGGTATGTTGCTTATCACTCAAACCAGGGACCTTGCCGCAAAAGGCCATATAGCCAATGTGCAGGTACGACCGGAAATGCTCCTACGTCTTGACAGCCGTAGGAAACTCATCACCGTGGTCCATTCACTCGCAGTGCGCAGAAGTCTGGTGCCCAATGACCCCAGAATTCTATCGTGAATATCTACGGGAGCAATCACGGAAGGGCATGCTTTTGTATTGCATGAACCCCAACAAGTTCCAAGCGTGCCAGTTCCTTATTAAGTACCACGAAGACAGAGGAGACAAGATTATAGTCTTTTCGGACAACGTGTTCGCCCTCGAGGTAGGCATACTCCGCGGTGGCATAGATCCGTACTGAACTCCCCGACCGGCATGTATAGGCTTATGCCAAGAAGTTGAACAAGCTCTTCATCCACGGGGCTGTCGGGCAAGTCGAGCGTATGCGTATCCTTGCCCGGTTCCAACATGATCCAAGGGTTAACACTATCTTCCTGTCAAAGGTGAGTAATGAATCCATATTCTTTGTTCCCTTCGAACATTGTCTCCTAGGTGGGAGATACATCAATCGATCTGCCAGAGGCAACTTGCCTCATCCAAATATCTTCACACTTCGGTTCGCGCCGTCAAGAGGCGCAACGGTTAGGTGCGCAGATTGATCCCCGCTATCGTAACACAGCCGTCTAACTTTTTTAGGTCGCATCTTGCGAGCGAAACGGCGCAACGACGAAGGCTTCAATGCCTTCTTTTACTCACTTGTATCCAAGGATACACAAGAGATGTTTTACAGCACGAAGCGCCAACAATTTTTGATTGATCAAGGTTATGCGTTCAAAGTTATTACGCATCTTGATGGCCTGCAGGACCTTCCTGAATTAGTATACAAGTCGCGCGATGAGCAAATTGAACTCTTGTCGTCGGTGCTGCTGGCCAACGAAAGCGAGGCGGACCTAGGCTCCGACATCCGAGCCGGCGAAGGCGACCTGGCAGGTACGGTTACTTCGAAGGACTTCGGGCCAACTAAATTTACGGCGGCCCAACGGACGACCGGATCGCTAACGGCACTCAGTGGGGGTCAACATATGTCGTACGTCGAACAGAACAAATCGGCTAACAAGAAGCTGGTTAAAGAAGCTGCGCCTCGCCACAAGCTGTTTGCGAAGAGGGAGAAGGATAAAGTGGCTGCCAGGAAGGAAGCTAGAGCGTAGGCTAAGACGATTGTTTGTGCTGTGTTTAAAGTTAGGCAGTGGCCGGCTGCATCGAGGTTCGCGGCTTCACTAGTACGTCGCGTGGCTACCAGGACCGCTACCAGTATAAACCTTACCTTCATATTATCATTTCTACCGAATCTTGGCATTTTTGTGGCAATTTTGCAGGAATCGGTGGCTGGACGTCCTCCAAGACACGTGAGGTATGTCTGAGTTTGAACTGAGTATTTTTCGCGATCGTTCATTGACTCCGCACTAAGCTCAGGAGGGGATTCCTAAAATGAGGCAGAAGCTGTCATCAGGAAAGTTAGGCCAAAAATCAAGATTGGCATCGAACTGCGAGATTCAGACATAGGGGATGCCCGTCGCGCGCCGTGTCCTATCGGAGTAAGTGCATAATTATTTTCCCGCCCCGTAGAAAAAATAAACTGGTTGCCTAGCTTGTGGTAGGTAAGCAGTCTTTGTTTGCCCCCCTCAAAGGACAGGAGACCAGGTTCCAGGCGCCAGTCTACGGCAACGAACAACGGCGGACAGGGTCGGCCCAATAGGGGAACAGTTAAGGCCAGACCTGTGAACGATCGCGTTCATATTGGATCTAAGATTCGCCTTCGGCGGTCCCCTTTATATGTTGTTCCAACTCTTCCACTATCTTGTTGCCCAACATTCTCGCCACCCAACCACTCACGCCTACCATGTCCTCTAAACGAGGCCGCAAGCGCAACGACAATCTACCTCCAAACCGTGCAAGAGATGTGCAGAGGGCTTTCAGAGCCAGAAGGGCGGCCCACTTAGAGGTATGTGCATAATTTGCTATATGTGAAATAGATCTCAATTACCAACTTTTGGACAACGCTAGGCTTTGGAGCAACGTGTCTCTGAACTCGAGGAGGAAAATGACTGCCTAAGACAGGCATTAAACCTGCCGCCTGCCAACCGTCCTCTGCTGGGCAAAGGCCCGACGGGCAAGGATAAACCCAAACTCAACGAGAGTGCTCAGCTCTTCAGTTCAAGTCGCGATTCGTCCTCAGCAGATGCCGATTCTCCCACATCCACTCGCACCAGCTCTCTATCGCCGTCCGCTATCACCGCGTCGATGCCATCCAGGAGCGTCCAAGTCGTAGATGCCACTGCTCCCTGGGAACCACTTGTTGTGAACGACCATGCAGACTCCCAGTTGTCCACAGCCTCACCGACATTTCAGCTTCCCCCCATGTCGGCGCCACTCCCTTCAAAGCCATTCCAATACCCTTCAGTGTATCACTCCCCTCCCATGCATGCGATGTCACCGGCGGCTCGCCATTCGATATCGGGTCCTTTGTATACCATGGACTCGCAGACATTCGCCCCTCAGTCAGAAGACAGACCGATGTCGACCACGTACGGGAGCAACGGCAACTACATGATGCGTATGGACGGCATGCGTGAGCAACAGCGACAGCCTGACTATTCCTATCATCAATCACCATACGATTCCCATACTGCAAGTAGTATGTCGGCCGAAAGCCCACCAGCGACGGCACCAGCCCACTCCCAGTCCCACCTCTCGCAGCGGGAGTCATATTCGGCTTCCCTCGCATATCCCCATCGCCGCTCCCAGACCGAGCCTCAGTACTCTCTCGGGTTTTCTCATCTGCCACCACCTCCTCCGTCGCAAAATCTCATGCGCCCGCAGTCACCGCTGCGGCTACAAGAGAACGGCATGCAACCCCACCCCCAATCATATCCCAGGCATGCAACATACGCGCCGGATGGGCGTCTGGACTCTCTCTCATAGTCGGCATCTCGCGCGTTGCATGATGTAGTCGCTGATGATCTTGGACTATTCTTACGTATATACATTAACCTGTCGACACAGCATGTATCGTTAATTCTTACAATGTGTTCAAAGTCCATAGAGTTGTACTATATCATTACTTGGCTGTTTTAAATTTACATTATTTGCTCCTAACGATTTTTGGCGACTGGAGTGGCACTTCGCCGGTGAAGTAGTCTGGTGGCGCGGCAGCCTGCAGGCACCTGTACTTAGAACCCCAAAACGGACGCCCACGTGGAGACGTGAGTTCCTGCAAACTCCCTGAGGGCGTGGACCCTCGGACTAACCCATCAGAACCGACATTCGGTTAAATTTGGAAGGAATCGGAGTTTCCACAGCCAAAAACTAACCAAAACAAAGTATAGCACGGTCAACATTGTACCCATCCCGCACTCCTAAATAACTGAGAGCAAGCAGTCCGCGGATGAATAAAAATGTTAATTACAGTCTTCGGAGTGACTGGTAAGTTAGTAACATTGGGAGGTGAAACAGTACTATCCGTAAACCGAAGAATATACCAGAAGGCTAATGATTTGCACGGAAGAAATCCATGGCAACCTGAGTCTAACGGAGGATTTGGCGTGCGGTGCACACGCCCGGGTTTTATGCGTACAGCTGGGCAGCATCAGCCAACCCATTCCAGTGTCTCGACCGAATACCTTCCCAACCATTCATTTAGCGGTACCCCAAATTGCTCTATTTGCAGAGGTGGGCTTTAAAGGGGTGAATGACACTTGGGCCAGCAATGTGTTTCGAGCAGTCGCTGACAGCACCGGTAGAAATTAAAGTTATTCAGTATGCCATACATGTTCAGAACCAGAGTAAAGAGGTTGTTTCATCAGCTGACCTTATCCAGTTGGACGACTCTCTTCGCCGCCCAGTTTCCCCAAGCAAGGAAGACGATGCCGCGGCCCATACCGCTCTTGTCGGATCCAGTTTGATCATACGCCCTAGAAGGAAGGTTAGCACCCCCATAACTATCAACCATGTCCACGACTCTGTCCGTGGAATTTTCCCAGCCCTGGTTCAGTGTGAACCAGCTTGGCCAGCCCACACAGTAAGACAGGTGTTCAACATAAGAACCCCATTAGATGCCCATGCTGTCAGATTTCTGGCGGTATCAAGATAATGGCGTCAGTGTATCACCACGATGGACGGCACGAGTAAGTACTTACCCATGTTTCGGGGGTTGGAATTCGGGATACTCCGCCTGAAGCTCTGCACGGTCTCGAGTCAAAAATATTAATGCCGTTAGCTTGCTTTCTATTCGTTCGTGGCAAATATTGGGTGCGTATCTGGCGGAATGGCTAGGCCTGTCGGGATAGAAAGCACTACACAGTGGCGGATCAGCCCTGTACATCTTGTTTCGTGCTTACAGCCACGGCCACTGTGATAGCCCTGGCCTAGGATACCCTGCCCAAGATCAAGCGTAGGTATTTTTGCCGTATCACATACGATATGAGGAAGTCGTTGAATACTAGACTGGGCGGAAACCCACGGTGGGTATATTCGCTGAGGGAGAAGTGTCGTCACTCCTCAACCTCCGGTCCCACCGAAATTCCTTGAGAGCCAGGAAACGCGGTTTCTTGATCTCATCAACGGGTGCTCTTGACCTAGATAGATGACATGAGTTCCTGCGTTCTCCGCTACTAGGTGATGCATACTAACCTTTCCAACCACCCGGGTTAAAAAAACCAAGTACCTCCTTCCACTCGTTAGTGAGTAGTACTCTGTGGTAAGAGGCATTTGTGGAGACAGGTCGGAATGATGGGGTCCGGCCTTCGAAGCGCTCAATCAAGTGGGCGTGACGCCAACAAACTGGTCCTCCTTATGAGTTGGTTGGTATTGATAGCTTAATTCCCTTTTCGGAACTCTTGGCACCTGAACTCGTTCGTGAACCAGAAAACACATCTTGACGAGAATACATTGCCGTTATTTGTTGGTTGCTTGAGGCGGGGATTCCTGATGTATGGCAGACTGAAAGCCACCTGTTGGAACGCTGTATAAATATCTTCGAAATATATCTGGCTTATGGGTCGTGACCAACGCCAAGTAGAAGGACACTCGGACGATCGACTATTGGCGAGCGCTCATCTCATCGACATTTATAGTACGCACTTCAAGTTGACCAATTGTTTTCCAATACAGGATGTAGCAGGTATAGAACGTAGTCGATACTATCATATATATCCTTTCTTTATTCCTTTTACCAGAAGACAGATGCAAAGTCGGGGCAAGACCCCGCGTGCAAGGTTTCTATCTGTAGTCTAAAGGTGTGTCAAGTACGCGTCATGTTTCGAGATATCAAGACCCATGAGGACAGATGCGCGCTCGGGGCATTGGAACGACAAAGAAATCGTTGTTTCAATATGACAAGCATAGCTTCAGGCTCGGGTACTGAAGTACTTTCAAGTTGAGGTGCGAAAGTGGTCCCGGCGCTTACTTTATTTGTCTTTGCTTTGTTAGGAAATCACGAGAAAGATTGTGTGAGCGCGTGGTCGTACTGCACCGTCCGCTGTCCAGGGTGCATCTGGTAGACTCAACCGTTCGACCTCAACGTCAACATCGACCTTGAAATACCCGACATTTCAAGCTGCCGCGTTCACGCTCATCTCCAAGTCCGCCACGCTCTGTGCAGGCCGTAGTTCGTGATGGGAGGAAGAATACCATCACAGACGGTGGCCGCTCTGTGGCAAGGCGCAAGCCCAATTGGTATGTTTTGCAGGTGCAGCCCACGTCGCCAGATGCACCGCCCTTGGATTGGAGTACCAGTTACCAGGCAGGATCGTCCAGGTACGTCCTCATTTCACGGTTGGCTCCGTTTCTAGCACTTATTAGACCCGGCCTAGCTCGGCGATGTACAGTAGCAGTGACAATGACAGCTCTACGGAGGAGGAATCGACCCAGACCTCTCGCGGACGAACAAATGTTCTGCGCCGACGCTCTGGTGCTGCTAACAGCCAGCAGTCGCGTGCGGAAAGCAATCATCCGCGGGTGCCACCAGTTCAAGTGTCAGGCCCAAGAAGCGATTCGCGGAGTCGTTCTCCTCAACCAAAACGACACCTATCCTTTACTAGGTCTCGGTCACCTGCCCCAAGGCCGCTTACATCGTCAAACCTTGAACCCTCTTCGCGGCGATCGACGGCCTCCATGAACTTGTTCTCCCGACTCTCTACGGCTTCAGCCCATAGATCAATGTTACCCACAGCAATAGAACTTGAAGTACCACTCTGGAATAATTTGTCAAGCATGAGTATATATATTGACGCAAGGCGAGGGGCAGAGTGCCTAATATTGCTTGCGTCGACGGTCGTTGCGGCCGGAAAAATCGCGAGTCTACGAACCACAGGCCCGGCGCCGTACACGTATAGCGATGATATCCTATGGGCATCAATAGGTGAGTTACAGCTAACTGCGTGGTTATTGAGAAACCAACTCCTTCGCGCCAGAACTCTGGTTATTATCCATCGCCTCCTTCATATATATAATATGGGCACACACCTCGATATCAAAGCATCCATCAGTTTCAGCAGCATTGCCGAAATTAATATCATTCTCTCCACTCGCTCTTCGTTTTCATTACACGAACTCCGGAGGCCGTCCGACCGATGTACGAGAAACTAAAAGGAGTCCGGCGCCCCCCGTCGTCCGGAAGTCTGACTTCGGGTTTATCTGGATGTCTGTTCCTAAAAACTACAGGTGAGTTTATTTCTCAAGCCTATATCATCATCTCATGTCGTTTCAGAGAGTCCTCTGATGATGGCATTCTGACGGCGTTGCTGTTCGGGCCACTTATTGCATCTGCGCTGCTATATTCATCTCTGCAACGGGCTTTCTCTCCTTCCAATCAAGATCTACTACCTACTGGATGGCTTATAGAACCTCCCATCCAACTTCCTCGCCAAACCGACGCGATCAATATCTTAGGCGCTCTAATTGGCTCACGGTTCAATATATTGGATATCTCGACTCTGTGTTCTACTCTCCTCCTCATCCACGTTTGGTCATCATCTTGGCTAGAAGCACAACATAGTCGTCGCGCTAACGCCCCTGAAGGCGAGCGAAGTTCTGTCCCTCGTAGCGAGGGAAGCAGGCTCTGGTATTATGTCCTGTTTACCATCGGTGTATCATCCGTGGTGCTCGGCCTAAATCTCTGGTTGGAATCCGCAAAAATAGGTCTATGGCAGCGTGCGCAATTTCACTGGTCTTCTCCCACTGTGTAATCACCATAAATCTATAAATCTAGACATGAGCCAGTTCGAGCTGCTGGTATGCAGCTTCTTCTATCAATTCACGCTTTACGCGGCGCTACGCCTTGCCCATCGTGGCTTTACCATTGGAGAATTGGGTCTTGTGTGTTTCGGAGGCACTGCATTGTTCATGGAGTTACTCAATATCACCATGGCACGCGTTAGTCTTCTTATTGTCATCTTACACCTCCTATTAACGATGCTAACCATAACATGATAGATTTGGCCGGTCACTACACCATACATCAAGACCTACCGTCTGCCTACGCCACTCTTGGTATTCCAGGTCGCCCTCATTGCAGGATCTTTTCTCACGGGGTTTATGCTATCTCCCTTCCTTATCTTGTCTCGTCACATTGCTCAACGCCCTGTACGCCGCCTCCGACGGCCGGAAGAGAAATTACGCCAGCGGCGCCAACTTGCTCTTGGATTTTATGTCGGAACGGTCCTCATCGTTGTGGGGCTCATCGGTATGTGGGCACGATGGTGCCTTGGCGATCGTGATCCCTGGCTTTGGGCAGTGTTCTTTCTACTCGAAGGGCGCAGGAAATGGAGTCGACCAGTGTTGCTAGCCTATTGGGGACTGCTGGTGTCACTCAGTGTGGCTGGGTGGAATAGACAACTCGCCCGATCCCGCAGGTTTAAGCCTCGAAGCGCAACATCTGACGGTGTCACTGCCTCCGAAACGAACACGACCAGCCAAGCTGATATAGCATCCACGAATGGAGCCAGTCCAGGGCCTTTGAGTCTCACCTTCCCCAATCTGAATGCCTTGCCCAACGCCTCTCAGGTCACCACGGATCTTCTGGATGCGGCCGACAAACATGTTCCGACACTAAGCCTTAACGCAAGAAGGAAATATTTTCACGCATTAGCCGTGGTCATGTTCGTCCCAGGAGTTGCAATCGACGTATGTCTTACCGTTATCATTTCGGCCAGATGTGGCTGACGACTTGCACCTGATAGCCTGCTTTCACACATTTATCGCTGAGTGTCGCCTTCGCCGTCTTTACGTTCGCCGAGTATATCCGATATTTCGCGGTTTATCCGTTCGGAGCTGCAATCCATGTGTTCATGAACGATTTCCTCGATCACAAAGATAGCGGGACGGCCATCCTCAGCCACTTTTACCTTCTGACAGGATGCGCTGGTTCTCTATGGCTTGAGGGGTAGGCCATTGCTTCCTAAGCCGAAAACAATAAAATCTCACCGTCTCCAGCCCATCACACCTTTCACAATTTACGGGCATTTTGACTATCGGCGTGGGCGACGCTCTAGTAAGTAGCCGATAAATGGCGTTGTGTCTAGATGATTAATTAATCTCATAAAGGCATCCATTATCGGAAAGCGGTTTGGCACTCACCGGTGGTCGCCTACCTCGCCCAAAACAGTGGAAGGAAGCATGGCACTCACCGTATCAGTTGTTGCAAGTGCCTGGTTGCTTCGCATTTTAGGACTGGTAGAACCCTTCTCTGTGAGTCATCTTCCGTGGTTCGGTTGTCCATTCCATCTGATACCTCGGCTAGACCGTACAATACGCGGCCACCGTAGCGATTTCTTCAGTTCTAGAGGCCCTTTCTGTTCAGAATGACAACCTTACTCTACCGTTGTTCATGTGGAGTATACTACAGTTTCTAGGGTAATGAATGCGCACTCACTGTTAAGTTTGGCGATCCTGAGAGCAAGAGCATACGTTTACAGTTTTACAGTGTACAATGAATGGCGTGGGAAGCCGGCGGTTAACAAACTCCGATCGCCGCCTCGAGCGAGTAATTTCCTTATACGTGCAGTTGAGGGCAAAAAGAGCAGCTCAGATTGTCATTTTGGGACAGACTCTGATTTTGATGCGAATTATTTTATTGTAGATGGTAGATGTACAATCTAGAAACGATCGGGGAAGATGACTAAGTATGTCATAGCCCCTGAGCAAAGCCTTCCTGATCCTTCATCGCGTTCCTGGTACATATGGTGGTGTCTAGCTTTTATGATTGTCCGATTACATTGTCCCTCGAGCTGTAGAGGATATGCTGATGCGGAGGGAAAGGTACCGTGCAGGAACCAAGAAAAAACCCTTGAAATATACAGGTCATGTTATGCCGAGTTTATGGAACATATCTTCAAGCGTCTTGAATGCTACTGGCTTGACGAGACTAAGGTAGCGTTCGTTAGTCGGCGCGACGTTAGGGTAGCGTTATACACATACTAGCCGTCTACACCCGCTTCAAACGCCCTTCTCTTATCCTCTAGCGAGGACATACCTGTTAGTGCTAAAATACATGCCCGAGCAGGCTTGTTGTCGGACTGCTCGCGAGCAGCCTCAATTTGTCTAATTTCGGAAGTGGCTCCAATACCTAGCCACCGTTTTGTCAGGATAGACAACGCTAATGAAGATCGCACCGACCATCTAAGACGGGCATAGACAGGTCAAGCAGGACCACGCTGCAATATTAAGGGTGAGGCACAATAATGGAGACAAAAAAACTGTACTGTTGCTCACTCAAAAGGACCCTCGGCTTGATAGATGTTGACGCCATCACGACCATCAACGGCATCCCGATAATCATATCCCTGGAAATGATGTAAACGAGTTCACGAGTACATTGTCAAAGTCCTGACCTTTGTTTTCAGCCATCGGACTCTGTGACCGGGCAGTAAGAAGTTGTAAGCCCCATATAGATAGATGTTGGACTTTACATACAGCAAGGTCCGAAGGATACTATTGTCTTCAACTACAAGCACACGAAACCGACGTACAGCGACGTCGATTGTGCCTACTGAAGACTTTAGCAAGGTCCCACCGTTACCGATAGGGATCGTCGGGCCAACTATTTCCGGCTCGGGGGATTCGTCAGCCTCTATAGGGGAGACGAGTGCCTTCCAAGACGTTACTCCTGGGTGAGCCGTCGATGATCGAGGGAAGAAAGGTCGAGAGCCGCGGATGGTGCTTATTTCTTCGGAATTTCTTCGAGGGATAGGTGAACCAATGACTCTAGACCCTTCGGTGTTTGGGTCCCCCGACGGAGAGATACTTTGCGATCGAGTGACGATTTTGAGAGCATGCATAGCTAAGTTCAAGATCGTGCGCAGTCGCGATGGGCCTCCGGGTTTGTAAACGATTCGGCAGAAACCTCCTATGTTTTCGTGGTCGCTAGCGATGGCCATTAAGGCCGGGCTACCTCTTAATGCCGAAAATATGAGGAAGGGCCTAGCAGTATCTCGCCGTTCCGTGGCGGCCACAATGGCGGACGGATCGTTGTTGATAATGACGATGTCTCCTAATCCGGGGTCTTCTGTCTGAATGGCGTTGAACCCCCACCACGAGACGAGATAATTTCGAGTGACGGTAAACAATAACTGGACACCAGGGTGTGATGTGTCGAACCCAACCAAGGCGACTGTAGGCGGATTGTTGGGGTCGTCAAACCGGAACATGTCCGTCGAGGAGGGCAAATAACCTCCCTCATCGGTGGGTAGTACGTCCGCGGAAAAGGTTACTTTGAGCTCCGTACCTAGCCCTTCTTCACTCCATACATCGACGGTACCGTTCACACTATCCGAGTGGACAATGCTATTGACGATCGCCAAACCGAGGCCGGTTCCGGTCTGTAGTGGATTTTCCTGCGAAAAAGGATGGAATAGCTGATTCTGGAAGAATTTGTGTCAATAGAATGGATTTCCCTATTTTTGTTAGGTAGACTCTGATTGAACGACAAACCTTCAGAAAACTTTGGCTAATCCCCTAGGAAGGATCCTGACGTTAGGTGGGGTTCCAAAGGAATAAATAGAATGTTCCGTGTGCTTACCTTTCCCGTATCACAAACACCGAGTTCGATCTTCACTCTATTAGGTGGATCGTCCTTGCTTGAGGGTAATTGGCGCAGGATGACATGGATAAAGCCATTCTAACACCACGACCACAAACACGAGGCAAGGGAGAATAATAAGCAAGCAGTGCGACCATAAGGCAGCGTGTCCACTAACTGAGGTAAACTTCAGACTATTCCCGAATAAATTCATCAACACCCTCCGAATGCCTCCCCTTTCGCACTTTAGGAGCCAACCCTGACACAAGCAAAGCCAAACAAGATTAATTAGGAACTGATAAGCGAGAAGGAATATCCACGCACCCCTTCACGATGACCGATGTCTACGACGGTCTCTACGAGATTACGCTTCGACGACTGGCCGTTACCTGCGTCTTTCTCCGGTGGAGAATATACGCTGCCAATAGCAGAGTCGCGCATAATTTGGGTTCGGGCGCGGTAACCCACCCAACAACCGTCGACTGCTTCCTCCACAAGCTGCATCAGATCAACCCTTGATCAATAATGAGTCGGTGCCACAAAGACCATGAAAAGTTAGTACGGGCAATTTTCCGTTATTGTTAATATAGGAAAAGGTTTTAGCGTTGAGATCACGACTTACTTAGTGGGCACAATGACCTTCTCGACGCCTCCAGATTTTGAGTTTCCGCTCAGTTTAGTGAAATCTAGGACATGGTTGACGGTTTCGACGAGCGATGTACCGCAGGCTTGGACGGTTTGAAGGAATGAGGCTTGGCTGTGGTTTAGCGGGGTATCTGCCAGAAGTTCGGCGGCGGCGAGAATCTACATGTGAGTCAACGGAACCGTTAGCCGTGGCAACAATTCATTCGACCGAAGTTACGGACCCCGTGAAGCGGCGTCCTGAGTTCATGCGAGATGCTAGATGGTAGAAATGAAGAAAATGCGTCATCTCAGATGTAGACCGACGCGCGGAGACGACACATACTTGGATATGAACAGGCTCTTCGCCTTATCCGCTAATGCCATCCTGCGTTTCAAAACAGCGGACAGGATAATTACCCCGATAGCCCTCAGATATGATAATTCGTGGCCCTCCAACTAATCGAGTGCTGAACATTCGCTTCCAGGTATGGCGTTGAAAAGGTCAGATCACGTACGAATCTTTTGGTATGCTCCGATGCATTGTAGGCACAGAGTAAGGCGAACGGCCTCTTGTCAACATTGAATATAGGGACGGCTACTCGTTCCGACAGATGAACGCCGTCAGTGACAACTCAATAGGATGCACAGCATCAAATATGCAGAGCATAGAGACGAATAACCCAGCGTCCGATCATCGCAACAATGGCCGGGGTGGAAGGGAAATAATGGACGTGGAAGGAAAACTCATAAAACTCACTTAGTGCATACTGGATCCTTGTAGGCAAGAACGGCCTGAACGCCGGTGGGACGATTCCTTCCGATATCTTCCCGTCTGGGTGTTTAGCGAAGTAATCTACGAGGCGACTGTATTCTTCGGGCGTGAGTTGACGAGCAGTAGTTTCGCCTGACGCGCAATGTTGCGGGGTGAAGTTGTCATGTGGTAGCGTGTTGGATCCCGAGGAAGAGGGAGGAGGCGCGCTACTGAAGGATGGCAATGCAAGGGGCGTGCTGGGAGTCGGTGTACCATGAGCACTATCGTTCAACTCGCCATCCGTATTGTCGACGCAGCTACCCCCTGCGGCAGCTACATTCACTACAGGCTCGCCGTGATGAAGAACAACGCTGACGCTCCCCTCCGAGTTCAAACTCTCGAGAACCTCGCAATGGCTTACATCCACCACAATGACCCCCTCGACATCCAAGGTCTTCTTCACCAACTTGGCAGCCCGAGAGTAGACCTTATCCATCGATGCACCAACGATACTATGAGGCTGGTCCGGGCTTACGGCTTGGGCTTCAGAATCGATCTCGAGACATTCGCGAGAAAATTGCTCCATCTATCATTGGGCGTGTGTTATGATGGGGAGAGCCGCGAATAGCGGGAGACCTACCGAATTCTGTATTTTATCTCGTATGCGTAATTGGATCTATGCATCGCAGCAAACGTCAGCGACAGAAAAAAGGAATAAATCGACTCGACGGCGATAAAATCGTTACCTTGTCCCTCCAAAGTTCCATTTCGCGCATCGCAATGGCCTATAACCACCACCATGTCCAAAGCGTGAGCTCAACGAAGAGGCAACACGGAAACGAGAGATAGTCACGTACCGCAAATTCTTTGAGCGTATGTCTTTGTCTCGGGGAAAACTCTTCCCGAGGCGCATCGTCGATTACCATCAAACTATCAGTTTGTACATAACCGTGACAACAGAGCGAGGATAGAAGAATTATGTTTGGAGTGTTCCAAGTGCAACCGGTGCCAACGTCACCGAACGCAAGCAAAGTCAGCGAGGAACAAGCAAACAGGCGTCAAAACCGATCCAGTCCAGTCCAGTCCGAATGTCAAGTCGCGTAAGGTCGAAGTCGTGTGAACAAGGTGGGGAGGTGGGGTAACACCGAAAGGAATGCGAACCAGGCAAATTACCGGGTTACGGTTACCAGAAGGGACAAGATACGATGTCATGTTCAGATAATAATAACCCAAGTAGAGGGATTGGTTGTATTGGGCGGTGATGGTGGAGGTGTAGGTGGGGGGTGCGGTGATGTCAATGATGGTGATGCAGATATCCATCGGATGCAGATACGAAGATAGCGCGAGTACAGGCATCGTAGGTTGCGTAAGGAGGACGCATGGATCGTGGGTGGATACGAGGGAACAAGTGCGAATGAACGCAAGAACGCATGGGTAGGGTTGACGCATGATGGAGCCGGGTCGGGTCGGGTCAAGTGGGGGCGAATCGACAAAGTTCGCAAGGGTCGTTTACCACATACCGTGGGTCAGCAACACCGAAGGGAGAATCCGAGGCGCAGGCGTCGACGAGTGCGATCATCAAGTACAATCCGGATTCAGGGTAGGCAGGGGGGTTGAGAAAATGGGGATGAGTGGCGTAGTCAAGTGGAGAATGGGGAATAGAGAGTGGGGAGGGTAGGTCAATGGGGGAATGGAGAGCCGGCGGGTAGCGTGCAGCAGATTACGCGAGGCGTTGACGACGAGTTGAAGGTCCGGAATGCAACACATGCACATAGAATAGTTCGTTCGTTCGTGTTCGTGTTCGTGTTTATGTTTGTGGGGGAGGGTCCACGTCGTCGATACGTGTGAGCGAGCGAGACAATCACGCACGCGATCGAGCCAGGTGATGTTACAGAGTGTGATAGGTGGACAGACCGGTGGATAAAGGGATGGATTTTAGCGGTGTTAAGGAATAGATGGGCGAGCGTCATCCATGGATGGCCAGGGAAACCATCAAAGCGAGGAGACATTGAGGGTTGATGTCGTCGAGGGGGAGGGATGGAGAGATTAGCGAGGGTTGTTTGGGAGATTGGGGAGAGATAGAGGGAGAAATTCGTCAGCAACCGCGTATAGATCGAGGAGGATTTAATTTAAGAAATAAATGAAAACAAGAGGGAAAAGAGTGGGAGGATTGCGAGGAGAGTGAAGAGGAGGAAGAAACGAGTGACGGAGACGGAAAGGACCAAAATAAAGAAATGAGTGAGATTGAAAACTCAGAGAAAATAACAGAAGATGCAGAAATGAAGTAGAAACGAAAATTTAAGAAGCCCCACCCTTCTCGCCTTCCTTGCATTCTCGCGTTCTGCCCCCACTCACCTCACCACCCCACTTCCCAGCGTATCGTATCGCATCGCATGGCGAGAAAGCGAAATGAGAGTGGGAGCAGGCGAGAGAGCAAACAACGAGTATGTAAGATGCAAGGCAAGTGCCGAGCGAAGAACGAAGTAAGGGAGATACCGAGCGAAGGTCGAAGAGAAATGAGAGAAGAAGAGAAGTCGGACGGCGATCAAAAGAGAAATGAGAGAAGGCTCAGATGGGAGGAAGTGGAGGGAGAATAGCACCCATCGGTCCGGCGAATATGCTCGAACATGGTGGATGCGAAGCAAAATTTTAAAAAAAGGGATATGGGAGTAAGGGAATGAAGGGAATGGTGGGAAGGTAGGAGGTGGAGGTAGGCGGGTAGGCGCGAAGATACGGCGATCAAAGCCCACAAACCCTCAAACCGCAGCCGATGAAGAACACAGAACTCCATAGATTGTGGCCGCGAATCTCGCCAGCTCGCGTACGGCGAGTAAAGCACGGGTAGGCGCGCACAGGAGGGGAGATAGAAGAGAACCCACGGTCATCAAAGCCCTAAATTCAGAGGCGAATAGAACAGAGATAATGGCCACGAATATAGTGCACAACTAGCCAGGGGGCGTTCGAAGCATTCCACGGCGAGCCGCTCACAGGCGAATATAAACCACGCACAAAGTAAAATGCGAGCGCTCGGAGGATGCAAACGAAATAAGATAATAAATGGGGCGAGAATAAGAAAGAAGGGAGCGAGGAAATAGAAGAGAGCGGGTGATTGTGTGGATGCCGGATCGATGCGCGACACGCAGTAAGCGGTAAGCGGTATGCGAGGCGAAGCACGAGGGACGAGGAGCGAAAGGAACGGTGATCAAAGCGTCGCTTGCCTCGCGTGCCACAGCGATAAGTCCGCTAAGTGCGAAATGCAACGGTATGTAGCATGGCGCGCTCGCCGAAATGACGTTATACAGGACGCCGCGCTACGCGACGCGTACGGCGTCCAAACGGCGCCCAAGAGTGAAAAAGGGACCGGAAGTGAACGTCGCATATCGGAAAATCCACCAAGGAAACACAACCCAGAAACCCACGAAAAATAAAACAAGAAGTGGAAAGACGAGCGGTACTCACGTTCCAATATTGAACCCATCGCTCGTGCGGAGCGGCGCGCCTGCGTAGAACCGGATGTACGGCGGGCCCGTTACCAGAGGCTGTTGGCGTTTTCCGGTTCAACATGATTTATTGGTTTTCAGTACGTTGATTGAGTTTATGTTGTTGATACTTTAATGTAGTTCAAAGGACGCACGTTATTCACGAATCTCCAATCGAGGTGCGTGTCGAGAATTATCATCGGCTCGTCACCTCTATTCCGTGGTTATATGTATATGTTCATGCATTTAGGATGAAGCAGTCGGCATAGTCAGTTAGGATTGAAGGGTCATCAGGAGTAAAGGGGTGAGACAGGGGATCAGGGAAGGGGAGGGGCAATAGGGGTAGCGTTAAAGGGGAGAGGCAATAGGGGTAGCGTTAAGGGGCAAACAAGGGAGGTAACGTACCTCTCCAGAATCGCGTGCGCACAGATCGAGACATGACGCGGGATGCTCGAGACGTTGAGCCCCCACTGTGCTTTGAACCACCTAATCAGTGATGATGGTTTGATTAGCGTGGATTGCGAGCAGAACGAAACAAAAAGAGAACAAAGCTAGAGAGAGCCGAGAACGGATCCGCGCGAGAAGGGGAGGCGGGAGGAAGGGGGAAAGGGACACGACGCGTCCTAGAGTCGCGTACACTTCACTTCACCCGTCCAACTCCCGACTCTTCCTCTGTCCCATCCCCTGCCCTCCCCCTGCCCTCCCCCCATTCCAACTTCACACACGTACAAACCCCAAACCCCAAACAAAAGCGAACAGAGCTTAGAAGAAAAGCACTCACTGCTCGCCGCCATCTATACACCCAACGCCCACGCCCTTCGTCGCGAAGACCAGCTTCGCGAGGTGCGCGATGCGCGAGAAGGGCTCCGTGCTGCGGTCGACTAGCCTGTCCCCATTTCTGTCCCTCTCGACGACTCTCCCGCCATCCCTTTCCCTATTATCCCTATTATCCCTCATTGCTTCTCTGCCTCCTTCCAAGGTTCTACTCGTACTATCTACGCTCCTGGCATCCGTGTTGGCGATGGCGTTGGAGATGGAAGTAGAATTGGGCAGTGAGGACGACGACGGTGGATTCGGCAGGGAAGACGAGTGCGCGGGGTTCGTGTAGTTCGCAGCATGCGCAGCGGTGTAAGTCGAGGCGGAGGCGGAGGAAGGGGTGGTGGTGGTGGTGGAGGGGAATGAGGGTGGGGTGTGTAGTATGTTGAATCTACGGCCGATCATCAGTGTTCAATGACAAAACAAGGCGATTTGGGAAGGATTAAAGAGTGAAAGCGAAGGCGAGACAGAAAAGATAAAGACGGGATAAGCTGCGAGGAATATAGACGGTACGCACTTGTACAATGCCCTTCTGCGCTCCAGCTCGTCAGGCGGCGAGGGCGCAGGGAGGTAGCCGAGCGAGAGGTAAGACGCGAGCGAGGCCGTCGGGATGTTCATCGTGTGTATGTTTGGGACACTCAGAATGTTCATTGGGGTAGTCGTAGAGTTGATTGCGGGGACGTTAGCTGAAGGATTGGCAGTAGGAAGGGGGGTAGCGAATGTACTCGTACTACCATCTGCGTCTTTTGCGCCACTCTCTGCATCACGCTGTCCCTCGATATTATCATCACTACCCTCACCTACGCTCCCGTTCACTTGCTCTTTTACCTTTTCTCCCTCCCCCTCTTTGTCCTTCTCCATATCTGGACCCTCTCCGTCTCCGCCACCTTCTCTGTATGTCTCTTTCCCCTTCACTTCTTTACTCCCTCCCTCCTCACGGTCGCGTTCAGCAACGGGCAACGCAGGCAGCAGCGTCGATGTCGATCGTGCCTTCGTCATAGCCGGAAACGCTATCGCACTATCTGATCCAAATACCCCCATCTCCCTTGCGTTTGCATGCTCCCCATCCCCAGAAGCATTCGAGTCGGTATCAGTGCTGTCCGTATCTAACGCATACTCGTTCTCATCTACTACATCAGAGTCGTTCCCATTGACGTCATCACCATTGAAGGGCACAGGACTCTGCGTCTGCACAGTGCGGTTGGGGTTGTCGTTGCGCGTGCGTTGGTCAGCAAGGATTTGTTGCAGGTGCAGTGGATATCCGTGACCCCCCAGCTCACCACCAGTGAGGTTGAGACTGAGATGATGGGGGGACGGCTGAACGGGCTGGGGGAGTGGCGAAGATGACTGGCGCATCAAGTGAGCACGGCGGGAGGCGGAGGGGAGGGGATTGTCGGAGAGGGATATGGAGTGCGAGGGGCGGCGGAGGGGGGATTGGAGAGGGAAGTTTGGCAGGGGGATGGGAATAGCGGCAGTCGTGGGGGATGTCGTGAGCGTGGCGGTGGTCAGTGTCGATGTAGAAGACGAGACGGAGTTTGCGCTGGAAGATGTCGGGGTCGGATTGTTGGAAGAATTCGAATTAGACAGTAGTCGAGGTCGAGCACGGGGCTGGGGCTGCGATAGCTGAAGATGCGAGGGCGAGAAGTAGTCTGTCGCAGGCGCTGCATCCTCTGGCACGTCGTCCAGGTTCTGCTGCGGCAGCACGTCTTCCCAGAACGACGACAGCCGTGCGCGCGACCCGCCTGGCGTGTAGATACTGCTGCTATGATGGCTGTGGCTTGACGGGGCTGATGGTGTGTTCGACGACGAGGAGGCCGACGCAGACGTCGCGCTGGGGGACGTGGGCAACGATGGATGGCGCTGATGGTGGAAGAGCGACGGCGACGAGGGCAGATGCTGGTCTGGCGGGGGATGCGATCGCGGCACGGCGGTCAGCGCACCTCGCATCGGATCCGTGAGCTCGTGTTCGGGCGACGGCAGGGCCAGAGGTGAGATATCAACAAAGGAACCAGCCCAACGAAGGGCGGCGGCGGTCGTCTGGAGCGTGTGCGTTGTGTGCGACGCCATTGCAATCAACGAGCAACAGCGACCGATTCAAGCCAGCGAATAGGCGCCCAGACTCAATATATTGAGTTTGTATTTGTTTGCGCGCCTCACCTCTCTTCCTCTTCTCTTTCTCGTTCTTACTGCAATGTCTCGGGTACGTGCTTTTCTACCTTGGCAAGTCGATGCTAAGATGGCCATATAGGCCACCTTCTTACGTGAATACAAATTGGTCGTCGTCGGTGGTGGTGGTGTCGGAAAATCAGCCTTGACCATCCAGTTCATCCAAAGCCATTTCGTGGACGAGTATGATCCTACTATCGAGGGTGAGCTCCATTTCCTTGCCTTTGCTACCGGTTCTTGCTTTGGCTTTACTCTATTTTCACCATGGGTGCGTCGCGAGATGTCTTTGGCGCGGGGGAATTCAACGGAGCGGGCTGTTGAGGTACCTCTACAGCTCTGCGTACCTACGTGCACCGCCCTTTCCTGCTACCCATACGACCATCTATCATCAGGCAGCATCCCTACCTCTCCTGCCATCTATCATTTCTGCCTATGCCGCTTTCCCTTTCCTAATAATCATCACAAACCACATCACACACATCACATCATTTCCACTCCGTTCATCAATCCCTTTCATTTGCACTCGTGACCCGTTGATCATTTACGTGGACTGGCGGAACGCTGACGTACGGACCGAATTAGATTCGTACCGCAAACAATGCGTGATCGACGACGAGGTCGCATTGCTGGACGTCCTCGATACTGCCGGGCAGGAGGAATACGGGCATGTGTTCCCCTTCTGACCCCTTCACCGAACGCTAACGGTTAATTTAATAGCGCCATGCGGGAACAATACATGCGAACAGGCGAGGGATTCCTACTCGTCTACTCGATCACATCGCGCAACTCGTTTGAGGAAATCTCGACGTTCCACCAGCAGATCCTGCGCGTCAAGGACCAGGACAGCTTCCCGGTGATTGTAGTCGCGAATAAGTGCGATTTGGAGTACGAGAGGCAGGTTGGGATGAACGGTGCGTCCCCCCCATTCCCATCCTCACCCCATCACCCCATCATCCTTAATGATTTGATTAACCGTCTAATAATTCAATTATGTACTTTGTTCTTTTACAACAGAGGGCCGCGACCTCGCCAAACACTTTGGGTGCAAATTCATCGAGACGTCCGCGAAGCAGCGCATCAACGTCGACGAGGCGTTCTGCAACCTCGTGCGCGAGATCCGAAAATACAACAAGGAGCAGCAGACGGGGCGGCCGGTGCTGCCTGGCGGCGGGAGCATGGGCGGTTCGGGAATGGGGATGGGAGGGGGCGGCGGTATGGGCGGCGCGGGCGGAAGGGGGTACGGGAATGAGGGGGGCAGCGGGTGCTGTGGGTGTGTTGTGTTGTAGGGGAGATTGGATCGAGGAGAGAGTGGATCGAGGACAGCGACCCGTGGTAGGAGCGCGGTGAGGCAGTGGGGAGGGAGAGGCGTTGGAAGACCGACTGCTACGAGGCTCGAGCGGACGAGCGCCAATGATGCAGCAGATGTTGTTTTGTTTTGATATGGTTTTGACTTTGACTTTCTATGGCTATGCGCTCAACGAATCATACGAGTAAACGAGCAAAGGAATATGATATGCAACGCACGCGGATTATTTATTCGTTCTGGCCGAGTGCGACTTCCGGGCTCTTCAAGGGTGCGAGACAGTGATAATAGAGTGGGCGTGCGCGCCCATGGCTACGACAATTGCTCATAACTTAGTGCTCGACTCTATCAAGCCACCATCCAACTTATCGTCACCACCGTGCCATCACAAGACTGCGCCCACCACAACTAGCGAGTAATGCTTCAGGTATTGGTTTCTTGCTCGCACTACTCTTCAGCAATTGATCCTGTATTCTCTCCCATCCACGAAGGAAGGACACGCGACCCAAGGAGCGATCGATGAAGAGATCGCGGTCCACGAAGAAGCCATTCGGGAGCTAAGGACACGGAGAAACACCCTTGCCCCCATCTCAAGGACTCCGCCAGAGCTGCTCGCAGATATGTATATTTATTTTGGCCAAGCCGTTGGCCACGACGCCTCTGGGCAGCAGAGATTCTGGCGCGTTCTCAAAACGCGCCGCTACACGTCAAATGTACAGATTCGGCGAGTGAGAGGGCCATCCTCTCTGCTGTTATGGCCCACATGGACAGCATTGAACACTTAAAGATCAAGTCGGTGACAACTCATACTTCCACCGGCCTCTTGAGGATCGTGGAAATGATTGCCACGAACAACGCGCCTAGCTCACTGCGGTTCTTGCATCTGGATAAACTAGCGAGCCTATACAGTGCCACCGACCCTGTCCACGAGGGAATACACCGCGTCTTCAGCGCGATACAGATGCCATATCTGCAGACCCTTGACGTCGGAAACCACCTATCATGATCCCCATACTCCCACAACTTCGCCAATTCACCTACGCGCCTCCCTGTCGAGCCAACTCGGCATTAACAATTCGGCACATCATCCTCCCCTGCGCGGGTGAAGTTTACATCGCAGTTCTCCCGTGATCATGCTCGCACCTCCCTGTGCATAGGCGATCTGAGGGCCATCCTATCATATATGGCGAGTAACGACGGCGCTGCACATATCGATACCGTGACGATACAGGATTTCGATGGTGCTCGAGCTCCATCTTCCATAACGGCCCAAGAAATATTTCTTCTGTTCAGGCTCTCTGTTATATTGCCTCGTTCACAAGCACAAACCTTCCGCATTAGTGGCTTCTCTCTAATAAGGGGGGGGGCGATTGGGTGAGCTTGTTTAGACGACACGAACATGTGCAAAAGTTGGAAGCTGAGGAAGTGAATGCAACTTGTATCCAAGCCCTTTTGAAACCCGCTGACACCGAGCAACCGTTCCCGAGGCTGAAAACGAAAACACTTCAACTGGGTAACTACGATGTCAAACTCAGTGTCACATTAATCGTGCGGGTCCTTGAAGAACGTAGGCTGATTGGGATAGTTATCGATTTCTTTCAAATCTTTGCGTGTAGGATAACGAAGGATATCATCGGTCAACTGGAGAAATATGTTTTGACGAAGTTTATGGATTTGATTATGATGATGATGACGACGACGAGAACGACGATTCAGACAATCATTTGGTGACATCGTCAGATCTCGTGGTGGGGTAGTTGTGCGGATATCATTGTATTCCTTCACCAGTGACAGTGACGAACTTGTCGAATATCTAGGTAGCAAATAATTAATAATTATTTATATGTTGCAAACAGAAGGGCCTGATCACTGCCCGGCTGTGTGTATGTAGTAAATACAATCAGCCCCATGCAGAGGCTTGACTGAGTCTGAGATTCGTTTGAGAGAAAGAGTCAGGTTGCTGAGGAAGGCATTCAGCATGTCAGAGAGCCTGAATAAAGGGAGCCCATCGTCTATCATCGTGGTCATGGAGATAAGTAATTTGAGTACCGTTTCACGATACATGCCGCCATGACGAAGTTGCCAAAGTTGAAGTTGCCAAAGTTGGCGTTCAAGGTCAGGGTGTCAATAGCCGCAGCATCGCCACCACATCCCGTGTGTGATATAATTGCGTTGAACTCATCGATACATAGGGAGGGCGGCGCTGTGTACTTTGGACCTTGACCTTGGCCCGCGTGGAAGGTAGGCAGTAGATAAACCGAAGCACAGTCGGTCCTCTGTTGTGTAGGATATAAAGGAGAGGTGGGTAAGGTCGACTGACATATATTCGTCGACTGAAGTTGCTGGGGTATGCACACAAACCCCCAGTCACCCCAAAGCAGGAGTCTTGCGCAGAAGTGATAGTATGGTTGTTGTCCTCATCTTGGCGTTGGCAGCAGTTTCTGTGGGAGGGTGGTGGGACGATCCATTTGGACTGTCCTGAAGATTCAGTGAATTCCATCGCTGTTGTACTGAGGCGTTTAGTTAGCGCCTGCGGGGACGTGGGATCGCCGTATCATGCTTCGGCGCAAGGAGGGGGGCTTCAAAAAAAGCAAGGTGGGAGCGCGAGAGGCAAAGGATAAGTCCGGATGGGCAGGTCGAGGCTCGTGAGCGCAGTCTTTTCCCTCGCGTCGGTGCTGCTAAGTGGCTTGTTGGGACCGAGTGACACCAGGCGCCTAGAATTCGGTGTCTGTAAGTCACAAGTAGCACGGGTTTGCTGGGGGGAGTGGCAAAGATGGATCGGGTGTATTCCTTGCAGATGAGTTTGAATAGTCTCTTAACAAGACGCAGCTTGTTCATGCTATCGCTTTGGTAGCCACGCAAGGAAGTTCGATGTAGACGGGTTGACGAGCACTTTGAATCAATACAGAGGGGGTAACAACTATTTTGGCTTTCAGCGGAGTGTTGGGGTCGGACACTTGGTCCCACTTGTACTTGAAGCACTGATGTAATCAGAGATTGCGCGATGTAATATGCTTTCTGCACTTCTGAGCATACGAGGCCGGATTCTTCGGCGAATTTACCACTCGATAAGCCTCTCCCCCTCTTCCCTATACATCTACCCCACTGCCTCCCACCACTTCTCGGCCCCGCCCTCTGTTTACTTGCCCTCCACCTGCAACCACATTCCCCACTTCTTCCTCTCCTCCTCGCTCCCCTCAAACACCCAGTTGACTTGTCTAATCTCATCAAACCCTTCATCTACTTCAGGCGCCTCAAACGCCGCTCGATAGCCAGTGAACGCCAGATATGGCACGGCGGGTCGTCGCTCTTCTTCAGGTACGATGTACGCGCGATACAGGTTATTGTGCCACGCGAGTTCCATGGGAGCGGTAAAGTGACAGCACCTACGCATGGAAATCGAAAAAAAGCAGGCGGAAGTGAGTCGTTGTGTCATGGAGCATTGGATGATAGGAATGCAGAACGTACCGAATGGGAATATTCTTCTTCTTGGCAAGAGAGATGTACGCTTGCCTTGTCGCTCCATCTCGATTTGTGTTATCTACGCGTTTAGTGAGATTTGGCTTCGAGCAATTTACTTCCCGCTTGCGGGAGCCGAATAGAGCAAAGATAGGGTCGTGAAATCGGGGTCATGCCCAAAAGGCGATACCGTAATTATAGCAACCATTCCAATATTGACGGGACCCATCGTCGCTACTCTTCGTAGAAAAGGAACAAGAGAATGAAGCTAACTCACCAACGACACATCTCTGCTCATCTTCAACCGCTTTCTCCACCGCCTTCAAACACTTCGGCTTGCTCCCCAACACGTCCTGGTTGATATGCACGTACCCAGCGTCCGCGAAGTGACGCTTGTAAAACGTTGTTTTACCGACCCCTGGGTATCCGACGAAGAGGACTATTTCCGGGGCTGGGTTTGGTGAGGAGGAGGAGGAGGGCTTGGATTTTCCCTTTGATTTAGGTTTATGGTCGGAAGAAGGGACGAGGGGGGTGGATGTAGGCGTGAAGGGCGGTACTGTGGTAGTGAACAGCGGTTACATGGGAGGAGAGAGCTCATAATAATGATATAAAGCGTACTGTCGACTGGAAGTGAAGACACATGGAAACCAAGAAGCTCGTATTTTGCAGGCGGATGTCCTAGGAAATATTCCTTGAATCACAAGAAACCAGGTTTATTATAGAGATGCTTTGAATGATTTCAAACGTACCTCGGGTGTATAAAACTTGATCCCAACGTTGAGTGCCCATTTTCTGTCCGTCCCTGCAAAGTCACCCTTGCGGCCAGCGGCGTCACCGACAAAGAAGGACTGGTCTTTATCTGCATAATCAGTGTTGGCACGGAAGGGGGAGTGGAGCAACCCACCAATTTCCTGCCCGTGTTCAGCAACCATTCTCTCCAATTCGGTCCACATCCCCGGCATAGGTTTGCGGTACCCATCTTTCGCTGTCGCCGCGAATAATCGGAAGGGAACGTCGGGTAACTGGCCAAGCACATAGTTGGGGTGGTTCGGACAGCTGGTGAAACCTACTCACAGCAGCTGCAATCGACTTTACTTTCTCCCTCCACACCTTTAGTCGCTCGGTTTTGATCCCTTGATTTGAGATGATAACCAACGAGTACCTAAAAAATTGCGTCAGTCACCTTCCCTAATGCGACAAATGTATCATAACACAAGACATACCCCTCAGCAACAACAGCCTCCAACTTGCCCTTCACCCCACTTTTCCAAAACTTCCAATCGGCAGACACGGTCCGCCCATTCCCTTCAATGATCGTTCCGTCCAAATCGAATGCTGCTACTTTCACTTTCACTTTCCCCTTCGCCTTCGCCTTCAGTGTTATCTCCTCGGTGACCACAAGGTCCCCCTTTCTCACTTCCACCCTTTTATGATCTCCTGGGATTTGCACGTCTATATTTGTTTCCGCCTCGGTTTGAGTTATCGTAGACGACGTCGACGAGGGAAGACCGCTGGGGTTGCCGTTGGTCCCATATATGAGCGTCTTCTTCGGTCCGAGGGGTTCGTGCCATCGGAAACCAGTACTAGAGGATGAGGCGTCCCCTTCTTCATTAGGCTTTGGTTTCGAGAAGAATGGGTGCACTGAAATGCCGCATGGCCGAACGTTACGGCATCAACTTCATTGGGAGCACAAGACCTACCTTTCGCGATTTTAGAGCTCGAAGAACTTGCAACATTATCCCCCACATCTTCAACGCCCCGCTTCTTGGGGTTTGTCTTCGCTATTTCATCAATATAAGCCCTCAGACACCACACGTCTGTAGATTAGCAGAGAAACATACGTTCAGCCTTTTTGGGGGGCATTATATATGTATGGAACGTTCTGTGTCTGAGTAGAGCTCTGGAAGGGACACGGGTAACAGAGCCAGCGGAGAGCACCGCGCGTAGATGAAGTACAGGTGAAGCCAATGTGAAGATGACTCGCTGTAGCCAAGTGCGCCGGGTCACGTGGTGGCGATCTCCCTTTCTCCCGCCCACCGAGTTTCCCAAAACATGTCTATGTCGCACTGGTCGCTGTATGTCAATAGATCGTCTCAAGTCCTCCGGGACAACCTTGCAAAGAGTATGTCCTATCCGGATCCCATTTACTAGCATGCTAGCCTCACCCTCGGCCCCAGTCTTGCTTATGCAGGGTGCAGACGCACCTTCTCGTGCCCCACGATCACTGTTCACGTTCAACACACCGCAGGACATTTCGCAGTTCGCCACGGGATCGGATTCGGATATTGGTGGCCTCTCGACCGTCAATTTTGATTTCATAGAAGATGAGACGGTGAACGGGCCCATTGGACGCGTGAATCGACCGACCCCTCCATCAACCAAAGATGGTGCACAGCCGCTTGTAGGCACAGGTCGGTTCTGGGGGACAATGAGCCTTCGAATCCCATCTACACCCGCTGCGAACAAGCCACGCATCACACGCTCAGGCTACGCAGGCTTTCGTAACAAAGCTCGCCCGTCACTCTTCGGGAACATAACAGAAGACCTCTCCTCACACGACTACCTCGCCCTCCGCCTCCGCCCCTCAGGGAACCCAATTACACGCACGTCGTATTTCGTGAATATCCAGACGGAGGATGATATAGGCATGGGGATAGGCGGGTTGGGAGGAGGAATGGAAGTCTGGCAGCACAGACTGATGTTCAAGAACCAGGATGTGCCAGAAGAGGAGTTGCTGGGGGTAAAAGACGGTGGATGGGAGGAGTTGTATGTGCGTATCCTTGTGTTCTATCTCTCTTTGCCTTCGTATTCATTTGATCCACTAAAGATACCATTCAACAACTTCGTCCTTACGCACGCCGGCGAAATTGTCGACTCCCCTTCGTCTTCGGCCCCGTCAGACTCAGCTTCGCACTCCTCAGACCCGGACACATCCCCCGACTCGTACCAGCAACCGTCGTCTCCCTCCTTCCAGTCCCTTCAATCTAAACCAACAATTCGTCGCGAGAAAGTCAAATCTATCGGAATCAGCATATTAGGAGGGAACAGCGGTGTAGAGGGGCGATATGAACTTGGTATTGATGAGATTAGGGCGGTTAACGATGAGGATGTTCGGCGGTAGCAGTAGTCACCACATATATTTACAGTCACTGTGCACTATCACCGTGAGAAATGCTTGATCCCAACCTCGTACACTCATCTTCGTTGGAGTCTTCAGCTTCAAGCTCTGGGAATACCCCGTGTGCGGTTCAACACTACTCGTGATGAAGGTAGGCTTGCAGTTGGTAAATGTGGCACCCCTCCCACACCTTTGTCGGTATAGATCGCGGTCGAAGGATGCTGTCACGGCGCGCTCGACGCCATCTACCGCCAAATCGCTACCCTTGAACAACGAAACAACTACAAAGTCGACCTCCTCATTATCTGTGGCGACTTCCAGGCAATACGAAACGTTCGCGACTTGCAGTGCATGGCCGTGCCCGATAAGTACAAGCAACTGGGCGAGTTCCATAAGTAATTCAATCTCATTGAAGGGTTTGATTCTGACGACGAAATTGTTGACTTTGACTTTGACTTGAACGGTTTTATGTAGGTATTACACGGGGGAACGCGTCGCTCCTGTTTTGACGATCGTGATTGGGGGGAATCACGAAGCCTCGAATTACTTTTGGGAATTGTGAGTTGAGTCGACATTTCTCGGCGCGGAAAGTATGATCTGATTCTTAAGTCTCGTAGGTATCATGGAGGATGGATCGCGCCGAATATGTATTTCATGGGCCATGCGGGTTGCGTCCAGGTCAACGGTATCCGGATAGCAGGCGCGTCGGGCATATTCAAAGCCCATGATTTCAGGAAGGGTATGTAAATCCACAGCTTTTGCATAGATGAGGGTATTGACGTGTGTATTTCTGGACGCGACTGATTGCAGGACATTACGAAAGGTTACCGTACGACCACGGCACTATGAGAAGTATATATCATATCCGGGAGTATAACGTTCGGCGACTGTCACTGGTAAGTAGATGTCTTTGTACCCTACTCTGTCAAAGGTTGCCACCTGAATATTAACGTCTTCCACCCCTAGCTATCCTCACCCGACATCTTTCTATCTCACGACTGGCCTCAGTCCATCGAACAACATGGGGACGTCCGCGATCTTCTACGCAGGAAGCGGTTCTTCACCGAGGACGTTAATTCTGGGAGGTTGGGTTCACCTCCGCTCATGGGGTTGCTTCGAACGCTCCAACCGAAGTGGTGGTTCTCCGCGCATCTGCATACGCGGTTCGAGGCTACTGTAACACACGGCGATGGCAGTCAGGGTGCTCGAGGTGTGCCTTCTGGAGCCTCTGCTCCCGTGGGCACCGCTGAAGGGACCAATCCTGATGAGATTGTGATTGACGACGAAGAGGGAGGGGAAGAAAGCAAAACGGCGGATGTTGTGCCTTCTAGTGGTGCCCCTCTAAACCCCGATGAGATAAAATTAGACGACGAAGAGGAGGAGGTTGCGCCGCCGCCGCTGCCGCCGCCGGCACCAACGGTCACAAACTTCCTCGCTTTGGATAAATGCCTTCCTGGCCGACAGTTCCTGGAAGTACGTACTCCCTACTCTAGGTCCATTATCCTTCTTCCAACTGGTAAATTATCCAACGCATCTGTATGGCTAATTGAGTGTTTAGGTGATAGATGTCCCAACATCAAGTGACAATGTCCTTTCTCCTTCCCCTACTCCCCCATCCCCTGCTAAACCGACGTTAACGTACGATCCGGAATGGCTAGCCATCACTCGTGCATTCGATCCGTATTTCAGCCTCCGGGCCCAGCAGCAGCCGTTCCCTGAGGAAGCAGAGGCGCGGGCGATGGTGGCGAAGGAGCTTGCATGGGTTGAAGCGAATTTAAACGGTGGTATTGGCGGCGACGGGAGATGCAAAACCGTGGAAGAGTATCAGCAATTCGTTATGACGGCCCCGGGGCCAGGAGTAGAAGGTGGGCAGGCGCGGCAACAACGTACGTGCACCCTGTTCCTTCGTGTTCTTGCTTTTGTGCATTTGCGTGGAGGTGGAGGTGGTAGGCTAAAGCTGACTGACTCATTCGCTCTCTGCGTATAGCGCCGGCGTATAGGAATCCCCAAACAGACTCCTTTTGTAGGATGCTCGGCCTGCAATGCAAGATCAATGCTGGCTGAGCGTGGTCTCCCGTTCCACATCACGCTCCGACTTACCTGACTTGGCTTTCTGCGAATCCTCACTGTGTTTACCGCTTGGGAATGAATCTATCTAATTATCTCTACCGCAATGAGTACCAAGCCTGAATAGCGAGCTGCCGCAAACAAATTCTGAGTGCCGTCAGGATGTAGCGAAATCAGATAAGTAAGTCATTCGGCAGACCAGAGGGCTAGCAGGAGAGGGTCAGGGAACGGATCGACGTAAAGGGGCCGTGCACGTACAACATATAAGGCCATCCGGAGACCAACAACTCTTTCATCTACCACCACCATACCACCCATTCTTCACAACCACGCCATGTCAGACCAACTCAACAAAGGCGATACAGTCAGGTGCGTGTCACTCACTCATTGCATACCGCTGTTCCCTAACACCTGTTACGCGCAGCTGGAACTGGGGGCAAGGCCACCCGAAGGGCGAGGTCGTCGGCGTCCACGAGGAGAAGACCACAATCAAAAGCAAGAACGGGAATGATGTACGTCCGCCCGGGCCATCAGTTCGCTTAGGCGTCTCGCAATCTCATGCACGTCGCCGGGGGGCAGATAACGAAGAACGGCGAGCCAGGCAATCCGGCCGTCGAGATCAAGCAGAGCAATGGAGTGCGTACGATTCTGTCGTATTCGAGTGTGCACTGACAGTCTAGATAGAACGCTGTGGTGAAAAAGGCGAGCGAGCTAAACGAGGTAGTAGAGTAAACAGGGGCAGTCTATTTATAGCACGAGACTTCCATCTGACGTTCACGACTCCTCCCATGTGTGGAATAAAATCAGAACTGCCTTCCCTTCCCTTTCACCCCAACCACCACCACGATGGATTTCGTGAACGCAATTCCCCCAGAGCATCGATGGCCTCTGCATTTCTGTGCCTTTTCCTCGGCGACGACGTTCGTGCTGAGTATCCTCACAGGCAACGTCTCCCAAGTCGACCGCGTGTGGACCTTCCTCCCCACCATATACACCGCGTACTACGCTCTACTCCCCGTATGGCCTACGACCTCGGCGGCGACGTCTAAGTTTTGGTTTCTGTCTCCGAATGTCGTGCCATATAAGCCAGAGGACATTTGGCTGCAGTTAGTTGAGGACTACAGCCCGAGGGCGCTCCTGATGCTTGGGCTAGTGACACTGTGGATGTTCAGGTGCGTCGATGACAAGCATGCGTCTCTAGAACTGAGTACTGAGGGTGATCGTATTGTAGATTGAGTTATAACACGTATAGACGTGGGCTGTTCTCGCTGACGGAGGAAGACTACCGCTGGGCGGTGCTGCGCACGAAATTGCACCCTGTGCTGTTTCAGATCTTCAACATATCTTTCATTGGTACGCCCAATATGTGCGCCGTTTCACAACTCTCACTGACGTCCCCCAGCAATCACCCAGAACTTCTTGTTATGGCTCCTCGGCATCCCTACCGCCTCTGCCGCCCTCCAGCCCCACACGCCCCTCGGCGCCACCGATTTCGCCCTTGCATCGCTCGCACTGGTGACCCTCGCGCTCGAGTTTACGGCGGACAACCAGCAGTTCGCGTTCCAAACATATAAACACGCTCTACTCCACAAAGACACCCTCGCGCAAACGGTCGCGGCGGTCCTAACGACGAATACGGACCTGCACAATAGCAGGGGCGTGAAGAGCCGTGACGGGTGGACGTATGATGCGGGGAACCAGTGGCCTGGTGCGAGGCTCAGCTGGACGGAGGAAGATGCGAAGAGGGGGTTTGTATGTAGGGGTTTGTGGGCGTACTCGAGACATCCGAATTTTGCGTGCGAGCAGGCGTTTTGGGTGCGTTTCTCTCCTCCCCTCCCCCCTCTTCCTTTTCCCTTCACATGTGGTGGGCTATGCTGACGGGTTGAATAGTGGATTATCACTTTCTTCCCCATCCTCGCACCCTCCGCCCCTCCATTCCTGCCCTCCCTCGCGTCCCTTCCCCAACTCGTATCCAATCCGTCCCTCTCATCCCTCACACCATTCGCTCCCCTCCTACCAGCAGTATGCCTGTCAATCTTGTTTGTGTCATCGACGATATTCACGGAGTCAATCACGGCGGGGAAGTACCCCGAGGCGTATAGGGCGTATAGAGCGAGGGTGGCGATGTTCAGTCCGGTGGGGACTGTGGTGAAGGGTGTGCTGGGTGTGTTGGGTGGAAGCGGGAGTGGGAAGAGTAAAAGTGAATGAAAGGCTTGGTTACTGATGATTCATTATAGTTAATGTCTTGCAATGTGTTGTGGGTGCGTTTTCAAGTTGTTCATAGCTAAGTTGATAAATTGTTACTTGGTATTGTTTTCTGTTGCATACTACTATAATGTCCTGAGTCATTGATCCTAGATCTTGCTGGTTTGGTCAGGGGACAGGGGTGTACTCTGAGAGTAATGAGGGTAGAGGTAGTTTGGGATGCTGCTATGGAAGGGGATAACAGAGGACATTGTTAGTGAGTGGCAGAAGTAGTGTGGGGTAGATGGACTCCAATAGCAATGGCCTCAGCAGATCTCTGGGTGTTGCATTCTGATGGCTCAGAACTCCTCAATGTCATCGCCTTCCAACCATCCACCATTAGGATTCACCTCATCATCCGCACCCTCTCCGCCTCTGAAATCCTTTGCATGGCTTTCTGCCCACTCGGCTTCATCATTGTGAGTATGCTGTGAAAGAACATCACTTTCCTCCAAAAGCTGCAAGTCATCGTTACCATAACTGAATGGCATGTGCGTAAATAGCTGGTGCGAGCGCGGCGCCGTCCGCGTCTTGAGAACGGCCCCAAGCTCGGTCGCAATGACGGCCTTGCTCAACGCGCGGGTCTGTCAACGGTGAGTAATCAGTGAAGGGCAAGCCTTGAGTGTGCTGTCGTCATCGCGGGGAATAGGGCTTGGCTTACACTGTGATTGTGAGGCCCGTCAGCCAGCCATCCCTGCACGTCGGCGACTGCACAACCGGTATCCCGCTCGCGCTTCAGCTGCTCGAAGTACGCGGGCTTGTAGAACTTCTGAGACCTCCGCGTGACGGGCGTTGGCAGAGAATGCAAGGTCCCCAGTGTCAGCAGATGGAACCGGTGGGGGTTTGCTTGATACCACTAAAATGTCACAATCAGTACAATCAATGTCGATAACCAAGAGTCCAAGATTAGGGAACGGAGCACGCACCGCTTCGCCGCCGCTCCAGTCGACCCAGCTCATCCACTCCGCGATATCCGCGCATTCCTCGACGTCGTCGCAGAACTGCGGGTAGTTTTGGTGGATGTACAGGGAGAGCAGAGACGCGTCGATAGGCGAATCGGCGTAGAGCATCTTCAGGTCGCGATGTCAATATACTATATACCGGATACGACGCTAACACGCTTAAGGTGGGGGAACTCACGTCGACGTCGACGCGACTAGCCGCTCTGTCGTGCTCTTGGAAGAACGGAGGGAGACGCGGGGGGTCTTTGATCTTGAGGTCTGAGTCCTTCTCCCGCTGGATATCTTTCGCACTAGCCGACGCGTTCGGGGGATCTCCTTTCCCTATACATACCATTGTGCCGTCAGTCGCCTCGCATTCGCACATCCATAGGGATAAAGACCCCACTTTTGTTGTACAGGATCTTGCCGAGCAGATGGAACAGCACCAAGCTATTCTCCCGCTTAGTTATAACCTCCAGCATGGCCCGTGTCGACGTCCCACGCCCAGTTTTGGCCCGGCCCTTTTTGCTCGCAGGTGCGTCCACGACGCACGCGAACTGCAGAGCCATAATTGCACTGCGGATGTCTCCATTAACGGACTCAACGATGAGATCCAGTGCCTCTTTGGACGGCGGCGCGGCGGTCAAGCCGGCGAAATGGGTGTTGAGCATGGCGTGCAGGGCTTTGCGCATAAGCGTCGGTGCGATGCGGTTGAATCTGTTATGGCAAGTGCATTGCGGTTAGAAATGGAGGCGGGGATAGTGGGGAAGAGAAAGAGTAAGATAGACGGACGGACGCGATATGTGTGACGTATGGGCCGGCCAGCAGGGATTTGGGGATGGCGGAGCGCACGTCGACGGCGCTGCTCGTGTTCCTGCGCCAGCTGCCACCCTCGTCATCCCCCGTTTCGCTCCGCACGCCCGCGTCACTGAGGATCATGACAATAGGCGTCGAACGCGGCAGGTCGAGGAGCGATTCGAGCAGCGCGTGGAACTTGGCCTGCGTGTCTTGGTGCAGAATGTTGGGCAGGTCCTCGAGCAGGATGACCTGCCGCTCGGCACCGCCGGTCGAGGGGAAGAGACTGCTGGTGCACGTTGTCGCCCTGCTCATGAAGTTCTGGAACTTTGTGAAAAGGGTTTCGTAGTCGTCGTCGCCACCGTAGGCTCGGTATTGGTCTTCGAAGGAGCTACGCCATTCGGTAATACTGAAACCCATTTCGCGGGATAAGACGCGTAAAGTGGCAGTCTTCGCTGCCCCTGCGGGGCCAGACAACGCCAGGATCTTCTACTCAAACACGTTGGACTGGCCTGAGGAACGATGAAGTGTATCACGCACTCGGTATTTGCGCAGTTTGCCAGAAGGACCTCCCTCAAAGGCTTCGCAGAACCAGCGCCTCACCTCCTCTACCTTCTTTGGGTGAACAGCTAATTCGGCCTTCAAGTTCGCTAGTCGTTAATTGCCCCACCGCGTGTAGTGAGGGTTCAGCCGTACCTCTGAGCAGGGTTCGTAGATATCCACCCAAAGTGAATCAGCTAGAATGGTTTAGATACTCAGTGCACATGATTCGACGCGTGAATGCAACATACTGGGAACGTCTCGCTTCGATACGAGTGATACTGCCTTGCCTTTCCCCTTTGAATTCTTAAATTGAATTTGCAATGGTGGCGGCATCGTTGATTTGGGCTGGCTGCTTGAAGCAGTGGGCTGGGACGAGAACTACGTTGCTTCTCGTCAATTCACTCGCGCGCCGTGGAGAATCAGAGATCGCTCATACCGCGGTAAGGGGGTTTACGCGTCGCGTCGGGGGAGCTGGCTGCGAGTCGAGTTGAAGAACATTGCGTTTTTTCGGGAGTTTCTTTGGCTGGCTTAGTTTTGCAGACATTATTATTGCGGTGAGTGATATGGAACGAAGAGGCGCCTTACTATTAGTGGCAAATGGGGAGATAGGGAGAGTTTGATCATGTGACTGTGTGCGTCGGAGGACACAGCCACATTAGACTCACTTTCTACGACGGTTGCTCGTTCTCTCTTCACTTCCGTCATCAAAATATGCTGTCCGTACTCGTATCGACCTTCGCCCCGTTCCCCACTCTCTCCCTCTCGCTACGGCCGTCCGCACGGTTATCAGAAGTGCAGGATGAGATTCACTCACGGTATCCCGAACTGCCGAGAGGGCTGCGACTCGCGACGCACAGAGGGGTGTGTCCTTTGGATGATGAACCGGTATCTTTCCTCTACAACAACGAAGGACATGAAGGGTCAGCCGAGTTCGTTTCTCTCAGGTTGGTCCCGCGAGTGCTTGGAGGCAAGGGGGGCTTTGGGTCGCAGCTGAGGGCTGCTGGTGGGAGGATGAGCAGCCAGAAGACAAGCAACAATGACTCCTGCAGGGATCTGAACGGGCGGCGGTTGAGCACTCTTAAGGAGGCGAAAAAGTGCGTTTCGCCCTTTCCCGCCGATGGCGTTGTTACTGGTGCTCATTGTTCTATTTCACTCACCACAGGTTGGCCGAGTACCTGGAGAACGAGCCGGCGCGCAAGCGGGCACAGGCCGATGCACAGAAGGCAAAACTGGAAGCACTAGAAAGAAAGCTAGGGATTCAGCCGGGGGACGCTGCGTCTGGCTCTGGGTCGGGGTCTAGTGCAAGCAATACGGATGTGGTTGCGCTCGCGGGCAAGAAGCATCGTTTTGAGGACACGGAGTATTTGGAGGAGAGCAAGGAGCTGGTAGATAATGTGAAGAGTGCTGTGTCTGCAGGTGCGTTTCTTCCCTCTCAATTGCATCGTCCGGTTGGCTCATACAATATGTGTGTTGTAGCACTGCTGAAGAAGAAGAAAAAGGCGAAACTGTCGCACCCCACTGCGATTGCAGCTGTGGAGAAAGATACTGAGAAGCAGGTGGTCACGGTGGAGAAGGCAAAGGCTCCCATTCCTGAGCCGGCTGCTGCGACACCGATTTCTGCCAGTGTTGGTGCATAATTGCTTCTGCTTCGTGCTTGTTTTGTTCCTATTTCGATGTAGCTCATATGCCATGTACAATGCCCATTGATAATACCAGCCAATGCAACTTTGTGGATTTAGATTTCATCAGGGTCGCATGTTTCGGCCGACATCCCAAATTTGGCCTTGAATTCTGGTGAACAACTGAAATGACAACGTATAAGGTTTCTTCCACTCTTTCATGTTTCCTCTCGCCAGGCGGGCAGTCGCTGCCCCCCATGCGTTCAAACGCACGCAGAGACGATGGCTAGCCGCCGTCGTCAATGGCGTGCGCATACCTCAAACGGCTATTGAGAAGATCGTGCAAAAGTATGCTGTGGGTCTGAGTGAAGGGAAGGTGGTGAAAGCAGGGGACTATGTCATGATTCAGCCCGAGCATGTTATGACCCATGATAATACGGGTCCGGTTATATCAAAGTGAGTGCACATTCTACCGGTACAAGTCTAAGTACTCATTAATGATACTGTCATTTGGCAGATTCAAGTCAATCGGTGCTACGAGGATACACAATCCCCAGCAACCGGTGTTCACGCTTGACCACGACGTACAGAATAAGTCGTCGAAGAACCTGGCGAAGTACTCGTCCATTGAGCAGTTCGCGCGGGTACACGGGGTGGATTTCTACCCGGCAGGGCGGGGAATCGGGCATCAAGTACTCATAGAAGAGGGGTACGCGTTTCCGAATACGCTGACCGTGGCCAGTGACAGCCACAGCAATATGTACGGCGCGGTCGGCTGTGTGGGCACACCGATCGTGCGGACGGACGCGGCGGCGCTGTGGGCGACGGGGAAGACGTGGTGGCAGGTCCCGCGGATGGTCAAGGTCGAGCTGAAGGGTAAGCTACCGCCGGGCGTGACGGGGAAAGACGTGATCGTGGCTTTGTGCGGGTCGTTTAACAAAGACGAGGTGCTGAACGGCGCGATCGAGTTCTGTGGCGAGGGCGTCACGTCGCTGAGCGTAGATGAGAGGCTTACTATAGCGAATATGACAACGGAGTGGGGCGCGCTGGTAGGGTTCTTTGGGGTGGATGAGAGATTGGTTGGGTGGTATGAGGAGATGGTGAACAAGATGGAACGGAGGACGTTCTCGAGTGGGCTCGACGATCTGGCTATCCCACCGCCGCCTGAACACCCAAGAATTAACAGGACTCGGCTAGAGGCTCTTCGCGCATCGCGACTGGCTTCAGACCCCGATGCTTCGTACGCTGTCCACCTGGTGTTCGACTTGTCAACTCTCGTCCCGCACGTCTCTGGCCCGAATAGCGTCAAGATATCTACCCCTCTACCCGTCTTGGAAGAATCACACATCAAAATCAACAAGGCATACCTGGTTAGCTGCACCAACTCCCGTGTCTCAGACATCGCGGCCGCCGCGTCGGTGATGCACGGACAGAAAGTCGCGCCAGGCGTCGAGTTTTACATCGCTGCGGCGAGTTCGGTGGTCCAGGAAGAGGCGGAGAAGCTGGGATATTGGGATACGCTGGTCTCGGCAGGTGCTAAGGTGCTGCCTGCTGGGTGTGGGCCGTGTATCGGGTTGGGGACTGGGTTGCTGGAAGAAGGGGAAGTAGGAATCAGTGCGACAAATAGAAATTACAAGGGGAGGATGGGGCACCCAAAGGCCCAGGCCTACCTCGCCAGTCCAGCAGTTGTAGCGGCCAGCGCGGTGAAAGGGTATATCTGCGGCCCAGCGATTCCCGACCCAGCGTCCATGCCGCCGGTGAAAGCACCAACATTCTCGATTTCCTCCGCCAAAAATGCTGGGCCATCCACGGATGCGCAGAGCGTCGAACCTCTACTTCCGGAATTCCCAAAGTCATTCGCGGGCCCGCTGCTCTTCGCGCCGCAGGATAACCTCAACACGGATGGGATCTATCCAGGGAAGTATACGTATCAGGACGATATCACGCTGGAGAAACAGGCGGAGGTCGTGATGGAGAACTACGATCCCGGGTTCGCCTCGCTGGTGAAGGGACTGGGCGTCCCCCGCGCGAAGGGAAAGGGCGTTGTCCTCGTGTCGGGGTACAACTTCGGCACGGGGTCGTCGAGGGAGCAGGCTGCGACGGCCCTGAAATCGGCGGGGATTCCTGTGGTTATTGGGGGATCGTTCGGTGATATTTTCAAGCGAAATGCAATTAACAACGGATTGGTCTGTCTGGAATCACCGGAGCTGGTGAGTGACCTTACGGAACGGTTCGCTAAGGATGGTCAGCGCGGGGCGGGGGGACTCAAGGGGGAGCTGACGGTGAATGAGGATATAAAAGTGGATATTAGTATGGATACTGGTGAGACGGTTGTTAGATACGGGAATGACGAGGAGAAGGTATATCGTTTGCGCCCCGTTGGTCCGAGTGTGCAGGAGTTGTGGGTATGTGGCGGCTTAGAAGGATATGTGCTCAAGGAGATCCAAGCCAGCGAACAGGATCAGCCATAAGTTATATTACATTACCAATTGGTGTAGACTGTATTAGATCTACCAACTGTATATTTGTGATCATCATTTGTTTGGATCTTGGGACCTGCAGCTACAATGCTGGATGCCAGATAGATCGACCATTGATGGTATGCTCATTTGTCGTGGCGTATGGGGTAGGATTGAATTTCTCGCGCAGTGTCGCGAGTTTGGAGTGATATTCGTCGATGCCGATGTAGGCCCCGCACATGCGCCGTTTGCCATCGAATGCAGAGCGGCCGTGCAGGACGCGATGATTGTCGATTACTAGAAGTGTACCATTGAGACAATCCCACGAGCATTGGAATCCGTGCTTACCGACAGCTGTGCCAGGGTTCAGCTGCACCCAGTATTCGCATTCGGGACTGGTGAGGTATTTGTACCATACAGAGATGGCGTCGTACCTATAACACGCTCAGATATATGATACAGAGGAAAAGGGAAGGGAATTGTGGTACCACTCCTCCACTAAATGGGGTGCGATGTGCTTCATTACGCTTCTGTCGTCATTGTTCCAGCGTACGGTGGTGAGCTTGCCAGTTGAGATGTCGTGGCCGAGCACCGGATAGCCCGAAGAGGGGCTGGGGCAGTAGATGGACGATGGTTCGCCGGCTGCGTGGGCGGGGATGGGGGTGTTGGATAGTAGGGCGTAGGCATCTGGGTGTTTGTCCTTGATGAGGGATGCGACGTAAAACCCATCGACGAGCAGCGTGGCCCCTCCAGTGCCCTCGGTGTGAGAGAGCAGGTGGAAAAGTTGCAGTCCACAAGGGTCGGTCTAACGCAACGTGATTAATAACTGTGAGATGAGGAGTAGTAGGAGGAGGATGTTTACGAAATATGTGTTATCGGTGTGCGCACCGAGGGCCAGCGTCGTGTACGCCGTATCGCCCTTAGCGAGGTCAGATGTGAAGTCCCAAAATTGTCCATCTACAACAATGTTAAGGTTCGGAGCAAATGGAAGAGAAGGGAAGTTTACACTGGGTCTCGCGAATAAAACCGATACGTCGAGACAATTCTTCGGTTGCCTCTGGCGTCGCTGGGACACCAGAAACGAAGCAGAAGCCATGTTCGTGCTACAGGAGCAGTGGTAAGCATAGCCTGGGCGCCGCTGGAAGTCAACACACCACATGGGATAGCCATTGGTATAGCCCTTTGTCGTCGTTGGACATCACTTCGCCGTATTGAACCGTTGGGGGACTCTTTTGAATCGATGAACCCCATAAAGATTTCCTGGAATAGCCATATGTCAAAAAACAGGCGAGACGTAGGTGAAACGGCCTACTTGTCGACATCTGGAACGGCATCGAACTTCGGGTCATAAGAGTTTCGTTGGAGCCAAGTCCAAGGGTATACTGATTTATGACTGTCCGTGGAGGACCCTAGGAACATTGGTTGAGCGAATGCAACTATGAACGATGCGTAGTGGCCATACAAGTAACCTCAAGGCCTTGTGGTAGCACCTGGAAGCTGACGGGTTTGATCGCGGGAGGTAACTAGCCAAGATGTTAACGAGATCGGGTAATGTACGACAAAGTAATGTGGCGTACCTGGAATGTGTTCACGAGACGTTGCTTCGTGATAGGATGGAAGCACTGAGGACATCGGCAATGGTCTCTCAACCAAATGCTATGGCTGCCGGAATAGATCCCGTTCAGTGTTTTGTTTGACGAACGACGCATTGATGATTTATACGTACAATTTAGATTGTACATTCGTCTCCCAGTTTATTACGATCTTTGAGTCTTGTACGTTTGCGGAAGGCAACTGAGTCGGGCTAGCTTTTGGAAATAGAATCCGTTGCTCGTGGGCGTACAAGAGCTTCGTTGCGCAGGAGAAACTACGGATCTATTGCTAGTGAACGGAGCGGTAGTAGTAGCATTAGGATTGAGTTCCTACCTGAGGAGCGCGAATGTCAGCACGCCGTGTCCTAGCCAGACGTTCCAGAGAGCGAATTAGTAGTGAATTCATCACTGATATAGTTTCCTGATGTGAGATCAAGCACCGAGCACCGTCGTCTTTTACCGAGTCGGATCCTCTCCCCTGTCGCGCATGGCTGAGCCGTATTAGGTAACAATGATCGGTGAATTCCACTCATCATGGTTCGTCGGGAATAGTCGGTAGGAGAGATCTCGGCCGATCGCTACGTGACTAGGCTTGGTCGTTGAAAAAGCGCGACTAAAAAGTTTTGAATTGCAACTTGTTCACCGACCAACACCATGGCCTCATTTGCTTCTTCCTCATTCTCCCAAGCCCTCCGCACAGCGAGCCGTCGCTCTTCACGCGCCGTGGCCAATGCTGCTGCCCGTCCAGTGCAGCGAGCATCATATTCAGCCCTTTCTCGTGCCGCTGTCGCGAAATCAGCAGCTCAGCGCACACATGTCAAGGTATGCCTTGTAGGCTTGTCGACTTTGTGCTTTTATCAAACTCTGAGTAGGGTGCCAGAGGCATTAAGACCCTCGACTTTGCTGGAACGAGGGAGGTTGTATTCGAACGAAGCGACTGGCCGTTGGCGAAGCTCCAGGACTACTTCAAGAATGACACTCTGGCCATGATTGGATACGGTTCACAGGGACACGGACAGGGCTTGAATGCACGCGACAACGGACTCAATGTCATCGTCGGTGTTCGTGAAGGCGGTGAAAGTTGGAAACAAGCCCAGGAAGACGGATGGGTAAATCCACCTTTGCGCCCCGCTTTACCTTTTTTACTTACATGTTTTTCCAAGGTGCCTGGAGAGACTCTGTTCCCCATTGAAGAGGCTATCAACCGGGGCACAATCATCATGAACCTCCTTTCCGACGCTGCTCAGTCTCAAACGTGGCCCACCATCGCACCTTTGATCACCAAGGGCAAGACATTGTACTTCTCTCACGGCTTCTCTGTTGTGTTCAAGGAGGACACGAAAGTCATTCCTCCGCCGGACGTCGATGTTATCCTCGTTGCCCCCAAGGGGTCTGGACGAACCGTCCGCACCCTTTTCAAGGAGGGCCGTGGTATCAACTCCAGCGTTGCCGTTTTCCAGGACGTGACCGGCAAGGCCCAGGAGAAGGCTATTGCCCTCGGCGTAGGTATCGGATCAGGGTACATGTACGAGACGACCTTCGAAAAGGAAGTCTACTCGGATCTGTACGGTGAACGTGGTGTTGTGAGTCTTCCCCCGCCTCCAACCGGCAATACATTTGACTGACTTCTTTTCTTTAGCTCATGGGTGCTATTCGTAAGTTGTTAAGTCCGCTGCTGTGAAATAGCTACTTATTCCTCTCCCACAGAGGGTCTGTTCCTCGCTCAGTACCAAGTTCTCCGCAAGAATGGACACACTCCCTCAGAGGCCTTCAACGAGACTGTGGAAGAGGCCACCCAATCTCTGTACCCTTTGATTGGTCAGAAAGGGTGAGTTCGATGTGATTACCTAGGATGTACCTTCTGGTTGACGTTGTCCCTTTTAGCATGGACTACATGTACAATGCTTGCTCTACAACAGCACGTCGCGGTGCCCTCGACTGGGCACCCGTGTTCGAGAAGGCCAACCTTCCCATCTTCGAGCAACTCTACGAGAGTGTAAAGAACGGGACTGAGACGCGCAAATCCTTGGAGTTCAATGGACGATCAACTTACCGCGAGGATCTCGCTAAGGAGTTGGCTGTGATCGACAACCAGGAGATCTGGAGAGCAGGTTCGTGCATAAACGCTGTTGACGATTGCCTCATACTGATCCTTCTACAGGCAAAGTCGTTCGCTCATTACGACCCGACTACAAGCCTGAATCCGAGTAAATTTCTCCTATGCTTACGGGGGTCGAACACTGAGTCAAAAGATCGCGCTTATGATGCCGCGATCATCTTAGCCACTACGCTTATATTATTCCTTGTTTCTATCATGATCTCACGAACAAATATATCAACTGGAAATCGTGCATCATTCCTTCCATAGGGACGTAAGAAAGCGCGAAGTAGGATCCTGCTGAGTCATTGTGAGTCCATATTATTATAGCATCACTGATGCACTGTCCAGAACGTTGATTTACCGACAAGATGGAGAATGTCGCGTATAAGAGAAACTGAACTCATGTCCTTTCTGGACACTGAACAATGCCTCCCATTATCTCAGAGCTCCTCAAGTTCACTGTTGCCCCCAGCTTTCGGCTTGCTTCCGCAAGTTTCACCAACCTACGCCGAACTGTGGCTGCGAATGGCGCGAAGGAGCAATACTATGGAACAGACATGAATTCGTCGAGCATCCTATTGTGGGTTATTCGTGCGTACTTCCCCTTTTTCTTCGAGGAACTGGAGCTTACTCCTGATTTGAGACAGAATGGCACGCCGATAAAGGCCCCCTTGAATCGCCAGAGTTCAGAAGTGCGGTCAAAACTCTGGACGTGAATGAAACGCCGCAAAGTTGGTACTTGCCGTTCGCCCACGACAGTATACCAAGACCCGCCCTGACTGCTCCTGTCTGCGAACTGGTACGAGCTATATGATATATAACCCCTGTTCGCAAGGATCATTAGCTAACGAGTGTGTTCGAATGAATGAATAACAGTGTTTCCTTCACGTTGATAAAACGGCGGACAAGAAGAGCCTTGCCCACTCGCTGAACAAGACCTTCACTGACTGTTACTTCGCTGATGGGTTTACGGGTGGCCACTGGAGCACAGCGACCAACGATGACAATATGAACTATTATTACTTGGGATGGGAAAGTCGCGCAGTAAGTAGAGTGGCACATAAAAACGCGGCGTTTCTGATATTCATTGCAGCACCATTCCGCGTACTCGAAAACAGATCTGTTCGCCCTCGAGGTTGACAAACTCATGCCGCACATGGATGATGGGGGAGCTAACTTCGTGAAGCTGACACAGGAGTTGGACTGAGTCGAGAGAAGGGGCACGACTCCACCCGGGCATGCTAAGAGCATTCTCCCTGCGTTTTACCAATCAAAGTCAAAAGTGATAATATACATTGCTGTATGTTTTCGTAGTTCCACAATTGCATTGGTATGCGTGTAGTAACAAAGGATAGAAACGGTGGGCGAACACCGTGATGGTAGCAAGGCGCAACGGTAGAAAGTTACCATTGGTGCCTACAAAGTTGCTTGGATGGCCAATCGTGCAGTTAGCGTTGGTACATTTTGTGGCGATCTTACAAATGTGATCATGAACCTCTGCCTCTGCCACCTCCAAAACCTCCACGACCGCCTCCGAACCCGCCTCGACCACCGCCCCTTCCACCTCCAAACCCTCCTCCACCAAATCCGCCGCCGCCACCTCCTCCAAACCCTCCTCTCGATCCTCCTCTTCCTCGTCCCCTGTCACCGCCAAAGCCTCTACCACCGCCACGAGGTCCACCCCGACCTCTTGGAGCGCCCCTACCCGCCCCACGTCCACCACGACCGGCCCCGCGACCGCGTTCTGTAAAAACCATCAAACACTGGTGATTGTAATATCCTAGATGAAGGCTTACTCGTGACACCTAAAGGACGACAATGAGCACATGTTGCAGAAAAGACGGACGATGTGCAACGCACCTCCAGCGACTTTGGGCTTTGGCAAGAATCTTTCGATGGGCAACAGCTTGTCACCACCGATATAGACTTTGTCGCCCTTTTTGAAACTGCTTGCAACCATGCCTTCTCCCATCTTTATGGAGAAATAGACTTCGTTGACTGGCCCCAGGATCTCATCGACTTTCCCGATGACGGATTTATTTTGTAGGTAAATTGGCGCATTGAAGTAAGGGACTTTGTCGGGAAGGAGTGATGAGCAAAGCATCTCGTCTTCTACAGCATGTACGAACGTTCCCATTTCTGAAGGCATGTTAGATCCCCTAGCTGATATGTTTGCACGAAAGCTACCAACCGAGAACGGTGTCGGGAGGACCAAAATCGCGTTGTTGGAAGCCCCCTCGTCCACCTCCACGGCCTATTTATCGGGTCAGTTTTTCGGTAAAGCATGAGTGATTCAGCATACCACCGCCGCGACTGAAGCCTCTTGCACCACGGCTCATTGTGACTGCAGTCAAGATCGTTGCACTGGCGCAAAAATGAGAAATGAGGTAAGCCAATGAAATACCAAATCAGGCAATACAACAGTTCAGTTGCAGTTCACGCCAACGGATTGCAAGGTTTCTGAGCGCTAAAACATACATTCACTTGAGATCTACACTAACTAGGGTAACCGAGAATTCTACTAATCCATAGCAAAGGTGCATGACAACGTCCGACTACATTGTATTTTACTGATTTTACTGACAAGGAACGGCGCAACTCATGACATTCTTCCCAAGACACGAGGTTGCGCAACGTCGGCCATGTTGATGAAGATGTCGTCTGCGGGGTGACGGTAGAGAGGAGCACGGAGTCGCTTCTGATCGAGATGGTGACCGATGAAACCGATGCTACGGCCGAGGACGAATAGGCCATTCAAAGTACCGATCTACACAGTGAATGAGATCGGAGTACACAAAATGAAGGGTGAAATGGACATACCTTGATGTACTCGTCAGCTTCTTCTGGAGTAAAGGCACCACTGTCTCTGAGGAGATCAACGAAGCAAACAGCAATGCACCCATCGACGTTGAGGATGAGCTGCAGATATGTTATTAGTTGCCAGTCGATTAAGAAGTGAGAGGATTTTACTCACAGTATCCTTCTTCGCCGTTGTGACCTTCTCAACGGCCAACGCGTAATCGAGGAGACTGTGGCTGGGGAAGTTCTTCCTCACATATTCCTTGACGAGTTCAACACGGAGATCGGGGTTGTTTACGCTCTTGATCTTGTGACCAATGCCACTGATGAGCTTGTTGGCTTTGCGTGAGTTGTCGACGAATTCACGGGGTGTAAGACCAGTGTCACGAGCGCTGGAGAACATAGCGGCAGCCTCGTCGAGGGCACCTCCGAAGCGAGATCCGATAGTGAGGAGACCAGAAGCAAGCGATGAGATGAGATCCTTTCCGGCACGGGTAGCGACGATAGTGTTCATGGCACCAGAAACGGCGGGACCGTGGTCAGCCGTGAGCATCAGCACCATTTCGATGAACTTCGTAGCCCAAGGTGGTAGACGACGCTTGAACCAAAGCAGACTGACAACACCTCCCAAGCCGATCTCATCTCTGAACACGTCAGAGATGCGCATTCCAGCGTAGATGAGCTCCTGTCCACGCTCGTCCGAGATGGTAGAGATGAAAGCAGCGGGCTTGCGGATAAGACCGAGTTCCTGCGCCCACTTGTAGTCCATAGGGATGACAGGGGGCTCTCGCTCAGGCTGGGGCTTGATGGTTCCTTGCGCAACGAGTGAGTCATAGGTCTCCTTCAGGACGTATGGCAAGTCCTCGAAGGTCTCGGGTACAACGAACCCAGCTGCTCTCATGGCGCGGTTCTTAGCATCAGCGGTTTCCATGTCGCTGTTCGCCATTGAGCCAGCGTGACCGAATTGAACCTCAGTAGTGAACATCTTGGCGCAGGTACCAATGGCCCAAGCAACGATTGGCTTCTTGATGATGCCCTTCTTGACGGCGTCAATAACACGATATTCTTCGATACCACCGACTTCGCCAAGGAGCACGAGCATCTTGCACTCTGGGTCTTCCTCATAACGAAGGAGATGGTCGATGAAGGTCGAGCCTGGGTAACGATCACCACCGATGGCAATGCCTTCGTACGTTCCGTTAGTGTAGATGGAGAGGATGTTGTTGAGTTCGTTCGACATGCCACCGGACTTGGAGACGTAGCCGATGGATCCTGGTCGGTAAAGCTTAGACGCAATGATGTTGTCCATCATACTAGTAGCAAGTCAGACCATTGAAATGACAATGTCAAGAGATACAACATACCCTCCAGAGTTTCCGATTCTGAAGCACCCAGGCTTGATTCCACCGACAGTGGCCGGTCCAATGATCAGAACACCCTTTTGCTTAGCGAGATGCAGGATCTCTCTGGCGTGTCTCTCAGGTACACCCTCTGCAATAAGGGCGATGCTCTTGAGTTGAGGGAAGTTCAGCGCTTCGAGGGTCGAGCTGTAGACACTACGGGAAGAAGCGAAGTTGACAATCACATCGACATCAGGGTGCTTCTTGACGGCCTCTTCCAACGAAGTGTAGACGGGGAGGAGAGCTTCCTTTGTTCCCCAGTAGAACTTCTGGATATGGTGACCACCGAAGGGGTAGATCATGGCAGCGACTGAGGGGACTTCACGACCGCAGGAGTAATCGAAGTCGAGCATGCCTTGGATAGCACGAGGCTGGAGACCATAGACGAATGAACGGGTGGAGGCATCGAAGGGGCGGTATGAGGGACGTTGCTTGATGCTGGTGGTGTCGAAGTGTACGATTTGATCACCGGGTTGGGTGCGCTCTCCGTCCGGGTGGATGGCACCGACAGCGGCAGTTGGTTCTGGCTCCGGGATAGTTCCAGCTTTCTGGGAAGGCGAGCCAGGGGCCGTGGCGGGGACAGACTGGGGGATAGCTCCCTTGTTCTTTGGTGGAATACCGAGGGCGAGAGGGACGATCTCGGTGATGTGCGTGTCGGGCCCATAGACCCTGATGGGCACCCCAAGGGATTCTCCGAGGAGACGCATGGCCTTGAGACCTTCCTGGTAGTTTGGACCACCGCGGCGGACGTAGATCTTGACGCCGTGGGCAATGAGGCCTGCCTTGAACTCCTTGAGGGCACGGATAATACCCTTGAACGTAGCGGCGACGTTGGTGAAGTTAGCGATACCTCCACCAATGATGAGGAGTTTGCCCTTGGGGTTGGGAGTGCCTCGAGTGATCAAGTCGACTGGTTGACATATTAGGAACTAACACTAGAAAGAGGTTGGAGAAATTAGCTCACTGATGGTCTTGGCATATTCGTATGTTTGTCCTTCGGTGGGAGCACCAGAGTACTCGCCATAGTTGGCCAACTCGTGGGCGAAGCCGTGTGCGGCAATGGCATCGGAGTAGACGACCGAGGCACCACCACCAGCAACCATGGTCCAGATACGTCCTTCGGGGTTTAAAACTGTGAGTTTGAGCGAAGCACCAGTCGATCCATCCAATTTCTGGATGTACGCTTCCTCCTTGGTCAAGTCACGACCAAACGGAGCTGGCCAAACCTATATTGCCAGGTAAGTTAACATTCGTACTGGGAAGTAAACTTTATACCATTGGTGGGCCGCGATCGGAGTTAATCTTTCCCTTCGAAGTCGCAGCACTGGTTGAGGGCTCGTACACGGAGGTGTCACGGGCAATAGCCCACTTGGGTCCGCAGATTGACTCGGCCGTCTGATCAAGTTTCGCGGCCATATCCAAATAATGAATGGTGGGTTGGCCACCGTCAACTGCATCGAGGCAGATCAAGGGATTGATTTCAAGGTAGGCAAAGTGAAGATCGACATAGACGGAGTAGAGGCGGACCAAGAAGTCGACAAGGGTCTCGCGCTTTTCAGCGGGGACAAATTTCAGGAGGGTGGATGCAATTGTAGCGCGATCGGGGAATGGCGCGTTGACTGGAATCTGCAGGACGAGAGCCTTGGCATCAACATCACCGACGTCTACACCACCTTCATGGGTGAAGAGGATGTTGTCGCCCTCGCGCGCGGAGTTGATGCAGACGTAGTATTCAGTGTGAGAAGGGTGGGGGAGGAATGGCTCGACGATAAAGGTGTTGAGAGTACCGGTGATCGATTCCACCTAATGAAACAATGTCAATATGAGGTCTACTTCAAGTGATCGAAAGCAGATGAAAGATCGGTCACGTGGTATCATTAATGAACGCGCACCTTCTGAGGTTTACCAGCCCGGGCGCTGATCCACTCTCTGGCCTCGTCCCAGGTCTTGTTGAGAGCCAGCAGACCGGCCTTGCCACGACGTTTGATGAGTTGATCTGGTTTTGCTACAAGCTTTGTGGTGAAGACCCATTGAGGGAGCTTCGTATCCGGGGTGATCGTATTGGTTTCGGGATCCCAAGAGATCTGAGCAACCTTGGGAGACGGGTAGACGAAGTTTGGTGACGCCTTGGCCGATGCATCAACCGGGGGCGCACGCTCGAGCCAGTAAGCAAGGAGCAGCTTGGCATCGTACTCTCTAATGGCTAGCGATGGGGATCAGTAAAGAAGTTGGGGGACGAAGGGGGCGTCAACGCGGTGGGCTTACCTTTGGACGACATGGTGGAGATAGAGGAAGAAGAGAGAAAGAGAGGATCCCTGGAGGGGACTGAGGTCGCGCGTCCTTTTTAACCCCAAAGTTCGCACGGAGTTATTATGATTTGTATCAAAACATCGTGCCATCGATGCTGCATGTCTCAAATATCAATCGTATCATTAAATTAGTCCTCATGGTCTCCCCATGTCTCATCGCACAAGTAGGCGATCACACAGGGCTCAGGCCTCATTTTTGTCCAGAGATCTCTGCACATTGCCGGCTACCGGTCACCTAATAGGAGTACTCTCGACCATCTCTTGTTGTCTCGATGATAGCCAATCCTTATCAAAACTGGGCGCTGCTGAACGCACCATCTGTGCCCTGTATTTTTTCATGATCGGCCAGATTGGCTTGCGCTTCGTATACAGTGACGACTGGCCCTCTTTTGTGCTGGCAGTGGTAAAGATCAGCCTCTCGTCACAACCAACAGCATACCATGTAACGCACCTCCGACCACGACCCGAGGAATCCGATGTAGTATATTTGGACCTTGTCAGCCCCTTGGGACTCTGGAAAGAATAACGTTATCGAAGATACATTCGAAAACTTCGCAGTCCTAGCCACCCGGCCCATTACTAAGTGTCGGAAAACGCAAAAGGGGACCGGGTAACAGACCTCAGTGGATATTCTCCAACTTCTCTACTCTCTACGACCTCTAGCTCCTGGAGTGGCACCTTATCCGACAGATCATCAAAGGACATGACGGAGTCGCCGGTATACTACAAGTAGATTCAATTGCTTTGCCGGCTTCGAGGAAGACCTGTCGACATACTAGCGCAACCTTCTTTGGCGTAACCGCACCAGGGCCAGCCTTGAGCATGAAACCCCGCAGCTTGACGGATGTGTTGAACGGGATATGGACTATTCTATGTACAGGCACAGCAGGTAAATGGCTGGGAGCTGTGCGAAAATCAATTCACGCACAGTTCGTCGTCATCATCAGATTGAAGAGACTATCTATTCCATTGAGGGACCGCTGTTCACGAAGCAGAGCCCGTGCAAACCTTGGTCTCATCCAACCTGTCGTGCCAGGGCTTGACAAGGACAGAAGGATCCCCGTCGCCGTTCAAAGCCACGATGTTTTCGCGATCTATCTGATTGAATAGGCTATCCTGTGGGCCCAGGTCATCGATTTGATCGTGGTCATGGTCGTGTGCATCGTGCCCACATCCGTGATGGTGTTCGTGAGGCATGGCTGGTTGCAAGCTACGATGAGCCCGAGTCCCGTGTCCGAGACTGTGGTGGTTGTTTGCCAAATACCTTCGGGACAAATAACGCGGGGATAATGCGATCTCGCAAGTGAGCGCCGGACATGAGATGTCTCTTCTCTTTAAACATCTCCGAATTCATCAAATATTCGGTGCAAATACAGATGTCGGCAAAACTATCATATCCACTGCCCTCGCTAGGGCATCTCTAGCGAAGGCAGATCGTGTCATTTACCTCAAGCCGGTGAGCTCTGGACCATCTGAGGATGCCGACGACGGGTAAGCCGGTGTTCGTTTCGCGACATTGCCTTCATCTCACTCATTTACTTTGTAGGCACGTCGTGAAGTATACGAATCTGGGCAATCGTCGCGTTCAAGCCGAGTGTTTGTACCGGCTGCGCGATCCAGTCAGTCCGCACCTAGCAGCCATTCGTGAAGATGCTACGTATAATGTCATTACTTTGGCACTTCTCCCCCGCAATGAACCTTACAATATGTCATCAAGGCCCCCACAGATGATACATTTATCAATGCAATTTCTATGTCTATTCAGCGACAAGCCCAGGAAGTAGGCAAGCAAACCTACATGTACGTAGAAACGGCGGGAGGTAAGGCTTGTTCAATAAATCACAGTTCCTCGCGGACTCGAATTTACCGAACTCTCAGGTGTTCACAGCCCCGGGATCTCCGGCACTACCCAGCTTGACCTATATCGACGGTTGTTTCTACCTGCAATCCTGGTCGGCGATTCTAGGCTAGGCGGAATATCTGCTACCATTTCGGCCTACGAATCGCTTTTATTGCGCGGATACGATATCGACGCCGTCATTCTATTCAAGGATTCTTATTACCGCAATTATGAATACCTAGAATCCTATTTTAAGACGCGCAGCATCCGCACTTTCGCAGTGGATACCCCGCCAGAAAAGCACCCCGATCCCACTCTGAACACCAGCCTGACTGAAGAGTATTATGAGCGCATCGCGTCGCAGTCGTCTGAAAGCGACATCACCCCCGCGGTCACTCATCTCGACACCTGCCATCAAAGTCGGCTTGCAACCCTAGACTCCCTCCCTCGTCGAACCCTTGACGCCATTTGGTGGCCGTTTGTGCAACACAAACACGTCAAGAGCGAGTCCGACGTATCTGTGATTGATAGCGCCTTCTCCGATTTCTTCAGCGTCTTCAGACGCCGGACACCAGCCAAAACGACTATGTCCTTGCTACAGTCCGATTTCGATGGTTCTGCTTCCTGGTGGACACAAGCCCTCGGTCATGGTCATCCCTCCCTTACTCTCGCGGCGGCGCGAGCGAGTGGCCGTTACGGACACGTAATGTTCCCCGAAGCAACACATTTACCGGCGCTCGAACTCGCTGAAAAGCTCCTCCAGGGTCCGGGACGGGGTTGGGCATCACGAGTATTTTACTCGGATGACGGTTCCACGGGCATGGAAGTTGCACTCAAAATGGCACTGCGTTCTGTTTCCGCACGCACGGGTATTTCACGAGAGGATAGCAAAAGACTGGGCGTACTGGGCCTCAAAGGAAGCTACCACGGCGATACTATAGGTGCTATGGATGCTTGTGAGGAAGGCGTATACACCTGCGACTGGCACAATGCGAAGGGCTACTGGTTTGATCCTCCAACGGTTGGAATCAAAGACGAACGGGTATCTATCACCTTGCCAAACGGGATTGACGGCACAGTGTTAGACCCATCTAGTTTCCGATTCGAATCATCCGCCGCCATTTACGATGTCGAACAGAGAATGGGAACTGAGTTGGCACAAATCTACTCTAAACATATCACACACACCCTCCAAAAGCTCAAAGCCCAGGGTGTCACTTTTGGTGCTTTGGTATTAGAACCTTTGGTCATGGGAGCTGGCGGCATGATCTTCGTGGATCCCCTCTTCCAGAGAATCATGATAGACACCATACGGAGCGAAGATACCTCGTCCTCCGGCTGGCGGGGTCTCCCCATCATATTTGACGAAGTTTTCGTTGGTCTGTACCGTATCGGAATGGAGAGTACCGGCCCACTTCTGGGCGTCTTGCCCGACATTTCAGTTCACGCCAAAATCTTGACTGGCGGAAACATGCCTCTGGCGGCAACGTTGGCGTCGGACTCTATCTTCCAAACTTTCTTGGGGGACAGCAAAGCAGATGCTCTGCTACACGGTCATTCGTATACAGCGCATCCAATAGGTTGCGCCGTTGCAAGCGAAACACTTAAAATCATCCAGGAACTTTCGACATCGGAAAGTTGGATAACAGCCAAGGAGAATTGGTCGCAAGCCTCGGGGTCATCTCGCATATGGAGTCTTTGGGACCGAAATTTCGTTATGGAGTTGTCGCGCATGGATGTAGTTAAGGAAGTTATGTCCATGGGCACGGTCCTGGTAGTAAAACTCAAAGGAGAAGAAGGTAAGAATATCCACCAAGTCTATTCCTAAACTACACTATATTCATCTTCATCTAGGCTACGTGTCGACGTCGGCGCAAGCTTTGCTGAGTTCACTGAAGGTCCCTGAACCCCAGGACTCAAGCCGCATCTCACCTTCACCCGGCGGTGTACCTTTTGGAGTTCACTTCCGCACGCTTGGGGATGTGGCCTATTTCATGACTAGCCTCAACACCTCGCCTGACGTTATACGCTCTCTAGAGGATAGAATATGGCGTGCGTTGCAGAAACACGCCGTACAGGATGAGTAGATAACAAGACCGTAATTGTATTCTAACTTCTCCAATATTGTGCTAGATCATGGATCCGATCTAATACTACGGTCAGATATGAAGTCTCATTAAGGAGAGCCTCGAAGTGCTCGATCGCTTCTTCTTCTGTCAGATCTAGCCTAAATTTCTCCTGGATCTGTTCGTGGACATCTCGGTGCTTAATGTCGGGGATGTTGGCGTCGACCATGAGCGCCACCAAATTTAGGATAAGATTCGCACTTTTGCGAAGGATGGAAAACGCCGTGAAACAGAAGTTCTTGAACCGCGCATAATGAGGTGATTGGGCCCCTCCCATCCCGTCAACCATTTCTTTGCAGACCTTGACGGGCGGAGGAAAAGGCTTTGGATCGCGTCCAAGGATATAACCAAAATCAACTATCGCTGGCGTCAGTCATTGTATCCACGGTCTGTGAGATAACGCACCATGGAAAAAGTGACCTAGAGATCTAAGGGTAAGCCTGAATACAAAAATAGACGGATGACGGTCAGACTAACCATCCGGGGCCAGTAGGAGATTGTCCAAATGCCTATCACCTACTCCCAACAAGTACGTGACGACGCAATACCCCGCTGATGGAAATAAGAAGGAGATCGACAGAGCAAGCAATGTACACGTACCACAACTCCTTACAAAAGTATCGATAACTGAGGGTTCTACACCCGAGGTCCCAACGCTGCCTTCATCCGGATAATTTGCTCGGAGATAATTTAAAAGAGTGCCATGTTCGCTAACGATGGCCGCAATGGTCTTGCTGGGGATATACTGCACCATGCCTTGGAGAGGACCAGTAGCCAGAACATCGTACGGGCTCAGTTTTAAATCGAGATTCTCCTTCCTCAACAACCTGTCCATGAGCGTGAAGAGTTGGATTACAAGTTGGTCTTGCCGCATATCGTCGCCAACCTTGAAAATGACGGGAAACTCAGAGCCGTCGCTGCACTGGAAGCAGAGAAGCATCGGGTATAGGTTGGACTTGAACACCGAAGACTTCTCTGCTATGATGCCGGTGACTTCCTTGCGTGCGTCGAGGGGCAGCGGCATTGGTGGCATGGAAGATAGCCCATGTTTAGAATCAGATATGAAAGCTCTCAACTTCTCGATTTTCTTTGGGCGAGGATCCTTCGAGGTCCGTAGTTCTGTCGCTCGCTTGGCTAAGGTTTCAACCAGCAAACCTTGCCGCCGCATGGATTCCCGCCGCTCAGAGCCTCCCTCCGTCTAGAAAAGTGTTATGAATCGTGTATGTACGCAAAAAAACAGATGCTAGCCTTGACAATATCATTCATGAACTTGAAGACGACTCGACCATACAACTTGGCAATGACCTGGTCTTCTAAAGCCACTTCCACCATGAGGTACCAATACAATCGGTTGCCTAATACAGCGTTCTTTACGCCTCGCTGGACCAAGAAGTCCGTTAGCCCGCTGTCATCATACGAAATAGCACTTGTCGCAGAACGAGATGACCGTTGATCGCTAGCGGCGTTCTCAAATTTGAGGGCTTGAACTAATTGCAGTAGATACAGAAGTAATTCCTGCTTTGCGTGAACCAATGAAAAAGAAACGGAAGTTACGTCGCACTCACTTCGTCGTCTGCTCGACTTAGCTGCTTTACAGCAAATGCGCGCACCCTTGAGTCTACGGTACCTGGTCCCAGGAGTTCTAGGGCATCATCCGTGTCGATCTCCGTCCATTGGGGAAGTAGCTCTTCGACTGCTTGCTTCACTTCTGATGAATCTCTCCAAGTCACTGACTTCAAGAACTTGGTAAGGCCTCGCTTATCCCTTACGAGATAGAAACGAAATTTCCAAATAAGATCCTTTTCTTCGGATGTCAGCGGTTGGCTCGGAGCATAGTTGAGTATGATCTATACAACAACGAGTTCGATAAGCGCCATGGCACCTGGGGTGTGAACCTACTCCGAGTTCATCTCTTATTTTTGCATTCGGTTTCAGTTCCCTGTCGTACGGACCGCTGCGATGACTTCGAATCAACCGCCGATGCTTGTCTTCTACGGGGTTCTCTCGGGTCACTTCGGGATCAACAACACCCCACAGGTGTGCTTCGTGGATGAATGTGGAAGATATAGAGCCCGCAGTAGGCACCATCGACGTGGGAGACACTGTTAGTGACGATGAAGGAGCTGACATTTCCTATTCCGAAGTGTCAATTCGTTCAGGACAGTAGAGGGGTTCAACCCACTGGCTCTGTGAAGACCACCGGGAAGTCGAACCTTGGCAAGTCGATGTACAGGAATAAATTCTGAGACTTTTCCGTCTCTGCCTGTAAAATGTCAAGTTACGGACCGAATGCGCAGTAGATTTAGCATCGCACAGCATGGACGTCCTCCATCTTGCGGAAGGCAAGTTTATCAAGCCAATCAGACTTGGGAAGATCGCCCCGTTCGTACTTCTTAACTAGCTTTGGGAGGGCTTGAGAATGGTAGAATTACTCGTAGAGGGATGCGAACCTTTTCTAATCTTCCCATCTCATCTCGAACATCAAGCTTGCTGGGTGTCGAGCTCTCAACAGAACCATCCGCTTCAACTCCCTGCCATAACCACAGTCTATGTTTGCCACGGCGTAGGGTCCTGTACGCATTGAGAGGGATTATTAGGGCGTGAAGTTGACATTTACCATTTCTTGCTAAACAGGCGGAAGGTAGAGCCCCCAACAGGAGCTGCAGTCCTCGGACCAGCAATGTCCCAAACGGTGAAAGTGACTTGAGAGTTTAGAGGGAGGTCGCAATAGCGAACCGGGAATGTGATCCATTCATTCCATCTGCAAATATGTTGAGCATAGAGCGAAAACGAGGATAATCATGCTACGTCACATGTAGTTACTCTTGAAGGCTTTGAATGATGTCCGAAAGGGAATCGTGAGGGGTTTGTTGTCGGCAACCAGTTGGCAAGTAACATATAGATCCGAGAGTGTCCTTTGATCTAAACTCGTTAGCAGTATACAATAGAAGAGCTATTAGCCATACGGAAGTTGAACTCCATGAAAGCGTAACTCTGGGTTGTCCAGGATCTCCCGAAAGGACTTGGGTTTGCGCATGCCCTCTAGTTGAGATCTACAGGTTCATTCAACATTGATTCAGGCTATTTTGTGCAAGCACCGACATTCGCAATGTTACAGGCATATTCAAGTCTGAGAGCTTGGCAAAGGTAAAGTCATCTCTACTGTCTTTGTCCATTGACGCGGTGACCGTGAGGGTAGTAGTAGTACAAGTGAGAGCAGTCTAACTTTAAGCGCCATATTCGGACATGGTATCACGTGTCCTGTAGCTCATCATCACCGTGACTCGTACCTGCATGACCGTATTTGGATGTCAATCTTGTATCGATATCTTGCTCTTCGACGACCACCAGCTCTGCGCCTGATCGCTAGAATGTCCCAAGAAGCAGCAAGTACTCCCAGCGATGTATCTGTCACTCCCGCTGGCGAGTCGACACCGATAACAAAGAGTGCAGGTGGGTAGATCACTATCCCGAGCAATCTATCTTGATTAAACGCGACGCGTAGCCAAGAAAGAGGCAAAACGACTTGAGAAAGAGGCCAAACTTGCTGCTAAAGTATCCAAATCAGCAGTAGCCCCAGGCAGCGAGAAAAAGGCCAAGGCAGAGAAGGAGAAGAAGGTGGAGGAAGCGCCGTTCGTCAACACTACGCCGAAGGGAGAGAAGAAAGGTACGTTGTAATGGCTACCCGTGCAACGTAGCCGTGACTCAGCTTGATAATTTTGTAGATCTTTCTGCTCCTATGCCGGCAGGATACAACCCGATCGCTGTAGAAGCGGCATGGTATGACTGGTGGAGTGCGCAAGGATTTTTCGCCCCTCAGACGACCTCCGAGGGAAAGCCCAAAGCTGAAGGGAGCTTTGTCATCCCTTCACCTCCTCCCAATGTCACTGGTAGCTTACACATTGGTCATGCCCTCACCGTTGCGATACAGGACTCGTTAATACGCTGGTACGTCGCGCGACAAAGACGTATACAGTGACTTTGATATTGTATAGGAATCGCATGCTTGGCAAGACGACCCTTTTCGTTCCAGGATTTGATCATGCTGGTATCTCAACCCAGTCCGTTGTGGAGAAGCGGCTGTACAAATCTAGTGGTAAAACTAGGCACGACCTTGGTCGAGAAGCATTCTTGGAGACTGTGATGTCCTGGAAGAACGAGTAAGAGAACGCGTACCTTTAATTTAATGTGGCTTACCATGTTCTTACAGTTACCAAGCACGGATTACCAACCAGTTACACCGTCTCGGAGGAAGTTATGACTGGCAGCGTGTGGCATTTACCATGGATGAGGTGCAAACACAGGCTTCTATTACTCGAGAGTGATACAAGCATGCTCATTCGCTTACAGAAACTGTCAAAAGCAGTCATAGAGACTTTTTGTCGCCTTCATGAAGACGGGATTATCTATAGGGCCAACCGTCTGGTCAACTGGTGTGTGCAACTCAATACAACTTTGTCGAATTTGGAAGTACGTAGCTGGTTTCTTATCGTCGATTACTCGGATTCATTTTCGTTTAGGTCGATCAAAAGCAACTAACGGGGCGGACAATGCTCAACGTCCCCGGTTATGATGCAAAAGAAAGGTTCGAGTTTGGTGTCATCACATCTTTTGCGTACCCACTAGAAGATTCAGGTACGCTTCCTTGCCCTTTTGGGTACCTCAACTGACGTGCAAGCTGGGTAGACGAAAAGATTATCGTCGCTACAACGCGTCCGGAGACCATGCTTGGTGACACAGCAATAGCCGTTCATCCTGACGATCCTCGATATAAGGTTGCCCGTCCCTAAAGCGCCATTCATTTACACGCTGCTAACCCGAGATCTACAACTATGTAGCACCTTCACGGCAAATTTGCCAAACATCCGTTTGTGGACCGTCGCATTCCCATTGTTGCGGATTCTATCATCGTCGATATGGAGTTTGGAACTGGAGCTGTCAAAATTACGCCGGCTCACGATCCCAACGATTATGAAGTCGGCGTTCGTCATAAACTTCCCTTCATCAATATTCTCAACGATGATGGTACCTTCAATGAGAATGCGGGCGAGAAATTCAAGGCGAGTCCTTTCCCATAACATGGAACTCCAATTACTCAGATGTAAATTGTAGGGAATGAAACGGTTCCATGGTAGGGTTGAGGTCGTCAAGGCCTTGAAAGAGCTGGGCCTATATATTGAAACGAAGGACAATCCGATGCAGATACCCTTGTGCAGCAAATCCGGCGACATTATCGAACCTCTTCTCAAACCTCAGTGGTGGGTGAGTTGTAAGCCCTTAGCGGACGAAGCGATAAAAGTAAGCCGATTTAGTCCAGAGAACATATCTGCCGCGATTGAGTATTTATATAATATATAGAGGACAAAAGCCGGCGAACTCCACATTCAACCGAAACAGTCTGAAGCAGACTGGTACCGCTGGCTTGAAGGGATACAGGACTGGTGCATTTCTAGACAATTATGGTGGGGACATCGTTGCCCAGCATACTTTGTCCGAATCGAAGGAAAGGACCAAGATGTGAGTAACACCTCCATCATGAGGCTTTTTCATCTCGTTGATTAGACTTTAGCGTATCGACGGGGCAAACTGGGTTGTCGGCCGCACCCTCGAAGAGGCGACCGAACGTGCGAAGGTTGTGGCGAATGGAGCGCCCTTTATTCTTGAGCAAGATGAGGATGTTCTTGATACGTGGTTCTCCTCAGGCCTTTGGCCCTTCTCGATCATGGGCTGGCCAGACAAGGTACGTGCAGGCCTCCTTAGCTCCTTCATCTTCCAACCATCCCCGATTAGACTCCCGACCTCCAAGACTTCTATCCGTCCTCTCTCTTAGAGACCGGCTGGGATATCCTTTTCTTCTGGGTTGCCCGAATGGTGCTTCTCGGCATCCATCTCACAGGTAAAGTTCCTTTCGAGGAGGTTTACTGCCACGCTATGATTCGTGATGCCCACGGCCGTAAAATGAGCAAATCTCTGGGCAATGTTATCGACCCCTTGGATGTTATCCAGGGTCTCCCATTAGAGGCTTTGCACGAAAAGCTTTACGAGGGTAACCTGGACGAGAAAGAAATCCAGAAGGCAAAGCTTGGCCAGAAGAAAGACTTCCCGAAAGGTATCCCTCAGTGTGGGACGGATGCCTTGCGTTTCGCTTTGTGCGCTTACTCCGGAGGAGGTATGTGATAACAGGGCCTTGATCAGAAGTCTACGCTAATGGTATATATGTATAATATAGGGCGTGATATCAACCTTGAAATCCTTCGCGTTGAAGGATACCGTAAATTCTGCAACAAGATTTTCAACGCAACCAAGTTCGCAATGTTGAAACTGGATCAAACCTTCGTTCCCGAAGCTTTACCTAAGGTTCTTATTCCTTTTTCTAATCATCGCTTTTATTCACGAATTGTATTTTAGCCAACGGGCTTAGAAAGTCTCGTTGAGAAGTGGATTTTACACAAGCTCAATATTGCTGCTGCGGAGATCAACAAGCAGCTCGCCGACAGAAACTTCATGAATGCCACTACAGCTGCGTACAATTTCTGGCTGTACGAACTGTGCGATGTCTATATTGTAAGTTCTGGTACGTAAAGCCATTTGCTCAGGGATAACGTATCCTTTTTAGGAAGCCATGAAACCCATGACCGACGAAGCTGCATCCCCAGCAGTACGAAGATCTGCGCAGCAGACTTTGTATACGTGTCTTGATCATGGTTTAAGACTTTTGCATCCTTTCATGCCATTTGTCACCGAGGAACTCTGGCAGCGTCTGCCACGTCGCCCGAACGATTCGACTCCTTCCATTATGGTTTCTTCGTTCCCGGTCCACGTGGGTGGTTCACTATACCCTCTGCTCTCGTACTAAAATACCCTAGGATGCGGCGTTTGCCTTCGAAGAGGCAGACAAACAGTTTGACCTCATCTTTTCCGCACTGAAAACTGGACGTTCGCTCGCAGCCTCATACAACCTCCAGAGCGAAATCCAATGTACGTAGGCACCAACACCTCCAACGACCCCCACTAACGCCCCACCAGTCTTCTTCCATGCCCAGACGGACGAAGAAGCGAAGCTCCTAGAATCGCAAATACCTACCATTGTGACATTAACCAAAGGTTGCAAGAGTGCCCAAGTAGTTCGAGACCTTTCTCAGATTCCACCTGGATGTGGTGGCTCCATTGTTACTGCGACTGTCGCGGTGCATACGCTCGTCCGGGTACGTCGAATTACCCGTGAACGCTACTTCGCTAACATCCAGCCGGTGCATAGGGACTTGTGGACCTCGATGTGGAGATCTCAAAGTGCGACAAGAAGCTCGACCTTGCCAAGTTGAATCTGCAGAAGATCGTCAAGGTTGAGTCCCAGGCGGACTATGAAGACACCGTTCCCGCCAATGTCCGGTTGGTTAACGAAGAAAAGGTTCGTTTGAATGATATCAAATCATTCAACTCATGCTGATTATATCCGTCTACATTCGCGTTTTCAGAGGAAGACCTTGGAAGCCGAGATCACTACGCTGGAGGCATCGAAGTCAATGTTCTTACAGTTAAAGTAATAGCTCTACTGTACGTATCGATATATACAGATAAATTCAAGTGTATAATATCTGGTCTCTTTCTCTCACTATCTATTAATCGCCAGAGGTGGTGGTTTACTTCCGGGGAGGGACTAATCGGGTGGTCCTCGCGCATTAAAACATATATGTACCTTGTCATCGATTTGGCCATTTTCAACGGCGTGAAGGAAATTGCGATACATGCAGCAAGAGTATATAGATAGTTACAAGCGAGTGATGCGGTGTACAAACGACTGAGATGGTAAATGATGGTGTTGTACAACGTAGATCGGTTTTTGCGTTCATGCAAATTTTGGTGCAAGAGATTTAATCAGATCGCTCGACAGATGTTTCCTCGCGGCCTTGTGCTTGTTCACGGTGCTTCCTCAGCAGACGATCAAGAGCTTCCTTCTGACCTACAGCCAGTTCGCCCGATTGAATACCAGAGTGGTAGATACGGAGGAGCGAGTCGACATCGTCCATAGATTGTGTTCGAACGTCAGCGAGTTCCTTAATCTTAGCTGTCGCGTCCTTGACCTGGGGACAGTGGGGTAAGTATCAAAATGGTGATCGTTGAGAGATGTGATTAACCTCCTCATCGGTCAGCTTGAGCCCAAGTTGCTCGACACGAGACTTGACAGCGTTCCAGCCGGTGAGACGATGACTGGATATGTTAGCCCGGGGTACGGAGAAGATGGTGATGGTAACTTACCCGATGGACACATATCTGGTGAGGCCGAAGTCTTCTGGTTTGAGGATTTCGTAAGTTGAGGGGTTGTTCAGGATGGCTTTGGCGTGGATGCCGGCCTTGTGAGTGAATGCACAGTAGCCGCTGCAAGGGCGTGAGCCCGATGTGCGATATGAGTGGTTTGAATGACGTACGTGATGGGATTCATAAATGGAACATTGACTTCTACGGCTTCGGCGACCAGATTCTCAATCTCTCGTAGCATCGAGAGGTTATATTTGGCCTTGACGTATTCGGGGTTGGCTGCGTACAGGCACGCTACGAGGCCACCGAGAGGCGTGATTCCGACACGCTCTCCAATTCCGAGAACAGCTAAGGCAACGTCGATAAAATGTTTGGACGATGGAAGGTTGACTTACATGTGTCGATGTGGGTTGCACCAGCTTCCAGAGCGGTGTAGGCGTTGGCGATTGCTGAGTTTACAGTAAGCACGTAAGTCTGGTACACAGTTAATTGTTCGGCGCACCCATTCCAGTGTCATTGTGTAAGTGAATTTCAATGTCGCACCCAACGACACCTCTGAGCGTTCGGACTAGTTCATATACCTGCCTTGGGTTGGCGCAGCCAACAGTGTCCGCAATGCCAACTCGATTGACGCCGATCTTATCAACGGTTTGGTATATTGAAAGGAGATCGACTAGGTCTGATCGGAACGAGTCTTCGGTAGAGAATCGGACTTCTATTCCCTTTGACTTGACGAAATTTATGACCTCGATAGCAGTCTTGGTGATATATGCCATATCTTTGCCATGAGAGAACTCGCGGAGGAAAGACGAAGTTCCAATCACAACGTCGACGCCGTCCACCCCTGAAGGCACAGTAGAGCTTGAATACCCGAAAGCACGCGGCTAAAAGCTTGCTTACCGGTCTCGACAGCGATCCTGGCATCGTCCATGTGGCATCGAATGTGGGTGAGGATCTTGGCCTTCAAACCCAACTTGCAGATGGCCTCGCAATCCAGTCGCGATTGATCTGATGCTGCCGGAGATGTGAGCTCGATGTATTCAACGCCGAATGCATCGAGTGCCTTTGCGATGGCGATTTTGGTTTTGGTATCAAAGAAAGCATTAGCGAACTGCTCTCCCTCTGCACGCCGGGGATGATTATTCAGTGTCAGTCGATCAAGATGCGCGGAGTAGAGGATCAAAGACAAACCTCTCAGGGTGCTCTCGATGATGTTGAAGTTTGAGACATTATTGAGGAAATCAGCAGCTCGGGGAGCGTAAGGGTTGAGGCGTTGCTGCTCGAGCTGGGCAGCGGCGCTGTTTTTGTAGGATGTTCCCCTCTTGCCATTGACGGAGGCCTTTCCGTTGGTTAAATCCACTGGGACCATCTCAGCGCGGTCGACGGTGGGCAGGGAGTCTCCGTTTTGGTGTGGGCACATTGTGAGGGAGGAGGGCGACAGGGATTTTTGAGGAGCCTTGAATATGTTTCGTCTTTTGAGGATCTGCTGTGACTCTAACCCCAGGTCACATGTCGGGGTTTATGTAATTCGGCCGATTGGAGTGACGGACATGCATAATGTCGTTCAACTGCAAGGCCCATGTCATCCAGCACGGCGTACAGGTCCTTCAACCTTGCAAACGATGTTCTTGAAGTATCGCCGCAGGATCAGATATTCAAATTCGATGTAGAAGAGAACAGGCGCATCGACCGTGAAGCTCCTTGGAAAGCAGAGTGAGTCGTCCCCGCGTCCTCAATCACACCCACCGATCCAAATTCTGTTCCATTAGCCCACACTACTTCAAGTCATGCAAGATATCTGCCATCGCGCTCATTAAGATGGTATGTTATTATGCTCTTCGTGTACTAGCCTGCTCTCGATCTTTCGTTTCAGGTCATTCATGCCAGGTCGGGTGTCCCCCACGAGATCATGGGGCTGATGCAAGGCAAAGTCGTTGGCACATCCCTCGTCATCATGGACTCTTTCGCTCTACCTGTGCAGGGAACGGAGACACGCGTTAATGCTGCAAACGAAGCCAATGAGTACATGGTCGAGTACGTCAACGGGAATGAGAAGGCGAGCCTCGTCTCCGTCTCTTATAATCGTCGCGTCTCATCGCACAATCGCGCAGGCAGGACGATTAGAGCATGTCATAGGATGGTACCACTCCCATCCAGGATATGGATGCTGGCTCTCGGGAATAGACGTCAATACGCAAATGAACAATCAAAAGTTTCAAGATCCTTTCGTCGCCGTCGTGATTGACCCCAATCGCACCATCTCTGCAGGCAAGGTCGACATCGGCGCCTTCAGGACGTATCCCGAAAACTATACACCGCCAAATGCCACCACATCCGAATATCAGTCGATTCCTCTGAGCAAGATCGAGGATTTCGGCGTTCACGCTAATCAATACTACCCCATAGATGTTGAAATATTCAAATCGAGTTTAGATAACGAGCTTCTCGGCATGCTGTGGAATAAATACTGGGTCAACACCCTCAGCCAGAGCCCCCTGATCTCCGTAGGCGACCCTTCGAAGTTGCCAGATTCCATATACTGATACCTCGCGCATGTAGAACCGGGCGTATGCAGTATCACAGCTCTCTGACTTTCATCAAAAGCTCGCTAAAGCTCAAAGTTCTGTACACGCGACGCGCGCTGCCGTCCCCACCCTTGCTGTGAAAGACAAGGACGGAGCATTGGCTAACAAGGTCTCCCTCGATTACTCCATGCTATCTATGCCATCTAATCATCCCGTAGAAGGATAAAGAAGACGGTAAGAAGAAAGAAGATAATCAGCTCGCTAAAAGCGTTCGAGACAGGTAAAATACGATTCAATGTATTGTCGCCGTATTGACGGGATTTTGCAGCACAAAGATTGCCATTGAAGCTCAACATGGCCTGATATCACAAGTACTCAAAGATGTCATTTTCTCTATGAGGCCTAGGATGCACAACATAGTTCCAGATGCCCAGGTGTCCGATGTAGTAGATGCATCGATGAGCATTGGCTGAATAGCTATGCTTCAATTGTACTGTACTAGTTTGCTTTAAGGTTTAGTAACCCATAAAAGGAAATAAGAGTGAGCAATATTCTCACTGTCTTGCATGATCATTCAGTACTAGGCAGTTGCTTGTTCTTATTGGCTACACTTCTCCTTGACTTTTGTGTTACCTGTTAAGGGCCTGTGTTAAGGACCGTATCAAGGGCTCCTAGCTCATCTATTAGGGGTGGAGGTGTTAGGGTGACACTAATCCAGAGGACTAATGTGGTTCCTACAAGAATACTGAAGTGAAGTAGAAAAGGATTAGCTTAGTTGATTTCAGATGTCACACTAGAATTAGTGAAAATCCCTGTTGCACATGCACCTCCACATGACCATGACCATTAGTCAGACTGGTGTCTGCAGTAGAACTTCATAGAAGGATCTTACTAACAGTGTGAGTCATACTGACTGGGTATTGACTGCAGATCTATTTATATCATAGATAGATTACAGTATATAAGGAGCCTGTATCTGTCTACAATCTGCCAGTGCTCTATCCACAGAACTACTAAATGTGTGCCTCAAGCTACCTAGCTACAAGTAGTATTAGTTTCAACAACCAGTGAGTAGACATTATTCTTTCACTCAGCACATGCTTGTCCTCCTCATTAGAGTTGATGGACAGATGCTCACTCAACAATCTCAAGAGAACAAGCTATTGTTCTTGATGTTGAAGTGATGTGCACACTTGTTGTACAAATGTATAACAAAGTTGTGCTGTGTGGTCGCACGCTAAGCGCCCAGTTCCCACGCATTGGGGACCACCCATAGGCATGTTCCCAAGCTGCTCCAGAGCTAATGAAATTCGGACGTGATTTAGTGGACAGCTACTTTCACGCCTCGTGCAGAACAGTACCTGTGGGAACCTGGGATGGACATTTTTCACACATGTCTAGAGTAATAGACACAAAGAGTCAATAGAGCGCAAATCATTACATATTATTGATTGATTGCATCAACACATCATTAGTGATTGTTACCAAGGCAACTAGAGTGCATTAGGACACTTCTACAAGCTTCTGATCAAACTATAATAGCCTAAAGTTTAACACCGCCTCGCGTATTCCATCTTAAGCTTGTTGAGTTCTTTCGTACTCAGGAATAACCGATTGCTATTTTCTACAACACTTGCATGAAGCAAGTCCAGCTCGTGACACTGCTCGACCAAGTGATATTTATGGTGGATATGATCTTTATTTATCTTCGACGTAACCAAGTTGAATCTGTACATGTGCGTCTAGATATTTTGATGGCTGTTGTATGTGAGCATGCCTTGTTACTGATTCTTGGATTTCTTTTTGATGGGTTTTGGAATATGACCGTGTTCCACGAGGTAATGCGTAAACCTGATACTAGTGATGGTGAATTTTTTACCACAGCCAAATTTGCATATGTATGGTTTTGTCCCAGTGCTAATATATCCTCATTAAGCGGCGCGAGCATAACAGACAAGTCTTTGACACTTACTGAGAATGGGAGTGCTCGAACAGGCGTGCACAGTGAGGAAAGGCCATCCCACACGTCTTACAGACGAAACACCTAAAATATAAAGGTTAGACACCCATTCAAGTTAAGATAATAAATAAGACTGGCTTCTTTCTTAGGTGGACTGTCTGGATGTGGCCTTTAACTGTGGGTTTACTAGCCGTATAGAGACAAAGGACAGGTCCGTTGGATCCCGTCACTGGCCACTCACAACACCATTGGAGGCTATCATCGGCACCCCGGATTGCCCTCATATGCATATCACAATCCTCATCGGCGGAGATGGAGGTGGGAAGAATATCAGCAGTAGTACTTGAGGATGATGGACCATCTGGATTAATATTGATCGACTCAGAAATTGGCGTAAAAGATGTTAAACTATAGGCTATTATAGTCTGATTAGAAGCTTGTAGAAGCGTCCTAATGCACTCTAATTGCCTTGGTAACAATCACTAATGATGTGTTGATGCAATCAATCAATAATATGTAATGATTTGCGCTCTATTGACTCTTTGTGTCTATTACTCTAGACATGTAAGGAAAATGACCATCCCAGGTTCCCACGGGTACTGTTCTGCGCGAGGCGTGAATATAGGTGTCCACTAAATCGCGTCCGAATTTGATTAGCTCCGGAGCAGCTTGGGAACATGCCAGACATCATTCTAATGATGGCTCCATGTTTCATTTTTGCTGCTTTTGCTTCCCTGCGGAGACCGAGGCGTTCCGGTGCCTGTTCCGGCCGTCACAATAGAGGTCAACAGACCTACTAATGGGGCGCTGAACGTGGGAACGTTGCATTGACCGTGGGAGTCGTGCGCTTGTAATATATGTACAGATTGCTAAACAGTGCTTGCGCACTTTTAGCAATACTGTCAACACCAGTCATCCCATGATGACCTGGGTCGTCCCAATGGGTGTTGGCAGTGTCTATGGGTGGTCCCCAATGCGTGGGAACCGGGCGCTTGGTATAGCGCAACTTTGTTATACATTTGTACAACAAGTGTGCACATCACTTCAACAGTGAGTAGTAACAACCAGGTCGTCACTAGCTGGATGGCAGCCTTTGTTCGTGCCATTAAAGACAAGCTTCAGGTTGATGTCTCTGACGTCCCTGGCGACTCTGATGATGATGATGCTGGTGCTGGCAATGTCGATTCAGACTCTGGGTCCTCTGAGGACAATATGGATGCCTCTGACAATAATTCCAACTCTGGATCTGATGAAGACATGGACTCCTCTGGCTCTTCTAGCTCTGGCTCCTCTGACGCTTCTGTAAATGCTGAGACTGTCTTCGATACTCTCTTTCTGGCCAGCGACAACCACAAATCGTGTTCTGCAAAGAGCCAGACCACCATACTTGGTAAAAAAATTGACTCTCTCTGCCACTCTCTGGATCTCTACACACATAACGATAAACGCCAGCTACGTCGCAAACTCCTTCCCATTTCCACTTCCTCCATTCAGCCTATCATCATCATCACCCCTCCTGTCATGGGCTGCTCTACTGCTGGCTGTCATGGCCATGGTCTCACTCAATACCTCCGTGAACGTGATATCTCCAAAGTCACCTTGCTTCGTGGAAGTGAGTGCTTTGAGAAGGTTCCGGTATTGGCTGGTAGATGTCCCAAGTGCTCCACCATGTTCTGGGCAGACCATGAGAGCTTCATTGACGACAATCGACAACTCGCACTCTATCTTCCCAATGCCAAGTACCTCAAAGTTGGCAAGCAGGTCTGGGTGGATCGCATTGTCTCCAAGGCTGTCATGAATGCCAACTACAGCTTCCATGCTTTGACAGCAGCAATAACAGAGTTCTGGAACTATTCGTTTGTCCAGCCCAGTGGAGCTTCATTCACCCTCACTCACAGACAAGTCTGGAAAGCCTTTGTCTTGGAGTCCATCCGCCTACTTGCAGGTTTCAGCAACTCGACCATGATCTTCATGGACAATCTGAAGATCAGTGAGCTTGTGGCTGCTGCCTACTTGTACCTTGGAGATGGGGGAATCATCCGCAGCGCAGTTGGCCATTCATGCGATGAGTGCTGTCATGCATTCAAAGATGTGGCTGACGTCATTCCCAACCAGGATGACAATCCCGCTGCTCTTGCTGGTCATGATGAAAATTGTGATGTGCCTGAGCATGCAGGACCTGCTGTGGCAGCAGCTGTTGCAGATGCTGAGGCCATGGATGTTGACAATGTCCCAGCCAATGATGCACCTGAACCTGCTGGAGGTGTTGCACTTCACACAAATGCAGATGTCCGCATGATTGTCATTGATGGCATTGTCATGGGGCCACGTCACTGTGCCATTGCTGGGTGTGAGGCTGGGCTGCTTAATGCTCAGACTGGGGTGTTTTGCAAAGAGCACGAGGAGGAGATGGAGGGTTGTTGCCGGATGAAGAACTGCAACAAGAATAAGGTTGGTCTCACTCAGGCATGTGAAGATCATCAGGAGCAGTGGAGGACCTTCCGTGGACGCTATGCCAACTCCTCACTCTTGGGAGTTCAGAGGATGTTGAGGAGGGCTCAGGAGGAGAGGCAGGAGTGGTTGCCTGTTGGTGGAAGAGCAGAGGCGCCAGAACATGATGACCTTGCAGAGCAGGAGGTTGAACAGGTCAGTGGCAGCAAGTATAACAACTACTTCTCTGCTCCTAGGTTCTACTGTGTGGAGACCATCTGTGCTCCATGTGGTGTGGTGATTGCCAGGCACAAGTTTGCCAAGTCGGAAGGGGTGGCCAAGATTCTTCAGTTACTTGAAGATGTCTATCCTGATCCTGCCTCACGCCCCAGCTACGTTGCCATTGACAAGGGGTGTGCCTTGCTCAAGCACATTGTCTGGCAAGGGCACTGGCCTGCTTGGGGACCCACCACTCGAATCATTGTTGACTCTTACCACTACATCAATCACGGGGTCACTGACCACCTCTGTCGAACTTGGTGCAATCCTGCACCTCTCAATGGAGATGCCCCCAACTTGGTGGTGGTTGATAAAGACAAACAAGGCAACCTGTACTACAAGAGGGCCTTCAACACTCAGGTAAGTGATTCTACTAGCCAGCCACTTGTACTTGTCTCATTTGTTGTACTTAGGCTTGTGAACAACTCAATGCATGGTTGGGTGGGTTCCAGACAGTCCTCAACCGGATGACTGTCAGCAACTTTGACTTCACCATGCATGTGTTGCTATTCTTGCATACCCAGCGAGTCATTGCCAGGCAGGAGGAGAGGAACATCAAGAAGGCAGCAGGAATAGAAGAGGTGGTTGAGAGTGAGGAAAGTGATGATGAGGATATGATTGAGTATTAGATAAATGGACTTCACCTGTAGTATAGGTGGCATTCACCTGGTGTCTACCTGATGACATGACTCTGACATTGAGCACCATGTATAAGTGTGCAGTGATAAAATACTGTTAAACTATAGGCTATTATAGTTTGATCAGAAGCTTGTAGAAGCGTCCTAATACACTCTAATTGCCTTG